CCTAACTTTTAATAAGAGAGGAAGGGTATAAAATAGATAACTAAGATATAGAAGAGATATAGTAATAGTATATTAAAGTAAAGGACTTAAGATATAGAAAAATAATCTAAGATAAATTATTATAGATTTAAAGGAATATATAGATCTAATACTTATTTTTTATTAATAGATAGAATTTAGTACTATCCTAGTACTAAATTTTATAACTAATTAGAATAGGCTCTACTAATATATATAAAGTTTATTAAATAGTAAGAAATAGATTAATAGATTAATCTATAGACTAATCTATTAATCTAAATAATTAGATAAAAATAATACCTTAAGATTTTTCTTTTTATCCCTAAAAAATTTTAATCTAACTAGCTAATATTATTATTTTATATAAATCCAGAAAAAAAATATTTAAAATAATTCTTTTATATAATTAAGACTATAATATACTTATATATTAATAAAGAAATATTAGATATTAGATTTATATCTATTTTATTATTTCTAATATATATAGTTTATTTATATAAAAAATAGTAGTACTATTATAGACTTTAAATATATATTTTTAGGTTTAGTATAAAAAAGGGTTAACTAATATCTTCTTTTATCTATATCTATCTATTATAAAATATAATTCTTATCTTAAAGTATTAAGTTAATAAATTAATATATTATATATCCTAAATATATTATTACTATATAATATTCTTTTTATAAAGAGTTATAATTATAAATTATATTAGAATAAAAATAGTATTTAATAATAGTATATTATTAAAAAAGGTAAATAAATTATCTGTCCTAATTAAGAAATTTATACTAAAATAAGTTAAAAATAGGTTAACCCGTTAACCCGCGGGTCAACCTATAGATGGGTCAGGATTTTATTGACCCGACCCATAGGTTGTAGGTTTGGGTCATAGGTCAAGATCTTTGACCCATGGGACGGGTCTGTCCATGTCTAATATTAATGAATTAGTATAAAAAGCAATGAAAATAATAATGCTAATTAACGAAATTACGAAAAGAGATAATAATAATAATATTAATATTAATAGTCTATAGGGTTATATAAGTAATTATTAATATATTCTAACGCTCTAATTAGCTACAAGAATCAGAGGCTAATTAATTTTATTGCGTTTTTAAGAGATTTAGGCGAATTTAATAAAGATTAAGGTCTACGGTGTCGATACTAAAGGGGGTATATTGGGACTAGGGTTCTACTAGCCTTTCTCTACCGCCTCCCTAACCGCTTGTAGCGGACCTATAGGTAGCAGATAGCTTTACTTCTCTTCTTCTCTCTTAGAGGGAGACAGATAGATCCTACAGATAGACAATTTGATTCTCTCTCTCTTCTGCTCCCTTTCCTTAGCAGTTCTGCTCTCCCAAGCTTCCCCTCGTGTTCCCTGAGAAATATGATGGATGAGTGCCTTGTCGGCCAAGGCTGATAGCACCCACGTCATTTCAGTCCCGAAGTGGAAAAGGGGGGAAGTGGTCTGATCAGCTTTTATGATCAACAGGACTGTTTCGACCGTGATCCGCGTCGACTGATAAGTGTCTAATGTGCAATAGCTTCCGAGCGTTCGTTCTTCCGCAATGATCGTGAGACTTCACAAAAATCATTTCGAGACTTTGCGACGGTTCCTAAGCCCAAACAGCCTCACAACCACGTTGGATCGCGCGCAAATATCAAGTTCTCTCAGCCTCCGAGAGGTCATCCGTGGCCCCTGTCACTGGGTACATCTTTCCCTTTATGCAAAACCTCGCTATCTTCTCGATTGATTGGCAGACCGGGCGACATGAACGGGCGAGCAAGTTTCACTCCTGTGGCACTAGTGTCAAACGGACTCGGGGACAACGAGAGGGCTGCTTTAACCATATTGGTCTGTTCTGCACGTTTCGGCTCCTTTCCTAGGCCGTGGAACGACTGCCAGACAGAGATTTATTAGGCCTCGTAAAATTATCTTATAGTGGAGACGATACGCGGATATGCATCTCTCTGGAAATAGCAACAGCGCTTTGCTGAATAATAGTTGGATTACGATGATGAGAACGCTGGTCATCCTTTTGGCTGTCTCCTGCGCTGTGCATCGGATATAGAAGGATTGGCAAATAGGTCTCGACTGAATGTATCGCGCAGGAACTTCCTGCGTGTGAGATTGAGGCTGAGATGTGGTTGCCTCGGGATCTGGAACCCTGAATCAACATCCTGTTGGCTCAAAGACTTGGACGAGAAGCCATGGATCTCGCGCACTGTCAGTCGGACTTTCTATCATCGTAATTCACTCTATCATCTCAATTCATACTGTTTTTCATTGCCCTGCATCTACGGCGAATTTTATCCATTTTCTTCTGGTCACTTCAGTGATAAAAGCCCTTCTACATATTTCAAATGTGGCTTGGGAAGACCTTGATACGTAATCCCCTACTGAGGTGTTTTTATTTTACTAACTTCAACCCGAGAAGCAGATTCAACAGATAGCTGAGCTACACTGATCGGATTCGCCTGGATTTCCCGGAGCCAGGCACGGCGGCCAATCCCATAGTGATTAACGATGATCCTGCACCTTTGGGCTTGCCTTCCAATCCAATCATAATTTATGTTGTTTGGGGGCCCTGAGGTACCGGCCTACATATGAGCCTTAATACAACTGCCCGTAAATGTTGACTCAATGAGAAGGAAAATGTCTCAAAAAATAAAGATCTCGCGCCCTACAGAATCCATACTACAGCAGGGAAAAAATACCAATTTTGAGGCAACATGAAGATACAAAGTAAATACCAGAGGAGGTCTGTGTGTTATAAGAGCGGATTATCGTTTGAGAGTGTCAAGACAAGACACGACCCGAGGAACAGCCAATTGCCACTATTGTTGTTGCACATGCAGCGAATACAGACGAGCTGAGTGGCCGATACTCTAAAGGCTATCTAGGTACGGTCATTCTTGAAGCCATGTCCTACTTGCTGTGGCAAAGGAGCCGAATGATCAGATGAGGTCGAGATAAGAATAGCGGGTTCTAGATTGAATACGCCAGCATCAGTATGCAGATGATGCAAATTCGCCTCATCAAATTGAAGGCCACTAGAAGAACTGATATCAAGCGCTGATATACACTGCCCGGTGGCCGGATTCCAGATTCTGATTTTGGTATCAAATGACCCCGATGCGAGCCGACTTCCATCGCGCGACCGAGTCTTTCTGTGATGTAACACGGACATATGGTCGCCCCTGAGGTTCTACAGAAAATAGCGCAAAACTATAGTACCCCTAAGGTAATATAGCCCTAGTGGGCTCCTGAGCCTCGCGGAGAGCCTAAAGACGTGCAAAACCGTGGCAATCCCTAAGGTAACATAGCCCAAGCGGGCTACCGGGCCGTATGGTAGACTAAAGATGGCACAAAACCATGGTCACCCCTACATACTATATAGCCCAAGAGTGCTATTTTCAATATTAACATATTTTAGAGCATCGTTAGACCTAAAGTAACCCGAGTTTTCTAGCAAGTTCCGCGGAAAACTTGACGGCATTGACCACCCCCGAAGAGTCGAACTTAGTACAACCAGCGGGTTTAAAGTCGGCCAGGTTACCATTGGCATGAACCGAATCACAAGTGTCCGAACTGTAGGTGTTCCACTGCCATCTTTCGCTATCGGCAGTGACCATAGCGACGAGCGCCAAAGGAAGGAGGGTTGAGATACGCATCTTGTTGATAAATGAATTGAAGTATATTTTAGCAGTTTCAGTTTCAGTTTCAGTTTTTTTTTTTTTTTTTTTTTTTTTTTTTTTGACGCGGGCAAGCAAAACAGGAAAAAGGGTTTAATGAAGACCGTTTGACAATGGGATCATCCGGTGTGAAATTCGTCCATCTTAAGTAGTTCCAATCCACCCCCTATATCATCCGTCGTCGGAATTGGCCGCGGGGCCACGTTCATGTCGACCCGGGGGTGTTCTATGTTGCTACCTAGGGCTAGGGTCCTTCGGTTAGGGGCGAGTTGCATTCGAATCTCACCAATCCTTCCAAAGGTTTCTAGTTGTCTAGGTATAAGTCGGTGGTCTTTTCTGAAGCACCTCAGAATAGGAATTCTTTCTGCAGTCGCGAGTATTTCTATTGGCAGGTAAGGGTTATCCTTAGTACAGAGCATCCTCCGTTTCAGTGAACAATTTTCTTGGACCCGGGGGCGAGGGAGTAAGCTTGGCATACATATACTGGGGCCAGGCTCGTTGAGGGTCGGCCCCCAGTACGCTCGGTAGTGGGGCCACACAGGGCCACCGGGTCACCGCTAGGGGAGCACGATCAGAATGGTGGTCCTGTTTTTAGGGGCTCTCCTAACTTACAAAAGAGACTGGGTCTTAGAACAGAATAAGGAGGGGCTTTCAACAAGTAATCCGATATGGTGTAGCTCGGGGTGACGGCGAAAAGACTATGTGATAGGAATACCGTGGTGTTTCCGCGTAGTAGATATAGGCGTTTTCAAGATAAATAACTTTACCGAATTCGGTCTAGCGCCTTGTGACTCTATTAGATAACATCAACACCCTCTATATTCTAGCGGCTTTAATATAGGTAAGTATAAAAAGCCCTCTCTCCCTCGAGGAGAGTTCGTTTTAATAATATTATTTTTAACGCAATAAGGCTTATCTATATAGTTATAATACGATCTACTCTAAGAGCATGATACAGGCAAGTAGTACCCGAAAGAATATTAACAGAAGTAAAATGGGATGAGAGTCGGATCTTATATCTACGATAGAGCAAATTAGAGCATCCTGTATGGTGTGAAATAAGAGAACGTTAGCAGAACGCCAGTCCCAGCTAAACTGTGAAGGGTTCAAATCCAAAGGCATTCAGTTGAACTAGACCGACATGCTGTCTAAAACAAGCTTGAAGAGAGGAGATACCAGCTCAGTCAGACATATAAAAGCGCCGAACACGGAGAAACAAAGTGGCAGAAACGGGAGCGGCAAAACCGCGTACCGGAATCGCTTTCAGGACTTTCCCCTAGGTGCGAAAAACATAGTCTCCAGCCCACTTGGTCAAAGCCATATCTTTGAACATGTTGACCATGGGAAATCGACTACTAGCGACGCCCGTGACATATACGGCAACCACCGACACAGAGTACATGTCCGGGTTCTTGAAATGAACCAAGGTCACTCTATGCGGTGGCCGTCTGCGACCATGTATATTTACTGGCAATGCGTCATCGTCTGATGGCAAAAATTCTTCCATCTCGGGTTTCTTTCCTTTGCCATCATTATCGAAGATCGCTGGCTGGTCCCCGTCGTCTTCGCTATCGTCGGGGTGATTGCAATCGAATTGAGACCTGTCCGCGGAAGGCCATGACTCCAATTTGAGCATAAAATCGACTGCCTTCCAACGGAGTTTTTTGTTCTCAAAAAGCTCGTTTGCTGCCCCGGTGAATTGCTTCTTGATTTCTTCGACGATTTCAACTAATCGACTCGAAAGCGTTTCGTCATTGGGGAATCGCGGTTGCCAAATAATCATTTGAATATCATTTGGCCATTCAACACGGCTGGACCTCTGTTCCAACGATCGTAGATTTTCAAGCCATGCATGAAACCCGGGGAGCCGTGAAGGCTCATTCTTCGCAGAGATCATACTAGAGATAGCCTGTTGGAGGTCCGGCCTCTTCTTCTTAGGCGCTTTAAGGTAGTCGACCACTGTCTGATGCGCAATAGTGCTAGCCCAGTGGTTTTGTGGTGTAAAAGCAATTACCACGATATCCTCTTGCGCATTGTCGAGTAAGGAGACCTTAAAGCCGTCTGATAGACCAAATGAGCCTAGATTCGGGCTTCGTGTTTGTTCGGAGCTAGGATGACCAGCCTGCTGAGCTCTCATGTCGTAGCGATAAAAATCACCAGGAATCCGCGGTAGGTCCCGGAACTGGGACCTCAAGTTCATTTCATCATTCCACCTAGTATATGCGTTAAATGCGTTCACGATCCTATTGGCACCGGCATGAGGAATAGGATCATCGTCTCGTTTCCGGTTCACCGGGGCAACCTTGATAGGACTCGCTTCGTATAGTTCAATCGAGAGAAAAACAACCACTAAGGATAGTAGTAGATTCATTGCAAAGGTTGAAGAGGCCAGCGGTGAATCAGAGACTTGAAATAAAAACAATAGCTAGAAAAAGGCAGCGAGCTACTTCCTATTGATAGATAATTCCCTGCCGGAGAATCGGTCCAATATCTTTTACGTCAAAATCATATTTCAACCGCGCGACTTCCTCGCCCTAGAACCCGGGCGCACACTTATAGTGTGTATCCTGCAGGTTCAGGATCCTTTTCCCCCTTCCCCCCCACTGGGCCCACCGCCGATCTATTTTTCTGCAGCCTGCCATTTAAAATACAGTAACATTATAGTATTTATTTCTTGATATTAATACTCAGTATACCAACCCTTTGTTTCAATAACTGCTTGCACTCGGTTTGGCATATTATAGGATAAATTGATTAAGATTTTGACCCGAATAATATACTACTACGCCCGCTACGCAACAGCGATTAATCAGTGTTTTGTTGATATCTGTAGGGTCTAGCTTATAAATTTCACGTTTTAATAACGACTTGATATAGATGAATAGCAGAAATGCCTCACTAACTAGACGTGTATAGAGACGGGAAGAAAGGAGGGACAGAAGGGCGACAGAAGAGCGAGAAGCTAAAGCGACAATAGAGGACTTTATAGAACAACGCGCGCACACAGTGACTCAGGATGCATAACAAAGATAGAATTCAAAGTTTTTCCGCTTATCACTGTCAGTATCCGATATGGTGTAGTGGCTAACATCGCCGTCTCTCACACGGCAGCCGGGGGGTTCGATTCCCCCTATCGGAGATGTTTTTTTTGTTTTCTTCAAAAACACCACACACATCAAATCTAATCCGAATCCGAATGCCCCTTCCAAGAACGCACCCCAACGACTCCAACCACCATCAGCGACAAAAATGCCACGATGAGAGTCAGCGCAACCATCGAACAGCAGTGCTGCTGGTTGCGGCGGCGCTCCCGTCGTTCAAGTCGCCGATCGCATGCTTCACAATGTGTATGATCATTATGGGGGTCCGATGGATCTGGTGATGGATTGTTATGTACATGGGGAGAGTGTTCGACGTCCTCGAGGGCGATTCGCGAGGACGATTCGCGAGTACTTAAAAAACCCCCATTTCGACAGAATCAGCGATTAAGGTCTGATTTGGTGTAGCTGATAGATAACGATAGGTAGGGACATACCCCCGTTTGCGAGTCGTGCTGTTCCTGGGCGAAGAGATCCTCGTAGGCTGGGGCTGCCTCTGTATCGGTTGCGATGCCCATGATTATGGGTTTAGTTGGTAGTGGGATGTTTTGACTGCGAGGGAAAATAACAGGAGAGGGGCACTGGCGTCTATTTACGATGCTGGGGCTATGTGTCTGACATCCGGTGACGTGGGTGTCAGACAACCCGATCGGCGGCTAGTGCTTCTAGGGCTGAGGGGTTTGAGATCCAAGGCCGCAATATTTCACTGATTTGCTTAATTTTGATGATCCTGATTTGAGTTAGTGGGCAAGCTAGACTACACAATATTCGCAGAGTGAAAGAAGAAAAAAAAAGCCATCCATTAAGGGTGAAAAAAGCCCTATGCATATGTACAAAACCCCGTCTTCAATAATCACGATGTAGGCTTGTGCGTTTTCTTCTCGATCATCGTCGAGTGTAGCTTAACAAGCTCCGGGATAATCAACGTCTCGATCTCAATACCATCGCTGCTGCCCTCCTGTCTGGTGGCAGCCTGTGCCTTCTCCTCGGTCTTCTCAGGAGTAGGCGCAGAACCGTCTGACTTCTTCTTAGCCTCAGCCAGGCCAACCTGGTCCTCCACACCGGAAATACTCTTGCTGCGCCGCGCCTTGGGCACGCGGAGCCAGCGCTCGTGCGGTGGATCCGGCGTGATAAAGACCACCTCCCATTTCCGGGTCGAGAGCAGGTTACCGATGACCAGGTGGTGTGAGTATCGTTGCAGTGCGGTGCGCGCCTTGTACACGAGCAGCGAGGGGTCGGTTTCCAGCTTGAAAGACACCACCATACTCCCGTCGGGGGCCCAGCCGTCGACGAGCCGGTGCAGGAACTTGGGCACGGGGTCGAGGTTGATGACCAGCTTCTTGCGCTGCGACGGCTGCTCTTCGTTCTCGCCCGTGTAGATGTCGTCAGGCTCGACGGCGCTGTCCTTGTCCAGGTGCGCCGGTAGCTCCGAGGACTGGATCTTGTGCTCGGCCATGCGGCTGCGCGGAATGAAAAAGTCGCTGACGGCAGCGGCCAAATAGAACAGTGCGTTGGGGCCCAGTGGCCGCATTAGTTTTGCCAAGGACCGCAGCTCGAACATGTACTCGGAGACTGTGGTGAAGGGCAGGAGCAGCAGCAGGTTGTTTTGCTTGGCATAGCGGTACTTGCGAAGCACATCGCGCATCTGATGTTGGTACTCGTCGCGCACGACAATAGGGCCATGGTCTGACTGGGTCGAGTCCGACGCCGGCGCCTCGTCCATGAAATCCAGGAAGCAGTTGGTCGAATGGCTGTAGTGCCGTGAATAAGGCAGGAGACTGTACTGGCGATGCAGGAAGATCACCGCGTACCCCTCCTGCAGAAAGTACTCGGCCGAGGTAGCGCCGCGGGTTCCGGCAGAGAAGTTGTCAATAAACCGCACCGTCTGCGCCTCCAGCGGCACTGTGGTCCCTCCCGAGGTGACCAGTACCACGCGTCGGTTGGCCTCGACATGGCGATCAATGAAGGCGCGAGCGAGCGCTTCGTGCTTGGGGAGGGCCTTGGGTGGCGGGTACTCATTAAAGTAGACGGACTCTGCGTCTGCGGGCGACATGTCCCCGAGTGATGGGGTTGCCATCGTCGGCCAATGACAGTTGAAGAGAAAAAGACTAGATTAGTGCCTCCCCGCGATAGACAAAAAGAACAAAATAGAAGAAAAGAAGAACTGCGGAAATAATGACAATCACTCCACCACTACTCGAGTGGTTGGCTTGCGATTTCCACACGACTGTGGGATCCTGCGGAGACCGAGGATGTTCGCGGCAAGAGGGGCAACTTCTCAACGCGACCGCGAACGGCGTTCTGTCAATCAGAATCACCCGATTGATAATGCCCCACAATGTCAAGGGCTCTCTGTCACTGTTTATATGATCTGCCCAAATCCATTGGGATATCGGTGACTGAAGTAGAGTGCCCTGGTGACTCTCAACGCCCTGTTCCTTTGATCGGCCTGCCTGATTCGCACTAGCGCTGCCGCTGGACCGATACCAATGCTTCGATGGGATGCCGTGGCGATGGAGGACGAGGTGGTTGGTGCGCATCGCCGATAATGCCGAGGCGCCGCTTGCATCCGGGTCACGTGAACTACGATCTACAAGATAGTTACACGTTGAGAGGATTCCATAGAGATTATTGAAGCTATTCAAGAGCAAAAGGCTTTGTTTAGTCACTGCAAGTATCGACTGCGGAGTGCTTGGCTGATTGTGCTCATCCGGCTCGCCATGCCCCCATGCTGCATGTTGCTCATCAGTGCTTCCTCTAGAGCGGATTGGGTAACGCTAGCATCTGCAGGCATTTGGATTAGCAAGAGAAACCCAGAGATTAAATAGGCGAATACAAATTAGAACAAAGTCACTCACCGTCCAGGTCACTGAAACTGCTCCCCATACTCGGGGTTCCATCGCTAGCCTCTCGCCCGGACGCGGACTTGCGCGGACTCAACCGAGGCACCTCTCCAGTTTGCTGTGGATGTAATGCGCCCGGTACTTGATTCATTCGTTTTCCCTCCCCTGGTGCCAGGTTTATAGGGGCACTGGAACTCGCCGAGCTTGCCGATGACTCCGGGGCCACCGGCATTCGGGGACCAGACCGCTCGGCAGGGCGTCGACGTGTATTGGATCGCTCTTCGTTCAGACGTAGAGTTGCACTGAGCTCCTGGCCCGATCGATCCCGCGGCGGCTGTTCTAATTCTCGGGACAGGGGAAGAAAAGCAGGGGTATCATCGTCGTCGTCATCGTCATCTCGTAGTCCCGGGCGTTGCGTGGAGAATTTTCCAAACCGCTTGAACCGCGGTGCTCGCCGGTTGAGTTCTTCACCCTCGGAATCGGACTCTTCGGGGGAGCTTGATGAGAGATCTTCTTCCTCGAGTGGGGGAGACCGCAGGAGAGAGGCTGCGGGTGCTTGTTCGCGTCGAGGGACCGAGGGATGCCGACCGAAGCTTTCCAAGCGCTCCCGGTTGTCTGCTGTGGGTGTGTCAGTTCGGGACGTGTCCCGAGAGGCCCTGAATTGGTTGACAGTAGTTGTCGATGTGGAGCTAGTTCGTCGAGTGCCAGCTGTTCTAGAGCATTAGATATACTTGATTAAACCAAACCTTCTAGGACCGGGTGTTCAAACCTCGAGGGATATCTTTTTGCTGAGAGATTTGTCGGGTTGGTGCTCGAGGTCCTGTTCAAAATAAGCCGTTACCCAAGAGGTAGAAGAAATATGGGCGAATCTGCGTACCTGTGGCTGGGGCACCCTTTGCCTGGCCTCCTAGTGCAGTACTGCCCGACACAGATCCAGGAGCCAGAGAAGGGGAATTCGACTGCGTTGTACCAACTTTGCGCATCTGGGCCCTGACCTGCGACAGCTGCCGGTCATAAAGCCATGCTGCCTGTTGAAGAAGGAACTGCAAGGTGACATCAAAACTATCTGCACTAGACAGATCATGTTAGCAGGCCTCCGTTGGGACCAGGGCAAGGCATCGTTACAGGGATTTCCCTGCCAGTGTGTTAGCAAATTGCTTATCGACGGTGTACCGAGTTTAACAAAGCTTACAATTTATATCATCTCCCTTGGATGGGCGCGACAGGATATCCCATAGTGCCTGGTCTTTGGATGCATTCCATTCCACCTGGATTTTTTGGTCAGCCAGTAGTTGAGAAACACCAGGTGGGAATACTTTACAGGCGGCGGATCTACAAAGTCACCCCGAGGAAAAGGTAGGCGGATAAAAACAGTGAATCTGGTATCACCGGAGCCGGCTTTTGTCGTCATCCTAGCTCCCGGTGCTGGGATCGGGTGAGGGAGTGAGTTCTGGGACCGCTTCAGAGTGCTGAGCCTCTCCACGGGCTGGTTAATCTCAATATGCTGTCCAGGAGATAGTCAAAAAGTACAAAATCCCAAGGTCGTCGAGTGCAACGAACATGCCCGTAGCAACCTTGCAAGCTCCAAGCGGATGATGCTAGGCGGAGGCGAGTGGCGAAGGCCTTGCTATTGGCTCGCAAGGTGGGTTGCGATAACTGATAGGTGCGTGGGTATATTAGTTTAATGCAAGATGGGCAGTTGTTTGATGTGATCAAAGTTAATACCACGCCCTTTCTGGTATATCAACGCACAATATCCTACTTGTTTCAAGGCTGTTGTTGCTTTCTTTTGGACTGGTTTAATTGTCTTCTTTGTTGCACCTCTCTTTCTATGACTGCCAGAGGCTTTGCAAAATACTCAGATTAAATGAAAGAATCAAGTAATCATCCTCCATCAACATGTCTTGGGATTTGAAACTGAAACCGTATCTATCTTCATTTGCACTCATGAATAGGATGTGGCGCAAGCAGCTGTTAGCTGTTAGCATATTTATGTACAGAAAAAAACATGAACCAGGGACAGTAAGTCAGGATACATTTGGGACTGGGTGGACTCTCAAGGTGATCGGCGATGATGCGATTAGCAAGGCGACCGAGGCTGGCCCTGCCAACTTGGCATCTTCTTACACATACGCGTCCTTGCATGTGCCATCATGACCATGTCGATATTCACCTATTTCTACTACAAATGCCTGGCAGTCCTTCTCCGGGCAGTGGTTGGGCTGGGCACCCGGGTGTCTGCCACCCCGGATTCCGTGCGCCCGATCCCATCTCGCGATGTGGGGAGGTCCATCAAGGTTCATGTGTACCGCCAATCCTCCTCGAGCCCATCACCGGTCCTCCTCAATTTCCACGGGAGTGGGTTCATTCTTCCTCTGCATGGCAGTGATGACGAGTTCTGTCGGCGGGTGAGCCGAGAAACCAAGTACACCGTGCTGGATGTCCCTTATCGCCTGGCCCCTGAACACCCGTTCCCGGCCGCGCTGAATGACGTCGAGGATGCCATTAACTACGTGCTGGCCCGCCCGGACGAGTTCGACCTCACTCATTTCTCGCTGAGCGGGTTCAGCGCGGGCGGCAATCTCATCCTCGCAGCAAGCTCGCTTCTCTTCCCTCCCGACACCTTCCGCTCGCTGGTGTCGTTCTACCCGGTGACCAACCTCACTATCGACCCGGCTTCCAAACACGCCCCGAACAGACAAGGACGTGCGATCCCCGTTCCCGTCTCGCGCGTGTTCATCGGATGCTATGTCCCCCCGACCGTTGACAAGCGGGACCCCCGCATCTCACCGCACTTTGCGCCGCTGGACCGATTCCCACGCCGCATGCTCATGATCACGGCTGACGGCGATTCGCTTGCGCCCGAGACGGAGCTGCTGGCTGAGAACCTCCAGCAGCAACAGGGCTGGCAGGTGGACTACCAGCGCATGGAGCAGTGTAACCATGCGTGGGACAAGCAAGCGCATGCGGCGGGCACCCCGCAACACGAGGCCAAGGACCGCGCATACGGGCTGGCGGTTGATCTGCTGAACGAATAGGCCTCTTGCCACACATTGCGTGCCTGACCCCAACCCGCGTGTCGCATGGCTCTTGCCACTCGGGATCGGACCGCGGTTCTGGTGACACCTCAACCCTAAGCCCTACCTGCCCAACACGGCAAGGATCTTGAAGGATGAGGATTTCGAAGGATTTGGGAGATATCCTAACGGGGAATTTGGGAGACTCCGAGATGTCCGTGCAAGGTGTATTTACATAGTGGACATAGTTGATATTGACAGATTTGAATTCTCCGGAGTCACTTCTCGTAACAATGGACTTGTTCTCTTCTTCCCCTAACCACACGTCATGGGCGTCGACCCAGGGATTCGCATCAGCTTCACCCGTGGGTCACCCGCAGTGATTTGATTAACCCCCCCCCCCCCCCCCCCCCCCAAAAAAAACATGCAAAAAGGGTGGTCTAACTTGACAGCCTGTTCCTTTGGCCATTTTCTTTTCTTTGCTTCGCTCTGCTCGATTCTTCTATATTCTTCGACTGCTAAACTCGCCTGGCTTTGGGCCTCCCATCTCCACCTTCCTGTCCTTACAGAGCACCCCTCACCCGTCCGTCGGCCCCCAACAGCACCTACAGCCCCGGGGCGAATGCGATCCTCGAGCGCGACCTGCATTTCGTCCATGTCGGCCCAGTGGACGAGTCCACTCCGTCCACCCTTGTCCTTTGAGCCGTGAGTGCGCAGCCTCGATTCGCGCATTCCTCGCTTCAATCCGATTCATGTGCGCCCGGCGAGACGCCACATCCCCTCCCTGCCCACCTCCTTGTATATATATATCAACCCCATGGAGTCAACACCAGCCGCCGAGCCCATCTTCGACGAGGCCAAATACCGGCATGACGTCCTCGGCGTGACCTCGGCGGAATCAGAGCAGGCGCGGGCGCAGCAGCTAGCCGAGGAGGCGCGACAACTGGGTTTGAGGGTGCCGGGGATCGCGGCAGCCAGTGGCGCACCCGCCCCGACCACCTCGGGAATGGCTGATTTTTCTTCGCCCGTGCTGTCGTCCGGATCATCGACCGATCGCAATTCTGTCTGCGATGGGTCGATCACCCCGTCCTACGAGCCCTTGTCGCCGTCGCAGCTGGATCAGGTCGCTACGTCGATGTCGGAAATCACTATCGCCTCGGCCCGAGTCAAGCCCGGGAGTATGCGGTCACTGGCCTCGTGGTCCGGCCGTCCCACCTCGTACTGTTCAAGTGAGGGGAGACCTATAGTGAATGGAATTGGAATCCACCATGACGGGCTGGCGGCGACCAAGTGGGCAGACCGGCGTTCGATGCTGAGCATCGCCTCAAGTGACCAGAAGGAAAAGCGAAAGAGCAGCTTGAGATCTGCCCTTGAACGACTCCCTTTCGGCAGGAAACGCACGTCTCCAGGTCTCATTGCACCGTCAGATTCACGCATCGCAGTGTCTCGGGACAATGAAGGCGTGGATCGCGTGTACCTGGAGCCTAGTCCAGACCTGAATGGCGTTCCCGCGGAGAATCGCGGTTTCGGCAGCACTGTGGATTCGCTCCCCCGGCTGGAGGTCCCTACTTTCGATCAGCAGGCGTTGCAACGGAGCCGGGACGACCCCGAGCTAAGTGAGATGGTTGAGCGGCACCAAATGGAAAGAGACCGGCATATCGCGTTCCAGAATGCCGCCCTGAGCATCCTTCGGCGCCGGCAGGAGCCCGCTATCCCCGAGCGGCAATCAGAGTACCGGCGCCAGGAGGATGAGAAACAAGAAAAGGTGCGGATGCATGGAAATTCAGTCTGAAGCTTCGTCACTAACTGGGCGTGATGTAGAACATAACCGCCGCTGCGCGACTAGAAGAAAGGCAATTAGCGATTGAAATCGAGCAGCAACGCGAATTCGAGCGCGCCAAAGTGAACTCAAGCATCCGGATCAAGCATATGGAAGGATATTTCCGCAACGCAAGCCCGCCGCCCGCTATCGAAACATTAGCAGCATTCGGCGAACGCTCAGACTCGTTTTCGGAGTCTGACACCACCACCCCTCCGCCACGTCGCTTCACGCGCCAAGATCAAGAGCAGTTGGAACAGCAATACCTTAACCACGAGTCCATGGATCAGCTACACGAGGCTCGCATCAAGGTTCTTCGTGAACGTCAAGAACTAAGGCTGCAGGAAACCATTCTGCGCATGGACCAGGAGCTGGAAAATATGTGTGACCGACACACCCGAGATATCGAAGCTCTTCGATCGGAGCATCAGCGCGAAGAGTCTTCTCTCGTGCAAGCGCTCGACACAAAGAAAACAGCCTTGCAACATCGCTGGCATCTGGAAGAGATGATTCTGCGCCGGCAGCATGAATTGCAGTATGGGAGGTCGTATGGCCCGCTGCCGCCGGTGTCGTTCACAAACACAACTAATACCAGGGACTCGGCCATCTGTGTCCCTCGGACCCCTTCTTCCCTTCGGCCTCGGAGTGCTAATAATGCCCATGATAGAGGCGACGGTACGCCTTTCTAGTGCGCATTTGACCTGATACCCTTTTTCTTTCTTTCTTCTTTTTTCTTCAAGTCTTGACATCTGACATGGATAAACTCGGGCACAATCCTTTTTTTACCCCTTTCTTTTTTGTCTTATATGTCCCTTACCCTTCTTGTAATCATTCTTTTATTTGTCTATTTTGTGCTGGGATCTGTAAATGGCATTGGGATTCGTACATACGCATTGCGGCGGGCTTGTGGACTTTTGTGCATAGCATTCGAGACTGGTATACCACCATGCAGTTTATTTAGATGTACCACCTGAGCATGATCCATGACTGTTCGCCTGTTTTATTTTATTGTTCTGGTGCTTTCAATAGAAGGAGTATCACTAGTGCAATTGAACATGACATCTCTCGCAGGTGGATGTGTGTATAAGAGAAAATCTGAAGGCCTCACGACCCAGACATAACAATACCAGGCTCACTCAACCGGTCCAAGAGCGCTTCCACTCGTCCTCCGCCACCAGTCATTGCATCCTCCGTCTGCTTGTCTCGCCCGTCATCGCCAATAACAACGGCACGCTCCACAAGCCCGGCATGAGACAACTTGAACCGGCCCACACGCCCATCCTCCCACTCGAGTCGCACATAGTGCGCCTCGAGCGCAGTAGGCGAGAGCGAGACGATCCCCGAGCGATTCGGCGCGGATTCGCCTTCATGCGCCAACCCTAGCCGCTCACGCAGCAGCTCGATCGCATCCGTCCGCACATGCCACGCGACCAGCTCGCGCCGCAGCTCGCGCACAAACGCACGCAGGTCCTGCTTCCTCGTGGTTTTGTTTGCAGGTTTCCATGGTTTCAGGGTGGCCTCTGCGTCCGATCCACCCTCCTCGTTCTCGTTCTCTTCATTGTCATCTGGTGTCTGGCGAGGTACCCTGGACGTAGGCAGATAGACACTTTCCAGCTTCGCCATGGAAATAAATGTTGGAATGGTATGTTTGTGCACTCGCAGCCTCTTCGGCTGCTCCGCGCGCCCGCGCTCGCGGCGCAGGAGCACGTAGTAGGGTTTGGTGAACTGGCCGTTGCGAGCGCATACGTCGATGCGGACGCCGAGGAGGTTTGGGTTGTCGGCTGCTGTGGTAGTCGGGGACGGGTCCTTGAAGGGGAATGTGGTTGTTCCGAAGGCGATGCGATGGTGGTTGGATGCGGAGTGCTCGCCGGCTGCGCGGACGAGGGGCGAAATGGAGGCGTTGTCGTCGTGGATTGAAGATAGTGCGGGCGTTGGCTTGCGTAGGTGTTTCTGTATGGGTTCGGAAGAGAGAAGGCTTGAGGAGAGGAAGCGCTTGCGGCGTTGGAGCTTGCGGACTGGAGCACATTGTCAATTTCCTGTTAGGCTGAGTGTATATGGTCTCGTCCTTTGTTTTGGACATACTCTCGGCGCGGATCGAGATGATCTCGGAGTCCAGCTGCTCCTCTTGCGGATCTGGGGAGGCGGTGCGATTCATGGTGTTGTGGTAATATTGAGCTGTGATGACAGGCGCTGATTCTGTGGGTTTATGGTTGAATATGGCCAACCCTCTGGCCAATGCTTCTGGTGGATGTCGTACGAAATGTTTGTTTATGGCACGTGACACCATCACCGTGCATTTGGCTGCAGACAAGCATCTTTGTCGTTGAGGCCACCAAGTCTCGACGATTGCAACTGACTAGAATTAACTAGATGTGGTCTGTGTCTTTGCTCAATGCTTGGTATGTTCTATAGTCTGCCCAATTCTATTTGACCCCCCCCCCCCCCCCAACACCTCGAGGTGACGCAGTGACTTCTGCATGCACGATATCAGATCCCAAACAACCTCGAGTCGTAGATCGTACCCGACAGACAGTCGAATTTACGAGATGTCTGGATATTATCATTGTATTCTATCGCCTTGGAAGGACCCTGAGATGCGCTGGTCCACAACCGCCTCTCGGTTACTTGGGGCCGAGAGGCCAGCTTGCCTCAATTGCAAGTCTCCCGCAATTCTCCCTCCAGCATTCATTCATGCATGCCACTCGCTGAGGACTCCATCTTATCCCCTCGGTCCTCCATGCATTGGTCACTCATTTCTTCTTCTACAACCGCTTAACACGCGTGGGATCAAGTGGACCTTGACCGTCTAAGCCACACGCTATTTGGCATCCCCACGAAGCGCTTCCTTCCTTTTTTTCTCCCTGATCTTTCCAACCCGACTGCGATCCTCCCATCCGGATTCCAGTCGATAGCCGGCGCCTCCGCGACTCAATTTTCGCATCGAAGTGAATTTCAATGACACGAAAGAACGCCACCCTCTCCAAGCGGCGCTCCAAACCGAGCTTGAAAGTTGCAACCGGCCAGAACGGCCATGCTAACAGCAAGATGAACAACATCGAGATGCGCAAGCGGGATACTCCCTCCTCCGAATCGTCCGCCGACCGAGCTACCCGCCTCATGTCGCATCCGGGCTTCTCCCTCGACAGCGAGCCCGTGGTCCCGCCGACCCCGGTCATGACCACCACGAGCTTCCAGAACCTGCCCGCCAATGACCGCCGGAATTTCCTGCTACTGGTCCTGCTGTACTTCTTGCAGGGCGTGCCCATGGGTCTGGCGACCGGCTCCGTGCCCTTTCTGCTCAAGCCTCACCTGTCCTACGGCCAGATCGGCGTGTTCTCACTCGCCTCATACCCCTACTCCTTGAAATTGTTCTGGAGCCCTATCGTCGATGCTGTGTGGAGTCCGCGATTCGGCCGCCGCAAGAGCTGGATTACCCCTGTCCAGGTGGTGGCTGGTCTGGCGATGATTTATCTGGGTGGCCGCATCGAGCCGATGATGACACAGGCGGGTGCGAATGGCGGCGCCGGCGTGTGGAATTTCACCTACTGGTGGTTTGGACTCGTGTTTTTCTGTGCCACGCAGGATATTGCCGTAGATGGGTGGGCCATCACCTTGATGTCTCAGCCGAACATCTCCTACGCTTCGACGGCCCAGACTGTGGGACTTACGGCTGGTCATTTCCTGTCGTACACCGTGTTCCTGGCGTTTAACTCCAAAGACTTTGCCAATCGGTGGTTCCGTACTATCCCCGGCGAGGGCGGTTTGTTGTCGCTGGGCACCTACCTGACCTTCTGGGGCTGGGCGTATCTGCTGGTGACCCTGGGTCTGGCTCTGCTCAAGAAGGAGGACCACACCAAAGAGCGTGATAGCATTCTCGATGTCTACAAGAGCATGTGGAGTGTGTTGAAGTTGAAGAACATCCAGACCATTATCATCATCCACCTGATTGCCAAGATCGGCTTCCAGGCCAACGACGGCGTGACGAGTCTGAAGCTACTTGACAAGGGCTTTGGCCAGGATAACATGGCCCTGGTCGTGCTGATAGATTTCCCCTTTGAGATTATGCTGGGCTACTATGCCGGCAAGTGGTCGACCGAGTATACCCCGATGCGGCTCTGGGGCTGGGCCTTTGTCGGTCGGCTGGCGGCTGCGGTGCTGGCCCAGCTGACTGTGATGATTTTCCCCAGCGGCACGGACGTGCCGTTCTGGTACCTGATGACGGTCATTATGGAGCATATTATCTCGACCTTTATGAACACAGTCATGTTTGTGGCTATCTCCGCCTTCCACGCGCGCATTGCGGACCCGGCCATTGGAGGGACATACATGACGCTCCTGGCAACGTAAGTTGAATCTTGCTCCTTTTTTTTATAGTCTGGCTTTGCTGATCTTGATAGTGTCTGCAACTTGGGTGGGACCTTCCCACGCTACTTCATCCTCAAGCTGGTTGATATGTTCACCGAGGCGACTTGTCTCCCTCCTACCGTTCCTATCCCCCCCAGCCAGCTCAAGGATGCGCTGGTCACCACCGCGTTCTCCTGCGCCCTCGAGCCGGAGAAGAACCGCTGCGTCAACGGCGGCGGGACTTGCCAGGTCGGCCGCGACGGCTACTACCTGACCAACATCCTGTGTGTGGCCATTGGCACGGTGACATTTGTGATGTTCATCAAGCCGGCCGCCACCAGGCTGCAGAACCTGCCTCTGCGGGCCTGGCGGCTAATGCCGACCAACGAACGAGACTAGTGTATGGCTGTGGCCGAGTTGCTTGGGCTGTCTCGTGTCTGTTTTTTTTTTTTTTTATACTTCTACTGGGATATAAACCACATAGATTGATACAGCCAAAGAATGATATTTCGCCGACTGTTCTAAGAGCAATAGGCTCATTTAATTAGGGGCAACTCGGCGTGTCAGATGGAATAAGCTGCAGCATCGACCCCGAGCCCTATTCGCCAGGTTTCGGAGCCAACGCTGCATCAGTTGTACTGCGATATTCAGCGACTCCATTGAATCCAGTTCCAGCTCTTTGTTTTCTTCCGCCAAACGTGCCCTCTGCAAGCCCCGCGCTACGCTGTTGCAGACCAAGACTGCAGTTGGGAATATTCAAGTGGCGAGTTCCCGTTGCATTTTTCTTCTCTTCTTTTTCTTGCTCTTCATTTCACGAAGTCAACATTCACGAAGTCAACCATCTCGCTTGAATTCTTGCCATTGAACCCGCTCATCATCCGAGATACTCGCTATTCTCATCTCCACGATGCGATATCTTGGTCTCGCTCTCGCGGTGCTGAGCACCTATGCCCTCGCAGTGACAGCCCTACCGAGCCCAGAGGAGCTGGGTACCCTGAAGTACAGAAGCGTACGTAACCTCAAAATCCACCTCCACCTGGGCAGGAGTATATATATTCCAACATACTTACATCCATGGATACACCTTCAAAACTAACACACACAACACAAAAAAGTGGGACCTGCGCCTCTTCAACGCCGCCATCCCAGCCTGCAATCCCAACGCCTCCAACATCGCCCGAACAGTCCTCCACCGATCCGGCGCCAACACACGCACCTGTGCCTTGCTGGATTATTCGCTCTACAATACCTCCTCGGTGCAGAGTCTCAGCTGGAAAAGTCCCGGGCCCGACGACGTCAAGGATCTGTGCATGTTTCGGACGCAGGATTGCTCCGGGGGCGAGCAGGCGCTTGTCGGGGCTATAACGAGTGGGTGGGAGGTTTGCTATCCGTTTTTGGGGTGGAGGGGGTGGGTTGTTGTTGAGCATGGGGCTGGATGTTTTTAGATTATGAGGGGGGGAATGAGATGTATGTATGTTTTGGCTGTAGTATACCTTAAGGGGGTAGTCGAGGGGAGAATACACAATACATCAATCAGCAGAGCAGAGCAGAGAATTACGGGGTCTCAATCCCAGTCTGCTTGCTCTACCTCTCTCGCCGCAAGATCCAACACCAACCTCGCATACCCCCGATGCAACCGCGCCGTCCAACCAGGAATAATCTTCTGCGTCTCCGGCCCTCCCTCCTCGGGTACAACCTCATAGTCATGCGCCGTCGCAAACCGCACCTCTACCACCCTCCCCTGACCACACATCTCAAACGGCTCGGACACGCTCATCTCATGCCGGCCCCCAGACATCAGGCGCCACGGATACCCCCAGCGCGCGATCTTCTCGAAGAACGCGCGCGGCTCGTCTGCCATCTGCCACGAAATCAGCAGCCCGTTGCTGTCAGCGTCCGGCGACCCCGGCTCCCGCTGCGCAACGAGCATGCCGTTGAGGAGCTCACGCGGCGCGCCGGTCTCTGCGTCGGGCGCGAACCCGGCTTCGGTGTCGCCGGTGTTACCGGGCGTGTACCGGCCGTGCTTGAAGAGGCCGATGAGGAAGCCTTCGGCGCGCAGGAGCTTGCTGCCAATCACTGATCGCGCCCAGGCGTCTTCGAGCGCTGTTTTATCACTCGTGGTGGTGGACAAAGAAGAAGGGCGGGTGCGCAATTCGAGGGCTGGCAGAGGTACGCGCGTTGCGTAGACGTCGGTATAGGCGCATCGCTGCGTAGCTGGGCTGCTTGGAGTGCGGAGTGCGGTGCTGGTTGTGGCTTTTGCAGGTAGCTCCGGGTATTTCTCTTCCAGGTGGCTAAGGCCCCGGTGGATGCCGTAGCTTGCTGCTCCCGTGGGCACGACGATGTACGCGATTACTCGGCGAAGCGAGTGTTTCGCCATGATATTTGCGTCTTTGGGGATATTCTGGGGTGTTCGGAAAGAGAGAGCGAAATTCGGAGCTGGTTGGAACTAGCAGCCGCTTACTGCTGGGAGCAACAGGTCGCTCGGTGGGGCGGGGCCAAAGTCCCAAGTATGTATTAAAAGACATTGTGAGCAGGCCGACCCCATTCTCCTGATTTGGTTAATTGTTCAATATGCTGATACCAAGGTAAGCAAAGTCCACAAGCCCGAGTCGGAAGAAGTGTAGAAACAGTAGAGTGGATCCACCGGGATCTACCCGCCGATCGCAACAATTTTCCAAGACACTCCCCTCACCAACAATTGCACCCGCGCTCAGACGATGACCTCGACGCACACCGACTCCAGCTCAGCACCGTCCGCCCCGTCCTCGCCCGCTACGATTATGACTTCCACGCAAACCGACACGGCGACCCAGCCCGCAGTCGACAACTCGCTCGACGACATCTTCGGGTCGTCGCCGCCCCGCGACGAGGTCCGACACGCAGTCCCTGAGCGTGCTCCCGAGACGGCCACTACAGCAGAGCCTTCTGATCTGCCATCGCTGCGAAGACAACATGTCACCGCGGGCTACCGGGATGGCGTGGCGACCTCCAAAGGCGAGCACGTCCAGAGCGGCTTCGACGCGGGGTTCCCGGTGGGCGCTCAGCTGGGGATGCGGGCGGGGACAGTGCTCGGGATTATGGAGGGCATTCTACGCGGGCTGGAGGAGCGCAGTGGTTATGCGGTGAAGAAACCCGAGGCGCAGGGTGTGGCGGGGTCTTCGTCTACATCGGACGGGCCAACAAGCGATGCCGCCAAGGCAGAGACCCGCCGTCAGAAGAAAGCGCAGGTTCTGAAGCTGTACCAGCTTGCTCTCAAGGATCTCGACGTGCAGTCTGTGTTTACGGGTGGCGAGGCAGGTGCCGGGGCAGGGACTCCAGCGGAGATCGTGCCGAGCGGGCAAGCAGGGGAGCGGGCAGAGACACAACTGGCGCGAAAGGGAGACGTAGCAATCTCGAAATGGGAGGGAAGGGTCGCCGTGCCCCGGTGGGAAGAGAACATGGAAGCCCTGGAGGAGAAAGAAAACCAGGGAGCAAAAACAGGAGACAAGGGCGGGACGATTGAGCAAAGCTGAAAGGTGGCGCTGTGCGGCATCAATTTTGCTGCCCCCGGCCACAGTGGTGCTTACCTGTGGCTGTGCGCAGCATCGGCTTCCCCGGGGAGGGTCTGCTTCGAAGACTGCGCAGTTCCTGCAGGGGAGCGGATCAGGGCTGCGTCGCGGATCCCACGGGGGTGCTCCGCTGGCCGTCCCGCGCTGCGCGATTGTCCCTGGCCGAAGTGAGACCCAGACACCTGGACAGCTCTGCTGCCGCTGCAAGGATGATGCAGCGGCCGGGAGACGGAAGGCCGGTCCGGGGGTCGAGACACGCAAAAGAACAGCTTTGTTTCTTTGAGACAATGAAGACGAGACGCTGTTGCCTGCGGATCACAGATCAAAACAATTGTTGCTATGGTGTGGAGTGGATGATATCTCGACGACCTTGGAAGCCTCTGAGAAGCAGCCGCCGCGACCAAATCCAAAAGACATCCGATACTCTGTTCATCGACGATGCAACCCAGCCACTCAAGTGGGTAGCTCCAGGCAGTCACTCATGGATCTATCCATCCCTCTGTCTAGCTAGTGGCCTCGACCTGTTCCCTGCAGAAGATGGATTTATGGCTCCACCGGGATCTTCGATCGATCTGAAACCCACTGCGTTGGGAGGGTTTCGGGGAAGTCAAGGCGATGCAGCCGGTGGGTCAAGTCGTCCTGCATGTTGCTGCCGGATGGAATCCCCGGCCCAGGGATTTGGGAAAGATGTGTTCTAGGCAGGGGTGCCCAGCCGTTTTCTGCAAAAGTCAATATCGGGTGTACAGGGATTCTGTCAGTTAGGTGGCTACACTCAGTGTTGATGAATCTGGATACATCTGAAGGGGTCTGTCCATAGTTATAGATGAAACTTAACATAGATCGGTATGACTTGGAACCTGTTCCTAGAGGATTCATGTAATAAAGCCAAGTTGGTGCAATGGTAGCACGCCTGCTAGGATGACACTTACCTGGGGGTAAGCCCTGCGGGGCAGGTATCCGGTCGATTCCTGGGGTGGCCAACCTTTTGCTTGTTTCCACTGTAGTAGTTTTTCTTGTATTCTTTCGTTCTTCTTTGTTAAATCTCCCCATCTTTTCTCTCTTTATGCAGAGACCTAGCTAGATTTGACGAGAAAACACGGAGTCATTAGAGAAGATAGAATAAGTTAGGCTGCGAACCAGAATTCATTTTCGATTCCCCTTACCCATGTTAATTAGTGTAAAGGCTTTTCTTGTTTTTCTACAACAACTTAGTAAATGTCTGCCGAGGTCCATCGTAAGGACATCAGTCTACTCTTGGCGAAGCAAGGGATAGAGAGAGAGAGAGCTTCTTCTGTATCGCATCCCCACACTTCCCGATGACCTGGCAAGACTTCCAAATGGGTTTAGATCAATAGTCTGTAGAGCTCAAACTGCATCACCAGAGTGAGTGAAGTACGCAAAGCCAAAAACAAAGAAAAAGGACGATTAAAACGAAGTATATCTACTACGTCCCCTTCAGACCCACACCATCGCTGTGGGTCTTGACTGTGTAGCCCAAGTGGAGACGAATCCCAAGCCCCACTCTGCTTGCACAATAAGCCCTCGATCATATAGCTCCTACTGGACATAACAGTCTAAAGTAAATAGTACCAACTCCTCCGCTGTAAGTACTTCTTCATTTGAAACCCAGCAGCCAGGATCACACTTCTGCAATGCACACTGCAACAAGGAACAAGACCGGGGAAAGCGGGTAGATGGGCGCTGATCCCTGCAGACGATCCTGAATCCGGAAGGGTGGGGTTCTGCGTGGGATAAGGTTGATGTGAAACAAAATAACAACAGAAAAGAAAAAAAGAGGAAAAAAAGGAACTTGAATCAAGTCGATTAGGGGGAGTATAGGGTCAATTCACAAAGTGGAGATAGTGTCGCTGGCGTGGTTAGGGTTAGGTTTCCTGGGTGCATCCGGTAAGACAATACACAGGGAAAAGGGGGAGACATATGGATATCACCATAGATGGGATTGACAAAGTCTATGAGGGTCGATCTCCTTGCCTGGAATTGGGGGTTGCTTTGTTGACGCCCTTGGTCTAGGTGTCGTCATATATCCAAAATCGAAGCCTATATCTTCTACGGAAGAACTGCAACGGCTAGAGAATGTTAGTTGTGGCAGTGACACTCATATGACAGCCATTATATTCATCTACAGATTGATATACTAAAAAAAAAAAAAAGGTCACTTATATGCCCCGCCTGACGAAACAATGCCATTGTAACAAGTGGTAGTCAAGAATACCTTCAACGTCACGCAGAACAGCCCAGCCCAAGTCCCCCACATTCCAAACATCTACATTTGCCTACAGTAATTACCATGACAACAGTGTAGCATGAAGATCATATTTTTAAAAGGCTTTGCATCTTTTGCATTGCTGATAATCTTGATAACGAGCATGCTTTTGTGCCGAGTGCGCCGAGTCCGAGAATTCCAAAGAAAAGGAAAATACATTTTTGGGCAGAGGGAGATCACCGTGCGCCGTGTTCCTTTATGTAATTATTGTAGGTGACACAAGACAGTAAAGGAAATGTCGTTGAAGACAGCCAAAGAAAATTGTAGTCAGGATGAAAGAATCAATCAAGAACAAGGATGGGAAAGACCGTGAGCGGAAACATCATTAGGGGACGCCAAGACATATACCAAATGGTGGTACAAAGGCAATAAGAAACATCAACATAAAGACATGACTCGGAAAGATCTGGAAGATGGGAAAGAAAATTGAAAGATGGTGGGAGCCCGAGACTGCAGACTCGGTCAAAGCCGTTGCATAGAGGCACAATTGCCTCATTGTGGCCGTGGCTGAGTGGTAGAGTTGGTTGCAAGCATGTGGAGGCATCAAGCCATCCGAAAAGTAACTCTTAAGACTTCATTAGTCGTTGGCAAGTAGTCATAGACCACTCGGTCCAGTTTGGCAGGGTGCATGAGACATCAAAAGAGCGTGGGAGTGTTCATTATCATGAAACACGTTGGGACATCAGACAGTAAGAAATCGTTTCAGTGATCGTTGGAAAAGCGGAGGCCAAACAATGGCAAATATTCATCATGGAAGCAGAACGCCGAGACCCCCGGAAGCGCCGGGTATAGAGAAAATAGAGCTTTTAAATGGGATTGGAGGTGGCCTTGGGTCGTTTGGAACAGTTCAAGGACCGGAGAGAGTCCATGACGCGGCGGAAGAAGGGCCTGGACTCGGACTCTGCTTCGACGATGGTAGCGTCGGAATGTTGCTCGTGGCAGAGTGAGGTGAGCTTTTCCTTGTGGGGGGGGTGGAGAGGGTTGTTAGAGTATTCTGGAGAATCAGAGCGCTGGCGACGTCGAGATTTGGCCTGTGCGGCAGCAGCGGTAGAGCTATCGAGGGCTTGCTCACGGAGACTGCTGTCATTGCGAGAGCTGTCATTGCGAGAGCGAGGACGGATCAATGAGGTGGTAGAGGGAGCAACGAGGCGTAGTGTCTGCAGCCCTATAGGCCGCGTACCGTCACGGGTTGTGATAGGACGGTCGAGGCTGGTGGCCCGGAAGGGGTCAAGAACAGGCTCACCGACGGCATCGTCTGGCATACAGGGGAACTTCTCCGTCGGCTGGTCATCAATCATGGCCTGGTGGAGTTTGGGCTGCGACTTGGCCGGGCGAAGCTTTGCGCGACTTCGCACCTTGCGCAGGGTGTCGATGGGTCTGCGCGAGAGGGATTTGTGACCAATCGACTCGGTGTCCGAGTCTGACTCCCACACGGACTGTTCGCAATATGCTTCCGTGGTTGACGTCGAGGGCCGCTCCACGGATGTGGCAGTCCATTGACGCGAAATAGGTGGAGAACTAGCAATAGGGCTAGGGGCAGGGCTTGCAGAGTCATTGGCAGGGATGAAGAGGGCCTGGTCAAAGTGCGTCGCATGCGGCTCCATCGTGACAGGGTTGAACAGACTCGGTGGAGAGATCATAGATGGGTCAAGAGGGGGGCGCGTGCCGGGGCTGGATTGTTTCCGACGCGAGCTGTGGCTACTTGTTCCTTGCGACAGGTTGAGGGTAGGGTGGGCCTTGCGCCGGCGCGAGGAACACGAGCTTGCAGTCTCTGTGTAGCGCATGGTGATGGTAGTAGTAGAGTCGTTGGACGGCTCCGCGACAGGAGTAGTAGGTCGCGTGTCTCCCGGGGTCGAGAGACCCGCCGGCAGCGGTGGTAGCGGGGGAAGACAGTTTTTGGGAGGTGTGGAGGGAGGCAGGTAGAAGCGACGGCGAGGTTGACCGTGTGCTTCCAGCGCGTGTTTGTATAGTTGCTGTGTCGCCTTGAGGACAGCGTCAGGGCAGGCAGGAGAGGAGTAGACCGAGGAAAAGGAGCTGCTCGGCGTCAAATCGGGGGTGGTGCTGTCTGTTTCCACCGAGCTGAAAGAGTTCTGACTGCTGTGCAGAGGTTTTTGGTCTTCGGTGGAGGAAGTATAGCGATGGAATCTCCTGCTGTTTTCCAGCTCGAGCTTTCCAAGTGTAGATCGGTCTGGGCCGGAGTAAGGCAATGAAAGCTCGTCAGGGTACGACAGATCGTTCCCGGTGGTCAAGGACAATGTATAATACTGGGTATTGTCGTGACTGAAGTTCTCATGTCGGATTTCCGGGTGGTATGAGCCCCAGGTGGGTGTGGCAGCCAGCGACTGCTCGAGGTAGAATGGATCGAGGTTGGATTCCTCGAGGACCTTTGTCCCCGCCTTGGGATAGTAGGTCGAGACTCGCTTGATAGGCGATGGCGAGGGCAGACAAATAGTCGTCTCTGATCTGTTCCGGTCTTGGTGCAATGCGTCCAAATCACCCGGACAGTACGTGTCTCCGTGAGCCATGGACTCTAATGCCAATGAAGACTTAAACACCGTGAATATAGGGACTGCAGAGATCCCGATAGCAAAAAAAAAAAAAAAAAAAAAAACAAAGAAAAAAACAAAGTCCCAGAAGATACACGACAGATAGTTGCCACCAGGACAAGAGAGAAAGAGAAGGAATGACGGGGAGAATGGGAGAGCAAGTGGACCAGGGTGAAGGGGATATGTTTATACACGCCAAAAATAACCCTAATCCACCCAGGCTTCGGGTCTGTTGGTGGCCGGGGGAAACCAGCTGCATGCCAATGCAAGTAAACAAAAGACCCAGGGGACCCATCATGACCTATCCGACCTTACATGACTCCCCTTCCGTAGGGATGTGCAGCAAGGACCCTCTCGATCGGAGCCCAGCAAGGGCGCGGGGATAGCTTCCGGCGTTTTGCCCTTCGGTATCTCTCTCTGTCCATGAGGTTTGTAACACGGGTGTCGTGTGTCGTCGCGTGTCCTACGAGAAACTAAATGACATCAATTTTGTCAATCTTCATAGATTCGTCTCATTTCCCTTCAATCCGGCTTCACTCCAATTCGGGCCGGTTGAATCGAACTCGCGGATGCCTGCATTTCATTGTGTGGACTTCTTTCTTTTCTCTCCACCCTGCACTCTGCATCGACGGACGGCACCCGCTGCATCCTACGGCTTTCGCGAAATGTGAGATATCAGCCACCCCGACCTGTGTCCATCTGGCGCGGAAGCCTTCCCGGATCAGCCACGAAGTGGACCAGCGCCGATCGTGGTGATCTGTGTGGTCATCGCCTCAAGAGTCTTCACGCCAAAAGCCACAGTTTCGGATTCCAGACGTCCATTCCCCGTAACCGCGCAACGGTGGTCACTCGAGTCGCACTTCCCGCAATGTTGTCTGGTCGCATGTCATCGCGAACTGGTCGATGGACTCGACGCGGCGTTTGCTTGTCTCGATGTTTGTTTGTTTTTGCTATGCTTCGTTTTTATTTTTATTCTGATATTTGCTTTTGATTATGTTCTATTCTTTTTCTCCCGTTTCTTTTCCCCTGAGAGATTAGCATTGTGTACAGGATCTCTCCTGTTCGTAACACCGGGTTGACTGTTCCACCATGGCGTGGATGGCTTCAGCGTTGTGCATCAATTCCGGACCACAATCGGGTGTTCGTGCCAGCCTCGATAGTTCAACCGGACCAACGAACCTAACTTTCTGTGTGCGTCAGGGGCGTGGAGGAGCCCAGGTCGGACAACCCGACTTGTACACGCTTGACAGTTGACGAGTCACAAATGCGGCCCTGTTACTCGCGTCGACTCTGCACACCTCGTCAAATAGTGTCATTGGCTGATCAATGAACCTACATTTGATTGAATCTTTAAATCGGGACGAAATCCCAAGAGGATTGGCTGTCAGCTATCAACCATTTTCGACGGCTCTCCCGTCTCTCTCTTTCGCCACCATATCTATGGATCGATTGTTTTGATCCAGCTCAACTCTTTCATTTTGAGTCAAAACACACTCGAGACATAAGCTTGGCTTCTTCAATATCCCCACATTCCAATGAAAAGTCTGTCGTGCATGCATCCGACAGCGCGGACGTCTCCGGGCCCTCCAAAGTGCATGTCCGGCTGTATATATATCTACGGGCCGCTCCCTGATGCCCCTGATCGACGGGATCCCAACACTGGATATTCTCCTGGTCCATGCATTGCTTTTTCGATCGCAACGCCGGACGTTGCTACCGCTGCAGAACCCTCGCTTCTCTTCCGGTGCTCACATTCCTCAACTGCGATGCTCAATGCTTGTAATTAGAAATTATTGTTGCTCACCTCGTCCCCGGTGTGCAAGGCAAGCTTGCAAAAAAAAAAATTGCATTGAGTTATTGGTCCTCGCAGGAAGACGTTCCTGGCGGGAGTTCCTGAAGGGGATCCCCGGTAGGGCTACTATCACCATGATCGACATTTCCTCTCCCTCCCGGCGAGAGACATCAATCGTCCATATTGATGCTAGACATATCTTGAACCTTTTTTCATCGGGGAACTCCCAAGTGATCCGCAAATGTCTCGATCCCCCATCTACTTGATTGGCCAATGGCTCACGACCCGACTCCGTGGACAAGGGACACTGAAACATCTCTCGATCACAGCGCTCCAAGCTTTCCCGGGGATCTCTGATGGCCTGCAAGGCATGCGTGAAACCTACCTCACTAATGGGATCTCGCCCCCCCTTTTCTCGATCCCCGGGCTCAAGCCGGTGCATCCGCGATGCAGCGGCTCGACTTCCCCGCGAGCCGACTACCTCAGTAAGTGCTCAAATTCTCCGAAGTGCACACTTGCCCTTGCATCTCCCGTCCGCGGCATCGGTCCAGACCTTTTTCTGCGTCTTTTGTCTATTGTCTCGCGTTGCTTTGTTTGTTTTGTTTTGGATGAGTTGCGAGGTAAGTGCGATCCGGGGTTTCGCGCCAGACTCCCTGGTGCTGTCTAATTTTTTTTCACCTGGGGCAATGCAGGGGTGTTCTCGTTTCGTGCAATCACTGTTGCTCTTGCTATTGCTCCAGGGGTTGTTCATTGTTGCTTATCCCCGTGTCTCCCGTGTGGGGTGTGGAGAAGCAGGTCGCAAGGCTATCCTTCTTCTCTACTCACTATGGTGAGCGTGATCAGTTACGGTCAGGCGGATATTGAAGAAAAAAACATTTCATGAGGGGATTGATTCAATTTAGAAGAGTAATGCCCGAAAATTGGTCATAGCGGCAGCGATAATCTATGCGATACACCGATTGCCTCAAATCTCAGGCCATCTCAGTGGAGTCAGTTCGTTCCATGAATTGCAGCCCGAACCGGCGCCGATTGAACCACTGGAACCGCTGGAACCGCTGGAACCCGATTTAAATTGTGCGTTCCTGAGATCTGAAGCACACAACGGGGTAAATCGAAATAGTATCGTGATAATGTGGTGAAGAGCAGTATCCCAGGATATACAATCCATGGACATATATATATATATATATATATATATCACTAGTTCAACCTCCTCGATGCCCAATGCAATATACCTCCGTACTGCCAACGCATCACTTCCCTCTCACAGATCTTCGATCCTTGGCGAATCCCCAACCGTGGCACCCGAACAATGAAGATCAAGCAGTCCTGGTTTCGTATGGCGGGTCGGGTTGTCGGATTGAATTATGTTTAGCAGGGTGTCTCCTGTCTCGGACGCTTTCACCATCTCCCATTTCTCTTTTCCTTGGTCTTTTTCTTTGTCTCTTCGCGATTGCTTGCTTCTCCGATTCGATCGTCTCCGGTGCGACCAAGCCTGCAGTAATTATTGAGAGGTAGTGCTTCTCTTCCCCCCGACCGGTTCCGCTGCGCCTTGACTCGATAATTGGCAGTTCGCATGCGAAAATTGATTGGATTCAGACATTCACTACTTGTTCGTGCATTTTTTTAGTGCCAGCGAAACGCAGACTCGAAGGCGATCGAAGACGACGCCCCGGAGAGAGCAGTGTGTGATCTGGGGCAACATTCCATCCGGATTTCCCCTCAGGCTTCCATTCCTCAGCGCAATTGCAAGCACGTCACTTTTTTTCCCCCTTCCTTTCTTCTTTCCAGTCAATTTTCTTCACAACCAGACTCTGCATCTGGGCGTTGGCGCTTCATGGTCCCCGAGACACGTTTGGTGTGCAGCTCCAGCTGCGGCGACCCCAGCCATCCCAATTAACCAGCCACGTCTTTGCTTTTGCTCCCAGGGACTCTCTCTCTTTTTGCTTCACTTTTCGACTTGGCCCTTGACTGCTTCTGCAATTGTACTCTATTCTCGTCTGCTTCTTCATCTGCTTCGCTGCGTTGTGATCTGTACAGCCCTCTGGTGCATCCGAACCCTGAGTGATCGACACTCCACGATCGCACAGCAGAGCTCTCGACTTCGCAGTGACGCGGCAACCTCACATTGTCTTCCAATCCTCCATTCCATCGACCCTTCTCAGCGGTGTCTCGCCACACCCCGAGAGCGTCTGACGAAGCTTACGACGTTTACGACCCAGCAACGCTTACGACCTTTGCGCGGCAGCGCCAGCAGCCGACTGTTCGCCCTTCTTCCTCTCACTCTGTCGAGTCGCAATTTCGTCCTTCCAGCGGCCTTGAATCTCATCGGCCATTGCGCCGTGCCCGTCGCCAGTCCGACGCTCGCCAATTGCTGCATCGTCGAACCGTCTCCCTCGACGTCTCGGGCATCCGTCCTCAGCCGACACCTTCAATCCCGGTCTCGGTGCACCCGGCTCCTGCGACTGGTATAGCTGCCCTACCACCGGCTCACTCCGAAGCGCAAACCGCCACCGACGGGTCCACCGTCGACGATCCATACCAACTCCTCGACACCTCGTATTGGCCGCGGAGAACCACCGGAGTCTCGTCGCGCACTGCCTCGGCTATCCTCTTTGCTCTTGAGGACGCCATCCGCCGGCCGTTCTCGTTCACCACCGACTGGTCCGAGGTGAATGCGTCTATGTCAGATATGGTAGGTGTCGCTGGTCCCGCCGGGCCGATGGGTAATGGCCGTGTTCAGAATGGCGCATCTCGCGCAGCTCCGGGTCCCGTGCCGGGGCCATCGCAGCCACCGAGTGGCGTGCGGACCCCGACGGACATCATGAGACAGCGTCGGGATCGGGAAGCGCGCCGCAAGGCCGAACAAGAAGCTCGCGACAGGGAACAGGAAGAGCTGGACCACCAGCAATTGGAGCAGGAACAGCAGGCGCAACAATATACTGCTGGCGTTGCCACCGATACCATGTCTCAGCCCAGAACCCGCATCCCCCGAGCGTCCCGCGGACCTGAGATGCAGCCGGAGACCGGCGCCGTCACTGCACCAGGCTCCGCACCTGCTTTTCGACCCACGGCTGCTCAAGCTGGTCGCAGACCGGAGTATCAGGCGGTACCGCCGACCTCTGGTGCGGGAGAAGTGCCCACCCAGCCACGGCCGGCACCAGCTTCCAATCAACCACCCCTGGATGGATCTGCACCGCAGCATGGTCGCTCGCAAAGTGCCGCAGCAGGACCCGGTGCTCACACAGGGCAGGGTGGATTCTCGAAACCTGCTCAAGCTGCTCCCGCAGCACAGCCCGGCAGCTCCCAGACCCTACAACAGCCGCGTCGCGCCACTTTCCCTCATGCATTCGAACGATGGGAGACGCTTTCTTCACATTGGGAGGGGCTCACTGGGTACTGGATCCGCAAGATGGAACAGAACAATGGGGATCTGGAACGGGACCCGCTCAGCCAGCAGCTTGCTCGACAAATCACGGACTTGTCCGCTGCAGGCGCCAACTTGTTTCACGCGGTAGTCGAATTGCAACGTCTGCGTGCCTCCTCAGAACGCAAGTTCCAACGCTGGTTCTTCGACACCCGTGCCGAGCAGGAGCGAGCCAAAGAGGTGCAGGGTGAGCTGGAGCACCAGCTCAAGGCCGAACGACAAGGCCGCGCCGACGCCTTTGCCGCCGCCCAAACCGCCGAGAAAGACAAGACCCGGGCCGAGGATCTCCTCCGGGAGATGCGTCGCGAACTCCAAATCTCCAAAGAGGAAGCGCGCCGTGCGTGGGAGGAGCTGGGCCGCCGCGAGCAGGAAGAGCGAGACCGTACCAATTCCCTGCGAAGTGGGGAGCCCACGCTTGTCGGTGGAGTGCAGGTCGTCCCTATGATCCAGGGCCTGCCCAACCGCCACGCGGCTCGTCCCCCAACCCGGGAGGGCCCGTACCCCGGTGGCCCCACCGCGACAGCCATGGGAGCGGAGCCATACCAGGGCAAGGGGCCGGACCCGAGCGGAGGGCAACAATACTACGAGCAAGACCCGCCGATGTCACCCACGGGATCAGATCCTTTCACCGAGAACACCAAACCCGCAGACCCGAATGCCCCCAAACCGCCTTACCCGGCCCAGTTCTATGAGCACGACCATCCCGCCGCCGCCGCCGCCACCGCTGCTGCTGCCTCCCCATACACCGGCGCCCCGACCTCCGAGCCCGACGACCGCTCATACGTCGGCAGCAGCGACGCTGGCGACGACGACTACGTCCACTACCCGCACGACGCCCAGGGCCACCCGTTCGCTTACCCGCCGCCGCCGCTGTCCGAGGAAAGCGACGACTATGACCCTTCGCCCGTCGACGACCGCCTCTATGTCACCAACGAAGGCGCCTACTCGGCCGCCACCTCCTCAGCCCCGATGCACGCCCCTTACCCGCCCACGACCATCGACTACAGCGGTTCCGGGTGGGGCGTCGGCACCGGGTGGGAGTCTGTCACGCCGCGTCATCGCCATCCCACCCGCCTGAGCGATGTCCTCGAGGAAGACGAGCCCAGTCGCACGAGTCCGAGTCGTGCTAGCCAGGCCAGTCGTAGCATGCACTAAGCGCGGTTGTGCTGGTGTTTGGGCCTCCAGCAGTTCAGTCAAGATTGGTCCTTGTCTACATTGCAAGGCTGTCTCTTTCTTCCCTCTGTCTTGTTCTTTCTGGATCTTTGATTCGTGGGCGAGTGCGTACATAGAAAAAAGGGGGAGGATTGTCTTTTACCCGCATCTGTAACGATCTCATCTTCTTTTCGGGGGCGGGTGTACTGCCCATTTTACTCATTTTTTTTCTTCTTCTTTTCCTCCTTCGAATGTCTGTCTACATGGCGTTTTCTATTTTCTTCTTATTTTCCCGTTCCATAAATTCCCTTTGTTGTTATGTCTGTGTTTTTAGTTTTTTCAATGATGATTATATCCCAGGCCAAAGGAATCAGTGATTAGAACGTCTGCCCCATATCGGATTATGACTTGGGGCTTTGGATGGACATTGCATACCGAAAGGGAAGGCTGTCCCTCATGTGGGGCGGGCTAGCAATTAGTGTTGGTGAACCTGGCCTTTAGGCGCTTTAGAAGCCATATCTTCATATTGGGGCATTCTACGCCTTGTTCCTCGAATTAGTGGTAAGTATAGAGCTAAATAAGTAAAGAAACAAAAAAACAAGGTGGTGGCGATTTATGATTCGAGCAAAGCCAATGTGAGAAATATATCTAGGAACCTAAAAGCTAGACAGGCAATGACCTACATCCATGGACATTTGATGGATATTTGATGGATATCCTATGTCGTATGGGGTAGGTGGGCACTCAAATCACTAAAAATAAAAGTAAAAAAGCAGATGAATCTTCCGTCGACTCTAATTAGGTCCTGCACTGTGTATATCCCCCGTCAAAGCCAAAATGCCGCCCCCCAGTCACGACTATGTAATGGTTATATTCTTTCCATGACTGAATGTCATAAAATGTAGAATTGCTCCCCCCCCCCCCTCCCGAATTGCAGAGATTTGAGACTCCATCCCACAACCCCAACCTATCCACAACCATGTACTTCAAGAACTTGACTCTGCTGGTCCCGCTCGTCACCCGGCGCCTGAACTAACATTTGCTGATTCTGAACTATAGCCAACCAGCCCACCCAGGGCTATGTGACCGGATCCCAAGACCATGCCAAACCTAGATCAATGACAGCGCAGAACTGTGAGAAATGCCTTGAAAAGAACCCAAAACCTCACTATTGCTAACACTTAAAGCAGCGGACACCCCGGCATCTTGCTACTATGACTCTACTAGGAAGGCTATGATCACAGGTACACTTAACCACATCCAAACAAGGTAAAGCTAATCCGCCTGCGGCGACGACTGAGCAGTCGAATCCACATCCTCACTAGCCTCAGGCGAATGATAAGCCCGACTAGCCCTGCGCAACTCACGCTCCAGCGCCTCCGTCAACGCACCCAGAAGCCACTCCACCTCACTCTTCTGACCCAGCAGCGGACTATTCTTATCGATCCAGCTCCAATCGCGAAACACCTGTGCTTCTCCAGAACCCTGCGTCCCGTCATCATCGCGGCCATCCGCAGACGGGGAGACAGGCGGCTTATCTCTTCCCGCGATTAGAGCCAAGTAGTACTCCCACTCCAGATAGTCGAATTCCTTGGACAGATTGCTGGTGGCGTAGTCCATCATTTTTCGCACTTCCCGGAAAAGCAGGTAGTGGTAGTGGTGGATGTTTTCGGCGGCGATGTCGCCGCGCTGGCGGGCGCTCTCTTCTTTCTTGTGTTCCTCGGCTTCGATGGTGTCGCCGTTCTGTGGTTGGGAACTGTCGCCGTTATTGTTTTCATTGTCGGGGATGTCTTGCGAGCCAGTCTTTTCGCCAGTGGTTTCTTGGAGCCATTTATCCGTCCAAGAGACATGCAGGAGATCCTTGGCTCGACCGAGGAAGGGCTGTTCTCCGGGAAGAATAGTGGCTTCGCCGATAAATATTGTAATGTCGCGGATAAATCGGATGAGAGTGTCTCCGATATTCGATATGAGAATCGTGATGGTGGGAACAGCAAGGAGGGACCAGAAAACAAAGAAGGCCTTGCCCAGGCTGCTAATAGGAAAAAAATCACCATATCCAATGGTCAAAAGCGTCGTGTAGGCAAAGTAGAGTGCCTCGAAGTATGTCCAGTGGCGGTGTTTCTCGGAGCCCCAGAAGACCGCTGCGCCGACAAGCCACAGCGCCATCCACAAGACCAGGGATGTAATCAGTGAGAGCCACTTGCGCTGTACCGTAGCAAGCTGCCGCACTTGTCGCATCATGATGAACTCGCGTTTGCGCCGCTCGCGCTCGCTGCATCCTGCTGCTTCAGGGCTATCTGTGCCCAGATGGGGCACCAGCCGACGCAAGTGTCGATGATTTGAGAATGCTTCCTTGACCAAAAAGCGACGCGTGCGGGCTGTGAGCAGGTCTTCCATTTTCTGCCTGCCATGCTCCAGCATCAACTTTCGAATCGATGAGATAATGAGACCCAGCACCACGATGCCTCCAACCGCGTATGGAAATAGTAGACCGCGGCCCAGGTGCGTGATGGGAACAATGTTCCCAATGCCGATGGTGAGCAAAGTAAAATCTGCCCAGTATAATGCATCCAGAAATCGCCAACTCTCAATCCTGGAGTATACCGCCGCCCCTCCAAGTAGATAGATGATGAAGATGATGGTGTGCAGCATCAGCGTGCGCTGGCTATTCGTAAGCTTATATTCACGACTATAGTGGCCTCGATAGGCGCCGTATACCGTCAAAACTAGCAAAGACGAGATGATGAAATAGAGGCCTGCCGCGAAGGCCGCATAGAAATACCCTTGCGTGTATAATAGGCCTGTATTCTCGGGCCTGTCCATGATGACCTTGAATGCAGCCAGAAGCCCAATCAACAGCCCCGACGAGATGTACCATCCGAGGATTATGATGGGTTGCGCAACCTCGAACCGAATCCGCCGAGCCATGTTCAGTGAAAGGACGAGATTTGAGAGAATAGCACAGCCCAGCGAGGCAGCGTTGATTCCTATGATCCTAAGCAATGCACGTATACCATGATCAATCTCAGTTTGTCTGCTTCGGAGAGTATCCATGCCTACCAGTTTGGGTCACTAACATCTTGCGCTACATCATTCCGAATCTCTATGCGCCATGACTGGACCAAGGAGCAGATATTGAAAGCGCTCGCCATAGGACCGAAAGTACCCTGGAATGAAGATGAGACTCCGGTTCATCGAAAACAACGATCACTGCGGATGATCGGCCCATACATACAGCGGTCAAGGGATATGCAGTGCTCGCCAGCCACCACCGAGCAGCTTCTGGATGCTGGGGATCAATCCGGGTTTGGTTTTCATCTTCAGTCGGTGCGGTGCCCTGATCTTCCTGACGACCCGAGGGTCGATCAAGCACCGATGCCTCTTCGGCAATGGCATCATCGAGGCCAGGGTCGTTCATGCTGGCTTTTCTCAATCCAAAACTGGATGTACTTTACCTGTTCCCCACAACTGCCACATTGGCAACATGATCGTCAGAATCGACCGAGCCATGAGTCCGCGGAGTTCTTGACGGATCAACAGTTCAACGTCATATCACGTGGCCGCCATACCATAAAAAGCACCGATTGGAAAGAGCGAGGAAATGCACTACCTGGATGATGATGATGATGATGATGATGAAGCAAAATTTATGTGAATTTGGGTCATGTATAGGCCACAGGGCTACCCAAGAAAAGACACAAGAAACAGAGAAACAGGAATAATCAAGAAAGGAAAGGAAAGAGAAAGGACAGGCGGGAATAACACAGGGTGCTTTTGTTCCCAAGAGAATGAGGCCGGTCTCTGTACAGTCACACTGACATGCTGCTGTACATTCGGGCGAAGGAAAAGTACAACTAACCGAAACAGTTTTGTTTTCGGAACACCCGGTTCATGCGGTAGTGTGCGAGACCAAGCCAGAAAGGCTTGATTAGAGGTGCAAAGAAGAAAGCCGCCAGGTAGAAACAAGACTCCCAAAACGCCGCTCCCCCGGTATGGCCCGCAGTCATCGGATCCAGGGGATAATAGAAAGTCATCCAAAAAGGTAGTCGAAGAATCGAAAAGGGGTATTGCAAAGTGCGTTAGAGCCAGTGAAATCATGTTGCTATCGGCATGACATCACTTGATAGGGAGGGTTCATTAAACTAGATCGATGTGAGCAAAAGCACTGGTATGCAGGACTCGAATCAACGCAAACTTACAGTGTGCGCCCGGCGTCAAGGCCGAGGGGACCGGGGCACCACCTGGCGATGGCCGCGGGGATGGTCGACGGGCGAACTGAGGTTCCACGTCCTCATAGTAACTGTTGGTGTTACTGGACTGTAATGGCGACATGGGCGGACGAGGCGATAGAGTACGACGGTCATCACCCGAGCTCCAGCCTGCACGAGCAGGAACATAGGACCTGAGGCGAAATCAACGTTAGCGAGAGAGACTCTGAAGCCTTTAAGATCATGTCATGACGTACTCAGTTCGGCTGTACATGCTTGAAGTCGACGGGCTGTCAAGAGGTGCGAGATGACCATCCATTGACACCGCATGCGGCTCAAGATCGGTGCCCATGGAGTCATGTCCATCGTAGCGCCGGGCCTGCGGCGTCATTTCGATCGCTTGGCCATCGGTCTCCGGCGAGACGGCCATGCCGATTGGACCTGGAGATGGATGGCGAATAGGGCTGATGGGCGAGGGGGGCTCGTAGGGATCATCGCCAGGGGGTGGCATGGGTCGACCGTAGGAGTCAAAGCTTTGATGGGGACTAGGGGCATAGCCAACCGGCGGGCCACGCGGCGGTCCGCGCATCATGCCTCCGCGGCCCCTCGGCGGCATTGGGCCCATGTATCCGCCTCGTGGACCTGGAGGAGGGCCGCGGGGACCCATGTAGGGACCTCCCCGTCCGTAACCACCGCGTGGGGGTATCCACCTCGACCACGCGGACTAAAGCCCGGCGGACCACCTCCCCGTCGCGGGCCCATACTGCCGTCAGAATACTGCGGACGCAGTCGGGGGTCGGAAGGTTGGTGCATCATGCCAGCACCGTAAGCACCTGGCGGCGGCATGGAGTTTGCTTCCTCTTGCGGCGGACGGTACGGAGTCGGGCGACGGCTGGGTGGGTGAGATTCGGGTGGTACGGGGACGTCGTTCAGAGGAGTCCGAGCATTCAGAGGAGTGCGGTCATCATCGCTGTCGCGCGTTTCAGTGCGGAATGTCGCAAAGTTGGGGCCCGACTCGGAAGTGGGGGAGCCAGACACCATAGCCTCCTTGGCTTCGTTGACGGGCGTCGCGGTCGTGGCGGCATTCTGGCGATTGTAAAAGTTCTCTCCGCTCATCTCGGCATTTTCCGCAATCCGTTGCTTCCTCGCTTTCCGGCTCACGAGAGTTCGGCGCATGGCGCATGTTACCACCCCGCAGGAGACGAGGATGATGGTCGCCGCCAGCACAATCCATCCGCCCCATTGCAAGTGCGGCACAAAGAGCAAGATGTCGACCAAAAATGCGAGAAGGGTCACGAGCAGCGTCGGCAGAAGCAGGATGAGGAGAGCCAGGAGAAAGCGCGGCGAGTGGGATGGGCTGTGAAAGTGGGCCGCGGCCGCCAGGCAGAGACAGATCAGGGTTAGGAAAGCAGCGACGGGATGGACAATTAGAATGGAGGACAGCGATTCACGGGTCCCCGAGGGGAGGTTGAAATCGTCACCGGTGCTATTTATATCATCTGCAGAGCCATCAGCCACCGGTCGCAGGCAGAAGCAAAACGGGGAGACCAACTGCTAGTGTATCCCACATGGATATTGGTACACTGGCTGCCTTTGCAGTAGCCAAACACACCATAGTCGACATCCTTGTAAGTGGCCAAGGGAATTCCCTTGATAATGGGCGTCGACAAGCAGGACACCAGGAGCAGGGCAAAGGCGACCAGGAGCAGGACGGTGAGGGGTGTCGCGGGCTTCAGCAACATGGTGAGGGGAGGGAACAGTCGCCCTTCGGAGATCTCACCAGCCGATCGGGAATTAAGAATGAATGATTTCCCTGGTAAATGCGACAGCCGCAGTCAGATGAGAAGCAGATCCGATCTAACCCAGCATTGGCAGAGACATCTCCTGAGACGAGAATTTGAAGGAAAGAGAGAGGAAAGAAAACTTCCAGAACAAAAGACAAGACACAAATGAGGGGAAGGCACTAAAAGATCGAACCAAAAAAAGACAAGAAAAAAAAAAAGAAAAAACGAGAAGGGCACTTAAGGAACGACGAGGAGCGATTACGCCGCTGGGAGGCAACGGGAAACCGTGGAAGAGGCTGTACCGTTCCTGCCTCAGGCCACAGTCAGATGATTTGTCGAGTACATCTCGTCTCTACTGATGGATCATTTCTATTATTTTTCCAAGTCTCATTCACATTCTCTCCGTCTACTTCTCTATCTTCAAATGACATAGTGGAAGGCCTGACACTGACTACTGCAACTAACACGCAGCACGGATCCCCCTCCTTCTGGCGAGCATTTGGCTGTCATTCGCCCTGCCCGTCACTTCGGGGCAAGAGATGGCAGGGGTCCCGCCAAGCCCTCTAGAATACTCGTGCGCAGCGCAGTCCTTCTGTGGATGGCGAGTTGAGTGTTCGAATCCACAGGAACAGGAACCATTCCATGTTCCCTGTTCCCAGATTGAGGGAGGCTGCCACAACTTGTCTGCCTCATGGGCCGTCCCGGGCGAGAAGACTTTGCTGCGGGTCCGCCCCCATCCGATCCATGGGCGCGCGCTTGCCACGACCCGAATTGTGACCGAAGTTTAACATCTCTTTGCTACCGGCTCTGCCTCAGAACTGGCATCTGGGGGTTTCAGGGATCTGGCTCTGGATGAAACAAGATCTGTGTTTTCAGTCACCAGTATATGACTGAGGGGATTCGCTTCAGGCCAATGTTCGAATGCTCCAGCCAAAGCACGCCTGTCATGTTATCCCGGCTCTAATCAACGGCTCGTAAGACGCATCGAGCATGTCGGAATATTTCACGTTAGCTCGAAAGCTTTGACCAAAACTGGGGCCTGGACTCCAGGCGATTGAGATCCACTAGCTCGAATGCCACGTTTTAGATGAAACAAACGGCGCTCCACTCCGATGGCCGATAAGATCGATTAGTCTCTGAATTCAAAGCCTCTTTTAGTCCCAGATAGATATGCGATACGCAACAAAGGTCATTCCTCGAATGCTCGTGACCTCCAAGACTTTCAAGTTTGGTTGAGACTAATTAAACTTATGCGGATGAATGCACTCACTGTAGTTGTCCTCGCCATGACTCGTGTGACTGTTGAACCTGTTCTAGTCGGATCAACAGATAGACCAACGAATATGCGCACAAGATACGACACAACCTACAGCGGGAATGGTTACACGGACAATTCTATTGCTGCAACGAGCATTCAACCTCGCCCTTGAGCAGGAATAGACTAGAGCTTTCGATATGCTGATCATGCGGCACCTAGCTACACCTACGCTGTGAGATGTAGGATACTTTTTCAATACGAGAGAGAGCAAAGAGCCATCTTTTCTGCAGCTGCAAGTTTCCCGAGTCAACTGTGCTCCTGGAATACAAGCGTCTCTAAATCAAGTCATACAAAGTCTGCGTAACCCGTCTTAATCAACAACAATAGATGGCCAGTTATTTATATGCAGTGCTTCACCCAAATTCTGTCCCCCGTATCGACCAATATGATGCTAGCGAACTGCAGTTGGTTTTCCGCCTTGAATCAACACTGGGAGTCACTTGGTAAGTTCCACCTTGAATCGCAAAGGCCTCGAGCAGAGACCATGATGGGGAAGAATTCACTTTGTAATTTTTCGTGAAGCACTGCAAAATATCACGCCGAGCTCAGCATGCGCAATTTCTGGCGACTGGGGATATGGCCGAAACGAAAGAGGCCCCATGACGAAGAAGGATGCGCCCTGCTACCAGAGAGAGCTACCCTTCTCCAGTCATGGGACATGGCTTTAAACAACGATGCTCATGACCATGGAGCGACTTCTAGTCCGCGGGAGCGATATGTAGGATTTGGCATTGGCGGTGCCGGAAACATGCGCAAGTCTGGCTCCCTTTTTCTTGACAGATAAATAGTGCATTTCTCTGACTTGGGGAATGTGTAGGGTTCTGTCACATAATGGACGGATAATTCATCCACTTGCGCGTTGATTGAGATTGGTATCTAGGGATTTCTGGATGCTTTTGTCTTCCTTCAGTCAATAGCTTTGTTGCATGCGTGTTTTATATCTATGGGCATTCTGCCTCATCCCCATCAAACTCAGGTAGAGATCTCGACTATAAAGGCTGCTGCTAAAGGTCTAACTGCCAGAAGGCAGACTAGCAGCTTTCGTGACCTTTCTGGAGCCAGAGGTGTGCGATGATTCTGGTCAAGTATTTCCAGTGCTAAAGATAAAGTAGATTAACAGTGGAGGGGCATGGGTCAAAGATGATTATCATGTCTCGGGTAATATGCAGGCAAATCTATTTTTCCGTAAGTTAGACATATTCTCGTCGGAACTTGGGCTCAAATTTACAATCGCAAGTCGATTTTGAAGTGCTCTCTGCTGAGGACCGAAAAGTATTCATAAACAGACTGACAGTTCTCCTGTGTCACCAGTCTAATAACAGCTTGAGCCATGGAGCCACAACTATCCCAACTTATTCAAGTAATATAATTCTGTTATAAGAGTAGAAACAAGTTATTAGTGTTTACTTTTACAGGGGTGTACCTCGGAGCATCCCAGACACCTCAACGGCTTCACTATGCAAGTCATTCCTATTTCCATGCTATCCGGATGAGTTTCCAATCCAACTGTGCACTATTCAAACAACCTGATATAGTCTGTGGTCCATAGTTTATTTCGACAATTATATTCTTGGTCTCAGTGATTTCAGGCTGTCCCAGGGATGTCGACAATCGAAGATCGAAGCATATAACAGACCAACAGGCGCCCGCTCATGAGAAACAAGGCTATTATTTAGCTTTGGGCTGGTATCTCCACGGCTCAGACAACTGTTATTTTAATCAGTACTACTTCATCTCCCAGGTCGAGTTGCACATTAGTTTCGTGTACCCCAGCCTGCAGCCTGCCATCGTCAGTGAGACATAAATGCAAACAGCAAGATCGAGTAAGGTCACTATGATTACCAGCTGTCTGATCGAAACAAAATACTTTCTTTTTTAACAACCGACCTCTTGGTTTCAGCCTTGGATATCAGCCAGGTCAACCGCCTCGTGTTTTCATGCCCTGCTCGGGCGCGAGTTAGGGCACTAGGGTTACTGCCCAGCCACGTTGGAGGCGAGCAAGGAGAGGGGAAATCACTGTACCACTGGATGTATCAGATTCTCGTGTCGATCCCGCCCTGCTGAGTGTGTCAATCTAGGAGTAATTATTGGCAAGTTTTTGTCCGATCTGAGACCTACTTGTGGGTGAAAAAGTGAAGGTTATCCATCGCGAGACAGCGAGGCTGAGACCAACCCCAGTGAATATGCGAATTGATCTCTATTTTATTCTAGTTCATTGTTTGGTTATATTGTAGACTTCCAAATAATATTGCAATTTGCACGATCTCAATTAAAAAAAAGCAAATTAGGCTCGGTCGATCAGGATCCACACCAGGCTTCAATGAGCTGGGGATCGGGCCGCGATGGGCTCGGAAGAACCAAGCTGAAGCTGTGATTCGAGGTTATTGTTTGCGATGGATCAAATAGTCTGTCTAAGCTGAACCACCTCACTGTTTCATTTCCTCCCTTATTGGTTTGTTGGTGGATGTGTGGCTGGGGATGGGAGGCTGGGAGAAGGTGGACCAGCACGGTTGACAGCCGAACAAAAGCCCGCTGGGCAGCTTTGCGACGTCTAAAAAATCCCATTGTGTCCTGCGCCATCGTCGGGAATGCTTCTGGATTAATTCGCATGATCTCGCATTCCAGCATGAACCCACCACGCAATTTCAGTCTCCGCAACGTCAACTGTAAGTACAAATGGTGCCTGGGTCTGCCTTTTCTCTGATGCAATATTGCTTCCTTGAACTCCCCCAAGAAATAAAATAAACAAAAAAAAAAAGGTTCGCGATGGCTAATTGTCATGCAGCAAGCAAACCTCAAGTCTACAGGACAGAATCACGGCAGTCTGCCGCTGCATCGGATGACTACTATTCTTTCTCGGATCGAGCATCTTCGAGTCCGGAGAGCAGGGTGACCGTCATGCGGTTCACCACTCCAGACTCTCATCCTTCCTCGCAGGCATCCTCTCCTACGGTGCCACGGACACATCAGCGCCCGATAGGCGAGGCAAGTCGCTCGCGACATCCAGCCCCAGAATCTCCACGACCTGCTACAGCCAGCACAGTCCGTTTTGGAGAGGAGAACATCGCGCGCATTAGCCCAAATTCCGAAGAGACACACTCTGATGAGACTGCTCGACGCATCCCGAGTGACTATGCGGGTCCAGCACCCACACCGGGACTGGATGACTCGCCATATGTGCGCTTCGCCATCGACCAACTCACCCGCGATGGAGCCAATCGTGCCAGCAGACAAGGCTCGCTGTCTAGCAGGGAGGATTATCCCGTTGATCGTCTGGTGTGGGATGAGGGATTGGGCTATTTCACTCGCACACGCACTCCGCTTCGACACACTGAAACGCCTCCAAGGCCCCATTATAAATCCCCATCCCCACAGGCCCTCCCTCAAAGACCTATCTCTGTGGACCCGGAGTCATTTGTGGCTGTCGATCCGCCTGAGCAGAGCTTATTATACCCTCCATTGGACTACTTGCCCCTCGCGCTGCGACCTTGGGCGCTGTCGGCAACAATATTCTGCTGTCTTCTTATGATCACCGGTGTTGTCTTCTGCAACGTTTGGTCCCAGCAACACACTGGCCTCTGGGGTTATGATCGCCAGGGCGGTGCCCGGTACTTCATCATGCAGTTTCTGCCCCAGATCCTGGCGACGCCCATCATGATCTGGAATTTTGTCGTGCAAGCGGCCGTATATCGCACAGCGCCCTTCTCTGTGATGTCAGCAGAGCGGGAAAAGGGCTTTGTCTTACAGTGTTTGCCTATCCTATCCCGGAACTTCCTCTTCCCCGACTTCTCGCACTTTTGTCATGGCGAAGCACTGTTTGGGTTTTCGCTGTTCACCATCTGGCTGTCCAACTTCTTCTCCATCCCACTGCTGAGCTGTCTCTTTCAAGCAAAATACTACGTCGTGGACGGCCAAGGCGTGTGGAAATGGGCTTCGGTGCAAGCAGTGAGCTGGGCTCTGGTGGCATCATACGGCCTCTTGACCATCGGCTTGGGGCTGCTTCTGGTTCGATTCACTTGCGGCTGGACAGGCCTGATGTGGGATCCCGTCAGTCTGGCGGATCAAATCTCCATCATCCAGCGGTCCAACATTCTGCATGACTTCGAACACTCCGAGACTGTTCCCTCTGTCCGAGAATCACTCGACCCGCGAGTTCTGCGTCTGGGCTACTGGAAACTCTCAAGCAAACCCGAGGTCTTCTATGGTATCGGCGAGGTAGACGCCCCAGTACGCACTCCATCGCTTCACCAGACTGAGAAGAGTCGAGAAAAGCAGCCCCATGGGCTCTCAAAAGTGTGCTTTGATCTCGAGCACCATGGGGCCTTTGCCAATGACCCGTTCGATCACCACCTGTACTCGCCGTTCACCCGCTACCGCTGGACGCCGTGGTTTCTGCGGTCAACATCCGTGGTCATCGCGTCCATCATCATGGTTGCATTATTCATCGCCTTTGTGGTTGTCAGCTTCGTCCACCACGCCATCGAGGGCGGCTTCCCTCCACGACTCCCGTCCCTCCCATCCAAACAGGCCTTTTCCGCTTCCAACTTCCTGTATAGCTTCATCCCCGCCCTGATCGGCAACGTGCTCTTCCTTGTCTGGCAGCCTATCGATGTCTACTTCCGCGCCTTACAGCCGTTCGTCGAGCTCTCGTCCCCGCAAGGCGCACCCGCCGAGAAGAGCATCCTCCTCTCCTACCCATCCGCCTTCCCCTTACAAGTTACTATGCAAGCCATAATCAACAAGCACTACAAAGTGGCCTGGATTTCGTTCATGGGCCTCGTGTCAGCAGCCATCCCTATCCTTGCCGGCGGCATCTTCGTCGCGCTCTTCTACCCGTCCCACGACGACGTCCGCATCTCCACCCTCATGCCGGCATTCTACGCTCTGATCGCTTTCTGTGGTCTCTATGCTGTCTCTTTTCTGGCCATCTGGCCCCGTCGTCGCCGCTATCTCCCCCACGATATCAGCACGCTCGCCGATCTGATGAGTTTCTTTTATCAGTCGCCGCTGCTGTCGGATAAGCTTCTGCGCGAGCCGCGCAGCAAGACTGATCTCGTTACCCGTCTGATTGTTGCTCCGCCTTCTGAACGCGAGCTGCCGCAGTATGGGTTCGGGATCTATGTCGGTCGCGATGGTAAGGAGCATCTTGGAATCGACCGCTTTCATCGGCCGGGGCGCTCTGATATGTTGATTACGACGGGGGGTATGAGATAATACCTACTTGCCTTCCCATCTTGATTTTTATTTTTATTTTTATTTTTATTGTGCCATGCATTATTGCGTTATGAGCGAATGATCTGATTTCTGATTTACGTCTTCTGGGTTATTACCACGGGAATGGTTCTGGGTGTTTGCATTGTCGGCGCCGTTGCAAGCTTGTACTTTTACTTTTTCATGTCTCTCGACGGGCACTGCATAGGGAAGATAGATGTTAATGATCAAAATATACTCTCATGAACTCAAATCATTAGACTGAATAGAGCCTTGGATATTACTGCCGAGGAAATGAATCCCATTGATCTATCAAAGTGAGTCACTCAATTTCGAGTATCTCTACCACAAATCTCATAAAAACACAAGAGAAGATCCAAGAAATCAAAAAGAAAGAATAATATAAGATCAATACAGCAAAGAAGCAGCAAATTCACCAAAGACTGGAAAGTACACTTCCCAAAACAATTTGTCCCAATCCAAGGATAGAACAGTCTGCTCATTTACAGCCCACCAGCCTTGCAAATCTTCTCAGCCTCATCAACACGCTTCTCATAGCGGCTGGGATAAGCAGAGCCCTGAACAGTTTGGCACAACTTGCCAACAGACATGGACTTCCAGCCATCGACGCCGGCCATCTTCTTAAAGAATTGAGCAGCAGACTTGGCAGGGTCCATGTCAGCAGCGAGATCCTTGTAGATGCTCACACGCTGCTGGAAGATGCCGACGCTGTCGTAGTCGGCGCTGACGTCGTCGTGGGGGTAGTTGAGGGAGGCGGGGACTTTGGAGTTGGCGTAGACCTTGATTTCGGACTATTTGGAGAATGCATTAGTCAAAAGAATTGAGATATGAAACCGGGAAGTGAGTGTTAGGAAGGGAGATTACCTCAACAAGAGCAGTGGTAATGCCCACCGTGCACCCACGGTGCCCCAGATCCTCCTTCTTAGCGACGCCGATGATCTCCCGGGCGTGCGAGGACTGCTTCGAAGAAAGTCCCGGCAGCTTGCCGCCGCTGCTTCCGCCATCATTGCCATCATCATCACCACCACTGCCGCCCTTGCACGTCTCAGTGACAGCATCGGTCGTGCCGGTCTTGACGTAGTAGTCGGCGACATAGCAGCCATCCGAGGTCTTGTCCCAGAGCTCATCGCCCTTGACATCGGTGCCGCTGGCCTGGCATGTCACCTTGATGTCCTCGCCCTTCTTGTAGGACTTGACCACCTCGTGGTTGGTGCCGGGCCCGGAGCGGCAGTGGACCTCGTCGCCGGTGATGGGGTAGGCGCTGACGAGGGGCGCGACGGCCGCGAAGGAGAGCGCGACGAAGGGGATGTAGACCATTATGGATAATATATAGAAGATAAAAGGGGGGTTGGATATGGATATCAGAAACAATAAGTGGTGTAGTAGAGAGCTTCGGACTGTTGGAAGGAGTTGAGTTGGATGATTGGGATGATTTCTAGATCGAGGCGATTCAACGCCCTTCTTATATATGTTCTCTTTTGACTCCTCCATGCCTCTCGTCTTCAGCATTGCCATCTCGCGAGGTCTCGTATTCGAACAATTTCCCAAACGGAGACCAAACTGACGATCGCGATGCCACTGGGTTTCTTCACCCCCATCACCAGGGTTTCTGCACGGCCCACAGCTCGTATGCACCCCAAAAAGAGTATCAACATGCGGGTGCTTTAGCAAGGCTGAGCACAGATGCATCACCTCTCGATGTGGGAGTAAAAGCTTGGCAACTCGTGTTCCTGCGTTGGAGGCTTGCGGCGTGTCCTAAAAATACCCCTGTGGCGGCAACTTAGGGCAAGCGAGCGTGCAGATCACCCGTATTCACCGAGGGACTGTCGACCTCGTTTATTCTGAATTTCTTGGTATGTATGCCGCAGCAGCCCTGCGCCATGCCTTTGCTTATTTCTTCCCGGGTAAAAGATCGATCTTAAGTTGGGGGACGAGCGCAGATTCGCTAGTCTCCGACTTGCCCTAATCCACCCTTCACCCACCCCCTCTAGAGCCAAGCATCCCGGGTCGCAAGGATGATAGGGGTTTCTCTTGGCCTCGCGGTTTAATACTTTTTTGATTCGTTCAGCCAGCTAGCCTCGCGTTCGACTGGGGCGAAGAAGAACTGCACGGCCTGCCTCTGATATTCGACTGGTCTATTGTATGCTTTATGTTGTGATGCTCTTCAACTAATATAGAGTCAAAAAAGACCTATCAATGTATGTATAAGCAATCAAATATTACAAAAGTCATAAATGGTTATCGCTGGAAGTATATCACCAGAGTTCGGTTCATTTGCTGCTGCACCCAATCCGACTGCTCTTGGGGCAGCGCAAGGTCTGAGAAGTGGAGATTCTTGAGACAAGGCAAGATCATCCACGCGCCCATCAGCGGAGCCGACTGCCGATGTGTCATAGTGACCGGGCGTGTTTCGGTGGACGGATACTGCACGAGGCCGGGTTTCATGCGTACCGATTCCATCTGGTCCCCAAGGAAGAACGGCACGGTAGCACAGATATCGTCGACGATTCGACGCGCAGCCAATGAAACTGCAGCCGCCTTGCTTCCGTCCGGGTCCTCGGACATCAGAATACGAAGGCAGCTGAGAATAATATTCTGGATGAGCAGGCGGCATTCCCGGTAGGTGTTCCAGGTAGTTGCGATCCACATGTCGGTGTAGCAGTCGCAACGGTGGCGGTATATTCCGGCATCGCGCACAGACTGGGGGATCATGCTCGCGGCGACAGGAACCCAGTATTGCGGGACTGCATATGCCCACGTCATAAGATCCGTGTCGATGTCCTTGGCTTTGTTCAGGGTTACCGCGGCTGTGTTCTCATCGGGAGGCTGAGCCATCATGGTTTCCCACGCTTGTCGCAAATTCACTAGTTCTGACGCTGCTGATGCCAGCAGCGGGCTGGGACTCGAAAGAGCCTCGGTCTGAGACAGAGGCCAGACATTAGGTGTTGGAACCATTGGGGCGGTAAGCCCTCGGGTGGTTCTGATCTGGAGCGCTTATAGTTAATATGAGACGCTCCAAAGACGGGGTTTGCAGGTAGACGTACAATTTGACCTTCGACCGCGTGGTCGATGATTGACGATAATGGTGTGGGGAGGCGTCTAGACCTTCTGCTATTGATCAAGGCAACGGCCCCCTTCAGGTGGGCTTTTAAGGGGTGCTCACAGTCCTTGACAGCGACAAATTCCTTGATACATCTCGTTAGATCGTGAATCCCCGGCATCTGCGAGAGACTTACCTCGTATGTCGAAAGTAAGAGAATCGAGATGAGGATCTCGTCCAGTTCACTATCTTCATCGCGCTGCAAGGCTTGCCGGATCTTTGGCAGTGCCTCCGTGAAGTATCGCTCGGATGCCCAAAGAAAGAGCCCTTGGCCAGTCCAGGCCGCCACGGAAAAGAAAGCAACAGCCAGGGTGGTCAGATGGAGATGCGATCCCGATTTGGTATTGGAATAAATCTGCGGCAAAATTTCCATGAAGCCTCTACGGATAAAAGGGTCTTTCGGGAGATAGAGATAAGAGTTGAAGAGTAACGGGACCACTGTGTCTTCCATCGGCTGGTAGAGATCCGCCGGCGGTAATGATGATGGGGGATAAGCAATCATAGCAGTGTGAGGGCTTGCAGGCGAGACCGCATTTGACACTTCGCTCTCTGCAGTCTGGGGATCACTGCTCGAGCCTGTCCCATTACTTCTTGCGGGCGACGAGAAACAAGAGGGCAATTTGCGGTATTGCACAAAAGACGATGTCTGGTCTCGAAGCCTCAAGTCAAACGGATGTGCATAGCCGGGACAGGAGCGGCCTGTTCGCGTACACGCCCGGCAATGAGGGCGCGTTTCATCGCACTTTCTGGATGTCAATTATGTATAATCGGACAGGTGCATCTCATCATATACCTTAATGTGTCGCTGGCGACAGGTTCGGCAACCTGTACTTGGCTTTCCACCGTAAACCATGATAGTTTGCAGCAGGCCAGCTTGGATCAGATGCTATCAGGCAGACAGATAGGGCCCAAATGGGATATCCTCAATTTGGGTGCGCTCTCTCTGAGTCTACCCATCCGGAACATGCTCCATATCCACGGTGGAATCCGCGCTGGACCACTTGCAAAGTCACAATTGCATTGATGAACAGCAAAAGCTCAACGGCGTGGCAGTGTCGATCGCGACGGGAAGATCACGTGGATCGGATCGGCGCGCATAATCTCCGCCACTACTCTTCTCTCGTCGCCGTCCCTACAACCCATCCACCTGCAAAATGCTGTCCTTCTTTGGCTGGGGCTCGAGCCCCAAGAATGGGTCGAATGGATCTCCCTCTTCAGAAGAGTCTTCTTCCAATGGCGACCAGAGCCCATCATCGCCTACCCAATTTCCGCCGCAACCCCCGCCGACACAATTAGCCAATCAACCACCCCAATCAAACCTCAACCTCAAGCTCCTTTTCGGTGGCATGACCTTCTTCGCCATATCACTCATGATAACTCGCCGCTCCCTTGCCCGAAAACGCCTTGCCAGCATCCCTCCCTTCTACACCGGCTCGATCTACCACCAACCCCAGGTCAACGGGGGTGTGGAGGCCTTCGAGGCGCTGAACCTCGCTACTATCAACGTGCTGTCGTTTGGAATGATGACAACTGGAGCAGTGCTGTATTCATTCAACATCAACGAGCTGGAGGATATGCGCAAGATTGTCAGAGGCGGGCTGGAAAGTGGCGGGTCCGGGACGAAGACGGACGAAGAGCTCGAGCGAGAGGTCTCGGAGTGGGTGGTGAGCGTTCTTGGAGACCGGTTCGAGAAGCAGCTGGAGAAAGAAAAGATGAAAAAGCAGGTGTGGGAGTCGGGGAAGACGGATGAAAATGACAAGGCGAATTAAATCGCCGAAAGAGTCATTTCCACCTCTGTAGAAGTATACTCTCTGCTCATGATACCAATTCTGTACAATATGCGCATATATACTCTGCTGCGTTCAAGCGTGTCTGATTCTCGGGTTGACCGGCTACAGCATGATGGATGAGACCATGAAACTCGATCTCAATTCACTCAATTTGGATATCGCTAATGTACACTCGTCCCAATGCGGGTAATCACCGTTCCATCTGCTCGTAGCGCTGGCGAGCGGTCTGTTTGGTCTTTTCCAAGAATTCGTCGTATCGTCCCCGGGTATTCCGTCCAGCCTCTTCGGTAGCATCGCCCAGTTTGCTTCCTTGAGCTCCAAGTCCGACTCCGGCAGCATAAACTTCCGTAGCGATTGGCGCCGTTACCCCAGTTCCTTGCGCACCCAATCCAGAACCCGCTGACCAGCCCATTTTGCTGAGGAGAGAAGCGCCCTTGGAGGTTGTTTGCACCGGCGCCTCTTCCTTTTCCTTGGGAGCCACAGGTTTCTGTCGACTGCCAGCTTTGCCATGCCCGAACGCCTTACGACGCTCTCTCGCACGGTCCCGATATTCAGCAGACGGCGGAACAATCCCGTGTTTGACGAGTTTCGCCATGCCACGGGTCCTTGAGTCCTCGTTCTGCAGATTCTCGCGATGGAGTTGACTGAGGCGCTCATGGCGGTTTACATTAGCTGTGCTCTTGAATTGCCGCATGCACAAGTAGCAGCAATTGCGGTTGAGATCAGCATATGATTGCGCCGGCGGAGCAGCTGGGTCGACAGCCGAGCCTCCCTGGTCGGGTCCAGTGTCAGCAGAGTTCCCATTTCCATCTCTTTGAATACCATGTAACTCGGCATGACGGTTGCTCCAGAATTGCAGGTGGGACGCCATAGCAGGTTTCTTGGCATTTGCGCTGGCAACGGCATCTGCTTTGCGCTTCTTAGCCTTCTCTGGATCTTTAGGAGCTTTGCTTTGGCTTTCTTGCTGGTCTCCCTTGGAATAATGCGGTTCAAGATCTTCTTCGCCTGACGATAACATGAGTTCCGTCACATAGCCCTCGTCATCCCAGTACATGAGCTTCAGTGAGGGGTTGTTTAGTGGACTGAAAGTAAAGCGGTCTGTGCTAGCCGTGGGTTTCATGACCGGCACAAACACACCCGCGTGGATGTAGCTGACCATGACTGGCCGAGAGGATATGGTGAATTTCTCAAACGACTTGAGTCGTGTGATCGCAGCTTGGGCGTCCTGGATTGAGCAGGGTCAGCGGAAGCTGGAAGCCAAAGAGCCCAAAGTCGACATACCAGTACGGTTGCAAATTCTGCGAAACCATAGCGCCAGCTTTCGTTGGTCTTGCGATCACGGACCAGCAACACGCGGCGAATGGAACCCTCTCGTGCTCCCAAATTAGCGTCACCTGTAGTGGATGCCACTTTGCCACCTTTCTTTTGATTAATGGAAGTAGTCTCGTTGCTTCCCGAATTGGGCCGGTACAGCTTCGCAACGCCTTTGGCAAAAAGCTCCTCCGTAACAGAAGAGTCCAGACCTCGGACTAAAAGGAACTGGGATGGCTGGTTCTCTGTTGCCGCATCATTATCGCCATGGTTTGCCACTTTGGGAGCAGGAACACCAGGAGGACCAGCAGAGCCTATTTCTGTTGCTTCATGAGTGAAGTTGTCAATAAATCCGATGTGACCAGAACTCACCAGGGCGAGGAGCATTGCAGCGAAAGCATTTTTGACGAGTTGCGTAATTGACAACGGCACACTGTCACAGTCAAATCAGCTCAGCCCGTTGATTATATCAAGAACCTAACAACCTACCATTCGGCAAGTCCAATCACCCTCGGCTTTCGCGCGGGTCCGATCTTCTCTTTCTCGGCTGTAAGCGATGCGCACCTTCGTGCTCCGATCATCATTGCCAGCAGTCGGGCCGTAGAAGTAAATGAATGGGTGGTTCGCTTCTAGAAATGCCCTTGACTCGTCTACGGACGGAAATCGAAGGAATCCAAGCTGCCGTGACACCTCTGTAAAGCCGGCATTAGATCGGGGATCGCGACATCTTAATGGTCGCCGGAGTGGCTCCACTCACTTGTCTGCCGATCTCGAATCACACGAATCTCTTCGAGGCCGCCAACATGATATGCGATTCTAAGTTCGGCGGAAATCTAATCATGAAGTCGGAGATGCAGGGTGAGTCTCTCGCCAACAATGCCGGGGGAAAGCCGCTCAAAGGCAAATCCATTTTTTTTGTTATAGGGGTGTCTCACGTCCTCTTCTGTCATGTCCACGGGCAACCCATCCATCATGATCTCTCTGCTCTCTTGGCCCAAACGCGACCGACTGTACCGGGGGCTGCGGCTCCGGCTGCGGTATCCCTCGCGATCGCGGTCTCTATACGTGAATCGCCCTCGTCGTGGCGATCGCGATGCTCGACGGCGGTGGTCATCGCGATCTTGGCTTTTGTAGCGTGGCCGGAAATCTCGATCCCTGGAATATTCGCGTCTGCGGTCTGCCGCCGGTCTTCGAGGTGGCGAACGAGAATGTTCTTCAATTCCCAACCCAACAAGATCAGAATTAGTTACAATTCAAAATAGAATGGAACACTTGGTCTGGCTGCGAGGCTGTCCATGGCTCGAACACCATTACCATGCGGGGAGGAGCGAGTACCGCCAGGCGAGCGTGATCGCGATCGGTCATCATACATGCGGCCGTCCCGGTCGTCACGGGGAGGGGGCCAGCGAGATGGACCGCTCGAATATCTGTTATCGTCTGGATAATGATTTGCCATAATGAATAGACATCGAGGAAATAAAAGAGAAATAGAGGACGGGAATGAAGGACGGTCCTTTCAGATGGAGCTCAGCGATATCGATAATCATCGGCAGAATTGTCGACCGCCTGCATACTCGCCAGTTGGTGCAGCTCACTTGGAAAAACCAGAATCCAAGTATTTTTCTAAGCTGCATATTCGGGGAATTCTGTCACGACTCGAGTGCCACAACAGATCACTACCTCTGGATTTTGCGCGAGCTTTCTCAACATCGATATGCATGCCCAGCTATCAACAACAGCATTGAATCGGCATCTGATAGGACTGTTCAACTAAGTCGGAACATTGATCCGCTGGCCCTCTGCGCTACCATAATCATGATCGCACGCCTACAGTGGAGACAAGCCACTTCCGAAGCCGGGTGGTCATGATTGAATGCCGCTGCTCATGCTGCAGTCAAGATGACGCCCTTTTCAAGGCACCCCCCACCCAGAGAGATTCAGGTGATCAGCAGCGCATATCAATCGCTGAGAGCTCCCCGAGGATTCTCCACTATGCCCCGCGGTGGGATGTGCTACGTGGGTACAGCATGGGCAATTGACCAGTCTTGCTCCAACTGTCCTTTAGTACTCGGCCCCGAAATATAAAGCCAGGATCTCGCCCTGGGGGCTTTTTTGTTTCTTTTCCCAGATCTGCTCGTCCGTCTTCTAGTCCAGAAACAGGCAGCTTCTATACCATGTCTCCGTCCGAAACACCCAACCACCGCGCCTGGTGGAGAGAGTCTTCCGTATACCAGATCTGGCCGGCCTCGTACAAAGATTCGAACAATGACGGTATTGGTGATATTCCCGGCATCGTCTCCAAGCTTGACTATATCAAGGACCTGGGTGTGGATATTGTCTGGCTGTGCCCGTCGTACAAGTCTCCACAGGTGGACATGGGATACGATATTTCCGATTACTACAGCATCGCCGACGAGTATGGCACGGTCGCAGATGTCGAGAAGTTGATCCAAGGGTGCCATGAGCGCGGCATGAAGCTCCTCATGGACCTGGTGGTCAACCACACTAGCGACCAGATCGAATGGTTCAAGCAGTCACGAAGCTCCAAGGACAACGAGTACCGGAACTGGTATGTCTGGAGGCCGGCCAAGTATGATGAGAAGGGCAATCGCCATCCCCCCAACAACTGGATCTCTCATTTCCAGGGTATGTCAAACTCCATGCGGGATGCGAGCAATAAACTCATACCTATACTCTGAACTATGTTAGGAAGCGCCTGGCAGTATGATGAACTCACAGATGAATACTATCTCCATCTGTATGCAACAGAGCAGCCCGATCTCAACTGGGAATACCCGCCGGTTCGCAAGGCCGTCCACGACATCATGCGATTCTGGCTCGACAAGGGCTGCGACGGGTTCCGCATGGACGTGATCAATTTCATCAGCAAGGACCAGGCGTTCCCCGATGCCCCGGTCAAGGACCCGCGTAGCATTTGGCAGTGGGCCGACAAGTACTACGCCAACGGACCACGGCTGCACGAGTACCTACAGGATCTGGGTAAGATTCTGAAAGAGTACGACGCGTTCAGCGTGGGCGAGATGCCCTTCGTCAAGGACGAAAAAGAGGTGCTCCGTGCGGTGCAATTTGACCGCAACGAGATTAACATGATCTTCAACTTCGAGCATGTGGACATCGACCACGGCAAGTATGACAAGTTCGAGCCCGGCAGCTGGAAGCTCACCGACCTCAAGGATTTCTTTGAGCGTTGGCAGACCTTCATGTACGCCAACGACGGCTGGAACGCACTTTACTGGGAGAACCACGACCAGCCTCGTTCGATTGACCGCTACACCAATGCCCGCGAGGAGTACCGTCGGGCTTCTTCCAAGATGCTTGCCACTGCCTTGGCGCTGCAGGCCGGCACTCCCTTCGTGTATCAGGGCCAAGAGCTGGGAATGCGAAACGTGCCCCCGGGGTGGGGTATCGAGGAGTACAAGGACATTGACTGCCTGAACCATTGGTACGGGTATGTTTATTGTTCCACCTTCTGAAAAATTGATCTTTCCTTTGGCTAATCATCTCTTGCAGAATGCTGAAGCAGAAGCACTTTGACACGAAAGCCCAAACCATCGCGCGTCAGGAGTACCAGAAGAAATCGCGCGACAACGCCCGCACGCCAGTTCAATGGTCCGACGCCGAGAACGCGGGATTCACCGGGCCCGGTGTCAAGCCGTGGATGTCTATCAACACGGACTATGTGCGCGTCAACGCTGAGGCCGAGGTCAAGGACCCGGACTCCACCTACCACTACTGGGCCGCTGTTCTCGGGCTGCGGAAGAAGTACCTTGACGTCTTTGTCTATGGCGACTGGAAGCTTATCGACAAGCCGAACCAGGAGGTTTTTGCGTACACGCGCCAGTATGAGAAACAGAAGGCGCTGGTGGTGTGCAGCTTCACCGAGAATACGGTGGAATGGGATGCGGCCAGCAATGGGATTGGCGAGGTGAAGGAGGTGTTGTTGAACACTTACGAGGGCACCAAGGAGGCTGCGTCGCGCTTCTCGGGCAGCAAGTGGTCGCTGCGGCCGTACGAGGCCGTGGTGCTGTTTGTCTAGATCTCATCTAGAAGACCCAAGTAGCACGATAACCAATCTGATATATATATTGTCGTAACTAGGCTACTGCAAAATTCCCAACTAAATATAACAACTAAGCTGGCGGCGGGCGATCCGGGGCATCCCCGCGGGTAAGTCGCGCGGCTCTGGTCACCGAAGACACCTTGATCTCCGCGCCAACCTCCCCCACCACTCACTCCATCTCGGTCTCTTTCATAGAAAGGGCACAACAGCGCAACACACCCGATGCGCCCACGATGACCACCCAAGAAGCCGCGCCTCTCCCCGCGCACCTCGACCCAACCACCTACCCCCGCACGCAACACAACGCCGAGCAGAACATCCACCTAACCCTCACCTACACGCCCCTAGACCCAACCATCTCCCTCTCGCAAACCGCCTCCCCCGCCGCAGGCGCCAACGTCCTCTTCCTCGGCACAACGCGCGACACCTTCGACGGCCGCGCCGTGTCGCAGCTCAGCTACACAGCATACCCGCCGCTGGCGTTCAAGACCCTAGCGGGCATTGCGGAGGCGGCTGTCGCGACACACCAGCTGCTCGGGGTCAGTATTGCGCACCGGTTGGGCACGGTGCCGATCGGGGAGGCGTCGATTACGATTGCGGTGAGTGCGGGCCATCGCGCGGCGGCGTGGAGGGCTGGCGAGGAGGTGCTGGAGGCTTGTAAGGCTAAGGCGGAGATTTGGAAGCGGGAGGAGTTTGTTGATGGGGGGATGGAGTGGAGAGCCAATGCTGATCGTGATTCTGAGGGGAATCTGGTCAAGAAGGAGGGTTCTTAGGGCGGGTTGCAAAGTGTCGGATGAGGATGGATCCATGAAGATTGGGAATTCTCTGCATTATTTTTGGGGTTGGTCTTCTTCCCTTGTCTTGAAAAGTAGCTCTGACGTCGGCCTAGATCTCTATGAGACAATACCCTGGTCCAGGACACCCATACGATCTGTCCTTGAGAAAGGCCTCGGGTCTACAAACTCGACGGGTGCTTCCAAAGCACTGTTGTATACACATCTTAATATGGATTGTAACGGCCAGGTCTATTGGATCTATCGTAAATGGCCTCCAAGCATCGCAATTGATACTCATCTCGGGCGTATCCCTGGCTCCAATCATCGCCCGACATATACCATGCTGTGGTCCATTCCATGAAAGATTAGCTCTATTCGATGCACCTCTCCTATGACAGGCAGCTGATTTCTCACTTACCCAATATCAAAAGAGTGAGGTTCTCAACGTTGTTGTCCACCTTGTCCGGATATTTTCTGAGTAGCGCAGTTGCACCTTTGTAAGCATAGGCCAGCCCGTTAATGCCTCCAGGGAGTCCGCGGTCCTTATCTGCAAGAGGAATAACCAAGTTAGTATAGTTATTTCCTTCCTCATGATACTCAAGAGTCCGACTTACAGTGACAGACGAGATGAACCAGCTCATGGTAAAGAGAGTAGGAAAGGAAGTCATCCCAATAATTCAGGAGACGGCGTTCTGGATCTTGGCTCCAGTCTTGTTTCCGTTGTTCGTCGATAGTCAACTTGTTCGACCTAAACGCCCCCTGGCAAACCATGATATAGGTGTAACGAACGGTGATGGCTGCTGTCCGCCCACCATACGCTTCACAAGCCTTGTCATCCTTCTTCCACCAGCCGTCTTCCCCCGCTCTCTCCAGGATTTTATCTGCGGTAGTTAGCTATGCCGGTACCCAAGAAAGATCCACAACATGGGAGACATACCATAGTATTGAAACCCTACCACTTTGGGTTTCCTCTTCTCATTCAAGTTTTGGACCATCCTCCCACTCCTGAGGATATACCATTTCTGCAGATGAGCATCTCCGCAAACAATTTTGGTGTCTTTCGTCTTATAATCGGTAAGGAAATCCTCGACTTCTTTCACCCTGGCTGAAATACCACCGATTTCAGTTAGACATAGTAATAAAAAGACCAAGGTAGTCAAGAAACTTACTATACACAGTCCTCCAACGCGGTTCAGAACTTGTCCGAAGACCGGTACTCCCCTGAAAAGCACGAAAAGCCAGCTTGGCTCTCTTCTGGTCAAACCAGCTGCCCTTGGAGTATGTAGTATCTTGCATCAATTTAGTGGAGACCGTATTCATTTTGACAATCTCGTCAATAGCACTCTGAAGCTTGCTGACGGCATTTTCGACGTCGCCGAATTCCTCTATTTTCTCTGTTGTGGAATCCCACTGTCGTAAATTGGCGCAAGACGATTCATCGATGAGGTGAGCCTCCGTCCCAGGCGTCCAGATAACAAGCAGAATGGCCAGAAGACAAGTGATCCGCTGTATACAGCCTAGGGCTGTCATATTGTCGTGTCATCTGTTAGAAGCAAAGCTGGCGAAGTTGCAGGGGGAGCGGGCGTATATATGCGCCTTTTCTCTGGAAGTTAACATGGTGAAGCACCACAACAACCTTGAAAGGATCCACTGTTGTATCATATTGTATCATACTGTACATCGAGGATTCTTCGGGGCTGGGGCCCATCAGGTCTAGATAGGGGCCAGGGAAGGGGCCAAAGCTGTGTGAAGTGTATGTCCCAATTTAGCTTCCTTCGGCCCCCGAAATCCCCTGGCACCGCCATTGTTCCTCTTCCCATGTCCAACGGCACTGCATGAGAGATGTTCTTTTTAGTTAAACAGTCAAGACACTTCTTAACGTCTTCGTCTGATTCTCTAGACTTTGCACTGTTATAGGATCGATTTACTTGTTCCAGGTCTTTGTGGATTATGAATGATTCCCTCGGGGGCCAGCAGGAATAATTTCTCCTTAAAGGATCCCATTACGTCGATTGGTAATATTAATACCCCGTAGACTGTAGAGCGACGCCGATTTTTCTATATGTATATGTATATTTTTCTGTTTTCTTTGCTTGAGTGGTGACTGTGCCGGGATTTAAAGTCAACAACAGATAGTCGAGTCGTAGGTCTATAAGACTAAGTTCTTGAAGGGAGACAAGAATGTGTACAGCTATTGCGGTGCAGATGGTGGGCTATTATTTCCACATTTGAGAAAGCTGAGATAAATTAATAGTATACATGGATTCTATGTATGTACATACATACACCTGTCACGACACATTTACTCCGTCTTCAGCGGCTTGCCCTCCCGCTTCCAATCATTGATATGCTCCAGGATCACCTTGGATGCGGACTCGGGGGTATCTTGCCGGCCAATGCATTCGACAAAGTCATTATCGGGGTCTAATAAATTGTCAGCATACTGAAACCACCCAATGGAGATTTCTCACAAGGCTTCTTACCCATCAGGTAAAAGTAAATACTGTGATCCACCAGATAGTCTTCGCCAGGCTTCACATCTCGGGGCGTACTAAAGTACACGCGGTACTGACGGCAGACGTTTTTGACTTGGTCATAGGTGCCGGTCAGGCCGACGATGCCCGGGTGGAATTCCTGCAGGTATGCGCGCAGCACCGCGGGCGTATCACGAGCGGGATCGCAGGTGATGAAAACTGGCATGAAGATTTTGTCGTCCTTGGTGGTTTCCTTGACTTTCTCGATGATGGCGGCCATCTTGTCCAGCTCGTCGGGGCAAATATCCGGGCAATGAGTGAAGCCGAAGTAGACCTGCACCGGAACAGAAATGAAGATCATTAGCAACATCCTCGATTATACGTCTTCATTTTGTTCTCAGATTTCAACTCACAAAGCTGTATTTCCCCTTCAGATCCTCCGCCGTAAACTCCTTCCCATCCAGGTCCTTCAACACAAACGGCCCACCGACCTTAGGCCGCCCGACACCCTTGCTCATCTCCGCAATGCGCTTCCGCTCCAAACGCGCCTTTTCCACCCGGAAGTAAAGCATCATGCCCGCGCCCGTGAGCACGAACAGAAGCGCCGCCTTCCACGAGAATGGGCCCGTCGAGTTGCGCTGGCGCAGCTGGCCCATTGTCTTGGCGCGTGACCGGAATGCAGTCGTCGAGAAGCTGCTTCGGCTAGCGGCCATGCTCTGTCCACATTGCGGTCTTTGTGCTTGGGTGTAGGCGCGGCAATGGGACGGGGTGGTGTTTCGGAGGAGAGGGAGGATGCGCTGCGATGAGGGGTTCTCGAAGGCGGATAGGTGGCGGGCGACTCGGCCAAAGAGGTTGGAAGCCATTCCCATGGTAGCTGGCATTTTTTTTTCTTCGCTGTCCCGAGCTTGTGACAGTGGAGAGCGAGAAGCGACAAACTGAAGCCGGTGGATGATGAAATGAGAATCTCCGGATCGGCGCTCAATTAGGACTAGCGTGTTTCTGCCTCAGGAATCTCGCTCGATCTATATTTCGGCCTGTCAAGATTCTTCTCGAGATGAACAAATGGTATAATGATATATTTTTTGCAATGTCTAAGGCATATGAACTATTCTTACACTGGTATGGGTATTCTTCCAGCCTTGATGAAAGAGTAACTGTGCTGGAGAGTCAACCCGCTTCGTCTAGCAATGTCCAAGGGTCCAGCAAAATCCAAGCTAGGGAGGTGAGAGTAGTGCCAAGGGTCACTGGGTGAAGATAACACCTGCGGATGAGCTGATTTGGTTATTCAATCGCGCAAGCCGAGGCTTGAATCTAAAAGAATATTGCTCCCGGTAAGCTTTGGGCCCCAAAGACGTTGGAATGGAAACACGCTTCCTCTCGAATAAGGCAGCAAATAGCGGCCAAATCTCCTGGCTAATGGCAGCCGGGGCTTGGGCCGAAACTCCAGACGGAGAGTTCCAAGGCTGCGTATGGTTCTGCCTTCCCCCATTATCTCGTACGGTACAGTAAGTATGCGTGATCCGGCCACTTGCAGTTCCAACATGTGCCGCCAGAGAAGCTTGAGAGAATTCTGGTTGAGGTATATAGTGTCGGACTATCGGGTTCGCATTTCGTCAAAGGCAGCTAAGCCTATCGTAGAGAGCGGCCAGTCGTCATAGAGCACGCAGAGCCATTCGGGTCAACCACGGGGTCTGTTGTATAATTTGCAATGCCGAACATGAAGGAGCCTTTTGCCCTCATATCGAAGCATTTTATTTCTTGTACTCACACCGCATTTGGCTCTCATTTGTACCCATTGCCTGCAGCTGAATTCCAAGAGTGATTCAGGTATATAGTGAGGGTAGTGAAAGTAGAGATCCTTTGTCCGTTGAGATTGTCCTCTTTGAGTTTCTCCTTTGACAACCTCAGAAGGCCTGATATAACAACTCTCAAGGTACTCCGTGGTCTGTTCCATCAACTTGATATGGGCTGTAACGCGGACCGGGCCTTGCAAGTGTGCTTGGTGACATGTTTCACCGTCGCTACGCCGCGACAGACTTGGACATCGATGTGGCAGCTGTACAATATTTTTGTTGATGAATGTTCAGAGGATAAATATATAATATCTGTCGAAAAGCAGATGCTCAGGCCCAGACTCCATGGCTGTGTTGGAGGACATCATGGCCCTTGAAGGAATGAAGGTGATGGTAAGGAAGAAGATGAGTCTGGGGACAATCATTGCTATTAAATAGCTGGACCCAGCATCTTCCAAGTCGTTTTCCTGGTGACGTCAACCCGTTCACGCGTGGAGAAAGCAAAGAAGATGGCCACCTTGTTTATGAGGCTCCCTTCCAAATTAGGAAACTGCTTGCTCCTTTACATTTAAGGGAACTATCTCCCATCGCTCAACCAGGAGCTGTTGGTCTAGTTTCTAGATTGGGATATCTCTTGAGGCACACTTTAAGGTCTCTGGCTCTCTGGCTCCTCCTCTTTTCTTTCCTTCTATCTTCTTTTCCTTTGTCTAAGGTTGTATCGCGTCTATTTATGGCGTCAAATAGCAGCACATCGTTCAAACGCAGATTTTGGTCCATAGAAGCATTGATATTTCCATTGAAGAACACACCAGAATTGTGAATGGTTGTTTTGCATATGAAAAGGCAGAACTGAAGATGATCATGACATGCAGGAAATAGCAAGTAGCAACCAGCCGTCAACAGCAAAAGAAAGAGTCAAATGCTTGGTATGTACAGGACAATGAGTAGAGACATTCAACACTCAAGCGTCTATAAGATCCTTCCGGTCGTAAAAAAGGAGAAGAATAAAAAAGGGTAGAGAGAGGAGAGAGAAAGAGGAGAGCACCGATCTAGCATGCCAGCCCTCGAGAAGAAAAGTAGTCGTCCAGCGCAGACTCAACAGAATCCCCCTCAAAAATGCCAGCAATATAGTGATCAGGCCGGAGCAGATAGACCACATCCTTTTTCAATCCTGCTTTTGCGTGCTGCTCATCCCAGTCGAAGACAAAGAGCTTGACATTCCTTCTCAGGCACCATTCCCCAAGGCCCGGCTGCTGGTCACCATAGACATGAAGCTGCCAGCATATGTCGGACAAAGTTGAAAAGTTGTCATCTTGTTGAGTCTTGGCCCATGGGAGACGATCTCCGGGATGTACTGCCGCTGTGCATTCGGCTGCCTGGCTGAGACCACTACCCCGATAGGTGCAGATGAGCTGGGATCCGGCACGAAACATCTCTGTCCTTGTATGGCTAAACCAAGTGACAACCGGTGCAAGATATGGAATAATCCAGGTCCGCAAAATATGCGGGAAAATGCCCTTTGCAGTAAACGTCGTGAAGCCCGTGTCCGTCGACGAAACAATTTTCATTGCGAAGGCACGCCGTTCTGTTTCGTAGGACTCCAGTAGTTGGCTTTTGGCGTCCTCGGTCATTTCGGTTTGTTTTATTACGGTGGCAAGCTTCCATGCCAGGTTGATGGCATCCATTATACCGGTGTTCATGCCCTGACCGCCCACAGGACTGTGGATATGAGCAGCGTCTCCGACAATAAATGCGCGGTTATCTCTGAATTTCTCGGCCACTCTGTGATGGCTCCGATATGTCGAAAACCAATTCAGTTTTTCGATTTTGATGTTTAAGGCCTTCTTGACCTGTGGCAGGATGTCGTCAAAAGTAATCTGCGGATGGTGCTCTGACAGGGTATGATCGGGGTCATAAGTGGCATTATCATCGGCCAGGGTAACCCCAACGAGCCGGGCGTGTCTTCTTTGGGCATATGGAATGACCAGGTAGAAACTTTCATTGGTGAGAGTGACATGGGCTTCGCCGTTGAAGAACGGGCTGTCACCATCCCCTTCGATGTCGGCGATGTAAAAAAACGGTTTATAGGCATCTCCCTCGTACTTTGTGCCGATTCCATGACGCACGGCCGAATGAGCCCCATCACATCCCACGATGTATGCGGCGTTGTAGGTCATCTCGCTTTCATCGGTATCGCAGAGAAGAGTAGCCGTGATATTCGATCCGTGGTCCACAAAATTCAGCAGCCGCGTGCGTCGTTCTACAGTCACTCCGAGAGCCTTCAGTCGTCTTTCCAGCAGTCGCTCATGTTCATCTTGTGGTAATGTCAACATGAACGGGTATGGTGTCAACTTCTGGCCGAATTCCTGCAGAGGGATATGCGCCCGGTGGTGACCACCGACCCAGATATTGGTCGCCGGAAGCTGGTGACCGACTGCCAATAGATCATCTGTCAGGCCGAGTTGCTGATATAGTTCGACGATGCGCGCATGGACGACAAGGGCCCGCGAGTTTTTCGCAGCCGCTTCTGCTTGGTCAACAATGTGGACATTGATACCTTGTCGGTGGAGCCAAAGAGCAAGGACGAGACCAGTCGGTCCTGCGCCGATGATCAGGACGTCTGTCTCAGGCATTTCTGAGTGTAAATGCTGAATTCAACGCTGGGAGCAGTGTATAGAAGATGGGGGAATAGATCGCAAAACAGTTGTAAACCAAACATTCCAAAAAACACATCCCATGGAGTCAAAGCAGCCTTTTATATAAAATACCCCAACTGTTTGACAATCATGACTATTTCCAGCGGTTAGCCGGCTCGCCTGACGATCACACGATCGTGGTCGTGTTCAAGCCAAGCACCGACCCCGACCACGCCGCAAGTCGGAGCTTCACCCGCCGATCGGCATGATATCTTCCATGAGACCGACACTTATACCTCCTTGGTATCTCGGGGAGTTTCTTTCTGGGCTTTTCTTTCCGTTTGAGGTTTCACTGCTGGCTGTATTCTGCCTAAATCAAATTGATGCTGGGCGCCTAGCCCTAATCAGGCTCCAATTTTGCACATTAAGCTGATAGCATCAAAGCATCAACACCTTGGATGCTTAGATACATCAAAAACCTTCCTGCTCCCAAATCTGAGGCAGGATCCCTCTTGCATATTCGAGCGACAGGCGATGGACCTTCTTCGATAGGTCTATCTCGTCCACCATACCTTGGATGAAATAGCGGTTCAGACCCCCAATACTCAAGGAGAATTTGATTGCCGCCTCGGCTTCTTGTGTCAGGGTTGGAGGAGTGCTGTCCCAGAAAGACTTCCAAAATGCGTTCGCCAGCACGGGCATTTCATGGTAGAATGACCACTTGCCTGCCTCCATGCTCCCAAAGAAACATTCATATAATCCCCAAATGCACATTCCAAATGCCTCGATCCCAGCCTCGTCAAAGTCTCTCTCGTTCCAACGGGAATTTCTCCGAAAATGGCTGAAGCAAGTGCACTTGTCCCGAGATCACCTTGGAGCTGTAGACTGGCAATGAAAATCCACCGTGGAAGTTGACCTTGGGCACTAGGTCACCATAGATCTTGTTGGCAAGTGCTAGGACGTTGGTTTTCAGTGGTTTGAGTCGGAACTGAATGATTGTACTTGGGGTTTGTAGAGTAAAGCTGTTGGAGCCTTGGTTATTGACAGCGACGGACCTCTTACTAGTGGGTGGCAATGGTTCTGTCAAGAATGTTATCATCGTCGAATGGAAAAAGTTGCAAGGAGCAGTCTCGGGGACTGTTCAACTCTGGGTGAGAGATCGGAACGGCATGCCCAAACCAGAACAAGGTGAGGTAAGTCATGAACTTTCAATCATATTCCAAATCCTCAAACTAACCATGCTGTTCTCCCACGTTTGCTCTAGTAGCTCATACAGTTCACCTCTTTCCCCTCACAGCTGTCATCAACATGCGAGCATGTAACCTCTTTGGCTCTTTACGAGCTCGGTTTCAGCACATCCATGGACTTGGATCCCAATCTGTGAGAGCTAGGACAGAATGCCCTCGTTCGCCAATTAGACACTCCAACTCTGACCTGTTCGGGTATACTTCTGGTAGATGGGTGTACGTCCTTGCTTTAAGCGGGTATCTCTTATTGAAGCTGACGAGTAATAGTTATAACGAAAACCCACGGCTGTCTGAACGCTACCTGAAGTTCGATGTATCTGCCCTCAAGAATGCCATTGCTGTCGCGTCTGGGCGGGCATCAGCCGACATCATTGAATTTTCAAATTGACGGAAGCTTGATTCAACAGAATCTTCCAGGCGGATTTTAACGATGGGACATCTATTATTGCAAGACTGCCTTACCCGTCTACAGCGCCTGAGCATTACACTGTGGCTAGTGAGGTAGCCACTCTGGACCATCTTCGACTACATGGATTTTGCACTCCCGACATTTACGCCTGGTGCTCGACAAGGACAAACCCAGTTGGCGCCGAGTACATTATCATGGAAAAATCGGATGGCACCCCCCTTGGCGATATATGGTATTCGATGACACCAAAAGAGCAACACAAGGTTATGAAACAAATTGTTGAGTGGGAGACACGACTGATGTCCTTGAATTTTAAATGGCACATGAAATGAAAGCGAAAATGCTCAACGCGGCTCAGACTCCTCATGAAGTGACTGCGGTTCAAGACCATTTCCCCTTTGATGACTTTGATGAAAATACCTGAACCATAAATATTCGATTCCTACAAAACAGCAATCATTTACCGAACAGATGAAATATGAACGCCGCCCGTTAGAAAGAGTTTATGACAAAGACCCTATCATCAGTGTCGCATCATCCATAACCGATTCTTGAAACTGGTTGAGGAGGTTATCCCAATTATCCCAATCCATCGGACTCTCCCCAAAAAAGAAAAGGTTCTCAGCTTCGGCGCCCATGTGTGAACTTGGGAGGTCATGGCTGGGCTGGCCTTGCAAAGCAGCACCGGGCTCAACAGAACTGACCATTTCCTCGGCTGATTGAGATTCGGAGACATCTTTGGCACTGCCGATAAGGGTGGTCACAATGGTCGGACAGGGAGTCGGGGTACGTTGGTGGAGGTTACACTCCTCGATATAGGCCTTCCAAGCCTTGACCATCAAGTTCTGAATGGCCATGTGAAGAGGTGATTGCGCATTCTTGCCCAGTTGTCGGAGGTGTCGGGGGTATATGCTGCCGATGAGTTGCCAGACCTGGCCCTTCTCCTGTGGGTCATTCCGATGCCGCATTTCAGACAGCATGAAAATGATGGCATCCCACGGCATGTGGTTCACCATGTGCCACGAGAACCCTTGCACAGCAGGACTATTTTGAGCGTAGTCGGCAAACTCGGTCATTTTCAAGCAATTCTCAAAAATGATGCCCTTCTCGGCTTCGGGGACACGGTCGTTCGGTTCCCGATATTGCCGAGGGTGATGTGCCATCAGTCTTGTGTAATAAATGGCTGACCGTACCATGATCGTTGTCATCAGGTGAAGTGGGATCGACCGATCACAGTGCCGGAGAACATTCTGCTCCATTTCCTCCTCGAGCTGATCAATAGCTTGATCCTTTTCAGCCAGAGATATAGAAGAAGAGGACAAAAGTGCCCATGGTCCATTATAACCGCCTGCATCCTTTGACCAGTGACGAAGCCATTTTCCAAACCTACTCCGAGCCAAGCAAAAAATCATTTCTGTTGGGCCTGGGTTCTCGTGAGGGGGTTCTGTCATGCGTGGGTCGAGGTCGCTGTCATTGATGTTGATAGGAGGTTTGACATCATTTGTAGCCAGCGGCATGGCTGAAGCAACCCCACAAAGTTGTGCAGAGGTGACATCAAGAACCAAAAGTTGAAACCAAATGCGACGGCGCATCTCGGTCTCAAATACTGAAAGACCATACCCAGAACCATCTCGGTGAAGACCAATGCGTTGCGCAATCCGGATAGCAACGCCACATAAAGACCAAACCGTGTGTGGATCAGAGAATGCACGCATGGAAAGCTATCGAAAAGTTGTTAGTAGAAGAGAAGAGAACGTGTCAATAGGAGTGTAGGCGCACCAAGTACAGCATGAATGCCTGGAGAACCATCAATCTGGATGTACGGAGAATAGATGCATTCCTAAAGGCCAGTTGGGCGCCTCGTCGGCATCTGGACAGAAGAGCCCTCTTGCCTTCCCCAAATGCTTTCTCAACGTCATCTGCTTGCATGGAAACCAATGCGATGCAGTATATTGAGAACATTAATGCCTCGAGTTCTCTTGATATGGTTGGCAGATTTCCCATTGCCTCCAAAATCCGCTGCTGTAGACTCGGAGCATGTACAATTTTAGTAAGAGGGTTGACATTCTCGAGGAATGTCTGCCACAGTTTGAAGATATGCAGTGGATTCGGATGTAGTTCTGCGAGGCCTTTTCGACTTCCGGGGCCCATTAGCACTGTAAATTCATCGCGAATTTCTTCGACATGGTTGTCTGTGCCACTATCTGACACATCGTCCAAGACATCGGCAGCATTCGGGAGCTACAAAATCCTTAGCAGCGTAAAGGGTAACCAAGTAAGGATCCACGATGCCACGAACCTCATGGCTAACACTTGTCCAAAGATTGCTATTTTTCATTTATCAGTCCATGCTTTGAAAATAAACGGAGCGAGCGAGGTAACCAACTTATCGAGATAAACCGTGTTGCCTTCTTTCATGATCATCCTTCCGGATCCATTCTTCTCTGCGTCGGGTCGAACTCCTCCCACCCTGACAGTTGGGATTTGAGATTGAGAAGAATATCTTTCTGCATCTTCATGTGACAAAGGTTGTGCGCTTGTTCGCCGAAGCGACTTTTCGCGTTCTTGAAATACACTGCCATTCGTGTCTCGCTCCCTTTTGCGACGACGCGGCGGTGGCGGCGCCTGGTAGACGCACTCCACATTGGCCTTTGCACAATTTGAACATGGGCTCTGTCGGTCACATTTGACTTTTCGTCTGTGGCAAACCACACATGAATATGGCTTGGATAGCCTGGATGGTGAGTCTACTGCACTGTGGCTCGAATCCGCCGGGAGATCATTGGGGTCTGACATTGCTACCGTAGACGCAAGGACAATACCTTTCATTGAGAACAAGAGGATCGAGCATGTCCGTTGGTGGAAATAATGTGAAGCTCCCAAGGTCAAGACAATAATCAACGATTCGTCGTAGTGAGGAAGGGGCGGCTCTCAGGCTGGAATATGAGGCCTTGGTGTTCAGGTGTTCAGGTATCAAGGCACCAATCCATCCAACCTTCTTTTCGATCGACGCGGGTTCTGTCTCATCCCGAACGATGCCGCCACTCCGAAGACTGGCCCAAAAGCGCAAGGCGTCCATCTGACTTGCACCATACACTTGTCTATGCCAGCCTCCATCTTACCTTGTGACTGCGCCTCAAGCTGGCTATGGTCAGATAAGCAGTTTCCCCACTACCATGGATCACCGACTGTCAACGTGGGCAGCCAGGAAAATTCAACAAGGGTCCTTTGACTTACATGAGCCATGACACCTCTTCTCAGTCGATTTCGGGCAGCAGTCTCGCGAAAAGGGAAACGAGGGTCAGTGTCGTTTGGCTCCAAGGAGTCTGCCTGGAAGCGACTACCATCCGACGTGTTTGTTGTCATCGTGGCATTCTGCGAGCTAGAGGATATCAAATCACTGGCTCTAACATGTCGCCTGCTCCACTATTTGGTTTTCAAAAATGAATTTGCCATCTCGCGAGCGTACATCGAACGTCGCAAGCAAAGGCCGGGCCTGGAGGGCTGCAAGACCAGCACCTTACCTGGCGATGATTTAACCTTCATCTCCGAGTTGTTTCCTCCCCCGCCACCCCACTACACTTGGGGCAATGATCAAGCTAATCCCGAGTACTCATTGGGGTATCTGGCTGACCTGACGCGGTGCTGGACAACATGTGTCCAACTCTCGTATCACCTGGCTGACCAGGTAATTCAGCATCATCTGGTAACTGACGCAGTTGCGCGGGGGCTGTGGAATTCCTCCAAAACAGAAAAGGAAGTCGTGTTCAGCAAAGCAGTTGGAATTCTCCAGGCCAAGCTTTTATATCCAATGTACGAACACAAGACCTTATGTGATGAATTCTTGTGCTAACCCTACCAGAGCATATACAATCTTCTTCCTGGAATCTTCCGCGCCTCCTTGCCCTGACCCGGATTCCTCTGGTCAATTTTCCAGGTGCACTCCATCTGTGGAGCAGCAACAATCGATTTTACAAAAGCCACCTTTCACAGACACCCAAGTTCTCATCGCGACTCATCATTGCATGCAGCTACTCTGCTCCACCGTCCGGCGCCTAATGAGCCCTGATTTCTCCCATTCATCCTCGGAAGGTTGTGTCAGCCTGCTTCTTACTACCTCAACACTCGAGAAAATTGTTGATTTTTTCCTCGCCATCGCCAAAGATGAGAGAATACGAGAAGCAACACCAAGCCCCTCTATCTGGTCTCATCGTAAAGAATTCATGTGGCAGATGCGAAAGGAATTGGGCGATTACATGATGCCAGCTGGTCCGGCTGGCAATCAAACAACGCCCAGACCAAGCTTGGATCAGATATGGTTCCAGGTTGCGGGTAATGAATTGGCTCGGCGTGGGGCTATTCCACATACGGTGGACGATTCAGTCCCCGTCCTGCACGGGTCTGTTGTGACCCTGCAGTGTAAATTTTGCTATGATGGGGAATAGGCCCTAGGCTCCTTCTCAAACACCAAATATAAAACATTAAACCCAGACATCCTAGTTAGAACTGTAGCTGGGGGCAATAAATCGGCAACTGCTAACTGGCAGCGACGGAGTTGATAGATGCGCGACGCTAAACCGGTTCGGTTCGGCTCTCGGGAGTTCGGTCGCCGGAACTGCACGTCTCCTTCAACATCGACATTCCATGTTCTCTCCGTTCTCCTTCGTGTGGATTATTGATGCGGGAGTCTTTTGCGAAGCATTCCAGTCGTCTCGGATGTCGGGAATTCCGTGCGGAAAATAAATGGCGACAATGTCCGCAGTAAGTCATTGCTCAATGATCCTATGAAGGCTCGGTCCAAGTGATCGGAAACCCAGACGCTTTTTCATATGCCGAGAATGATTTGCTTATTCCTGTTACTAGTGTGATTTGTGTCATTCCCGAAAGGTTAGTCGCCAATCCGGGAATCCACCAGTTCCCTGAAGTGCCGAGTCATGCTAAGTCGGAGTCCGTTCGGTGTAGGTCAAATGTGATCGTCGGGACCCTTGCATGAACTGTGTAGATGCACGGGTCGAATGCCATCGTACTCGACAATCTCGACTTCATCGACCTCGAGTGTCACGGTATGTGGCTTACCTCCACTCCTGGACCATCGGGTTGTCAAATCCCAGGTCATCTAACAATGACTACACTAGCCTCGATGCGTTAGCGGAAAGACTGGCCAGACTGGAGGAATCAACTAGCGGAGAGAATCCAATCACAAGTCATCATCTCGCTAGTCCTGTATCTGTCTCACCACATGCAAGGCCCCAGGGTGCGGTAGGGAACTCTGCAAATGCATATCCCGATCCCACATGTCAGAAGAAAAGAAAGAAGCAATACGCAACACATTTCTCTCGAGAGACAAGCCCTGGTGACCCTCCAGAAAGAAAGCAAAAAAGATCGCAGGTCATCGGCCACAGCCACGGCGAAGCCCATTCTCCGGGCTCGACACGGCATGCGAGCGAAGCCCGCGAGTACATCGAGCACGAACTGCAATGCAACCTGGCACTCTCGAAAGACAGACGTACTGCGCTGGAATCAGCGCAGAAGTTTGTCAGTCAGCTGTCGAATCCTAGTCTACACTGGGAGGAGACCGGCGTGGCGGGTGACTTGGATGTGGAAGAGACAACGCCGCCTACTCTCACGCCGGAGTTGTTGTATATGATGCTACCGGGTGAGATCCTTTTCTCATATAAAAGTTCTAGAGCCACAGAAACTAACTATTACAGGACCCGATAAGAAAACCAACTCTCAGGGAACCATTTCTTGGCCCGACCACATCTCTGACGCCCTTTTAGAGCGAATGGGACTCGCTATCATCGAGGGCAGTGAATGCGAGCAGGTGCTTCAGCACTATCGGGTCAGCGTATGGGTAAAGGCGATATCGTGCATTTCCAAAGTGGCACCTTTAACCTCAAGCGAACGACTCAGGGACCATTTCCGGACTCTGAAGAAACAATACGAGGCGGCTGCCATGGAAGAATTGAACCAGCTTCCTTTGACAGCGGCCCCGAGTCTGTTACTGCTACAGTCCCTGTTATCTGGAGTAAGTGTTCTTCAAAATTGTGCACCTTCAAAACTTTAACTCGTCCCTGGTAGGTACGGCTGATGCAGTATTTGGGCAACATGTCCCGCTGTTGGATGTTCACGGCCCTCGCCTCGAGGATCATTGTATCACTGAACTACCACAACATCACCGACCCAACGCCACGAAACGAAGTCGAAGAAAACATCCACGCCTGTGTCTACAAGTGCTACTACTTTGACAAAACCCTCAGCTTACTGCTGCTCCGGCCACCATCTCTGCCCGAGCTCAAGGTCGAGGCATCCCAGCTGATCCACCTCGACCCGGATCTCCCTACTGCGACCATGATCACCGGGGTCGTCGAGTTCTCCGATCTGAAGAATACACTGGTGAACATCCTGCTTGACACCAAGGAATTGGGAGACGTGGAGAAGGCCAATATCTTGTCTGATCTTGTGGCGCGGGCGCACACGATCCACTCAAACTTACAAATGGTAAGAAGAATAAGAGTGTTTCCACAAGAAAGCATCTAAACAGAGATGCTGATAATGGAGTTTTCAGTTTCGGCGCCACCAGGAAATGAAATTCCCAAACTCGTGGGCAATCCTCCGCCGCGAGTGGCTTTCAATGGACTTCAACTACTACTCCGTCCTCACCACGATAATCCGCGCGCGCTCCTCGGTCCTGAAGTCCCGTCTAGTGTGCGAAAACTGTCTTTATGCGGCTCGCGAAGCGCTCAATACTTTGCGGGCGTTGCAAGAAGCATTTTCAAGCCCGGCCAATTCAGTCGACTCCTACCCGTATTTCCTCACCTGGTAATACCTGACTTACACACCCTGGCATCATGTACCGTTAAACTAAGACCTTTTTTTTTAATAGGACAATGCTCCTCTTCCCATTATCCCCCTTCTTCGTCCTCTTCTGCAACGTCATCGCAACCTCCAACGAGCGAGACTTTACCATGATCAAAAACATCACCGACGACCTGCACCAATTCGCCCAAGCAAACGCTTCCATCGGCAAGCTCTACCGGCTGTTCTCCAAGTTCCTGGATCTATGTGCGCCGTTGATTAAAAGTAACCAGGAACACGCTCATTCTGACCAGCCCTTATACCCATTTACTCATCATCAACCTCCAGCCGCCGTGGAAGGACGGACCGAAGCCCAGGCGGGTTTGTATACGAACATGTTTGGCCGCGGTGTGGACGAACCTGTGCCCACGCCGTCGAGCCAAATCACTCACAAGATCAACACGGGTGCTCCACAGCCCGTAGAAGGGTGGAACGATAATCTGGTTTGGGAGTTATTCGATAACCAGCCCTCGTTAGGATGGGCAGAGTCGGAGCTGTGGGATGTGATGACGCGGTTGGATAGTGCATGAGTATAAAACGGCATATAATGCGAGACGAACCCTCTAGAAGATGTGCACTGTGAATCGAATTGGTCTTGATATTGATCGATTACCTAGGGAGCAACCCAGGGTTTATTTACTCGGTCGATTCTTCGTAATGACACAGTCCCAGGAAGAGAAGAATCAAAGAAAAAGAAGGACTGAGCAAGTTGGTTCAGACATTCGCGGGTCTAACCACACGAGAGAAAAAAAGAAAAGGAAATGCTCAAGGAGTGCGGGACATGCAGGGGGGCATTATCTGTCTGAAAATAGACAGCCAAGTATTATAATACAACACCGAAGGTTAGAAAGGGCGGGTCACGTCTATCACGAAATCAGGACCCAGAGAAGGAAGAAAATCTACAGAGATAATTAGCAGGGTTTCCACAGAACATCAAGACACCAGGCATACCATCAGAATGCCAAACATCTTGGCAATCAGCCACCGATTACCCGACACTCGAGTCCAGTACTTCATGAGCTCACGCTGGGCCCCTTGCACATTATCCACGACGTCCTCGGTGTTGGCGTCGATGCGCTGGATCATTTCAGACTGCTCGCTGACCATCTGTGCCAGCTGCCCGAAGATCCCGCCCAGTTCACTAATGGTTCGTTCGATGGCGTCAATGGCTTCACCGCGGGCCTGGACGTAAGAGTTGCTCGACTGTGCCTCTTCCATGACCAGCAGTTGTTGATCTGATTGCATGGACGGACGACCCAGAGGGGAGGGGTTGGACGGGTCAAGCGTCAATAGGTCGGACGAATTTCCTTGGTGTCCTGGCTGAGGGGTTCGTCGTCCCGAGGTGTTATACAAAGGCGAATCCGAACGCTGCGAGTCTAGGGCATTCTGCGACTTGGATGACACCGACGACACAAAGTTCTCCGTCCTTGTTCGAGAAGCTTGGATGTTCTTTGTCCGGACCTCGAGCACTTCCTTGAAACTGGCACCCACGTCGGCCAGTTTGCCTTGCAGCATCACGACCACCTGAAACACAAAATCATCAACGGCTGCCCGTGCGTTTCACCACGGGTCTCACTCACATTGTCATTGTGCTCTCCTTCCTGGTCCATCTTCGACCGACTCGACTTGGGATGTTGCGCCAGCGTCAGTGCCTGCAATCCGGCGATCTGTTGGTTCAAGGAAGCCAAATCTTGCTTGATCACGTAGGTCAATTCTGAGATCTCGACGGGTCGGTCGTCAAAGAGGGTTTTCCGCTTCGCCACTAAATTCCCCAAGGTGAGCATCCAGCTGGTCACGATATGACGAGTATTCCCAATTCACAACACTTACATTCAGCCAGTCGCTGCAGTTTGGCCGTAGTCCCGGTAATGCCCTTTCCAATATCTCTCGCCCTCCGTGCAAACTCGGACCTCGCTCCCTTTGCATCCTGCGCACTGATTAGTGACCCATTGGCCTCTCGTCGTTGCGCATCTGACAGTAATGCCTGGCGCTGTGACCCGACTTTCGAAGTGCCGAGTCGCTTCTGGGCCTGTCCCAGGATGGCACTGAACTCGACTGTGCGGTCTTGGATCGACGGCCCCGTCATTCTGCAAGGTAGGGGCTTGGGTAAAGTTCAAAATCAAAGACAATAGATTAATTCAAGTGGTGTATGCAATCAGAAGGCTAGAGAGTATCGAGGCGTAAATCGGTCGGAGGATGTTCAAGAAGTTTGGGGTGGAATCCAGCTATCGATAAGGTGAGGATCGTCAACGTGTCCGGTTGCGGTCACTCCAGGGGGATGTCTTTAAAGTAAATTGGAACAACAGGCCATGATAGTCAAGGAAAGAAAATGCCGTCACCGTATCATGTCAACTCAGGAGATGAACACGATGCGCCACAGTTGAAACACGTCGATCTCGTGCCACGTGACAGGTGCTGAGGTCAGCTAATTTTAGATCGCGGAGGCCCCCAGACCATCAGGGGGCACTTCTCCTAGGCAGCATCACGTTGCTCGTGCCATTTGGGCTTCGCTCTTTGTCTGTGGCTTCTGTGGATACACGTCACCTCTGGCACATAATCTCGCTTTTCCGCACTCAGCTCAACTTAGATTTGATCGGCGCATTGACACCGGTCAAATTCCCCTCATTCTCCCATATACTCGCTCGTCCCTTGCTTTTGAAGGGCCACGAAGAATCTTTGCGAGTTGGCAGTTGATACTGCAACTTTGAGCTTGTGCGATATCATTCTCTGGATTTATCTGGAAGTAGCCGATGTGCCTAATCGAGCTTGCCTCGATTACGTGACGCTGCTCCCCTGATGGCAGACTCGCCACATTTGCATGGCCGCGGGGCTCAGCAGGTGTAAGTCAACCCGTTGTCCACCCATATTTAATCTGTTGCACAAACCCTGACTTCTTTTCAGCCCTTCCCCGCCCAGTGCCAACAGCCCCCTCTCACCACCTGGTGCAAGCGGAACCCCGATCTCATTCCGAACAAATGTGAATCGGGCCAAGACAAAGCGTTGGGTGGAAGCAAAGCAATATTCTTATGACGGTGGGGACTGGGGCGACGAGGATGAGGAGGAGGAAGAAGAAGAGGAAGCTCCGCCGGTGCCTCAGCCTCCTTATGCCACTCATAGAACCGGTAGCTCATCTGAACTGAGTTCTCGGCGTCTATCCGGGCTCGTTGAAGAGTCACGGAGTAGTCCTTCGGCTGAGGCCAAAGTGGCTAGCCCCAGCGGGGGTGACCAGGGTGCTGCACCTTTCATCCGACCCGCCGACATCTATAAACGGATGCGCGAGGAGAAGGCACCTCATCGCGAGGCTGCAGTAGACTCTGCACGCCCAGGCGATGCTCCTGGCAGTGTTCCTTTCCATGCACCCATCCCGGGTAGTGACGAGCCGAAGTCCGAAAGGTTTAATGCCCCCTCCGTCGGACTACCCGAAGTCAAGCGAGTTTCCGGCTTTGGGACCGACTTGTTCAGTGGCAACAACTCGAGTTTCCAACAAAACGCGAACCCCGAGTCCCAGGAGCCATCTTTGCAGCATAACCCTTCTCAAGGGTTCCGATCGGTAGTCCACCAGGCGTTCGATGTTCCGGAAACTCCCAACTCCACCACAGGAAGTGTCGAGCGGTCTAATAGCGATGGCACTTCTGTGGTTAGTCCGATCATGAGCAGTCGTGGTTTGAGTGACGACAAGACCCCCACTATCCCAGAGGAGCCTCACGAGTCAGGCTCCCCATCTGCTTCTAAGGAAGCTGCGAACTACGGACCCGTGTTTAAGCCAGGCCACCGGCGGGACTTGAGCCTTCCCAGCAGTGATAACAGTCCCTCGAAGAAGCCCGTGGTCACCGACCACGCAACCCCCACGGCAGGCCAGGCAGAAATGTCGTCCGTTTCCCCTCACCCGCTTCAGCATTCCTCGCCGGAATCCTCGCAGCAATCACCAGACACAGGAGTCTCCTCCAAGCGAGCATCCATGCACCCGCCTTCGAATACAGCCGAGAGGGACTTGCCTGCACCTCTCAAGCTTGGTAACAACCCGGCACCAGGCTCTGATGGATATCATGGCGAAATACCCATAATTGTCCCTGCGAGTGCAGGCAACTCTCCGCAGGATACCGACAACGACCGGTTGAGAGAGGAGATCATTCGATCACTGAGCAGGGAAAACACCCCCGAAGAACCCGAGCAAGTGGGCCAGCAGACTCGGCCGCAGCCATCTCACGAAGAGTCTACTCCACACCAGCCTGGGAATTATTTGGATGGTCAGGGTGGACCTAGCATTGATGATTCTTCCAAGACTCCGGTCTTAGAAGGCCATCCGGAATCGGCGCTCGCACATCCTTCGGCACCGGTCGGCCAACCAAAGAAACCGAAGCTGGAAAGACGGTTCTCGTGGGAATCATCTGACGAGGATGATCCTGAGCCGCAAATTCCCGGTAGCTATTCTTCCCCGCCTCCTTTTAATGAAGCTTTGGCCACTCAAGAACCGGTGCCTCTGCCCGACGAAGGGACCCCTCCGCCTCCAGAAACAGTATCCCCCGACCTAGCCTCGGATGATTTTGACAGGGACGGTGACCAGCCAGTCGTTGAGAAGCCTAGGCTTTCAATCATACCTCCAGTGGCGGAGAGCGGTTCGCCGCCAGAGCAGGTGATTCCGGCGGATCCCTCCATCCATTCCCGAGAGGCACCTTTGCCTGCGACTATCGAAAAGTCATCCATCGATGAGTCGAGCTTGCAGGGATTCCGCGACATCCTCGGTATCAAAATTCCAGATGGGCGCATTCGGGCGTTCAGCCATACCAGGGATCAGTTTGCCGTTCTTGACACTGGTCTTGACCAGTGGCTCTCTTTCATGGTCCACGAGCACCCCGATCATGCGGATGTGGTTCAGCAGAGTCAGAGTCTGTCTTCCGCAGCGCCTCGTACCTCTCCATCAAGAAGCCGATTCCCCAAGTTGACGTCCTTCGGCACTCTCAGCTCCGTGGGTGACAGCACTCCGACCAGCGCCAGCCATATCCGACGTCCTTCGGGACATCTTGGAACTGTGATGAACAGGCAGAATGTGGAGCAGCGTGGGAAGGAATTCCTGCACACGGCCGGCACATTCAGTGGTAAGGCAGGCGAGGCCGCTAAGGGGCTGTTTGCCAAGGGAAGAAGCAAGTTCCGACCTGGAGGGACCGACAAGGTAGATCAATGATTTCCTTTCTTTTATCGGGCTGTCTACCTGGGGTGGTCCGCTGGAGGCCAGTGCAATGATATCTCCCTTCAGTTTTTGCTTCATTACTCGTTCCATTTCATGGATACCACGCTGTAATTCGCATCCCGTTTCTTTGGGATATTGGATTCTAGAATGCGACATGATTGATGCATCCCTCTGGTTCTCCCCATTCCTTGTTCGGTCCGGTTCTGATGTTGGTAATGTTGTAGGGTCAATCGGCAACTGCGCGCAAGAGTCTGCAGTTGTTGTCATCAGGCTCGGAAAAGTCCCATGGTAACTCTTCCCTTCGGAACTCCGTCACCTTTGGCAGTCTGCCCATGTTCAAATCTGGTCGACAAGAGGGCGCCTCTGGTGATCCGGCTAATCTAGACGATTCGGAAGCGAGCGCGTCCAAGCGGTTGACGGTAGCCCAGTTGGGGGGACTCTCACGTCCTACACCGAGTACAGACAAGGAACTACCATTATCCCCTGATTCGGCTCGACGGGCGAGCGAAGGCGCTCCCCGGAATACCGATTTCGCGGGCGACTTGGAGCAGGAGATGATCGCTGCTCTCGGTCTCTCTCCGACTGAAACCCGTCCTCAGCAGCCGGCAGCCACCTCGTCGACGTCGCATCCTGGCGAGATCCTGGCTCAGGGTCAATCTGCGCGAGCTTCCACTGGTCTGTCCAGGGACGGGGCACCTACTTGGAAGTCTGTCGGCTTTGCTCCGCCGAAGAAATCCCCAAGCACAGACAAAAGCTTGCCAGCGATTCCTACCGAGGACCCCGATTCTCCTGTTTCTCCGGGGGCGAGCAATCCCCAAGACCAACTTGTTCAGGATGCGGCGGAGGCTACTGCATCATCCATACGTCCTGTGGATGAGGACGTCAAGCCGCCTCTTCCTCCAAAGGACTATGCGTTTTTAGCTCCACGCCAGGCATCGGTATCAACGCTCGGGACAGACGAACGGAACACAAATCGCCCATCTCAGTCAAATTCCGATAGCGACCCGCCCTCTCCATTGCAACCGCCATCAAAGGAATCCGACGACCCCTTGTACAGCAAGCCAGTTTCGGAAGCCAACACATCGAACGTCTCCCTCCCATCCGATGAGCAAAACACCTCGAGCTACGAGCCGATCTACCCACAAAGACCCCAAAGCTCTGCACAGGTCCTGGAGTCCAAGCGCAAGTCGATCAGTGGCATCCTCCAGTCCGTTCCGGGGGTCCAAAGCCCCTTGAGGAATGAAGTCAGGTATTCGCCCGGCACGCGGAGCAGCATGATGAGCTTTGGCAGCTTCGGCAAGCAGAGTGCCAATAGCAAGGGAACGCGCCCGCCGACTCCTGCCAATGATCTGGCTCAGCCCACGGATCCGGAGTCACCGGTACAGAATGAGGCATCTGCCATGGGCAAATTGAAGAGCTTCGGGAAGCGTCGCCGGGCTTCGATGGGCGATATCCTCTCTGGGTTCCAGGGAGGACAGGAGAAACTGATCTCTGGGATTCAAGGCGGGCAAGAGAAACTCCGCTCTGGGATCCAGACAGGCCAGGGCAAACGGGCCTTTAGCAGGATCAGTGTATGTGACTCTTGTTTTCTCCCAGATCCCCAGCTAGCTTCTCCGTGCGTATTACTGACTCGGCACAGGGAATCTTCCACCGACAGCAGGACTCTCAGCGCCCAGAAAACAGATCAACATATCTCACCAAGGGCGATGCTACACCTCGAGGAAGCCACGATCTAACGCCCTCGTCAACAAACGAATCCACGCGCTCCGGTAACCCCTCTGGAAACAAGTCTGGTTTATCGTACCATGCTCCCGAATCCGAGACGCCTGCGTCACAGCGCTCAGACCAATCGACGCCTCAGCCACGCGACCCTCGTCAGCGTGCTAGTATGCCGCTTCCCCCTTCAGCTTCTTTCAATCCTCTTGCTTCTAGATCGAGTCGGTTCTATTCGCAGCTCCAGGCTGCTGCGGCGAACGGAACTGTGAATACCTTGCAGAGTCCTGGTGAACAAACACAGTCTGTGCTGTCAAAATCCCGGACACCGTCGCCTCCTTCGAACTCTGATACTGGTGCTGCCTCGGTGCCGCAGTCGCTGCCGAAATTACAGGAACAGCCGGATGAAGAGCCGGGTGAGGTGCCAACTGAAAAGCAGCAGCCTGAAGAGAAAGAGACACAGTCAGAGCAGGAGGGTCAGAAGGTAGAGGAGCAGGATGTTCAGCCCCAGGAGCAGAAGCCAGAGGAGCAACAGCAACAGCAAGAAACTCAACCGGGGCTCAAGGACCAGGAATCCCAGTCGCAGGAGCACTGCCCATCGCAGCAGGAGAATCAGCAGTGTCAGGACAAGAGTCCCCAAAATCAGACCCAGGAACCGAAGCAGCACAAAGATCTCCCTGTGCAAGACCCTCAACCAGTCTACGAGCTAGAGCAGTCTTTGGTGGTGCAAGAACTCCAACAAGAAGCTCAGCAAGAGACAAAGAAAGACTCCCAGCCTCCGCTGTCAGTCCTTCACCCTCAACTCAGTGTCCGGTCCCGGAAACCCGTGGGATCTCCTGTATCAGCGAGCTCTTCTGAGGGTCAAGCAACGCCCAAGGACACCAAGGACACCACCGTCCCCGACGCCTCTACGGCTTCCACAGTTCCTCAAGAAAACATCGAAACCCAGGCCTCGAATGACTTGCCCAGGCGCGCAGAGCCAGCCGCCACCAAAGACGACTCCAGTGAGGAGATTGTCATGTCCCCGACAGCCTATCCAGGGCAGGAGTGGACCCCGATGCATTTCTAGCGAATACTTCATTGTCATTATTTTTGTTTAAGCGGTCATTTCTGCGATACCCTTTTTCTTTTTCTTTTCTTTGCTTTTTTTCTATACATTGTCTTGTATTTCCTTTCTGGCACTGGTTACACTCTTTTCACTTGGATGTCATTTTCTTGCTTGTCCGCTGCACATACAACATCACACCCCCGAGGTTTGTACATTTGATGTTAACCCGTCTTTTTCTTTGTGTATTCTGTTGACTCTGTACATTCTTTCTTTGTTTCTTTGCATAGACTCGCCATCCTATGTACACTGCATTTTTAATATTTATATTTTCAAGTACATATGCTTGAACTGCACGAAGAACACAATAACTACCATGGGACTTACTACAACCCAACACTGTCAATATCTTTGGGTTGAAATTAAATCAACTGAAGCCATCTGCCGTTGCTATAAGTCAGGCTATTGTAGTCAACCTTGCTTGGCCACATCATCGTCAGGACTTAGCTGCACAACAGTCAAAGAGTGTTGATGATGTCTTTATGGTCTAGCTACCAACGTGATATTATGTTACGTCCAGTTCCATATACCCTGTTTTCCCTTCCCGGCGCAGTACTCTATACAAACAAGAACCCCCCAGTGACAGATACAGGTCAGCAATGGCCCAGCAATAAAGCAATCCGAGATCATGCCCTTAATGCCGAGGATCGAGAAGAGAAGGTTAAAGAAGATAATGGGAGAGACTGAGAGACACAAAGAGTATACAGGAGAGTCAAGGAAGAAGGGGCAAGGAAGACGTCTATCCCTCAAACACGTTCTGATTCAATTCAACCCCCATGTCCTTGGCCATACCCTGCATCTGGGCCTCGATATCATCCTCCATACCGCCACCCAAATGCAGGAACTGGCGCACCTTGGTGAAGTAGAAGAAGATATCGCTGGTGAACAACACCACGCGGAAGACAATATGACGACCCAGATTGCGGATCTTCTCGGCCAGAGGCAGATCGGGCGATTCGACGAGAGCGCGCGAGGCCCAAATGCCGGTAATCTTAACGCGGTTGACCGGCGAGCCCAGGAACTGGTTATTGGCCTGGACGATGCGCAGGTTGCGGCCGATGAAGATCAGCTCGCGCGGCCACTTGGTCTCGTCGCCGAGGATCTCGCGGATGGCCTTGCGTGCCGCCTGCTGCATCTCGTAGTGGCGCTGGGCGCGCTCGGACTTGCTGAGACCCGCGATGTGGCGGCGTGTCGACAGGTCGCCGCCGCGGTAGGGGCGCATCAGGGTTGCGGACGCGAAGATATCGGAGTTGTTCACGCCCCAGCTCCGCCCGATCTCGTTCAGGGTTTGGTTGTCGAAGGTGAGCAGGGCTTTCCAGAACCGCGCGTACTGGTGCCGGAACCCGGGCTCCATGTGGATGTACAGCCCGTGGTCGATCAGCACGAGCTCTGGCTGCCCGGATGGCTTGCGTCGGATGAAGATGTTGCCCGGGTGCGGGTCGCAGTGTACCCATCCCCACAGGAACATCTGCGCCGAGAACAAGTCCACCATGGTGGTCATTACATCCTTTAGCGACAGTCCCAGTCCACCGCGGTTGTTATAGCCCCGCCAGTGATTTCGCTCAGGCTTGAACTGTGCCGTCTGTGGGGTGCGTGCCGCCGCCGTGCTATTTCGCGGGTCCAGTGGTGTCCCGTGGCAGCCGGGACTGCCCTGGCGCCAGCCGCCACGCCAGCCTCGCGTGATCGAGTCCTTATCCCAAAGTCGGACGCCTTCTATCCATTCTGCGGTCATGACACGTTTCGAGCTCAGTTCGCGGTATACCCGAGGAATGTACACCCGGTCACGCAGGCGCGATTCTCCGGCCACCAGCTGGGCCATTTTCTCCGAGTTGCTCGCTTCGTTTTCAAAGTCCGTCTCCAGCGACAGCCTTTCGCTCACGTAAGGCACCAGACTGTAGAAGGGAATGTCGAACAGCTTGCTGTAGATCCAAGTCACGACTCTACCAAGATTCAACAACATCCGATTAGCTTACCATGTCCACGCTCGCATTTTGTAGCATATCCGCATGTCGCAGGAATTTAGAAGACACTCACTTGAACGCCCACAAATCCCACACAAGTTGTTGCGCAATCTCGCGCTTCTGGATCTTGATAGCCACCTCTCTGCCATCCTGCAGACGAGCCCAATGCACCTGAGCCACACTGGCACTAGCTCGAGCACGGCGCTCCATCACACCCTTATCCGAATCCCCCGCAAACGAGACCCCAAAGACCTCTTCGGGCGACTTGCCAAAGTCGTCGCGAATGACCTTCGCGACATCCTTCCAGTCGTTCTGCGGCGCATCATCAAACATGCGCGAGAACATCTGCTGAAACTCAGGCGGCAGAATCGCCGACTGCATGGCGATCGCCTGGCCCATCTTCAGGTAGAGGCCGCCATTATGCCGCAGCAGGTCCGACAGCCGCTCGGCGTTGCGGGCGTGCACGGCGGCAATGGAGCTGGCCAGCGGCGGGTTGGGGCTGAAATTGATTTTGTAGTCCAAGGCGACGAGGAGACCGAGCGAGAAGGTCCGGGTGGTTCGGGTCAGCGATGAGGCGTAGAACTGCGTGTCGATGCCGTAGACGACACCCGTGGCGAGCGAGAAGTAAACCAGTCGTCGCAGCCATTTGCGGGTCCGCGGGTACGTCTTTGCTGCTCTAGGCTTCCCCAGAGAGCTCGGAGATGGTGGTACGAACGGTTGGAACTCGCCGGGGTGGACATACCGGCGGCACAGCGGGCGCCATATCGAGGGTCGGGGGGCGACGGCGGGCCGCAGGGAGCGGAGAAGCGTCGCGTGCGCCATGAGATGCCAAAGGGTTGAGGATCAGACGGATCATTGCATGGCGCAAGAGATAGAAATATGCGATTGCAGCCCCGCGAGGAGTAAGCGGATGCGATCCTGCGAACAGTTTCGGCCTGTCGTCATCCGCGGTGACGCCGAGTCGGAATCGGGAGAATTCTCCCTCCACTGCGATTATGGTCGAAGCTTACTTCCATGAACAGCATATAAATACCTATATTACCGGGGTATATATAACATATCGAGGTTAAATAGACAAATCAAATCACAACTCCTCATGCTTGGCCGGCTCTAATTTATCGCACACGCTGGCATACTCCCTCATATTGTTGGGGATAGTACGCTCCCACAGCTCGTCCCCCTGTAAAAACCGATATTGCTCCTGGCACGCCTGCTCCGACGCCATCGGCAGCAGGATAGGCAGGTGTTTGATAGACGCCTTGACAAAATTGCGCTTGAAGCAGTTGCCGAAGCCCGCCAGGGTCTCCCCGTCGGAGCACATGTGTCGCCCGTGTAGCATTGGGCCGCAGCGCTCCTTGATGATGACGGCGACATCGTCGCCCATCTTGAGCAGCGCCTCTTCTTGATGCGGTACCTTCATGCGCTTCATCAGGCTGCGCACGGCGGGTACGAAGGTGTTGTTGCGCGTCCAGAGATCCCAGTGCGGGACGGTCGGCTGGCAGCCGCGCTCGCAGATTTCACTCTGGAATTTGTTGAACAGGTGTGTCGGCCGGCCGACCAGGGCAGACACGACCTTGATGCATGATGCGCCAATCGCTGCGGCGGGCGAGAGGAGGACGAAGAGGAGGAGCAGCCGGTCGAGGAAGAGCCGCATGGCGGACGAGTCGACCGGGAAGGGAAAGGAGGTTTGAGGGAGATCGGCGCAGTTTGTGGAACTGCAGTGGTTGTAGTAGACAAGATTCAGGGCACGCAATTTATGATCGAGGTTTTTTCAGACTGATTCTCTGGGGACGCGCTGGTGACGAAAGATGCCCCCGCAATTGCGGTGGACCGTGAGATGTCCGCATTGAGCGTCGACTCTCATCCTCACACTTCTTGCCTCGGCAACTGGTGCTCCGTCCGGTTCACGTCTTTCTCACGTCACTCTGCCTCTCTCTTTTTCCCACGTATGCACCATTGAGAGTCTTTGGGAGCTAGTCTTGCTTCATGACGATCTATCAATAGCATGTCAGCGTCCAACTTGCCGCTTTATCCGAGTGTCAGAGACATGGGCAAGGATCCTTCCAAGCTGACAGGTCTATATATGAATTGAAGCATCCCCTCCAGATGTGGTGACTGGAGTGACACGTTTCTCAAAATGTCAGCTTTGAATCTCCAGGAGGTCGACTCGCTCGAAGCTGTGGTCATCATCGACAATGAACTAGATCCGTTGTCACCCCCGCCGCCGGACACCGTCCATGTCTCAGGTAACATGGGGAATATTGCCATGGGCTCGTCGCACACCCTCACAGACCGCGGCGGAGCCTGTCAAGAGCTAAAGATGGAGGACATCTGCTGTTCGGCACATGGCCTGTCCATTCTAGTGGTAAGACGGACACGGCTCCCAACATGACTTCCTAGTTTAACAGTTGCGTGTCGGCATTGTAGACCGCTACCAAGGGAGACAAGAAACATGCTGTCCTCTTCGACGCAGGCCCGGAAGAGGATGCGTGGGAGAGGAACGTGAAGCGGCTGCGGCCGGATATCTCTTCTGTGGAAGTGATCCAGCTATCCCACTGGCATCGAGACCACTCAGGTGAGTAGTGCATGACATGATCTATATGTTACAAAATTGTCTCTTCTGACTGCCATGGAGGTGGTATGCTGCGAGCCATTCGCATGATCAATGACGCCAAAAAGGCCCAAGGCCGCGCGGATGACCTCGTCGTGGACCTGCATCCGGATCGACCGGTTTACCGGGGGATTGCGCTGCCAGAACACATTATATCCCTCGAGGCCGATCCAAAATTTGAGGAACTGGCAGCTGCCGGGGCTGTGGTTGAGAAGCACAGCGAGCCACACACAGTACTCGATGATTTCTTTCTGGTTTCGGGGGAGATCCCGCGAGTCACGCCATATGAAACAGGTCTGAAGAATGCGGTGCGGTTTGATCCTGATGAAAACGACTGGTTCTCCGACGAAGTCATTGCCGACGAGCGGCTCCTCATGTGCAATCTCAAGGGTGTGTGCTCATATGCCTGGTTGCTACTGGCCAGTTATAATCATATTATGCTGACTTCTCCCTCTCTCCAGGGAAAGGACTCGTTGTTTTCACGGGGTGCAGCCATGCCGGAGTGGTCAACACCGCAAAGCACGCAGCCGACCTTCTCGTCGGGTCAGCACCTCTGCACGCTGTAGTAGGCGGATTCCACCTCGCCATGAGCGATGAGACCCAAATCCGAAGCACCGTCACGGACCTCAAACGACTCGATCCCGCCGTGCTCTTGCCGGGACATTGCACCGGCTGGCGCGCCAAGTTCGCCATCGAGAAACATATGCCAGGGACCATGGTACCTTGCACCGTTGGCATCAAGATCGGCTTCTAGATTTGCACTGCCATCTGCCGATGACACTTACCCTGCCCATTCCTTGCAGTACCATGCGTCCACGTGAGCATCCAAGGTCCCAACCCGAAACCGCATGCCAAAGGTTGTTCATGGCAACCTGTGACTTCATCAAGGGGGTGGTGGACGTTGACCAGAATTAGGCTCTCGGCATACATGACTCTTGTCTTGTCTTGTTTTGGGTCTCGATCATTTTACCATCGTGGCGGATCTCTCCTTGCAGCATTCCCACATGATCGGAAGTATGCGTGCGGGACCAAACACGCTTGAAACAGGTTGGTATCATTATCGGCTCTCTTTGGAGTTGGTGTGGTGAAAGGTTCGGCTTGGATGGTTGGAGTTGACAGTGGTTGGGTGATGTATTCGTCTGTGACTCTTTGGTGTGTTACTTGCTAGTGGTTTTGGCAGGCGAGAGACACCGGGTCGGACAATCTAGAGTCATAAGCTTGACATGTTTCAACATATTTGTAGCCTGGATTTCTATTGCAGACCATCATGGTTGTTATCAGGTTTGATCCAGGCTATCAACTTTGATTAAGACCAGATATATTCCGTGGTGTTGTTTTTATATCTTTGTTTGCAGTAGTTGTCTATAGAATATATTGAGGCCATTCAAATCACTGCAGGCCCTTGAATACTGCAAAAGAGAGATATATATCACGCATGAACCACAAAGATTGACTTGATATATATTTGCAATAATGTTTTCAAATCCATTTTGTCTAGTATCTTCCTATGCAACATACACTACCATTCAATAAACACCAGACACTGGCTCATTATCTTTAAGCTTAAACTCCAATCTACACAACATAGAATAGATCGATATACTCAATTCATCTATACACTATTCTACAGATCCCTAAAATTCCCTATAACCAAACAGTCCAACATCGGAATTACTCGCAATCCCACGGCCTGTGTCACCAATCAACCAACCCTCCCAAGACACGGCAGCTATCAGCAACGCTTGGCCACAGCGATACACAAGCCAAGCTGGCACCGAGGGGCATAGTACCCCGAGAGAGTTTTTCTCAAGAGAATAGTTCAGCACGTCGGGTCAGAAACAGCACTCTTGGAAGACTTGGCCTAATTCAACGCAGCACAGCGTCCAGAGATTCCTAGTAGTAGAACGGGAACTATGTATCAACCAAGACCACGGCAGAGCCTCCTTGCCAGTTGCGCGATTTCTCCCAACCAAAGGACTCACGCATGCATGTTTTCTTTTGGCTGGGAATATCAGGACAACGGCTGCAGTAGTTTTTTTTTTTTTTTTTTTTTTTTCTCTCTCGATCCTATGTACAGCCACCTCGCCAAGCAAATACTTTTTCATCGGGGCATATTCCCTGCACTATTGCACTATCGCCGATGCGCCCTTGCTCCCCCTCTTCTCCTTCCCTCTGCGCTTGCCTTTTCCCCCTCCTCCACTCCGCCCCACGATGATCAACCGGTGGTTATTTTGATTGTCCTTCTTCCCCCTCCCCCCCTGAGTCTGGGGAAAGGGGGTTGCTTTCAGGCCGGATGCTCGCCAAGACGATAATTCGGGGAGGGATGCACGGTGCGGGCTTGGCGAGCCATATTACCGATGTGCACGCCGTAGAGAGAGAGAGAGGACGATCAGGCGATCAAGGGTTAGGTTTTCTTTTTTTGAATTTGCAATTTTCTGGGGACTTTAGATACTGACAGTGGAGGCCGAGTAAGGTACAACAGAGGCGTCTCTTGGCAAGAGGATCCCGACCAGGATGCTTATCGGGGCACAGGTTGCCAAGGCATGATGTGCCCGGATGATGTGCGAGTACAGACTGGATTTTGGGTTCAGACATGCACTATGTACTGGTGAGTGTGTACAATATACACTATACACTATACTTTGTATGTATATACATATACAACTGGGTAGGTATGTACAAGAGGAATATCGAATCGCCACCGCTCCACGTTCGAGTCATGATATATGGGGTATCTTCACTGGGGTAAATCAAATAGAAAGAGAGAATGCACGTCATTTGGACCCCGACTATTGTCTCTTATTGCCAAGGAATCTGGCGCTTTGTGTGCCCCCATTCTATTTAGGGGCACAACAATAATCCATGATCGGCCTCGGCCAAGAATCTAGTGGAACGGGGGAGCAAGACGGGCGAGACACTATTTGCATCGCGCCCCCCTTTTTTTCTTTCTTTTTTTGGGGGATGTATTGTTCGCGGGAGATAGGTACAATGCACCTCGGTAGAAGTCGATCATGACATCGTCGAAGCAAGAGAGGCAATAATAATTCTGCTACCTAGGGATGTTAGATCTATCTATAGAATATCCCTCCGTACTCCCCCAGGCAGCATGGTGATTCCCAACTCTCCACGATCTTACCCCTGTCCCCGACCCCGGCGGACTTTCTTGGCGTACCCGGGACAAGACATGCTGATAGGTCAGAGTAAGAATAGAGTTAGCATGGAGGTTGTAGATGGTACATGGTTGCAAGGGCAAGAATCATCCTGCCTGCATGACGGGTCTAAGCCACGAACGAGGATCACCGGGCAATAAACCCAAAGAATAAGAAAACAAAAGACTTCTAGAAGGGATGTAATCCATGTAATCCATGCAATGGAGGGCAATTGAGTTTCTTGTCAAGAGTGGCGATGCAAATGATATGCCGGGGCCTGGCAGGCAGAGAGCAAAACAAACACATGGGGGAGCTGATGAGAGTGGCAGGAATAGTGACAGCGAGGTTCTGATTCACCCGTCAAGACAAACCAGGATCAACCGGGCATCGCCAACTCCATGATCGTCGTGCCCGAATTAGCTGCACGTACATCGGGGAGACGGGCGCAACAGTTTGTTTTACCCCATGTTTTACAGTAATGATTTGTAGATGTAATGCGGATAAGAAATACACTGAAAGAAGAAACATACATCTCTTGGCAGCTAACATCGACGCACCGATGGTCCGCGAGACGCCTCGCTGCACGGTGCAATCGGGCTACCTACCCTTACTATTCATACAATATACAATGACCCCGAAAGAGAACAACGAAGATCTCCTGCGTATCAATAAGAAAATATCCCTATTAAGCAACAAAACCGGTCCAGATCGCGCTAATCCCCGTCGCGATTTAATAGCGATGTGCAAACTTGCGGAGAGCCCGCCTCAAGCGCAAGCCAAGTTGGCCTCACAGCGAACGAGACGATTGAATTTAATTTGCGAGCTTCGCGAGTCACGCTGTGGGGAAAATTCCTTTGCCTAAGAAAAGGGAGAGAAAATCGAGCTTGGCGATTTGCAGTATGTTCTCCTGTCGATCGGGGCCAAACAAATGAAGCTAGCGAGAATCATCATCGGGGTTTGTTTATGTTTTTCCGAGTCACGCGTCGCGTTTAGTCTGTGAGCCTGGAAACCTGTTCTTGTTTTCTCCCCGATGTCATCATCATCATAATTCATTGGGGAGAGAAAGGGGATATGTCACACGCGACACTATGCCGTGTCTCGCCGAGGCTTTCTCTCAATGCATTGCAGATCGGGGATTCGGGATTTACCCATTGTGTTCTGTTCGGGTTCTTTTTATAATGCAACAGAGAATTCCCAGCGCACTCGATAATGTGGCCACTTGGCATAGTCAATTATTGTTTCTGCCAAGAGAGATTCTGTTTCTGACTGTTTCTTGGGACCTGCGAGCGCGCGTATTTTCATAGGAGAGTTTTCGATCGACGCAGGGTCTTGTATGCAGCCAAGAGGCACAATATACACAAAGTATACCCATAGTACAGGCTATATACAAACCTACTATGATTTTTTTATGGAGAGTGGATAGCAGTTCGCTACCACTGTTCGCGTAAGGCTGACCTTTTTCGATCCCCGCGATTGCGTGTGGGAAAAAAAAAGGAAAAAAAAAAAGAAAAATTTATCAATGATAGATTGAGTATGGGAATAAAAATCTCTATGCCTCCTGGCCGACAAAACCACGGTCCAACCTGTCTGAAACTGTCGCAAAACGTGCCGAGTGCCGTGCCGTGTAGCCCGGTTCTTGGGACGGGATTCCGAGTTTCACAGAAAAACGAACCGTGGGAAACCCATAACCATACAAACTAGACATAATCATCCAGGCGATGCCGAGGGAGACTCGGGCTCGCCGGCAGACCAATAATCGATATCAAAAAAATCATTATCTTCAATATTGTGTTAGTATGATATTATAATCAGTTGATGGCAAAAAGAAAAGAAATAGTCGCACGGATCTCGTCTCCGAATGACGACAATGGCGCTCGATTTTTCTCTTCTTTTCTTTTCTTTCTTTTTTCCCACTACGCCCTCAGCCTAACCACAATCAGCCCAGCTGAGCTATTGGGGCACGTCGACAATGACGCAGACCTTCTGATCCTCCAGCCCTCGAGAAAGAATTGACGCTACACCGATTCTTTCTCTCCCTATGGGCGCTGCCTAGCCACGTTCATCGCCCTTGCATTCCCATTCCCCCCCCATGGACCGCGCGGGCCGGGCGGGATCAAAAAAAAAGGGCCCAAGCTAAAAAGGCCTCGAAAGCTACTGTACTGCTGGACCTTTCCTAACCGGGTAGTGAACTGAGCGACCTGAATGAACTTAACCGGTGTGTTCATGTGGATAGCTAGCTTTGCACAGGAAGCTTGGTTAGCTCCATGCATGCATATACTGCAGGAAGCTCCAGGCCACTTGGCCTTTTTCTTTTTCTTTTTCTTTTCTTTCTCTTCTCTCCATAAATTCCTGGGGGAACGCTGGGACTGCTTGGCGGGCCGAGCGTTGGGGCGGTTATCTATTATTAACGGTTATATTTATATTATATATCTATTTGAATCATAGAATGATTGTTCTAATGATAGTAGTAGTGAGATTAATGGGTATATATATCTTTATAGGTATATAGGTGTCATAGCTTGAGGTATTTAGCAGGGGTATATCTGCATAAGACTCGACCAAAATGACGCGGTCCTCCACTATACACTATCACCCAGCAATAAAGGAAAAAAGACGCAATGCTTCTAGAAACAACGTGTATGGGGGAAACCCGTCCTGCATATAATACTAGTCCTAGACCTACTCGTCCTATTATACGTCGACAGTGATATTAGGTAGGATAACATTGTCGAGAAAGGTGTCAAAAATGCCTCACGATCTCGGATCGGCACATCGGCCACAAGCTGTACATACATCCATCCATACATACAAGCATACATACATACATACATGTACACAAGAGAGTGTGTAAATCAAGCACCATTTGGCAGGGCGATCGGCCAGAGGGACCCGCGATGCTCCCTCTGGCCCACCGGTGAGGGTTTGATTCAGATCATGTGTAGTGTTGTAACCATTGAGAGTGTCTGATGAGAAAGAGAGCCCCATCCCACGACTCCCACTATTCCCACTACTGTAGGTACACGGCAAAAGCCAAGAATGAGCCCGAGGTGCCCCAGGCTTGCCCGGATAATTCCTGGAGGAATTGCTATTAACTGAGTATACCGATCACTATAGCCAGAATCATGATGAATGATATAGTATCTACCATAAAAGTAAAGGACGGTAAGTACACCTGGGCAGTAGGATATGTGTTACGTAGGAGAAAAAAAAAATCGAAAAGAAAATTTCTATCGCGTACGGGATTCTTGCCGAGCAGTTATTCTCGCATTCAAAGAGACAGAGAGAGTCCTGACTCAGCTGATTCCAGCACCGCTGATTGGTCCAGTCTACTTTGGTAAGTACCAGGTAGGTAACCTCTCCATTCCCGAATGGGCATTTCGTTCCTATCCGGGCGTTACAGTCTGTATTGTTAGTAATGGAGTGTATGCAAAAAAAAAACACCCAAAACACCCAAAATACCAAAAAGGGTGAACTCGGGGATTTCGGCGCAAACGGCCCATGACGTGTTGCTCTTCTTTTCTTATCTGCGGGATTTGGGGGGATTACCTTTTAGGCTTGCATGTTTGCTGTGAGGCTAACACATTACGAAGAAGAGAAGGATAATAATTGAAAATGAAAAATGAAAATGAAAGGAAAAAAAAGAAGGGAATCCCCCCGTGCAGCTGCAGCTCCCCTGGGTCCCTTCGCTCCCGAAGGAATCCTTCTAGAAGACGTCGAGAACAAAACAGCTCGGGGCGCTTGGGGCGATTCAGTGTGGGCCCCACAGAAAAAAAAAAGAAATGATTTGAAAAGGGCGGATTTGGTGCCGGTGAAAAAAAAAAAAAAAAAAAAAAGAGAGAGAAAATGCAGTATACCCACTTGACCCCATTATTTGGGGGAATCCCTCTCAGCCCATCGGGGCACCGCATTTTGATCTCGATAGAGGATTATAGAGGATCAGAGAGGATCATGAAGTTCTACACCGTCGTTTGCCAAGTGGCAATGGATCCTCTCTGCCTCAATATGCCTCATTTTTTTTTTCCTTTTCTCTTTTCTTTTTTGTTGTCTATCTAGGTGGCAATACTATTGAGGCATTTTGTTGCATATAGCGGATAAAACAGTGCCCGTGCTTCTCTGATTTTCTTTTTCTCTCACCCGCGAAAATCCCCGTTAATTTCCCCCAAGAAATCCCCAGACCCTAATCCCCCAAATCGACATCAGTGGCGCGATCGGCACGCCAGGGTTGGTCGAGTATCATGAATGACGCATGATAGACCAGACTATAGAGAATGAAATAAAGTGATGCTTCAACTAGAGAGGTGAAACCTCAGCAACAGTTACGGTAGCACTCCTTGATTTTGATATTCTATTCTATTTGATACTCTCATCCCTATCATCATCTACCTCGGACGCATTGGGAACAACAGTTCCACGGCTCGCGCGTGGGGTACGCCTTCGGGGGGGTTTTGTTTTTGTTCTCGACGCTTCGATGTTTCAACTCGAAAAGGTTCGAAATTTCTTCGATGGAAGACAAGACAAATCCACTGGTCCTGTGATCTTCATAATTTTCGGCCATCTCCACGGGTTTAGTTGTCATATACAGTAGTATGAGATCCACGAACCCCCGGCCAAGACTCCATTCCTACTAACATAGATAAATATTGTAGATAAAAAAAAAATGGACTTGGGGCAATGGGCAAGGGCAAGGGCAAAATCCTCAGGGCTTGGCTGACGTGGTGAATGGCAAAGGGCCAAACGGCGAGAAAATCCCCCGGAAATCATTGCAACTCAATTCGGGGGGAGGGTTTCTTTCTTTCTCGCACGGGGCTGCAGGCGGACGGAGCGCGCCCTTTTTTTTTTCTCTGCCGCTCTTGTGCTAGTTCTCGGTTTCCCGAACGAGAGAGATTGGCCCCCAAGACTGGTTATTCGAATACACTTGATACATTCTTTACACAGCGATTCGCCTACAATCACTACTAAAAATGGACAGGGGCCATGAAACCTACATACCTCATTATTACACTATGGAGAAGGGCCACGGGGCCAACGGGGCAGCTCGGGCAAGCTCTTGGAGAGACAAAAGCGCTACTTTTAACGGGATGCACTCTGACCTCGAATTATCTCACGCCCCTGGTGTAATTTTCATGGCAATTGGCCTCGCATCAAAAATTGGCACGTCAGCCGCGGAAAGCGCAGGGGTCTCGGGTAGTCCGAGGCACGAGAGAAAGAATATGGAAAGATATATTGTCTAGACCAAAAAGAAATTAAGACCAAATTCGTTTGAGTCGTGTTGACCATGGTTTTTCTGTCTTTCTCCGCGCCGTTGGTCGGCTCGTGCACGACCAGCCAAACCCCGGGGTTCAATTCTGCAGTTTCTTCCCCAGATATGTACACATACATATAATATATAGATCAGACGACTCACTGCAGCCCGGGATATCTCATGTGTGGCTCGGAATGATTCGCTGGGAACCCGAGTGATTTACTAGGGGGTAGCTGCAGGTCTACGAAGCTTGATAGGAGGGAAATCGAATAATATGACAGATTTGCGATCGTAATGGGCGGTGATTTTGTTACTTGTCTGATGGGGAGATTATCCCGCACCATGGGACGTGCATCGCAAGCTGGGATTATTCCCTGCTCGAGGGAATATGCATACCCTGAGTATACATCGAAGATGTCTGGCGTTCCCGTCCAGCGTGGCACACAGATCCAAAGGAATGGCAACGCCCGTTTTCTCCATCCTCCGGACCCCAACCTCGTAGCGATGGTGATTATCACAATACTATATCGGACGGGATGTGATGAACACATGTCCAGCCTCGTCTCCTGCCTCTTGACTATTTTCAGCGACTTTTTTTTTTAATTGATTTGATGAAGAGTATTGTTAGGATTTTCTCTTTTCATGAAACCAGGGCGTGTGCTCAGGGACGGACTCGACGGGGCCGATCAGCATTGGCAATGAAGTCATCGTTGGATTCTGCGCCCGGTGATTCGGTGACGGGCCAGCCATCGCGACTAGACGACGATGTGGAGACCTCAAGAAGACGCGTCGGGCCATTCAGCGTCGGTGAATTAAATGACGCTTCTGGGATTTCTTTTTCCCCACGAGGGCCAGGGGGGCTCAAATGATATCGACTAGAGCAGCGTGGGCGAGGGATGTGGAAGAAAGAAGAGATAAGAGCGTGTGCTGAAGCGATAGGAAGTCTCATTGACTATGATATAATGGTAATTTGAAGACTGTAGGGCATGTTATGGGGGCATTGGCATACCTGTCTGAATGCAATACCCCTTGCTCTATAGTACAGTGTTCTCTCTCTCTATCTCTCTCTCTCTCCCCCTCTCTCTCTTCCATGTGTCTCGTCACATTGTCGTTCTCTTGACCCACAAGCGGATTGCAATTGAATTGGGTGTGTTTGGCCCAGGGAAATATATCTCCTCGGGCCATGTCGCTGCATCAAGTAATATACTCCTGCAAGGGATCCCTTCTCTCACTTGATGTGCTTTACTTTCCGGGCTAATTATTTTGTCCATTTCAGTCCAATTGCATCTGAATATCTCCGAATGTCTGATGGTCACTACATACAATATACATTTGCCAATTCCTCTAGTTTCTTGTCATCTTGGGGTGAGTAAGGATTGAAATGACTCTGGAGAAAATCGCGCATAGTCAAGTGGGCAGAACCGGGGCACCGCACTCGGCAGGAACCAGCGTATTTTGGAGGGTCGGCATTGTGCTGCCGGTCAGGCCGTGGGTGTAGCAGACACAGAGAGAGAAATGGTATGGAAACGAAGGAATTGAATTTTTTTTTTCTTATTTTTTTTGTGTAAGTTTTTTTTTTTTTTTTTTTCGGCGTATTTTTAGGGAATTTAGTTTTTTAAATTACACCCGCTAAACCACTTTGAGGCATCACTCCACTCGACGCTATGTACTGTTGGCCTGTTCTCTCCCCTTGGAGTCGAAGGAAGCTGTTCGGTAGGGCAAGGGGCAAAAAAAATAAATTTCAGAAAATTGAAATTCAGAAAATGAAAAAAATAAAAAACATAAAAAACATAAAAAACAAATGAATTTTTTCTCTCAAGCGGGTCTTCTTTTCCCCCAGCAACCGTACCCAGTCGACCTCATCGACAAACACGGGATTTCTCCAAAATACCTCTTTTGCTCTTTTTCTCTTTTTTTTTTCTCTCTCACACCCTCTCTTTTCGCTCATTATCCACTCACCCACTCCGGTTCCCTCTTTCTGTGCCCCCATACCCCATTATAAAGTAGTCCTTCCCTCTCCCCCCCCCCCTTTCCATTCTTACTCTTTTCCTTTCCTTTCCTGTCTATAGGATTTATTCCGTCTCTGGCCATCTCTGCCATCGTGTGTTGGTGTGTTTGCATCTGCTCATATCGTTGGGTTCCGCAGGCTTTGTGAGCCGAAGCAGCAGCAACAATGGCGGAGCGGAGAATCTCCTATGCTCCCGACGTGGAAAATGGCGATCGTCACCGTGAGGCTGGCGACGTCAACGACGGCAACCTCGATGAGTACTCGGCTCTCAACCGTTACATCTCGACTGCCCGTGATGGCCGCCGTGGCTCGGCTTCGAGCGCCGGTGGTCTGAGTGACACCGAGGTGAAGCGCCCCTGGTGGAAGTTCTGGGGCAAGAAGGGCGACGGTGTCCAGGGTGACTGGGTGTGTCCGGATGAATGGCTGGAGACCGACCTGCGCTCCGGTCTGAGCTCGGGCGACATTGAGCCCCGCCGCAAGAAGACTGGCTGGAACGAGCTGGTGACTGAGAAGACCAACATCTTCATTCAGTTCATTGGTTACTTCCGTGGTCCTATTCTCTATGGTAAGTTTCCCACGCATTTTTCGGTTTTTTGGGTGGCCTGCGAGGAACATACCCATGGAAAACCCCTGAGTCTATTTTGGCCCCCAAAAAAATCTACGCGTTTCTTGGCACTAACGCGTCGTGATGCTCACTAGTGATGGAATTGGCTGTTCTCCTCGCTGCCGGTCTGCGTGACTGGATCGATCTCGGTGTTATTTGCGGTATTCTTCTTCTCAACGCCCTCGTCGGTTGGTACCAGGAAAAGCAGGCGGCCGATGTCGTCGCCAGCTTGAAGGGTGACATTGCTATGCGTGCTGTCGTGATCCGCAACGGTCAAGAGGAGGAGATCCTCGCCCGTGAGCTGGTCACTGGTGACATTGTCATTGTCGAGGAAGGCCACGTCATCCCCGCCGATGTCCGCCTGATCTGTGACTACGAGAAGCCCGAGATGTTCGAGGCCTACAAGGAGTTCCTCGCCAACGCCAACGACGACGACCTCAAGGAGAAGGACGATGACGATGATGAGGATGCCCACGAGGTCCACACCGGTGTCTCCCTCATTGCTTGTGACCAGTCCGCCATCACTGGTGAATCTCTCGCTGTCGACAAGTACATGGCCGACACCTGCTACTACACCACCGGTTGCAAGCGTGGCAAGGCCTACGCCATCGTCACTGCTACTGCTCGCCACTCGTTCGTCGGTAAGACCGCCGCTCTGGTCCAGGGAGCCCAGGACCAGGGTCACTTCAAGGCTGTCATGGACAACATTGGTACCTCGCTGCTGGTTCTGGTCATGTTCTGGATTCTCGCCGCCTGGATTGGTGGTTTCTTCCGTCACTTGAAGATCGCTACCCCCGAGGAGAGCGACAACAACCTGCTCCACTACACCCTGATTCTGCTCATTATCGGTGTCCCCGTCGGTCTGCCTGTCGTCACCACCACCACCCTGGCTGTCGGTGCCGCCTACCTTGCCGAGCAGAAGGCCATTGTCCAGAAGCTTACCGCCATCGAGTCCCTCGCTGGTGTCGACATTCTGTGCTCTGACAAGACCGGTACCCTCACTGCCAACCAGCTGTCCATCCGTGAGCCCTACGTGGCTGAGGGTGTTGACGTCAACTGGATGATGGCCGTTGCCGCTATTGCCTCGTCTCACAACGTCAAGAACCTCGACCCCATCGACAAGGTTACCGTCCTGACTCTCCGCCGCTACCCCAAGGCCCGTGAGATTCTGTCGCGCAACTGGGTTACCGAGAAGTATACTCCCTTCGACCCCGTCTCCAAGCGTATCACCACCATCTGTACTTGCGACGGTGTTCGCTACACTGCTGCCAAGGGTGCTCCCAAGGCCATCCTGAACATGTCCGAGTGCTCTGAGGAGGAGGCCCAGCTCTACCGTGACAAGGCTACAGAGTTCGCTCGCCGTGGTTTCCGTTCGCTCGGTGTTGCCATCCAGAAGGAGGGTGAGCCGTGGCAGCTTCTGGGCATGTACCCCATGTTCGACCCCCCTCGTGAGGACACTGCCCACACCATCGCTGAGGCTCAGCACCTGGGTCTCTCCGTCAAGATGTTGACTGGTGACGCTCTGGCTATTGCCAAGGAGACTTGCAAGATGCTTGCCCTGAGCACCAAGGTCTACGACTCTGAGCGTCTGATCCACGGTGGTCTCGCTGGCTCCGCCCAGCACGACCTTGTCGAGAAGGCCGACGGTTTCGCCGAGGTTTTCCCCGAGCACAAGTACCAGGTCGTCGAGATGCTCCAGCAGCGTGGCCACCTGACTGCCATGACTGGTGACGGTGTCAACGACGCTCCCTCTCTGAAGAAGGCCGACTGCGGTATTGCCGTCGAGGGTTCCACGGAGGCCGCCCAGGCTGCCGCCGATATTGTCTTCCTTGCCCCCGGTCTGTCCACCATCGTGGATGCCATCAAGCTGGCCCGGCAGATCTTCCAGCGCATGAAGGCCTACATCCAGTACCGTATTGCCCTGTGTCTGCACCTCGAGATCTACCTGGTCACCTCGATGATCATCATCAACGAGACCGTCGAGGCCGACCTGATTGTGTTCATTGCCCTCTTCGCTGATTTGGCCACCATCGCTGTTGCCTACGACAACGCTCACTTCGAGGCCCGCCCCGTGGAGTGGCAGCTTCCTAAGATCTGGGTCATCTCCGTCGTCCTCGGTATCTTGCTGGCTGCCGGTACCTGGATCATCCGTGCCACCCTGTTCCTGAGCAACGGAGGTATCATCCAGAACTTTGGCTCGCCCCAGGAGATTCTCTTCCTCGAGATTGCCCTGACCGAGAACTGGCTCATCTTCGTCACCCGTGGTGGTAAGACCTGGCCCTCGTGGCAGCTGGTCATCGCCATCTTCGTCGTCGATGTTCTGGCCACCCTGTTCGCTGTCTTCGGCTGGCTCGCCCCCGACTGGCAGCAGACCTCGCCCAAGGACCCCGCTGGCCCCAACTTCTCCGTCAACAACGACGTCGACATTGTCACCGTTGTTGTCGTGTGGGCGTACTCGATCGGAGTTACTGTCATCATTGCCGTTGTGTACTACCTCCTGACCATCGTTCCCGCTCTGGACAACCTTGGCCGCAAGACCCGCTCCAAGGCCGACACCCAGATCGAGAACATGATCGCCCACCTGTCCAAGCTGGCCATCGAGCTGGAGACCGACAAGGAGGGCAAGGCCAAGTACACTCTGGGCGCCCGTACCGAGGATGTCGAGGAGGACGAGTAAGCTCGTTTGCTCTCATCTTTATTTCCCGCGACTCGATACTGGACCGAGTAATTTCCTTTTCACGCCCCCTTGCTATCCCCATACCACGTGAAGCACATTTTACCTTTGCTGCCGTTTTCTCTGGACATGCATACCCGTGGGAAGCAAAAAGGCCGGGTCCCGTCTTTTTTTCTTTCCCTTTCTTTTTCTCCCGTATTATAGACTTGTGTGTGTTTCATTTACCGCTTGACTCGCTTCTGGTGGGCAAGTTTTCCTTCTCTACGTGTATGTATGTCGTTAATAGTGGTACTTAGCCAATCATCCAAGGGATTCTAATGATTCGTGTGTCATCGTAGCATTCTTGTAGCATTCTTCGGATTATCCTGTCTCCCGTTCTCCCAACTGCCCTTGCTCATACCTTCTCTTCTCTTCTTTGAGTGAGGATCATCGATGTCCTTCGCCTGTTAACGCCTTTACAAGTGCTGTCCCGTTACGCTCGTTTTACCCCGCTGGTTGCTCACCCTGTCGACGCACTATGCCTCTGACAGGTGGAAGTCGAATTCTCCGTCCCTTTGCAATACCGCTTCCCCGGAACATTTTCCTGTGGGGAGACAAGCCTCGCCGTTTTATTGCCGGGGAATCTGTGGAGATCCTGACTGTACTCCCTCTGTTCAGTCTCCAGACCATCCATCTCCAGTTCGAAGTATGACCGACCTGCACGCGCAAGAGGAGGCGGCAGATTTTCCGTCTGCTCAATCGCTACAGAGCATCCCCGCTCCGCTTTAGCAGCGCCAGAGAGCGAGTACAAAGGGCATGCATGGATCAGGCAATCCATGATGGAGCCAAGGCGAAGAGGCCACTGCATCTCTTGTCGCCGCCATGGCATCATCTCGCCCATCTCATCTTCCTCTTCTTCTGGTGTATCTCTCCACCCTCTTTCTGCTGTGCACATCCCGTGTTCACTCGGCTGCTGTGCACAAACTCTCCTCCCGCCAGCAATGCCAACTCTCCGCTGCAGCCTGTCCAGCAGGGACACCAGTCGTCTCAGCGACCTATCCAGCAGCCAACTTCACAACCATCCAAGCAGCCATCAACGCCCTGCCCGACGACACCAGCCCGCAAAACGATACTCATTCTAGCTGGGGAGTACACCGAGCAGCTGAACGTTACTCGCGCAGGACCCTTCACGCTACTGGGCCAGATCCGTTCTGGTACTGGCACAGCAGCGACAGACGCATCCCAGAACCAAGTGCGCATCACTTGGGCAGCCGCCAACCACGACAACACGGGCCAGAGCATCGACAATGTCTTCACCAGCGTGCTGGTCGTGGCTCCGACGTTGGAGGTGAGTTTGACGGGCTCGGGGACGACGGGGTATGTCGTGCCTACGGATACGCCGTTTTGGAACCGTGATTTTTCGCGCGTATGACCTGGAGTTTGTCAATGACTGGGCTGAGTACTCGGATGGGCCGGCGCATGCGTTGAGCTTTAGTCGGGCGAAGGGCGGGTTTTATTATTGTGGGTTTTATTCGTATCAGGATACTGTATGTTTTCTCCCTTTCTTCTACCTCTTCCTTTCTGAGTGTCTGGTCCCATACTAATCTGTCCAGATCTACGTGGGAAAACTAGCAAACGCCTACTTCTACCATAGCATCATCGCCGGCCAAGCAGACTTCCTGTACGGCTCCGGCACCGCCTGGAAGGGTACCAATACAACTACTACATTTGAAAACAAGTACGGCGTGTACATCGTCGACTCGGGCGTGCGCGCCGCAAACTCCTCCATTGCGGCCGAGATCCGCGGTGGCTGTGCGCTCGGCCGGCCCTAGAACGGGCAGCACCGCTCTATCTTTGCGCGCTCGTTCGAGGACGGGAGTATTGCTGCTTCGGGGTACGTTGATTGGGTTGTCTCGGGTGTGGCACGCTATCAGCCTGGCGTCACGCTTATGGCGGAGTTTCGGGCTTCGGGGCCGGGGTTTCATAAGACGGGGCGTAGGGTTGGGAGTGTTGCTACGGTGTTGGATCGGAGGGGGTTTGAGCTGTATAGTGCACCGCAGAAGGTGTTTCAGGAGGAGAGGGGGGTATTTGGGGATATAGACTGGATTGACTGGGAGACTGTTGGCCATGAGCATGCTTGAGCGGGAGCATTGAGTACGGAGAGATCCTGGAATCTACTAAGCTATTATTCATTGCAATACAAGTCCCGGTTAAGCACAGAGAATGGGCATCACCCACAGCTCCCATACACATTCAGCCCACTCCCCAGCACATCCTGACACCCACTCTTCTTGCGATCCCTCGACTTGCGCGTCTCCGTCGCATCCCCCCTCCCCGCCTCGGCATCCCTCTTCTTCTTGGTCTCCTTCTCCGTAGCCTCCCTCACCTCGATCTGATAATCCAAATGGATGCCCTCAACGCCCGCCCTCCCACCACCGCCCTCCCTCGCCCCAGCCTGCAAAAGCTCCCCCAATCTCCCAAGTCTCGCCAGATACGCCGCACCCGAATCCGCCCAAACCCGATACTCCCACACCCGCAACGACCCGCGCTTCAGCGGATCCGAGCTGGCATCCTCGGCCAGCGCCACACGGTACACGAAGGTCTCATCCCAGGCCTGGCGCGTCGCCTTCCACTCGAAGGTGGCGGAGCCGCGCAGCGTCACAGCCTGATTGGTGTCGTCGACGACCCAACTCTCGTCGGGCTCGAAGGCCATGTCGTGGATTGCCAGGTGGTCGGCTAGTAGCTCGAAGTAGCGCGCTACCCCGTCCAGGCCAGTGAAGCTTCTTCCTAGGAAGGGGGCTAGTTGGGGCAGCCCGTGCTCGTGGGCTAGTGGGGTTGGTTGGGTTGTGAAGGTTGAGAGGAGGGTTGAGATTGGGGAGCGCGTTGGGGTTGTTAGGGCTTGGGTTAGTCTTTGGACTGGGTCTAGGAGGGTGGTTCGGGGGGTCATGGTCCTTAAATTATGATGGAGGGGGTTATTGAATAGTAGAAGTAGTAGAAGTAAGTAGTAGTAGGAGTGGTATCGTGTTCATCTATACGCTCCTTCAGAGCTGTATAGACTTACATAACTATGACGTGACACCTTCAGGGCTTCAAGTAGACCCTACGAAGACATACAGCGGAGTGAACGCTGGGAATCAAATAATTTATTGTAGTAGCACATCTTCTCAACTCCATGCCGGCCTGCGTGAGGTCTCAAGCAAGAAAAAGAACACCGAAGCCCAAGAAATCATACACCCCCCCATCCCCAGTCTCAATTACACATTTCCAAGATCACTGCCGCCAGGACTTGCCGCAGTTCAAGCACGTACAAAACAGCGTCATCGGTTCGTCCGCGCTGCGGGTCTGTGCCTCGGTGTAGGTCACCTTGCGCTGGCCGCACTTGCCGCACTGCAGGCTAGTACTGATACTGCGCTCGGCCTGAGCAACCATGGCCTTGTCCATATTCTCCTTTTTTATTTTGTTGTCAGCCTCGCGCTGCTCCGCAGACCGCAGCTCGTCGCTCGACATGCGCACGAACCGATCCGGGTCGATCTCGCCGTTGAGCACGCGCACGCGCAGGTTCGGGTTCGACTTGTTCTTGAGGTTCTGGAACAAACTCCGGATCTTCGTGCGGTACTGCTCCTTGGTCTCGGGTCCCAGCACATTGAACGCCGCCGTCTCCACGGCCACTGCCTTGGCCAGTACCGCCTTGGGCGGTTCCGTCGACCCCAGACACAGCCCGTCATACATCAATCCCGTGCAGCTGTCGCGCACCTTGTTCGAGGTCTGGTTCACATCCACCCCGTCTGCCTTCCAGGTGCGCTTGTCCGGCGGCACCGACAGCTTTGCTGCCTTCTCCGATGGCGTTGCGCCCGCTGGCGTTGACGTGCTCGTCCCATTCTGCGGCCTTGGCGACCCGCTCGACCCCCGGCTCGCGGCCGACGCTCCACCCTGCTTCTGCTTGTTCACCTCTGTCCGCCACTTGGACACAATTTCGCTCGACAGTCGCGCCACCTCCGGTGACTTGTGCTGCTTGAATTTGTTGACGATGATGCCGATGCGCGTCTGTCGCAGGAGGTCTTCTGATGCCCGTACCCCCTTTTGAATCTCCTTGAGCATATTCAGAATGACCGGCGCAGACTCGTTCTGTGTCGCAGCCTTGGTCAAGGCCTTGGCCTTGACCTCGATCTCTTTGGCGTCCATGGCCACGGCGGCAGAGGTAGTGGGTGACGGTCAAGTAACGTGGAGGCGAGGTGAGAGTAAACTCCGTCGTAATCTGATCAGCGTAGTCAGTAAAAGATTCATCACTTGTAATCCATTGTGAAAGAAATCCAGTCGAGGTGAGGGAGTGGGCGCATTTCAGAGCATCACAGCATACGCATTGTCGCAGGACACTGTTGACAGAGAAAAAACCTGTACTGCACAGAAACGAGCGCAAGCAGATTCATTGACCTGCCCCGACTGAAAAATCCCAGGCAAAGGCATTGCGCTCTCATATTGCACGTGGCTACCTTCTAGGCTCAGCCGGTTCATCACCGAGCTCAGGAGATAGCCCCGAAAAAAAAGCTAATAAAATCAATGCACATGTTGCGATAGCTCCCGAGTCCCAAGATAGCAGAGAAATATGGCGTGAAGTTCAAATAACGTGGCGGGTGCGATGCGCTGACACTCACTCTAGGAGAACCCACGACCGGGTCAGGGAGAAATGACGAGCGGAAGGCGGTCGCAGAGAAACTAAGGAGTGAAAGACAAGAAAGAGCACAGCCAAAGCCGAAAGGAGTGGGCGATGGATGGGGGAGGGCAAAAGGTGAAATTGACAGGTTGGGATGCTCCGAGGTTGAGTGCCAAGACCAACTTCCTATTTTGGAAATCCTCTACTATCGCCTACTCGACGTGACTTATGAAGAACTATGAAGTGATGTTGCTGGTCTTTGTATTCACATCTATATGGAATTTTGAATTTTCCCAGCGAGGAACCAGGGCTCATGAGACTATCCATGACAAGGTATGAAACCAAGGGATTTGATTATGTGCATCGGGTCATCATCGTAGACGGGGGTATATGGAAAGGAAGTTTGGCATGGCATGTCGTCAGGCGAGTTTGCAAAGCTGGCACCGGAATAGCCTCAGAGAGCAGACAGTCGGTGAAGATTTATGCCAGACAGTGCGCGGCGGGTGGGATTTCCCAGCGATTGTAGTCGGGATGAAGAGCCGGCGTCTCAGAACAGCAGAGGTCGATGGAGACAGCGGCGATCCAATGGAGAATTACAGACCCGTCTTGCCCAGAACATCGGCGAGCGCATCGACATCCTTGTCTGACTTTTGGGCCACCTTCTCCTCTTCGGCGCGCTCGGTGTCCTTCAGGTCCTTGTCGGCCTTGCGCTCTTCCTCCTCTTCCTCTTCTGCTTCCTCCTCTTCTTCCTCCTCCTCCTCCTCCTCCAGCTCGTCCAGCTCGTCGATACCCCAGGTGTCCTCGGGGTCGTTATCGGTACCGTGCTCCTCCTGACGAGCCTCCAGAAGCTCACGCAGGTCAGCAATGTGAGGGTCTTCATCAGAGAAGATGTTTCCGTTAAGCTCCACACGGCGCAGGCTCGGGAGGGCCGTCTTGGCCGCATGTGCGAGTTGCTTCACACTGTCTGCCTTGATCTCGTTGTACTGGAGACGGAGGGTCTGTAGCTTCTGGTTCTTGTTCGCAGCCAGAGCTTGGGCGAGCTTGACACCGCCACGGGCCGAAAGCAGGCAGTCACCTACACCCAGCTCGAGCAGCGAGGGCCAACCCTCTAGGACGGCTGCCAGAGCAGTAGAACCCATAATGGTAAAGGTGTTGTCTTGCAGATCCAGGACCTCGAGAACGCTGGCATGTCGGAGACCGTTCTTCAGTAGGTGCGAGATACCCTCTTGCCGAATGCCGTTCTGTGTCATCTTCACCGACTTGATACCCGCGGCATGCACCTCGTAAGCGCGGGCCCACGCTTCCATACTGCCATTTTCCAGGCGGTTTCGCCCACAGACAATGCTCTCCAGCAGCGCAACCTCTTTACCGGCCTTGCGGGCCTCCTCCTTGCGCTCTGCCAGCTTGGTAAGGGCATTGGCAACCAAGGTTCCAGCGGCCGGGCCAAGTCCATTGTTGTTGAGAATCAGGTGACGGAGAGGGGAGTGGCGCGAGAGGAAATCGACGAGGGGGGCCTGGGTATTGAGACCAAAGGCATTATCGGAGAGGTTCACGGTGTGGACGGTGGGGATCTCGTTGATGGCATTCAGCAGGGAGGTCAAGGCAGGCGGGATTTCCGACAAGAGGCGGGAGGTGAAGATGTCCGCGAGATCGGCCACCTCGAGGTTCTTCTGCGTCGAGAGGACAGTGGCCAAGCGCTCAGAAGCACCCACGCCCAAGGTGTTGCCACCAAGCCGAATCTCAGTGTAATCAACGCTTTCTACCAGGGGCTTGATGTGAGTCTCAATGTCCTCCGCACTGTCGAGCTTGAGGCCTTTGCCTTCGAGGGAGAAGATCTTAGGAGGGGCCATGGCGGGGTAGTGGTTTGGGGAATTCACAGCTTCAGGTGAAAAGAAGTGAGGAATTGCAATGAAATCAAAAGGAAAGAAGGATTTCAGCAGCCAGAGAGATTCTAGCCAGACCAAAGATGAACAGGAAAAGGCAGCGCAAGAGAGCGCGGGGCAAAACAACGCGGGCGCCAGAAAAAAATCGCTACGGCGGACCCTGGCAACCAGTGGCGCAGGCAATTAATAATGACCGGGACAGCTTCGACTTGGACGTCTTCCACGCTCGCTTTTTGCTTTTTGTCTACTCCAATCGCTCTTTCGCAGACATAACCCCCCCTACATAATGTGGCCCTTTAGTTCTTCGAGTGGTACGTCTCCAGATTGCGTCTGCTCGAATCCCCGGAGTCAATGATCTATCTCCACTGGTTCGCGCGAGATCTACAATCGGACGCCAGGACAACATTGAAAAGAATGGACCTTTGACTAACACATTCGAGGGACAACAGACAAGAGCGCTGCTCCGGCCCAGCCTCCTGCTCAGCCTGCTCAAACCGACAAGCCCAAGGTACGATTCCGCAGCCCCAAGACAAATTGACGAGCGCTGAACTGACTCTACCCTCTAGCCCTGCTGTGTCTGCAAACCCGAGAAGACCGCCCGCGACGACTGCATGTTGTTTTCCAAATCCGACGATCCCACCCAGGAGTGCAAGTTGACGATCGAGCAATACAAGACCTGCATGGCTGGGTTCGGCTTCAAGGTCTAAACTCGGTGTTGCCTTGACAGGCTGCGCGTTGTATTATACGCTGTATCATAGCATTTACCGGCCGGAGTTCTTTTTCTTGTGGATATCATTTGGTCTCTGGAGCAATGCTTCAGTGTGGATTATGGGAACTCGGTTTTAGAATTGCGATCAAGGTCTATAGAGATTGAAGCTAAATCCAACATCTCATCTCCTATACAACACACAATTAAATTCACGCCGAGACATACTGCATATGAGCAACTTTTTAGCACTTTGCCCGATAAAATCTCACGAAATGGGGTATCACTTGAAAATGCACACGGCCACCCTCCAAGGAAAATGCATCACTGCTTTTTCTTCCGACTGTCTTCTTCGGCTGCCCGACGATCAATTCGACGGCACTGGGTGACCAACTTCCACATGCACCATAGATAGGCAATTCCAAACCCGCCAGCCCCGATCAATGCATTCAGCACAAACCACAGATCCGGCTTGCTGGCCGGTGGAACCACGAACGCTTCGAGAATATGCCACACTATCATGGCGATATAGAAGCCGAAATGGACGATTTTGGTGAGAAGGTAAGGCTCGAAATGCGGGCTGGACCCCTCTGATGTTCCCCGGCTCCGATATGTCTCGAACGAAGTCGGAGGGAGACCAAGGAGGTATGCCCAAAGCAGGGTCATGACAAAGTAGGGAACGCGTAGCTCTTCCCGCTTCAGGAGCGGGTACATGGTCCACGAACCAAGCACGTTAGCCCAACCCACCCACGCGCGATTCTCCTTGCTCAACCCGCCGTCACCGGCAAGCAGAAGTGTCATAGGCAACAGGGGTAGCAGTACGCTTTTCTCGTGAACCTGGAAAGAGAACAAAAAGAACCCCCAAGAAACGCACGAAAGAGCAGGGAGGAGAAGTGATGCGCGCGGATGGCGGAAAATGATACCACAAGGAACAGTAATCGAGGCCAACGTGGCTCCCAGCGAAGCCCATTGCAGTAGCGACGTATCGAAGCGGGTGAGCTTGTAAAACGTGTGGATAGCGCACCAAGCGTTGGCGACTTTGTCTTCGAAGAGACCGCGCGCAAAAGGAAACACGCGATGGATGGTTTGCGCCAGCTGGAATAGCAGCGCGTATACCACAGAGTTCTTCTCCACCGAGATCTGTAGCGCTTGCAACATGGGAGGTTGGGGCGCCGACGCAAGTGCTTTTCGAGCTTCAGCATCCGTCGCCCCAATCGTGAGCGGAGCAAATAGCAAAGCAAAAGCGGCCACTGTGACGAGAGATATGTTGATAAGCCGAAGGACGCGGATCCGGGGGAATACGCAGACACCCAGAAGGTAGGCGAACATCACAGGCGCATAGTAGAGGGCCATTTGTTTGAACCCCAATGCACCCACGAAGAAGATGCACGCCCAGAGCATCCGCCCAGCCAGGATAGCATCGAGGCTGGCTACCACCAATCCGAGCATAACAGTATTATATTGGAAGTGTCCGTGGTCGATGAGAATGGTCGCTGGCTGCATGAGGACTGCCACCAGAGCAATCGAGGAGGACCAGGCATGGACGCCCTGCATCCGAGTATAACGACGGAGGAAGTTGACAATGGCCGGGATGTAGATCAGGTACTCGGATACGACGACAGTGGCGCGCATGTACACCTTCAAATGGGGGTCCTCAAACCCGCGAGAATCGTTCAGTGCGAACCACGCAGGATCAACGGCGGAACCGCTACATTGGTCAGTCAGAGCCCTATCACAATATACCACGAGAAAAGGGGTCCATACATCTTGCCAAGCAGCCAGCTGTGATATGCGGTCAAGGGTGGGTAGTCAAGGCCCCAGTATTGTAGGTCGAAGAGGTACCATTGGAACATGGGCAGATGGGTGGTGAGTTCCATCCAATGCCTTTGCGCCTCGAAGTCACCGTGCATCGGAGGTACTTGGAAGCCTAGAGGATGTAAAATATGTCAGATCCACGGACTCGCTATAAGCCAGGCCACCTTTCATACCAGAATAACCCCATAGACTGACAGCCCATCGAAACAGGCCGACTGCCATGAGTGTGAGAGGCAATATGAGCCATTGTGAGACCCCAGCACGCGCAGCCCAGAGGAATGAAACGAGAGGAAATGCCGGCGATGATTTTCCATCTCCCGTATCGACGATTAGATTATTGTTGGAGCCGGGGGTAGTAGAGAACTTTCCCTTCTTGCGCGGGCGATGGGAGGGAGTCGGAGGGGCCATCACGATACGGGCCAGGTGGCAAGTCCACTGTGGCCCATTGACCGAGAGAAAAGATGATGTGGCTGTATTTGAGACAATTCGGGGTGGAATTGCAGACCGGAGAAGGGAAGGTGAACTGGCGTATGCCGTCCGAGGAACACGCAGGAGCGACGTCCGCAGTACCAGACAGTGACATTGCAGGACAGCTAGTAAATGCAGGCTCTTGAGTCGCCAGGAAGTACCCACTAGGTACCCACTCCAGTCTGCGGTCTAAGTTCCTGAACTAGCCACATAAGGAAGGCGGAGAAGATTCTGCCAGCCTCCGACTTTTTTTTCGCTCGAAATTTTCTTATCAAGAGCTTCCCCCAGCTGCTCTTATTTTTTTTTCTTCTTCTTCCTTGCTCTCTCATCCTCCTTCCCATCCCCTTTTACTCTCATCACAACCTACTTGATAGGTTGCTTCTCTTGTCTTTACGACAAATAGCTTCCCCTTCCTGCGATCTTTTTAACTGACGCAGCAGCGTGGTTCGTACTAAGCAACGTACTTCAACAGACACTCTGGGCTTTATCACATCGTGGGCTGAGGGCTTGACATACTGCAAAACTATTCTGTGGGCTCTGTGGGAATTTCCTCGTGGGTTTCATATCATAGACAGTTGCCTTATCTCCTGTCGGTCTCTGTGGGCTTGAACACCGTCCGTTGCGGGTTACTTGTGGGTTTTTACGTCCATATCTGAGGGCTATCATATTTCACATCCAAACACGGGTGAATCTGAGGGCTTGTTGGCTTTGCCGCACAAACCGAACTATTTGATTTATTTGAAACAGTATGTGCACATGCCCTCGTGACTTTATTTCTGATATTTGCCAGTGCTGACTCTGATCTTCTCCTAGCTCAAAATGTCCAAGACCAAGGCCACTACCAAGGGTGCCGACAAGGGCAGCAAGGCCTTGAACAAGGTCAAGGATTCTGGCGTCACCAAGGCGTCCCAGTCTCCCGCCGCCAAGAACAAGGTTGTGGCTCGTAAGGTTGCTGCCAAGGAGGAGAAGGCGCAGCGCAAGAACAAGAAGAAGGAGCCTACTCCCAGCAGCTCCGAGTCTGAGTCTGACTCTGATGAGGAGATGGACTCCAGCTCCAGCAGCGAGAGTGAGGAGGAGAAGCCTGCTCCCAAGAAGAATGCCAAGGACACCAAGAAGCCCGCCAAGAAGGAGGAGTCTTCTTCGGAGTCCGAGTCTGACAGCGATGAGGATATGAAGGATGCCTCTAGCAGTGAGAGCGAGAGCGAGAGCGAGGAGGAGAAGCCTGCTCCCAAGAAGGACGCGAAGAAGCCGGCGGCCAAGGCCGAGTCTTCCTCTGAGTCCGAGTCCGAGTCCGCGTCCGAGTCCGAGTCCGAGTCTGAATCGGAGGATGAGAAGCCTGCTAAGAAGGAGGTCAAGAAGACGGCTGCTAAGGACGACAGCTCCGACTCGTCTGACTCTGACTCTGACTCGTCCGAATCCGAGGATGAGGCTCCTGCTAAGGCTAAGGATGCCAAGAAGTCTAAGAAGGTATGTCTTTTGCTTTTGTACAAACTTGATGATTTGCTAACATTCCTTTGCCAGGAATCCTCCGACTCGTCCGACTCTGACAGCTCTGAATCTGGATCCGACTCCGACTCCGAGTCTGAGGACAGCGAGGAGACCGCCAAGAGCTCTAAGAAGCGCAAGGCTGATGAAGAGCCTGCCGCCTCTGCTAAGAAGTCCAAGACTGAGGCTCCCGAGGGTGCTTCGGCCAACCTCTTCGTCGGTAACTTGTCCTGGAACGTCGACGAGGAGTGGCTCCAGCGTGAATTTGCCGAGTTCGGTGAGCTGGCTGGCGTCCGGGTTGTGACGGATCGCGAGTCGGGCCGCTCTCGTGGGTAAGTTTTTATTCCTATCCCTGGTGAGGCGATCAGTTTGCTAACCATTTCTCGTAGCTTTGGCTACGTCGAGTTCGCCAGCGCTGCCGACGCTGCCCAGGCTTTCGAGGCCAAGAAGGGTGCCGAACTTGACGGTCGTGCGATCAACCTGGACTACGCTGCTGCTCGTCAGTCCAACAACCAGCAGGGCGGCCAGGACCGTGCTCAGGCTCGTGCCCGTTCCTTCGGCGACCAGACCAGCCCGGAGAGCGAGACTCTGTTCGTGGGCAACCTGCCCTTCAGCGCCACTGAGGACGCTCTGCACGAGCTCTTCGGCTCCAGCGGCGGCGTCCAGGGCATCCGTCTGCCGACCGAGCAGGAGACCGGTCGTCCCAAGGGCTTCGGCTACGTCCAGTTCTCGTCGGTGGACGAGGCTCGCCAGGCCTTCACTGACCTGCAGGGCCACGAGCTCGAGGGACGTGCCCTCCGTCTTGACTACAGCACCCCCCGTCCCAACAACGGTGAGCGCGGCGGCCGTGGTGGCTTCGGCGGCCGTGGCGGTGGCCGCGGTGGCTTCGGTGGTCGCGGTGGTGGCCGTGGTGGTGGTGGTCGCGGTGGTGGTGGCCGTGGTGGCTTCGGTGGCCGCGGCGGTGGCATCAACAAGGGCAAGGGCAGCATCCCTGAGTACAAGGGCACCAAGGTTACCTTCTAGGTTACCCAAGGTTTTGTATTGTTTACTACATAGGGTTTGATTTTTGCTCTTTTCTGGGTGTATCTGGGACTCTGATTTCGGAGGGCAACAAAAGTTCTTTATTTTATGCGCCTTAGGATATATGCAGTAATTCCATCCGTCATTTTGCTGTTGTGCTACGCTGTCTGCATCCCAATAAGGGAGATGTGAGGTGATCTTAGTGTATCCTGCCACTCGGCTTCCCCGCGATGGAGATCTCCGACACGTTGCGCTGCCCAACGCATTTTTCTTTTTATGCAGTAAATTGTCTAAGACGTGGAATTCTATTTTGATATTTTGATTGGAGTATGATTTCCACTGCTCAATTTATATCTATTTAATATCATTTTTTTTTATCAGGTTATTCTCTGATTTTCTTACTTCTCCCATATTTTCTTTGAGCGCCCCTCGCGTCCCGTCACGTTTGGCCGCAGATCACCTGTGCCGCCTGCTGATCACCTCATCATCCACTTCACCCTTCGCAAGTTCCCAAGGTTCTTTTTCTTCGAGTCCGTGCCCGCCAATATCTCCGCAGACATCTTTGTGGCTACTTCCGAGTCTGCACACCTGGAAACGAGTTCCCGCCTGTGCTTTTAGGCAGCGATAAAGTCCAGTGGATGTCTCCACTGATAAGAGATCTTCATTGATCTTCCCCACGCTGACCGCTCCCTAGTTCCCAGCACCGGGTGGCCTGATCCCAGCTCGTTGTCTTATTTTCTTTATTTCTTCTATCTCCCCTTCACATATATCCCCTTCCATCCTACACTGGCCATGCAACCAAATCACTGCGACCTGCTGGGTCAGGTGCCTGAGTCCAGAGCCGCAAGTCGGATGACGCGCGATGGCCAGAGTCGTGGTCAGTCACGCCCATCCGGTGCAGCCGCCATGAGATCAGAGGGTATGTTCGAGTCCTTTTTATATTTCAGCCTGTATCCTCGTCTCCCCTGTCGATCTAGGTTCGACATGCATATACACTGTTCGCTTCTACTAGTTCGCACGCCATGTACTCACTCCAGTATTACATAGACTCTTGGATCGAAGTCTCATCGCAGCCGTCGTCTTCATCCTTGTCCTCCGCTGCCACCGATGACATTATCACCACTGGTCTACAGGTCGAGCATCACGAGACAGGGGCATACCAGCGTCGAAGTCGCCGTCGCCGCCTGCAACATTTGGCGGCCGTCACCACCGCCCAGGTGGACTACTCGTCGCGGGAGGCCAGTAGCAGCCAGGAGGAATATGAAGCGAGCGAGAGTGAGTCGGATCGGGCCCTGGGCAGCTCAAATGAAGAGATCCGACCTCCCCTGCACACTCCGTTGCCTGCCCGGTCTGAACCACCGTCCAATTCGGATGCGACTTCCAGTGATGATGAGGATGATACTTCAACCGCCTTGGGCATGGGCATTAGCCCGTCTCCGTTTGTGCCGCAACCCAATGTTTTTACGCATCCCCCGGCCACACAAGATCCTTCTTGGACTCGCCCTACCGACTCGCGCCGCTCTCAGCCAAGTGTTTTGTCTAACTCAAGTCGGCGGACCGCCGTTCGAAGAGAATCATATCCCAGCATACACTCGTCACGCCGCCCTCAGTCCCAGCATAGCCCTTACAGTATGATCTCGCCTTCCCACCATGCTGATCACGATGCCGCCCTGCGTGCCAGCCTCTCCACTCTCCTTTCGTGTGCTGCTGCTGCACGAGGGCTGCCCAAACCAGACCCTCAGCCCTCCTCGGTCAATCCTCCGCGAACCGCACATCCATCCTCGTTCCGGCTCGTGGGTGAGTCTGTTGCTATGGGCGAGGAAAGTGGCGACGAGGAAGCCCCGTCGCCCCGGTATACAGAACCAAGCCCGTCTGCTGGACAACCCCAGCCTCGGCGACATCCACAACCTCCAATGGCGGTGCCTGGTTCCGTTGCACCCAAAGTCAAACGACGGTCCAGTTTTCCCAAGGACCGCAACACCATGCATAAAAAGAGTCGTCGTGCAAGCCTGGCCGATTCGACTACCCCGCCTAGCCCGACGATTATGACCTGGGTCATCAGTGCTGGTGTGGTTGTTTTATTCTCAGCCATTAGCTTTTCGGCAGGGTACATGCTTGGCCGTGAGGTCGGCCGGACTGAAGTAGGGGTCATGGGTGAGGGGGGAGTCCCCGGTGCCCGGTCCTCGGCAGCGTGTGGCCAAGAAGCTGTCCGGGGAGGGCTCAAGCGGCTGCGCTGGGGAACAGCTGCTGCCGGGTCTGCGAGCCTGGCCTAAATGATTGCAAATGCACGATCACGACGTCAAGAAATGGTTCAGATGATATGAAATGCTGATGACAAGCGTTCTAATAAGCTGACAGAAGATGGGGCGGCGCAATTTTGTGGACCAGTTGAACGGTTCTTTCTCTTCTTCTTTCTACTTGGGGATCAATGGTCTCTCTTTTTCTACGACCAGGCAATACCGTACATCTTGTGTTTGTGGATTTTCTGAACCCTCTCAGCAGGAAAAACTGGCGCTATGCTTTTTTCTTTGTCTGTTTTCTCTTCTAGTTGGCTGTCCTTATTGAGCATTGCACTTTTTTTCGTGTGTCTTTGGTTCTGAATCTTCATCTATACCCTCTTTTCACTATGGCTTTATTTCATATGTGCCAAGTATCTTAATTTATGCTGTAATCAAATTGGTAACTGCCCGCCTCCAAATCATCTATAGATGGCCCACTCAACCTATGTTGATGCTAGCTTTGTCTTGACTATTCAAGTCTATATAAGAGCTAATATGGGTCCATTCGTAAGTGGATTTCTCGCTCTTCGATAGAAAATTATAGTCAAGGCATGAAATGTAGATAGATAACCTTGAACAGAAGGTACTACTTAGGTAGTGAGATTTCCACCGTGACTCATCGCCATGGTGTCAACAGATAGATTTCAAGAATATCTAGAAATATACCCCTCAACTACCCTTCCAAGCTTTCCTAACCCCTATTTCTGGATTCCTAACTCATTCCCACCTAAAGGTAAGCCCTATCGAGACATCCTCTAAGATCAACAAATAACCATTGCCACACACAGCCCAACAAACTCCTCACTTCCTTTCAACCACCATGCCACACAGCACCAAGCCGCAAGATCTATCACCCTCGGTCAAGTTATTTGTGATCACCACTAAAGATGGCACATCCCGTGCGCAATTCAACGAGCAAGTCAAGGGGTTTGACAATAGTGCTGGGAGCGAGAGTGTCCACGATGCCGTCGAGTATCAGGTGTACAGTACTTATCTCACTCCATCTCAGGCGGTTGCGATGAAAAAGATTGAGTGTGTCCGGTATGTGTGGGAAGAGTTGGATCTGAGGTATGAGGAGGATACTTATTCGGACGACTAGTGGATTGATTACCTTTATAGTTATGACTGATGTATATATTTTTTTTCTGATATTATTGGTCTTCCGATTCTTGATTCCTAGTGATCTGTTGTTGTTTAGAATGGATTTCAAACTATATATTTGGGTCATTGTGTGTGGAACATGGAAATGGGATCTTTTGGATGGATGATTCCATGGATAAAATCATAGAAAGCCCCGAGCACAAATCTAATATAAAGCACATACATATATCAATATATGCAGGAGTATAATAATATCAAATATATCAAATATCCGAAAGGCACGCTGTGGCGCCAGAAAGTGGCGTGAGCTCAGCCCTACCCGCCGGAAATCAAATCGCAAGGACTCTCCACTTTCTCGCTGGAGAAAGACTCCCCCCTGCTCCCGAGTGTTGAGGGGACAAAGATGTCTCGAATCAATGCAGGAACTCGGGTGATTGTCACCCGGATCGATCGATCGGAAGTCCAGATAAACACCCCATGGATGTTTCACCATGATTTATAATTTATGACTGTTATTTTAATTGATTTGATTTCAGTTTCTGCTACTGTCTCCATATCACCCTTTATTTTATTTTACTATCCACACTCACCGGCGCCCGGGTCGATCACCCGGGAGGGGACCACCTACGCCATGGGCGGGCTGATCGACAGGGTTCCTGGATGGATGGGTGTGTGCCCCGGGGAGGAGAGAGAAACAGGTAGAGGGGCCAGGTATTAACTCGGTAGTTTGAGTAGTGATCCATGCACCGGGGAGACAGAAAAGCGAAAAAGAAAAGAAAAAGACAAATCTATCGCTGTCTATGGGTGTGTATCTCTGTAGGAGCCTTGCTAAGAGTTTGGTAGCACGTAAGATCCTCCCCGGGGCATGAGGCCAATGTAGGTACCAAGCGCTAATGGGCTGGTAGGTTATCTCAAATACCGTATGATGCAGGAGAAAGTCAAAAGTCAAGAGGTCAAATGATATAATTCTATTATTGCATTGATATAATATGATATTTTAAAAAATAAAAAAGAATTATTGATCTTCACGGCTCGGCCCTCTCCCCCACCAAACCCCGAAACAAGGTTCAGAGCCCCCTCGGTTTTGCCCCTGAACTGTATGGGTATTTTAGTCCATGGATTCTGTCTATAATGTCTAAGTATCTAAATATATATAACGAGATAGGAAGGGAAAAAAAAAAAAACGGAATTGATTTGAATTGCTCTAGTGGATGACATCCATGGATTGAACTATGGATGACAGATTCAAGCAGTTGATGCGTCGAGCCGGTGCGGAGGCGGGCGATCATTGCTGGCTGTAGCTGGGGTGAGAGCGATGTTTAGCGCCGGGGTCAATGCGAGTAATGAGGATTGGGGGGGATTCCCGGGTCATACCCTCTCGTGTCACATCTGCTACGGTAGCAATTTGCTTCTATCTATAGACTCACACTCACCCTAAAAACCCTAAAAAGATTTGATTTGATTTCGGGGAGTACCCGTTGATCCGCAGGGCGTTGGTCGATTACATTGTGACGTGATCTAGCGAGAGATTGACTATCTACACGTAAGTAGAGAAGGTAGATATTGTAGGAATGGATGCTTTGGCTAGGAATAGATGCTGCCGAAACCATATTTATGTAGCTGTTTCTAGCATATATTCAACCATCTATATACATCAGATTCCAAAATGCAGTCACCATAACATGCCCGTCAGAATGGAAGTATCAAAAATCAATCCATCTTAGATATTGCCCGTGAACCCCATAGAACTCCACGCTAACCATCGCTTCCCTAAGAGCAGTAAAGAAAAGAAGTGTAAATGACATGAAAGCTTGCACTCTTGAGAATCCAGAGCAAACCACAAGAAAAAAAAAGACAAAAGAAATAAGAGTAAATCAGATCAGGATTCCTCGTAGAGCCTGAGTGACAGAGAATATTCACGGATTCAAAAAGAACGATGTGGTCTGAATGAAGTTCGAGAAAGAAGTTGGTCGGTGGATGTATGGTGAAATGAATGGAAAAGGCCCAAGCACTTCATGTAGTTGCATTGGACCCCCGCCGGTATTTTAGTTGGTCTCGGCTGAGGAGTCGACGAAGCTTGGACATGAAGCCACATGGTTGTTCACTGCCGCGTCGTGTTGGGATCAAAGGTTCTTCGAGAGGTTGAGTCGTATAGGCGGCTGCCCAGTAACCCGTGTGGCGGTAGCCGGTAAAGGTGCAGCTGTTGGGGTTGTATTGCGGCTGCAGGGCAGTGACATGCGGGTAGAGCGTTGCCAACGGGGAGAGGAGTTCATCTGGTGGCGGCGAGCGTCTACTATCGATGCTTGCTCGAGTCTAGATCAGAATAAAATGTTAAAGGAAAAACGAAACAAAGAAAAAGCAAGAGAGTGTGCAAGAGGCAACTCACGTAGAGCTCATAGTTGGTCTTGTAGCTCATGATGGACAGTAAGTCGTAGACTAAAGCAGACGAAACAACCTTGAAAGATGCAGAAGCTGTTGTTGAGATACAGCAAGATCCGCTGCATTTAAAATCGAGGTGCAAGCCTCAGCCCAGCCTCAACAGCCCCCGGGGGGGAAAGTGAGTTCAGACGTCAAGGTGGGTGGGCTAGTTGCTCTCTTCGTCGATAGATAGGATTTGGGTGTGTCCAGGATCCCGGGTCTCCATCGCCCCACGGCCCCATGACCGAGCTGGGTGTCATTGGGTGCACGGCGAAGCCCGAGCGCAGGCTTCGATGTAACCGATCGGTCGGGGGCCGAGAGAAGATCAGGATTTTCTCGTAAAGTGCAGATCACATTCGAATCAGATTTTTTTTTGTCATGTTCAACCAAATTCAAATCATACCCCTGCACGGGCATATCCTCTCTCCCCTTGCAGGTCTTCCCACGTTGGGGAAGCAAGTCTGATGCAGAAGACCGGTGGGGTGCATGAGTTGACGTAGAAAAACTAGTTTCAAGGTCAGTACAGAGTGGATGAGTAAGGTAGGGCTGGGATCAACAAATGACCTAAACTAGTATCCGTGTGCGAGATGGGATCTGCCACTAGCTTCCAAATCATTCCTGGATCCCTGAAGACTGGGGGGAGGTAGGTAATAGTCAGGCAGACTAAGTGGGACTATTGGCAGCGTCATGAGGACCAACAATGCACCGCCACAGACCCCTTGCTATTTGAGGAAAGACGCACGAGCCACACGCTCGGCCACTCCGTGGCTAGTGAAAATAGTGGCTCAAGCTCTAATGTGGCTGGTGTATAGCTCTCCCCCGGCTACTCCACCCTTCTCCCCTCCGAAAGCCGAACTAGCCCTTGATCTTCAACTGGTTTTTTTTTTTTTTTTTTTGGCACACCGACCCTTGGTGGTCTCGGTCGTTCCGTCATGGCCCGCCAAACTATAAGGGCCCCTCCATCTCCTCCCATGCCTCAACTTCCATCCCACTTTGTGTTCAAGTCTTTTCATCTGTCTTAAACCAAAGACTCTTCTCTCTTGTGTCTTGTTTCCTCTACACATGTCGACTGTCGACCATGTCTCTGAGCATGCAGGGTTCCGGAAGAGAGTACTGGGAAAGCTCTCAGCCTATGGACCTACGCGATCCCTACTTGCGCGAGCATCTCGCTTCAGGTAAGTTTTTCTGTCATTTTCCCTCTTCCCTCCTTCTGCTGGTTACACTAGTAGTTATGTGTGGCTTGTATTCTGAGATATCTTCCCCCGCGGTCCAGGGTCCGAGCGAGAAGCTGAACGCATCGCGGACAGGCGTGGGCACCACACTCTCGACGAGGGAATGACCCATCCCGATGCGCACGCGGTTCTGTATGACGGCGAGTTTGGGCGCGTCGATCCCACGGGCTGGTTCCCACACTACAAGGGCTGTGTGCAGTACTTTGTCGAGTGCAGTCAGCACACGTCCACGGTCCAGTCGGTGGCCGCCTTTATCAACATCCGCCTGCCCTGCCAGCAGCCGTCGGATCCAGTCCCCGGATCAAGTGCACCGGTGTCGTCACCGTTTGTTTCTCTCCGGCCGTACCTTCGTCGCTTGATTGTTACGGCCCAGGACTCGCCTGTTGTTATGCGCGCTTTCTTCGGCGACAACTGGGAGGCCGGCGTCGGCTGTATCTACAAGCAGGAGCGCGCCAACTACCTTTTCGCTGCAAAGAGTGGTGGCTGGGCATCCACCAAGACCGCCTATGATATTCTGCCCGATGAGCAAACCCCGTTCTTGCGACCCTTGCGCGACCCGTCCGAGGATGAGATCCGCATGGCTGAAGCCCGGTGGAGTGAATGGTTGGCCATGGAGGATTGGATGGTGGGGGCACGAAGTCCCTGGTAGCTGAGGGATGTGTGCCTGTGATGAGATTATGACCTATATTTTCTTTTGTCCTGATTTTCTTTTTTTTTGCGAAGGAGAAAAGTCCCTTGTGTCGAGGAGTATTTCCGGCGTTGACCCCTGCAGAGACAATTTCGATTGGGTTTTTTCTATTCAGTGATTGACACGCATAGTGAATTTGATTGATATATATATTTGATGATACCCCGTGTGATTGGCGTAGAAAAGGATTCCTGACAGTGATCGCCCGCGGATCCCCAGTCTGTCAAAATCGATAGTCGCACCGCCACAGGCACAGACCAGACTGACAAATAGTGAATGTCAAGTATTGAGTGTCAAGAATGTCATGTCCAGATGTACAGAGTATTCTGTCAAGAAACACCGATGTAGATATTAGGATGGATCCATGAATAAGGCGCTGGTAGCATGACTCGTGTACTAACGCCGACCTCGAGGGCAGCATCAAGTCTGACTCAGTCGGCCACGCCCTGAAAACATCATTCAACCTGTCAATTCCCAACTTCTTTCAGTTAAACCTTTCCCACAACCCGCCTCGGCAGCGTGCCCCCGATATTCTGATTTCCAGATCTCTCTTTCTCTCTTTTTTCTTTCCCCTCCCCGACCACGATGGAGTCGCAGGATTGCATCTACGAGCATGATGCGCAGATAATCCCGCATCTCGTGTCACACCTCCCGTATTCCAGTACAGTCCTCCGCCGCATCCAGCATGGGCTTGTGTACCCATCGGCCACGGCCAAGATCCTAGCGACGTTCCCGCCGGGCGCAACCCCTGAGCAGCCGTGGCTGGCGGCGCAAGTGGATCTATTCCGCGGTCGCGAGACCCAGATGGTCGTGTATTCCAGCCTGGAAGCGGAGCACACGTCAAACGAGCCGATCGGCCCTGTCAACCCAGCGACTAGTCAGACTGATTCCCATTATCATACTAATAAGGCTGCCGATCCTCATCATCATGATCAGCATGCTACTACTGCTACTACTACTCCTGCCGATGATGATGATCATTTAAGGGTGTCCACCCTTGCTACCAGCCCGCTGGTCCTAGCGCGCGCCCGGGCCCAGCTATTGGCCTTATTGTCCTATGTCAAAGCGTACCTGCGTCCGATCTACCTGTCATCTCTGCAGCCCGCATCTGCTGCCGCGGGAACCAGCCCAATCCAAAACAATCCTCAACCTAATCATCCTGCCGTCCCCCTGATCCCCCCACCTGACCCACTCGCCTTTCTGCTGGGCAGCCTGCATACGGGTCTCTTCGCGCTTCTGCAGCAGTCCGGCTCGTACCCGGGCTCGTACCCTTTGGCCGGGCTTCGGGTTCATCGTGTCGATTTCCCGCCGTACTACAAGTATGTGTTCCCACGAGAGGTGTTTTGTCCAGAAGGTGGAGAGTCTGAGAATGATACTGCCGAGCTGGATTTGCCGCCGGGGTATCGCTACCATGACCGTCGCGGACGAGTTGGCGTGCTTCCGTCGCAGTTGGATCTGGTGCAGAGCCGGACTCATATTCCGCGCTCTCGGAAGCAGCTGTCCTCTATGCCGGGTGTAGCCGTTTATTATGACTCTGAGCCTTCTTTGGAGGGCCAGTTCAAGGATGTGAAGAGTGAAGATGCCCCGGACGAGATGCCTATTGCCTGGGCTTTCCTCGGGACCGATGGGGCACTGGCGACGCTGCATGTCGAGCCGGAGCATCGTGGCCGTGGCATTGCGTTCCGGCTGTCCAAGGAGGTGATGCGTCGGGAAATGGCTCCAGACGGCATCTATGGTAGTGGTAGTGCCGCTGCGCAATATGGCTTGTCGCAGAACCCTATCGGGGACTGGGTGCATACCGAAGTGGCTCAGCGGAACCAGGCCAGTCGCAGGGTCATGGACAAGATTGGTGGGAGGCCCCTGACCACCGTAGTCTGGACGTGCATTGAGTTGTGTGATTAACAAGGTATTTGACGTGCCGTAGACCTTTGGGTGTTGATACTTGGAAGCGTCAGTCACCTGGAGTAGTACTGAGTTGGATTGTATACATTTAGATATTGTCATTAGAAGTCGTTAGTACTTGGACATTATGATGACAGTTTGCACACATGAATTTTGGCCGTGTGGTGTTTTTCTGCGGTGAAGACTAAGTTTTTGTTTTCCCTTTACCAGCCATGTCCCTCATATTCTCTCGCTTCGATGACTTGTCGAGTCTTGTTGTGGATGCTTCTGACAGCTGGAGGATCAGTCCGTTTGGTAGGAGATGCGGACCACGATGTTGGTGTGTGTCCTGAAAATTGATGGTAAATGAGCTTTGAATCCATGCGAAAATTAGAATCTATATTTTTTTCTATAGCCAGTCTATCACCTGCTACTGTTGATTAGCAAGTATAGGGGTGGCCTCAGGCCACACTGTCAATCTGCCCCAATCTGGACTAGCGTGCCGATGATCGGGTGCCCCGTGGAAGCGGTGCATCGAATTATTGATTTCGCTGTTTTCTTCTTTCTTCCCTTCCTATTCTCAGCCATTGAATATCTTCCTATTCTTCACAATGAGCAATTCCAAAGGTGTCGCCGAAAACATGCTCTGGGGAGGCCGGTTCACCCGTGAGTTCCTCGATATCCCACATCCCCATGTCTCCCAACCCCTCCATTGACTCATTCGGACAGAGGGCCTTGACCCCCTCATGGTACAGTACAACATGTCCCTGCCCTACGACCGCATCCTGTGGAGGCAGGACATTGCCGGGTCGATTGCCTTTGCCCGCGCCAACACCAAGTCCGGCATCCTGACGCCGCACGAGTTCGCCGAGATCGAGCGCGGGTTCCAGCAGATCGCCGAGGAATGGCGCACCAACACCTTCGAGGCCAAGGAGAATGACGAGGACATCCACACGGCCAACGAGCGCCGCCTGGGCGAGATTGTCGGCAAGGAAATCGGCGGCAAGCTGCACACGGGCCGCTCGCGCAACGAGCAGATCGCCACCGACATGCGCCTGTGGCTGCGCGATGAGCTGCGTGCCATTGAGAACTGCCTGTGCGACCTGATCAAGGTCTCTGTCGCCCGCGCCGAGCAGGAAATCGACTACATCATGCCCGGCTACACCCACCTGCAGAAGGCCCAGCCCGTGCGCTGGTCCCACTGGATGCTGTCCCACGCTACCGCCTTTGCGAGCGAGCTGCAACGTTTGCGTGAGGTTATCCGCCGTGTTAACCGCAGCCCGCTCGGCACTGGTGCCCTGGCTGGCAACCCGTTCCAGATTGACCGCGAGGCCATGGCCAAGGAGCTCGGCTTTGATGGTCTGTTGTACAACTCCATGAACGCGGTCGGGGACCGTGATTTCGCCATGGAGACTATGCAGTGGGGCAGCTCGTTCATGCTCAAGATCTCGCGCTGGGCCGAGGACTTGATCATCTACAGCAGTCTGGAGTTTGGCTTTGTGCGCCTGTCGGATGCCTACTCGACCGGATCTTCGTTGATGCCGCAGAAGAAGAACGCTGGTTGGTTTTCCTTGTTGTTTTGCTCTATCAAATTCTTAATTAGTTTGCTGACATTAATACTTTAATAGACAGCCTGGAGCTGCTGCGCGGCAAGGCCGGCCGCGCCTTCGGCCAGATGGCCGGCCTGATGTGCACCATCAAGGGCCTGCCCACAACCTACAACAAGGACCTGCAGGAGAGCGTCGAGCCCCTGCTGGACCACATCAAGACCGTCAGCGACAGCATTCAGATCGGCACGGGCGTGCTGTCCACCCTGACCGCCATCCCGGAGAAGATGAGCGCCGCGCTCGCCCCGGAGATGCTGGCCACCGAGATCGCCGATTATCTCGTCCGCAAGGGCGTCCCCTTCCGCGAGGGCCACCACATTTCTGGCCGTGTTGTCGCCCTGGCTGAGAACCAGAGCGTCCCCATGGACACGCTGTCCCTGGCCCAGCTCCAGACTATCGATGCCCGCTTCGACGAGGATGTCCAGGCTTGTCTGGACTACGAGCGTGCTGTTGAGCTTAAGGACGCTATTGGTGGCACTAGCAGACGCGCGGTTATTGAGCAGACCTCTGTGCTGAAGAGCCTGCTGTAGATATCTTTTGCCTCGTGACGAAAGGATCTCTCGTACGAAGTTTCATAGTATGTGACAAAGAGCCATGTCGGGGGTTTTTCGGTTAGATAAAAAGAACAATGGATACATCACACTCTTCTTTTCTCCTATCATCGCCTTGGTATATTGAAGTTCACGTTGGTGTATATTGCAAATCCACAGGTTTTGATAGCACAGACAGGAATATCAACATGAGAAACAAAACAAGGGAATTGCCACAACCAGTTACATTAACACCCCCCCATCAATTACAAGCATAGCCTCAGATCGAGGGTGCCATGAACATAAAAAGCACAGCTGCCACCAGTATAACCAGCACGGCGATCTATTTTTTTCAACCTCATTCCCCACGAACGTCCAACCCAATCGTCCCAGAGGGCGTTTTAACATCCTTCTCAGGCGAATAGCCACCAGCCTCATTAGCCGCCAACGCCTCACCGGAAGGCGAAGAGACTTGCTCCTCCAGCGTCGGCATAGTCAGCGCAGGAGACGACCCGGACGCCGCAGTCTGGAAAGCACTCCTGTCCGATGAAACGGCAGCATGCCCCACGAACCCTCCTTCTCCCAGCTCAACATCACTATCATAGTGCATGAAGCTCATGACATGATTCTTGGAGCCGCACTCGCTGTTCTTCGTTTTGCGGCTTTGTCCCTGCTCCTGACTTTGACATTGACTTTCGAAAACAGAGTGCGGTCCACCGGGAAAGAAATCCAGGTTCGCGCCCAGTACGACTCCGTCTGCGGTAACCACTCTTCGAGCTGTGTGGCGGGTTGCGAGACCGGGGCTATTAGCGCTGCTGATACTACAGCTGCTTGGACTCGCCACGCTCGAAGGGATAGCAGGTGAATCGCGAGACCGAGAAGAAGTTGATGAGGAAGAAGAAGAAGAGAACTTTTCCTTCTTCTTTCTCTTTTCCTCGTCGCCGGCGAGTTTCGAATGCCGGCGCAGCGGGTTTCTGCGTCGGCGCTGGTCCAGCGGCACGTTGATTAGTTCGCTCTGTGAGTGCGGGGCTAGTTCGGCGCGCTGGCGGTAGAATCCCGTGTCTGGGAGCTCGGGGGTGAGGCCTACGCGGCTGGGAATGGAGGCGAAGACCTCGCTGGAGGTTGGGATGATGGGTGGGAGAACGGGGAGGCCGCGCAAAGACTGGGAGGTTAGCGTTGCTGAGGATACGGACGCTGCTCCTATAGCTAGACCCCTGGCGCTGTTGTTGTTGGTGGCGGTGTTGCTGAGGCTACTCGGCAGGGACTCGGCGTGCAGTGTGTTCGGGTTCGTGTGCGAGCCCGTGGCTGATGGGGCTGATGGTGGGCGATTGGGAGATGAGTCTGGATAGTGTATAGTATAGCAGATCGATCAATACTCTGCAAGTCTTGTGTGTGGGGATGATATTGGGCTTTTGATAATAAGACGTTGCTCACCATTCAACCGACTGGTCTCATTGAATGATGGGGAGAAGTCTCCCTTCATGTTGAAGGCCATATCTGGATCATAATGGGGTTGACTCGATCCGGATTTCTGCCATCTGAGGAGTGTGAACCTTTTCGCGCGCTTCTTGCGGCGCCAGCAGAAGATCAAAAGAGTGCAGAGGACCAATGCTGCGATGCCTCCCACTACTCCGCCGATAAGGCCTGCATGGCTGGCGGATCTGGCACCTGCTGCACTGGATGAAGTGAGTGTCGTGGTACCTGCAGCGGCACTAGTGCTGGGTTTCACCAGACTGGTAATTTTGGCGTCTGTAGTCGAAGCCGTGGGCGAGGTAGTTGGGGATTCTGTTGTGATAGTCGCCGCGCCCCCGGTGCGGCTGTTCACCGTGGTCCAAAAGGTCAAAGAGTCTGTGTCGGCTGATGACTCCGACGAGGGGGTAGAGGTAGTCGTCGATGAAGAAGATACCGATTCATCATCCGGACAGACGCCCCTCGTACAAGGATCACTGGAGCAGCATCCACGAAAGCTCCCAGCCGTACAGACATACCACTGCTTGCTTCCAGAGCAGCTGTTGGCCTGTCGAGGAAACAAAACGTCCATTTTTTAGACAGCCCGAGAAAAATAAATTAGTAAACGAGAGCAAGTGATCAGACGCGAAGATCAAACAATAAAAAGAATGTATACTAGACCAAAGGCCCTTGGAACGACCGACGACGAGGGTAGAAGGGTCCTCGCAAGTTCAGCAAGAATGACAGGCTGTACTCGAAGGGGAGCCATGGCTTCGATAGATATTCCTGACCGTCTCTGCAGTGGAGCTCGGATGGTCAAAGACGTCGAGGAAACTTCTTTGTCCCAAGATCGGGACCGGGGTCCCTGGTGGCGATGGCGAAGACATACGCCATTTATAGCATCAAAGTGAGCAGCCATTGCATATTGAGACTGTTGGGTCATGTAGATCAAGAGCTAATGACCACTTGACAAGCCAGTTACCGGTGTTAAACAGCAACTCAGATCGGGTCCGCTAGTGTGAGTCTACACTCAAGGATGTTGTCACTTGAAGGTGAGCAGGGACTGGGTGCCCGGTTCTTTGTCTCTCGAGAACCCTCAACTTTGCACAAAGAAGTGCCATACGAAGAACATCAAGCAATAGAAAATCCGAAAAAAAAGGAAAAATCAATCCAATATGAGACCAACTGAGAAGACCTCAGTACACCCGACTCTTCGCCTGTTAGATAAAGAAAATATGGCTATACAGGATGGTAAGTAACACAGTCAATAGAAAACACGGTTCTTTTCGACTCCCCCGTGGAACAACGACGCCACGCAGCGAGGTTCCAACCCGAAACCAGGTGGCTGGGACCGGGCGTCGCTAGCGGACATCTGAAACATGGTATCCTTCGTCTCCTCCTCCCGACCTCCGAAGCAACAGGCTTAGTACACACGCTTGAATGGCGGCACCGGCTTGCACTCGCTCTCGTCCAGGGTCTTGTCCTCGACGGAACGGTAGTCCAGATCCACCTTGCCGTGGGCCTCCTTCTGCCAAGTCAAAGTGTGCTTCATCCAGTTCTCGTCATCACGCTCAGGGAAGTCCTCCCGCGCGTGGGCACCACGGGACTCCTTGCGGTTAGCGGCAGCCACGGCAGTTTGCGTACTGTCAAGAAAGAAGAGAAGTTAGTCAACGTAGTTCTCAGATTTTCCACACAGGGAATACATACGCGCAAGTCAACAGGTTGCGGAGCTCAAGGGTCTCCACCAGGTCGGAGTTCCAGATCATGCTGCGGTCCTTGGTGCCGACTTGCGAGTACCACTGGTCGATCTCGGCAACACGGCTAACACCCTCATCCAAGCTGTCCTGGGTACGGAACACACTGACATCCGTCTGCATGGCCTTCTGCATGGCGTTACGGATGTCGAAGGTCGACTTGGGACCGTCAGCGGTGCGGACGAAGTCGAGGTCCTTGATCGACTGGGCACCCGCGTCGGCGGCCAGTTCCTTGTGAGGCGCACCAGGGCTAGCGATGTCGCGGACACGGTGCGAAACGGCCCGACCGAAAACAATCAGGTCGAGTAGGGAGTTGGCACCCAGACGGTTGGCACCGTGCACAGACACACAGGCGGCCTCACCGCAGGCGTACAGGCCGGGAACGACCTTGTCCTTGCCGTTCTCGTCGACGCTCAGAACCTCGCCAGTGTACTTGGTGGGGATACCACCCATGTTATAGTGGACGGTGGGCAGGACGGGGATGGGCTGTTTGGTAACATCGACACCAGCGAAAATCGAGGCGGTCTCGGAGATACCGGGCAGACGCTCGTGGAGAAGCTCGGCGGGCAGGTGGCTGAGCTGCAGGTAGATGTGGTCCTTCTCAGGACCGACACCACGGCCCTCACGAATTTCGAGAGTCATAGACCGAGACACAACGTCACGCGAGGCCAGATCCTTGGCAGTCGGGGCGTATCGCTCCATGAAACGCTCACCCTCCGAGTTGAGCAGGTAGCCACCCTCACCACGAGAGCCCTCTGTGATCAAACAACCGGCACCGTAGATACCAGTCGGGTGGAACTGGACGAACTCCAGGTCCTGGTTGGGGAGACCGGCACGAGCGACCATCGCCATACCGTCACCGGTGCAAGTGTGGGCCGAGGTGCAGCTGAAGTAGGCACGGCCGTAACCACCAGTGGCGAGAACCGTGTGGTGAGCCTTGAAGCGGTGGAGGGTACCATCCTCCTGGTTATAGGCGATGATACCGCGGCACTCGCCGTCCTCCATCAGGAGATCGAGAGCAAAATACTCGATGAAGTAGTTGGTGTTGTGGCGCAGCGACTGGCCGTAAAGGGTGTGCAGAAGGGCGTGGCCGGTTCGGTCAGCGGCAGCACAGCAGCGGTAGGCCTGACCACCCTTGCCGAACTCCTTGGACTGACCACCGAAGGCACGCTGGTAGATACGTCCATCTTCGGTCCGGGAGAAGGGGCAACCGTAACCCTCGAGCTCGCGGACACTAGCGGGTGCCTCGCGGGTCATATAGTGAATCGCATCCTGGTCACCAAGCCAATCAGAACCCTTCACTGTATCGTACATGTGCCATCTCCAGTCATCGGTGTGCATGCTATAAGCCCATTAGTTGCGAATTCGGCATATGAGAACAAAACTCAATGCGACTTACTTTCCAAGGGCCGCGTTGATACCACCCTGGGCAGCGACAGTGTGACTTCTCGTAGGGAAGAGCTTGGAAACACAGGCAGTGTTAAAACCAGCTTCGGCCAGACCGAAAGCCGCGCGCAGACCGGCACCACCGGCACCGACGACGACGGCATCGTACTCGTGATCCTGCGCTCGTCAGAAACAATCGTCATATCCCATGTCATTCACACCCGCTTACAATGACCGGGTACTTGTCCGAAATATATCCATTGGCCTCCTTGGCGCGCAGCGGCTGGTTGGCCCATATCCGGGCTGGCGGAAGTTCGGTTAGTGGTGCGAACGGGGTAGGCGACAAGGGGGCCAATTCGACACGTACCTGCAGGCCGTGAAGACGAGAAGAGACGTCTTTGATCCCTCAACGCACGGGAAACCTGGAGAAGCGCACATTTTAGTGGGCACGCGGGCCGAAATCAATTGGAGTACACACCTTGGACGCGGGAGCCAAGCTCCGTAAGCTCAGGGAGCTCATGATGGCAGGTCAAAAGAGAAAATCTCTAATGAGCCTAGAGGGGAGATATAAAGACACCGTCTGCCGAGGGCTGTGGAGAGGTGAGGAGCAGTAAAGGACTCCTTCCAGAGATGGGTTGAGTCTGGCATCGGGTCTGACATAAGCATTCTCTCACTTGCCGACGGGTAGGCCGAGGCAGCCAATCAGAGGCCGTACAATGTCAGCCGGGCCGCCCGTGAATTTTCGTTTTGCCGGCGCCCGGGACGGATCGGTTGCCTTTCGAGGGAGATGTCTATGCTGTCCACGGGGTTGTTGGATGCCTACAAAATGACCCAGAGGTCATTGGAAATACCCGATAGGTCTACAATAATCCCCATAGAATGATTTGAATTATAGATTCATGCCCCGGGACAACCGTCCTTGACAAAACAAACAATGATCGTACAGCCCTTGCGCCCGACAACTGCTCTAGTTGTCTAGTTGTACTGCATGTAGGTTGCCGTCGAGTTGAACTTCAGGTTGCCCTTGATCACCTTCTCCACCGATGTCAAAAAGTCCTTCTCGGTCGCAACCTTTCGTCGCGCCCGGATCGCGAACATGCCTGCCTCGGTTGCGACACTGCGAAGTTCGGCACCCGTGGCGTTGGGGCACAGACGCGAGATCAACTCCCATCGAATGTCCCGCTCCACGGACATACTCTTGGCGTGGATGCGTAGGATGTTGGCCCGACCCTCGACATCCGGCAGCGAGAACTCGATTTTACGGTCAATCCGACCAGGTCGCATCAGCGCCGGGTCCAAAGTGGACGGCCGGTTAGTCGCAAACATGACCTTGATGTTTCCGCGGGCATCGAATCCATCCAGTTGCGTGATCAGTTCCAGCATGGTTCGCTGCACTTCGTTGTCACCACCGGCACCGTCGTCAAATCGTGCACCACCGACGGCATCGATTTCGTCGAAGAAGATAATGCAGGCCTTCTTGGTACGGGCCATCTCGAAGAGTTCGCGAACCATCCGGGCACCCTCACCAACGTACTTCTGGACCAGCTCACTGCCAATCACACGGATGAAGGTGGCGTCCGTTCGGTTTGCGACCGCACGAGCACATAGGGTCTTTCCGGTACCGGGAGGGCCGTAGAGTAGCGCGCCCTTGGGCGGATCGATACCGAGGTTAACGAATCGCTCCGGTGACAGCAATGGCATTTCCACAACTTCTCGTAACTTCTCGATTTGTTCCTTGCATCCACCCACGTCACCGTATGTCACGTCCGGCTTATCCTCGACCGTCATCATCGTCACGCTGGGGTCGATCTTGGGGGGCAACGGCAGCATAATTTGGTACTTATTCCGGTCGACACTATGGCACTCAACTCAGTAACGAATAACACCACGGGGATAATCAGAAACCTACCCGACTCGCATGCCTTCTTCAATATCTGTCGGACTCACGCGTTCCCCTAGGTTGACCACGAACTTGGCAATCTGTTTGACGTTGATGACATATTTGCTCTTGTCCGAGTCTTTCTCATCCTGAATGATCTTTGTGCACCGAGCCACCTGCAGCGGTTGCTCCTCGGCCATGCGTTGCCGGTCGGCGGCAACATCCCAAAGGTGTGGTGGTGCGAGACCGGTGTCGGATTCCTGGAGGTGATGTCAGTTGCGATGTTCAAAGGGGGGATCGAAGCAATTAAGTCGATAATCACCTTGACGCCAATCTTCTCGTTGACACTTGCTTGCTTGTCCCTAATGTCCTTTTCGAGCTTCTTGAGGGCATTTGCGTAGGGAGCGGCGCCGTAGGTCTTGAGCACCGCAATGTCACTGCAGGAGACGTCAGCTACCCATCGCCCACGAGCCTTGGTCATTTCGGATCTCATCATGGGGAGAACTCACTCATCTGAGAGAGGTGTGATCTTCTTCTCTGGTTCATCCTCGTCCGCAAAGTTCTTCTTGTACTTCTCCCAGTTTTCTCCCGTGGCGCTAGGCATGATGAGAGGTGTTGACAGCCCCGGACTGACGCGTTGGGATGGGGGAAAACACAATCAGAAAGAGAAAATCAATTAAAAGAAGAAAGATTTCAGCGTGGAGCAAAATCAAATGAGATACCGAAAACGAGATGGACAGTAAGAGGATGCAAAGGGCGGATGGTGATGTCGCCGAGAGCTGCGGTCGAGCTCAACTCACTAATCAGCGCCAAGCTTCATCACCGCCCAGAATCTCGCAGAATTTCCTGTGTGTTCTTCCCCACTGCTCAACTCGCCCTTTTGTATCTACTTTTTTTTTCTGGTTCCATTTGGATCTCGGAATTCAAGATGGCGACCGCAGCGGCCCCAAGTTCCGCTGGCAACAACTCCTTCAAGGTACGAGAGCCCCGATCGTGTGTGGGCCGGCGATTTCTGATATCGTGCAGGACAAGGAGAAGCCTATGGCGGTGCGGGCGTCCAATATTCTTGCCGCTCGAGGTACGTCACATATCACTCATTCTGTGGGAGGACCGTACTAATGATCTTCTAGCTGTCGCCGATGCTATTCGAACAGTACGCTTTCTCAGAATATTCGCAAACACGGAGATGAGGGGCTAACAAAACCGCAGTCATTGGGACCCAGGGGTATGGATAAGATGGTGAGCACAACCCGGTTCTGGCGGCCGAATATGTCCCGAAGCTAATGAATTCATAGATCCAAACGCCCAAAGGCAACACCATCATTGTACGCAGCCTACCTCTCCTGCTCCGACCTGTTCGATCTCCCGACTGACCCCCGCAGACCAACGATGGAAACACGATGTTGAAGGATATGAGTGTTATGCACCCGGCCGCCCGGATGCTGGTTAACCTTAGTGCCGCCCAAGATGTGGAAGCCGGCGATGGAACGACGTCGGTGGTTGTCATTGCTGGCAGCCTCCTCGGTGCTGCTGAGCGATTGTTGTCCAAGGGCATCCACCCCACCGTGATCTCCGAGTCCTTCCAGAGAGCTGCCGGTGCTGCAGTCGAAATTCTCCACAACATGTCCCGTCCTATCAACCTGACCGATCGCTCTACGTTGTTGCAAGCCGCCTCGACCTCGCTTTCGTCTAAGATCGTGTCCCAGCATTCGGGCCTGCTGGGCCCGATGGCTGTCGACTCAGTGCTGAAGGTGGTTGATCCCAAGACTGCGGACAATGTGGACCTGCGAGACATTCGGATAGTCAAGAAGGTTGGCGGCACGATTGAGGATAGTGAGATGGTCGATGGTCTTGTCCTGAACCAGCCAGTCATCAAGAGCAGTGGCGGCCCGACAAGAATTGAGAAAGCCCGTATAGGTCTCATCCAGTTCCAGCTGAGCCCACCGAAGCCAGACGTATGTTTGCCAACCCCTGAGGCGCATTGTGTATATTATGGCTGATGCTGACAATTGCCTGCAGATGGAGAACCAGATCGTTGTGAACGACTACCGCCAGATGGACAAGATTTTGAAGGAGGAGCGTCAGTACTTGCTAAACATGGTGAAGAAGATCCAAAAGACCAAGTGCAATGTGCTTCTGATCCAAAAGTCTATTCTGCGTGACGCCGTCAACGAACTTTCGCTGCACTTCCTTTCCCGCCTCAAGATTCTCGCCATCAAGGATATCGAACGGGACGAGGTTGAGTTCCTGTGCAAGAGTCTTGGCTGCAAGCCGGTCGCCAATGCCGATTCCTTTACTGAAGACAAGCTTGGTACCGCGGATCTCGTCGAGGAGGTCCAGGCTTCTGGAGCTCGCTATGTCAAGATTACCGGCATCAAGGCGCCCATCGCCACACCTCACCAGACTGTCTCCATCGTTGCCCGTGGCGCCAACAACCTCATTTTGGATGAGGCCGAACGGTCGCTGCACGATGCGCTGTGTGTTATTCGGTGCTTGGTTAAAAAGCGGGCCATGATTGCTGGTGGTGGTGCTCCGGAAGTTGAAGTCGCCCATGCGCTTGCGATGCGTGCTCGTGAGCTTACCGGTACCGAGGCTATCTGCTTCAAGGCATTCGCGGATGCCATGGAAGTTGTCCCTACTACGCTCGCCGAGAATGCCGGTCTCAACTCCATCAAGGTGGTTACCGACCTGCGCCACCGCCATGCGCAGGGCCAACACAATGCTGGTGTCAGCATCCGCAGCGGTGGTGTCAAGGACGACATTACGGAGGAGAACATTCTGCAGCCGCTGCTGGTGAGCACCAGCGCCATTGAGTTGGCGGCGGAGACGGTGAAGATGATCATGAGAATTGATGACATTGCTCTGTCGCGGTAAATGGCTTCGGACCGCTACTCAGAGCTGTATGATGCAAAGCGATGTGATCGCGACGAGTAACCCAAAAAAATATCTAGTTTCTGCATAGAATCTATGACTCCAGAGTATTGTATCCCGGGTGTAGCCTGCACTTCCAAGGGTGTCTAGCACTTGCTGCATGATGAATATCGTCGAGGGCACCAAAGTAGACTTGTTTTTCGACGAGCCCTTCATTCCTTGTCTTCTCCCAACCTCCACGTTGTCGCATGCTCTACGGCCTTTTGAAATATACAGCCCCCTTATTCAACAGCCATACCCTTGCTCAATAGCGTCGCTTGATTTGACTAAAAATGACCAGGAATCAGTTCTTTGGCGTCGAATCTTTGAATGGATCCCACGTTGTCGAAAATGGCGTTGAATAAGACCCTCGGCCGGCCTCAATAAGAGCCACATTTTCCGCGCCAAGATGGAGCGGTGGAGAATACATCTAGTCAAGTCATCGAGGATTCTCTCAGACATCCATTGCGAAAACATGACCGAGTAGCATCTGGCTTCTTTTTGATGCTTGCGCAAAGCTGTTGATCATCGTCTCGCTCGTGGAAACCCCGCCCGATCGGCCACGTGCCGCCTCCGCATTCGCGCCGACCCGCCCTCGTCACTCCGAGCTTCTTGTTTCGTGAACCACCCGAACGGCCAGCATGGAGAAAATCGACGGTGATGGCCCGGAGTCTGTTCCGTTGAATCGCCCGCGGTCAGCCTCGCTGGCCTCGCAGGACTCTTCCGACTCGAGCCTATCGATTACGCCCGCCTCATTCCCTAACAGCCACAAGGCACGCCCCCTCACGTCTCGGACAGAAGGCGATGGCGAAAGATACCGAGATATTGAAGATGGAGGGGATGCAGAATATGATACTCGTGCTCCTCCCGGTTTTAAGAAGGCAGCTCCGAAAGATCGCATGCGCCGGTTTCTCTGGGGGCTTGGTATTCTCTGTGTCAGCGGCTGGGTGCTCGCATTCATCCTCTTCCTGGCGCAAAAACGGCCCACTGCCGCACCCCAGACCTTCTCCGATTCCACGCCCGAGATTCATGATCCGGGTTCTTGGGGAGCTAATGCGAGTGGCCAGCCTGTGACGCTCGAACAAGTCCTGACGGGAAAATGGCTGCCGACCTCGCATGCGATATCTTGGATTGCCGGGCCGAACGGCGAAGATGGGCTTCTTGTCGAACGGGGTGGGGGTGAGGGAGCTTATCTGCGGGTGGAGGATATTCGCAATCGCAAAAACGAGTCGGGCGGTTCCGAGAGCAGAGTACTTATGGAGGAGCCGTCTGTGCGGGTGGACGGGAAGGACGTGACTCCCTCCAAGACGTGGCCGAGCCTGGACTTGCAAAAGGTGTTGATCCTGTCGGATAAACAATCGAACTGGAGATATTCCTTCTTCGGCAACTACTGGATCTTCGATGTTGAGTCGCAGACGGCTGAGCCGCTGGATCCCGGTAACCAGGAAGGACGGGTGCAGCTTGCGAAATGGTCACCCAAATCCGACGCTGTTGTGTTTGTTCGGGACAAAAACCTGTTCTTGCGCAAGCTGGGTTCCTCCGATGTTATCCATATCACCAAGGACGGTGGGAAGGACCTCTTCTATGGTGTCCCGGACTGGGTGTACGAGGAAGAAGTGTTCTCAGACAACACTGGCACCTGGTGGTCTGGAGATGGCGCATACGTCGCGTTTATTCGGACCAACGAGTTCCTGGTTCAAGAATATCCCGTCCAGTACTTCCTCTCTCGCCCATCAGGCAAACAGCCGCCCCCTGGGCTTGAGAACTATCCCGAAGTCAGGCAGATCAAGTACCCCAAAGCAGGGAGCCCAAACCCTATCGTCAACCTGCAGTTCTTCGATGTGGAGAAGAACGAGGTCTTTAACATCGACCTGCCAGATGACTTTGCTGACAATGATCGAATCATCAACGAAGTTGTCTGGGTTTCCGAGGGCAAGCTTCTGCTTCGCGAGACCAACCGCGAGAGCGACATCGTCAGGATCTTCCTAGTTGACGCCAAAGCCAGGACCGGCAAGCTCGTTCGGGAGGATAACATCGCCGGCTTAGATGGCGGCTGGGTTGAGCCCTCGCAACCAACCCGATTTGTCCCCGCTGATCCTTCCAAGGGTCGACACCATGATGGGTACATTGACACCATCATCCATGAAGGCTATGATCATCTGGCGTACTTTGCGCCGCTTGACAACCCGAAGCCTACCATGCTCACGCAAGGAGAATGGGAAGTGGTCGAGGCGCCTTCCGGAGTGGACCTGGAAAAGGGCCTGGTGTACTTCGTGGCCACAAAGGAGGGGCCAACCCAGCGCCATGTCTATCGGGTTACGCTGGACGGCTCGGATCTTCGACCAGTGACAAACACCTCCAACCCCGGGTATTATGGTATCTCATTCTCCCACGGGACAGGGTACGCGTTGGTCAGCTACACGGGCCCCATGGTGCCTTGGCAAGCTCTTATCAATACCCAAGGCGACGAGATTGAATTTGGGGATTTCATTGAAGTAAACTCCCACCTAGGTGATTTGGCCAAAAGCTCTGCTCTCCCAACCAAGATCTACAGCAATGTGACGATCGATGGCTTTACCCTTCAGGTGGTAGAGCGCCGCCCTGCGAACTTCGACCCTGCTAAACAATACCCCGTGCTTTTCTTCCTATATGGTGGACCGGGCTCACAAACCGTGGACCAAAAGTTCACCGTCGACTTTCAGTCGTATGTGGCCTCTAGCCTGGAGTACATTGTTGTCACCGTCGATGGCCGAGGCACTGGTTATATTGGCCGGAAAGCACGGTGCATTGTCCGCGGAAACTTGGGCTACTACGAGGCCCTTGATCAGATTAAGACGGCTCAGATCTGGGCTACCAAAAACTACGTGGACGAAAGCCGCATCGCTGTTTGGGGCTGGAGCTATGGTGGTTTCATGACCTTGAAGGTCCTCGAGCAGGACGCGGGCGAGACCTTCCAGTACGGCATGGCTGTGGCACCAGTTACGGACTGGAGATACTACGGTGGGCTTTTTTCCGTTTTCCCTACTCCAACATCTCAATCCCGTGTTAACTCCCTCTTCTCTCCATAGACTCCATCTACACAGAACGCTACATGCACACCCCCGAGCACAATACCATCGGCTACGACAACTCCACCATCAACGACGCAGAAGCCCTGGGCCAGAGCGTGCGGTTCCTGATCATGCACGGCGTTGCCGACGACAACGTCCATTTGCAAAATACCCTGGTCTTGCTTGACAAGCTGGACCTGTCCAACATAGAAAACTACGACATGCACGTGTTCCCAGACTCCGACCACAGCATCTACTTCCACAATGGGCATACAGTGGTCTATGAACGTAAGTTTTCTTCTATTCTTCTGCATCATCTCTGCAGCCATATATGATGCCCGAAGCGTTGCTAACACTAAAAATAGGCCTTGCGAGCTGGCTCGTAAATGCGTTCAATGGCGAATGGAAGCGGATTGCTAACCCCACGCCGGAGGAGCAATCCGCGAATGCTTCGGTCAATGGCTCTTTGCCGCTTTCTTTCTCGGCGCAGTAGTTCTTGGCGATCCTTTCTGTTGATCCAATAAGGGCTTTTTCTCTTTCGGGTTATAGATATATCGCTTTATCTTTTTCTCTTTCGGGTTATAGATATATCGCTTTATTTCAAATTGAGTATACTAAGATCATCACTAGTCACGTAAATTACCATCATCACAAGGAGGAGACCTAGTGAAAGTGTCTACTCCAGGACGAGTCAACGAGCACAGAGGTATGACCTGTGCAAGTCATAAGGGAGCGCCGATGGGACACCAACCTACACAATGAGGGCACTTCTTATTCTGCTGGGAGTGTTTCTGGGATTTTAGCTGTCAAGATTGGACAAGATCCAGAGATTCGCAAAGACAAAACAGGAGCAAAAGTGGCGAAGTGGTTATTTATAGAAACGCATATACTTGTATAAAGGGTGGCCCGCCATCAGTACGGAATGGGGAAAGTCCATATGTATACTAAGAGATGCAACCAGGCCTGACACCAATCCATGCAAGCAGGAAGATTAGGGATATGGACAGAGGCAATGAAGAACAAAAGAGTGAGAAAGCGACAGGAGATGAAAGGAGATATGTGCAATTTGTGACCCAAGCATTCGGGATATGGCTAGGAGGGTGTGGGGCTTTTTAACCACCCCAAAGCATGTCAGACCGGAGGAAGTCTTCTCTCATGATGGTGCTGACATCGGAGTTGCGATACGGGAGCAAGTCTTCTCGCTGCAGACCGCGCAATTGCTCGCGCCCAGCAGTCGAGATCGAGCGCGCCTGCGACGTAGGCCGGGAAGAGGCGCAATGGCCCCCGGCCATCATCGACAACCGATGGTTATGAGGCCATAGCCGACCAGTCGGCGATCTACTACCCGGCGAACTGCCGTTGGAGGGCATGGGCTGACGAGGAGCAAAGACAGGGAGACGCGGGAAGGTCTCGGTGTCCGTGGAGACGTTGCTCAAGCTCAAGGCAGAGATGCTGGAGACGGGCCGGGCGTTGTTGTTGTTGCCCTGGGAGGGAAAGCCGGACACGGAGCTGTAGACTGTGGACATGCCCGAGGCCGCGGACGAGCGCCACGAGTACACGGCGCTTCGCGGGATGGTGATGATCTCTTCGTCGACGGTCGCGGGCTCGATGGCTTCGCCGGCGGCGCGGTTGGCCATGGTCTTGACGGACTTGCCGATCCAGAGCATCTGCTCGTGCTCGCGCAGATACCGGTCCCCGCTGAAGGATTTCTGGACGATCTTGCGGGTCATCATGCCTAGCTTGCGGCGCTGCTCGCTCTTGTCGTACATGCGTTTGGTGATGGCTGACACGTCCTCGGGAGTCGGCGATGAGGTCAGGATAGGGGCTGGCTCGCTGTCGTCGCTGTACTGGCTCCATTCTCCCAGTAGCGCGAGCATGGTGATCTGGGCCTTTGCTAGTGCTTGGGCATCGTTGGGTGCTACGACAGCACTGAACCGCGAGAAATCGTCGGGATCACTGAGCACGCGCAGAGAGGCGCCTACGTCTGTGCAGACTACCGGGGCCCCGGTTAGCGCAGCCTCGCCCAGTGCCAGAGGCAGACCCTCAGACAGTGATGAGTTGAGGAAAAGCCAGGTGTTCTCTAGCACTTTCATCGGGTCGGCGGTTCCACGAAGCGTGACTCTGCCGCGGAGGCCCTTGGAGGCGATGATCTCCTGGCACTCAGTGGAGTAGGTCGGGGCTTTGTCGATGGCACCGTAAATGTCCAGATGGTAGTCGTCAAACTTCCACTGATTGATGATGATATCGGCAGCCAAAAGAGCGGTCTTGATGTCTTTGGCATACCAGACATGAGACAACATCGTGACCGTTGGTCGCTCTGACTTGATCTCCTTGACCGGAGCGAACTTCTGCATGTCGGTGATACCGTTGACGACGGGGTCAACCTTCCGGCGGAAAGTGTTCCGGTGTTCAATGGTGCCCTGGCAAGTGCCGATCTCAACTTCCCAGCCAGGATTGAAGAAGTCCGCGCAGGGAAGGATGATGTCGGCATGATGCAGCGTGAGGACCGAAGTAATTCGCATCAAACCAAGAAGCGCGTTTCGTACAAATGGAGAGAGCTTGCACAGTGCAGAAGACAAGCAAAGGTTGGTCTCCCGCCAGCTGATGGCATGATCCCAGATCTGCAGCGTGCACTTCCTCTTGATCTTACACACCACTCCATATGAGGCGCTGACACTGTGGTGTGATGCTTGGAAGACGGTGGGGATCTTCTCAGGGACTGGTATGGAGAAGATGAAAAGGTAGCGATACCACAGTTCCAGGGCAACATCGAGGGTTGCCAACGTGGGAAGCTCTGTATCGAACCATTCAGAAGATGGAATGGTATTTGGCATCTCCTGGGTGAGCCACAGTTCACGCCAGCTCTGCTTAACTAGCGCGCTATTCCACACCTGAGACCAGTGTCGGGACTCCTGAAAGTAAGTATTGAGGTTCACCAGCGCGCGCGTCGCCTGTTGGATGTCGGACTTGGAAAGATCCACCGCTCTCGCACCTTTGACCAGGGCCGTCAGGATTGGAATGAAATTCATCTTGATGTCGAATGCACTCGCAGACGTGACATTGTCGACTTCCGAGTCCAGCTTGTTGTGGAACAAGCCGTGTGTGGGCGTGAGGAAATCCAAGCCCCAGAGCGGGATGACCTTGAGAGACTGAATATTCTGCTCCGTCTGATGCTTGGGAACACCGAAGTCATTCGCAGACTCGCAGATCATATGCCACTTGATAGTCCGCAAGGAATTGATCATATCCCGACGACATGCCGAGACACCGCCACCTTCGTTGGGCCAAGTGCCAGTGTCTGCAGCCATAACATGAAGGATTTTGTCGGTATCAGAGCCAGCGTCCTTGGAGCGCGTGTTAACCACAGCATCACCTCCAGGGCCGAAGTTGAACAGATCACTGATCTTGACAGCCAAGGGTGTCCAGCTCGAGATGTTGTCGTCCAGATCCGCACTGGCCATGATTGCATCCGCATGAAGATTCATATACTTCTTCGCTGAGCTGAGGTTGCCCCAGTCGCGACTGCGCCAGTAGGGTGCGAGGACTCTGTCTCTGCGCAGGATTCGATCATCCATCCATCGGACGATAATGCCGTCAAAGTCGACTCGGTCCTTCCACGCTTTCCACATCAGGGAGCGAGCACGCGAAGTCGATACGGGGAAGCGCTTCTTCGTTAGCCCTAAGAACCGGGTCACGACATTTGATGTGAGACTGTCACAGTAGAAGAAGGGATTATCATGCACAAAGCTTGTGTACTTGGGCTTAGCAAGGACACCCAGATAGTCGTGCTCGATCATGGGAGGAGTCTGCACTTTCTGGCCGTTGACGGTAGTGAAAATGGTCGGGTGAAACTTGTGATCGTAGAGCCAGCGGCTTTCGTAGACATCGGCGCCCTGGACAAAGCTGGCCTCGGTCACTTTGGAGTGAGGAATCCAGCGCTCCACCTTTTCGGGGTGCCGGCGAGGGGGCGCACACCAAGACACCGTACAGCTGATATGAGATAGCACAAACTCGGCTCGCAACAGTTCGTCCCCGAACCGGTGGTTCTTGCGGTAGTGGTACTTGAAGCGGATAAGATTGCCATCCTTCATGTATGAGCCTGCTTCGATGAGTCCTTTCCGATTGTACTGCACACTTTGGTAGTGATTCTCTCCTTGCACGCAACGTCGGCCCAGGGGAATGAGAGTAGCTGCAGCCTTTCCAAGCTTGAAGCCCTTCTTCAATGGGGTATGGTAGTCGTAGTGGTACTCATTGAGCAATTTGCCGTCCTTGTACTCTTGCTTGATGTGAAGAAGCATCTCCCGCGAGTAGGTGCTAACGCATTTGAGCAACTTGGAATTCTCCGGTTCGGTCTTGTGCTCGCCGGCATAATGGTACACCTTGAAGCCACCATCGATTTCATTGTGCCGGAAAGTCGTGAAGGTGCCGTCCAGACTTTGGACAATGACCCTGCTCTTCTTGATATGGATAGTCATGCCCTTCGTCTCATCCCATAGCAGTTTGACATTCTTGCGGCCGTGGAACAAAAAGAAAGACAGCACGAGGTCCTGAATAATTTTGGAATATATCCAGACCCCATTCAAGAAGAAAACCATGGGCACGCGCACAGCTTTCGGGAATGATTTGGTGACATGGTCGAATTCTCTCTGGAACTCGGGATCGGCAATCAAAGCAATCACGAAGAATTTGATCATGGATCCCAGCGCGTGGTACATATAGCTAAATGGAGACCGGACCAGCGACAGAGCAATCGGCAGCTTCCGAGAAATGTGTGAAATATACTCAGCAGTATCAGGGCCTTTGGGGATGGCGTTCTCCCCAGCGCCATAGTGAGCATGGTCGAGAATACTGATGGCAGTAGCCGCTCCCAGATTGCATCTTGCCACATGGACATCTAGGTCATTTGTGTCGAACCGACAAAGACTCTTCTGGAGCCATTCTCGCTGGGCATCTGGGAGTTCACACGGCAGACTCAAGCAGCGACTCAACAGCACGTTGCGAATTTCCGATGGCAGTATGTCCCAATGAATATCGGCCTCAAACCCAAGACAAAGCTGTCGAAGTAACTCTTTCTTGGCCCAGCGCACGACAACAGATGTGTCAGCCTCTTCGCGGAGTTGTTGAGCCATAGTTTGCGTGACACCCCCAGAGACGATCGACTCAGCAAGGATTGCGTAATCGTGGGGAACTCCCATCTTGATTTCGGCGACAGCGTGAAGAAGGGTTTCCGCAATGATACGGCAGTTCATGCTGATATCCATCCGCTGATGCCGGGGCCCTCCAACACAGATGGCCAGCTTCAGATGGTGTCCAGTGCTGTAGCTTAACGCCCGGATACCAGGTCCCAAGCTGCCGAGAGGAACAAGTTCGAGAGAAATTTCCCCATTATCCCAGGAAGAAATAGTGATGTCGGTGATTTCTTTGGCATTGGGAAATGCCTCTTGGATCCTTCTCTCTTCCCTGCGTGACAGCATGGCGCCTTTGACTTCGAGGCCTGGATGGACAGTCGGGTCGACCTTAAAGCGAGAGTCAGGAGGGAGAAGTGAGATGCCTTCAAAAAAGCTCTGAAGCTCTTGCTGTGACCATTCAGGGTCTGACCAAGGCGTGGTAAAGGCGTGAAATGTCTTCCCAAGCTCCACGGGAGAGTCCACCTTGTTTGGCATACCCATTTTCGCATGCCACAGCGACAGAATGGCAATGATCCAGGTAGCAGACCCCAGACCAATAACCTGGGAATAGTAGAAGTGAGGCAGACAAACCTTGAGGGCGATTCCGACTGGCAGGCCCACACAGACACCGATAAGGAGAGGCTTCAAGGCATGAGGGCCCGTGAAGATCTTCGTGTATTGGTACCAGATCAAACCGGTGTAGGCGAGCACATAGGAAAAGAAAATGATCATGGCTTCCATGGAGGCCTTGAATATCCAAATCAGACTGGTAGAAATCGCGATACTCCAGACGTGCCATAGAAGGAACTTGAAGAAAGTTTTCCAGTAGACCCTGCGCCGGAACTGGATATCCTCCTTCTGCGAGACGCGAATATCTTTGGTAGATTTGACACCAACAGGGGCTTTACTGCCGATGGCGTCGTGGAGTTCCTGGGCTTTGGTATCGATGAGAACGGCTCCGATCAGATAGTAAGCAAGCGCAAAGCCAACGGCCATGCGATTGGCGTCTGTCAACGGGGCCGAGAGACCAACACCATCATCACCACTGAGTAACTGAACCCATTTGTCCAGGAGTGCAACGACAAAGTACAGAATACCACATCCGATTTCTTTGCTGGACTGGCGCCAATGGACAAATGCGTTGTGCAGTCGAAGGCCCTTTTGTGCGCTGCGCAGGGTGTCCAAGGCCACCTTGGTCTGGATATTCCAACCCGAGCTGAAAGGAATCGGTCGTGGGACATCGGCGTAACGGCAATACCAATCCAGAAGAAAGTTGGTGGACTCCCAATCCCGAGCAAGTTCCATGACCATCTGGTCAGTTGTTGGTTTCGAGAAAAGGCCGCGAGCCTTTTCGGCCAACACGTCTTTCAACAAGGCTTCCCTGGCCAGCTTGAGGGCGGCGGGGTCGCTCAAATTTCCAAAGACCTTCTCATTATTTTTCCCGTGGGCTGCGATGTACCATTTGCGAATCTCAGTGTCGTCGGTGCGTCGTAGGGTTTGGTACCAGGTGACCCATTTCGAAGTCGTTGAACGCAGACACAGCAATAGCACACCGATAAAAACGTAAATGACAGCAAGATAAATGGCCGAGTCATTTCCAGCGAAGGTTGTGATGATTGGCGATAAGAAAAGAATTGGGATGCACATAATGATAGCCTTGCGACCAGACAGGAACGTGGAGCCGGGGTAGCTGAAGCTCGCTAGTGAGGCGAAAGTCGAAAAGTAGATCGTCAGAGAAATCAAGTAGAGATAGAAGATGATACCAGCACGAGGACCCTTGACGCTGGAAATGGTAACGAAGCCAATCAACCCCCCGGCCACCGTAAACGCAATGCCGGCAATGAGGCGGATGAGGACGAACATGTTTGCCGCAGCGAAGGCCATTGAAATCAGGTAGTAGGGCCCGCCGCAGGCAATCCATGTACCGACTCCACCAGAGAGAAGCAGGGAAATCATCAGGGCCATGGTAGCGCTGTTTTGTTCTTCGTGGGTCATGTAGGCAGAGAGGTAGAGACCGCGCCCGATGATGGTGAGGAGGATAATGTCGATCAAAGCCGGAATCGCGAAGACACTCAAAAACGTAAATCGCTGGTAGCCGCGCATCGGCTTGACCTTGTCATCGGGGTTGACATCAATTTGTGCTCCAGCATAAGCCGTGGCAAGCTCCGGCGCGCCGTTGATCCAGTTGGGTGGCTGATGCTCTGTGTAGTACGCTCTGAATCGATCAGACAAAAGCTTTCCAAAAATGCTAGGCGAGACATCGAAATAGGCCTCGCATCGAGATCCAAGGGCAAATGATTCGGCAAAAGCGGCAGCTTGGTCGGAGTGGCTGTTGAACAGAGGGTTTCGGTCTGTCACTTCGGCATAAATTTCGTCAAAGGCACCTTTTCTTGCAGCACAGAAGAGCGACAGGGCCATCATATCAACATAGGCATCAATTTGACCTTCCTTCATCAATCCACAAAGGCCCTTTGTAATGGCCGAGAGATCATCTTCGCGAGGACCCTTCAATATTTCATTGAAAATCTTGTCCACCTGATGGAAGAAATCAAGACAAACAGTATCCGAAGGATGATTGCAACCCTGATCGCGGTACCAACGTAGTCGGGACTGGATCAAATCCTTGGGAGAAGCGGATTCTTCGAGATAACCCACCGTGTTCAGCGCCTTCAATTGCGCCAAAGAGGGTGCATCTGCTAGCAGCTTGCGAATATAAGCGCAAATTGCCTTCGATAGCTCACTTTGGGAATCTGTCAGAGTCAAGTGTTGCAAAAGGAGCAGGCGTTCTTCGGGGCTAAGAACATCAATGTCTTGAATCAATCGGCGTGGAAGGCCAGTTTCATGGACAAGGTCGTTGGACCAGCAGGCCAACGCAGTTTCGGCTTCGAAGCAGACGTGCCGGGGGAAGCCCTTTGCAGAAAGAAATATGTGCAGAACGGTTCCGACCAAGCCTTGTGCATTCTTTGACACAAATATCTCCACACCCTCACTGTCGACCTGAGATACGCCCCAAAAGCGGAGCTCAGGGCTTTTGCGCAGCCCCGAATCAAGCGCCAGACTGACACTCAGCGATTGAGTTGACGCTAGGTCGGCGATTTCCTTGACTGAAGCTGCAAGCTGGCCATCGTCTTCAGAAAGATCGAGAGTGTCGTGGAATCGCCGTAGAAGCGATGCCATGTCCTGAATCTTTGCCGCCGGAACGGGGTGAAGAAGGCCGAGAGCTTTGAGACGTTGCTGAGATTGAAGAATTTCGGCAAAGGCCAGTGGAGACGAGTCTGAGCCAAGAGGAAAACAACCAAGAAGATTGTATTCCATCCCAGTCATCGATATGGAGAGTGGACTGCCTTGAGACTTGACCTGGGCAACCCATTCTGGCGGATCACGCAGAGAGGCCGAGAGGATTGTTGGAGATTTAACTGCAGCTTCTCTCGAACCAAGCAAGGTACCAACCGCGGGAAAGAACGGGCGAAGGGCATCCCACCCAGCATTGACAATAGGGGATGCTGCAATGTAAAGGTTAGAACGCCAAGCATCATGCGCTTTCATGGTATCCGCTTCCTTCAGCCAGCCAAAGGCCGGGAGTGGCTCAGGCATGCAGATATTGAGATCAGCGTCCTGAAGAGCAGCCTCGGGGCCTATCCAAGAGATTGCGCTGTAAAAGTTGCACCATTGAAGCGATCTTCGAACGATAGCATTTGACAACACGACATTGTCATCAACGGTTTCCCAAGCCATTACCACAAAGTCTCTCATGCAGGACTCGGAGACAAATGCCTTGATCGTGGACTGGAGGTTGACCATCTGAAAGTAATCGCGCTTCTCGCCCTGAGGCAAGATACTGGCATTGCGAATAACCAAGCCCGACACAGTGAGGTTTTGCAAGGCCTTTCGATCTCCCAGGAAGTTGGGTGGTCCCACTTCCAGGTATACCATCAATCCCAGACCATTGATCGTTTCAAACACTTTTCTCTGGACAGCTGGGGAGAACACGCCCTCCCAGTTGGCAAGCAGGATCCCAGAAAATCGAGTGTCATTGAATTTGTTGGCGAGGACTTCCTCAATCTTGTCTATCGCATTTAAAGCGGATTCATCCGGGGATACAAGGCGGGCAAGATCAATTCTTCCTGCAAATTGGGCACGTTCATGAAGAAGAATGGCTTTTGCAACATTGTCCTGGAGGTGATCGACAACCAAAAGATCCCACTGTCCCAGCAACCTATCTTGGGATGCAGTAGGAGGGTTGCTGAAGCCCCCAAGATAAACACCGAAGGATAATGGTTTGCGTCTGTTGACATGAGCATCGATCAAATTGAGTTGTCGAATAGCCAGCTTATTGAGCCGGTGCAAAACATCCGTGGGCACATTGTCTGGAGGTGGCTTCGACTATCAAAAACACCAAAAAGGGATCAATATCAAGGGGCGATACCACGATGTGTGGATATATCATACCTGGTAGTACTTGATGACCCTGGCCCCGACAGACCACAAAATAGACACACAGCCAATGGTGATACTGCCTAACAAGACTCCGATCAACACCTGAGAAAGTTAGTATATATGAGGATCTGCATTGAATAAAGTATGAACTCAAAGTCGGGTTGGAAAAAGGGGCCAGAAAAGACATACAAACTGCCACCAATGGCTCTTCATCGATTCCCACCCAACGGGATCGACGGAGAGAATCTTTGCCATTGTGCTGGATTGTCGAGAATATCTAACTCGATGTAGTGTTGAAACAGGCAAGGAGAGAAAGTTGACAGGGTTGCAAGAGCAACCTATGTGGTCATAGAAAGCCGTCGCCTTTTTATACAATCAAAGTAACATGATTGTGCGGGCTTTCTGAGATCGAGGATGCCAAAGTACGACAAAGGAAAAGTTAAGCCCACCAAAAAGAACGAGTGAAATATGAAAGAATTTGGGAGGAGTAGTAGATGAGATTACAATATGGATATTCACCAAGTCAAGCATGCATCGACAAGTCCATCAGAGAAATACCTTGCCCTTTTCACTAAAGAAAAGAAAAAAGCCCCATTTAGCCCCTCGCTTCTTCTTTTTCCCCTTTGGCCAATTGTAAGCGGTATGATGGTCCGTGGCAATCGAGACGAGGATTCAGAAACACGAGCAAAATTAGCACGTCACCAGAGATGTTTTTCTCTCTCTCTCTTAGATCCAAGGCTAACGAAGCCACAAAGATATGCACCAAGAACTGGCCGATGAGACACCCGGTGGGGACACCCGAGATGGTGCAGCTAGTGCACACCAGAAGCCATGTGTGGGTGGCAAAGCATGCGAGCGAGTATCGTGGCATCCAACCTTGAGGACATGACCGGCAATGTAAGGTCAAAGGATTGGGTCAGTCATTAACCGAACCTTGGCCACCAGTTCATCTCATTCAGGGGAGCTACGGTGTATCTGCTGAATTGCTTATGCTTATTGGGCTGGGGTGTTCCCTCGCGTGCCGCTGCTTCATTTCTCAAATATCGCCTTTTCTGCCGGGGAGTCCCAGTGATGCATGTTGCGAGACATGGGCCTCGGAGCATCGCCATGGCAGGATCCTATACTGCCTGGACCTGTCCATTGGGCTGACGAGCCACTGTAACAGTCTTGGAAGACATGGGGGTGTTTAATGTATTTTTCTTTTTTCTTTTTTTTTTGTTGAACTTGAAATTTTGGACCGCGTTGCCGAAGTAGTGCCGATGAGAACAAAGATGAGATTGGCACGAAGCCACAGGGGCAGGGCGTGGTTGGTATTGTGAGTGACCCGTGACAATACTAAACTGAAAATTACCAAAAATATTCGAAAAGTTACGTTACCGTCTGATACCCGTCAGGCCGAGACAGACAGCATTTGGGGCTCGGAGTTTATTGCTTGTCGATGTTTGCTCTTTTGTTTTGATTATTTTTCTCCCCCGATGAACGCACCCATTGAAGGCCATCACACTCGATGCGGAACACCCACATCTTCTTCAAAGACCATTGATCATTGGTCAATGCAACAGCAAAGCCCACTGCTGCAAGAAAATGGATATCTCCCAAAAACTTCGGCTCCGAGGGAACCGACTTGTCTTCTGTTCGGAAAGAGGTTGAATTCGCTGTCTCAATGCCAATCAAGACATTGACGCCACTTTGGGTCTCAAGCGAGATTTTCTTTCCCTTAGGAAATTGCCCTTGATCGAAACTTGGGCCAGAGAATCAAGGATGGCGATAGGGATTAGAGGCATCTAACTAGAACTACATGTAGCCACGTCATCCATGATCTTTTTTGACAGCAATGTTAAGCCCTCGCTCGGCATCTAATTCCCCAACTGTCGCTTGCCGGTGTGCATGGTGAATTGTGTGGCCTTCATCTCGTGCCTAACGCGTGTTCTGCACCCCTGGTCAGCGTCAAGATGGTTCCAATTCCCGTCTGGGCCCTCAAGCTCGCTTGTTTCTATGGCCTTATAATATGCAACACTCGCCCCGGTGTTTGGCACAAAGGCCGATTGTCACAGCCTTCAGATCTCCACCCCATCCACCCCATCACCATCCTCATCATACTACTACCACAAGTATTGTTGAGGAGGTTACCACCAGTGTGTCCAAGGTGCCAACGCCTATTGTGTCTTTGACTTCATCGTCGTTAGTGAGTGGTATTGGCTCATCGGTTGAGATCATCTCCACCAATACCCCTGCTTCATCCACCTTTGTTACTTCAGTTTTGTCTGGAGGTACAAAGTCCTCGTCTCCTCTCACCACATCGAGGGCGTCGAAAGTGACACCAAAGATGTCTTCAACTCCCGTTTCCATCTCGGCTGCCGCCTCTGCGAGCGCAATCGGACATGCCAGCATTGCTGCCAATATCCTGGTTATTGCCAGAGATTCCGCAGCCGCTTCTGTGGCTTCTTCTGGTCTCAATGGCTATGGCATTCCATTCACCACCCTCTTGGTTCCAAAGACCGGCGTGACTCTTCCAGCGCTAAATTCCAGCTCCGGAGGAAATTTCGGGGGAATTGTCATTGCCTCCGAAGTCAGCTACGACTTTGGAACCGAGGGATTCCAAAGCGCGCTGACCACCGACCAATGGAACCAGCTGTATGCTTACCAGCTTGAATACGGTGTCCGCATGGTGCAATACGATGTCTACCCCGGTCCTAACTATGGAGCCACTGCAGTTGGCAACGGATGCTGCAACACTGGCGTTGAGCAGCTGATATCTTTCACGGACACCAGCGCCTTCCCGTCGGCCGGTCTGAAGATCGGCGCGGGCGTTAGCACTGAAGGGCTCTGGCATTACCCGGCCACTATCAGCAACACTACAACTACCAAGGCGATTGCGAAGTTTGCTTCCAATTCGGTTACCTCGACTGATACTACAGCTGCGGTTATCAACAACTTCGACGGGCGCGAGCAGATGGCTTTCTTCATTGGTGCTGACACCACATGGAGCGCCACTTCCAACTACTTGCAGCACGCATGGATCACCTGGATGACTCGTGGTCTTTACGCTGGATACCGCCGGGTCAATTTGAACACCCAGATCGATGACATGTTCCTCGAAACCGAGATCTACAAGCCCAATGGAACAAATTTCCGAATCCGTGTTTCCGACATGAATGGAATCTCGACTTGGGTCACCAGCATCAATGCCAAGATGAATGCCGGCAGCTCATACTTTGTGGAAGTCGGCCACAACGGCAATGGCAATATTGAAAATGCCTCCAACACCGATGCAGGTTACACGGCATGCAATGGAGGCGGCATAGAGTACGACTCGCCTGCAGACACCGAGCTCGAGTGGAAGAAGCCTCTGGGCACTGGCACGAATCTGTGGCCGGCATCGCCAACTGCGTATAACTGGACCGGCGCATGCACGAAAATGGACGACCTCTTGGTCTGGTGGACCACTGAAAGCAACCTCAACAGCTTCGGCCACATCTCGCACACCTTCACGCACGAGGAACAGAACAACGCCACCTACGCGGATGTCTACAAGGAGATTAGCTTCAACCAGGCTTGGCTCAAGCAGGTTGGCATCGACAAGGCCAAGTACTTCACCTCCAATGGCATCATCCCGCCGGCTATCACGGGTCTTCACAACGGAGACGCGCTGCGTGCCTGGTGGGAGAACGGGATCAAGAACTGTGTGGGCGACAACACTCGCCCCGCTCTTCTGAACACCAAGAATGCCATGTGGCCGTACTTTACCACCACCGATAGTGACGGCTTTGCGGGAATGCAGGTCAACCCTCGGTGGGCGACACGTATCTACTACAACTGCGACACCCCAGGCTGCACTCTGCAAGAGTGGATCGACACTTCTGCTGGTAGCGGCACATTCGAGGACCTGCTGGCGACCGAAAAGGCCGACACGATGCGCCACCTCTTTAGTCTCGCGCACGATCCCTACATGTTCCACCAGGCCAATCTGCGCAACGCCGACGTGGACCCGATTACTATCAACGGGGTGTCAGCCAAGTACTCTATTTTCCAGGCCTGGGTCGAGACGCAGGTACAGGAGTTTGTGCGTCTGGCCGAGTGGCCCCTGGTTACCGTGACCCACGAGAAGGTAAGACTCGCCTGAAAAACAGTTCGATGGAAAGTAATTTGTGCGTGGTACTTGTTTTACTAACTATATTTAGATGTCTGCTCAATTCCTGGACCGTTATACTCGAGATGCTTGTGGTTATTCTCTCAGCTATACCACCAGCAACCAGAAAATTACTGGTGTGACGGTCTCTGCAAAGGATGCCAGCTGCGGCTCTCCCATCCCTGTCACTTTCCCTGTTGCCCCGACTAATACCCAGGGGCTCACTACCGAGCAGCTGGGGAAGGACCCCCTGACTGTGTGGGTGCAGCTTTCCGGGTCACCAGTGACATTTACTCTGTCGACCCCGATTGCACTGTAGATATTCCTCGATGGAGCCTTGGCCCTTGGATAGCTGGGGGGTTGATATGATGTTCTTTGCGGTTGGATTGGTGTAATTTTGCTCGGTATGATGTGCATGGCTTTATGATATTGGTAATGGTTATATCTACACACGAAAACTCGAAAATAGGTTGCAATATAATGGAAATTGCTTTATGTCTACTATATTCTGTTCTAAGTTTGACATGACTAAGCTGAAAATACCTAGAGCAAGATGAGAGTGTATATTGCCCCAAAGCATAGTCTAAGCAATGGGCATTCAGCAACCGTGCTCGATGAAATTCTCGTCTTGCGGTTTCAAAGGTCGATGTTTTTGACCCTGCAGGCTCAAAGGAGTAGGTTGTACACGGAGTGAGGTATATCCGATGTCTGATCCCGCACTCTGGAAACCATCTCCGCAGCTACTATAACCCACCAACTCGCGCAAGCCTTCGCAGCCGAATCTCTTAAACAATTCAAGCTCTCTACCAAACCATATTGAATGCAGAAACCCAGGTTCACGCAACATGTGGCTGATCTAGACGAAATCATATTGGAAGGCTGCAAGCTGACTATTCTTTTCGGGAGATATGCGTTGCCTTCGGACGTTATGTGCCTGGCTGGGTAGATGACTCGGTGGGTTGTACAGCATCGAGCTTTGGATGCAGGTGAAAAGTCAGGTCTGAAGTAGGTGGGGAATGAATACGATATCATCTATGCATTCTATTCTTCTACTAGATCCCAGATGGAGAAAAAGTCGTCAAATACCGTCGCTTTGGGGCATACTACCAAATCCCTGGATTCTAACTAGGTTATTATTTGATGTGTCGGCAATTGGAATATACCGAGCTACTTGGTGTAGAATCGAGATCGAGCTTCGACTCCTTCCCTGCATTCTCGCTTCTGTGTGCAAAATAATAAAAAATAAATTAAATCAAATTAAAATCAAAATTAGGTTGATTTGGATTCAGGCCATGGTCGGACGTAATTCCTTCATCAGACCACGGAGTTAAGACGTGAAGTGTCATAGTTGAGGCTGTTAAGTGTGAGAGCTTGGCAGGGGAGGAGTGCCCAATTCCCGCGCGCAGCTTATATTGCTCTCACATAGAAGCCTGCGAGTCTCAGGCAGGTTCATTCCCAGAGAAGGCGGCAGTGGCGTTCTTGGAGGAGCGGATGGGATGGATACTTGAGGCGATTGGGTTATTTTGACAATGTTGATCGGGACCTGGGATGATATACAACCTTCGTTATCGTTTCGTATTCGGTCGGAGATCCCAGAACGTAGATCGCGGCGATGGGAAGTGGCAAGAAGACTAGAATGTAAGCGAGGTAGCAAAAAACAAACAAGCAGAGCAGAGCCAACGGTGACCTTCGGATTGATGAGAACCCCCGGTTCACATCGTGCGTAAGCGCCTCGGGGGGTCAGGCAGCAGATGACGCGCATCCCCCTGTCCGGGACCTGGCCCGACAAGTCAGGACTCGGGTCGCCATGCCTGTTCTCTTGGATCAGCACGGATTGGTAACTCGACTGGCCAGGGACTGCGTCGTCGGAAGTGTACATGGACGGAGTTAGGGCTTGATGTGAGAAATACGGGTAAGTGACATACAGACCTCCAGATTGAAACTTACCATACAATGGGTGTCGTTCCCGCATTCGTGTACTGTATGTATGTGGTTTTTGCAAGACAAAGAACCGCCAGCAGATCGAATATCGGTGTGCTTTTTCTTTCCAAGCGCTTGCCAGCACATCGTGATCCATTTGGTTGCGATTGGAAATGTTTCATTCCTCACACAGAGCAGAATCCCACCATCCTAATGATTGGGGGGTCGAATTGGCTGCTCGGAGCATGCCTTGAGTTTTGGGTGGGTGTTCGGGGAGTACGGTTCCTGAGAGAGCTGAAGGTCTTGAATGTATGACACCTTCGTCTGATGGTGGTTCACAATGATGCTATTCGGGACGTCTATCAGAGTCGCTTTCTTGGCCCCTTTTCAACGTTGGGGTCTAGCGGTCTTGGCAAGGCAGAGTGAAATTTCTTTGACGCTATTTTGGGCGCATCCTTTATGTTGGAGTTTGCCTGGGTGATGGGCATCTTTTGCCGACAGACCATCTTCTTTCATTCTGTGTTTTAGTGGTTTGGAGATCAAATCAAATGGCGTAGAGACGATCAGTGCGAACTCGGTAGATCAACAGCGGTTCCACCACCTTATTTGACCCGAAGCCCCTTGCGGAGTCTTGGTGATTTGATGTTTCCAATCACAATTGCTGCTTGCTTCAGCTTTTGCTTGGGTGAGGGACGAAAAAAACGCGACTGAGACGCGATCTTGGCGCGCTGTCCCACTTCCTAGGCTGCCGGATTTCTTTGCAATTCCTCTTCCACATTTTTCTCTCTGCACGGGTCCAAATTGTGGAAAAAGCTAACCAAGGTGTCATTGACCCCCAACGGATCGCCACAGCCCGATTCTGGCCGAGCCCCTTTGGACCCTCTCAGCCTTAAAGATGTGCATCTCCCGAGATCCTTGCTGAGCTTGGTCTTGTCTTTTCTCATCTCATTTCTCTTGATTACTTCAAACACCCTGGTTGTCCAACGGGGACATTTGTCCTGTCCACCAAATCAGTTCCTTTCTATCGGAGAGATGTCTGCAAAAACTGGCTTCTTGGCCTGGTCCACCAAGAAGAAAATCCTAATCTTCTCGGCCGTGGGGCTCGTCCTTGTAGCACTTGGCGTGGGCTTGGGTGTGGGACTAGGAGTTGGACTGAAAGATCACGATGACGGCGACGATGAGGGCGACACCACCGAATCCAACGGCGCAGTCAACAAAACGGTGAAATGGCAGCCGGCCGTGGGGACCAAATGGCAAATTGAGCTGCTGTACCCGCTCAACGACACCTCAGTGGACGCCGAGGTCTACGACATCGATCTCTTCAACAACAAAGCGAGCGTGATCTCCGATCTCCAAAAGAAGGGCCGCAAGGTCATCTGCTATTTTTCCGCGGGCACCTACGAAGACTGGCGCTCCGACGCCGGCGACTTCCACAAGGCGGACCTGGGCGACGAGCTCCCCGACTGGCCGGGCGAGCGCTGGCTTAACATCAAGTCCAGCAGCGTGCGCAAGATCATGCAGACGCGGTTGGATCTCGCGCAGAAGAAGGGCTGCGACGGCGTTGACCCGGATAACATCGATGCATACGATAACAAGAATGGGCTGCATTTGACCAAGGCCGACTCGATCAATTTTGTGAATTGGCTCGCGTCCGAGGCGCATACCCGTGGCTTGTCGATGGGATTGAAGAATGGTGGCGATATCATTGACTCGGTGATCAGCAACTTGCAGTGGTGTGTCAACGAGCAGTGTGCTCAATACGAGGAGTGTGACACCTACGCCGCGTTCACCAAGGCAAACAAACCCGTCTTCCAAATCGAATACCCCAAGGGCGATGATGTCAATGACAACAAGTCTGTCACGGCCAAGCAGAAGTCGGGTGCTTGCAACGCAGATAGCGCGGGCAATTTCTCGACGGTCATCAAGAACATGAATCTGGATAGCTGGGTGGAATACTGCTCATGACAATACAGGTAGCCCGTTCGGGGTGCCCTGTTTCCTGTTTGAAATACTTCATGTATCAATACGAATCATAATTCCATTTGGACTGGTGAACATCGCATGCTGCTACCAGGGCGCAGCTAGGTAAATGAAGTCTACGGTATAATCAGCAGAGCGATCTACTTGATCGAGTATGGGCTCTTATTAGCCAGGATAACTCGCCACCACTTACCTCAAATTGGGCTACTGCTCTTCTATATTAGCATATCCCGAACCTCCACGATTCATACACCCCACGTTTGTCACCATTGCGAAGGGAGTCCAGGTTGACCGCACAAATTCTCATATTGATAATAATGCAACCCAATGAAAGCTCCTACAAACAGTTCCCGGCTTCTTGGACCGAACCCATGCAAGCCATCGGCCGAGTCTGATGGTTTCGCTATTCATACTGCCTACAGCAAGTACAGCAAGCCATAAATAGCAATTTTATTTTGTCTTTGTCTTTGTATTCCTGAGAAAACTTATTTTTTGGGGGGTTTGCTTTCCCACCGCGCAAAGAACGATCGACAGGTAAAGGTGTGTCGTGGGAGCAAGCTTGTATGGCCGGAGACGACCCGAAAGTCAAACTAGCACACCAAAGTGCACTTGGCACCTGCACAAGCCTGCAGTCGCATTATTGGTCCATTGGTCAGGTTTGAGGAGTTGTAATGTCTGGCATTTCTAGTGTGGCTGGTCATCGAATAATAATTTTCAGTTCTCCCCGTGTATTGCCTTCTCTCCTCCTTGTATTGCTAAATATGTTCATATGCTGTTGTCAACAACTATAGAAAGGTAATTAATGAGAGATCCGAACAATTAGCAACTGAAATTTAAGCCGCAATAACCGCAGAATCGAAATTCAATCCCCGGAAATTGTACAATTCATGACAGGCGAGGATCTCCAAGACTAGGGCTAGGTGGCGAACCACTCACACCAAAGCCCTACTTTCTAGCGCCGTTGAAATTTTCATTGACAGGGACTGCTAAAACAATTGGGGATCTCTCATCTCCCATCTCCCAGCTATTAGGTAGGCTGAACTCCGCGATCTTCCCGTCGGATGCACCGGCGAAACGGGTCTGGACCGAGACAATCCTGTCTTGTTTTTCTTTCCTTTGGAGCATACATGTTGAAAAAAAAAGTGATCTGTCATATACCCACTCTCGGATCTAAGGATTTCTCGTCTTTTCGTCTAATATATTCCAGAAAATGAAATTTCATACTCTGCGGCTAAGATCTGGTCCCGGCTGGGTCCTGAACGGATCTGCCCGAACCGTGGGGGTTGATGTTCGTTGCCTTGCCAACATAGTACTTGCGACTCTTGCCTTCTTACTTTCACTATGTCACAAGGTACTGACTCGTCGAAAGAGCACCCAAAGGAATACCGAGAACTACTAGACTTTTCCCCCCTGTCTTTGTAGAAATTGCTGTAGCAATCTCAGTCCAGGACTTCGGTGTTCAACGTTTTACTCGCATTTTACCAGGGACGTAGTACATGCTGTAGCCCTATGAGGCAAAAAGAAAAACCAAGTATCAAACACTGTAGTCTCATAGTATTTAGAGAAGTCAGAAGTCAATGAATGTGGCAAATACACAAATAGACTGGAATTAGAGTCAAAAAGGCACCTAGGCGAGATATTAACATTATCCGCAACAGTAGTATTGCGGCTGCAATTCATCAACCCAACTCCCAAACCCATAGGGTCGGTCATCTTTGCCCATACAGCGCCATCCATCCCACCGCGGTCTGGTTTTGGTTCATGCACCCATTGACCACTCCCCTTGGAACAAAGCGAAGAAAATTTCAATCTGCCCACGATACCCCCGATTTGAACACGTTGTACACGACCCTCCTGTTCCACTGCAGCGTTGTGCCGCAGTATCCATCTCCTCGGTCTCTGTTTTCTCTTCCCTCCCGAGGAGTCATTATTTGTCTTTGTCAGGGATCACGCTGCTGTCTCAGGTGTCTGCATCGGATTGTAACAGTTTGAGTCTTCGAAAAAAAAAAAAAAAAAGAATCATAAATTGTATGGCTAGATCTTACTTATTTTTGTTTTCTTTTTGTTCCCCCTCTGACCCCACCAGCTCCAAGACATATCTGTCTCTTGTTGTCTCATCCGGACCCGAATGAAACTCACCCAGGGCTAAATATAGAGCTAATTCCACATTATCTGCAACCGCCGTGAATGGTGGAATATTACCAAGTATGAAGTCTGATCTGGACAACGTCTAGACGATGTGTATTGTAGCTTGGCAGCGAAGAAGTGAAAATTACCCGTCTTCGGGTATTTCACCTTGAAGCTCGGCCATAACCCCAAAAAGTACACTTCACCGGTCTCTATGAAAAGTAAAACAAGTATAAAGATAAAAATTAAGGATTGCGATTATTACTATCATGACTCGTATTCCCGGAGCCGAGTGCAATATGTTTGTCTCTCAGACAAAGGCAAAAGAAACCGACATCAACTTCGGCCGAAAACATAGCCCTAGCTACTCTCGCTACCGATTACAATCACCACCTCAGTATGCCCTTCCTAACTTGATTATCACGCCACAAAACCAATAACCTCGGTCTACATCATGCTCCATACTCAAGCTTCACAGGAGTTCACGAGCGTTAAATATGAAATCGTTTAGGAACAGACACAACAAAACAACAAATCGGGGCGGTCTGGGCGGATTGGAAAGCTGAAACATACACCCTTTCTGGCGAGCTCCACGTCCCAGGAACAGGGTACACATAGAGTGGCACGAAGGCCTCGGATGTTGGGCCCATGCTGGTTTTCTTTTCCTTCTTTTTCTTGCATAGGGTCGTAGCCAGAAGTGGTGACCACAGCAGAGGGGCTGTCGGCGGCAAGAATTGCACCGAGGACAAGAATATGCACTCGGATCAGTGGAGGGCGTCTCGAAGGACGATATCCACGTGGGCTCGCGTGTTTTTCGGAGATATTGCGGAAGAGGGGGGGTACAGGTAAAGAAAGTTTGTGTATGTACAAAAGCTGTGTATATTCAGGGGGAAAATTGCCCTAATTCCAAAGCCACGGAAAACGCCGTCTAACAACCCCATAAGCCAGAGCGAATAGACTGGTATTTCTCTTCGCCCAAAATACGCCGAAGCGGGGCTCGAACATACCATCGCAGAAAGAGTCTTAGATGAGACGTCAAAGGTGAACAATCATCTTGTGGTAAGGAGGGTAGTTCGGAGCTGAAGGCCCCAAATGGAGCGCCCAGGGGGAAGCGCTTAGGGCTCTTGGGACCGTGACAATAATATTTTCCAAGGCCCAGTCGTATGTCTGGGCCCCTGTGGGTGATCCTGCCCGACTGTCGCAATATTCCCTCTCGCCTGTAGGACCCATGCCGCTTTGTTTCTTTTTTGGGCTTATGTCTCTTCTATTTTTTTTCCGCCGGTTTCTCCTTGCCATTTTTGCCGGCCAGGCCTAGCTGATCCACCCCCATTTGCTGACGAAAAAGATGGGCACAATAGGAAGAGCTAAACGAGGAATTTGAAGCAGCGAGGCAACACAAACCATTTCTTGGTGGAGTATAAATCGTGCATGACGGCCCCTGGGGAGTTGGTCAGATCTTGGTGTTTACTACCAATAGCATCAGAAAACACTTCTGCTTTGTGCATTGATAGTAGAGTTAATCTGCCCCTTGCCATCCACCTCATTTCCGAGTTTCCTAGTTGATATTCGCGATGAACAGCCGTCGACGGTCAGAGGCAAGCACCCCGGTTGAGAGTGACTCTCCAAGATCAGTGGACACACCGGCCACGGAGTCTTCATTCCTCTTTGACAACCTCGACGTCCTTTTGCAACGACTTCCTGTGGAGAGCCAATATATTCTTGTCACAGGTGGCTTAGGCTTCATCGGAAGCCACACGACCTTGGAACTTCTCAAGGCCAATTATAATGTGATTGTGATCGACAACCTCAGCAACGCCTTTGAGGATGTTCTTAACCGCATCAACTCCTTGGCGATCGAATTCCATGAAAAGAATGGCACCACGATGCCGTCATTGTGCCTGCATGCACATGACTATCGAGACACTTCAACGCTTCGTACTCTCCTCGAAGACTATCGGCTCCCATCTCGATGGGGAGTTCCAAAGTCAAGGATTGCCGGAGTCATCCACTTTGCCGCATATAAGGCTGTGGAGGAGAGTATCCGAAACCCACTGAAGTACTACTCAAACAATGTGAGCGGCATGGTGGACTTCGCCACGACACTTGGCGACTTCGGGATCAAAACGTTCATCTTTTCGTCCTCTGCAACAATATATGGGACGCTCGCGACTTCAGGGTTGCCATTGAAAGAGGAGCTCTGTGTCCACAAAGAGGAGGCGTACACAGATCATACCGGAGTTTCAAGGACACTGCAGCCCGGATGTACTGGCATCACTAACCCCTACGGCCGCACCAAATGGATTTGCGAAACGATTCTGGCCGATTTGGCTGCATCGGATCCCGAATGGACGATTGTTGCTCTCCGGTACTTCAACCCTGTCGGGTGTGATTCGTCTGGATTGTTGGGAGAGGATCCGCGCCAAGCACCCACGAACCTTCTGCCGGTGGTGGTCAAAGTCATGACTGGGCAATATGAGGAGTTGCAGATGTTTGGGACAGACTGGAACACCGAGGATGGCACAGCTGTCCGGGACTTTATCCATGTCACAGATCTCGCCCGGGGCCACATTGTCGCGCTCAGTTCGGCCAATGACGGAAAGCTAAAGGAGAATTTCCGGACCTTCAACTTGGGAACGGGGTGTGGCCACTCGGTGTTGGAAGTGGTGAATGCAATGGAAGCGGTATCTTCAAAACCCATTCCTCGGCGGGCGGCTGAGCGTCGCGAGGGTGATGTGGGAGCCTGCGTTGCTGTCGTAGACAGGTCCCAGCAGGAGCTTGAGTGGAAGACAGAAAAGAGCCTGAAGGATGCTTGTCAGGATATTTGCAACTTCTTGGATGTTAGTGGGCTGTCGTCATAACTTGAGACAGCCCTCGTTTTTCTTGTCTTTTCTTCATGCTTTTCCTGTGGAGCTGGGAGCCTTTGGGTGTTTTCAGCGGCATGCGTCATCTTTATTTACTGGACTCATAATTATGGATAGAATTGCATGTCTGGCACATTCTGCGTTTCTGTGGGTTTCTCTCGAGTTACCTTCGCGATCCATGTACTCTGTTGTTGCTAGATGTGTATTAGTCAAAAGTTAACAATTTCTTCATTTTCCAAACCCCTGTGAATTTAAGCAGCAGAAACTGTGAAATAAATTCATCTTCTGCCCTGGTGAGCATCGATCGTAGGGAAGCAGCTCAGTGAGGCCGGGAGATGGTGGGCAGACAGAGAGCATCCCGAAGAGGAAGGAGATGAAAATAATGAGTCAGCAGGTATTGTCACGTGGCAGCTCCATAGACAGCAACAGCGACATGCTTCTGCGATATCAATTGGAAATGCCATTCCATAAATATCCGAGTAGTCGAAAGCCATCAGCTTTCCGCCAGGGAATCTGAGAGCACAGGATCCCTCCCTCCCACTGACAAGACTTAGACACTATTTTGTAGTCTTAGAACACGTGACTCACCTCCGGCTTGGCAATCGATGCCGCAGTTTTCTGCGAAAGCTTTCCTTGAACTTGCGGCAGTCTCGTGAATTCTCCACCCCGGGCCAATCCACAATCTCCAGGGCTTAAGACTTTTGCTGATCTTTGCACTCACTGCTGTGCCGTCATGATTTGCAGAAGCTGCCGGACGAGCCTGTCCCGGCTACAACAACAGCCGGTGACCTGGTCTGCTTCATCATGCGCGCGCCAATTCCCCGTGGTTCGCACCCAATTCCGATTGTCCAGTGGAGGAAACAACCCTTCTGTGGCTGCTCCTCCTATGCCATCCGCTCCGCGTCAACCCTCGGCCGGCGACAATACGACTCCGTCCGCCATCTCCTCCGCTACCCCGGGCATTTCTCAGCCCTTCAGTACCCCCGAAGGCGTTCACACCGAGGTGCGCCCTAAAGCCTCCTCAAAACCAGCTGTCACACGCCCACCGAGTAGCTGCCCGGCTGGGACCAAGATGAACGGCCTCAACTATTTCAAGAACAAACCCGACGTTTTCGCCAAGGAGGACGCCGAATACCCGGACTGGCTCTGGGATATTTTGGGCGATTCGGGCAAGCAAGACAAGGCCAAGACGGGTGGCGTAGACGTGAGCAGTATGTTTCTCTCTCCTAATGTTCTTCATTCGACTTTCGAGGTGGCCTGAGTACTAACACACCTTTACGCTGCAGCGCTGAACAAGAAACAACGGAAACGCTACGAAAAGAAACTCGCTGCCCGTACTGGTCCCATTGCGCCGAAGGTTCCCGTGCATCACCATTCTTACGATATCACACCGGCGTCATACAACCGTGATACACCAGCGGAGGATATTGTGACCGAGGCTACCGAGGGTAGTGAGAAGCGTTCGGAGGTCACTAAGAGTGCCAGAGAGTCGAGACGCAAGTCGATCAAGGAATCCAACTTCCTGCGTGGTCTGTGATCTCATGCTCACGTGGGAATCTTATTAGCGTCCGTCAATTGTGACAGCGATCTCATTTATTTTGCCCTGTGCCCCAATGGCCATACACGCCTAGGGGCGGCGCTGAATACTGGACAGAACGGGCTTTTCAGATGCCCGGCGTGTATTATTATGTGGATTGGTTTCTCGATTGTGCTATATATCACCCAATGCTACTTGCTACCAATTTTCCCCTCGGGTTCTTTTGACCTGTTTAGGGACATTGTAAGGGAGCATGCCTTCCGACTACTGTGGCACCGGCCACTCTTTCTCTTCGCCCTGACCCTCTAACCACGGCGAGCAGGCATCCCACAGCGCCTTGAACTGGCCCTCTCCCAGACCCAGCATCTTCTCCCAGACCTCGCGATCAAACCGATGGAAGAATGCCAGCACCGAAACCATAATGAAATCCGCATAGCCCGCCTTCTCACCTTCGAAGAACGGACCGGTCTTCCCGTCCCTCCCCCTTCAGCATATTCAGCAACGGCCCAGTCTCCTTCTCAATGCCCTGCCACAGTTCCAGCAAGGTCTCCTCATCGGTCGGCCGCACCTCCGACAAGGGCTTCCCAAAGAGCTCCGAGCGCGTGCGATCAAAATACTCCTTGCCGCGCGGGTCCAACGACTCCGTCACCCGCGGGATCACCAGGAGCATGATACTCGGCGCCATCAGACCCGTGAGTCTGGCGACAGCGACGGCCAGCGCATAGCTGGCGTCACCGGACGGGAACAACGGCGGCGACGGGTATACTTTATCCAGGTGCTGGGCGATCGGCAGAGAATCCATCATTGTGCCCGAGGAGCTGGTTGTCACCGATGCCTTGTGATTGATTGCCGGCAGGGTGTATGGCGTTCCGGTTCCGTTGGGGTCCACGTCCAGTGCTTTCATCAACGGCGCGATGTCCGGGTAGGACACCCAGCTTTGGGTGTAGGGGACGCCCTTGAAGTTCAGCACCAACCGCACCTTCAGCGTGTTGGGGGACCATGACTTGGTTGTGCCTGGGGTTATCTCGGGTCAGCACAGGACCTCGCCTGAGAGAGACCGGGCCTCACCTGGGAGCGTGGATGTAAGGTCGAAAAAGTGGACGGGCCGTGAGTCGGCCATTGTGGATTCTACTGAATATATTTATGTATTATTCGGTGATTCCAGGGAGAAGGTAGTAGGTAAAAGATGGGTTCATGATTAAGTGATTGTCGCGGGGGGAGGCCCTTATATACGAGTCTCAAGCGGGGTGCGGGGGACAGTCCTTTCACCGAATGCTTATCTGCGCGAGTCAGAACAGATAGTTACTAACGTAATCGGTAAGCGAGCTGCGCATGTAAGCGAGCTGCGCAGAACACGAAAATCTCGCCACTTACGCGAACCTATCAATTTCAACCACCTACTATGCCACCAATTCGCTCTCAAAAAGCTAGAAAATCTATCGAGCAGGAGGGTAGGGGCTTGCTAGCTATCGAGGCTATTCAGAAGCAAGAAATTCCTTCTATTCGTGAAGCAGCTCGTCGATTTAATATACCCGAATCTACGCTTCGGACGCGCCTTCGTGGAACACCTAATCGAGCCACTATACGCGCCAATTGCCAGAAATTGACCTAAATTGAAGAAGAATCAATTCTCCGATGGATTCTTTCGATGGATTTACGCGGAGCAGCTCTTCGGCCAGCAGCTGTACGAGAAATGGCTAATATTCTATTGGCTAAGCGTGGATCTACCTCGATTTAGTCTATCGGCGAAAAATGGGTCTATAATTTTATTAATCGACATAATGAAATCAAGACTCGTTTCTCTCGTCGATATGATTATCGGCGCGCCAAAAATGAAGACCCAAAAATTATTTATAAGTGGTTTAACTGCGTTCGAAAGACAATCGATGAGAATAGTATACTATGCGATGATATATACAACTTTGATGAGACTGGTTTCGCAATGGGCCTTACCTCGACAGCCAAAGTGATTACTAGGTCTGAATACTACGGTCGGCGATTATTGTTACAACCTGGGAATCGCGAATAGGTCATAGTAATTGAGTCGATAAACGTATCTGGATAGGTACTGCTACTATATATTATCTTCAAAGATAAGGTCTATATCAAAGGCTGGTTCGACGATTTACCTTCTGATTGGCATTTCGAAATAAGCCAAAATGGCTGGACGACTGATGAAATTAGCCTTCGCTGGCTAAAAAGAGTCTTTATACCAGCTACTGCCAATCGTACGAAGGGTAAATATCGGCTTTTGATTCTTGATGGCCATAGCAGCTATTTGACACCTTAATTCGATGAAACATACAGCGATGCGAATATTATACCAATTTGTATGCCGGCGTATTCATCGTATATTCTACAGCCTCTTGATATTAGCTGTTTTGCGCCTTTAAAAAAGGTATACGGCAGCTTAGTTGAGAGGTAAATACGATGTGGTATCAATCATATCGATAAATTCGATTTTCTCGCTGTATATCTAACTGCTCGCTCGTAAGCCTTTAATAAAGCTACAACTATTTAAAATAGCTTCGTAGCTGCTAGATTAGTCCTTTATAATCCAAATCGAGTTATCGAAAAGCTTAATATTCAGCTTCGTACGCCTATATCTCCTAGGAGTAGTCAGGGCAGCTAAAGCAGTCAATTCTCGCTAAAAACGCCCTAAAATCCAAAATAGCTATATCGACAGGCTTCATCAATCAAAGCTCTATTAAAATATCGCTCCTATAGCCCACCAAGTCCAACTGGCGCGGCGCTAGATCAGCTTATCAAAGGCTGCTAGTTAGCGATACATAGCGCTACGATCCTCGCGCAAGAAAACAAGGATTTACGCGCAGCCAATAAGAAGCAGAAGCAAAAGCGAGCTAGATCTAATAGGCAGATACCTCGAGAGCAAGGCCTATCGGTTCAAGAAGCTCGTGAGCTAATATCGACGTCAAACCAAGCCTCTAAAGCCCAATCGATAGCTTCGACAGTAGCTATTCAGCCAGCTTCGCAGGCCTCTCAGCGAGCACCACCTCGTTGTAGCGACTGCCGAGAACTAGGCCATCGAAGATTGCAGTGTCCAAACCGAGAGAATTAGCTTTTTTTTTAAATATAAAGGCGTTGTGGCGAAAATATATCGATTTAAATTTTAAATATCCGAGATACTGCGCAGCTCGCTTACATGCGCAGCTCGCTTACCGATTACGTTATGTTGACGTCCTGACTAATCCCTTTAAACTTGGATTATGGCGACCCTTGGATTCACCAGGCAAATGCTTGATCAGCAATGGGGAGAGCTTTGAAAAGACTGCCTCTGTCTTGCCCTTACGAGGTGCAGAGAGGACTAGGCCCGAAGTCATGAAAGAAAGCATGAAGAGCATCAGAAAAAAATGCTATAAACATGACGATATAAATAACATAAAAAATATTAAAAACCATGATTTTGAATATGCTTGCTGATCGCCATGCCACGTTTACAGCGGAGCCGATCAGGAACACGCCCAGTCTGACCCCTCTTAGCCACTTCTCGCAGACATCAACTCAGAAACCCACAGTCTTTTTGACGCATCTTGTGCTTTATCGCGAAGCTACTGCGACGGCGAGATTGGGGTTGTCCACCCCCCCTGAAACAAGCGGGGCCTTGATGATCCTTTCCCAATAAGCAGCGACATCGATATCACACCATCTGGGATTGCATTGCTGTTGCATCCGACTAGTCGAAACAGATTAGCTGGGTGATTCAAGCGAGACACGCAACATGGACAAAGTGGAGGGACTGGTTGACCGCGCTCGGCAGCTTGCAATTCATCAACCGTCAGATGCGACAGCCCCCGAGTCATTCCACTCGGCGGTCGATACTCATCTGCAGAAAATCCACCAATCTGTGTCGGCGTCGAATTCAACACTGGGCCTTTTTCTCGAGAAATTCCAGCAGGAATCTCCCGAGGCAAATGCCGGAAGTCATACCTCCCAGGATCCTCTGTCGCTGGACGCTTTCCGGGCGTATATGAAGGATGCGAACGCAGGTGCACAGGCACCGGATCATGATCTAGATCTTTCCGCCCCCATCTCGGATTATTTTGTCTCGTCGAGTCACAATACGTACTTGACCGGCAACCAGCTGTACAGTGATGCTGCTGCGAGCGCATACACATCTGTGAGTGGATCCAGCTTCCTTGGGGTGATGGGTTGATCTGTGTCGCAATGGGAATAGGCAGAGCTTAAGATTGTTGAATATTCGCTGACCTCTGGGTAGGTCCTCCTGCGCGGTTGCAGATCCGTGGAGATTGATGTCTGGGATGGGGAATCAGAAACCCCCGATTCCAGCGAGGCGGAAGGAAAAAGTGGCAGCTCCAGTGACTCGAGTGACGACGACAGGGCTTTGGGGACCAGAATCAAAGAAAAGGTCAGGTCCAAGACCGACATCCAGGACGGGTCTGGTCGAGGATTGCCTCGCTCCGTCTCGTCCAAATTGGGGAATGTCTTGCGCCGCAAATCCACCAAAGCCGCACAGGTCGGTGGTGAGGATGCCTCCACGAGCCAGATGCCCATCACTGGGGAGCCACGTGTCTTGCATGGGCATACATTGACCAAGGGCGCTTCATTTCGCGAGGTCTGCTATGCAATCCGTGACAGCGCCTTTGTGGCCAGTGATCTTCCAATCATTGTCAGCTTTGAGGTGCATGCGTCTCTCGAACAACAGCAGATGATGGTGGATATTATCAAAGAGGCATGGAACGGCTTGTTGGTGGAGGTTTCGCCAGACGTCGAACCTGGGAACAAGCTCCCGACATTGGCAGAGCTCAAAAGAAAGATCTTGATCAAGACCAAGTCAATCCCCTTGACAGATGCCAATGAAAAGGCCGAGCAGGACTTTCAGGCTTCAAAAGAAGGAGTAGAAACTGCAGGGGGGCAGCCATCAAAACCATCGAAGATCCTGGAGGCCCTAGCGAAACTGGCTGTCTATACTCGGGCGTATCACTTTAGCCGCTTTGATCAACCAGGTACGGCGAAAACATCCACATTGGAACACATGGCAGCTAAAGGCCCGTATACTGATAAGCAAACAGAGGCCAAAGTCCCCGTCCACATCTTCTCTCTGTCCGAGAAGGCAGCGCGCGATGCTCACCTGAACCAGCGCGAGGCCCTGTTTTCTCACAATCGCTCCGGGCTGATGCGCATCTACCCATTCGCCTTCCGGGTCACGTCATCCAATCTCGACCCGTCATTCTACTGGCGTCGGGGTGCTCAGCTCGTGGCCATGAACTGGCAGAACTTGGATAAGGGCATGATGCTTAATCACGGCATGTTTATCGGGACCCTAGGCTGGAAGCTCAAGCCGGCTGGCTACCGAAGCGCAGAGCCTTCATCCGACATGATCCATCGCCAGACTGTCACCCTGATCCTCGAGGTATTTGCCGCTCAGGATCTTTCTCTACCGCCGGGAGACCGCAGCGAGAAAGGGTTCCATCCCTATGTGAACTGTCAACTGCATGTTGAGGAACCCGAGAGCGAAGATGCCACTGGGCAGGATGACGCCAACTCTGAGGCTAAGAGCAGCTACCGACGATGCACGAAGAGCTACTCGGGCAGAAACCCGGATTTCGAGGGCCAGAAACTGGTATTCCCCGCGGTCACAGGAATCGTTGAAGAGTTGAGTTTTCTACGGTACGTTGCGTAGCCGTTCTCTTTTTCTTTTTCTGTTTTAAATTCTGCTTGTTCTGCTGCATCGTCCCTTTCTTGTCCTCATATCACAATCTCGCTTATGCACGACCATCCCTGCATTGTGGCACCCGTCAAATCCAGACTCATGTGCACAGCCGCAGACCATGCAGGCGTCCATCATTAGCGGGGGAAGCGTCAGTGATGCATCGTTGCCTCGAGTGCCTCGAAAGGCAGCCCTGTGACTACCCTGCTGTTTTGAGTCTCTGCGTCCCCGTGCACTTGCATTGCTTATACATACTTGCATCTTCTGCAATCATCATCTCAGGTGACTAACTCCACCTCCTTCCAACTCTTCAGGTTTAAAATCAAAGATGACGAGATTGGGCGTGACTCACTCGCTGCTTGGGCATGCATTCGACTCGACCGGCTGCGCAACGGCTATCGACTTGTGCATCTTCATGATTGCAGTGGAGAAAAAACAGGCGGGGTATTGCTGGTCCATATCTCAAAGGAGGTCTCATAGAGGGAGGGAGTTTGATAGGTCATTGTGTAGCAAGCAAGTTTCTAGTTACATAGTCTGATAGAGTTTAGTAATATGGGTATAACGAACTGCAGTTCATAGAATCTATACTGAAACACTTCCCACTCACTGTCTTGGGTCAGGCATCTATGCAGCCTATTACACAGTGCCAACGGGAAACCCCTATTCAGATGATCAGGCATGATAACTGGACCACGGCACCTTACTTTAGACTCGATGACTCGGAAGCTCCAAGGCTGGAAGCAGCTGCATAAGACCTTGGTCACGATGGTCCCAACGCACTAAGCTCAGGTATCATGTGTGTAGACTCGGCATTATACTTAAAGTTTTTGGCCACGTCGACGATGCAGCCCTGCAGGCGTGACGGGGGCCTTCACTTAGGGTTTATGGGGCACAAACTCGAGATAGAAGGTGGCCACTTCTCGATATCATACGAAATAACGAAAGTACGAGGCTAACTATTTCCATTCATGCGAGGAGGTTCGAACATACGTGATGGTATCACTGGCACGGACAGCAGCATGCCCCGCGCGGATGCCACGCATAAGCAAACGCTGGATAAGAATCATAAAATAACAATACAATAAAATAAAAGCTAGCTCGGCTTTACAGGATTAGCTTACTTGGCGGTGTTTGCGGCTACTAGATTATTTTTAAGTACCCACTGACTTAATAATATAGAGTTCTCATGTTTTATTTTTCTTACTCGATATCAAAATAAAAGATTTTTAGTAAAGACAAATTAGGTATGCGACGGGCGATCACGCACGTTGAAATCAAGGGGGTGTGTGCAGGAAAGCAAACAAGAAAGTGATCCTGCATGATGCCACCTCGACCAGAATCAATCAATCATTTTATAGGCCCTGGAGAAAGTTTAGAGGAAGGTCGGTGAGAAGACCCAGCGTTCGCGAGATGCTGTCTACCGTGCACGAACTTGTCTTGTTAGAATCCTCCCTTTAGTCCCTTTAGTGGGGGGGGGATCAGCATGCCAAGTGCCATGCATCAGATTGATCGGCATTGTCAGTGGGAGGGGAGCAAGATGAGTAGAGCTGATCGGAAAATCCTCCGATGAGAAGAAGAGAAGTGGAAGGAGTCGGTAAAAAGGCGAAAAAAAAAAAAAAACCTAGGATTAAGATTGGGATAGACATGCTAGAAAGAAGCAAACAAGCCCAAAATTAAATGAGTAAGCTAAATGATGAGAATCAAATAAAATCAAATAAAATCCAAGCTCCTGCAGTTCACGCATTGCGGAGGAGGGGTTCGTAGGGTCTTGCATGCATATTCACTATGCCCCCCTCCTCTATCAACTTGATCAAATGATGGCTGGAGAGGAACTATTTATCATAACTCAATACAGCCAATGATCGGGGCAGATCGAGTAGCTTTGAGGAGCAAAATGGATAATCGCCCAAGAATGTTCTCCGCAAATCACCGTCCAGTCTGCGGCGAGGTCGAGCGGGCCCCAGGATCCGCGCCGGGGTGCCCGGACGATACATCAACTATGAAAGTCTGGCGCCACTTTCGATCGGATTTCCCGCCCATTGCAAAGGTGGTTTTCATTTTTCTCTTTTCTTTTCTCTAGGCCGGGAGGCTAGCAGCATTAATCGACTGCAATATACCCGAACATCGAGCAAACAAACCCCTAATCACAGTCCCGTTTAACTTATAGTATAGTATACAAACTATACTATACGAATATAGCCAAGATCCCAAGGATAGTGGATTCCGTGCAGCAGTCACCCAGCAAGATGGGGGTGATCAGGCCAATGTGACTGGCCGATCGTAAAACGAAAATGGAGAAATCCCCATCTTCCTCGACGTTTTTTCTCTTCTAACCCCTTTACTTGCCCTTCCCCCCACCCCCTTGTCGGTCGCCTTATAAGGGCTGGCTTCTTCCCTGCCTCGGTCGATAGCTCATCCGGACCACTCGTTGCCTGACTTTTCCCCGGTCTCTCCAGTTGGCTTTTGGAAAAGCCAAAAAAAAGGAAGGAGCAAAGAATTAATACTTACAAAACGAAACAAAGAAGACCAAAGAAGAACAAAGAAGATGACCGACTCCGTCGAGTGCCGTGCCCCGGTCTGCCAACACTCTGCCGTCAACAAGGTTTGTTCGAGTCCCCGCCGATCCGTATCCTCGGGGGTACTTTTGCTTGCATTTTCTGTTCCTTTTTCTTCTTGTTTTCAAGAACGGTCGATCCTTGGTTCGAGTCCTTGCTGATTTTTCTGTGTTTTAGATGCCCGGGGTCCGATGCCCTACTTGCGCTGCGCAGGGGAAAGAGGTCTGGGTTATCCCAGGCAAAAGCTGCCATATCTGCCACACGCCGTGTGCATGAGCTTGTCAGACACTTGCCTATGATATACGCTAAGAATGACTCGTCCATCTCCACTGAGGGGGATTGTGAGATGTCGTATGGCCATCTCCCACCGGTTCAATCCGCTACGCTATACCATCGCCAACAACTGCTGCACCATGACCTCGCCCATTGGAAAAAGGACTGCCTTTCGACGACAGTCAGTTCATACAGAGAGGCTCGACCAACATCCAAGTCGAGTCTTTGGGAAGGAAGATCCTGTTATCTGTTTCATTACTATTTTTTCTGTGATGTCTGCCAACGATATACGATTTTTTTTTTTTTTTTTTTTTTGGTGTTGGGATGGGTTATGAGGATTGTTAGACTCGGGATCCGAATATTGCATGCAGGTCTCAATTTGGATAATGTGACTGTTACCACTATTTACTTATTTGTCTCTACTGCAGTATATCTACATCTATACAAAGTCGTACTTTTGTCCCCCCCCCCCACGCGAGAGAATGACATCAGCCCCCCCGCAATTAATAAACAGCAATCTCTCATTGAGCACCCACTTTTACTATTGTTAGAATCACCATTAAACCATTAATACCACTCCTACTGTTCGGATTACTCTCTATCTTGAGAATGTCACAAAAATACCCCGTCGGCTCCCGCTCCGACAGCGAGCGCCTCGTCCGAGACTGGGGCTTCCGTCACGTCTTTACCTGGTCCGATGGCAGGTATGTCGGACCAAAAACAATCCACCCTAAGTTACTGGAAGTTGTTCTGATCTCTTCAAGTAATGCGCATTACTCGCCGCACTCGCACGGCGGTCTTACGACGCACTTGATCCGCCGGGGTTCCCTTACTATCACGTACCCCGAAGACAATGCCACACTGCACAATGGGCAAGTCAAGAAAGAGACGTTTGGGGTTGGTGCTCGTGTTGATGTCCCGGCGGGGAAACTTCATGAGGTTTGGATGGGTGATGAGGGCTGCGAATATGTGATTGGGGAGTAGCAGTCGAGGATTTGTTAAATACATATTTATGGTCTACTGTCGTTGTTTGTGTTAATGTTTGTGTCAATGGCATTGCTGCCATTTCACTTAGTCACATCTATTTTGTATCAATAAATCAATGTGTATCTATCTAGCATAGCAAATCCTTCTAGCTCAACCCAATACGCCCAAGTATCTAATGCAAAAACCGGAAATCGAGTCTGAAAAGAATCACCAAGTCAGCGGCTACATCTATCTCGCACTGTGGAGTCAATTCTTACCTCTTGTTTCCAAGGTCTTTGTTTTCGGCAATATATCTCTCGCGTTCCTCGCTGGACATGTTGTCCCAGACTGCGGCGTTCCTCCTAATATGAGAGTGAGCACTCCATACCACTTCAGATCAAAAAAGGATTTCTCAACATACTTGTTTCGCCAAATATAGTACACCTTGGCCACGATGAACATGAACCCGCTCCACACGGAAAGACCAATAAGCACCTTGTTTCCGGTGCGGTATAAAGGCTTGTCGTCGTCTCGGTAGATCTGGATATCGTTTGTGAGTCAAGTTCTTAGTTTAAAAAAAAAAGGAAAAGGCTCAAGTACTCACATTGTTGGCAATGATGCTGCTCACTTGCACTGTCATGTTATACAGGGCCGTCGCAACCGTACGGGTACGGACCGAGCCCGCGTTGCGAGATGTAATGGCCACCACAATGGCATGAACATATGGCATACCAATCAACAGAGTAAGCAGCACCCAACGGGCCCAAGCATTGGCATCGGCCGGAAGCACTTCCAAAGCAATGAGAAGAACCAGTCCCCAGACCTCGGCCATGACACCCAGCATCAAACGCACATTGAAGCGCTCAGAAATCCACGTCCAGAACAACAGGTTCAAAATAAACACCACGTACGAGGGAATACTCAGCAGGTTGCTCTGGAAGGTGGTGAAGTTCAGCGACTTGAGCTGGAGGCTGATATACGAGGTGGCGGGCGTGTTGGGGATCATCCAGGTGAGCCCCAGAATGTAAATAACCCACATGTCGTAGTCGCACAGCGCACGCCACAGCATCTTGGGAGTCACCGGCTGACGGTTGTGCATGCCGCCCTTGCTGGGGTCGTCGCGGAGCACGCGGTTGACCATGATCTTCTCTTCGTGCTCGTTGAACCACCCGTTCTTGCCGCGGAACTTACCGGCGGTCTGCGTTGGCGACGGCGGCATCCAGAACGCGGCGATGATTCCGATTACGCCTGTAATCAGGCCCTCATATGCGAACAAGTACCGCCAACCGCCCTTTCCATCTTCGCCGCGGATGTGCAGGAAGCCGAAGGCGAGGAAGGCACCGACGATCGCGGTGCCCTGGTACGAGACCCAGAAGTAGCTCAGTCGGATGGGCAGCTCTTTGGATTTATACCAGAACGACAGGAACAGAATTGTGTCCGGGATGCTGCCGAATGTTAGTTTGACCTCTGCATCATATATGAAATACTTCCACACTCACAAGCCTCCCTCTAGCAGACCTAGCAAAGCTCTGGTCGTGAAGAAGCCACTCCGGTTCTGAACAAATGCTTGACATGCCGCAATCAAACTCCAGGCCACCATCTGGACGGGGATCCAGCGGTCGGGCCCAAACCACTTGGACAGCAGTTGTGATGGGAGCTCGGCAAACAAGAAAGTCAAGTAGAAGATGGTCTGGCCGGTATTATAGTCGTTGGTGTTCATGCCCAGGTCATCCAGCATATTGTCCGACGTGGCCTGGACAATATTTCCTCGGTCCAGCTGGAGCGCAAAGAACGTGATACAGGCGAATGTGCAGACACGCCAGTCGATCTATCAACATCGGTCAGTTTAGACAATGATATATACCAACTCTCTGCATTTTCTTACCTTCCTCACAACGGCCTTCTCTTCTTCCTCGGTCCATTCGAAATCGGGATCCCACCGATGGTATCCTTCATACTCTGGGATGGGCTTATAGTAGCGCGGATCCTCAGTAGTATCAAACGCACAGTCAATCGGCTTGCTGGTCGCACGGTGACCGTCGAACGAGCCCGAGGACGAAGAATTGTCATCCGCCGCAGACACTCTAGGTACAGCCTTGGACTCATGCTCGTCGGCATCAGCCGTCGTCTTCTTGGCTTCTTCGACCGTCATTGCGCTTGCGCTATGGGCAGGGCAGATGAGATCTGAGTGTTACAGTCAATCTGCAAGGTCTACCGGGAGGCAGCCGCTATAAGGACCAGGAATTTTTTTTTGGCAACGCGTGGGCATCGCCCCGGCCCTCTATCACGCCATAGAGTTGGCCGGTGCATTTTCCAGAGCTTATCAGTCGCAAAACCAAATGTGTACCCACGCTCAGTGGATAATGTCGTGCACAAGCGTCAAACATGGCGCGGCGCGGGTAGCTCCAGAAAAAAAAAAGAATCAGGAATAGGAAGGTGTCGGAGGAGAGTTTCTGCTTCGTTGCGGTGCATATGCAATTTGGCGTTGCAATTGCGTTTCTCCGAAAGCTCCACTGGTGCCATGCGGTCCAAAACCGCGTGGGTCGAGGCGAGGGTCGACAAGCGAGAAAACGCGTTGGAATCGGAAGTTTGTCTTTGGAGAGAATCACGCAAGACGGGGAGAAGTGACGCCAGGCTGGACGAGTCAAGAGTGCGGTTATTGCGCAATGTCGCGCTCCACAGCTGCCTCGGCATGAGGGAATATACTGTGGCTTGTGTTGATGTATATTGCATTATAATTGCCAGAAGTACATGCATGTTGAAAATGTAAGATATAAAATATACACTATATTTACTACGGCGTTGCCTTGCGGCCAGAATCCTGTCATTCTCAGAAAACCTCGGGTTGAGTGAAAGGTTACGCGACAGCCGAGCATCACGCCATCCACACGTTGAATGATTGCAAACACACGACTGTCCTCGATCGGCATGGAATTTTCTCTCGTTCGACGCACCAATCTGATAAAGTCAGCAGGGAAATGGTTGGCAAAGGCTGGGCTGCTGTGCTCCCTGCTATCACGCCATCGCGGGCGAGTATAACGAAGCTACTCAGCACTCGTCTTTCTCGAGCCGACAACCCCGCTAGATGTCATGCAATCTGGATGATCGGGACATCCCCGCACTCATTGCACAACCCCCATCGGATTAAAAATGCCGAGTTGGATATATATTGCTGCTGCGCCAGGGAACAGAGAAGGGGAAAATAGGGGTGACTAGACCGAGAACTACATAAATCGCCAGCCAAAATCCATCTTGACTTGAACAAAGAGGAAAATCAAAAACCATGGCTCCATCCCTCACAGAAACCGTTTCTATCCGCGCACCGCCGGTTTCAACGCTCAAGGCAGATGCAGGTTTCAACAAGGAAAACCTGATCGGATACAAGTACGAAAAAGAAGCCGAGCTCAAAGGGACCGACAAGCAGCCTCCTGCCTCGTACCCTAACTACCTCCCTGTCTGGGACAACGAGACTGAAAGGTATGTGGGATTTGAATTGATTTTAGAGTACATACCAAATCTCACACTCCATCTAGATACCCTCCCCTGGAACTGTTCGAGCACTACGACCATGGCAAAGACGCCGATCCCGCATTCCCAGACCTGTTCCCCAAAGGGCAAGCCGAGACCGATGATATTACTCCATTTATTGGCTCCGAAGTCCACGGCGTGCAACTGAGCAAGCTCTCCAAGTCCGGCAAGGACCAGCTGGCCCTCTACGTCGCCCAGCGACGAGTCGTGGGTATGTACTCAGATATTTTGAAACCATGCCAAATATATACCGCACCAGGCTGATTCTACATAAACAGCCTTCCGGGACCAGGACTTTGCCTCCCTTCCCATTCAAGAAGCGGTTGACTTCGCTGGCTACTTCGGCCGCCACCACGTCCACCAGACATCGGGTGCCCCTAAGGGATTCCCCGAGGTCCACCTCGTCTTCCGTGGCGCTGAGGATCGTACTGGCGCTCAGTTCCTGGAGCAGCGCACCAACACTATCACCTGGCACTCTGACATCACATTCGAGAAGCAGCCCCCGGGCACCACCTTCTTGTATGTGCTCGATGGCCCGTCAACGGGTGGAGACACGCTCTTCGGTGACATGGTGCAAGCCTACAAGCGTCTGTCTCCCGCCTTCCGGGAGCGACTGCACGGCTTGAAGGCAGTGCATTCGGGCGTCGAGCAGGTCAACGCCAGTCTGAATGGCGGCGGCATTGCGCGTCGAGACCCTGTTACCTCGGAGCACCCGGTTGTGCGCACTCATCCGGTGAGTTACAGAAACAAGTACACAAAAGAAAAAGTTACTTTGAGACTGATACTTGGGATCCAGGTTACCGGCGAGAAAGCCCTGTATGTGAACCCACAGTGTAAGTCTGAGCTATAACAAAAAACCTCCCTACCAGGAAAATGCCATACTAAGAGACTAAAATAGTCACCCGTCACATCGTCGGCTACAAAAAGGAAGAGTCCGACGCTCTCCTCAAGTTCCTGTACGACCACATCGCTCTGTCACAAGACGTGCAGACCCGGATCCGCTGGAAGCCCGGGACCGTCGTCGTGTGGGATAACCGAGTGGCGTGCCACTCGGCCGTGTTTGACTGGGAGGATGGTCAGAGGCGACACATCGCCCGACTCACGCCTCAGGCGGAGCCGCCGTACGAGACGCCATTTGAGGGGTAAAGGAAGGGAGGAAAAGCTGGGAACTTCCGTGACGAGGTGATGTATGAGATATCAAGTGATACGCTATCATAATTCTTTGATATAAATTCTAGCATCGCAAGGGAACCAACCGACTCTTGAGCTGTATTTCATTGCTGGGGACTTGAATTGCGGATGCACATGTAGAAGAATCATTAGCGGTATGTACAGAACCGGACAAATAAATGTAGTTGATGACCAGGACTGTGCAGAGCTCTGTTGACTATTATGTGCTCCGCCGAAAGCGACTCAGAAGCCCCACTTGCCATTCATTGAACCTCCTAGCCGAAGGAGGAAGCATCTGATTACTGCTTTTCAGCGCATCAGACACAGCTTTAAAAATAACTGACGGCAACTCGAGCTCCTCCACCGAGAGCGGAGTGACTTTGCCCATTTCAGGATGAAGCAGTCTCTCAACATCCACGGTCTCCTGGAAGAAGACTTTCATTGCCTCCTGGGCCATGACACTATGGCCCGAGCTGGTATTCGAGTAGCGTAAATCCGGGTTGAAGACCCAAAGCTGCCAATAAAGTTAGTGAACGCTCTCTGTGAGATTGCTTCGAACAAGATTGATGGCAGCAACCAAACTATACCGGGTTCAAGAATTCACTTACCAATAGTCCGTTTTCTTGTCCACAGTGGACCACAAATCGGCGTGCACTCTCTCGCTCGATCATCTCTAGCAGTTGTGCCGCAACTATCACTTCGATCGGGTGGTTGTGCCACTGCAAGTCCCCATTTTCGTGATCATTCGGGTATGTATTCACTGAGACATTCGCTTTGAGTAGTCGCCACCCATTGGCAGAGGGATCTTCCATTCCGATGACAGTGTGGCATTGGTCACACTCCAGATTCCCTTGCCCGGACGTGGTCGGAGCAAATTGTTCTTCGTGGCCCTAAACCAGGTTCCTGTTAGCATACTTCTCATGCAGAAAAAGGAAAAGAAAAAACAACAATACGTTCGAGTTTAAAACAAGTTGCTTGGAAGATTGGGCATAAATTGCATTCAAAGTTCAATTATGACCATTCATTAGACCGAAACAACCTCCTTGGCATCACGTCCAAGGAATATTGGTATGGATGTACCTCTTCTTAATCACGGCTAGTCCCACAGCTTTGGGAAGGCTGGCGTAGAGAGTGAGGAGGGCTTGAAGTCACAAGACAAGAAGGTTTAAGCAGCAACCATAGACTTTTGCTCGCAGCCCGAAGAGCGAAATCCATCTGCAGGAGAAGATAACTGCACTTCAAGTAGCGAGACAGAAACCCATAATAAACTACCATCTAACTCGACTCGCGACCAATAATGCGATTGAATTTGATATAGGGCAATAGTATCGGAGACCACCCCATTGCGAACGAAGTGGTCTCCTTCTAAGTTGCCCATACAAGATAGGGTGATGAAATGGAGAAACAAGAGGAAGCGGAGATAGCCTTACCTTCTTTAACCCGGTGCAATCTGATTCTGCGACCAGAAAGGTCGCCACATCAATGAGGACAGTCCCGGGAATTGCCACGACTTGGCTGGCAGCACCGTAGCCCTTGATCTGCGCAGTCTGGCCTTCAATCTGATGGGCGGCGTTCGCCTCATCCTTTGGCTGACCTTCGTGAGGATCAGGTTTGTGGCAATGCCAAAAATCCATCATTTCAGCCCAGTTTCCGCTGGGAAGATCCTTCCAGATCCATTCTGCTGTGGTACTTTGATTTTCGTCGGAGCTTGGTACCTTCAATGGATCTGATGATTTCAAGAACGCGGTGCTGCACCTTCGACATTGAATGCGAGTCCTGGATGACATGTCTGCTGCGGTCCATGGGACGTATTCATCTATTAGTTCATCACGGGGTACCAGAGCCTCCTCATTGGGGTCAATCTGCATTCTGAAAGAGTAGTCATGATTGAAGTCTGAGGAGCAACTAGGCCCTGTTGGCTTTGCTGGTGCGGTCAACGCGCGCCGAGACGCGTCGCCGACACGTGCGGGTAGTTTGATAGTCTCTGTTACATGCTGAAAGGGCTCCGGGAGGGAAACAGTAACTGCTTTGCGAGACTCTGACAATTGAATTTCAGGGCGAACCCCATCCAAGGTAGGGCCGGGTGGCAGAGACACGTAGAGTGTTATCTGGCGGATGTTGGGGAGCAGCTCAGCATGGAGATATAGGGGGACATCTGTCAGTTGGCACGATAATGGCGTGGACATATCCTGGAAAAGGTTCCTAGGGGCTGAGGTGCTGCATCCGTCGAATGTAACTTCTCGAGCTGGGATGTGTCGATCCCAAAGGCACACTTGGAAGTACAGCATCAAGTGTTTCCACAGTGGCAAACAAAGCAAACAAAGCAAACAAAGAATAAATCACGTGATACACAATAGCAATTCAATCACGGGGCACTTTGCGCCTTTCTTTTCAGGCAACACATGTAGCCAGATATATCAGGCAGCATTATATACTCCAATCGCCGGTTTTAGTTTTATCGTTGCACACCTTTCCAAGAAACATGGTCGGTTCCCTTTCTGTTTTCAGTGGGAACACCACCATTGTCTAGATTACATGGCTTGCAAGGCATTCAGTCTTTCCAAGGATGTTAGGAGGTTTCTTCCACTTTTATGCTGAGTTCACAAGGCTTCCACAACAAAGCAAGCGAAACCAGCTCCAGCAAAGAATAAATAGAAAAAAGACTGAAATGAAAAGGCACTCAACAATGGGATTATTGACGGAAAGACCCTACTCTTTTGGCAGTGCTTCAAAGAAGACTGCCAGCCTCTTGTTCCGGTTTGCGTCGACGATGAATATTTAAAGGGCTCCAATTCCCATCCTCCAGTCCTAGAATCATCAAGATAATCTCTCGCTCCTCATAAAGAGCTATTCAAAGCTTGCATGTTGGGTATCTCTTTTCATCGCAACCCTTCTTGCTGACACCAAAGACTCCTCAGGTGATTATCAACCCTCACAGCCAACAGCCCAGAATTTGACCTACAGGAAATTCATGAGGCAAAGCAAACAAAAAGAGCAAAATAACAAAAAGGAATGCCCCACGACAGGAACAAGCACTCCCACCGCCGCCACAGACAAGGTCATTCCCGCTGTCCATACCACAGCCGCAGGACTAACCAGTTCCAGGAAATCGACACCCACTTCGTGAACATCTTCTTCGACGCAGAAAGACGTGAACCTCACAGATGTGCAGCTGCTGGAGCTCGCTCGGATCGCGATCCAGACCGAGGAAGCGACTATTTCCAGCTACTCAATCATGCAGGAGAGGCCCCTGGTCGTGTCTATTCCCGTTGAAGGCGTCTTTTCCTGCCGGCACAGTATTTACGAAGCCGCTCAGGAGATGGTCATGGCTGTTCAGGGTTCTGCGAGGGTTGGCGATGCAGGGCTTCAGCGACGTATTCTCTTCCGTGGTATCCTCCCGTATGATGATGAGGAAGTCGAGGAGGACTCACGGGCTCTGGCTAGGTGGTAAAGTGAGTGACCCCCCTCTCTGATTCTATAGCTGTCTTTGATCCTGGCAGGTTGAAGTTGTTTGGGTTCTTTTTGGTTAGGATTTGATTCATCTATAGATGGTAATAAATAGCTGGAACAATAGAAGTAGTATCTGGATTTGGAAATCTCATGCCAATTTGACATTAATATAAATACGACGTTAGTTGGTGATATTCAAGGTACTCAGCCAAGCTAGTTATACTCTAGCCATCTATGTTGCGTGATTACTAGCATTCTCTCAAGAGAGCTTCGATTAAACTGCCTTATCCAAGTTATGTTCGCCAAACTATGAAGCCTCGAACGATGAGATCAACACAAATGCAATTTGATGGCCATATCAGGATCCAATCCCAGCATTATCAGACTAAGCGCCAATTTTGAAGAGACCAGAACCAAGTCAGACAGCCTTGGTATATCAAACAAATCCACCCCAACCACGAAACTCATCGGCAAATTTGACCGCCGCCTTGAGATAGAAGTTGTCATGATCACCCCAAGTAGAGGCAGACTCCCTCAAAGCCCGAATCGCCTTGACGTAGTGCGCATCCGTAGAATATTCACCCTTTACAGCCTTCTGGGCAGCCCAGTTCCAGTCCCTCCCCTTAAGATTATATTCCCGGACCCGCTCAAGAGAAAGCTCAGGCCGCAGCTGGGCAATATAAACAGCTAGCGTCAGCAGCCACCACTGTCGAAGCAACGGAATTTGGAATCGACCGGGAATTAACGGCAACAGAACCCGGACAGCATGGCTTGTTGTCATTATGTGGACGAGGAAGAAGTCATATTTCTCGCCCGAGTCCTCGTGAGTCGAAACGAGCAGCGCGGCTGCAAGCTCCTGGCTCTCGCGGAACTGCTCGATTGGGTTGCTGATGTTCCAGGCGTTCCAGTGGTTGAGGAGCACGGCTTCGCGCGTTTGGAAGAGGCGCTCGAGGTTGTGGTCGCCTGGGGTGGCGAATAGGCCGTCTAGTTGCTTGTCGGCACGGACCTTGTGGAGAATGTCGAAGAGTGATGTTGAGTGATAGGATGCCTCGAGTTTCGTGTACACGGGGTCCTCGAGGTAGTTGTGCATATTATTGTAGCACGTTGCTGCGAGTCCCAGGGCCTCCATTGCCACTTCGCGGCTGGACATCTCAAACGCATAAGCCATGTGAATTAGCGGGTGTCCCACTGCCCTTGAGGTTAGCAAATTGACTCGCTCCCAGAGAATATAGAAAAAGACGTACGGTCCGCAATGAGGGCATTGAACATAGGCGCCTTGCCCGAGAATAGGTACTCGCTAATGACCTGCTTCCAGTCATAACCAAAGCGGACCAGTTCATCTTCGAAGAAGTCCACATAGGCACGTTGATATCTGTGTTCGGTCAGTGAGTGTTAATTCGCTCAACTCGTAGACAAAACGCAGAATTTAATTATGATAGTCACATACTCTCGTCGCCCTAGAAAGTCTCTCCAGTCCTGGGTAGTGACTTCTTCTGGTGAATCTGTCCACGCATCCAGCAACTTGGATTCCGTCTCATAGACTCGAGTCAAATCATCCGTGCCCGCGCCGTTCAGGAACGCGGAGCTAAGAATCTGGAAAGACGCGTCAGCCAGACGGAAACTCATAAAATAAACCAGTAATCAACACATGCAACTCTACTCACATGAGGGGCATGGTTATGAAATCTGCGGTCATTATACAAAATGGCATAGTTGGCATGGTTCAACTTCAGTAGGTGTTTCAATGCCCGCGCCGGCTTCTCCTGAGCCGTCTCGACGTCATGCACTTTCACAGGCGGGAGGTCAATAACCTGTCTCCCCCAGGTGAAGAACCGGAATGAGGGCAGGGAAATGGTGAACATTGTCGCGTGATCCCGGTGTTGAATACACCGGCGGGGGAGCCGATGTCGACTGAACACGGCGTGCTTCTTGCAGTGACAGATCCTTTCCAGATTTAAAACAACAGAGCAATCAACAAAAGGTCAAATATCACGACAGTCCGAGACTTTTGCACGGTTCAAGATGAAACTCGACGCCTCAACGGTGCCGGTTGTTGGGAAACGGTAGCCTCAGGCATGGAGTAACCATGACGTAATCTGGATTCTATTTCGATGTCACGTGACTTTGAATATACAAGAATCAAATTGAACTTGTTTCGCTAGAAGTTATAAAAATATGTCCAATATCCCTATCATATCTATTTCTCATGTTCAACATATGGCACCGGTGGTTCAGCAGGGCCCCCGGCCTGTCCTGCCAGCACTTCCACCTCAATTCTGGGGCCGACGTAGTTCTTGCGTCCGTCCACGATCCATTGGAAACTAGAGATGATTAGGATAATGGCAAAGGCAACAACGCAGTAGTCTGTGCTCAGTGATCAGTATCCTTTATAATTTGTGTAGAATGTCCAACCAAAGGATACGGGGCAACATACTCATACTGCTGCCCGTGGGATGCAGGTTAGGAGGAAAGAGGAAGAGAACGGTCGTCAAGGTGATATAGACCAAAGAAATCTGACATCCATAGTAAGTAATCAGCCAAGAAAAAGAAAAAGCGAGACAATTCTCCGTACAATATTCAAGATCCAACCCAAGACATTGGGTAGAACGAATGGCCGAGCAGGGAGCATCTTCCGCCCTTGAACGCAATTCACCGCGATGGGGATGCCATAAGCGAGATCCAACAAAACTACCGAAGAGGAAATAATAGCGTTGAAGGCACTGGAACGAATTAGCATCAACTCATTTTCAGTTCCTGAAACGCAACTGCATACCTTGAAGAGCCGAGGAAGATCAGACCGAACACCGTGACCAATCCCAGATTGAGATAGAGCGCATTCAGAGGGACTTTCAACTTGGGGTGGACCTTGGAAAAGAAGGGGGATGCTGGCAGACCGCCATCTCTGTAATAGAGATTAGTAAACTGGGAGTTTCCCAATGGCATTCGTTGGCATCCACGACGTACCTCGCAAAGGCATAGCACATGCGACTACTCGTGGTCATTATGGCCGTGGCAGCAAACAAGATGCAAATGAGAGGGAAACTTGAAAAACCGTCAGCACTCCTGAATATGACGTTGGGATACAGTCAATTTCCGAAACTTACATTAAAAGGCAGATCGCCCCAGCGTTGTTCCCGGTAGCATTCTTCAGGATAGCGAGAAGTGGGGTGGCCGGAGAGTCGATGATATTGAAGATATTGCCCGCCACAAAAAGCAAGACGACAAGAAAGATTGATCCAGTTACGGTCCCGATTCCAACGCAGGCAATCATGATTTTAGGCCCTTCCACCGAGGCATTGGGGATTTCTGTGACGCGTTAGATCAAATGTTCATCACCGATACCGGCGTGTGTAATCACCTTCAATCATATGGGCAACACCATCCTGACATCGGGTTAGCATGAAACATGAATCAGAGTGCGGGAGAATTTATTTTACTCACAAATCCAGTCACACCGAGTCCACCTTGCAGCAGCTTTCTATTTGTTAGAAGTCTACCGATTTGTTGAGGAACAACGACATACCCCGAGCAACCAGGCAATTCCATCAGGCCCTGGAAAAGTCAGTAAATAATCTAATAATCTCAAATCACCGCGGTGAGCCAACTTACATCCTGTCTTGTTGACAAACTCCCGAAAGACAAAACTGCCCAAATCAGCGCTACTCCATCACTCGTTGTTTAGGGTTACACATACTCGCCGGAGTTATAGTTCGGCGAGGCACATGCAAGAACCGTAATGCAAATCACGGCAAAACCAGTCAAAGACCAGATAACTATCATGGCAGTCAGTCCAGCTCAACCAGATCTGTTGAATAAGTGAGTAATCTTACAGGCAGCTTTGTTGACGTAGGGGAGCAGATTGTTCATGAAAGCATTGATGATGAACGCGGCGATATTATAACCCAGGTAAATCAAGAACTGGTGCCATTGCTGGGGTTTGTAGGCCTAGTGATACGTATTAAAGATCCGTACATCACCGAGGGGTGTCGGTGTCACTTACCGGGTTCATCAGAGAGATCACACCCTGGATCAACTCGCTGCCCAGCAGGCCACCTGTGGCTACAAGAGCCACCCAGCCAGAGCAGTTCACCCAGCCAGTTATCCAGGACAGGATTGGCATCCACTTTTCTCCAGTGACTGCGGGGTGCTTAGAGGCGATCATTATTCATGCGCACTCGTGTGTAACTTACTGACTGTCCAGAGAGATAATGTTAGTGAACTATTCGAGTCTTGAATGAGGGTATTTTGTTCACTCACCAGCAACCCAATGATATTGGCCTCCAGCACTGTCATTGGCGTCAGTAAAAATAGCGCCACCCACTATAAGAGCTCGCAGAGTACTAACGTAGGGTATGCAGAAAGGAACTCGGCCAGAGAGGCCGCCATGCACAAATTGCAAATGCCTGCGGTAACCAGGCCTGTAGCACAAGTCAGAGTCGGTGTGGCCAAAGCAGCATTGTCAACACATACCCCAGACCACACTAGCACTACCACCCGAGGGTAGACTGAGAGATAGACTCGCTGACAGCGCAGTCCATGACTATGCGACGCAAATAGTCAGTCGCCAATTGCAGCAGATCTTCTTAGTCGATCAATGAACACACATTTAGAATCGCAAATGCAAGCCCCAGCATAGACCTAGAAAATGGTTAGCCAAGTACCGAAAAGAAGTGTAGAGTTATCACACATACAATAATGAAAAGTGACGTTTCAACTCTGCCTTGTGGCCCATCTGGGCCAGCTGAGTATCATCGTCGGCATTGTCGTCCTTCATGATGGGGGATCGAGTGCTATCCAGCTGAATAGTATAGCACAGAGAACAATTTAAAAAAACAGGAAACAGAACAGGATAGAATAGAAAACAGATAGAATTTCCCATCCGAAGACCAACGGAGAAGAATAAGAATAATAAATCAAATCACCCCCCTTGGCAAAAGGTATGACGACAGCCTCTCGAATGGTACCTTCCCATTCTATGCATAAGCCTCGCCGTCTCCACGTTCGAAGGGGGACACGCGGAGAGGGGAGCCGGGAAAGTATCAAGGCGCGTTAGGTAACAGATTTGGGGTCATCGATCGGCAGAGGCGATAACTACCCGGTGTCATTATTGGTGCTGGCCACCGAGGGCACGGCACCTGTAGCCAGTCAGCGTAGCCGATAGCTTCCCGCAGGCAAGCCCCCCCAGAGCCTATGCGCTGCGGGTGCAGTCTCAATGGTCCAACCCAGTTCCAACGGGAGGCTCCACATGGCTGAGACGCGGGGGAAGGAACTCGGGACAAAGTTGACTGCAGAAGCTCGCATGCTCAATCTGACACGGGTGTTTTTCCCTCTTCAACCACGTTGTTCTCTTCATTGACTTTCGGGTTTGTTCCGAGTGAATGTCGTCGTTTGCTCTGTCTCCAAATCCGATGGAGAACCTTGGAGAGTCAGGAACGATGAGCTGAGATATGACCGCTGATAGTGATAGGGGAGACCACGCCCTGTGGAGAGAATTGTGGGCCGGCTCTCAAAGTCTCCTATCTCTGGCCACCAAATGTGCAAATCTGCGTGTGTCAAGATAGCATCTTCGGGCCGAATTCCAGCTCTGAATTAACTCTCTTATCAAGCAAAAAATAAAAATAAAAATAAAAATTACGGGTGCTCAATTCCTTGTGCATGTCCTCTGCTAGCCCTATGCCGATCGGCAGGGAGCGGTTCCGTAGCCAAAAGTTTTCCGCGCGGTCCGAGTCTGACTTTATTTTGCTGGGCCGAGGCTGATGTTAAGTCCGGCTTGGCAGGAGAAAGGCAACTTTACAGGCTGAGTTGTTCGGGGTTGTGTTCGTGGGAATAACATGCTCTATCTATTACAAATGGAACCATAAAGGGAAGAATCTGTTTTCTTTGCTGTCTATTTAGATCTACCTAACACAGGCAACAGGCATAGCAGCGAGGAACAAGAAGATAACTACCCCACGAGCATTGATTCAAACAGAACATCAAGGGGGTATTCACGCATCACCCATATTTCCGAGAACGCCACCGCACAAACAAAGAGAAACAACAAGCCAGAAAAGACACCCGCAGCAAGAAAAGTCACAAATCAAGATGAGAGATGCAAGACTCGGGGGGAGAGAGGAGGCACTCAAACAGGCGCAATTCAGCCGGCAACAGCGCCAAAGGCAGCCATTTTCTCCTCGAACATCATCCCCCTTCCACCACTGCACTCAGAACGGATATGTTCCACCATTTCATCCCAGGTGCGGGCCTTCCAGGCCTTGCCCAGCAGCCTCCGCCTGATTTCCTGGAACGGCATTCCGGGGTCGATGTCCATCTGTCCCAACACACGGTCACTGATATTCGGGTCGAATCTCTTCACGATGTTCTGGCAGCCGCCGCAGAAATAGAGCTTCTCGGGAATGGTGCCCCGATGCGGCATGAATGGGATCCAGATGGAAGCCAGCCCGTGGAATTCGTGGTGGACGAGGGTCCGAGTGGGCGGCGGGTCGAGGGAAGGATTGTGTGCCAGGGGGCCCAGTTTGGCTTCGCGCAGGTATCGAAACAGTGCGCCTTCTTCGCACTCGGTGGCGCTGCTGTCGGCGAACTTGTCGGGTGAGATGAGGTTGCCCTCCTCCTGCACCTTTGCCTGCGAGCCGTGCCAGTTGATGGCGACCTGCAGGGCCGACTTGACTGCGACTAGCTGGTACTGCGTTGTGTCGAGCTCGGGCCATTCCTCGGTAGATCTGTATGAGGACTGGGAGATGATCTGTACCGGGAGTGTTTCGACGACATTGTCGGGCAGGGCAAAGGCCTGGCTGACCTGCGACTGCGGGAGACACCAGTAGGCCTGGTTGAAGTTCAGGCAGGTCAGACAGACTCGCTCGCACGTGGGAAGAAACAAGTAGGTGCCAACGTCCCCGCAGGACCGGCAGTAGCGGAAATGAAGCTCCTGTCGCACATCCGCCACAGAATGGTATTGCATCAGCCTGGTGTCGCTGAAGATGGTAAGGATCTTTGGTATGAATCGGATCAACTCCCGGTAGGCCATGACTTTGTCGACGAGCAAGCGGGCCGCTCGGCAGGTTCGTGAGAAGATCTCGATCGAGGCGAAGCTCAATTCCTCGAGCGTCTTGTGGAGGATCTCACGGGGGAGACTTTCAAGATCACCCAGAGTTGATCTCACATCCTCGGGCTTGATCACGAGGGCAGAGGACGAGATGTGGCAATACGCATTGACATGTTCCTCGTTGGGCATGTCACGGCACAGGAGCTCCATCAACTTCTCCTTGGACCAGTTGTCCGGATCAGTAAAAAGCGTGAAGATCTGGAAGTCTGTTTCATCATAAGACATGATGAGAAGAGTTGATCAGAAACGAGAGGAAATCTTGAGCTATTCAACCAGGATATTGATGATGGCAATGAAGAGATTTTGTTGGCGGATGAAAGAAAGTGAAGGGATGAGAAGGAAGAAAAGTGTCTGGATCAAGAGATTGTCAACAAAGGCAAACAGAGTCAGTAGGTCAATAGGTGAAAGGCGAATAGATCAATAGCGTGGTCACCGGAGTGACGCGTTGTCAATAGACAAAACCTCAAAATCAAGGCAATCAAATCACATTACCCTCGAGGATATCATCGTAGTTTATACATACATATTGGAGCGAGACGGTTCTAAGTGTCTGCTAGCCATCTATTCAACCTCCTCCATCGGATTCACAAGGTGGTCAGTCCGCACGATATAGTCGTCCTCATCCTCATCCACCACCCCATCAGCCATATCCTCATCATCACCGTCAACAGAGGCATCGGAGTCTACCCCTGCTCGAGACCCTTTTCCTTTCTTCCCAGAGACACTCTTGCCTTTACCTTTGCTGCTTGTAATAGACTGCCCACTGGGGCTGCGGACGACACTCCCAGGCCATTGTTTCAGACCTTTGATGCGTTCATGAATGCTGCCAGACGGACGATGATCACCATTGGTGATCGGTGACGCATCGTCCATCTCCCCAGATGCTCCCAAACTGAATGCCTCCATCGCCTCTGCAATTGTCTGTGGAGCGGCAGCAGATGAGTCCTCCTTCTGTTTATCAACCGATTCAAAGGTCTGGCGAATGCGTTCGAAGTGCTCCAGTTCCTTGGCACTACAAATCATCAGCATCATCGTAAGACAAAATCAGTTGGGTCTGGTGAAACATACCTAACACTGGGAACCAGCTCCCCTTGTGCCGAGGAAAAGTCCTCTTCTGTGACCATCACTGCCACATCGTCCTTGGTTGCAAAGTGGTCAAAAAAATACGCCGTGCTGACCGGGCCACCAGGCAGATGCTTGATCTTGTCATCCACTGCAGTGGATTTTCGTGTGATCGCTCTCAGCATGGCATCGGAGCAGAGAGCATACAAATCTGCACCAGTGTAGGTCAGAGGCAGCCGCTCCGCAACCCGATTCAGCGAAATCTCTGGATGGAGGGTAAATTTCCGAGTGAGGGCCTCGAGGATGGTGGCTTGCTTGTAGTGGGTATCCGACACGCCAAGGTAGAGCATCTTGTCGAAACGTCCAGGACGGAGAAGAGCGGTGTCCAGCAGATCAGGTCGGTTGGTTGCGCCGATGACAAAAACTCCACCAGAGTTTTCCTCGCCTCCGTTCATTCCATCCAACTCGGCAAGAAGCTGGCTGACAATACGGTCCATGACACCACCGCTGTCGCCTTGGTTCCCACGCTTTGGTGCAACGGAATCCAACTCGTCGAAGAACACAACACAGGGACGAGCATCTCGTGCTCGCTGGAATACCCGCCGCACATTGGCTTCGGACTCACCAATGTACATGTTGAGCAATTCCGGGCCCTTGACCGAGAAGAAGTTCAAGGAAAACTCAGTGGCGATGGCTTTGGCAAGCAGCGTCTTACCCGTACCCGGGGGTCCATAGAACAGAATACCACTGCGCTTTTTCATTCCCTTTGCAAAGAGCTCGGGCCTTTCGAGCGGCAGCTGAATGGTCTCGGTCAAGGCATCCTTGACATTGGTCAATCCGCCAACATCATCCCAGCTGACGTTAGGGATCTTGGGCGCGCCGATTGAGTCAGCGAAATTCTTTCGAGCCGCTTCAACGGCAGTGTCGAAATCGGTTTTGGTGACGCCTCGTGCACCATCTCCTCCAGCGAGTAGAATGTCCCGGACAGAAACATTGGAACCAGAAAGCTGCTTGTTTGCATTCTCCGCTAAATTCTCGAGGCGGGCCGCTCTCACCCCAGCGGCCCGTTCCACGACGTCGACCAGGTCTCCCGCAACTAGCGCAGCAGTCTTCAAGGCGACAGTTCCCAGATCAGCGTCGGCAGCCAGTTTCATGCTGCGCTCAGTCACGGCATTCCGCAAGATGCCTTCACGCTCCTTCTCTTCCGGAGCTGTCATTTCGAACTCATGGCTGAACATGGTGCGAATTCCCTCGGGGATTTGCTCGACGTCAGTCGTAGTAGCAATGATCACTCTGGCGTCGTTCACAATATCCATCATTGCGGTAACCATGCGATCGGCGGTGAGGACCTCGATATGCCTAATGAGAAGGGCGGTGCAGTTTGAGCCGCAGTGGAGGGCTCGCTCAGCTCGCGCCTTCAAATAGGCCTCGGTTTTGACGTCGCCGCCATTCGCACCGCCTTCGGTCAAGATATCGTATGCGTCGATAGGGAAAATGTGGAGGCCAATATCCGCACACGCACGTGTCGCAATAGTTGCCTTGCCGATGTGTCGTTGCTGAGATTGGAGAAGAATGACGACGGGCTTCATCCCCAAATGGATTGCACGGGGGCTTGTCGCTGCAGTCATCAAATCACGGATTCGCTGTTGCAGAGGTGGAATATATGCTTGCGGCGGTTCGGGGAAAATGCCGTGTGGTGCCGGAATGTCACTAATGGTCTTCGGGATGGTTTTGACTCCCAACCAATACTCCCACCCATTGCCCAGGACACCAGGGACGCGACTGATGTCACTGCCGGCCTGCACCATCCGTGTGGTGGTTGGGTCAATGACAGCCACTCCACCCCACTGGTCCTCGCCTGTCTCTTCCAGCTCCTCGACGATGCTGGGAGCCACTTGTCCAACGCGGAACCAAGCCACGCCAACCTTGCGGGGTCCAACTTGCTCCTGATCAGCAACCTGTCCGAGCCGTGCGGTAATGTCGTCTTCTTGAATTGCAGCATCGCCACCTGCACTCCCAGAGAAGACCGCTTTGCCGAGCCCTTCGTCGACACTGATACCAACCAAATCACCACTCTTCATGATGCGCCGTCGTGATTCGAAATACTGCTTCAGTCCAGCGAACAACGCTGGTTGAAGGACTCGATCCATCGAAAGAGGCGTGGAAACTTTCAACAGAGTGACTTCCTTTGCTAGAGGTGGGTTCTTGGCCGCAGTGTTTTTCACATGGTGCAAAAGACCAGGCTTTGAAGAGCCATTGGGTGCGGCAAATGTCATGGGCGATATCCGCAGATACTTGGGGTTCTCGATGTTCCCAAGAAGCAACGGAGGAACAAAAACCGAAGGAGTCAAGCGCGTGGGTGGGCGTTGCGAGATACTAGACCGGCGCTCACCGGAGTGGTTGATGGCATATCGCGGCTTCGATGACGGAAGACCCGGCAAACCAAAGATCTTGACTGGACGCCAGTCGCCGGAATCTTCTGGGGATTCATTAAAGCTCCCGAACTTGAGGGATGCGAACATGTTGAGTTGAGGCTCCTCGGCGGCTTCGATTCTCACCCAGTCACCCGAGAAGCAGCCAATCTTGGCAAGCGTGCTAATATCAACGAAAATAAAGCAATCGACATCCTCATCGTCGCGAGGTCGTGGGTGTAAAACTTCGTTAGGTACCTGCTGCAGCAGTCCTTCGACTTTAAACGTCTTGCCTCCACCACGCCCGGGACGCATTGTTGCAGACGTGAAATTCGATGCCACCGAGCCGGGTGTGTGGATCCCATCTGCTCGTCGACCACCTGCCCGGGGGTTGCAGAAGTCATGGACGACATTACGCCTGACGGCGGCTGTGGCAATTCAGGTGCAGTGAGGGAGATCATATCTTCCAAAGAATCATCGGAGTCGCTCACGGAACCTGCCGAGCCCTCCGTCTCCGACTCTTCAGCAGCCGATGTGCTCTCCATCTCCGTCCCACTCTCCTTGTCCTCTGCAGCAGAGTAAAACTGCTCGTTGGAGGTATCATCAGCCTCATCTTCGGCCACTTGTTTCAGGAGCGCAGATTTTGGGGGAAGCGTCTGCGGCGCGCGATGACCCTGAGGGCGAGCCTGAACAAGCACGATCTTAGTCGTTGGCATCAGCAGTCCCTGCGATACGGGTTCACAGAACGAGATCCGCGCAGGGGGTGCCGGCGCATAGGTGATCGGGTGCGGCGGAAGTGGGAGTGGCAACACATCCCCGGTATGCACAATCCGCTGGGCCCCGAGAGCCTCTCGGACTGCGGCAGTGAGGCGATGTTCAACATCGGCGGCCGCTTTCTTGGAAAGCTTCTTCGTGTCTGCCGCCTTGCCTGCCTTGCCTCGAAGTCGATCCAGCCCTAGCGGATTCGACGTGAACCCACCCCCGAACTTGTTCTGAACATCATCATGATTGCGAAGGAGGTGGCGCTCTACGGTGACAAAAATTGTATCCAGGTGGAGTGGGGTGACATCCAGAATCCGAATTTCGACAGCACGATGCGTCTGCAGCGCCTGGCGCGATGGATCAAGCTTCCCCAATGCTTGGAGGAAGGGCTGAATCGAGTCTGCCGAGTCCGGGAAAAGCACCGTCGAGTGGGATATTGAGGTGTGGGACCTTCCGGGAGTCTGAATGTGCACGGGGAGGATCGTCCATGCCTGGTCCTCGACCGGAATGTAGTTGGGCGTATGCGGGGAAATTGCAACATAGAGGACTCCGTCATCCGAGGGAGCGCCTGCTTCAAATTCAACGCTGGGTTAGCGGTGGCTCCGTAATCGATTGTCAACTGGTTGGCACTCACCTGCAAGGCTCTGGTGCTGGAAGAGGTCGTTGGCGAGATCTTCGGATAGAACCCCGACATTCCCACGCAACTGAGAATCAAGCGCCAGACGCGCAGCAATCGGAGGTCTGTTGCGCAATCGCCTTTTTCCAGCTCTGCGTCTCCGTTGGCGGGGCTGATGGGGCCCCTGCCCGTAATGCTCCAAGTCCATGGGCGCGGGGAATGCTCCGATTGCCGACGGGAAAGGAAGCGGGGAGATTTCGTGGGCGAGTGAAGAATAAGAGAATCAAGGCAGGTCAGCCATTTAACACTCAAGGTGTGCTTGCCTGAATGCTTCAGAAATCACCGACACAACAGGAAGAGGAGGAAATGCACCGGATCCAGAATCCGGGGGACACGGCGTCTCGGCACCGCCCGACTATTCTGCCACTCCCGAAGCCGAGGTCCAACAGCTCCGCTTGTGTTGCAATGAGCATTTTGCAAGCTGATGATGAATAGCTTTTGTTATTTTATGTTGAAATAGCTATTGTAGTTATTCCATTATCGGTTTCAAAATCCCGATATTTCATGGTTTGGGCTATATAGATGCCAGTCGCGTCGAGCCTGTGACACCATAGGTTTTTTCCGCTTGTGATAGGGGCAGCTTAAATTCACTTAGGCATCACATTAACAAAATAGGGTCCCTAACATTATAAAATTAGTTTGGTGATGCCTGGGCGCCTCGGATCCAGTAGCAAGGTCGAATTGACGCGGGTAGTGGAGATATATATATATATATTTCAAGGGCGCCCCAGAATACCCCAGAACCTAGTCTAACCGTGGATATGTCTCGACGATGAGTATTATAGAGATCAAATTTTATTTTTAATTTTATTTATTGCATAACGGGGGATAGTCTAAACATTTACTCAATTTAATTACTACAGGGTCTACGATCGAGATTATAAGAGGGACATACACAGCCAATCAATATATGGCGCACGAACACAGTAGATGAGAGTTTAGTTCCAAGGATGGCGACGTAGCTACGCAATCATCTCTTTCAAGGCTAATTCAAGGGCCAGGTAATCTGTTCAATAGATAATAGAGTTTGAGGGCTTCAGTCCACTACGCAATCAAGAAGCGCCCGTTATTCCCTGTCCCCCACAGCATTGGCATTCCCTGACTGACAATCTTGCGGGACGGGGCGGATGCAGTTAGAGACGAGACACTGTGGCGGAGCCGAACGGAATGCCAGCTGGCACAATACGATGCCAGGGCCCCGGACGGATCTGCCCCATGCAGCAATCGGGCGAAAGATCAGCAGGCAGACGAAAAGTGTACAAGAATGTAAAAAAGGCCGAGACACCCGGCGGATTATTGGGCCGAGGCGGATGAACAGGAGGCTCAAGTTCACGTGGGTCGGGCCAATGAAGACCGGGAATGTGGAGCAGGATTCTCTCTGTCTGAGAAGATTAGCCAGAGATGGTGGGCGTGAAGTTGGGGCTAGATTGTCAAGGTGAGGTCAGATGAAGTGCTGAATAAACGTGACGCGAACACACCCCGAAAGATGTGAAGAAAGAGAAGTCGAAAATCTCAAAAAACCTCGAAAAAACCATCTGCCTAACCGGAGAACCACGACCCCAGCTGTTTCCATTTTTGGATGGAACGGTGTGTGACCATGTTACCATTGGGGGCCCTTTGTGAGACCCAATGTCCACGCTAAGATACGGTAATTTTGCTGTAATAGTACACCACTCTTCGCCCCCCCACCAGCCAATGAGGAGGCGCCAGAATGTGCTCAGCCATGGCCCTTACTAACTTGGGACTAGCGTCTTCGTCTATCAGGCAGACATCGATCGCGCGGCTCACCTCTCTTCCCCGTCATCTTCTCTTTCGAGATACCCTCTCTTCTTCCCCAGTTCATCTTTGACCTCGCTGCTTCGACTTTGCTTTTCTGCCCGGCAAGAAACGATCCATGAAACAGTGATTTTGCTTTTGGCAAACATTTTGTATACATCTTTCCGCTTTGTCCGAATCACGCTCCATCGACCATATATCGATCTCCAGGGTTTGGATCCGTCCATCACTGGGATTTCGACAATTTCTACCATCTATCTTGCCGTGAGCGCATCTTTAAGCCTTTCGGTATTCTCGTTTGAAGGCCTCCCGGCCACTTCCACGCCGAACTCGCATTGGATGCGTCGCTCGAGTTGATCATCAACCGGATACACCTCCAGTCCTGTCCTGGGTTTGTCGAAGGTGTGATCACCGCGGCTCTTGGTTGATTTGTGAGAGATTTGGAATCTCTTTTATATACATATCCACAAAAGCAGAAATAGCGTTGGGTCGAGCCTCACAGGTCTGACTCGACAGCACGCCACTTCTGGAATCATCTGGACGTGTGATCGGTGAGTCATGCGATGATCCAATCATCGAAGACATGCTGCTGTCCCTTGTGAGAATGGATGCTAATGTTTGGTCCATGTAGAATCCGGGTCTCCATCATGACAGCTGTTCAGGTTGAGCCATCGCGGTTGCACCCTCGCCGTCGGCCCGTCTTAAACACGACCCTCCCTCCCCTTCCGACCGACTCGTCTGCTTCTGATTCATCTGCGATGCGGCTCAGAAAAGGAGAGACCTTTCACACTCCGACCTCCCCTCCATCTGGTGACGCTGACCCGGTCTTGGACGTCCGTTCGCTGCCGCGTCGTTCCCCAACTTGCCCGAAGACCCTGGAAGCCATCGCTGCTAGTGAAGAGCGCATGACATCGATTCTGGGCCGTCTGACCCTCGATTCCCCAGACGAGTCGGATTCGTCCTCGAAAGAAGAGGATCTCCCGCTCCCCCGTGGCTTCTTGGAGTCTCGCATGGACTCCAAACCATCGAGCCGTCGCTCGTCACAATCCTCAAATGCCGAGGGTCGTGATTTGCCTGTGTCGCCGAGAGACAAGAAGTCTCGTCAAAATCATGGTCACGGGTCTGACAGCGGACTTGGGACTTCAATTAGTAGCGATGAAGCAGTGTCTGAATCAGGTGAAAGTGAAGGTTGGTGTTTGCTAACCATATTGAGATTAATGGGGGGCGGGGCTGACAATAGAACAATAGGCACCGTCAATGACGGTATCGAGGAACAACAATCGGCCATAACCAACTCTATCTCGGCTTTTGAATCCGGCTCTTCACCCAAGCGCCAATTGGGCTTGAATGCCTGCAAGCAAATTGAGCGATTCATTCTGGTGCCTATTCTCAAAGAATCGCGATTGAAGCCTTTCCATACTTTGGTTGAAAGCGTCCCGCAACGAATCCTCAATAAGCAGATTGTCTGCCTGCGCGATTTGGAGAAAACCCTGTTATGGCTGGCGCCTGTAAGTGAATAAGTTTTATTCATGAACTGGTCCTGGAGTTCTGGTCGAGGCTTATAATTTTTTCATCGACTTCTTAAGAAATTCTCCGTTTCGCGCCGCGCCTATCTCAGTTTCTGCGAATTTACGATCCAGTGTCTTCATACCTCGGCATCACATCTTAACGAACGAGACCAACGTCTCCCGGCAGATCGACCTTACACTAACGGCTACTTCCTTGACCTTGTTTCGCAGGTCCGACGCTACGCCGCCATGATGCATGCCTCGCGCCAGCGAGTCCAGGCGGCCCAAGATGCCAAGTCCAAGGACAAGAGCATGCTGTATGTTTCCCTTTCGTCCTGTCTTAATACTCTTTACTAACACATTCTTCTAGTGTCGGTGCTGAATTGAAAGGGGGATTGTCGGTGAACGGCAAACCTGCTGAACTTGTGGTGATGCATGAGGGCAAGCCCATTTCTATGCGCACTGGACTCCCCTATGAGGCCGATGTTGGTGGTCCTGTCAAGCGTACCATCAGCTTTGATGACGCAGTCGATGAGGGCGTACAGCGCTCTATGGCCCGCCGCAAGAAGAATGCTCCTCCCATGGACATCAATCAGAAGTGCAGCCACTGTGACAAGGTCTTCAAGCGCCCCTGTGACTTGACGTGAGTTATTCGTCCTATCTACCCTTGAAAAAGGCTAACCCATCCCAGTAAACACGAGAAAACCCACTCTCGTCCATGGAAGTGCACTCTGTCGTCTTGCAAGTATTTCCAGGTTGGCTGGCCCACCGAGAAAGAGCGAGACCGCCACATGAATGACAAGCACTCCGACACCCCGGCCTTGTTCAAGTGCAGCTTCAAGCCATGCACTTATGCCTCCAAGCGTGAGAGCAACTGCAAGCAGCACATGGAGAAAGCCCATGGATGGGTTTATGTTCGATCCAAGAACAATGCCCGTGGTGGCAGCAAGCGAGGCTCGTCGCTGCAGGCAACCCCGCAAACCCCGAGTGTTTCCACCCCGGCCTCAAAGCCCGTGGACTTCCCCACCCCGATCACTGGCCCTAGCCCGTCTCCCAGTGACCATGCGACGGGCTTGCCTGAAAACCCTCCGTTCAACTTTGCGGATCCTCCTGCGCTGGCTCGCAGCGATGATTTCCCGCTGTTCTTCGACAACTCGCCCTACCCGACCTCGTCTGCTGGGTTCACCAACGATGTCAGCTCGTTCCCGACTTCTGTCAACCTGGATGCCTTCCAGGCCCAGTTCGAGGCTGCTGACCCCAATGGTTTGATCCCGGCGCTGGAGATGCACCGCCAGTCAATGAATTCCATGTCGGTCCCCTCGGCTGAGTCTGTTCCGGACCTGATGGGACCATCCATGTCCTTTGATGGATCCCCTCTTGCCACCGCGGACAACACCAGTCTTAACTTTGACCTTGAGTGGAGCCAGTTGGACATGCAGACCATGAATGACGACTACACTGCGATGCATATGCAGCTCCCGACCCCGCACTCGGACCCCCAGATGATGAAGTCGTACTCGCACGAGGCTCCCCGTCTGGCTGCGCACCACTTCCCCCTGCCCTACGATGCCACGGATGCCGCGGGAAAATTGTCTGGTCTTTCCCCTGGGGCGCAGGGTAACGTCACGCTCTATTCCCCGGCTTCGGGCCAGGCAGACGAGGGACTCTCGGACCACTACGTGTACAGCATGCAGCCTCAGGCTGGTGATGATTTCACCCTCTATGAGCAGAACCCGCAGGCGGGCCAACGTGCTGCTACCATGGCCCCCACCAACCACCATGCCGGTCAATACAACCAGCCCATGTTCCCGCCCCTCGCTGAGCGTGTTGAGCGCGAGCACATTCTGCACGGTATCCAGTCCTGGGCTGAGCAGCAGCATGGTGCACCCCACGGGGCCTACCTTCCTTCTGACATGGATCTGGAATTCATGAAATAAAGGATGGTCGCACATCACACCCTGTTCTTTTCTTCCTTTCCCCGAGCGAACGTGTAGCAAGCGATGGATATCTCAAGGATTTGTGTTAGCTTTTATCAACTCATTCGTTTCATGCAGTTGATCTCGGCGTTATGAGTTGAAAGACCTGATAAATGGCAACCTGATTAGGTAGTTTCGTTCTTTCTAGTGGAATTCATGGAATCCATATGGTCTTGTCCCTTGTAAACATCCAAGATTATTCCTTCAAACAGATCTAGTTTGTAGGCAACATATATTTGGTTCCCCCCGCCCAAAATCCTCAAGGCCAAGACTGGACAAACGCGGCTTATTGGGGCGGAGTGGCAGTGGATATAGCCCTACGCGGCTGAGTCTCCTAAAGTCAAAGGTCGACGGCTCGGGTGACGACATCCCTCTGTTCCCCCTCCTTTTTGTCCACCTTAGACCTCTCCACATTTCCTTTTGTTTTTCTTTTTTCTTTGCTTGTTTCTGTTGACTGTTTGCTTTTGCCGTGTCTGTTCCTTGTCTGCGAGCGGCAGACGCCAGGACGCTCGGAGTCTTGGCCCGCCATCAATCTCTCGGCATCACAAACCAGCCCTGCTAGGCAGACAAGTTTCCTCCCAACCCCTCATCCCTATAAGGCGGGGTGGTTGCGTGTGGCTTCATTTTCAAGGGTCCCAAGGCCTTCTTGTCTCAACCATCTACAATGCAAGAAGCGCTCCCTCCAGATCCCGCATTCCCCAACGGCGGTGAGGGGGGCAATGCACCCCCGCCAGCCGGCCAAATTCTGACGGGGAGACAGGAGCACTGTGAGTTTTGGAGGACTCGCTTCAGTTTATTTCAATCTCTTTTTTGGCAAGCTTGTCCCGCTGACATGATTCATTTGCGCAGACCTGAAGCGCGAGCTCATTGCCCGCCAGGTCCGTGACGAAATCACCGAGCTCAACTCCCCGACTGCCCTCCAGCGATTTGGCTCACCATTCCGCTCTGAGTATGGAGAAGTTGCCCCCGTGGACTCGGAGCTCCCTATCCTGCGACACATATTCGTTCACCATGTTCGAAATTTCCCCTTTCTCGACCAGGCGCGCGAAAAGGAGTTCTGGCAGGACAAGCTCCAAGTGGTGGGTTTCTCTCCTTCCCCGCTCCACACGAATTATGACCGAGCACAAGAGCTGGATGTTGACAGTTCAGCATAGTTCCTGGAATCCTTCGCGAATAAGCATGTGTCGTCCTCCGAAGATCGCCTGGAAGAAACAAAGCGCCGGAAGCTGGCACGCAAGTGCGAAAAGCTCGTGGAGCTGATGATGGTCTCTGGGGTGCCGACCGCGTCGGGCTACGAGGAGCGAATTCAGTTCTCGGAGATGGAAGTGGTCGAGCGTGGAGCCAACGACAAGGGCTTGCTGGTCAACATGCCCGAGGGCCATGCGATCAACGGTTGGGATGTAAATGTGGCAGCTGTTCGGGTCACATCCATCAAGCGGACCGTCAGATATCATCCACACGCGGTGAGATACTAGTCCAAATTGCGGTCGGTTCATTAAGCGGCAACACTCCTGCTGACGCTTTCTGGGTACAGGAATTTCTCATTCGTGTTAATCAAGAGGGCAAGGAAGGTATCCATGTCGGCAGACGATACGGAGAGTTTGTCAAGCTGCACAGGAGACTGCGCACTGAATTCCCAGGCAAGAACTTGCCTCCTCTTCCCCGAAAGAACAAGTCTTCGACGTCTAGTTGGTTCAGCTCTGCCGACGATGACAACTCCTCCGTCTCGTCCGTCTCAACCCAAGGCACGAGTCTACCGGACGATTCCGGCCAGACTCTTGCACCCGGGGGTCATCAGCGATCTGTCTCGCGGAGCTCGATGCGCTCGTCCAAATCCCCACGCGTGTCTACCGATGTTTCGAGGGAAACCGTGCTCTACCGCGAGGAGCAGCGGGTGTCCCTGCGAGCGTTCCTCCGTACACTTCTACAGAACAAACGCATTGCCGAATCCAAGGCGATGGAGGAATTTTTGATTGCAGGTCCAATTAAGCTGAACGAGGAAGAGATGATCGATGTTCAAAAACGGAAGGAGATGGATGCCGCGAGGATCGAGGAGCAGAGGAAGTTCTATGAAATCGCTAGACAGCGGGCTGCCGAGCTGGATGTTTATATGGAGAACTTCAGAAGGGATATCGTGGAGAGCAGTAAGCCGATGTAACCCTCTTCCATCTTGACATACGGCGCTAATCTACTCCGAAGATGGGTTGACCAAGCTATTCGCCGAGATCCGGGAGAAGTCCTCAATCGCCGAACTGAGTCCGCAGTACCAAAAGTTTGCGGAGTGGCTTCGTATCGAGTAAGCTTGGCCTAGGCAGTTTGACTTCCTTTTCTCGACTGACAACAAAATTAGGGTTGCTGCAACATTATACCACCTGTTCCTCGCCGAAGACAATTCCCCCGAGTTGTTTGCGCAAGCAAAGAGGATCCACGGTCTTGTCCCTTATACGCTACTGAAGAACGTGATTCGCATCGCCAATCCAGCCGCCGTCATGTCGGGTGTCCTCGACCTTTTCCTTGCTCAGCCCTTCGGCTCGCGGTCTCTCCTGCAGCGGATCTTTTCCCTGACCCTGAACGACAGCATCAAAGACTTCCAGAAGTCAATTGCCTCACTGACTGCGAAGGTGGAAGATTCAACGCTGTCCCAGAAACTCAAGAGCTTTGCCGATGCAGACGAAGTGATCAAAAACGAGATCCGAGAAGAGGCAGCCGCAGAGGATGTGGACATTATTGTGGCTATCCTTCGCTCGGAGCTGTTGTCCCCAGAGCTCACGACGGAGCAGATTGGCAAGGTGTTCAATGGCTGGGTGGCTTGGAACCACGCCGTGGATAATGTCGACCTGGAAATGCAACAGGGGGCTCAATGGTTTGCTCATATGAAACAGCTGCTTAAGCTTTACACTCGACAACGCGACAAGGCCATGATGCTCAGCATTGTCGAGGAGCCTGCCACCCTCCAGCTCTTCCGCGATCTGTTCACCATCTTCTACGAGCCACTGGTTCGGGTATATAAATCGGCCAATGTGTATAGCAGCATCACAGACTTTGCTGTATTCGCTGACGACGCCATCGGCGTCATCGAGAGCGCCCAGCGCCAGGATGCCTCGGCCGATCCGAACCAGACTGTGCAGGCCTTCATCGACGTCTGCGCTCGCCACGAAGCCAATTTCTACAAGTTCATCCATGAAGTACATCTCCATGATAACGGGCTGTTCCAATCTCTGATGTCATGGATCGAGGAGATCCTTGACTTCTTGCGCAAGGGCCCTCAGGGTGGCAAGCTGGACATGAACGCTTTGTTCCAGGGGGCCGTGGGCGTGGGCCAGATCGACAAGGATGTTGCTCTTGCTGAGATTAATTCCCTCATAAAATGGCACGAAGACCGCAAGCGCTGGCATCTCAACAAGACCCGCCAGAAGATGGCTGCCGAGGGTACTGCGAATGAATCTATCCCGGGCACGGCGACCTTTAAGGGCAGCGATTTCGGTCTTGACGAGGTATGTTCTGTGTCTCGTTCATCTTCTTGTTTAATCACATAGTAGACCTGCGCTAACATTTTCCCAGGGCGATCTGGAAGACCTTACCATCTCGGATGAGGGATCGGATGCCTCAGATGAGGATGAAGAGGACGAGGAGCTGGATGACCCCATTGCCGTTGAGCGCCGTCGCCGAACCAAGAAGCAAGACCAGCTTCGCCGTACAGCCGGAGAGCCCGTCAAGCCCGAGGTGCAGGAGATCCTGAAACTGACAGATCCGTTCGTCGTCATGCTGCGATATGTACTGGCTGAATAGAGCATTGTTGAACGTGTTGCGCTCTCTCCCTGACTGGCGATGTCGTATTTTGCTCTTCACGACACATTCAATTGGGGCGGCATTGCCGTTGCAGCCATGGCCCACTGTATTCTTTTGATTTTCCTGATTGATACACCGATTCATCGCCTTTCCTCTTGATTCTATCGTGTTGATCCGTGGGTGCTGCGAGGATATGATTCGGTCAGACTAGACGGCTAGAGTGCATGCTGGGAACGGAATGCTAGATAGATGGGTTGCTAATGAATGATTCATGATGCATTAGCCATGTACTTTCGTAGCGTCTCGACGACCTGGTAATTCCCATTCTCGGCCGCCACCTCCATCGGGGTCTGTCCGTCCGAGTCGCCCAGTTGCGGGTCAATCCCATCCGCTTCGAGGAGTAGGCGGACAATATCTAGATGGCCGTAGAACCCGGCACTGAACAAGGGCGTCTGGCCATTGTCGTCGCGCGCATTCGGGTTCGCTCGTCGCGGGCCTGCGAGTAACTTCTTCACAATGCCCAGGTGGTTGCGGTCAGCCGCGACACCTAGCGGTGTGGTGCCGTATACATCGGGTATCTCCAGATCGACGCGGTCATTTCCAACAAGCACGTCGACGATCTCCTGCTGCCCGTTCATGGCCGCTACAAACAGCGGCGTGTGCTGCTTCCACGGCTCGCGTAAATTCGGGTTCGTTGGTTTCCACGACAGCAAGAACCGCACGACGTCGACGCGGCCCGATGACGCGGCAATGGTAAATGCGCCCCGTCCGTACATTTGGTCGTTACAGTTGGGGTCGAGCTTCTCGCCAAAAAACGAGACCAGATACGCGACGATCTCGACATGGCCCATGATAGCCGCATAGAAGAACACATGCTGACAATGCGCCGCCGAGTTGTCGCCGTCGAGAATCAGACGCAGGTGCGTAGCCAGCAGCAAGCCGGCATCTTCCTCGTGTTGCCGCGATATTCGCGACAGCGGCGTGTTCCCCTGCCGATTCCCGATGCGCGGATCGGCCCGCTGGCTGCACAGCAGTAATGTGAGTAAAGCGGGCCGGTGGATAACAGCGATCATAAGCGGGGTATCACCTGATTTGTCCTGGAGGTTGACGTCGACGCGGTCGTCGCCCAGGAGCGTCTCGACAATGTCGCGGTGGCCCTCCTTGATGGCCCAGCCCAGCGGCGGCCGGATGTATTTGCGGTCGCGTGAGTTGGGGTTAATGTCGTCGTGCGAAAGCAGGAGAGTAAGCACGGAGTGCTGCCCGTGAACCGCGGCTAGCATCAGTGATGTGCTGCCTTTGATGCGCGGGTCAATGTCGGTTGTGGCTTGGACGTCCGCGCCCGCTTCGATGGCCTGGGCGGCTGTGGAGCGGCAGCCGTGCGTCGCGGCCCAGAATAATGCCGACGCATGGCTGCGTGTGACGTTGCGCCGGTAAAGTTGCTTGTTGAGCAGATGGTGGAACGTTGAGTTTGTTTGGGCGAGGGCGTTGAAGTCGGCGTCTGAGCTTAAGAACGCGCCAATGTAGATGAACAGCTCTTTAGGGAGGCGTGCCAGCGGACCTTCCGGGGCAAGCCATGATGCAGGCATCGAGTGACCGATGCTGGGATTGAAGTTTTATCTCTATATGGAGTGGCGAGACATGGGAGTCGAGGAAGACATCGACCTCGATGGAGGTATGGAGACGGCACAAAAGTACCTGGGAATTAGATTGATGTTGCAGCTAACGTGGGGTTCGGGGGTTGATGTGGGGTTGAGCCTCAGGTTCAGCCTCGACGGGCTGATCCCATGCGCAGTCTCCAACCTTGAAGTATACAAGACGTGAGCATCGGTGTTTTACTCTGAAAGCCTATTGAAGCTCCCTGGTTGTGTCACGGCTTTGTTGAAGAGAGCAGCCTTGCACACCCATGGATGGCCGATGCCACATGCCGATGCCACATGCCGCGATAAGATAAAAGGAGTTCCCATGGCGACGACGTAAATCATCCCGATGTCCACCAGGTCGACCTTCTTTATTCTCAGGACATCAAGACCACCATGTTGTCGCCCTCGAAAAAGGCACCCCTCACACCGCGAACAGCGGCACCCTTGCGCGGTCTTTTCAAAGATGGCGAGTGGTGCTGCAACTGCCCTGAGCGGCCGATCGCCGCCAAGTATCAGACAAAGAAGGAAGGCATGAACCATGGCCGGTGGTGTAGGTGGTTCCCCACGACCTTGAAATAATTGCCTTATGGCAGCAACTGAACTTGGCCGCAGTCTTCACTTGCAAACAGCCCCATCACCTTCGCTGCGGTTTCTTCCTCTGGGCAAGCGACGCCGAACCGCGCTCTCGCGCGGCATTGCTCTCAAACTCCCGATCCGAAGAAGACCCATTGACTCTGACCCCCTCCAAGACCCCCAGCGTGCAGGGAACGGACTGCTCACCCCGCAGACTGAGCGCCAGGTCTTCGACGTCCCGCCGCGCCGAACCATATCCCCACCCAAGAGCGCAAAGGCCAGGATGATGGCGGAGGACGACTACGGATGGAACGATGACTCCGACGACAACGAGGACCTGGCCGAGGCGCTGGCTTCCAGTCAGAAGACCGAGCCTATGATCTCGCAGCCGAACTTTCACCCGGAGACGCCCTCCAAGGCGGCCCGCACCACCGCAAACACCTCCCCAAGCAACCGCAAGCTGTCAGAATTCGCCTACGACTACTCGTCTCCGGCTCCAGCGCAGATGGCCTCGCCGGTATCAGCGCATACGTCTTTCACAGATCGATTCCCGCCGTCGTCGGCCGAGGTGTGCATGACTCCGACGCCGACCAAATACCGTGATGTGTTGCATTCAAATTCGTGCTCGGACACTTCGAGCCTCGCTCAAAGTACCCTGGCTGTGCTGGATAAGCACGGCGTTGTGCTCCCGAATCGTGCGCGCGACGAGCTGGTCGCAATGCTGAACTCCCAGCACAATAAATTAACGGGAATCAATCGCGGGCGTACTGTCTTACGCAATGTTGTCAAATCCAAGGATGAGGAACTTGCCAAGCTAAAAGAGCGCGTCGCCCATCTGGAGGCGCAGCATGAGCTGGATCGGACTCTGATTGATGGCATGAAGCCATCCTCGGGCTCTTCTGTTGGGGGGCGCCCTTGATTCTGGTACATCCTAGTACTCTTGCCGAAGTCTTTCCCGCTGTCTGAGACTCAAGGTTTCCAGGGTGGGATCTTACAAACATTCACGACGTTATGAGTTCTTTGCGAGTTTTTGTTTTGCCTGCTCGATCGGGCAGGCCGCTGGAGATGTTGTGAATTTATTCAGCTGTCCTAGTTCATGGTTTTGAAGGCTGGGTTCTGCTATTTCGAGCTGGTCTTTAGATAGTCAATTCAAGTGTACATCTGCTTGGGTAAAACTGTAGGCACTTCAATATCGGATCTTCATTGAGACACAGCAGCGCACATTCTGGTAATAATTCTTCAGCCGATTTTCTACCTTACCATTCGGAATATCAAACATCTTTACGCCATCGAAGAAGGTATATCGCCTTTCATCTAATTGTCCGATTGACAGTATGTCACGTGGCCGATAAGGCACCAAATTATCGCGATGCGCCTCGACGCCCAGTTTCCCGACAAGATTCGGGTCATCCCAAACCCCGGCCAAATCCCGTCTTGTTCGATGGAGGCTACTAGCGAAGGCTTCAAGAACGGTCACCGCGAGCACTCGACCATGTTCCGCCCACCCGTGAACCGCGCCATGCGCACCCTCGACCGCGCATTCTTCCGCAAAACCGTGTCGATCTCCGCCGCCAAGATCTTCCAGCCCTCTGACATCTCGCGAGTGCGCAAGGAGCTGACAAAGAGCCTTGATTTGCTGCTCGTGCCGCGGCTCAATTGTGTGCGCAATGTGACGGATCAGGATGGGGTGGATCGCAAGGCACTTTTGCTGCGGGAGACTCTTAAGCATGATGGTGGGGATTCCATGTGATCGAACGGGAGATGATGCTACTATTTTGAAGTTTTGTGCTGATGGCCTTTTGTTACAGATAAGGCGACGTGGTCCCCAACTATTACGGAGCTTGTTGAGAAGGGCACTGTGTCCCTGGGACCTCATGAGTTGGCGTTGGACTATGACTATTGGACCTATGGTATGACTGCCGGTCCTTTCTCTTCATGATCTCTCCGACTGATATCTGTCTAGCCGACATCATTTCTTCGATATTGCCCGAGGAGGACATGCAGGAGGTTCCCCAAGGATTCACGCAGGTGGGGCATGTCTGTAGGTTTACTGTTGCTCCCAGATCAGTTGATCCCTTCAAACGAAGCTAATTTCTCCAGTGCATCTGAATCTCCGCGAGCAGTTCTTCCCCTACAAACATCTGATTGCGGAGATCCTCAAAGACAAGAACCCAACCATCCGCACTGTCATCAATAAGATCGAAGATGTCGGGTCCCATAGTCAATTCCGCACATTCCCATTTGAATTGCTGGCTGGCGACAACGACCTGAATGTGATCCAGCACGAGCAAAATTGCGAGTTCCGCTTCGATTACTCCCGCGTCTACTGGAACAGCCGTCTGGAGACCGAGCATCGCCGCCTCGTAGAGAAATTCCATGCCGGCCAGATGGTCTGCGACGTGATGGCCGGCGTGGGCCCATTCGCGGTGCCTGCGGGCCGCAAGAAGATCTTCGTGTGGGCCAACGACCTCAACCCGTATGGGTACGAGGTGATGCAGGACGCTGTTTCGCGCAACCGGGTCCAAGACTTTGTCACGCCGTTCAACCAAGATGGCCGGGAATTTATCCGTTCGTCGGCGACGGACCTTCTGAATGCGCCGCCTGTCACTGTCACCGTCCAGCCCAGGCAACGCAAGGATAAGAAGAGCAAAGATAAAGGAGCCCAGGGGCAGGAGGCGTTACCACCAGTCCAGAAATACACCCGCCCCTCGGTTGTGGACCACTACGTGATGAACCTTCCCGCCACCGCTATCGAGTTCCTCGACGCCTTTTCAGGGCTGTATACTGGCAAGGAATCTCTCTTTTCACCCCATACTTCACAGCAACTTCCCATGATCCATGTCTACTGCTTTTCTGGCCACTCAGAGAACGAGCTCGATGATCATGTTGATGTCTGCCAGCGCATCTCAGAGCGCATTGGGTACACCATCACTCCGGAGGACCGGGTTGGGGGTTCTGGCAACCAGGAGGTGGAGCTTGCCATCCATAATGTCAGACTGGTCAGTCCCAAGAAGCAGATGTTCTGTGCCAGTTTCCGGCTGCCGCGGGAGGTGGCTTTCCGGGCGTAGGGTGTACATAGTCTGTTGCATAGGCTTGGCGTTGGGATCCCCATAAAGATGTATAGAAAGCAATTGTATACTCGTTCGGGCAGGATGCAGAAGGCGGTGAGCTGACCGCCTAGAGCCGCGCCGAAACTGCAACATCCAACCTTCTCAGCATTGACGCCCGCATCTTGCACGAATCTCCGAACAACCCCTGAAATCCCATACAAAAAGGACCCATCTTGAAACTATTATCGCTGTGAACCCCATCATGAGTGTCCAACTGCCCCCTGCCACCTATCGCAAACGCACCCTGCCGCAGGGTGAGCTCGAAGCTGCCTCAACCCTCAAGCTGGGTGCGGACCAGAACACCCACACACTCTCCCTGTCCGAGGCTCGATTGGTTATCCACAAGGTGCTGGAGAACAAGCGACGTGGAGGCAACAAGTACGAGGAGCCAGAGTAAGTTCCCATCAATTATTATTTTACTTGGCCCCGACCGAGAGACGAGACGCTGATCTTGAACCCCCCACTTTCATCTAGGACCCTGACCAAAACCCTGGATTATCTGGATGCATTTGCTCGGTTCAAGGATGAGGAGAACATCAAGGCTGTGGAGCGATTGTTGAACTCGCATACGGAACTCGAGATGTTTGAGCGATCCCAGCTTGGTGAGTTTGTATTTTGCCCTTATTTTATTGTGATTCTTAAGCTCACGTGAATCTCTCCACAGGAAGCCTGTGCTGTGACAATGCCGAGGAAGCCAAATCGCTCATCCCCAGCCTTCAGCATAAGATCTCCGATGGAGACCTGCAGGAACTACTGGATGAGTTGACTAAGCTGCGCAACTTTACCGAGTAACTTCAGTCAAGAGGTCTGCATTTCCTTTCTCTTTTCTTTTCTTTTTTTCCGGTAGCATGGAGTTTGGGGGGTTTTGTGTTTGAGATTCTTTTTTTTGGGAGTATTTCCGGTGATCCACCGATATTTCAGCAGACCCAAGATTGCGGGTTTGCCACCGGAGAAGTGTTTTCCAGCATATACTAGATTTACCTAGGTATACCTAGGTATAAGTGGTCGGGGAATCATCGCCATGCAAATTGCACGGGAGCATAGGGCAAATCAGGGCTCTGGTAATTCTGACCTTTGCATCCTTGCCGTAGTCTCCCGTAGTGTATTCCTCCACGATTTTCCCCCACACTTGGGGCCAGGGATTATCCGTTATCAGAGTCCTTTCCCTACATAGTACATAAGTAAATCCCAATACTACGGATCCTGAGTCAGACTGAGAAAAAAAAAACACACGAATCATAATGCAGCCATAGATGTGTAATATCCTCGATTGATCTGCTTCCGACACGCGACCCGAGGCAGCTTAAAGTTGCTGACCTAACTGGTTTGTACGTAATTGCCCATGGAGGCTCGCACGGAACTCCAATCAGCGTGGCTGGGCTTATCGGTGACAATTTTGGCCTGCTAATTGGGGCTTTTCTGTTACGAAACAGAAAGCGTTGGCGATGTCATCAATTTGGGAATTACCTAGACCTACTACTACTATATTCCTTTTTCTTTTCCCTCTTCCTTTCTTACTTCCTCTTCACCCTCACCCACACGCTCTCTCTCTCTCTCTTGAACCCTGTTAGCATTGTAGGAATGACGGAGCGAACTATCCGCCATCTCATCTTGCTGCAGTCTCTCGCCGGCTTGCCTGCTTGATTGGATCGTGCATCTGTCGGAGATAACTGGGGGATTATCTTTGATAAGCCTATCGGGTATGTTTGTTGTCTTATCTGCTTTCTTATTCACCTCTTGTTTTTTCTATTTCTGAAATAAGCCAATGACTGACCCGCCATTTAGGTCCTTGCGGAGAGTGACGTCTGGAGGTTCTCCAGATCCTTACGTGAAAACCCCGTATCAATTTGTCTATCGAAGGATCGTCCTATCTTTATCTGTTATCCCATTCCATCATTATTCCATAACCTGCCCCTTCCCATATGGCCACCGTTATTACTATCCAGCCTTCCTCGGCTGGCACCTCATCGCCTTATCCCCAAAACTATCATTCTCCTCCAGACCATCTTCGCCGACGGACTCAAACTGCCTCAACGCCACTGTCGCCCTCCCCCGTTTCCGTCCATTCAACTCTCGCCCGTGCCCCGGGCCGGGATGGAGCTAGCTGTGACGCCTGTCTCCGCAGAAAGAGCAGGTGTGCTATGAACGAAATGGTCAATAAGTGCTACTCGTGCGACTTTCATCGCCAAGACTGCACATTCACTCTCTCAGGCGAGGCCCCGTCGAAGAAGAGGAAGCTGGACGACTCGGCGCAGGAGCAGGTAGAATCGGCCAAACGGTATGTCCGATGATTCTTGTCTTGTCTTTCTTCGCAACCAATACTGACTTGCAACAGACCATCCACGGTTCAATCGGCAGTCTCTGTTCCTGACGACGCTGCTCGCTCGCATCCCATCTCCAACATGATTCGCCCCGGCTTTTTTAACCAGTCGACCCAGCATATCGGTCTGACTACCGAGCTGGAGCCGGCTTTGCTCGATTATCTCCCCTTGGATGAGTATGGCGAGTGTACCGTCTCGACGTCGCGCGTACGCCGGTGCGCCGACGATGGTACGTTTATGCGCGTCGTTGACGCCGTCCCCGTTGGTGACTCGCAGGCCGTGTCACTCGATGCGATTGAGAGCCTGGTTGCTCCGTACGGCGCCACCTTGATCGAAAAGTTCTTTGACCACGTGCACCCTTCGTTCCCCATCTTGGTCGAGGAGGCCTTCCGGCAATCATACCGGGAGCGCCGTGGGCTGTCCCCACTGCTTCTGGCGGCAGTGTATGTCTTGACGCTGAAGTTTGTCGATGTCGGCACGGCTTCGCAGACCGTGCGCCGGCCGGATGCGGCGCGGTTGGAAAGCACTGCCATGAAGCTACTTATGGATTCGTTCCCCTTCCCGAGTGTGTCAACGATCCAGGCCGGGTTGTTGCTGACCCAAAAGTCCACGTTGGCCACGGCCTCACTGAATGGGCAGCTGGTCACGGCGGGCTTTGAACTTGGGCTGCACCAGGACTGTTCGGACTGGCGGATGGAGACCTGGGAGAAGGGTCTGCGGAAACGGCTGGCATGGGCTCTGTACATGCAGGACAAATGGTCTGCTCTTGTGCATGGAAGACCTTCGCACATCTTTGCATTCAACTGGACGGTCAAGGATCTAGTCGAGCAGGATTTCTCCGATGCCTTTGCCTCGGGCACGGACTCCTCCCACAACGAGGCGGATGTAGGACACGGTCCTCTGCTTTTCTGTCATATGGTCGCTCTGACCACCATCTTGTCCGATATCCTCGACCGTTTCTACACGCTTCATGCCATCCAGGAATTCCACGCAGCCGGGAACCACCGCACGCGCATGATCCTGGAAAAGGCCAAACCCGCGCAAATTCGCCTGAAAGACTGGTTCTCCAACTTGCCGCCTTCACTGAAGATGGAGTCATCTTCCGGGGAGCTGGTCGAGACCATCACAGACGAGCATGCCCGCAACGGGGCCCTGCATCTTGCCTACTTCGCTACCGAAATCACCCTGCACCGATGTATCGTTCGGTCTTTGTCTACCAGTGGCACCGACTCCTACCTGGCACACATCTGCCGTTCAGCTGCCAAGACGCGTCTCATCTCCGCCATGGACTTTGTCAACCGCCTGCGGCCCGCTCATCTGCAGTCCTTCTGGCCCGCATCTGCCCGCACAAACTTCTCGCTGATCGGCTCCTTCGGCATGCTGCTGCACATCTCCGCCCCAACCAAGGAGGAGGCCGATTTCTACCGCGTGCGGCTCTGCGAGTACCGCTGGACCCTGAGCGTCAGCCACAAAAACGCCGAGTTCATGGGCTTTGCCCTTGAGAGTCTCGACAACGCCACCACCCTTGGCAAGCACGTCCCCACCAAGCCCGGTATCGAAGAGCTGATGGCCAACTCTAAGCCCGTATCGCGTCTGCCTCCCACTGTTCCTGCCTCCTATGACGAGGCCGTGATGGATGCCGACGGCCACGGCGGAGCAGGGTCGTCGTCTGTGATCTCGGGTCTTGCTTCGCCGGCTACCTCGGCCAGTGATCTGGAGGAGCAGGATGTGATGCCACCGCTATGAGCCTGGCCTTACCTAAATCCCTTCCTTTCATCCTCTTCTTCTCTTCTCAAATATCCTCCCTCCAACTTCCCATATTCCTCTATCTGGACCTTACCTCTCGTCTTCTCCTTATGACACCTCTCGACCTCGGCGTTCTCCCGGAATTCAAGGTTCAACGTTCCAAATGAAGCGCATGATTTCACCTGATGTTCTGCATGTATCCTCTGTTGTGGTTTGCAGAAATATATAGTCATGGATTTTTTTTTCTGGTTTCTTTTGATGACAGAATTACTCGGGTTCCACGGCATGCGCGTTCTGGTTTTGATTTGATGACTTCGTGCCTGTTTATAGACTGGCGTGAATGGGATATAGAGATTGCATTATGAATTTATGATTGAAAGATTTAACTTCTTCGTTTGTATAGTCTTGTAGTATTAAGCTTTTAGCTATTGATCTCGATATGGAATTAGACTGGGTAGTTTTGAAAGGGAATTGGCATCGATGGTATGCAATCAAGTCCAAATTCATATTATGGAGAAGGCCTTGGGAGCTTTGCAGAATAAATCCTCTTGAGATATGAGTATTCAACTACCTAAGTGACTAGTATGTCATATGCATATCAGGACTTATATTAGAATCGATTCTCATGTTATCATGGTGGTTTTTTCTTCTTTCTTTCTTTTTTTCATTTCTATTTTCATTTTGTTCATTCCAAGGAAGAAAAATCCCTCGGTTCATACTCAATAATTACATATTGCATATGTCTTCAGATACAGAAGAAGCCACACTAGAGCCTCTCGCCCCCGGAGAAGGTTTCCTAGGTGATTTAGGACCCTCGATTCCAAGCTATCCATATGAGGGAAGACAGCAGTTCGTGCAAAGCTGGGAGACGGAAATACGTCGCCAGCAAGAGGATGATACCTTCAGTGACGTGGCGCTCTTCACCGGTGTTGATCCCGAGACGTTCAATCGCGACTTCGTTAACTCGACCGATCAAAATATCACGCAATGCTGGAAGTCCTATGACGGTATTAAACACCTCCTTCTCACCAGGGCGCCGATTTCAATGCAGGATTACATTAGATATTCCTCCAAAAAGCTAAGCGATTCGTGAGTGGTTCTGAGAGAGACACAGAAAGAAACCCGCCCTAGCTTATATACTTCGTATGGTATGTTTGTTTGGGAAGTGCAGATAGAGGTTATACCTATGAGACTCCTGTCTATGAGAATTTATTCTTGATTATGGTTTTTTGTTTTATCTAATTTCTGTCTCTAGACTTTAGAAGAATAAGATAAAAGTCACACATTGTGTGGTCGTAAGTCTCGTGGAAGGACAATCCTTGAATCTTCTTGTGGGCTGAAATCTCCGGCACTAGATGACGAACAAGCTATGGAAAAGAGAATGTGTGTGCGAGCTGGTAAGATGAACTATCTACCAGTCGTCTCGAACGATTCTACCTACACTCATAATCAGCAGACACGGCGCTGACAGACTGACAGACAATCCATAGATACCTACATTCATGGATACCATTATCCCCAAGTGCCGCCCTTGCGCTGGGCCGACAACCGCCAGTCGTTCTCTCAGCAAACTTGTTATGCAAGGGCTGTATCCGTTCTTGTTTTCGGCACTTTGACAACGTGCCATCCAGGCCGGCCACCTTGACAAGCCACTTCGGCTCGATACTTGTGGTCCACCGCATGTACTCACGGGATGTGAGCACAAGGCTGTGATAAATTACCCACAAGATACGGCTCTGCATCTCAGTGGGTAATGCCGAATAAACGGGAAGGATAATAAGCTCTGGAACGCTCGACCCTAAAGCCTTCACTCGTTCGTATAGGATCTCGCAAGACGTATCGATTCCTTCTTGTCCTGTCAAAAACAAAAGAATATCGACAGCCTGCTCCGTTAGGTGTATTTGCATAACCGTCACTAGGGCAGCATCAAGATAGTCCGATTCGGGTTCCCGCGAGTACATTATTCCAACAGGAAATATGCGCCCGGGGATGCTGAAGATCGGGGCGCCGCCAAAGTAGCTTGAGAACTTCTCCGTGTCAAGGGTAGCAGATGTAACAATCACTTTTAGGTTCAGCCTCTTGTTGTCGCAGTTCCTTTCTCTCTTTCCCCAGAGCAGTGCCAGAGATAGCTGCCCGGTTCAGCGACCCGTCGGGTGCCTTGGCAACGCGAATGGGTGACAACTCGAGAGACTGTTTCGTTTGGTCAGTAAGAAAGGGTGGCTCCTCTTCTCTGATCTCAATGTCGAAGTCTTCTTCCAGATTCATCTCACCATTGCCTCTAAGCATGGCGTTGTAGTCATCTTCCAAGTCGGGGTAGTCTGAGGCCTTTGCAACTCCAGCTGCAATGAGTTGGCGAATCTCTCACCTCTCGGGGGACGTCATTCTCATCTTTTGCCGTTTGGCAAGCTCAGGCTTCTGGAATCCACCATCACCGTGTCCATTCCTACATCCACCCAGGGAATGCATGTTGGCGCCAGAACCGAAGCTTGCTTGGGGAGCAAAATCCTGGCCCGTCTCGTGATCAACATCTTTCATCGACAGAACTATTCTCGTTCCATCTATGCTCATGATCTTGACCTTCACAGGCTTGTTTCGTCTGACCAAGTCTGAGGGATGGTTGACCCGCCCGTCTGTTAGCCGTGAAACATGAACGAGTCCGTCCACCGACCCTTTGACGTCGTGCAGGCACACAAAGGCGCCAAAATCCTTGACTCCTGTCACATGGACATCGTAGATTCCATGACCGGCGGGGTCTGTGTTTACCATGGTCCTGCTCATCATCGTTCCCATCTCCAACACGTCGATCGTGTTGATGGCTGATCTCCTCCTCCTGCCGTACTCTTTCTCGCCATGTCGCCTGTTTCTATCTGTTCCACGATTCGAAACACCGTTCCTGTAGCGTTCTTCGTTCCGCGTTTCAGGACTCCGACTGCGACTGCGACGCTTTTCCCTTGCTTGACGGTTATTCTGGCGATTTTTCTGTTCGAGAGTTTCTAGCACAGCCAGTACATCATTGGCAGGATCTTCAGTAGGCGCCTTGTCCGGCAGGACCAGATCAGAGAAGACTTGGGCTTTGCCCTCGACAGATCGCTGGTTGCTGGATTGATCAGGTTGGCCGGCCGTCTTTGCCTTCATAGCTGGGTGCATCATTCGAACCAGTCGGTCGGTACTTTCAATCAGGCTCAGAGGAAACTCCCCGTCCATGCCGGTTATCTTCAGTTTGAAGCTCTCGAATGTGTCGGAATCGAGTCGCTGGGCGATTATGAACTCTGCGAGAGCCTTGTCGTTAATTCCAAGGTGGTTTTGGCATTCAGAGACAACCTTGTTCACAAGTCCAAGGAGCTCGAGGTCGGAAAGGTCGTCCATGTTTGGCGGTGGCTACAGAGTGGAATCAAGGAGTGGGTGTTGGCGTTAACTCCAGCGATGAGGCTGCTGGAAGGAAATAACACCGGTAACCTGTGGTTTAGTGGCTCTGCCAAGGGCGTGAGTAAACAGATAATGATTGGACTGAAAGCTTTCCAAGATCACAAAGCAAGCATGCCAGAAATATGCGGCGTTGCAAGATTCCGATTGCTATCACAAAGGCCTCCTGTCTAGTGGTGGGCACTTTGATCCCGATGATATAAGCAGGGTTTTTGAAGTGAGAGAAAATTATCTACTGACACTTTGGCAGTTCCAGGGTTTTATATAAAATATAACGGTCTTAATATGTGGAATTGGGGATTCAGTAAATTCCTCATAGCCTACACACATATTTCCTTTCCGAGATTTTGGTGGGTACACTGGGGCAACTAGGGCGGCTTGTACCCATGGATCAATATTGAGAGAGAAAAATACCGTTGATGCTCCAAAAGTACAGTATGTATAGCCTTAGCTTTTTATGGCCTAGTGGTATTGTCTCCTTCAACATGCCTCGTTGCATCTCTCGACTGCCCACATCTCAATGACATTCAGTCATACTCCTCAGTCAACTGTGATCCAAGATCGATCCCTCTGAAAGCTTGATCCTTAATCTCGGCTTGAAGATCTATGAGGCATGGAGGCCAACGTTGAAGACTTACGTACCAAAGTCCTGCAAAACACTCTTGAGCAGATCTCGTCGCTAGCTGTTGGAGGAGATACCGAATGCTGTGTAATATGTCTTGGTGCTTTGGTCGAACAGTGCGAAGTGCAACCTTGCCAGCATAACAATTTCGATTATATCTGTCTGGTGACTTGGGTACAAGAACATCCAACTTGTCCGCTATGCAAGAGTGATGTCCGCGAAATCCGATATGATCTGAGTGAGGATGGAAAGCAAGGAAAGATCTACAAAGTTCCAACGCAATCCGAGGGTCCTGACAAGTCTCATGACCAGGCCGAATGTTTAAGCAGATCGGCCTCGCTTTTTGAGCGCCAAAGCAGCAGCGATACTGAACGCTCGGAACGAGCTCTACGCCAATACGAAGATGAGGCCATTCAAAGACGGCGTTTTATCTACCGGAATAACCTCTACTCTCTCCATGTGGGTTCGAATTGGTGCCAGCCTGCAAATTCAAGATACAGAGAACTGTCTCCAAAGCTCTTCATGACAGACCCCGAGCTCGTAGCTCGAGCCAGAACCTGGCTATGCCGTGAGCTATGCGTATTCGAATTCCTCTATACAATCGACGACCCGCCCCAGGGGCATTATTCTGTCCGCAGACGCAGACCAAGTAGGGCAGAGTTCTTGCATGAGTACATCATCGCCATTCTTAAGACCATAGACATTCAGCACAGTACCGGCCAGGCGGAAGACATGATCCAGGAGTTTCTTGGTCGGAAAAACACCCAACTTTTTCTACATGAGCTGAAGGCTTGGCTCAGGAGCCCTTATCGGTGGCTCGGTGCATGGGATCATGCTATTCAATATAGTGATGGGAATACCCTGCCCCGAGCATCGCAGGATGTGGCTATAACCCGAGAGTTAGATTTCTGATAGAACTTACATGTTGCATAGCAGATATACCGTCGCATTCAAGAGGAATGTACATACTTGACTGTCTTTCAGAAATGGTAAAATCTTTCTGTAGAGAGAATTCGCTAGCGCTAGGGTTATAGAAAGACCATAGAAAAAGACCAGATATTCAAAATGGGATCTCCCTGAAGGAATTTGATAGTAGGTATAGAATACAATGCACACAGGGAACAGCCAAATCCACCTATCTGTACAGAATATGCCCGCAAGGCCAATGCATCAAGACAGCACCGTCGCCGAAAACCATAGGGGGTGATGTCCTTGGAACTCCCCGCCAGTCACGTCCAGCTAGTCGCCAAATTTGCATGTTGGAAAGCTTCTCCTAAGCCATCAATTTCAATCAAATCATGCCCGAGTTTCAATTTCGGGCGAGTCCTCCGCATCCTCCACCACCTGCGTGCCTTCCTGCAGCAACTCGTCCGGGGTCTTCACCTTCACATCCATGACTCTCATCACCGTGTACCGATGTTTACTCAGAGCCTTCTTAACGTGTCGCTGTCTCCGCTTCGTCTTTTCCTTGATGCGAAGCGGTTCAGACTCCACGCCCGTGACCCGCACTCGGCACTCGAACAACCGCTCATCGACATGCGGCGTCCCCTTAAGGGTAAAGTCGCGTGACCCGAGTGCAGTAGCCCGGTTGAATCGCAGAACATCCCCCGGCTTGACCTTGGGCATGAGGAACGGCAGACGAAGGTGATCACCTTCCGTCAACAGGTAAGGGCGAGCGTGCAGCTCGGCCACGATGTAGTGGGGTGTCTGGCCAACTAGGTGTGGGAGCCGCGACATGAGAGACTGGGTTACTTTGAGGGGAGAGTCAAAGGTCGGTGGTACAGGTTGCTTCTCAATGGGGATGTGGTTGCGGGTCTGAGGGATAAAAGTGTCGGCGGGCGTGTTGGGGGTGGTAGTTGGGTTGCCCGAAGGTGCCTTGAAGCCTTGTTGGATCTCGGGTTGGGTGTCTTGTGCCTGTGGTGTAGCGCTGAGAGGTGTGTCGGGGTTGAGAGATGACGATTGCGTCGAGGATTGGGGCTGCGCGTTCCTGAGCGAAGCCGCTTGATGCAAAAAGACTCGTTGCGGAAGGGGAGCCGACGGAATGGCCGAGGGCGTAGTCAAACGCAGGTCTTGCGCAAGGCTGCGCAGTGCAGAGCGGGAGAACATGGTGAACCCTTTCCAATGCTCTGCCGAGGTTGGGTGGAGGTGGTTGGCGGTGATCGGTGGTCGAGGGTGCTGGAGTTCCGCGTTGCTCGAGAAATTCACACGGCACAGGTGGCCGCTTCGGCTCCCGTAGCGTCACGTGGTACTCTATGAAAACCCGAATGAACGCTCTGAAGAATAAAAAGTAGAATTAGAAAATCGAAGAAAAGAAGAGCATCTTCTTATCACGTAGATAATTTTTATCTGGCTTGTTTATGTGACCATTATGTCAAAATTGGCAATCCTGTGCTATAGCTCAGCGCTGTTGATGGGCTGATCTCGAATCGATAAGCAGTCACGTGTCGCTATCTCTGCATCAACTTTTTCCGCAGCGATTAGATCTTGAAGAACCCTCCCCCATCATCCCCAAGCGTTCCTCAACCGTTCGCCATGGTATGTTGCCAGCAGTTTCCAAGTCTCAAGTATTGGGTGGTGTAAATTTGCTAACCAATTTTCCCACCAACAGCCTCAGAACGAGTTCGTCCTTCCCCGCCAGCCACCCACCGTCTATCCACTGACCATTCATCCCACAGGTACATCGAGCGCTGGCAGAAGCAGCACGGCAAGCGGCTCGACCACGACGAGCGAACCCGCAAGCGCCAGGCCCGTGAGGGACACAAGCAGTCGCACGATGCCCAGAACCTGCGCGGCCTGCGGGCCAAGCTGTACCAGCAGAAGCGACATGCGGAGAAGATCCAGATGAAGAAACGCATCAAGGCGCAGGAGGAGAAGAACGTCAAGTCGGCCGCGCCCGAGGAGCCGTCCAAGACCCCGCTGCCCCAGTACCTGCTCGACCGGTCGCAGGCCACCAACGCCAAGGCCCTGTCGAGCGCCATCAAGGACAAGCGGTCCGAGAAGGCGGCCAAGTTTGCCGTCCCGCTGCCCAAGGTCAAGGGTATCAGCGAGGAGGAGATGTTCAAGGTTGTCAATACCGGCAAGAAGACGCACAAGAAGTCCTGGAAGCGCATGATCACCAAGCCCACTTTTGTCGGCAACGACTTCACTCGTCGCCCGGTAAAGTACGAGCGGTTCATTCGGCCTATGGGTCTGCGTTACAAGAAGGCCAATGTGACACAGTATGTTTTCATTTCCCTTGCTTGCTTTTGCTGACTTATGTCTGCGTCGTTATGCTAACAACTCGACCCTAGTCCCGAATTGGGTGTCACCGTCCAGCTGCCCATCCTGTCCGTCAAGAAGAACCCTCAGAACCCGCTGTACACCCAGCTGGGTGTCTTGACCAAGGGTACCATTCTCGAGGTCAATGTTTCCGAACTAGGTCTCGTTACCACCACCGGCAAGGTCGTCTGGGGAAAGTGGGCTCAGGTCACCAACACGCCCGAGAACGACGGCTGTGTCAACGCGTAAGTCGAACTGAGCTCTCGAACCTGTATCTTCAATTCTAACGTGATCACCACAGTGTTCTGCTCGTTTAGAGAAACCACCCTCATTATCGTTGTCCCTTTTTTTGCTCCTGGCAAGCTTCGGCCTGTCGTCGATACCATGTCTCTGGCACTGCCATCCATGTTTTTTCCCTTCTTAAGTTTAATGTGGTCTATTTAGATCACGCGCGATGTTGGGGGCGTTTGTGGCGCATCTTCTCGAACTACATTGATTTCTAGACGAAAAGTATGTGCATATTAAGCCCTTCAGAAAGGGTGCGAAATGAAACTAGCAAAGTGTTCATTGATATTTTTCAAAGATAAGAAAAGCAGATTGATTGGAGTATCTCTCAACGATTGTAGATCTATCTATCAACAGGTGACTAAACGATCCTGGCCGGAGTACACACTGCCTTGATTGCGATAGAATTATCGCAGGGGGGCAAGCTACAAGCAATACATAACAAACCAGGAGACGAAAGAAACGCTCAAAACAACAAGTGGTCAATTAAACATGGTAACCAGATGGGGAGCGAGGTCTTAAACTCCAGGAAACCCCAAGGTCTGAACCTCGATATCGCAATGCAAGCGGGTAAGGAAACAGTCAACCAAGCCATATACAGAGAAGAAGATCCACACGCTGCGCTGAACGGCATCTCATCAGAAGAAAGGCTAGGCCAAATTAAACACCCCGAGGGGTGATGCAGGAAGAAGCAAAAAAAAGCACAAGATGAAGAGTCGGTGGTCAAAATCTCAGTCAAATAAGACACCAACCGAACCACACAAACAGAAACAGTATCCAACACCAGTCATGAAGTCATTCTAACAAAGAAGAAAGGGAAGCAGGAAAAGAAAAGAAGGCGCCGAAGTGGCGGGAGAAGTGAAACAAAGGAAATCAGTCCGTTCAGGTGACATCAGGCATTTTCTTCTTCCAATGCAGCTTTAATCTTTGCAAAAAATCCTGCTGGCCATGCTGCCAGCTCTTCTTCTCTGGGTGCACCCCGGACCTTGCAATGATTGACGACATTGACCAGAATGCGGCCAAGCATATCCTGCGTAATCGGAACGGCACCCTCGAGCTGGGCTTCTGGGTGCAAGAAAGGGTCACGTTGGCCAAGCATCTCTTCGATTGTGGGCCGCAGAGTCTGGTCACGCTGCAGGCAGCGCTTCAGAGTTCGAATGAGTCCAGGAGGGACAGGGGCACCACCAACGCCAAAAACCGGGAAATCGATTTGCACGCGAGGGTTCGGGATGGCCATAATACGTTCGTAGTATTTGGCGATCTTGGCGAAGGGGGCTGGCCATAAACCATCTTGTACAAAATACATCCTAAGCTCCAAACATCGCTGGGCTTCCCCAATTTCATCATCTTGCCAACGCTCGACGGCAATCCCAATGATGCGTTGGAATCAACCAAGGCTTCGGGGGACATGTAATTTGGCGTGCCAACTTGCTGTTCTCGGTGGACATTGACGGTGTTGTCTTGGATCGCATTCGCAATACCAAAATCAATCAATTTCAACCGGCCTTGGACCATGAGGAAGTTGGCCGGCTTCAAGTCCGAATGAACAATGTTGCAGTCATGAACAGCTTGGACACACTCCAGCATCTCTTTCCAGTAATAACGAGTGAAGTTGATGTCAAAAATGGCATCATCGGCGTTGAGGCGGTATGTGAGGATTTTTTCCAAGTCAGACTCGCCAATCTCCATGAGAACACTGAGGCTGTGCTTATCAGAATTGAGCTCCCAGTCGAATAAGCGCACAACACGATCCACGTTTTCCAATTTCTTTAACAGGTCGATCTCGCCCTTGTATCCAGCCAAGGTCAGCGGGTCGACATCTTCCAGGTTGACTCGCTTCAGCGCAAAAATCTTATAGTTCTCTGCCATGACCCGGTAAACACGGGAACTACCTCCTCGGCCGATGCAATCGAGCCGAGTAAAGGGCTTGTGGTTGATCGAGACCTGCGTCCTCTTCTTGCGAGATGATTGCGAAGCGCCACCAGTTCCAGTGGCGGACTCGAGTGTCTTTGGTGGAGCAGGAGCAGGCCTGTGGGGAGTGTTGTTACTTCGTGTCGCCAGGATCTTGCGTGGAGAATTCCCGGTTGGTGTTTCGGCTGCTTCCTTCTTGTCGGTGTCGTAAACCACCGAGTACTTTTCAGGTTTTTCCAGGGCGCTCAAACCCTGAGGCTTCGCTCGCTTGAACATCGACGGCGGCTCGTTCTCTTGGTCCCGAGCCGAGGGAAGAGGGGGTAATGAGGGAACTTTGAAGGCAGGCTGTTCCTTTGCACTAGACGACTTTGAGGACATTTCCGAAGATGCAGGTGTTGACTTGGACTGAGATCCATGGGACTTGGGTGACGATGACCTCGAAAAGAGGCCCTCGCCCGCAAATGCAGTGGCAACATGACTCGGTCGATATGATTCACTCATGCGGGGTGGACTGGGGTCCGCCCAGGAGACTTTAGGAGGCGATGGCTTTGCTGAACTGCGGACATGGTATTCCGCGTTATCGTCTTCAGGTTCCATGTTCTCTCTCTCTCCATCATGAGAGAAGTATTGATGCGGATCTTCGTCGTTGTTTTCTTCACTCTGTCTGCGCAGCACACCCCTTCGTGCCGGTCCGTTTAAAAAGGTACCAGTCAGTCGCCCAACTCTCTTGACACGCAGCGAGCTTTGGGGGCCAATGTCATCTGCGTTGCGACCCCGCAGTGCTGACGAGGCGCCAGCTCGGAATACTGGGTCATCCTCATAGCGGGATTTGCGGTCGCTATCTGACCGATCCCCGCTACCATACTCGTCTCCAGAATGTCGTTCAGACGAACGCTTCAGAGAAGGTGAAACAGAAGCGGGAGAGCGCGTGCCGCTGCGCGACACATTAATTCGTACATTGCGTGGCCGTGGCGCCGGCGTAATAAAATCATTAGAGCGGTTCTGAGCCTCAGGTTCTGCGGTCTGGCTGTTCGATAAGGGAGAGCCCTCGCGCGAGAACCTTGAGCCAGAAGACAGGGCTCCAATGCGAACGACCCTTGGCGCAGGGCTGCCTGTTGACTGGTCGTGAGGCGAAAGCGTGCGCGGTGACTGGCTTTGAGGTCTGGAGGCAGGCACCCACTGCCGCTCGTGCGAGGGTGCTGGGGCCTTCTGTAGATGCGGCGAAGATCCGAGTCCATCGCCATCCAACAGAGCCTTTACGGAGGCGCTGAATTTGGGTTCGGGCACCTCATCGTCAGAGCTATCACCCGAGTATTGTCTTGAGTGAGACGCTCCCCGTATTGGTAGGTCTTGGAGTGCCGGGGACGCCCGTCTGGAAGTGGAACGTGAAACCGCGGATCGGGACATCGGTCGGGACGGCGGTTGGCGGTACAGGTCGCTGTTGTATGCGGATGAGAGGGAATTCGGGGAGGCCATTGCGCTAACGCCCTACATTGAAGTCGTGGATCAATGTGGCCCCGCGATAGCCCGAAGTTGTCGACTGTTTTGTTGTTCGCAGGAGGAATTGGCTAATTCATCCTGACGTTCCGTCGCGAGATGCGCGCTATATGGTCACGTGGTTAGGGTTGCCATGACGACAACCATAACAAAGCATGTCTTGATCGCCGCTGCTTTCGCGTCGAGTCGTACAAAGCGGGCATACAGTATCTATTTTCTTCGCTTGCTGGGCAGATGCTTTATTATATGTGCCACTTCGGCCAGTATCAACAGTCAACGTCGTGGTTTTAATCTCCCACTGAAATCCCTAGATTAAAAGTTTTTCATCACACCACACTCAAGACTCATGGATGATCTGAATTTTGAAATTTATGCAGATAAATGTTTCAATTTTGTTTAATGTGCTGTTTGATGCTGGGTTTATTTAAATATATATACGTATATATATATAAAGTAAAATAATCGCAATGGATGGTTGATCTGGGCACTTCGATCAGTCTTGAAGTATAGATATATATCAGTCACATGGTGTCTCCTCTTTCTTGATTATATCCACAAAGACCGCCACAACCTGATAGTTTTATTTTTATTTAACTTTGTTCCTTGGAGACAATACTAGCTCGGGTTATTTAATTGATCACAATAAGCTCCAAGCTGGGGTTGATGCTGCACTTTTGGATGTGTCCTGGATGGGCTGTACAACTTACCTTGAGCAAACATTGGAAAGCTTCTACATGACTGAGAGAAAGGCCAGCCCGTGCATTAAGAAGCAAATAAGAGCATCGTATACTTTGCCCTCTTCTAGCAATTTGATTTCTCATCGATCTTGATCGGTTCGTCATGTTGAACGAGATGTGGGGTTAGGTCAAGATGCTATTCGAAAACCCCGAGACGGCTCAGCTCATGCGGAGCTTCCAAGCAAACAAACCTTTTGCATACTGATCTGCACAGCAAAGCTCAAATCTCCAGTGACATTCCGACTGGCTAGGGATGGGGTGGGGTGGAGTCTTTTGGTATGTGTTCTTCGACGGCTGGGACTGAGGTAATTTCTCACAGTTCTAGACCTTCAGGGATGTGCTCGTAGAATGCACCACCGATGCAAGAGGCGCTGGAGCTATTGAAAAAAAAAAACCGATCGATGCATCGGGAAGCCATTCCATCAAGTCAGAAAGAGAGAACAAGCGTACTAAGACATCATACAGATCCCGTCCCCCAGAGCCAACGTAGACGATCTCTGGCGATGCTGGGCGATTCCTCGACCTCGCTAAAAGAACCAGCTGGCAAAAAAACAAGAAATTGACGCAGCTGATGAAGTGGACAAAGATACTAAACCGAATATGTGTATACAAAGCGAGAGTAGCAGGGTATTTTCGTCTGCCTCCATGTATCTCCTCATGCACGAGTCGATTCGAACCCTGCAACAAAAGATCGAGACACGATCTCGTAAGAAGCAATGTCGAGCAAACTGTAGATCTTGAAGATTGGGAATAAATTCGAAGAATGTCTTAGTTCACCCACGCTAGGGCTGTGATTGCTGCCGGATCCCGACCGTGATAAACATTGCCGGTTGGATGCATCGAAGCTTGCATCTGTCCCACCTAGACCAGTTTGAAATAGGATGCATCGTAATTTGCCTTCCAGTCTAAGAAAGACAAAAGAAGAAGGTGGAAAAAAACTAGGGCTAGCTGGACTTGACCACCGGGGGACATGAGACATACTCTGACAAATATTCTACTTCCTACCTCGCACGTCTCAATATGTCTGTTTTTTTTTTTTAACACCAGGAACCGCAATTAGAGATGAAACCCCGATCGCCTCATAACCTGCCTAGCAAGCTCTAGGGTCAAACGAACTGGTTCGAGGCGTCCGAGGGAGCCCTGGGCTGTGCAACTAGCATGGGGGTGAGACCAGTAGTTTGTGGGGCTGGCGTCGGAGAAGCTTAAAGGCTAGTCGTCCAGAACCACCAGAATCTTTCCCGCTCTGAGCGACGCTAGTCCCAACATCGTTTAGTGGGATCCACCCGCCGAGGATGCCGTTGTGTGGGAACTCTGGAGCCCCCCTGACACCAAAACACTAGAGTAAGTGACACCAAATTTGAGAATCTCTGAATAATAGAAATTGATCATTATTAGTGGCCCCGGAGTACGACCTCTCTCTCCTGTATACAGCATAATCAGAGACATATGGGCCTGCCACGCCGAAGCTATTGATGTGGAGTCCAATGCGGCGCGAACTGCAGAGCTATAGTTCACCATGGTCCCAACCATGGCTGACCGTAGGCAACTATGGGAGGTATGGCTGTAGCTTGATACGGTCTGGATTCAGACCCAGGGTTGTCTTTTTTTTATTTTCCCGTCTGGTTTCCAGACCAGCTCGCTGGGAAGGGGGCTTATACTGCCAATTCCCGCCATGGAAATTGGACCTTGGGATCTTCGTAGCTGCAAGCTATCCATACCGAGTCATCTTGCCGAGATTCTACCGATCTCGCATGGCGACAGTGACACTAGATCATGCAGGGTGTAATGCAAGCTCATGCTCGATCGGTGTCTGGAATAGACCGAAAGATGCACGAGAAATGCATCCAACATACAGCATCTGCATGGACACGAGTATTGACATGTCGGCTCCTTTGCCCTCCAATCAATGGGGGGGGAAAAACAGGATGAGACATGTCCATCTTTCCCCAAAGGCGTAATGGGACGTACCCGATGCCGGGTGTAATTCCCCGGGGCTTGCAGGCAATGTTGGCTGAATTGACAACTGACCATTTGGAATTGAGTCGCGTTGAATTGCCCTTGTAGCCCTGGAGAGAGAGAGACTTGTCTCTCCTATAGATGCACTCCCCCTGTCGAGGATCGATGGTGGCGCAAAATATTGTTTGTTCTGACCCCAAAAATCCCAGAAAAGGGGAAATTTCGTACCCAGTTTATTTTGGGGCCTACAACTCCGTCAACCGTTGGTGGGTCGTGCTGATCGGTTCTCCTTTAGAGGTCCTGGGACGGGCGATGACCGCATGCCGTGATCGTCGCTTTCTTCCTTTTCCCCTTAGGGCTTGGCATGTCATCGCCAACACTTTGAGCTCGGGGCAAGACACCAATTTCAAACTTCCAAAGCCCTAATTCCAGCATGTGGTGACTGGCTGCAAGCGAGAAAACTTCAATTTTCAATCGTCTCCAAACACTAATGGTATGGCGCGGTTGGAATCCTGATCTGTAATATGCCTTCCTCTCTGACTGTCCACCAGAAATAGACGGCTCCCTGGCCCGTCCTTGTTTCCACCCATGCTCTAACTAGCATGTTGGTGGATTTTCACTGGCAGTCGATGGTCCACTTGCTCCCGGAAGATCCAGGTCTCCATATCCGAACATCCCTGATGCGAGGCCAAGAAGCCCGATAGCTCCAAATGTGGCCCAATGTGGCCTATCGCCGTCAGACTGGGGTAGTCAGAGGGCATGCTAAACCAGATGCGTTGATCCGAATGGGCCCGGATAGCTCCCGGCTCAGCAGGTCTTGATGGCTTAGACGATCAGGGGTATATAAACAGTGAGGACGATCACTTGTGGATGCCGGTTTCTTTCGTTCAACCACCTTCTTCTTCTCTCTTCTTCTCTACTCAACCTCTTTTTAAAAGTCTTTTCACCAGTCTATCGTTAATATCTTTTGGTGACGACCGCAGGCCTTTTGCCGGTCTCATACCTCTCGCTCTCTTTTTCCTCTTTTCTTGCAAAAACTTCTTTTTTTTGTATACTCTTTTCGAGCAATCGCTCTGTACACTCGCTATATCCTTCTTCTTTGACCTAGAGCCAACATGCGTTCGGGTCTCGTTCTCTTGGCCACTTTGGCGGCCTCTTCTATCGCTTTTCCTACCGATGTCACTGCTGAGCGCCGCACCCTGAAGTTGGGTGCTGATATTGGTGCCAATATTGGCGGCGGGATTGGCGCCGATGTCGAATTAGATATTGGTGCAGTTCTTGACGCCGTCCTGGGTGGTGGTGTGCATGCTTCGGTTTCTCTTCTGGCCGGTCTGGGTGCCAAAGGTGCCGCTGCTCTGCAGGGTGGTGCCTTGGGATGCAGCGCTGGCAAGATCCACGCCGGTGCTCGCAAGGAGCTGAAGGCCTGGCTGTTGACCCAGGCCCACATTGGCGGCTCGCTGAAGACCTCACTCCTCAAATGGTGCGAGGGTGACGAATCCCTCACTCTCTCGGCTGAGGTCGTGGCCGCCCTGTCCGTGTACATCCCCATGTGCGCCGACATCGCCGCCAAGGAGCAGATCTATGTCACCATTGACGGTATCTTCGATGCTGGTCACCTGGAGTCTGCCCTGGTCCTGGGCGCCTCAGTCCAGGCTTCTGTTTCTGAGTTCCTCCATGGAGCGGCTGACCTTGATATCAAGGTCAAGGCCGGCCTGAGCCTCTGCGCTTCTGGCGGTGTGGTGACCAGTCTGTCGGCTGACATCAAGGCGGGCCTTCTTGCCTGGCTGTCTGGCGATGACTGCACTCTGAGCGCCGGTCTGAAGGCCACCGTCATTGCCTGGATCCACGGCCACGAGAACCACGGCCTGGTCCAGCTTGGCCACCTCTCGAAGGATGCTCTGTCTGCTGTGTCTGTCGGTGCCTCCGTCGGTGTGCACGTCGAGGAGAGCGGCCACCTCTCCGTCGGTGCCCAGTCCTCGCTCTCCGCTTTCCTGAACGCCCACCTCTCCGCTGACCTCGACGTCGATGTCCGCACCGCCCTCAAGGCCTGCGCTAAGGGTGACCTCGCCTCCTCCCTGAGCGTTGACGCTCGCACTGCCCTCGCTATCTGGCTGTCCGGCTCCAAGTGCTCGCTCGGTGTCGAGCTGAAGGCCGTTGTCCTGCTGTGGCTCTCGCTGGCCGTCTCGGCGGAGGCCTCCGTCGACCTGGTGACCGGCCTGATCGGTGACATTACCGCTTTCCTGTCCGAGACCGTTCTCGCTACCCTCAGCGTCGACCTCCGCGGTGCCCTCTCTCTCCTTGCTGCCGGCGAGAGCCTCACCTCCCTCTCCTTCAGCACCCGTGCCGAGCTTGCTGCTTTCATCGGTGGCTGCACTGGCCTCCACATCGACATGGGCATTCAGATCATCATCATCCAGTGGTTCACCGGCTGCAGCATCCCTGGCGGCCCTAAGCCTTCCGGCTCCAAGACTCCTAGTCTCCCCGGCCCCTCCTCCACTGGTGTCCCGTCTGGCCCTGCTCCGTCTGGCCCTGCGCCCACCGGCCCTGTCCCCACCGGCCCTGTCCCCAGCGGCTCTGTCCCCAGCGGCTCTGGCTCGACCAGCACCCCCTGTGACACCTCTGTCATCACTCGCACCTCCCTCTCGACCGTCCCTGACTCTACTAGTCCTGCTCCATCGGACTCGAACACCCCCAGCGGCCCCGGCGCCACCGAATCACCTGCCCCCAGCGGTTCTGGCCAGAGCTCTACTTCGGTTGCCGTGCCTCCGGCGCCGACCACTCCCCCGACTGAGTCTAGTACTGGACCCGTCACCGTCACCGTCACCAAGACCAAGACCATCTGTCCCTGCAAGTAAAGTGACAGTCTGCCAGGTTGAAAAATCGGGAAAACTGCAACTTGAAACGCCTTTTCTGTTTTCCTTGTTCTTTTCTTTATCGCGTCTCATGACAAGATGGCTTTTCGCGCGTGAAGTGGTGTGTCAATTGCAGATCCTTCCAAGCCGGTTGGGTTTTAGGGCATTCACTCCTCGCCCTTCCTTACTCGGTGAATCTGGGATCTGCTTTTTGACCTGCTTCTGTCCTGTCTGTAGATACCTAATTCTAATTCTCTAATCTACATCGCGAGATTGAGCCCCTGTTGTGTCCCCCCTTTTTGAGTGCTCGTTTTCTGGACCGGTCAAGTTAATTCTCGTGAAGGGGTACGCCCGATGAAGATCTTCTTGTTATAGTTGAATGGCCTGGCAATAGTTTTGTCCCCTTCTCAATGGAGTACATTCCTGTCTTATTCTTCTGTGTACTTGCCTAGTTCTAGTAGGGACCTCTGGCCGTGAAGTCTTCAGTCCATCGAGATAAGCATTGCGGAATTACTAGGGTAGGCCGTCCAAAAAGGCTTGAAATTGAATCTTGATTATTGCCGAAATGACAAATATGCTTTCGCTCAAATGGTTGACAGAATTTGACTTGAAACGCCTGTAACTACACCCGGTGCCTTGGAAACACCACCTACCTGGGTGCCTTCTCGCCAGAACGACGTATGGCCACCAGTCTCTCTCGTAGTAACTTCTCCTGTATCTCACTCGAGGAGATGCGTCTTGGAACAGATTTTCGGGGAGTCTGTAGTCGTAGTAGTTAGCACAGGCACTGAAAAATTGTAAATAAGCCCAAGTATAGAAGGAAGGGGTTGACTAACGAACATGAAATAGAGTTGAATGCTCCATGAGGGAAAGGTCAAGGTATACGCTTAGGCGCTATCCAAGGATTGGCGACCCACCTCATGAGCATCCTTCAACTCCTTGTCTTTGTGACTTGCGGGGCTATCAGCACGTGGTTTCGAGTGTCGGTGTGCAGAGTCTTCATGTTTATCAGCCGTCTTCTGTCGTTTTTCTTCAGGTGCAGATGTGGAATGGTCACGCAGTCTGTGAGCGCCAGGGTGATATCTCTCCAAGGACCGTCTTCGCTTTCTATCTCTTCGTGGACTCCTGCTGCGACTACGGCTTCGGTGAGCACTTGAGTTGCGGCGTCTGCGATGGCTGCCGTGTTCTTGATGGCGGTGGGAGTCATGGCTCCGGTGTCGCTCCCGACGATCCACCCGCCACGAGCGTGACGGGGAGCGCGAAGGAGATTTTGAGCTAGAAGAGTACTTTCTGCGCCGGTGGTGCCGAGGGGACGAGCTCACGCTGCGGGAGGCAGGCCGCCGTCTGTTTCGGTCTCTTCTGGGAGTACGTGAGCGCGATGAATCACTTCGAGTAACGGATCTGGCTCGATCACCATATTCCTGGCTGCGTCTCCTGGTTCCTCTGCGAGCGTGGCGGTCGGGAGACTGCGATCTGCTGTGGGAACGACGGCGTCTGTCACGCGGTCGATCCCGTCCTTCATGGCGATGACGACGAGGAGGCGGTGACCGAGAAATAGAGCGGGAGCGGGAGCGAGAGTAAGAAGGGGATCTTCTGCGGGGACCAGACGGGACATAAGAATCAAAATCACGCCGAGCGGGTTCACGGAATCGATCACGGCTTCGATATCTAGGTGGTGGGGATCGTGAGTGTCGGGAACCTCTTCTGTCAAAGTCGCGACCCCCATAACCGTCTCCCCTTCTTCCTCTTCCGCGATCCATACGCTCCCTGCGTCTCAATTCTTCGATGTCACGTTCCCGGGTTCGTTCTTGTTCCTTTTGTCGTCGGGCTGCTTCGGCGGCCTTTTCGGCCTCAATCTGCAGATTGAAAACAACCTTGTCAGCATAGGTTCACAGTTGTCCGTTCCACGCCTGAAATCACCTTCTCTTGCATGAGCTCAAGCTTCTTGGCCTCCAGAAGCTCCTTAGGAACACCCTGGGGATTCTCTTGGCCACTCAGACACAGTGACCACAAGTCCTTGCAGAACTTGGAGGTGTCTTTATCCAGGAACCCAGTGAGCTGAATCTGGAGAGACTTGATATCGGGCTGGTTGCAAAGAACCATCTGTTAGTAGCCGGCTACCGCAGTGGGTTTGCGGGTATTCATCAGGCATACAAAACGCGATCCTTCCAGGAGGTTGAAACAGAGCTCGATGACGACATCATCCTCGTTCCCTAGGATTTCCGAGATGCGACCCGCAATCCATCTGCAGGAAGCTGTTAGCAACCGAAGCTCGTGAACCGTAGAAAAAACGCTGGGGAAGCTGGGGTCACCCACTTTTTCATCACCTCGATGTTGACCTTGGTCATGTCCACCTTCCGGCTGAACTCAGGAGGGAACTTGGTTGATTTTAGCAACTTGGAATCGACGCTAGTCGCCATCTTGGCCAGAGTTGGAGCTGCAGGAGAGCTGGTGCAGAAGGAAACGCGTAACAATGCAGGATTCGCGACGAGGTTGGACTTGCATGCCTGGTGCTTCGGGGATGCCGTACCATATTTGTTGCCTAACCTTCCAGGCAGAAAACTATCTAGTTAGTCAACTATAGATCCAGTTGATGTGTAGTTTTCATAAGTCCACGGGATAGCATGGCAGAAATATTTTGAGATTTCATAAAATAGAAAATAATTAAAGGATAGAGTAACCAGAAAACCCCATCTTGCCTTATCTTGAATCTACATTGCAACATCAACTGGACGGAGCTATGTCGTATAGTATCTTCCATAAGAGCCAGGGAATAAGTTACTAGAATCGTGGATTTGATGTCATGCATTGTCACAACTCCAACTGAATGGCGACAGGATTGAGGAATCTTTCTATTTTTGTTGATCTTCAAATCTTGTTATTTACAGAAAGGGCTGGGGGAAGAGACTACGAGTAGTGGAAACTTGAAAAGATACAGTTAGTATAAAACTACAAGTCGCTGACCCTCACTTCACTTGGCCTGCTTTAGGAGGCATATTAAAGAGCAAGAATTATTTTTTGAAAGCTTATAATTTACTCGATTTAGCACTTACGATAAGTACTACACTTTTTGTTTCTTTTATTTTTGAAATCAATTTTTCTTCTTGATAGCGTTTTTCTTCATGTTTTTTTTTAGTATCTAGTCTTCAAGGTGCTGTCCAGAGATAATTTTTGCCTAAGCTAATTGCTAGATGAAAGTCACGTAGGTACCAAGAAACTCGAAAAACGACATATCACAGCCCCAGTCACATATTCTTATATTAGAAACCCGACTAGGAATCCAAGAGATTTTAGCCGGAAAATCCCATGTCTATGGTTTGTTGCTTAGTAAATATACACCAAGTCTTAATGAGCCCATCTATAGACAGGGTAAACCAACTGCCCCTCCTTTATCTATCTCTCATCCAGTCATCATCTAACCATCAGACAAGGTGACCAAAATGGATATGACCAAGAGGGCTTCAGCATCTGTGCAAGTGGAGGGATCAGGACAAGAGAGTGAGCGAGGCAGCTCCGAGGCACCGAGTATGCCGAAACCTCGGATGTGGAGCCGTGAGACGTGAGCATAGATCAGAGTCCAGATGGAGAAAACAACTAATCTTGCTGTAGATACTCCGGCTCTCTCATCTTCAACTTAGGTGCCTTTTTTCTTCCCGCACTCTACAGCACGCTCAGCAAGCTGTGGGTTGCCAGAATCGATGCAAGCCAAGTGGTTACCACCGATGTCTACACCTACATCGGGGTTATTATAGAAGTTTTAAACGAGGGCCTTCCACGCTCAGCGTGGCTTGTCATTGGAGACAAGACAACACGCACTATCCACGCACGGTTGAATCTAGCGTACACGATGATCGTGGCGCAGGTGGTGCTCGGGACGGTGATGACTATCATCTTCCTGGGAGCGAACAAGAGCCTCGCAGGGACATTTGTTCCGGCAGAAGTGCGCCAGACATCTCTGACCTACGTCCGGCTCTCCTCGGTCCAAGCGTTGACATCTGCCATGGAAGCCGCCATCGCTGCATCGACTCGAGCTTTGGACAACCCCGATGTACCCCTGATAATCAGCTCGTCCAAGTTCCTCGTCAACATTGTGCTGGACTTTTTGGTGATTTCAAAATTCCATGTTGGCACCCGGAGACCCAGTGTCATAACCCAGGCTATCATTCGGCTTGTCTGTGATGCAGTCTCCGCTCTGGTTGGACTTTTTTACTTCATCTACGTCGTCGTGAAGCATCGAAAACAAGAAGCGGGGGACCGGCAACGCTTGAGATTGACTCTCTCTGCACTGAGTACCCTTGCGCGCCCAAGTGTGTACACATTTCTCGAGTCTGCTCTCAGAAATGCCATCTATCTATGGCTAGTCAAGAAGATCATCCAGCTTGGGACCAACTACGCAACCGCATGGGGTGTCTTCAGCACCATTCGCTGGGGTCTTGTTATGGTCCCAGTACAGGCATTGGAGGCCTCAACTCTGACGTTTGTTGGTCATAACTGGGGCCAATTTCGGGGGCGTACGGCGAACGCATTTTCCAAGGCTGCGCGAGCAGACCTTTTGGGTAATTGGCACCAGAGAACAAGGAACCATATATCTATGACTAACTCCATATAGAAATCACTCGACCGGCTCTTGTTTCCTGCGCAATTGCCTTGGCTTTTGAAACTGTTTTTTGTATTGCTTTGTCCTGGAACGGAATAGAGGGATTTGCCTTCTACCTATCCGAGTCGGAAGTTGTGGCAGAGATAGCCCAGAAGATGTGGAAGGCAAGCAAGCCCTCAGGTTTGATATGATTATTGAACGCGTCTAATGTGACTATGCAGGCCATTGACTGGACCTATATCTTCTATGGGGTAAATAAATCATCAGCCTGGACCTTCTACGCTATCATATTCGGCGGAGCTTTGGTCTTTGACTTTGTTGATGTTGGCCTGACTGTTCTACTTTGGTGCTACAGGCTTACTAGAGGCAAGGTCAGAACAGAAACTGTGGGATACAGTTGTTGATGGGAAACATGACTTGGCTGATTGGATTTCTGGTCATGTATGAAGAACTCAGGGCTAGCATGGATTATCATTATCGCAACACAGCTCAAGCTGGCAGTACATAGTATGACGATATCAAACAAGTTTGAATGAAGATAGGGAAAATTAGCTCGACTCTTCGCTCAAATCTCAATCTCAAACGCAAAAGCCAAAACAGCACCACTAGCTAAAAGAGCACTAGAGATAACAGGAAGACCCATTCGCTCCGCAAAACTGAAAGGGATCATTACCGAATCCTTTGTGGTCAACTGAATCATGGGCGTGAAGTACCATGTCGAGGTGACTGCAAGCCAAGCCCAGACCCAGCATAGTCCAAGAATCCTCTGCCATAGTGGAGGGACGACAGCCTCCCGAGTAGACGATTTTCGAGGCGTCTTCCTATCACCAGAGGTAAATAGATGCCACCAAATTGCCTGCGCGCCGTCTTCGAGCATGATACCCAGCACAAATGAGAGGAAGAACGGCATCGCGCCTGAACGATGTGCTGGCAGGCCCTGCAAAATGTCGACAATGACGTGCAAAATGCCAGAGATGAGAAAAACAAAGAAGATGTTTGTGTACCGTTCGAGGATAGAAGAGCGTGGTAGCCGGAAAACATCTCGCACAGCAAAGTTACTGATCGAAGTGAAGGGCTGGCGCAAGTATTGATGCCAAAACTTTCTGTAGTAGTAGGTTAGAGAGATAACAAAAAGTTCAAGCCCTGATTGAACTAATTTCATGGGGAATGAAAAAAAAAAGTGGAAAAAGAAATGTAGCGGCAGGGAGTCTTACCCCCAGAAGTTTCGAAGCGTGTATGCATCGGCCATTCTTCCCCATGCCGGTGGCCAGTCGGAAGGAGAGTCCACTCCCAATCCCACAAAGATAATTGACAGCGTACAATATGCGGAATCGCCAATCACCCGGGTCACAAAGAACCAAAGGGACAGATGGGTGATCACTCGTTCTATCCACTGTTCCGCTGGCACATTCCATTGGATCCCCGACACCATAGGTTTCTGAGAGTCAAGACCTGAAGTCTGCTGGAGGGAGACTGTCTGTACAATATCCAGGGCTAGATATTGCCAGGCCAAAATCAAGGATTGTCGGAGCAAAAATCGACCTCGAGGCGGGGTCGACATGCCCCGACGTGCATAGTAGCCGGGATGAGACGGCACATTTTTCACTTGCCAGGGGGTATTGACACCCCGTGTATGAACAAGCAGCCGCACCGCTCGGACAAGATGAGTGCCGTACGATCTGACATGGGTTGCCCCCCTCGAGAGGTTCTGGCGATCCAGGGGGTTGATCAGTAACAGGTGCGTCGCTTGCACTGTCACAATGATGAGCTGAGAGACCATCTGGCACCATGTCGGGCTTGAGGATGAGGCAATTGGATGTATAAATTGACTAGCAATCCAGATCATACATGGAATGCAGGCATAGCGCAGAGGAGATCGCTTGGGTGTGGCGATGAGAAGAGTCGCGGGGAGGAGATGCTGGATGAGATAGAAACATCCGAACTCGACCAAGTTTCCAAGAAGAGAGCTTCGCAGTCCATACATTGTGGTGACATTGAAGAGGAAATTTGGACTGGAACTCCTGGAATGGGTTTTTGTTGCTTACTGGCAAGACAGTCATCTTCTTGGCATGTTTTAGTAGACGGCTGTGGGTCCTGTCCCGATGCCAATGCCGATAATCCCGAATGCTTCATTTGCTTGTCAACCTTCAGAGGCGTGTGAAAAAAATCAGAAGAGGCCCTGAAATATATAAAGTATCGTAGTTTGCAGAGGCGAGAGAACTATGTTTGTGGGCATTGGATCCCCCCAAGAAAAGGAAGAAATCGGCCCCTTATATACAACGCGACGACCGTGGGATCGAAAATGGTATCCTTTATCTTCCCAGAATATGATCACGATGAGTGAATCGTCCATCTTGCTTGATCTGTTCATGGAAATTCTTCGCCCAATGTAGATGATAAGAATCCCCCAGATCCGTGAAAAGTATAACGGATAATTCTTGATCCTTCAGATTCTCGGAGTGATTGAAAGGCGAATAGATATAGCGTTTCTGGATATCAGGGAACTCCTTATCCCAGCCATGGTCCACTGCAATTCGGGCAATTGACACGGCCTTGGAGTCTGTGGCATATGCCTGTGGCGTGCCACGGAAGATGTTCCGGGGGACTTGGTCGAGTAACAAAATCAGAGCCAGTGCCCCCTCGCCCTTCCCAATGCTAGGCCAGGAGTCGAAATCACCATTTTTGGCTGCCTGGTACGATTCACCAAGATGCTTTCGGACATAGGCGTCATCTGCAGGACTGCCGTACCAGAAAGACTTTTGTTTCAGATAGTCGCGAGAGGATTTGGGGCCGAACCAGAAGTCCAGGACATTCTGATATGTTTTGGACATGGCTCGCTTCATGGATGCTCAGGAGGTGTGGGAGTGTATCCAGCTGATTGGAATATTCACGTCTGTAGAAGTCAGAAATTGCGATCTGACTGGGGCACGAAGCAAATGACGTCATTGAAGTAGTCTCCGAAGAACGGAGTCATGAATTCCTATATGTAGTCAACTCATTTACAAGAAGAGTTGTATGTATTATATGGAAATGTTATATGGAAATGAGAGAAAATTATGTTTTTAATTGAGCCGTACACAATATTCATGAGGATTCTAGCAAATAAGGAGGATATCGTTTGAGTGTTATAGACATTGGACCCATACATAAACACCTCAACAGCTCCATCCATCTCAATTGGGCGGACTGTTTTTGCAAGAATTGCCCCAGATATTACAGTTTGTGGAACACTAGCTAGGGCCGAGCTGGTTGCAAGGCTTCTGGATACCCAAACTGTATGACTACGCTCCGCACCGCATTCCTAGAAGCGGCTAGCAGAGGCAGTCATGCTGAGTGCCAGAACAGCGAGGAGAAGAGCGGCGGGGGACTTTATTGTGCATGATGCGCTGGTAAAGCAGTTAGCAAATGCTTTAACAAATCTCGACTCATCGAAGTTGTCTACTGACGGGATGAATTTGGAAGGACTCAGACGAACAGGTGTTTTCGTTCTGGAGGTTTGGAATGATGAGCAGTTTAGAAAGATAAAGAGAAGAGATGTCCTTCCAGCTAAGGAGGAGAGAATACAGTGGCATTAGTTTTCAATGCTGTTGAGAAATTATTTTATAAATCAGCTATGTCAAGACAAGATGATATGGGCGGGATACTACTTTGTCTCTTTCAGAAATCACAACAAACGATCAACTGCCCAGCAATCAGCAGCGACGATCCCGCAGACCGAGCGAGTGTTTAGAAAGAGAAAAGGTAGGGGAAAGATAACGCAAACACAGCTATATTTCCTTCTGGGGTCTTTATTTCTCTTTCAATTTTTTTTGACACCGTTTGCCAATATTTAAAAGGTCCAGTTGCGGCGATAAAGCTGCCCGTTATGATTGCCAATTTCTTCCCCCAAGTTCAATTCCGAGTCTTGCTTGTCTCCATCCTCCGTTATAACCCTAGCACGAAGCATGGCTTGGTCACCCTGATCGCCCTCAACACCGAACTTGATATCCTCGGCGCTCCGCCCGAAGAACCGTCCTGCCCAACTAAGGTAGCCTAAACAGCATGAGTATAAGGAGAATAGGGGGGAAGAAGAAAGGATAAAGCAAGCGCTGACCATCAATATTGCCGATGGATTCGTTTAGATCCATGGACGCGTCCCTGAAAGTGCCATCGTCGCGTCGGGCTCGACAGCGAAGAGTTCCGAACTGATCGACAGTGATATCGCAACAAGAGCGATGGAATGGCTGGAAAGGCATATTGATTGAGATGAGAACGAACGAGCTTTGGTGAAATCTATTGTCGCAGCGAAGAATACAGAAAATAGATCGGAGCTATGGTTAAAAAGCGTGGTTGAGGCAATGATGTGATGTTGACACCATGCTTGCACATGCCCTAGAAACCCTAGAAACCCTAGAAACCGACACCGATTTGCCTCTCCACAGAGTGCCTTGGATGAGCACAGCCCAACAACAGAATAAAAAGTCACATTTATCCCAATTTTGAATAACTTTGTTCGTAGGCTACGAGGTTGCAGATTGGCCGTCCGGGAGGCTGTCAATACCCCTAGAAATAGCATTAGAATCGGAAATACCGTGCAGCCCTATCGAATTCACTCGTGGAAACCAAGGAAAAAGCCAAGATGCAGCAAGCAGTTCTCCACTCCAGGAAGAACGAGGAATGTGGGGATTGCGTCCCTCATCAACCTCACGTCGCACGCATCTTTGCTTGGAGACTCATTCCCAAAAGCGCCACCATACATTAAATACCCTGATATACCCCAACATGCCTACCTCAATTTTGCTTCAGAATGCGACCATTCTTGTCCCGTCTGGAGATGCAAACGACTACGTGGTCCCCTTGCGAGAACACTCGTTGCTCATTGAAGACAACAAAATCACAAATATTGCGCCCCGGATTACCCCATTTTTGCATGCCGAAGTTATCGACTGTACGGACAAAATCATTGCCCCTGGATTCATAGACACTCATCACCATCTTTGGCAGACCCAGCTCAAGGGTCGCCATGCGAATCAGACGCTAGTGGAGTATATGCCCAACGGTTCGTTTTAATGCTTTCAATGTTTTTGTTGCGATCTGTTGCCAAGGCTCATTTTCTACCAGGGTGTATGCAGCATGCAAACTATACGCCAGAGGATATCTTCTGGGGAGAGCTTGGTGGCTGCCTCGAAGCCTTAGATGCAGGTACTACGACTGTGGTGGATCACGCTCATCTGACAAGTTCACCGGCTCACTGTGAGTATTTACACCTCTAAGTTTGGTTTCAAACCCCGGCTGACCTTGTTTTCTAGCCTCAAATGGCGTTGAAGCCACAGTATCATCGGGTATTCGGTCCATCTTTTGCTACACACCCTCTATGAGAGCCAAGACCTGGACACCGGAGATGACTCTTGCCGGATTGCTGGACGACTGGGTGTTGAAACAATTTGACGAACTATCCACTGCGGCCCCATTTGGAGATGGCCGGGTTCAAATGGGCCTAGCCTTTGACGGACTATCGCTTCCCAAAAACCAGGTCGTGTCCCTCTATGACCGGGCGCGCAAGGCCGGTGCCAAGGTCATCACGACGCACTATGTACGGGGCACCTTCGGTGAGTGAGCTGTGCGCAGAGCTTCAGGACACACCATGCTGATCAAGTTCCAGGCTATGACTCCGCTGTTGACCTCCTCGACTCATATGATCTTCTGGGACCAGACATTCTTCTTTCCCATGCAAGCAACCTTACCCAGACCGATATCGAGAAGCTACAAAAAGCCAAAGCCTGGATCTCTTCAACGCCTGACACCGAGCTGCAGATGGGACACGGGAAGGTTGTCTGTTTTCAAGAAGGCTGCGAAGAGCTCAGTTCACTGGGGATTGACTGCCACAGCAATAACTCCAGCGACATGGTATCGCAGATGCGTCTTGCCTTGCAGAGTGAACGGTCCCATCGCAACGAGAAGCTGTTGGCCGAAAAGAAGGTCCCACAGTCGCTGAATCTCAATGTTCAAGATGTTTTCCGATTGGGCACAATTCAAGGGGCGCGCGCCATCCACATGGAAGATAAAATCGGATCGATCGAGGTTGGAAAACTTGCAGATCTGGTGGTCTTTGATGGCACGAGCCCCGGGATGATTTGCGCATCCGAGCACGATCCCGTCGCCGCAATCGTCCTGCATTCTTCAGTTCGCGATATTGAGATGGTGATTGTGGATGGCCATATTCGCAAGCGGGAGGGAAAGCTGGCTCCTGTGGATATCAGCCCGATGCTACCCGGGGTGGAAATATCAGAAACGAGGATGGATTGGAGGCAAGTTGCTCGGAAGCTAATTTCTAGTCGTGCGAGGATTGAAGAGACCTTTTTAGAAACAAATGGTAGCAATCCTCAGGAATTAGTGGACGCCTTCATGAAGATGTTTCATCTGGGTACAGACCACTTTGTCCGACTATGAAAACTAATTGCTGGATCAGCATTAGTATGCCTATGAGAAGTTAATTGAGCAAGTATTCCGATTTTTAATCAACAGTGGAAATTCCCCGGAAGAGATGATAAAAGGTTGATGTAGATGCTTTAAGGTAGGCCTATTCTGTAGATTCCCAAGACCCGTAAACTGCTTTTTTACTCTCTGCCTCATGCTAGCCTAAACACCAATTTGTCAACGCGTCAGGGGCAACGAAGAGATAGACAAGTTCTAAGGGAAACGTATGCCTAGCGTGTATGATGGCTAAGGATCAAAAGAAAAGCCGTTTAAATACTAAAAGTGCCGAGTTGATAGTAGAAAAACAAGTACTAATAAAAAGAAAAAGAAAAACATACAACAGCCAGGATTCGCTGGTGGTCACCCACCCAACTACTAACTGGCCGGCGTGTGGCTTAAGTACGGCTGAGCGGACGGGAAGCCCTGTTCTCCACACCCTGTGGTCGTATGTACTAGAGACGATATATTAACAGTTTATATAGTTATCGACAATCGGGTGAGAATCGCTCAAAGATGGGCTCTGCGGAAGTCTAGAATCGAAGCTTTAGTCAAGCAACCGGACTAGGAAAGGGAGAGCCAGGTTTCTATTTAAGATAAACTGGGTACAAAGGGCTTGGGCTTAAAATAAATTGAGCATACAAAGTATATGGCTCAAATGCTTAGAGGTAGACGGGAGGTAACAATAAATCTATAAGAGCCAGGCTACTAATCATCTCCTCTTATGTCAAATCATCACCTCAGCCGGCTTCCCTTGTTTGCCTTCCTCTCCTATCTTCGCTGGACCATCCTCTTGTTTTCTCCAGGGCGGCACGCTATCCGTTAACTCCTCTTATTCTATCATGCGACGCCTATTCTCATCGTAGATAGGCGGGTATTTTACATCGGAAAAGAATGGCCGTGGTCCTTTGTCGACGCTGCTTATATACAAATACTGTTGAAGTACCTCTGCGTCCACCCGTTTATCCCTCCGTACCATAAAAATCTTGTTCTTTTGAGTAATTATATTATATAGATCGGTCGCTTCAAGTGAAAATTCTCGGAAATCTCAGCACGAAATCTTTGATCGCACTCGTTGAGAAAGAGGTCGTAGCAAATATAGATAATATTTCGAAAGCCGAGCATTTGGATTATATTTAGCTGTATACTGAAGCCGGTCGTTTGTTGTCTAACTTCTTGGACTAGAGTATTGCTAAGTCTCTCAGCAAGTGACTGAGCCTAAGGGATGACAACGGCAGAGCGTCGGGACTTTTCGTCACGATATTTAGCCTAGATAACGCATCGTAGAGTGAGGTCCGTCTTCAGTGCCGCTTGAGTCTAGGGACAAGTCTAGACCTCTATATCCGGTATGGCAGCTATAGTATAAGATGGCTGGGTAATCGATATAGAATTGATTGATAGAGAGAAAAAGGTAGATAAAGCACCTATGGAAGTGTTTGGAAAATGTGTAAAACATCCGTCGAGGATATGATCAAAGGTATCATAGGTGAGGAGAGGTAGTGACTATCGGGCCTTAAAAGGTCACGTGTGAGGCCTAACGCGGTTCGCAGGGATAGTGGAACAATAGAATCCAATAATGGTTTTAATTGCCTACGGCGCTTCTAAACTACATTCTATTTGAGAAGGAACAAAAATAGCTTCAAGGTCAATACCTACTATAAATTGAGTTATATTATCTCTGCTCTTAGGTTTTTAGCGCCTTGTTTTATACTACATCGTTAACGCCGTTTATCTTGCTTAGTTCTTACCTCGTATTTAATAACCTACCTACAAACTGGGGCTTATAAAACAGTATAGGACTTTCCCGAGTCTTGAAATTTCTTAAAGACTAGTAGTTTCTATTTTTAGGCGATCTCGAAAACCGCCTCTTAAGATCCCGAAGGCTACCGTGAAAGTTTCAGTGAAACCGACCAAAATAAATATTTCAAGAACAATAGCTATTAAGAGAAATTTATATACAATTTATAAGAGATAGGCACTGCGCATATGTATAATTTCATTGTTTTATCCTTCTATACTCTATCACACGGATACTCGTGCCCTCAACTATGTATCTATGTCGTAAGGTCCTACAACAATATATGATAATAACAGAATTTATCCAAAAGAGGTGTGGCTTCAGATTTGCTGTGATGCTGACAAGATTGGACGATGGCCGTCGTATTAAATATACAAACACTTCCCTCTTGCTATCTCCTCCCCCCTTTATTATTCTACTTCGTTGCGCCAATTCAGTCCTACGGCTTATATCCTTCTCCCACCGGCTAATCTGCGCTGTGTCCTCTGATAAACCGAATCGACAAAGTTGAGTCCAATATGCTGAAAAGGTTATAAGTATTAAAATATCGGCTAATGGTTGCACGTGTCTACTTACTATGATGTAAAAACGCATTAGGCACTAGAGTTAGAGCTGAGGCTTGATCCTGATTAAAACTTATTATTTGATGTGATATCCTCTATTTTTACCACAACTTTTAGGAAACCCTAGTTTATTCTATGAGGCACCTTCCTCGTTGTCTTGTGGCTATAATTATAGAATCTAGAGCTTCATCTAATAAGTAAATCTGAAAAAAATAAAAAAATAAAGAAAACTCATAAGGTGGAACACCGATCTTGATTGGAAGCACTTCCTATTATAGTATGATAGCGATAATTCTAGAGTTGGAAATACAATATAATAACCCTTGAATCTTTGCCTTCGCTAGTTGGCTGACAAGATACGCGATCGATTATTGACCGCAGCAGGCGGCACTGCCTGAAATAGTGTTTCCTCGGTTTGTTTTCCTTGATTATAGCTAACACCTCTCTTTCTCGTCGAGAAGAGCTTTTATATCCATAATCTCTGGTGGTCTTCCGAAGTTCTTTTTAATCCGCAATATCTGATTCTGCCTTCCTTTAGGATGTGTACTATAAAGTAGTGAGTGCATAGCTAAGAGGCTATATTTTGGAGAGCAGCCGTTGGGCGGTTATATAGTTCTAAAATTCACGGCTTTAGTTGACCCCGCAGCGCAAATTTATTGCTTTAGGATGTTTCGAGGCGTTCGATTTTTTATGTACTTACTAACTTCCCCTTGTCGTCAAAAAAGGGCCACTGAAAGATTGACGCACTAGCAACTTGATTACATGGAACAGTGATGTCTCTATAGAGCCCGCGGGCTTTTATGAAGGCAATCAAAATACCCTTATATAGAATACTGCCGAATATTAGCACGTTTATTGATTTAAATACCACCCTTGTAATGATATAAGCTAGTTTGCCTGTACTTTTTTCGGGCCTCTTCCTAGTTTCAGGTTTTCCTTTTATGGTGACAATTTGACTAGGTGGTTTCTGGTTCACCAAGCCGGCCCTAACCAGCGATGGAATCCAAACCTAGATCGCACCTCATTCGGTCATTACTAAAAGAAAAAGGTGCCGATGAATATATTAGCGGACCTAGGCATTATTTTACTATTCTGTTCCATTATAACTAACTAGCCTAGGTATAGGGATTGCGAACTTATGAAATGGCTATAGAGAGAGACGTCTTATTCTGTAAAAGGTTCGATGAATCAAAAACAAAAACATACAACAGCCAGGATTCGCTGGTGGTCACCCACCCAACTACTAACTAGCCGGCGTGTGGCTTAAGTACGGCTGAGCGGACGGGAAGCCCTGTTTTCCACACCCTGTGGTCGTATGTACTAGAAACCATATCTGAATGGTTTATATAGCTATTATAATAATCAAGGCATAACGATCGCTAGCATCGTACTCACTATCCTACGCATCCCAAGGATCTTTCAATTAGAAAATATAAAAAATAAGCTTTTTTACGATGTTGGGGTCTTCAAGAATAGAGTACTGAAAAATTCCATTGGGTTCCAGAAGGCCTTTTAGGGTTACTTCCTGTCAATTCGTGAGTTAGAAGTTGATGGAATTGAAGTTTTATTTCGGTGCAAATCTCATCACAAATTTGACCATCATGGACACCCGGCCAGAGAATCAAAGGAGTGTGGCCAGGGCCATCGTAGAATAACGCTGTTTCCACGCCAGCCGGATATTTTCCGTCCACTCGGACATTTCCCGCCGATCCCAATCGAAGGGCGTCAACATATAAAGATGGCGCTCAAAGCACAATGCAAGCAATCAGCCACTTTGTTCTATCATATTCATTTTGAAATAGCTTCCATCCTCTATAAGAAACCGTTCACAATGGGCTCAATCGGAGAATCCGAATTCACCGTCCCAAATCCCTTCCGAACCCGCATTCTCAACGGCCAAGTCACGCCAATTGTGACGATCAAGTATGCGATTGGCAATGAAATTGCCATGATGGCCAAAATGGCCGGTTTCCATGGGGTCTTCATAGACATGGAACATTCAGCCTTCAGTCTTCGCGAGGCCTCGCAGCTCATTCTGGCATGCAACTACGTGGGCGTGTCGCCCGTGGTCCGATCTCCGTCCAAGTCGCATTGGCATATTAGTCGGATTCTCGACGCCGGAGCTGCGGCGGTCGTGATCCCCCACATCGAGTCTGTCCAAGAAGTCCGCGATATTGTCCATCACGCCAAGTATGCGCCGATTGGCGCTCGCAGCTGCACGAACAATCTGCCTGCGTTCAACTTCCAGCATGTTCCCACGCTGAAGCAGAACGAGGCATTGAACTCGCAAACCATGCTCATTCCGATGATTGAGACACCCGGTGCTGTGGATCTGGCAGAGGAGGTTTTCGCCGTTGATGGTGTTGATGGTGTTCTCATTGGCTCAAACGATCTTACCACGGATCTCGGTATCCCGGGGAAGTATGACGATGCGCTTTATTTGGACTCGGTGGCAAAGATTATTAAGGCTGGGAAGGAATACGGCAAACCTATCGGTGTCGGTGGCATTGGCGGTCGTCTCGATCTTCTAGAGCGATGGTTCTCCCTCGGCGCTAGCTGGTGTTTGAGTGGCCAGGATGGAGCAATCTTGCAAAAGGCGTTCAAGCAAATTGTTCAAAACTATGAAGACATCAACCGGAGGATCCAAAGGCTGAAGGAATAGATTGATAGATTGCAAAGTTGTGTTTCAATTATTGTTTTCATAGCTGGTTGTATATACATTGAATTCTACTGTCCCAGCATATTCGGCAAACCATATGGATCATCCAAATACAAACTCAGTGGGGGATCTCCGTAGGCATACTCGTTCAAGCCAGCCTCCATGTTCCAGAGCGCATTGTCCTCGAACACATTCCAAGATAGGATAGAGCCTTCTGATGGGTTCGTGTCGCCTTGCACACCAGTGATCCCATCAGGAGTCAATGTTGCTTGGTTGAGTGGAGCGTGAAGTGAAGGATGAACATGGAGACCAGGTGATAGGTTCGCCCCAGCAGACAACACCCCAGAGAATTCCACGTAATTTCGACTACCGTCTTGTTCATGACCAGCCGGTGACGTAGTTTGAGAAGATTCATTCTGCATTTCCGAGACAGAATGGCTATTTCGCATAGATTCGACTTGCAGCTGGCGGCTGCATTTGCGAATGGCATACAGACGCAACGCTTCGTAGACGGCAACATAGCGCTTTGCATCAGGAAGCTCTTCGCTCATCTTCTTCAAAGCGTTTTCACCCATGGCCATTGCGTCGGCGCCGTTCTGGATGGTCATTTGATTCAAGTCCCTCACCACAGATAAGCAGAACATGACGGAAACACCTGCGGCAAAAAGCATTTGGAAGTAACTTCGAGTGAAAGTAATCTTGTTTAGCTCGAATAGTCGACAGAAAGATGTGATAGCCCCAACGGCACATTCAAGACACAGGAACAATAGATCTCGCGGAGGAATATTCCCTTGCTTTGGAACGATATCAATCGCCTTTCTGACCAGTAACAAACGCTCCCTGAGAAGGAGAAGATCATACCACTCATGCATTTGATAGAGGTTTTGCGGGTAGTGAAACAGTGGTGTGGCGGAACGCCATTGTTGTAGTTCCTTGAGTAGTTTGTTCAAACTCGAGTAGATGACGCCTCTGGCCGTGGTGTCATTTCGCAAAGTCTGACCAGTCGCCTTCTCGCCAAATTCAGTATGAATTTTAGAGGTTATTTGGCGGAGTCTGAGACAAGCTAAAAACACCGACATCTCCGTTGTTCGTGCCGTCATTGACGCGAGAGAAGATGTAGAGCTGAAAGAATCCAGGTCGGGAAAAGCGCCAGATGCCTCTGCAGCTTCAATCTCCTCGTCATTCGCGTCCACTGGGAATCCGATTTGAATGTATTTGTCTCCAATAGCAAACGGGCGCGTCAATGTAATTGAGCTGTATCGATCAATCATGTAGCATTCCCAGAAGACTCGTCGTTGAAGTTGGTCCTGTAATAGCCCGATTTTGCGGCTTGGGAGAGTGGGCTTATGTAGACCTTGCTCAATACACATCCGCATACCTAGCCGAGTAACCTCCCAGATCGAAGTACCTTTTAACGGATTAGTGGTCGGTCATGCGCGAGTTAAACAGGCTGTGGTATCAGGTCACGGAGGGAGAAGAGACGGTTCTTACCAATGTGATGGTATATTGCAAACCTGCCGACGAGAAGAAGATCCTGGATGGAGGCAAGCCCTCCGGAGAGGAACCCGTCATCAAGGTACTTCAAGGCTGAAAGGTAATAGCCATAGGGGTGATGTTCAAATTCCCCATGGCGATAGGGGAGAATCGACCCAATGGCGATTATCATGAAAGCTCTGAAAAGGTCGTGTTTTGCATCTTGCCTCAGATTATGGTTTTGTTGGTCTTCAGGGCCTGACAGAAATAGCCTGCTATAGATGCTCTGTACGTCGCGCCGAAGGAGAAATGGATTTTGGACATGAGATCCGTTCAGACTGTCGCTGTCAGCAAAATGACCTGCACTAGATTCGAAATAAATCCATAATTGAAGTTTCCGGATTGACATACTACTTATCAAATATCACCCTCGCCTGCTCCAGAGATGGGAGGGCCGCTGACTTGACTCCTGCTTCAGCTGGTCCCGAGCCCTTGGAAAGGTTTTGAAGCAGACTCGGATCATGCTCACGCCATTCCGACTCCGCAAACAGGTGTCGCATGAAACTTTTCTCGCTGTTAGAAAAGAAGTATGCTCTAAAAGTTCGAGTCTACCAACCTTAAGCCACCGCCCTCGATAAAACCCGGAGAGTGCTCTCGGCGGTCTTGCGGGTTCGTAGGCCCTGCAGGCACAGGGGACGCCCTGGAAACGGGATCGTGTTGTTCCGCGGTTGTGAGCTCCTCCTCAAGCGCCTTGACCTCTTGTTCAAGGTCTCCAATATATCTGGGATTGAAATTCGGGTCAATGATGCCCAGTTTGCACTCAGAAGACTTCATACTGTCTAGAGACAGACTCATTGTCGTCGACAGTCAATGTCATGCATTCTTGCCCGTGCTTGATACATAAACTGCATCGAGGTCGTAGGTTATCGCACTAGATCTCTTTTTAGCCTTGACTTTCCAGAGGTGCTGTTGCTAGTCACGCACCTTGGTTTTTCTTGTGTGACAAAAGCGACATGCTGGTAGTCGAGGAAGGTGGCTGCCTTCTATCAGCGAGCTGCCCTCATTGATTTGATTTGTCTCCATGTCACGGCTCCTCTTCCTCTGGGGAAAGATCTGGGGGATGGGGAAGCGGAGAATTTCCGGGGAGGCATGGCGTCGGAAAACCGCGAGTTCTCAACTCCCCACTTCCCCGGAACCGCGTAAACTGACTAAACATTCTCAGCTTTCAACTCCTATCGACTATGATGGCTGCGACGAGTGCAATTATACATTATTTAGGCTTTCAAGACAATTATGGACTGAAATACAGTAATAATATCCATGAACATCCACTTCATACCGTCATTCCCATCGAATCCAACTCCCACTAAACAACATATCTGAACTTATTCTGCACCGCACTTATTTCATCTGCGGTTAAGTTCGTCGTCTCATTGGCATCGCTCAAATCGGTGTCAGCAGCCAAATCTTCAAACTTCTTGTTGGTGCGCTGAAGCATAATCCGAAGGGTCAAGATGCAGATCTTGCCCAGTGTCTGGAAAGCCAACAAGCAGCCCCACGATTCTCGGTATTCAGGCTCATAAATCAAAACAACCAGAGGGAGAATTCGCGTGTCGATCTTGCGGCGCAAGTAGCGCTCAGTGGTTGTGCGAAACTCAGAATCATATGAGCGGTAGATGGCAACGATATCAGAGGGGTTAGCGGAGTGTATGTCCTCCACCCAGCAGCCCTTTTGATCCTTTGCTGGGATCTCATGGCCCCCGAGGAATTTTTTTTGAGGGAGAAGTCAGAGCCATTTCCGCCAGGTCGATACAGAAAGTGAGAGATCAGAGAGGTTCTTGCACATCCTGTAAATTGAGGCGACAGACCCTGAGATTTATGGTAGATCAAGCCCTAGCTCCACGGTATGCGCTATGGGGGAGAGTGCCACATTCCCCGGACTGAGCCTCCCCTCCTTTCCCCAGAGTTTGAAGAATCTTGGCTCGTCGGAAAATCGTCGAAGCCCAGTACTTCGGACACTTCGTTTGTTGCAGTGGCAAAACGCTTAACCACAAGAAAATGCGAAGCTCACTATCTGTGGTAATATTAATGCCAATGTCGAGACACTTGTATTCCGGATGGTAAACATAAGTGCCCAACTAGACATGACAATTGCAACATGCAGGCTTATTTAATGCCCAAGCAGACGCTCTGGATTGTGCACCAGCATTTTTCGAGATTGATCAATTGAGAGCCAATCTTGCAAAAGCACAAGATCTCTCTTGGGGTTTGTTGTTCTGGGTATCACTTGATCGTCTGGGCTTCGGCTGGAGGCATCCACATGAGGCCAGTCACTGCACCATATCGGTGCGGAGGGGGCGCTATCCGCAAATCGTTGAATGATGGGTTTCATGTCAACAATACTCCCTCGAGATCGGTGGTATAGCGCAGAAATCTTAAGATGGATCCTGTCGGCATGAAGCAGCTGAACAAAATCATCAAGGCTCGAGCTTCCAATATCAGTAGGCGTCGCGCATCCGACATGATCGGCGATGATCGGAAGATTGGAAACTTCTTGGTCATGAAGAATAAAATCTTTCAAAGAGGCCCAGGCACCTAGAGGAAGCGGTGTCGAGAGGCCGCAGCCCAATTGCTTGACCGGGTATGAGTTGGCGAAGTGACGAATCTGTCTTTGCAGACTAGCAGTGTCCCTTTTGCCCTCGCAAAAGAAACCGTGAATGCGACCATATAGAACCCCCAGGCTGTGTAAGGTATTATAATCCTTACGGGTCAACGCTTCCCAGTTCTCATCCATGCACATGATGCTACGGTCGAATAGGTGGGGGTATTCGGTTCGAATGCGGCCGAGGTGGCCAAGTAATCCAGCAGAGCCGTCTTCGATAGAAGCTCGGACTAACACTAGCCGAGCTGCTTGGCTTTGCTGAATCCAAGCCTCTAAGGGGGGCCGGGGCGGGCGTATAGGAGCGTGTAGATTTGAATGGGTAGAGATCCGGGTCGAACAAGTGGAGTTGAGTGTCCCACATACCCTCCACAGTGGGCTCCATCGTGAAGGATTGTGATTTCTTCTAATTCGACCTGTATGCATCTGTCTGTGTATTTGAGAGAATTTTGAGGAAAGCCAAAGGCACAAACCCACATAGTTCGGACGTGGAAGGAAGCCGATGTCGCCCCACAAAGGACGGACTTTCCCCGCCTCCCGTCTGCATCAACTCAACACGCACGATGGCGGGTAGCCCAGTTGCATCAGGGACTCACAACTCATCGAAACAACGCGTTCAAGCCTGTGAGAGATGCTGGAAGCGAAAACAAAAGGTTCGGGAGCTTCATCTACACCTGTTCTGCTTGTTCCATTCCATCGTACAGACAGCCAGCTGACGGAAACAGTGCGATCGAGCTTTACCTACATGTACAGCATGTGTCGAAGTCAGTGCACAATGTGCCCCCCGGAAATTTGCCACTGAGCCAGTCGGCAACAATGGGGGTACCTTGTCTCATGCCGCCATCCCTAGGTGAGACTTGCGAGCCTCCCTATCACGCATAAAGAATATACCATTCTGATTGTTCTCAGCTATCTCAATACCCTAAAAAGGAAACGAGATGATCTGGACGATCAACTTCAACACCGGCATGCATCGTACTCTAGGAATGTCCCATGTGAACTACCACGGACACCTCGTTCTGTGTCACGCCGTAGGCACGGCTTTCAGCAGCAAATAGGATCATCTGCGCAAGATTCCACTGAGAGTACTTTTCAAGCTGCGATGGGTGAGATTGGATTCTTGTCACGCAGTGCAATGGCAGAGCCACGGGACGAAATGAGTGGTTTCTCAGAGGACCTGGCAATGGGCCGCATGATTCGAGCTGCATTGACTCTTTCAGGCGCAACTCCATCCCAGTCGAGTGTCGACCCGTACGGACAGAGTATTGCCGCCATGAATCACTCAGCTATTAATATGCGCAGACAATTAGCTGTGCCATTTTTCACCAGCTTCCTTGAAACCATGGGGTCGCGACTGATTCATTTTGAGTCGAAGAAGCTATGGACGGATTTCGATACATTTTTCACGGACTCTGGTGAGCCAGTAGAGAATCATGATTTGAATTCTGTTGCAAAGGCATTTGTCGTCTACATGTCTGTGGCCACTGGCGCCTTGCTCTCACAGGAATCAAGCGGTCTCCAAGGGCTTGCTGGTGGTCTCCACCAAAAAGCAACGAAGCTTTTACCGCGAATAATGGCGTCTGGGAACCGGATTGATATTCTTCACTGCATGTTGTCCTTGGTCCTTTACTCCATGCAAAGTCCACAGGGTGGTTCGACGTGGCATCTTATTGGACTGGCGATGAAGAAGGCGATTGTCTTTAGATTCCACCATGACCCTCATTCTTCGATCAATACTCCCGAGCACACGCTCTTGATGCGACGTAATACCTTTTGGAGTCTCTACATCGTTGATCGGTAAGTTTTTTCTAATGAGTTCATGATGACTATGTGCTTACCAAGGCCTAGGACAATAAGCACCATTCTGGATCGACCCTTCAACATCGCGGATGACGAAATTACCGTGCAAGTAAGTTCCTGACATTCTTCAAACTGCGTGAATGGCATTACTGGGCAATAGATACTCATTGCATTCATAATCAGGGTCCCGAGGAGTACCTAGATGATTCGCCCCATACAAAGAACAATTTGGCCCGCCAGTCCATCGCGCATGCTAGGCTCATGTCTGAAATCCGTGATGGAGCATCGAATGACATTCTCTATCATCACAGCAACCTATGCTGTTGGAGAGACTCTGTTCGAGGCATGAAGGGGGAGACTTTCGCCTCGAAGTTCACTCGAGGGGTGGTTATGCAGTTGTCAAGTCGAGCCATGGTCGAGATTTTGAAGTCGGTCGATTCCGCGAATTTTGAATCGAACATGATCAACAAACCTCAGACCATCGAAAGGGATATTGTGACGACTTGTTCTGAGTACATTGAACATGAGTATCAACGCTTCGACTGTGGGGAATTCACTGGTGGATTCGTGGAGGCGTACGATATCTTCGCAGCAGCAGTGGTCATCCTTTGCCTTGCCAGAAGATCAAACCCGTCATTTGCAGACATGGACACTATAAATAAGTGCACGGCTCTGTTGACTATGGTGGGGGAGAGATTCGTTGGCCTTAGGGTCTTTCGCCGTGTGGTTTGGGCGCTCTCCGATGCTGTCTCAGGCAATCCGAAATCCGACCCGATCATCCATGAGCTCCCTCCGATGATTCCAGATGGTATTCGGGATTTTATAACCGAAACTTACGCTTACGATGAAACCCTGGCGTGGTTAACGCGCAGGAAGTGGAGGTGATGCTTATGCTCCATCGGACATCCACCGGAATGACCCCGACGGGAGAAGTTCCGATGCCAAGGATGCCTCTTCCACACGATGCAACTATATTTCGACGGCAGCACGCGCATTCCTTTCTAATCCTATCGTCAGAATTTGATAAACCTTGCCTCCTTTAACTTTGCATTATGGCACCAGGTGTTATTGATAATGGAGATCAACCCCACACCAACACCAGTGCTCTGTCCAAGCCTACAGTCCACATCCTCGATGCCTGGAACGAAGAGGCCCTCGCCCACGCAAAGAACCTCTTTAATGTGATTCAGCCTGGGGATAATGGATTTTCTGAGTGGCGTCAAAGAGCCTCGGCTCTTTTGATTCGAGGATCATACCTCACCGCAGATGATATTGCGAGTTGCCCTAACTTGGTCGCCATCGGCAAGCACGGTGTTGGAATTGATAAGATCGACCACGATGCATGTGCTAAGCGTGGCATAAAGATCTGCAATACACCTGGCGCGAATGCACACGATGTCGCCGAGCTTGTCTTGGCTCTTACCATGACGGTCGCTCGAGACATCCGATCCATCACAACTCGTCAGATGATCAAGCCAGTTCCCAAGGAGACTTGCCAGGGGCTGACCCTCCACAAGAAAACCATTGGTATCATCGGCATGGGCAATATCGGCCGGAAAGTTGCGGAGATTTTTCGCGGGGCTTTCAATGCCGAGGTCATCGCTTACGATGTCTTTATGCCGGACACTGCTTGGCCTCATCTCGATCACAAGAGAGTCCAAGATGTCCAAGACGTCATCAAGAATGCCGACATTCTTTCCGTGCATGTTCCTCTAACAAATGAAACACGCGACCTGATTTCTTACAACGAGATTCGATCCATGAAGCAAAATGCGATTTTGATCAACGCGGCCAGGGGTGGAATTGTCAACGAAGCCGATTTGACCAAAGCTCTCGCAGAAGGTCATCTATGGGGCGCTGGATTGGATTGCCACGAACAGGAACCGCCACACGTGGAGAAATATGGAGCGTTGTGGGACAATTTGAATGTTGTTAGCACGCCCCATATCGGAGCTGCGACGTGCCAGGCGCAAACTGCGAGTGCCATGGCCGCAGTTAACAATTTGTACGAACACCTAATGACACTTCGGAAGTGAGGAATACAGATAGCAAAATCGAATGTCCAAACATGTTTGGGACATTTTCTTTTTGACTCTAATCATCCCGGAGCTTGCACACCTTCTATCTATGCCTCACAGCGCCTCGTCATGCTATCAGTGATGAAGATAGTCTTACCATCCTCGCCACCGAATGTGCAATTCGTCAGGTTCTTTCCAACCCCAGCAGCAGTCACGATTCTCGCCTTCGGAACCCCATCCACATCGACAACGAACACAGAGCCAAGGCTTGAATGACAGATAAACAGACTCCCCTCTTCATCAAACACTAACCCGTCTGGACCAGCACACCCAAATGATTGAAAGAACAGCCCCGCCTTCGTTGTACTTCCGTCCGTACGGAGGGCAAGTCCCTAGACGGAATTCGACCGAGTTATGGCGACGTAGAGGAACCGTTCATCCGGCGACAGAGCAATTCCATTGGGTGAGACGCCATTGTCCACGAGACAGTCAAGTCGCCCATCGGGAGAAAGCCGATATAAGTGACCTGTTGGGTCGATCATTCCCGTTTGTCCTTGATCAGTGAAATATACTTCATTTTTGGATGAGACCACTAGATCGTTTCAACCTTTGAAACGTTCGAGGTTTCGGCGAGTCAGGAATGGCGATATCTCTCCCTTTGACGGGTCGAATAGAAGCAAGCCCTATATATATTTTTTATTAGTGAATGTCCATAACCGCTCGGCTGTTTTATTTTTCATGCATACTTGCTTATAGTCTGCGACGAGCATGCATCCATAACTTCTCACGGCAATTCCATTGGGATGGCCATCATACCGCACACGCTCCGATACATGCTTCTGTGAATCGATTTTCAAGATCCGGCCGTAGGAAATATCCGTTACGTAGAGATGTTCCATCCACATACGTCGGACCCTCTAGGAGGATTTCCGATGCATTCCGTTCCTTCAACATGTTCGTGTCAATGGGGCTCCACTGGGCCTTCTATTTCGGATGTTGGCGCGCCATGCCAAGCTTACTCGCTGCAAGCCACAAGTGGGGAGCCTTTCTTTTCTTCGCTTGCATTTGTTTGTTGTCCTTGGGTTACGCTTTCCTCGCTATGCCGGTGAGTGTGTCCCTCGCTGGATCCTTGAGAGAGTCTATCTTTTCTGACTGTGGGAGTAGGATACGACAGGACGGTCGCTGGAAGCATTGGATATCTTGTTCCGAAGGCCGTGGTGTACAGTGCATAGGGTTGCATATCTGAATAATGATGTTCAGATTGAGCAGGTCGGAAAGGGGGATCTTGCGCCGAAAGCTGAACATTTCGAGTCTGCTTGAGCTCTTTTGTTGGGGAAATGCTAGATGAACCTCGCCTTTTATCTATGCATGTGGATTTTAGTTTGTTCGAGGCTAATGATTGCTGGACGAAAAAAGAAATAAACAAAGAAAATACATAGCACGCATAAAAGAAAAAAAGAACAGAACTCTTAACTACGAGATTTCTGTCTTCCTCTGTAGAGGGGAGCAAGTTAGCTAAAGCGAATCACGATCTACAAGAGACACCAATACTTGACCGATGAGAGGAGGATCACCTACCTAATTGGGGGCGCAGCCGACCTTGGGGCAAAGGAACCGGAAATTGAGTGGATTGGGTGCTTAGTTGGACGTTACTTGAAGTTAGACAGGTACATCTTCAGGCGATTGACGAAGCGTGCATATTTACCCCCGAAACTAGCTGCCAAGCCATGTGTGTACCTTTGATCCTTGGGTAATTAAGTTTAAATTGTGCGTTAAAGTAGCTACTCACCTGCTGTGGGAGAGAATTCAGGTCTAAGGGAAACACTCTGTTATCAGAGGTGAGAGATTTCGAATAGGAACCTACGTGGGCCCACGCCGGCCCGGCCCCGGGGGCCGTCGGCTACGGACTCTTGGGGGCCGAAGACCCAGCGGGCTCGGGGATCGCGGAGCCGCCGTCTAGTAGCGCGTGATATAATTGGCCTGCTATTTTCATCGCAGTGGATCCTCACTTTGTATTCAACAGGATTATCATCCCTAAAAAGTGGACGGTCATGGGGGCCGCTTAACAAGGCTGGGCTTCCGAGGTAACTTAAAATACGCCTCTCGTTTCTTTCTTCTCTTTCTTCTCTTTCTTCTCTTCTTTTTCCCCCACCATCTCAAACATTTCCTCCCATAAACCACCTCTACTACGAATCCCTTGAACCGAAGATGCAATTCAAGTCTTTTGCCTGCGTTGCTGCCCTGGCAGTCGGTGCCATTGCGGGCCCTGTCCCTGATCCTGTCGCTGAGGCCTCCCCCGAACCTTCTTCCACCGGTGCCCCGCCTCCTCCAGATGTCGACACCTCTAAGTTTACAGCGAATATGAGCAAGGACCCCAATTACGACTATTGCGGACTCAACTTGTACCTTCCTGGTCTTTGCGGGGACAAGCACATTCGGACTGGCAAAATGATGACCGCTGGCCAGGGCAGCGACTATGGTCATGCCTGCTATTTCAAGGGTAAGTTCATCTGTCCCTTTTCCCCCGATATATGGACATCAATCTTACAACTACTTATAGACGGCGATAGCTGGACCGCCGCAGACTTCTGCGGTCAGGGATCAGAGGCAACGTGGATCGACAAGGGTGTCGTCCACATTACCATCCCTGATAAACAAGCGCTCAAAGTTGATTTCAAAGGTGTTGTCGAGACATCGGATCGACGTATCTTGAACGATGGCGAGGCTGGAACGGTGTCTACTTTCGAGGCAGAGGACGACGATTAAGGCTGTTATTCTTCCAAGGCTGTTTGATATATTGCCTATTGTATTTGATGTATTTGATGGAGGCTGTTGCCTCAGGCCACAATAAATTTCACCCTCTATCCACCATCATACTACATATACAACTAAGTCCCTATAACATAACCTAGCAAGCAACATGGGTTGTAAGAGCCGATTTGAGTTCTTCTTGCCTCTTTCTCTGTCTCCTCCGGCGGCACTGTTAATCTGTTCACGAATGTGGCTTATTTATAATGTCTTCCTATCGTGAAACAAAAGATTATGAAGTGAAATCGAGTCAGCCAGGGGTCTTCTCAGCAAAAAAAAAAAATAATTGCGGAGCGTAGCGGAGCACTCGAAGCAACCGTCCCGGGTCACCTGACCTTTGTCTCTTTAACCCAGGGTAGGCTCAATATATATTATGTGACTTACGCCGAATTCTAGCACTCTGATTAGTCGAAACCTCGCGCTCTGATTGGCCAAATCGAATTATTATTAGTGACTTTTGTAGCTCTATACCTTATATAAACTAGTTTTTAGTATAGCTAAAATCTCGAAGACTATTTATGTGATAAATTATATAATAAGAATCGTGACTACCCTTTTACTAATTATCTATTTAAAACTTAGATAGGGGTCCTAGAGGGCGGTAACCCCTAATATATATTATATATTATCTTTATTATTAAATTTATATATTCTGATATTCTGATATTCTAATACTAAATTTATAGATTTTAAAACTTAATACTATTTATTAATTCTATACTATAAATCTATCTATCGCTATCGATTCTACGCTATTAATATTAATTTATTTTTTATTATTATTTTTACTCTCTATCTCTTTATTATAGTTACTTTTTTACGGATATCTTTCTTTAGATAGATAGCCTCGTTTAATAAGCTTCTTTATTAGTCGCTCGGTATCCTAGTTTGCGTAATCCTAGACTATTAGTATTTAGTTATATATCTCGATTAACTTATCAGTAGCTTCTTTTCGCGTGATTTTATCTATTAAATTATACTATAGATTATTATTATATTTAAAAGATAGTAAATAGGCGTTAATAAGGGCTAGTTGTTACGAACCGCTAACTGGTCACAATGAGTAGGGTCCTTAAAGGGTGATACTTCTCTTGGAATACTACGATCCCTAAGTATAGTCCGCAACCGTACTAATACTACGTAGGGCCTTAGATAGACTCGGGTCTCTAAGGTACTTATAGGGTGTGATAGTTAGGGCGCCGATTAAGTTAGTTACTTAGGGATCTGAGATCACTAAGTAAGCTCCTAAGATCGTTGAGGTTTTTAGCTTTTATAGTCGAGACTATGAATAGTACTTAAGTAACAATAGTATAAAGATTAATTATAAAGAACTAAGTATATACCGGAAATAAGTATCTTTATATCCTCCGTTTTCTTAGTTTAATAGACTAGTAGATAGTATAGTAGTAGATAAGACTTAGCGTTATCTACCGTTTAATCGATATACTCTTTTACTATCTATATATAGTCACGTAATAATCTTAACTATCTTTATCTAGTGATCTATTATACCACTCCGTGTAGGCTAGATTGATTAGTGGTTATAGGGTTTATAATACTATCTCCCCCTTTTCTTAGGTTTCGCCCTCGAACCCCTTATAACCTATCCGTCCCTAGGTCATGTCTTCTCTTTTTAATATATCCTTTATCTATAATACCTAAATAAAAGGCTAACGTAGTTATTAAAAGTTCCCCTAAGCTTCTATTATTATAGGATCAAGTCGTTGGTTATATTCGTTAATCGAATTATATTTCTAATAATAGTTTCGTTACCTCCGTTTTATATTCTTATTATACTAAGTCTAGCGAAGATTATATAATAGATCGTTCCTAAAGATACTTAAAGTATATATTATATATTTATACCGATCGTTTTTATAAAAGAGAATTCTATACTAGTATAGAATAGGATCTATTATCTTATACTAAGTTAAAATTGTCGGCGGATATTAAAAAGAATAAATTAGAATTAGATTTATTAGAGCCTAAGCTAAGTAAGTTATAAGGTTATCTCGCGGTGTTATATTAATAGATATTAGATAAATAAAAGTAGTATTAGGTGATAATAAGTTATTAATATTATCTACGGAAATAAATAGCCTTCTTAAAATAGAAGAGGTTTAAGATATTAGAGTATAATACAGAGTTATTAGCGATTCTAGATAAAAAATAAATATCCTTAGAGTAGGCTATATCTTCTACTCTTAATTTTTAGTAGTTAGCGGCTACTATTAAGAATCTGAATTTTGATTAGATATAGGATAAAATTGTCTAGATCCCTTTAGTTTTTTAGGATAGCGTTAGTTCCGGTGCTTTCTTTACTATCGCTACTAGAGTATCCTCTTTATTATAAGGTAGTACTATTTAACTATCTAGTAGTAGCCCCTTAAATACGCGATAGGTTCCTACGTATTTTTCGAGGTAAGATATTCTTTCTATTTTATAAGAAATTATTATTAACTATTATACTAATAGTTATCTATAATTACTTTAACCTCGTACTCGTTTTTAGTTTCTTCTTCGATTTCTATATTTATAATAAGTTCAGCGTTCTTTAGTATAGATTTAAGTAATAAGATATAAAATACTAAATAAATCCTTTTTATACTTTCTAGTAGTTTTAGATAGTAATTAATTAGTCCTATTTTTTCTTCGATTGTGAATAGTCCTAGTTTCTTATGGTCGAGCTTGTCGTTTAGTTATTTAGTTTTAATATTTCGTCGTAGGAGATAGACCTTCTCCCTCTTTTTTAAGTTAAGGCTATCCCGATAGTGTTAGTTATAGTATATTTTTATACGTAGATTTAGAAATTCGATATCCTAAGCTATCTAAATATAAAACTATTTAACTCTAGTAGCTAGTAATTATACTAATTCTGCTATATTATATTTATTCTATAGTTCTCCGATTAACTTAGGATTATACCCGTAGTTTACGAAGAATAGTATTTCTTTTATAGTTATATATATCGCGTTATTATATACGAACTATATAATTAGTAATAATCTTACCTAGTTATCCTATTAGTAGTTTATATAATATTTTAGGTATTATTTTAACGTCTAGTTAACTCGTTTAGTCTATCTATTTATTTATAGGTAATATAAGGTAGAGAGTCTATATTTAATATCTATTTAATCCATAAATAATTACTATATATTAGATATAAATAATTTATCTTAGTCTAATATAATCTTATCTAGTATTCTATAATTTATAAAAATATAATAAAGTAGTATATTTATTATACGATTTATATCGATATTTTCTATAGTTATAATTATATATATATATTTTATAAGTTAATCGACTATAACTATAATTATATCGTATCTTTCTAATTTAGGTAGTTTCGTGATAAAGTCTATAGTTATCTATTCCTATAGTTATATTAGTATATTTAAGATTTATATTTCTTTTTAAGGAAGTTATCTTAGTGTTTTGTCTTATTAGTATATATCGTAATTTCGGATATAGTTTCTTACTTTTTAGTATATATTTAGGAAGTAGTAATTACAAGAGATCTATTCTATAGTTTTTTCGATTCTTGGATATCCGTATATAAGTAAATTATAATATTTTAGGATAGTCTTATTCTGTAGTAATTATAGAATATAGATTAATCTATGAATAAGGATGAGTCCTTTATTATTTATAGTGTTATAGTAGTTGGTTACTAAGATTTTTTGTATAGATTTATCTTCGACGGTGGCTCTACGAATCTATTTAAGCTAATCGTCGTCTTTAGGTTCGTTTATTGCGGAGAGTATCTATTAATTGTATATAATTTCTCCTCGTTCGTTAGTTATTAGGATAGTAGGTTCTGCTTCTTTAGTTCCTAACTTGTAATCTAGTTATTGGCTAAACGCGTCGGCGACTATATTTTTAGTTTCTTTGTAGTATATAATTCTGAAATTATACTATAAAAGAGTTTTAGTTTATCTAGCTTATCGTTAAGTAAGTTTCTTTGTTATTATAAAGAATATTAGGTTATAATAGTCTGTCCTAACTATTATAGTATATTTTATTTTTTCTAGATATACTCTCTAGATTTAGAATACTAATATAATAGCTAGTAATTCCTTATTATAAATATCGTAATTAAGTTCTGCTGGAATTATTTTCTTAGACTAGAATATAACTAGTCGTAGCGTATTTTCCTTATTAGGTTAGAGTAGCTATACTCTTAGTATATAATCTAACGCGTTAGTCTCTAAAATATATAGTTATTTATAGTTAAAGACTTTTATAATCCTATCTTTGATATATAGGTTTTTAAGTTTCTAGAATATTTCTTCTGCTATATTATCCTATTTAAAGGTTTCTCTTTTTTTAGTAAATTAGTAGAGTCCGGCTATATACTTCGAGTATTATAGTATAAGCTTTTAGTAATAATTATATAATCTAAGGAAGCTTTAGATATCTTTAGTGCTTTATAGTATAAACTAATCGATAATAATCTTGATTTTTTCTTCCTCTATTCCTAATCCTTATAGGTTAATAGTATATCTTAGGAACGTCGTTTCCTAGATATAGAATTTATATTTTTTAGGTTTTAATATAATTTTAGCTTCTCTAAGCTTTTATAGTATTTTTCTATTATATTCTATATATTTAGTCTCTATTTTAGAGAATACTAAGATATTATCTAAGTAGGCTATTATAAAAATATCGATATATTTTTCTAGTATACTAAAAATAAAACGCTAGAATAACGTTGGTACGTTAATAAATCTAAAAGGTATAATAATATATTTAAAATATCTAAATTTGGTTCGAAATACTATCTTCTATTCGTGGCCTTCTTTAATCTATAGCTAATTATAGATATTTATAATATTATACTTCGTAAAGTAATTAGCGTCTTAGATCTGGTCTTAGATCTTATTAATTAAAGATAGTAGATATCGATCTTTGATGGTTATCGAATTTAGTTATCGGTAGTCTATATAAAATCGAAATAATCTATCCTTCTTTAGTATAAAGAGGATAGGATATCTTATTAGTAATATCGATTTTCTAATATAATCTTTATATAGGTTCTTATTAATATATTCTTTTAGTGTCTCGGATTCTTTTTACGAGAGCTGGTAGATTAGTATAAATCTAGGTTTTTTCTTTTTTATACGTTAATTTTATAATTAAATAAGTTATATATAGGTAATATTCCTTCCGTTAGTAGTATAAATATATCCTAGTACTCCTAATACTTGTTAGGTATTAATACTTTTTCTCTTACCGCGATAATATAAAGGGATCTTGATTTATATTTAACTATAACGTATTCTTTTAATTCGTTATTAGTTATATCTAGTCACTATTCGATTATTACGATAATACTAATATCTATTATTTTGTATTATACCTTATCTCTAGGCCGAGTATTTCTCGTGAGTCCTATTTTATAAGAGTCTTAAGGACTATCTATCTCTTTAGGGTTAGGTTCCTTTCGTTATTATTATATAAGTCCGGTCTATATCTTATTTATTTATCGATACTTATATTTATCGAAGATAATTATTTCTTTTATCTAATTAATTGCTAGATTATATCGTTGTAGCCACGGAATTCCTAATATAATATCGTATTCTCTAAGGTTAGTAATATCGAAATTAATAGTTTTAAAATAGTTTCCTAAAACTATAGGGAGTCAATTTATTTTATACGTGATTCTTGGTTTTAGCCTTTCTCCGTTAAGGCTAATAATAGGTAAGATATTTTTCTTCTCGTTTCTTTAAACGTTCTTCTATTAATAATATTATAGGCTTATAAAGTTCTCTAAGGCCCCTAAATCGATTATTATTTATATATCCTTATATATAATATTAACTATAACTTTTATATAGGCTCCCTATTAGGTAGCTATAAGCTATCGTAGGTTTTTTAGTTTCTCGTTTCCTTATTAAGTATTTATAAATTTAGGTTTCTATTATAATAGGTTTTCCTAATATAATAGCTATGGTTTAATCTTATAATTTAATTTTCTTTATCGATAGATTACGTAATCGTGATTATAGTATTCTAGAACTATATAGATACTATATTTTAGGTATTATATATAGCCTTAATAAGAATATCGTGGATATTTATATAAATACATAGGTTTATTCTAGGATTACTCTTTTTAAGCCAGCTTATCTTAAAGATCTTTTATTTTATTATTTAAGGTATTCTAAGTCTATTTAGGTTACTTTTTATTATTTCTAGGGGATTTTATAGGCGTTTCCTAGTAAGTTACCGTTTTTAGAAGTTTAGGTAGAGTTTCTTAGATCTCCGGGGTTCCTAGAATCTTAATCGGTATTTTTAGGATATCTATTTCTTACTCTTAGGAGTTACTTTATCTATTCTAGGAGTCGATAGTGTTCTAGGGACTATACTAGGTCTATTCTTGACTTTTAATATATTTTTAATTAATCTCTAGGAATTTTTTACTCTGCTATTTCTTTAATTAATATAGATCGGCTAATTAATTAAGGATCTTTATCTATTCTTTAAGTCCTTTTTTTTATAAAGTCGTTTTATTATATACTTTTAATAAAGCCGTTCGGAGTTAGCTAATTTTATTATCTAAGTTTTATATTTATAGTATTTTTTGTTTTAGTGATAGTAGCTTATTACTATCTATAATTACTAGTCCTTTCTATCTTTACTCTCTTATTATATAGAGCTATTAGATCTGTCTCTTGGCTTTCACGATACTAGTAGTATTATATATTTCTCTATTAAGCCTTTTATTTATTGCTTATATCTAGTATGGCTTATCGTTACGTTTCTTATATTCCTTCGATCGGTGTCTTGGTTTTCTATATTTAAAGTATAGGTTATTTTTCTTATATCGATATTGCTCCTTCTTTAGAAGCCTTACTATATCGAGTTCTATTAGTTATAGACTATATAGGTTATTAGAGTATAGCTATTACGCTCGTTAAGATTAGAATTATTAGTGAGGTAGTTAGCCGTTACCTCGTCTCTATCCTTCTATCTCTTGTTTTTGTATTTATCTATTATGGAATCAGTTATCGATATAGACCGCGAAGTTGATAAACGTGTCTATAGTATTAAAGTCTTTATATCTTGCGATTTTGTCTTTAATATAGGACTTTAACCCTTTATTATAGTATAGGATTAGAGCGTAATCGTCCTATCTAAGTATCGCTGTTTATTATATAAATTCGGCTATATAGGCTAATACCGATCCTATCTATCGGAGTTATCTAAGTTTTTGTTTAGCTATTTTCTTTATATCGATATCGCTAAATATTTTCTTAAGATAGTTCTTAAAGTTATTATAACCGCTAAAGATATTTCGCGTAGTATTTAATTATTCCGAGCTATCTTTTTCGTAGTATTCTCGGATATATAGTTCGAGCTAATCCTATATTTATCTTTATAGATAGATTAATACGAAGATAACTTTGCTTATTTTAGTTATTAAATAATATCTATTAATATTAAGGTATATATTTATTTATATAAAGAATCCTCGTAACTTAGAGCGAGTTCTATCGAAGTTTTCCGCCTTAGATAACTACGGTGCTATTAGCGATAAAGCTTAGAGTTAGATATTAGTTTACTAGACTAAATCGTGAAGGTTCTTAATCTCGCCGTTGTATTTTTGTTTAAATATAGTAAATTAGCTAATAAAGGTACTAATTTATTTTTCTAATTCCTTGATTCTTTTCTTATCTTTGTTTTCTGATTCTAGGTCGGGTTAATATATCTAGGTTTTCGGAGGTATAGATTCGACTATTTTGTTTTTATAATTACTACTATACAAAGATATAATAATTATTGCTTTATAGTTTCAACTAATAGAGTAATTAATATATTATAAACCGCTAACTAGTCACAATAAATAGGGTCCTTAAAAAGTGATACTTCTCTTAGAATACTATAATCCTTAAATATAGTCTATAACTATATTAATACTACGTAGGGTTTTAGATAGATTTAGGTCTTTAGGGTACTTATAGGGTATAATAGTTAGGGCGCTAATTAAGTTAGTTACTTAGGGATCCGAGATTACTAAGTAAGCTCCTAAGATCGTTAAGGTTTTTAGCTTTTATAGTCGAGACTGTGAATAGTACTTAAGTAATAATAGTATAAAGATTAATTATAAAGAACTAAGTATATACCAGAAATAAGTATCTTTATATCCTCTGTTTTCTTAGTCTAGTAGACTAGTAGATAGTATAGTAATAGATAAGACTTAGCGTTATCTACCGTTTAATCGATATACCCCTCTACTACCTATATATAGTCACGTGATAATCTTAACCATCTTTGTCTAGTGATCTGTTATGCCACTCTGTGTGGGCCAGATCGATTGGTGGTTGCAGGGTTCATAACACTAGTAGCTTAAATTCTCTTAATATAGTAAAGCTAGCCGATATACTCCGGCTAATAGATATAAAGGAGTTATGACTTCTACCACGTTTCGTAATACATCCGCGGATATTAGTTATACTATAGTTAACGTAAATCTATATATTAATAGTTAATATATCAATATTTTAAATAAAAGATAATATTTACTAAAGTATTTAATAGACTAGGTCTTTTTTGCTAGTAAGTTTTAACTAGGCTCAGGCTTTTTAGGTTTCTTTTTACGGTACTATATTTTATCGGAGTACGTTAAATCGCCTCGATATTAATAATAGTCTCTTATATAGTCTTCTACATAATCTTATATTTTTTATTAGTCTATTTAATCTTAGCCGGGGCTTTCTAGCGATATAACTAAAGAATCTAATATATAGATATATTATTTAGACTATCTAGAGAGAGTTAGTAAAGACTAATAGATAGAGAGATTGTACATATATATAGGTTATATTTTTTATTATCCCTATATTATATATAGTTATTGCATCACGATGGTGCGGGCTTTGAGTCGCTTGATGATAAGGCCCGCGCAGAGATAGAGCCATTTACGCAGATTAAGATGGAGCAGTTGAAGGCATATAAGGAAAAGTGTACTGCTCGCTTTTCCTCGGGCATGTAGAGGATACCTATATATCATATAAGTAAGGTTCATGTCTGAAGAATAATAAGCAATCTTCTGAAATAGGTACAAAACTCTTGCATCCGTCGATACGCCAGTTTCACTGGCTGCCAACGTGCATTCCTCTCTCTTCAAGAGCATTTCCAAGAGGACGAAAAGAAAATGCTAAGAAACCCAGAGCAACCCGATCTAGACGACAGGCTCCTTCCCCAATATTTCTATTTCACTGTCAGAGCCGCTACTGCCATCTCTCGCAACTCCACTTTGCGAATTTTGCCGCTTCCTGTCATAGGAATCGTGCTTTGGATTCCATCTTCACCAAATACAAAAATGTACTGTGGGGCTTTGTGGCGACTAAGTTTCTCACGCGTCCACGAACGCAGCTCCTCATCAGAAGGGCGTGGTCTCGAGTTCGGTAAGACCGCGACAAACGCACCGACAACCTCGCCATATTTCCGATCTGGTATGCCGACGACGGAGGCCAGCTCGATTTTTGGGTGTGACGCCAGGCGCTCTTCAATCTCGAGAGGGTAGATGTTTTCGCCACCTGAGAAGGTTAGTAACTGGTGCAGAACCTTGGAAGTAGAAAAGGGTCACTAGCCTCGAATAATAATGTCCTTTATACGACCTGTAATCGTACAGTAACCATCTTGGTCTAAAGACGCTTCATCCCCCGTCTTTAGCCAGGTAACGCCATCTCTGTCGGTCACTAGTGTCTCGGCTGTTGCCTTGGGGTTTTGCCAGTATCCTTTTGTGAGTTGATAGCCGGCGATGCAGAGCTCGCCGCGCTGACCCACTGGTACGATGTGACCTTGTGCATCGATGACCTTGGCCCGCGCATGCGGAAGCACTTTACCAACGGTAGTGAGACGAGCATGGATGCTGTCCGTTGTAAAAGCATTAAAACATGTGGGAGATGCTTCAGTAAGCCCTATTACCGGAACTGTCAGATAGAGTACCAAAGACATAAACTGACAGGAATCGTCGTACCATAACTGCTGGTAAACTCCCGCATGTTTAACTCCTCCAGCAGTCGTTTCATCAGTGTTTGAGACACGGGTGCCCCGGCAATAATACCAGTTCGTAAATTCGAGCTGTCGAAATTGGAGGGCCTAGGGAGGCTCAAAATGGCCTCGAACATTGTAGGCACACCATGCAAGGCGGTGCATTTCTCGTCTGAAATTGCACGTAGCACTACCCTAGGATCGAAGATCTCACTAGGGAAGATGATCTTGGCTCCGTGGCTCACGGCTGCTAGCATACCTAGAACCAAGCCAAAACAGTGAAAGAGCGGTGGTGGACAACAGATGATATCAACCGAACTCAATTTCATCCGGTCGCCAATGAAGCGCGAGTTGTTGACCAGATTGCTAGGTAGATTTATCTAGTCAGATATATCATTAGGGTGACGGATAGATAGACTAACGTACTGGTGCGTCAACATAGCGGCCTTCGGGTTGCCGGTCGACCCGCTGGTGAACTGCATATTGCATACCTCATCTGGGCTTAACCCGACCTCCCGGTCTTGTAGTATATACGTTGGCTGCGATAACCCTAATTGGATTACCTTATCATAAGTGCTGAAATCTTTGTAGCTACCCCGGAGGATAATGATATCCTCTAGGATTGCACCTAGCTCTGACTCATGTCGTAGTTTATTGAGAACCTTATGGAGCGCATTTTGTCCAATATAAGGTGTCATAAAAAGCACACGACACTCTGTTGCTGAAATATTAGTAACGAACTAGAAGCAAAGTCGCAGGAATTTCCTACCTGTATGATTGAGCGCGTAGTAAATTTCAGATGGCGTGTAGGTGCTGTTTAAAACAACCAGCACCACACCAATACGGGCTGCTGCAAAGAACACCGAGACATACTGCTCACAGTTGCCTGCCAAGATCCCAATTCGGTCCCCTTTTTGAATCCCTAATGCCAACAAACCTCTAGCCACGCGCATGCTTTCATCGTTCAAATTCGTATATGTCAACCTCGCACCGGTCCATGGGAAGCAGAGACACTCTTTGTCGCCATACTGCTCCGCTTGCTGGCTAAGTAGCTGACCAAGCGTTAGATCCAGCAACTTCGGCTCAGTCGGCCCTTCAATGATTGACATCTGTACTGCTGCCGTTGGCGGTTGGATATGGGAGAGGGTCTGCTGTAGACGTTGAGCGCTTGTGGGACACATTCTTCTATTGGATGAGCTTAGAAGGTTCAAGGGATAGCGAAGTGGAAATCTTTGTTGGGCATGAATTACCAGGGTATAAATTGATCATATAAGAGGAATGGGATCTCTGAATCTCGAGTAGGGTGCGGTTACAGTGCTATATTCCCGTTCTTGCTCCTTTGGAATACCTGCAGTGTTGTATTCACGAATCCGTTTTTAACCACAGTGCATGCGTTAACAATCTTGGAACTGATAACCCCGTAAGGGATGGTCACTGCATAAATCTTCGGTCCCTGTCCTATTCAGGATAGAGTTAGTATTTTTTGCCAAGGCGAGAAGGTTCCAGAGCCGTGAAGAACTCTGCCTATACCTGCAGGAAACTTCAATGATCTTCAGATTGATCTTTATATTACATTCCCTTTTTAGACTCATCCGCATGCTGGACAAAATGGACTGTTACACAGACTTCCATAGTCACCCACCCACATATTGATACAGATAAGCGGGAAGATCACTTCAAATTACTAAGACCTTGATATCTGCCACATATTATATAAGTCTCCTTCTATTTCACATAGCGAATTGGTCATCCTCCTCTTCCCCTTTACCATTAATGTTCAAATATGCCCGCCTTCTCTACCTCCCCCCCAGCTCCTCGCCATGCCCTTCTATCCTCCCCAGCACCACATATCCTTGTTGTCACGCTAAACAAGCCTCACGCCTTAAACTGCATCAACGCCCAAGACCATATCGATCTCTATAAGATCTGGCAGTAGATGGATGAGAACTCCTTACGAGTGGGAATCTTGACTGGACATAGGAGGGCGTTTTGTGTAGGCGCTGATCTGAAAGGTATATATCCCAATAACTTCCGGGAGGTAGGGACAGGATTAAAAAGTTGATCTAGAATGGAGTACCCACGTTTCCGATACGATGTCCTCTCACACCCCGATGCCAGTTACCTTCGGTGGGCTGACACGACGCAAAGGCAAAAAACCGGTATTAGGCGCCGTGAACGGGCTCTGTCTCGGTGGTGGGGCCGAGATGATCATTAATAGTGATATGGTCATTGCAGCGTCTCGTGTAGTGTTTGCTTTACCGGAAGTGAAACGCGGGGTAGTTGCCCTGGCTGGGGCATTGCCTCGACTTGTGCGAACAGTGGGAAAGCAGCGGGCGATGGAGATAGTGTTAATAGGACGGTTATTAACCGCAAAGGAAGCGGAGAAGTGGGGTCTAGTGAATGAGGTAATGGAGGTGGAATCGGGAATCACAGATGAGGAGGTGTGTCAAAAGGTGGTGGCGCGTGCGTTGCAGGTGGCCCGTGAAATTGCGGGCAATAGCCCTGATGCAGTGACTGTGAGCCGTGAAGGCGTCAAGCTCGGATGGGAAGGAGTTGGTGTGGATGAAGCAATGGCGATATTCAATGATACTTGGGTGGAGAAGTTATATAGAGGGGAAAACATCAAAGAAGGATTGGCGGCTTTTGTTGAGAAAAGAAGACCGGTTTGGTTGGATAGCAAACTGTAATCATACTCCATATTTCTACCGCGTCGCAAAAATTATTCTTTCCGGCCTTACGATTGGCCTAAAGATTGCTTCTGCCCTTCCGAATTCTTCACCGCATAGGATGGATGTACCTTCGTCATCTTAAAACTAGTCTCAGATAATCATAGGCATCTACCTAATGTAAATAGTTCGGTACAAACGCAATCGCTGCACTTCGCACGACGCTCCGCTAGTAGATACATCCATGCCCAGTCTCTCTCTCTAGGCACGAATCCGCTCGATCCTGTCTTGGACGACATCCTGACCCACAATTTCATGCCATGATTCCCCCCAGACAATCGAACATGGGAAACTGTGTCCTAATCCAGAAAAATAAAGCTATAGTCATTAGATGACTAGTTGCGTATTTTTTACCTCCGTTGCCACATATGCCACACAACTCCGATGTATCCAGGAAACCGAATCTGATACACAAATAGCAATTGCTACCGCCAAGGAGATTCAAAGGCTCAAAAGCTAGCGTACTTTTATCAAGTACCGAAATTACCTATTGTCTCGACCCACCTAGACCGTGAAACCCAAGCCGATGCTTACGCATTCATGAACACGCGTGTCGTACTGACCTGTGAAGCGGAACCGCCCCTTCTTCCCTTATCTATATACTAAAAGCCGACTCCGGTATATAGTATTCTCGTTTTTGATGTATCCTATTCTATCATTGCCACGAAGAAGAGACCGTAATAGCCCCTACCCTAGTGTAAGGATAAGACTACTCGTAGGGTAGCTAGCCTGTTGATCGGGTAAGGATAACCACTAGGAGGAGGATGGATGGCATTGGCGAAAAAGTCTCTACTATACAAAGACTGATTCCTGAAGAAGCAGAATAAGTTAGGGGGAGGGCTAGCCGATCGCCGTCCCACCGACGGGGAATCGCTTGACACTCGGCCCCTTGTCGTAGGTGACTCTACGTAATGCCACTGGACCACCGGCCAAGTAATCCCGACATCTTCTTATTACCGATAAGCAAAAGGATATTATCTATAATCGATAAATACTTATAGCAATAAACAAACCCAAAAATAATAGATAGTTACACTAGATTTATAAAGCCACTATTAAGAATAAATCAATATAGAAACTACTAGCAATAGACTAATATAGAATAATAAGCAACAATAGATTTGTCCTTATTTATAGACTAATCTATATCCTATAACCACTATAAACTGAGATTATAAGAAAATATTATAACCTATCTAATATATAGATATATAGGAATTAAAAAAATAATATAACAAATCTCTTGTAATTACTATATTCTAAGTATATACTAGAAAATAAATAGGATATATTCGTTATTATAGCTAATTAGCGGCTTATCTTAAGATTAACTTAATTTATTTATAAAGGAAATATTTAATATTATAGGTAAAAAATAGATAATTTATATAGTTATAGGCCTTAGTATATATATTACTTTTATAACCTAAATTAGGGCCCCGGACCTAACACTAGGTCAGAGTCTTCGACCTAAAACCTAACCCAGCCCGGGTTAGGTCCGGGTTGGGTCCAGGTTATATTAGGTCGTGCGGAAGTCTAGTCTATAGTCATCTATTCCTATAGTTAAGTTAGTGCTTTGATGGCCCATATTTCCTTATATAGGAGATATTATGATAGTTTATCTTATTGGTAGGTATTATAGTTTCTAATATGTCTTTTTATCTTCTAGTATATACTTAGAATATAGTAATTACAAGAGATTTGTTCTATTATTCCTTATTTAAGGTATAAGATGTCCTATATTTTTAGTATTATATATTCGTTTAGGCTAATCTTAATTATTTCTCTATCTACTTTATTTTAGCTAAATTATTTAGTAGAACTATCTTAATATAATTAAAAAGCTAGTTAAGGCTAAGCTAAATAATATAAATAAGATATAGGATCTAGATAATAACAATACTATTTAATAGAGTTTATTAAAAAGAATCTACTAAAGTTTTATTATTATATATATTATCTATTATTAATCTAAATACTTATAATTTAAGATTATACTCTATAAGAGTTTAAAGAATAATACTATCTAAGTTTATACTAATATATATTCTATAAAAAAGCTTGAATCTAAATAATACCTTATAGTAGATCTAATTAATATTAATAAAATAGCCTATAATTATTATAAATATCTACAAAAATAGAGATATCTAATAATCTAGTATAATCAATATCTTTAAGCTAATAGATAATATCTAAAGAGTATACTTTTATTAGTCTTAAATAATATTTTTTAGTTAGCGGCTGATTATATTAGTAGAAGGGATTATCGGTAATAATAGGGAGTAATAAGTCTAAGAAATAAGCCGCTAAAATATTAGATATTTAATAAGATAAAATAGAAGCTGATTAAATGTAAGAAAAACTCTGATCACGAGGTATGGTTATATAGGTTTACGTTAGCATTAAGTTCACAGTGTACCCCTTGAACTTGAATCGCTGTTGTCCGCTTCCAATATAGGCGGATATCTATCTAACCTATAATATATTATATATGTATATTTTTAGGCTAGAATATTATATTGTTCTTTTTTGATATAGGCTCGGCCTCAGTTTAAATACTATATTAAGTTCGTTCGCTATATTTATACCTTATTGGGGTTGAAGTTCTTGGTTCTTGGAACCTTCTTATCATTGAATTTGTGTTCCCATTTGGGAAGTGGAACGGGCCAGTGGGTACCATGGTCGGTGGCATTGAGGCCGAGATGGGGAATCGCAGGTGCGACTGCTGTAAAGAACGGCCTTTTGCTCTTTATTGCTTCGTCGAGCATAGCCATGGTGTTGTCACGAATCAAGTTCAATGCATTCTGGTCGGGGTAGGACTGCGGGGCTTTTTACCATGAGTCCAGGTGTTGTTCAGGTAGTCGTAGATATCAGGCTGAAAAAGAAAGCTTTTCAAAAGACATTAGTCCACAATTATACATAAGACCATAAACGGAAATAAAGCAAGTTATTGCATACCTACTGTTGGTCCATTAGTTAGGGGGAGGATGGTTGTAGTTGTCGACACTGTGGCCATTCATCAACTTGCCGAGATAATACGTATTGACATCGCCTTTCTAGAGCCAAGTGGGAAGGTAGTTGTCATTAAGTCCCTCCTGGACAAATTTACCGTAACCCCTCAATCGAGATATTAGGAACCCACTTATCTCGATTGTTTCGAGCCAATAAAAGCGATACACATACCGTATGGCAGTTTAAGCGATGTGACATTGGTTTTGCTTACGCCGTCAGCTGAAGCCTCTCGTAAAACGTTGGTGAGCATGAGTTTACTACGCGGCCTTTCCGGTTAGAAGGTTGACTCGCGACGGGCAACAAAGAGCTACCGTGCAGTAGCAGCTCGTATAGTTGATACCCTTGTCGGCAATGGGAGACTTCACGTTAGGCATCGCGTCTATCGAGCTCATATGGAGATCCATCAAAGCGAATGGCCAGAGTGCTGTTTTCGCTAACTGTTTCGGCTCAGATACCTTGATCATCTGTCATTATGAAGAGAACATTGGGGCGTTTGTTCGCGGTTATGTCCTGGTTTTGTTAGCGGACTAGGCGGGAGGGTGGAGCTGGGGCGGGCCTATCCAAAAACCATACCGCAATCAATAGCAAGAGCAGAAGACTTGAGAGTAGTACCACCCTCATTTTGAAATAGCAAAACCAGAGAGAGCTGTTGTGAAGTATGAAGTTCGGTAAAAGAGGAATCCAAGAGAAATACCGGATCCTTTATAATGGTTGCTGCAGGATTCGGAACCTAGTGACCCTGTTCGTCTATATATAGATGCATACATACCGATATATATAAATATAGTTGTTTATATTTAGGTGTATATACTTTGAATTAAGTTTAGATTGCGTGGCTGATATTGCGCATCCATAAACCATATTGATACCCCAAGAATCCTAAACTTCCAAGGTTTAGTTCCTGAACCCTATTTCTTTTTATAACATAAACCATCGGTATGCGTCATAGGGGGTAAACTATTGGTCGAATCATTCAGGTGTCCAAAAATTAAGGTTTTCAGCCCCTCGCAGGGCATCTTCAGGCTTAGTCAAGCCACGAGCGGGCCTGGTGAAAGGGGTCGATCCCAAGCACATTTGCAAGTTCATGAAGGAATAAGCTTGAAGACGAAATTGTCCGTCGCTTTTACTGTAATCTGTTCGATTAGTCAACCAGTGGTGGATATAAAATGACGCTCAAATGTTGAACGAGAGTTTAATTTGACTAAATCCCACGGCCCTTCTCATAATATTTGAGTTAGGTGCCAACCACGCAAGCATTGGATTATTTTTAGAAGTTACTATAATATAATAAGAATGAGTAGGATCGGCAACGCTAAACTTGCTAAACTTTCCTGCAGTTAATCAGACCTGACCCGCAAGTAACTTCCCCTGGAGAGTCATCGGCTCTTAGTTGGGCTTGTAACGGAGGGATCTTCGACACTGTTGAATTTTCTCAAGAAAAGATAGGAGTGGGGTCTAAAACCGCTATGTATAGAGTCAGTGACAACTTAGTCACAACTTAATCACAGTCCCAATATTTAAAATACCCTTAGCATCCCTATCGTGAACTGTTGAAATCAGACACCATCTCTCTTTCCACGATTTCAAGATGACTCCTGTTCTCGCCAATTCTCTCTTTGTCTCTCTACTAGTCCAGGCCGTTCAAAGTGCCGGGCGGATGGGCCACATTCCTCTCTCTGTCCCCGAAACAACTCCAGATGGCGCCTTCGCTGTCCCCGCCGATTTCTTCAGCTTCGGCGCAGAGTCGGGTTTTTGGGAGGCTTACAACAACGACTTTTCCGAAACAGTAGTGGGTGCTGTTGGCAATCGTATGAGCTTGCCTCTTCCCTTTCGGGTCGGTGGGACCAGCGGTGATGGTCTTGTCTACAATCCGAACCAGCATAATAAAACTTACTGCGACTCGGGCCCGCAATGTTCCAAGGGGAACTTGGATATTTTCCACGTTGGACCGAGCCACTTTGACACGTATAAGCGATTTCAAAACGTTACGCTCATCCTCCAGGCTCCTATGGCTGTGGAGATGGATATGGACAACAGCGTCGGCTATATCAGTGCATCCATGAAGGCCCGTGGCAAGGGTCCAGTGTCAGCAATTGCCCTCGGAAATGAGCCTAACTGGTTTCTGTACCCAGACAACCACATGGATGCGTACGTGAAGGATGCCTTGGGTCTCGAGGCAAGCATCACGAAGAACTTATCCCTCACCGGCGATGCGGCTCGGATTTTCCAGGTGGCAGAGATTGCCTGGGAAAGTATGGACAACCCTGACTTCAACCTGTGAGTTATTATTATTTGTTTTTTTCCAAACGGCAATGCGCAAGATGAAAGTACTAATGGAATACGTAGTGCGGGAGTCATGGAGAGATTCGACCACAATAGCCAAATCAAATTTGCCTCCGTTCATAGCTACGGTGTCCATGGGTATAAGGATCATCATGTGTACAACGGCACCAATCTGTTGCAGCGTAAGTGTCTTATTACTTCCCCCACCTATTCTCCAGGTTACAGTTCCTAACGTCATTCCCTTACCAGAGGAGCTCATGAACGCTACTGCCATCAAGAACAATCTCCAATCTTACAAGATCAACGCTGATTTCATCCGCTCCTACGACTCTTCCGTTCCCCTTGTGATATCTGAGAACGCCAACGCTCTCGGTGTTCCTCCTGTAGAGTGGGCCGGCGGGTTTGGTGCCGCCATCTGGGCAGTTGCATTTCACCTCCAAGCGATGGCGATCGGCATTCAGCGCGTGTGCAATACACAAAACCCTTCATCGACCCACTCATATTGGGTTCCCGAGGCGCCTAACAAGCATTTCAAACAACCGGTCGTTCAGGGTGTCTTCCCCGCGGCTCCATTCATTGCGGACTTTGTCGGGAAAGACGACGACCTCGGCAAAGTTGTTGAGCTGAATGTGAACAACAACGACTATTTCAGCGCGTACGGTTTGTACAATTTGGAATCCAATAAGCCAAGACGCATCGCGCTCGTCAACCTGAGAGTGTTTGATAAGTCGACCAATCCTAACCGTGGCACCACCAAAGTAGAGTTGCAGGTGGGCAATGGGGTGAAGCGGGCCTCGCTCCGGCGCATGACTTCGGGTTATGGAGTATTTGCACGCGGTTATGACCAGGGTGGCAAGATAGAAAGTGTCAGCTGGGCCGGGGAAGAGTTCAGCTATAAGATGAACAATGGCTGGGGTCTTGTTACAGGGCAGCAGCAGGAAAGCCTGACTGTGGACAACGGTGTCATCACAGTCCCCGTGCGGGACACCGAAGCTGTCATTGTTGACCTATAGGCTCACATCGTGTACTTACACAATAGCAGGTGTTTTACCATGAGTCTGTCCTCCTTTATTTGATACTCAGTCTTCCAACTTTGTGATTCCTTTCTCCTTTATTTGACGCTATGTCCTTTGATTTTGTAACTCCTTCTTTCTTCAATCTTGGCAGAAATATTTATTTAGAGGCAAAAGTAGCAAAGCCTGTAACTTGCATATTTTATGCGGTTTCAGCTTTTAAGTTCAGGTATTAAGTACACATTATAGATACTACAGCGGAAGACGGAGTGTATATTAAAAGATTAGATTTGAATGTTTTATTTTGGATTGTCTCTGACTATTACACTACTGCTAGCTAACTTCGTATCCCTCCAAGAGTCTAGAGCGCTTTCGAATTCTTCCTAATATCCACTGTTGAATGTTTGCTTCTTCACGAGAGGTAGTAGGTAAAGGAAGAATAGTATCATTATCTTCGGACTTGGTCCCTATTAGGCCCCTTCCCTCTTACACTTAGAAGTAGTAGGTGTAGTACACTTTGCCCTTTGTTAGAGGTCACTTAGTTGCAAGCTGGTTTTGAACCGATACTAAATTATCCTCTTTATTATCACTGATCGGATTAAGAGTATAAGAGGTTGGAGTATCCTTCTCTTCGTTTTTTGCTTTATTCTCTTCCTTTATTAGAAACTGATTTATAAATGTAAGCTCTTTCTTTTCGATATTAAATTTTTGTGGTACACATAAATATCATAAGATCTTGGATCGTTGTAGCATTTAATGAGCCTCGACGGTAGTGGCAAATATCACGAGCAGATTTGAATAGACGCTCAACACCAGATCCAGTCGCAGGGATAGAAAGAATATCTCTGCAAGGCTTATAAGGGCTAGAAATTCATGTTGATGGTCCTTCCAGAAGGCACAAGAGGCAATCGGAAGGATACATATTAGATATATTAATTGGGACTTATCGAATATACTCCTAAGATATCGTGTGAGATTATCATACTGGCTTAATATTGATTAGCGAGACACTTCTGGTGCAAGGAGTATATTGAGCTCTGATATTTGGATCGCTTGTGATTAAGCTGGTGACAATGGCTAAGTGGCTGAAAATAATCCTGGAGGCTTTCGCGATATCTTTAGCTCTAATCTAGAGTAAAAGTAATAATAAAAGATAGCAAAGGATTTAGAACGAATAAAAAATATTAATATAACTAATAAAAGAAGATAGGTAGATCAAAAGGAACAGAGAAATTAAAGCCGTAGTCAAAAGATGGCTAGGCTATAGTAAACGAGTCATTCAATCTAGAACTTTATAGATAATTAATTTCTTTTATATTTCTATTTCCCTAGTTTTGCTCTCCTAGTTAATACTCTAGCTTCCTATTCGGCCTTATTAGATTTTGCAGCCCTCGCGCTCCAGTCGCATAAGCTCGCTAAGCATTTAAACCAAAATAGCCAGCTCAACTTCAATAAACCTGCCGTTGTCCGATAATTAACGATCATCCTGCTACAGTAGAACTTTAATAAAACCCGACGTGCCCAAGTGCTTACTATGAACAACGCCAACTTCGTCGCTGAGCGAGCCTATCGAGACTTCATCTTCGCTGTCTTCGCTAAGCGAGGCCGTAAACACATCCTCTTCGCTCTCTTCCTCTTCGGGAATGCAGAAGGCTTTTGTAGAGGTATTTCGCTTCGAGCCGTCCACTAATAAATCTGGCATCTATACGTCGATTCATAATCGCAGATGTACACGGTCTGAAAAGCAATAAATATCAGTAATATCTAAGAATAAACTTGATAAGAGGGGCCTGTATGGATTGGAATTTTATATTTTGGCTCTTAAAGAAATCCCGAAACCTTTTCAAACCGAGACAACGTTAGCTTCTTTGTACTACAGAAAATCGTGTAAGACTCACTATTTAACGCGATCCTCGTAGACACGAATTTCCTCTGCTTAGTTATAAGTAAAGACCAAGTCTTCGAGGAAGTTTTTTTTTGAAGTTCATAGTTAATAGAAAGTGCTGACCACTAGGGTCGACCTCTAGCGTGAGACTAACTAGATCAAAATCCAGTTTTCGACTAGCCGCTATTCTTTTGATAATATCTATAAAGCCAGACCATCAACTAGAGAGAGCGAAACTAAAGAAGAAGAGAATCGTGGAGAAGAAATTAATTATCTATAGAGAGGAGAGGAGAGAAAACTACTCTGCTACGCCGAAGACGATCAAGAAAACGGTGGAGAAATACTAGCAGAATATCAACCCTAAGAATTCTTTTAATATTAGCAGAGGTTCTAACTCGCTCGCGTTTCAGCACAGAGGCTTAACTCGATATGCTCTCGAGATATAACCCGACAATCAAAATAGCTATTTCTTTATTGGAAAGCAATTCTTAATCTCACGCCTAGAGGTGCGCTGGATAGAAATACATAGAAGGTCTGTGGATAGGGTGATAGTACGCAGAGGGGGTGTATATACGAATAGGGCGGGGGATAAGGGACACAGGGACTATAGTGTAGCGGTATTGGCCGATATATCGTATAGAAGCAAAGCCGTGAATACCTAGGAAAGAACCCAGAACGACTAACCCTATTCACTAGGCATATTGATAGATTTGATAACATAGTAAAAGATTCGGGACCAATAAAGAATATTAATATAACCAATAAAATGGAGATAGGAATAATAACTTATAGATAATTAGAAAAAGGGTTAGAACATAAATAAACAAAAATAAACAAAAATAGAGATAAAAAGTATCAGCAAAATAATAGCAATTATAGTAAAATAGCAATTTATATATCAAATAAATTATAAGATATCATAAACAAGACAAAATTAAGTAAGGGTTTAAAGTCGAATTTACTACTACCCTAAAGCCTTTCTCCTTCACCCCGATACTCGACCTCTTCTCTTTGTTCCTCTAGTAGACGACTCAAAAAGCGCTAAATGCCTCCGCAGCTTTAATATCCTATCGGTCCCTAGCCTCAAATCTTCGTTGTCTTTTTACACAAATTCCTGGGAATTTGTCGTTTTTCTCTACTCTCCGTTAATACCAGGGATACAGAAACTCCCACCACTTTTCTCTGCTCCCTTCATTAAGATTGAAGCCTAGATGAGAGCAACGACTACTTCGCCCGCGAGTACACAGAGTTGAAATCAAAAATGACAGCTAGTAGCGGAAGCTAAAGCGGTCTTGAGGCGTTCAAGTCGCTCATGCGCTCCAGCATCACCGATCCGGCGATTCGAAAACTGCTGCTATTCGTGACAGTCATCGAGACGTTTTTTAACATGAGCGGCGGCAACTCTTATCACCTACTACGCGCCCACCATCTTGACCTCATGGCTTACGCCGGTCGCAATCATCATCCGAGTTGGAGTTTGAGTGCTTAATCCATCTCTATACGGTTTCTTCCCTTTCCTGAATTTGAGAATGTCACTAGTTCCTTAAGTTTCAATACGGCCGACTGCCACATCGTCGGCGGGTGTGACCTCTATACGACCAAAGCTGCGCGCCGATCGGAAACTCTACAAGAACATCGAACAGTCGCTCGAATCTTAGTATAAATCGATCCTTCGCCTATCAATATCTCTATCACCTCCAAACGTGTCTGATGCTGCCAAGTCGTTGAATCTGTCGCGGTCCAGCCTATTTGGCCCCCCTAATTGAATACTCGAGCCAACGGACATTTAGCTACCTTATCGCGACCCTCACTGCAAGCCATCCGGACTATGGCTTCTCACACGTCCTCTCCACCTCCCCCGAGCCCTCAGCTGCAGCATAGGTTGCTCAAAGCCCATCCGAGGCACCGTGGTGACCGTCGCTTTTGTGTATCAGAACCTGCTCAACTTCGGAATCACCCGCGGCTTCCCGCACATGACAGTGATAAGGCATTCATGGGGGCCTTTTGCGCTGTTCTCGGAATTCACCTTTTGCGCGACGGACTGGGTCTTTGTCACATTCCCAGTGTGCAAGGGCCGCAGCATGGACAGCGCAGATGACTTGTTCTCGCTGCCGCGGTACAAGATCGGGTTGTCCAAAGTGCCGAACCCGGGGGAGCGAGCTGATTCCGTCACTGAAGGCGAGGTCGACTTGGAAAAGGCAACCTCCAGCCAGCACGAGGAATACTTGGGTTTGGAGCGTGAGAAGGGACGGTCAAGTGGTCTACATGTTTATTTTATGAGTTATGAGAAACCCAGCAGCTTGAAAGGAAATATAAGGTCCGAATATAAAACAAGTTCACGTCCACTTTTTGTCTCTAATTCGCCAAGAAGTCTCCCGGCCTTAACATGCGTCATCGCAACCTGCCGTCTTCCCATCCCTTTGTTTGTAAACCGCCAAACACTCAGAGCAACAATCCCACCATGCAAGTAGCAGAGATTCTATCCGATATCACCTCCCTCCGAGTCTGTGTATGTGCCTGAGATCCACTCCCCCCGCCCCGTCTCTAAATCACATCCGATGCTGGGGCTATGGACCCACATCCTGATGAAGATCAAGGAACAAGAGAAGGATTGACATGACATAAGAAAGACCATGGGACTCCTTCGACGAGAGTTGAGACATACTAATATTCCTTTATAGGGCCATAATGAGGCCCTTGCCCTGGTCAACACGCACAATACCGTCTCGGGGTTAGAACGCCGAACGTCGGGTGAGACCTCGACTGCAACCACTAACGACGGCGACCAATTGACGAAAGACGAAGACCTTCGTCGCGCGAAGGAGCTTGTTGAGCTGCACTACGAAGTCAAGGCGCGACATGCCAATGGGATGGTGGACGATGCGCTAAGTCGAGCGCGAGACGACGTGCAGCGGGTCTTGAAGGAATTACAGTAGCATGAATTGCGCTCCATGTTCTCGCGTTGTTTGGTTTGATTGGAGTTTTGGGTTGAATGTGTGTTGTTTTAAATTTTTATCTTCATGGTTTTTGGGCATTGGTTAAGGGTTTAACACAATCTACGCGTTAAATGTCATTCGACAGACAAATACATAATTCGGCTTTTCCTTAACTCAATCTTCATGCCTGTTGCGCTGGGCATATTGCACGATTCGATCATGAGCCAACACACGCCCTTCTGTGGTCGCACATAGATCTGCTATTTTCCTTGCTTTGGCTCGAATTTCCTCCTTCTGTATAATCGTGAGCAGAGTCTCAGAGAACTCGACGGCATTAAGGCTCGGCGCCATAGAACGGCTGCCATAAAGCCCTATACCCAGCCACTCGACTCGTGCAGCGCAGTCGTAAGTGTCAAGCCATTGAGGTAGGACAACTTGCGGAACACCCGCTCTAGAGTCCGGTCAGTATGTTTCAAACAATTCCGAGTGGCCAATATCAGAGAAATATAACATACTTGCATGCTTCAAAGAAAGAGTTCGCTCCTCCATGATGAACAAAAGCAACGATATGACCGCTGTTCAAAACCGAAATTATATTTGGCTCCAGCCATTCCACGACTCTCAAGGTGCCTGCATCGACGAGAGGCCCTAACAGACTTCGAAGCTTGGCCGAAGATTCCCAGTTATATCGCAACTTCCATAAGATCTGCATTGCGGGATATTTCTCGAAGACTTGCCCAAGGCCAGTTGTCATTTCCACCGCACCGCTCTCCGTTGCCTGGAAGTGTGATCCCAGACTAATAAGAATAGTTGGTTTATTCAGCCAGGCGCTCAAGGAGGGATCTGACGTTGAAAAAGATGGACATTCTCGAAGGATCGGGCCACAGCTTATGACGTTGTCGGGGATGTATAGCGGAAAGTCCATCTTTGGGAATGCCGGGGTTAGGTGTAGGTAATCTTTTTGGTATGGCTGTGTGAGTGGGAACGGATGCTGGATGTCGGCTTCTTTTCGGAATCTTAATAGTTCACGTAGGGGTTTTCCAAGGCCCAGGTCGAGGATCAGGCGGAACATCAGGAAGATGTTCGCTGGAATGAGAGTCCACGGTATAGGGAAAGGATATCCGGAGCCGGTCCTGCAGAAACAAACATTAGGATTAGCTTTATAGATTATTCATGTTCCAGCCAGAGATATAATTTTTATAATTTTCTCATTAGGTGCATACATTGGAAATTTCCAAAAGATACCAGCATTCGGTTGAATTGTGATGACGACGTCCTTGACAGGAACAGGCCAAAGGATAACCGTGTGGGCGTGGAATACACGACATGCATCCAGGGCAATGTGGAAAACTGGATCCACAACAACCACATCTGGCCGAAGTTCTTGTAAAATCTCGAGACATTTTCGATAGTTTTGGATATATTCCGAAGGCTTATATGCCAGGATAGACGTGTTCATTTTCCGAAAACCATCTATGGCCCCAAGAAGCCCAGGTTTGTGGCATAAATCGACATTATCACGGAGGACGATATCTGCTAAAGATGGGCCTGGGATTGTGTGGAATATTGCAGACGAGCTGTAGTTAGTGTTTTCGTTCAAGGACTGTACTCGAGGCGCCAATGCACTGAACGAGGCGATGTGTACGCGAAACTCGCCGCGGCGCAAAAACTCCCCGGCGACAGCGAGCGCCACGTTGGACTGGCCATGTTCGCTATTTGTGAAGAACACGATATCCTGTTCTGGAGATGACATTGTCAAGGAGTTGATAAAATTTGTTGGACACTTATATTCGCGCGGAAACCTGACTTCGGAGTATCGCTATTTAATGAACTTCGCACGAACCCACCGACGTAACATCGCAATCGGACTGGGTTACTCAAGTATCTTACTCCATCCTCACATGGGGGCAACATTATACCCTATAGGTGGGCTTGGTATTATTGCTGCGTGCACCGTCACACCGTTGCTAACAGAGCAAGCAATGCTATATACAAGGATATCACCATATAGAAAAAGCATTGAAAGACCAAAAAAGAACCTCTCATCCCATAGTAGATGTTGGAAATACTCCACGTTATATCCAATATTACCCACGCAGCTCGGTTCAATCCCAATATTCTCCAGCTCAGGTGCATCACTCTTCTCCACCCGATGAAGGAGAAAATAGCAAAGTTGAAAAGGCGTGGCATCGATCAGATATACGCCTTCCATTTTAGATAGACTCCGATGTCTTAAGACCTCTCTTCCAGTTATGGAAATTCCCCTCTTCCTCCTTTCCTCTGCCCGAGGAAATTCGTCCTCTTCATCGTCCATCCTCGGTTTTCATTGCTCAAGCATGCTCATACATGAAGTATATAATTGACTCCAAATTTCGAACAAAATATAAAATCTTAAACTCGAACTTCTTAATAGGAATAGATAATATCTTTAAATAAATTTATCATTAAAATCGTCGAGTTTTATAGGGAACATTGCAAGTATCGACAGGCTTTTAGATAGGTAGTATAGTAGTCGTCTGGGGGAATCGAATGCGGGACTTTCGGGGGTGGGAAGACTTAAGTTTTTTGCAAAAACAAAGATAAGCATGATATAATGTGTCATACGGTGCCCTCAATGGTATATCCCACTGAGCCAACATGGCCTGCAGACCAACATGGTAGCTACTTTGAATGGATGATACCCATTTCCTCCATTTTCATTACCCCATAGCCAGCACACTTCGCAACCCTCCAAAGATGACCCTAGCGTCACTCTATCTATTTAACCTTGATCCTAAGCAGATGGCTGTATGAGTGCTTCTGGTTTTCTTGGTAGTATTGTGTTCATCCGATCAGAGGGTATAGACACACCAGGACTCGGATCACCGTCCGAATCTCGGGCCACTGGGCCGATGCCCTAGTGCGCCGTCGTGTCAATTTCCCTTGAGGAGGGCATTGCAAATTCGTAAAATAATGGTCAAAATAGGCTAAGCTGCCCAAGGGCTAATTGCCAATGAGAGTGAGTCCTGAGGCAGTCTCGCGCGGGTAAAAACAGACGCGGTCGGTGCGGGCAGCCGGGGAGGGGGACGAGTTCTCCGCATCGCAAATCGGAGCACTCCCGACCACCTTTAAGTCGCACTCGCCCTTGTGCTTTGCGCAATTGCCTCCTCCCTTCGCCATCTCTCGCGCCTCCGATTCCCTAGTCTTTCACCATGGCGTCTATCCGGGCCAACTGCCGCAAGATTATGTGCATCGGCCGCAATTATGCGTACGTTGGCCTCTTCCATTTTCCCCCTCCGAAGTTCGCGACAGCGGGCTGGCTTGAGTGTGTCTCTCGTCGCAATATGCTAACAGTTGAGATGCATCGATGGCCACAGTGATCACATCACTGAGCTGAACAATACCACACCAAAACAGCCGTTCTTCTTCCTCAAGCCCGCGTCCTCGATTCTCCTCCCCGGCGCCGGTCCGGTCCTCCGCCCCAAAGGCGTCAGCCTGCACTATGAAGTGGAATTGGGTCTAGTGATAGGGAAGACGCTACGGGATCTGGATCCGCAAGATCACAAGGGGGCGCTGGATGCCATCCATAGTGAGATTCCACCCCATGCACTTTGACCAAGGGGGTCGGAAAAAGCTTCAGGCTTGAACTAACTCACACTCATCTTGTAATAGGCTACATCCTCGCCATCGATATGACAGCCCGCAATGTCCAGGACGAAGCCAAGAAAAAGGGCCTGCCCTGGTCCATCGCCAAGGGCTTCGACACCTTTCTGCCCATCTCCCGGGAAATCGCCAAGTCGCGCATCCCCGACCCGCACGAGGCGTTTCTGCGTCTTCGTGTCGGCCAGGCTGAGCGCCAGGCCGATTCCACGAGCTTGATGCTCTACCGTATCCCGCAGCAGCTGGCTCAGATCTCGCGCGTAATGACTCTGGAGCAGGGGGATATTGTGCTCACGGGGACGCCGAAGGGTGTGGGTGAGGTCAAGGCTGGGGATGTAATGAAGGCGTCGATTGAGGTTGGTGGAAAGGAGATTGAGGAAGGGAGAATCGAGGTTGAGGTTAAGGATCGTGAGGGGAGGTATGAGTTTAAGGAGACTTAGATTTGGGGGTCTTGGTGTATATATAACGGGTATAGAAATTTCAAATTGCATATACCACTATTAGGGCGTTCTACCTACGTTAAATCCCCGAGGCAATATTCTTCGTAGCATACGACCATATCTCTCTTCGAGTCACCACTGAAGAACTGTTACTCTCAGCAATAGAGCTGTGGAGGGCATATGCTACTGAACACAGTGTGACGGACCAGAGATCATCGTAGAGAAACATAATGAAAGTCATAATCTCATACAAACATACACATCAAAACCGTTGTCATCATCATCGTCACAGGTCCCTATTCCAACCCCCCTACCAACTATTTCCCATCAGTTGATGTAAAATCCTCCTCGGTGATAGGAGGCAACGCAATAAAGCGATGACGACGTGACCCATCCGGCCACAAAACAGACCCATCCTCAAACTGATGAACCAGCGCAAACTCCTGCTTCTCAAGATAGTCCTCCTCCATGAGCAGCCAATTGACGTGCTGGGTGAGCCACGGCCAAGTCCAACCGTCCTTGCGAAGGGAATGCTTAAGCCGCAGTCGGTGGACGCGTTTCTCACAGCCAGCAATAAAGACCTTGATCAAGGCGGTGTCAGATCCTTGCTTGGAACGAAGACTTCTGTCCCGGACAGAAATAGCCGCTTCGAAGTACTCTTGCAAAGTGCGGCCGTTTTGTTTCAGAACCCCCAATAAAGTGTGTTCCAGGATCTTTGCGGTGCCAGGGGACTGAGGTTGGGCTGTGTCGGTGTTGAGGGACTGGTCAATGGTTTTGGCTCTCTTGGGAGTGGGTGTAGGTGGTGCGGCAACACGAGGGGTCTGGGTGAGAGTAGTCTTATTGCCTGAAGGCCGAGGTAGTTTGGAGTTTCTGACACGCTTGCTCTTATGACCAGACGAATTGTTCTTGGAGCCAGCCGAGGAAGGAGGAGTGATCATGGCCGGCCCCGGCAAGGGCTGATGAGAATCATGCAGGCTTTCCAAATGGGCGATGCATGCGCTGATGTCGCTGTTCTCGCGTTCCAGAGCCTGGGTATACCCGTGGAAAGGGCTGTAAGATCGCTTCAGATGACCGGGCGACTTCTTCTGTTCAGTTGAACCGCTCTGGGATCCATTATCCAGAGTACTGTCGATCGAGTCGATGATGTTGGATAGAGTGAGGATATGCTCGTGCAGCACCCGCGAGAGGTCGTGGCCTGCCTCAAGTTGCTCGTTGGCATTATCCAAGTGCTGGGCCAGGATCTTGTTCTCTCGTTGGAGCTCGTATGCCCACAACAAAGTAGTGGGCTCCTTAGAGCTGGCAGGCTTGGTAGGAGTGGTGGGTGCCATCATCAAAGTCGTTCCAGCAATGACTCGAATGGGAAGGATCGAAATGGCTAGAGATGCATCGCAATAGGAGGTCAGTGGGATGAAGAATGAAGAATGAAGAGACCATCAGTCAGGGGGATGGAGTGTATTGACAGAAGATGGACCGGTGAGGCGGCTCTCAGAAGGGAAGTGAATGAACCAGAATCGTGCCTTATTCCTGAGGCGGTTTCGTCCATCTAAGCATACTTTATCAAAGCGTATCCTGAGAACAAGTCATATTTTGGCCCGATCTATTGGATTAAGTACGGTAACAGCGGCATCCTTAACCAACCAGAGCGAGCTAGATACAGAGACGAAGACGGAGGGGAATGCAGGAAAAAAAAAGAAAAGGAAAAAGAAAACCGTCGCAGCAACAGAACGCGCAAGAGCATGTCACATCTCCGTAAGTGCAGGAAACATAGGAAACCATAACAGTGGCCAAGCAATGGTAGGGCATCGATTACTGACGAGACGCCAAGGTAATCTCAAGAGCCCAGTCCAATTACCCAAACCACTGCGAGCGGAAATGCGTAGGAAACACAGAAAGCCACTTTTGACGCAGGTTCCTGCGATCGTAATCCGCATCAAGACATGAGGTAGGTTGAAGGAGTTTAGATGAGGTCTAGTATAAAGTCAGTGATCCAAACAGACAACTCGAAATGATTTTGATATCAAAACTTACCAGCAACGTTCATGGGCATCTCCTCAACCTGGGTGCTGTAGAACTGCTCAATCTCACGGAGCATGCGCACATCGTCGGCAGTGACGAAGTTGATGGCAACACCCTTACGACCGAATCGGCCACCACGACCGATACGGTGAATGTAGTTCTCACGGTTGGCCGGCAGGTCGTAGTTGATAACCAGGGAGACCTGCTGGACATCGATACCACGGGCCAGGAGGTCAGTGGCGATCAGGACACGCGAGGATCCAGAGCGGAACTCCTTCATGATCACGTCACGCTGGCCCTGCTCCATGTCACCGTGCATGGCGGAGACAGTGAAGTCACGGGCAGTCAGCTTGTCGGTGAGCCAGTCGACCTTTCGGCGGGTGTTGCAGAAAATGACGGCCTGGGTGATAGTGACAGTCTCGTAGAGGTCGGACAGGGTGTCGAGCTTCCACTCCTCCTTCTCGACGGCGATGTAGAACTGCTTGATACCCTCAAGGGTGAGCTCCTGCTTCTTGACCAGGATGCGGACGGGGTCACGCATGAACTTGGTGGTCACCTCCAGGACGTCCTGGGGCATGGTGGCCGAGAGCAGGGTGACCTGGGTGGACTGGGGCAGCAGCTGGAAGATGTCGTAGATTTGCTCGGTGAAACCGCGCTAGAGGGAAAGATCAGTTCTGCTCGGTACAATCTTAGACACATGGATTGCAAAACTTACCGACAGCATCTCATCAGCCTCGTCCAGAACGAACAGCTTCATGTGGTCGGTACGGAGGACACGGCGCTGGATCATGTCCTGCACACGACCGGGAGTACCGACGACGACCTGGGGGCCCTCGCGGAGAGCGGTCATGTCCTCACGGACGTTGGTACCACCAATACAGGCGTGGCACTCAATGCTCATGAAGTCACCAATGGCCACAACGACCTTCTGAATCTGCTGGGCCAGCTCACGGGTGGGAGCGAGGATCAGAGCCTGGCAGGCCTTGAGGTTGGGGTCGAGCTTCTGGAGAGCGGAGATGGAGAAGGTCGCGGTCTTTCCGGTACCGGACTGGGCCTGAGCGATCACATCGTTGCCTAAGCCCTGGTTAGGCGCAAATTCCTCCAGAAAAGAAAAAGGAGTCTCAATCGGATGGAGAACTCACCCTTGATGATGGGCATGATGGCACGCTGCTGGATAGCAGAGGGGCGCTCGAAACCGTAGGCGTAGACACCTGAACGTCTGTCAGGAATTTTCTGCAGGTACCCCACCACGAGGGATCCGGATCACTTACCGCGAAGCAGCTCGGGCTTCAGCTCCATGGTGTCGAAGGAGTCGGTGATCTCATCGTAGTTGGACTCGATCTGTCCTGTTGAGTGTAGAAGCAAGTGTCAGTTACTCATTTTCTGAACTTCGCCTCTCTTGTCATCGCCACCAAATCCCGGCGCAAGCAGGATCATAATTTTGACAAATTCAAAAGACGAGAACAGAAAGATGGCAAAACGTACCCTCGGGAAGGTCCTCAAGACCCTTGTCGTTGGAAGCCATATTTGCGGATGGGAGTGGTGATCACAGACGTCGCTGTGATCGGTGTGGTGGGGGTGAAGAGGTTTTTTTTTTTTTAGCGAACGGTGCCCTGTGGGGGGGTTCGCAGCGTCGAGACGGACTAGTATCACAGCTCTTCGTCTAGCGAAGAGCACAAGAGATACTAGGAAGGGGTTGACAGAGAGTGGTATGGATAATCACAACCAGGGTGGGAGGAAAAGAAAAGAAAAGAAGCGAAAAAAAAATCGAGGGCCGCACTCCATTTGCTGCGACGCCTTTTTTTTTTTCAGGCGAGTATCCCACCGCCTGCCATTTAGGGCAAGTCACTGGATTAGCCCTTTGGGCCAAGAATGGGTTCTCTTGCGATTGTTCTCTCTTTTCTCCAGACTGGTGGGACCATCATTTTTTATTTTTATTTTTAATTCTTCTTCTTTTTCTCATTTTATTTTCTTTGTTCTGCTTTTTTTTATCGAGGGGAATTAATCTATACTGCCTCAGGACACCCTCGGTATCGGTTGCAAAGCAGACTAAAACTGTGCAAGCCCTAATAGTGGCGGGCCATGCCTGACATCACATCGTTACCGAGCCATCCTCCAGAGGCTGACAGTGGCCCCGATGCCATTCCCTGCCACCCACTGGGTGTCAAACCAAGTGGCAATGCTCTTCTGGCGGCCACCCACAGCTTACGTGACGCGATCGGGGCATTTCAACGACTACCCGATGATCTGATTCTGCTGTCGCTGGAGGTCTTGGATGGGGCCAGTCTGCTGCAGATTGGACAAACTTGTAAAGCCTTCTATGCATTTACTCGGGCAGAGGAGTTGTGGAAGGCGCTCTTTGTGCGGTAAGAACACCCGTGGACCTGAAATATATATACAATAAACTTTTATTTTTATTTATTTAGTTTTTTTCTTTTTTTCTTTCGATATGTTCCTTCCATGCTGTGTTATTGATCTAGTAGTCTCAAAGAGCCATGTCGCTAAGAATCCTCTTAGGTCTCCGAGAGAATCATTTACATGGCGAGGAACATGGCGTTCCACATACCTCAACCTCCCGGCTTCAAAGGTACCGATGATCGATTGTTCCCAATTATTCTCAGATGCCTTATACCGGCCCTTTAACTGTGCTCATGTGGCACTAGAGCCATATGTCACGAAGATACCTGCGAGAAATCAAATCACCCGTCTACCGGATATGTCGCTTGATGAATTCCATACAAACTGGACAGACCGCCCCTTCATCCTCACAGAACCCGTCAAGGCCTGGCCCGTATACAAGAACTGGACCGTGGGGACATTGCTAGCGCGCCATGGCCAGACCCAGTTCCGCGCCGAGGCCGTCGACTGGACATTGCGCACATATGGCGACTATATGGCTGACAATGCCGACGAAAGTCCACTGTACCTGTTCGACCGGGCCTTCGTCTCGAAGATGGGGCTCTCAGTCGGTCCACCCAAGGACACACCCGATGCCGCCTACTGGCCCCCACCCTGCTTCGCGGAAGATCTGTTTTCAGTGCTGGGCGAAGACCGACCCGATCGCCAGTGGCTGATCATCGGACCAGAGCGCTCGGGCAGCAAGTTCCACAAAGACCCCAACGCCACCAGTGCGTGGAATGCCGTGCTGCGCGGCCCAAAGTACTGGATTATGTTCCCGCCCAGCGGCAAGCAGCCCCCTCCACCGGGTGTGTTCGTGTCCGAGGACCAGAGCGAAGTGACCTCGCCGCTGAGTATTGCCGAGTGGCTCCTGGGCTTCCACGCCGAGGCTCGACGCACGCCGGGCTGCGTGGAGGGCATCTGTGGCGAGGGCGAGATCTTGCACGTCCCTTCTGGGTGGTGGCACCTGGTGGTGAACCTGGAGCCTTCGATTGCTATCACGCAAAACTTCATTCCCCGGGCTCATCTTACCTCTGCGCTGGACTTCTTGACCAATAAGCCCGATCAGATTTCCGGTTTTCGGAAAGATGTTGAGGATCCAGCACAGCGGTTTGTCAGTCGCATGCGCGAGTCCTACCCAGATCTGTTAGACCAGGCGCAGGAGGAACTGCAGAAGAAGGCCGAGGGGAAGAAGCGCAAATGGGAAGATATTGTCCACGGGAAACCAGATGACCCTAATGAACAAAGCGCTGAAGGCGGGTTCAGCTTTGGGTTTGGAGATGACGGGAGCGATGTTGAAGTCCCATAGTAATTTGCAATCTGAAACCCAAGGTTCATGAACATGAAATAATGAGTCAAGTCTAGACACAGGATAAGGTATCAAAGTCAAAACTTGCCGTAATCGAGACGAAAAAAAAATATGATAAAAGAGCGCTTCCATGCCATCCAACTCAACAGACCAACTAACGCCAAAAGAAATCTGAGGTTCAAATTCAATGGCAGGCAATCGTCTTGGTCGCCGGAGTGCCATCCGCGAAAACCACATACCCAAGGAATGCACCAAATGCCACCGCAAACATGACAAATCCATTGTAAGTCATGAAGAGTAACCTACCAACCGGGAAGGGATCGAGTCAGCAAATTACCCAAGTCGCCAATGTCAACAGTGCATCCCGAAAGAGCACTCACATTATGAAGAAGCTATAAAAGACTTGCACGGCATACAGAAACGCCATGGCGAATTTCCCTTGGCGCGCAACCGCCGCGCGGTTGTCCCGGCCTACAAGTAGAGGTGAGTCATCGTCGTGAGCGTCAGGAATAGGTTCCGTCGGGGCACCGGCGATGGTCGGATCGGCGATCTCCTCGTCTGCAGAAGCAAGACATCAATGAGGAAGCTAGTTCAACCAGATTGCACCATGCCAAAGCCATGCCCGAAGACACCCCCCGAAACACCCTTGGGAGTGGTTATAGGATAGCGAGACTTACCTCCTGTTGCTACGGAAGATGTAAATGAGTTCAGGCGTCGGGCGTGGGCAGCTTCATATCGCCGGGTCGCCTGTCGAACTCCTTCATAGCCGGCAGTGAGGAGGACGATGGCGGCGAGGGAAAACAAGAACGAGAAGGGCCCAGTGATGCGCCACCAGCGGAAGATGATGCAAAGATCTTTGGCCGACCAGGTAAAGACCATCTAATCGAGCATAAAAGACAAGGTTAGCAAGCCACAATAACGGACTACAGACCGGAGACGTCAGGTACTTGCATTCATGTTGCATTGCCCGCCCATATCCATATCGCCGTGGCCATGGCCGTGGGGCATGTGCATCGAATGATCCATCGTATACGAGAGCTGTATAAAGACAACCGGTAGAAGGCAAGAAATCTAGAAGGGAGGGGAGCTGCAGGACGTAAACACCCGCGAGATGTTGTGCTCGAGGGACACCATGCAAACCACGCAAACACCACCTGATAAGCTCGGGACAGCATCCACCTCCCCCATCCAGGAATTGTCGTAACTCGTCTGATCTTCTTTCTTCGCGTGTGCTCGAGCGATTCGTCATACTGAGACAGCTGCATATCCCGCGACAGCTTCCTATCCCCCCATAAAATGGCGGAGAACGCCCCTGCCACGACACCAACGCCCGCGACCTCCGGGACCGCCGCACCAACATCCGGCGCAACCGCAGCAGGACCAATTGCGCCTGCCGATCAGAACGCGGCTAGCCGCGGGCTTCCATACTACGAGAAGCTGCGACGAGAGCTGCGAGACGTGATCCAGAAGAAGCGGTTGATGGACAAGAGCATGGTGAGTCTTGCGAAGCCGGGAGTCGCGTCTGGTCTCCTGCCCGCGGAGCATATGCGAAGGAATTTCTGTGCAGCAGACTCTTTGCGATCTGTTTTCTGCTTTTTTTTTTCTTTCATGGCGCAGGATTATCGAGTTCTCCATGCTAACACGAATCTTCGTCCCAGGGCCAACTAGAAGACCAAATCTTCCGGATCGAACAATCCTACCTCGAAGAAACGACCGCTGGAAACATCATCAGAGGCTTCGACAACTACATCAAGGGCTCTTCAAGCGGCGCCAGTATTGGTGCCGCAGGTATTAACATTGGCGCCGGCGTGGCTGGAGGCCGTCGAAAGGCCCAAGTCACAGATTCGGATCGGGTGTTCTCGCGAAGTTCAGCTAGCTACATGATGGTATGTGGGAAATACTACAGTGTTCTATCTCTTCTTCCAGTTACTCTCCAGATGACTCACGGTTCTTTTCTTACGTATAGGACTCCCCCGGGCCCTCGTCTGCTCAAACCACTCCCTCGAACGCGGCGACACCGACTTCCACGTCCGCAGGACCCACCTCGAACAAGGGGAATGGGAGCGATGTCCCCGTATCTGCCGGCGGCGTGAAGAATGCAGCTGGTGCATCGAAAAACAAGAAGAAGGCCGGTGGTGGTGGTGGAGGGTCTAAGAACACCAAGGGAAAAAATCCGAGCGAGGATCTTTCCGACGATGCAGGGGATAAGCCGCCCGTGAAGCGGTTGAAGATCAGCTATGGGAGAGATTAGATGGTTTTCTATTGCCAGAGTGCTGTCTCTCTTTTCTGGCGAGGGCTGCGCTCCTCTTGCATTTCTTTTTGGGTCTTCGGGTTTGGAGTTAGGTTGGTGGGTGCTTGTCTTTTCTGAAGTTATCTCAAAGCTGAGGCGCATGGGGAACGGAAATAAGGGGTGCTTTCGATTCGATTGCTCGAGCAATCTCATGTATATCACGGATTCATGGAGAGCAGCATGCATCGCACAAAATTCAATTTCATTTCTTTCATTCGAAGACCTACTCGACTGGATCGAACTACCAACTGCAGGAACCATCGAGGCTACAAGATAAAGTGATAAAGGGATAGTGGGATAGTGGGAGTATAAATGACCAACATCGCCTGCTTGTATCCCATCACAGCTGCAATCGGAACGTGGCGACCTCGAACGGCCTCAACTCCACATCAATCGAAACACCATCTTCCCGGTAGATCTCCAGCTCCTCCTCGTCGTCTTCGAGAACATTGCATTTCCAAGCGCGCTTGACAGAGAGGGCGCTGTGAATAGTGCCACGGGCTTTGCCACCGAGAGACTCATAGACACGGGCAATCACGCTCTTCCCAGGGCGCGAGAAAATACCGTCTTGAGCCACATCTTCATCATCCTCGCCACGCTTGACTGCATCTAAAATCAGCGAAGGTGCATTCTGAACAGACACCGACTTGAAGATGTTGCTGGCTGCTGCGGGAAGGTTGATCGGCTCGCCAACCAGCGGATGATTGAAATTGTAACCAGCCCGTACCGTCCGGGCGTCCAAACTACCGGTGTGGGGCAGGATAGCATAGCGGATGTGATGACGGCCCATATCGGCATGAGCGTCGGGGGCCTTGGGGGCACGTAGTAACGACAACCGCATGAGGTTGCCGCAAGTGGCAAAGCCGTACTTGGAGTCGTTGAGGATCGAAACGCCATAGCCATATTCAGAGAGGTCGGCCCATTTGTGGCAACAGACTTCGAATTTTGCCATGTCCCAGCTACAATATGTTAGTATTGAAGTGTAGTAAAAGTGTTTAAGCTAAACATACCTGGTGTTGTAGTGCGTCGGGCGTCGGATGATACCATATTGAGTCTCGTAGGATGCCTCGGTGTTCGTGATGTCGACCGGGAACTCGACCTTGAGGAACTTCATAGTTTCCTGCCACTCAACTTCACTTTCCATTTCCACGTAGCTTGGTTCCGACGACACAGCGGCCGCAAGGCTGATGGTCGTCTTGACCCAGCTCTTGTCACTGATCTTGGTTTCGGTCATAACACTGGCCCGGTGCAGGTCATTTTCTGCGACTACCGTCTTGCCATGAGGCAATTCTTTGCGAGACTCCAGATGGAAAACCTCGACATCCCATGCTTGCCAATAGAGGGGCTTGTCATCAAAAATGACGAGCTGTCCGGCCTTGCCGCCCTTAGCAACAACCTCGCGCTTTGCCTCCATGTCAAATAGGGAGATAATAACGCCATTTTGCACGTCGACTCGCAGCTTGCCATTTTCAAGGCGGAAAACACCCGGCTGGACTTCAACAACGGTCACAGCAGCTGTAGTCTTGAAATCCACTGGCCGGCATGGCACCATGCCGCTTGAGCCCTCAACCAGCGCATATTTCGATCCATTCAACTTTCCAAGTGATTCCGGGATTTTCACAACCTCTGCTCGGGGCCAGGGCAAAGTGTTTAGGGCCATCAGATGTTTGCTGCCAGTATCACCAGTAATCTGCAATGCCTTAAGAGCCTCCTTGCGCAACTTCTCACCGGTCTTGAAGATCTCAGCGTAGAGTTTGTCTGAGTCGTCGTAACACATTTCGATCGAACTTCCTGGCAAGCAGTCATGGAACTGGCAAAGGAGGACACCCTCCCACATTTCATCAATCTCTTTCTTCGGATACCGATACTCCTTGGCGGACTTTTTCAGGGTGGCCAAAGTGGCAAGTAGCTCGATCTCACGAAGCATGAACTCGGATTTGCGGTTGTTGCGTTTGTTATTTGCCTGGGTTGTGTAGGTACCTCGGTGCAGTTCGAAGTAGAGCTCACCATACCAGGTTGCAAACTCGGTGCCTTCGGCAGCCTTTGCCTCCAATCCCGCAAAGAAGTCATCAACAGAATCACCCATCTTCACACGTGGGAGCGAGCCAATCTGATCGCTCAGACCACGGCAACGGCGCAGTTTCTCCAGATGCTCAAAGGTCGGGCCGCCGCCACCATCTCCCTTTCCGAAGACAAGCAGCGAGCTCTTCTCCTTGTCCAATGATTTATGCTGGGTAATACTGCGCTTCAGATCGCCAAAGTGGGCTTCAGCCGTGTAGGTTTCCGCAGGTGCCATATGGCACATCACTTGGCTCCCATCAAGTGCCACCCATTGGAATGTGGTATGAGGGAAATTGTTGATGTTGTTCCAGCTTAGCTTCTGAGTAAAGAATCGACTCATGCCAGCCAAGCGACAGATTTGGGGGATCTGCGTCGAGTACCCGAAGGTGTCCGGCAGCCAGAAGGTTGTGCACCGCTTGCCAAAGTGACGCTCGAAGAACCTTTGGCCATACAGAAACTGCCTCACTAGCGATTCGCCACTCGGCATGTTGGTGTCGTGCTCAACCCAGCTGCCACCAATCGGCTGGAAATGGCCCTTCTTCACCCATTGCTTCACGCGATCAAAGACAGTGGGGTAGTATTGTTCAAGCCATTTGAATTGCTGGGCCTGGGAACAAGTGAAGCGGTGCTCTGGGTATCGATCCATTAGATCACACTGGTTCGACCATGAGCGGGCAACTTTGCGTTTTGTCTCAGCCCAAGGCCACAACCAGCAAGTGTCGATGTGGCAATGCCCAATGGCGTAGACAATGGGCGCTGTGCCTGTTGAGTAGACGTCGGGTGAATCTACTTTATCTCCGAGGTACTTCTTTGCAATTTTGCGCGCCTCGAGAATTGAATCTTGGCTTCCATTGCCTGCAATGAAAGTGTCTATCATGGAGTTGGCTACCATGTTGGCTTCGTGCGCCTCCCATGAATCACCGGGAAACTCCCGGGCAGCATCGCCAATAATCCAAAAGTCATAATAGAGAGCACGTGCTGCGAGATTCACAGCTGTGATGCGTGCTTTGCTTAGCCTGTAGGACTTGTCGGGGTTTGGTGGCTGAATCGAATCACCCCCGGGGCATTGCCGAACATGCCATTGCAAGCCATTTCAATATAGAAAGTATGTTCTTTCCCGTCGCGCCAGGCGTCCGGGATAATCCATTCAACACGCTCTCCGCCGCCGGTCAATCCTTGTAACGGACGACCGTCTTCGGTCCAGACCAAGCCCTCGTTGTTGGCATCCCAATGAAATTCCAAACGTTCTTTCTTGCGCAGTTCCTCGGGGACCGTCAGGCGGATGCGAAACCAGTGTGTGGACCAGCTGGGTCCAAAGGATGCACCGATGTGGGTTGGTTTGAATTCATGAGCGGTTGCCTCCTCGAAAGTCGGACGCTGCAGGTCTGGGACCGAGTAAACCGACAGCTTCACATGGTCCTGGTCCTCATTTACTGCTTCGAAGTATTTCGAGACCAGATTTTGGCCTTCATACTGGCCTGTCGAGGTAAACTGGCGCAGCCGATCTGTGTAGATCTTGATGATACGTTGGCCGACCGGGCGCTCAGCAAGCCGGGGTAGTGACGTCGCCGGGGCGGGGGTGAGATGAGGAGTTTCTCCACCCATAATGCAAGTAACTGAAATGAGATGCAGTTGGTGGATATCTGGATGTAAGTAAAGATGAGAAACAATAGAACGAGTGAACCAGCAGGAGGAGGAAGCGCAGGAAGAGCAGGAAGGAAGGGAGCTGCTAATGTGGAGGCATGATGGAATGCGGAGAAGCGGATCGTTGCACCGCGAACATCACTTGATCTCTCGTGAACTATTTACATTGGACATGGGGACTTGATATTCTTACTCAACATATATCGAGTATCCCATGAATACCCCAGGCTTCACGGGGTAAAACAAGGTCTCCGATGACTGGAAATGAAGGAGCCCGTCGATTTCGATATCATCTCCATGGCCTCGGGGCTTAGTAGAACTTCGTGTTAGGAGGAAGTCCCTCCTTTTGACGTTCTGCCTGAACACAACGTTAGGAAATCATCACAAGCCGAGAGGCCTCTGCGTCTGATTTCTCTTTTAAATTGAATTTGATGTGGGTCTGGTGCACGCATGATTGGGATGATTAAGGATGAGATGTTGGATGGTTCAGAGAAGCCACAAGAGGGAGAGGTGGTCCCTCCGGATCGGATCAACTGTTCTACGAGTCTGCATCATGACAGTCGAGTCTAAAGAGTAGCACTCAGTGCCATTTTTATCCATCAAGACCTCTGACTATTTCATAGTAAATGGCCTGGTGGAATGCGGGTGGCCTCATGCTGAGGTAAATTGAAATATACCTTGGATATGAACGTCTTCGTTTAAAACAGAATAAACCCCCTCGACAAGGTAAATGAGTGGTCGATATCCCAAACTAGATCCATGGGTCTGGTGGATCACCCAGTCCAGCAGCTTATGAGGATCCCGGGGACCCCAGCCTAGGTGTTCATCGATGACGCGCTCATCTTGACAATGGCTTGTGATGGCAAATATATTGTCACAACATGCCATTGTATTGGTTGCGATGTATGTGGGCTTCTTGAACCATGTTATACGCAGCGGGGTTTAATCAATATAAATTGCGCTCGGTTTCCACATACAACCCTTGTCTTTAATCCAACTACACATCATTGACAAACACACAACTTTCAAGTATCTACTTGATTTCCAAGAACATGTCTGAACGTATGTCATTCCAAACTAACAACTACCCGGTGCAATGCTCATTCTCAGCAGAGTCCGACTCGCATCACAAAGGAGGCCTCGAGGGCATGATGGATCGGATCTTCCACCGCACCGGCCATCCTCAAAAGGAAGAACACCATGATGAAGATAAGAATGACCAGGAGGAGCATGGTCATGACTCTAAGAAGAAGGGGAGCGAGATGGACAAGTTCAAGGACTACATCAAGGAAGATGAAGAGCTCGAGGCAGAGGGCAAGACCTATAGCAACTTGATGTGAGCAGCTAGGTAGAAATGGCTGTATGGTGTTTTTTTTGAGACGTCATATATCAAATAGTCAGAAACATCCATATTCAATCAATTCAGTCCAAAACTCGATCAACCAAGAGTGACCAGTGGAAAATGCAGCCGCCGAGTAATTGCTCAATTTATGAGGTTGATCAACCTTGAATGTATTGAATTTCTAGCTGGTTCTAGTATATCAATTTGGATTGAAAAGACCTCTTCTCTCTTGTGCCTATGGGTTCCTTTCTTTCGGAATATCAGGTCAACATAGTTAAATCGTTTGAGCCACGAATAGATACGGGGCTAGGATACTCAATCAGGTTCACAAGCAAAGAGAAAACCCACCTAGTCAATTAATGATTAATGCAGAATTGTGTGACAACAAACCAGTTTGTTTTCCAATTGCCCATGTTCATAGCATATACTTCAGTCTCGCCAAGGCACTCCGTCATCCTGTCGTGACCAAGACACACCTCAACACCTTCATCCTCGATATTTCAAGCCGTTCTCAACCCTACATCACAGTCATGCAGCAAGCTGTGGGAGAGCCACTCCCTCCAGCAGACCGTCATGTAACCTCCATCCAATTCCACTTGTGAAGCATCCAGCAGCACTAACTACTGGATCGCGCATCTAACAGGCCATCAGCGTCTCTCTTCCAACATGGGAAGACACACAAGCCTGGGCGACCAGAGACCCGGGCTTTATTTCTCGGCTGAAGACTGGCTATCCTCGGTTTTTTGTTCCTCTCGTGGTGCAGGATCTGGCGACGCGGCTATTGAACCTCGCTGTCTCTCGTGGGACGCTGTGCGGGAGTGATGGTTCGTCTGATTCACGGCTCACTCTGCTGTTATATTCAAGTGCCCAGTATGCCCAGCAATGCGTGGAATACTTGAAAAGCAAAGACACAGCTATATCTACATCTGTGTCCGCATCCATTCGTTATCTCCGATTTGACTTTGACGGAAACATCTCCACGGATCTACAACAAGCAGTCAAAGGCAAAGACCGCCGCGAACCATACAGGTATCAAGAGGTGCATGGAGTTGTATATCCCGAGTCATTCGGCGCCAATGCCAAGGCCTTCTGGCAACATACCGGCTACGGCATCTCCAGTCGATGTGCAGAGTTCTGGCTCGACAAGGCGTCGTGTATTCAACATGACAAGACAGAGACAGAAACAGGGGCAGAGACAGAGACGGGGTTTCCCCTCGAGGACGCTGAAAAGGCAAAGTGTGATCTGCGGATTCGTATCGGCAACTTACTATCAACACCATCACTATGCATCGAGCCGAAGCATGTATTCCTGCACCAAAGCGGCATGACCGCCATCAGCAGCATAGCAACTGCAATACAGCAACTCCATACCAGCACCGAGCCCTCCAAGGTTGTCATATTCGGGCAAGTAATGACCATTCAACTCCTGCGAAATACTAGAACTAACAAGAATGAACCAGCTTCTTATACGTCGACACCATGAAACTCCTCGGCAAGATCTATAACTTCGACTGCATCTTCTACGGCCACGGCTCGACCTCCGAGCTAAACACCCTCGAAGCCGGACTCGCAGACAACACAATCAAAATCAACGCCCTCATCACCGAATTCCCAAGCAACCCCCTCCTCACAACCCCAGACCTCCACCGACTCCGCACCCTCGCCCAACAATACAACTTCCTCCTCATCGTCGACGACACCCTCGCCACAGCGGTGAACGTCTCTCTCCTGCCCTTTTGCGACGCCATCTGCACAAGCCTCACAAAGATGTTCAGCGGCCACTGCAATGTAATGGGCGGGAGCGTGGCGCTGAACCCAGCCTCAGAATCTTTCAGCGCACTCAACAGACAACTATCAGCATCTTTCGAAGATACATATTTCCCTCTCGACGCGCTCTTCATGGATCACAATAGCCGCGATATCATCCCGCGCGTGTCCCGCGCCTCGGCCAATGCCGCGCGCATCGCTGAGATCTTTCGGAGGCATCATGCTGTCGCGGAGGTCTTTTACCCGCAGGGAAGTGCTACGCAGCGCGCGTATGACCGGTTTCGAAAGACAGGAGGTGGGTATGGGTTCTTGCTTTCGGTGAGGTTTAGGGTTCCTGCAGCGGCGTCGGCCTTTTATGATGCTTTGCGTGTGGCGAAGGGACCAAGTCTGGGGACAAACTTTACGCTGTGTTGTGCTTATACGTTGCTGGCGCATGCGACGGAGATGGAGTGGGCGGCTGGGTATGGGGTTGTGCCGCATTTGGTTCGCATTAGTGTTGGTATTGAGGAGGTTGATGGGCTTGTGCGGGCTATTGGTGATGCTCTTGCGGCGACGGAGGATATACGGGGCTAGTAGTCTTTTGCAAACGGAATAGTTCTCTTGCGAAGTCATGGGTATCAATCGAGGCAAAGTCATAAACATTCATGAAATTGTCATGGACTCCTTCAATCTGCCGGAGGTACTGGCTTGTTCTTTTCTTCTTATGTGACAGAACTCGCCAGATCTACCGCTGGATCCCAGCCCAGTCAAACGGCCTCGTCCCCACCACGCCCTCCTCGCTCTTCGAATCCCACACCTGTACCTCGCCGCACGCAACAGCCTTCTCATTGAAGAACATATCTCGGATCCGCGTCTTCATTGGTTTCCCGGACACCGTGACGGCCACTTTGTCACTAGGCTCCAGAATCCGGAGCATGGTTGGTAATTTGTATGCCTGTAAACCATGCTGGATGGCAAGAGTCTCTCGCAGTTGCGAGAAGTCGAATTCCGAGGCCCTGCCTTTGTCTCTAACCCGGTAAACCAAGAGAGCCGCTACGCGCTGTCCAGCGTGGGAATCAGGCACGCCGAGGACAATGGCCTGGACGACGGAGTCCATCTGTGAGAGGGCGTTCTCGACCTCGAGAGCGTATATTTTCCAGCCGTGGGAGCGGATGACTATATCAGGATGCTATGTGTGAGTATGGGAACAGTTGGATCAAATCTCGTGGCTTTTGTGGAAAATATCGTGGATGCGTTGACTCAAGAATATACTTACCGTCTTGAGAAGCCCGTCCCAGCACGAACAACCTGTCGTCCTCAAGCCGTCCGATATCCCCAGTGCGGTAGAAGCCATCGGAGTCGAAGACGTTGTCCATGATATTCGGGTTGGGAGAAAGGTACCTGCCCATATAATAACCGCATCAGCCAGCCCCCTCTGGTGATTGTCATAGCAGGGAGGTTCCAGAGGCTCTTACTTCTTGAACAGAACCGGGGTCTTAATACAGATTTCACCATCATCGGCAATCTTGACAGTCACTTCAGGCATGCAAGGGCCACACGATTCCTAGTAGCAGTTAATCACTCACTCTAGGGGCTTGACTAAAGAGAGGAGAAAGAGAGAATTCACTCACCAGAGACTCCTCAGAACCCCTCCAACCCGTCATCGCAACGATCCCAAAGTTCTCCGTCAAGCCATACAGCACCATAAGTGGCTTCCCACCCCGTAGCGACGCCCACACCTCCCTCTGCCTTGGATTAACCTGCATCGCACCCGAAGACAGCGCCCTCAAACCCCGGATACCCTCCAAAGCCCCCTCATAGCGATCCGGGGCATTCAAGCGTAGACCTTCGAGATCACTGGCAACAGCATCCAGAAGCGGCGGAGAAAGAAACAAGCCCGTCACCGGAGGCCGGCGCGGATCCTGAAGTCGATCCAGCAGCCAGGCGGGACTAAAAACACCCCCACAAAATTCGAGACACGTTCCCATCAGGAGGCATTTCATCATACTCATGAAGCCGCCGCCCCAGTGTACTGGCTGGTGGTGCAGCCAGGTCTCAGACATGGTCTGCGATACTTCTTTGCTGTGGGATGCTCGGGTGGGCGGGTGTAATTTGTGGGCGCTGTCTCGCGTGTGGAGGACACCTTTAGGAGGGCCTGTTGTTCCCGATGTATATAGCAGGACAAAGCCATTGTCTCCGGGGATTGTGGATGTCGCATCATGACGGGAGTAAAATTGTGGCTGAAAGGCATCGGTGTCAATGCCTTCCTCGCTCTGGGCCCGTTCTCGAGATCGAGATGGGCGAAAAGTGAAGACGGGTACGCTGGAGGCGCGCGATATGGCCTGAGCCTGCTCTGCATTCTCAGGAGTCGTCGCCAGCAAGACGGCATTGCATGTTGACAGGAAATATTGCGCTTCTTCGGGAAGAACTCGCGGTGCTGAAAAAAAAAGTCTCGAATTTAGTACCTCAGCTGGAATGCAACACAGTGCTTCTGACACCGGAAATCCAGAATGAGAAGCAGTACGAACATAGGGGCACCGCCACAGCGCCGATGGCATAGATTGCCAGCGTCAGAACCGCAAAGCCATACCCTCCACCCGCAAGGACAGCCACATAGTCATCATCGTCCTTTTCATGGACCGAAGCACCACGCGCCGTGCGCTCGAGCCGCTGGACACACACAGCATCGCGCAACCTGCCGAGTATTATCAAGACATCATACAAGAACTCAGCGACGGTCCATTCCCGATCAGGGCCAATAGCTGACCGCTCCCTGATCAAGACCGAATCAGGATTCTGCTCCCAGCAATGAAAGACGTCGAGAACGAGCTTCTCAGGGATGACATAGAGACCCTGGGACGAGATCGGCATCGATTTTGGAGGCATCGTCAGAGGTGTGGAGATGAAAGTGTGGAAATGTGGAGCCGCGATCGGCGGTAGATCGAGGGGGAAGAGAGATAGGAGGGCGGGGAAAGGATTGAGGCTATTGATGCATGGATGCAGTAGTCGAAGCCAATCTGGGTCTGAAGAAATGAGGATGTGCGCTGTGCTGGAAAACGTACCTAGACACCGCCAGTTCAATGTTGACGTGTATATCCGATGTTCACGAGTCGATGTTTACTAGCCTACGTGGATGTATATACCGAGAAAGTTATTTTGTGTGCTCACTTTTTAATATAGGCTATGAGGAATATAGGCATAGTCTCCTCAGAGACACCCGCTACACTACGGGATTGTGCAGCCCGCCAACTGGCTCTGAGAGACTCCAGATTGCATGCGCATGCAGACACCTGTGAAACACGACGGACCAACAGCGAAGGTCCCAAGTAGGAAGTGCAGTCTGGTGTTTTGTTGTGCATGCAGATGCAGGGATACTAGCAGTAACAAGCCCATACATCGACATTTTGTAGTGGAGAGAAAAAAGAGAAGTAGATTGTGGATATGACCCAAAATGCAAATACCCAAGCCGTATAGTTCCAATGTATCTTCCCGGTGGATAACGCCTGCAATTCTATGCGACCCACAAAAGCCCTAACCAAAGAGAACAGAACAAAAAAAAAAAGAATAGGAGTTAGAGGCAGATGACAAAGTGTGAGGAGTAACCAGACTCAAGGAAATAGTGGAGGGAATGCAAGAAAGTAAAGCCAGGTATTGAACAAAAAGAGAATCCAAGGGATGGTAGTCGTGACAATCGTAAAGCGCTGAATCCAAGCCAAAATGCAAACAAAGAAAAGTAAAGTAAGAAAATTTCAACATAATAAAGCAAGTCAAAACCACGGATCATCTGGCTTGCAGTTGTGAGGATCTGTCGGACCAACGACCTTAATTTGGGACTTGAGTTGCTCGCGGCGGCGATCCTCTTTGCAGTCGATGATTTTCTTCTTGGCCCCGTCCAATGCCACCAGGACATGGCTCGTGCCATCCTGCAAGGCCCGGACAGCCTCACGGGTATTCTGCTGGAATTGCATCTTCAGCGGAGATGAGAGAGGCGGAGTAGCATTGGTGTATGATTGCGGCGAGGACGGGCCGCTAGCGGGGGCAGACTTGGAGTATTTGGGGAACCGCACGCTGCGTTTCTTAGATTTCTTCGGGGTCTCCCAGATGGAGGAGCCATATTTCTGGTAAGGGGACATGGGCACCGCCAGCTGTTTTGGTCGGTGAGAGGGAATTGTCCGTGGGCTGTTGTAGTAGTCGCCGGCGGTCGGTTCTGTTGCAACAGAGAGTACTCGTAGTTGGGCGTTGACACCCACAGACGAGTTCTGAGTTGCCCAGCCATTGTGGAGTCGCTCGCTGCCACCTGTAAACGAAGTCGGGCTCTGGGGGTCGGTGGGATTAATGGGAGCAGTGGCTGGGCGTGGAGATTCTTTGGGCTTGGTCTCTGGCGAGTCCCTGGAGAGAGTGCGGAGCACATAGGTCTTGACCGAGTCGCGCACATGCACCAACCCTAATCCAGCGCGATCGAGCGAATGCCATCGACTGCGACCTTTACTGAAATCCAAGGCCGGCAGATTCAGACGACCGTCCTTCTTGCGCCGGTTGCCCGGTTGGATACCCGGGCTGACCCGGCCACTAGCCTGCAGGGCAGATGGGGTGGCCAGCTCTGGAAAGAAATCCCATTTCTTTTCACGGAAATAATGATTGGCACCGGCGCGGTGTGGTGTGTACGGAGATGGGCCAGCGTATGGCGGATCCGACGTTGAGGTCCGCGAGATAATTATTGATGAACGGCGTGAATCGAGTGAGTCCGGGTGTGGGTCTGGCGCAGGAATGAACCGTTGTGGGGATAAAGGAGCCGAGCCCAAATGAACAGGATCGGCGGATGGGGCCGGAGGATCGACTAGGTCCCCGAAATCGTCGGAGCCTGAACTGACAAAAATGGGATAGCTTTCGGTGGAATTACGTGGCTCGCTCGGGCTGCCGACAGTGTCGACGGTGCTGTCGCTGTCGCTGGAGTCACTCCAGATGGCAGAGCACTCGATGGGAGCCTCGGGAAGTGGCTTGGCGGGGAGGGGTTTGTTGAGGAAGAGCTCGGAGCGGGTGGGTGAGAGCGGCATTTTGGGAGGAATCACTTGCTCCAGACCTTCCAGCGACCGAGATGGTCGAACCGGAGGTGGCATACGAGTGGCATATGGATATGTTGGAGAGAGCATGATGTGCGGCGGTCGAGACGAGGGATCGAGGGAGAAAAAAGAGAGAATCAAAACGAGACTAAAAATGGGACCAGCATCAAGAGAGGTCAAGAGAGGTCAAGAGAGTGTCGGAAATACATAAAGAAGTGGGCACGAGTCCAAGGAAGAAACGAAGAAGAGGGAAAGAAAAGAGAAGAGGCCGGGGATGAAGACAAAAAAGACGAAGAGGCGGGTTATCTACCCGTTCGGAAGCCCAAGCAAGGAGATCAAAGTTGAACTACCCAAACTACACCAAATTGACCCACTCGGTCTCTCGTCTTCTCAACTGGACTGGTCATCCCTGCTGACGAGCCACGCAAGGCATCATGAGAATCTAACTGAGTTTGGCTGCCTTCATCGTCTCGCGGGTCAATCCATCCGACGGTTTGCGCATCGCACTAAGCCGGCCCATCCGCCGCAACCTGGCGATCATCGCCTCGTCGCCGAAATGACTGTTATGCTCGAACTCGGGCTCCTCCCCATATGCGACCCGCGCTGCATCCACAATCATGCGCGCCGTCATGCCAAAGACGCGATATCGCTGCACTTGACCCTGTTCCTGCCCCTCGACCTGCTCGATGGTGCGCTTTGGCTGGGATGAGGTGCGTGGCTTGTCCCGAACAAAGAACTGGTGCACTAAAAAAAAATCGTTAGACATCCCCACTAGTCAGCCCATGACTCACCCCTATTTTTGATTATTTTTTTTTGATGATTTCTGTCTACTGGCCCACTTAGGCAGAAACAGGAAAAAGGGGAAAAGAAAAATAAGGAACAAAGATCGGCATCGCTCCCCGGGTGTCATGATCCACAATCATCCCTGGGAGATTCTCGCAAACATCCATGAGGTGGGTCTACATCGGTTTGACAAGCCCCCCTTTCTTCCATGCCTTCGGAATCCCCATGTGTCCGCTTAGTTTGGAAGAAAGGGGAGAAAAGGTTTCTTGGGACCCGGGCTGAAAAAAAAAACAAACTAAAACAAAGACTTCAAGGGGACCGAGAGCTTACTGCGCCAGTTGGAGTCGTGCCACAAACTCCACGACCCCCGATACCAATCCCCCGGGTCGTCAGCATCTTGCGCCTCTTCTCGCAGCCGCAGGAAATTGCGGAACGGCGCCGTAAACACCGCGGCCACCTCGCGAGCGTCCAGCTGAGGAATCAGCGACACCTCCGGATCGGCATGCTCCCCTGTCAGCAGATCAGACGAATGAAGCAGCGCGACGCACGGCCGCACGACCAGCTCGGTTTTGGCAAGATTGGCCGGCAGCTCGCAGAGGTGCTCCACGGCGAACGGTCGTGGGAGCGGCTGATCGGTGTCTGGGAGGCCGATCTCTTCCCACGCTTCGCGGCGCGCGGTCTGGAACGGCGTCTCGGCCAGTGAATCTGCTCGGCCTAATCAAACACAAAGTCACTATCACTATCCACTTCATCATCGACGACTGGGCATGAGCTATTTCCTGTCCGGAAGAGAACTACTGAGGGTATAGTGTCTCCCGAGGTCATAGTTCTCGTATTGCGATCAATCCTTTTTTTTTTTTCCTTCTTTTCTTTTTCTTCTAAACTTACCCCCAGGTAAAGCAGCTTCCCCTGCATCTGCCAAAAAAGAAAATCAGAAATTAGCGTGGCCCGCATGTCGTGCAGCATCGGCCGTGGACCTCAGAAACCGGACTGGTACACACATACATGAACTGAGTGTCTTGGCCCGGATCGTAATCACGACCCGGAGCTCGCCCTGACGGTCGGCATACAGCAGCAGCAACACTGCCGCGCGCCGGATCAGTGGCACAGAGTCGTACGCGGTTGGCGGGGGGACATAAGCTCGAAGTCGGTTGATTGCCTCCTGATCGAGATGTTATTATGAGATGTTTCTCAGCAATTGAACCATCACCAATATCAATTGCTCAGTGACGATATCGAGTGGGTTTCTTTCTCTCCCGGGTTGGTTTCAGCGCCAGCGAGGTCATGCGATGAACAGCCCTGAGGTGGGGGGATGACCATCCACGGGAGAAAACAAATGAAACACAAGTCTCAGAGAAGAGACATCCGGGGCTATACAACCCCCAAGGCACAGACACAGACACAGGAAGTGACACCCCCATTCAAGACTGTTGAGACTTGACGCCGAAACTCAAATAGACAAGCCACCCAGGTCATATATAAGACATTGGGTGGGGGAATGCCCTGAGAAGTATACAGTAGACAGGAATAGTGTGTATACATGGAAGACATAGAACAGAGCCCCCCTCAGATACACACAGAGAAACCGGTGGTCCATACCTGAGAAGCGGGATTCAGCGGCGCCATGCTGGTCATCGACCTACAAGTAAGCGACCTGAAACCTGGGCCTGGACCTGGAAATAACCCGTGGGATGCGCGGTTAGGAAGAACAGGGCGGTGCTGTTGTATGGACTGCTGAAGAAGAAGAAGCCGGTTCGGCCGACTCCGCATCGCAGTTTGGTTAGGGATAGAATGAAGACCGGACGTTAAGCCATCGGCTATCTTAGACTGGAGAGGAATGAGATGGGGTTGCTCCACTACCAACTTCCAAATAGCCGAGGTCGGGTGTTGATCTTGCTGGTGACTAATGTAACCCGTTGAAATGCCGGATATTCTGGAGAATTTAATAATATGAGAAGATGTGAAGTGGGTCGTTGAAAAGTGGGAGGATTCAACTTCGCTACCCCCTCCCTCTACGTGACCCCCAGGCCTTCAATACGCGGTACAAAAGAAAGAAAAGAAGAAGGGAGAAAAAAGATAGTTAGAAAAATAGATTAAAAAAGGACTAGAAAAAGGATCAGAAAATAGAGATAAAAAGTTAATAGAATTAAATCATTAATTTAAGACAGAAAAAGATATCGATAAAATATAATAGTAGTAGTAAAATTGCTATCTATATATCTATATATCTAGTAAAGAATAAACCTCTTAAATAGGATAGAATGCAGTTAATAAGCCTTTTAAATCTAATTTTTCTTCTGTACTATATCTTTCAAAGTCGCCTGGGCGAAGCGAAGGTTAACGGCTTGTTCTGGAGAATAGATCTATGTTATTTTTTTCAAGTAGATGGTGAAATACATGAATACACAAGCAACTCCAGACATTTGGTCTATCAGGACATGGATTTTTCCGGTTATATCGCGGTGCTCGACTTCCCCAATTCCACACTTCGCTGGTCAGCCCACATCCCGATGATTGGGACATGGGTCCGAAAAGAAGCAGAGCAGACACAAGGAGACATGGGAGAGGGATCAAAATGAGCGGATGAGCAAGACAGCCAGACGGGAGAGGAGGAGAGGAAAGAGAAAGGAGAGGGGGAGTCTATCAACATAGCAGAGAGTAACACAGGATCAGAACAGAAGAGAGAAGAAAAGACGCAAGCAACAAAAAAAAAAAAAAAGATCTATATGACAGCAGCATGAACACCCAGAGCCGAAGATAAAAACACAAAGCTATTCATCAAAAGCCTTACGAGCTCTCGCTCGTCTTCTTGCCCTCCTTGGGCGTGTCGGCCGACCCGGCCTGCTCGGATTCGGCTCGCTGACCCTCAGACAGAGCCTCGCTAGCTTCAGCAGACTGCTGGGAAGAGTTGCCAGATGTGGCCTCGACCTTAGTTTCTTCCTTGTCGTCGATGTCCTCGGTGTCCTTGGGCGCGGTGACACCCTTGCCCTCGTTCTCGCTGTTCTGCTCGTTCTCCTCCTCGATGAGCTCTTCCTGCTCCTTGATGACCTCGAGACGTTGCTTGTTAGTGGCAGCGCCCTCGGCGTTATGCACCTCGAGCTCGATCTCGTGGAAGAGCTCCTCGGGGATACTCGAGAGCACCGACTTGAGCGCGTCGATCTGCGACGCCATCTCCGACTCCTTGCCGCCCTGCGTGTACATATACGCATTGCTCAGGACCAACAGCGTGGACGGGACGCCCTGCTTAAGACGTAGGTCGAGCCACATGGAGATATCCTCGCGCAGGCGCGCGGGCGACACTCCGTGTGTACGGATGCCACGCGACGCGCAGGCCATCTGCAGCTCGGGCACAGACAGCGAGTCGACACTCTCGTAGAAAATCGCGCGGTCATCCCGCTTGATCTGGCGCATGCGGTGTCGGATATTGTAGCGGAGCATGGCGTCCGTACCGAACGAGTTAAGGTTCATGTAGCGGCAGATGGCCACCAGCTGCGGCCGCGACAAGTTGTCCAGAGTCAGATCATCCTTGAAGATCTTGCAGACCTTAATAACATCCTGGGTCGACGGAGACTCGCCCGTGGTACGGATCTTGCGGAAGAAATCCGCGAATTCCTCGTTCTTTACCGTGGCTGCCGTCAGCGGCAGACCGGTCTCCCGCAGAGTGTTCCGGAGGAACCCAGAAACCTCCTTGCGGGTCGAGGAGAGGTTCAGGGCCTTGGTCTCACGGGCCTTCTGGCCCTCGTAGGTGCTGGGTAGGAGGTTCGGGAAGATCTTCAGGGCAACGGGGAGCAGCAGCTCCGCAAAGGGAACGATCAGGAAGACCGAGAACGGGACCAAGCGGCCCAGATCCTTGGTAGTGCGTTGAAGCTACAGCCCACAAAAAGACGTTAGCTTGTCATACCCACAGGGATTCCAGCGTGTCAAACAAAACGAACCTGGCGGTGCTCTCTCCGGCTCAGCTCATAGCCTCCCGCCATCTTCAATGCCAGCCGGGAACTGATCTTAACCTCTGTAGCCAACAGCTTCGTGCCATCCCAGTAGTGCTGCACCTCCTTCTTGATCTTCTGCCCCATAGTCAAGTTCTTAGTCTCCTTCTTCTCCTCGGCCACCTTCTTCTGGTCTTCCGTCGCCTTGGCCACGGTCGTTTCGCGCGCTTGCGTATTAGCATCGCTCACGGTGTGCGATTGAGACTTCGAGGCAGCGGGCTGAGTCGCCGATTGCGAAGACGAGCTCTGATCCTGAGGCAGCGGCTTTTTCGCTTGCTCGGCGTTGAAGCCAGGAGGCGGATATGACTGGGACGAGGTCGATGTGGATTGCTCGGTCGCATATCCGCGCTGGTGGGGGATCAAAATGGCGAGGGCCGACACTTGCGATGGGATACCGCGTCCGTTCCATAGCAGGGTGTTGGCCGTAGCCACCGAGGCCGGGCCCAGTGCGCTGGCACGAGTGCGCGCTGTTCAAAAAGAAGTTGAAAAGTCAGTCGCCTATCATTTATTCATTTATATCTTCTTCCGGGATTGTTTTACCAGTCAGGCTAGGCCGCAGGGCCGTGGTGTTGCGCACCAGTCGGGCCGATCTCATCGTGGCGGACATTTGCGGAAATGGTGAGGCGAAAAAAAAAAGGAAAACGCTCGAGGCGACGAGCAGAGAGGAATGGGCCGCAACGATGGGGAGCGTATTAAATCAGGAGTTCACAAAAACCAAGAAATGATCCACATCAAACATAAATCGATGGAAATGGCAAATTGCAAAGAAGTGCTGGCTGAGGTGTTGTGATGCACGCCGGGGGTCATGACTTCACGTGACTGCATGCGGTCTCGGCCTACCGGAGCTAAGCTCGGCCTGGCGCATCGGGCATTCCAGGGATTACATATTTATGAGATGAGATAGATCAGATCTTCATTCTAAGTTGAGGCTATAGTGGCTAGTTGGCAAAATCATTATTGGCATCCCGTAAAATAGGTGCATGGCAATGTGAACACATCAATCCAACACAGTAGATGAGCCGAATCCAAAACGGAAATCCAAAAACACGGGTGTAACGACGGGCGGTCTCGATATAGCGGGGACGAAATGTGCATACGCCGGGGTATCATCAACGAAAGACTTGAAAAAGAAAGAAAGAAAGAAAGAACGAAAAAAAAAATGTTGCCGGCGCCTAATTTTTCTCATTTCTCTCACGGGCCACCGGTTCACCGGATTGACCAGTGTTGACACCCGACGACGAAGCCTCGCCAGCATCCAAGGGCGGAATGCGGTCAATACTTGAGGGCTTCCCAGGCTGGGAAGGGACTTTGCGTGGCTCAATGGAGGGGGTGTTCTCCGGGAGAATGAGCGGGCTGGTGGTGGCCTCGGGAGAACTCTGCCAACGAGCCACGTCTCGCTTGAGCTGCTCCATCTCCTTCTGAAAACGCTTGCCAAAGACATCAATGTAGTAGGTTGCTCCGTTGTGGATGCTCCAAACAAACAGGGCGGTGATGAACACGCCGCTGGCCGTTCGGTACCAAAACCAGATGGGGCATGGGATCATGGTCGACAGAGCATACGAGTATTGGATCAACATGAAGAATGGCTCTTGCAGGGATTCAGGAAGGCTCAAGACAAAACGGCCAATCCACGCTTTGGAGTACGATTTGCGCATCCAAGTGAAACTGGTCGGACGCCCTGCCGCGATCTTATCGGCTCGGCGCACGCTGATCATGAAGTGGTACAACAGCTGCCAGACAATGTATGGTACTGTAGCCCAAATCATCATGTCACCGAGCGAGTAATGCTCCGGGTCCTCGGGATTACTGAACTTGATGGCATAGACGGCCGGGAACCGTTCCTGGAGCATCTTAACCGGGGTCAAGTGGACGATACAGTGCAACGCAGTCGGCGGCATAATATGGATAAACAGGCTACAAGAGACTGGGTTAGCTAGAGGTCATCGCAAAGCTATGAGCATAATAGAACATACCTGACCACCTTATCCATGCTGTGGAAGACCATAGAATTGCGCCACATAGCAATTGCGACCGCATTATTCCCAAAGGTCAGACAAAACGTACTGATGAACAGCCGTTTGGACTGGGGAAGACCCAAAAGCTCAGCATACAAAGCAGGTTGACAAAATAACAGAGATCCGCCAGGAAGTAGTGGTAGCCTTTGGCGTGGTAGGTGTAAAACCGGATGGGCATGAAATATGCCAGTTGAGCACTGAACCAAATGTAAAAGTACTCGGGACAGGCGCCGATCAAATAGCCGCTGATGAAGATATTGAGCACGCCGGCAATGAACGAGACCTTCTCCCGCAGGGTGACGGTAGCGGTCTTATTCCACTGCTTGCCCAGCCGCTCCACTCCATCCCTCATGCGGCGACGGTACTTTTCGAGCTGCTCGTCGGCAGTGGGGACGCGCCGCTTCCACTCGCCCACGACGCGGTCCTTGGCGTTCATCGACGTCGACTTGATCCTCTCGTGCTGCCGCCGGACCTTCGCCCTCTGCATATTGATCGTCTGCTGCCATTTCTCCAGACGCTGCGAGAGCTGGATGTTGTCGAGCAGGTCAAAGATGGTCAGCTTGTCCAGTGGCGGGAACGTCTCCCAGTCCTCCTGGTACGAGCTGCTGTTGGAGAAAGACGGGTTGCGCGACAGCTTGCCGGGGGAGGCGGGGGGCGAATAGAAGTCATCTTGGTCGGCGAAATCATCGCCAAAGGGCGTGTCAAGTTCGACCGAGGGCGTGGACGCGAGCGACTCCGCCATCGTAGAATCAGACCGTCTGCGTTCGCGCAGGCTGTTCTCCATCAAAAACTGCTGCTGCAGAGAGAAGATGGTCGGACCGTCCCGCAGGTGAGGGTAGGGCCGGCTGAGGAAACGACCAAACGTCAGCATGCCCATGTTGACAATGTAGATAGTAATGCCTGGCAAGAGAGACAACGCCTCGAGCTTTTGGCTCTTATCTAGAGCCCTCGGGGGTTCTTGGAGGGGAACAGACCCTACCTTATCAGCCGATGGGTTGGTTCACGAGGCGACGAGGAAGAACTGTGGTTGGCGATCCAAACAATCACACCACCGTATACACTCGAGAAGGACGAGCATCCAGCAAGAAGAAGCGGTCTCCCCTTGTGCTGGCCACGCAGCTGGTGGTTGGTTGGGAGATACCGGGCGCGTGTCCAATCACCGCGCCGCGTCAGAGCACCCGGTGGCCTCAGGCGTGATTGCCTGAGGCACCGAAGTATTCAGTCCATGCGACAGTGGGATATCTCTCTATCTCTATGGATACCCAGGCTGTGACTCGATTATTTGAAATACTCAACAGTACAAAAAGAGCATACTTGATTTTTCGTGGATCATCAGGTCCCCGTCCATTACTCATTCTTGGTCATTACACTCTGCCCTAGATCGTCTTGCATTATATCAAGCCCATGTCCCGCAAGAAATCAGCTCCCAAGAAAGAAAGAAATAAGGAACAAGAGAAGGGAAAAGAAATATTTTTGATCGCTCATAACAGCACCAAAAAGAGAAAACAATATTAATATCCATACTGCGACCCAGGGTTGCCATGGGGTTCACTCGGCCAAAACCCCGAGGTGCGATCCGGGGGAATAAACGACTGAGAGAAGTACCCGGTCATGTAAGATGGGTCAGTGGGCAAGGGTTTCGGGACGCTGGAAATATCGTGAGGCAGCACAGACGGTGCCATGCCCAATGAGTAGGATCCAAATCCACCGGTCGTTGGGCTATGCGGTCCACTGGACTCGCTGGTAGCCGGCGACAGCGGGAGACCTTGCACATGGCAGTGCGGTTTTACTTCGTCCAGAGTCGGGATGCTGTGTTCGTCGCTTGGGTCTGGCACGTCAGGGTCTGAGGTCGGTACGGCATGTGGAAGGGACGACAGCTCTTCTCCGTCCTGGTAGATGGCCTCGGGCAGGTGGGTTTGGGTCACCTGGACCAGTGTGTTTGCCTCTGGTTTTGGTTAGCATGGTGGTTTTTTCTCCTCCCTTTATTTACCATGGATAGTTACTGCTTGGGCATACGTACCGACTTCGCCATCGAGGAATCGTTCCTCCATCTGCCGCACGAAATAAATCTCGTCCAGAACCTGGAGTCGATTGGTAGGAGTGATCTGACGCCTCACGTCCTGGCTTGCATCTCGCAGCTTGTCCGCCGTAACGCCATGGCTATCCTTCAACTCGCAGAGGATGTGAACAAGCAGGCGCAGTCGATCTGGGATTGGATCAGAGGCCAAACTTTCATTAACCATACTATAAACAAGACACCTACCGCGTTTCAGCAGATGATCCGGTTCCCGATGCAAAACACCAGCTGGCCACCAGCCAGGCTTGGTAAGTTCAGGGTCCACACGCTGAGTGACACCCGAGATCACCTTGCGGCCATTGTATGGGTAATGGACTTGCTTTCGGGGCTCGACGAGCTTGATATATGACTTGGCAATGGCGCGGCAATTCAGCTGCTGGAAATCCTCGAACGCTTTCTCATAGTACCGTCGCAGCAGATCGCGGTTCCCCACTCGGAGGATGGTCCGTCCCGACGGGGGCGTGGGCGGCGGCGAGGAAGACTTGGGCCGAGGTCTTGCCATGCCCGTACGTTTCATGTCGCGTCGTTTCCATCGGCTTTGCTGGGATTGCCACTCGCAGGGAATGAGTTCGGCTGGTCGCGTCAGGCCGGCTGGCATCCATTCCGGTCCTGGGTGTACACCCCATGGGGTTTGAGGGGATGGATTCGCCGGACCTGCCAGAGATGTATAGGTCAGCTGGCGCTCGAAGCATAACATTTGTGCAATTCATGGACTGTGGCTTACTAGTACTCAACTGCGAACCACTTTGAGGCGTCGGTGCGGCCATTTCCATGAATCTGTCGGCCACGTCCGGGGTGAAGATGGCGCCTCCGCAGCCTGCAATCGACGGCGAGGCCTCTACCTGAAGCTTGCCATTGTGATCGAGGTAGAGGAGGGCGAAATGCGGGTGCGGGAAATCGGCGTTTGTATTTTTGGGAGATATTGACTATCCATGAATCCGTCAATGGACTGCTCATACTATCTCGGGAGCAAGATGGGTGAATTACCATGTCGAAAGACGATTGGGGCATGGAAGTCTCAGAATGCCTTCTCTCCAGTCCATCCACCATCGCCGGGTTTGAACAATTCAAATCCATGGGGGAAATGCGCAGCTCTGAGGCCTCTGAACAATAGCAATGGGTTGGGAAGTCAACTCGTCGATGAATGGTATTAGTTTGGAATAATTTCCCTCGTCTGAGTGCTAGCAAAGCACAATATACGAACAGGGGTACAACCAGCAATGGATATAAAATCCGGGGCCACCGACGAGATAATTATACCGGCGGGAGAGCAAGTATGGGTCGAGCAGATCCCCGAAGGACCCGCCAGCATTGGCAGGTCTCCACACGGTGTTCTCTGAGGATGCCAATCGGTTCCATCCGGGCTGATGCAAGGAAAGAAAAGAATAGCCGCAGAGTCAGTGTGGTCTGTGGCAATAAGGCGAGACCTCTGGTCTTTTTTTTTTTTTTTTTGCCTGAATGCGATCGGATCGGCAAGAGCACAATCCCCCTCCAGATGGAGGGCAATGCTCCAGCTAAAACGAACGCATTGACGCTTCCCGGGATCCCCGCCAGGTAGGGCTGTGTATCTTGCATCTCGTATCAGCGACGGACCCTTTGATTTGCGCGTCCTAGACAGCCATGGTTCGAACAGTTCGGGGGAACCGAGATCACCGCCTCATGTTGCTGGGATTATTCGCCAAAGTTTTCTCTGGCTGATTTCGAGTCTAGACCTGATGCCCCTGTCAAAGAACTTGTGGTTATTTTCCACGTCGCTGTCGATTCGTTTATCTTGGAAGCTCCAGTAGTGGCACGGCATGTCGAAGACCGAGTGCGGGTGCAAGACAAAGTACCAAACTGCACCAGATCGAGAGATCGTCCAATGGTTCCACCCAGGAAATAGCTGCTTATCGAATCATGCTGGACGACTGTCGATCGTCGGAGTCTGGAACTAAAAGAACGGGGGATGTACAGTACGCCTCTGAGATCATCAGATGCAGGAAAGAGAGAGAGAGAGAGAGAGAGAGAGAGAGAGAGAGAGAGAGAGAGAAGTGCACAGACTCACAAACTCCTACATTAGGGCAACTCAATAGTCTCCCTATAATCCACCTAATCTGAAACTCTTCCGAGGATCCCCCATCAGACCTAACGGCCTACAAATGACTTGGAATTGGCGACTATCAAGTCCTATTGACTGGAGATCGGATCGTATTTTATGATTCTACTCATGATTCTACTCGAGAGAAGTCCAGACTCGAGTATCCATGATTTTTGCTTCACTTGCTTATTTCTAGGGACATTCCAAATTCCTTGGCATATTGCATGGAGGCACATCGGAAGGAAATCCTAGAAACCCACGGCCGTGTCGCTAAGATTGACCTGATCAAGGGAGAGAGGGCCCACCCAGTCGGATAGTCCCCATATCCCGAATTGACAGTTGTGACTGGGGGCAAACTCGCAGGTCGTAAACCCAGAATTATTATTCTGATTATTATTATTCTAATCGCGGAACAATATCCTCGATATTCCGCGTTTCTGTGGAGTAAACCATGAAAGACTCTGCGAAGTATATTTCATCGCCACCAAAAAAGCATCTGTCCCCTAACAGTTCTGGCTGTTTTTCGCAGCGAGATATTGCCATCTAGACCAAGCCACGCTGTCATGGAGGATACACCCGGACCTCACCATTCGACTGCGATCATTTGAGGCGCATTCGATTATGCGGACCAATGCCACTCTGACTTGGATATGTAGTGTAGCCCGTCTTTGGAATATGGTCCTACGACATCCATACCTCAGGGTTGAAATAGCGCCATTCATACTCTACATAATCTTTCTATCTTTCAATGTCTCTCACGCGGACACCTCGTATTGCGAACCAAAGACTAAGAGTCTGGAATGTTTGGTATCTTTGCTCCACGTCGATCTGGATACAAAAAATGAAACCCAAAAAAAAAGGCAAAACATGGCTGATACGCAGCTTGGATCTTCTGAGTCGCATTGCAAACCCCGTCACAGCCCGTCTCCCCCTCTCCGATCTCTGACGACACCCAAGAAAAGTGACGCGAGAGAGATAGCCGCCCCCTTGCGTAGGGGATGGATGTGTGGATGTGCGGGGATAATCCAACTCAAGAGAAACTAATCTCTCACAGCATGGATGTGGTTCAGGGGGTTCTCTGTGCCAAAAGTACACGTATGTGTGTGTGTGGAAAAGACTGTATAGTGTTGGTCCATAGCCAGAATGCAGCAACGAAGACCCCTGGTTCCAGGAAATGTCCCTCATAAGATCGACATTCTGTACAACAGTTTACAGCAGACACCTGGGAGCTCTCGAAGTTGGCTCGGCCGAGGTATTTCTTTTCTTTTCTTTTCTTTTCTTCTTTATTTTTCACAATTTTATGATTTCTATTACTACTGTCATATTTCCTATTCCCCGAGGCCTGCGCATTCCCAGACTCATAGGGTTAGGTAGCGGTGAAGTAGCGTACGTGTTCTATCTGGGGGTTTGAACAGGATTTGGACGAAGAGTCGAAAAAAAAAAAACAAGTATTGCGATGCTTTCTGCATCCGAGGAACTTCTAGCTCTATCCCAGGATCCCAGAAAGACTATCTACGTCGATCTTAAAACATACTTTTTGGTGAGCTGACTCGGGCTATTCGTCGTGGCTGATGGTTTCAAGAGAGGATGTGGATCCTACTGACTCGAGATAAAATACTAAAATAGAAGAAGCAGAATAATAATAATAATAATAATAATAACAATAGTGCTAAGCCTAATTTTCATACATAATGCCATGCGAATATACGTGTATGCCTGGTGGGTTGCCACTTCGCCGAGTGCCCTAACCTAACACCGTACCTCCCTGTAACTAACGGTAACTAAGGAGGTGTGCCCCTGCATATCAATCATCCGATTCCTTTTCCTGTGGCCAAGGCAGCTGAATATGACTATCGGTGATGCTGTGTATCTTTCCTGATATTGCTTTGCTGCCTCGTAACCGCCCCTGCCGCCACCATGCTCCGTGTACCACATACACCACATCTACATACTGTAGTTCGTCCTCGGGTGCCTGTGGGATCGGCAAATACGCTGCAATGCGGAGTCACAGCTGAAATCCAAAAGACCGAGTGGTGGCAAGAGACCTCCCGTCTGCCTCGGGAGAGCAAATACAACAGAAGCTCGTTGATTAAGACGATTCCACGATCCTATCATCGCGCGGCATTCGACTCGGCTACTAGCAGAGAGAAAACCTTTCGGTCTGGCTCAATAATCTACACGAGATGAAAGAAAGTTAAAAAGAAAAGGAAGGAAAGTATCATCATGCAATCCACGCAAATCTCGCTCAAGCCATTATGTGTACTTCCGAAGCTGTGGAGAACGTCAGTCTCGAATTCGAAAAGAGAGAGAAAGAAAGAGAGAGGCTAATGCCCAACTTACATCAAGCGTCAAAGATTTGCTGCTGTTCTCAACTTGGTCTCGAAAGATGCCCACCAGAGCCTCACTGTTCTGGAACAACCCGGTCTTCAAACTGATCACAATGAATTGCATACCAGGCGCGGCGTGGTCATGGATGTAGTTGGCAATGCGAGCCACGTTGGTGTTGTCGAGAGCAGCGTCAACCTCGTCCAGCACAAAGAATGGCGACGGCTGGTACGAGTGAATGGCAAAAAGCAGAGCAAGTGCGGCCATGGTCTTTTCACCACCCGACAAGTGCTCCATGTCTCGGAACCGTTTCAGCGGAGGCATCGCGTGGTATTTGATACCGTCGAGGTAGGGCTCGTCCGAGTCTTCGATATCCAGATACCTTCAGGAGGTGTCAATAACAATCTTAAACCGGCAAAGAGCAGAAAAAGAACTCACGCTTGTCCACCCAGCGGGTAATTCGAGCTGCGCGTCAGTTCGCGGTAGATTGGGCCGATCTGCTCGGATATGTGCGTGAAGGCCTTGTTGAAAAGGTCGGAGCGCTTTTTCATGACAGCCTCAAACTCCTCCTTGGCCTTACGAGCCTGCTTCCGTGCAGTTTCAAAGTCCTTTTCGGTGCCACGGAGCTTGTTCTCGACGCTCTCCAGGCGCTCCATGGCCCGAGCATTCGGGGCCATCTTGTCCAGCTCGCCGTTGAGAACGCGAACCTTTTCAAGAAGTTCTTCTTCAAGCTTGTCGTCGGCCTCCTGCAATCTGATAAGTATGTGTAAGTTCAAAAACCAATGAAAAGTGGCATACCTCTTTAAGAGTCTCGCCTAGAGAGTCGAAATCGACCTCAATCCCATAGTCTTGCACCACAGGAGCCTCATCATCTTCTCCATCAGCGCCGTCGACATCCATGGCGTCAGGATCCGCGGCCTGCACGAGGTCGTCAATGGGCAACTTGTCGAGTGCATTGGAGGAGTCGGTAAGAGGGAGGTCGATATCTTCAAGTTTGCACCGTCGTAGGAGAGCATAGCGACTAGATGAATTTCGCTGAATCTCGGCTTCGAGGGTATTGACATTCTTCAAAGCTGCTTCGACATGCTTGCTGCGCTTTTGGAGTTCCCTGCGCTGCTCCGCCAGTTTCTCAGCCGACTGACCATAGATCTCTTTCTGGTGCTCGAGAGCCTCTCGCAGTAGGTCAAGTTCAGCACTGAATTCATCCAGTTGGTTACGGATTTCGTCCTGCTGGCCCTTAAGTTCTTCAATCAGGCTCATGTCACGCTCGTACTGGGCTTTCAGACCGTTGACTCGGTCATCTGTGGCCTGAATACGCTGCTTTTCGAAGCTGAGCTGGTTCTCGATGCGGCTCTTTTGCGTAGTGAACTCGAGCTTCTTTTGCGAAGCCTCTTCCAGCAGAGAACCTTGGTGCGCCTCATATTCCCGTATGTTGTCATACCCCAAGCGCTTGCAGAACTCGCGGTAGATCTCATCTTCCACAGTGCTGACGGAAGCCTGAGACGTCTCGATAGTCTCGTCCAGTTCGTCCAGGGTCTCCTTTCGTTCAGTATATTTGGGCCGCAGGTCTTCCATCTGGCGCTTGACGAAGTCGAGCTGGCTCCGCTGGCTCTCCAGGTTGCGTTCCAGGGCCTTCAGCTCATCTCGAGCATAGGTTAATCGCTGCTCAAGACCAACCAGTTCGCCCTGTAGTGTCTCCTCTTCAGAGCCTCGACGATGGCTCTTAGGGAGGTTTGCGAGATCACCCATGAGCCTCTCCTTCAACTTGTAAAGGTTCTCGACTTCCGAGTCTTCCCAACGCTTGGAGTTTTGCTGATTGCCACGACCACCAGTCATAAGACCACCCTTGTGGATAACTGTACCATCCAGGGTGACGGCCTTGGCGTCCACGTTTCGTTCATAGCACAGATATTTGGCAGTTGCCAGGTCATCACAAACAATTGAGTTCCCGCAAGCGTAGATAATCGCGCGCGAAACCGAGTCATCGTAATCAACAGTTTCAATCGCGGGACGCATTGCCCGATGCATACCCTTCAAGCTCGAATTGAATGCCTTGACTTGAATAGTCTCGAGGGGGATAAACGTCGCCTGGCCCGCTCGTTGGTCGCGAAGATGCTGGATACATTCCTTGGCGGTCTTTTCGTTATCGACCACAATGGCGTCGAAGTGCCGTCCGAGCACTGTGCTGACCGCTTCAGAGTATTTCTTCTGCTTGGGCCGGCAAAGGTCACTGACGCGGCCCTTGACACCAGGAAAGATGCGCTTCAGGGTCGAAATCAATTCCTTGGCTCGAATCTCTCGCTCGTTCTGTTTCTTTCCGTCATCGGCTTCAAGTAATTTGCGCAGCACAACCTGAAGCTTCTCTTCCAACTCCGTTCGCATCTGCGAGGCCTTCAAGCGTTCCGACGTGAGCGCATTCAGGTCCTTTTTTTGTGCTCAATCTCCGTGGAGGTGGTCTTGATGTTGCTTTTGAGGTTCGACCTGCGGTCATTCATGTTCTGCGCTTCGGACTCCAGGTTCTTTAATTGCCATTCTGTATTTTCGAATTTCCCCTTCAAGCTGTTCACTGCTTCAGCCTCGGTCTTCCTTTGCCGCCGAAGGTTGTCCAGATTGAGCTGATCCGCCGACAAGCGCCGGTTCACTTCTTCCCGAAGCTTATGGTACTCTTGCTGGTCGGCTTCACTCAACTGACCACCTTTCTTGCTCATGGCCTTTTGCCATTCGGCTTCCCATTGAGCCTGGGCTTTCTCAACAAGCTTGAGATTCTTCTCGAGTTGTTTGGCGTTACTGGATTGAGAAGAGCGCTCGTGATTAATTTCATCGATCTTCGAGGAATACCGTTCGGCCTTTTTGTAGGTGATGTGAACCTTCTCGTCGACCGGCACCAGCGAGTTGTTGAGCTCCTCGATTTCCTTCTCTTTCCTCATAATGGTTTTCTCGGCTTTCCCGACGTCCCTGCCCACTCGCGCATGATCTTTCTTAGCGTCCTCAACATTGTGCTCGTATTTTTCAACGCCCCGGCGGTATTCCTTGAGCTCATCCTGGTACTTCTGAATGTCCGCACTGGACGCGTCTATCAAGCGTTGGAAGTGGAAAAGCTTCCAGAGGATGTGAGTGATGATGGCCTGGTCACGCTCTTCGGCCTTTTTTGCGTAATTCTCGGCCTCCCGCTTCTGCTCCTGGTATTGCTTCACCTCGGAGTTGATTCCTCGGCGACGATTGAGCTGGACGGTCTGTTGTTCCGCAGCCTCCTCCGCCTCTGCCTTGAGTTTTTCGTAGTCGGCCTTGTGCTCCAAGCTGCCAGAGATCTGCTCAATCAACCGAGTAAGGTCTCTGGGCGACTGCGACGCGATGGCCTCGACGTCTCCCTGGAACACAAGAAAGTTGCGAGCCTTGATCAAGATGTTTTCCTCTTCCAAAGCCTCGTTGTATTGCTGGGCGGTCACAATGCGGCTGTTGATGCGGTACTCGCTGACTCCTTGGTTGGTAATGGATCGGCGCCATTGCTGCTCCTCACCTGCATCGTCCTCATAGACAGCCATCACCCAAGCAGTTTTGGGATCATGCAATTCACTGGCATCCTGCGACGCGTTCGTATTGTCGGGCTCGTCTTCTTCCTCTTGCTCTCCATCTTGTTCATCGGGCTCAGGCCCTCCCTCCACTTTTGACGTACGCAGAACGCGACCACGGTAAACGAGATCGCGAAGATTGGTCGAGCGCAGGTGAGACGATTTTATTCCTAGAACAAACGAAATGGCGTCCATCCTAGCGCGCGTGTTAGCAGAGGCATTTCCAGAGGGGAAGTATCCACGAACGAATTCGACTTGCCAGACCCGTTGGGGCCGATAATTGATGTGAAATAGGCATCTCCGAACAGCAGGACATGGTGTCCCTTGTAAGACTTGAAATCTAAGAACAAAGTGAGCAGGTTTTCGCGCACCGAGTCTTAGGTGGCTGCCATACTGAAAAGCTCCAGCCGAATGAGTTTCCCCATTTTGCGACACAGCTTCCCGGCGGGAGCACGCGCAGAGGGATTCCAGGCAAGTAACTGATTGAGATCGCCTCAAGGGAAAGCGTCGATGTTGAACGGGGACGGAGCGGAGAGGGGCGCGCTGGGTATCGCGTTGACGCGCCGGCCAATCACGTGGCTCCGCAACTCGAGTCGCACGAGTTTACATCTACTCTTGTTGCATGTTCAATTCATAAATCTATAATATGCTACAGGATTTATATTGCTGCTCAAAAAGATTATTTGGATGGATGAGTATGGTTACAAAAGGAAGCCCGGAAGCCAGGCCCAAGGGAAATAATTAGACATGATCAAGAACTATACATCCCCAGCATCACATGGAAGGCTCAATTCTGCGATGGCATATTGTACTCCACGGGATTTCCAATGGCCAGCAACTCACGCGCAACAAACCCATTGGAGTCCATTCGGAAGGTGCCGTTATGGCCCTGAACCTGCAGGAGGATAATATCCTCGGTGGTGAAGACTTGTCGCATTGACTGGAAGACTTTCCACAACAAATAACTCAGTTTTTTGGCGGGCGACTTGAAGAAACTCGGCGGGGGGTTGTTTGCACCCCCAATCCGCTGGGAGTCCCTCTGGTAACGCTCCATGTTCTCTGGCGAGACCACCAGCCGGCGCGAAAAAGCAATTTGCTGCGGCACCACTTCAAACTGAAACGGCTTTTTGAATGGTATCATGGATCGCACGGTGAAGCGGACCTGGGGCCCGGCTTGAGACTTGACCGCGGTGATGCTTCGGATTATGTTGCCGGTTCGTGTGAGCAATAAAGTGCCACCGGCGCTCATCATAATACAGATACCACCGAAGAGAACTTTCTGCCACGTTGGTCGAGGGACAATGGGATCACGGAAGGTCACTTTGGAGTTGTAAACTGAATAGGCAAAGCAGCCTGCCGCAAGGCTATACGCAGTGAAGAGGTAGACGTTCTGAGAGGGAGCTTTGTATAATACCACCTCCCCCTCTCTCGATATCTTCATCGCCAGGCTACCAAGCCCCTTTGGTCTTCGGCCAGCGAATTGTAACGAAGGTTCCTCGGCTTCTTTCGGCGCAGCCTTCGCTGGTGAGGGCTTTGCGGCCTTGCAACGAAAGGCGCTAGAGTTGAAGGATCGCCATGATACAATTGTGTGTGTTGAAAGGCCAGGACGAGTAGATTGCCCGGCCCAGCGGTACCATAATATTTGAAAGGCGCGTGGTTTGGCGGACATTGTCAAGCTAGAGTTGCCTACGAGAACATTAGCACAGGCACCGGGAAAGGCGATACAATGGACCAGATTAAATTCCACAATTAGGTCGAGACTCGTAAATGCAGGCAGATAAAGAGAAATGGAACTTACATGGGCGTTGGTCAATTGAGCTGTTGTCCTCGGAGAAGCAAGCAAGTCGAAAACAGCCGCGGCGGCAGAAAAATGTTCCCGTCCCGGCCGCCGGTGAAGCTCCCAACCGTCCTCAACACCTCCGACATCATTGCAACTGATCTCGCGCCAATTCTTCTCCTCGCACCGAAAATTTTCACCCGGGATCCTGCACGCCTCGACGTGGTGGTGGCCTCTTGGTCGATCGAGCTTGTCTCTGCCGAACCCTTGCACGGAGGGTTGCGCCATCGTCTGAACATTCCCATCGGTCGCCCGGCATCCACCACACTTCCACAACCAACCCATATCCTCATATAAGATGGCTGCCAGGATCACTGCGGGCCAAGTGCCGGCTATGTTTGCCCGCCGGCAACCAACGGTGTTCCTTGCCTCGCGACGTGAGTTGCCCGATCTTCGGAGCGATTGCGCTTGCAGCGAGCCAACCGCCACCTTGAAATCGAATTGCTTGCAAAATTATTCTCTCTTTTTCATGGAAAGATAGCAGAACAGAAGCTAACCCATTGATTCACTTAGGCATGCAATCCTCCTCTGCTCCCCAAACCCAGAACCCCGCCTATCCGCTGTACCCCTCGGTGATCCAGCTGCTGCACCAGAAGGGCATCCCGGACTCGGAAGTGTCCAAGATTCCCGCCTCGGGCCCCAAGGGCCGCCTCCTGAAGGGCGACGTCCTCGCCTACCTCGGCCAAATCGCCGCCGACTACCCGTCGACCCAAGCCGCACAGCTGGCCAAGCTCACCCACCTGGACCTGAGCAACATCAAGATCGCCCCGGCCCCGAAACCGGCCGCACCCGCCCCGGCCGAGAAGGAGGAAGTGGTCGCCAAGCCCCCGCCCATGGCGTCAATCGCCATTTCTGTCTCCCCTGGCCGCCGTGCTGTCCGCTCAGAAGAAGCTCCAGGAGTCCCTGGGCGTCACAGTGCCGCTGTCCCGGTTCCTGGCTGTGGCCACCGACCTCGCCAACGACGATCTCCCGCGCTCTTCTAGCGCCAAGCCCTCGGCCGACGAGCTCTTCGACGAGGTCCTCGGCGCTGACCCCGTTCTCACCTCCCGCGGCCACTACCTGCCGGAATTGAATGCCGTCGAGAGTCCCGCGCCCTCGCGCCAGCAGAAGGCCGTGAGTGAAGATATCATCGACATCCTGAGTGCCAAGTCCCAGCGGAAGACTGTGTCTTCACCCATAGTGGAAATCCCATCTGGCGGGGCTGCCAACGTGTTCAGCTTGACCGTTCCAGTCGGTGACGAGGTGCGCGCCAAGGAGTTTTTGGAGCGGATCAAGACCCTGTTGCAGGTGGAGCCTGCCAGGCTGGTACTTTAAATTCCCTTATTCTCTGTTATAAACCCCCCCCCCCTTTTTTTTCTAAAGCTCTTTTTCCTTTGTTCTTTGATGTCATCTCGCCTCCGATTGCTGGGGATTCAAGGCTCTTTGTATTTAGTGTAGCATAGATAATCGGATACCGCCTTGATTGGTTCTTACTTGTGTCGCAGGGGTCTTGTCGAGGATCTTGTGGAGTGTATACTGTTATAATTGAAGGATAGATAGACTGCAAGGTTTGCACATTCACGTATTGATTCCTAGCATGGCTGGTTCTCATGCAGGTAAGATTGTAGAGATCTCTCTATCAACTCAGATGTCAAGTGCCGTCGCATCAACGTGAAACGAGATGCAGGGCAAATGAGAAGCGCAATGCTCGAAAATCCAAATACTCAACAGGTCATATCATCATAAAATGGGGAGTCACGCAACAGAAGTTGCCATGAGAAAATCCACGCTCGCGACGCCGCATACCGGCAACCCCATAAGAAACACCATGAGCGCCATTGCTTGTACCCTAAAAATGACGCGAGGGCTGGTTCAATGGTCTCAGTCCAGGGAGGGGAAAGGAAATCCCTTGGCCAAGTCTGAAAACATCGAAGCCCAAAGAAAACCCAGATAGAAGGAAGAGAAGAAATCGTGAAAAAGGTCCAGCCGAACCTAAGGAAACCCGCGCAGGAGCTCCCCACCGATAAAATGCCGTGAACTGCCGCAAATGATGCAAATGATGCCGACGCATAAGATGAAAAGAATCAAATCCTCCGAAACCACGCAATGGCATTCCCCCGAGAATCGACGAAAACCGAAAAAATCGAGAAACTCCGTGTGGAATGCAAGTAGAAAAACTGCCGGCGAAGATTAGCGAATGGTGCCCCATTCGACCAATTGGCTGCCCTCGCGACGAGTGTCTCTGGAAGCGTTTTTGTCAAAGATTTTCCAGAACCGGAGCGTCTCATCGCCAGCCCCCGTTACAACGGTCTGGCCGTCTGGACTCATGGCCAAGTACAACACACGGAACGTATGGCCGGTCAGGGACACGATTTGCTCCATGCGTGGGTACTTCCAGATGACGATCTGGTTTTGACTGTATCCGTGTGTGCTGATGATCTCGTTGGAATTCTTAGACCATGACAGATTGCAGACCTGGCTACCGGTGTCGACATCCTTGATCAGCGCACCCGTAGAGGTATTCCAGAACTTGATGGTACGATCTGCCGTGCCTCCACCCGAAGCAAGGAGATGGCTTTGGTGAGGGGACCAGGCGATTGCCTTGACCGCAGCGCTGTGATCGGAGAAGCGGTAGAGGGGAGCCTCATTCAACTTGTCCCACACCATCAATTTGTTGTCGTTACCGCCGGATGCAAGCTGGCCATCGTTCGTGTTCCATTTGAGACCGCAAACTTCCTGTTTATGGCCGGAAAGCTGACGCAGCCACTGGTCGGGAGACCGGACATCACGATGGTAGATAAGTCGGTCTCGGGACCCTGAGGTAAGAATGTGGTCATTCCACGCCAAAGCGCCAACTCGGTTGGTGTGACCAGTCATGGTCCGAAGTCGACGACAATGCTCTGCATCCCAAATCTGAACCATACCTCTACCCGTGCCAATTGAAAGATGTGTTCCCTAAAAGGTTTTAGCATTAGTTACTCAATTCATGGGTGCCACAAAAATATGGCTGGATGGCCTTACCCTCTGGATCCAGCTCACACTGGTGACAGTATCATCCTTGAGCTCACACAGTTTGGTGACCCGGCCAGTGTTGGAATTCCACATGTACACCGAGTTGGCGAGCCCGACTCCAAGAACATGACTACTGCCCCAATCCACAAGGTTCAGATAGAAGTCATCCTGCAGATCAGGAGCATCCAAGACCTTGTATGGCACCTTGTTCACATAACGAGGCTGTTTGCGCGGGGTCTCCAGAATCCGCTGGCTATCGTAGCGAATTGGGGAAAGACTGTAGAGCTCAGATCGGGCATTCAAATTGGGACCATGTGCGCTCCGGGGGTCTTGGAGGGAGTGGGGTGGGCAGAACCAGGGCGGGTGGGACCATAGTTGAATAGGTTCCTGTGGGGAGTCGAGGGGGTGATGCTCGCGGGGGGAAGGTCGATCATTGTGTGAGAGTGGGGTGTATGGGATCGAGTTTTGTCATTGATCCCGTTGGTCAAGCTCGATGAAGTCGCAGTAAGATCAGGTTGGGGAATAGTGTTGCCAAACAGTTCACTACGCAAAACGCGAGAGAATGTTCGATTGGCCTCCTCTTCTGCAAAGGCCGGTTAGTTTCTGCTCGTATCCATCCTATTCATTTCAGCGGGAGAACGACGAACTCTTTTGAAATTGTAACTCGGAGTGCGGGGCGCGCCGCTTGCTCTTCGACGGGGTCGAGGGGCAGCCATCCTCATGCAGCAAACTGAAAGTGGCTTGGAGATCTTGCCCGTCGCGGTTTGGTATGAATCTGGTGTCTGGTAAGCCATGGATCCCTCACGTTGATTTCAATGATTGTGATCGGACTTACCGGTCCCCATACACCCGCTGTCTCTTGCGACATGGACTCGTCCCTGGAGTCCTGTCTCGGCGTTGCCCTGCCTCCTCATAACTCTTCAGCGCTTTACCGAGGGCTGAGGCATCGACTGGCTCTGAATCACCCTGCGGTCTTTGGCGATTGCCCGAGTTATCATGGAAAATCATGGTTCTTTTAGTCGGCATGCTCGGCGGGGTTTTGGATCCGGGTGGGGATGCAATCGTCGATGCCTGTGATGGCCCATTGCCCTGCGCGGTTGTCCCATTCACATCCTGCCCTGGCTGCGGTCGATCCCCCATCCTGACAGCGGATCGTCACCCCCGGCCCCAGATACAAATTGTGCCAGATCAAAAGCAGACAACAGGTACATCCGAGGTGGACTGAGAAAGAGAGCACAGCTGTACACAAGACGAGGCTCAAGCGGATGTTTAGGTATTTGAAGAAGGCTTGATCGAATGGTTTGGCTCAGGATTGTGAGGAGCTCTAGGCCACAAATTGACAAAGCAGGCTGTCACAAAGAGAAACCTGTTTCACTTGAGTGTGATAGGCAACAAAGAGAGAGCTGGGGGAGGGATACAGAGGGTCTAAGGGAGTGAGTTGCGAAGGGCGACTCTCTGGGTCACGCGTCAGATACGCTATACCCAATTGGGCCAAGAATCCTCCCGCTTTGTTGCTCTCTCTCTCTCTCTCTCTCTCTCTTGCTCTCTATATTTATTGTCTATAATGTTATTTCTATATTTCTGTATTTCTAGATCTCTAGATCTTGTTTGAAGTCTGATTGTTTAGAATATCTAATATTCAATCTATCTTTCTAGAATGACATCTTCTTTTGATGCTGGTTGCCGGTCCCGCATGATCCGCATGGCTTTGTTATGATCGAGGCTGCCTAGGTGTACTTGTCAATAGCAAAAACGCGTTCTTAACTGGTCTGGAGTAAAAGGTGTGGGAGGAAGACGCGATGTGGGAGAAGTAGGTGGACGCGCCTTGGACGCGAGAGCTTGGGCCATAGCAACGGGGTTAATTGCCAATCAATTGCAGATGTAGAAGCGTTGCAATCCTGTCGGCTCCACTGGTTCTTATCTCTTTATCAATAAATATTTTATTCTATTTTATTTTTATCTTTCAATATTTAATCAATTCATTTCTTGTATTTCTGGTGGGGTCCAAGTGGGAAACCTCAGGCCATAAGATCATAGCCCGCTCTCTCCGCAGTCACCGTCACCGCCCACACTCTTCCTCTCTTCTATACGTCTCCACCTGCAATGCCCTTCAGACCGTGGTCTTTGTTTGGTGCTCGCTCCTGTTCCACTATGGCCACCAAGCAACCTGCTCTGGACTTCTTGTCCTTTGTGAACGCCTCCCCTACCCGTAATTCTCCCACCCAGTGATTTGGTGGCACCTCTGACTGGTTTTGTCTCATTAGCCTTCCATGCGGTTCAATCCGCCAAAGAGCTCCTGACACAAGCCGGGTTTCAGGAAATCAAGGTGAGCCGACTGTGGTTGGAAATCAAAATCAAAATAAACATTGAAGACGCACAGGTCTAATACATCCATAGGAAAAAGATCCTTGGGCATCGACCTGCCAACCCGGCGGCAAATACTTCTTGACTCGGAATACCACTACCCTTGTGGCCTTTGCCATTGGCAAGCAATGGAAGGTATGTCAGATCGGTAATCTCGCAGATGGCTGTTGCTAATGACCCCAGCCGGGCAATTCCATCTCCATGATCGGTGCCCACACCGACTCGCCGGTGTTGCGGGTGAAGCCGGTGAGCAACAAGCGCGGCGAGGGATTCCTGCAGGTCGGAGTCGAAACCTACGGTGGAGGCATCTGGCATACCTGTACGTATAAACTGACACTATGACCGACTCATCACTGAGTCACTAAACTTCGCAGGGTTTGATCGCGATCTCGGCGCCGCGGGTAGGGTGATGGCTCGCGCAAGCGATGGATCCATTGTGCAAAAGCTGGTTAAAATCGACCGCCCTAGTAGGTATCCTGCAATTTCCGACGAGAGAGTTCATTGCTGACATCGCAGTCCTTCGAATCCCAACGCTGGCCATTCACCTGGACCGCCAGGAGAACTTTGCCTTTAACAAGGAGACCCAGTTGTTCCCCATTGCGGGCCTTGTGGCCGCAGAGCTCAACCGGACGGGCGAGACCAAGGCCGAACCGGCTACCGAGGGTGAATTTGAGCCCTTGAAGTCGGTGTCAGAGCGCCACCATCCCTACTTTGTGGAGCTCATTGCAGCCGAAGCTCAGGTTAACCCTACTGACATCCTGGATTTCGAAGTCATTCTTTTTGATACCCAGAAGGCCTGTCTGGGTGGGTTGCTGGAGGAGTTTATCTTTTCTCCCCGACTGGACAACCTGAACAGCTCCTACTGTGCCACTGTGGGTCTCATTGACTCGGTCGCCGACAAGTCGGCTCTGGATAATGAATCCTCCATCCGTCTCATTGCTCTGTTTGACCACGAGGAAATTGGCAGCCGTACGGCGCAGGGTGCAGACTCCAATGCTCTTCCTGCAATCATCCGCCGGCTGTCGGTACTCCCCTCATCGTCTTCTAAAGAGACTGACCTGTCGACTGCCTACGAGCAAACTCTCTCTACCTCGTTCCTGGTCTCCGCCGACATGGCCCATTCGATCCACCCCAACTATTCTGCCAAGTACGAGTCCGACCACAAGCCGGAGATCAACAAGGGCCCTGTGATCAAAATCAATGCCAACGCGCGGTATGCCACCAACGCACCTGGGATTGTCTTGTTGCAGGAGGTGGCACGGAAGACCACAAAGGAGAGCGGTGAGCATGTTCCTCTGCAGCTGTTTGTGGTTCGCAACGACTCGAGCTGCGGCAGCACTATTGGCCCTATGCTGTCTGCAGCATTGGGAGCTCGCACCCTGGATTTGGGTAACCCGCAGCTGAGTATGCACAGCATCCGCGAGACGGGTGGCACCTATGATGTTGCCCATGCGATCCGTCTGTTCACTGGCTTCTTCCAGCACTACTCGGATCTCTCCAAGACCATTTTTGTGGATTGAGCTAGAATTAAACCAAGTAGAGGAAAGAGAAATTCAAATCAAATAAATAAACAGCAATAACAATAACAACAAGCCCATTGAAGCTGCAAGTATAAACGCTGGCCGTATGTGGCACGTGGGGCGGGCTAAGGAATCTCCGCCTGCCCCCATTCTGCCCCCGAGTCCCTTGGCTGTCTCTCGTCACCTCCACACGAGGAGTCGTTGTCGTGACTCCTCAATATTTTGCCTATTGCATTGCTTTTATGCCCTCATGACCCTCTATGACAGACGTAGAGGCCTTCCGAGATGCGGAGTACCTCGCTGACGTATCCGGCATCTCCTATGACGATGCGGAGCCAACGGGCACGCTCAGCAGCGATGACAGTCGCGTGAGAAAGGCCCAGTCCGCCACAAAGGTCGCCTTCATTGATCGCCTGCTCCGTGATCTTGATGTTCTAATATACTGTCAACTGTCGGCGCTGTATTACATGGAGTGAGCCTATGCTTCCCCGGATCTCCGCAATACCCCCTCTCTCTCTCCGCGCTCCTATGCTAACAGGTTCTATCCCTATAGCTGCTCCATCGTTCTATTTGCTGCTCGTGCTGTCATAGAATTGATCTTCTTTACGCCCAAAGTACCCCCATTTGATCCCACGCGCAACCAGCCCTATGTCGGCGCCATTATCGCCAGTAATCTGTTTTGTATGCTCCTCCATGCATTCTTCATCCGGCCCGAGGCTGGAGAAAGCACGCGCGGTTACCTCCACGGAGGCCTGTTCATCGATTTCATTGGACAGACGCCTGTGTCTGTATTTCGGCTTTTGGTCTTTGACGTCCTGGTCTTTCTGGTCGATGTCGTGATGCTGGCATTGGTAATCGAACGAGTCAAGACGGTTGGATCCAATCCATCCACCACTTCTGCTACTACCGCCACAACTACCGGCCCAGGGACAGAAGCGGACCAGTCGTTCTCGCAGGACCATGACTCGGAAGAACGGGGCGTGCTCAGACAAGGCGAGACCTCCCGCGAGCTAGACGGCGCTGCGCGGGATGACCCCACTTCGTTGTCTTTGTCTGGCAGCGCCATTGACGAGGATGCCGCAGAGGAACGCACAACACTCCTCGCAGACCCAGGCGAGGGCGCGTCTGCCCGCGGCTCTCGGGACCGCCACCCGTTGGATTCGTTTTCTACCGGGCAGACGATCATTGTTCACATGGGCTTTCTGGATACCTTGCGCGATCAATGGCGGTACTCTACCACCCCGAACCGGCCCACCGGCTACGTGCCATCTCCTGAAACTGCTACTTTCCTCCGCCAACGCTTTGGTCTCCAGGTTGGGACGGATGGTCGGATTGTCCGGGTGGACCAGTAGTCGGCATGGCATGTCTTGTGTACTCTAGCTCATGGTTATTTCTCGATTTATCTGCATTGCTCGGCACTGGCTGCTGACAACTGAATATCTAAGATCAATACACGGTCGTACGGACATATAGGAAGTAGAATAAGAAACATGGCCGGTCATGATAATAGTACACTTTGGGGGTATATCCCAGGTATAATAGGAACAGGCACTCAGCCCAAATCACGCCCAGTCCTAAAGAATAAGAAAACTACGAAGTAGGCGGCTTCCCAGCACCCTCGCCCCCATCCTCTTTATTCTTAACCCTCCGATCCAAAATCTCATCAACAACCCCAAGCTCCAGCGCCTCATTCGCGCCCATGAAGTAATCCCGCTCCATAAGCTTCTCAATCTCCTCGAGCGACAGCTGCTTCTTACCCGTGAGATGGCGCTGATAGATCTGGTTCAGCTGCGTGCGCACACGCAGGATCTCCTTCGCATGGATGGCGATGTCGGTCGCCTGCCCGAAATAGCCGCCCGAGGGCTGGTGCACCATGATCGACGAGTGCGGCAGGCAGTAGCGCTTGCCTGGGTGGCCGCCGCACAGGAGCAGCGAGCCCATGGACGCGGCTTGGCCGACGCAGATGGTGCTGACGGGCGCGGCGATGTAGGTCATTGTGTCGTAGATGGCGAGACCTGTGGCCGGAGGATGTGAGTGTGGGTTATTATTGCCTCGTTTCTTTCTCTCTGGGGTCAGGAGGGAGTGGGTGGTGTCAACACGAACCGGCTGTTACAGACCCGCCGGGAGAGTTGATGTAGAGGTGGATGGGTTTCTGGGGGTTGTCGGCTTCGAGGAAGAGGAGTTGCGCGACAATCGAGGCTGAGAGCGTCTCGTCGACTTCGCCATTGAGGCAGATGATGCGTTCCTGGGTTGGGGATCAAGCTTTAGCTCGGGGGATCTGAAAGAGGTTGAGATGTTTCCTGCTTGGTCTGTACCTTCAATAACCGAGAGAAGATGTCATCTATAGTGCGCGACAAAGAATACGCAGGTCAGTTCGAATGTAGTACTCGGCGAGGACATCTTGGGCGCAACCTACAGGTGTGCCAGCCACCTCCCTGGAGAACAGTGAGCACACGAAGATCAATTTTTTGCTCTGATGAGAGCATTCTCAAGACTTATGGACCACGACTTACCACTGTCTCCGTCACAAAGGGCGTAGGTGTCCAGCCTCGCGGCGGTGTGCCGGCCAACGCGGGCAGGCAGCTCGAGAAGGATCGCGACGAGATGGCAGCCGGGCAGAGTCCCCGCGGAGAGCGAGGGAATAGGCGTCCCAGGCGCTGGAGAGATACACTTGGGCGCATCTTCAAGGTCTCAAGACAGCCAACACAAGCATGAAAGTACGGCTGCAATGAGGGATTGGTGATGGGAATTCGGGGAGAACGGGCTCCGAGCTATCGAGCGATAACTCAGCGCTAAGATATGGGAACTCCGCAGCACTCGAGATCAATGGTCACTATTTTTTCAATCATTTAGAAGCTACAAGAATTTCCTTTATTCCCATATTATCAATATTGAATTCTATTTTCATAACACAATTCCCCGAAAACGATCTTTTTATTCAGCTGAGCTGCTTCGCAAATTGCAGCCCCGATAGGCGGCCCCGTTTTTTTTTTTTTTTTTTTTTCCTTCGAGCTCCATCACTTCATCACTCAACATGGAATGCGCCAGCCGGATCTCTTATGCAACATGGCGCCTGGGAGTATTCAGAATCCTTGAAAGGCCTTGTTCACCGGCAATTCGCACCTCCGCTCGATACGTCTCTACCTCGCCGCTGCGCAGCCAGCATCACGATGCTCTTCCCGACGAAATATCCCAGCGCGAGCGTCCCTCACAGCAGCTACCTCAATCTCCTCTCCTCAGCCACCCACGTAACAGGGCCAACAAGACACGTAAACGTCGCCCAACGGCGGCGGACGACGAAGAATTGCAGAAGAATCCCTGGGCCGTGGCACTCGCGTCGCCGTCGCGCCAATGCTCGCTGACAGGGGCCAGGATACCACGGGACCTTTTAGGGGAATGGGGTATGGTGAAACGACCAGATGCAGACCAGGTTTATTTGTTGCCATTGGATTTGCTCCAAGACTCACTACGCTCCCCGAAACCCCCAACCCCCGAGGATTCTTCCACGGGCGAATCTTCCACCCAGACAAAGAACCGCGAAGACCAGATAGGCCGGAGGCTTTTTATCCGAATCCTTAACTATCTCCCTCTCCTGCAAAGGATCTCCGAACCATTATCCCGGAAAACCCGGAGCAAGAAAACGCCCATTATGCGGCTGCTGCCGTTTCGATGGAAGCACCCACAGGGGCCGGTCACAGCACACGAGGAGAGAAAAATCGTGTGGAGAGAAAACATGCCGCAGTTCGTGCTACAGAGTATGAGGAAGCAGGTGGTCAGGGAATTGGTCGACGCCTATAGCCAGCCTGGCCATCTTGATGGGACTAGTGTATGGACGGTTCTCGACGTGCCCGAGTCCTCAGAAGCCGGGGTTACAGCAGCGTTGGGCCGTTTAGAGCCCTTCGAGCGGATGGAGTGCGGTGGAGTGCTGCTTCTTGGCTCGCCTAGTCCCGACACGGTCGAGTCCAGCCTTGCAGTGCCCGACTCTGTGACGCTTCCGCAAACCCAGTCCACCGTCCCTGTGTTTGATCTATCGGTGCTTCTCTCCGATGTGGATCTGGGAAGACTGCGTGAATCCCTGCATTTTCAACATCCGGCACTGTTTTTCAGACCGGCGAGCCATGCCACTGTCAAGACAATGCTGTCTTTATGGAGGTTGAAGCGATATTTGGGGGACGAGACACACTCGTGAGCACATATTGACATATGAGAGAAATTTACAATCCATGGATATTTACATGCCGTAATAACCCCGTGTTTCAAGGGTTCCAGTTTGCCCTGCGAAGTTCAGGATATGTTCGTCTGTGCCAACAAGGCTCGCGCCTCCCTCGGGAGTATCGTTGGACTGTCAGAAAATAGCAATCGCCTTTTGGGCCATTTTCTCGCTTTTCATCTTGTCTCCTACTCAGAATATACAGCTTTGTCGACCCCACGCGCCCCAAGCACCCGCTAGGCCCGTGTGCTTTAGTCAAAACCCATCACAGGGACCAAAGAGTGAGCCCTTTACAGCCTCAATTTCACGATTCAGAGCCAGCTGGATGCGCTTGGCAAATTCCATTTCCCGCTACTTTTACACTTAGCTAAATCATTATTTGATGATTTACTTCTTAGTCTGGGGCATTTACGCCTTGGGCCCACTTCTCGATGGTTTATGCAAAGTTCCAACTGCCAAAAGACAACCATACAACCATATCAATTGTATGTTCCTAAAAACGTTTTTTTTTTGTGTCACTCTCATATGAATTAAACAGTCATTGGGAATATTTTTTTTTACAGAGAATTACTCAGTGATTGGTGGGAGCAACGTTGATGCTAGCATACTCGCAGCCTTGTCAGGGTGGATCTTCAAAGTGCAATGGGGGCGAAAGGCAAAGATTGTGTAGCATATATGTAGAAGACAGGGTTCTCCGGGCTCTCATGAATGCGCTTATACATATATGTGAGCTACGAAAGAAGAAGGAAAGAAGAAAAGAAGAAGAAGAAGAAACACAAGCGCGATCGTTGCGGACCTTTGACCATGCGAGGTCTCATACTTCGACCACTCTTGGTGGCATCTGGACTAGGACTGCTCATAGGAGGGAGTCTGGGTGACGAAGATCCTGCAGACCGCGACGCCAAAACGCTTGTCGCCTCTGACATTTTCGAAATGATCCCGGCCGGCAAAGCTGGGTCATGCTCCGGGAAAAATGTCAACCAGCCTCTCCGGGACGCGGCGACAATGGCCGACAAGGGCGTCGACGTTCTGGAGAAATTCGTTCACAATGTTATGGCGAATGATAAGGAGAAGCAAGGCATCCGATATGCAAACATGGTCTATTCTATGTTTGGGGCGGCATATACAATCGACGAGGACGAAGAGAGCTCCGACGACAGCTCCGACGACGGTTCGAGCGATTATGAGCCCAGCGGGGAAGAAATCAGGTTCTACAAGGGTGGGAACAGGTTACAGGAAGCATTGGGTGAGAGAGAGAGAACCTTTTTTGAGATTGTTCATGCCATCATCGATCATCTATCTTGCTAACCTCCCCATGATTCCGCTTTCACAGAGAACTTCCAGGCCGTCCAATTCAAATTGAAAAACACCGAGCCTCAAGGAAAACTGATGTGCGGCGATGGCGACCTGAAATTAGTCCGCACACTGGGCGATCTTGGCTTGGAGCCTAACAACGAGCTGATTTCGAAGAAAAAGAAAGACCACAATATCAAAGCTTATTTACTGTCCCGACATTTCTCCAAGGAGGGGCCGAAAGGTGTCTACGAGCTGGACAAAGCTCTTCTCCTTGAACTCACCAGCGAGGATTATAAATACCTCAAAGACGGGATGTGCAAGAAACATCTGGGCATAATGATCCGGAAATACGATTTGATGGTGGTATGCGACAAGGCCTTTGAATTACCGACGCTTCAAAGCACAATCGACAAGCAAGACAGTCTCGCGCGCCAACCCATGCAAGATTCAAAAGGCATATGGCTTATCGATAAGCAACGGACGACTGGCTTCGTTGTCCTCCACGAGGCCTTTCATTGGATCAAGGATAGTAGTAAGTGTGATGATTCTTACTGAACACTGCAGGTTTAAGCTAATTCTTTTGCCCCCCTCTCTTCCTCTAGTCAAGGACATAACAATCGATAGAACCCCTATATATTATTTTGGGTCTTGTTTCCAGTTATCCCAACTGGATCTCAATTCTCAAGGGGACTGCGACATGAGCCTGACGCTTGGGATTGCCGATACTTATGCCATTTTTGGGCAAGGCGTTACCTTGAACAAAGTGAACTGGTATCCCAACGGGTACTTTGACAACATAAAATCCGGGAAAGTATACAGGTGAAGCCCAGCACGCAATTGTACTATATCCAAGTGATCCGCAGGTGCAGGACCGGGGCAAGGAGCAACAATATCAGGCACGATCAAGATCTACCTCGTTCGATGACTGATGACTTACCGGAATCAAATATTTGTAAATACTGGGGGCTTCTCTTGTCATGGCATCTTCATTTGGTACGAGTCATCTGGTTAAAAGAAATCATACATGTAGTACATCGATAATCCACATCAATCATTCATCTGGCTCCGTGACTCCCCTGCCACGTAACTCCACCAGTTTCCCTTACTTCTTCTTTTTTTCAGCATCAGAAATCTTCTTCTGGCATGTCTCAAAGTCCGAGTCGAGGTCATTGTTCTCCATGTCTGCTGGGTTCATGGTCACATGGATCAACCCCCACAATGCAGGTTCACCCTTGCTTTGATCGTCGAAGCTCAAGCACTCCTTGCCCATGCTGGCGATAGATGGGACTTGGTCACGTTTTTCATTTCTCGTCGCCCCGTCATTTTTGATTGATTCGATCGTCTTGTTGAACAGGGTGTCTACCGACTGGTGCGCAAGGTTACTGAGAGCATCGCTATCAGGGCCACTCCGCCACGCAGTCATAATATGAAGATCGCCCTTGTTTGTTGAGAAGGTCTGCTCATCCCGACATTCCACCATTCCGGTGAGATGGTCTCGTCGCCGAGACCGGGGAGCGAATTCATAGTCGTTCGGTGTGAAGTAAATCTTGTGGGTAACATCCGACGACGAAAGGCCTCTCCTTTGAAGCTGGGCGTGGTCGTTGGAGTACCAGACCCGATGGCAGGACCCTCCTTCCGTGCACGAGTCATACATCAAGCGCGGCAGGTCAGAGCTCCGGCGGCGCTTCTGTTGGTTGTGATATAAACCCTCTTCGATCTTCGCCATGTCGTGTTCGAATTGGTCGGGAGCAGTCAGGGAGTCGGAGGTAACCCCTTTCAACGTAGCCAGATTGGCAAATGCCTCAGCGGCGCCTTTCATCACGTTCTTCTGGTCTTTGGTCTCTGTGTCTGCATGGCGGCTCTTTTTGAAATCCTCAAGGGCCTTTTCGAACGCCTTTTGTTCGTCCCACTTGAGGTCAGCGACGTCCTCTTTCTTGGCTGCCTCGAGCTTTTCCTTCACTTTCTTCCATTCAGCCTGCCCTGCCTCGTCTTCGGGGCCAATCGTGTCTTCTAGAGCACGCAATTCTCTGCTGGCCCAGAACTCCCAGTCCGTCTTCAACGACTCAATATTCTTGAGCTTGCGGTCATGCTTTCGGATAAACTCATCGTGAGAATATTGTTCACTGTCTCGGTTGGCCTGTATTAATGCTTGGTCCAAGTCATGTTGCGCCTTTTGGAGATTGGTATTCGTCATATCATAGTTGAGTCTGGCGGTATTGAGAGCGACCTCTGCTGCTTTCACATCTAAGCCTTCCTTCGTCTTTGCCCTGTTCATTGAAGGAAGGTCGTAGTTCAAAAAGACCCAAATGTATTTTGCTGTGAACAATCCACTCATAACAAGCAGGTATACGATGATAGCTTGACAGCTCAACGATTGGCCGCCATGCCGAGCACAATCATACAGGAGTGCACTTGCAGCTGTAAAAGGGACGTAGACAAGTGTGGCAGTCATGAAGTAGCGGGGCTGGAGGGCGTTGCCTGCTCCATAGCGGGGTGACAGATCCCCTGCCGGTCGGACTTCAAGGGCCATGGAGTCGGAACGGGCATGGTTTGTTGGTCTGGCGGTGATAATGCAAAAGAGGAGGAAGAGGGATATGACCACACATGTTGATGGCGCCTTGAAGATGCGCATCGTGGTGGGAGAAGCACCCGCCAAGCGAATAGCTCACACGGACAAGGTACAAAGGTCGGAGCTCGGTTGAAGGTAGGGCGAAAGGTAGATATTAAGATAATAACAGCAAGAATAAATGATGTCAGTCGACAAGTTGATCAACAAAAATGGAATCAAATGGGGATCGCTCTTCTACCATATCGTGAGGATAAGAGAGTAGCATTTATATAACATTGCGAGTCTAAAAGGCCCCAAAATCGGACCCAATTGATTCTGGAAATCCCTCGGCATGCATGGGCCCGACGACGGTGTTCCACCTTGCGATTATCGATTATCAGATGATACGCGGTGGAAACTCCATTGGAGGGGGGCTATTCATGGAAACTTTGTCTAGCACGCGCAAGATCCACAGCCTCGATAAACGACGGATACCAATGTATTTTATTTTCATGAATCATGGCCCAGGGTCTATCTCTACCTCCCGGGGCTATGAGGTGGTATTTAAAAGAAATGAAATGAAAAAGGAATGAAAAATCTCTGCATCCTCGATTGCCCCGAGCCGTCTTGGGCAAAGGAAAGCTATACTGTAAAAGGAATTGAGGTATCCATGGATAGATCACCATTTCTCTAACCTGTTTCATGTATCCCCAATCTATGGCTAGTCACCAAGGGTCATGTCCCTGTTGGCCATCAGGGCCTTGAGGCCAGATCCGAGATTCGGGCTGAGAAGAAGACAGCATATGTACAGGGATTGTATTCATGGAAAACATGTTGAACATCAAAGAGTAAATGCGATGTCTCGGGAAGCCGTACTCCTTCAAGTCTGAAGGATTGATCCTTCGTAAAACCATCACTCCATCCATACCTAACAAGACTTCATACACTGGAAGATCTTGGCAAAATCTCCCTCAAAGAGGTCCACTGTATTATTCTTAATGGATAGCTCTTTGATATTGGGAGGGTCGAATGATCTATACTTCTCCCCTTCCCATGTCCCCCATTATATTGTCGATTGGGCTTCAGGAGTCTAACGATACACGTTTCGATATAAACATTGTCCTTATAAGTACCATGTAGACATAAGACATAAGTTCCCTGTAATCCGAATGAGAAGAGAAAAGGGTTCCTGGATGCTGGCCCAAATGGGGCCAGGAACAGGGTAAATGGGGCCTCACCTGCAGCTAGATCCACTTCTTAGTGCGATTGATTAGATGACTTCTCTTGATTGATAAAATAGGGGCGTTTACAGAAAAAAAAAAAAGTGGATCTCGCAAGGTAGAAAATAGGAAACACGGCCCTCCGACTTCGGCCTCCTTCACATCCTTCATAACCTGAAGACCACTCTGCGAGTGTTTTTTCCTCTTTTAGCCCTAGCAACTCTGTAAGCACTGCAGGATTTGCCCAAGTGGAGTAATCCCGAATTGAGAGATACAAGGCACGCGACAGCGACAGAACAGGCAACCCGATCACTCTGGTTGGTGAGAGTCTCAGCTGCTCGAGTTGAATGCCTTTAGTTAGACCTGATCTTGGGAAACGGGTTGTACAATAGTCCTCTAGGATTGCTGACTTTTTTTTTTATTTTTAATCTGATCAAGACAAGGCCCGTACTTGAATAAACCATCACCAGCCCCCTGAAAGGAGCTAAATTACGTCGCGTCTATTTCAGGCTGGGATCGTCGAGGGCTCTCGATCGGGTAGCGTATGGAACACTCTATGGGTAGTGTCCGGCCCCTAGAATCCACTTGGAACAACATGGCGTGTGCTTTGTGGGATCTTGACGATGCGGCATTTTCTGATGAAAATGTGTTTCCATCCCTACAGCCCTGCCGTCAAATCGCCCCCCCCCCCCCAAAAGCCTCTGTTGGATGTAAGACTATACAGGCTCAATGGCAGGGTCCGAGCTATACATACGAATGCATCTGTACTGTTCTTTGCCACACCGGTATCTCTGCTAGTCTGTATTTTATTTGCATATTGTATTTGCGTATACTTTTTTTATCTCTGCTCCCCTGATCTCTAATTGATTTTCCTTTCTTGCGCGCCTAGGTCGGAATTGTACATTCTCATGCAGTCGATATCGTTGCCCGACTCTATGTCACCTTCAAAGTCAGAATGGGTTGGATATACCGCATCCCAAGAGGCAACGAGGCGTTGATACTTGTAATTGAATACTTGTACTCACGCTCGTCTCTATTAATTATCATTATTTTTTAGTGAGTGGCTCATCAGCACCCGCATAGGATGCTCTCTATTTTCGGGTGTAGTTTCCATAGATCGGCCATGTCCTTCTCGTGGAGGTGGTTGAGAAGGCCACTGACCAAGTCTACCGAAAAAGTTAAGGTTATTTGAGCTTTGCATTCTTGAGCTGGCCTCGACAATACATCCTGAGCTTTTTAGACCAATATACCTTGTTAGCCAGCCATCTTTCGAGATTTTTTATTCGTTTGACTATTCTTGGGTTAAGGAGTATAGTATCTCCGAGGCCTCTTACGTCTGTCGAAATCGACATGTTCAGCGGAGTCAGGATTATACTGCGAGTGATGAGAGAAGAGAATGTTTCTAGAAGCGAAAGAACTTTTTTTCGATGCTGAGATCAGGCCCCTAATCTGAGGTGAGAAGTGGGTCCGTCGGTTCCATACCTTGATTATTTGCCTTTTAGGGTTAGTGTCCATGGATGGACATGGTAGACACGGTACATATGGTAGACACGATGATTGCTAACAAACCATCAAGAGCGGAATTCAACCGTAGCGATGACTCCATGCTTGGAAATGCTCAGTTACCAGCATATTCACCTGGATCTATAAATTGGGAAGTGTTCTGCCTTCAACTTGTCTTGCTAGATTTCTCCAACTCAAACCCGCCCAGAAAACCACAGGCTACAAATCCGCATTTAGATCTATACTGTGATATTGTCGAGCCGAAAGAGCGGGTTGACACTCTAGTTGGTCTGCTTGCTGAGAATGGAGTGCGAGTTTCTTGGACGGTGAAAGATGTGAAGCATCTGGTCCCACTGGAAGATCCGGAAATTATTTTTCAGGAAATTTCCAAATTCTGAATTGCTCCTTGAGGATAATAATATGGACCTTCTTTTACAAGACCTATCGCTAATGAAATCTATGATATAAGAATATGTGACCGCAGTGACACAATCCCCAGCTTTTGGTTCAACTAATCATATTAAATACAGGGAAGAAATGGGGGAATAGAGCCTAAAAAGAGGATTATAAAAAGGATCATAAAATAAATCAAAGAAGAAAAATTAGAGATAAAAAGTAGTAGTAACCCAGCGACTATATATTATATCCGTCATGAGACCTCTTTAAAGAGTCTAAATTTAGTTAGCAGGGCTCTAAAATCTAATTTTTAGTATCTACTACGCCTTCTAAAGGCACCTGAGCGAAGCAGGGATCAGCAGCTTGTAGAGAATAGAACTATTTTGCTTGTGGATATCACTAGTCTCATGCAACTAAACGTTGGATCTCAAGACCCAGAAGGGAGAATATATGATTTTCCAACAAGTACAATGATATCATTGCTCTCAGTTAGATCGATACTTCTTGAATCTTATCTAACTGCCGACCTAGTCTAGCACGAGCACAAAGATACAAAATCTACCGAGGCACTTACTCCTACCTACTACAACCTTGGCAATAGAAATTCGCGCAAGACTACGAAATATACCAGGAGATTACACCGCTTCCATGAAACTCGCCCCACCCCTGCGTGCGCTCAGACGGGGAAGCAGCCGTGTCGCTGGTCTTGGCTGACGAGCCCACGCGCGGGGAAATTCAATGCCCAGCTCCTTTCGTCCGCAGATTGAGGGCCATAGATTCTACACAAGCTTTAGGCTTAAACTCTTTTCTCTTGGAAGTTATTTGGCCGTCAGCGCGGGGGAGTCTCTTGTTGTCCTGTTTCTCCAGGCTGATTTGCTGGCGTCAGTTCTGTGAGGAGGGGGAGTTGGAGAAATATGAAATAAACCTTTGGCATGGCGGATGAAAGACCGCTGAGTGGACTGTGCACATTTCCATTACAGTAGGGGACGGGATGAGATACAGCAAGTTCCAAGGGGAAGCTGGCAAGGTTCCTCGTTCCCTGCCGCGTATAAAAGGGACCTCGGGAGTTGATATCTTTTTGTTTCTTTTGCACATTGAGGATCCAGCAATACTTCCAAGGCTGCTGCGTCCATTCTGCATCATGAGGAACTATATGGCCGCCGGCTGGTTCTACTCGCCCAGCCAAATCATCCAGTACTTTGCCACGCGCGTGTCCAGTCTCAAACCGCCCAGGGTGAGGACTGTTGCACGCTTTTTATACATGCCACTTGTGGCACACGACTATCTTGCTGACCAATGTCGAGGAGACGTGTAGAACAAGCTGAGAAACCCCTATGCTATTCTGCGGGAATTGACAACCCACCAATGGCTCATGTTCGCGGCGGGCTTCCTGGGATGGACATGGGATTCGTTTGACTTCTTCACCGTATCCATGACCATCACTGAGATATCTGAGGCATTCGATGTCTCGTACTCAGATGTTTCCTGGGTATGTATTCCATGTCAAAATTCATGAGTATCCTGTAAGCCCTGGGTCAATAACTGACTCTGGCAAGGGTATGACGGTGACCCTGATGCTTCGATCGGTCGGGGCCATCGTCTTCGGCATTTTGGCAGACCGATACGGCCGGAAATGGCCGATGATCATCAATCTATTCCTGTTTATCGTTCTGGAGCTGTGCTCTGGCTTCTGTCAGAACTTGCCCCAGTTCCTGGGCGTCCGGTCTCTGTACGGGATTGCCATGGGAGGTAAAGTAAAACCCGTTATGTCTCATACTTGTCATTGAATTGACCGTCTTCAGGTCTGTTCGGTCCAGCGGCCGCCACGACCTTGGAGGATCTGCCCTACGAGGCACGAGGTCTGCTCTCGGGGCTTTTTGAGATGGGTTATGCAATAGGCTATCTTCTCGCCGCCGCTTTTTATCGCGCCCTCGTGCCGATAACTACCCATGGCTGGCGCTGTCTGTTCTGGTTTGGGGCAGGTCCTCCGGTGTTGATTATTTGGTTCCGCTGGTGTCTACCTGAGACGAACCATTTCCAGGTCATGAAGGCAGAGCGCGAGGCGCGCGCGGATGCTGCACAGGCCGAACACGGCCACGCCATGGGGTTCCGCGTCTTCATGCGCGACGCCAGACGGGCTCTCTGTGACAAATGGGTGCTCTTCGTCTACCTGGTTGTGCTGATGACGGGCTTCAACTCGTGCTCGCACGGTAGCCAGGACTTTTATCCCACATTCCTGAAAGACCAGGTTGGTATGGATGCCACCAAGACGACAGTCATCACAGTCGTAGGCCAGATCGGCGCGCTGTTGGGCGGCTGCACGATCGGCTACATCAGCACGTTTTTTGGTCGACGCCTAACCATGCTGGTGTCATGCATCATGGGTGGCGCCATCATCCCAGCGTATGTTCTGCCGCGGGCTATGTCGCTGGTAGCCAGTGCCTTCTTCGAGCAGTTCTTTGTCGGCGGTGTCTGGGGCCCCATGCCAATCCATTTGCTCGAGCTTTCACCCATTGCACTGCGCTCGCTGATGGTCGGACTGACATATCAGCTGGGGAATCTGGCCTCGTCCGCCTCTGCCACCATTCAATCCGTCATCGGTGAGCGATACCCGCTCCCTGCCGGGCCCAGTGGGAAGAAGCGGTTCAACTACGGCAAGGTCATTGCCATCTTCATGGGCGCTGTCTGGGCCTTCATCCTGTTCTTTCTTTTCTGGGGCCCGGAGATGTCGCAGGAGGAGCGCGACGAGGAGGCTGAGGCCTCGTTGCAGCTGGAGAGATTGCGCGCGCAGGGGGTGAGTCTGGCGGAAATTGGGCAGCAGCAGTTTCGCAAAAAGGATGAACAAAGTGACCATGAAAAGGCAGAGGCGGAGCACATTGCCTAAGATATCTCTGCCACATGGTGCTTGTTTTGGCTGCTTCGATGAAGGCGCGCCGACTCAATAGCAGAGAACTATTATATACGATCGACCTGTATCCGAGCTAGGAAATGCCGTTGACTGAATTGTATCCGTAATCATGGTGAATTGTGGTTCTGGCGTTGATTTCATCAATCCATCGATGGATGAAGGGGAAGCATTCGCGCCATTCCCTGAACGTTCTCCGGGGAAGATGAAGCGGAGACCCACCTTTTGCCCCACGCCGAGTGAGTCGAAGACTTCGGGTTGTACAAGACTGGAATGTTTCGGGTGGCACGACTCTTCTCTTCTCTTCGTCCTCTTCGCTCCGTGCGATTCTCCTCTCGCTTCACCATGGCGCAATACCCTGCGTTGTCGACGACCCCCGCTACCTGACCGGCGATCAGGCCGGTCTCCGCGATTTCCTCGACAAATTCGATGTCAGTGAATTCTTTGGGGCTTTTCCTTGATATACTGGGAGTATCGGGCTGACGTGTGTGTGTGTATACAGGTATTCCTGTTCGACTGCGATGGTCTGTTTCCTGCCCGTTCTCTCCTTCTGCCAGCTTCGGTCTTCGCTCCGGCACCCCTCCCCCACATTGAGAACCCGTCGCTACAATTGCTGAGGTGAACCCCCCGAGTTTAGGTGTCTTATGGTCTGGAGATCACTGCTTCCCGGGAACAGTCGAGACGCTCGAGCTACTACGCAAGAAAGGTGCGCGTCGCATAAAGTCTTTCACGAGGCGCGCGAAAGCTGAAGCGTCATGCAGGGAAACAAGTAGTCTTCGTAACGAATAACAGCACCAAGTCGCGATCGGACTACCGCAAGAAGCTCGACAGCCTGGGGATACCCAGCACGGTGGTGAGTGCAGGAACACAACCAAGGCAAACGGAGAACAAAAATTGACCCGGCGAGAACAGGAAGAGATCTTCTCGTCATCGTACAGCTCGTCAATCTACATTTCCCGGATCCTGCAACTGCCCGAAAACAAGCGCAAGGTCTTCGTGATTGGCGAATCCGGCATCGAGCAAGAACTACGCTCCGAGAACGTGCCCTTCATCGGCGGCACGGACCCCGCGTACCGGCGCGACATCAAGCCCGGGGACTACAAGCACGTTGCCGCGGGCGACGAGTCCATATTGGACCCGGAGGTGGGCGTAGTGCTCGTGGGCCTCGATTTTCATCTCAACTATCTGAAGTTGGCGCTGGCCTACCACTACATTAAGCGCGGGGCCGTCTTCCTCGCCACGAATATCGACTCCACGCTGCCGAACTCCGGCACGCTATTCCCCGGCGCCGGGTCCATGAGTGCGCCGCTGATCATGATGCTGGGTAAGGAGCCCGTTGCGCTGGGAAAACCGAGCCAGGCGATGATGGATGCTATCGAGGGCAAGTTCAAGTTCGACCGGAGCCGTGCGTGCATGGTCGGCGACCGCGCTAACACCGATATCCGTTTCGGACTGGAGGGCCAGCTCGGCGGGACGCTGGGTGTGTTGACTGGCGTCAGTTCCCAGGAGGACTTTGTCTCTGGGCCGGTTAAGCCTCTGGCGTATCTGGACAAGCTCTCGGATCTGCTGGGGTCGGAGTCTTGAGAGAACCCGCGGGTTTTGCATATGATAGATTTTGATATACACCATATACTAGATCCTTTTCAACGGTTGACCGTCTATACTCTTCAGTCTGTCTTATCTTGTTGCTCGATTCATTTGCGAACATACACAAGCATGTAAACCGTAGCACACGGCCCCGACGCACTCTTCCTAGAAGACCCAAAATTAGCATCAACAGCATCCATAACCGTCGCTCTAGTCATCCGCTCATCATGATCAAACCTGTAAACCGCATCCGTCCCACTAGGCCGCACAAAAGTATGGAAATGCCCTCTACTCTCATCCCCATCATGGACAACAACCCCCGCAAGTTGATGAACCCACTGACCCAGCTTAGCAGCCTGTCTCTCATACGAAGTGAAAAACGGAACAAGATCCAGCTCCATAGGGAACGACTGCCGCTCCCTGATCTTTACCACGTGGCCCTGCGCAGCATCATACTCGGCGCGCTTCAAATGCAGATGCAGGATCCACGGCAAGTTCTCAAAGAGCGTACATTTGTTGGACGCGAACCCCATCTCCCTCGTTTGTTTTTCTTCGTCTGGGATCGCGCTCATGTCCGTGTAGGCGCGCAGACTGTCCCGCGGCGAGTGGTATGTGCTGGGATCGAATGAATCGTGGTTGCAAATATCCAGGTCGAAGTGCGTGAAGTCGTGGCTGGTCGAGAAGCAGAACGACTCGTGCATGTGTGAGTAGTAGAGTGTTTTGGCGGTTCCGGTTAGAAGAGCGGCGAATGTACCTGCAGCGGGGGTGACCATCCCCGTTTCTTTCTTGGAATCATAGCTAGAAGAAATTAGCCAGATCCTCCAACAATAGCTAGGGCTGAGAAAACACATACTTGCGGAAGGTGTGCCACAGTACTCCAGTGGGATCTTCAATAACACGGACATACGCCGTGATGGCAATTTCCCCTTGGATTTCCTTGCTTGCTGTCGAGCTTTGCTGGGACTCAGGATTACAAAACCTCGTAAAGCCCCAGTCGCCTTCATCCGCATTGAAGCAGTGTTTGGCAACTAGTTGAATGTTGGATTATGCAAGGTGGGGATATTGCCTAGACTGCCATACCGCGAGAGGTATACTGTGACAGCTGGCCTGGGCTCCAAAGCACCAATGCAAATTCAACAGGAGCAGCCCAGTTCTCGGGTTGCTGGTCCTCATAGCCATGAGCAAGATACAGCGAGATATCACTGGTCTTGGTGTCATATGGATGGTAATGAATGCGCCTGTCATTGCAAAGGGTTAGTTTGGCTATAGCTAGATCTGCATTTGCATAGAACAGGATACGCACCATGGAATATCACCGCATTTAAAGACCGGCCTCATTTCCATCTGCTTCGAATTCGCCGCGTCGTCCAGATACCACGTATAATGGGTTTCGCAACGGTTTGCAAGTCAGGGTCCACAGGGAGCAACCTGGTCATCATCGCACGAACTATACCAGATATCAGCTCAGCTTTTAAGCAACATTGCCAATGGATACTTCCATACAATCATCCGCAGAGGGATCAAACTTCCCCCCAGCATCAGAATACGGCGGCGGATCCTCCGCCAGTCGCGCACATACGTCGTTCAAGACCGCTTCAGCGTGCCATCTCTGCTTGAGCGGTGCCAATGGAAGCACCGTCTCCAGGGTCTCTACGGCCTCGTCTAGATAGCCGAGCAGGAACAAGATTTCGCCCTTGTCGAGTAGTGCCTCCTATTGTGTGGGCTCTTTCTGGAGCGTGGTATTGGCTTCTTGTAATGCCAGGTGAAGTTCGGAATATGCGTAATCCCCTTCGATCCCGGATATGGAAAGATTATTCTGGTATTCTTGGACGGGCTCCGTGATTCTGGGTGCGGGAGGATTCTCTTGCTCCGTGGTAGTTGGATTAGGTGCGGAACTGCTCGAGGGCCGAGGACCTTGGGCGGGCAGGCGATGTAATTCGGTCGAAGAGCTTGCGCATTTTCTTGTAGGTTGGGTGATTGTAGAATCATTCTTAAAGTAAATCCAGCAGACTCCAGGGTTGACGCTGAAGATCTCCGCCTGCTGGGGCTGTGCGGGAGTAGGAGCCGCCTAAACTATACGAGCTGCCAAGCGTGTCGGGTATATTCGACCCGCGCAATGAAAGGGTATCATAGCCATTCGCATTTGCAACGAGTTCAAAATCAGAGCTGGAAATGTAACGCCTGGAAATATGTCCACAGTCCCCGCCAACGCCCGTCTACTTTGAATGCGGTTGTGTCGCCATGATGCGGATATCAACACAGCACCTCCAGGAACAAATATGCTTGTATCGCAAGTTTATGAGTCGCTTGATGGGCTGATAGAAATATCATGCCCCGCGCAAAATCCCCGCAATGCGTAGCGTCAGGTCCAGGATGGATAGGTGCTCGTCTGCGCCATCAACCAGCCGCTTGTCCATCTCTGAGAACAACATGACAATCTTATTCTTTTGCAAATCCGGAACCGCTTCATTGAAAACCATGCGGCGGTATAACTATAGTTCGAGTGTAAGCAAAGCACCACAAAAGACAAGAGTACAAGGGAAACACAAACCTGTCCAATAACCTGGGTGGCACTCCACCCGTCCGCCACCAGATCCGTAATAACCGTCGAGACGGCCTTGTACGCCGACCCGGCGTTCGTGGGCTGCATGGCCTGCACGAGCTGGTCCAGGACACTTTCAGGGACGACACCAGCAATCTCCTCAATCGTGCGGACGGTAATGGAACTTGCCTCAGGGGCACCAGCATCAGTCATTTCCGCATCGTCATCGCCATCCTTCTTACCGGGCAGCCCAGCAACACCAGCCAAGCGAGCCGCACTCTGCAGATACGTGATAGCGCGACGCAGGTCACCCTCACCACAGCGAATCAAGGTATCAACGACCCCATCTTCCAACCGGAGATTCTCTGCGCGAGCAATCTCCTCCAAGCGCACGCCGGCTGCCGAATTATCCAGCGACTTGAACCGGAACTTGCTGCACCGACTGGCCAGCGGCTCGATGATGCGCGTGACGTAGTTGCACACGAGACAGAAGCGCGTGATGCGACTGTACTGTTCCATCGTGCGGCGCAGCGCCGATTGCGCATCCTGCGTCATGCTGTCTGCCTCGTCAAGAATGATAATCTTGAAGGAAGGACATGGGTACTGCGCGCGGTACGCAGCGTCCAGCCCCGTTGCCTGTGACAGCTGCGCCCGTGCAAAGTTTTTGACTTTGTCACGTACGATGCCGATGCCGCGCTCATCGGAGGCGTTCAGTTCGAGGATTCGGGAGCGGTACAGGGCAGGGCCGAAGAGCGATTTGGCGAGGGCGAGGATCGTGGATGTTTTACCAGTGCCAGGGGGGCCATAGAAAAGCATGTGGGGGAGCTAGAAATTGATGAGCTCGAACATTCAGCATAGAGGAGGCTTGTTTTTTGCAAAGTAGTTCTTCACATACGTTCGATGCTTGCAAGGTACGCTGCAGGACTTTCGTCGTGTGATCCTGCGCCGCCACATCGTCCAAGGTCTTTGGCCGACTAGATTTTTGTTAGCATCGGACGACATCCATGGCAAATCCCGATTAACACACTATTTCTCGACCCAGGGTTGCAACCGAGTCGTTTCTTCCTTGTTCTCGCCGGCCTTGGGTTTGGAACTGCTGGACGCCGCAGCCGCAGCGGCGCGGGCCTTGTTATTGAAGAAAGTAGAAGCCATTGGTGTCTCTGGGCCCAGGTTGGGCAGTTTCAAGGTGTCTTCAGACGGGTGGTTGCTCGAGGGTCTGCGAGTGGGCAGATACAACTCGGGAATCACCGGTGGTGCAGAGACGCGTCTCCACGTGACACGCGTCGCACTTAACACCCCAAGTAGTTACAGCGGTTTAGTCTAACGGCGAAGCCCATTCTATATTCTCTGAATAGAGAGATCTAATGGCATAATTATTATTACACGGAAATCAAGAAATGTCAATGGTTCGTCACTGGCGTGGTTTTCATTACAGCCAAGCATCGGATGTATAAGATCTATAGCTCATCGTGCGGCTCTGCCTCGTACATCCTCTTCTTCGGATTGCGTGGGATCTCATCTTGCCTCATTTTTTCCTCGGGGGTGATATCGTCGATATTGGTCCCTTCTTGCTTGCCATTGTCCTCGGCCATCTTTCCAATCTGGTCGATCACTCGATCACTCTCGGATTCCGTTGATGGTTCATCCCAGGTAGTACCACTTGCTGTTACGCTTTCGCTGGCCGCTGTAGCAGTCTGATGTATAGCCATGGAGAGGTCACTCCCGGCTGCGTGGGATTGGGACTCCACAGCAGTACTGGAGAGCCCAACTGCCCCCAACACGGCAAATACAAATCGACTGGCCAGTTTGACGGGCAGCCAGACGAGCCACCACATAGGCCCATAGAGGATACGGCGGAAGAGAAGCCATGTGATGGTCCCAATCAGAATGTAGAAAGCCGTTTCAAGATACCATGTGTCGGATTTCTGGGAGCGGAGAAGCGAGTTGGCGAGGCTGCGGGATGAGGAAAGAAGTGTGTCGAGGCTACTGTAGGAGTCGGATAAGGAAGAGATTGCGGCAGTGGATTGTTCTATTCAAAAATTTGTCAGTGACACTCTGGAAACATGATGGATATGGTCTGAAACGGGACTTACCGAGGGTCTCCTGCGCGAACTGACTGCGGGAGAGCTCCGTCTGCATCAGCTGGTGGGTTCTGCGCAAAGCGGCCGTAACGTCATTCGACGCATTCAATGCCAAGTCATCTTGCGTAAGTTTCTCCGACGGCTTTCGCTGGTTCTCCGAGGATTGAGATCTCGACAGCAGCAGCTCTCTCTCTTTGCGCTTGGCCAGTTCGGCATTGCGCTTTGCTTGCAGCTGGGCATTTCGGAAATCACCACGCGTCCTGGAAAAAGCATTAGCACGGTAAAATACAGCTAGCTGTGGTTTCCATATCCGTATATGCTCAGGGAGCTCCGTGAACACAAGAGCCAGCTCTTAGCCACCGGGGAACAATGATGCCCACCTTTTAAGATCGTCCGCCAACCTCCCCGCCATGGCGACCACCCGCTCTCGCTCTACTTCTTTCTCGCCATGAGCTGCCGACGCCTTTTTCCTGGTATCGGAGCCTGTTTCAAGTCCTTCAACTTCCACCCGGAGAAGCTCCAGCTCTTCTTCGGTTTCCTTCAACCGGGCATGAATCTCAGCGCCGAGCTCCACACGTGCCTCGTCGCCCTGTCCGATGGAGGTCGTAAAGCCACGTAGCCGGCTAACCAGAGGCTGGATCTGTCCGAGGGTCGCCGATAGCTCTTTCAGGCGGCCCTGGAGAGCAGTTGTGACGGACATGTTGGGGGGTTGACGAAGGTTGCTCAGTGGGTGCAAGGCATTCAATTCGAGGGATCGGGAATTGGAGAGTAATGGAGTGTCAGAATTCTCAACAGCATTCGCTGAGGGATCTATACTGAGATCACTGCGTCTGCGTCTTCAAACAATCCGTGGCATCAAGTTCGCATGTTGACAGATTGAAGCGGGCGGGTCTATTGATGTGTTTGCATCTCCGGCAAACATCCGAAGCCCGCAACATCCAGGCGACTTCATATCGACCATTTCCAACGGCCAGCGGAGCCTTGTACCAACCGACCAATTGCTGCTGGATAATCGACCAAAGCAACGGCCAGCCGAGGACACTCTAATTTAAAGCCGCGAGGCAATTGCCCGGGACAACATCACTTAAAAAAAACTTCTGCGACGATCCCGAACAAAACCCAATCAGGCACGCATTCCTCGAGCCGCAAGAATAAAAAGAAACTGGTTCAAACAGAAATTGCTAACTTATGTCCGGGATAGATTCAGGGATAGATTCAGCGTGAGATACAAATTACATTTCACCTCACCCCGCCATCATGTCTCTCCCGCTCAGCACCATCACCACCTTCCGCACCACCTTCAACCCATTCGCGCACTCGGGCCGACCCTGTCGACTTTTCCTGACGCTGCTGCGCACCCCGGACACTACACCGGCCAGCAGCCCCAACCGCATCGATATCAAAGTGAAGCAGTTGCCGCGCCACTCGACGCAGCCGCCGGAGATGACAATTGGGTTTAAGGGCGGCAAGGAGATTACGCTGGAGGTCGGGAAACGCGGGTTGAAGATTGGGGATATTGTCAATGAAGTGTCACGCGTGGGCCGAGCGCTGGAGCGAGAAGCGAGCTTGAAGGGGTAGTGGGTGTCTTTTGTTTCTCTCCTTTTGTGCTCAATACCATTTACCATGTATCATATCCTGTTGACTTTGTTCATTATATTTGAGATGAGTTTCTCTTTGGCGCTGTGGGCAGAATTGGACGGTTGCAATCCAGTGATATACCGCAGTCGAGTGAGCAGCCACCGTGAGATCCCACCTGGTCATCTCATGGTATCCATCTTACAAGCAAGCATCTGATGATCTCTAGTTTATGCCAATTGCGCATCAACTTCAGTGTACACACCAGCTCTCTGGTCGTGGGTACTCAAACGTTTTGATTTTGGTATTTTGCAGTAGAGACATTCAATATTTACACCGCAGCACCGGAGATGAAGAACCACTTGTCAATGCTGCCGTCGGTGGGAGCAGGGGGCAGGTTCTCGCCGCGGGGGATGGAAGCCAGCTGGCTCTGCTCAGCACGCTCGACCGAGTTGTCCACAGTCACGTTGGCGCTGTGATGGTTAGCCCAAAAGACCTAGTGGAGGGGGAAGCAAAACTTACAGGCTGATCTCGCCGCGGGGAGCCTTGCCGGTGATAAGCTTCTCCCAGGCGTCGGAGCACTCGCGGATAACGTCCTCGGCGTACTTCTTGTTCTTGCACTCGCCGGAGAAGGCGAACTGGTTCTCGGGCTTGCCGTCGGGGATCTTGTAGATACGGAACCACTCGTTGGTGGCTCGCAGGAGACCGGGGAGGTGGCGCTCAACGTCTTCGATGTCGTTAAGCTTGGGAGCCAGGGGGTCGTTGATGTCGACGACAATGACCTTCCAGTCGGTCTCCTCCTCGTCCAGGAGAGCCATCACACCAAGCACCTTGACCTGCTTGACCTGGCCAGGGTAGCCGACCAGCTCGCCAATCTCGCACACATCCAGAGGGTCATTGTCACCCTTGGCCTTAGTCTCGGGGTGGACGGTGTTGGGGTCTTCCCAGGTCTATGGATGGTCGGTTAGTTGACCCCTCACTTGCCTACCATTTTTGTGTGCCGGGGTTTGTCACTCACGCGGGGGAAGGCACCGTAGTTCCAGAGGTAGCCCTTGTGGGGGAAGCAGTTGCGGACGTAGCGGAGCTTGCCCTTCTTGGTGTCCTGCTTGATGGGGTTCAGGAAGTCCTCCTTGGAGATCTGAATGTCAAGAGAGCCCCGCAATCAGCATTTGTGTATGGAGGCGGAGAGGTGGAGGAGAATTGCAGAATGATCATACCTCCTGCTTGGCATTGGTCCAGCGAGGGATCTCAACAACCATGTTCAGGATGGTCTGCTGCTCATTGGCGTAGAGGGGAATGTCGTGGAAGGGAGAGACGGGCACACCATCCTTCTCGATGAAGACACGGTGCTCCAGCGTGAAGGGCTGGCCAATCTTGCGGACGGAGTAAGACATGGTGGGAGCTGCAGACGAGAAGTGTCTGGAGACAAGAGCAACACGAGAGATGGAAGGAATCTTGGAGGGGAATGAAAAGGGAGGGGCTTTGAAAGTGGGGGGAGCCAGCGTGGATGGGCGGACTCGGGCGGTGGAGGCAGACAATCCCAGCCGGGCCAAGGGAGGACGGGCCAGAGCCATTGGCTGTGTTGGCAATCTTCTCTCTGCTTTTCCTGTGGCTCCGTCAGAATCAGGGCTTGCGTGACCGGTGGTTAAGCCGGTGGGTTTTTTTTTTCCCCCTTTTTTGCCCCTGTGCTGTGGCGGTTGGTCTGTGTTCCGAAGACCGGAGAACCCGAGAGCATTGACATTCGGACCACGCCTGAATTTCATGGCTACTATTGGAATTTCACTTGTACGGAAAATGGTGTATAGAATATCCACTTTAATGTCATGTTCATTCCACTTCTCTGGTCATGTATATGTACTCTGCATGCACTCGGGTCCTGCGAGTACTAAGCCGATATCGGGATAGTGTGGGCGACAGCGCAAGATGTTAGACATGCCTATAGCAGAACAATATTGTAGTTATCTTTAAACTATTTCTATCAAATTTGAAGCAGACTCCTAAATTATTAGTCCTACTATATTCTCTAGTTTTTATCTGATTGAATTCCCTTCTATTAAGCATAGAATGAATATATACTATCACTTGTGCTGTTCTCTGAAAATTCTTCAGCGAATAATGAAACAAAATCTGTGGGGCTAAGACCACACATTCTGGCACTACCAACACGCCCTGTTCCTGAACCACAAACTGAGCCACATTTTTTCTTCGTGTTTAATTGCACTAACCTTAGGACCTTAGAAGAATACAGAGTTACTATGTCTAGTTCAATTTCTGAGCTTGCTCTCTATAACAATCTATAGTAATCAGCTCTGTATATATCCAATTTGAAGTACTTAAGATCATCTACATTTATCTATCTCAATAGGTCTGTATCAAGTAGACACTTCTCTGGTTCATGATCTTGGACCATCATCGATAATTAATTTTATTGATCTATTTTCTGCGCGTATTTTTTGGGGGAACATTGGAATAGCAAGAGCCAAGCATTTCAAACCTCTATAGTTATATAAGAACCAAGGTCAGCCCTATAGATATATTCTACTCTACTATAGGTAGATGTGGGGAAGGGGGCAAGTACACATTCCTTTCTGTTACATGAAACTTTGTTAATTACATCTATAGCTGCTTTGACTTGAACAACATATTAGGCAGTCGGGGTTTGTGAGACGCAGGATCGTCATATTACTCGAAACCATCAAAGATCGATTTCAACTACGGTTTACGCCCCCACAGCTTGCGTATCTCGCTAATAAACAGCTCTGCCTATCTCACCACCCCCACCATATAGTATGTTGACGATATGTGGAGGCATGAGAAAAATCTAAGGAGGGGCGACAGAGGCGTTGGGATTTGTCCACCATCGGCCCTAGGAGTGCCAAAAAGGCTCAATAAGGTGAGGAAACCATGGATGCTCTAAATATATTATTCACAAAAAGTCAAAATATCGACAGCCTTGTGCCAGTATTTTCAAGCAGTCTCCCCCTAGGATCAAAGTGGTGTTACTACTCTCTCACCCCGACACGGCCCGATGGGAGGCACTTCGCACTCTGCAGGTCAGTCATAATAATAATGGTTTAGTGATAGTTCAGAGGATCTTGCAGTTCTGGGCGAGCGAACCAACCACGCGGAAATATAAAGTTACTCTTCAGTACGAAGACAAGCCCAGCCTTGCGTAGAGACAGTAACCAAGGTAGGCAATGATGTCCATTCACCACAAGACGGGAAAAAGCTTCATCCCGTATATTATTTCTAACATGGCCCAACTGCGGGCCCTGGAAGATTCTTCAAATTGGCTTAAGTGCTTAAGTGCTTAGGGTGGGACAAAGTCATGAAAGCTTATATTGAGCCTCGACTTGGCGAGGTAAAGGATCCCCCCCCCCCTTTTTTTTTTTCTTGCAAATATTCTTTGACAGGTCAGAATTTTTATGTCCGATGTGGCTTCTCCACTCGAATAGGGCAAAGATTGTCCTCTCCTATAGTGGGACAGGCAAGAGCAGACACTAGCGTGCCAGTAAACACAGGACCTCGAACCCGAACCCGAAGGAAAATCCCTGGCGATGCACAGGGCAGGCCAATCAGCAAGGCGAGAAAGTATACAGCCGCTCCCAACGCCGACCCGAGCCTCGAGTGGGGATTTCGTTATTTTAAGCAATTGCTTGACGAAATGAAACGCTAACGTGGGGGCCACGCGAGATCTACAGGGCCAAAACATATACTGGAATAGTTTTTAAAGGGAGTCTACTCCCCTCTTGAAACCAATTCTTCTTCAGTCCATCGACATTGCAAGAGCCCAGAAATCACCAGCCAAGCTCCTATTCCACTCAAATTTCTCTTTCACAATGGTGGATGCTCTGTCAGTGGTCACTCTGGCCATCTACGCGGCCCTTGTCCTCCCGGTCCTGTACCTTTTGGTTAGACATGGACGCGAGGGCCTGCTCGGATGGCTCTTCCTGTTCCTCTTCTGCACCCTCCGCATCGTCGGCAGTGCCTTGGAAATCAAGAGCTCCAGTTCTGCGGCCACCATCATTTCCAACGTGGGACTGTCGCCTCTTCTGTTTGCGACCAGCGGGATCTTGCACGAAGCGTGAGTGGCGCTCGATCAAAGGTGTTCAAAAATTGAGGAGGGGGCTAACATGAGAAAATAGGAGAGCCCTGTTCGTTCGGAACCTCAACCAGAAGCAGGAAATGGCTGGCGCCCTCCTGTTCCACATCTTCGTGGCCGCCGGTGTCGCCCTCACTGCCGCCGGATCCGCCAAAGTCCAGCAGAACCAGCAGCCCGACAAGGCCGAGGGTATCATGAAGGCTGGTATTGTGATTCTGTGCGCTGCCTGGGGAGGTCTCGTGGGATACGCCGGAGCGTCCTACACCTCCCCGGTCAAGAATGGCCGCGCTGCCCGTGCAGGCAAATTGGTTCGTTTCCTCTGCTTGATGCAAATTCCTCTTTCTTGGATTCTATCAGACTTGCTGACTCTGTCGATCTATAGCTGCTTGCATCGGTCTGCGTTGCTCTCGTCTTCATTGGTGTCCGCATGTGGTACAGCCTGGTTGCTCTGTGCACACAGAAGCCCTATCTCAGCCCTAGCACCGGGTCTATGCCCATTCGAGTGGTGCTGGCTTTCTTGCCCGAGTTGATTGCCGCGATGATTTTCGTGGTTGCAGGATTTGTCACTCAGGGATCGTCTCAAGTGGCGGATGATGAATCCGATCTGTCGGAGCCCCAGAAGCCTCTGCCCGAAGAGATCTAAGGGGACCCCGCTGTTTTTTGATATAATTAGATTAAATTAATGTGCTGTACTGAAATGCGAATATGTTTAGACGTCTATTCAATTCTCGTCCCTCCATATTCTAAGTTTCTACCGGCTGAAAGCTATATAGTCTACTCGAGCATAAACTGCAGCAAAACATGTACCGACTACTTAGTAGATCTAAAATAACCGAAAAAATAAATAAATAATAAATAAATAAAAATATACAAGAAATAAGCTGTGTCCTTGGCACACTAAAAAAGCCTATCACCACGTGACTTCGCCTCCAGGTGGGATTCTTCATCGTTGACTCAGGCCCGAACCACTCGTTCCCCTCGGCATGCGATGAACAGACTATTTCGAGCCGCAATGACTTCCCTCACTGCAACTGCCACTGCTACGACCGCAGCAGCGTCCACGGTGCCGCGTGTGCCCATCCCCGCCAAGGGGGTTGACTACCGCGGAAAAGTCGTCCTGGCCCCGATGGTTCGATCGGGCGAGCTGCCCTCGCGCCTGCTCGCCTTGAAGTATGGAGCCGACCTGGTGTGGGGCCCCGAGACGATCGACCGCGCGATTATCGGCGCCATCCGACGAGTAAACCCGCGCAACGGCACCATCGAATTCACCCGACTGCCGTCCAATGGTGGGCGGACCGAGAAAGCCGCGAAGGAGTCGGTCATCTACCGGATCGACCCGGCGCGGGAACAAGGCAAGTTGGTATACCAGATGGGCACGGCAAGCCCGGACCTGGCGGTGCAGGCGGCGCGCGTGGTGGCCGGCGACGTGGCGGGCATCGATGTCAACTCGGGCTGCCCCAAGCCGTTCAGCACTAGCGGCGGCATGGGTGCCGCGCTGCTGCGCACGCCCGACAGACTCGTCTCCATCCTTGAGGCACTTGTCCGCGAGGTTGGCCAGCCTTTCCATATTGGGATTTCTGTCAAGATCCGGATCCTTGAGACCCCCGAACTCACCGAGAGCCTCGTCTCCCGCCTCGTCGCTACGGGCATCACCGGCCTGACAGTCCACTGCCGCACCACGCCCATGCGGCCCCGTGAGCGCGCCATCCGCGACCAGCTGCGTATGATTGCAGGCATATGCAACCGTGCCGGCGTTGCCTGCGTCATGAACGGCGATGTCGCGTCGCGCGATCAGGCGCTGGACCTGATGTCCGAGTACGGCGTAGATGGCGCGATGATTGCCACGGCTGCTGAGGCTAACTCGTCGTGCTTCCGCTCTGAGGCCGATGGCGGGCTCCTGCCATGGCGCGAGGTCGCCTATGCCTACATGCGGTTCTGCATCGAGTCCGAGAACCGTTTGGGCAACACCAAGTACCTACTCAACATGCTGATTCCGGGCAAGAACAAGGAATTCAAAGCCGCCAAGGCCTCCCGCACCTACACGGATTGCTGCCGCCGTCTGCAGTTCGACGACCTCATCCCTGCTGCTGTCCGCCTTGACGAAATCCTTGACTTGACCGGCAAGTGGGAGCTTGGCCCCGGTGACAGCCAACAGGACTCTCGCCCCCAGGCTGTCCAGAATGCCATCAAGTCCAATGAGTCGGCTCAGGCGGCGGGCGGCAGCGCCATCAGAGCGAAAGCTACTTCACCGGCTACGCATGGCCCTGGTCCCATTCGCACCTCCTCTATTCCTGGGCCTGCGAAAATCGCCAGGCCAGAGACCGAGAACTCAACTATTGATGCAGAGGCACATATTCCGGCTGCACAGAAGCCAGAAATCACCGCATAAACGTTGCTGTCTAATTTGGCATTGCCTTTCTATGTTTATTTTCTAGTTCCTGGTTTCTGTCTACACTCCTCTATCTTCTCGACGCTGGTTCGCGGTCAGCATGCATAGCCTGGTGACTTTTTTTCACATTGTTTCATTTCTCTGCATAATTAGGTGTTGCTTTTTCTCTTTCTTTTTCTGTCATGTCCATAGATTCCCTTCTGTTCAAATGCAATGGATATATTATTGGTTGACCGAAAGGAAATGTCCCTTGGAGGCAGGGGAGATCAGGCTACAAAGACAGCTGGCATCGTTCTCGCACACTACAGCCGGCATATAGAAAAGACGATCAGACAAGGTTGGAGACGGAACCAACCACATAGTTCCCCATCGTTCCCGCACACCGCGTCTGGAATAGCGCTGCTCCACACCCGAAACCCTAACAAGTTGCTTTTGATAGACCTGCCTGATATGGTCTGCCGGAACGACAGACGAGGGATTCTGCTAGCGTGTATAGAATTTGCTAGTATGCTGTCTAATTAAAGAGTATAAAGAATATAAAACTATCTTTCAAGGCACCGCGAAACTCTTTTACTGCCCTATTCTTCAAAGATCCTGCTCATCCCATTTGATCACACCAAAAACAACCTTAGAAACAATGGACATACCCACCCCCAAAATCGCCGTCCTCGTCAACACCCCACCAGAAAACCACGCCTTCTGGACAGACGTGCGACAAGCGTGGCAACAAGCTCTCACGAAAAGTGCACCTTCAGTCAAAGTCGACCTCTACGATCCCGTCTTTGAAAAGGACTTTCCCGATCCGCTGAAATATGACCTGATCGTTCTGAGTGGCGGCAAAGCAGACGCATCCTCTTCTGAGCCCTGGGTGCTGGGGGTCCTTGATTTCGTGCGTGCGACTGCGCGCGAGGCGCCGAAGACGAAGATGCTGGGTATCTGCTGGGGTCATCAGGCTGTGGCGAGGGCGTTGGGTGGGGAGGTTGGAGCTGTTTCGACTGGGCCGATTGTGAGTGACATTCTTTCACTGTGTAGTCTACCACCAACATCCTTCTGAGATGATGTTCACTGATCCTGAATAGGCCGCTATTCAAGATATCCCTCTCACGGACGCAGGCAAGGAGTTCTTCCCGTTCGCCGCGGGCACTGGTTCCTACGTACGTTTACGCTTTTGTGCCTTCTTTTCTCTCTCTTTCTTCCACCGGTGTAAGTCCACTAATTCTTTACAGAGAGCACCGGAATTCCACGTCCGCGAGGTCTCCAAGCCCGCCCCCGGCTTCATCTCCCTCGCCTCGAACCACGAATGCTTCGTCAACAAGACAAACACAATCCTCTCCTTCCAGGCACACCCCGAAATCTCAAATGACCTGGCGAAGAAAATGCTCCTCGAAGAAGACAAGGAGTACAATGGGAACTCGACGGCAGAGCAGCTGGAGGCCGAGGTGCAGAAGCTTGAGCAGCCAACTGATGGAGTTGACTTGTTGAACCGGGTTATTCAGTGGCTGCGCGAGTAATGGCGAGATATGCAATGACCGTTGGAGCTAAAATTTGGGAGTTTAAGACTTTTTCCTCTGGGCTTAGAAATATCAATATCGGCTATTTTCTACCATTTTTTTTATAGATCAAAATCGATACGCTCTGTAAAGAGAGAACCGCTAGACCTCCACTTCCCATGAACCAAAAGCGTGGTAATGACCTGGCTATTATAACCCGTGAACTTGGGCTCTCCGCCGCCGTCATCCATGGGCTGCGAGACGCCGAACACATCGCGATCCATTCTTTTCTGTTGATTGATCGCCCTGACAACAGCAAGAACCTGGTAGACAGGGAAAGCCCCTTCCTCCGTCGGATGCGTGTCTTGCAGGGTCTGGAGCCATTGCTCGATCTCAATACTGAGAGATAGGTCCTGGCAGCGGAGTGATGCGGCCAGTAATAGGCCTGAGAACCCGATTGTGTAGTTGTTGCGGATCACAGATGTACGCATGTCCGTTCCCTGGGCGATTCGGAGTAGGAGGCGGACCCAGGGTTCTGTCTCTGAGCATTCACTGCCGAGGTGTTGGGGATCGCCGGAAGGAATCTTCTGCAGAAAGCTTGTGTATTGCATGATTCGGGCCACGACGTGGTAGGCAAAGTTCAGGGCTGCATCGTGGGATTGGAAGAGGACGGGCGAGGTTTCTGATGCATGGCCCGCAAGGGGTTGTTCCGATGGTGGGAGATACGATAGCCACTCGTCGAGTCTTTTGGATTCATTTTTCAGTTGCACGGCGTAGTCTTCGAGGTCCTCTCGGTTGGTTAGTGGTTCGTCTAAGAGGAATACTAGGTTGGGATCTGGTTGGTATTTCCAATGTTGGAGAGTTTTCGACATATTCAGCCGGTGGGATGCACATAAAATGCTGAGAGCCACGGCGCGTCGCTCGTGTAGGGAACCAGAGGGTCCTTCAAGGTCTCTGGGCAAAGCAATCGACGGTAACTGTCTCTGCACATCCAAAGAACTGAAATATGTGCGCGCCCACCAGACTAGGAACTGCGACTGCATCCACGCAGCGAGGAGGGCTCTAAAGAGCGGGTTTCCTGTTGTCGAGCGAAGCTCCACGAGAAGTGCCGTCATGCCTTGCACATGACAATAGAATCCTTCGAAGTTACCCATGGAAGCTTCAATATAGCCAAAGAGGACCAGGGTGGTTAGAACCAGTATGACGTTATTTTGGTAGTCGTCTTGAGCGAGTGAAGTGATTTTCTTAATTGCCGAAGAATAATATAGTTGACTCCTCGTTTGATGGGTCAGGCTTGGACTGAATGATCCCATGGTCGCCAAAGATGCCGAGGACTTTCTTTCGGGGTTGATCCGGCTGATATTGCATGATGATAAAGCGAGGATGGCATCTTTTACCACCGGAAGTCCAAGTTGCTCAGACGTGGAACGGAATATCGGATGTAGAGCTGGCAAGCAGTGATCTTCCCAGTAAGTCGAGTAGAAGACATCTCGATCAGTATGCTGCAGCGAGTAAATTAAGTTGATATCTGGAAGTTTTGGACTCGGGTCGTGTCTGTTGAAGAGCTGTACCTCCGAGCGACTTGGTTCGGACAAGGATGGCCCCCTCCTACGGCTTGTCTTTGTTGGAAGCGCAGTCACCACTTGGAACTTCAAGGGCGGCTTGACACTCTCGCAGACTCTCCCTAGCCTAGCACACGTCCCACATGTTGGCCTTTTCTCATCGCACTTGGTCCTCGATGTTAGTCTGGTCCTGGCGGTTCCCCGAATGCGCCGTACCTTGGTGCGCCGTTCGCGACAGCTCTTGCAGCCATTGCGCGAGCGGACAATGTCTGTTTTCTTGGGCCTAGGTGGAGCAGGCTTGTACATTTGATGCCATTAATGACCTGGTCCAGCCAGTGTTCGGTGATTGAAAAGATTCCGGTCGTTTCTAGCCTTGGAGGCGTGGGAGGTGGAGGTGGATGACTCAGTGGAAGATTGCACCGTGGACGCCTCGAGCCACAAACTTCATGTTCTTTGGCCAGTACACATAGCTTGGGGTTCGAACATTTTCTGTCCTTGCTCATGAAATGTAATGGACATATTACTGATTCATAAATGGTTGACTGAAAGGATACGATCCACCCAAGGTCTACAAATACGCCTCAGGACGACTACAAGTGAGAATAAGACACTGAGATAAGAATTACAAGTAGATGAATTTTGAGCTCTAAGTGAGCTCGATCTAATCCCTGCAACCCCCCCCCCCCCCCCCCAACTCCCACACACCCGAAACACCCGAGCGAAAAGAACCACAATCAAGCCTTGCCAGCGCCCGAATCCTTCTCCAGGTCGGCACGCACCATCTCCTCGACGACCTTCATGCCGGCCTCCTCGTTCTTGGCACCGCCCGCGTCGTCACCCGCGACCGCCTGATCCAGAGCCAGCTTCGTCTGTCCGAGGGCATAAATCTGCTCCTCGATGGTGTCACGGGTGACGAAGCGGAAGATCTCGACGTCGCGGGTTTGACCGACGCGGTGGGCCCGGTTCTCGGCCTGGACATCCTCCTGGGGGTTGAAGGAGGAGTCGAAAATGACGACCTTGTTGGCGCAGGCGAGATTGATGCCAGCGCCGCCGGCTTTGGTCGAGAGCAGGAAGACGGGGATGTCCTCTCGCTCGTAGAAGGCGTCGAGGATGGACTGGCGGTCTTCGACGCTGGTGCGGCCGTCCAGACGCACGAAATCGATCTGCAGCGTCTCCAGCACGTTCTCGAGGATGTCCATCACCATCGTGAACTGCGAGAAGATCAGCGTGCGGTCGCCGTTTGCGATAAACCGCGTGAGCAAGGCCCGCAGTTGGTCCACTTTGCCCGAGTCCATCCACTCCTCGTTCTTCAGCTTGAACTTGCCGAGCGATCCCGGGTTGTCGAGGCACATGTGGTGGCACTCGAAGTCATTGTACGGCAGCAGCTCCTCGTAGATGATGTTAGGGTCCGACAGGGACCACTTGTCTTCTTTCAGACAAGCCTTGGCCATCTTGCGCAAGGTAGCGTCGTCGTAGTGTCGACGCGCGAGGAGTGGGTGGATCGCTGCTTGTCGGAGCTTCATAAGAATGTTGGCTGACTTCGATCCGGTCTTCTTGCCGGCCGCGCGGTCCTCCAGAAGCTGCCGCACTTGTTCCTTTTCGTGCTCGTAGATACCTCGTTGCGATGGCTTCATCTCGCAGTATTGAACGTGGCAGTGCTTGGCCGGAAGGTCGATCACCTGGTGCTTCTTACGTCGCAGAACAAATGGCTTTAGCATGGATTTGGCACGCTCGATACGCTGCGCCGATAGCAGAGTCGCATGCGACTCATCTGTCGTCTTTGCTTTGTTCGCGAACACGGCATTCAACTCTTCCTTGTGTTCATGGAACACGCCGGGCAAAATAAACCCAAGAAGAGAAGCCAGCTCTTGCAGGTTGTTCTGTAGTGGCGTGCCGGTAAGGAGAAGTCGGAAACGTGCCTTGATGCGGATGAGCTTTTCGTACAGCTGTGACTGATGGTTCTTGAGCATGTGGCCCTCGTCGTAGACACACACGCAAAAGTTCATGTCTCTCAGAAACTTCGCGTCGGTCTTGGCCTTGGCAATCGTGTAAGTGGTAATCACGACGTTGATGCTGTCGCGGTTATCTTCAATCTGCTCGCGGATTTCGGCGCGCTCGTTCAGGCCAGCGTAGTATGGCATGACTGAAAGCTTCGGGCAGAATTTCTGGAATTCGCGAAGCCAGTTCTCGATGGTTGATGAAGGCACCACCACCAGATGAGGACCCTTCACTCCGATTTCAAACAGATGTGCAAGGAAGGCGATGACTTGGCAAGTCTTGCCGAGACCCATGTCGTCCGCCAGGATGCAACTCAGTTCCTTCTCGAACAGGAGAGCCAACCAGTTAATTCCTACGATTTGATAGTCTTTCATCTCCAGATCATCTGCCATGATGGATGGCTGTGAGATGAGACGAGATTTGCGCGCCGCCGGGACCAGCTGATCACTGTCATCGGAGTCCACAGAGAGTCGGTTCGAAGAAGGCGTGGCGATCCCAGAATCGTGCGACTTAGTGGGATCGATCGATGTGAGTTCCAGCTCGCCATCACGCTTCCCGAAGATGTCGATGCCCCATTTCTTCATTTCCATGCCGACAGGCCGGCCAAGCGCCTCGCATTCCGCCACCAAAGCGTCAATGGCTAGATATCCAGTCCACATGTCGATGCACTTGTCAACAATTTTATCTCCGATAGGCTTGGGAGGCTTGCGTCCCTTGCCCTTGCCCTTGGGCTTGGCATCGTCCTTGACCGGTGCACTGACGGTGCGCACATCATCCAGTGCTGAATAGGGTCGTTGCGACATGATCACGTTGGCGGTTTCCTCGGGGATCGCAGCAATATCAGCGAGATCGCAAGCATGGCAAGTGTTGAAAAACTTGAGAACCTTGCGATCCAAGTCGCTAGCGCCAGAATCCTCCACTTGGACATCTGAATCATCCGAATCGCTCATGGCCGCTTTAGGAGATTCCGAGCGCGGGGACGACACTCTCTTGCGGCCCTTCTGAAGCCGACCGAGCTGCTTCTTGGGCGGAGACTCATCGGAGTGAATCGAAATCGCATCGGCGGGAGATTGAGCATCGGACGGAGGGGCACGAGACTTGGGGCCGCGCATGAGCCGGCGCCGGGGTTTTCCTTCGTCTGAAGACCCTTGGTCCTTTGTCGCAGCAGCGGGAAGATTCATCGCCGCCCATTTGTCCTGGATGGTTCCTCGGGCCTTGATCTTCTGCTTAGCTACAGGCACCGGGCCCGAGCCGACAGCAGGCGAGGCACTCAATTCATCCTCGGAGGACTCAATCACAACAGTATTGAAACCATTTTCCTTGTTGACATCGTCGTGATTGGCGAGTTTGTCGAGTGCGTCGTCGTAGTTCCCATTAGCGAGCATGAGCGCATCCACACACGCATCAATTGACTTTGTCGGCATCACTTTGAGAATGCGCTCGACCTTGACCCGAATCCGGTAGTCGGGAATCTCCTGGAGAGACGAGTACTGGAATCTCGCGAGCTGAGCGCGGGACGGCGCATCCTGTCGTGCCTTCTTCGTGGCGACCCCCTTGGTCGGCGAGGCCGAGCTCATTTGATCCGCAGAACGCTTCATGGTGACAGACTTGGGATCATAGACAGCAGCGGCGGTAATCTCCTTGAACCGGTCGAGGGTACCGCCGTTAGGGTGCACAGGGGACTCTACAACTTTTTCCTTCTGGGGGCTTCGATTCGTCTTTTCAAACATAGCAGGCTTGATGTCCGTACTTCGAATGGTGTGGCGTTCGTCGTCGTCAGAAGAACCACCTCGGTAGGTAGGGCCGTCGTCGAGATCGAACACCGGTGTTCGCTTCGCAGGTCCCGAAGTAGTTGCAGGAGGACGAAAGTGGGTTCCGGAAGGGGCCATCAAGGATGAGAGGAGGCCGCCTTGCGGTGGGCGGCGAGGTGGTGATATAGCTGGGGCGGGGGGGAGGAGGCGGCGACCTGAATAACGCTATTGTTGCTATTGTTACCATTATGCATATTGTGGCTATTGCGGGGTCGGGAATAGGGCGATTCAATAATCAGTTGAGTGGGTTGCGTCAATCGCTGAGACGGGGTCAATGAATGCGCCGCGACTGGGACGGTGGCAATTGTCTCATAGTCGCCATCGTCGGGGGGTGTACTCGGCACACCCTTCTTGTCCCGAGGAGTATTGGGCACCGAGTCATCCATGGCCATCCACTACCAGATCCCAAGGACTCCCAAAAGTGAGGCCGGTCTGATCTGAAGGATTTCAGGAACGCTTTTTTTCTGCCGGCGGAGACGCGAGGCGCGCTTGGGTCACGTGGTTTTAATTGAATATGGTATTGCCGAGTGGATGGGGGATTATGAGTATACGGTGTACAGGGAGAATCAGTAGCAGAGAGGGATCTTGGTGTACGCATTGGATGAGGACTGTACTGGTGCGTGGGTGGAGATGTCCTGGATTTACAGTCGATATTGATCTCTTTGGTTTCCCTTTTGGTCCTTAATGCTCGCCACTTTTTGCGCAAGTTCATCTCATGTAGAGCTGACTTCCGATGAAGCATCGTTCAAGCAAGCTTATTGTAAACAATAGACTAGCATTATTATTGAGGACACCATGGAGGCCTCCCAATAAACCCCCCTTTTTCGCGTATACAATTGTAGAGCGAACCCACCAATCAGCGTCGCCATGTGACCGGAGCTGGCGTTGACTTGGAGCTCAAGGATCGTCGACCCGACCCATTTCCCTTCAGAACTACCCGCTTTCAGCGCATTCTTCAATACCCGCAACAGATATGTCTGCCCGCCGTCCCCATGCGCAATCCTACGCCGATGCTGCGGCCAAGCCTCCGCCGGAGAAGAGCGACTCGGACGTGACCCCCGCTGTTCCTGCGTACGTGGAATGACCCTGTCTGACAATGTTGCTGCGCGATAATCCATAGATGTTTCTGACCCAATGGCGATGCACAGCGACGTCATCTATAAGCTCCTCAGCTTCACGGCGGCCATGGTCATCGGCCCCCTCGGCGTGTATTTTCTGACCGTGAACTCGATTTTCAGCGGTGAGATCCTTTTTTTGTTCTAGCTATTGTTCCTCGTGCCTACAATCTATATACTGATAGTTGCTGCGATGATTAGGAAACACCACATTTGCCGGTATCGCGGCTGCCTTCACTGCTAACGTGGTATTGTTCGCCTATGTCTTTGTCGCCTGGAAGGATGACCAAGGGGAAAGACAAGCAACCGAGAAAGAGAAGTCGAAGAAAGCCCAGTAGCTTCGATGGACGCGCAGGCCGTGGATCGAAATATATGGAGCAGGCCTTATTTTGTGTGTATTTTCTTTTCATCGGCGTTACTGGTAGCTCGATTGGGCTATCTTGCATTTCGTTATTGCCCATTGGTACTATCCTCGACGGCATAAGAGTATCGAGGACTCCCGCGGCGTTTTGGTTGGATATCATAAAACTATTCCCACAAGTCCCAGCTTCTTCAGGACAACCTCGCAAGGCCATGCCTCCAGTCTCCAATAAAATGTCTCAGAACAAAGCATGCTATGTCCATGTCGAAGGAACCGCACTCCGAAGCTCAAAACTAGCCTGTATTGGTACAGCCGCCTTTCTCACGCGGGTCTCCGCTTGACAAACTCCTCCAGGTCCGCCTTGGTCGCAACGCCCAGAACAAACTTGCGCGCCACATCGGTTACGACCGCAAACTGCTGCTTGTCTCGCTGGTCGCCGTTGGGGCCGGTCTCGCTCTCGAAGAATTCCTCAAGCTCCTCCAAGGGCGTCTCCATCGTGATCACGTGGTAGATACCCCGTTTCCGGTTGAAGCGCTGCATCGCAGAAGATACCGGGGCGGTCTCTTGCACGGCGCCGCTGTGCAGGAGGTCCTTGAGCCGAGGGATGTTCAGGTAGCCGAGGAGAGATCGCTTGGTCGCTGAGATGACCGTGAGATGAGAGTAGTCGCGCTCGTATGCTGCCATGAGGGCAGCGGAGACTGGATCATCGGGCGAAACGGACAGGGCTGGAGGGGGATCGAGATCTTCGACAGTCGCCTATACAACATCCTCCGCGGTTAGTGTGTGTCATTTGAGTCCGAGCTAGCAGAACGGAGACAAACCCCGCGGTACTTGTCGGCCCATTTTGTTGGCAGAGCTGCAGGGACAGAATCCGACGGGAGCTTCTCGCGAGCAAAGGCCTCGCTGCCGGTCAGGTAGGAAGCCATTGTTGCGCGTGGAGAGCGAAGGATTTGGCGATGGCGGGGCTCGCGCGGGAGGGGCAGGGAAGCTTAACGGAGACAGAGGACAGTAGAGGGTAGAGAGTGGATTCAATGAGCTTAAATCCAATCCTCTCAAGTGAAGAAATTCGTCAATATTTGCTGGGAACACGCCCGGGGCGAGTAACAGAGGGTTGAGGCGGACGCCAGTCTTTTTGACTCAAAACTCGGCGCTTTTGCTCATGCAACGCCAAGACTTCACTCTCTACGTCATCCACGGCATCAGCACAGCGCCATCGTTCTCTCTGCGCCTTTGACGCTTAGGGGTACAGTACTGCTTGCCTGAACTTCTCTTGCTAAATCTATTTGATTGACCGAGCACACGGCTTGGTATTCCCAAAGGATCTGCTCGTGCGTTGATTGTCATTGTCTGCAGGTGGAGACGCTTCGCTCGACCCCGGGCTCGACTCCACTTGGGATACCTACTCTGATGAAGTAAATAGATCGACCACCATGCTGCCCTCGGGATCGATTCTAAGCACGCTTGCTGCCCAGCACCCGCTGGGTGGCCTCAGTGTGCAGCCGCAATCTCGCCAGCAGCCGGCCGGCGTGCCGACCGCCCCTCCCAGACGTGAACCGTTCCCGGCCTGGAGTGCAATCGACGAGGCCAAGAAAAAGGCAGATGCCTTTGGCAAAGAAGCGGCTCGTGAATACGATGTGGCGAGCAAGAAGGCCCAGGACAAGGCGGGCAAGATCGAGCCCTGGAGCCCCAAATACTATGCGGCGTGTACTTTTGGCGGCTTGCTGGCGTGTGTTAGTGATAGACGGATTCATTGCGCCCCCCTCGGATACTGGATTTTATTGCTGATTCTGCTTTCCCCAGGGCCTGACCCACACAGCTGTGACGCCGCTTGATCTGATCAAATGCCGTCGCCAGGTCGACTCGAAGCTCTATCAGAGCAACATGCAGGCATACCACAAGATCCGTGCAGCTGAGGGTCTTCGTGGAGTCGTCACGGGCTGGGGACCGACGTTCTTTGGCTACAGTGTAAGCAAGATGGAATAGCTGCTGACTACAGGCTGCTAATGTCTTTTTCAAAGGCCCAAGGAGCCTTCAAGTACGGTGGGTACGAGTTCTTCAAGAAGTTCTACAGCGACCTGGTGGGCCAGGAACGAGCCAGCCGGTGGAAGACCTCGATCTACCTGACGGCCAGTGCCTCGGCAGAACTGATTGCGGACGTCGCTTTGTGCCCGTTCGAGTCGGTGAAGGTGCGCATGCAGACGACTATCCCGCCTGATATCCGCGGTACTTTCAGTGGCATCAGCAGCGTCGTTTCCAAAGAGGGCGTGGCCGGGTAAGTTGTGATGTGGCGATGTGCATTAGACTGGTAAAACGCAATTTTTGACATTACTGGTAGACTGTACAAGGGCCTGTACCCGCTGTGGGGCCGCCAAATCCCCTACACAATGATGAAGTTTGCCTCTTTCGAGACGATCGTCGAAGCCATCTACCACAATCTGCCCGGCCAGAAGTCCGACTACAACAAGGGTGCCCAGACGGCTGTGGCATTCAGCGGTGGGTACTTGGCCGGCATCTTGTGCGCGGTGGTGTCGCACCCGGCCGATGTGATGGTGAGCAAGCTCAACGCTAACCGACAGGCCGGCGAGGCATTCGGGGCGGCGATGAGTCGTATCTATGGTGACATCGGGTTCCGCGGACTGTGGAATGGATTGCCCGTCCGAATTGTGATGATTGGGACTTTGGTGAGCATAACTCGAGTGGAAGCGGGTAGTTCAAGTCACTAATCATGTTTCTAGACTGGATTGCAGTGGATGATGTATGACGTTCTTTGGTTAGTGATTGGAAGGTGGATATGCTAACTCATCGGACTTATAGCTACGACTCGTTCAAGATCTTCATGGGTCTACCCACGACGGGAGGAACGGGCGAGAAGAAGAAGGGACACTGAGTGCGAAGTGCAGACTGGACACATTCTCTATCTTGCGACTACATTCTTTTATACTTGTGATAGTCTCGAGTTTAAATCTATTTTTCGATCACGACAGCTCGTAGACCAATGATAGGTATAATACCGCTATATACTCTTGTAGCGCCAAGAACGCTATCAGCAATAGGTTAGTCACAGCACCCACCAATGCCCGCCAATTGCCGCCTGCTATCTTATCTTCGACGTCACCAGAATTGCGATAGAAAACGAGGGCTGCTGCTATTCATTGGGGGGGACATTCGTGGGACTGATACTTGGTGGCTTCTTGCAATTTGCATGCCAAGCACAGCTCCGATCTCGTTGCGCCTCGAGCACGGTGGTTTAAATTGGAGGTGCTTTCTCTGCTGATCCACTACAACACCTAACCTAGTAAGTAAATTTCTCCCCTTCGTCCTTACTCTCGCCTTTATTCTCGGGTAACTGCCAAAGCTGAGGTGAAGCACCCCTGCTTTTTTTTTTTTTTTTTTTTTTTTTTGATTGTACCTGCGTCGGCTGATTGCAGTCTGCACGATAAAAAGACCCCCTCGCATCGTGTCGCATTGCGATTCTCCTGCTTACCCACTTCTCTCCTATCCAGATACCCTCTCCTCCAGAAACCATCCTTTACTCTTCATCATGGGCGAACACGAGCCGATGGTCTCGCATGGGCGTGGAGGTACGATATCTACCAACTTCTCGACCCCCCACATAACTCTGCCAGCGCATTAACACGAAACAGGACAAGGGAACATCGGCCACGACACGACAGAGTATGTCTCCCCAATATCTTGATTTGATTTACTACATCTATGGATATGGATACACCGACCATCCGTGAACCCAAGCAGATCTGACGAATCCTCTTACTTCTAGATATGTCGACGGCGAGATCGTTCGTGAGGGTATCTACGGAGACCAGGGGGACGGGGCATATTCTGCAGGGGTAAGACAAAAGCAAAGTGGCATACCTTGAGCATGACATTCTACGACCTACACTAACAGCACATGTACATAAATAGCGCGGCGGTGCCGGCAACATCGGCTCCCCGAACGTCCGCCCAACCTCCAAAGTCCCGCACGACGCCGAGATGATCCCCGAGCTGGCAGTCCGCAGCTCTGTCGATGAGAACTACCATGTGGGGGTAAGCTAATTCGCGACTCTCTCTCTCTCTCTCTCTCTCTTTATTTTAATTTTTGGCTTTTCCTATAATGGCATGGGCAGGGTGCATGCATGGATACCTCACGGTTCATGTTCATGGCTAACATCTCTATTTATTAGCGGGGCGGCCAAGGCAACGTCCACCTCGACGAGGCGACTCGCAAAGAAAAAGAGGAGAAGCGGCACAAAGGCCTGGCGCATGAGGGGCTGGCCGATAAATTGAAGAACAAGCTGCTGGGGAAGAAATAGAGATTGGAACTAGAGAAGTAGGTCGAGCATGATTTACTTTCCAGTGTTTTTGCCCTTTTTCTTGCTTTTGGTTTTGTGATTCCCATTCGTGCTCTTCGTATCTAGTCAGATGGAATCTATGGATTTCTGTTATTTACTTAGGGAGGGTTGTCTCTTAAATACCTGGGTTGCTAGAATATGATAATAAATGTAAGCATCTACCCTCTACAGAGATTGCGTCAGGGGGTAATTGGTAATTCCATTCATATTAGACCAACTGATCCAGCAGTAACACCATAAGCCATCCACGAGTAACAAAGAAAAAGAGAAAAGAACCAATCCTATCGCGCACCCATGTCCCATGTATCGTAAACTCATTAAAGCATAACTCAAAGCGAGAAGAGATGAAAGCAAAAAAAAAAAAGACATCAAACCGTCGAAGATATCCTCTCTCAAAATGGATGCATGGAGATAAACAGCGCTGGAGCGAATAAACAAGTAAAGAAAAGGAAGATAATACACCTCGCATGGTCTGCATCCACAGTCTAACCCTTGCTGAATCTCCGCTTAAACCAGCTCTTGCGCTTCTCGTTGCCATTTGACCGATTGGTGTTCTTGCGCAAATGGCTTGGCTTGGCCCCAGCTGCAGCATGCACTCCACCGACAGGACCACCCCAGTTGGGGTCTGCCACGGGCGCCGGCGCCGGCGGCAGAGCCTTGCTATTCGTGTTGGGGCTCATACTGAAGCCCTGGTAGCTATACTCGGCCTGAGCTCGCTCGTCTAGACGCTGTTGCTGCAGGGCCTGCTGCTGCAATTGGTCCATGGAGCTATTCAGCGAGCTGGGGTCGGTCGACTGCCCGTAGGGATCGGTGTAGCCAGACCCAGAGCCCGACATGGCAGTAACGTTGTCGTAGGATCGCTGGTAGGTCTGGGGCGGATAGTTGTGTGATGGAGTGCCCCCATATATTCCCTGGTCGGTCGATACGCGGGAGTAATGCCGCGATCGCCCCCGGCCATGCTGGTTGTAGGGATAGTAGTTCTCCGGAACCTGACTCGATCCCTGGTATGCGTCAACAAAGCTGTCCGGTCGTGATTGATTAAACCGGCTGCCGTAATAGCCGTTCTGGTCGCTGAATCGGTTCACGTAGGCGTTGGGACCTGATCAAAGTGTAAGCAGATATTTCACCATTCCTGGTATGTAGATAACCCTACCTCCATAGTAGCTTGTCCGTCTGCTATAGTCGCCAACCTGGGATGCATCATCTGAGGATGTCGAGTCAGCCGGGAGATCCTGCAACGGTGCAGGGTGGTCCGTACCGGTTCTGGCATATGAAATGGGCCGATTATTATTGTATGTACCGTAGATGGCTGCCTCGAAAGAACGGATTGTGTCGAGCGGGCGCTCCATTCGGGGCCGAGTCGGGTTGGACAAGTCAGGGTCAGCTAGACCACGCAATCTGAGTCAGTAACGGCTGTGGATTCCGCAAGACAGAACAAGAAGGAGGACGAACTGATGACATTCCCATATTGATCCTTGTGCTCCATCTCGCGCAGAGAGCCCAGATTCGACTTCTCCAGCGCAACGGCCACTAGTGAGTGTCAGTGGGGGAATTATTGGAATGCGACCGCGGCAAAACCCACGTGGGTAAACATACTGGGTTGTGCCTCATTCATGGCGATCAGAGGGTCAGCCTTGGTGTGGAGATTGCGTTTTGCTTTTTCCTCGGATGATTCTGAGAGATGGCTTTTGTGGCCAGAGATGCTGGAGCGATGTGACTGTTCAGATTTGACACTGAAACCACGACTCCGCCGGGGAGAGGAGGGAGGTTGGGGGGCCGCCATTTTATTAGTGATGGGCTGCTCCACCGTCTTTTTTAGCGTCCGAGATTCAAGGCCAAGTTGGGGTCTGAAACGGTTGTGATCTGCCCGAGCTATGTGCGTTGTGGAGCGCGACCACGATGTAGGTGGGAACCGCCAAGAAAGTCGATCGCAAACCACTGTAGATGTGACAGCTCATTGGCTCTGCCAGCGTCTGCAGCGATGGAGTGAGTAAGACACTGAGCCTGCTACCCAAGAGGCACCTTGAGCCGCCGACTGGAATAGACGCTGTGGTCCCGCTTTGGTCTCTTTGTGAGTGGGTAATGTGATAGAATCAAGTTTGTAGATCAACTCCTGCAGGACTACACGTTGTTCAATCCAGCAGGGAGATGGATCTACACCGCAGAAAAGACGTGCAGACCGAGGGGAATAAAGAGGTGAAGGTGTGGGTGATGGGGGGTGGGAACGCCGGTTTTATTCCCAAGGTTAGCCACGCAACACAAAAGCCTAGTTTGGCCTCAAATTTCTGGCAGTTTTCTCCAATGACCCTGTGACTTGCCAGCCGCGTAATCATTGTTCGGCAGACAGCTCATTCCTACATCCGATCTTCAGGCTTGGTGAACGACGAACAGCATTGTTCCTATGAAATCATCCTCCTTTATGTACAGCCAAACGCGCAGTCGAAGAAAACAAAAGCCAGGTTCTCAGAACTGTAGGAAACCTAAAATGGTACCCTTGGCAAGAGAAACAGAAAGCAAGAAAAGAAGAGAAGACAAAAAAGAAGCAAAAAAAAAAAAATCAACACAATAGAACATCCTGGTATATCCGTTCCAAATCCATGACAGAAGATCATTCAAAAATGAATTAAAGAAAGAGAAACTGCCATCAGAACCAAGCGAGTGAGAGAGGACCTGGGTATAAAAAGGAAAAGACTCGGGAAAAGAGTATGCTCCAGACATACATGCCCGAAAAACCATAGGAAATAGACATCAACCTGAACATCCGCTGGATGGCAGTGCCGGCACATCGAGCGATGAAATCAGCCTAGGTGGCAACCATCCACGGACGTGAACCGCATCATGTTTTTGGCTTTTTACTTGCACCCTCGGCATGTGGACCACTGTCCGGACTCTTGCGTTTCTTTTCCTGCTCGTCATCGCGAGAGAAGCTAGGTCCACTTTGCACCGCCGGAGTCGGGAATGTCAAGGGACTGGGCAACATGGCTGAATCGGGACCAGAACGGCCGAAGCCCCATTCTGGAAAGAAGCTGGATGGAGATGGGAGCAGCGCGTCAGACACGAAACGACTCGGCAGAGCAGATATAGGGGTTTCAATGTTGTTGGTGGTGGCGTTGGAAGTAGCGACATTGCTGCTACTGGTGTTGTTGGTACCACTGTTCCCACCATAGGCGTTGTTCTGTGCGGCAGTTGCCGGAGGGGGTGGGCGTGCGAATGGATTTGGGGGACCCGAAGCCCCCGCACTTGGAATTGCCCCAGCAGAGGGCGACGGAGGGGGAAGAACGACACCCGATGGAGGATTGTCCGCACTCCCTTTTGCGGGAGTAGCCGTCTTGTTGCCGGCGGAATCGCGCGACGATGACTCGGCTGTTGCACTGCCACGGTCAGAGCTTTCGCTCGGAATTTGGACCTTCAGTTGCGGCCGCTTAGACCCCAAGGGGCCGCTATTGGTCCGGGAGGGGGGTTTGATGTCCGATGCAGATGAGATCGAGTGTGTACGCGGAACCTCCGTGGCAGCTCGGATTGGCGCTATCCGGGAATCGGGTGAATCCTCTTGTGGTGCTTCGGGCTTGAGAGCGGGATCGCCGCGCGGGGATTCATACACCGGGCCTGCTCCGAAGTGGCGGGCAAGTACAGACCCCCGGTCGTCGATTGGCGTGAAGATACTACGAGATTTTGAGGATAGGGACTTGGGCTGCGGCGGCGACTGATTGCTTGGTTTCAGTGTCTGCCCAGGATTATCCTGCGAGCTTTCTGAAATGGACACTGTGCGCTCCTGCTGGGCATCCGCGGCAAAGCCCGGAGGAATCGAGCTCCGGCTTGGCTCAGGCATATAAGCCTGCGTGACCTGCGGCACTGGCGCATGTGAGCCCGGTGGCATCCCGATGGGCGGCTGTGACGGCAAATGCGATGGACCCTGGTGCTGAGGCGGGATCGGCTGAGGCGGCAGGCTATGATGCATTGGCTGGGGTGGAGTGCCCTGTGGAGCAGGTGGATGACCGTAGTGCGAGAATTGCCCTGGCCGAGGCGGCTGGCCCATTGCCGAATGGACGTTCGGGTTGTACATGGATGGGTTGGGCATATAGGCGAAGCCATTTTGCGGGGGCGGCGGAGGTGGTGGTGTACCATGCTGCTGCGGGCCCAGGTTCGAGCTCACACGACGAATGTGGTTCCGGGAAGAGGGACGAGACGCATTTTGCAATTGCGGCGTGCCGTGTCGCGTTATAGGCAGGCCATTGGGAATCGGGGGAGACGCCGAAGGAGCGTGATTGATGTGCTGGAAGCCAGGCTGATGTTGCAGGTGAGGGGGCATAGAGGGGTGGCTCTGATGAGCCTGGATTTCTTCTGGGGCTGGGGTGCCTTCATCATCCTCATCATCATCATCTCGCTTGCCTGAGAAATCATCCGGTCCTTTGTGCTCGTGGGGAGGGCCAAACTAGGGGATCGCGGGTTAGCGGAATCGAGACACACAGGCAATTGCTAACTCACATATTGATAGCGACCCAGGGCCTCGTGCATGTCACTTGAGGAGTACTCGTATAATTTCTTGTTGTGGCCGAAGATAATGACGGCAACATCAACGGAGCAAAGAACAGCAAGCTCATGAGCCTTTTTGAAAAGGCCGCCCTTTCTCTTCAAGAAGGTACTGCATCGGCACACATTTGAGTTAGTTGCCGATATCAACAGGTCCATGGGTCAACTTACACCGAACGGTTGCGATCATCCTTGATGGCCTTGATCTCAATCTTTCTCCGACCCATTATGACGGGTTATAGGCGCGCAATACACGCGCCAGCGTGGATATGGAATACAAACAGTCCAGCGACTCGCCTTGCGATCTGCTGGAAATCTCGCGTGATTCTATTCAGTCACGCAAGATGCAGACTCGACGCGGTCAGTAGCCAAGTCGCGCAGTGAAACACGCGGGTCAGCGATATTGTGGCAATTTTTTTGTCGGCCAATAATCCGATCGCGATAGAACAAGTCACACCGATTTCGAATGAGGTATCTCTCGCACAGTGGGCAGTTTCCAAACGGGAGGCGAACGCGCGAGCGGGGATGAAAGAACAATGAAAAGGCCCCTGAGGGGGGTTAAGAGAAGAGCGGCCCCAAAAGAGATATGGGGAGGAATCGAGATGGAGTCAACGGAAACCAGCTGAAACGAACACCCGAAGACGCGATGGGGCGAGTACAGGGTGATTGACGATGCAGAAAAAGGTTGATTCTAAAGATAGAATCGAAGGAGGAAGAGATTGGAAGACGCCCGCCTGCTGAGCTAATCGCCTGAGGTTGCTATTTATATAATCAGGGACTTGTACTTTGGAGTACTTCTTTAGAGCTGCGGTTTGCACCTTGTGGGAAGTATCTACAAGTACCATACGTCTTTTTTGACCCGAGGCCACACCCCACTTTCTTCCTTCGTGCACTGGGCAGGGGAAGCATTCGGTTTATGGCCCTGAGCTCTACGATATGGAGCTCTCTTGATGGTGGAGTCTTCCCTCCAATTGGTACATACTTCACTTGTTCTCCAGCCGGGGGCCAAGAGGCTTGCATTTTTTGTCTATATCCCGCGTCCTGATCCTTCTCAGCCGCTTGGAAGTTGGATCCCTTCCCAGTGACGATGGAGTACTTGCATAGATCAATGTATCAGAATGAATCATTCCCGAGAGCCGGTCTATACTCCGATCGTGTCATTGTCAAGCGTCCGCGGGTATGTGCCGAAGGTCTCTTCCTTAGCATCACCGGGACCAGCCCTACCTGGAAAACCCCTGAGATGAGGCCATAGCTAAACTGCCAGAGCCAGGCAGTCCTTTGTATATCTATGGATATCATGCAATATCATGCTATCTCATACCGCCTGCGGTCTCAGTGGACAACAGATGATTGGCTTCGGCATGGATGAAGTGACTGGACAGACCGAGAGGGCGACACTCAGGTACAGTAGATCTGCGTGAGGGTGCAGGTTGACGTCCTGTCGACAGAGAAGACCCTTGGAACCACAAAACCCAGATTTGAGCTGATGATCACTGTCAGTGTCATCCACTATCCAACACTCATTTCCACAATACACAGTCTTTTTCTTTCACAAAAAAAAAAGAAGAAGAAGAAGAAACGACAAGAAAAGAAGAAGTTGATTTGTTCGGGCGGGGTGTAGTGTCGAGACCAGCGGGTTAGTTCGGTTACCCCTGACCATCTCAACGTCTTTCGCTTCTGCTGCTTCTTCTTCTTCTTTTCTACCCTCTTCAATTCTTCCTCTCCTTTGTTTTCTTTCGTTTCTTCTTCGGAGGCTTCTTGCCACGAGGGTCTCACTAAAAAAGAATCATCTGCACCCTCCCACTTCTCAGAGCACAGACACCAGGTCCTAGGCCAGGGATCCTTTCTTTGCCTGAGCCTCTCTTCCGGGGCTGCAGGACATCCCGGAGACGCCCAGCCATTCTTTCCATCTCTTGTGGTTTAACTACTCTGTTGGTCTCCTGCGCCATCGGTTCATTTTCAAAATCCCCGCGAAATTGTTTTGTTGACTTGGAAAAGCAGAAGCCACAAATAAAAAAGCGGACCCCGTCACCCGCTGTACGTTCCCCGACGCGTAAACTCAAATCTCAGTGGTCGCATACCCTTCCAAAATGCCGTTCTTTTCACGAGTTTTCCGGAGCAAAGACTCCAACGCGGCCAAGAAACAAGCGAAGCCGGCCGTGGCTGCAGAGCCGGCCCCGACGCAGCCCAAATGGACAGATGCATGGCAGCGGACTGAGGTCGCGCCAGAGGAGGTGCAAGACCTCGTGCGAGGTTGTGCACAGGAATTGAAGGCTCGAGGTGGGTGCCACTTTCTATCTTGACCATGTGGTGGCCTCCGCATTTTTCGGATTGCTGATCATTCGCCCGAGCAGCTCTCGGCACGCCATTCCTTCTCCTCCCATTCCGTCCGAGCTCCGATCCTAGTGCAGCCCGCACTTTCATTCGCAACTACTTCAACCAGTCCTTTGAGAAGGGCTCTCCCGTCAGCGGAGATACCTTGGCACAGGAACTTCGGCTGAATGAGCCGATGGTGAGAACCTCACGCCTCCCGAGTGGCCCAGACGGACATTTGGACTGACGTGGTGCTATGGACAGGTCCTTTGCAGTGTGATGAAATGGTGCTGGAGCAGACTCCCTGGTGGTGTTGTTACATGGGAGGCATATGAGTTGTTTAAAGTCGGCGAGCAAGGTACGAGCCCTGTCACAGGGATGTAGAGAGGACACGCATTGAATTGGTAACATTAGATTCGGATCTGGCCCGCGACGCTTTTTCGACCTTCATCCCGATCAGTGTCGACTCGGATGCCCGGACCAAGATCATCTTCGACTTCTTTGACCTCCTCGCTGCCATTGCGGCACACGGAAAATCCAATGGCCTGGGAGGTCGCAAACTCTCGCGATATGCTGGATGGTGGGCCTTTGAGCATGTCGATACGGGCAGTGGGTTCGAGTCCGCTTACAAAAACTGGGCTGCGTATGACTTTGGCCCCCCTACGTGCTTTCGCGCATCAGTCTGACTCGGGTTCACAGTGCGGCCGATGCTACGAGTCACTTGTTCTTCGCTTACTTGCGTTCGTTGTCTCCCGATGTGCCTCGCGGCATGACTGGCATCTCATCGCTTCCGATTTCCCTTCAAACCCTGGTTGAAGCAACCGAATATCCGCCAGAGACCCCGACCCTCCTGCAGGTCACCACCACTAAGGTCGTTATGATTGTGGACACGGTCTCTCCGACGCCCTTTGCCTTGCTGCGGCGCGCGAAGAATTTTGAATACCGCGACGATGATTGGCACCTGCAAGAATTTGCCAACTTTGACGACCCCATCCGTGCCCTGACTGACGAGTGTCTCCGGGTGTTGAAGTGCATTTCGTCGACGAATGAATCCGCTGTCTCTAGTACGAAGCAGTCAACCAGTTTGCGGGATGCGTCCTGGTCTCGTTTCGAAGACATTGGGTTCGGGGGATCCATTGAGTCAGACCCGGAGGAGGAAGAGGCCACGGCCCAGGCGGCAAGGTCGCAGAGTGTGTCTGCGGGTGAGATCAAGTCTGCGCCTGAGTCTGGGGAAGGAGAGCTTGCTCGTCCAACCACTCCATCCTGGGCGGACTTTATGTCGTCTGGATTCTCGGATGACACGAGCTTGAAGGCTCCAGTTGCTCCGTTGCTGTTGCCCCCGGATAAGGTTCTGCCGCCCATCACGTCGGCCCGGGGTCAAAGCTCGCAGTCCCACAAGCGCAACCTGGATAGCGAGCCCTCGCTTGAGCCGGCTGAGCTGGCTAGTATCAACTCCTTTGACCTGGACGACTCGTTCTGGTGGGTGTGGATCAGCAGCTTGTCGGGCGATGAACCCGCCGCCCGCAAGGCCGTGTTCGGTCGGTGCGCGCTTCTCGAGACAGTAATTCGGGATACCAAGTGGCTGGTCCTTGAGGAACAAGTGAAGGGCGCTGCACCTGAGCCGGAGGCCGGGGCGCAGATCGTCGAGAAGAAGCGGTTCTTCAGTTTTGGCAGCCGCAAAAACAAGCTTGGACGCCGCAAGTCCTCTGCCAAGAAGGTTTCTTCGATTGAAGAGTCGTACAAGCGGCCCAACAACCAAGCTCCGCAAAGCAAGACCAGCATTGGACCTGATCAGCACAAGCGAATCCAGGCGGCTGCGGCGGCTCTTCAAAAGAAGCATCGCGAGCAAGACGCGGAGTCGAAGGACAGCCGAGCCAACTCGGGTGATAGCCGCTTCTACTCCAAGACCAACTCCACCATGACACTTCAACCCGGCATTGTAAACGAGGCCTCTTCGGCCATGAAGTGGGCGAATAATTACGACAAGAACGCCTTCCGAGCTGCTTATCTCAATAACAGCCGCGCTGGTACCGGTGCTCCTGCGGGAGAGCTTGGCCACCTCTGAGCCTGCTGCCGAAGCCCCTGCCAAAACGCCCAGCACCCTTTCGGTTTCGCCCCAACCCAGTACGAAGGCTGCTCCGTCGCCCCCTCCCAAGGACACAGCAGCCTCGACCCCCCTCCCGCCCTCCCCCCGAGCCGCCCAAGAAGACCGTCAAGGTCACTGCTCCTGGCGAGGACAAGGGCGATGCAAAAGCGGCGGTGACTGAACAGCCTGTTGAACCGCGGGCGCAGGAACCCAGCGAGGACACCGGCAAGAAACTCAAGAAGAAGACCGGGAACTCTGGCTTTAAGAGTATGTTTGGTGCCGGCAAGAAGAAGAATGAGCAGCCGCCCATGAAATCGACGGGTGCTAAGGAAACGTCTGCGGTGGCCGCGGCCCGCGCAGCTCTCGAGGCTAAGGCGAAGGCCGCTCAAGAGCCGGCTCCCGGCTCTCCCAAGCCTGCTCCAGTGAAGAAGAAGCCTGTTCCAGAAAAGCCTACAACCGCGGAGAGCACCGAGCCTGCAAAGCCCTCGACTCCCCAACGCACTGAGGAACCCCCAACGGAGCGTGCCGCGGAGCCTGTCGCAAAGCCCACTGCGGAACCCCCAACGGAACGTGCCGCGGAGCCTGTCGCAAAGCCCACTGCGGAACCCCCAACGGAACGTGCCGCGGAGCCTGTCGCAAAGCCTACTGCGGAACCCGTTGCAGAACCAGTGGCGGAAGCTCAGAGCCCTGTGCGGCCGTCTACTTCTCTGGAGAATGGCGGGCCACCGAAGACCAGACACGCGGTGGAATACGATGCTCTCTCTCGCGTCGATACCAACGAGCGCGATGCAGCCGACCAGGAATTCTCCAAGTTCGATCAGGGACCGTTGGTCGAGCAGCCTGCATTTGTCCCGGAGGAATCTCCCCCAAGTCCTGAACCGACCCCACCGCCGGCCTACAGGGCTGAGGCTCCTCAGACTCCCACCAACGGCCACGAGACGAAGACCGAGGTCGGCACCGAGTCTGAGCCCTCGCCTGTCGAGCATGACCGGTGGGCGCAGATCCGTAAGAACGCCGCCGAGCGAGCGGCTGCGGCCAGTGAGGAGCCCGAGACCCGCACCAGCCAGTCTGAGCGGACGGACGAGGGCGACACCAGCGGAGAAGAGAGTAAGCAACACAACTTGGCCAGTCTGACAACACTACTAACCTATTCTTTAGCCATTGAATCTCGTGTCGCCCGCATCAAGGCCCGAGTGGCCGAACTGACCGGCAACACGGACGAGGTTCCGCGGTGAAACCACCAACCCATGCTTCCTGATTTTTTCTCTTGTCGACTTTTCCCGACCTACTTCGTTTCTTGGTAATGATCCCAGAGCTACCTCTGTGCGCTATTATTTGTTTTTTTATTATTTTTCGTATACCCTTCATCTCCCGACCAAACCTCCCTTGTTTCCTTGTTCTTCGTGTTTGCTTGTCGAGCCACCTTTGCATGGCCGATTGGAAGCGCCCCGTGCCATGCGCGAGCAGACCGACAAATGCTGCGATACGATTGATGGATCTTTTGGTTGAGCTTAATTGTTTTTCTTTCTTGTGTCCTTTTGACTTCTCCGGTCCCCGGCTGGACAGATATCCTTTTGATCCTCTTTTTTTTCTTTCGATTCTACTTGGGTTCTTTATTTATGTTTGTTTCCTTGCTCTATTCCCCTTTTGCTACTGGATATCCATCCGATTGAGTTGCTTCAATATGAATGGCTTGAAACTGTAGATGTCATCTTGTATGATCCACTGAAACTAACCCAGCAACTATTCCTCCACGGAATAAAGGAGAGTGAGAGATAGATAGATCAAAGACCCAAAGCCTTAAGAATCTCCTTCCCAACCCCAGTAGCACTAGCAGGATTCTGCCCCGTAATCAACACAGAATCCGTCCCCGCCGTGCGCGCCACAACCACCTTCTCAGCCCACGGCTCCGCAGCCTTGACATAGTGCCCGCCCGACACGCGCGCCAGCTCCGTCTCCAGCAGGAACGGCATCACGGCCGACATGTTGGCCTGGTCCTCCTCGGTGTTCGAGAACCCGGTCACCGTGGCGCCGGCGATCAGCGGCAGGCCCGAGGGGGCGGTGGCGTTCAGCAGCACGGCGGGCCCGTGGCAGACGGCGGCGACGGGTTTTTTGGCGGCGGCGAAGGTTTGGATTAGGGCTAGGGAGGTGGGGTCAGAGTGGAGGTCGAACATTGCTGTTCATAAATCATAAATAACACTGTTAGCTCGTTTGCTTCTATAGATATAGGTATATACCCATATAGATATATATATATATATATATATATATCCATACGATATGGTTAAATGGATGTATATGGTATGGGTAAGGGTAGGAAGGGATGTGTTTTACGTACGGCCATGGCCCCCAACATAGAAAATAGCATCAAACTCGCCCGCCCGCGGCAGCATCTCCGACAGCTTGTGCGTGTTCGTCCACAGCGGCTTCTGTTCCTCGAGGAAGGTCGTCGACACGGGGTCGGCTTCGAAGGCCTTGACCGAGCTCGGGTCCAGCGGGGCCTCGCCGCCCTTGGGGGAGGCGATGGTCAGGGAGACTTTGTTGTGGAGGACGTTGTGGGGGTGGGCGAATTCCGGCTGTTTGAATAGAATGGTTAGACATTGTTCTAATGAGATAGAACATACCGATGTGGATAGATGGAAATCGAGCTCTAGGCATATAACTGAGGGTAATTGTAACTTACCAAATACCAGCCCGTGCGGGCGCGGTTGGCGGGGATTTCTCCCTGCGAGGTGAGGACAACGAGGACGTTGGGTGCCATTGTGGAAGTAGAATGATCAATGGGTTGAAGTCAAGTTGAAGTTTGCACAATGGCTGCACACAGCTACTTATAAGATCTCACCATATCGTCACTGCCCCGCCAAACCCACCGGCAGGCAGCCAATGGCCGAGCACCGCAAAGTTGCACTTCACAAGCTGCGCGAGGACGTGGGGCGGATGATGTCATTGCAGAATTAAGATATTATTTGTATCACACCTTAGACTGTACATAGAATATATCAAGGGAAATGTAACAGACGAAAAGTAAATAAATAATAAAGTCAAAGCTCACAGGCAAAAATGCATCGGGTATCGAGCAAGAATCAACCGCTGTTCATCGCGCCGGCAAGGGGGTCCGGGTCATAACAAGGGTAATGAGGTAATGAGTAGCCCTAGGTAGGGGTCCCGAGGTCGGTCAGGGTCGGGATGAGCTCAACACACCGAGCGGAACCGGCGAGTCGCCTCGGCCGCCACGATCGCGCTGAGCGCCCCGATCAAGAGGCAGATGGCAATGGCGTTGGGCTTGTTTTTGTCAAGGTTCATCCACTGCATGTCCGACGGGTCCGAGTCATTCTTGGACTGGGCGCCCGGCTCGAGTACACTGAAGACGAGCCAGCTGATGAGCGTGCCGACGAACTGCGGCAGTGTCGTGTAGACATTCAGCACCCCGAGATAAATACCCGCCAGCTCGCCGGTTGATGGGATGTTCGACGACGGGTCTTCCTCGTCGTCGTTGTCTGTATCACTGTCCGTATCGTGGTGGTTGAGCCGTAGCACATCCAGCTCGGAGTCGGCCGCGTTGGCGCGCAGACTGGCCGACGTGATCATAGTCACCGCACCCGAGTGCGAAGGCGGCGGGCCCATAGGCGCGGCGCCGTTCATCGTCAGCTTGTTGATCTCCACCCCCATGAACGCGTAGGGCGCCCAGCTACTGATCGCCCACGGTATACCGCACACGGCGACTAAGAACGTTGCGAAAGCCCGGGAATGCGCCAGTGGCGCGAAGATCATCATAATAGCGAACATGAGATGGGACAAGAGCCATGCAGTCTGCAAGTCTGGCCGCACTGCGCCGATCGCCTTGAGGACGGCGGCCACTTTTCGAGGAGGTCGCGGAGGGAATCGCGCCCGCTTGGTATCCCGTTGTTGCACACAGAACGGGATGAGCACGGAACTCAGAAATGTGATGAAGGAGAACACCACCAGCGACAAACTACCAATGCGGCCCACCTCACCCAGCATATCGGTCGTCTTCGTAATCCGCTCTTTGGGTACTTCATAGCGGAAGTAGGTCTCGCCCACCCAAGTGGTGCTGTAGAACAGAAAAGGGAACCAGCCTAGCAGAGGTCAGCCTGATATGTAAGAGAGAAAAAAACAAGTACGATGCCCATACCAATCCAAGCCCAGAACTGAGCCCAGCAAATAGCTTGGATGCGAGGCGGGAGCTCCATAGTCGTCTTGAACAGTGTGGAGAGCACTTGGACCGCACCCGCTTTGCCATCAGAATCCCTGTTTACTCGAGCAATTAATACCAATCCCGGTCACATTCAGCTGGTGATTCTCACCTCGCTGAGAGCAGCACTCGCTCTTTCACAGAGTACGATGTGACCGACACAGCGCCAATCAAGAACAAGCCCGCGATGACCGTCATTTGCTTAAACTGAGTGTCGCCAATAATACTCCCAAAGATGCTCACGGTATCAATAGAGCCGACCACATAGCTCAAAAGCTGACCGATGGCGCACATTCTGCCCGCTAGAGACACAGTTAGGCTCAGCTTGCAATCATATCTCAAAGTAGAACATACCCCATGCGGATCCAGCTTGCTGCGATGGAATCGATAGCGTATCTACAACCAAACTGCGACAACATGCTTGTACTAGTGAAGATCAGCAAGGCACTCGACAGAAATGACTACATTGGGGCGCTTACCAATATTAATGGAGAAATCAACAGCATATATACTCAAGATGGCTACGGCAACCATGACATTTTTAGCCTGCATGACAAGTGACCGGTCAACGTCAAGATATCACCTAGCTCTATCGCGCACTGTACCTTTTCCGGTTCTTTCACGAAGACGGCAACAATCTCCGCCGTCCATCCCAAGACAAACAGACATAATGCCACGAGAAAGGAACCGCCGACCATAAAGGGTCTCCGACGGCCCCATTTCGACCGGGAGCGATCCGCAATAACTCCAATCAGAGGCTGGATGATCAATCCCGACAACGGGCCGGCGATCCACACCAACGATGTCTTGGACTTGGTTAAACCGAGTTGTAGAAGGTACGGGGTGAAATCTGAGATTGTCAAACAGACCGTCAGTGACAGGACTTCCCAATGGCAGTTCAAGATCGGCAGATCTTACATGTCATCTCAACGCCCCAAGTGAATCTGTCCTCGCAAAGTTTCAGTGAGCCCATACTCTTTGTCCGCTTGTTGCCTAAATCGCAAAAGCCATCCGACCACTTCTTCGCGCGAAGAACGCGCAACATCCAAAGGAAAAGAGAATACGCACTGCAAGCCCACCAAACTGAACGTCAACAGGGCCATCCGAGTGGACTCAGAGCGACCCTTGATGGAGGGAGTACCCGCCCATCGTGCAGCCTGCGGCATTCTGGCTGTCCCCGGGCTGACATGCGCTCAGCTCCTCCCACTATTCCTCCCAAGCAATCGGATATGTGGTGGCCAACGACTCTATTCTGCGTGGTGACCAGCACGCGCAGTCGGGACTCCCAAGGCGAGACGAGACTGTATGTATACGGAAGACGGTTGCGGCGAAGACTTTTCAAGGGAAGAGAGCCGCGTAGTTCGGGTGAGGAGGCAGCGATTCGGCTCGGGAGGCAGAAAATGGGCAAAATCGGCCTTGCTGGTCGAGCCGGGGAGCAGGCACCAACTCGCGTGGTTTTTGTGGGTGTTTTGAATCACGGCGTGGGTCGTGGGTCCGGGGGCCAGGATCGCAATGCGCGGCGTCAATTGGGAGTCATGCGATGGATCGCGAGCGCAAGAAAGACCAAACAAGAGAGAGGAAGCAGAGAGAAGATCTCGACCGTTGACAATGGCCGTTTGGGGGAGGAATGTGGCCGGACCAGGAGAACGGAGACGGGAGAAAAAAAACTGGCCTGAGCGCCGAATCCATGCGGGCCCCGGGGCTTATCGTTCATTGCCCCCTTTGGAGATCCAGGGGCCCCAATGCCGATCGCGGTTCCTGACAGCTCATGGTCCAATGCAATGCACATCTCTCTAGAGTGGTTTTTCAGCTCTCTGCAGGCTTTTTCCAGCTCTATCTCTCTCTTCCTGCACTGGATACTGTCAAAATCCCTCCTGGACAGGAAGACGCATCGGGAATGACAGGCTGACTAAAGCGGTGCCAATTATAGAAATGCCCTGTGCGCTCCCCTGTCTTCGGGGACTTACAAAAGTGATAGAGTGAAGGATTATTCGTGCATTGCTCGGCATCCAATTCTAACATCGAGTTTGGTGTCCAGGGACGTAAATATCACAGCATGACGCGACTCCCGCTAGCCCGGCCGGCCAACCAGCAGAAGTGAGATAAAAAAAAGAAAAAGAAAAAGAAAAAGAAATGAGACAAGATTTTGATTTCCCGTGTTCCGAAACTGATTTCCCATAATCATCATAAACAGCACTCGTCTTGTCTTCACACATCTACAGCCGGTTCGGGGCCGAGGTCGTCACGGGCCACTGGTAGCCCGCAGCGTCACTGAACTTGTAGCCGTACGATGCGGTGAAGTCGTCCAGAACAGCCGGTCCACGGGAGCCTACAAGAAAAGAAATTCATTAGCAATGTGCGCAAGAGAAGTAGAAAGCTCATCGCCATGCACTCACCGTATGGGTATTCCATGGGGATGATCTCCTTGTTGTCGTCCAGGTAGTGCAGGAGCGGGGTGAAGATGCGCCAGCTGGCATCCAGCTCATCGTCGCGGACAAAGTTAGAGTGGTCGCCCTTGAAGGCATCCAGGATCAGAGACTCGTAGGCCTCGGGAATCTTGAGGTCGGAGAAGCGGCGGCGGTACGTCAAGTCCAGCTCGGTCACCACCGTCTGCATGGACAGACCGGGCAATTTCGAGTTCATCTTGATGTAGACGGACTCGTTGGGCTGGACCCGAATGACAAGCTCGTTGCGGGGAATGTCCTTGAAGATGCCGGAAGTGACGTCGCGGAACTGAATCCGAACCTCGGTCTTTTGCTCGTTTAGGGCTGCAGGAAATGTGAGAATTATGGTCATATACAGAGAGGTGTAGGTCGAGGGGTTCTCATACCTTTACCGGCCTTCAGGATGAAGGGAACACCGTCCCATCGCTCGTTCTTGATGTACGCAACCAGTGCGGTGAAGGTCGGGCAGCGTGACTCCTTCGGGACGGTGTCATCCTCCAGGTAGCCGGGCTTGCTGCCGTCGAGCGACCGCCCGTACTGACCAATAATGACGTTCTTGGGCTCAATGGCATCCATGGCGCGAAGAACACGGACCTATTAACTAATCAGTACCAAAAATTAGGAGTGAAATCGAGATGCGGAACACTAACCTTCTCGTCACGGATGTCTTCCGAGGAGAAGGAGATGGGGCGCTCCATGGCGAGCAGCGTGAGAACCTGCAGAAGGTCTGGCCCAGAGTTAGCTTTATTTGACGAGTACATCGGGTGTTAAGAGTAAACGCACGGTTCTGCATAACGTCACGGATGATGCCGAACTCGTCAAAGTAGCCTCCACGACCTTCAGTACCGAACGGCTCCTTGAATGTAATCTGCACAGGGATTAGACTCTAGTCGCTTGGCATGGTTGAAGGGTCATTCAGTCGTACCTGAACGTTGTCGATGTGGTGACGGTTCCATGTGGCGTTGAAGAACTCGTTGCCAAATCGCAGAATAAGAATGTTCTTAACCATCTCCTTGCCGAGGTAGTGGTCAATGCGGAAGATCTCCTCCTCCTTCCAGTTAGGGTCCAGGGCCTTCTGGAGATCGCGCGAGCTCTGCAGGTCCTTGCCGAACGGCTTCTCGACCTAAGGAGGAAAATGATATATTAGCGTTGTCCGGACTGGCGCGGCTGTTGTCGAAAGAACTCACAATAATGCGAGCGAGGCCGTTCTTGGGGTAGCAGTTGCGCTTCAACTGCTCCGACACGGTAATAAAGACACTGGGGGGCAGGGCCATGTAGAACACACGGTTCTGCTCCTTCCCTTGGCGGCCCTTCTCGACCTCCTCGAGGTGCTTGTTGAGGTTGATGAACGAGTCATCCTGGTCGTACTGGCCCGAGACGTAGGTGCACAGCTTGCAGAACTGGTCTAGTTGCTCTTCAATCTCCTTCGTGGGAACCTTGATGTATGAGCGCACGCGCTTGAGGTATTCTTCGTGGTCCATCTTTGTCCGTGCATATCCGACGATCTTAATGTCCTTGGGCAGGAACTTGTTGCGGAACTGCGAGAGAATGGTCAGTCGGGAAGAGCGCGAGGCATCCACGGATGATCACATACGAGGCCAAAGAGGGCAGGGAACTAGAACACAGGTTAGTCTTCTCGAGCGACTTGAGTCACGCCAACCGGAGGCGGGGTACGAACCGTCTTCTTCTTCGCAAGATCACCAGATGCGCCTAGTACCACGATAAGGGTGTCATCTTTAAGTTCGATGGTGCTGAATTGAAAAGCCATTGTTAGTCAAGACTGAATCTTGTCGACGTGGACGGAAGTTGCGAGGGGGTGGTTCGGTTCAGGCGGGGTGATCGGGAGCAGACAATCGTGGACGAATGGCCTCGGAAGACTAATTGGCAGCCTTCGGAATAGAGAAGATTCTGCGCCCATCGAAAAGGGACGTCTACGGTCGGGTTGAGGGTGAGGCAATCCAGCCGGTGTGCTTCCGTTGCCGGAGGAGGGGGAAGTGATGTCAGAGACAGGACGGCACTTACCCAGCATTCTGGCGCTCATCGGTCGGAGAGATCACGCTGGCCATCTTGCAACACGAAACCCTGAATATACAAAAATGGGGGGAGAGATGGAAATTAGAGAGAGAGAGAGAGAGAGAGAGAGTAGGAAGAGAAGAGAAGAATGGGAAAGAGATAATCTCGCAGGTTCCAGCGGAGTACTTTTTATGGCGCGCTCTCAGCAGCTTCGGTGGTGGGGCAGTCGTGGGTTTTCTGGGTATTTTATGTTATTTATGACCTCAGGGTATTACTGATTTAATCTGACGGTCTTCTTTCTCTTTGATTTATTTGTTTATTCGTTTCTTTTCTTTCTTGGTTTTCTTGTAGCCCATACAATCCATTAACTACTATCTATCATTCTGTGGCAACGCCCTCTCTGATAGACTACAGTACTACACACCCCTCTCCTCCCTCTTTGATTTTAAACTCCAATCCCCAGGAACATGCACGGTCCGGAATCCTTCGACTCGAGGGGCCACTTTGGCATCCATAAGACCCATGACCCCGCGCGATCACCCCGGCTTACTAGAAAGCTCGTACCGAGGGACTATGGGATGTGTACGTGAGCCAGACTGTACCCTGCTGATCCCATCGAAGCCGTAAGACTTCTAGAAGAAATATTCAACGAGAGAGGTCATCTGATAAGACAGACCCGGGTGGTCCTGATTGTCAACAGGCTGATTCCGGGATCAAGCAGGAATAGATTCGTTCAAAAAAAAAAAAAAAAAAAAAGAATAAGAATAAGAATAAGAATGAGAATGAGAATGAGAATGAGAAAGAAAGAAAGAAAGAATGAAAAAAAAAAAGCAACCTCGATGTAATAGTCTTGTTAGCATGACTATCACCGGGACAGAATGCGGCAAGGTGGAGCATCTATATTGAAATAGGAAAAGCCGGCTCGGAACATGTATGAGCATGTATGCTGCAGGTGGCACAAGTCCGAGTTGACTGATGTACTCGGCCTGCTGTTCATACACTACAGGATACAATATATAATATATAATATACAGTATACACAGACAGATACCTGAATAAAGTCAATTTCTCGAACCCTGTATCAGATGGTAATCCCAAAGATAAAGAAGCTCGGTGTCCGAAATCGTGGGGAGTGATCGGCCCATTTGTCATCTCTCACGGATTCTATTTTCCCGTCAATTCTGCCCGATCCTACTCGGTTCGTTGGAACTGCCGCATTCGGAGCCTACAGATTTAGCCGCGATGGTCCTCATTTTGCATGTCCATCCAATGGATACACTCGCACGAGAGGGGCCTTGAAAATCATTTCAGGTCCTTGGAGAAACCGTGAAATCAGTAATCCCGACCTGGTGGGGCCTGTCTGTACAAGATTTCCAAATAGGTACTCTCGGTCTGGACTATATCTCCCGGCTTTCGATCCGGCATCCGGACCTGGTGACATTTATAGTAGAACATCTGTAGACAGCATGGACATGATGGTGCGAGCCGAGGATTTATTTGTCTCAAAATGTTATTTGTCTCAAAATGAGGCTGGCGAGTAGGGAGAACGTCAAAAGCCGACCCTCATATCACCGATATTGGGTAGTTCGGTCTGTCGTCATGGTGAGGTTTCGTCACTGGGAGGGCTCCAGTTCGGACCACAGTCGACCGGTCGGCAGAAAAAAAAAAGAAAGGCGGTGTTGAATAAGGCCGACGGATAAATAAGATTCTCCGACATGGCCCAAACAGGGATAGTCTAGATATCACGGGACCCACGGGACTCACAGGACCAGTCACGGGATCTCGCTTAGCCCTGGCAAGCGAGTGTCCGTTTTGGGTTAGGGCGAGCGGGCGGCCAACACATTCGCAAATTGATTGTGTGCCTTGACTCCTCTATCGAAGCGACGACAACCACGACAACCGGGAACGACTTCTGATCTCTTGCGGGTCATTCCTTCGACTTGTTATCCTTGCCCGTTGAGAAAAGCCGTCACCATGTCTTCGGAACAGGGACACCGACGTGAGTGCTGCCATGGTCCCCGATCGATCGGCGCAGTCCAGGAGACACCAAATCCGGGCGCGCTGATGTAGATGCTGGCTGCGACGAGAGAAGAATCTGTGTATGCTAACTGATTGCTCTTTTCTAGTCTACGTTAAGTAAGTTACTATCACACAGTCGCCCCGTCGCGTTGGACTTGACAACCTCGAAATGGATCGAAATGGATCGAGCTGGGGGAACATCATGGGCTTCGAATCAACAACTGTGAGAACAGACGATTAATACGGATTTCCTACAGGGGTCGCCACCTGAGCTACCAGCGCTCCAAGCACGCACTCACCCCCAACACGAGGTACCTACACCTGCGCACCTTGTTCGGATATGGCAAGAATGGAATCTGATTTGTGATACAGTCTGGTCAAGATCGAGGGTGTCGATGACACGAAGGCCGCCAACTTCTACCTGGGCAAGAAGGTCGCTTTCGTCTACCGGGCCAAGCGTGAGGTCCGCGGCTCCAACATCCGGGTGATCTGGGGCAAGGTCACCCGCCCGCACGGTATGTGGCCACAGAACCATTGATAACTCTCAATCCCCGGCAAGATCAACATATCTGACTCTTCGCAGGCAACTCCGGCGTTGTGCGCGCCAAGTTCCGCCACAACCTCCCCCCAAGTCCTTCGGCGCTACCGTCCGCGTCATGCTCTACCCCTCCAACATCTAAACGGCTTGTGTATCTAGTGGGCGATTCCATATTTGCGCAGACAGTCGGTCAGGCAAGGAAAAGAAAAGTCGACGGATCGGAGCCGGATGTTGAATTGAGGTGGAGTTTGGCAGGTTGATCACGTTTTTTTCATTCGTGGGAGAAAGAAGAAAGGCAGGGTCCTCCATCGAGCCCTACGAATCCAAAAAAAGAACAAAATTTTTTTTACAAACTTGTGTGCTGCTGTGTCGGCATCGAGATACCACGGAAAGACAATATCTTCTTTGTTGGGTCTCTCTCTTTTTGAGGATCTCGTTTTTTTTTTTTATCTTTTGTTTGACCATTGACGAGCAATGATGTTGTCTGGTCGTTGCGGCGTCACTTTTTCTCTCCCACTGTGTATCTGACGCTCATACACACCAAATCCATACCATTTTCAACAGACCGGCCAATCGATTCGATTCTTCCCGCACGTTTGCCGACTTGTCTTATAGATGAATTGCATCAACTTGCTTTGGCTGCTGTTTACCATGGCATGTTTGTTCAGACCCAATATATCCCCTTGCGACTTGAACTTGTGCGATGCCATGAAGTCTGATACCAGTAGTACCGGCCTTGTAGTCCAAAACTCTGCTCTCATCTGATGGTTTTGGTAAAGCATCGATCCCAGTCTTTTTGCATACCCAAGCTCCCGTTCTAGTTTATCCTGTTCCGGCAATCAACAGTAACGTTTGAAGTAAAACCAATGGCTCTTGAGTGCAGTGGGGCCTTCCTAGTCTAGGATACAATTTTTTTGCTATTTGTACAAACTTGCTTTTATCTCTTTCCATCATACATTTCCATGCGCTTAAATGTCGAAGCCCATCGATGTATGTCTCACTATGTAGTATTTGCGACAACATGAATGGCAAGCCCCAAGGCCCATGCTGATATATATTGTCATGTACAATAGTTCGTAGCTGGAAAAATACATTTCTACACAATACCAAAGATCCCCAAGAGTCAAGTGCCGATGTTTATAAAAATAGGAAACGCCAAGCTACGAGTGGGAGAGAGGTATATTATTTCCAAAGAATAAGTCTATATTAAAAAGTATACAAATCCATGAAGAAACATCCCATCTATCCTTATTACATCTCACCCATGCCTTCCAAAGATATATGCAATCCACCTCATATAGTCAGGGGGAAAAAGTATCTTATCAATCCAACCAAAAAGCCCCAAGTACCACAAATCAAACTTTACTGTCCTCCGCAACAGCATACCGACTCCACCGCCGAATAACCGACCCAAACCGATAAAACACATACGGCACCGGCACCAGCAGCGCACTAATGCACCCGAGGATCGTCAGAGTCCAATGCACACCCATATTCTTGTAAAACGGGACGCCAACAACCGTCATGCCGCCCGCGGCGCAGTACCGGGAGACGGTCATAAAGCCCAGCGCGGAGGCTGCGTAGATGTCGTACGAGTCGATGACGTACATGTACGAGCTGATGAAGACGCAGATGGTGCCGAGGCCGAAGAGGGTGGAGGCGAGGATGGGGGACCAGATTGAGATGGAGGGCTGTGAATTATGATTAGCTTTGCTTCGGGTCTTTTGTCTTCTTTCTTGTGGTTGTGGTAGCTGGGGTGCAGTGCCGGGGTTCAATGGATACTTACAAAGTCTGTCCAGCCCATCCAGAATAAACTGATAGGAATAGCTGGTGCTCCAAACATCGCGAACCAGAGCCGGATTTCTGGCTGGATGTGCGCCTTATCCAGAGCCCGGGGTTGGTCACATCAGGACTAGAGTCCTGGTCCATCTGCACAGCCTGGGTAAACGCCTTCTTAGTCCCGCGGTAGATGAACGGGACCAAAAGACCCGCCAGCGCAATACCAATGTACATGGCGACCCAAATGATATTGGTCAGGCCCTGGGCGATACCATAGGTGTCGGTGAAGATGTAGGCGTAGCCATCAAAGAAAGTAAAGAGCACGATATACAGCACAGTCATGTACAGCGAGATCAGCAAGATAATAGGCTCGTGGACAGTGATGAGGAACTGGCGCTTCAGGGCGCCGGCAATACGATTGACGAGCGGCACCTTCGCCGTATCCATTTCCGAACGGAAGCGCGGGTCGCCCGTGGCTTTGCGGAAATGTTTGCCCTTCCATTTCAGCAGTAGTGGCGAGTACGTCTCGGGCTGGAACAGGATGATAAGGGCGAGGATAGCGCCGGACCCGATTAGGATGATCCACTCCGACCAGCGCCAGGAGAGCACGCCCGTCTGCCCCATGTAGGATGCGATCACGGGGCCCAGTACGGGCCCTCCGAAAGAGAGGATCGCGTACAGAGGGAACATGATGGTCTTCTCGAGCGGGTTCCATAAGTCGGCGATCGTGCCGCCTGCGCAGGTTAGCGCCGGGCATCCGAAGATACCGGCCAGAAAGCGGAAGGCGAGCTGGGCACCGATGTTGGGGGCTAGTCCCGAGGCCATGACGAAGATCATGAAGAGGGTGAGGGAGCCTGCATAGACGGCATTGCGGCCAACGATTTCGGAAAGGGGTCCGCTGACGAGCGAGCCTGTTGCAAACCCGAGAAGATAGAGACCTAGCAACAAATGTATTAGCTATGTCTGAACGAAAGCTATGATATCCCCTGCAGAGCAAGGGATTGACATTGTCGATGTTTACCAATAACCAAAGAGCCCACGACCTCGCTGACACCGAAAGCCTCGATATTCTGAGACATCACGCCCGAGGGAATCGACGACGCAGCTCCAACGATAAAGCCGAGCGCAGACACAAGAAGGGTAGCAACGAGCCGCCGAGCAAAACTGAAGTTCTGCGGGTTCAGAGGATCGGTCTCGTCTTCCCACCCGACAATGAAGAGATGGGATGTCGAGTCGCCGGGCTCGATCTGTCTCTGGACATCAATGCCAGCCAGGGAATAGCCGAGCGCTGTCTTCTCGGAGTGCTGCGTCTTGCTCTGTGCCAACGGACTCGGGTTCGACTCGGGGACATTGCTGGTTTGATCTGTCTGCGCTGCGCCGACAACATCTGCGATTTGACGGTCCTGAGCAGGACTCCCTGTTACGGAGGCCGAGACATCGCGTGGCCCGACATGGTCCAGCTGTCTGTGAACAGCCTGTCCCAGTCGTCGGTACTGCAGATAGGACTGCATGGGGTCACCTCGGGATTAGACTGAAATAACGAAAATCCCTGTGTTGTAGTCTCACCGGTTGCGTTCAAAGAAACTCCCCCGTCTGGTAAGATCCCGATAGCTGTGCTGGGAATTAATAAACCGGGTCTCTGGAAAGCATGGCTTGCCAGATGGTTTTATATCAACCAAAAGACATGTTTAAAGAAAAATTAGACGGACCCAGGGTCCACGCCGATCCTAGTGGGATCATCTTCCGAGCAAACGATCCACCGTGCTGATAAATCGGAAATCGAAAAAAGGGCTGCGTGAACTTCGGGGAATGTGGAATGGCGTTGTGAAGGATGTGTGGGTCTTGACAGGATATGGCCGAGAAAGGGCCAGAAAAGAAGACCTCGAGAACTGGCAGGATTCAAGCAGACCCTGTTCTTTCGTTTTTCCGACAAACTTCAATTTAGTTAAAACGTGCCAACATATAGCCTGAAACTATTCCAACATGGCTGTATAGTAAGAAAAGAGTGCCATAGTCCAAAAAAGCTTCGGAAAAAAGAGAACTCGGGCTTCGGGGGAAAACCTCGGGCTTTGGATGAGATTACTCGATAAGGTGACGCGGGCCGAGTCGTCGGAAACTTGGCCGACCGAACCACCTGATGTCTGCATCAGAAGCTTTTCTGCAGCGAAAAGTGCCCAGGTGTTTAGCATTATTAATGGCTATCCGCTTTCTTGCTTGCCGGAGACTTACGAGCAATTTATAGCCTGATCGGAAAGACTTTGTCCGAGCCAAGAGTCGGATTGCATTTTTGAGACATTAACAAGCTATGTGTATATATATATATATATTCGTTCCATGTATCGACATGCCATTCAGTGAGTTGCTTTTGGTATTCAAACTCCAACAATCAGATCAACAAGATGCGTCGTGATTCAGAGACGGCGGGCCACATCAACTTCCCGACTGAGGGGAGCGGAGATTAGGTGAGATGTGAAAAGCTTCAGGGGCATAGGTATGTATGCAATGAAGCAGAGAGTTCGGAGAAGACAATAAAAAGGGAGGCCGAAGAAAGACGCTAAACATCAGCCGCAGGCTTCGACTCGGTCTTCTGCTCAGACTCGAGGAGTTCCTGACGAGCACGCTCCTGCTCAGCCAGACCTGTCTTTTGGATGGTATGTGAGCGGCTGAGTTCACGCGGGCGGATAAATAGAGACAAGATAAAGCCAACACCAGCAATGGCTGTATAAAAGATCCACATGCGGTTGAGGGCATGGGTAAAGGCCCCAAGAACGAGTTCACGCTGGGAGGGCGTGAGGCCCTGGACGAGCGACTTGGACGAGCCAGAGAAGGAGGAAGAGATGGCGGCTGTGCGTTCGGGTCCAATGGCGGCTATCAGGCTCGGGGCCTGTTGGCTCATGATGTTTTGGTAGATGACGGTGCCGAGCACAACGGAAATGGAGGTAGAGAGTTGACGAACAAATCCAAAAGTGGCTGTCGCGGTGGCCATGTCGGCGGCGCGGACGTTGGCCTGGAAGGCGACGAGGGGCGCCTGGAAGTTGGGACCAACACCAATACCAGCGATGATCTGGTAAATGATAATGCGTGGCCAGGAGGCGTAGGGCTTGAGGTCAATGAAAAGACCAAAGCCGAGCGCGATGAAGAACATTCCGGCCATGATAAGTTCGCGATAGCGGCCCGTCTTTTTCATGGTCACACCCGTAATCACCGAGACGAAGGAGAGAGACAAGACTAGTGGCAACACGTAGACACCACTCAGAATCGGGGTGGCCAAAAGGACCGTCTGGAAATATAGCGGCATGTAGTAGGCTCCGGCAATGAAGACAAAGCCGTGGCAGAAGCAGATCAGAAGAATCAGCACGTTGTACCATTCGCTGAAGAGCCGGGTCGGGATGATGGGATATTTGGCCAGCTTCCACTCGGCGAACATGGCCAGAGCCCAGACGAGCACGCCGAAGACGATGAGACAAACCACAGTGGCTGAATCCCACGGGTAGTCGACGCCACCGAATTCCAGCCCGAAGAGGAACATCAGAGTTCCGCCGATAATCAAGAAAGTGCCCGCCCAGTCAATGTTGCGCAGGCCGGCCAAAAGTGGAGTCTTGGGCGATTCAATGTGAAGGAAGAAGACCAGGATGACGAACGAGAGCCCGCCAATAGGCACTGTATATAGATGTAAGCGATCACAGTTTTCGAATACTACTTTGAGAGCGAGAAAACACACAGTTGATCCAGAAACACCACCTCCAGGTCACATCCGTGGTGAAAGCGCCGCCAACAATGGGTCCCAGAGCACCCGCAATAGCCCACGTCGCGCCAAAGAGGCCGTAATACATCGGACGATCTCTGAGTTGGATATTAGCATTATTTTAAGCCAGAAAAATTCAATGACGAGTTCATACCTCATACTGAACAAATCCGAGACACTGATATTCGCCAGGATAATAATCCCACCACCGCCAACACCTTGGATAGCTCGGCCGGCGATGATCATCGGCATATTCTTGGCCAAAGCGCAGATCAAACTACCAACAAGAAAGGCGAGGTTGGCGAGCAAAATTATCGGCTTTCTTCCCCAGATGTCACTCAATTTACCCCACAGAGGTATGCACGCCGCATTTGCCAGGAGATAGGACGATGCGATCCATGAATAGCCGCTTTCGGAGGCATGGAAATCGGAGGCGATGGTTGGCAGGGCCGTGGAAATGATGGTCTGTCAGAGAAGCAGTCAATGATTAGCCAAAGACCGTTGCGCTTCAAGACAACCAAGGAGAGGGCAAGAGAAAAAGAAAGGATGAGCATACCATGTCCAGGGCGGCTAGGAACAAAACCAACTAGAATGCGACATGGCTCAGTTAGCTTGTTGTCCAAATGGGGTTCCTTTTTTTTCGATGCGCATCGACTGCCGAAGCTGTCGGGGAATTTCCTTACACAGAGAGCTGCCATGACGACCGCGATCTTCTTCTTTCCCATCTTCTGTGCCTGCGAAGGGGTGTGATCGAGAGGCGCTCCCGATGCGCTCTTTTCCAGCTCATTGTTGGCATCTGGTTGTGTAGGCGACTCGACTTGCGCAGGCGAGGGCGCATCAACAGGAGACTTTTCCGGGTTGTCCAGGTGGTTCTGGCCGGTGTCGCCGCTCGAAGCGTCGTGGTTTTGGTGCGCGCTCGTCATGGTGACGGTCGCGCGAAGGGTTGATCAGAAAGGAAAGAAAAAGAAACGGCAAAGAAATGTTAGAAAAAAAAAAAAAAACAAGGGAAGCTCGGCAAAGAGTGGGAGATTGCGAGTTAAGGTCCGATCGACCGATCAACTTTCAAGCTCTGTCTGCATGCAGCAAATAGAGAACAAGGTCAGAGCGACATCATGTCCTACTTATAACAAGCGAAAAGAGGGTGATCTGGCGAGTTCGTGTTCGCAGAATCATCGCATCGCGCAAATCGAGATGCCGAGCCGAGTTAAAATAAACGAAGAAAAAACTCATGAGCGTTTGATCGTGGGTGGGGACGTCGGCGGTTAAGCTGTCCGACGCCGAGCCCCGACAATCCGACTGCGATGGGGCCGATGTCGAATAGATGGATATTAGAGTCATGCAATATTGGTACCACCCGCTAATTACGATTATATTTACATCTACAATCTACAGCAGATCTAATACAATGATTATCATAATTAATTATGTAGACAGTCACACATGCGGAAGAAGGGACCGGCGATAAGCGGGGTTAAGCACATTCGGGGGATATTGACATGAGTCATGTAGTATATCCACGGACTACGTGGTATATCCATGGACTTAGTGTCATATGCAAGAATTTAGTGGTATATCGCATATATTCCTTCTTGGAACTAACTTAAGAAAACACCCAAGAATAGAAATCAAGTTTTGATTGCAAACTAAACAACGCCCGACCAACATGCAATGACCACGGCTTTTCCTGGGAATTCTATCATGGAGAACAAAGGGGTGGAGGGAATGGGTATAAAATATGAAAAGGGCAGCAGCGTAAGAACCAGGGAGAAAACACCAGAAACCAAAATGCTTGGCCGGACACATTGCAGAGGCCGTCGCGAGGTGTCGATGGGGATATTGAGGTTAATCTTGTAATTGGAGAATCTCTATATTGGAGAACATCAATATTGGTGACTGATCTGGGACTAGAAGATGCGCAGCCACCGAAGTAGATGGCAAGGGGGTGCTTTCAGTACTTACCAGTCAAGAACTCCTCGAAGCTCACTGTGACGTACCCGTCACGGTCTTCATCGTAACGCTTGAATACGTCCGTCATGCGCTTCAAGCTGATACACGCCTGCACGAACAGATCGAAACTCATGCCGTTCCGAGAAGGGCTCATGGGCGGGGCATTCAACTGCCGCGTCTTGCTCTCAAAGGTGGTGAATAGCACCGAAACAAATTGCGGGCTCAAGCGGTACCCGAACGCGACGAGCGCATTCTCGAATTCCGGGCGACTAATGCGCCCGCTGCGGTCCTCGTCGAACCGGTCAAACAGCTCGCGCCACGCCGCCAGGTAGCGCCACAGCGACACGAACTCGTCGAAGATGATAGTCCCCGAGGCGTCACGGTCGAACATGCGGATCATCATCTTGACCGTCCGCGGGTGGAATGAGGTGTAGTCGCCATTGACCAGTGCGGAGCCCAGCTCCATCTCGGTCAGCGACCCGGAGTGCGACACGTTGGCTGCGCGAAAAAGCGGGTAGAGGTGTTGCGGGTCATCGCTGGGCACGGACAGTGGCGGCGGCTGAGGCGATTGCGGGGGACGCGATGCGGGCGGCGGTCGACTGCGCTGTGGATGGGCTGGAGGCGGACCAAACCCGTAGTTCTGAGGCGGCGGCGATGGATGTAATGCATGCGTGCGGTACTGGCCGGACGGCGCATTGGCAGGGGGAGGTTGTCGACCGCTGTATGAGGGGTGTCCTTGCGGGTCTTGTGGGCGCGGGGCTGGCGAGCTGTATGGGTGCTGCTGCGGAGGGGCGCTGGAAACCGGGACGCGAGGAGGCACGCCGCTGGGAGTTGACTGCGGCGGCGGACGAGAGGGAAGCGGTTTTTGACCTTGACTCGGATTCCCCGACACCTGCATTGACCCGATCATCTTGGCGACCTACGCACGGGTCAGCACTCAGCACAGGGTTAATAGCGCGACAACAATGTACCTGCTCCGGCTCAGCATGCCTGCGCCATTCCACCAAGTCAGCGATCGTGAAATCAGAGTATTTTGCCCACGTTTGATGGTGAACTTACGCGGGCAACGCGTCGGGGTTGTAGGATTTGTTATAAGCCATGGTGGGCACTGACGCAATCAGGCGAGGAGGCGGGTTGTGGACACGGGGAACCTGTCCCTCGCGAGCAGACTGGATATGATGGCGCTCTCGACAGGAAAGAGAAAAGCAAAAGCACGATTGAGAAAAGAGTCAGGAAAGGAGTTCAGGAGGCTCCCATGAGTTCTTGCTAAAGCGGAACCGTGGGGCGGATGGTTCAGCAGGAGTTTTTAGCCCGCCAAGTGATAATCGGATGAAAAATGGAGCGGCTTCATCCCACTTCTTTACCATCCACTGCGAGATGGTTGCTCAAGGGTTACTCGGACAGCAACAGCAGCAGTTTAGCCCAACTATCTCCAGCCTCGAATAGCCGCGCTGAACCCCTGCAAGTCTCCCTGTATATAGGGAAATTGGCTACCGTGTCTGGGAGTCAATTGCTGACGCCAGACCCACCGTGATAAACATAGTATATACGAATACGGGCTCATTAGGTTGCTAGTAAGATCCAGCTATGCTCTTAAGATGCTCTTCAACTCTGTTGCCTGTGCTTTCAGTATCTCCATCATCTCCTTCCATGCTTTGGCTTGAAATCGCTTCCCCTCTGGCCCGGTCGTTAGGGCGGTTGATTCACTATAAAGATTGTCAGCAACGGAGGAAAAAGAATGCACAGGGTTCAAGAAGAGCATCCTACTCGAGATATCCATCGCTTCGCCAACATTTCCCTTGAGATTCCGCGCCTTGGACGGTGGCACTAACCAACGACCGGCTCCCTTGCTCGGTGGTGCGAGCAAAGAATTTATACACGAGCCACATCAACCACCGTTCATAGAATCGGTTGTACTGGCGACCGAGAGATGACTGACAGAACCCGGGGCTCACAGAATTGACGATGACCGGCAGAGTCCCGTTCTCATTGCGGACCAGGTCGGCAATGTTTTTGACCACATATTCCAGGAGTAGTTTTGAGATGCCGTACTGCTTAGGACTCTTGAACCCGTCGGGTGCATTCACATGTTCTAACAGAGAACCTTCTGTCTGGAGGCTCTCAGCCTTGACACGAACGAATTGCTGACTGGACACAAGAGTCAGATGTGCAGGCTCCGATTCGGAGGCGCTGGCCCTCAACTTCGGAAGGAGGAGCAGAGCCAGCAGCGAGGTGGACAGCGTGTTGACCTGCAACATCTCCTCCCATTCCTCTGCCGAGGTGGTGTACTCCCGGTTGAAGAGCCCGGCATTGAGAAGGGCCACATCCAGACTTTCAAGTTCTGTGTCAATGCGACTGGCGAAGCTCTTGACACTCTGAAAATTGTTCATCTCAAGCTCCCAGACCTGGACCACGCCGGATCGGTTGGTACTCTTTTCCAGCTCTGCTTTCGCCTGTTGGCCACGCTCCACATTGCGGCTGCCAATGATCAGAGAAGCAACCCCAGAATTTAGGAATTTGATGGCAGCCTCAAGCCCCAGCCCCGAGGTGGCACCGGTCAACAGGACTGTTTTGCCAGCAAATGAGACTCCTCGTGGATCTCTTGGTGGGGTGTATTGCATTCTGAGGAGGCGGAATAGGCCCGCCATGATAGGGGAAGCTTGGTGCACTGCTTTCTGGCTGTAGAAAGCAGTTATTTAGACATTAGCAGCATCAAAAAGAGAGACTTTGACTTGTCAATGTTGATCGATGGATGTTTATCACCATACCCCGATGATGTCAGCGCTGAGTCAGGATATGGCCAATCAGAGGCGCCCATTGTATATTTCTGGAATTCAACAATTCATGGATAGAGAAAAGATATAAGCTGTTGGGTGATTCTGACAATATTACCATATATGTGCTGCCTATATGTTTAATCCCCATCATCTCATAGAGATGGTAACGCAGACTATAGGAGCGGCAAAAGGGAAGTTGATGAGCCCCTCTAAGGCTCTTGACTAATGAATAAAAAGCGAATATAGCCAAGAATATAGTGTCAATCGATATCTAGATTTGATATACGCCAAATTATTTCAGCTGGGGGTCAACCACTATGATCAAGAAGTATTTATCTTGAATTATCTATGTTGTTGTCCTGAGTTGGCCGAGCTGATCACAATTGAATTGCCCACAAACACATCCAAAAACAAGGTGACCGATTTGCCTACAAATAAGAGCCTCTCCATGGTCGAGGCAGTTATGCATTTACTCAACCTGGTTATCAAATTATTCAACGATGGCTCATCGCCCATGGAAATGGCGAGCAAAACAAACACTGCAAACAACAGTATGTCCAACGGCCACAACGATTTCTCCGCGCCGCTGAACCGAGTAAATGTATACAGTCGGCCGGGAAACCCAGTACATAACCCTCCTCTTGAATTCTCCGATATTTTCTTTTCTTTTCTTTCCTTTCCTTTGATCTTTCTTTCTTTTCAAAAGACCGTTGGCCGCTGTCATTACCGCCAGTCCCCCGCAAGTGCCGAGGCCCCACCTTGACCAGAAAGAAAAGCAAGGCCGCATCAATTCATCTTGTTGAATTAGTGGTAGTACAACGATGGCTGCCTCGACGTCGATACCGGAGTATCAGATGCATCCCGAGGGCCGCACGTGGCGGAACCATTTCCCCAAGGGCGATCTTTGGGTGTTTGGTTATGGGTGAGTGACTGTAGCATTGATTTTGAAGGGTCCGAAGGGTCTGAAAGGTTTGGAAGGATTGATATTAATGGCATTAATTGACAGGAGTTTAATCTGGAAGCCGCCGCCACATTACGGTATGTTGATATTGTTTCTGGTTCATCCCGAGATCTATATTCCTCGGTACCCTTATTGAATATCATGGATATTGGCTAACTCTTCTCATGCAGATCAGCGAGTCCCTGGATATATCAGTGGCTATGTGCGGCGGTTCTGGCAGGTATGTCGATGAAATACTCTGTTGCTGTCTCTATTCTGAACTCCTTGTTGCGGCGAGAATATGCTTGTGTTCGACTCCAGGCTGACCATAGAACTCACAAATTGTGTTTCATAGGCTAGGTATGTTGGATGGCATTTGACTTTCCATCTCTTGTACTATTTCCGTGTTTGGTGACATACTAACAACCGTACAGTGCCGACCACCGAGGGACAGAAGAGCAACCCGGACGGGTAGTCACTGTGATTGAGAGAAACTTTTGGGAGACACTAGACGACCCGGTATGTGTCAAATACTGTCTCTCGTCTTACTTGTAACTGGGGTCGACATACTTGGTTTCATCCAGACACCCAACAAGCCACGGGGAGACAACTACCATGTCACACAGATATCCAACTAACCACCTATCAACCAAGCTCGCCCACCTAGAATCCGAATCCGCCTCCACAGGCAAAGTCTGGGGCGCAGCATACCACATCCCAACCTCGCACGCCGAGGAAGTCCACGACTACCTCGACGACCGCGAAATCAACGGCTACAGCGTGCACTACACGCCATTCCACGCCGTATCAGGCGTCTCAGCATCCACGGCAACCAAGACGCCCGACCCGGACGACACACCCACTTCCGTGTCGGGTGGAGGAGCAACCCCGATCATCTGCATGGTCTATATCGGACAGCCCAGCAACCCGCAGTTCCTGCGCGACCCGGCCCAGCGCGAGCCGCAGGATGTCGCGCAGGTTATTAGTACTGGTCACGGGAAGAGCGGCAAGAACACGGAGTATCTGTACTTGCTTGAGAAGGCCCTTGAGGGGTTGGGGCTGGGGACTGCTGATGTCCATGTTACGGATTTGGTGCGCCGGGTTAAGGCTATTGAGGCGGGGGATCTGGCGGACGCGGAGGAGAGGGAGGCTGAGCGGGATGTTCGGAAGTATTTGGGTGAAGAGTCCGGGACGGTGCGCGAGGATGATCATTCCAAGATTGAATGAGCCTGCTAGGTGTCCTGTGGCTTTGGGCCTCGCTTCGATTTGGTTGCATGTGGCATGGAGATCGTTGAATAGACTAGACGAGGGTTGAATCCATGCAATGATCAACGAATAGATGTCGACATCGAAACAGGAAGGGTACGGACAAGACGAATGCAATCAAATTCGGGCGCGATTGTGCATCTCATCTAGATCGGCAGGTACAAGACCAGAGCTGCCTCTCTCCATGGCAAGCCTTCATTCAAAAATAAGAAAAACCAGGGAAAAAAAAAACGTAGTCGCAAAACCCCCCTCCGTTCTGAGCACACTCGCCCACATTCCCGGTCCGCGTCGCATCACCATTCCAGAGTCATCATAAGTCGTCACTTCTTTTTGCAAGAAAGAGGCCAAAGATAAATTGCGCGCAGAGAGAAAGAAACGTTGATGGGGTATCATAAGCGTTCACCTACTGACCCTCAGGGGGGCCCGGCTGGGCGCTGGTGTTGCGCCATCCTGATTTGAGAGTCAAATATTAGCATATAAACACCGCTAAAGAGAAAGAGAACAGCGTACCACCACCGCCGCCATAGCCGGCATTGGCACCTCCACCTGCGCCATGAGTTAGTCAAGTTCATGGATAAAGCTGCTCTTCGAGAGAAGAATACATACCGTAGCCACCGCCATAGCCACCATTGTAACCACCTCCGTAACCGCCACCATAGCCGCCATAGCCAGGACCAGCGTTTTGGTTGTTGTAGCCACGGTTGTATCCCCCGCCGTAGCCGCCCTGGCCACCGCCCTGGTATCCAGCACCAGGCTGCTGGTTGTATCCACCGCGGCCGTAGAAGCCCGAGTCGCCGCCCTTGGGACGATCAAAGGCCTTGTCGACGCGAATGACGCGGCCATCGAACCTGTCGCTAGCGTGAGAGGGGTATCCTAAATAGTGGTATTCGAGGACATTTTACTCCTGGTTGTCCATACTGCTCATGGCAGTTTCGGCATCTGCCTCGGAGGCAAAGCGCACAAAGCCGAATCCACGGCTGCGCAGAGTCGCGCGGTCCTTCACAACGATCTGTAGCACACCAGCAAAGTCAGAATCGCGAAGGAAAATCACATTCGAGGGATACACGAACTGCTTCCTGAATTTCGCCGAAGCGCTGGAAACCCTCGCGCAGGACATCATCGTTGGTGTGCCAGGACAGGCCGCTGGAGGTTATGGCGGGGGATCGTCAGTTTTCCAAATTGACCCCGAAATTAGGTATCAGCGATTCGCAACTGAAATACATACTGAACGAAGAGCTTCGACATGATGGGATGATCGAAGAAACTCTGGAAAGAATGAAGGGGGATGTTGGGAGGGGAAGGATCAGAAAGTGGGTGAGGAAGCGAAGTGACAGGGGAAATCCTAGTTTGCGCCAGTCAGCCGTGTAACCCTTAGGGCATCCCACAAAAGAAAACATGACGCTTACGAGGAATGTTTGGGTGGAAAAGAAGAAATAAGGAGAGAGAGAGAGAGAGGGGGGCTAAGTGTGAACTGTCTAAAACCCGAGGGATGGTGGTGAATCACGCTAGCAGGGAAGAGAGACTCCCCCCCCAAGTGGATTTCTACAAATTGCAATGTATTTTTAATTGTTCAAGTCTGTCACCTCCTGTATATACTGTAGGTAGTTAACACTTGGACCCTGAACCCTGGAAGTCATCTCACCGAGTGGAGTCTCCGTCTTCAGACCGCGGAACGAGAGGTGTCATAGGAAGTTCTGCGATGATTCGCCTCGCTAATTCAAGGATGCATGCATTCCTGTCATTCGGTGCCCCGCTCACTCACAGATGGGGCCCACCTGGTCGGAAGGACTCCGGAGGATCAACGGATCGACTGATTCAACATCAAGCTTGGGCATCGGGTGGAGCCAGTGGACGATGAGAGGATATATATATCAGTATAGTGCCTCGATGCCTTGACACCTCAGGTACTGCGGCTCCTTCCATGGGTGGTTCCTGACTCCCGAGGAACTACTTCGACACAAAACCAGTCGCCGAGGAAATACCTGGTTTTGTTTTGCACATTATCGCTCCATGGAGACCTCCAATCGCGATTTGATACACCACTGGCTGTCGAGTGTGCAGGTCCATCCTGAAACTGTTCCCCAGACTGCGACAGGTATGGTGCTCTTGTAACCCACGAGATTGTCACAAGTCACTCACGAATGCCAGGCAAGGGTCCCTGTCAGGAGAGTGCAGAACATGGGGCAGTTAGGCCTCCCAGGGGAGAGCTCCAGGATGTTCCTACTGAAAATCCCCGAGCGCCAAACCGTTTGGTGGAGCCGATCCGAGAATCCTTGGTCCGTGACACTGAGCCTCAGGAGCCGATTCCCCACAAGAGAGCAAGGCATGAGTACGAGCGCAGACCTAGGCACAAGACACGCGAGGACCGCTACGACTACAAGGCACCGGGTTCGGGAGCTGGAATTCGGCAAAAATCCAACAAGGAGAAGAAGAAGAGGCCGCGGCGCAGGAAGAATATCATGCACGATGAGCTTCGAGCAGCAAACGTGACGCAAGAAAGATTGACGGTGAGCGCAACCTACAACCTATCGTGCTCTGTCACTGATTTCGGGAACAGCTACGACACACAGCAAACCTGGGCTTCTTCAACAAAGGGAGGTCATCGTCATCGGCCAAGCCCCACGAAGGTAAGAACAAGTCATTATCCCGAGGACATTGTGCTAACAACATGACCTCCATCTAGCAGTGCCTGACCTTGTGTTCTCTGAGATGAATTTCTTGTCACGGACAGGTCACGGCCTCAACCACAGCACCATGGTTATCGAGAGCCAGAAGCCCAAGACAGAGGATGGGAAAGTACATCAGCGCCAGCAGCTGTTTGAATACAGCGTCCCCAATCTCTCCCTTACACCCGGATTGGATTGAAATTAATCAACACACAAAACAGCCCTTCAGCACTTCCCAGATTGATACCACCGAATGATACCTCTGGTACTCCGCACTTCTTCGCGCCAAGTGACTCACAATGTCGCGAAACACAGATGGGCGTGCACGAGCCTTGGCAAGTGCCCCGGGACCTGCAGCATGAGAAGAATAAAAAGGTGGAGGCTCCGCAGTCTGCAACCCCCTACACTTGGTCCGGAAGTAATATAGGAGAAAGCCAGCGAGACCGTATTATGGACCTCTACCTGCTGGATCTTTTGCACGCTGGCTTGCACACCCAACGAATCGGAGACGACGACACGGCTACTAGCCGAGGAAAACGGTACTTGAAACTTGAAGAGCTCAAGGGAATCCTGGAGGAGAGAAAAGCATGTTGGGGATCCGGTTGCGTCGAAGAAGATTCGTCTTCCAATGGATTTTCAATGAAATTCCTAGAACGGAGTCAACCATTCAACAACTTGCCCGAGATTGGCTTCAATGGTGATCTTCCGCATGCACCGCACTCAACCCAGAGAATGCCTGAATACTGTACCGAAGAAGGCCAGTTGGGGTCAAACGGTGGTGGAAATGTGCCAACTGAAAGAACTGGATTATCCCCAGCGCTCGAACCAGCTGATACTGCGAAATGCGAAGAGCAGACATTGACAAGCCTAGCCCATGGGAGAAAGAAGAATGATCCTCAAATCCCGCTAACCATGGCCGCGGATCTGATTCAAGTTGGCGCGGACGACGACGAAGTATTTTACCGCACACTTGATGCGGCATACCGCACAATTGTAAGCACCGGGGACAAAGACCAAGATTTTGGTCAATGTCATAGCAACAGTGCTGCCCCACCCCGATTGAGTGGGATTGAAACTGACAGTCAACCCAATGCTTTGCTCGATTCTCTGACCCTGTCGCTTCTTGGGTTTGCAGACACAACATGGCGGCAAGTATATGACTATCCAGATCATCCAGTATTGATTGATCCGCATTCTTTGCATGAGGGTCTGGAGAAAGGACCCACTGTCAGCACTCAAAGGAGACCGTCATCATTTCTCCCACCGGAGGAAAATGTCGAGCAAAGCCCGGGATGGGCCCGGACAGCAACGACTTTGACGGCGAGTTACCCGTGGCCACTTGGATTTTGGCGGCAGAATAAGCTGTACTGACTCTTGTCCTTATTGCTGTATCACTCATCGTCCATGCGCATTGTATTAGCACTTTTGTTGTACTATACACTGCGATTCAACGTTAGAGCTGACTGAGTCCTTGGAGATAAGACATTTGTCCATAAAGCCTGATAGCAGATATTCGGTACAAGGAAATGGTCTGCTCAGATTTGGAGAGGTAGACAGTAGCATACTCAGGTAATCAAACCGGACCTCGGGAAATGCAGATTGAGTTGCATAATCCAACCGCTTGGCCGATCAAATCTCTAGCCATGGACGATTCGTCCCCGGTTCCCATACCCACTGAGGCTTCATCAGCACATAGATATTATCACATCCATGGATAGCCTTGCCACTTTCGCTCAACCCGCATGGATTAGCATCATCTCGAGAAGGGTCGGAGAGAAAAATTCCAACAGCAAAGTCTTGGCAAGATCGCAATGAATTGATTGGGTATATAACAATCTTGGATGGCAAAAGATCAAAAAAGCGCCGCCTAACAGTGAGACCAAGATCATGGCCTGAAATTTGGAAATGAATGTCCCTGCCAACGTGTTTGCGGGGGGGGGGAAATATCTATTCAGGGAGCCGGGAAGACGTAAATCCCACTCCTGAATGTAAATCCAGCGCCAGCCGGGAAGCAATTCTCAGTGTCGCGGCTGCAACGTGTTGAGACTTGGTGGGCAACTGGGCTCAGCTCGAATCCGACGTGTGCCATCGCGATAGGAGCAACGTCCGGGCAGATAGCCGAGTATTCTGGTGGATGCAAAGGGTATGGAACACCAAACCTCATAGAGTCGCGGCCGCTTCAACCACACCCGCACCCTTGAAGAGCCCGGGGTTTTTGATAACCGCTTCCACGGGGTACTTCCACTCCATAAATCGCGTCCAGCCTACAAAATGCCCCATATATTAGCTACAACTTTACTCTGAAATCCTCGGGGATTGCTTGCGGTCCGCCATCACTTACCCAAATATGCACATTTCCGCCCCAGATACTTCCCAATAAAGGGCACCAGAACCATAGTCAGAAGCAGTTCTAATTGCTCAATGCTCTCCCTCCATTCTGCCTCCGCATCTGAGTAGTCATCTGAGAGTGTTTCAAGATCTGAGGCGGTGGTTGATTCCGATGGAAGAGACGCGATCTCGTCGTCGGACTCGTAGGTGTTTTGCGCGGAGGGCACCATATACGCCGACATCGAAAATGAGGGATTCGATGCAGCTGGAGAACCTGACGACATGGTGTAAAGACAAGCTGGCACGGGCGAAACGAGGGAGGGATGATCGAGCCGTGGCCTGCCTACTGCTGTGGAGATGGGCGAGTATCGGAGCAGCGAGCCGATCATCAACGTGTAAACACGTGACCTTGTAATGACAATCACGTGGCCACGCGATAACCGGGTGGTCGCCTCCCCAGCAAAAAGCGATAGCAGATTTCAATCGAATTCACTGTCGACTGTTGAACACGTTTGGTCTCTCCCTCGACCGAATATCTGACGCAACCCTTTTGTGGTGGAGTGCAGTAAATCGCAGCGCAAAGATGGCGGACGCAGTACGTCACACCTTGGTTTCTTTTTACCGACCCTCCCACATTTTCTTTTGAGTCACGCCCAATACCCCTCGGTCGACAATCTCACGGGGAATTCAATTTCTTCGCTTCACATATCCCAGATCCTTTCCTCTCTTATTCCTCCATATTTTTCTTCCTTTCCTCTAACGCTAATCGTGTGCCCCCGTTTTCCACAAATAGGAAGTCGAGCAGACTATTCAGAAGCAGCGCAAGTCAGTCGCATTCAGCGAAGGCTCGGTCATCATGGACACCAACGGCCAGGTCACCGAGACCCCCACTGCTGAGCAGCCCCCAGCCGGTACGCAAAATACTCTTTCCAGTTTTATTTCGCCTTGATTCCGTCCCACTAACGGATTGTGCCACACCCGCAGACAAGGAAGTGGACGAGGTCACCGATATGTTCAAGGGCCTCTCCAAGAAGAAGAAGACGAAGAAGACCAAGGACAGCGATGCCGCTGAGGGCGATGAGGCACCCGCGGCTGATGGCGAGTTCGACCCGTCGGCGCTGAAGAAAAAGAAGAAGAAGCCCAAGAAGGTCGATGCCGGGGACTTCGAGGCCAAGCTTGCTGAGGCCGGTGTTGCGGAGGAGTCCACCCAAGAGCAACCTGAAGAAGTGCTCGAAGGGGACCCTGAAGCCGGCACGGGTGTCTGGGCCCACGACTCGACGCAAGCCATCCCGTACTCGCTCCTCGTGTCCCGATTTTTCACCCTCGTCCAGAGCCACCACCCCGACATCCTGTCCAGCGGTTCCAAGTCTTACAAGATCCCCCCGCCTCAGTGTTTGCGTGAAGGTAACCGTCGTACCATCTTCGCCAACATCGCCGATATCGCCAAGCGCATGAAACGTTCCGACGAACATTTCATGCAGTTCTTGTTCGCTGAGCTGGGAACCAGTGGTAGTGTCGATGGTAGCCGTCGCCTGGTCATCAAAGGGAGATTTCAGAGCCGCCAGCTCGAGACAGTTTGTCGAAGTGCGAAATCGAGCTATTTCCTGGGTTCTTGAAAGTTATGCTAACTAGAAACTAGGATACATCAGTAAAAATGCCCATTTTCTTCAATCCCGCGCCCCCGCATGGCTCCGTTATCTAACAAACTCGCAGTGGAATACGTTACTTGCAAGACCTGCCGCAGCCCCGACACCGAACTCAACAAAGGTGAAAACCGCTTGTATTTCATCACCTGCAACTCCTGCGGTTCCCGCCGTTCCGTGGCCGCCATCAAGACCGGTTTCCGTGGACAAGTCGGCCGCAGAAAGCGTACTGGCTAAGGGGATGCACGGGATCAGTTGGGCATTTCGTGAAGGAGGGAGCCTGCTTTTTTATCTCTATGTTATGGCGTGCCATTTAACAGGGGCTTCAGTGGATGGAAATAGGGCTCCGGCGCTACGCTTTCTGCCGTTGAGGACTCGAGATGAGGAGACGATTTATTCGAAGGAGCGAAAAACGTTTAGAATGAAATGGATTGATATGACCCTACAAGGCTTCTGGTGGTTGTTTGATGGTGCGTTGAGGTGACCAATAAGAGACTAAGGATTAAATTATAGCTCCTACATGCATCGTTTACGAGCTTCTGGATTCTTGGATGTCTGTTACTTGCATGGGCCTTTCTCGGTGGAGGACTTTGTGGAGGTCGGTTCTATTGTGGGTGGAAGACAGGTTAAAGACAGCACTCATATCAACTGAGTATGGTTGCAGGGAGTTTGATGGAACCTGTCAAGCCAAGGTATATTGAAAAGGGATGTATTAAAAAGCTCATATAGGACAGACATCAAATCACCCTAGCTGGAAACGCAAGTGTGCCTTATTGAATGGGAATAGTTCAAGTAAACCGCTATGTCCTGATATACTGATCACTTTACATAGAATATCGAGGCAAAAAGAGGACAGGCTTGCTATACTGCTCCTGGAGAAGGAAATGCTTGGAATCCAATGTATTTGGATCTAGTCCACAATCATAGCTCACATTTGCCAACAGAACTGAATGAAAACCGACAATTTGGAGGGGCCCAAAGTAAAGCCACAGTCAATTAACAGTCAAACGTGATAGAGGTAGGAAGAAGAGGAGAAGAGAAGAGGAGAGAGGAGGGCAGGGGTGGTTTTTATAGGGAGAGCCTCTGGCTTATTCACCTGGCCATCCAGGCGCCGATTCCATCAACCGGCGCCTAAGGGGTACGCTGTGATTTGTGTTTCTCCCAGCATGCATCCAAGGTGTTCACACGACCACGGTGCAACTCCTGAATGAGAGTCACCTTCCAATTCTTCCCGTCCTCGGGCTCCTCACACAGCTCAGCAAACGCTTCTACTAGCAGCCAAATCTGAAGTGCATTGATGCTGGTGCCGCTGCAGGTTAATCGGCTGGTCCTGGTCGATGAAGTCGAGGCATGAAAATGATGAGCGTTTCGACGCCATTTTGGTCCTTCCGCTCGACCACGCAGTCAACTAGTGCTGCCAAACACATCCACTATCCCAACTTCCGTGACGTGGCGATTTTTGTTGTCATATTCGAGGTCCGCAAAGATCATTCCACTTGGCAGGCTGTGACTATCGCGGATTTCTTGCCGGAGAGCAAGGAGTTTGTTTCATTTCGGCGATGCCTGTCCGCTTCTCGGGTGCAGGTTGAGACCGCGAGCGCATATGACGAACGAAGTCGATATCTGGCTTGTCTGGTGACCATTCTTGTAAATGCTTCTCGCAATATCGACTGTCACAAGAAATGGACTTGAAACACTTGCTTCTTGCACACGCCGTCTGATCGTCTTCTTTCTGGGCACCATTCTTTTTGATAAAACCGAGGAAGAGGTTCTCGGCATAGCAAGTCAAACAGCGAGCTCCCAAAACGAGCCCCGAGTTCCGGCGCTGTATAGGTGCAGTGGCAAGGTCTATAGTTGCTCCTGGTGTGATTGTTTGCAAAAGCCTGGGTCCTGAACCTCCTGCCACACTTCTTCATTGGACAACCGTACCTGAACGGGCCATGCTGATTCCGAAGATGGTTTTTGAGATTCCTGGGGTGGGAAAACATTACTTTGCACTTTTCGATAGGACAGGGAATTGAATGCGGTGCATAGGTATGCGCCGATCGTGCATGAATGGTGGCCTGATTCCTTGTGTTGAGCATCCTGTCGCAATTCGCCGTCTCCATCAGCTTCGAGGAACATACATGTGTATTTGAACATAGTAAATACCCCTTTCTGTGTCCCTGTCCTTGGCCTGCGTCCTACTCGCCCCATGGCGTTCAAGGGTGTTGAAAAGCAGTAGGATATTGGGCCAGTGAGTATCAAAGCTTCAAGGTGAATGAGGACGAGTGAATGGGGATGATGAGAAGTAAGTAAAGGTAGCCAAAGGGAGTTTTGAGTATTCGATATACGGACGTCTCTTGTTTGTGAAAGCATCTTCATTTAGTATAGACGGTATATTCTTATAAAGATATCGTATAGGCCACTACATAGGTCGAAGTTTGATATCTTCTTTCAAGATATCTTTCTTTCCTGTTTTCTAAACGTTTTACCCTGCTGCAGCTTCCTACTGAGGCTCTTTCTGGGTAGCCCCAACAAAGCTACTTAACATTTATGACAGCATCTCGGCATCAGTTACAATAAACACATGGTCTTTACTTGGTCTCGAAGAGACATAATCCAATGTGTCTCGGTCATATTAGAGTAGGAAACACTTATGATGTCCCGGTACCGGATCAGGAGGATACTGGGGTCTAACGACCATTGCACTTCCCCAGCTAGATCTACACAAATAATTTCTTTGAATAGCTTGACATAAAAAGGAGACCATTTCTGGATTTCTAAAACGCCTAATAATTGATACCTTGGAAACATAACGACAGCAAATACCAAATCGGATAGCCAAAGAGCAACCAGGCATCAGAAATCAGTTACTGGCAGTGCTGACACTCATCTGTCCGGCGAAGGCATTCAGGTTCCTTGTTTGCAGGTACACAGTCCCAGGACCCTCAAATTTGCATGCAAGACCCTCGCCAGAGCTGAGACTGGAGAGAATCCCACCCGAGGCCACGCGTTCAATCGTGTAGCGACAATTCCACGCAACTAGGTGGCCGTTATCGACGAAATAGGACTCCCCATCTTGAAGCTATACACGGGCTGGATGTTAGAGAAAGAGAAACAGAAAAAGAAAAGAGAAGAAAAGGGCATTGAGACCCGGTGGTTGGTATTGCTTACATCTTTCTTGATGATTGCGCCGAAGCTTTGCATCCAGAGCAATCCATTGCCGGTGATCTTGTAGATAAACAGACCTTCTCCAGAAAAGACGCCTTTGGTGAGGCTTTGGGCCTGGTACTTGTGCTTGACACCTGTTGTAGAGGCAAGGAAAGCATCTCGTCCGATTTTCCAGTGGTCATTGCCGTTGAGACGGAGAGTGATTATATCACCCAAGACCGAGGGAGCCAGAAGTAATTCACCGGGCCCCGTGTAGTGAGACATGGTCATCTCGCCTCCAGCGATGAGCTTTTTCCATCCGAAGGAAATGCTGCCTTTCAAGGTCATGGTTGGAGACATTGCAATCATTACCCCTATAACATGACCGTTAGCCGAAAACTGACTGAAAACAGGAACCAAGGGTAGAGTATTTAGATAAATTGTCACATACCAGGTTTGGCAGTCAACGGGCAACCCATTGCTAGCTGCAATGTGAGAAGAGAGTTCGAGTCGCGGTGACTGATCCGATAGCTGCCTCCATTGAAGGTGCCAACCTCGTCCTCGTTAGTCCCGGAAGCTCCTTGGAACTGCCCAAAGGCCGGTGCACCTCCAGGGATTTTTTCCATTGTCCCAGCGGGAGGAGGTGTCTGAGAAGCAGCTGGCGGTGTTCCCGAATGGGCGGCATTTGGCGGGAAAGCAGGCGCGTTGTATTGAGCATATTGCTGTGTTGGTGGAGGCGGACTTGTTGCCGGTGTGCTGGCCGAGGGGAGGGGGGCCAGGATAGCCATTTGGAGGAGGGTATTGGTAATCCTGCGGATATCCTGGGGCAACCTGAGGAGGAGGCGCAAACGCTAGAAATGAAGAAAACCAATATTAGGAGACAGATAAATGTGGAACAGTTCGGGTTGTCCATTACATGTTACATGCGCCGGGGCTGTGGTTGGAAGCTGTCAGTAAAATGCATGTACATGATTCCCGAGGATGTGAACGACTTACCCGACATCGGGGGCGGAGGGTACTGGGGCTGCTGCGCCATCGCGATTAGAACGACCAGAAATTGGGATGCTGGTTTTCGTTAAGTACGCCTGTTTTTAGGTTAAATGGGGCCGGGTTAGAAATGTCAACAATCAACACTGACGAACCTCGAGGTTAATGCGGGGTAAATCAACTCAAGAAGGACCAGCTGGAGTTCTTGAGAGGATATGGACACTCAAAAGACTCGTTGTGAGAATCGCTGATCTGATGGCTTGTTTTGAGTATTCTGATAGAGCAAAATCTGGTTCGAAAAGGCATATGCTGAGCTAGAGCTCATGCTATTTAAATTAAATAGGATAAAAGAGTAGCTACCAGCCCCACATGGGGATCTACCTAAGTCTTACTGTATCAGCGATAACATGTCAGCGCTTGCGGTAGTGTGAGACTAGATTTGGATTGGTAGTTACATACTGTCGCCCCAGACGGCACATTGACTACTGCACGATCATCCCCCGGCGCCTAAAAGTTGGGAATTCCACGACATGATAGGTCAGCCCACGAACTGGCCAATTTCATTGACTAATTTTTATTGGCCACTGGGTTTAGCGCTCACAGAAGGCCAAGAATGATATTTTTAGACCGCACGAAGGGGGTATACTGGGCGAGTCTGACATACAAATTTCACGTGTATGAAAACTTTAGTCCTAGATTGTTCGGTATCTCTTGTGGCCTAGAGATTGCATTGCATTTGCGAAAGCTATGGATTGTCTTCTATATCAAGTATAGATCGGCTATGGTTTTGCGTGAAACTTCTAGAGCGTGGCTAGGAGCGATGTTTCATGATGTGTAGGTTATTTAACAAAAGCATAAGAGGACAGATATAATGAATGTAAGTTGAAGCAGTCAAATAATGAATTGATTGAAAAGGAATGAAACTTGATTTCTCAACCTGGTAACCTATATATTACGCGCATTAACTAGCATTATCCAAAGAACTAGACCTAAGTACACCCTGCCGCCTCTAAAGCTTCCCTTGCTTTTGTGGAAGTTGACTTTTTGGCGATATCCAGTGCAGTCAATCCAGAGCTGTCTCGCAGCTTCGTATTGGCACCTTTGGCCAGCAGCAGCCGAAGGGTGTCGACATTCGAAAATTTTGCAGCAAGCATCACGCTTGTATGACCATCACTGTCTGCAAAGTTGATATTGGCACCATTCTGCAGAAGCAGATCAATCATTTGAACTCGCCCGTCCATAACCGCGGAGATAAGTGGTGTCACGCCTCTTGGTCCGATTGGATCTATATTCGCACCATGAGAAAGCAGTAGGCGAACAGTGTCGAATTTATCGCTGTTGCTTGCCAGATAGAGGGCCGAGAACGTAATCCGACCCGATTCGACGGAGGCACCGTAACGGAGAAGTAGCTCGACAATTTCATCGTAACCCTCACCGGCTGCTACTTCTAACGGTCCCATCATGTTGCGTCCGCCATTCCCATTGACAGCCGCGCCGTGATCCAGTAATTTTTTGACTGCTGCCAAATCCCTGACAAAGATACGGTCAACGAGGGGGGAGTAGCTTCGGATATCCTCCGTGTCAATGTCGATATCGTGACGATGGAGGACTTCCATCGCCCAGTCGGAGTGGTTGCTGGCGGAAAACACATAGGCCTTGTGGCCGAGGCTCGGTATTTTAGCGCTCAACTCTGTCCACCGCACTAAAAAGAAATACAAGAGCACAGTGTACCCATTGTGCCATGCCCATTCATACCCAAGTTGATCATCGTATGCAGGCAATTCGCGGTCGAAACCGACGTCATCATCGGTGTATGTTAGCCACTGTTCTAGGGCTTGGATTCCTCTTTCGGAATCACCCGCGGATGAGCCAACATTTGTTGATTGAGGCAGTGTTCTTGGCACATTCAAAATCTCGAGGCGTGGTTGCACCCAGTGAAGACTTGCTGTATGTACGGATATACGCCACACAATCCATCCAAGCTGTTTAGAGAACGTCGCCCACCAATCTTGGCAAGTCTGGGAGTTCATCCAGTACCGGGGACGTTGGCATCTTTGTTTTTCGAAGAAGTGTGCTCTGATGTCTGATCTGAGCAGATCACAGGTCTGTTTGAAGCCTTCTGCACGACCATCTTCATCTCCTTCTAACATCGCTCGACGGCAAAGATACCCCAGCTCGTAGACAGATCGCTCGAATTCAGATGTGTCCGATCGCTGGCAAAGCCAACGGATAAGGAGAAATGCACACTGCCATTGGTTGTTCTCGACATATTTTTCCGTGCGTACTCGAATGTTGATGGAATCAGCCGCAAGATCTGGTAAAAGACCTCGAAATTTCAACGTCGGGATGATGCACATGAGGGCGTCTTCTCTTGAGCCTAAGCTGCACTCCTCAAATGATCGCACCAGCTCGTCCACATGACTGCTAGAAGCCAAAAATGACTGGTGAGGTCCTGGAATGACATCCACTTCCCCTCCGAGCTCTTTCATGAAAGTAAAAGCCTCTCTGAGAAAGTGGATATAGATATCCTGGGCAGCCATTGTCTCTAGATCATTTACTGTATTTACCACCAGGATGTCCATGTCGTCGGAAACGACCTTGGAATGGAGCCCAAAAAGCTGAGACGAGGATTGAACCATCTGAGAAGAAACCATCGTCGCCTCGGTTTGGCGGAATATCCACTTGTAGAAATACAGGTCGGTCTCTTCCTTGCTTGCGTCGAGCTTGCTCAATCCGACGAGGCGACTCAGCCCTGGTTGACACCAGTCTGGATCTGACTTGTACAAAGACCATATCCACAGACCCAGCACGGCTTCAAGCTCGTTTGCATCCATTCTCCATCGGAGCGTATCACCACCCTGCAACAGACAGATAGAGTAGATCTCCGAGGAAGATTCAGATCCCTGTCTCGAGTGCGCGTTGCACTCAAAAGGAAGTGTAAATTTGAATACTCTGCCGAATTCAACTCCCCAGCCGGACATGACATCCATGGTCTTCTCGATCGTTTCTGCAAGATTTTGAGCCGTTTGTCGGATGGGAATGTCATCCCATGGAACACTCAAACCCCGATTCTGGCTGGAAGTAAGCTCTGCCAGTCGTATTCTAGTTCGGATCAATTTCTTGGCCAGAGAGGATGTGCCTGGTTGGCGGGTAGAAAGGTCGGATGAGTTGTGCAGAGGGGAGAGTAAGTGGAAAGACTCGACGTTTTCGAGATAAAAGGTAAAGAAATCTAACTCTTGTCGCTTGTAGGATGTGATTTCCCGCTTCTCCACCAATTTGTTTTCGCTGGGCGCCATTCTCTCTGTACGAAGACAAGTCCGAATGATAGCCATCACGAATGTCGACCCCAGCTGCGCCAATATCACTGAAGCATGAAGGCCTCGAAGTCCGACAAACTGTACGATAAACCCGAGCATAGTGAAAATCAAAGTCAAGTAGATCTGGGTGTATTGTCCCTCAAATTGTGAGTCTCTGGTCGATTTGATATACTGCAGTTTCTTGGTCATCTTTCCGCCGGTGCCTTCTTTAGTCGCCAAAAAGGACTTGAAGACCTGGTCGCCCACATTCTGGTTTCCGGGCTGCAGCCAGTAGATCTTGCTCGCGCGTTCTGGTTTGAAGTAGTACTCGCGCGAGGAGCGCTCGATGATAAATGCGCAAAAGAACATGCCGACGAAGAGAAAGGTGGTTCCGATGATGTAGAAGGGGAATGCGTAGCCGGCGACAGCTTTTCCATCTTTTTTGAAGGTTTCTGGATATACGAAGACCGTGAGTGCGGCATATATCATTACACCTGGGCAAACATTAGCAGAGTCTAAGTAAAGGCTTCAGGACATGGTAACCAACCCAATTGCAATGCCGTCCCAAGAATCGCAGCACAGTAGAACCAACCCTGACCTCGGCGCTTGATTCCCTTGTTCAACGACAAATTCGGAATCTCCAGCTCAGGAAGCTCATCGTGCATCTTTTCGACTGAAAGTTCCGTCCCTTTATCGACCTGCGTCCACGCACCCTCGCAGAGGGCATTGCGGAGTGTTCCAATCCTGGAGGTCGACTTCTTAGTAACAGGATCATCATGCTGCCACACGATAACCTCGACGATCTTGGGCCGACCAAAGACGCGCGAGATGCCGCCGTCATTGAAGAGCTCGGCAGTCGACTCCGACACACAGGGTAGAAGCTCGCTCTCGGCCTCGGAGGGGCCTTCTTGTGCTCGGCCAATGAATGCGCGGAGAGAAGAGCTGCCGCATACCCTAATCACTGAGACTACTGCGGTCAAGACACCCAGTGGTGATAGGGCGAAGATGATGTTATCGAGGAGGCTGATGGATTCCGAGAGGAATTGTTTGGTGAGGCGCTCGCCGAAGAGTGTAATTAGTGGTGCCTGTTGGTCAATTGTAGCAAAGACTGTCAGTAATCCTTAAGAATTGCAATCGAGGAAGATGGTTTTTTCTTCATACCAGGTCTGTGGCAAGGTTATTCGTAAAATTATCCCAGTTGTCGTCGGCCAACACGAACGGCACCAGTAACGACAGACATAGTAGAATGCCCTGCATTATATATTAAGCTAACATTCAAAACAGTATTATTTTAAGGCTTTCTCCCCCGGGATCGACTTACAGCCGCCCATCTTTAAGTACTCGGGCACACGCTCAGCGTACTTTTGTCAATCCCTCGAACAGCCATCGGTGGCATTGCGGGGCCCAAGCCTTGCAAGCCGCCTGGCGAGGATATCAACTAATCACGATCGCAAATATCTAGTCTTGTGCAGGCTTGAAACCGCTAAGGCACTTAGTTGCATGTAGGTAAGCGCTGCGCCAGCGGAGGTACCGCACTAGTTCGCGGCCCGCATGGGACGGCGCGAGTCCATATCTTCGGTTCTTCACTTCTGCAATGGCGTTAATTGCTGCTCTATTTTAATAAGACGCTGGTGGCTTTCTCGCGGATCTATATCCATCTCTTGTAATTTGCTTGTGACCACGGTGGATGGACAGTTGGTGGTTGTCCCTGGTTGCCCTGGGCGGGTGGCTTGATATGCAGCACTTTATTTATTTCTCCAGGTGCACATGCCAATCAACGTAATCGAGCTGGCATGGGCAAGGGAAAAGGGTGCCCAAATCTACAGTTCTACTAGCGCCCAACGGGCCTGGTCGATGAGGTTTAGAAACTGAGATTGCAGGCAGTCTGGCGCGTCCGAAATTCAAATTGCTGCTCAAAGCATTGGACAAATGATCCTGGCAACAGGCAGTGACATCGTTGTAACAGGTAGTCAGCAGTGTTTCTGAAACCAGAAAAGTACTAAAGGATCATCATCGGCCGGCAAGGAGGCCCTTTCATGAAGCCTGGCGAAATCATTCAAAAGCAAAAACGCCTGGTAACGCCGAGTCAATGAGAAAAAGATCACACGGTTAGAAGATGCTATTGACAATGTTGGAACCGACAGTGGCACCGGCACCGAAGATTGCTGAAGTCGAAGTTAGCTGTCATAAACCAGATCCTGCGCGAGAGCCTCGAAAACATACCGGCATTGCCCAGCTTCTTTCCGAACTTCTTGCCGCCTTGTTCAAGCTTGTTCGACTTCGGGTCATTGGGGTTGGACGGCTGACCACCCTGGCTAACCTCCAGGGGCACGTTCCCGTAGTTCGTGGGCGGAGGTGGCGATGTGACAGCCCCCTTCTCGTTAACGGTGTTGACGTAGCTCCGGGGGAAGATACCCTCCTGGCCCGTCCGCTCATTGCGACCGCGCCACCCTGTAAATCAACTCGTTAGCCGGGGTTCATTATCACTTGAAGGACAGATCATACAGTCATCGTTCATATGCTCAATAACCTGGATGCGGTCATGCGGCTGCAGGGCCAGATCACCGGCATCCGTCGGTGTGTATGCGTACAGAGCCGTGGCCAGACCCATAATCGGCGGGACCTGGGGGTAGGCCGGCGGGGGCTGAGGCGGGGGACTCGCGTATTGGTTGTGCAGCGCGGCCTTCTCATTAAATGAGGCATTGGCCATCTGGTTGGTAGGGGGGAGTAGGGGGCCGGCGAGGGCTGTGTTTGGACGGGTGGCGTTTGGACCACCGGCGGTGGTTGAACGGGCTGGGGTTGAGCCAGTTGGGGCTGAGGTGAAGGCTGCAATTCCCGGGTCGGAGCGCGGGCATCGGACTCGGCGGGGAGTTGCGATAGCATGGAGGACAGCTGCCGCGGCGTAATCACAGAGGCATCGGCAAGGAACTCGAGTTCCTGAATGTTCTATCGTGTCAGTCTTGCCCTGGCCTTTCGGGGAGGCACTCTTTGGGGGCGTATACCGTTCGGACCATGCGGAGCGACCGAGTGGTCATGGCCGTTGCGAAGTCGCTGGAGGCCGCCATGGCGGATGCGACAAGAATTAGAACTGATTTAAACTGATGCGAAAGAGGGAGTGTAGTTTCGAGGCGATGGGGTAAGGAGAGAAGGAAGAAGGGAGAGTGCAAACAAGGTGTAGTTGGGGCGGATAAGCACCGAACGTCGCTCATTCGCCTGCCCCCAAGATCCAATCTCCCCCTGGCAACTGTTCACCTGCGAATCTTGCGAACTCTCATTGACTGAAATTGAAGCATTCACGGCCAAATTTTACTGAGATTAAATTATTGACTGAGGTTATTTACAGACAATTTTGAATCGCTGTTGTTTTAGTATTCCTGGTCAAATTTATACGCGGCCGAGTTTCTGGTTCTCAGCCCACTGAAGAAAAAGAGCATGAAGCCCGTCACCCGGGGCAGAGCAATATTTTGTTTCCTTTTTCTAAAATGCTTGGCTCTAGACTCGTCAGACCCGTAGGGCAATCGTTTGACTGTTGCCTACGGGTGTAGCATATAGTCTGGTCGACTAGACCACTTGGCAGCACCAAACAGTACTTAGCTCATTTCCCAGTTCTATATATGTGTGTATCTGATTGACCTGTCTATTTTAGGGGAGGCTTCAAGAGCCTGTATCTTGCTATGGAAAGTAGACAATTTGGCAATCATCTCCATATTAATTTCTCGTAGTCCCTCGACGTACTTGTAAGGTTATAGTCCCCGCAAGTACGGGGGCTCAGGCCGTGGGACAATCAATGACTCTAATATAGTAGATAATGACTTGCCCACCTCAATACTCTCTCTTGGTGAGTCAATGTACCAAATGGCGCCCCGCAAGACATATTACCTATCCGGGTGCCCGACTCCCGTGATTAGGGCTGGCGGGGAGTACTCAAGGCTGTATGACATCAAGTGGGTCATTGAACTACCAACGCAGTAGGATTTACTCACAGTAGTTTTGCTAGTAGAGTAAAAGCACACGAAGGGATTCAAACTGCCTGGTTATAGATAATGGTCAATTTATTTTGTTGCGCATAATCGCGGGCAAAATAAACATAGGAAGTATTGCAGTCCTGAGGCTGTGGCAATGCGTCCAAGGAGGGGCGAGGTATGACGACATTGCATTGGCGCAACAAGAAAGCCTCTACAGCATGAACACACCCACTCCAGAAATGAAGACTGGGCAAATTATAGATTCAAACCTGTACAGAAAAAACAAATCTGCTAAGTAAGTTAAAAAGGGATTATATGCTTCCAACGGAGATACCACGGCTTTTGCCCTGAGGTGTACACTAAACCCAATCTGGACTAGCGCGGTCCCCTCCCACTCGAGAAGCTTCTGTGTCATCGATATAAATTGCGTCTCTCTTCGTCTCTCTCCCTCTCTCCACTCTCCCTCAACCTTCACGATACCCCCTTGTTCTACTTCTACACCGAAATCTTTCAATACCCCCTCATCTCCGTCAAAATGAGCGAATGGGACACCGTCACCAAGATCGGCTCCAAGACCCGTGGCGCTGGTGCTGCCCCCCGCGAGACTGTCGTCAAGGGCAAGAGTGCTTTGAACGCCGCCCAGCGTCAGGGCGCAGTTATTGGAAGTGAGAAGAAGTACACCACCGGTAACATTGTAAGTTACATCTTCGCCTTTGCTTTTTCTTTTCAATCAAGAATGAAAAAGGCAAATTCCCAAAAGAAACGAACACGAAACTGACTCGTCTTTCCTCTAGGCCGCCAAGGCAGGCGCCCCCGAAGGCCAGCACTTGACCAAGGTTGACCGCAGCGACGACATCGTCAAGCCCAAGACTGTCGGTCTACAGGTCGCAGACGCCCTCAAGAAGCGCCGCAACGAAGAGCCCTACAAGATGTCGCAGAAGGACCTCGCCACCAAGTGCAACACCACCGTCTCTGTCATCCAGGACTTTGAGCGCGGTACCGCCACGCCGGACCAAAAGGTGCTGGGCGCCATGGAGCGTGTCCTGAACGTCAAGCTGAGAGGCTCGGACATTGGGAAAGACAAGTTCCCCAAGAGGAAATAAACGGGGATTAAGCATTTGATTTTCCTTTCTTTTTGAGGATGAGGTTGGGATCAACTCCTGTTCCTCTTCCTTTTCATGTCTTTTTCTCAAATCTTTGGCGCTCTCGATGATTGTCATGTCCCGCCACACCTCCTTTTTCCTCTTGATGACTTATGGGTTTCTTTTCTGCTGGTCGGATTAGCGCTGGCCTTGCATGGAACCGGGTTTAGAGAAATTACCATAAAAATGTACAAATGAGATACCTCAAATTTGATTGATTGCAACACATTCTGGGTGGATGGCCAGTGGCAACCTTGGAATATATTTTCGAAACTGTTCGAGATCAACGTATGCATTCTTATTTGATATCGCCAATCGCAGAACTGGTATCGACATGCCCTGCCCGTGTTATAGGCATGTTTACGCCGACAGCTGGTAGTATGCTATCTGGAAAAACCGGCAACAGAACCGCCAGGGCTTTGTCCCAGTATCAGATGGAGATATCGACATGTGTATAGTTCTAGGCATGTGGCTTGAGGTTTCACAAAGATCTATTTACTTCCTCTTCACGAGTAGAACAGAAGATCTAGATCTCATCCCAGATCCCAGCAAGTACAAGCAAGCCTCTTGAAAGCACAGAAAGGAAGCATGCCATCTTTGATTAAACAGCAAATAACAAAAAAAAGAGTACCAACTCCGATTGATCATGGTAATCAATGAAATGAGAAAGTCGTGCCTCGGAGGGTCATCATCTCATCCCAAATACGAGAACTCGAGGGGCACATCCCGAGTCCCTTTTTTCTTTGCCTCATAAACACATAGACACGACGCATTGCCCGGACCATCTTGCACTGTCATCAACATTCTAGCTCTCCTCTTTACTTCCGCAGCTGCTCCCGCTCGACCTCGTACATGAAGTCGAAGTACCCCTTGTCGAAGTGGTGCACACGGACGTAACCGTCCTCACCACCTGAGGCGTAGGCGGTACCAGCGGGGTGGATGTCGATGGTGTTGAGGGGTCCGAAGTGACCACGGACACGGCCGATTTCGTCTTCGAAGACCTTGTGGTAGAAACGAGCCTCGAATTTACCCTGGCGAGCCGAGGTGGTTGTGACATCCATGGCGGCCTGACCACCACCCAGAATCACGTAGTCCTTCTTCGATGTGATCGTGGCGGTGTTGAGGGGGGTGTCGGAGGTGTAGGTTTTGAGGATGGCGAGGTTGCGGGCGGACATGAGCTTCGAAGTATTAGCTTGGGGGTTTCAGGGAAATCACTCATGCAGATCGGTCCTACCTTGGCGGACTTGTCTTTCGACGCCGTAATGAAGTGGGTGCGGTCAGGGGAGAATTGGAGGTCGTTGATCTGGTGGTCGAACTCGTGGGCTTGGATGTTTTCCACCTGCTCTCCGGACTATCGCGACAAGATCAGCATTTCCTGAACACTTGACATATAATAGAACCGCAATCATACCTTCGGGTCATACTGGCTGACACTGCCGTCCTCGTGCCCCGCGATGATGTACTTGGCGAGGAAGCTCCACCCCGCCACCGTCGCCTTGCTCTCTGTGCAAGTGATGCGCAAGCTCGGCTCGTCGGCTTGCTCGTTCAGGTTGTCGCCGTAGGCAATATCCAGCACCGCAATCGTACCGAGGAAACCCATCCGCTTCTCCGTCACCGCCAGCAGCTTGCTTCCATCCGGAGAGAATGCCACGCGCTTCACTGCCGTCGGGAAATCCCAGACCTTCACGCACTCGCCCGTCTTGATGTTCCATAGCCGCACCGTGTTGTCTGCCGAGCCAGTCGCAAGGATGACAGTGTTGGGGCTCACATCGACCGTCCAGATGGCACCCTGGTGGCCGTTGTAGGTACCGAGACGCTCGCCGTTTGCCGACCACCACGCGCACACAATCTTATCCTTCGCCACCGAAAACAGGAGATCGCCATCGCGGTTGAACTTGATTTGATTCAGGGACCGTTCCTGTAGAAAGAGACATTCTCGTTAGTTTTTTTTGTGTCGATCCGGGTAAGATTTCGAGGGGACCAAAACGCACATGGCCCGACAGCAAAATAGGGCGCATCGTGAACGGAGATGCGACAGGGGATGATGACCGGGGATCGGATGTAGAGAATTAAACTGAGGCGATCAGCTCGTCGGGGGTGAAAGAGGCGGAGACGGGTCACTCTGCCTAGTTGAATTTCATCGCACACTCGGCCACTCAGCGCCAAGACTTCTTTGTATCGAATCTGCTTTTCCGGCGGATTGGTTGTTCCGGTATCTACACGTGATCCGACATTCAGCCCTAACCCTACTTCGGGGGAGTTAATCCGAGTCGGATGACTCATCGTCTTAATTGATGCCTTAGGCCTTCATCTCACTTCAAGTCCCTCCAAGCTCTCCGCACGAGAACAAAAAGAATGACGGGAGCTTGGTGACACAAAAGGGGATGCGGAGAGGAAAAATCTGGCTGCAAATCTGGTCCGATTGATATTCTTTGGGTACATTTAGACGCAATCCAAGTCTTGTTTCCCTTGCGATCGCATCCAGATAACAGCTCCGCGGGCTCCCCAATCAAGCAATAATTCATGCCCGTCTTCCCCGCTGCCGTACCCCGCTGTCGCTTTTCTTTTCAGGCGCATGCGGGCACTTTTCGTCTCCGTCCTTCTACTATAAAACCTCGTTTTCCATTCCACGGTTCCAGACTAGGAGCCAGAGGCGTTGGTTTCCTGTCGCTTCGGTCTTCGCTGCCCGTCAAATCTTCTCCCTCCGGTGCTCCACGCCGCGCGTTCTTCGGATCTACAATGGCAGCCGCCAAGATTGATGGCACGGCCATCGCCAAAAATATTCGGGCGGGACTGAAGGCCGAGATTGAGCAGGTCCAGCAGACCAATCCGCGATTTAAGCCCAGCTTGGTCATCTTTCAAGGTATGCACTCCCCTTTTTCCCCAGCCAACCATCTCAGGTTTCAAAAAACTAACACCAATGCTTTTATATAGTTGGCAATCGCTCGGATTCTAGTGAGTCTTATCTATGGCCAGGATCGGAGGATCAGCGGTGGTGTCAGTCAGACTAATGGGACATAGGCACTTATGTGCGCATGAAGCTTAAGGCCGCCGATGAGGTACATTCCCTTGGTTCTTTTCGCGGCCAATTTTGAGGGTTTACTGACATTGATATGTACTAGGCCAACATCATCTGCACACTAATCAATGTTCCCGAGACGAGCACGGAGCTGGAGCTCCTTCAACAGATCACCAAGGCTAATAATGACCCGGCTGTGCATGGTATCCTCGTTCAATTGCCTCTGCCCAACCACATGTCTGAACATGCCGTCACCTCGGCTGTCGCAGACGAAAAGGATGTTGATGGATTCGGTGCCGTCAATATCGGCGAGCTGGCGAAGAGAGGTGGTCGTCCGTTGTTTACCCCGTGCACGCCGCTCGCAGTCATGGAGCTGCTGAAGGCCAGCGGTGTCAACCCAGCAGGCAAAGAGGCAGTTGTTCTGGGCCGCAGCGATATTGTCGGAAGCCCGGTGAGCTACCTGCTGAAGAACGCAGATGCCACGGTCACCCTCTGCCACTCCAAGACCCCTGATATCGCCCGAGTTGTGAAGAACGCCGACATTGTTGTGGCGGCTATTGGCAAGACCGAGTTTGTCAAGGGAGAATGGCTGAAACCAGGTGCGGTTGTCATTGACGTCGGTATCAACTACAAGCCCGATGAAACAAAGAAGTCTGGCCAGCGGCTGGTTGGTGACGTCGATTTCGAGTCCGCATCCCAGGTGGCCTCGCAAATCACCCCCGTTCCGGGCGGTGTTGGTCCCATGACGGTTGCCATGCTTTTGCAGAATGTGGTCCATGCTGCCAGGACCTACTTCGAGAAGCAGAAGGACAGGCGTGTCACCCCGCTTCCCCTTCGTCTCGAGAGTCCTGTGCCCTCCGATATCGCCATCTCGCGCGCACAATACCCCAAGGCCATCACCCAGCTTGCATCAGAGATCGGTATTGCCCCTCACGAGTTGGAGCCCTACGGCCACACCAAGGCGAAGGTGGATTTGGGTGTGATTGAACGACTTGCCCACCGTCGTAACGGAAGATATGTCTTGGTCTGCGGTATCACCCCCACTCCCCTTGGCGAGGGCAAGTCTACTACGACGTTGGGTCTCACCCAAGCGTTGGGGGCGCACCTGAACCGTATCGTTTTCGCCAACGTCCGACAGCCCAGCCAGGGCCCTACGTTCGGTATTAAGGGTGGAGCTGCAGGTGGTGGGTACAGTCAGGTTATTCCTATGGATGAGTTTAACCTACACTTGACGGGTGATATCCATGCCATTACCGCTGCAAACAACCTCCTCGCTGCGGCAATTGAAACCCGCATGTTCCACGAATCTACGCAAAAGGATGCTGCTCTCTACAAGCGGTTGGTGCCCGCAAAGAAGGGCAAGCGGGAATTCCAGCCCATCATGTTCCGGCGACTCAAGAAGCTTGGAATTGAGAAGACGAACCCGGACGATCTTACCGAGGAGGAAATTAATCGATTCGCCCGTCTTGATATCGACCCCGACACCATCACCTGGCGCCGAGTTCTTGATGTCAATGACCGCCACCTCCGTGGCATCACCGTCGGCGAGGCGCCCACCGAAAAGGGTCTCTCCCGTCACACGGGCTTTGACATTTCTGTTGCTAGTGAGTGTATGGCTATTCTTGCTTTGAGTAACAGCCTGGAAGACATGCGCGAGAGACTCGGCCGCATGGTGGTTGCCACCTCCAAGAAGGGTGACCCGGTGACCTGTGATGACATTGGAGCCGGCGGTGCTCTCGCCGCCCTGATGAAGGACGCTATTAAGCCCAACATGATGCAGAGCTTGGAGGGCACGCCAGTGCTGGTGCATGCGGGTCCGTTTGCCAACATCAGTATTGGCGCCAGCTCGGTCATTGCCGATAAACTGGCTCTCAAGCTGGCTGGCACTGAGCCCGACGAGGACCACGATGCCAAGACCGGTTTCGTGGTCACTGAGGCAGGCTTCGACTTCACCATGGGTGGTGAGCGCTTCTTCAACATCAAGTGCCGCTCGTCCGGTCTGTCCCCCGACACCGTGGTCATCGTTGCGACGGTTCGCGCACTCAAGGTCCACGGTGGTGGTCCTGAGATCAGCCCCGGTGCTGCCCTGCACGAGATCTACCGCACTGAGAATGTCGAGATCCTTCGCAAAGGATGTGTCAACCTCCGGAAGCACATCTCCAACGCTAAGCAGTACGGCGTCCCTGTGGTGGTCGCCATCAACCGTTTCGAGACCGACACTGAGGCTGAAATCGCCGTCATCAAGGAAGAGGCTATTGCTGCCGGAGCGGAGGATGCTGTCCCGGCTAACCACTGGGCTGAAGGTGGAGCGGGTGCCGTCGACCTGGCCAAGGGTGTGTTGGCTGCCAGCTCCAAGCCCAAGAACTTCCAGCTGCTGTACGGCTTGGACGGTACCATCCAGGAGCGCATTGAGCGTATCGGCAAGGCCATGTATGGTGCGGAGAAGGTCGAGTTCAGCGAACTGGCCCAGAAGAAGGTTGACACCTACACGCAACAAGGGTTCGCCAACCTGCCGATCTGTATCGCCAAGACGCAGTACTCCCTCAGTCACGACCCGGCTCTCAAGGGCGCACCCACCGGGTTCACTGTTCCCATTCGGGACGTCAGATTGGCGGTGGGTGGTGGATATCTGTAAGTATTGTCTTTGGGGCATTCCCTTCGGTCTCTGATTATTCGAAACACTAACATCGACACAGCTACGCTCTGGCCGCCGACATCCAGACCATCCCTGGGCTGCCTACTGCACCGGGATATCTCAATGTGGACATCGACACCGAGACCGGGGAGATCGACGGACTCTTTTAGGGTGCGATTGTCGGTTGAGTAGAATGTGTATATACCACGGTTCCACCGTAGCTTGGTGGGCATGCTCTTTTTTCAACACATACAGTATAATTAGGATCCCAACCGGGACACTAGACGGAGAAATTCAACACGAGCAATTTGGAAAATGGAATGATGTTATAATATAGGAGCTATTCAACGACTATGAGTCAATCGTGCTATTCGGTTGTTGCTCTCCCGACGTCCAATGCGTTGCTCGGTGAAGCGTGCGGAGTTGGCCCCGGGCTCCCCGGCGCTGTACATAAACCCTTGGGACAGCTATAACTTCCCCCCCCCTCGAGTGACTCAGTGTATGATCGATTTCTTTTAAATTTTGCTTTACTTCAGTTTGACTCTATTTTCATTTCCATACAAAAGTTCGTGTTGATCAGAATTATCGAATTGTCTCGTGACGTCCGGCTTCGGCACTTTCGCCAGTTTAAAGGGAACGCGGCATCAGATTGACCGGGCAAGGCTTTTTCCTCTCTACCACCTCTCCAACAATCTTGCGCTCACCCGGTAATTATTCTTCCCTCCCAAAACCCTTTTGCCCTCTCTCCAGTTCCGGCCGGACCCGAGCCACTTTTGCGCATTTCGTTTCTCCGTGTCGTGGGAAGCTCTCCCCGAGACTCCACAGTCCCTCCATTCTGCCGAACTTCTTTTCCCTCGGCTGTTGCGAGCGGCGAAGCGGCCGACCAGTTGTCCGAACCAAACAGAAAGTAACCTGCGCTGATGCCCCTAGATTTTCTGCGGATAATCGCCATGAACGCTCTTCGGTCCAGTTCCACCTTTGCGCGCCGGTCTCTTGCGACCCCTCCCTCCGCTCTCTCTTCTTCCTCTCGCCTTCTCTCTTCTCACTCCTTTACTTCTGCTTCCTCCCAGCGATCCATCTCTTCCGCTTCTCTCGCCTCGCGCACTAACCGAGTTGCTGCTTCTGCCCGCTGGTCCGCATCGCTCCCTTCGCTGAACCCGACCCAAGTCCGCACTATGGCGTCCGAGAGCAAGATCAAGGTCAAGAATCCGGTGGTGGAACTGGACGGTGATGAGGTACGGGCGACTTTCCCTTCTTTTATAGTCCCAAACTCTATGGCTTGTGGCCGTATCACAAGCGTTCTTGGTCGGGTTGCGCATTTTCGTCCCCCAACGCGGGGAAACACGGGGAAGCCGACGTTCATGTGTCAACCCGAGGCGCCACTCAACGCCAGCAACTTATGTTTTTGGATTTCTTGGGACATGTGCTAATGGGTTGTTCGACGTGTTGTAGATGACCCGTATTATCTGGAAGGAAATTAGGGAAAAGGTAAGCTTGTCCCCTGTTTTAGCCAGGCCTGCATGGTTGCCTGCCGTTGCAGCTGCATGCAGTTGATACATCACAATTGCTGGTCCAGATTTAGACCGAGACTAACTGGAGGGGTATTTTCTAGTTGATCTTGCCGTAAGTGCTCATGGACATGGCGATCTTCGCATAGTCGCTGAGAACCGCCAATCAGGTACCTGGATGTCGACCTGAAGTACTACGACCTGGTAAGGTGGAATGGCAAATGCCAATGCAGGGATTCAGGCTGATCTTTTCTTGATAGGGTCTGGAGTACCGCGATGAGACCGAGGACAAGGTCACGGTCGAGGCCGCCGAGGCCATTAAGAAGTATGGTGTCGGTGTCAAGTGCGCCACCATCACCCCCGATGAGGCCCGTGTGGAGGAGTTTAAGCTGAAGAAGAGTATGCTTTTCTTCTTTATATATGCTGTGCAACGGATCCGAAAACTGACCATCTCTAGTGTGGCTCTCCCCCAACGGCACTATCCGTAATATCCTGTAAGTGGGCGTCGAACGATGATCAGCAGCGTGGGTCTAACGACTATTCTAGCGGTGGTACTGTGTTCCGTGAGCCCATCATTATCCCCCGCATCCCCCGTCTGGTACCTGGCTGGAACAAGCCCATCGTTATTGGCCGTCACGCCTTCGGTGATCAGTACCGGGCCAGCGACCGAGTTATCCCCGGCCCCGGCAAGCTCGAGGTTGTTTACACGCCGACGGGCGGCCAGCCCGAGAAGGTTCAGGTGTACGAGTTCCAGGGCGGCGGTGTTACCCAGACCCAGTACAACACCGATGAGTCGATCTCGGGCTTTGCCCACGCCTCGTTCCAGATGGCCCTGATGAAGGGTCTGCCTCTGTACATGAGCACCAAGAACACCATCCTGAAGAAGTACGACGGTCGTTTCAAGGATATCTTCCAGGAGATCTACGAGAAGGACTACCAGAAGGAGTTCGATGCCAAGAAGATCTGGTACGAGCACCGTCTGATCGACGACATGGTCGCCCAGATGATCAAGAGCGAGGGTGGCTTCGTCATGGCCTTGAAGAGTGAGTTTATCTTATTTGATGTATCTCTTTCACTTTCAGAGTTCGGTCTAACATCCTATATCAGACTACGATGGTGACGTCCAGTCCGACATTGTCGCCCAGGGCTTCGGCTCTCTCGGTCTGATGACCTCGACCCTGGCCACCCCCACGGGTGAGGCCTTCGAGTCCGAGGCCGCCCACGGCACCGTGACCCGTCACTACCGCGAGCACCAGAAGGGCCGCGAGACCTCGACCAACCCCATCGCCTCCGTGTTCGCCTGGACCCGCGGTCTGGTGCAGCGCGGCAAGCTCGACAACACCCCTGACGTGGTCGCCTTCGCCGAGGAGCTCGAGCGCGCCTGTGTGGATGTTGTCAACGAGGAGGGCATCATGACCAAGGACCTGGCTCTGGCCTGCGGCCGCAAGGACCGCGAGGCCTGGGTGACGACCAAGGAGTACATGGCTGCCGTGGAGCGACGATTGAAGGCCAACCTCAAGTCCCGCCTGTAGATTTTCTTTTCTCATCTTTTTTCCTCTTGACCTTGTGTGATATTTGCTGCCAAGCTCTATATGAGATCTTCCTCGGGTCGATCTACCCCCCGGAGGAACAGACCCCTGGCTTAGCTTTGGGAAATGTACAGCGGACAGAAAAATGAAATCAATCATTGTGTGTACACTTGACCATTTCCGGAAACAACGCCATTCCCACGTCTTTCTTAGGGCACATTTCAACAAATTCCATTCGACCTGGACCTATCAGCGCCTGGACACGAGTGTGCCTCACTCTCGCCCACGGTTACTGTTCTCCCCGGTATGAGACGATGCTATCGGGGAGGACTGAGATTCCCCCAATGCCAGAATCGACCAGGGTCTGGCCAAACAGACCCGATCGGCGAGCCTGACCCTGGCGGACCAGCACCGAACGTGTCGGTATCAAGCGCCTGTTCTTTAGACGCAGTAGCCTTGGAAACCTGATTGGTATCAAGCACTAATCAGGACAGGATCAGCCTGGAATCTAGAGTTAAAAAGAAAGGCGAGCCAGTGGGTGAGATGCAGGTCCACTCGTGAACAAGATCTGGAATCATGCTCGGTTTTGGGTTTGTCGATATAACTTTATAAATGTAACCCAGATGAATCAAGTCCAGCAATGAGGAAGCAAATAAATGGGAAATGTTGGGATTAACCAACAGACGGTGAGATGAGTAGACGCGAGAAGAGGAGCATAATACTCATCTACCCCCAAGAACTGAGAAGGAACTAGCAAATCCTGTAGCGATCGAACCAACCCAACTTTAATTGCGACCAATCACTGGCCTCGGTCTTTTCTTTTCTTGTTGGAGTTGGCTTGTCCTTGACGCAACCGGGTGACTTCGAGCTGCCTAATGCGGCTTATCTGTCTCCACAAGTGGCTGCACCAACGATAACGGGCCGAGATGATTCGCCTGTTGGATCTGGGGGGGCGATCATGAAGTTTCGATATTGCAGAAAGGAAGGTGGGTAACGTGGAAAGAAAGAGAGAAAGATGTTCTGAAATAAGAAGGCAAGTGAAGAAACACTTTTGTTTCTAGGGTTTGCCATCTCCAGGACTACTTATATGACTTTCCATACTTCTCCATTCCTCAATTAAGCACCAAACCGGTGCTCTTCTTTCACTCTGGCTGATCAATTGCCTATAGAGCAATGCTGCATTTCTTACGGATTCCCTAAGTGGAGGCTCCTGATTATCGAGTTTCTCTCTTATGCACGCCAGCAATGACCATTGCAGCCAGCATATTCTGAACTCTCAATTCTGAATATGGACGTTCTGGCCATCACTACCACCTTTACATCTCTGGCGGTTGTCATCGTTGCTCTTCGATTATGGACGAGGTTCAGACTGGCCAAGACGCCGGGGTGGGATGATCTGCTCATCGGTGGTGCATTGGTAGGTTCTCTTGCATAGCATTGAAGAAATAGAAACTTTCTACTCAATGTAGATTGTGCTATGCCAGTACTGATCATCAAATGCTCCTAGATTGTCGATTTGGCGTTCTTTGCCTTTGTCCTCGGTGGTAAGTTGTCAACCCCCAGTCCAAGAGAGAAACCACCTGTTCATGATATACTTCTCTAGAGAGACACTATGGTCTTGGAAAGGCTTTCTCGGCGCTCCATCCGCGTCAAATGCAGAAACAACTCTTGGTACGCCTTTACATCCAACAGATAACCCAATTATACACCCACGCTAACCCACCTCTCCTATAGTTCCTCTGGCTCTCAATCCCCTTCTATAACCTTACCCTAATCCTCACCAAATTTTCCGCCCTCTTCCTCTTCCTCCGTATCTTCCGCTCGCACGCCTTCCTGATCCCCACATACACTATAATGGCCTTTCTCATGGTCTCGGGGCTGTGGATCGTCCTAAGCGCATTCTTCTTCTGCGTCCCTATCCACGACTTCTGGTCCTTGTCGCCGAAGGCCCACAAAGACCATTGTCTGCCCGGTGCCCCGGTCTGGGTCAGTAATGCTGCCATTCAGATCTTCACAGATCTGGTTATCTTGGGCATGCCGCTGCCGCTGCTGTGGAATTTGCAGATAACGCGGCGGTTGAAGGTTGGGATTCTGTTGGTGTTTGGGTTTGGTATATTGTATGTCTCTATGCCTCTTCCTTGTTTTCATATCCTTCAAGGCAACTTATATACTGATCTGCCGTTTAGTGTTATTGCAACCAGCTCGGCTCGGTTGTATGAACTGAGTACCATGATTGGGCATGGCGATTTCAACAGTGAGCTCTTCCTTACTTCCTTATCTTATATCCTCCTTCCCATATACCCCAGCAAATGATCCACAAAAGTCCAACCCACGCTAACACATATACTAGACCCCCACGCCAATGTCCAAGCAGTGATGTGGTCCTCCCTCGAAGCCAACGTCTCCATAATCTGCGCCTGCCTCCCACCCCTGCACCCCCTCCTATCCCGCCTCTTCTCTTTCTGCTTCCTGCCGCAACCAGTGAACTCCTCCTCTGCATCAACCATCCCCTTACATAGCACGTCGCGCACCATATCCAAAATACTCCCGCATACAACACAGTTCACGGCACCGCGCAAGCCCTCGATCTATGAGCACGGCGACTCCGGCGTGGGGACGGACAGCGGTGTCTTCCATAAAGGTCATTTTTATGCTGGGACTGGGAGCTACTCGGCGAATATCTCGCGGGTCGTTACTAATGAAGAGACGAATGATGATGCGGTGGAGAATGGGAGGGGATTCGGGTTGTGCAGGAGCTGAGGCTTGATTCTTCGGTTGCGGAACCGGGGTTGGATTTTGATGTTGAGAAGGGGTTGAAGGGTAATAGAGACAGTGGGTGTGCAAGTGGAAGTGGAGATGGAGATGGGAGTGTTAAGACTGGTGCGGAGTGGGATCTTGCGGATTTTGAATTCCCGGATTATAAAGAGAGGTTGAATGCTATGCTGTAAGAGTGTATATGCTAGAGTAGATAGATGTTGTATGTAGATAGAATTTATTGTGGAATTCGGACGATTGAAGAACAAAGAAGTGGAAGTATATGGGTTGCTATCCGGTAGATCCAGCCGTAACTCAACCACCACGACAGTCTAAGTTAAAAGGCTCGCCCGAGTTACATTACGTCGCTTCATTGCATGTTCAATAGCCTTGGCCACCGCAATACACTTCTCCTCTCCAAACCGGCCTCCAACAACCTGCAGTCCGACAGGCATTCCCTCGACGAGATCAACATCATCTGGACTCACATCAGCAAAGCAGCACAAAAGAGACAGCAGTGAGCCAGTGGGCCAAAAAGGAAGAAACATACACTGCTCGATATTAAACCTCTCACTCGCATTCTTTGGGACATCACCCAACCACTCCTCATCCGGCAGATCCATCGTCCTAGAAACAGTAGTAACAGGCACCGCCAACGCAGCATACCCCAACAAATTCCAGATACTGGTATACCCAACATACGCATGGGATTTGATCCACGTCCAGGGCTTATACCCAACCCATGGCGTATTGGGCATGATCAAACCATCGATGCCAGAAGAAACCCACCGGTCAAGGTAAAAAGACTCGTAGGCGTATTTATCTGCGTTAAGCTGGTGCGTCTCGCTGGTTGTCAGAGTGTTTTCGGGTGAACCGACTAGCATGCCCTCGATTAGTGGCTCTCCGGTCATTTCAGTCTTCTTGCGGCATGCTTCGCCGCCGTCGGAGAAGATGGCTTTTTCCCAGAGGGCGTAGGCGTGGTTATGTGTGGAGGCGTCCCATTCGATTACTTAAGGTATTGTTAGGGCTTGAAGTGGATTGAATGACTGAGAGAATGCATGTAGTGTCTGGTACATACCCTCGTGGCCTGCCGCTTTCAGTGCATGGATGACCTCTCGCATGGCTCTTGCAATGGGCGGCTGTACTCTGACAACGCCGTCGTCAACCACAAAAGCAATCTTGAGACGCTTTGCTCCGGGGCAAGCGAGGTTTGTCCGCCACGGGATCGGAGCAGTGTGCTGATCAACCTCCCATGGCGATGCAAAAGGCAGAGCCTCCATGTATCGCTCGATAGTCGCAAGACTACAGCTCATAGGGCCAGCCACCGAGCGAACGATATCCTGTTGCGGACTGTACTAAGATTAGCATGTATACATTTCTGACTCATATATGCTTGAAATGCAGATATAGTGTATACAGTTGAGAAAGACATTACCTTCCCCTCTCATAAGGATGCCTCCCCTGACTCGGCGACAGCCCATACAACCCACAAAGACTAGCCGGGATGCGAATCGACCCACCAAGGTCAGTTCCAATCCCCAGCACGCTTCCTCGCGCAGCGATCAGTGAAGCCTCGCCGCCAGAACTGCCGCCGGAGATCAATTTGCGGTTCAGCGGGTGCACGCACTGCCCAAAGACATGGTTATACGAGTCGGACATCATCATCGACTGCGGCAGATTGGTCTTGACATAGAGCACGGCGCCGAGGCGACGCAGCGTGCGCGCGACGGATTTATCGGTGGTGGCTGGGTTTTTGGTGAGACCGACCCATCCTAGACACACATGAGTTTCACTATGTTTACCACTGAGAGTGGTTGAAAGCTTCATAGTACATGGATAGATGTGGTGCATACCAATGGATGTATCCACCCCCTTCACGGTGAACAAATCCTTAATTGAAATAGGTAGTCCGTGTAACGGGCCCACTGTCTTCCCCGTCCTGGCGAGGTGCTCGTCCAGGCCCCGTGCGACCTTGAATGCCTCTTCGAAGAAGATCTCCGTGCAGCAGGTGGTCAGTTGGTGGGCCAGTGCTGCTCGCTTGGCGAAGGCTCGTGTCAGTTCTAGAGAAGAGAGCTCGCCTGAAGACAGTTTGTGGAGCTGCACGGTAATATTCGTTTCTTCTGTGAGTGCCAGTTCGGCGGGAGACAGAATCTCCCGGAGATATGCTAGCGCGTTGGGGGTGGACTCGACTGATGGGACGGAATCCAAGCGCCATTCAGGAGGAATCAGGGCGATTTGATGTGCGCGTTTTTGGGCAGCGAGGTCTTGGTAAGTAGGAGCAGCCATGCCGAATCATTTAATAAAAATATTCTTGTCTGATCCTGTCTGGGATTGATCTCATACTATATATATACCGAGAAAATGGCCGATAGAAATGCATCATATCAACATATACCCATTCACCATAGATAATGCAGTAAGATAAGTACAACACCCTCATAGATAGCCTTCCCAAATGGGAAAGCGATCTATGCGACCCTAACGGCACTAGCTGATCACTCGGCTGCACCATCTCCGCTCGCATTGCGCCTGAGCATCCGGATACCGAGGGAAATCGCCCCGCCGGCAATTCTGCCAATAAGCCCGCAAGACCTCGTAATGCGTAGCAGTGCATGCATGCTTCGCCGTCAAGTACGCCGGGGTCGCCAGGTGCACATAAAACCGCGACGTGGTGGGAATTCTCGCAATGGCCTCGCACACCCGGTCCACCATGGAGGATATGACATTCGCGTGGACCGTTGTCGCTGCATGATCCACTGGACTCCCCGCACGACTGAACGCCACGATAGCCCCCGCACACCGGTACACGATAGCAGCCAAGCCGCGGTCACTCGATTCACCAGAGTCCAGGCGTAAGATCTGATCCATCGCCCTAGCGCTGAGATCTACAGAGCCCGAGATAGAAGACTCTTCCTGCTTGACTAGATATACAAACAGCTGGAATGTATCCGGCGGACACCCAACCGAGTCAAAGAAGCTAGGCAGGAGAGTATCGCGGTGCCAGTCCTCGAAGATCAAATGGCTATCTCGGACCAAGGCACCCGTCGCATCAAACCATACCAGATAGGCGAGGACCTCTGCGAGTCCCGGGGTACCCCGACAAAGCTCATAGAAATCGGCCGTGTTCCGGCAGTGCAGGTCCAGCAAAGAGTGCGCGCCTTGCAGGTGGCAGTGCCAGTTCCCAAAGGAGCCACAGCAGACCTCGAATATGGCAAATGTGGCGATCCCAAATAGTGCGATGGGGTCCGCCGACTCAATGAGCTTTCTGAGGTTTGTCAGTGCCACCACATGAGACTGGATCGAGTGATCATGGTTGGCGTCGTGGAGGCGTGAGCGGGCAAAGCTCAAGGTGCGGAAGATGAGTTGGATTGCGTCGTCTGGGATGCTACCGCTGCGGGACTGGATTTGTTGGTAGAAGTCGGCGAGTAGGTCGACGAAGCTATACAAGTTGACTGCGGGATAATGGCTGGAAATTCGATGCGTGTTGACCACATCAAGTGTAGTTTGGGGTTTCCAACTACGTGGTATGGACTTCAAGCTTGATCCTCGGGTGCTTTTCTCTTCCATCCAGACCACTCGCTGGGGGTAATAGCATGCGGCACCGCCTTGTAAACACGCCTGGCATCGAGGGCGGTTTAAATCACATTTGATGCCCTTGAGTTTGCAGCGCCGGCAATCGCGGTCGTGCCGGATCCCACGGGGCTTCTTGAATTTTGCCATATGCCCTGGAAAGCTGGCGAATACCCTTCGAATCGACAGAAATGCGGGGACGATAGATAACTTGCCTGTTTCGTTCTAGTGAACGATCTCGGCGGATCCCCGGTAGACAATACCGGGGTGGATGGTGCGAGATCCGGGAGTCCAGTAGAACCAAGAGCAGAAGATGGCAAAACAACAAACGAGTGCATATTCCTCTGCAGTCAGTGGTAACAATCCTATCTACCTGGTGCAAGAATAGCCCGAACGAGTGACAGATCTACCTACAAAAAAACCCCCCCCAAAAAACCCGAAAAGAAAACGAAGAGAAAGACAGCCGCGGACTGACAATTCGACACTAAAGATACCACCCCGACCTTCTCTTTTGCATCCTGCGTCAACGCGAAGTGATGTTTGCGCGCCAGTTTGGGATCATCATCATATGCCAATGCCCATTCCCAGATTTCACGTCTTTCCGTCCACGAGCCATACGTTCCCGTCGGTCTCGGCGCTTGGTGGCCGAGTTTGGCTGCTCGGGCTTTTCTTCTGCCACGATGGATTCAACCACAGGCTTGGGCTTTTCTGCCGCGCGGCGACGACGAGCCCGGGTACGTCGGCGGCTCCGGGATGCCACAAAGACCCTGCTGGATTTGGAACCTGAGAAATGGGAAACAGACTTGGCGATCCTAGTTCCACTCTTGCTGCTTATGGCAGTACTGACAGCCCGGGAAAGTTTCCGAGCCTCGATGACCTCTTTGAGCCGCTCGACAGCCGCAGTCAGAGACCGGGTAGAGGCAAGACTTCCATTCAGCAAAGATAGAGAACGTTCCGATCCGGGATGAACTGGTATAGCTCCCAGATTCGGCGCCGGAGTAGGGGGTTCGATTGGCGATTTTGTCTGACGGCGTCAACACGGGAGCTATATCACAAGATCTAGGTGCGTCCGAAGGATCGAGAGGGGCGGCTTGAGACTTCAAGTCCGATCGCTGGGACCCTGCGGACGACTTTGATCGAGCGATACTCTTCGGAGGCTGGAAAACAGCTGGTTCCGAGACGATCTCATCATCTTCAGGCGGAGGTACGCCGAGCATACACATTCCAGCAAGAGGGTTTTGGAGCGCTGCATGGAAGGGCGGCTGTCCAAGAACTTGAACATTCATTGGAGGCTTCAAGACCATGAGTGATGGGCCACAAGGGGCTGGTGCAAAGACAGCGTCGGGACAGCTTTGGGTATGACTAGCAGGAGACCGAGGAGAAGGCGTCCCATCGTCGATTCGCTCAGACAAACTTTGGTGGAGCGAATCCACGCTGCTGGAGCAATGGTGACAAATGACGTCGTACTCACCCTCACGCTGAATGAAGCTCAGTGATACTGGCTGTAAGCCCATGTACATATCAGGACTCCAGTTGCAAATCTGTAACCAGGATGGAAGCTCGTCGACCGGGATCAAAGGTGCCAGCAAGCCACCTGGCCGAAAGATGCAGAACCGAGGGCGAGGGCGGGGATGAGGATGTGCGAATTGCACAGGGCAGGGCTGAGTATAGTGCATAGTGTTGACTGAAAGGACCGAGATAAAGCGAAGACTGAACAGAGCAGAAGTTATAATGAGCGTGAGCTTTCAAAGGAAGTGATACAACGCACGGAGAAATGAAAGCAGATGACAGAGAGAGAGAGAGAGGGAGGGAGGGAGAGCAAGAGACTTCGAGAGTCTGAGACTGACAAGGAAACAATACTTTCCATGGCGCTTTCCTCGTCTCGCTCAGCACGGCAACGACAACATTCTTGAATAATTGTAATAGAAAGAGCGACCTAACCATCTTAAGATATGCACTTTCCATTTTCACAGCTGAGTACACCCCGGGCGGGTTCATGATCTGCAAAAACGATTGATATCGCTCAACATCAAGTCAACGCAAAACAGCACGCTGCTATTCAATAATGACAGTCTCCACGTGTATTTCATTAGTGAATTGAGCACATACCACTGGATCAGCTAGTGGATGGGTATTGACAGTAGCCGTAAACTCCAAAGAGACGAAACCATCACTGCTGATGTATACCGGTGTGCCGGCCAGGTGGAATCTTTTGTCTCTGGGCTGAGCCTGCGATAGCGTAGTTTGTGTATCAAGACCACCAAGATTGGAAACGGGACATTGTACAATCAAGGATTCATCTAGATCATTTCCCTCGAAAGACCATGCACCTTCAACATCTTGAATGTCGCGGCATAGATGGCATCAAGAACTGTGGCAGTCTGGAATCGAAGGCGGGACACATTTGAACAAGATGACTGGTCATCAAAGATCCGATTCTCGTAACTGATTCGGCATTCCATCGAATTCCAAGAGCATCTCACAAAATCACAATTGCACGGCAATTTTTATCATCGTCGACATGGACAGAAATGGACCAGTCAGCTCGAGAGTGATGGCCATAGCATACACCCAGCTATTCTCGAGATCGATATGCCTGTGATGAAAATGTGAGCTTTTGAAAGTACTCACCCAAAACACCACTAGCAATGCGCCGTTAGACTCGGAGATATTGCGAATATCATCATTGAAACCAAGCAACGCCGAGCTCCACATGCGGAGAAAGCTGTGCATGAATTTGGGTCTGGACCGGTCAATGACATTGATGAAATTGCCCCGATATTCAATTGGCAACAGTCGTATATTTAGCTCAAAAAGATGAATACCAGTGGGTATAAATAGAGAAGAGAGACGAGAAGAGAAGAGTTCAGGGAACGGAGCCGATGGCGTACCCGGGAATGTATCTGATCGGCACCGAAGCTCTTTACCCACGTCAAAACACGCTTCTTTTGTCTCACCTCAACCTCAACCTCAACTTCAACCAACCCACAATCCACCTCTCATCCACAAACTCATCCATCATGACAACACTCAACGACCCAACCAATGCCGCCCGCGACACCCCCAACATCCCCGCCACCGACGCAACCCTGCACATCGGCAGCTCGATCTTCATCGCAGCACCTTCAACAAAAGTATGGTCCGCCCTGACGGATACCTCAACCTGGCCCAGCTGGAACTCATTCGTTCCGCGCGTAACCATCCGCTCGCAACCCGACACGCCCCTCCCCAACGAGAACGACAGCAATCATCAAACCTCGTCGCCCTCCCTCTCGCCGGTCCTTCGAAACGGCACCCGACTCACCTTTCACGTCCGCATGGATCCCACCTCCACATCCACAAAACCGCAAGCCGCATCAGATGTCCAGCTCATGGTCGTTGATTACGAGGCACCTAATCCCGAGACCGGCACTGTCGGGCGGATTGTCTGGGCGGCGGACTTTGATGCGCCGGGTGCTATGGCGCCGTCACTATTGACGGCGGAGCGTGTGCATGAGGTTAGAGGTATGGAGGTTGGGGGAGGGCGAGGATGCGGTCCGTGGGACGGAGGTTAGGAATTGGGAGGCGCAGGTTGGGTGGCTGGTTTATGTGGTGCGGTGGATGTATGGGACGAAGCTGCAGCAGAACTTTGAGCTGTGGGTGCAGGATTTGAAGACGTTCGTTGAGGGGCAGGACTCTTCGAGTTGAGCGAGATGCAATCGAGAACAGATCCATGCATTATTATGAACCTCGAGGGCGGGGCTCACATGAGTATGAGAATTATATGATGGACTTTCCAAGTTGATCCGGCCAAAGCTGGCTTGAGTCTGCAACAAGGCATTATATGAATTCTATCGCCAATATCGTACAATGCTCTCCAAACTCCGTCTAACAGGGTATCTCGACAAAATGCAACCAAACCGACCAATATATCGACCCCAAAGAAAATGCAACGGTATATGTTGAATGGCGATGCGAAAATCAAAAGAAAGAAAACGAAAAAGTGAAGGAAAGAAGAAAAGAAAATGTAACGACAACACTGATGCGCATCATGCAGATGCAACGGCCAGCCACTCCGAGGACGAAATGCGCTGCGCCGGGTCCTTTGAGATTGCCGGCTGGACAATGCGTTCCACAAGTCCATTTCGCGGGATGCGGGTTCCATTCATGCCCGAGCGGGTGAATTCAATGATACGGTGGCCCTCGCGTGCCATCGCCAGACGCTGCATATTACTCGATCCGGGGTAGAGAAGCAAATCGCCCGTGGCAGCAGCCAGCAGGGTCGTCGCGAGCGAGAACACGTCCGAAGACGGAGTCGGCGTGATATCCCCCGATGTCAGCGAGGCCAACGACAGCAGCTCCGGGGCCGTGAACGGCGGCGTGAAGGCAGACATCGAGGCACGGGTGGAGTCCATTGGAGTGGAAGGGTCTTCTGGGATATCCAGCGCGGAGGAAAAGTCGGCAAAGAGAGGCTCGTACGGAAAAGGGTCCTCGTTAGCGTCGCTGTTGACAGGTCGAAGAAGCAGATTATGTGGCTTGATATCCCCATGGACAACACCCGCCGTTTGGTGCAGCCATGTCAATCCGCTGATCAGCTTGCGCGCCAGGCGGAGCCATGCGTCGGGCCCCTGCACAGGCTCGAACATCGTCAGGGTCGAGGGCTGTCTCTTGCGCGCGAGATCGGCCTGGTCTTCAATATACGTCGACAGCGCGAGAGGCACGGCGGCCATGACCAGCGCCTCGGACTCGGAGTGGTAGCCGTAAAACGGGACTATATGGTGCTCGCATCCCGCGGTCATGTCCAGGCGCGTCAACGTAAGTGCTTCGCTTCGAAGCACTGGTCTCGCATCGCGACGCAGTGGTACTTTCACCGCCAGGACCCGGCTCACACTGACTGGCGAGCTGGGCGGAGTACTGGGGGTACTCGCTGTCGCGCATTGCCGGGAGCGGGCCTTGTAAACAATGCTCCAAGCACCGCGGCCAAACTCCATATAGCGATCTTGCTCGTCGCGGCAGATCTCCACATCGTCGACGAAGCGGAGGGGGCTCAGCACATTGTCCTTGGAGAGAGAGACGTCTTCTTCTGGCGGTGCTCGCTGGAACGGGCTCGGGGTGGACCTGTCGTCGACAGTTGGGGTTACTGGAGGAGTGAGGCTCGACACCGGCGTCGGGCCGGACAACGGGCCGTCTTTGGCATCGCGGCCGGTATGCAGCGACAACGGGATCGGAGAACTGGCCGGTGTCATGTTTGCACGGCGAACAAAGTTTCCAGGAGGTAGATTGCGAGTAATGAATCGATTACCCCTCTAATTTGAGGAGAAAAAGCAAAGAAAAGTATAAAAAGGCCTGGTCTGAGCTGAAAAAATCACCAGCAAGACTCAGACCAAGTAGAAGCAGAGAAATACGACTGATCTCAGCGCCACCGGCAATGGACAAGACTCGGCGCAATACCAGCAAGCCGCATAATCCCGCGGATTTGGCTAGGGCTATGACGTGGATGGCAAGTGTAACCACCGGATGAATGGACCACGCTCAGTTGATAAGATAATTAGAAATTAAGATGCTGATGGGTAGATAAAACAGAAGCAAAGAAAAAGAAGAATTGAACTCTAAGAGTAGAAAGAAAAAAAAGATAGAAAAACTCAACGCATCGAGGGGCCCATTGCGGGCATATATGGGCGCAGGGACTAATAAAATTAAGCAAAAATACGCCCGAAGAGTCCACTCCACCCCCCTAAGTCATGGCCGGTCTCGACCAGAAAGACATGACATTGACAGCAAGAAAATAAGAAAAAACGTAGAGCGATCGACACTCGTTCGCGTCCATCGAACGGGGCCAACCGCGGAATGCAGGCAAAAAAACTTGCCCGGAAATTAGTGACGCGTGAGAGGTTCGTGCCGATCTTTTTGGGGGTTCTCCACCAGGGTCTTCGCTTTTTTGTTTTTTCTTGTTTCCCGTGGCCCAGCGAGCCTTGTTGATTCGATTGGGGGCTTTTTTTTTTCCTTTGGTGTTTTCCTTGTTTTCCTGCGTCCGTCGAAATTGAGGGTTGCTATTTTTAGTTTATCGCCGGATCTATAGACTGATGCGCCCATATCCCACCGCATGCGGCAACGTGTGCCAACACTGCTAATCGGCGGGTTAATAAAATAGATAGTGGGTGTGGTCATGAGACCTAGTAATCTAATTATTCTGATCTTAGTTATCTTGGCTCAAGATATGGCCGGGGCAAGATAACTATCAATATCAATGGTGACTCGACCTTGATCATGATAGTGCCTCAGGTGTCTAGGGCACCACGAGGCTATCGTTCCTAGGACCATTCCCATGGTTGCTGCTTTTCCGGCCAGGATAGAGCCAATAATACTCAGAGATCGAGGCCAGAATCAAAGAGGACAGCCTTCCAAGAATAGATGTTTTCAGTCCAATAGGGCCTTCGTGCACGCCCCGTGTACATTCTCCCGTTCTTGAGTCAAGGATGCCGATGGAAAAGATCAGATTATTCTACATGCAAATTGTCGCTATAGGCAGTAAAAATACACAGTAGTATACATGCAGAGATCGAGCCTGTAGATGTCAACGTCCCCACCTGGGCAGAAACCAAACATGTCTAATTCAGTCTCTTGAACGGGGTGAGATGGTCCCCCGCACTGGAGGAGGTCAAGGTCCCACCCAGCAATCGGGTGAACTGCGTCTTCGATATACTCGGCGAGTTCTCTTGGTATTCAAACAGGATGTCCCAAATCACCGAGGTAGGAAGGCATCGCACCCGGGTGTCCCCTAGGTCATATTTCAAATTGTCCTGGTAGGAGAGAGTGGGATCCGAGGCCCCATCTTGGAGAGGAATAGGTCCACTTCCGGGCTTGAGTCTTTTGGCCACAAACCGCGCCAGGCTCGGGATGGCCTTGACAACGTCATTGCTCGACCAGCTGGGGAAGAGGGATTTCGCGAGCTCGGCTAGAGACATAGTGTTGCCCGTGCCGAAAACCGAGCTCAGTGCGTCAAAAAGGCCAAAAATCTCATCCCGCTTATCCGAGGGGAGACTGTCAAGCTTTTGCATGATGGCGGAGTTGGGGTCTGCCTCAAAATACACCACCGAACGAGGCACCTGGAGAGGAAAAAGCTCGCGTGCATCAATCCGCAACGGCTCAAAGGGCCGTCGTTCCCAGATCAGCATGGAATCGTCAGACTTGTTCGATTGGAAGACTGTGCGGCTGTCGTCGATCGTTCGATCGTAGTAACGCGAGACGCTGAAGTGGACATCTGAGAATTCTGAAGAATAAGTAGATTGCAGAGCTGCAATCTGATCATCCAGCGCCTGCAATCGCTCAGGGCTCTCCGCGGGATTAGCAGCCGCATGCGACAGGGTCTGTGTTAACGCATCGATTTCCAGTTGTTTCTTCGCAAAATACTCTCGTGTGTATGCTCTCTGATTTTCTTGCTTCAGCTGGTTAAGGGCTATGTTACTGCGTTTCCTGACTGCTGTCGCTTCTGGGCTGACGTCGTCGCCCACCGCTTCCCTTTTATGATGCTCATGTACAACCGGTCATGAATCTCACTCGATATTCGAGGCGTGTATGGAATCGGGTTTGCTGATTCAAAGGGAGGAGGGACCCTTGGGGCAAGCGTAAGAGGAGCAGGTTCTCGACCAGGTGGAGTGTAAATGTTCTGAGCCTCAGCTCTTTCAGTTGCCCGTTTTCTGCTGTCGGTGATCGATTCCCATCTCTTCCACGTAGTCCATGGTTCGCTGGTATACGGGCTTGCGAGTTCTAGCAGATGCAATGACAAGCTCTCCGCCAGAAGAGCTGGCCGCTTGCGATCGGTGACAGACCGTGGAAGAACCGATGACATTTCGGGTGAGGGTAACGAGGCGAGCACCCGCACACTCCCATATTTATGCAATCCCGTCTGCCGCATGCAATCTCGCAAAAACATACTCCACCATCGTCCCGGTGTGTAGTGGTCCTTTTTCGAGGGACTCATTGGTGGTCTTGCCAGGACGAGTAGCGTGTCATTCCGTGGCAGGACACCGACTTCCTGCCGGTTGGATGGTCCCTGCTCCGGAAAATTTTTTTTGAAGACCTCATCCCAGTTTTCTGTTGAATATATATTCATCGATATCATCTCGTAACATGATTTGCTGTCGACGATTGGCTTCAAGATCGGGCCGTAGGCAACGAGGTCCGGCTCCACGAGTACATGGCGGCGGGGTCGCAAGAAGTCATTGACTTTGGAAGACCAAAGCCCTGGGCCAGGCCAGAGATCGAGGATATCCACGGGGGAGTTTCGGCAAAGATGAGGTGATATGCGATGGAGAATATCGTCTGCGCAAAGCAGAGTCGCGTCAGCTGTGACTCCAGACGGTCCATCAAGATCCATTTCTTACCACACAGCTGATCGCTCACAATATCCGATGCATAAATCCCTTTCCGCTTAGCCTGTTTCAGCACACAGTGTTGTATAGTCTCCGTCAGCGGGTAGCGGGAGGCCGTAGCCCATCGACTGCGCGTTGACATGTCTGACAATGTCAAGGGCCATGTGCGAAGCAAGGAATCATGAATAATGGGATATAAGGGGCTATGGATAAAAGTGCATGGTGAGATGCGGATGAGTTGGGAGTCGCAGTTGGAGACGTTTTTATTTTTCTCGGAGACCTTGGGAGTTCCGCGCTTCCCCACCCCAATCTCCCCCCTTCCTTCACAGCATCCCACTTTTCCTTTCTTTCGATGCCGCCTAGATGCGGCTCTCTCTACGACAGTCTGGTCTTCGTGCCAACAGACATTTCTCCTGCTTTTTGTCGGCCATGCTTGGGACTCGGTTTGTGTGAAGAGGGGACTTGACGTTTGACGTGTACATCCATCACTCGCCATGGCTTCGAATCTACCGGGAATCAGCACGGGGGCCACCCCGCAGAGTGTCGAGAAAATCACTCGGATCGCTCAGGACTATGAGTACAACTCATCTATCCCGCTGCGTTATTGGCTAAGAACTGCTGCGACGCTGATACGAGAGGTTGGTTGTTTTGGGTCACTTGAAAGCCCCGCGCAAATCGACTGACTAGCTTCATTATCCTAGGCGGCAATCTACGAACGTGAAGGCCACGACGAGCAAGCTTACCTGCTGCTCTTTCGACATGCCCAGTTGGTCCTAGTCCATCTATCGAAGCACCCCGATGCCGCCAAGGATGACAAAGACCGCAAGGCGTTGGTGGCAGCCGAGAAAGAGGTTCAGAAGAATCTCGCGACGCTAGAGAGGTTGAAGCCGCGGATCAACAAGCGATATGAGCGACATGCACAGTTACTGCGCGAGCGCCAGTCTCGGAAGCTGCCCGCACGGCCTACCGTCGTCGCCGAACCACGAGAACGAGTTACTGACCCTGCTCTCGCCGGTGTTGCCGAACCTTTGGAAGCAGGGGAGAATCGAGACCTGGCCGTTCGGTTAGCGCAGTCGGAGATCACCCGCAGAGCCACCGTCCGACGGTCTAAAGGTCAGTCGGGACCATCAAGTGAGGAAGGAAACAACCGTCGCGCTGCCGGGGTCTGGGGCAACTGGGAAAGTGCGTTAGACACAGACAAGCGACCAGCGGACCGCGACTTGAGTCAAAGGATTCAGGATATCAGGACCAATATCGATCATGCACAGCCGGCTAAGCAGGACCAACGGACCCGAGAATCTCCCGCACGCGAGATTCCCTCATCGGCCGCCGCATCGGCATACAAGTATCCAACTGTTCCACAACAAAGACCACTAGAGCCCAGTGTCTCTCCGGGCCAGATCGCCATTCGCGACAAGAACGTGGAGCGCCATGCGCCTCCTGTCTTGCCTCCGAAAGAGCATCTCGAACCCAGCAGGGCATCATTTGTCGACGGATCACCAACATCCACTCCGCCAGCACTCCCGTCCAAGGTGCCACCAGCGCCGCCGCTCCCTAACAAAGTTGGATCTTTAGAAGACCCGAACTCTATGAAATCCGATCTCAACCCCTCTAGCTATACCTTCAAACCATCCGCGTACCTGGAAAATGGAACTCCTCTGCGCTCAGTGTTTCTTCCAGCCAATCTTCGTGCCAGCTTCTTATCTCTGGCGGCTCTTAATACCCGTCGCAATTTGGAAACATGTGGCATTCTCTGTGGTACCCTGGTTTCCAACGCCCTCTTCATTTCTCGGCTCGTCATCCCAGAACAGATGTCCACCTCCGACACCTGTGAAACGACGAACGAGTCCGCCCTGTTCGACTACTGTGACTCGGAGGATCTGATGATGCTCGGTTGGATTCACACGCACCCCTCCCAAACGTGCTTTATGAGCTCGCGTGACCTGCACACGCATTGTGGCTACCAGGTTATGTTGCCCGAGAGTATCGCCATCGTGTGCGCGCCGAGCAAGGATCCTGACTGGGGAGTGTTCAGGCTCACGGATCCTCCAGGCCTGAAGACGGTGCTGAACTGCACTCGGTCCGGATTGTTCCATCCACATGCCGAAGACAACATCTACACTGGCGCGCTCAGGCCAGGCCATGTTTTCGAGGTGAATGGACTCGAGTTTGGGACGGTGGACCTGCGTCCTGGTAGTTCGCAAAGTTGATCACGCTCCGGTGTTTCGGTTATACCAACCACCATTGATACCATCAGCATTTGTATACTTTGGGCTTGTGGGACAGCAAATCGTACGTCATACCAGTGGCCTTACGCATTCCAATCTATTATGTACATCGGTCTCTCGAGTACAAACTGAGTATCAGGGACCTTTTTGTATTCTTAGTTTGGCATGGTCATGGCTTTTAGGTCCGTGCAATGTCTTTCCGAGTCCACCATAATACCCTCACTCTGCTGGCCGCACCCGTGAATGAGACCGAGAACGTCCCGACTGTGTCCGCCTCCTTGCGCCAGAGCCCGAGCTGGCCTTGGATGTACGCGATGGCGTGGGCGAGCGACGTGCCTGGGAGTCTCGACGAGTGGCCGTGTCTTGTGTGGCTCGTCTGTCGGCCCTTCTCCACTACCATGTCGAGTCAGTCGACTGCGATCAGGTCCCCATTTCGATATCTTGGCCTACCATTGTGTCCGCATCCACATTTCGAACATCCTGCTGGCTACTGCGTTTGCCGCCCTTTCGTCCCATCTGGACGGCTTCCTCGCGGGTGGGAGAACTATCTGACATCTTTGGATTGTTCACTGATGTAGAATCCTGAAAACCTGAAACCGAGTTCCTCATCCAGAAATTGATGCATGTCTTCTTCGCGCTTGTCGGATTAGTAGTTTGATATATAGTGGTCGGGCCCGCCACTGGATATTCATGATGGCGTTTCACGATGGCCACTCGGACGAGTTTTCCGCGCCATCAGAGAAGAGCAGCGACGAGCAAATCAGACGAAGACGTAAAATGGCATGGTGTCGCGTGTCCTGTAGTTGTTTGGGGATTTCCGTGGATTTGTTTACTTGCGCGCATCCGAGTATCAATCAATCCCCAGCTACCTCAATTCTCACCCAGTTCCTAAGAGAAGAGTCAAAATGCAATTGATTCTGTTCATACTATCTTTCTTTCAAATGCTATGCAAATGTCGTTAAGAACTGCGACAGTGGCTCCCCACATGATAAGCGATAAGTCAGGCTTGGCTTCGCCTTGTCCGCATACTTCGGCCCTCTCTAGTGCTACATGCGTGGTCTTATCGCTTGAGTCCCTGTAGTGTGAGCCTTGAAACCAGCCATTGACTCTCGATTTGTCCACATGTCGTCGCCATCGCAGGAAGATCTCCCCTCCAACCCCCCGACCTCGGTCTCCACCTCGCGATCAGGGTCTCGCACGCCCCAGCAACCCACCCCCTACACCCCATCCGCTGCGTCCTACTTCTCCTACCCTGTCACCCACGTCGTCTCGGGTCTCTATCGCCGTCTGACAGACCCCAGCATTGCTGAAGCCATGCCCTCCGCCGCCCCGTGGTCGACCTCATCGTCGTCCGAAGTCTTCACACCGCGCCGGACTGCCTCGCCGTTTCAGCCTCCTCCCTTGACACCCCTCACCCTCACCGTGCCCACGGGCGCCGACCTCCTCCAACAACAACTCCTGACACGCGCGCTCGCCGAAGAGATCCGCCTGTTGGTTCCCCCGCGCCTCCAACTCGCCGACACCTGGCGGCTCGCCTACAGCCTCGATCGCGACGGCGCCTCACTCGGCACCCTTTACGACAACTGCATCGAGTTCTCCCACCGCAGCCCGCGGGCGGGCTACGTGCTCGTCGTCCGCGACTCTTCCCCATCCGGCGCAGTATTCGGCGCCTATATGACCGATGCCCCGCACCCCGAGTCCCAATTTTTCGGCACAGGCGAGTGTTTCCTCTGGCGCGCCAGCGTGCTCCCGCCCCCGTCGAGCATTGGTCTCGGCCTGCCCGGTGATGGCCTCCAGTCGGAGGAGGCTCTCGAGCGGGCTGGTCTTCCGCCGCCGCCGTCCGCGGATACCACCCACGCGGGCCGATGGAGTACGCTGCGCAGCGACCCGCAGGCCAAACAGAAAAATAACAGCTCCGAATCCCCCTCCCACAATCTCAATATGAATATCAAAACCAACCTCGCTGCTGCTAGTGGTGGGTCCCTTGCGCCGCCGTCTCCTTCGTCTATCAACACCCCGTCTCGCAGCGGTGCCAGCACACCTGAACGTATCCGCTTTAAGGCTTTCCCGTACAGCGGTGTTAATGATTATATGATGTTCTGCGAGACTGGATTTTTGAGTCTTGGTGGCGGGTAAGTTTTATTGTTTTTGTGTTTCTCTTGTTCCCAGTTAACTTATACCTGGATTCTAGTGACGGCCACTACGGCCTATGGGTCGACTCGAGCCTCGAGAAGGGTGTCAGTGCTCACTGCCAAACCTTTGGCAACGAGCCCCTCTCCGATGAAGGCGAGAAATTCGACATTATTGGGATTGAGGTGTGGTATGTCGGCTTATAACTGGATGCAGCTGGAAGCAGACCTGGGCAAGGTGTGCATATAAAAAAACTATTTACGTACAGCGCATTTTCACACATTGGGCTCTTGTGTTAAGCCTTCAGATGATTTATATACCCTTTTGACATTTGGACTTCTCCCTCTTTCTTACCTTCTTGACCTGCTTACAGTAGATGATGTTTCAATTCAACTCCACTAGCTATGGTGTAGTAGTCCACGGCTGACGGTTACAGTTCATGAAGATCTCGCTGTAGGTAAATTGCAAAAGGTGTCTCTATCGTACATTAACACTTATATAGGCGAAGAATTTACATTATCACACACCCACACCCATCAGAATCATCGCAATGATTCAAGAACTGGTTGGAAATCAAACGCACTGCCATAACATGACCGCCCTCTGTCTTGCCTTTGGACTCAGGCCGAATCCATGAATCTCTGTACAGCTGGATCTCCATTTGCTCCACAAACCCTCTGAAGTCGGATTTCGGATCAGGGAAACCTTTCGGCTTATTCGGTAGACGTGCGAGCTGGGCCGCTAGCCCAACGGCCTGAGGAGATGCCATAGAGCTTCCCGTCTTTTTGATTTCAGGCTCGCTTGGTTTGTTATTAGCACACAACACGTCCTCGGCAATCGCCCATAGATGACCCTCCGGCGCATTGAGAGTCTTTTTGCTCCTATAGCCGTTTTGCGTGGCCATTCCAACAAGCCTCATATTCGGTAACTCTTTATACCAAAGCTGCGGATAGCCAAGAAGAGTGCCTAAAAACTCGCCATAGAAGTCAATTCCGCGAACATTCCCCGTACACGCAAAGATCATAGCTTTCTGGTTGAGTCGTTGCATAATCGATTTCAAGCGGTCTCGATCGTGGCTATTCCAAGCGCGGTGAAATACTCCGATCTTAACGCTTCCGGACATATTGATATAGATATCGCCTAGATTGAACCCATTTCCAGGATTCGAGAGCACCGCATCGATATCATCCGCTGTGGCTTCCAGCGCCTCAAGATAATTATCGATATATTCTCGTTTATCAATCCTCTCTGCGCCCGCCGTTTTCACAATCACCAGCTCTGCATTCTTTGCGACCCCGAATTTCTGGCCTGCGATCATAGACCCTACGCAGGTCCCATGGCCGGTTGGGTCATTCAATGTATCATCCCAGCCGCGAGGCCAGGACTTAGGCATGATCCATCTTGGGACGTGTTTCAGTGTCTTGTATTCCGAATGCCGGATATCAAACCCCGAATCGATCACGTAGATCAAACTACCCTCGCCGGCAGACGGGTCATAATCGTATGTGTATGGTGGTCCCCATTTCGCTCTCTTCTTCCTTGGCCGCGAGATACTCCCAAGATAGATTTCTGCATTATGTTGAGGTGGGCCGTCGCGTTTCGTAAGATGTGTCGCGTTATGCGTGTCAGGGGCATCGTCGAGGAGGGCATCCGGTTGAGGTAGAGCATGAGCAATGGACGTCAGGGCAAGGATTGCTGTCCACCACCCACGGATATGCATTGTATTATTGAGGGAGTCAGTGGGATGAAAAAAAGACCTCGATGAAAAAAAGAAAAAGTTCCACTATCAATTGGGGGCGGGTCCTTTACATGCTGGAAGTTGCTTCTGGGCAGTCTGGGGCCGTTTAACCAGCCACTATCTAAGGAACAACAACAGATCCAAATCTCACTTGTTGCTTAAAACATTCATGTGGACCCGGGGCCGTCAGTTTACAATAGACCGTTGGCAGCTTGACACTGTTTTTTTGGTGGTCTAGTAGTAGTAGTAGTGTGCATATAATTATATCATTAAAGTTAAAATGTCGATGATCTGAGTTTTGATTAACCAATTTTTCTTTAGATATTTTGATCCTAATATGCAGCTTACATTGTAGGGCGGTACTCGGCATTCGTCGATCATAAATTAGGGGGGGGGGGGGTTCCTGATTCCATAATACTACTAGCCTCAAGGATGGCCTAGGGGGCGAGCAAGTGTACCCACTCCCATATTTATTAAAAAAAAATAGCCGTCTCAGGCACATATAGAGAAGTGGACATGGCTACTTGGCTGAAACAACTCCATTCCTGCTATAAATGAGCGAAACAAAAAAAAAAAAAAGAAAAGAAAACAAGAAAAGTCTGTTGCAAAAAGAGAGGATGGGTGGACACTCGAAGCGAGCTGGGGGTAAATATTGTATATACGCGCGGGCCTTATTAACCAGTTCAGTCCCTTTCCTGGTTGAGTTACGGATGACATATTTAAAAAATATAAAATAAAATATAAAAAATAGCCGCTCCATATAGATGGAACCAGAGTATGTAGTATGGCCCCTTTCTGGGAAGGAAATGTCATTGTTACGGAATTATATGGTTAAAGTACTTGAGCTCAGCCGCTAGGACTCGACCGCTTTCATAGCTCTGGACAGTTCAGCATCACAACTCTCGCAATTGTCCTTGTAGGTAGGGTTGATGTGGTTGTAGGTAAGCAAGAGGCAGCTGAATAACTAACGGTTATTATTAGTCACTATGCCTGTAAATAACACGGTGAATTGGAGGCCAGAAACGGCCGCTCACTCTTGGCGGTCTTGGCGTCACGTGTGCCAAAGGCCACGGCCGGCCAGGTTTACTGCTACCCGTGCTTCACGTTGGCCGTGCTTGGTGCCTGGCCTATTGATCGACCGATATCCACTCGTGATACAGCCGCCGCAGCATCCTCGCTCGCCCTTAGTTACCCTCCTAGTGGAGGGGAGCCATTTTTGGCCCCTCTGTTGACCGTTCTGCTTCCCCGGGCTTATATAAATATCGACTACTATAGCTCCCGACTGATAGTCCCTCGCTCTCTAGTAACTCCGCCAGCCTTAAGCCTGGGTTTCTAACGGGTAACTTACTCTAAGTGAAATAATATTAGCCTCGGTTCTTCCCTCGTGCTTCGACTCGTCTTCGCCCCTCCCGTCCCTTCTTCGATCGTATACTGCCTTCCGCTGCTATACCTTCTCCTCCGTGTCCTGTTCTGTCCAACGATAAGAGCGACACTAGCTTAGGCCTACCTGAGATCTTTTCGAATAACGCCTCCGACTCTGATTCCTCTATTGTATCTAGCGACTTCGACAGTAGCAGCGAATCCGAGTCCGACTCTGACGATAAATCCGACGAGTCCGAAGATGAGCTAGTACTAGAAGATAAAGAGTAGGTTTCACCGGAATTCTACCTCAAGGAGGCCGAGCCTTTTGAGGTCTCACAGCTCTGACAGAAACGCTATAACCCGAAAACCATCCATGACATAACCTGACATATCTCCCTATGACAGCCAACTATGTACTGCCGGGGACCTTGACTAAAGCCATTGCTGGGACCCAGAAAGGATTGACCCCGAGCTTAGACGAAGCTGTCAGTATATCTTCGTCCAAGTCCCACTCTGCACACATCGTCATGTTCTTGTCTTTGGTCTTGATATCCTCACGCAGTGTGGCTGCCTTCCCATCGTCCAATAGGCATGCCGCCCGTTCGAGCTTCTTCTTCTGTGCCAGCCATTGCTCATAGCCCTGGATAATGAAGAAACCAGGGAAAAGCAATTTCTTCCGTCTCTCAACCTCTTCGTCATGGGCCTTTGCCGCTGCTGCCTCCGCCTTCCGTTTTGCCTCCTCGGTAGCCTCTCCAGCAGCCTGTTCTGCGGCTTCTGCATCTTTCGCTGCCTTCTCAGCCGCCAATGCCTTCTTAGCCGCTTCGATCGCCGTTCCGAGGTTCTTTCCGTTTTTAGCATCACAATACTCCACCCGGAAGGTGAATTCGTCAAAAACCACGAGTTTGTTCTTGTCTCTCTGATGCTGTTCCCATTCTTCCTTGAGTCTCTGTGTCTGCTGGCCGGTCTTTTTCAGTTCCTCTTGCACTCTCAGGTCATATTCTTTCACCCTTTGATCATATATCAGTTTGGCGCTTTTGTAGTGCCGCAAATTAAGATCGTACACCACTCGGGCCTCTTTATATGCTCTCGATTCCTTGTGAGCCTTGATTCTTGCATCAAATTGATCCAATTTTGCTTGCATCATCGAACTATGTCCCTTCTTCAGCAACATAGCGTAGAAGTTCCGGCCTTCTTCGAGGGATTTCAATGTGGAATCAGAGAACTCTGGTTCGACGGGAGGCTCAGGTCTTCCAGGCAGCTGGGCAGCCAGCCTTTTGAGGTCCGAGCTTTTAGGCATGATCATATCATCGACGTCTTTCATCCGGAAATTTGAAACGCGGTGGACAGCAGTATCTGTCGGTAGATAGGAAAATCTCAGCCGGACCTTGTCATTCTGGGCAATCGGCGTCGTCTTCTTCTTTGTTGTCTTGTGGATTGGTTCGAATTCAACCATGATGTTCGACGCTGTATCGTGTTTGCCGTAGAGGAAGGGTTTGGACGATCCGTCACCACCGATCTGAAGACTGTGCAGCAGAACTTCTTCTTCTTCTCCGTTTGTTGCATTAACCAAGTAGTGGATGGGGTATTTGACGCCGTATTTGAACTGTTCTGAGGTTAATCCTGATTGCTATGCTAGAGTGTACTATGATGCCTTACCCGAGGATGCGAAATCCCAACGCTATCCGCTCCCTCGATGGAAATGTTGGATTGGTCATTGCTGATAGGAATACCAAAAACGGTGGAATACTCGCCGGATTTTGCTTTTGAGAACTTAATCTCCGAGATGAGCTCTTTCCGATGCTGCCGAAGGGAATGCACGTTGTCCTGTGTACCTGACTTCTGGTTCGGACCGTGGTTCAGAGGATCCATGTCAAGAGGCGCTATCTCCTGTTCTGCTCCCTCTTGTTAATAACGCATTGATGACTTCCAGAGCAAGACTTACCAGTGTCTTCGCCAAAGGTAAGAACCCTGGGACCGTTCTCGCTCCCGGCCTCCAGATGAAGCGAAAACTGGACTAGACTTGTAGGCTCCGGGTTCAGATGAGTGATGTTATAAATCAACTTCGGAATGTCCTCGTAACCTGGTAGTTTTCCCATGAACTCGTAGATATTGACGACGTCGTCTTGCTGTAATGATGGTCAGACACTGCTGTTTCCAGTCCAGGATGTACCATACCTTCATGACTCTCCAGTTATAGAAATTGGACACCGTGGAACACCATTTTGGTGGACTAAGATAAAGCTGTCAGTATTCTTTCTCCACTCATTTGTCGATAAACGTACTTGTTGCAGAGAGTTGTATCTCCTCCATCCGCCGACCAAGACATGGAGTGGGTCATTTTCTTCTCCGTAGATGTTGTTTTAGTCCCCGAGTTCTCTGTCTGGCTATAGTTGACTTCGGCCTGGAAGCCATAGCCAGACATCGAAGCACTGGCTGCTGCCTTGAGCATCTTCTTTTTCTCCTCCACAGAAGAGCCCGCAACAGAGTCGGATTCCTCGATGGAAATCAACTTGCCTCCCAGGTGAATACTGCGGGCGAAGAAGTTGCCTGTCTCATCCGTTAGTCCTGGTATAGTGAGTAAATGTGGCGATCATACCATATCTCTCTTCAAAATGAGCCAACTCCTTCAAGGTGCGTCTGTTTCGCAAGTTTTCAACATCCTCTTTGCACTCGTCACTTAATTCCAGATTTTCTTCGTTCAGAATTAGCTCTACGCGTGGGAACTGATTGACCAGGTTAGTACCTGAACCTCCCATGTCTCTGGAGGAGCTTCATTACCTCGTAGACAACGTGCATATAACTCGAGTCATTGAACTTGGAACTTGCACTCTTGTCGTCATTGCCCCAGCTCGCACCTCCCTTTACAGCAACGCTGACACCAAAACCCGATCCGCCACTTGTGGAAAAGATCAGCATCTCTTTCAGAATCCTGGTCTGAGGGATTACTCACACAGCAGCATCGAGCGACTGTGATGTAAAGCTACTTTCAGCCATTGTTGTTTCCAGAGAGCCCTTGGTCTCGAACACGCGGACCTGAGACGAATCCTTTATCTGGAATCGGGGGATGCGGAAAGAGTGCTAGTCGCGATTAACATCCAGCCTAGCATAAAGGGTGGGAATAGGCATACCCCTGGATGTGGAATGCCGAGTTTATGCATCTCCTCGGATGCCTTATCGGTGATTTTGAATGTGATGTCGTATTCCGGCAGGTTTCTCGGTTTCAGGGCAAATGCTTTGGCCGAGTTAGCGATAGGCAGAGGGCAGACTATTTCAATGACAACATACCTGAATAATACGATCTTTTTACATCAACAACATCCATGCTTGGTCGTTTGATATCCGGGTGGCCTTGGACTTTGACGACTTTGTCAACGGGGCCAGTTCGCAAGTACTGACCGCACAGGAGCTTATTGGTACGCATGACAATTCCCCATTCCTTTTCGGTCATATCGACAGGGTGACTATAGAGATTATGAGCATTACTTCATCCACGATCAAGCGAAAGGGAGAAATGAAAGATAATACTGACACAATATTCCCACTTGCTTCAGCTTCCCAGCTGCTGCTCTTGAAACTGGAAGTCAGAGGATTTCCAGTCGAGGCCGCTAAAAAGTCGACTGTCCCTGTCTGCGAAGTGTCAGTGACATCCGATCAAGGGGGAGAGTATGGATTTCTCACGTTGGTAAGGTCAACGCCCTTTTTGATGAACGCATCTGCGGTCGAATCCAACCCGGCGCTCCTCTTCTTGGTCAGGATGTAGATGTTGTGTTTCACCTGTTATCATTTGTTTAGTTCCATAGATGCGTTGGAAGAAGACAGAAATGCCTTACGGGTTTCGCATTCTTATTGGCGGTTTCGTCGTGAGACCCTCCAGCTTCGGAAGCATTTCCAGATTGTCCGGAAGTACTCGTCGATGTATTGGGGCTCTCCTCCATGTAATGGTCCAAAGTAATCTCATCGGTCACTTCAATACCATCCTTGGTGCAGAAAGGTTTGTTCCCGCTTCACGTTGTTAGACTGAGCACAACCCCATAATTAACAAAAACCTACTCGTCTTTTGAGAGATATCCCTCCTTCAGAAGGTAAGCTCTGATAATGCTCAGGGCAGATGCCGCCAGCTGCGATGGTGACGGTGCCAGTTTACCCCCGGACATTGCTTTTCCTTCTATCTTGTTGTACTTGAGGACGGTGAGTAGAAGCTTGCCATCGTTTTTGATCGCATCTGCTTCTTTCTCTGGCGCCGGAGCTCCATTGTCACCGTTTTCTGTTGCTGGTACTGCATCTTCATCATTCTCTCTGGCCGTTGGTATATCTTGATTGGTTTCCGACATATTGAAAGAGAATATCAGATTGTTGATGAATTTTTCTTCGGGGGATGAAATGATTTCGAGTCAAGAGACACAATGTGCTATTTATGAGAAATCAAGACACAACAGAGTGGGAGCTTCTTAATATACCCATATCACTCTCGTAATGAGCTGAAAAATGTCTTTCAGCTCAGCTCCACGTACAAATGGACAGCAATCGAAGAATCAGCCAATGCCAACGCGAATTGCGTCCATATTACGAGTCAATCCATAGCCAAATTGATCACGCCAGCTGAAGACCCCGCATTGATGAACATCGTTGCCTGTTTGTGTCTTCGGCTCAGCTTGATATGTCAATCGGTGGAGCCGGCATCACATTTCCGGCGTCATGGCTGGCAGTGATGAGATGATAGTCACCACTAGCGAACCTTTGGCCCCATTAACTATCACATCTGGTAAGCCGCATACAGACCGTCGGGCCATTTCGAAGATCTCATTATTCTCAGTATAGGATTATGAAGTGATGATGATGTTGGGGCTGAGTTCTGCCAATCTTTCTCCACCGTCTCCCTGGCCGCCCGCAGCGGACCTGTAGGTAGTAGATAGCTGCTTCTCTTCTCGCTCTCTCCCCTACAGACAGACAATTTGATTCTCTCTCTTCTGCTCCCTTTCCTCAGCAGTTCTGCTCTCCCCAGCTTCCCCTAGTGCTTTCTGAGAGATTAGATAGTTGAATATTAGATTTTATATTGAATTTAAGACTTCTTGTAAAGAATGCTGAAAATTTATACTGAATAAATTGCAGCAGGAAAATAGTGGTATATAGCATTACATATCAAATATATATTCCTATCAAAACCCACTTCCCCTTCCATCTTTTGCTTAATTACCAAACACAATGCCATCGAGGTGATACAATCTATAGATATAGAATGTTTTCGAGTCTAATGACCTTGAATTACAAGATGATTTTGTTAAATTTTAGACCAAAAGGGGGGAAATCAGAGTTGCTAAACAACGTAGTGACTGTGGCCATGTTAGGTTATAGGTAACATAACAGATAACTCATCGAGTTATCCATCCTAGACGGAAAAGTTATGTAGAAACGGGCAGGTAGCGGGCGGCCCGCGGGCGGCCGCCAAAAGCCTGTGTGTGGGCTGCGGGATCTGAGTTCCTGCCCGCGGGCTCTAGCGGGCGGGCTATGGGCATCCTTCCCCCGCCCACGGGCGGGCTGTGGCAAGTTCTACCCGCTTACCGATTATGTTATGATTTTTGGCCATATTCCTCTGGCATCTACACTACGGTTCCACCACACATTCTCTCATTTTACTGCCAGATATCTGCTTCTTAGTGATACATACAGTATGTTCCCGGTCCGACATACATGTATAATTCAATGCTCCAAGGATAGTTAATAGGTACGAGTCGGAACGAGCAGGTTCCGAAATCACAACCTCATATTGCTGTTGTGGACATCTGCGTGAGTTGAATATAAGCATATAGGGCGTGACCCCACACTACGCGCAATGCCTTATTATTAGGTGGTTATTCCTTAGGTGAGTGTTGGAACTGTTGACGTATACTAAGCTAGTCAACCCCACTGGTTGCCTTCGGCCGTGCACGGGTTTGCAGGGATCAAGGTTCGTGGCTGGCGGATCGGTGGGTCTATCCGGCTATGTAGGTGGAGATAATCTCAGGGGAATTGGGATGTGATTAACTTATGCAATAAAAAAACCCTGATCAGGGAGTATGATATGTAAAGTGACATCCTCTCTGACTCCGCACTTCTCGTTGATGTTTGGCCAGTGCGATATTGCCGCAAACAGGCCGTAAGCATTTGTCTAATGCTGACCCTCTGAACCGATGAAACGGAGTGGCAGGATAGAAAAGCGAAAGAAAATTGTTGAAGATAGTGGAGTTGAACAGAATTGACGGAAATTTGAATGCAAATGGAGATTGGCCAATAAAAAACCCGAATGCATGATTAATATTCATTTCTGGACTCACTCTAAAACTACCTACCACTTAAGACCTCTTCCTCCCAGATCCCGACCGATAATCTACCTAGCCATGCTGCTCGAACCGACTACAAAGCTGGATCAGGACTTTACCCGTAGCCTCTAAATGCTCTTGATTAAGTAGTCCTGCCTGCGCCAACAGATGGCTGGTCCCAATATTATCCCGATTCAACGCAACCTGCTTCTGAAAAATGGCCAGCCAACAGATGTTGAAGTCAGTCCAAAATTTGAGGTGCCTTTGAACGAGCTCAGTGATCTTTCAAGGAGCTGAAGATGGCCGTGTCAGGAAGCTCATACATTTTTGAGATATCCTTTAACCCTAACGACCGGCATTGCCCTAACGCTAGGCTCATTTTCTCGCGTTGGCTCTTCTAGTGGTTCTGATGCCACCCGTTCCGCGGGTGCCTCTTTGCCATGCCGTGATTGTTTGTGTGCGAGGGCTGTCATATCTAACATCGCTTAACGGATGAATAACAATGTTTCTCCGTGGTCGGTGGTTGGACATATGGATGTGCCTACCCCCCACCCCAACACCCCAGTTCTTTTCTCCAAAAGCTTATCCGTAAACGATATGAGTTTATCTGGAGGACATTGGATCGGGGCATAATGCCCAAAAAGGTGTGCAGGGGAATAATTCGCTGCTAGGAGCATAGTGTCAGCTAAGGCCAGCCCTTATATTCAGAAAAAGCTTGGCGCTCCTGAAGCTTCATCGGACTCAATCTCTTGGCTTTATTACCTCCATGTCGACTGTGCTCTTCCCATGCGGAGCGACAGTTTTTCGCATAGCGATTCTGGGTGAGCAATTAGGCATTTCATTTAGCCCAGTTCCAAAGATATTCCCGCACAATTATATGTTTCACATGCAGCTACTGCAGTTGGTTTGTATTGAACATTTGGGGTATTTGGAGGGGTTGTCGGTTTAACTTTAGGGAGTACGATATTGCCTTCTCCATCATCTGCTTTGGCAATTTCCCGCAACAGCTTCTTTGCCAAGTTCGTTACAAAGGCTTCCTTCACAAGATGCCCCGAAAGAGTCGGCGAATTCGAAAAACATTAAGGTGTCTGGAGCCCTGATTGCTCAGACGAAGCCAAATACGGGCTTCTCTCGAGAGGTGCCATGTTCTTCGGGCAAGCAGAGTAAGGATATTCGTAGGATGGTAAAAGCCTATATGACCACAAAGGAAATATAAAGAGCAAGACAAAATTCCAACGTAAATCGCAGATTTTATAAACAATAGCCTGGGATGGTTCCCATTACGGCAATCCTCTGAATTACATCATATATATTCACACATTCAATCTATACCAATGATCAATGGCCGTCGTCGATACCAGACCATACGTGTATCGAACAACCAGACACTTTATAAAGGGTAATAGGAGTATATCATTTTCATAAGCAGTTTGAGTATATCCTTTCGATGACTTGACAGAAGATCTTTGTGAGGACCAGTAAAAATGAAATGCTCGCTATCATTGCCACCCGTACAGTGCTCCGTGCAGCGTGAAGTACCACGCGCCTTGTGGCTGGCAGATCCTTACTACATGTATGTTGCTAGACTGCGGCACTAACCGCAAAAACCGCGGTTAACCGAAAACCGCACCGCAAATTTGCGGTTAGGTTTTGGTTATCAACTTATAACCGCAGCGGTTCTCGGTTTAACCGCGGTTATCCAAACAATATAAACCTGCCATGCCTCGTGACCTTGTTGCCCGATAAATTTTTATACATTTTTTTTGGTAATTTTCGAGTTATCACTATGTACTACTTTACAGTATCTCCATAAAATTATATACATTATCTACTTGCAGATTGATTTACTAATATACAGTAGAGAGAGAATCAGGAATATTTCGAATTCAAGTTATGAAATAGAGAGATTAGTATTTCTACTATAACCGATACAGACAGAATAATGAAGTATTACAGCAGTAATCCACAAAGAGGACTACTCGCTTAGTAGGTTTGATTGTTAGCGACACTATAGAGGGCCCATCTGGAATCCCTCGGGCATCTTAGGTGTCTTGCGAACACGGGAGACTCGCTGTGTACCCTCATTCTCCTCATTGTCACTGATTGGATCTAGTGTAGGTAGGGGTGGTATTGAGCCTCGTTCTTGCTCAATCATCGCCGCTTCGCCTGCTAGAACCAGCTCTTTTGTAAAATTAATCTCTTTCTGCTCGACTTCAAATTTAGCAGCTCACATTTGAAGCATCAACTCCTTAATAGTATCAGGATTGAGTCGACCACGTCTATAATGGCAGATATCCCGTGCACAGTTAAAGAGACGCTCAACACCTGCACCGCTTGCAGGGATCGAAAGAATATCTCGTGCCAGTGCAGCGAGGATCGGAAACTCTTGTTGATGTGGTTTCCAGAAGAGACGTGGATGTTGGGCGACAAGACCTAAGGAAAATCAGTAGCTGTAGATAGACAGGTCGATAGAGAACTCCAGACTTACCTTTTGCAATATAACGAGCGAGCTCATCATCCTCTTCCTCATCTAAGACCCCTCCAGGTTGTAATGAAGTCTGTGAATCGCAGAGCATCTCGATCTCATCAATAGTGCTATACAAATCCTCTTGTGTAGTAGAGGATGATTGTTTAGCCTGGTCGGAAACCCGTCGTTTATATCGCCAGAACTCCTTCTCAAGGCAATCACGGTATCTTGCACCATAGTCAATATCACCTTGCCAGTCCTTTGAGTTAAAGAATCGGAGCTTCTTTGATGGGGCAAGGATGGTAGCAATACCGTACACATCGCCATAGAATTCATGGTCAGTGGCTGTGTAGTACTCAGAGAGCTTTTCTCTTATAGCCTGTATTGCTCTCAGCATCGATTTCTTCCACGGAAGTCTTTTTCGACGGAGCTGCGCCTCCGAGCTCTCAAGATGATTGAATAACTTGTTGTAGACACCAAATATCAGATGATTCGTAATATCTCTAGACTTGGAGAGTGCCGTTGTGAATTTGAAGAATGGCTCTGTAATACAGAGAAGATAGTCGATCTGCCGCCACTCTTCCTTATCCAGCTGGAAATGAAGATAGCCATGGGTAGCACAGTATGCTTGAAAGGTCTCTTGCAGTCGCTTTGCTCGTCCAAGCATTAGAAATGTAGAATTCCATCGAGTCCGTACATCTTGAAGAGGCAGTAAACGTGGCTCATGCATCTGGATCTGAAGAAATGCATCTCGACGCTGAGGACTTGCATGAAGAAAGACGGCAAGGCTTCGGACCTAGACATTATCTTGTTAGTATTAAAAAGATCAGGCCATTGGAATCTCACCTTATTTAATGTATGGACAATCTCCTTTTTTGATTGCTGTGAACGTGCTAAACGCTCACGCTCATCCAGCCACTCATCCTCAGCTTTGTTATTTAATGGTACTGCCTTCATCTTCCCAAGCAGTTGATTAAGACTCAACTGAATAACGTGGGCAAGACATGGAACACGGAATATACCATTGCCAATACCGTTACTTCTAATGCCTCGACTCCGTAGCTCATCTTGTAGAGTAAGCATCATAGTATTGTAGCATTATCAGTCGTAACTGACAAAACCTGAACAGAGAGACTGTGCTGTTCAAGAATACCAGTAACGACTGATCCGAGGTAACTTGCAGTATGTGAGCCCTGTAAAGGCTCAAAGCCAAGTAAAGCCTCACGATACTCCCAGTCGTCATCCAAAAAATAGCCTGTAATAGCCATAAAGCCCTGCTTAAAAGGCGATGTCCAGCAGTCAAGGGATAGAGACAGTCCACTGCCCTCCGGTAGTTTTTCCAGTACACTCTGTTGTCTCTGTTGAAATTTAGAGTGTAATTGTCGACTGATGGTCCTCGGTGAGGGTAGCTTGATTGATGAGGGTGCGAGAGCGATTTTATTGGCTAGTTCCTGGAACTCTGGTCGATCGAGGATTCGAAATGGGAGCCGGGCAACGAGGATCAGAGACAAGATATTCTGAGCAAGTCTTTCGTCGGAGTAAATTGCTGTAGATTTCTGTGGCTTTTCACCACTCCTTTAGTAGTAGCCCCTTAAAATAGATAATCCTAACTTACCTGTGCTGTGACCATCTTGTCTATACCTCGTTTAGGCATACTATGACAGGTGTTACCCGTTAGATGGGCCTTCATGGGTGATGTTCCTCCACGTCGAATATTCGGGTGAACAAGTACAGAATGACAATGTTTGCACATAACCTTCGGCTCGCCAGTCCGCTCATGAGCGACCTGATCAAAATAGTCCCAGACCGAGGCTCTCTTCTTGTGATCCCAATGAACATTGTTCTGTATATCTTTATTCGCGCCGAACTCTGTTCGAAGCCACCAGTCGGTGAAATCTGCACGTGTTTGCTCAGTCTCTGGCTCCATTTCACAAAGGATCCAAATTTGTTGAAGTGGCCGTCCAACGCGTGTAAGAGAGGTTGGTATATGTAGTATTTGGGGATAGCGTGAGGACTCAGAGGATGTAATCGACTCAGTAGTTCGACAATGGGTAGTCAGTGAAGGAAGATCATCTGATTGAAGGTAGTCAGTATCAGAAAACTGATCTATAAAGCATGAAGATGGGTAGACCATAATGGATCTTGGTCTTCGGAATGAAGAGAGGGTGGATTGAAGAGGGAGGACTTACAAAATTCTACAGAAAACTCGCAAACACCAGACGCGACCGTGAATCTCGACAGATAGTAAAAGCAATCATAAGGCGGAGCTGAATATACACTCTTATTGGATGCTGTAGCTACTAGGGCGGTTATCTTTTGGTTAACCGCAAGAATCTCGAGATAACCGCAAGCTAACCTCAATAACCACGAAATGTTCATTTTTGAAGGCTTATTTCTCAAAATTTTTATATTACATTTTCAGAATCAAAATCACTATAAAATTTAAAAAAAAAATTCAGCTCTACTATGATATACAGTTTCGAGCTTATATTATTCTGTTGGTAGATATTTGGATTACTGAAAGGGGAATGTAGAAAAGATGCAACCACTTCTCTCTAAATCAAATATATATTTCCGCATGAACCGCGTTGGTTTTCAACAACCAACGACAATACAAAGGATTGACCACCCACAGTGTCCGAAATAATGACTTTGAACAAAGATTATAATTAATTTAGCTATATAATATCGGAATACTACTATATTTCAAATTATCTCCATGACTTTAGACTTCTGTTGTCAGATGGCGACAGTATTAACGAAACCGCATGTAAGAATGCATTATTCGGACTTGGGTAAGAGGCGGATAAATCTCGAGGGACGGCCCGAAAGGGTAGGATCTTCGCATTTTATGCTAGTGCGGTTAGGTTTTGGTTATTAAGTCATGACCAAAACCATAACCGTGCCGCAGCCTATATGTTGCTATGCAGCAGGATGAATGAGCACCTCCCCCCCAAATCCACTCTCAAACTTTTCTGGGTTTAGAAGGATTAGGAGGTCTTTCCGATCACGATTGCAAGAAAACCACATCCTATGGCTATCCTGTGTCAATTTTCCCAAATAACTCTAATTCTCTGGCATTTGGATCACTGCGGCCTACAGGTTCCACGTAATCTGTGCCTCCTAAAGTTTGGGACGGCTACTCAATAGAAATCTTGATTATAGCACTTTTTGCTTGCAATAAAACCAAAAATGGGCGGAGGACTGACCGTGTAGTAGCACGACTCCTCAGATAAGCGCATTATATGAGCTTTGTGTATGTAACACAACCATCACACATGTCCTGTTGTACCGCAATAAATTGCGACTACGTGTTAAACAACTATGAGGAGAAAATTGTACTAACATTGGGATCGACGCCGATGGTTTGGTCGAGCATAGATCGTGCCAGGGCCTTCAGAACACGCGTCCAACCCGGACTGACTACTGTCGGATACCACTGCATAGGCAGAGAACAACGCATGTAACATTCGGCTTGCCTCATTTGTGTACCTACAGATGGTTCGACTTCTGAGATGGTGTACTCTCTGAGAAAATTACTGGCCACCTAGGGAGTTCACAAGATGACTTGGAAATATTATATCTGTGGCCGGTTTCCTGAAATTGCATGAACTAAAGTAAGGCTTGACGGCGTCGTAAACCTGATGACAGCGTAGAATGGCTCCAGATGTACTAGCAAAGTCTAGAAGGTTCTCCAGAACCAGCAAAATGATCTCGGAAGGAAGAGCTCTGAAACTAGGTGAGATGATGAGGTGTAGATCACGATGCGCGTTCTACAGCTGTCGTGCAGTATTTTGACGTTCTTGAAGGAGGCCTGTTGAGGGGCCGGCCTAAATGGAAGGTCTCTAAATCCACTATGTCGGCTAGGCTGATAGCTCAGCCTCAGGATGTACACCAGATCCAAAATGACGTCGATTCTTACGAGGTAATTGTTTTTATACGTAGCAAGTCGTCACTTGCTACCAGAGAATACCTCGAATATGCTGAGCGGCCAGAGGCCTGTTCTAAATGCTTCGCGAGTGAAAGGGCTTCCGGACAGTGTTCTTTTTCAGATGTTTCATGATGCCGGATGTGTTCCGCGCCACTTTGATGTCATTCATCTAAAATAGAAAGCCTTAAGTGCAATTGGTGTGAAGTGGCCCTACTACATCAAATGGCGTTCCAGCATCATATCTCTGATCTGCATGATATGCGCAGTCGCTGGCATTACCCGAATGCGATGCAGGAACTCCAGCCACAAGATTAAGCCGGCCCTGATCTACTGAATAGCAGTGAAGCGAGGGGCCTATATCTTGGGTAGATAAGGCATGCACTGTCTGCTTTGTCGGGGCAGCGCATGCAACCTATAGCCTAGACTTACACTATCAGGGCTTGACGTCTAATTGTGCAATGCAACTTGGAATATTGTGATCGCACTACTGCCTAATTACATACCGGGACTGGCTCGGTTACAGTTGGCCCTCAGGTATATGAAAGGCCTCCTTCCCCCAGCTGGTTGCACGCTCTGTCTCACTTCCTCTTACCAGACCGGCTTTCGTCGGCTTTTCTTCTCTGAGTGTGTCGGCTAAGGGCAAAATGGCAAGCCTTTCCAACCCGATTATTATAGCCGATGACGAGGAATTGCCAAGCTCGAGTCAGATAGCTCACGACCGTTAGGCCAATTCACATTCAATCAGGCTCTCGACGCCTCTCTCAGCTGTCCAGATCTTGGTGATCTTCAAACCAACTGACTCCAGCAGCGTGTGCCAGTTGTCAACGGTGCGCTCCATGGATGCAAAGAGAGACATCATAACAATATCCAGACTGGTGATCTCCCAGTAAGCATCCATCTCGGGAACCACGTTCTCGTTAATCAAGACTTTGCTGTATCCGGGCTTCAAGGCGGGAATGAGGTTCTTGAGGATCTTCCGGCAGTTGTCATCGGTCCAGTCATGAAGGATGGAGTGCATATAGTAAGCACGAGCACCTTTGAAGTAGTGTCGTTAGCCCAGAAATGGACCGGGTCATCACGAATATCCACAGAGGGAAACTCTACCTTGAATCGGCTGCTCCGTGAAGAAGTCGTGCTCCGCGAGCTCGATTGACGAGTGTAGTGGCACAGTCTTCGCCCGGACAATAATTTCCGGCAAGTCTTGGAGTACCAGACGCCCGGGGGCATTAGGCCATTTGCGACGGAATTCGGAAAGATCGTGGCCCACGTTGCCGCCTACATCGACCAACAGAACATCCTGCTCACCGGTATTCGCTTGCTTGATGAGACCGGGTACATCATAAAATCCAACATCCATCCAGCTGGGACGGCCCTGGTGATAAGCAGACATGTGGTTGTTGAACTGGATGGCAGCCTCGGGTGTTTCCTTGAGGAACTCAAAGAAGTGAAGATCAGTGTTGAATCCAATCTGGAAGCTACAGTCTTTGCCATTGGAAGGGTTGCAGTAACCATTCTTCTTCAGGTAGGCGGGAAGGGCATGTATAGCGGCAGTGGCGCAAGCGGTCCTGACGGTTTGATTAACAAGGGTCCTCCAAAATCGGCGGGAAAAGTGTACGATGCTGATACTCACATGCAATGAAAGCCGTCGCTGTATCGCTGCAGGCTCAACAAAGTCGAAAATCCAGTGCGTCGGTATTCATCTGGTCCCGTCTCGATAATCACACCCATAGCTCCCAAGTGCTTCAGATGACGGGCTGGTCGCGTCAGTCAACTCAGAACTCAGAAACAAAAGGATTCCATGTATATTGTCCACGCCATACCGACTAGTTTTCGGTCCGCCGAAACGGCTTCCGCCAGCCCGGAGGCAGTTTTAGGATTGTCATCCTTGGAAAGGACGGTGAAGAGGCCGATATCAATACCAGTCTCCACGGCGGCATAAGCCGTAGACTATGAAAGGAGCCATGTTATTGCCCATACAGTCAGAGCTATGCGTGATAATCGTACCTGCGACCAGCAGAATCTTATCATTGCCTCCCTCGGAGTTTCAAGAGCATAGACGAGTGATCGAGCAGCATCGAGGAGCTCTACCCGAGCCTTTGGAACACCTGAACTAAGGGTCTTACCAGAGGAGGCAATCTGGTCAAGTAAACCCGGGACTAGTTCCGGGGTATTTGGAGAGATTGCTACCGAGCCGTCAACAAACGCTTCATGAGCCTGGCCGTTTGTGCCGTTCTGGTCGTTCTGGTCGTTCGTGCCATTTGTGGCGGTTCTATTATCATGGGATTCTCCGCCGGCTTGAGTCATGATGCAAATATGGTATCTTAGACACAATTGATGGGGATAGAGCAATTGATGAGCCGTGATAAATAGAATAGTCGTAGGCTACATGGAAAATCGCGTCTTTTAATGGCACCGAATCCCTTGGGCGAACCCCTGAGCATCCTTCCAACAAATACAACCCCCTTAGAAAAGTGCTAGGTGATCATTCGTATCTCCTCGCCAGCGCATCATGATGTGCAACAGTCATCTAACCAATAGCATCAAGATATCATGGCTTGTTCTACCTAGTTGCAGCAATATATCGAAGACGGCGTAGTTAGTAGGCTTGGAGAAATCACCACTGAGTCATTTTTGCTATTGGACACAGCGGCCAGGCATAACAGCAGCAGGTACAAGGCAACACGGACACTTCAGAAAGAGTTCGGGGATAGTGTGTCCATGGATCGTTAATCTGCTATATACCGGGCACTTGGTTCACACAGTACTCATTCAAAATAAAACTCCAACACTCCACTACCTCAAATTGTTGTCGTATCAACAGACACCTACATTGATACCAAGGACATTGGTCCCAACTGCATTTCCAATTCTGGAGGCTTGCTTATACTAGGTAGGCAAACTTCCAAGACATGACACAAACTTATACTGAAAATAGTCACCAACAGAAGAGGTGGACCATACGAACCCGGGAAGGTTGATCATAGCTTACTATACGGTCAGCGGTACGCCTATCCCGTGCCATGTGTATTGGCAGGTAAACGTCTACGCATATACGAACTTCGAAGGGCTCACATCAAAAAGGAAACTCTATGCAGTGTAACACACCTGTCAAAGATGCACTGTAGGATGACTTGGATGCGTATGCCGCGTTAACTGACATACCCAACCCATCATGAATAAAAGCTGTAGCGCGAATGGCCGGGACAATAATCCCCCAGGTCCCCATAAAGAAATCCTGGGGTACCGTGGGGGGGGGGAAGGAGGCTGCGCCCCATTCCCGGCCACTGCCTGCACGGCTTCACCTGCTGGGCCTTGTCCGCACTGCCCTATCCAGCTAGATCGTATTCCGGACCGCGGGCATGGGTCGACCGGCTTATCTGGCGAATCCTGTTTAGAAACTTGAGATACGAGAATTGGATGGCAAGGGTTTGAGTTTGATTCTCACCAGATGAATTGACTTGGGACACCGTATGATTTTAATTGGAAATGGAGAATGCATCTATTCTTCGGAGACCATAGTAAGTTGAATGAGCGTTCGTATATTGTCCCCGTCACCGAGGCTAGTCTGGGGGACATTTACCCCTTATATGTAAGTCGAGTTTAAAAGCTAAACTGCCAAGGGTACAATTTCAGCAAACAGTGGCGCATGTAAAATTTCAAATATAGTTCACTGTAATAAAGAATCCCGAGCATGATAATACATCTTTCCAGTCTGTCCAAATATCATAACCTGACGCCATTTGGTTTCCGCGGATCATCCATCTTCAGCTGAAGACTGCTAGCCCTTGTGATTCGAAATTATTTACGCTCTGCTCTCCTTGTATGCGGCGACGGAGGCAAAATTTGCCAGAAACATCTCAACGCCACCCAAGTCCTCTAGGGACGCAATGAAGGCCACATGTTGGTCGGGACGTAACAACACCAGACAGCCTTTGGCACTAATACCATAGAACCGATAAGCGCGCCCGCGTCCCTCGCAATGTGGCTGGTTATCTGCGAAGACTTTCCAGTAGTCATATCCAGTGGTATTGTCGAATGGTCTGAAGGCCTCCGGCAAGCTCGTCCATTCGAGCTTACTCCTTGATGAGCTGTGAATCAAGTATGCTGCAACTTTCCCTACCAAACCATCACCTTCTTGGTTAATCCTGTGAATCACAGAACCATCTCGCGAAAGCGCTTTTCCCAAGTTCTGCACACGATCCATCTGAGCGCTGTTAGTGATATCTCCACCGAATATAACTAGATTCCATTGCCCAGTGCTTTGGAAAAGTTGTTGTAAGTGCCATGGCCGAGAGTCACTCTGACACAAAACCTGCGCGCTGGGGAATCTGACTCCGAGAGCGAGACCTGCAGCAAGCTCGGCCCGGCTATGGGGCAGTAAAGGGCTCGATATTCTGCGGTTTGATGGTGACCTGCAATCCCACGCTGGCGTGACAAGAATGCTAGGTCGATAACAGGCAGACAAGCCCGATGCTGACGTATTCTCCTCTCGAAGTGTAGCTTTGAGCGATCTGAGTCTAGACGATGTGTCCTGGTCGTTAAATTTGTCTTTCAAACAAACTCCCTCGACCATCCGCTTGTCAAACGCGATGAGCCGCATTGCAATAGTGAGGCGTTCTTCCTGGTATGTGCGCAAAATCCTAGGGTGGGCCTTTCCCTTGATAACCGAGGCCAATTTCCAGCCCAGATTATACGTATCTTGGATGCTGACATTCATTCCCTGGCCTGCCTTGGGCGAATGTGTATGTACTGCATCGCCGGCAATAAAAATCCGATTATACATTGAGAGAGTCTGGCACACACGCTGACCAACCTACAGGAAAATCACGAAAATCAGCAATCGGGTTCAACTCTTCGAAGATTTAGCGGTTCAAGATCCCACGTACAGTGTATATAGTTGACCATTCAATTTGAGAGGCATCGAACCTATACGGGTACAGGATCTTCTGAACAAGTTTCACCAGGATTTCTGGATTATAGTTCATATTGGAACCTGCAGCAATGCCTGGTGGCAGCTGAACATAGCATCTGACCAGTCTCCTCTCTCGAGGAATCACCATTAGATGACCAGCCTCCGTCTTGACAATGCATCGTTTGCGGATGTCGGCTTTATGCATTGTCAGCGAAATAAAAAGAATTATCCAGTATAAAGCAGTACCAGGACGCACGGAAGTCAGTGAGAGGGATCGAATCGAACACTCCCCAATTCTCGTTCATGCGATCTCCCTCTTGCGTGAGCCCTAGATGCATCCGGACCCAACTGTGCGCCCCATCGCAACCGACAAGATACTTCGCGTTAATCGTCCTCTCAGTGAACTGCTCGATTTCATTATTTCAGTATATTAACTATTGCCACGTTGCCACGTTCCGGCACATTGCAAGCAGGTTCGAGTGTGAAATCTAACTGCTTCATACCTTCGAATCTGATATCTTCGTTTGGATTCTGAGTTCCACAGGATGAGATGAATCCCTCTGCGAAATGTTCAAATCTATAGGGAAGGTGTTCCACTCGACTTCAACACACTCATGAGACTGGATAAAGTCCAAAAAGTGCTGCTCGATTTCGCCTTGCCCCAGGGTGGATTCCTGATACCGAGAGAGCCCAGGGTTGCAGTTGGTCAAAAGGCCCTCTCTTTCGATCTTCTTATCTCTGGTCTCGTTCTATAGGATCCGCAAAGATTAGGCACATACTTTCTCTTCCAAGAACGTACTCGGTACTTACCCATAGGGACAGTTCAACTGTGCGGTTAGCTTTCTTCCAGACATATTCACCTATACCGAAACTGTCGAGTATCTCCAATGTCCGGCTTTCTATTCCATCTGCATGACCAGTCTGAGTCCTACATGACTTTTGATCAATTATCATTGCTTTCACTCCAGTCTGTGCCATCCAAGTACCGGCCATCAGCCTAGATTCACGAGTCAGTGAGGCCCCTATCACCCTGCACCAATGTCAAACATACCCTGCGGGGCCTGCACCAATAATTAGGACGTCAAACTTTGAGGTGTCCATTCTGATACTCAGGGGAAGCTAGTGGAAACCAGTCTGAGAAGGTATATATGTCTCACACATTAAGGAGCAACGTTTTAGCCTCCAGTACTTAAATACCGTCATGTAGGTTTGTCTGCGCCTGCCATGTCATATAGTTAAGTCTTACAACAACCCAAAAAAGGGAGCAGGGATGGGGGTAATATGCTGTGTTCAGAAAAATTGCCCCTTTCGTACTTTCATACATCAAGGAATCTAAAAAATTTTGCTGCCTGGCTATGGAATTGGAGGGTCGAAAAATCCAATTACGTTAAAAAAGCACGAGCGAATTATGACGAGTAATACGAAATTTGGGGAGTGAGGGTTGCGTGATGGGGGTTTCGTCATGGTGCAGTTGCCTTGATTTTTCTGCATCATATAACGACGCTTCCTCCCTGACATCTCTCCGATCAAGTTACCCTAGACTTCAGAAAGCAGAATTCTCACTGACCTGTTGGCCGAGTGAACCTACAAGAAGTCGATAATAATGGCACATCTCGCGGAAGTACGGAAAAGCTGGGCATTCTACGAGAAGCATCTGAAAGGTAACGGTATGGTGGTTTTGGACGGTGAGAAGAACTCACTCAAACTAGCTCAAATAGTGGTTGTGTCAAGGTACGTTTCCACAACTGACAGTTCTAAAATTTATACCAATTGGTTTAGGCTATCTTCAGAGACTTCGTTACTGCAGTCGGATTCGATTTCCAAACGTGTCCAGGAAAGCATTGACACACTGGAATCTCATTTAAGGAATGGCGAGGACGTTTATGGTAAGCACTTGAAAGTAACTTTGGCGTTTGATTATATCTCACATTACCAAGGCGTCAACACAGGCTGTGGTGGTAATGCCAACACGAGAACAGAAAAGCTTGAAATGCTGCAGAAGGCCTTCCTGCAGCATCACCAAGCAGGGATTTTGCCTGGGACGCCTGGACTGAATGGCTGCAACTATGCTCTTCCATTGGATGTAGTGCGGGGAGCCATACTAATACGCTGCAACTCGCTTCTTCGGGGTCATTCTGCTGTCAGAATGGAAGTGATTGAACTTCTGCGGCAAGCCCTGAACTGCAATATTACACCCTTGATCCCACTACGAGGCAGTATCTCGGCATCGGGCGATCTGTCTCCACTTTCTTACATTGGTGGGCTCGTCGAGGGTAACCCAGATATCTTCGTCCATGTCAGACAGAACGAGGCCAACGCCACAGAAAGGGATAAAGTTGTCTCTGCAGCAGATGCTTTACACCAGTCCAATATTACCCCCTTGACTCTGAAGGCAAAGGAAGCATTGGGGGTAATGAACGGGACGGCTCCAAGTGCTGCAGCAGCAGCATTGACGTTGTACGACACAAATAACCTTACTATCTTGACCCAACTCCTAACGGCAATGGCAACTGAAGCCCTCCTGGGCTCAGTGGACAACTACCATGACTTCATTTCACAGTGTCGGCCTCATACGGGCCAGATGGAAGTGGCAAACAACATCAGATCATTCCTTATCGGGTCCCAGCTCAGCAGAAAGATGCATTTCAAGCAACAGGGATTGGTACAGGATCGATATGCTCTTCGCACTGCACCTCAATGGATTGGCCCACAAGTCGAAGATCTCTTAGCTGCAAATTGCCAGATCACCACTGAGCTCAATTCTTCAACGGACAATCCATTGATCGACGTGCCCGGAGATCGTTTTCACCATGGTGGGAACTTCCAGGCCGCTTCAGTAACGTCTGCCATGGAGAAGACTAGAACGGCCTTGGTTATGCTTGGAAGGCTTGTGGTGTCACAATGCCAGGAGATCATCAATCCATCAACGAACAAGGGCTTACCTCCTAATCTCTGTCTTGACAATCCCAGCCTGTCATTTACCTGCAAAGGAATCGACATCAACATGTCATCATACTTTTCTGAGTTGGCATTTCTCAGCAATTCCATCCCTAGCCATGTGCATACTGCAGAGATGAACAATCAGTCAGTGAATTCACTGGCTCTCATTGCTGCTCGGTATGCAGCGCAATCTGCCGACATTGTCACAATGATGTGTGCGGCACATCTATATGTGCTTTGTCAAGCACTCGATCTACGCGCTCTGGAAAAGGACTTTTTCGATGCTATTAAGCCCTGCTTGTCCTCCCTTTTTGATGAACTCTTCCAAAGTAGCGGAGTGGCTGGAAATTTTGAAAATGTCTGGTCACTAATCACCACATCATGGCATGCGCACAGTGAGTCTGACATAGACTCCCGCTGCGAAAAAGTTTCGAAACACTGTGCACATGCGATATTTGATGATCTCATGTCCACCGGCGCAACACCATCCTTATATGTGTCTGTACAAAAATGGAAATCTTCGGTGACCTCCGTTCTGTCTCAAGCGCATGAAAGAACGCACCACCAGTTCACGATGCATCCGTCTACGCCCGATTACCTGGCCCTCTCAACCAAGGAAATATATCTCTTTGTACGCCAGACACTCCGCGTTCCTCTGCACCGTGGACTGGTAGATCATCCAGAGGCATCGGACAGTGACAAAACAAAAAAGACAATCGGGACGAATATCACGCAGATCTACACGGCAATTAGTAATGGGCGGATCACGGGCGCTTTGCAGAAGGCAACACAGGAAGCAAACTTAACTTCATAGGTGGTAGTGCCTTTTCGGGTTTTTTGAGTTCCTTTCTACGAGTAGTTAGCAGTTTTGCTCTAAGAAATTCGATGACCATATGCAAATATTAGCAGCCAGTTTTACCCCTATTCTTGCTAATATCTGGGACGCGGAACAGCAGAAGTCTGACCTTACAGGCTCCTACATACTCTGGACCTCGCTCTGAGTAAGGTGGCTAGTGGTGATGGGCTAAATCGGTCATATGTGTCAGTCGGATCAGCAATGTTGGATGACGTAACCTTGGAAATGTGGGTGGGGCTTACATGGCCGGAGAACTTACCCGCGGACCTAAATAGAACCTCGTCGTAGCACAACAGTCTATATAAACCTAGTTGTTCTGCATATACGATACCCACGTGGTAAGTAATTGTCGAAGCCAAGTTTTCTCTTTTTCTTTACAATTATTTGGTTTCGTGTTCACTTCCCCTTTTGGTCCCATATTCAGGCAATCATTTCCACAGATGTCATTGAACGCAGAGATCGACAATCAAACGTCATTGTATTACTCAAAATATCTTCGGTTGCTAGGTCCGGTGAGATTCCTAGATCAACGCACTCAATTTGAGTTCATCACGCTTCCACGATCCGAGCGGCTGGGTAGGTGAAAACCCCTCTTTTCTTCTGCACAAGACTCTACTTTAGGACTAGGCGGGAGTATGGATGAACCTCTGCAAGCTATCCATGAATGACACAGTGGTGTAAACCATCAAGGTTGGCGTTAAAATTTGCCACTTCCCCTTTTATCTCGCGGCATATATTGATTGCCGTATTGCGAATGGTGCAATTGAGCGTTTGATGGAAAGCTTTGATGAGGGTTGAGTCTGCTACCAAGTGATATCATCGTACCTGAATTATGTCAGTTTGAAATGATCCTATGTGAGAAACGTTTCGAATCCTCATGAATCCCCCGATTTCTGGCCCATATAAACTTGCTTGCTAGATCTCTTTGAATGAACCAACATCTGAAATTTATCACATTACTCTGAGGAACCCTTTTCAACAAACTCGAGATGACCCAAGACCAAAACAGCTTTTACAAGCCTGAAGAGGCGATTTTTGTATGTATAAAAACACGTCCTTTTCTTCGTAGAGACCACGTGTCCGCTCATCGTTCACTTAGCACAATGATGGACGGGAGGAAGAACTCCTCCAATACATTCAATCCCATCCCGAACACCGCCAGATGCAGGGCAACCCAGAGAAAATTCTCGCCACAATTGACGAGTACGGCTGCACGAAGAACTTCCTCATGAATGTCGGCCAGGAGAAAGGCAAAATCGTGGCCGAAAATTTGATTCCCGAGCTCGAGCCTGATTTCATGGTCGAGCTGGGCGGATACGTGGGTTACTCAGCCCTCTTATTTGGAAGCGCCTTGAAACGTGCCGGGGGCCGCAAATATCTCAGCCTCGAGCGAAGCCCCAAGTTTGCCGCCATAGCGGGTGCGCTAGTCGAGCTAGCGGGGCTCGACGATACCGTGGAAGTCGTCGTCGGGCCCTGTCGAGACTCTCTGCGGAAGATCCGTCATGATTATCCTACTGGCGTGGTGGATGTGTTCTTCATTGATCATGCCAAATTGGATTACGTTAACGATCTGAAGCTATGCGAAGAGCTAGGACTGGTTGGACCAGGAACGACAGTCATCGCTGATAATGTGATTTCTCCTGGGGTTCCGGACTATCGGGAGTATGTCCGGACTCCAACCAGTCAGAAGGTCCAGAAGGTGCAAAAAGAGCTGCCGCAACTGCCAGTTGAGGACAGTAAAGATAACTCTTTGGGTAATCCGTATCTGGTCTATGACAGTACCCTTATTGACAGTTATGAACCGACAGGAGAGCCAGTGAGTTTCCCTTATTGTATTCGCGTGTAATTGGGAAATCGTTAACTGGATACAGGATAGCCTAGAGGTATCTCGCTGTTTGCAAATCGAACGACAGTAGAACAACTATTAGGTTGCGAAGGAATACTGGGGAAGAAAAGAAATAGCTCTGAAGATTAGAATTTCTAGCGAACTGGAATCCTCCATGTACTAGTTAGGACTGTCATTGCTACTTTCCTCAAGCCAGGGGTCTCGTTTCCGTAACACTCTATTGAATTAGTCAGTGGTCTTCGCAGCAGCCCATGTATACGCATACAAATTGAACAAATTGACCCTGAGGCTGGTGCCGCTCCCGTATCCTTTTCTGCGGCGGGTTGAATATTACAAACCGATGGCTGTTGGCACTTTGAAGCCACTACAAGTTGCTGATCTGGAACTCATATTCCTCTCTGCATAGAGATAGTGTAGCCTTTTGGGTACTCACCTACAGACGCAGTAGAAATCCAACCTTCCACAATGAGCCATGTGCAGCGCGACAACTCATAACAATGGGAGCAATGTTTGTTCTGGGGGGGGCCTTATGATGACGCTTTTTAAGCTACGCGTCAGCTGCAATATTCAAAGTGGCAATTATCCTAAGATGGGTCATTTTCTGAAGATCAGGGCAGCATACTTTCCAAGGCATCAAGTATCGATCTGAAAATGGAAATATGATATCATACTGTTTGCAATGAGATGAGGTGTTTGGGATCCTCTCAGAACGACAAATCTCATTCGCAGTCTCAAGCTACTCTCGAAGGTGACTGGCTACTGCCAATAGTAGTATCTGCTTAGGTCAGTAAGGAATGTCCTTTCTATATAAAGCCCAATATGTGCGTGGCAATTATAACATTCCATATAACCTGAAATAATCCAAGTCCTGATTTACCCAGCCAGATCGGAACATCAATTCACAATGGCCTCGCCTTTCAAGACAGTCGCTCTATTTGGAGCCAATGGTCAGGTCGGAAACCGGGTTTTCAAGGCCCTTATCAGATGCAAGGGGCCAGAATTCTCAGTTATTGCCTTTGTTTCTCCCAACTCTTCCTTTAATCTTATGGATTATGGAGACATCAACGCAACTGTAAAGCGAGTCGACCTCAACCATGTCGCTAGGGATGACCTTGTTGCCATCCTTGCTGATGCGAAGGTCGACGTCGTAATCAGTGCTCTTGGAGGGCAGATCATCGCAAAACAATGCGTTATTCAGGATGCTGCTGCAAAGGCTGGTGTTAAGCGATTCTATCCAAGTGAGTTTGGAATGCACCAGGTGGCCTGGCTACCTGATGAGGGAGCCTATCTTGACCCTGTAAGTGATGTCGATCTTGATTTGAAAGCCATTTCTTCAAGTCTATCTAACAACACAAAGATCTGGGCACTGAAGATTAAATGTTTCGAAGACGCAATCAGACACCCCGCGATTAAAAGTGGTCAGATGAGCTACACCGTTATCGGGTGCGGGGAGTTCTACGATGCTCCTGGCGAGCCACTTCTCTGTCCGTGGTTGGAGAAAGACGAGTCTATTAGCAAGGGCGGCTATTCCATCCAGTGCGTGGGAGATCCAGACGCAAAGATGGACTATTCTTCTCTGACTGATATCGCGAACTTCGTCGTTGCAACGCTTCGTCACCCAGAGAGATCGGAGAACCGAATTTTGGGCTTTCGGAGTGACCATATTACCTACAACGAAATCGCGAGGCTTTTGCAGAAATACTCGGGCAAACCGGCTAAGATAAATATCACGTCTGTCGACCAGATGCGAGCAATTCTGAAAGATCCCTCCTCTGCGCCAAAGGAATTGCTGAGGGGAAGCACATTTCCGGTGGATTTCTGGATGATATTAAGGCACGTACAAGGCCAGGGCGTCTTTTGGAGACCGCCGGGGCTGTTGCACAATGATCTGTTTCCAGAAGTCAAGCCTGTTTCTGTGGAGGAGTACTTCAGGAACCTCTTTGCGAAGTGAGGTTTTGTGAGAGTATTGGCCTTCGATTTTCGGGGATATGGGAGACCTTTTTTTACGATCCAGTGCAAATTGTATTTCGAAGAATAGCAAGAGAGCTCACATGCCTTGTCCATTCTTTAGCTACTCAAGTTGCAGTCCAGATAGTCTAGGTTGAAAAGGATATGCACGCAAGGAATTGTTACTTTGAAATGCTCAGACTACAGTAAGAATTCAATGTCTTCAGTCACCGAAAGGTAGCGATAAATGCGGACTGACAATATTTATACAGTGGCTGCCTCATTCACCAAAATACATTTGTATCTCACGTCCCCCACCCGCCGAGATTCAATTGCCTCCTGAATACCAGTTTGACTCAGTGGAAATTTCTCGGTTGTGGGAAAAATCCTGTGCTTTGCACAAAATTCCAACAGTTGGCGAATACTCTCCCTTGGTGCTGTGAGTGAACCTTGAATGCGGATTCCATTGTCAATCATGACCAACAAAGGTACCGGAGTTGCCTCGAGAGTGACAGTCAATGGATAGATTGTTCCGTTTGTTGCCACCAGGGGCATCAGGCTACTATAGTCCTGAGTCCCACTGCTGCAGAGTAGTAAATGATGGACGGGTTGAACAGTATCAGGAAGAGAGCCTGCAGAGACATCAGAGGCATCAATGAATTTGTCCTGCTTGAGTACATGAAACTCTCTGGCTCCAAACTTTATGCAGTCTTCTTTCTTTGCGTCTGATCGAGAGAAAACCACTGTATGGTAGCCAAGTGCCGCAGATAGTTTCACGGCAAGGTGGCCCATGCCTCCGACACCTATAACACCGACGCGTTGTCCAGGGCGAAGGCCATATCGGGTCAAAACCGACCAAGCAGTAGCTCCGCCACACATGATAGCGGCGGCATCAGAAGAGCCATAATTTGCTGGAATTGGAATGAGGGAGTCGGCGTCCCAGATTGCTTGTGACCCAAAGGCACCTTGATTGGTATCCCCACGGCCATAGGGCTGTCTGCTTGAGCAATACTGATCCCACCCTGTACCGCAAAGTTAGTAAGCTCTGCAAAACGAGGATAATTATTTAATTGACTACTTACCATGAACGCAATTGTCGCACTTATTGCACGTTTTTTGGATATAAGTGACTCCAACTCGATCGCCAACATTGACCGATTGAACCCTTGGGCCTACCTCTTTCACAATGCCGGCGCCCTCATGGCCAAGGACTTGAGGTGAACGGATGTAGAGTTCATCAGTGCCGCAGAGACTTCCATGGGTTACCTCAAGCAAAACATCGTTCGAATTCAGCGGACGAGTTATCTGGTCCTGAATGACTTTCCCACTTTCAGAACCCCGAAAGACGTTGAATGTGTAATACATGATGTGAGGCAAAACCTTGTGAAAGTGCGTCAGGGCATATAGATCCAAGATATCCAGTGACTGTGACGGATTCGGAAAGAAATAGAAATTGACTATAAAAACCAGAGACCTAAAGGTCGGTTTTTCTACCTTCTATTCATGATGCACATTCTATGGTCCCAGCCTTCCTTACCCTTACCCCCGCGCTCCCAACCAAAATTCTCTACGTCATATTCAACACTATTTGTCTTATTCTGTGTAACACCACGCATGCGGAGGTAGAGGTTACGTTGTCATCATGGAGGACGCTCGAGCGTCAGCAGGCTTTTCCGACGCATAATGCATGTCTCCAGGCTGGGGAAGATGTGTGACCATCCAAGATTTTCAGTATCAGGCACTCAAGGTTTAGAGATTTGACATCATTTATGCTGATCAATACGCTAACATTGCACGGAGATGTCCGTTCAATCAATTAGGTGAATTCCATGTTCATGGCTGAAAATCTCTCACTGTGTTCTGAGCAGTACGCTGTCATCATGACCAGACGTGCCATGGTGCGCTATTGAATTTCTACTATTTATGCTCTGGGCCTATAGACGACATTCCACAAAGACTACGGAACTCTTTATGGCATACCCTCGTCAAACCAAGTCACAAATAGATCCGACCACGATGAATCAAGAGCAGCTAAATGAGTGTCATCATGTTGGGCATCGTCTGCTGCTCAACTATATTGATGGAATAGCTGCAGGCAATCCTCACAAAGTAGCTATTCATCAACTCATGCACATGGAGGATGAAGGCCCTAACACACAGACGGAAATCATTCTTAGCTACCAGGATGTTGCAGGTTTGGTTAACAAGCTAGCCTGGTGGCTAAGTGATAATGGGGTACGAAGGGAAAGCTCAAACGGTGTCATCGCGTACGTGTCCACTACCTATCCATTCTGCTCAAGATACTGATAACCCATCTACGGCAGTTACTTAGGTCCTAGTGACCTGAGACACCTACTGATTCCACTGGCGGCAGTTAGAGTGGGCACAAAGGTACGTATCAAAAGGTTTCAGTATTTGACAGCATTCGCACATAGCTGAACTTGTGCATAACATGACAGGTTCTTTTGCTTTCACCTCGAAACAGTGCCTTCATGCACGAGTCCCTCCTTCAGGTTTCTCGGGTTTCGCTCCTGCTGTATGACCACACTTTTGAAAACATGGCAAATGAGATGTCCCACAAACAACACATTGATATTCTCTCGGTTAATAATTTGGTGGACCTCATGAGCGGGATCAAGAAGGTGGAGGCATATCCTTATGAAGAAACTTGGGAAAGTGCCTTCTCCAACCCATTAGTGGTCAGTAATCCAAGATGGGGAGATGAATCGCAACGGTTACTGAGATATGCAAATACGCCAAGATCCTGCATACAACTGGGTCCACCGGAATGCCGAAGCCCATCACCGTTTCGCATTCCGCATTAGCAGCGATTGACGCACAGCGCTTAATATCTGTGAAGGATCCGGCAGGGGGAAGATGCCAGTTAGAAATCCTCGCAGAGGCCAAAACCGTGTACACTGCCTTCCCAATTTTCCACGTTGCGGGATTTGAGCTGAGCTGTTACCTTCTTTTCTCCGGCTGTATCCTGTTGCTTGGGTACCCACGCCAGCCTCCGAGTATTGCAGTACTGCGCAGGGTCTTGAAGCTCCCTGAGGTTGATGGCGCTCTCCTGCCACCGTCAATTATAGACGAGCTCTCGCAAGAACCAGAGTTACTCACGGAAGTATCCAAGCTCCGTTGGATTTTCTATGGGGGAGGTAAGATTACTCTGCTCTGATACTTTACTAATTTGCAACAACATTGGCTAAGCTGGTTGACCTCATGTAGGATCAATCGCCAAAAGGACAGGTGACCTCGTCGTCACGAAGACCCGACTACTGAATGGAATAGGCAGCACTGAGGTCGGGTCATTTATACAATATCCAACGGACCCTCTCAACTGGAACTACTTCCATTTTCATCCTTCGAATGGTATCAGATGGCGACCAATATCAATAGACTCAGAGGGGCAGCAAGGTGACGAGTTTGAATTGGTACTACAACGTGACGACTCTTGCATTTTGTACCAAGGGGTATTCCAAAACTTCCCTTGCCTTCAGGAATGGGCAACCAAGGATGTCTTCCGGAAACATCCTTCCATCATTGGATACTGGGAGTACCGGTATCGCCTGGATGACCTTATCGTCTTTTCTACTGGAAAGAAAATGAACCCTGTGCCTTTCGAAACCCGACTTAACGGGGTTCCTGGGATCAAGGCAGCCCTTGTGATTGGTAACAAGCGGTCTTATCCTGGACTTCTACTGGAAACGGATAGCTCATCTCAGGGCGAGTGCAACTCTCATTTTCTCCAGCCCCCGATGAAAAGCATCATCAAAGAAGTATTGGAGATCGAGAATTTTCAGAGCTCCCGAGACGCCCAAGTTACTGCCGAAGCAATCATCATCGCTACCCCAGATAAACCGTTCGTCCGAACAGGGAAAGGCAGCGTGCATCGAAACAAGACCCTGACGCTCTATGAGTCCGAAATTGATGATCTATATAGTTCAACCCAGTTCCCTGATTCATTAAATTGTGGCCACCCGCACCTGGACTTGTCTTCTGAGGAATCCCTCTCATCCAACTTGATTGAGTTGATCGGTAAGCTCGTACCGAAGATCGGCGAGTTGAATGCCTATGAAGATATATTTGCCACTGGGCTGGACTCGAAACAGACCCAAATATTGGCGGCTGCCGTGAACAAAACCCTCGCGAATCAGACTGGTAGAGGCGGGCCAGATTCTAGGCCAATCTTCTCTGCGGATGTTGTCTATGGTAATCCTACCGCACAGAAGATGGCAAATGTTATCCTTCGGCGACTTTTTGCGCCTGAGCAGGAAATCCGGGACTTGAAAGAATTTTACACTATTTTGCAGCGGTTGGATACCATTGTCTTGATTTTTCAGTATTCAGATACTAACTGTTCTTCTAGACATTCAGAACACCTACCTGATGCTCCTGCAGATATGGTCTCCGATACCCTCGACCACACCAAAAGGCATGTTCTTCTCACGGGCAGCACAGGTTTTGTCGGTTCGTATACTTTGGATGCGCTTGTGCGCCGGAAGAATGTTAGCCGTGTGACCTGTCTCAATCGGAGAGGAACTCATAGATCCAAGACTTGGATCCAGTCATTTCCAAATGATGAGGCAAAATCCACAGCTATTCGTTTCGACCACATGCGTGCTGACCTTGCTGAGGGCACCCTGGGACTCGCTGGAGACGTTTACAATGAGCTTCTGGACAGCGTGACAGATATTCTACATTGCCAGTGGCCAGTAGACTTCAATTATCCATTGAATTACTTCGATCCAAGTATTCATGGTGTGGTCAACCTGATCAATTTTGCGCACGGCACCAAAAATAATGCGCACATCATTTTTCTTTCTACAGTGGCCACCGTCAAGCATTGGGCTGAAGACATGCCTGTGCCCGAGGAGCCATTGACTTCGCCTCAAAACGCCGAGACAGGATATGGAGAGAGCAAACTTGTCGCGAGCTTGTTGCTGGATCAAGCCGGCCAATCAGCCAATGTTCAATCAACTATCTGCCGTCTTGGTCAAGTCGCCGGTCCTGTCAAGGAGTGGAGAGAGGGTAGCGAACATGCGTGGCCACGCCGTGACTGGTTCCCATCTCTCCTCTCTAGCTCATTCGAACTGGGCTGCCTACCAGGTTCTCTCGGACCGGCAGACCAGATTGACTGGATACCGGTCGATGTGGTGGCCGAGATTCTAGCGGACCTCCTATGCTCGCCCAACATGCACAAGGGGGATAAAGATGGTCATGCGACTAGATATTGCCATATCGTCAATCCCCAGCGGACATACTATGCGGAGCTGGTGCCGTTCTTGGCAGAGCGACTAGGAGGCCCCCATAAAAAGATGAGAATTGTGTCTCTAAAGGAATGGGTGGGTCTGCTGGCGGAGAAAGGTCTAGATGAGCAGAGTTTACGTAGGCAGCCCATCCCCGGAGTCCAACTGCTCGACTTTTTCCAGAGACTTGCACATTCTCCCCGCCAAGGATCAGTGACGTTGAAAACGACTGTGACTGAGAGATGGCTTCCGCGTCTGACGAGCATCGATTCTGTCAACGAGCTATGGATGGGTATGTGGCTTGAGCAATGGGGAATGACATCTCCTCGTAGCTAGACCAATTTCGTTTGTTTATTTCTCCAGCTATTCTGTGGAGGGTTATCTTATGAAATTTATGTTAACGTTATCAAGCTGCATAGACTGCGGCATATCGTACGATAACGATAATGGTACATGGTACATTATCGTTATCCGCAGTTGCGGATAGTTGGATAGTAACTTACTTCATTATCGGCATCCGCATGCGGTTAACCGTCGGTTAACCAGGTGGGCATAGGCCTCGGCAAGGACCGGGTCTGGTCCTTGGGCTAATGGGGGAGTGAATCCCGCGGTGGATCCCTGCTCGGCTATCCCGTCCACGCCGCCGCTCGCGCCAGAGTTCCCTATCATCACCACGATCCAATTCAATCACGGTAGGGCTGCACCTGTTGAGATAGATGTTACGAACCCTGCAGCATGAGGGGTCGTCACCTACAGATGGGCCACCGAGAGCCAACCATTCCCAGGAAGGATCAATTACGTGCATACTCAGGCGGTCAGGCAGGAGAAACGGCCTCCCACCGTAGTAAAATATTATAACTTGGTAAGACTTTTTGTATATAATAGCCACACTATACAGAATCATACCACACTAGAAAAATTGTTTTTCTTATTATCAACCTTATATATCGGGCACCAATTGATCATCTCATCACCTTCCTACTATAGTAATCTAGATGTACGAGTGGAAGCGTCTTTCATCTACGCCCCAGTCTGGGGCAACCCCCCTTAAAAGAAGAAGGGTTTGGGTGTGCGACTAAAGGGAGCCTACATATAATCCCATCTCCCCCGTGATACTTTACTCAACAACCCTCTTTAATCCCCCTAATATGCGCCTTTTCAATTCTCGGCTCATATTATGGGGTCTTTACTCCTTGCTCATTCCTGAGATATCCTGCGTTCCAGTCTCTGAAGACCCTTACTCCGAAAACCTCCAAACCTCTCAAATTGATGATGAAAAGACGCCTATTCCACGACACTTCTTTGCCAAAGCTTCACTTGAGACACGCAACAATCACATCCCCCCTCAGGGTTGTTTTCTACGAGGAAAAAGAAAGGCTGTCAGTGAGCAGGAGTCTGCCCGCTTCAGATATCGCATCTACGATGCGGGCGAGGCATATGCGGAGGTGGATCTCAGAAACAAAATAGGGAGTGGTCACGAAGGCGATGTCTGGGACGGAACACTTACCTACCTAGACACGGAAGATAACAGAAAGAGGAGGATTAGACCCAACGTTCCAAAGCGAGTGGCTGTCAAGATATCAGATGATGGACATGTGTTAGACCAGTCCAACCTTGAACAGCGCATCGACAGCTCCTATATTTTGAAGTACATAGAGCGCTTCTGGTCCATAACGGACGGGAAAGCGGTCCTAGTGATGCCAAAAGGCAAAATGGATCTACGCAAGGCCCTCGAAAGGAACTGGCGGGGACTCAGTCTCCTGGTCACAATACTCGGTGCTGGAATGGCATTATTCGATGCTAAGAAAGCACGAATTGTTCATCGGGACGTGAAGCTTGCAAATATCCTTCTCATGGCCAACGGCGACCCTTACCTGATTGATTGGGGTTTGGCTAAGTACATGGGGAGGGAGTCTACTCTTCCCGCGGGAAAAGCTCCAGGGACAGACAATTTTATGGGTCCAGGTAGGCTTTTGTTTCTGGCGATCGACCCTTCCCTATATTGTATGAGATGGAAGTGTTGACTCTATGTTCTCTAGAGGCCTATCATGGCGAAGAGCATGATCCCTACAGCAATGATGTTTGGTCATTGAACAAGACTTGGTTGAAAGCCGAAGACAATAGAGTGAAGTTTAACAAAGACTACGAGAATTGGGTGGATAACGCTCTACGCCCGCCGCGTCAAAAAGACGGAACACCATCTGGCCTCAGTCACGACGATGCCTCTAAGTTTATGAAGGATAACTTTCCAGATCTAGGCGAAGATAAAAGGCGACTTATGGCAGCGGGTTTATGCCGACAGGATGAACGCTGGAACATAGACAAATGGTTAGATGATTTCATAAATACATTCGAGCCGTAGTTTGACCGGCCTGAGAGAAGACAAACCAAGGAAAGATGAGAATCATGTTGCTTGAATTAAATCTTCTCTACATGCCTGACCACGACCTTCAAGGTCTGCCAATACTTGGAGTAAAGAAGAACCATCGTGGTAGATCTATTAAATTTATATAGGAAAGAGAGGACTTTCTTCTGCCGATGCAAAACATTTCTTTTTCTTTGGGGTTCGTTTCTTTCGGAGAGACTGGTGCTAAAAATGTTATAGAAGGGTATCCTGTGAGTCAAAGATTGTCTAAGAATCCCTAGGAATGATTCATAGAACCCATCCACAGGATTGCAAGCTAGAACCATTCAGCGATATTACATAAATGCATACTGGGAAGTTCAAATCGACAATTACTAGAAAGCATGTTTGTAATATATACTCTTGGGTCATCTTATATAGCTCTCTCAAATGGGAGGGAAGATTCCTTTTCGGGTAACATAGAGCATGGGTGGGTTGGCTTCGGATAAGTATATAAAACAAGTTGAATGCGTAGGGTGATCAAACAGCCGAGTACATGCTCAGCCCTCGGTCTCGGGTTCGCTCCACATTTGAGTCATGGCACTTGCGATGTGGCTTGGACAAGGCTAACACGCATCACCGAACCCGACCCAGCGCGGGTGAATATATAATGCTAGCGTGTCTGATTTATTCCGTAGAAGAAAATCTTGTTAATCCTCAACCGCCTCCTCACATGCTAGAATGGATGAGTACGACCTGCTCATCATCGCCGACGCAACGGCGTCGATGAGCAACTATCTCCATGCACTGAACATCTCTCTTCCCCAAACCATCTCAATTTCCGCTCTCACAGGGTGCTTCTCTCGTATAGGGCTGCTTGCTTACCGCGATTACAACGATGAGACCCCCCTAGAGTGGTCAGGATGGCTGCAGCAGAACTCGGACGATGATCCAGCGAAACAACAGCCCGATCTGGTCGCCATGGCCAAGCAGCTCGAGCCTTATGGTGGAGGCGATTATGCAGAAGCCACCAAAACAGCACTGGCTAAGGCATATGAGGTGATGCGATCGGATGCGAAAACACTTGTTTTTCTCTACACAGATGCTCCCCCACACGCGAACGACGCGGATGTTTCTCTGAGTGACAATCCGCTCAAGGAGAGGACCGCCTTGTCTGAGACAGACTCCTATTCGGGGTTTGGGTCGGCATTTACCGACTGGGTTGCTGCCTCTAATGCCTTGCGCGCGGGTGAGAAACAGGCGCAGGTCTTTGCGATCCTCGAGCCTGATATGCCGCGGAACTGTGCTGCGTATTATAACTTCCTCTGCACACGAACCGGCGGCGCATGTGTGTATCTCCGCGATTCCAGTCCTGGAAGTATCTCCAAGGTAACCGTCGACCTGTTGTTGGCATGGATGGGCTTGGAAAAGGCGCCTGTGGCTGGCAGCAAAAAAGGAAATAAGCTGGCTCTGCCGGCAGATCTATCGCGATATATTTCTGTCAAGGGGATCAAGCAGATTAAAGATGAAGACACGGGGCAAGTTGGACTATTTTTTGCGTCTCCTGGCTTCAAGAATGCGCCTTACATGCAAAATATCGCTACCATCAAATTAACCGCCGAGATCATGAAAAGATACCTTCCGAAGAAAAACACCCCTGTCGAAGAATTTTCCAAGCGGTGGAATGAAGATGAGGACTATAAAGAGATTGCCGTCAAGCACTTGATGAAGATCATACACGACGATATCCGGGCCATTGCCCTCAACCCTGTGTTTGGAACACTCTGGAGAGCCGTATGTAATGACCGAAACTACTTTCGTCGCGACGAGATCGTTCTTGCCTTTACCCAGAGCCTCAACCGCATGGGGCATGCAGGCGAGAAAGCAAAGATGAAGGCATGGTTGGAGGAGTCGTACGATTTCACCGAAGAGATCCAGTCGATAATCGACAATATTCCTGCAATGGAACGCTTCCCTTGTGTTTTCTTGGATCCTACTCTCGACTTCTCGTCTTCAAATAACGATTCAAGGAACAAAGAAGACGATGAAAAGCCGATGTTCGACTTGACGAGAGCCGAGTTGCTGGAAATTGGTCGCTTCTGCAATGCCGACATCTTACGACGATTGAGCCGTATCCTCACCCGACTCACTGTAGTCAATTCTGCGGATGAGATGCCCGAGCATATTCAGCATGCAAGTGCCAAACCCGTTCCTCGGATTCCGCTGGCCCTGGCACTGGAGAAACATAACCGCCAGTTCTGGAAGATTCTCTTCCATGTTATTGTGCCAGGTACACGATTGTCAGCTCGTCCTGCTGCTCTTGTGGCTGCGCTCAGTTTACGATTGGGAATCGCCCCTTTCACGGATGCAGCCGAGGGCGAGATGCTGGCATTCAAGGATAAATGGAACGATGCCTCGACTCCCGAGAATTGGACAATTGGCTGCTTGACGCTCCTCATTGACGCGGACGAGGCCTATCAAAAGCAGCAGCAATACTCAGCTTCAGGAGAAACAACTGTAGTGGAGAAGCTCAAGGTGCTTGTCAACTCCGGTGATCGCGTTCTATTTGAACGTTTGGTTGCGTTCAAGATGCTCGAGCTCAATCTCGACACGCCCTTGAAAGCCCGTGTTTCATGGACCCCAAACAAAGCGGTTGCTTCGATTGGACCGCTGGCTACCTGCCGCTCTTGCCAGTATCCCCGCTCCGTCACCATCATGGGCGACAGCGGCAAGTGTGGAGCTTGCCTTGCCACCGACTACGTGAACGCCGCGCAGAAAGAAAACCGTATTCAAACACGGGTATCGCAAAACACGACCACTGCATCTGAGGCCACATGGGTGGAGTGTGGTGTTCACTCGTGCAGGGCCCAATATGTTGTCTATGCCGCCGATGCCTTGAATGTCCGAGCAAAGTGCTACTATTGTCGACGTCAGAGCAAGCTAAAAGACACGAAACAAACCCCGGTCCCTGCGCCAGTGGTTGAGTGCAAGCGATGTCTGAATCGCATGATCTGGCCTCGGCCGTATAGACCGTCTCGCTTCAATGAATCAGACTTCATCTGCCCTCCATGCACCTCAGGCTGTGATCCGGCCACGGAAATCGAACTGACAGCAAGAAAGATAGCGGCCGAGAACACACTGGCCTGGCTGGTCCGGGACACACAAAACACTGACGCAAAGCCATTCCAGAACCGATCACTGTTCCAAACCATCTCCGCAATGGGCGTCGACGGCTTCCTTTCTCGCATCGGACTGTTCCCTTCTGAAAAGGCCACACTCAGCCACAGCGGCAAGCCCATCCACAACGCCGCGTCCTTGATCACAACCCTCCAGGATATCGTCCACGACCGCAAAACAAGCCAGGTCGACTGCTCGCTATGCTTCTCAGCCTTCCGCGCAGGAACCCTGAACCCAGCCTGCGGTCGACGCGGCTGCTTCCAGCAGATCTGCAATACTTGCCTAGCAAGCTGGTACGGGCTCAACGCCGCAGGCAGCATAATCAACACCGCCGCTCTAGCCTGCCCATTTTGTCGCCGACTGCCAACACCACGCACGCTAGCAAAATACGGCATGGGCATCCACGCAGTATGTAATCTCGCCGACGCCGTGCGCGACCAGGGGACGCTGATCTACGCCTGGTGCGGGGACTGCTGCACGGCGAAGGAGTACATGGAGCGCAGTTGTGCACGCGGTGCACCGCCCGAGATCAGGCATTGGACATGCACCGAGTGCGTCGAGGAGGTCGAGAGGCAGCGGCTGGAGCATGAGCGACAGCTGGCCGAGCAGGCGCTGGCGGATGCTCGCGCCGCACAAGATCTGAGGCGGCAGGAGGAGGCAGAGCGCCGTCGCCGGATTGCGGATGAGTCGGCTGCGGCGTGGCGTATCAGTAGGCTCAAGCCGTGCCCTGGGTGTGGGACCTTGACGGAGAAGATCTCGGGGTGTGGGCATGTGGTGTGTACGGTGAGGCGGTGCAAGACTCATTGGTGCTATTTTTGTGGGAACCCCTTCTCCAAAGACCGCATCTATGAGCATATGGATCGGGATCATCGGGGGCTTTTTACTGATGAATACGGGGTGGAAAATGATACATTGTAGATAAGGCCTCAATATAATGATAGATCATGAAGAACAATTTCCAAAAATATATACGTATATATAGGACAGAATTTACAACACAAATAAGCACTAAAATCACCAAGGCAAAGGCTCTCCGATTGCATACTTGTTGATAGCAGGAGCTATTTGTTGAATATTTGGTATTCTACCTAAAGCTACCTAAGAAAGAGTCGGTCTCAAGCATCTGACTTGTCAGTTCTTCAGTGTGGATTAATTGCTCGCCGAAAGCACCCAAAAACCGCACGGTAAAATGGATTGAAGGACCAGGAGCAAAAAGAGCTTGAATTCTCCGAAACGAAACGTAAAACAATCAACAACAGGGGGTATGGGTAATGGTACAAATCAAAAGAAAAACACAAAGAAAAATGAAGAGCGTGGAATCTTAGTATGGAGAGTTGACAATATCGTTCTTGCCGAGGTGGCTGCCCCATCGGCCGCTTCGGGCACGGCTGGGCGTGACTGGGCCAGCAATGCTCTCGCGTGTGGGCTTCTGGAAGCTGCGCTTGGCGACCATGTTGACCTCGTTTGGAAGAGCAACAATGACGTTCTTGTCGGAGCCAAACCGGAAGTTGTCGGCCATGACATTCTCACCGTAGCGCTTGATGGTGTACGGATCCTTGCGACCAGCAATGATCTTCTTCAAACCCCAGGTAATGATGAAGGGGCCGGTGGCGGTGATAATGGACGTTTCCTCGGAGTCAACGCCGGTGTTGAAGCGGGCCGGGGTGAATGCCAAAGGCTGCTTCGTCTCGTGTTGGAACTGCGCGACGTGCGCGGGCTGGAGACCCAGGCGACGGGGCTGAGGCTTCGAATCCTTGGCAAAAGAGCGTTCGAATCCGAGTTTGCCTTCATTCTTGCCATCCTTCTGCATCGAGTCGATGAGGAGCAAGTAGGTGCGGCATGTCGCGAGCACCCAGCGCCCATCGGCGGACACATCCAGACCGATAATCGGTTCGCCCAGAGCTGGAATATGAGTCTTGGCATTGATTCCCAGACGATCAAACATCCGGATGTCACCCTTGTTCGACGCGACAGCAAGATACCCCTTCTCGGTTGTGGCGAGAGCCGAAAAGTCGTTCTTGCTAGCATACTGCTTCAGATCGCTATCGACGAGCTTGTTGCCTGACACACGAGGGTCGATCCGGTAGAGGGCATTCTTGGATGCACCCACAAACGGCTGCGCCGAGGTCAATTGCGCGAATTTCTGTACTTTATTGTTAGCCCATCCATTCATCTAGCAAAGTTCGTGGGGTTGGAGATAGTTGCTCACATTCTCAGGCGCAAAGGTATCGACGGGAATGTCATCATGGACCTTCCATTCATCGACAATCTTGCCGTATTCCAAGTCCATGCGGTACAGTGAATTGGGGTCGTCGGCATTCTGGAGAACCATGTTGCGGTCCTCCGCGTGCAGCATGACCTTCTTGGGGCTGAACAGCTTGCCGTTTGGAGTTTCCACCTTGGAAATGTTGGTAGAGAACTCAAGATTGTTGTTCGGGGTATGCTTGAAAACACCAATCTTCGACCCGCGAACGACAAACGAACGGTCATGCTTGTATCCCACGGCCAGCTGAGAATTAACGTTGCCATCCTCATCCCGCGTCACCACATCCTCTTCTTCCTCGTCCGAGTCATAGTGCTCGCTGCGTTGACCATCATCCTGGTCGGTCTCTTCCTCCTGCTCCTCCTCCTCTGCTTCTTCTTCCGGCCTGTCGTCGGCATCCTCCATGGTGAGATCTTGGAATGCATCAAGGACATATTCTCGATCATTCTCCTTGACTTTGGTCCACTTCATCTCGTTGAGCTGTTCCCAGAGCGCCTGCATCAAGCCCTCCTGGAACCGCTCTTCGGAGGCCTGGTCCTTGAACCGCAGCAGCCAGGAGTATGCCGCTCCATCTTCTGAGTAGTGATTGAAGATGAACGAAAGATACTCAAAGTTGAAGACGGGGTTGATATCGCCCACAACTGCCTGTCCCAGCCAATCCTTGTCCTTGCCGCTGATCTGAAGCCAGTACTGCCAGTTTCCAATCTCAGTCACAGTTGCCAGCACGTCGGAGTCCTGCAGGACAAAAGATCCGGTGGAAAAGTCAAACAGGTGAAGCTCAGCCTTCTCCTTGCTGAGAACTTCCTTGGCTTCAGGCTGGGCTGCAGAGGCTGGAGCAGTGGTAGGTTCTTCATCCGCTGCTGCCGACTTGAGTTGGCCCTTAGACTGAGCATACTTGACGTCTCGTGCCATTGCTGCTGCTGAATCGCCCGAGGTCAAGGAATGCGCACGCGATTTCGTGGTCGGGGAAGAGACCGGGCTCGCGGACGGAATGGGCTTCTCCTCGCGGAATGAAAACCCCTGCAGCTCTTCCTCGGTAGCCTTCTGGGCGCTGCGACGGAACTTACGCTCGTACTGACACTGAAGGGCGGCCAGCTCAAACGTAGCTACTTTGTCCGATGGGACTGAGGGGTCGCAAATGAACTCGAATAGATCACCCGCGTCACCGCTCAGATCATCCCACGCCAAGATCTTCGATCCTCCGTCACGAACCTCCGAGCGGAAGTGCAAGGTCTGGTCAAGCAGAAAGACCTTCTCGTCCTTGTCGACTAGACCGTCCGCGGCGCCTTCTTCGTCTTCGTCGTCTGCGAGTTCCTCCTCGCCTTCTTCGTAGGCTCTCTGAATGACCAGCTGGTACTGGAATTCTTGACCAGTGCGCCGAATCGTGGCCGCAGCGTCTTTGAATATGAGTTCGGAATAACCCTTGGGCGATAAGGGGCGGACCAGATACAGCTGGCCCTGCGGGATTTCGATGATGGACTCTTTGGAAGTATCACCAAAGAGGAATTTGCTCACTGTTGACAACACGAAAATGAGGAATGTCAGTTTATCCGTATATGACGAAGGTGAAATGTAACCGTTGGTATGGAGGGGTTTGGCGGGGCAGACAACGCGTTGCTTACCGTTGCGGAGCATAAACATGGTTGCGAGGGGCACCTGCCAAGGACCGGGGGGAGGGACTTGGGAAGTGCGGGTGAGGGGGGAGGTGGAGAAAGGGAATTAGGGAGTTCAGAAGTGAAGAGAGAAGAGAAGAAAGGCTCTTCTTCCTGTCGAGAGAGAACAAAAGAAAGAAGAAAAGCAAAAACTGAAAAAGACAAGAAAGTCGCCTCCGTCATCGAGTGGCTGTGGTGGGCGGTGGTGGCTTGTTGCTTATGTAATACGCAATGGAGGTGCTTTCCGTTTTAGGAAGGTTCACTCGTCTCCTTCGTTTCCATCGGACACTTCTGCTTCACCTGCTTCCTCCTCTTCTTCTCCATCACCTCCATTTTCGCCTTGAACGCCCTGCCTTTCTTTCAGCTTCCCTCCTTTGCGTGGTGGCATAACCTTCATAAACGCCTCTCCCCAGTCCCGAACTTCCAACCACCGGAGCATGATTTCCACCACGTGGTTCGTGGTCAACACCGATCGGGATGCCATCTGGATGTAATCACCGATGGGAAGCTTGGCAGTTTTGATCCCCTTTTCCATGGCATGCTTGTAGCAAATTCCCTTGTGTCGGTTCTTGTCCACCAGCCCACCGATTATGTATGTACTATAGGGTTTGAGCTCGGTGAGGGTATCCGGGCTATCGCTGCTGAGATACACCACTTCGCCATCTTCTGGCTTCGCATCGGCCTGATCAGCGAATGGCCCGACCAGCTTGCCTCCCCGCGGAGGAACCATTTGTTCTTTGGCTTTCTCGGCTCCCTGAGCAAAGTCTTCCGGCAAGAGCTGGATTCCCTTCCAGTTCTTGTGACCAGGGAGAACGGTATCGAACCGCTCTTTCAGCAATTTATTGAACGAAGTAAACATCAAGTGTGCACTGTATGGCGCACGGGCGTTCTCCGAGTAGGACCGTGTCAGTTGCGCCGACAGCGAGATCCGTTCCTTGTCCACCATCAAATCGTCGTAGCTACAGTCCAGCACAAATGTCAGAGGGAGGAGCCTCGACCGATGATGTCTGGACTTGGTCGATTCCCATGTTTTGCGCAGCGCTGCCACTGCTTCCTCGCCGCCTTTCTCCCGCGCTTCCTCGATCATCTGACGACGGCGATCCCTCTTCTCTTGAGTCTTTTCCTTCCTCTTATCCTTGCGCTGAGCACGGCTTTTCTCCCATTGTTCTTGGCGGCGGAGTTTCTTCAGTTGGTTTTTAGACATTGGCGGTGCAGCGCCCTCGGGGGCATTTTGAGTAGTTGATTCAGCCGCCATTGCTTGGCCAGTTTCCTCACGCGGCTGAGAGGCCTCGTGGGCTTTTTCCTCGGTTGTATCTTGTGCACTTAGTGCACCCGTTTGCTCCGCATCCTCGGACATGTTCACAGCGCCGGTCATGGCGGGGCCGAGTTCCTCGTTCGCAGCTTCATCGTGGTCCAGCTTCGGTAGCTTTCTTGGTCTGTCGTCTTCATCCATAGCCCGCAACGTGAATGGGGAATTGGTGGAGGCGTTCGAGCTGAACTGTCAAATGTAGCTCGGGTGGAAAAAGCCCATCGAGTCCTGCCGACCAATGGGCGACGCCGCAGCCCACATTACTGTGCACATCCACGTGACCCTTGAGCAACTTCAACATCGCCGGGGCCTCCTCGCTCTCCCGCCAAAACGTCCTTTCCTTCAGCGCAATCCCGCCACCATGCCTCAGGATATGCCCCCATCGGGGGGCTATGCTCCCGTCCAGTACAAGGTACATTCCCCGCGCGCTCTCGTGGTCGCCCTGCTGGCGTACACCGGCCCCCATCGCACAGCAATCAGCTAACCCTCCCCGTTCTTAATGTCTAGCGTCATATCCCTGCCCGCGGTTTCCGGCCGTGGACCTACCTCGCTGGAGTGGGTGCCATTGTGACCTACGGCATGTACAAATACTTCCATGGTGCCCGCGAGCTTCGGTACGTCAAATCGCAATGCCTCTCCCACATGCCCATTGAACTGCCTTGATATTCTTCTCCCGACCATCCCGGGAGTCCGCAATTGCAACATCGGAACGATATCGCTGAAATACACGATTTAAACTATGATCACTGACTTTTTGCGTGCGATAGTGAGCTCTCCCGCGAGAAGATGTGGGCCCGTCTGCACCTCGCCCCTGTGATGCAGGCCGAGGAAGACCGCGACCAGGTCCGTCGGTATCTGGCCGACAAGGAGCGCGCGAAGGAACTTCTCGGCTCGGAGGGCAAGGTCTACAACAGTGACCGGTATGTTTGCACCCGTTGCGATCTGCCTCGCCGATCTACCTTTGGACGTGTGTACTTGTTGCTAACTGTGTCCTCCAGCTTCATCCGTCCTACTTTCGCCTATACCCCGAGCAACGTCACTCGGTAAACAGTGACACTGTTTTCTTAAGCGATGTTCTTTTCCTTTTTCCTTTTTCAAGTTGTTTACAGTTGTACCCTTTGTATGATGCTGGGGCTGGAGAAATGCTCCATGGTCTTGGCTGGACCTTAAGCCTGATCGCCATTGGTCATGGCGAGAAGCAATAGAACTGTCACAATAGCAAGCAAAAGTGACTTGTGTCGAATACTGGACGAAATTCTGTCGAGATGATGCGTCTAAACAAGCTCTAAGGGTTTGGGGGTTTTTTGTAGTACGTCATGTCCCTATACTTGCTCGTTGCCCGACGGTAGAAGCATGTGTCTTGCGTAAAAAATTGAAGGGAATGACCAGTACTACCCTGAATCCTTGAGACTCGATCGAAATGTGCCTGAGCACGTTGACATTGCCTTTTTAATTTATCTATGGAAATTTGCTTAAAGCGCCATGAACAAACAGCAGGGGTAATCCATAAGGCACAAGGAAACAAGAAAAGAGGACCAAGAATGTGCGATCAGGATGCAAATTCACGAACTCGGTAGCTCATGAGTGTGTGCAGAACTGGATGACTTCTGGACAAAACGGAACTGTTTGTAAAGGATGGAATGGACAATGATGAAGAAGCTGGACGAAGACAACCTCGAGGATTTGCAGCAGGCCATAGATGCAACAATATATATCAGCTTACCCAAACAGATCAGCAACACCGCCCAGGTCAGGACCATCATTGATATCGACCCGAGGTTGTCGCTGCTGGGTCTCCATCTCGTTGGTCATGTATCGCTCCTGGATCGCGCTACGGGCTTTGCGGCGCTCCTCGCGAGAGCCGAGAATCTTTCCCTGCTCGGCAATACTGATTCCACGCAACGGCTCGAGAAGCTCGAGGATCAGTGCCCGCTGCTGTCGTGGTGAAGCGCAGCGGTGGAGAGTCGCTTCAGTTTGGGCGATTTTCTGCTCAGTCAGGCCTGGCAAGCTGAGGAATACAGTTCGTGGGGTATGGCTGCAGCTGCCGTAGAGTACCCAGATCGAGGCAATCAACTGGGCAAGGTCTTTCTGCATGTCGACAAAATATGATTCATGTACAGAGGTAATGCATGCCTTGAGAACCTCTGTGCAGATGAATTCGCGGATGGTCACGGTCGTGGGGCTGTCATTGGGAGGTGCAAAGTCCTGCAAAATCGATCGGATGACCCGGGTGATAATGCTACAGCACCGCGTGTCTCGCATACGGAGAGCGTGCGTGCAGAAGAGCATGACGGGCTCGAAGATCTGGGGGGAGCAGAGCACAAAGTGGCGGATCGAATCGGAGAGTTCGGGGGTCGGCGGAAGTGCACTGGGGTCTGTCTCCGCGACATCTGGGTCTGGTTTTTCATAGATTATCAGCGTGAGATGCTGGGAAAGATGGGTTACTGAAGGTTGTTGAAATTCCGTACCGCCTCTCTGCGGATCGAATAGACTGGCGACCATTATTACCGCAGAGTACGTTAACTGGCGAAGGACACTTTCGGATTTCATCTCATCCGTCAAGTCGCCATCCGATAGTCCGTTCCTCCGTTGCTCAATGATCTCCCATTCCGAGGTGATTTTACGGTCAATATTGGTGAATAAGGTGGACAGCATGGGGGGCAGAAAGTGGCTCCGGAACCGTACGGGGCAGTCATCGATCAGGCAGCGGGAGATGTTCAGAAGGACGGAAAACTGGTGGGAAGAAAGATTGGGTGAGTCCTGAAACAAAGCTTCAGATAGGGGCCCGGGGAGTTCAGTGAATCCGTAGAAATGTTCGCGTAGTCTGCTCATACTGAAGAGCATGGAATAGCAAGACTCCCGAACTGCCCGGATTTTCCCGCGAACGGAGGAGGCGAATCCCTCAAGAGTGGCCTTGGAGGCAGTGATTCTGGCATAAAACTCATCACGGCTGCCACTGGAGATACCAGCTTGCCAAAACCGATCTGTCAGGATGCGTTCCACCACCACACGCATGTCCTCACTCATTTCCCAATTGGCCGGGTTGTGAAAAGCATGGGCATGGCTGAAGTAGGGATGGTTAGCTTTATTAATAGATCCAAGATGGAGCCAACACGCACCTGACAAGCTGAAGTAAGGTAGGAAGAATTTGAGGAATAAGTTCCTGCCAGATATTGCAGGCGATCGAATATGCCGGGGCGTTCTTTTTCAGCTTATCCGTTGAAACGGCCAACATGGTCTTAGTCCCACGGAGAGGAAGCAGCTATAATCCCACAAGTCAGATCACTGGAAACTTGAAGAATAGAGCTGATTGACTAACCTGGAATTTCCTGGTCATCTCCTCCTGGACAAGTTTCCCTTCATTATCCAAAGAAACTGATGACCAGTCTGCTAACTTCTGGGCCTGCTTGGCTTGCATGTATGGCCCAACTCTCTCCAATCCAAGCATGTTGCAGAAACCCTCGAAGGATGAGCTCAGACGACGAAATTCATCGTCCTGCCATGCTACCCTAATCGGCTCGAGAAAGGATGCCAATCGAGACTGACGCACATAAGGATCGACATTGTTCGCGCGTTGCCTGCGAAGGGTCAGCATGATCTCGCTGGCAAGCTAGGTGTTAGGAAGGCTGTACATGATGATGAGTAGAATCGAGGTCAGCTCCATTTGCAGCTTGTCGTCCACCCGATTGGCCATAGTAATTTCCTTGATCTTCGGTTCGAGTAAATCGTAGAAAGTCTTTGTGCGGTTTCGTTAGTAAGTGGCAGAACTTCAGACGATTATGATAGGCAGAGCGTACAGAAAAGTAATCGGCATAACGCATGGCCAGCCGGCGAAGTTCATGACTTGCCAGGCCGTGAAGTTCCTTGATGGCTTCCGAATAAAGTGGATATTCAGGTTGGTCTGGGAGGCGTGTCATAAGGATATGCTCAAGGACTTTGAGCGCAAATCCTGCGTGGTTGTCCAAGGCTCTCGAGGAGATATCAACTGCCAGCTTGATAACTCTTTGCTTCAACACCGGGTCCTGGAGAAGTACTGTTAGCATAGGCCTTAGCTACTTGGCAGAAGACTAAATTCACATCAAAGGCTCTTTGCATAAGGCTCGAGGCCCAGCCTTCCACGGCATGTTCCAGTTCGGCTCGCTTTTGCTCCTGTTTGACCATCAATAATTGTGATCTTCAAGATGACTTTCAATTTTCTTACGTCCTGTTGCGGTGCTTTGCCATGGGCACCGATCCACTTGTTGAAGCCCTTGATGACTGCCTCCACAACGGCAAATTGAGCATCGGCGCGCATGAGGGGAATAGACGACTTGGTAAAATTTTGCACTGAAAAGATCCGTCAGCGCCCAACCGAATGTGAAATGCATATTTCAACATACTGCTGAATGGCTCAACACCGCTGTACAAGTTGTCCAAGTTACCGTCAACTCTGCCCAGTATCTCACTCAATGCCTCCTGGGGGCGTTTTTGCGTGATGGTCTCAATGATTGACGAGCAGTATCGGCGATAGTTACCCACAAATGCATGTCGCTCCGGGATCGTATCAATATCCTCCACCAAGAATTGTACCGTGGGGTCATCTGATTCAGTCGGTAGAGATTCCCAGCGAATCAAGCGCTGGGTGCAGATGTTCAGGAACTGAGGGGTTTGTTCGATAACGAAGTCCAGGTTGCCGATCTTCTCAATGGCCAGCAATTTGGACCAGAGATGCAGGACAGGTATCGAGACAGTCAGACTTTGGTGCTGCATGATGTTGATCATGAATTGTAGGAATGGCGGAAGATTCAAACGATGAATGGTGTCTCGAAGGAACCTTTCATCTTCCAGGCATCCGGCGATATAGGATACCATCTTAAGCGCCACAATATTAACTACTTAGCCGGCAGAGTAGCAAGGAACAAGACGCCATACCTCAGAAAGCTTTTTGGACACCAGATATTTCGGCTCATCTATTTCGTCAGGGCCCACAATTGACCATTCGTAGAGCTTCTGCAGGATAACCAGGTAATCGGGCTCGAAAATCTGAAAGACGAGTCCGTGGGACTCTTCGTTGCCCATGTTATTCCTTCCATACAAGGCGTGGAGTGCCTCAATTGCGCCCTGTAAATCACAACCTTAGTATTGAGTCTCCCCTAGAGCACACATATCGGGTTCAACGTATCCTTACCAGCAGTACCTGGTCATCTTGGCAGGTCAATGCTCTGAAAATGCTGGAAACAACCTGCGAAGCCACAATGGCTTTGTAGATTGACCAGGACAGCGCAGACCTAAGAGTTGCCAAAGCTTTCACGGCGGCGTCTCGGGCCTGAGCTGAACTTGACACATTCTGAACACAGCTGTCAAGAAACTCGCAGATCCGGACGAGCCAGCCTTCCTGCCCACAGCGCAGCACAGAATTGGTGTTCTTGTCGGGGTTGATTTGTTCGACAATGCCCGATGGTGTGAAGATCTCTACGAGCGCCCGATTGAGTTCAGTTCCGCGCAACGACGAGACGGTGTCCTCCCGGAAGAAGATATCCTCGGATAGAGTTTCGAGAACAGAAAGTACCAGCTCCTTGTGGATCAGGGAAGCACCCCAAAACTGCACCAATGTGGCATCCATATCCATCCAGTCCAGTCCCCAGCTCTTTTTGGCCGTCTCCGCCCACAGCTGAGGGATCTTGTTGCGGAAATATGCGGGTTCTTCCGGCCGAACGTTCTCTGCCAGCTGTAATATTATCGATCGTAGGCCCGCAGAATCGTCGGAGTTGGTGAATGGCAAGTGGCGAAGCACATGGTCTAGTAAGGTCAAGCCAAAATATCGTACCACGGGGGCGTGTTCTGCGCGCGACGCCAGCAGGAAGCCATTGCGCGCCGCAGACTCGCTGTCCTTTAGTGATTCCACGAATGACAATGCCTCTCTGCGAAGCTCATTTGTTGACGAAGGGTTGTGGATGAGCTCGAGTGCCCGAATGATATCGGTCATGCCGCCCTCCGACAGCTCCTCGGCAGCCATCCTGTCGACACCCTGACTGCGAATCACGTAAACGAAGGTTAGGTAAAGATCGTTTCTCGATTCAATGTGCACGGGCCTCTTTCATCATCGGGTGGTGGAGAGATCGCGGTGGTCCGCGGGGATGGCCGTTGAACCTGTCCGTGGGGTTGTCTGGCAGTCGGACAAAGCAGCAACGGCCACTTGAGCGCGCCAAGCCCCGGGTGTATGCAGTTGATTACGGGGTCGAGGTTCGTAGGGCAGAGATGCGGGTACTTTTGCGAGTCAACCGGTGGGAGGTGGAACAGGTCTGAGAGAGAAAGTGAAGGGAGCCTGGCGATTCGGGCTGAGAATTTTCCACTCGGCAGGGGCACACCGCTCCCAAATGCCTTGCGACTTTGGCTTGCAATCACTGTTCGTTTACGCGCCTACCTTGAGATATTTTGAACGTGTCAAGGGCTTGGGATTTCTTTTTACTGCCGCGTTCTTTTCATCAGTTTTGACCCGGCTACTTGGGAGCTGTCAGGGCGGCCCCTCATCGTCACCGGTTGTTTATCTTATCTGACGCGATCCGTGGATCGAACGCTGTTCCTACTGTCTGCCAGCGACAAGACATGAGGAACAGACTCAAGAGTTCTTGACCCCAGTAATTAAACGATAGCGAGTTCAAACATACAAAGAAATCCCAAACGCCGGCAAAATAGGGCATCACATTATCGCACATTGGCCTCGCTGACACTGTTCAAGATATGTGACGTCTTCGCTCGACGGGTTGGAAAATTCGCCTGGTTTACGCTTGATTCCTTCAATCTTGATCTCCTGCTCTCCTTCAGCGTGCCACCATCGCAGACACTGAAGCTTGACAGTCTGGATATCCTGGGAGTTAATCTCCCATTTGCCTCCACTGACTGTGACCACAGTATTCGCCTCGGGGAAATGGAAGTCGGGAAGATAAATTTCAGTCGGAGCATCAGATGCCGTGGAAGATTGGGTAGTCAAAGCCATCGTGAATGTGCATTCCTTGAGATCGAAGACGTGGCGATTCAATCGCCCATTGACATAAATGGGGCTCGGACGAAGGAACGCCTCCGCGGCGCGGTAGCCCTGATTCTGTCGCAAGGGTTCCTGAGAGTAGTCACTCGAGATTGATGGAGATGTCAAAGCTCGTTTGAGATTACGAGGGCCAATCTCTTGTTCTTCCCCACTGCTCTGGCTCTCGGAATAGGCCGCTGAGTGGGGATGAATCGAACGGGTCGTGGTTCCACCGGGCAATTGCAAGTCGTCGTGAGAGTAGATCGATAGATCTTCTCCGTTCCACTGGTCACCCCATTCATGGTCATTCTGAACGAGGTCAGCACCCATGCTTCTCAACGGGGATCTGGGATGTCTACCTGTGTCATATAGACCCATAAGGTAAACCCATTTGAGGCACTACCCTCCAGCGCAAAATGATTCGCATCCATGGCACTGGTTTGGCTGCTATAATCCCCGGTCTTGTAGGCGTGCTTGTCATCCATGTCATAGGGTATTCCAATTTCCGTGAAAATCATCGGGTGATTTCCCATGTAGTTCAGGCTCTCATCCCGAAGAAATTTGAGCTGGTCGCGCAGGCAGTTCCGGATGGCAGTCTCGCCAATTTTCACCGCAAAGGCTGGGGCAAGATACTTGCCTCGAAGGACCCCAATGACATCCACATTGTAGAGTCGATTCCTACAAATATTAACATAAGGCTCAACGGAGGAGTGGATAACACCCACCAATGCTTTGTCAAGAGGGTAAGTCCGTCATAAAAGTGAACAGCATGGACCATATTCGGGTCATCATCAACGGTTCCCTTGACGTCGGGGGGTACCTCCATGACAGGCGGTTGACAAAGCAGGATAGCACCGGGCCAGACACTCCGTATAGCGTCTCGATATGCTCGGTAGTGGTGCAAGAAATATGAGTTGGTGAATTTCTCGTAGTCAAGCTTCTCGCCGCTCTGAGGATTCTTTGAGAAATAATCCTTCTGCAAAAGCGTGTCGCTCGACGGGTCCCAGACACCATGCTGAGCCCAGAGACACACCCCAAGCTTCCAGCCAGAATCCCGTTGCCAGCCGTACTTGCTGTCATTGTAGTCCACTGGTAGCCACACCGACTCTCCTTCTGGGTCTACCAGCTCTCGGCCAGTCTGATAGGGGCCAAAGCTACCAAAGGCCCATGTTCCTTCTTCACAAGCTCGTCCAGAGCCAGTCAGCATCGCCTGAAATGCGGTGGGCGATGTTCCGAGCTGGAGCTGTTGTTCGGCTGGAATCACTGAGATGTCCTGCACACCAACGAGGCCTCGGTGAGGCTCGTTCATACTCTCCCAGCCAATGATCACTTCATCTTCGAGATCGCCGGCGTCGTGAATCTTCTGGGCCAGGTGCTTACAGGCAGCAATAAAGTGACCCTGCAAATATTCTTGAATATTCACCCCGTCGATGACTGCTTTTGGCGCAAAGTCTCTTCCAGCCCAGAACAGAGTGAACATAGTCTGGCAAACCAGACGGGTATAATTCGTGCTCCAAATCATCTTCGGAAATTCAGAAGGATTATCGTATGTGTTTTGCACCAGAGCAGCCTCGGTCTTTTTGAAGGCTCTAGGATCCAGCCCTGCAGCATAAAGTGTCCACATGGGCGCTCCAGATCCTCCTGACAGTCGCGACCACTACAGACGCTCAGTAAAGATAGAACTGCACTCCAACATCGGTGAACCTTACCACGTCCTGATGGGGATCCATAAATACGTAGAATCCATACTGCTTTGCTATACGGAGGACCTCGATCGTGAACGCAATCCACTCCTCGTCGTATATACCGGGGCCAGCATGTTCGATGGCCTCCCAGGTGAAAATGTACCTAATAGAATTGTAGCCCCATTTCCGAAGCCTTTTGAAGTGCGTGTGGGAGTCTTCAAGGGCGAAAGGTCGTCCAACGAAGGACACATTGTCCGCATCGAAGAACTTGTCAGAGATGTACGTAGGGATATCGGGACTTTTGGGGTACTTGGCATCGCCAGCCACATTAATTCCCCTCAAAATAATCTCTCGGTTCTGGGGGTCTCGGAAGGATTGTCCATCGACACGGAGGCATAGAGGGCCCATCTTTGTTCGCGGTCGGGTTTCACGCCGATTAAGTGCAAGGTTGACGAACTGGTAGGTTAGGATTGCGCAAAAGCCACACGATGCCAGAGAAACCAAGGGCTAGCCAGCTAAGCCAAAGCCCGCACTTCGGCTTGAGGCTATCTTTTGCTTTGATCTGGGGGATTGCACCAAGACACTGGCAAGTCGAACGAGCTCCCTCCAGGCTGATCAACTGCCCAAAGGCTCCGGTCGGACGAGAGGGGTGGTACCTTCACACGACAATGTCATCACCTGAATCGTGTAGTAAACAGCTCCTTGAGTCTTGAAACCGAAGCACCTCGGTTCCAGGAAGACACTGGGGAAATGGAGCTGGGGAGGTGTTGGAACGATAGCAGATAAGCCGTGACGTATCGAGCCTAACCGATCCGCCTTCTCCACCACACCAGAACCTCCCCGCTGCTCCAGCTTCTGCGCGGCACTATGTCGAGCAAGGCTGCATTGAAGGCTGTGCGAGCAGCTCTGGATGCCAAAGATTTTGAGGATGCTGCTGAGAAGGCGAAAACACTTACGAAACAGGAGCCCCAGAATTACCATGCGTAAGTGTTCCATGACGCTAATTCGCGACTCGACTGACCACTGACTGGATTCCCTGCTTTGTCAGACACGTATTCCTTGGTCTTGCCAACGAAAAATTGAACAAGAATGACGACTCGGAACGGGCATATCTGGCAGCAACTCGCGTCAAGAAGAGCGACCGCACGGCTTGGCAGGGATTGATCAGCTTGTATGAGAAACAAGGCAGCCACAAGCTGGAGCCATATCGCGAGGCAGTTCTCAATCTCGGGCAAATATTCGCCGACGGGTAAGCAATGGATCTATGGAACATGATATATTGACCGGAATGTGCTGATATTGGCTGTTCAGTGACGAAAGGGGACGCTGCCAGGATGTGGTGGACAAGTACACGAAGCTGGCCAGGAAAAATGGAACGAGGGCGCAATACAAGCGGGCGCTCGAGCTCCATCTTCCCAGTAGCCCCCTCTACGACTTTCTTGAAGGACGCCTACCTCACCCTGCTCAAACTTACCTTCGCCTGATTGAAATCACCGAGGCAGAAGAAAAAGAGTTTATAAACCGCGAAATCGGAGAACGCAGGACCCGGTTGGGTGCTCGAATCGACCAGGTTACGGTGGAGGTGAAAAGAGAAGCATACAAGCGAAGCGGCATGGAGCAATTGTACCAAGGCATTATCGACTGGTCTCACGACGATGCTGTCCGGCGTCAATACGAGGAGAAACTTCTGCAGCGCGCGTATGATGAGCTGAAAGTTGTCTCTGCTGGTGAAAAGAAGACTAAACGAGATGAGATTCTCCGGTCAGCTCGAGAAATGGTGATTATCAAACATCCATTCGAGCTTGCGTGGCAGATTGTCCTGGAATGGCAGGACATTGAGGATTACTCCCAGTGGGATGTTGGGCTTCTTCGCGAGTACATTGAGTTTTTCCCGGAATCTGGGCTCAGCAAAGTCCTCAAAGGATTTCTTTCCAGCGAGATATCCCCATTCCCACAGGATGACTCGACCGGGAAAGATGAGAAAGATGCTTCGGTGACTGTCAAAGACTTTGAAAATGCCGACACCAATGAGCTGGCCGCCCAGGATCGTCTGATCCTGATGGTGGAAGGTCTTGAAGCAGCTCGTTCCTCGATTATTTCCCACCGGATCATGTCCGATCTCTACCTTTTACTTGAGGAATATGAGAGCGTAGTAGAGGTGGCCCGGAAGGGACTGCAAAATATCAAAGAATTGGTCCAAAGCGGAGCAATCGACATCCCAAACATGATTGATTCTGTCAATATCACACTCGCTAACGCATTGATTCAATACCAATCGCCCCGCCACCATCCAGAAGCCAAAGGAATCTTCGAAAACATCCTGCAGCGGAAATCGACCTCTACCAGCTGTCTCCTTGGCATTGGTGTGATACTGGAAGTGGATGAGGATTATGCAGATGCTGTCAACTTCTTGGAGCGTGCACTGCACCGTGACCCTTCCAACATCAATATACAGGGCGAACTTTTCTGGTGCAGGGCGCTGAGCGGAGACCTTGATACAGGGCTTGCTGGCCTTCAAGATGCACTGGCAAACCTGAAAGAGGCACAGCCGGAAAACAAGGACTTTAAATCCAGTCTTCTGTACCGTATCGGTCACTGTCAATGGGAGTTGAACCCATCGCCGGCAGCAAGAAAAGATCGAAGCGGCGCCTATTCTAGCTTCCTGGCATCCATTCAAGCAAACATGAACTACGCCCCAGCATTTTCAAGCCTTGGCTTCTACTACGCGGATTACAAGAAGGACAAGAACAGGGCGCGCAGGTGCTTCCACAAAGCGTTCGAGTTGTCTTCATCAGAAATTGAAGCTGCTGAACGTCTTGCTCGTGGGTTCGCCGACCAGAAGGAGTGGGATCTGGTGGAAGCAATCGCACAGCGGGTGGTAGATTCGGGCAAGGCCAAACCTGCACCTGGATCAAAGCGCAGGGGGTACAGCTGGCCATATGCGGCCCTAGGAACAGTCCAGATCAACAAGCAGCAGTATTCTCGGAGCATTGTTTCGTTTCAAGCAGCTCTTCGGCTTGCCCCCGGTGACTATCATTCCTGGGTGGGCCTTGCTGAAAGCTATCACCACTCCGGTCGATACATTGCTGCCACCAAGGCTTTCGAACATGCACGGACTTTGGAATCAAATCTTTCAGATGAAGAGAAGGAGCAGATCTGGTTTGCGCGGTACATGCTAGCAAACGTGAGACGGGAGCTTGGCGAATACGACGACGCTATCAATAGCTACGAAGATGTCTTGAACTCGCGCCCTAACGATACCGGTGTGACGATCGCGCTTCTTCAAACTCTGGCGGAGAGCTCGTGGAAGAGCCTGGATTCTGGTCTATTCCACGATGCTTCAGAGCTTGCACAAAAAGCAATCCGCGTGGCTAGCTCTCTAGCGCAAGTTCGCAGTGACATCTTCAACCTATGGAAGGCTGTGGGCGATGCCTGCGCCAATTTTTCATACATGCAGAAAAAGGTTGAGGCCTTGTCTGCGTCTGACTTGAAAGCATTGCTGGTCATTCAGCTCGATCCTGCTGCCCTTGATCTCATGACGGAAATCGACGGGGTTGGGAAGGACTGGCTCAAGCCTAGTGAAGAAGATTCCATGTCGACTGACTTGTGCATCTACCTGTCCATTCTGGCTTACAAACGTGCTATTCATGTCTCTTTGCAAGATGTGCATGCTCAAGCCGTTGCGTGGTACAACCTCGGTTGGTCCGAATACCGAGCCTATCGAAGCGTGAATCTGGCTTCGAGCAGCACGAGCAAGAAGCCGCGCCAATTTCTCAAGGCGTCGATGCGGTGCTTCAAGAGGGCAATCGAGATTGAAGCCGGGAACTCCGAGTTCTGGGACGCGCTTGGTGTGGTTACTACCAGCATGAGTCCCAAGGTCGCGCAGCATTCGTTTGTAAGGAGTCTGCATTTGAATGACAGGAGCGCGCAGGTCTGGACCAACCTCGGTGCGCTCTACCTGCTGCACAATGACATCCAACTTGCCAATGAAGCATTTACGCGCGCACAGTCCACGGACCCGGATTACTCGCAGGCTTGGCTTGGCCAAGGGTTCCTTGCGCTTCTTTTTGGAGACTCGAACGAGGCACGCGGTCTCTTCGAGCATGCCTTTGATATCTCTAAATCATCTTCTATGCTTCCGAAGCGCCAGTACACATTGACTCTGTTCGACCACCTTCTTTCTGACGCCTCTGCATCCAACGAGGTGTCCCAACTCATCCAACCATTCTTCGCTCTGCAACAGCTCTGTAGCCAAAGTCCATTTGACCTGCCGTTTGTGCATCTCTCGGCCCTCTTGGCGGAAAGAATGGGCGAAATCACGGACGCCGAGTCCAGTCTGCAGGTGGTTTGCTCGAGCATGGAAACCGAGTTTGAGGAGTCCGAGTCGCCAGCTGCCCTGTCCAAGTTTGCCCAGGCTAATGCAGACATGGCTCGCATTCTCCTTGCGCGGCACGAGTACGAGGAGGCTGCGGAAAGAGCTGAGACAGCGCTCACCCTATCTGGCGAAGAGGATGCGGAGAAGTTCGACCCTGAGACATGCAGCAAACTTCGCCTTTCAGCACATCTGACTGCCGGACTGGCGAGCTACTACTTGAAGTCGATGGACCGTGCCATTGACATGTTCCGCGACGCTCTCCAAGAGGCGAACAACGCTCCAGATGTGGTCTGTCTTCTTGCCCAGGTTCTATGGGCTAAGGGCGGCGAGGAAGAGCGGTCTGTCGCTCGACAGCAGTTGTTCGATTGCGTAGAGAACCACCCCGACCACGTTGGAGCGGTCACTCTTCTTGGGGCCATTGCTCTCCTCGACGCAGACCGCGACGTCATCGACGCGGTCGAATCGGATCTCCACAGCATGATCACTCGCGACGACATTGAGCATCACGAGCGAGCCAAGCTAATCAAACTTCTGACTGCGATTTCGACCATGGGTTTCACCGGTGATGCAGCGCTTCCCGAAGGTACAAGGCGCATCGGTGAGGCCACAGCGGCGGTGATGCTGTCTCCCGCCCAGCCGCAGGGCTGGATGGAACTTTCAGCTGCCTCGCAAAGCTCGTACCCTGCACAAATGGCTGTCGAGCGGGCGCTGCGGAGTGTGCCTCCTCGTGGCAACCTCGATGCCGTGGATCTCAGTCAGGCCTACGTGCAGACCGGCAAGACCGGTGACGCTCTTCGAGGCATTATGGTGGCACCGTGGAAACGGCAAGGGTGGGAGGAATTGGATCATACTCTGTCCAGCTTAGCATAGGGACTCTGTACACAGTAGAAAGGGAGGTGGTTTTATCATGCACCAAGATATTCCGATTGATAGAGTGCACACTGTTGGATTTAAGCAGAAAAGAAACAAAAAAAGAAATGCATACCTTGATCAATACCAAGCAAATAGGAGAAACGAAGTAAACGTGCCATAGTCTTACTCGATCTATTCCATATCGCCATCACCTTCGCCGAGCAGTCGTATTCCCATTCGCCTGTGTCTGTTCGCCCTCCGTTGCAGCGACCCTCTCCAACAACCTCGTTTTCCTGCCCTCCCGCCACGGCCTATCAAGAGACTCAATCTTGCCGCCGAGCATATTCGCACTTTCGGGCGTCAGCAGCACCATGCCTCGCGCCACTGTCACATTGCAAAGCACGATCTTCGACCCAATAGAAAGTTTCTCCAGAGAGATGCCCTCGATTCGCTGCATCTCAATCGCCACGGCTTTGGTCCCCACTGCATCTTGCAAGATCAGCCGGTGTGGCCCATACCCACTGCTCCCTGAAGCATTTGTACTTCCAGCCGGGCCATTGTTGTTGTTCACGCGATTATTCTCGGACGTTTCTGGATCCTCGCCGACAGCTACCGTTCGCACAATTTCTCGGCCCCGGATGGCTTCGCCGCGCTCTACGCGCTCGATTGTCTCGATTTGGCTCCAGAGACTTGTGCCGATGTCTTCAATGTCGAGGACTTGAACAGGGATCGGGCCGTGGAGGCGGCGTTCTTGAACATTGGGGTCGTAGATGTCCACGGGAAACACTGATTCCGGGTTGGTGGAGAGTGAATCTCTGATATCAGAGGCGAGAATGCGGAATAGAGCTGTCTTGGCGAGGGCGGAGATGGGGATGTTGCGCTGTCCGTTGCTGGAAGATGAGAGAAAGGTGTTGAGCCAGGAGGGCGATACGCAGAGAGATTTGGTGCTTTGAATCTGCCCTGCAATCTGATCGCTGGCCATGGTGCTTGCAAGCTCACAGCCTTGGATGTGGAGAAAGCGGAATCGCGAAAAGAAAAAACAACAGCACGGACCACCGCTTAAAGCGGTCGATCTGTCCCCCGACCCGACTTCTCCGGAGAGACCTCTACACCACATCCAACCCACCGCAACCATGTCCACCCTCTCCTCTCCTCGACCCTCCAATGCCTCGTCGCGGGCCCATTCTCCAGCTCCGGCATCTTCTCGTCCGTCGCTTGATACGCTGAACACCAACCCCGGCGGGCTCAGCGCCCCGTCAACCCCATCAACCGCACGTGCCGTCTCACCCAACCCGCGACGGAATCGCTCTGCTCTTAGAGACTACTACAACCTCAAGCCTCCGACGGGTGAATTAGGTGCCCCACGCGGCTCATCTCGTTCGCGCAGCGTACCGCGGTCAACCGATGCGGGCGACATCTCCAACCCATCTGCACTGGCATCAGGAACCGAGCTGGACAACGAAGATTTCGATCCGCAACGCTACGTAGACCAGCTACTCTCCACGTCATCTCTTTCAACGATCTTCAAGGCAGAGAATACACTGGTGGGGGACATTCGCACTCTCGACGGGGAGCGCAAGGCACTCGTTTACGATAATTACTCCAAGTTAATCCGCGCCGTCGAGACAATTGGCAAGATGCGCCGAAGCATGGATGAGCGTGGAGCTCCGTTGACCATGACCAAGACTCTGGGGCCGGCAATTGCTTTCGTTGCGGAGACGGCCGGTGGGTTGATCCAGGGGGGGGGAGGAACAGCGCCGAAGAATGAAAGAGGCGAGCAGCCAAGAGGATGCTGCGCTCAAGAAGGCTGAGAAGGAAACTGTGCGGTGGGTGCTTGCGGCACCGGACAGGCTGGAGAAGCTTCTGGGCGATGGGAAACGGGAGGAGGCAGGCAAGGACTGGGCCGAGGTTCAACGTCTGCTTGACGCTTGGGGTCAAGTCAAGGGTGTCGCTGAGCTTCGTGAAGCCTGTAAAAAGGTTATGGACACGGATGACCACGACGACTGAGTGGCGACACGGAGGATCATGCAGCCAGAATGTGGACTGCCCCCGCTTCCCCTCGTCTCGCATTGATGGACGAAATGGGCAACACTCCGGCTCTCGCCATCTTGGCCAGCTTCAGACTCTGCTATGACCAGAGTCATGGCCGCACAGCACCACGTCAAGCGCGTATGCGCATCGCGGGCACCTGCCTTGCAGAGACCACGCTATTCGGTGTTTCGGCAGATACTCAGTGTTGGCTTCATTCGAGGACTTGCCAAACCAATCAATCTTTGTCATTAGATACCCAGTCAGACTTTCATAGCATAGCGATCATCAGCCATTCTATCATTCGATCAGAGGAAAACCATGAAGTCCACAAACACAATGACTGCGCAAGCTACACCTTGCCCGCAAGGACATCGCGACTAGAAAACATACTCGCCTTCAGCCCATAATCATTACTGGACTTGATATCCAGATGCGTGTACGCATCACACTTGTAGTAGATAGGCCTCGCCTGCTCCTCAACAAGCCCAGCATCCACCAACCCGCGCAGCACACGCTTGACATCCTCCATATCCTCAAAGTCATTCGTATACACACAGATCAACCGCGCGTGTCCGGACCCATCATCCGTAGCAACCTTAGCCACATCGCCCAGCTCCCCTTTCTCCAGCGCCTTGACTACCGCCGCCCAGACCGCGTCCGCGCGGTCAACCGTTGGGAACAGCATCCACTTCCCCGCCGTCACGCGGGCCTCGCGCGCAGCAGCAAAGAGGTTCTGTTCGAGCTCGCGGCGCAACGGGTTGAGCTTGCGCGTGAGTGCTGCGGTGGTCTTTGCGCCGGATTTCTCGTGCGCGGCGCGTAGACGGGAGCTTTCGTCTTCGAAGCTGTGTAGCAGCTCTGTACCCTTGCGCATTAAAGCAGGTACATCACCTTCGTCCATGGGTGGTGCCTGTGGGCTGTGCATCCAGATCCAGGGTCCTATTGTCGAGAATGATGTGGTTGATGGCGGAAGCCGCGAGAGAAACTGCGCCGTCGTCTCTTTGTCCCCTCGACTATTTTCAGGAAGCGTCGTTGATGAGGGCTTTGCATCTTGGTCTGCTGATGAGATGGGCTTGCTTGTTGCGGGCGGCGCGTGCAGGTTGTACTGCACGGTTGATAGGAGGTGCGGATGTACCTCTGACCAGAAGGGCTCTGGGTCGTATGCCGCTGCTTGCTCTTCTAGGCGTGCTTGTTCGTCCTCGTCGCCTGCGACGAAGAGTCAGTTGGGATTATCCCGGCACCGGTGGGACTGGGTGATTACCGTAGAAACTGGACTCGTCGGAGAAGATCTCCTCGATGTCTTTGGGGCTTGAGGACATTATTACTTGTGGTTCCGTTGAATTTGTATCTTATTTTTGGGTTGTGCAGCGGAATAGACGGGTCAGTTTGATGTAGTCGGGGAGCAAGCTGGGTGGGTGTGGGGAAGCTACAGTATGCCTACAGAACCTACAAGCAGCTAGGATGATCGCTACGAAAATAATTTTGAACCCTCATTCTTTCTAAATTCTAGTTTTGATCATATTTCTAGCTGTTAAAAAGTCTCCCAGAACTTGGCTGTAAAATAAGCCTCCAAAGCCTCTTTGAAACATAAATTCTCACTCATCACAACATATGTCAATGAACATGTGGGGACAGGTTAGACATAGTCAACACAAATGACCTCGCTAAAGATGGAATTACTTAGCCCCTGCGATTCCCGGCCACACCTGCTCTACAAATTTGACCAGGTCGGCCTTGAGGGCGTCGGGCTGTTCCAGCGCAGCAAAGTGGCCACCCTAAATCAAAGCAATATTAGCACTCTAGCCCAGTTTTGTCCCAGCGTATCAATGCAGACCTTTTCATGCTGCTCCCAAAGCACCAGATTCCCTGTGGTTTCAACCCATGAGCGTGGCAGAGGCGCAAGTTCCATGGGAAACAAGGAATATCCAAAGGGTTTGTGAATATACCACCGGGGATCATTGCAAGCCGGAATAGGCGGCGGGGGATAATTCTAAAAATTATTGTTAGTATAAGCCTCCGTCAAATTTTTTTCATTCAACTTATGGAAGTTGCAGTAGCACTGACCTGTCGGTAGTTATATATCGAGCGAGCAAATGTCTCGGTGAGCCAGTATAAAGTCACCGACTCTAGGATGTCATCTTGTGGCAGTGGATCATCGACCCATTCCAGGAATTTCTCTCCCACCCTGCCAATATCAACAAATTGGGAAATTCTACTACCCAGGATTGAGGGTCAGCTTACCACGCTAAAAGAGCGAGAGGGCTCGTCGACAGAACATGGCCAATGGTACTAGGCCGAGTGCCGTGCTCCGTTGCATAGGCGGATCCCATGGCCATGAAGTTGAGCATTCTATCGATACCGCGCTTCTCGGAAGCATTGAGATGGTCGTCTGTCATGCCGTCGGGTCGTCTCATGAAACAGACGTTGACTTTTCTTTTATATCAGCATCACTTTAAATCCCTTATAACAGGGGAAACCTTACCGTGTACGGCTGGGATATGTCAGAATACAGTACATCAACAATTGGAATATTGTGTTTTATTTTACGAGGGTCACATACCTTTGCAACTCTCATGGTCGACACCCAAGTGCCGCGCGATGCGACTACCAATATCACCACCTTGAGCAATATAGCCGCTCTCGAAACCCAGATCACCCATGAGCTGATCCAAAACCCGGGCAATATCAGCCGTTCCAAAGTCCCTGTCCAGTGGTGGGCCGGAGGAAAAGGTGAATCCCGGTAACGAAGGCACCACCAAGTGGTACGGCAGAGTACTTGGAGTATATTCCTCCCGGAACTGCTGCAGCATAGGCAAGAATTCCAAGAAGCTCCCTGTTTGGAGAATCAATTTCTTCTCCATGATATTTACCACAACAGAAGGTGGTACCTACCGGGCCATCCGTGAACCAGCAAGATTGGGACTGCATCTGGCTTCTCAGAGAAAAGCCCAACAAAATGGATATTCAGGCCCTCGATCTCCGTCGTATACTGCGGAAAGCTGTTAATTCGATCTTCAGAAGATTTCCTGTTGGAGTCAATGCACACAGTTCTGATACCCAAATAGTTTAAATCAATCCACGTGGGCAATGGTGGCATACCAGCTAAAAGAATTCAGCCATTGCTCCCGCATAGTTTTGAGCCACACCGACGTGACACCATAGCGACGATCCGTCTGTGAGTTCTCATAAGTGTCTGGTGCAAGCTTGGAGAGCTTCAGCAGCGTCTCGAGCTCGCTGAGCTTGTCATTGGGGATGGCCGCTTTAAAAGGCGTCGGGCATATCCTGGCGCTGACGGGAAGAGTGCTAAAAGGCAGAGACATGGCGTGTGGAATGTTTACGATGCTTCGATGGCAGAAGCGAAGTATTTATTCGCGATCGTCGGCATCTCCAGGCTGTTCATTCGGCCCGGATGAGTCAGTGCGGGGTCCCGGTGTGAGTGTGCTTACCAGGTTACAGCGCTAACGACATGACTACATCCACATCTATGGTCCAGTTGCTTAAGAAGGCAACCGACACACCGGGGAACTATATGGGGGCTTCCATGATTCAAGCGAGTGGAGTATCAAATGACACATACTCCCGTCTATTTCCGTAGGTAGACAAGGTATATACGTTGTATTCTTCAGTCTTTTGTGTCTTGCGGAAGTAGATCAGAAGGAAGTAGAACATTGTCTGTGCTATATCAAAGATTTAGAATGTTTTGCCTTTTGAGATCATGATATCGTTGTCGACGCACACATCTGTGTATACTTCGAGAGGATGTTCACCGCCCCACACGATGGTTTTGTGGGACTGCAATCAACAATTGTTTCTGAGAATTAACTTGCGCCGACCAACCAGCTTTCCAAAGTTGTTTCCACGAGGCAGCTGGGAACAAGCACTCATACACCCCAATTGGCTGTGAAACACCGCAGCGATGTCCCCAGCCGTTCAGCATCCCCAGTCCGCAAGCACCGTCTTCCTGGACCAACCACCCAGTTGTCTCGAGTTCTGTCCAGAAAACCCAAACTATATCGTGGTCGGCACGTATCTTCTATCAGAAACAAAGACCGAGGATGGGGGAATCCAGCAGGCAAAAACTGGGAGTCTACAGCTCTGGAGACTAGATCCGGACAACAAGACATTGTAGGTAATGTGTGTCGAGTACATTGCAAGCAGGTTATATGGGAATTATTTCAGGCCACCTAGACCAAACCAGCTAACAGTACCTCAGATCCCTCATCCAAAGGATTGCTCTTTCCTACGCAGTCTTTGATCTCCACTTCCACCCCAGACACCCCAACACGCTTGCCATTGCGAGTAGCGTGGGGTCAATAGCTCTGTTCAAAGTATCAAGTGCCGCTTCTGCGGAAGACTCATTATGCCCGGCTTTGCATCCCAGCATCAGTCATGTATGGACAAAACAGGTCCACGAGGATCCTTCCATCCCGGCCCTCTTTCTGGCCTGGGCTCCCCAGACCTGGTTCTCGCGGGCTGGGGTTGACGGATTTGCTGTCACATTCTCAGATAGCCGGACAGCTGTCTTTGGGGTTGAGGGAGACCTCGACAACGAAGAACAGATTACCGAATGGGGCACATTTGAGGCCAGACAGATGATTGAAGTATGGTTTGTGGCATTGGCCACGATCCCACAGTCACTGTCGACGACAATCCACGATGAAACACCTGAGAAAGAGTCCCAGCAAGGGGTCTCGTTCATGTTCACGGGAAATGACTTTGGGTCGCTACATACCCGTCGATTCGAAAAGAATCACGATCAGCAAGAAGAAGAGGAAGAGGAACAGGAGGACGACGATAGTACGGAAGAACCACTCGCTCCACTGCTCCTCGACCATGACGACCGTGCCCGCCACCATACGGCTGGCGTGACAGCCATTCTCCCCTCCCAGTCCCGTTAGTCGACGACGCACCGCTCCTGCTGACGGGAAGCTACGACGAAGGTCTGCGTGTATACCACGCCACGCGGCCAGGAGCCGTTCTCGCGGAACAGGGTCTTGGGGGCGGCGTATGGCGGCTCCAGATGCTAGACTCGACGCAAATCTCCGACTCAGGATATTATCAGCGGATTATCGAGTGGCAGTTCTTGGTGCTGGCCAGCTGTATGCATGCGGGGACAAGAGTGGTTCGCGTTACTTGCAAGCAGCAAGACCAAGACCCGGAGTGGGAAATTGAGGTGCTGGCGGAGTTTACGGAACATGAGAGCATGAATTATGCCAGTAGCGTTTGGGCAGGCTCACAGGGAGGGTCGTCGTCGCTACTTTGCGTGTCGAGCAGTTTCTATGATCGACGGGTTTGCGTGTGGAGTGTAGAGGTATAGTCGTCCAGGAAGCAAAATAGATCATTTCATACCAATGATAGATTCAGGAGTGAAGCAAGCACTACGATGAGGGCGCACGAGCCAGGCAGACAAGTCCCAAGCATGGTTGTTGTCATAAACACGCTAGACGAATACAATGCAATAGCACCAAGTATACAGTACATCACCCGAGACCCAAGACAAGAACAAAGAGAACAGAACTATTCATATCCAGCAGTAGTTTATCTTTCGTGTTTTGCATCGAATTAAACAATCGTCTCCAGCTCCCGGGCATAGCCTAGCGTATTCTCAATGACAGTGCCACTGGCCACCAGGATATCCTTCTCGGATCTCGTGGCAGCCTCGGGCTCGACGGGGAAGTATATCCGGCCATCGCGAAGGATCCAACCGCGTTGCTGAGCAAACTCAATGACTGCGCCCTCAGAGTCGAGGAAGAGCAGGTTTTTGGCGTTCGAGATGGGGAGCGAGGGATATGCCTTTTCGGAGCAGTCGGCGATTTCGCTGCGGATGGTGCCAACGAGAACCTAAAGTATTTGAAAGTTAGCGATGAGACTGGTAGAAACGCATAATGAACGAAAAGGACCACCGACATTCGAGAACAACCCAAAGTCCTCCGAGGGGACACGCTCCGACTTCGTCTCCCGCCACACCTTATCGTAGCTGCCCTCCATTAAGTTTCGCTCCAGGTCGACAGGGTATTTGATGCATGGGTCATCCTCGACCCGACCGCCCTTCAAGCTCGCCTCCTCAACCAGACCCTCAAGCACCGTGTGGAAGTTGGCGCTGTCACCCATGCTCAGCAGAAGCAGCAAATACAACCCGGTGATCTTGCTGCGCTGGCTGGTACTGAAATCCACCTCGGATGAGCTCTGACCCGGAAGACCGGCATCCCTCTCGAGGTCGTAGAACGGCTGCAGCTGTTGGTAGTATCGGATGAAGGTCTGCGCGTCGGTCTGTCGGATCGAAGCAAGTGCCCCGAATTCAAGGACTTGCCGGGCCAGGGCAACAAGCTGGGGTGGGGTGGAGGAATTCGGGAACAGCGCATTCTGCGTCAGTAGAGCGCGCTTGGCTTGGCTGAGGAGGTTGTTGGCGGCATCCAGCTGCTTGCGCTCAAGAGCATTGTGGAGCTCTGAGACAAGGGACGGGAGGCTCGACATGCTGTGTGGTGGGGTACCAGGATTACAAGACTTGATAAAAGGATTGACGTGCAATTAAATAAGCCCGGCGGCTGCAATAGCGACGAGGATTGTGATAGAGTGGCCTGGGATGATGAGCGTTGGACCGGCATGACGGAGCTGCTGCGGGCGGTCAGTGATGTCACGTGATTTATGAGTGTTTTCAGGCCGTCGCTGCAACAAACAGACAACCACCCAAGGAGAATCTCACAATATGGTAATCTTGCCAACTTATTTGTCATTTTGATTGCAATCATACACGCCTGAATATTTATCTAGACCGTTTCCAATAGTTATTGATATGTGCCATGCCTTGCCTTTCACGAACTGGCCAATTTTATTTCCAATAACCACCACTAGAATATTTGGATTCAGTTCAAATTCAAAAGTTTCCATAAAGAGATGATCGTAATGTAGGCTCATGTTCCCCTCTATAATCTATTTTCCACAATTTATTCGTGAGACTCCAGTATACTACCCATTGACATGACTATCCATGGATGATTTCAGCGTAATTCATCTTTAGGTTAAAACGCTTGTTATATGCATCTATTGCGGCTAAATTTTAATTGATAACAGAGAAATCAATGAGAGCCGAGCTTCCCATTTTACCAAGGGGCCTGAGCACCATCATACTGGTTAAGACCCTCAGCCTTCTCCCAGCCAGGCACGCGTACATTATAGAACTTCCCATTCTCTGTGGTCGTAGCAGGAATAATGATATCCAGAACACCAGTAGCGCTCTGTTTGACGGTCAAATCGGCAGAATCACCGCCGAGGTCGGTCTTTACCCACTATAAACCTCATTAGCATCTTAGTAAATCAGAGGAATAGAAACCCTAAAGACGGGGGATCTTACGCCAGGAGAAATGGTCAGGAACGTGAAGCCTTGCTCGGCAAAGGATTGGGCATATTGAACCGTGAGCATGTTGAGAGCTGCCTTGGAGACCTTGTAGGCTGGGACCGGGAAGAGCGCGTATCGCTGAGACATGGCGATAGATCCGAGGGTGGTCGAGCTGGGTAAGCGACCGGTGATTAGTCTTGTGTAAATCAGACAGCTCAAGAGAGGCATTGGTTTACATGTTGGCAACCTTCTTGAGGTTACCCTTCTTCAACAAGGGCAAGAAGGCGCTGGTCACGAAGTGGACGCTAGTAACGTTCGTGTTGAACGTGGAGTCAAGATCGGTCCTGTATCAATTTGTGAGCAGAGATCAAGCATGATTGGGGGTAGAAGTTGTGGGAGGTTCTGACATTGTCTCGATTCCATCGGGTGAGTAGGGCATGACGCCAGCGTTGTTGAGGAGAACATCCAGACCCTTCTCGCCAACGACCTGCTTGACCTCGCTGGCCGCTTTTTTAACACTTTCTTCGTTGGTCACTTCGATGTTGATAAACTTGACGCGGCCAGAAGAGTTTGCAATCAGCTTCTTCAAAGCATCACTTTCCGTGCGGCTAGCAGCGAAGACCACAGACACCTCAGAAGCGGGCTTCGAGGCGAGGATGCTGGTGATCTTGAGGCCAATGCCCCGGGAGGTCCCCGTGATGAGGTAAGAAGCCATTTGGAGTGATGAGTGGTTTCTTCTCGTAGCTTGGAAAATTCCTATAAATGAAAATAATGTTGAGAATACAGAAAATGTACAAATGATGAGCCAAAGAAAGCTTGATGGGTGAAAAACGACCGCGTTTATATAGTATGATCAACCCTAGCTCTTCAAGTCTTCCAAGCATATTTTCTTTCGCGCCTGATTTGAAAGCAACTATTCCTGTTTATTCCCGAATAATGCCTTCGCGCTTTCGGCCTTCGCACTTTCGGGGTTCGTTTTTTGCGTCAAGTTACCAATACTCTTGTCGGATCCACTTCGACCAACAACATCCAGGGGTACGAGATGTCCGAGGAGTGGAGACGCTCGCTGGACCCGCTGATTGGATTATGGTCAAAGGATGTGTGATCAATGTGGGTCATGGCATGTCTTGATCTTTGGCGATTCAACTTGCAATTATGCAGACCGGTTAACTCTCGGACTCGGAGTCACTGAGGGCGTCGACTAGGTGAATATCTGACAAATGGAGGGCAATGATCGACCGAGGCGAGGCTATTGTCCGTATTTAACACAGAAAATGAAGCACTTACAAGGTTCTGGCATATGGCAGAATTACCCCTGTTTTTTTGATCTCGATCAATCGATGTGCCTCTGAACTATATGACGGCGTACGGGATGCTGAAACAATTGCTGGCTCATTATCGTTTGTGAACGAGCGCATCAGATGGATTGATTTATATTGTGTTCCAAATCATGTTGTGGATATCTCCATGAAGATTTTTATTGCATTACGAACTACATAATTTCAGCCAAGCAAAACTAGGTCAAAACCTAACCTGGAATACTGACCTCCACTTACTTTTCACTTGTATTCAATGCCAGCCGAACAAGGGTTCGAAAGGAAGGCGTGCCCAGTCCAGTTGCTGGGTCCCAGCCCTCTGTTGCATTCCAACTTGCATACGGGACATGGGGAGTGTCGACGCCCTCATCGGTCGACCCATAGCAGCCTCGAGAGCCCCCATCAACAATATCAGTGATTCCAGGTCGGCCGAGTGAGTATAGCCATGGATTGAGGAACCCCATTCGAGGTTGGCCATTGGCAAGGCGAGCAGCATTTAACTGGGAGACGACAGCTGCAAACACTGGTGCTGCGGCACTAAAGGGTTGTCAGTTGAGCGTGGTTCCAATTGTTTATTGAAAATATGAGGTAACAAACCTGGTGCCGCTGATTTTCAAATAGGTATCATGGTCCCGGATGATGAAGTTACTTGCTTGGGCTGCCACGTCCGGAATACCTCTGCCCTGAGGATTATAGAGCCCTTTCCACCGATCACCCACGCGATCTAGGTAACCATCGACGGCTTGGTTTTGATATGTTGGAAGAGCGAATATATCGGAGAACCCGCCTCCAGAAAAGTCAATCGCCTTCTCCGGACGATTACCATATGTCCCGCCCACGGAGGTCACGAATGGACAGGACGCAGGGAACCCTGGCAGGAAGGTGGTGCGATTGGATCCGTCGTTGCTCAGACAAGAGCCTCCTACCCCGGAATCGCCGCTACTGAAAATCACCGAAACACCGCGCGCGCCGAGCTGGGCGTATAAGTTGCAGGTTGCCCTGGCATAAGAGGCCGGGACGCTTTGCTCTGCTTCTCCGTATGATGTGGAGAGGATTGCCGGGAGTTCTTCATCCGGGAGATTCACGAGGTAGTGAAGCTGGTCCAGGTAGGGCTCGTTGGACGAGTCACTGGCGTTGGGCTGATCTGCCTCGGGGACTAGGGGGACCCCGTCCGCTGGTAGTATAGTATGTTGCAAGGGTTTGATGTGCCAGAGAAATAGCGTATTGTATATCCAGGCTTGCTTCGGTGCTTCCACTGAAAGAGTCCTGCTCATTCAAGCCACCATTAATCGAGACGGTGGTGAAGCTAGAGTCGGTTTGGTTGGGCGCAAATCGATGCATGAACTGGTCGAAATCTCCGTGACGAGCATACTGTTCCAGAAACCCAGATACACCGAGTCGGTTTCGTATATCAGGGCTGGTAGTGGTACTATCAAGTTCATACAAATCTCGAAGGCAATCAGGCTTGATGGCTGTGGCACAATCCGCCGTTAAATCCTTGGATGTGGCCACGATTGGTTGATTTAGGGGCAAAGTTCTCTGCGGACTGGGATGACCAAACCGAGTTGTGGGTTGGATTAGTTGAATATGAGGATGAATGTGCCCAGGCACTGAGTAGTCGAGGGACCTGATGGCTGTGGTGTGGGTGATGTGGTGATTGAAGTAGAAGAACTGGGTGTTGAGCATGCGCTCGGCCTGGGAGATGGGGATTTTGAAGGAAATCCAGTGGCTATTGGCCTCAATTGAGTCAGATGGAACATCTTCTGACCGAAGCCATGCCAAAACTTGATCGGAAACAGTATGAGATGGCCGCAAGAACTCCTGGACTTGATCGCGTTTCATATGTTGGCCATAGCTGCGATGGCCCGGTGTGGAGAGGTCGATGACCCTCTGCTCAAAAGCCGCCGTTTGGGTCTGGGCTATGGCGAGGCGGAATGTCATGCGTGTTGAAGGCGACGGTCTGCCACCTTTTGACCACCCCGATGGGACATTCTCGAGATGCTCGACGAGCTGAAAGTTGCTCGCAGCCAACGCCAACTGAAGACAACACAGAAAGAAAACCAAAACTCGGACAAATTGGGTGAAGAAGCCCATTGTGTTTTTCAAATCTTGCATGCCAAGTGTGTTTAACATGCACTATACCTGCATCAACGCGCTTTCTTCTTTCTCAGCAAGCAAGTTCATATACATATGGCTTGCAGCAATTTCAATCTAGAGAGTGGATTCCTAACCATAGGAATTCGATCCAGGTTGACTCTACAAGCACACCTCATATCCCTCGACACCCCTTATATACCAGGCGGGGCATTCCACTGGTGTCAGCCAAGGCAAGCTTATCGACGCCGGCCAGTCTGGGCAGAGCCGGACTCCGTATAGAGACAGGGGGAGTTATCCACTTAGAATGCCATGAGAGGATCCACTCAATCAAAAGACAGAGCAGATAGAGTTGGGTCTATGGACCTCTCTAACCCGTTCGGTTCCTCAATAGAGCCTGTCTCGAGCATCACCGTCTGGGGGCACCAGCCGCAGAGAGCCCGGCTCCATTCGGGCGCCGTGGCGCTGTGAGGGCGCAAATGAGCCGACGATGCCCAGTGCTATGTACCGTGGTAGATCAATTTGGAAAAGCTTTCGATCGGACCTCGCTAGGTGGGGGGCGTGAGGTTGCACGGCACACGTTTCCCGTTTTCTTTGTTTGAAGTCCCGAGACCGACGTAACCAGACCAGGGCTGCGTCGATCGAAACACTGCTAGGAGAAATTGTCACTAGAAGGAAAATTTTCACTATCACATCACTATCACGTGGAGAAGTTGGATAATTAAGCACCGGTCATATTTGGTAGCTCATTATCGAGTCGCTACGCGCTTGGGATAACTAGGGCACGGATATAAGGTGAATATGGATGAAGATGTTGAGGCAATTTGGCCCAACTTCTAAGCAGAGCCGATTAATTTTACTAGAATGAAAATATTGTTTTGATTTATTCCATCGATCCAAAGACTTACTCGTGTTATTGAAATATATTTCTGCCCTAGCCTCATTGCGACACTAGTCACTGCCAACAACCAACACCAATGTCATCATATTGGACCACTGTATTCGCAATGCTCTTTCCATGTGGAAATGCAAGATCTGGGCATATGATGATTGAGATGTAAATAAAAAGATCCCCACACTATCTCATCTTCCCCCTGGTGTTGTCTTCCGGCTGTATTTCCATCCCCATCCCATCCAACATTAGAAAAATAGATGACCTGCCATATGGTTAACATGCCTAAACCACTTAGAGCTTGATGGTATGTTCATTTCTCCTCTTTTCAAACAAGCAGTACGGCTGAACCTCATCCACATCTTATGTGTTGGAACCTGAACATATTCTATTGTTCCCCGGAATATGGATACGAAAACATGGACATTCGTAAATCTGTGAGCCTTAGAGTGTTGACATGGCCCAATATATTTGGAAGTAATTCCGTGACACTATCAGTGCATAGATCGCTCGCCGTCCATTGTATAAACCCTGTTCGCGAAATTGGGGCAAATTAAAAAAGAAAAGTGTTCCGAGTACAGCGGACATGGGTCAGTGATAACTTTCCTTTTCTGTCTTCTATCAAAAAAATGACTGTCATCAATTGCGCCTTATTTGGATAGCCGATGGCTCATGTAGTTGACACAAACTGATTCAACATGACTCATAGACATTGGAAAGTGGAGACCTCATCATAAAAGACTACTGAAGACATCAAGTCGTTCAAAGTCGCACACTTGCGATTGATCTTGTCGCCATGGCGTCCAAGTCCTCTGAAACTATGGCCTTCTATGACATTGCCATGCGGCCGCCAATTGCTTCCAACTGCAGCGCCCCGAACCCCTGGAAGGCCCGACTGGCGCTGAACTTTAAAGACATCGCATATTCAACCACATGGGTTCCTCTACCCGAGATTGCCCAAGTTCGTCGTGATCTGGGCGTGCCTGCTGGTCGCAAGTTTGGCGATGGCACCGACTTCTATACCCTCCCCATTCTGGTCGACCCCAAGACCAACTCCAAAGTCGGGGACTCCTTCGATATAGCCGTCTACTTGCAAAAGACATACCCCGCTACGGGTGCGGGTGATCTGTTCCCTCCGCAAAAGCTCGACTTCGTCTTCAATCCTGATTCTGCACTCCTCGTGCCCCTGTCTGAGCGGACAGAGAGTGAGCATGCCGACTACTCGCATTTCAATACCCATGTCGATGCGGCATTCACCGCACATACTGTCCTCATGGCATATAATCTCCCCTTCGAACCTAACACTGCCGAAGCCAGCAAGGCCGAATTCGTTCGGCGCGCTAGGGTATCATCTTGGGACGATTTTGAGGTCCAGGGGGAGCAGCGAGAGAAGATCAAAGAGTCTTTTTGTCGGACGCTGGGTGACCTTGGCAAGCTCTTCCTGAGGGACACCAGCGGGCCTTTCCTCTTGGGTCAGCAGGCCAGCTATGCCGATCTAATTGTCGGTGGATGGCTGCACATGATGCGCGGGACTCTGCCGAGCGATGAATGGGAGGAGGCAAGGGGCTGGCATGGGGGGATTTTTGGACGGTTGTATGATGGCCTGGAGAAGTATACACAAGTGAAATAGGATTTTGACTCCGATGTCACTGCAAGAGATATGATATGCAGCAATTGAGTGAAAGAATTCCAAACTGCCTTCAAATAATCCCCGAGTAGCATCGATGCCTGGTGGCCTGAGGCGTGCGGGTCATTCCCTCCGAAGCCCCGAGCGATGCGGGATGATCGACGTCACAGGAGAGTCTCACAGGCACAAACCAGTCTCAGGCCTTTGATTTCCTGTGATCTTCATCGCTGTTGCTTGGACGTTGATCCTGTCGAATTGCAAAAGAGCAATTCTCGCGGTGTGTGGGTCTTGGCGCTGTCGATAGCCAGCTGCATTCGACTCTGGTTGAATCCCTCAAGATACTGGTCAATGGTGGTTGAACGTCTGGTGGGGATAGCTTCTCAAATGTGAGTTCTCGTCGTCTAATAAGCTCATCAAAGGCCTCGCGTTGATCTTCATTGAAGCATCTCACGGCATTGCGGGGTTGCATGATCAGTTTGAGATCGAATCGACGTCATCCCAGCATTCCACCTCTCGCGTGGGATCGCAACAACTCCGACAATTCCAATCGCAAACTATCAACCTCCATCACTCCATCACTCACTTCTCATCAGCCATGGCTGAGCCCGAGGTCCAGCAAGCCCGTCGAATGTCGGCGGAGAACCAAACTGTCTCCAAATCCGACATTCCTTTGAAGGAGCGATTCTTCCGCTACTTCCAGCATGAAATCACCGGTATTTGCCCAGAAATTGTCTACCTTCCTTCAACAAAATACTGGACATGTTTGCTGATACCATGTTCCAGCTCTACAAGAGCAGATGGACCGTCTCGCCGACACATCTCTTGTGGGTGGTGAGCGCGCAGATGCAACAGATCATTGCCTCGCCGGGATCGTGCGGTTATCCAATGAAGTCAAAGATGCAGCAAGCTATATCCCCACCTACGATCAGAGGGTGTATGCGGAGGTAGGCAGACTCAACGGACTTTCCTCGGGTGTTAGCAATACTGATTTCTCGCCAGGCTATCAAAGCCCTGCAGGATAAGCTGAGCGAAACGCGTGCAGCCTTCGAACCGCGGTCGAAGTTCAGTTTCAAGACTAAGAAGAATGCCTCTGCCATCTCCCTGGGCGATGCCGCGGTATTGGAAGCCGACGGACGGCGCGGCATTCCCGGGTATCAGTCGCCGGGGGGCTCGTCGGTCGATTCGTCGACAAACCAGACCCCCAACTATCCGTCGACGCCATTGAACGAACCCGACAAGCAGCAACAGGAGCGGCCAGAGCTAGCGCCCACCTCCGTTCCGCCAATCTCCATCGGCGATAGCGAGCCAAAGTCCCAGCCGAGATCGAAACCCGGAGGATTCTCAGCTACTGGCGTGGCCTCGGTCTCCGTGGACAATCATTATGGATTACATATCATGCTTCCTGCGTGCGGGTCGACCGCCACAGTCCCTGCGTCGATTACCTCCCTCGAGCACTGTGTGGTGGATATGTCTATTCCCACTGCCGACGGCAAACCCTTTGCCAGTCTGACCACCAAGGGGATCAAGGAGAGTTTGCTGGTGTGCGGTCAGGTCAATGGGCCTGCGCACGTCACGCACGTCGAACACAGCGTGATGGTGGTCTCGTGCCGGCAGTTCCGCATGCACAACTGCCGCGATGTCGATGTCTACCTTAGCTGCTCGAGCAATCCCATTATCGAGGATTGTTCGAATATCCGGTTCGGCCGGATACCCAAAGCCTATGTAAGTTGGATGTGACTCTCTTCTTCTACTTCTTTGCTTCTTCTTTCTCTTTTGTTTAGGAATAACCACTCATCTCTTGCTTCCTTCAGGCCTTGGACCATGACCGCCCCGATCACCAGGACCGCTGGAGCCAGGTGGAGGACTTCAAATGGATCAAGCCTGAGCCCAGCCCCAACTGGAGCCTGTTGGACCCTAATGACGCCGTCCCGGAGGAGGTCTGGGCGGAGATTGTTCCCGGCGGGCCGGGATGGTCGCTCGAGGACATCTTGCATGCCACCAAACTTGTGAAGGGATAGTTTCTGTTCCGGGGTTTCGTCTTAATCTGTCGACAGATTGTATTAGTTGTACCGAGGCGCCCAGGTGGCTTGTTTGGTGCTTTTCTCAAAACTTGACTCTCTACTCCCCTTGCCCATTTGGCTAATCCCGTGTCATACTTTTCTTGTTCAACTAATTTGTCTTGATATGACTTTTCAAAACGAAAACTGGAAATCTTGTGTCCATCTTTTGGTCCTTTGTGTTGCAACATTGGCACTTAATCTCCTCGTCAAATGGTAATTCGTGCTGCATTTGCAATGTACTTGTAGCTGAGGCCAGAGCAACAGCGACATGCAGTCGGTCTATCAAATCTATTCTCTTGGGTATATCGACACATCAAGGCTAAAACTTCAGTTTAAACACCAAGACTTGTGTGTCGAGACTGATTCCAGATTGGTCCTTGTACTTGAGCTTGCCGAAGTTCATGTGTCCTAAAAAATAAGGTCAGTCACAGGCTACCTACCATCAGGCTTGTTATTTGGGGGAAGGGGGAGTGGCAGCAGTCTTACCATCCTGGGTCATAAAGTCGTTGTCACTGAAGCTGAACAGGAAGTATTCCTTCTCAGCACCTCGCTTGTGACCAGCAGAAGAAGAGCTGGGGTCGACGGGCGCAATACCCAGACTCTCCCACTTCTCATTCAAAAGAAAACGGTCCGACTGGCCGCCATTGTGCAGCCGGAACTTGGCCAGCTCAGACTCGATATTGTAGTCGACGAACGAGCAGTACTCGGCCGGGGTGATACCGGGGAAAAGCTTGCCCTTGGACGAGGCGATAGCACCGCCGGCGTTATCGTAGTTTTTCTGGCCCTTGAGGTCCGTGATCGTGTGGTTGCTGTTCAGCACAGAGAACACATCGGCATGGCGGTACACAGAGCGCGTATGGTCCTGGCCGCGGCCGAAGCTCGAGTCGCGCGCCAGCACGAGAAAGTCGCCTGTCGGCAGCTGGTGCAGCTCGGACTGCGCGGCGACCTTGCGCGCCTTGTTGGCGTCGGTCTCGGTGTAGTCACGGTACGTTGGCAGGAGGACGGCGTACTCGTGGATATATTTGGGCGGGTTGGCCGAGATGTCATACGCCAGCAGCCGCGCCGGCTGCCCCGAGACCTCGCTGCCGCCGCCGCCCTCCTGCTGCAGCGCGGACTGGATCAGCGTGTACAGCGTCTTGCCGTCGGCCGACACCGTCACGCCCTCGAACCCCTGATTGTCGTTGCGGCCTGTCTGCGGGTCCGCGGGGATCGGCGACGCCTTGGGGTTGTAGCGCGGCGGCGTGTTCGAGTTGAAGCTGATGGTGTCGTTGCGGCGTGGCAGGAAGGCCTGCGGCGGCTGGATCGCGTGCTCCATCTTGCCCTGTGCGCTGAACTTGTACACATACGGCCCGTACTCGTCGGACACCCAGAACCCGCCGTTCTTCGTGTCCAGCGCCAGTCCCTCCGAGTCGACGGAGACTCGCTTGCCGCCAGCCCCAGGGCCTCCGAACCCGTCGCCCGTGTACGTGGCTACCGGCAGCGGCGGGAACCCGGGGAACGAGGCATGGCCCTTGGCGTCGGCGTCCAGGGCCGTGACCGGATTGCCCTCGGGGTCTGTCAGAAGGGTGGTGCCGATGTACTTCAGGTGCACGTTGGGCGCCGAGGGATTCTTGGCCGAGGCGTTGGGGGCCAACTTGAGCGAAACCGCGAATTTGTGGATGCGGTTTTGGAAGTTGATTGTGCCATTGGTGTTCCTGCCAGAAATCAACTGTGAGCCTCGAATTTCCTTGGGGGGTTCCCTTGGTTCACTTGGGTTGGAGATATCTCTTACCAGCCTCGGTCAGGCAACGCATAGATCGTTCCCTCATAGGCCTCATGGGCCGTCTTGCGCCACGCCGACTGGTCAATGGCAATGGAACTGCCAATGCCGCCGATGGTGTCGCCGTACTTGTCGGTGGCATTGGAAGGAATGAATCCAAAGCCAGCCAGTCCGGTGTACTTATAAGGCGTGCCGGCGCAAGTGGCCTGGTTGACGACATGCTCGGCCGCCTGGGCGGCCACAGCTAAGAACGCTACCAGCGTCAATTTCATAGTGAACAAATAGAACCGTGAGGTAGTTTAGACTTCTATCTCGGGCGTTCTCTCAACCTTTATATAACTTTTTTCCCTTCAAGTTCTGTCCCTTTCTACCCCTCCGAAATCGCATCCTCTCGGGCAACGCGATATGCGTTTCGTGGACCCTTGCCACGAAAGGAAGATAAAACAGAGAAAAGAGGGCCAAGAAAGGACAAAAGAACCAGTGATAGTCAATGTGCGAGTGGCACCTTATGTCACTTGCTGATCGTCAAGCAGTGCCACTTCCTGCACGGAAGAATAATCGCGCAGCGGGTATCAATCGACAATCCTTACTGTGCTGGGTATGAGGAGCCTAAACGCCGTCCCCAACCAGGAATACATAGGCTACAGACCTTATCTGGACGTTGGATGAGGATCAGATAATTAAGAATAGGATTGATTCATGTTTCAAAGCTCATTCTACCTCGATCAGGACTCGCTGTTCCAGGTGCTGGGCACTTTGGGGTACTTCTGGGCATCCAACCCGAGATCCTGATAGACCGTTTCATCGCCTGCACTGGGTCAGTGACGGGGTCATATGGACGAGAATGGAAACTCACCTCGCAGCGCTTCGACCCGTTGCTCATTTTCCTGTTCCATTCTCTCCAGTTCCTCCCCGGGTTCCTGTTCATTCGGCTCCTTGGCACCCTCGGCAGTCGCGGCTTTACCTAGCTCATTCTGCGCCTCGCCGATCATCAGGAACTGTGCGTTAGGATATTCGAGGAACTCGGGCTCCAGGGGCACCCATCGGAGGTCGCCGAATTTCTCGCGCACGCTGATAAAACCAGAAATTGAAATTAGTGACCAGGAAAACATTTGTTCAGGACACATGGCTTACGATTCTGGATATTCGGGATCCTTGGGCAATTGGGCATAACCTGGACCGGGGTACTTGGGGTTCTTCGACTGGAGAATCCAGCTCCCACGCTCTCGAAGTCCAAAGTTTTTTTGGATGTCGCCTAACTCCGTTGGAATGGTTAGGATGTACGCGAGATGAGCTGCGCGTTTCGTGGATGTAATAGCGTAGACCCCTTCTGCATAGGGTTTCGCCTCCTGGAGGGAGCGTTCACCCCGGGTGGAGGTCTGGTACGTTGCACCGGCAAGGAACTTCTCCTGCAGATCCTTCATGGACTGTCCAGATTTCTCCACAAACCCCATATCCCTTTCCCTGCCCGACGTCGGAAACTTCTTTTTCGGGAGGATCATCAGACGACAACGCGCGTCTTTGTCGACGGGGCCCTGGCCCTCGTTGAGCTCAGCTCCAAGAGGGGTAGGGCGAAGCACGAAGAAGCTTCGAGCGACATCCTCCACACTGTGGGGGTCTTCGACATTGACCCGAGGTCGAAAGAAGAAGTAAATAACGCCCTTTTCGCGGATGTTGGAAGACACCACGGTTTCCCGCTCATCAGATTTTCGAACGCCTGACTCAATATTGAGAGCAGGCCTGGGGGGTTGTTCTGGTTTAGGCTCCTTTTCTCCCTTTGCCTTCAACTCTGGGGTGCCGTCGATCATGGCCCCCATGGCCTGTTCCTCGTTTGCTTCACTTTCATTTTCAGGCCGCAGTTGCTTTTCTGTCTTCTCTTTCTTGGGCTGCGGGGCTGGCTTCGGTGGTGCCTTGCGCTTCGATCCCGTGGGAGCCCGTTCAGTCGACTCCGTGGAAGAGATGGCTTCCTTGGCCTTCTGGGCAGCCTGCCTCGAGGACGTTCGAGGCATTGAAATTCGATTGCTTGAATAATTGGGGGGTTAGGATGAATTGCAGTGATGAAAACAGTACAGGGATTGAGGGAGCCCAGAGAACCAGACCCAAGAAGCAGCTACTGGCGCAGCACAAAACTGCCTGCCATGGCCACTGTGAGATATAAATGACGTCATGTATCCATACTTTCTCGTGGGTCATGTGACCATTGAGGAAGCAGCGATTCAGTCGATGTCCATCTCAGTTGCCGAATCATTCATGCTGGCTGTGGGCGATTGCTGGTCCGGGCTTGAACTTTCGTTCGATTGGGTTTCCCGAAAATCCCGGAATGCCGTGTCATGGGCAGCCGGCGTATCTGGCACTGGTTTGTTGCATCTCCGTTGTCTCTTGAGGCTCAGTCTCGGGCATGGGCATCGAGGGTCTTCCAATTTGGTCTTCCTGGGTGGGTTGGAGTATCTGGTGGTTGCAGGATGGGTGGGCTTCCTCTTTTGACCCCGTTTCTGGCTATTGGTATGCAGCCTGGTGCTGGCGCTCAAGTTGGATTTCCAGTCCAAGTTTTCCATGTAGTCTGTAAGATCGCGCTGCCATCGTTCGAGGAAATCAGGAAGACTGGGAAGCTCTAGATTCCGGGTTTCATATTTGGGCTCCTCGGGGGGTTCCTCAATGGCATATGGCTTCACCACCTGAGACTTGGGGTCGGCCACGGAGTCATTTTCATGGGTGGGCGTCGAGGGTCCCGAGTCGTTCAGGCTCCAAGTACCATCTGTGGGGGTGTCTGACATTTCATGAGACGAAGCGAAATCAGGGACCGGCTCGTAGGGGGGAACGGAAGTAAATTCGTCCATTGGGAGGTCTTCCATCATTCAGGCCCGAGGGTGTCTCGAGATCGCGAAGAACATCGAGTCCAATACCTTTCATAAACCAATAGATCTGTAGGGTCAATGTAAGATAGGAATATGAGAAAGAAAGAAAAATTGAAATTGATTCCATAGAGAGCAATGGGAAATGGAGATCTGTCCCGTCATACATCATCGCTTTCCAGATGCTTCCAGCGCGGGGGATATGTTTCTCGGGCAGACACTCATCCAGGGAGATCCCCACTTGGGACAACTCTCTGGATGAGTGTCTGTAAAAATAGAACCTCAAGAATCATCTTCAAAGTCCCAAATATAATTTTCACCTCAAAGTAGCCAAGTCGAGGAGGAGCTGAAATGCTGAAGAGCGCCAACAATCACTGCTCCCCTGGCTGCTCACCGCCCGCCCGCTGATTGGCCACTGCCATCGGCGCCCACAATAGAGTCCACGTTTAGTTTACCTTCTCCGACTCTCTCTCCCCCAGGCATCCACTGCGAGTCCCTTGTCCTCCTGCCATTTTCTCTGTGGATGTGGTGGTCGCCTCTGTGATCCTTTTATTTTCAGTGTGCGGAGCTTGCTACTGTACGGTGCGGCTCCGGCCAACTCTTCAAGATGCAGTCCTCCCCAAACATGCTCACCAAGGTACCATGCTTGCGCCTCATCCTAATTCCCGAGTCCTTTCGCGTCAAGGTGGTCAATTGCAGTGACTGATCATGTTGCTTGTCACAGTTTGAGTCGAAATCCTCCCGAGCCAAGGGAATCGCATTCCATCCGAAACGGTCAGTTGGTCCCGCCGAGGGGACACCTACACCTTGGGCCATCCAAACTTACTGTGCTACAGGCCATGGATTCTCGTCTCTCTTCACTCGTCCACCATCCAGCTCTGGGATTACCGCATGGGAACACTCATTGACCGATTTGAAGAGCACGATGGACCCGTCCGAGGCATCGACTTTCACCCGACTCAACCCCTGTTTGTGTCTGGAGGTGATGACTATAAGATCAAGGTCTGGAGCTACCAGACTCGGAGATGCCTGTTCACATTGAACGGTCACTTGGATTACGTGCGCACTGTCTTCTTCCATCATGAGCTCCCTTGGATCCTGTCTGCGTCCGATGACCAGACCATCCGTATCTGGAATTGGCAGAACCGATCATTGAGTAAGTAGTACCTGGGATGATTGTTTCCGACAGCTACTGATCTTTTGCCCTCAAAGTTTGCACAATGACCGGTCACAACCACTATGTGATGTGTGCTCAGTTCCACCCCACTGAGGACCTCATCGCCTCGGCCTCTCTGGATCAGTCCGTCCGCATCTGGGATATCTCCGGCCTGCGCAAGAAGCACTCGGCACCCACCTCGATTTCCTTCGAAGACCAAATGGCACGGGCCAATCCCAACCAGGCCGATATGTTTGGCAACACCGATGCTATTGTCAAGTTTGTGCTGGAGGGTCATGACCGCGGCGTGAACTGGGTGTCGTTCCACCCAACATTGCCATTGATCGTGTCGGCGGGTGATGATCGACTTGTTAAGTTGTGGAGAATGAGCGGTGAGTTTGGCCAGCTTGCTGAGTGGATATGAATGTCGATGCTAACCAGGAGTAGAAACCAAGGCATGGGAGGTCGATACTTGCCGTGGCCATTTCCAGAACGCCTCGGCCTGTTTGTTCCACCCGCACCAGGACCTCATCCTCTCTGTCGGCGAAGATAAGACAATTCGCGTCTGGGACCTTAACAAGCGCACTTCGGTGCAGTCCTTTAAGCGCGACCTGGATCGCTTCTGGGTGATTGCGGCCCACCCCGAGATCAACCTGTTCGCTGCTGGTCACGACACCGGTGTCATGGTGTTCAAGCTGGAGCGCGAGCGACCTGCTTCTGCCGTTTACCAGAACCAGCTCTTTTATATCACCAAGGAGAAGCACGTCAAGTCGTATGACTTTGCCAAAAATGTCGAATCCCCGCCAATGCTCTCCCTGCGCAAACTGGGTTCCCCTTGGGTCCCGCCGCGCACCGTTTCCTACAACCCAGCCGAGCGTGCCATTCTGGTGACCTCGCCTGCTGACAATGGAACTTACGAGTTGATTCACCTCCCCCGAGACGCCACAGGAGCCGTTGAGCCCACCGACGTTAAGCGGGGCCAGGCCTCCTCCGCTGTCTTCGTCGCCCGCAACCGGTTCGCTGTTTACAATCCCGCGAACCAGCAGGTCGACATCAAGGACCTGAGCAACTCCACAACCAAGACGATTAAGCCCCCGGCTGGCACCACCGATATTTACTTTGGTGGTACTGGCTGCTTGCTCTTCATCACTCCCACGACGGTCGTGCTGTTTGACATCCAGCAGAAGAAGCAGCTGGCTGAAGTTGCGGTCAGCGGTGTGAAATATGTTGTCTGGTCCAACGACGGTCTCTACTGCGCCTTGCTCAGCAAGCACAATGTTACCATCGTCACCAAGACTCTTGAGCAGGTCAGCACGTTGCACGAAACCATCCGCATCAAGAGCGCTACCTGGGACGATGCCGGTGTTCTGCTCTACTCGACCCTAAACCACATCAAGTACTCGCTTCTGAATGGGTAAGTCATACGCGCCGGGATCATATGGGATATGCTGACAGTCGTCGATAGTGACAATGGGATTATTCGTACCCTGGACCAGACCGTGTACCTCGTGCGCGTGAAGGGCCGGAACGTTTATTGCCTGGATCGCAATGCTCAGCCACGGATCCTGGAGATTGACCCCACCGAGTATCGATTCAAGCTGGCACTGGTCAAGCGAAACTACGACGAGATGTTGCAGATCATCAAGAACTCCAGCTTGGTTGGCCAAAGCATCATCTCGTACCTGCAGAAGAAGGGTTACCCGGAGATCGCCTTGCAGTTCGTCCAAGATCCGCAGACTCGCTTCGACCTTGCTCTTGAATGCGGAAACCTCGAGGTCGCCATCGAGATGGCACGGGAGCTGGACCGTCCGAACTTCTGGAACCGACTTGGCACCGAGGCACTCGCCCATGGCAACCACCAGACTGTCGAAATGACCTACCAAAAGCAGCGGAACTTCGACAAGCTCTCGTTCCTCTACCTGTCTACTGGTGACCAGGAGAAGCTTTCCCGTATGGCCAAGATTGCCGAACACCGGGGCGATTTCACCTCTCGTTTCCAGAACGCCATCTACCGTGGTGATGTTGAAGACCGAATCCAGATGTTTAAGGAGGTGGACATGTGTATGTTCTCCCCATGCCTGACATGCTCAACATTATACTGACATTCCGCAGACCCCATTGCCTACCTCACTGCCAAATCACACGGCTTGACCGAAGAAGCTGAGTCCATCTTGGAAGCGTGTGGCCTCACGGAAGACCAGATCACCCTGCCTTCTACCGAAGAAGCCTTGAGGGTTGCGCACCCTATTGTCCCGACTTTCAAGGCCAACTGGCCCGTAAAAGCTGCCGGCCATTCCTCTTTCGAGAAGGCCCTTCTCGGAGAAGTTGGCGCCGTCGACGAGGAGGCCGGTGCGGACGTTTTCGATCTGGCGGAAGAAGAGCAGGAAGCCGTTCTTGCTCGGGAGACTTTGGAGGACGAGGAGGAGGATGCCTCCGGATGGGACATGGGCGACGATGTCAACATCGAGGAGGACGCCGAGTTCGTCAACGTGGAGGGTGCTGAAGCCGGAGCCGGCAGTTCTGAGGCAGATTTGTGGGCTCGCAACTCTCCATTGGCGGCTGATCACGTTGCTGCTGGGTCCTTTGACACTGCGATGCAGCTTCTGAACCGCCAGGTTGGTGCCGTACACTTTGCCCCTCTGAAGAGCCGCTTCCTCGAGGTCTTCAAGGCCTCCAAGACCTATCTCCCCGCCACTTCTGGTTTGCCGCCCCTGGTCAACTATGTGCGGAGAAACGTCGAGGAGAACGACAACCGGAAGGTGCTTCCCCACATTCCGCGTGACTTGGAGACTGTTGCCAATGCCGATCTTCAAGAGGGTTATGCGGCAATGCGGGCCAACAAGCTGGAGGATGGCGTGCAAATCTTCAAGCGTATCCTGCACACGCTCCTCGTGAACACTGTTTCCTCCGAGGCCGAGGTGGAGCAGGCGAAAAAGATCATTTCCACGGCCCGGGAGTACATCCTTGCCATGTCCATTGAGCTGGAGCGCCGCTCTATTCCCACCGATTCCGAAGAGGGCCTGAAGCGGTCCCTTGAGCTGTCGGCGTACTTTACCATCCCCAAACTGGAGGTTGCTCATCGGCAGTTGGCTCTGATGGCTGCCATGAAGTTTGCGTTTACCAACAAGAACTACTCTTCTGCCCTGAGCTTCGCCAACCGGGTGTTGGCTAACGGAGGCTCCACCAAGCTTCTGGAACAGGTAAGGCTTTTATTACGCAGTGTGTGGTCAGTCCTGGTGCCTTGATGCTAATCTTTCAATCAACAGGCCAGGAAAATCAAAGCCCAATGTGAACGGAACCCGCAGGACCAAGTTGAGATCGAATTCGACCAATTTGCCGAGTTTGATATTTGCGCCGCTTCATTCACCCCGATCTACAGCGGCTCTGCCAGCGTGTCCGACCTCTTCACCGGCGCCAAGTACCAGCAGCAGTATAAGGGCACCGTGTGCCGGATATCCGAGGTCACCGAGATCGGTGCGCCGGCCAGTGGTCTGCGCCTGTTCGTTCCTGGTCAATATTAACTAAAGCATGACGATGTCTTGACGGTTTCTCCCACCTTTCCTCTTCTTGACATGAAGTTATAAAACGGGCTATTTTCTTTTTTTATTTCCAGTCTTCCTGCACCGAGGGGAAGTTGTGTGTTTGGCGGCGCTTTTTTTTTATTTTGGCTGGGAGAGAAAGAGACAAAACTCCTACAACCTTCACACCCCTTGTTCTAGATGTCTATGTTTTGTGTTTGAGGCTTTTAATTGTTTAGCGGTCTTAGTTTGTATGCAACCCCTGTTTCTGTCTATGACTGCTAGTTCTCCAAACAGTAAAAGCACAGCAACCATACATGAGTCTATCTGTCTAGTATACAAGTAGGGAGATGTTCCAACAGGAGTAGAGATGCACCCAGTCAACTCCAGACCATAGCGATCAACATCAGACATCAATCAATATACAAGCCCCATAAAATATCGAATGCCCCAAAGAGTAAATCAATCACAGCGTCCATCCTTCCACCCCGTCCTCCACCGCTCCTCCCAAAACCGACAATCAAACTCCTTCTTCCCCAGCTTCCGATTCACCTCATTATGAGCCTCGCACATCCACCACCCAAACTCCGCCCGACTGCCCAGCCGCGGCTGATTGCGCCCACTGGGGTGAGCCATCCACGCCTGGAAGTCGTCAGCGCACACCCAGCAGGGGTACAGCCGCGAAAAGAGCGTCAAGAAGCCGCGCATATCCCGTTGCTGTGCCGAGTCCGCCTTTTCGGGGTATGTTGCCGCCATGGAGTGTAGCAGGGTCCATGTTGAGCGGCCGAGCGCTTCGACGTCGGGAGGGCAGTCTGTCGGGGTGGTGGTGCTGGGAGAAGGCGAGGAAGAGGAAGAGGAGGCAGCGGCGAGGGCGGCGAACGAAGAGGCCATGGCCGTGGATATGTTCGCTTTCGAGTCCGGGGTGGACTCGGATTTGGCTTGTTTTGTTAATGAGCGCCATGAGGCGGCGTCGGTGCAGAGTCGGCAGCTGGGAGAGGCCTCGTCAGTATTTTTTTTTTTTTCTGTTCATTGATAAAGTTTTGGTCAACTTACGGCTTTCCATCTTTGTCCAATACTAGTCCCTTGCGCGGCGCGGTCTTGGACTCATTGTTTCGTGCTGTTGCGGAGGCGCTTGCGGAGGCACCGGGAGTTTGCTGGTTGAATAGAGGGGCGTGGCCTTTATATTGCGAGTCGACCTGCTCCGGAGGAATCTCGGCCATAATGGATTTGCTATGGTCTACCTTCTGAGGGAAGAGAGGCCAAGTGGGTGTCAAAAGTTGCTGGATTTGTTGGATTTGATTTCTAAAGCAGCATGCGGAGAGCGGCGGAGGTAATCAAGTGGCGGGCCCCAAGAGCCTTGGTGGGATTGATGTAACAGAATATTAGATGAAAGGCAAGCGCCGCGAAGAATATTCCTTCAATGTAGAATATGACACTTCCAAGGCTCAGCGCAACAATGCAAGATGCAACAACAAGGCGAACAACGTCAGATCTCACAGAGTTGATCATTGGCTTTGTCAGCCACTTTTTGGTCGCGCCCAGTCAACGAGACGCGCGCCTTCTTCTCGTCGCGACCGGCTGCCTGCAATTGTGAATATCCAAGGTCTTCGCTTTTATCACAGCCTGAGGATTTTCGCGCTGGAAGAATCCTACAATCATACCAACTCCCAACACAGTGTATAATCATGGCGCCAAAATACACAATGTCCGATTCTGAATCCGAGCCCGAAGCGGAGTCTCCAGTCGTCCCATCAGACAACGATCTGGAACAAGGGCTGCGCGATGGGGTTGCGGCGATTTTCAAGTCGGGGAAAATGGAAGAATTGACCGTGAAGCGAGTGCGACTTGCTGTAGAGAAGCAGCTCGGCCTAGCAGAAGGGTTCTTCAAGAGCACTGGCGACTGGAAAGCGCGCAGTGAGCAGGTCATCAAGGAAGAAGTGGTATGTTTTTCTTCTACAAAGAAGATGCAGGTCTGCTGCTGCTGGACAACTACTGATTGCGAGGATTGTGTAGGAAGTACAAGATGCGAAGAAGCCCGAAGTCGAACCAGTCGATAAGTCCCCCTCTCCTGTACCGAGGCCGAAGAAAGCTGCTGCTCCCAAGCGAGCCAAGAGTGAGAGCACATCGAAGCCAAGGAAGCGCCAAAAGACGGAGACCCCCGTCTCTGGAGAGGAAGAGGTCGAAACGCCCAAGAAGCAGTCAGAAGAAGCCGTGAAGAAAGCTCCCACGCCCAAATCAAAAGATACCGTGTCTGAAGCTTCAGATGTCCCTGAAGACGCGTCTGACGCCGCTGAACCGACCGCAGAGACGACCAAAGACGACTCCGAAAGTGAAATGTCCGTCGTGCTAGACGAAGAGCCCAAGCCTGCGCCCAAAAAACAAAAGAGTGCAGGCAAATCTGCCCCGAAAGGCTCGAAAGAGAAAAAGAAGCCCGCGCCCAAAGGCAAAGACGAGGACCTCGATCCAGACCAGGCCGAGATCAAGCGACTGCAGGGATGGCTGGTCAAGTGCGGTATCCGCAAGATGTGGTGGAGGGAGCTGGCTCCGTTTGAGACCCCCAAAGCAAAGATTAAGCACCTCAAGGAGATGCTTGTGGATGCTGGAATGAAGGGCCGGTATTCTGTGGAGAAAGCCAAGCAGATCCGGGAAGAGCGAGAGTTGAAGGCCGATCTAGAGCAGATCCAACAGGGTGCGAAACAATGGGGTACGGAGAGTGGCGGCGAGGAGAGCAATGAGAAGCCCCGACGGAGACAAGCTCGAGGACGCCAGGCGCTGGCGTTCCTGGAGAGTGACGACGAGGAAAGCGACTGATCGTGATGGGCTTCTTTTCTTTTCGGCTCTTCAGCAGCTGGCCTGCCCGAAAGTCCCAAGCTAGGCCACGACATCATTTTTAATGACACATTAAGCCCTCCAGCCGTCTCAAACATGCATTGTAGGTACCGCGCGTACTATATCATCGCCCAGTCTTCGGCCCGCTCATGCGCTGGGCGGCTAAGCTGAAGACGGCGACAGAAGATATGAAGAGAACAAGATTATAAAACTAGCATCGCGGTTAGTATGTAAATAGCGTGGATGAAGTGGGATGTGTCGTACGGCCGTCCGCGAGTACTCGTTCTCCTCGGCCTCCGTCCTCGCTTCAACGAAGAGACGTCGCAGATTAGGGAGATTAGCCTGCAGATGCGTTAAGCTTGGCACAATTATTGCTGTTATCCAACTCACCATGGATATCAGCCGTGGCGAGAAAATCCGGGGTTAAATAGGGAGGTCAAGGGTAGAAAGTGGGAGAAACAATGGAGCGGACGGGAGGTCCAGAAGACCATTTGTGGACAACTTCTGATCTTCCCCAAACACCCTTTTTTCTCCGTCCTCCTTCTTCAGCCGCCTGTCCTGAACCTCTCCACACTGTGTGTCTTGCCGAATTTTCTCTTCAATGCACCTAGCGAAATAGAGAGGAATGGTCTGACCCCTATCTCCGACAACGACACCTTGTGAATCCTTGGTCGCGCGACCGTGAAGCTTTCAATTCCCCGCAGTCGCCGAACAATCGTTCGACTCCCACTTCCATCTCTCGGATTCTTTTGGCGGAGGCACGACCTGGTCGTTGCTGAAGCTTATCATTTCTCGGAATGGCGATGAACAAAATCCGAGGCGCCTTTGCGGTGCCCCGGAAAGGAGAGACATTTGAATTGCGCGCTGGGCTTGTGTACGGTGTCCCCTCGATCTGCTGGCTTCCTGGTCATGGTGAATCACAGACAAGACTGACCCTGAAAATAGTTCCCAGTATGCCTACGAACGGTATGTCGGGCCGCTTAGCCCTCTAACGAAGCCGAGGGGGTCGTCGAGTGATGGCGTGGCGTGGCTGACACTTCAACAGAAAAGAATCCATTCAGAAAACCATCATGGCTATGACTCTGGGCAAGGATGTTTCAGCGCTCTTCCCGGATGTCCTCAAAAACATTGCTACGTCTGATCTGGAACAGAAGAAACTCGTCTACCTTTATCTCATGTGGGTATTGCCCCCGCTTCAAGGTGACCGCATGTACTGATCAGTGAAATTTCACACTCAGGAACTACGCCAAATCGCATCCGGATCTCTGCATTCTCGCCGTGAACACCTTTGTACAAGACTCGGAAGACCCCAACCCATTGATTCGAGCCCTGGCCATTCGGACGATGGGCTGTATCCGGGTGGAAAAGATGGTCGATTACATGGAGGAACCGCTGCGCAAAACACTTCGGGACGAGTCGCCGTATGTCCGCAAGACCGCTGCCATTTGTGTAGCAAAGCTCTTTGATTTGAACCCGGGAATGTGCCTCGAGAACGGCTTCTTGGAGATGCTGCAGGAGATGATCGGCGATCCCAACCCGATGGTGGTGGCCAACTCGGTGACTGCATTGTCAGAAATTCATCATACTGCCCCCGAGACAAGAGCATTGCAGGTGACTACCAACATACTACGGAAGATGCTTATGGCCCTGAATGAGTGTACCGAGTGGGGACGGGTTACGATCCTCTCGACCTTGGCTGAGTATCGGACGTCTGATGTCAAGGAGTCGGAGCACATCTGTGAGCGAGTTGCGCCGCAGTTCCAACATGCCAACCCTAGCGTGGTTCTTGCGGCAGTCAAGGTAGTGTTCTTGCATATGAAGCGTGTCAGCCAAGAGCTGTCTAACACTTACCTGAAGAAGATGGCTCCCCCATTGGGTATGTCACCGACATGTTTGTTGGTGATTCTCTGAATGCTAATCGGTTCCAGTGACGTTGGTTTCCTCGGCACCTGAGGTGCAATATGTGGCTCTGAGAAACATCGACCTTCTGCTACAGAAGCAGCCCGACATTCTCAACAAAGAACTGCGAGTCTTCTTCTGCAAATACAACGACCCCCCGTATGTCAAGTTTCAGAAACTTGAAATTATGGTGCGAATAGCGAACGAACGCAATGTGGACCAGCTGCTAGCGGAACTGAAGGAATACGCTCTTGAAGTTGACATGGATTTCGTTCGGCGCGCCATCAAGGCGATTGGCCAGGTTGCCATCAAGATCGAGAGCGCCAGTGAGAAATGCGTCAACACGCTGTTGGATCTGATCAACACCAAGGTCAATTATGTTGTTCAGGAAGCCATTGTTGTCATCAAGGACATCTTCCGGAAATACCCTGGCTACGAAGGTATCATCCCAACACTCTGCAAGTGCATTGATGAACTGGATGAGCCCAACGCACGAGCTGCACTTATCTGGATTGTTGGCGAGTATGCCGAGAAAATTAGCAACGCGGGGGATATTTTGGGAGGGTTTGTCGATGGGTTCAATGAGGAATTCTCCCAGGTATGTTTCCCCAGCTCGAATTGTCCTACGGCCACGGCTCATAGATCTGTCTCCAGACCCAGCTTCAAATTCTCACTGCCGTGGTGAAACTGTTCCTGAAGCGGCCTGAAAAAGCCCAAGGCCTGGTACAACGGGTGCTTCAAGCGGCCACTGCTGAGAACGACAACCCCGATGTCCGTGACCGAGCGTATATTTACTGGCGCCTTCTTTCCAACACCAGCGATTCCAACGCCACCAAGAACATCGTGCTCTCAGAAAAACCTCCTATTGTCACCACTATCCACTCACTACCGCCCACGCTGCTGGATCAACTTTTACTCGAATTATCCACACTTTCTTCCGTGTACCACAAGCCCCCGGAACAGTTTGTCGGGCAAGGCCGATTCGGTGCCGACGCCGTGCAGCGAGCCGCCATCGAGTACGTATTATTCTTTATTTGACATCATTGTCCGTGCTGCTGACTTGCTACAGGGAACAAATTCAAAACGCGCGCGAGAACCCCTTGGCTGCGGCGGCCGCCGCTGCCGCCGTTAGTGGTGCTGCACCCCCTGCGCAGGCGCAAAACAACGTCGAGAACCTGCTGGACATTGATTTCGACGGCGGTGCCCCGGCCTCCGCGCAAAATGAGCCGTCCGGCGGCATGTCTGGCCTGGAGGGACTCGCTGGCACCCCCGTGCGGGTGCAGTCCCCGGCCGCCAATGCGCCGGCGCCGCAGGCGAGCAACAACCTGGATGACTTGCTGGGTGTGTTTGGGGATTCCGGTGAGGCCCAGCCCTCGTCGAGTGGTGCCACTGGTGGTGGCGCTTCGGCCGATCTCATGAACGGTTTTTCTGGTCTCGATCTGTCTGGCAACGCGACTCCTCCGGCGAACAATGCGCCCAAGAAAACCAACGAGGACATTATGTCGCTCTTCTAGAGTCTGTCAGGGTATAGCCAGCGTTTCCGGCGGAATGTAGAGGCTGCGTGTTTTTTATATCCCGGTGTTTTCGCAAGCGACGATCTGAACAGAACGAGATAGAATGGTTTCTTTACTTTTCCCTTCATTTTCTATGTCTTTAATTCCTCACTGCATCCCTACCTTATCGGACTTAAAAAAAGGCTTTGAATGTATATTCTTGTTTTTTAGTGTCTCAGCCAATTCCTGGCATTACTCGAGATGTCACTGAAACGCTGCTTGGGATTCTTGCGAGAGTTATGCCCCTGCATAATAAGGACCGTGAAATTCAGAGCTCGGTTAAGTATGTTCTAGTGGCTTTCTGGAAAATCCATTGCATCCATCCATGGATGGATGACACCCCCACCGTCAGCGTTCCTCTAAGATGGGGCGGGTAATTCCGAGCTTTGCTTATTTCCGGAGATAATTATGGGAAATAACATGAAAAAAGAACAACCAGAAGATGGCCGATAATATTCTGCTCTTCGGTGGGGTTTTTTCTCTATCCGAAATTTCTGGATGGGTAGGTGATATGCAAGACGCGAAGATTGTCGACCCCAAAAATGATTCAAGCACTACTTGCTTCGATTGAATTCTTCACAATTAGCATGGCGGCGACCCCACTCGACAGGCAGACAAGCAATATGTTATGCCGTGGTTTTGCAAGTTTCAAAAGAAAGAGGTGACATATAGTCATCAAAGTAGAATTCGCCTCCGAAATACAAAACCCGAATGTCATCCGGAATCCACTGGCTACCGACGGATACTGTAGACTTCCCGACCAGCGCAAGGCTCGGGCGAGCTGCAGTAGTAAAGTGTTCTCCGAGGGTCTCTGCGGAGCTGCTTACCAATTGTTGTTTCTGTGCCGAGTTTTCCAGTGTCTCCAACGGAGATAGTGGAACCCTGGAATCAGGCTGACCCGCGCAGACAAGGAGACCCGATATAAATTGGAGCAATGGCCCGGCGAAAGATAGTCGAATGAGACATAGCGTTTGGATACTTCTCACCCATTAATCGAAACTCCCATAGCACAAAAATGGCGCAGACTGACTACAAGTTCGAGGGGTGGATGGGTCTTGACCCCAGTGCCGGCGACGGCAAGATGGTGTGGCAAGAGTTCCAGCCCAAGGAGTGGGAGGAGACCGATGTCGATATCAAGGTCTCGCACTGCGGCATCTGTGGTTCTGATCTGCACACTCTGCGGAGTGGCTGGGTGAGTTATTGATCTATATTCCTTTTCCTCATACTATAGATTGGTAGTTGACCGCTGACATTTTCCTTCCTTTTCTCTTCGAAATCAGAGACCCACCTCGTACCCATGCTGCGTGGGCCATGAAATTGTAGGCACAGTGGTGCGCGCCGGCAGCAAGGTCACAGGCGGCATCAAGCTCGGAGACCGAGTAGGCGTGGGCGCGCAAAGCGACTCCTGCCTAGGCCGGCTGGGCGACTGCGAGGAGTGCGCCATGGGCCTGGAGCAGTACTGCTCCAAGAAGTTCGTCGGCACCTACAACAGCACGTATCTGAATGGCGGCAAGTCGTACGGCGGGTACGCGCTGTACAACCGAGTGCCGTCGCACTTCGCCGTCAAGATCCCCGACGCCATCCCGTCGGCGGCGGCGGCGCCCATGCTGTGCGGTGGCGCGACGCTCTACAGCCCGCTGAAGCACAACAACTGCGGGCCTGGCAAGCGGGTTGGAATCATTGGCGTCGGCGGTCTGGGCCATTTTGGTGTGCTGTTTGCCAAGGCTATGGGCGCGGACAAGGTCGTTGCGATCTCGCGCAAGGCGAGCAAGAGCGAGGATTCGCTGAAGATGGGTGCTGACCTCTACATCGCGACGGATGATGAGCCCGATTGGGCGTCTAAGAATGCCCGCTCTTTGGACCTGATCGTGTGCACGGTCTCGTCTAGCAAGGTGAGTTCTCCCCTCCTCCCTGTCCTATCCAATGGATTTTGTTCGTGTTCTGTTAGGGGGCCAAGAAAGCTTACACGCATGTAGATGCCCATGGACGACTACCTCGGCCTCCTGCGAACCAACGGCAGTCTTGTCCAGGTTGGTCTCCCCGAAGACGGCACACTGTACGCCCCGGTGCGCACCCTGAAACGCCGCCTGAAGGTCGAGAGCTCGCTGGTGGGCAGTCCGGATGAAATTCGGCAGATGTTCCAACTGGTGGTCGAGAAGGGTATCCAGCCGTGGGTGGAGGAGATCCCGATGAAAGATGCGAACCAGGGTGTTGTGGATATGTGGGCGGGTAAGGCACGTTATCGATACGTTCTGGTCAACGAACAGTAATAGCGATGGTGTCTGGATAGACGATAATATGAAAGGTGTAAATAGAAGTAAAGATGAAGTTCGGCGAACAATCAAATAAAGCTGAGGACCTTTGGGGAATCGACCAGTCACGTGGATACTTTATATTGTCTGAAGAGCTGAAATATTATGTTCCGCTAGTGTAGGGACTGCTAGAATATAATAAATTGTTCCTAATTTGAAATTATGATATATAGAATAGCAGCCGCTGGCCTTGGCTTCGCTTAGGCGGCTTCGGGAGGTGTAGAGACTAAAAACTAGATTTGAAAGGCTATATCATTATTTGATATACACTTCACGATTTTAATACTCTCGAAGTCTTTCTAAGTATCCTTCTGACCAGCCGCGTAGAAAGAATGTTTGCTTTCTTCAAGGAAACCCAAGCTAGTTGCTACATAGATGAACGTCATGTAGGCCGTAAGAAACTTGGAAAACCGACACATAGTTCACATTATATTATAAATGATAATAACCAGATATCCACCTCGTATACCCCCTGAAAGGACTCATCCATAGCGCTCCTCTCCGGCGAGTGGCCAATACTGGATCTCTATTGGTCCAAAGGCTCCAAGCTTTACGGACCACTCATAAGAATTGCGCCCTTCCTAGTCTCCCTGGCCAGATACTCCGCCTTCGCATCTGCAGACCCTCCCGGCGATTCTGATCCCTTCATGTCATTGCCCGACCCCGACGGAAGATCCAACAACGTGGCGAGACGCAGGAACTGGTCGCGAATCCATTCCCGCTGTCCAGGCCTAAGAAGGCTCGCGATGACCTCGCCGTGATCTTCCGAGAAGAGCGTCAACAGGCGGCTCAACGGGTGTATGGAGCGCCACGGCCCCTGCGCGATGAGATGACGCCTGTGGTCGTTCCTCGACATTGCCGCATCAAGACCATCCCTGCCCAGTTGCGTCCCATATTCTGTGGCATATTGGCTAGGAAGCATGATCGTCGGGTCAGTGAAATCTGTGAGACTGGACTGGGTGGTTCGGTTGCCAAGGTGGAAGGGTATGCTGTAGCACATGCCGTCGACCACCTCTTGGAGGATTTGTTGGTAGTCGAGGAAATCTATGGGGTCGCCGAGGAATTGGTCGCATGGGAAGCCAAAGCGGCTCAGATCTGAGAATGCATTGAAGGAGCCGAGGGCGATCTTGGCCAGCAGGAGGCGTTGGAAGCGCCATAGATTCCAAATGCTGGCAATTTGGCAGGAAGGATATACCTCACAGACAGACTGATAGGTGGGTATAGAAGGATCGATATCCCGACCACTTATCATCCTTCGTGGTCTCCAGTGATGCGGTACGTTTTCCGCCCACGCGAGAAGCTCTGCATCAACTCTCCTTGCCTCGGCCCTCCACTCTCTCAGGACGCGATCCAAAGACGTCGTAGAGCCACCCTGCGTCACAAACTGCGTGTAGCTAGCCTGCAACTCGGCAACAGACGCCCCTATGGCATCGAGTTCTGAGCTAGGGTTGTCGGGCACAGTCATCGTATCCTTGTTCCCAATCCACGAGTATGCGATACTCTTCAGTGGCTTCTTCTGACGCAAGGCGGTTGAAACCTCAGTGTGTAGCATAAACTTTCGTAGGTGGGCGCGCACTGTCCCGTCCATATTGTCCGAGTCCACAAACGGGAGCAAAGATGCTGCGCCATTGTGGTGCGTGCTCGAGGCCCAGCGAAGATCATATATCGCAGAGGCATTCTCGTACGTCTGCAGCGCCAGCACGGCTAACACAGTTGCCGACTTGCTACGTTCTATGGGATCCTGTGTTGCCGTCCGAAGGCGTGCGATTGCCCGGGAATAAGATTTCCGTGGTGATCGGAAGCTGCTGCCGTCTCGCCGCCACATAGAAAAGATCTCTGAAGCCAACGCCGACACGGCGAGCGAGAGCGGCGATTCTTCCGGCTGTGACAAGTAGGCTGGAATGAGCAGTTCGAAGAACCCGCGCGTGGATCTTATATCGCGGCCCAGACTGGCGTAATGGCCGAGAAAGAACGGCACGGCGGTGTCGGGCTCAGAGAGCCGCCAAGTCAAAGTCCTCGCAACCTCCTCCTGAACAACAGACTCGGGCAACCGGCTCGGATGAGTGGCAGCGCTCACGACATCCCGGCCGTGAGAATCGACATTTCGGTTGGTGTTGGTGCTGAACTTGTGGTTCTGGTCTATGAACGTTAGTTTGAGATATTTGGACCTGTTGTAGCCTCCGCAACGAAGCTGAAGGCGCTGGCACGCTCGGCACTCGGGCTTCGTCTCGTCGCATTTCACGCGGCGTTTCTTGCACGTCACACAACCTCCGGAACGCCCGCGGTTGACCATCGCGAAGGATGCCGAAAAGAGAGAGATTGTTGCGATGGGTGAAGTTAATAAAAGCCGCTCAGCCGCAATTAGCTTATGTAGCCGCCGAAGTCGGACCCACTGTTTAGGCAGCGAGTTGATCGCGGGCGCAATGATAAGATCCTGTCGCAAAACACACGCTCGATGCGGTTTAGCCTGCGAAGGGCCTAATTATGGAGTATGTCCCTTCGAGATGGCCGAGGGAGAAGTATAAGAAGAGATGGAAGGTAGACAAGAAACGAGAGAAATCAATCCAGAAGCAACTGAGAATTTCCAAGCGACAAAGCCATCATAATTTCCTTCAAGTTTCTTTTCACTCAAAACTCGCCATGAAACTGTATTCCTCTATCTACACCGGCCCACTTCTGGCTGCTTTGCTGTATTCCGGTGTCGCTTCCGCAGCGTACAGCACCGCTCACAGCCCCATGCTGCTTTTGAGCAATGACTCCACGATGAACTTCGACCTGCTGACTCCTCTCGGCGAGTCCATCACCGGAGGAGGAGACGTCGGAGCTATTCTTGGTGCGGCCAAAGATATCAAAGCCGGAAATATGACGTCCTTCAGCGAGGTCTTCTATAAGCTCGCCAACGACACCAAGGCTCAGGCCGAAGACCCGGAGAATGCCTCCGATCCTGTCAATGTCAGGGACACCTGGTTCTCTGCGGCGTCCTATTACCGCAAGGCTGATGGCTATCTCCACGGCAACTGGAACAATCCGCTCATCAACCGCCTATGGGCCGAGCAGATGAAGGCGTTCGACAAGGGGATCGCTACTTTGCCTATTCCTGGTAAGCGCGTCCGCATTCCGGCTCACAAGAGCAACTTCACCGTCGAAGCCATCTGGTACTCTGCTTCCAAAAGCAAGGACGAGAAGCTGCCGACGCTGATTATCGGAAACGGCTTCGACGCTGCGCAGGAGGACTCGTACCACAACTTCGTCGCTCCCGCCCTGGCCCGAGGATGGAATTGTATCACCTATGAAGGCCCAGGGCAACCAACTGTGCGCCGTAACCAGAACCTTGGGTTCATCCCAGACTGGGAGAAAGTCGCCACCCCCGTCGTGGATTACGTTCTCTCGGAGAAGAAGGACGTCGTGGACAAGGATCGTCTTGTCCTTGTTGGCAACTCCTTGGGCGGCTACCTTGCTGCCCGTGTCGCAGCCTTCGAGCCCCGCCTGTCCGCAGTGGTCTTGATTGACGGTGTCTGGGAAAACTACGCTGCGTACGCAAGGGAGCTGTCGTCTGAAATGCGCGCCATCTATGAGGCGGGCAACTACACGCAATTCGACAAGACCATCCTTTCGGCTCGGAAAGCCGGCAAGCTCCCCACCGGCGCCGCCTGGGGCATCGACCAAGGCCTGTGGTCGTTCCACACGCACTCACCCTCTGACTTCTTCACCCAAACCAAGAAGTACAACGTCTCGTCTTTCATTCATAAGATCAAGATGCCTGTGTTTGTCGGGAATGCCGAGCTGGAGAGCACTTATGTTGGACAAGCGAAGAAAGTGGCGGACGCGCTGGGCGACCGGGCCACTCTGCATACTTTCAAGGGGGTTGCTGGCTTTCATTGCCAGACTGGTGCTGGACAGGAGCTTTCGAGGACTATCCATGCGTGGTTGAACAAGACCTTGGGCAAGGCGGGCAATGGCCACTGAGATCAGTGCTCAGTAGGATGAAGGTGCGCCACTTCTGAGAGCCAGATGAAGTACTTGGAGATTGATAGCCAACCAAGCTCTCAAATCCTGGTCTCATGTCTCATCGATGGAATGTATCTAAATGCTAGTCAAGACGTTTTGGTTATTTTATTTGATAGAAGGTGTTCATGAGCTATATAATACTGCTGTTCGTTGTGACCTGAGTCTCTGAAGTTAGTCCAAAATTAAACATGGACAAGACCCCTTCCATAGGATGATGATCTTTAGTTTACAGGGCTTGGAAACTTAATATATCATTTAGTCTCTACTACGTCTCCCAAAGTTGCCTCAGCAAAGCGAGGGAGGGTCAGCGGCTTGTAGTTTTAAGAGTCACAAGCCTGAAGTGAATCGGCCTAGTAATACGTTGCCAACTACGTGCATAAAGAAATAAAAGAATTGAAACTAATTGACTCCTATGTATTACTATTATCGTATTTATCCAAGACCCCAAACCAAAAAGGAAAAAAAAGGGAAAAAGGGAAAAAGGACAAAACCGTGAAATGACCAAGCAACTCGGTTTTCTTCCCCTGTCTGAAAAAAAAAACCAAGCGGACCTGGAATCAGCACGCAGAAACAAGCGGAACCCAACGCCCTTTCATCCTTTTGATCCACACCATCAAGGATCGAGAGAATTGCAAGACTTGGTTTACTTTTTGTTAACCCTGGTAGATCACGCCAATAGACGGATCAAGTCAACCTAGGTTGTTCATCCCTGATTTACAGGAAAGCCATGAGAGCGACGACACCGGCAAGGAAGCCAGCGGCGGGCTTGGTGCTCGAGGCAGCACCAGTGAAGGTGGCAGGGGACGAGGGCTGAGCCGGCGAGACACCAGAGGGCTGAGCGGGCTGAGCAGGGTGCTCAGGCTGAGCGGACTGGGCGGGCTGAGCAGACTGGGCGGGCTGAGCAGACTGGGCGGGCTGAGCAGACTGGGCAGGCTGAGCAGACTGGGCAGGCTGAGCAGACTGGGCAGGCTGAGCAGACTGGGCGGGCTGAGCAGACTGGGCAGGCTGAGCGGACTGGGCGGGCTGAGCAGACTGGGCAGGCTGAGCAGACTGGGCGGGCTGAGCAGACTGGGCAGGCTGAGCAGACTGGGCAGGCTGAGCAGACTGGGCGGGCTGAGCGGACTGCTCGGGCTGAGCGGACTGGGCGGGCTGCTCAGGGGCCGGGGCAGATGGAGCCGGCTGGGCGGGCTGGGCAGGCTTCGACGGAGCCGGCTTCTGCGGGGCGGGAGACTGGGGCACAGCGGGCTGAGTGGGCTTGGCCGGGGGACCAGTGCTAAACTGGGTCACAGGGATCTCTTCACACTGAGTGCAAACCGTGGTCTTGGTGAGGGTGATGGTGTTGGTCTTGGTGACAGGAACAGTCAAGGTCGAGGAGCCAGTGGTGACAACCGACGAGGTGACTAGAGATAGTCAGCAAGACAGGCTCGGGCAGAAATGCCAGTCATGAACACTAGACAGGAACCTTACCAGGGCAGGTAGTGGTCACGATGGTGATGGTCTTAGTAGTGGGCTTGGGGGTAGTATGAGGAGGCTTGGGCGGCTTGCTCGAAGTCACCGGCGAGGGAGTCGAAGTCACTGGCGGGGGAGTCGGCTCGGTGCTGGTGGTGCACGGGGTGGTGTGCCCATCCTTGCCCCACGAGTTGTGGTCACCCCAGGACTTGTGGTCACCCCAGGACTTGTGGTCACCCCAGGATTCAGTCGGGCGAGCCCACGACTCGGTAGGGGCCTCGGACCAGCTAGGCTTGGACCAGTTCTCGCCCCAGCCCTCGCCAGGGATGGCAGCAGAGCTTTCGGCAGCGGGGCGGGCAGCATCACCGCCGCGGGCCTGCATAACACCGGCGAAGGCCGGGCTAGCAAGAGCCAGAAGAGCAACAGAGGAGATCATTTCGAAAGATTGGAAGTTTTGGCTTTTTCCCTTAGAAATCTGGAAATTGAAACGAATGTAAGGTGAGGAAGTAGAAGAGGAATCATGCCGAATGAGCAGCGATGTGGGGGTTTATATGCCTTTTCTTGAGCCCACTGTTCTTCAAGTCGCGGACTTAATTCCCACGGCTCTGCCCAGGAGAGAAAAGGCAGACCTGGCCCACCATTGGCCATCTATGGCCGAATGCAGGAGTTATTGCAGCTGGACCGTGGATGGAAGAGGCACCAATGCAAGACAATTGGTTGAAGATTTTCAGCAATGATACATCCAGATGGTGGACTGAGATGCCAACGTGACATTGTGCAGTTTCATCCTAGTTAGCAACCCACAGCGGTTCCACAGACTTTCCTAATGCGGAAACACATTTTGCTCGATCTCGATGATCACCGCATGGAGGATCGACAGCAGCAACTGCCAGTCCGTGATTTGAAGCAAAGTCGTTGATTGAAGACCAGACAAGGGACCTGATAACCTATGATACGAGACGGGTAAGCTGAGGCCGAGAGGAAATGGGATTCCACGAGCCACAACGATATTTATCCAGTTGAATGGCAATTGGCAGTGGCAGAAGCCACACGCCCGGGGAGTACACCGAACCCGGGGACCCTGCAGAGACCCGCCGCGGCCGGAAGAAGCAGCGTCGATTAGGCGCTCACTTTCTGCTAATCGATGTCCGTCTGGCGACATAAAATCAAGCTTGTAGATCAAAAACGGCCAAAATCGCTGGGTGTGCTCGGAACCTTCCCCGTCGCCCTGGAATGTGGAGAATGATGTTTTGGCAAGAATGCTTGCGGGAAGTCAAAGCACGACCGGGGCCATCAACCTGGCAGCCGATCAGCGAGGTGTCACCCAACCAGATCCAGGGTCTTTTCGTCATGGACCGCAACAAGTGCTGCGATGGGCAATGGATTGATCGAAGTCTCCACAGTCGGAAACGTTGATTTTGACACCAAAACGGAAGGCGAAGGTCCACTTTGCTTCGACTTGGATAGCCGGTGGGCTAATCTTAGAATGAAACCCATTTTCATGGAACTGTGCCACTGATGTGGATTAGCTGGACCAAGGACACTAGCGGGAAGTCTCGCAACCATTCAACTTTCCAAGGTTGTCTGAGGTGGGTGACAGGAACCGCAGCAACGTTGGCCGGAAAGAGCAAGGAACAGGAGATAGACGGATCCATGGACTTCGCGATGCTTGGAGGGGGTACGACATGCCCTTCAAGCACACACCAGGGGCGAAGGAACGGCGAGAAAAATACGCCTGCCTATTTGGGAACCCTCATTGGAGACCTCAGGACGCATGCAGGTGATCACGTGAATATAGTATAGGGTTTAGTCACGGGACGCGCGACGCGTGCTCACGCGTTGCGCTCTTGCCTGTTCGGGCCGTTTATTGCCAACTGCCTCAACTTCAACTAGCACCTGCCCACCATGCCGCACTCAGTGTCGCCTAAACGCAACGATGACGAAGCAATGCCTGACGCGTCCGCGGAAACCGGAGGCATCAAATTGGAGGATATGTTCAACGACGACGAGAATGACGAGTTTCCGGCCTCCAGCGCCCCCGACGTGAAGATGGAATCACCCCCAGCACCAGAGATAGCAGAGTGAGTATTGGGAAAATGCAGCAGAGAAATAAATGAAAGTCATTGACATGAATTGCGCGACAGGCCTCCAGCCCCGGCCCCTTCGGGCGTCGACACCGATGTGATGCTCGCCTTCTACCAGCGACTGTTTCCCTTTCGATACCTCTTCCAATGGCTGAACCATGGGATTGTGCCGACCCGAGATTTCGGTAATCGGGAGTTTGCCTTAACGCTCCAGAATGATGCCTATCTCCGATATCAATCATACACCACCGCAGACTTGTGAGTGCTATACCCCCTGGTTGTTTTTCTCTCAGTACTCGGTGTGCGAGACTGACCATTCTTTTTTCCGGTAGATTTCGAAAGGATATCCTGAAAATGAACCCCTCCCGTTTCGAGATCGGTCCTGTCTACAGCACCAATCCACGAGATCGCAAAACACTGCGCGGGGGTCAAATGAAGCCTGTCTCGAAAGAGTTGGTTTTTGATATCGATTTGACGGATTATGATGATATCAGAACATGCTGCGTCAAGGCAAATATCTGTGCCAAGTGTTGGGCGTTTGTGACCATGGCAATCAAGGTCATCGACACCGCACTGCAGGAAGACTTTGGCTTCGAGCATATTCTCTGGGTCTACTCAGGTCGTCGTGGTGCGCATGCGTGGGTGTGTGACCCGCGTGCGCGCAACCTGCCAGACGATCGGCGGAGGGCTATTGCTGGTTATCTTGAAATATTGCGAGGCGGCTCGCAGAGCAACAAGCGAGTCAACCTCAAACGACCGTTACACCCTCATGTTCTTCGCAGCCTCGACATTCTCAAGCACAGCTTCGCTCAGACGACTTTGGGTGATCAAGATACCTTCCTGAGTGAGGAGCAGGCCGAGCGTCTCCTTGCATTGCTCCCCGACCAGAACTTGAATGAGGCACTGAGAAAGAAATGGGGAGCGTCTCCGGACCGTCCCAGCACCAGCAAGTGGGCCGATATCGACGCGCTTGCGAAGACGGGCAAAAGCAGTACCCTCAACCCCGTCACCCTCCGAGATGCGAAGCAGGACATTGTGCTTGAATACACCTACCCCCGCCTGGATGCCGAGGTCAGCAAGAAGATGATTCACTTGCTCAAGAGTCCCTTTGTTATTCACCCTGGAACTGGCCGTGTTTGTGTTCCCATCGATGCCCGGAAAGCGGACGAGTTCGATCCTCTTTCGGTGCCTACTGTCATGAATCTCTTGGCGGAGATTGATGCATATGATGCCGAACATCCTGTCGGAACTGCAGAAGTTGAGGTTCCGGATGGTGAGGGTAGTGCAATGAATGGTTCAGACATCAAGGGTGGTCGCAAACTGCAAGACTACGAGAAAACGAGTCTAAAGCCCTATGTCGACTACTTCCGCTCCTTCATCGCCGGGCTTCTCAAAGAGGAACGAGCCGGCAAACGAGACCGCGAGGGAACAGCGCCGGCACCGAAACCAGATCCGATGGAGTTTTAGGCTTTTGTTTATTGAACGGAGTGGTGGCCGGCTTCTCATGCGTTGGATTGTCGATTTTTATGACTTGATGCTTTGTTTCCCCCCTTTTATTGACTCGGCTGGGGCCTTTCTAGTTGGTGACACAGGCGTTTTTTTTTTGGCGTGCATGAGCCTCAAGTTCCTTTATTATACTCATTTTTCGGATATCATCTCTCTTCAATTCTCAGTCCTCCCACGACACCTTATGTCGACTGTGTACATCCATCGCTTGATCCGTGTATATAAGCGTAACCCCTGGCATTGAATCGTCCTCGATCGCCCAAAGCCATGAGTATACTACTCTTCATGGTACGAGGTCATTGACTGGTGTATGTCTGAGATGCTTTGTTACCGCTTCTAAGAATCAAATAAAACGAGGCAAATATAATCACTTCAGAAATTACTCGATTTAACTGTTCGTATATTTGGGAGGTAATATTGGTACACAGAAGGCCGCACGGCGTGACACCGCAAGGCCATTTCACATGAGCTTGACAGCGCATGAGAATAGGGGGATGAGAGAGTTTGGAGGGAAAAACAAAAGCACCTCAATAGAACGAGCAAGAGGGCCTGGTTTAAGCACCAATGAAGTTCTTGACACCTAAGGAGGACGAAGGCTGTTAGTTGACATAGCATCGACAACGAAACATAATAATACATACTGGACAACCAGCGCACGTATTCCTTCTGTTCCTTGACGGCAATGTAGTCAGGGACCAGGCTGGCAAGAGCACTGTCGATGCCACGGTCAGCCAGGTAGCGCTCCCAGAGAGCCTGCAGCTCCTCGTCGAGGTTCTCAAATGCCGGGCCGGCGTAGAGGTTCTGGCGCGTCCAGTCCTTCTCGGCGGTCTGGGCGTGGGCGAGCTCGGGCTTGCTGAAGTGGGAGACGTCTTCAATCTGGATGGCACCGTCTTGGGCGGTGGTCTGGATCAGCAGGGCGCCCTGGTTGGGCTTCTCGACGGTGATGTTGACGCGCGACGGGAAGCTGGGCTCCGGCATGCGGTCCAGGTCGTCCAGTTCGCGGTCGGCCGGGGACACGCGGTCCTCAGAGTGCTGGGCGATGTCGTTGCCGCGGCCCTGGTTGATCGACTGGTGGCCTGAGAAGTCATCCTCATCGCCCAGGGCGTTGTCCTCGAACTCCTGCTCGGAGAGGTTGTTGATGTCGGCGACGGTGAAGGTGATGCGAATGCTACGTGACAAAAGTGTATCAGTATAGAACATAATGAGAAGAATTTCCAGATGGACATCAATTTCGAGAACGGGGGAGGGAGGGGGAAAGACTCACGTCTCGTTGCCAAATTTCTTGGACAGAACCACCTCCTGCTCTCCCTCGACATCTTTCACCTGCCAGTTGCCATCCTTCAGAAAAGCGTCAATGCTCTCCTGCTGGTCCTTCAGCTCCGAGGGATCGGTTTCCGACTCGTGCGACAGTTCCTCGTTGAGCTTGCTGAGGAGGTCGACGTCTCCTGCAAAAAAAAATCAACCATCAACATATTTCTTTCAATTCGATTCCGAGCAAAGAAAACAAAGTCTTCAATATCTCAAACCCGAAGGGTAGTTCCATTATCGCTCATACCTTCGGAAGCCGGCTCCTTGCGAATGCTAGAGGTCGAGAAAGCAGCGTAGGCGGGCTTGATGGTCTGCTTCCAGGGCTGGGGCAAAGCCGAGGGGATTCTTGACACCGGGCGCAGAGCGGAGCCAGCAATCGAGCGCGGGATGGCGCGAGGAACCGAACGGGCAATAGTACGGAGTGACAGCATTGTGAATGCAGATAAACCAAATCTTGGAGGATGGATGAAGTTGGCAGCTTTGGGAGCTGGAAAAAATGGAGATGAGCTAACCGGATGATGTTACGCCAAGACCTCGCGCCTCTCCTATGTACCTTGCCCATACAATGGTCCATAGATGCGGTTTTACATTGAGTTATTGCCTTTTTTTTTTTTTTTAAGGTGACCAGAAGAAATGAGAAGGTACAAGTCAGCAGTGCATCCATATGCGCCTATCAGGTATCCAAGACAAATTCGAGAAATCGTGATCATGACATGCCCTTGGGCGGAAAGGTCGACGTCTGCTTCCCAGCATCCTTTCTCAGTCGAATGAACTTCAAAGTGCTGAGCCCTGACCATTCCCCGTTCCATATCTTCAGCGCTGTCAGGACGTCCTGGTCGCCGAGATCCGGCATCCAAAACCCGGTGTTGAACTCCTTGTCCTCAGTCTGCGTCCGCTGTTTCAAGGCCTCCTCCCGTCGACTCGGTGGGCGGCCCTTGCGCCGCTCTTTCTGAAGTTGCTCGATCTCGTCGGCGTCACGATTGATGTACCTGGATCGCATATGAGTAAAGGATCGTGCGTCGGGTGTAGTGATAGCGTACTTAACGATAATTTCGGCCAGCCCTGAGTCCGATAACGGCTCGGAAACTGTTTGCACGGCATTATGAAAGTATTCGATTCGGTCGACTAGGCCTAGGTTAGTACATAAAAGTACCATTTGGAATTAATCGTCGGCGTACCGTATGGCTGTCTGGCTTTCAGCGTAGTTGCGGCATGGCGGGACAGCCGCTCGTCTCGGGCGCCGGCGCGGCGTAGGCGTTGGGCATCTCGACTATTTTCATGGAGTGCTTCAACAACACCGCGCTTTTTAGAAATGTGCTTGTGCACTTTCTGAAGTGTTCGAGGCATGATCAGCTTCGTTTGGGGGGATCGGCAGGTGCGGGCGATAATTTTCATCGTCCCCTGCAGAATCGGGCGGTGACGATGGCATCACCGCCTGCCCGAGTCGCGTCGCGTCGAGGGGAACAAACATTCCAAGCAACCACAAGTTATGTACTCCATGGAGTCGGGCTTCTCTTTGTTTTGTCTCCCTATTCTCGACTAGGCTTGGTTGTTTGCCAGCCAGAACATATGATCCCGCATTCTGAGTAACTAGGAGGACTCGCCTGTGCCTCGAACGGTGCCCGCCATGGGCATCAAAGGTACGTCAAAGGTCGAAGACAGGGCGAATTTGGTCAAATCTCTGACACTTGAGCTAGGACTTCATGGTCTTCTCAAGTCCATCCAAAAACCATGTCATCTCAAGAAGTTTGACGGTCAAACCATCGGGATCGATGCATACGGATGGCTACACCGCGGTACCGTTGCTTGTTCCGTGGATTTGGTTCTCGACAAACCCACTCGAAAGTAGGTCTACTCCAGCGCCAATGGAGAGTCAATGTGAGGCTAACTATAAAACAGACATATTGATTTCGTCTTAAATCGAGTTCGCATGCTGCTTTATTTCGGGGTGACTCCGTACCTTGTATTTGATGGCGACAACCTACCCAGCAAGGCCGGCACAGAACATGATCGGCATCAGCGGCGCCAGGATAGCAAAGCCTTGGGGCTGGAATTGCAGCGGAAAGGAAGGATGCCGGAAGCATACCAGGAGTTTCAGAAGGCCGTCGATGTCACGCCGTACATGGCCCGTCAATTGATCGAAGAGTTGAAGCAGATGCAGGTGCAATATGTGGTTGCCCCGTACGAGGCCGATGCCCAGCTGGTGTATCTCGAGCAACAGAACATCATTCATGGCATCATTTCCGAGGACTCGGACCTGCTAGTATTTGGAGCGAAGCGGTTACTGTCAAAACTGGACCAACATGGCGAATGCATCGAAATCAACCGGGTGGACTTTACTGCATGCCGTGAGGTCAGCCTGGTCGGGTGGAGCGATGCCGACTTTCGCCGCATGTGCATCCTGAGTGGCTGCGATTATTTGGCGAGTATTCCAAAAATGGGGCTGAAGACCGCCTACCGCAGCATCCGCAAGCACCGGACTGTGGAGAAGGCGCTGCGCATGCTCCAATTCGACGGCCAATTTCAGGTTCCGGCCGACTACCTAGCAAACTTCCAACAGGCTGAATTGACCTTCCTCTACCAGCGCGTCTTTTGTCCCAACGCCCAGAAGCTGGTGACATTGACGCCCCCAGACGATGTTGTCAATCTCGACGAGCTGCCATACATTGGAGGTGATGTGGATCCCGAAATTGCGGCAGGAGTTGCGCGCGGGGAGCTGGATCCGACTACCAAAGAGCCAATACTGGTCAAGCCGCTGGTGGCAGGTAAATTGCCCCTTGGTGTCAATCGTCGTCAGACATTGGGTTCGTCTTCCGAGCTGAAGCCGCGCAAGCCGATCAATTCGTTCTTCACCCCGAAGCGGACTCCTCTTGCCGAGCTGGATCCAAACAGTCTGACTCCGTCGCCGAGTCAACAGCGGCTGCTGGAGCGCAATGCGAACAACTCTTGGCAGGCCAACTCAGCACCCTTTCGCTCGAACACGACCCGGACCACGCCTCACCGAACATTCTCCGACCAGGGTCTCAGTCCGATGGTCCGCAGCGTGGAACGCGACTCATTCCTCGCCCAGACGGCCAGGTCATCGACCCTGCAACCCACAAAGCGGCAGAGGCTGTGTTCCGAGACGGACGACGATTCACTCCCAGTTCGTCCCAACTTTCATAGTCGGTTCTTTGCTCGCAGCCCCGAACAACCCAGCCCGAGTGGCCCAAAAGTGGGCCGAACCAAGAAGCCGCGAAAATCGACGCTGGATGTTTTCTCGGATGAGATCGCTGAGGACATTTTCTCTGCCATTCCTGACCCTGCTTCCAATACCGATTCTAATGAATCTCAGCGCGAGGGCAATTCTGACACAACTGGACTCGATGGTGAAACTGGTTCTCCCTCCGTCTCCAAGGTAATGGAGAGTAAGGTCTCGACTAATGACCCGAATGAGGGAACCGAACCCTCTCAGGAGGCGCGGGAGTCGGACTCCTCGGAATTCAACCAGGCTCTCGAGTATCACGTTGGCCGACAAAACTCGGACATTCTATCCAAATTTGCATTCCATCCTGGAAACAAATCCACCGCACGTCGCCCGGTAACAACCACAACCACAATTCCTGTGATTCAGCCCAGCAACAGACCCGCACCATCAACGCCGCGGACCCCAGGTCTGATTGGTCGCGGCAACACTCCCCAGCGGCGCCTAACGCCCTTGCAGCGCATGGGACACGCTGCTTTGACGCGGTCTCACACTATCAACATCCCCAGCAAACCTCGAAGCACGGACCTTTCGATCACCCACTCAGACGATCCTCCTGCCAAAGCTACGTCTTTGGGTGCCCAAGGCAGTGAGGATCACATTGTACCCGACAGCGAGGATGAAGAAGATGAAGAAATCAGCATGCCTGGTCCCGCTGTTGCGCCATTGGATCTCCAGCGCTTTTCGTTCACGGCCAACTAGGCACTTTCATTTATGTATTGGTTATGGAATACTTGGACCAAGGATTCAGGACATGGGCATTTGGCCCGGAGCTTTGTATGTTATTTGATTGGCGTAGAATTGGTGTCAGGATGATATGTTTGATAAGCATTGGATAGTAAAGGGTCTTGCAAATGCATTGAAACGTGATTCAAATATGAAGAGGCTGGATGAGTTGCGTGGGCGTCTCTGGCGGGGCCAACTTCATGCTGATGATCTACATTAATCCCGATCAGGACTAGTCCCGTCATCATCCCGCGGACGGCACGGGACCCATTGGCAGAATTTCATAAAGGCGTAGGCGGTCAGTATCCGTTGCCTGGGAGCCCGAGAGTAAACATTGGCCCAGCCTCCTCGATTTCTATACTGTCTCCATCCCCAGCCTCCAGCTTCATGCGCATGCGAATGGAATTAAGTCGAGAATAGCGTGACGTGGTTTTCTGGCTACGATCCCAATTTTTCTTCCCCCCATTCCTCTCTTTCCCTACACTCGCCCTTGATCCATTGTGTTCAACGGCGTCGAGACTTTCTCTGACACTCAAGAATCTCAGATAGGTGCGACTCGGATTCCACGCATATCTCAACTCGACTATCCTCCGGATTCTCGACTTCGATACGTCTCAAACCCATCCGATCTCTACTTTATCGTTCTTTTTTTCCACATACCTCTATCCACATTCCATACCGATCTCGATATCCAAGCTGATCACCGGCACCGATCTCCCTCAATAGTCAAGTCCCGCCACTGGGCTAGCGACGGGGCTCTGAACTCCGCATTCTGCTTTCAACGCTCCTTCTCGGAGACCCGAGAAGCGAGTCAATTGACGTGAGAGAGGCGAACCCGGCTGCTGGCCGTTGTTGGTCACAATGGCACTTAAATTCGCTGAAGGATGGGCTCGTATGTGAAATCCAAACCCCCAATTTCCCTCCTCCCACACACAACTGACTTGGAATGCAGGATTCATTCCCATGATCGGGTACCACCACGTGTTGATGGTTATTATCGCTGTGGCTATTATCTTACTATGTAAGTGCCCATCCCAATTAGCTAAGGCTCTTAGCGCTACGTCCATGTGGCTACTGGAATGTTAACTAACAATCTGCAGCGCTCTTGTTGGCTGGATGTTCATCTTCTTCCCCGCAAATCCCCAGTATCTTCCTCATCTCGCTCTACTACGAAAAGTACTCCCCGATCAAGGACACCGCACAGGTCGATGGCGGTCTGGTCCAAGCCACTGCCAACATCGTCGGTGGTGCCGAGCTGGAAGTTCGGGTCGGCTACTTTGGTATCTGCGTTCAGCCTGACGGCGGGTCGTACATTTGCAACTCCAACGCCACGGCCCTGGCCGAGATCGTCACTGTGGACCAAGATCCCCTCAACTTGATCTGGGTGGCATCAACATTCAAGGATGCAGTAGTGTTCCCGTACCTTCTGTGAGTTAACCTCCACGCTTATTCTGTACATCAATAAAACTAATATGTTCTTTCTAGCATTGTTGCGGTTGTCCTCGCATTCTTTTGCTTCATCCTTCTGGCGACTTTCCCCGGCTGGCACGAGGAGATCGATGACTCCGGCTCCGAGCGTGAAGTCAAGCCTTTCCCGTCACGACCTGTGTCACAGGCCGCCCTCGCCCTGATCTTTGTTGCCTCTGTGTTTGTGCTTGTCTCTGTACTATGGCAACACACGGCATCCGTCGCCGCCAGCACCATTGCACAAGATATGGGCAATGCCAGCGTCAAGAGTGGAGTCGGCACCTCAGCAATGGTGCTGGGTTGGTTTGGATTTGTTTTGATGGTCATCGTCACCGTTGGGTTATTGGTCATGATCCTCAGCATCAGGCTCATCCGCAAGTTGACCGACGAAGAATGACGGACTTGACCGCTTGTTTCTTCTTCCTTTTGTTGATTTTTTTTTTGAATCACTTGCAACCGATCACCTATGCCACCTCTTACCACCTTCACACCATCTACCTCTATATCGGCACGACACAAACACGAACGGGAAATGAAATAATATCTACGAGCAAAACGACACGGGCTCGCGACGACACATGGGACGGAATGGAAATGGAACATGGATCTTGAGATACTCGATCTCGGGAATCATGCGAACATGGGATTTACTTGGGGATGGGAAACTTCTTTTCTTTTTTAACCTTCCACGAACATATCAGGAGATCGGGATCTCCACACATGCACATCTACCACCTCTCTCCCTCCTCCCTAGGGGATCTGGAATGCGTTTTATGGCTAGTTTCTGTGTGCAATCTATCAGGATGTCTGCTTTGACATAGAATCAATTGTCATTGAGCCATCTCTGTTTGCTGTACAGCCTTTTGCTTTCCGGTGTTATGTCTGTTTCTGTGGTATGACTCGAGAGGCGTTTTATGTCTTATGTCTTTTTTCTTGAATGTATAAAACGGCTTCTTTTTCTCTCATCTTTTGTCTTCTCCTGGTGTTTGGATTCTTCGGGAATGGATGCAATAGGAGAACCTAGCAGAAGACTGAATCAAATTTGATACTCGATCCACAATAATTAGTAGCCTTACGATGAAATTTTAGTAGTTTTTATTTAGCCTGAAGATCAATGTTCGTTGTGCATATAATCATTTCTTACAGACTTGTTGCCGCAACTGAAAAGAAATCGATCGAGACTTGGGTAATGATTGCTTGTTGAACGAAATAGAGCATACCTGCAATATCCAGGCAGTTTTGGCAGTTGGGTACAAATACAACGACGCAATATTCTCGTGCATGAAAAAAAAAAATAATAACGTCTCGGTGCTACCCATGGAAATGGAAAGGGAAGAATATACATATACCGAATGCCCGACCTGCGCCAGATCCTTTTCCGATGCACGCCATTCCTTGATACGACAAAAGACCCAAAGGAGGAAGGAAAGAATCAGTCGACTGATCATGAAAAGGCGGTTGGAATGACCGGATCGTCAGACTACGGATAGCTGCAAGGCTCAATAGTTCATTGAGTATCCATCGCCGCCGCCACCGCTGCCCTTTTCGTCGTGCGATCCATCGTATCCACTGCCGTAATCATCCCAGGACCTATAGCCCGGCTGCGAGGGGCCATCACGACCACGACCACGCCCACGAGCTCCCCGGTTGGAATAGCCACGTCCCCGGTTGTTCCCGCGACCACGACCGCGGTGAGACCCTCGGCGAAAGGTATCATCATAGTGGGACCGATTGTCCCCTGCGTGACGATGATAGGGATGGAAGTTGTGGCCACGTCCACGGGGTGGCGCTTCGTAGCCACCACTCTGGTTCGTCTGAGGATACAGAATCTCCTCATCCCGTTCCTGCTGGTAGCGCCTCTTGTGACCCTTGTTCACAAATTGGCTTTCCCACTCCCCTTCATGGGGGTTGTCTTCCTCAACTCGCAGAACCGCCTTCTCCCCAATGACAGTCTCAATGGTCATGGCCTTTTCGGCCGGAACAGGGTGCCAGTTCTGAATCTTCCCTGCATCGAAGGGGCGGGCGCCTTTGCGCACAGCCAAAACTACCAAAGGCAGAGGGTTTTCTGTGTAATACTTTTCTGTGGGCAGGATTGGCGCCACGCGAGCGGCCCACACTTTGTTCTCAAAGGACGCAGTTCCAGTAACCTGCCAGCTTAGTTTCTTTCCCATTCCGCCGGCCTTCTCCAAGATGGACTTGGGGGCAGGTCGAGGAGTGATCATGATGCTGTTAGCCATGTACTTCAGGTCATTCGAATCAGCAAGCCCAGAAGGTAATATGGGGCTCAACAAGTCTTGCGTCAAGCGGCTCGAGTCGTGTTGGGAAACCAAGTATGCAGTGTAGAAGACAGTGCGCTTGATGCGCAATCGGCCCTGCGAAGACTTGTTCCGGTTCAAGGAAGGGTTGCGCACGGTGAGATTATGCGAGTTGATCATGCGCTGGACCTCGGCAGCTTCAATTACGGGATCGAGGAAGGTGCATCCCTCAGTTACCTGGATGACTTCAGCATTGATCGGCCGCCGTGCGACAGGGGCCTGCGCAGATTGGAATTTTCTGTTTTGGCCCTCAAAGAAATCTCGAAACCCTTTCACACTGAGACAGCGTTAGCTTCTTTGTACCGCAGAATATCCTGCAAGACTCACTGTTTGACGCGATCCTCGTAGACGCGAATTTCTTCCGCCTGGTCATAAGTAAGGACCAAGTCTTCGAGGAAGTTCTGCTTAAAATTCATAGTTGATGGGAAGCGCTGGCCACTGGGACCGACCTCTGGCTTGAGGCCAATCAGGTCAAAATCAAGGTTTCGACTGGCTGCCATTCTTTTGATAATTTCCACAAAACCGGCTTCACTCCTACCAGTCAGGAGCACAGTGAGGGCGTCTTTTTGTTCCATGCTGAGTGTAACCAAGCGTAACTTGAAGATAGTCAGCCAACACTATCCATAGTGGAAAAACTTGGATGTCACACAATATGTTCATTCCACCACCCTTCCCATCCACGCGGCTCTTCGACATCCATACCCTTGCCGGTGGCCGAAAGAATGTTCGGATCATGCCACCACCCGCCATTGGCGAAGCTCTCGTATGCCTGGAGGAAGCCGATTGTGCTGCCATTCCACAGTTGTGGGTTGGGTAGGGGACTGAGGAACACTGTAAACCCTCGGTGTCAATGATCAAGTCCGAAAACATCGAGTATTCTCGAGTCTGAGGCTCACATGTATTGTCAAAGTCATAGACATGGATCGCTCGGATGTGAGAGACAGCTGCAAGAGGGTTCAATGGTTAATCTTGAGTGTTCTTTCGTATTAAACGGTCGAGTCCAACCTGGGAGGTCTTTCGTCCCAACCGACCATCGCTTGAGCGCGGTAATTGTGTAGGGAGACGACCGAGAGGCACCGTTTGCTGTTCCAGACATAGTGGAAGCTGCAGACCCGAGGCGCGACAGGTTTTCTGACACGACTGCTTTAGCAGATCGCATGTTTGCCGGAAGATCTTGCACCAGATGTTAGAGGGTAGAGCTTCTGTCTCGGTTAGTGCATTGCGTCAAGTGAAGCTGGACTAGCGAAGGAATCAGAAAGAACGCGAGAAACGGAGTGTTTCGAGGGTGTAAAAGAAGAGGCGGACGAGACCCAAAGATGCGAGTTTTGCCGTCTCCCGCCGTCCGAACTCGTGGGCAATGCAACTCCCGCGGTCGCCATTTCTGTCATCCACTCGCGCCGGTCGCGCCCATGGCGGATGTCGATTTACGCCAGGAAATTCTCCAGAGAACCCTCCAGGAGGTAGTGCACGAGGAGGAGAGCATGGCCAATCCTTGCGTCATCTGCTTAGACACTGTCACCGAGCCCTGCGTTGCGGTGCCATGCCGCCACGCCAACTTTGATTTCCTGTGCCTCGTCAGTTGGCTCGAGCAGCAGCCTAACTGTCCGCTATGTATGGCGATCTATGCGCAGCTGACCGGATCTAGCTGACGGCGTGACAGGTAAGAGTGACTTGACGGGCGTGCAATATGATCTCCAAGCGCCCCAAGGTCCCAAGCTATACAAACTACCACCCAAGAGCGCGAAGCCTCCCTCAACAGACCCAACTGCCGCTCGAGTGCGTCCTGATTTTCGGCGCCGTCCACGGCGACCCCCTCCCCACGCGCGGTCGCCACAGCCCGAAGACCTTCTTTTGCGACGGCGCAATGTCTATCGCAACCAACTATACTCTCTCCGAGTCGGGTCAAACCGCCTATCCCAATACAGGGAGCTGACACCAGAGCTTTTTAACCGCGACGAGGAACTGGTCTCGCGTGCTCGAAAATGGATTCGCCGCGAGCTGCGGGTCTTTAGCTTCTTAAACCCGGAGCCCGAGGAAGAAGAACAACCCCGACACCTGCTTACTCGCCCAGGTCCCCAAAGATTGGAGAACCGTAGGGCAAACAATGCCGAGTTCTTGCTCGAATACGTGATTGCTATTCTACGCACAGTCGATATCAAAGGCAGTGCAGGACAAGCAGAGGAACTACTAAGGGATTTCATCGGACGCGAAAATTCCCGCTTGTTTCTTCATGAGCTGCAGGCGTGGCTGAGAAGCCCTTATACATCCCTAGAGGACTGGGACCGGCATGTTCAGTATCCGGGTGCTGCAGCGAACACGCCCGGTAGACTACCTGAAGCTCCCGCGGGCTTTGGCCGGACACCAGCGTCCCCTGTTCGCCGCGATAGACCTCGCTCAGCCCGAAGGACTCCATATCGGTCTAGATCTCAAGAATCTGCCGCTCGTCATAGACGATTGCAATATGCGCGAGACCGCTATATCCCCGATTGACAGGTTAAGACCCTTTCAACGTCAAAACTGTACTATAGACATGATGCTACGAGATACAATGTGGATACATGATTGAACGACTTGTCGATCACTTGGTTATGTTATGAATAGATAGGTGTAGAGGCTTAACTCGAATTGCATGCCATAAACGGCAATTATTCATGCTCGATATCAATGTAATCGTTACTTCGTAATGCTAGAATCAAACTGCGCCTATCTGCGGCGGAATCGTCCCCCTCTGCCCCGAGAACCCTTGTTCCCAATCTTCAAGGATCGGTAGTTGGCATGGGCCTGGGGATTAATCTTGCGGGCACGAGGCTTCTTTTCTTCCTTTCCAGTTGCCTCCGGTGCCTTTCCCTGCGTCTCTTTGGTTTTTGGTTTCGTGGATGACACGGCTTCCTTGATTCGCTCCGAGAAACTCTTCGTCTTGGGAAGTGGCTTGGGCTTGTCGGCGTATTCAGGGTCGCCATCCGAGTCCGCCGTGGGATCTGCGTCCGAGTCGAGTTCGGGATCAGACATAGTATGGAGGGAAGCGGCATCGTCGCCGTCACCTTCATTCTCCTCTTGGTCATTATCCTCATAAGTGTTCGGTGAGGCTCCCAGATGCTGCGTCTCCGGAACTGCAGCCAGCTCATCGTCGCTCTCTGGGTCTGCGTCATGTGTAGCGGCGGCGGGATTCGGACGAGGTTTTGCGCGTGGCGCGACGGGTCTCATGGTCACCTTGCGGGTGGTTCGTTTTTGCCCCTTCTTCTTGTACGGCCGGCGCACCTCATCTATAGGAACTTGGCTGTCTGCCACCTCGATATTGGCCTCTTCCTGGTCGGCCTCGATCTCCCGGAGCACATCCCAGTCGTCATCTAGCTGTTCCTCTTCCATGGCTCGAAGTCCCTGGACCAAATGTGAAAGTCCTTTGCCGGCAAACTGCTGCGGCTTTCGAGAAACCATCGGACTCAGTCCCGAACTGTCGCGGTTTGCATTCGGCGCAAGGTAACGCCCGGAATTCGACCGGCGGAGAAAACTCGGTGTTCCAGACAGTGCTGTCTCTGGGGCTGCTGCAGACACCGCGTCTTGAGGCCCTTGGTCCTGCGCAGCATTGTCTTCCGCCTCCACCATGGCGGCATAGCGCATTGTCGTGGGCGTCGCGAATAAATTCGCAAGATAGAACTGCTTGGTCGAGGATGCTGGGGTCCGGGCTAGTCGTGGGGTTTCCTGTTCTTGGTCTTCTTCCGGGGCTTCTGGGATCGGCTCCACAGTCTTTTTCTTGGATGGGGTTTGGAATCCAGCCGCAAGTGTATCTGCTTTCTTCTTGCCCGAGGGTGTCGCGTTGCTTCCCCCCGACTCAGAGAGAAGATCAAAGAGTCCTAGTGCTTTCCCGTCACGTTGAGGGGTCGGACCAATGACAGGTTTGAGGGGTGATGGCGCCGGCATACTCTGCCGGTGCGTGCTGGGACTGAAGAGTCTGCGAAGCGTGGAGGGTGAGTCGTATGGGTCTAGCTGCGAGGGATGGGCTTTGGTTCGAGGATGGGATGGTGTCGCAAACAGGCCCTTGGCCGACTTGCGCGGCGTGGATTCCATGTGTGCATGTGCGTTTTCAGTCGGAGACGCGTGCTTTCGCTTCTTGGAGTGGCTGTCGGACGGTTCATGTCGGCGGTTCTCGCGTCGAGCGAGGGAGGACTCGAGGGCTTTGAGCCGACCGTATTCTTTATATTTGGCAGCTGCAAAACAAATTAGGGGTGGTTGTGAGTCCTCTGGTTTGTTTCTTGGGTCCAATTTAAATAAAAAAGGAACTGGGCCTACCGATATCTGGGTTTTGTTTGATGTCATCCCGGCCAGCCTTTTTCCCGTCGTGAGTCGACGCGAATTCCTTCTCCCAGATTTTTAATTCTGCGCGCACAGAGGCTGCTTCGTTTGCGACCTCGGTGCGAGAGCTGAGAGCGTTGTCGGCCATGGTTGCATGGTGAGATACACAACAAGAAGGGAGTGACCTTGAAGATCCGACGCGGCGACGCGAAAATCAATTAACGCGTGCAAGTCACGCGGCAGTGCAGCCCTATAACGCGACATCGCGGCTTTCGATCTATTCACGAAGCCTTGATTTAATTCATAATTTTCATTTATATTTTTGTTTAAATTTATTGGCGTCTGGATAGGTCTAGCTTCGGTAGAAAACATTAGGCCATGTCGTCGGTAAGAAACCCATTTGTCTAACAAGTATATATTCTCAATGAGCTAGATGGTTCCAGATTATATCGTCGAGTTTGATGAAGCTACACTCCAGAGTTTTGTATTTATTCTCTTGGAATAGAGCAAAGAGTTTGTTTTTCTTTTAGTGCCTAATATTGAGAAAGGAGATATGGCTCGAACGCTGGGGTTCTTGATAACAGGTATGTAGTAAATTGACGGTCTCGCTGTAAGCTCCATTGAAATGTAATGTACGTCTATACTCGAATTTATCTGCCGCGCTCCAACGGATATGCATAATAATGGCATCCCATAATTGAGCAAAGTCCCCAATCACCAACTCGTCAAGCCCCGGGCCAGATCAAACCCTCCTCTCAGTTGCGATTCGGGATGAACCACCTTGCCCTGCAGAACGGTATACTTAACCACACCCTCGCAGTGTTCCGGCCGAACCCGTGCTAACCATATCATCTGCTGCTCCTTCTTGCGATAGACCAGCACATTTGCAGAAAACTTGTGCCCGCCCACATGCGAGACGAAAAAGATGCCCACGCCGCCAGGCCGCGAATCATCCGCGTCCCGGTCTAGTCCCAGCGGACGCAGGTGTCGTTCGAGCTCCCGCTTGATCAAGGGTGCCGTAATCCCACAGCGTGCATCCCGACGTCGGTGTGAACATAGCAGAATCACATAGTCTAGCTCACAGGGACGGGCGTTCATCCCAGATGCGGTAGTAGGAGTGCTGCCATTTGCATTCGACGGGTCGCTTGGGTGGTCGATGAACCGGTTGACCAGATCAGGTATCGATGTCGGGGTGACAGAATCCACGAATGTAAAAGATGGGAGAAGCAGCACTGTTGTGGCTTGTTCTGAGCTTTCTCTTGCGCCCGTGTAGTCTGGTTTCTGGAGACTGGATGCTGAGACCATGATGCGCTATAACATCAGAGTTAGAGGTAATTTTCTCAGCAGAGCCACAAGAAGACAAAGAAAAACAACATACGCCGTGTTGAGATTCAGCTGATGGCTGGTCCAATGCTTCCATCAAGCTCCCCTGTTCTTGTTCCACTTTTTCTTTCCAGTCGGACTTCCCCGTGGCCACCAGGACATGCGTGTGGAATTCTTTGATCTGGCCATACAGAGGCCTGGAATTTTCCACCTTCACTTTTGATGGGAATTGCACGGTGCAGTCTGCGCAGTCTTTCAGACATTCGGGTCCATCCTGCGTGGGGTCCACCTTGGGGACGAAGTAGTCGGAGGCCGGACGACCAAGTGAAAACAAAGAACGCAGCATGATTGTAATGAGCCAACTTTTAGATGTGACCTCTCGGCAACTCGGATTTAATTTTTTGAAGGAAACTTTGAGGATTGGACGCTGCCTCCACGCAGTCAGCGTCCAATATATAGTCCAGTATCTCCGAGCTCTTAGTCCGAAGCGCTAAAGCCGAGCCCCCCGGAGATCTCCAGCAGGTGCCTGATCCTTCAGGGAATTGTTGTTTCTTTCTTCTACATCAACTCCCACTCTCCCTTCACAATATCCGGCAACTCATCTCCCAGACTCGGCCCCAAGGGCGTCCAGCCCAACAGCTTACGGGCGCGTATAGCGCGACACCGAACATTCAACCCCCAACTAGCAGCCTCAAACGCAGCTTGTTCTCTCGCATGCACGATGTCCAATGTCTCCACCTCGGCGTGAGATATCAAGCCCTTTCCTGCGGCAACTTTGGCGATGGACCTAGCCAGGTCTCCCCAGTGATGTTCGCCGTTCTCGGCGAGGAAGTACGCATCACGCCCCCAAAGGCCATCTCTACCTTCTAGGGCGGCGTTAAAAAACAGCAGAAACAAGGCAGTCAGATCATGGATGTGCACGTTGCAGCCGTACGACCCGCCAGTGCCGATGATGGGTGCTTTGCCCCGTCGAAGAGTTGTTCTCACGAGCTCATAGACCTGTCTACTGCGCGTTGAGCAAGGGCCCCGACCGAGACCTGGTTCCAAGCGTTAGCACTCATATCAAAGCATATCAAACCACTACTTGAAGTGGAGAGCAGTTACCATAGACCGTCACGGGAGAGAGAATGGCCGCCTTCATCACCTCCGAATGAGCACCGGCCGCCTCGAGCACAATCTTATCCACATTGCGGTGGAACGCATGGTCGGGGATGGTGACGATCTCCTGGACACCGTCCCAATCATCGAAGATCTTCTCCCGGGCCACACCGTAGGTGTGCTCGTCTTCGTCTATGTACGTGAAGATCCCGGCTCCACTTGTATGGATCCAGTAGGCGGGTCGCTCGGGCGTGTGCCCCTGCACGATACCAGCGGCTATGGCTGCGGCTGCCGGGGCATTGTCTGCAGCATCGGCCGAGTCTGTAAGTTTTGGTTAGAGAGTGTTATTCCTTTCTGAATCCATCTATTGGGACGGCATGGTCGTCTCACGAATGATTATATCGGCCTTGGCGCTTTCCTGCTGCAGTAAAGCCACGTCGCTCAGGTCGCCGTGGATGATCTCTACCGAGGGGTATTGGAGCTTGATCTGTTTACCCTTCTCTTCGGTGCGGGCCAGGACTCGGTAGTGGAAGTCGGGATATCGAGGAAATAGCTGGGAGAGGACGTCACCCCCGATATAACCTGTCACACCTGTTCTGGGACATTGAGAATGGCATTTAGCGCGGCACAATCTCACAAAAAGATGGGTTTCATTGTGCTATGAGACAGAATCAATCTGACGTCGCTTCGCGTATCTTTGGTGTCTGCAATAGAGTGCTTCTTGAAAGAGAATATGAAGATATCAAGATGTCAGCGTTGACCTCTTATAGACTTGAACGTGATGATACTAGTCAATTACAAATCAAGGAATCCATATTCCGCTCTCCGCAGAGAGTGAATAAATGGCGTCAACCGCAGCATGGAATCAAATATGATTAGGATCAGCGAGACTGTAGGTCATTCGTTCTCCCGGAGAAATGTTGCGCTGAAATTGGCCCTGCATCTAATTCGTGAGATATGTCGTGAGGACTATCCGTGGGCATTTCAAAAATTTCATGAGGAGCCCCCGTTCCCAATTCAACCGGGGGAGTGTCTCCAGGAGCTTCAGGGATCCCCAGCGATGGTTCATGAGGTGTCTGAGGTGGCTGGGCAGGCAGTTCTGCCCTCTGTTCATGGGCATCACCTGAGGGCAGCTCAGTGGGAATCTCAGCTGGGGGTTTCAGACAAAACTGCTCAGTATTCAAGACGCGCATGAGCGGCTCTGCATCCGGGGGCGGCGAAATGCTCCCATTCAGCAACTCGTTTGCCCTGATATCTCGGCCATACATTTTCTTATTGGCGTCGGGTCGCTCAGCCAGTAGGCCGCCCTCAAGCGATGTACCGCCAAACACGCCACGGGTCCTGGAATAGGAGAACATCCCTGAGACTCCTCGTACACCCGCTGCCCCGCCCGCCTCGACGCTGCGTCCAAATGAACCGAGGGCTAGTGATATATTTCCTCCCAGAGTAAGGGACCCAGCTTGCGTGAAGGTCTGCACGTCCTTATCGCTAGTCAACACAAACACGAAATCCGTCAGTTCGATGCCCATGTTGCTCCCAACTCCAATCCCCCCTGTCGCCAGGGCGGATGGCGTCGACCAGCTACCATCGGGAAGACGAGCAACCAGCAATCCGGAGCCAAAACGGACAGAGCCGAAGAACCCAGCTCTGAGGATGGTGAATATTGCCAGTCCCTATGAAACAGTTAGCATTCAGTCAGCATTGAGATACGAGCCCCCCGGAGCCCAAGACACTCACTTTGGCGCGGCCGAGGACATGGCGTGGAATGCTTTCATCAAGTTTGAAAACTTCCGGACTGACAAACGACTCGAGAATCTTCCCGGCCTTTTTACACTCGCCTAGGCGAAACTGTGAGCCTAGTCGTGGGCCATTTCAGGGGTATCGAGGGAATACCCACTGGCCAGCGAGGCAGGCAATGGATTGTGCAACGAGTTGTGCACCCCAGACATTCTGCGAGTCTAGCACAACCAGCCCCTGGATCTCTATTCGCGGGTGAGCCAAGAAGTGACAGGAATCGACAACTGACAAGCAAATGATCCATAAAAAGACCAACTCGATGGGGGCCAATTCCTTCGTACTCCGTCGATCGTCTCGATGGTTGGAAACAATGATTGCTATTCATAGAGACTCTTTCGAGACCTTGAGCGACGCCGATGGAGAAAGCCAAGACATTGGAATTTGCTTGGGCCTTGCGAAGCTGATCATCTCGTCGATCGGGGGGTTTGTGGATGGTTGGATCTATGAAGCTGCCCAGGTGTAGAGTGGAATTACTACCACCACGCATGCCTCGAGAAACGAACAACAGAATAAGGGACTTTAAAATAGTATAAAATATTCATTTTTCTTTTAAGTTTCTAATCCTTTTCTGATCCTTTTTTAGTTTAATCTTCTCGACATCTCTATTTTCTCCTTTCTTCTCTATATTTCTCCTGACAAGCTAAAATAAGGCCAGCGCTCAAGACTCTACTTGGGGAACTGCTTCGCTACCAAATCTTCTTATATAATAAGTAAATGAGCAATTGAATATTCCCATTGCGAGTGAAATATCGAATCGTCGAGGGGATCGGACTGACTTGCCGTTTGGGGCGCAGAGCGGGCCCGCGGCAACGTAAGCCGAGACCTTCGTTGAACTTCGGAGCTAAGCATGCAAGCATACTACAAGCATACTTCACGTTCTGCAGTGAATGGCAAGTCATGGACGGCCAGAAACCTGCAATTGCACCCCAACTCGAGCGGGCGCGCAAGAGGCGCCGGCGCACCATGGCCTGCACGCAATGCCGCAGTCGCAAATTGCGCTGCGATCGCGAGTACCCGACGTGCGGCCGGTGCTTAAAGAGCAGAACTCCCACCAAATGCACATATGAGGATGGATTTCTGTGGCAGCGGCCCACTACTTTAGCTGCTTCTTCGTTTGCCGACCGAGAATCCACCCTTCCCAAGCCCCGAGCTGATCACACACCCGCTCACACGCCTCCGGACTCGGTGATCGGGACCAAGTCGGCTCGGGAGCCCCTCGTCCCAACCAGTATTTCTGACCCAGCTCCCTACCCCGCGCTGAGCCCTTTTGATGGCTCGTCGCATTGCCGAGGCCGACCACCGGGTAAAGAACGGCGGGACTGTTTCTTGGAAACCGTCCTCGGTGCCCCAAAGGCCGCAGTCAACCAGGAGCCCTACGTGAATACAGGACTCCTACAGCGCCCCAAGCGTACGGCTCCGGGGCCGAATATATCATTCGCGTCGCGGGCCGACGACGAAGATGCTAATGAGGCCGAGGATGATGGCGCGTTGTCGCCGTCTCATCAGCTAGATCTCTCGCCACGAATCATGATGAGAGGTCGCGAGACCAAGACTCGGTTCAGCGGATCCGGAATCTATGCCAACTTAGTCGGCCATGTATGTTTTGCATTCATCTCATTCCTCTGCGTTCAATACTGGTACTTACAGTCCCGTCTAGTTCCCGGATATAAGATCCTTCGCAGAGGAGATCAAACTGGCGAACCCAATTCTCTCACAGCTCCGGCCAGACTTAGAAAGAGTCAGGCGAGGGCTATGGAAGCGAAAGCCACTCAATGAGCCGTTTCCTGAGCCTACCACGGCATCTCTAATTGACCTGCTGCCTTCTCGCGACGTAGTAGATGAACTAATCGGCCTCTACCTGACTTATATCGAGCCTACTCATCGCATCCTCCACATCCCGTCGTTTCTACGGGAGCTCGACGAGTTCTGGTTGCAGATGGACAATCCAAATATGGTCTCGCCCGTCTTTTCCGTGCAGCTTCTTCTAGTCCTCGCTTGTGCATGGAATCTCGCCGACGTGGCTAGCCTCCAGGAGAAAAATACTGACGAGCTCAAATGCTATACCGCCTTGGAGTGGGTGCTGCACGCAGAGAAGTGGCTCAAAAGCACACCCATCAAGCGCCCTGAAATTGCCGCTCTGCGTCTGTCCATTTTGTTGATTGTGGCCCAAAATTGCCATGGAATGAAGCGCAGCCAGGCATGGCTTACCATGGGCACTCTCGTCAAGCAAGCGATGATGGCGGGCTACCATCGTGATCCTAGCCAATATAGTCGGATCTCGGTCTTTAATAAGGAAATGCGCAGACGGATTTGGATGACGATCGTGGAGTTGGATCTACAGATCGCCATAGACCGGGGCATGCCACCGTCCGTGCAGAGCTCCGATTACGACACCTTCCCGCCACTGAATGTCAATGATGACGAGCTCCACGAAAACTCTACCGAGGCGCTGGAAAGTCGACCGCTCAGCGAAGTCACAGACGCATCCTTCCAAATTGTCCTGGGACGATCGCTTCCCCTCCGTCTGAAAGCGTGTTCACTGATGCATTCCCCGCGGATCAGCTGTCGATACAAGGAGATTCTACGTCTGGACTGGGAAGTAAACCGGCAACTTTCTCGAATTCCCGCGTGGATGACGCCGGATGCCAGCGACCTCGTTACTCAGCACAAAGTAGCTCTTTGGAAGGCATTGATTGAGACTAAGCTAGCCCAGAGCCTGCTCTCGATTCACACCCCATTCGCCGTCGAAGCTCGACGGGAATCGCTGTTTGCCCCCTCGGCGCGATCTCGCCTGGATGCTGCAACCATGATTCTCTCGACACAGCGGCGGCTACATGAAACTTCTCGGCCGCTGTCGCTCTGCATGTTGGGCGAATGGACTCTCCAGGCCTATATCTCTCTGTGCCAGTTGCTGCATACAACAGATTCTCCTAATAGTAAGTATTTACCTTCCTTCTCATTTGAAACGCCTGCTGCTTTGCGCTTGCCCTTACTTATATCCAACGTAGATCGTTCCTCTTACCCCTCGTCCTCGACTTTTCTCCTTCATACCGTACCAGGTCTCCCTGACTCACTACTCTCTCTCGTTGAAACGGCCCTCCTATCCCTCGAAGGCCGATTCCTGCTGGTTGTCAAGGGTGCCAAGGATTACTTCTTTCTGTCAACCATTGTGGCATTAGTAAAGGCCAAGCTCTGGCCAGCTCAGGCGATCATGTATAAACAACAGGTTGTTGAGAGGGTGCTCTCCTTTGCACACACGCTTTTCTCGCGACACGCGACCTGCGAACATCTTGGCGATCCGGGAATGGGCAGCTTCAAGAACAATCAGGTGGCTGCATTTACTGCAACCCCGGGCATGCCCCCTGTGCTGCCATCGGACTTGAATGGGATGTTCCCACCGACAGATCTTGGCGTTCCAGTAAGTCCCGCTTTTTTTTTTTCCCTATAAGTTTGCGCTGGAATCATGGTACTCATCCTGCTTCTTCTAGTCCGGTGACTTCGACCCTTTCTTGGACGTGTTTGACTGGGAGGATTTGACAGGAATTGCTTTGGGTAACTGAACTATGTATATTACATTCTTATAATTCATATGAAGCGCCGTGATCAATATTCTTCTATTTGGTGTGTGCATATATATAGGAAATAATTAAGGCGACCACCTGCCTAATTCGTATAGTAGAGATCTATATAAAAATAGCTAAGGTATCCACAGTGAGGTAATCTATGCCCTACAGGGGGCGATGGATTTGAGGATGCGATCTGATCACTACGCGAGAATTGCGGAGCTTGCATTTCGTCGCGACCAACTTAGCGTGCTGACAGCATGCACGGCATGCATCGGGGGATGGTTACAGGAGCGCGACCTGGGAATGGCATCAAGCCACCCGCCGTTGCATGCATACTGCTCGACTATCACAGGTGATAAATCTCTCTCCCTAATTGATCCTTGAAACGAGCTTGGAGGAGGGACTATTGGGACAAACAAAACATCAACTAATTCGTGTGAAGCACCACTCGTCACGTCGGAGGTTATCCTTATTCCATTTCAGGGTAACATCGCTCAAAAGCAGAAAAAACAAAAATAGGAAGGATTGTCATCGGCAGCCCCGTTCCTACAGCATGTAATCTTAATCGTGTTCTCTCACAGGAAGCATCCCAAAAGTGGGAACGTGCGTGGGGCTCTGATTCCTGAGACGGCTGAGATGGCCCCCGGGTACCCAAGAATACCTCAACGCCCAGCCGGCAGAGGCTGTGGGGCTAAGTACCGACCAAGTACCAAGGGACATAAGCTAAACTTAGCAGCAATTTCGGCGTCCCCTTGGGTGTCCCTCATCTCCACGTCGGCTAGGGTTCTTTATGTGATGACCAACTCATACATCTAATGTTTTTGATTTCCTTTTTTCTCTTATTTGAATCTATGCTTGCTGTATATTGTTCCTGTGAGCAAGTAGCATGCGCTGGTTGATTCGATAACCCTAAAAACCATCTCAATCCGGCGACTTCCGTCACACTCTGACCTATCGCACGGATTCTCTCCTTTCTCTATACAATAATCGACTTAATTCCTCACATTTCACCATGCATCTCAGAACTCCAGCGTTACTATTGACAGCGCTAGCCTCGCAGGTGAGCGCCCGTCTGTGGCCGCAAACAAGCCCAAATCTAGATGCACCGCAAGTCTTCCAAACCACCGACCAGCTGCCGCTGGCGAACCCAGGGCATATCACAGCACACGACCCCAATGTGCTCAAGCACGGAGACCATTATTACCTCTTCAAAGGCGGGTGGGGCGTGTCAATTCTCAAATCCAAGGACATGAGTGGGCCATGGGAGGAAGTCGGCCGAGTTCTCGACGACGACAGCGTGATCGAGAAGGGCAACCGGTCGTGGCCGTGGGCGCCGACCACAATCGAGAAAAACGGCCTCTTCTACTGCTACTACGCAGTCAGCCAGCAAGGGTCACGCAACAGTGCCGTCGGCGTGGCCACAACGACCGACATCAACCGCAGCGGCTGGCACGACCATGGCGCCCTGATCAACACGGGCTTCGGCGACCACGCGGACGCGTACCCGTTCACTGTCACCAATGCCATCGACCCTGCCTTCATCACCGACGAGCACAACAAATCCTATCTGATCTACGGCAGTTTCTGGGACGGCATCTGGAAGCTGCCGCTGTCGGATGATCTGCTCTCCATCAAGAACCCCAGCGAGCCCGAGGCCGTGCAGCTCGTCTACCTCCCTGACCTCGAGCTGAAGCCCATCGAGGGCGCCTGGATGAGCTACCGTGATGGCTACTACTACACCTGGTTCAGCCATGGCGAGTGCTGTGACCTCGAGAAGCAGTTCCCCAACGCCGGCCAGGAGTACAGTATCCGGGTTGGCCGGTCGAAGAGCGTGAACGGCCCGTTCGTGGACCGCGACAATATTGGCTTGCTCGATGGCGGAGGCACCATTGTTTACGGGTCTAACCACGGCATCGTCTATGCCCCCGGCGGACTGGGGGTCGTGTCGGGCCATGGCTCCAAGCGGGATATTCTCTACTACCATTACCTGAACACGACTATTGGGTTTGAGTTTGAGGTAAGTGTGCTCCGATGCTTCGAAGGTTTCAGTGTTGATCTAACTGTTATCACAGAAAGCTCATCTGGGCTGGAATGCCTTGGAGTATGAGGATGGATGGCCCGTTGTTGTCGATGGCGTCAATCTCGAGCCTACTACATCCAGCCCTGACCCCAACGGCGCTGCCAGTGCCACAATTATTACCAGCACGAGTACCAGCACTGGTACTAGCTCTAGCTCTAGTGCCGGTGCCGGCTCCGGCACCACAAGTAGCCCCAGCCCCAGCGCAAGCTATAGCGCAGGCTCCATTATTGGGCTTCCAGGCTGGTCAAGGACGATGATCTTGATGGGTGGGTTCATGTCTTATTTCTTCTTTGATTAATTCGTGCTGACTCGAATTTTCCCAGGTTCATGGCTGTACATGTGGACATAAGAGACTCTGTCCGAGTGTCCTGTATGCATTTATTATTGTATATTGGCTTGCATCGACAACACCGATAGAATTGGTGGCAACGGCGTTTGGGTTAAAACTTCGGGGGCATTTTATGAACATTTGAGGAACGTTTCGATGGACGATTCGATGTACATTAATTTCTTCGACTTGGTGATTTCCAGATTATATAGGGAACGATTCTTAAGTTATTTCAATCATAGAGTAGAAAATTTTAACACCTGTCTAGCGGATTTCATGCTACTCATGGATCCCATCCCCCGTCCACGTTGTAAACCTGCCCTGTCGTATACGATGCTGCATCGCTGAGCAAGAACACCACTGTTTGGGCAACCTCGTCCGCAGTTCCCACGCGCGGGATTGCCGTCGGAGTCGAGCTCAACCCACCCTGGATACCGATAGCCCTATCCAGCAGAGGCGTCTGGATCGATCCTCTAAGCAGGATATCAGTTGTCTTTTTTCAAGCAAAGAGCAAAATCATATCTGGTTCTTGATATTTGATACGAAAGAAAGAAAGAAAGAATACTCACGGCGCAACAGCATTCACCCGAATCCCCGGCCCAACCTCCTTCGCAACAGACCTAGTCAAGCCCACAACCCCATGCTTCGTAGTCGAATACGCTGCATGCAACGCAAACCCACGAACGCCCTGGATACTCGATGCATTGACAATGCTTCCCTTTCCACCCGGCGCAGACTTCATAATCGCCCGCAGTTCCGCACGCATGCAGTACATCATCCCGGACAAGTTGACGCGCAGCAGCATATCCCACTCATCGTCATCTTGGTCGACGAACCGCCCCACGCCGTGCTGCTTGCCGATCGTGCCGGCCATGTTTGCCGCGCCGTCGAGTCGTCCGAAATGCGAGACTGTTGCCGTGATCCAATCATTCACCGCGCTGGCTGACCCGATATCCACTACTGTTGTCAGGATGCTAGATGCGGAAGAGTCAGAGGAGCCAGACGATTCCTCGATTGTGCGGCGCGCACTTTCTAGGGCGGTGTTGGAGATATCGGCGAGGGAGACAAGCGCGCCATGTGCGTGGAGTTGGCGGGCTACGGCTAGTCCGATGCCGCTGAGGCCGGTTACTGCGTAGACTTTGCCTTTGAGGGAGTCCATTATGGGGTTGGGATATATGGAGAAGATAGAGAATGTATGAGGATGAGTAGGGTAGTGAGAAAAAGCAAAAGAGAGAGGGGGTAGAAATATTCCAACAAAGACTCGCACGATGTCACCTAGTGGGATGGCTCGTGGAGCCGGAGATGATCCGAGGCAAATCACAGTCTCTCCATCATCTCAAACAAAGGTGGCACCTGGTGGAGCCGGGTATATCCATCATGGCGGCTAAATGCCGTTCGTCCTGCGGGGAAAACCCCCCACGACGTCTGGCTCATGCCTCATCACGAATCCATCGCAACGCCACCTCTTGAGGATCCTTGACCTGCAACGTCATTTTGATAATGGATTCGTTGAGCTTCTGACGCAGCATCTGTTGCAACTCGTCTGGATCCTCGATTCCAGCTATTGGCAACGGCTCGCACCGAGCCCGCTGGAACAGCGTCGCAATTGTCGCGACAAACTCTACTTGCGACATCTTCATGCTGGGACACACTCGTGGCCCAGCAGACCAGGGCAGGTACGTGCCTTTTGGCGGAGGGTGATAAGCTGACCGGAACTATCGATCCATCTGGATGGCTTGAACTCCTCGGCGTCCGAGCCCCAGATCGCCGGGTCGTAGTGGACGTTCAGGTGCTCGACATGAATATGCATTGGAGGGGTGAGCAGATGTGACCCGTCCGAGTCCACAATTTGCTGCTCCTCGGAGATGTGGCGCATAGCGCATAGAATAAAGGACGGGCGGGAAATGGCGCAATGTCTCATACTAACAGAAGAGAGTCAATCCAAGAGTCTGGCTGAGCGGGCTGTCGAGAAGGCCGGGGTATTTACCATCAATGCTAGAACGCGAGGACACCTTGGATATGTCTCCTCGTACTTCCACGAGACGTCTCCTTCCAAACCGCGGACCTCGTTGCGGATCCAAGTCTGTCATTCCGGGTACGCAGCCAACAGAGTCATGGCAAAGCCCATAGTGTGGGCGGCAGTTTCGAAGCCCGCAACGGTCAGCACGAAAAGGTTCCCACTAATCTCGTCTTCAGTCAAGAAAAGCAGGTCCAAGGAATCGGTCTTTTTCTGCTGGTCAGAGAAGTGGATGGGCATACTCAGGAAGTTGTCGCGAGGGCCCGATCCCATCCGGGCCGTCTGTCTCTCTTCCTCGAGCACCTTTCCCATGTATTAGGGCACCTTCGCTTTCTCCTGGCCCAAGAGGCGCAGAAACTGCGGCATGAACGGCAACATTAGCAACCTGACGGGTACAAAGGCCGCCACCAAAAACTTGTCTGCGATGATTGCCATGGCGCCGAAGTACGCCCCTCTACCGATTTTTGCCCCAGATGTGAGGCTTTGCACGTCGGGTGACCATGCCTGGTGCTGGCCATAACCTGCTTGTCCGATCACATTGATGGCAATGCACCGCAGACCCTCCAAGGTTTTACCGCCGGGGTGGTCGACCAAGTAATCCAGCATGGTAACTAGCATGAAGGATGACATATCAATGTTCACACTCCATGCCAGAAAGAGAAGAATCAAAAAATCCTTGAATTTTGAAGATCTAGTGTAAATTTATTCCTGGATGTATTGCTGAATATCTACTCCGACTCTCGCTCAATTTACCCTTTTGAAGACTCCGACCGTCGATGCTACTACAAAACGACTAGCTAATTAGCTCTTCAGACAGACTAAGTGGCAATGCCAGTCCGACATAATGCAACTTGATATGCGCAATGATATTAGACAGATATCCGCACTGCTTTATTGCGGTAGTATGACAATTCAATCATTCGTGGTAAATTCAGATGCGTATAGTGCTAACTCCATGTTTTCACTCCGAGGGGTATTCCCGCAACCAAAATAAATAAAACCCAATATCCACAACACCTAAAATGACATATAGAAGAAACTTCATAGCAGCATTCTAGATAAAACCAAGCCGCTAACCAACATCAACGTCCATGTACTCTTCGTCGTCGGCGCGACAAGCACCGCACTCGATTCATCCGCATTACTACCATACTCGACATGTTGGGAGTTCAAGCAGTAATTAACCCGCTCGGTCTCTGCAGAAGAAGTCGAATTGCACATGGCAGTGCAGGGATTCGGATTTGAGTAGTGCCACACAGCGCTCTGGCAGCAAGACTGCAGCACCGCGCTCATGTTCTGGTGCAGATGTTCCCTCTGGTAGACGGGGACCATAGTCCACCACTTGTAGGAGGACGGGAGGGAGGGGAATGCATCGCGCGAGTATTGGCATTCGGCAGGTACAGTATAATTCGTGCTCTTATTGGCCATGGCGAGCGAGGATTTTCGTAACGTGGAGATGAACGGGGTTGTCGATTGTGGAGAAATGCGTGGAGTATGTATACCACACTCGCGGGTAATGTGTGTTGCCTTCGAAATTCGAACTGGATTTTGCTTTTTTTTTTCTTTCTCGAAGATCAGAAAGACAGGAGAAGAGCCTCCGGCACGACCCAATTCTTCTGTCAATTGCCTGGGTTTAAATCGGGCGAGCGGGGGCTGCCAAGCTGGTGATGTTGGGCGGGACTTCGTGGGGGCCGGGGCTAAGTATCAGCGGCCCAATGTGAGGGTTGGGGCGCAATGATCTTAATATAGGTGCAATTCAAGGAAAGTCTCGATTCAAGTGGAACCCAGTTGTTGAATCACCGTGCAGTTAGACTGGGATAGATATCTATCATGGAGACAAGGTGAATCTATGAATCTCAGCCCTATGTCTTTCCTTTTCTATTTTTGCCTCGAGCTCTGCCTTTAGATCGACCAAAGTAAACTTAATGGCATATCTAAACTCGTAATTCCAGTCAAACTAAAGCTATTTTAAGTTACCAACCAGCTTAATAGGGTGGTGACCTCTGTCTGGTTCATGCTGGTCGAGTCATTCAACATTAGAGGATGGTGCGGCGTGTAGAAATGAAAAATAAATCAAGCAACACTCATTTCCTGAGGGATGAAGACGGCATGTATCCGTTGTACTGCCAGTCCATCTTGACCTTACACTCCGCCATTGAGATGTTGCCCCGCCGTATATCCGGAATCAGCAAATCCAAAGGCATTTCTCGTGGCATTGGTTACAATAGTCTAATAGGCCATGAGGATTCGGTTCCAATAATGTCGTACAATTTCGACACATCTGGGATATAGTCAAGGATTGGATGGGATCGAACAGTAGATATCAGGGTCCGCAGGACTAAAGAGAAGAACGGCCCGACGACAGAGACCGTCTACAAAAGATCACAATTTCTTTTCAATATGCTTGTTGCCCAAGAAAAGAAGAAGATTCGTCCGACACACCAACGCCGGAAGAAAATGCTATTACTAAATATGTCCATAGCTGAGGTATTTATAACCCACAAGAAAGTGAGAAAGTGACCGAAGAAAACGTATGAAAATCTTCAACGAATGTCACGTTCATATTAAGGAGCCTTAATTCAGCTCCGCCGGAATGAAGCCGGGTGAATATATCATGGCGCAGTCTTTGCAGCCGGGAGCTCCGCTAGATTCGCCCTCGAGTCCAATTCATGTGGCCTGGATTGAGGATCGAGCTCACCAAAGCCGCGGGAAGATCCATACTCCGTCGAATTGCTGGGCCCGGTCGACGAGAACCCGCCCATATGTACATGCTTCTCGGCAAGGGCTTGTTGCTTCTTGCGGTTGCCGAGCCAGAATCCCAGAGCTCCGATAATGGCGCAGCCTGCCACGGGCCCAACCACAGCGCCGGCAATCCAGGCTTTGCTGCCGGAATGTTTCGAGGAGGTGTCATTATTGCCGGAGTCGGTTGAAGTGGCGGCGGCACCGGATTTTGATACTGAGGCTGCTGGGGTGGCCGCGTGAACAGCAACATTACCTATTAAGTTTTCAGTCAGTCGTCTTCTTATTTCTTTTCTTTTCAACCCCCCTCTCTTTGAATTGGATATCGCAACTTACCCTCACCGGTCGGGGTGGGAGCGGCAGTCGTGTCCATGAAGATGGTCGAGGCAGTCCAGCTACTCGCGCACCACATATCCACGAAACTGGCCGTAGTGTTGTGGGGGTCGGGGTAAAGTTTCATGTTCGCACAGGTACTGCCGGTGTCGCTATTTGCAGGACCGTTGAGTCAGTGGAATGCCGCGAAAGTCAATGGGGGGAAATGGGTTCTTGCAGAGGCGCTCTTACCATTCCATGGTAGCACCACCCCAAAAGGAGAGGACAGAGCTGTCGCAGGATGTCGCGAAGGGACAATTCGAGTTATAGTCGGAGCAGCATCTTGCAAACGTGCTGTATAGTTGCCGCGATTCTCCTGGATCGCACATAACCGGGGACCCTGTTGCAGTTCAGCCATGGCGCTGGCCAGAGATTATTCGCGCTGAGGGAGAAAGAGAGAGAGAAAGAGAGAGGGAGAGAGGAAAGGATAGTGAATTTTGACAAGACTCACAGGAGTTGGAGGCAGCCGAATACCATCCTTGTTGAGTCGAGGGCGTGGGCGTGGGCGAGGGCGAGGTAACCGAGGCACGAGATCCCGAAACGATCGCCGCGCAGACGGCAAGAGATTTCCATGAAAGCATGGTGTGAATGACTCAGGGGAGGAGGCGGGGGGAAAGAAGAAGAAGAAAATGTCACATCCAAACACCTCTCGTGGGGGTCAGGGCACGGTCAAGGGCAACGGCACGAGGTGTTGAAAGTGCCAGGAGTTGCAGAAAGACAAACCCATTTCGCCCCAAGGTTCTGCAATCTTGATAAAAGACAGCAGTTCTTGGGATAAGCGACTCTACGGCAGCTTTAGTGAACCCTAATATGGCAAAGGAGGGTCCCCAACGGGAACCGGGTCTACGTGTGTCATAGGCAGGGGAAACCCTCGTTGGTATGTGTAGATCCCCAGAGATTGTCGTCGGAGTGGAGTGATGGTATCCAATAATCTACTTCAGCTGAGAGGGTCTATGCAGGCATTTTTTACACGATGTTATTATAGGCTAGGAGAATGCCGTGGGTGGGCCCGATCAGCATGTATCATATCCACGTTGGACTCTTTGCGAAGGTGAGGATATTATTCAAGGGAGATATTATCCGCTAAAGCGAGGTAAAAACTAGTTTGGTGTTTATTTAGTGATCATCTCGAGGGTAAATATATATCCATAGTCATGCACTGATCAAATATCAGATATCCATCGAGTGCAAGTATACCAGGGACCATCCTGTCCAAGGTAAACAAAGGCGTAACGTCTAGTAAAGTGACAAGTTTACTGTAGGGGGCGGGTCTGCAAGGCTACACGCCTATCCGAAAATAAGAGTTTAGACGAGAATATCTTGCATTTTAAAAGTATTGTGATTGTCAATCCTGGCCCCAAAAGCCAAGTGCGGATCTACTTACCTGCCAGAGCTATCACAGGACTCGTACTCGCCCTGGATGTCAGATCAATAGTAGGGCGCTCAACCCTCTTTCTTCCCCTCGGCTACCCGGTATCCACCCCTGGCCCTCACGGAAACCGCATGGCCCGTTGGTGGATCAAAGTCGCCGGGGGTTAAATCGGGCCGGGTATCTTGATATCCATTGGTTCAAATCTGCCTGATCTGCATGGCCCCGCTGGGCGCACGTTGTTAGGGCCTGAAAAGAAAAAGGGGGAGTTCTTGGGTTCAGGTTCAGCTGTACTCGACTAGCAGAGCAGTCTCTGGAGAGACTTCACTAGAGAATAATAATGATGACGAAATATGAAAAAAACCCCCTGATATCTGGAGATTTTTAAATAGTCTTGGCTTGATGTCCACGGTCGAACTGAACCTAGGAATCCCGAATCACAACCAAGCACGGCCCTTAGCTTAGTCTAACCAGCAGAGCCCACAGTGGGTCGCAATCGTCACTCAGAGGGACAATACCGGCAAGTCAACTTGAGCATTACAAGATTTGCTGTCTGAGAAACGGCAGGAAAGTCACTAGGAGAGAGGCCAGAGAAGCCACAGGAGCAGTTTGCAGAGATAAAATTAGAAGGCTGGGAAACAAGCAGGCCTCTACGTCACGTCCCCGGACTGCTACCCTTCGAAGCGGCCATGCAGCAATATAGGGCTTTCAAACAACCACGAGATGATTTTATGCGTATGTCCCGACGGTGTTTCTGTCCTATCTACAAGTCATCTACAAGCGTGCGGCCGCATTAGCACGCCTCCACATCCTTTTTCTCCTCTCATGCCCTTCATCGAAATCGTTCACCCACTTCCGATCGAATCGTGGTAGTCGTCGTCCAGGCGTGTCTGCAGGCGGATCTCCTGCGAGCAGCCGCAGGTCTTCAAAATAGGCCTCAAACTCGGGATTGAGTACCGTGAAGGCCGGCCCGTCGCCCTTTTGTGCAATCCGGTCGACCTCCCATTTTGCCTGTTCGGTCCCAGACGGCAGAGTGGCCCGGCCGGCCAGGACACGCGCCGCAGCGACGGCCTGCCATTCGAAGACTTTGAATGTCAAGCCAGCACCGACCTGATGGTTGTGAATTGGCGAGTTAGCGCTATTGCTTCTTCTGGTTTCATGTTGGACAGTTCGGGGAAGGATGATGCACGTACTGCTCCTACAAAGACCAAAGTCGGGTCATGTCGGTAAAAGACGTGCTGGTACAGATCTGGCACGCGGTTATTGCGTGTCGGCATCTGCGGCAAGAAAGGGAGAGTCCAGGTAAAGCCCGTGCCAAAAATGACGTGGTCTATTCCCAACTCGGAGGTGCCATCCTCAAAATGCACCGTGCGGTCGCCGTCGCTGCTGGTGATGTGCGAAATGGGCGCCCGTCGCTGGATCTTGGGGTGTTTGAACGCTTCATCGCCGAAATACACGTTGTAGCGACCCCGGACCACGGCATGGATGGGTACTTGTGCACTGTCTATCAGGCTCACTGCGGTATCTGCGGCGGAGACCGAGGCGCCGACGGTGATGACTTTCTGTGGATGGTCAGAGCACAGCAACTCAACAGCTAACAAGCGACATCACGTACCTTTCCTCGGTATTTACCCGGGCCTCTGTAGTGTTTTGTATGTTCCACGCTGCCGGGATACTTTGCTGCAAACTCCTTCAATCCCGGAATAACAGGGATAAACGGCACTGCATAATGACCCGACGCCACCACAACAGCGTCGAACTCTTCAGACCACCAATAGTCCGATGGCGTCTGCTGATCAGAGAACTCTGCTCGTCGCAGAGTCAGGATCCATTTGTGGCTACTGGGCTCTTTCACTGTGCGCTCGACCGTGGTGTGGTACTGCACCAGGTTCTGATACCCTTTCTGGGTGAACAGATCCTCGATATACTTTCGAATGACGGAGTGATGCCGGAACGGCGTATCCGAGCCATGTCGGTCTATCGACCACTGCGACCGGATCGCAGGGATCGGCTCCTGGGAAAAGGACATCACACCCGCATCGACGTTGGTCTCCAGCGCCGGGTAGACGGGCGAATCCATAAAGCGGTTTTGAGCAACAGCCGATGTTCGGCATGGAAGATGCTCTGGGACCTTTAGAGGTGCATCTGCTGTGCGCGCATATAGCTGGCCCAGATCGAGCTTCTGTGGAGGCTCATTCTCTCTCGAGACCCTGTGGCAGTTAGATTTGATGGCTATGATGGATGTGAAGCTGCATTATGTGATACATACCAACACCCCCGGCTTTCTCTTGCCTCTCAAACACGCGGATGACATCAAAAGTCTTCTCCTGAACCAGTGCATCAACGGCAATGGCACCCGATGGGCCGGCACCGATCACGGCCACGCTCTTGACCGGCATACTTGAGCTAAATCTTGAGAGTATCAGTAACTGGGAGACGTTACATGGACAGGTGATTCTGTTCCTCTCGGCCGAGCCTGTGAAGAATCCGACGATCTGGGGAAGGTTCGGCTGTCACGCCATCGCGACTAGATCTGCGCAAGCCCGATAAGGCCACTAGGCAAAAATCCACTCACCAGTTGATTCTGCTTTTAGATGCCTCGAGTAACTGGAATTTTGACGAATCTCATTGCTAAAAAAAAATTAATAAAATAAAATAAATTTCTTACTGAAATTTCGATCTGGTCGGCAAGCCCCGATGTTTTAGCCGAGTGATCCACTTACCGTGTCGGGAATGTATACCCTCGAGAAGTATTGTCCGTCCCTCTTTAAATGCGATATTATAGAGACAGCCCATTCAAATGAGGACAAAATAAGCTACGTATATAGAGTGAGTAAAATAAGGTTCACAGACCAATCACCCGCGGAAGTATAAAAGCTTCCATGGTTATAGACGGTCCAATTGAACATGACCACGGGTCCAAACTTCTTGTAGACTCCATCTACGGCAAACAGATCTATTATCGATTGAAGAATGAATCCAAGTAGCCCTAGAGCAGTTCCGCATGCCGCGACTTGATGAGCCCACATCGACGGTCCTGCTCTGGTTAGCACGAGCGACGTACTTGCCATTTCCCACGAAAACAGCAGCAGACAGAATAAAAGTAACTCTCGGCAAGGCTGCTGTACAGCATGAGCTGTTCTGCTCTTGCGCTGCCCACCGGGTCTTGCTTTGTACGGCTTATCGCTATGCAGTCCAGCTTGCAGTGATCTCTCGGCACTTGAAGGATATCCATCACATTATCCACAGCCGCCGCTGTCCATATGTCAATTACGCAGGCAGGTTCATATTAAGCAGACCAGAATGTGTTGCCAGTGCCTTATCTGCCACTCGGAAATGGGTGGCGCTATCAGGTATCAGATTGCAGCTATCTCTGCGTGTCGACTAAGCGGATGGAAGCCCACTGATTGGCAACCCCTGGTCGTGAGGAATCCGAGTCGCGGCTGGAGTCCTACGCTCCTGCAGGCTTCCTCTAGAGGGAATGCGCTGCACTATTTCACCAGACACCGGGACCAAATTCGGCAGCCAAGTCAGCAAAAGAATAGCGGACACTCCAGGACGAGGGGCTGTTCCATGCCTGCGATGTCTTGGGAGCGCATCCCCAGCAGCCCTGTAGGCACACCGGCAGCAACGTAGAAACCAGTCATCAATCTCAGCGAGAACCAATTGCCATACTTGGACCATTTCCTCGTCATCATTCCTGAAGACAGCTCCTGGTAGGAGAGAAACGTCTGCATCTACAGCAACGCGGCAATGGCGGTAGCCCAGTCTTTCGTCTGCATGAACAAAGCGAATCTGATGTCAAGAGCCAGCACGTGGAATGATCTCGACGTGTGGCCAATGCGTGTCGACGCTGAGTACATCGCCCTACGGGCAACCACCCCGGGGCCATAATCCTGCTGACACACTACTGCGTGATTTTGAAACAACTAGCGAAACTGCTGTTATTTTGTTGGGCGATCGGCGAAGTTAATAACTTCGATCGTCCGTGTGCCGGACCAGCAGTGGCATTCGGCCATCCACGAGGTCGTAGATCGGGCTAATGAAGCGTGAGGGGGGATGTTGGGGTTGATAATTTGGGTGTTACAATGGGGCCACATCTCACAGTTGACTCTGAAACGGCTTGGCAGCCCTGGCAGTTGTCGAGCAATGCAACTCTCGCAGAATCACCAATCGGCATACTTGCGGTTTGTCTCTTGTTGAGTTGTTGCTGCAGTCCGGTCACACCACAGAATTTTCGTGGTTGTTACATGCTGCCTTCATCCATATCTCGGAAGGCGAGGTTCGTTATAGCGTGGTTCTTGGCATCCACCAGGCTCAGCATAAATACCGGAGTGATTGGACGCCACAGGTTGATCAGTGGAGTTGATCTGTTCTTACCCTTTCGGTAGCGTCTTAATTGGTTTTTTTTCCCCAGCTGGTACATTCCGTGAGAAAATGGCCGCGTCAACTATGGCCCCCGTGGAAGGATTGCCCGGTGGCAACCCTAACTCGCAGAGGACTTGGGGCCAAGTAATCTGACCCAAGGTCCGCTCACTCAAAGCATGCCTTCAGGGGCAGGGGTTCTGCGTATCTGATATGAGAAACGAAAAAAAGAAATAGGATCGAAGATTGCAGGGAAAAGGAACAGGATAATGACAATCCCGGGGCCATCCCTTTTCACCGCAAATCGCAATAATATCTCGACTTATAGTGAGTGAATGGGTGTTTGCTAGACTCAGCCTTAGTGGACCCCATCACTCATTTTTCATGTTGAACGCCCACAGGGCTGGATGAATGGCCGACTCAGGAATGCAAACCGAATCACCCGAAACGAGACAGATCAACAAAGGTTGCACAGCAAAACTTTGTCTCCAGATCGTATGGATAATGAGGTCGTATTGACAGACAGAACCCGGTCACAGACTCGATTCCCATGTCGATACCTTCCTCAAAGAAGCTTGGCCAACGCCCCGCTGCTTTATGTGAGCAGACATCTCCAATCGGAGCTGACTGTCTTCCTGGTCTTCCTGGGGGGTCTCGAGGAAGTGGACCTGAAAGGAAGAATCCTTCCCTGGCAGCCCCCTAGGTCGTCATCATTGCCGATGGGGTCTGGATGTGGTTAAAAAAAAAGAAATTGGGGCGAGAGGTCTCTGCCAAATCTAAAACCCAGTGCCCACCTCGTTCATGTCTTGACCCGCCGGTAGAGTCTCGATCTTTTCCTCTTTTACTATTTTAATTCTTCATCTCCCTCCCTCCCTCTCTCTGACTCGTGATTTCGCTCGCTTTTCCCTTCTCTACTCGATCAATCACACCCCCGGTCGTTATCTTTTCCACAATGAAGTTCGCTGGCATCGTTTCCCTGGGCCTTTTCAGCGCCGCCGCCGTCGCCATGCCCGCCCTGTCCTCGCAGCCCGCCGTGAACCCTGCCGGCTGGGGTGCCACTAACAGCCAGCTGGCAGGGCCCGCCCCGACAGGCTGGAGCGGCAACTCCAACTCTGGCTCCGGCTCCGGCTCCAACAGCGGTGCCGGCAACGGACGCAACCAGGAGCTGCTGGAGCTGCAGTCCAAGATCCAGGACGCCATGAACCACTCCAACCAAGCCCAGGCTACCCAGTACCTGCAGCAGTGGCAGAGCTTGGCCGCCGGCGGTGCCCCCGCGGCTACCAGTGCTGCTGTGCCCGATAGTGGCAGCGTTGCCTCTGGTGCTCCCGCTGCTTCTTGGGGTGGTGCCCCCGCTGTTACTGGCGCTCCCGCTGCTCTCAAGGGTACCTCCAACAACTTCGTGCCCTTCAAGCCGGCTACCACCGGTGCTGCTGGCTTCCGTCGTCACTAAACAAAATATTTTCTTCGTGAGAAGGAGCAGAGAGAGGCCCGCTCTTAATGGTGTGAGACTTGCTCTTTAATTTGGGGGTGGTTTACTTTGGTGTGCTGTGCATACTATGTTCCCCCAACTGAAGTCTGCAATTGACTCGGGAGGATGGGTTTTACAGTGTACGGTTCATGTGTATGATATGCAAGATACTGGCACTGGCGGCTATTGTTAAGCTCTTTTTTCTGTGTATATGGGTATAGATGTGTCTGGTAGGATGGAACGTTTTTCTTTTGTGTTTTTTCTTTTCGTCGAATGCACTTGTGATATATACTATACTATATACTTTCGCCTCTTGGGTTACTTGGATTGTAGGCTCCATGTATCCGCTCATTACCGCTGCAGGGTAGACTTATAGTGTAGCAAGGTGCAAGTAGTTTATCGGTCGTCGACCAACTTGATGTCCTTGGTAACTATCCTCATGTATGAGGCATATTACTATTAGAGAACACCAGGCCCTGGTCAAGTGTAGTTTACGTTGATTGTATTTAAATGACATGGTCTGTGAGAAACATGACTTATTCATTTTATTTAGTAAAAGCTTTACTTACAAGCGAACGCTAATCATAAGACATCAAGAATGCAAACAACAGCACAAGTCCACACCCTAAGCAAAAACATCCGTCGCATAACGCTCCTTCGTCCGTAGCTTATCAAAGAACCGATCCGCGGCAGTCTCCTCATCAAGCTCGGCATCAGGCAGAGACGGCGTCTCGCCCTTGCTCTTCGCAAGAGCAAGCAGTTCCCGACGCCGCTCCAAGAAAATAGCCCTACAGGAATCGCGCACCGCTCCACCAACCCCCGTACTCCCACAGACATAAATGCGGGCGCCCTGCTCAAACAGCTCCACAATCTCCGCGCGGTCCTCCAGCATCAGATCCTGGATGTGGCGCGCCGGCGACTCGTCCCCGTCCGCGGGCCGGCTGTACGCCCAGCGGACATCGACAGCGCCCTGCGCAGCCCACTCGGCCAGCTCGGCGGCGTGGATGTCGTCCTGGCCCTTAGTGCGGCAGCCGACATACAGCACGGCGCGGGCGGGCTTGCTGGCTAATTCAACAGGGGTTGGTGTGGCGTCCGTGGAGCTCTGGCGGCCGCGGATCTTCTCGGCGCGGTCCATCACGAAGCCGCGGAAGGGGGCGAGCCCGCTGCCTGCGCAGGCCATGATCATGGGCGTGTCGAGGTCGACGGGCGGCTTGAAGCCCGAGTGCGAGGGCCGCACGGTGATGTGGGCGCGGTCGCCGGGCTGCAGCTCCGAGAGGTAGGTCGAGGCTACGCCCATGTAGCGCTCGGTGCTGTCGCCGCCCGGGGTGGCGGTGCCGGAGAGCGCAGGCGCGTTGATCACGCCGAAGGTGATGGAGCACTCGGACGGGTCGAGGAGTGGCGACGACGAGATCGAGTACTGTCGTACGCGCATGGGCGGTAGCAGGGCGAGGAAGTCGCCGATCGAGAGGTTGATTGCCGGGTAGCGCATCAGTAGGTCCAGAGGGCTGACGCGCTTGCGCACGATTTCCTCGGTGAACCGGCTCGGGCTCGACGCTGTATATTGCAGCTCGGCTTGCGTTTCAGCATCGCCCATGGCTGCTTCTGCTAGCAGACTGAGGTCGCGCTTAGACGCGGGCTGTGACAGCTCCACGTAGGTCGAGAGGAGCTCGAAGGCTGAGATGGGCGTGTCGAGCGGGATAGACGGCGGCGAGCTGGTGCTTTGCGAGGACTTGGAGATACAAAGGACGGCATCCCACGGCAGATCGAAGCGGCGGATCGCCCGGCGAACGACGGAGCTCGGGTTCACGGGCAGCACGGCCAGATAATCACCGCACTGGTAGGTCATATCCGAGGGCAGCTTGAACCGCAGCACTCTCTTGGCTGGGGCGTTGGACGGCGTCAAGAGCTTGTTTTCGACCACGAACCCTTCTTCCAGCTGCAGACCCAAGGTCGACGCGCGCTTGCCCGAGCTCACTTCCACCTGAAGCGACGACTTCGGCTTGGAGTCTTTGGCTGGGCCAGCACCGCCATATTTGGCCGTGATGGCTGGCCAGAAGCTGGTCTCGCCCCAGCTGTCAAAGTCCGTGAACATGTCCGAGTTGGCTGCGTCGGCCAATCCGATATCGCAAAGTCGGTTGGCTCCGTTCTTTTCGGCGAGTTCGTTTACTGCTTTTGGGATCCGATAGAAGGTGGAGGACCAGTCGTCTGAAATGCAAGGTTAGTGAGGTTTCGAATGAGTTTCACGCAGATACTTACGATGGCCGCAGCCAAATACGGCGTAGTTGACGCCTTCCAAACCGCTACCCTTGAGTTGGCTGAGCCATTCGAAGAAGTGGGCCGCGTTGTCGGGGGGCTCGCCTTCATAGGAGGCGGCAATGAAAACCACGGGATCTTCCTTGGGCACATTCTGTGATGCCGAATCCAAGGAGCTTGGCTGCGCCAAGTACCCATAGCCGACCGCGTCATCAGCCAATCGTCTAGCAAATGCTTCACAGGTGCCCGTGTTGCTCCCATAAAAGATGTGCATTGGCTTCAGCTTTCCGCCCGCGGGAGCCACCTTGGGCTTTCGGTCCCGGCTCGCAGCACCAGACTCCGGAGGCGCAGAGCCAGAGCCGCTGAGAGAAGTGCTGAGCGTGGTCGGATCAAGGCCCTCGCGCAGGGTGGCCTTCATGTGGAACTCTTTGGGCTTGATGGTGAGGGTCTGCTTGATGCGCAGGTCATAGCTGGGGTTGTCCATCTGGAAATTGAAGTTCTGCAGCAGAATCGCAATCACCAGCAAGGCCTCCTGCCAGGCGAATGGCCGGCCAATGCAGCCGCGCATGCCATTGCCAAAGGGCTTCCAGGCGTTCTTGGGCAGCTTCTCAAAGTTCTCATCCAGCATTCTCTCCGGTCGGAACTCGTCGGCGTCGGGGCCGTAGACCTTCGGGTCGCGATGCATCTTGCTCAGCATGACCAGCACCGCCTCGTCCTCGTGCAGGACATACTTTCCATCTGCTAGTGTCACGGGATCTTCCTTGTTCTTTGTCGGGTGAGCGTGCAGGGCGATTATGGGGGCCGTGGGCTTCAGTCGCAGTGTCTCGCGCATGACTGCTGTGATATAGGGCAGCTTCGACATATCTTCGACGACGATCTTGCGACGGCCAATCACGCGGTCGACCTCTTCCTGGGCCTTTTTGTAGGCATTCGGGTTTTTGAGCAGGTAGTAGAAGAGGAATGACAACATGCCAGAGGTAGTCTCATGGCCTATGGACTGTTAGTTTGGACAAAAGCGACAGACACGGCGCAATCCTCAAGGTATTTCCAACATACCAGCAATCAAGAACGTAATCATGTTGTTCACGATAGAATCATCGGTCAGACCTTGACCCGTCTGCGAGTCCCGCCCCAAAATCAGGGCATTAAGGAGATCCTTCTTGTCTTCAGGGTTTTTCTTGCGCGAATCCACCAGCTCCTGAGCCAAGTTGCGCAAATAAGTGATGTCGCTCCAGTACTTTTTATTGTCGCTAGTAGGCAAACTGTTGACCAGCGCAGGGCGACGAGCGCGGCCGCCCGACCCCGACAGCAAGCCGACCATGGCCTCGACGAACGGGTGCATCTCGTCATGGTAAAACGAATTGAACCGAGTACCCATGGCGCAGAGGGCAATGGTGTCCAGGGTCAGGCGGGTGAAGTCATCCGTGACCATAATCGGGGTTTGGGGGCCCTGTCGAGCCCATTTCATGACGAGTTGGCCGGCAATATCGTACATTTCTGGGGAGGTCAGTTATAACAAATAATAGAATGGAATAATTAAAATAAAATAAAAATAGATACCCACCATCGAACATGCTCCGAATCATCAACGGCCCAAAAGCAGGCACGAGAACGCGATGCGCAATAGCCCAGTTCTCCTCGCCGGGGTAGTTCGCCGTAAAGAGGCCATCGTGGACGCCATTGCGAATCTCATGCAAGCCAGCAGCGACCTTCTTCGTGAATCGCTCTTCGTTACAGACTTCGTCAACGAGCTCGTGGGAGCTAATGAACACTCGGGGTGTACCAAAGGTGGATAGTCGAAAGATCGGACCTATCGACACGATAGAAGAGCAATTGTCAGCGTTTTGACGTCATCATTATTATATTTAGGTAAATAATTCGCACCGTAGTTATCGGCCAGCAGCTCAAAGCTATTGACGGGGACATCGGGCTCGATGTCGTAGATGTTGCCGAGGAGGGGCACGCCCTTGGGGCCCGGGATGGGGACCTGTTTCGAGCTCATGGTGGGGAGTCTGCAATGTGGCAGAAAACCTGCCAGTGGATCGATAAGAGGATCCCGGTGCAAATGGGGTTATGATGGGGTTGAGAAAAGAAGAAGAGAAGAAGTAGAATTAAACTGAAGAGAGGTGGGATGTGTTAAAAACAGAGAAAATGCGAGCCTTTTCTCTCTTTTTTAGGACTATGCAACAGCATAAAACCGCAAATCTCGGGTTTGCTGAATGCCTCGGCTCCACACAACTCACAGCCTGTTTTTGCTCACGGCCAATCACTGCGTGGATAATCGTGAGCGATCGGCCAGCCCGAGGCATTGCAGTTTAAATATCGGACACGGAAACGGACACGGTGCAACCAGTCCCCGCCTTCATGACATCAGGACATGCAGGGAATAGTTCCTGAATTGGATAATACAGATCATATGGAAATATAGAAATAGGAGAATATCGAGGCATAATATATAATATCGCGACACGTATATATCAGTGGGGTAAAAAAAAAAGACCTCGACAATACCACAATGAACCAATGGATATCAAATATCAAAAGAATGATCATGAATCCGAGTATACTGGCATCCCAAGAACGTCCCAGATGACGACAGCCGCCACAACAGAAAATAAGAAGAGGAGCACAGAATAATTCGTGACAGTGGAATAAGACAACAAGAAGCAAGCGTGAGTGAAACCACCCAGGCTAGCTGACTTGCTGATAGCCCCGGTTCTTCCATTCGGTCTGTTTCCAATCATTCTGGTAGTTTTCGGCATCGGCGCGCTCGGTGGCATGGCGGGCATCGTCCAGGGCATATTCCAGACGGCCCTTGCGGCGCTGGCGCAAGAAAAAGATCACAAACGCGGCAATGCCCAGGATGCCGCCGGCTGCGGCGCCACAGTAGATGCCGATATGGGCGCCTTCACCTAATTCCTCCCATTTCTCTGACATAGACTTGGGAGGAGGCTTGTTGATCTCGGTCAGGGCGGTCGAGTTCCCACTAGAGTGTCATGTCAGCGACTAGTTCAGAAGGGAAATCAAAAGATATATGCCCACCCCTTGACATCGATGCTCTGCCAGCTTCCCGAATGGTCCGAGTACGTATACTCCTGGCCCGAGTGAAAGTCTTTTACACGCATCTTCTGGACGGTCATGGTGAAGGGGCCCTTGTCGTAATCGACCAAGCCACCGGCCCAGTCAATAGTGCCTTGCTTGGCACCCTTTCTGCCGGCGGGCCAGTTGCTGACCTTGACGCGGCAGGGGGTCTGCGGGTAGTTTTGGCCAAAGACGGTGTTGGGCTCGGAATAGTTGACGGTGCGCACGAGGTCGCCATCGATCCACCACTCAAGACGGTCCTTGTCCCAGTAGGTGGTGTAGTTGTGGAATTCGATATCAGCATTAGCCACGACGTGAGTACCGCCACGGCCGTACGTTGTGGTGTTGCCCTTGCCAAAGAAGTTGGACTGCACGGCGCTGGTGTTGTAACCGGCCCACTCCCAGTCGATCTCGTCGAGGTCGTCCGACTCGAGCACGACGCTGCTGATGACGCCGCCGCCGCGAGCCATCTTGACGTGCGTTTCGACGACGCCGAAGAAGATGTAGAAGTTAGACTGCAGCAGCGTAGACTCGCCCTCTTTGCTGAAGGTGAACTCAGCGCCGTCGTTGGTGTATTTGATGTCGCCGGTCTTCATGTTCCAGATCTTGTCGTTGAGCGTCGAGTTGAACTGCCAGGTGTGCTCGGTGCCGAGCGCGGCATCTGCGGGACATGACTTCTTGGTGGGATTGCAGTCGGTGAATGTCTGGGCGATGGCAGAGCTGGCCAGGGCCAGGATGGACAGAAGAAAGAAGAAGATCATCGTGACGGAAAGACTGTACTCAATACTCAAACCCTTAAATCAAACCCCGGTTAAACGAATGGCTGGTCTACGAAAAGTAGACAATGGAAAGAACGGGAGGACACGATATTAAGACTCGGAAAGTAAACGAATGGACATGCAATGAATTGCACGAGAAAGATTGGAAGGTGGGAAACTGCCCACCAGCAGGATCCGGAGGGGTTGGGGAATGATGAGGGTGAAGTTGAAGGGGAAAGCATCGAGAAGAACGGGGGGATAACCCGGGGCACAGTATTATCACAGTATCACAGTATCACAGTATTATGGTATTATTATTTGTGTAAGGGGAACACTGCAGGAAATGAGGTTTGCCACAACTTGCTTAACTATACCCGGCCTAGCGGGTGGGCTAACTCCTTAGGGCGCCTCGGAGCCCCCCGTGCCTGGCCCTAAACTTGTTTAGTTGATAGTGTTGATAGCTAGATACCTAGGTATCATTAATAGCATTAATAGCATTAATAGCATTAAAAGCATTACAAGCGGGACTGATGGGACTCCCAGTCTCCATAGCTCCCGGTATCTGCCTAATCACAGGTTATACATTATCGACCATGATCTCTCTCTGGGAATCCCCAGGAAGAATGACAGTCTAGCCAAAGGATTCAAACTAGTGGCGTAGTTCAGATCTAGGCCAGGCTGAGTGATCCCTGCGAATATCCCCGTGGACTGTGGACTGTGGACGTGGGACTGTGGGATAGTGGGTTCATAGATCGGCTCGAGTTTACCCCTGAAACCAGTCTATTTTCGACTCTGCAGACTTTTCAGACTTGCTCTAAAAAGGAGGTAAAAAGGAGATCACAAATCAACCAAGAATAACAAGAAAATAAAAACAGAATAGTCAGCGTGGGCCTTTTCCGCCAAACATGGCCAATCAAACCTCCCAAAAGCCAAGCCCAGTGGAGTGCAATCCTTGTTTCTGTGGATATTGGCATCCCTACTTCTGGGGCACTATCTCAGGTGGATTTTATTTCCTTATTTCACTTATTTGAGTGATGTTATTTGTATAATTTCTTGCTAAGTCAGTGCCATGCTCCATTGGATATTTTTTTTTTCTATATATACACAAGAAATGGCTCGCGTAATTCCAGTTGTGGCAGACTACTTTGATTGCAAATTGACTAAATCCAGTTCTGATCGATCGGGCGCCACTTGCTGGTCCAGGCCCAGTGCCACTTTCTTACTATCGAAGTATGCCAGGTGGATCTTCAGGAACTGGCACTGTGACCAGAATAAATATGTATGCAAGACAATAATTACTGGTTATTCACAAACAGCACATCACAATCAAAACCATATACATCAACCCATAGCGTGGTCATCAAGTCATCACACATACCCATAACCGGGGCCCCCTTTCCCTAGATAAGCTAGGCAAAAGCAAGGAAAAAGGAAAAAGAAAAAGAAAGATACGCCCTGTCCAGTCCCCTTATAAACATTTCATCCAATTATTCATAATGCCCGAGTTCCAAGTCATATCAAATCATCTCCAGTCGTCAAGTCATATACACCCTAGCCGGTCGCCGCACATCCTCCCGATATCGCCGCGTGCCACTGCCGGGCTTCTCATAGTCGACATACGACGAACGGCGCCGTTTTTTGCGCCCGCGCGACCGCGTAATAGGAGGCCGGTAGCCGGGATCCGGCTCGCCGCCGCCACTCCACGCACCGGGCAGCCGGAAGATCCGCCAGAGCCAGAGCACCAGCAGCGTGCCGGCAATCGAGCCGATGACGATGCCGGCGATTCCGCCCCCGGAGATTGTGCTGGGGCAGCCGGACTGGCGGGGGACCAGCCTTGAATCAATGGGGGCCTAAATCAGGGAAATATGTGATTAGCGATTGTAGAGGACACGAAAGAAATCGAGAGAAAGGAATTGGAGACTGGAACCGTGGTTGGGCATTCGGCCCGTTCAGGGTTCAAGGGTGAGCCATGGATATTTCCATGGATGTACAGTATATGGATGTTTATCTCGGTATGTACTTACCATGACAACGGTCCCCCCGCAAGAGAAGCGATTGGGTCTTTTTGATTGTTCTCGAGTCCTCGCAAGTCCTCTTGGCAGAGACAAAATGGCCTGCAGAACAGTGGGTCTGCAGCACAAGAGAGAATGATCTCCTGCAAAAGCGGAATGAATTAGAGCAGCACACCAAAACCAAGGACAGCGAGTAGAGAGAGAGAGAGAGAGAGAGAGAGAGAGAGAGAGAGAGAGAGAGAGAAGAAGAAGAAGAAGAACCCCTCATTCTAATAAGCAACAGGGGGATGTTCACGCCCGCTGAAAACCCCAACCTCCCGCACTGACGTCAAGCGAACGTCTCCTTGGCAACTCAGAGCAGCAACGATCGCCCACAAATCCCCCGAAAATATGGGCGCGGCTCAGCCAGACAGGCCTGGTCATTGGCTGATGTTTCATCGGTTGTGAGGTTTCTCGGGGCCGACTCGATAATTGGGGCGAAGGGGGGCCCTCGGTGCATGTAGATGTGTGTGGGCTTCCAGCAGGACAAAGATTAAACCTACATTGCTCTGCGCTTATGCACGCCACGCAGAAATACACATTGGCCAATTGGCCATCTGATAACAGCTGAACATAGCGAAATTGATTGAAAATATCCGTATACTCCCAACCCCATGATATCGTCAAAAAGCTCTCGCAGGACCCGTTCTTCCAAACAACTATGCTGCAGAAATCCAAAAACGCGCATGTAGCATCCGTCATCACCGCGCAATATAATCGCGATTCTCGATGGTGACGCTCTTGGTCATATGGTTGACCTTGTAAACGCCGACCAGTCGGGAGGCGAGCTCGAACTATCCCCAAAATCAGCTTGTGCTCCCTCAACAAGACAACTGAACGAATACGTACCATGTTGTTTCTCAGAGAAATGACAATGAACTGAGCGTTCTTCGTTCGCTCCTTGATGTAGGAGGCCACGATAGAGACCTGGGAAAAATCGCATGAGTACGGATCTTGATCCCGTCAGTAGGGGAAAAACTCACGTTTCGGAAGTCTAACGCGGCATCGATCTCGTCCATTACATAGAGCGGAGTAGGCTTGTAGTGATGCAGAGCAAACACCAGCGCCAAACTCGACAACGTCTTCTCACCACCAGACAGATTGCCAATGTTCTTCCAGCTCTTCTTTGGAGGCATGACCGAGAACAGGATGCCTTCCGAGAAGGGGTCCAACGAGTCCACCAGTTCCAACTCAGCATTACCGCCCATGGTAATCATCTGGTACATTTCCTTGAGACGTAGAGAAATGATGCCGAATCCTTCCATGAACCCATTCAGTCGAGAAGATCGGAGTCCGTCCAGGCGCGCCTTGGCACTGTCTCGCGAGATCAGAGCAGTGGCCAGGTCGGCGGAACGCGATTCATGCTCGGCTGTCCGGCGGCGGTATTCTTCAATAACCGAAAGATCCACCGAGGCATTTTGGACCTTCTCCTCTAATGCCGCAATGACAGCCTTCAAAGATTCCTTGTTCATCGCATCCAGCTCGTCCTTGGTGTACATTTGGAGCTCCGTGGCCTCCTGCTCTTCACCCAGGTCGGAAACGTTCTGTAGAGACAGCTTGGAAAGCTTCTCCTCCCAGTATCGGCTGCGCTTCTGGTTCTCAGCCAATGCCTTCTGGTTCTCGTCGAGCTTGTTCCGCATGTCGATCTCAGTGGCGCGTGTCTCATTCAACTCGGCCACCTTCTCGTCAAGCTCGTCCTTCAGAGCCTTCAGCTCGCCCTTCTTCGTCTCCAAGGCCTGGGAAAGGTTAGCATCCAATCCAGATCTTTCAAACATGTCGAGTCACCTACCTCCTGGGCTTCATCTGCCTTCTGTCTCCAGCCGGAGGCATCATTGGCCTGGTTCGCCACGTCCTCCTCCAACTTCTCCAAGTCCTCCGTGATTTGCCCAATCTCTTGCTCAGACCCATCCCGGGCCTTTTGGTGCTTGCTGATGAGCTTCTCGTTCTTGGACTTTTGAACTTCAGCATTGGAGATCTCCTCGGCCAGCATGCTGATTTGCTCCTTCAAGCCATCGACCTTGGCCTTTTGTCCACGGAGCCGAACACCACCGACCTCCATGATCTTGCTCTGCAACGTCTGGATCTCTTCCTCAATCCCACTCTTTTCGCTGTTGAGCTTTTCGATCTCCTTCTGCGCGGTGCCGATTTGCTTTTCGAGAGCAGCGACCTGGTGCTCATCAGACTGGGATGGCTTGTGCTCCGCGCCCAGTTCCTTGACCCGTCGCTGGGCATCCGCAAGACTGCGATTGGCACTGTCGATCTCGATCATGATCTTTTGTATCTTGGTCTCCACGCGAGGAATTTCCTCGGACTTCTCCCCTCATCATGGCCTCGACATGACGCTGCTTCTCTTGGAAGGCCTGGAACTTTCTTTCCAAATCCTCGAGGTCCGATTCCAGTCGGGTTACTTGCTCCTTACTCGTATCTGCGACTTGCTTCGACGACATACCGCCCCGTGCAACACGGGTTCCACCACCGCTCATGGTTCCTGACACGTCAATCAACTGTCCATCCAACGTGACTACTCGCCATCGTCGAGCACCGTAAGCAATGCGGTTTGCTTGCTCCAGATCTTTTGCAACCAGGGTGTTCTGCATCACGCTGTAGAAAGCAGGTGCAAACTTGGGGTCCTTGGGTTTGACGAGATCAAAGAGACGGGGAACACTCTCAGGGGTGTAGATGGTCGACATGTCACGGCGAGGGAGGCGATCGAGGAGAATGAAGTTGGCTCGGCCGAGGTTGTTCTTCCGCAGATAGTCGATACATTGTTGACCGACTTCCACAGTTTCCACAACCATATTGTCAAGGGCGGGACAAGCCGTAGAGATCGCGACATCGTATTTCTCATCAATCGTACCCAGGTTACCAAGTCGGCCATGGAAGCCATCAATACGACCCGACTCCTTGAGCCGCATCAATCCAGTCAAGACGCTACCGCGATTCTGCGTGCTTGCCAGGCTGACTCGGGCTTCGTCGGCCTTCTGCCGAGCGCTGGAGACGTGCGATCGAACTTCAGGCTCACGGCCGGCATACTTCTTCAGATCACCCTGGAGCTTCTCGACCTCGGCTTCCAGGGTCTCCTTCTGGGCCTGTCGCTCCTCAAGATCGGTTTGCTTGCTTTGCAAAGTTTCTTCAATCGTAGCGATCTTGCCTTGGGCCTCTTCGAGAAGGACAGCACCCGCATTGCCACGCTCACGCAGAATGTCCAGCTCACTCTGGGCAACGGCAACGGCAGACTGCTTCTGGTTGATTTTCTCATTCCACGGCTCCAGGGATTTTTGCTTGGCAGCGATCTGATCAGAGAGGCCTTGAGTCTTGCCCTTGAGGCCATCGCGAATGGAGTTCAACTCTTCCTCCTCCGACTTCATCTCTTGTTCAAGCTGAGCCGTCTCGTTGGTCTTTTTGTCGATGTCGTAGGTGAACTTTTCAACCAGGCTCTGGCACTCCGACGCAGCAAGGCGGCTTGTTTGCATTGTCTTGTCCAGCTTCTTCTGTTTGCCAATGAGGAACTTTTTCTTTTCCTCAAACTTGACACCCTCCTTGTCGTACTTGGCCATTTCCTTCAGAAGGCTCTGGGTCTCTTTCTCCATGGTCTCGTATTGCCGAAGGCCACGTTTGTAGGCCCTTTCAAGCTCCTTGATTCCCGATTCATTTCCTTCATGCTTCTCCAGCTCCAAGTTGAGCAGCTCCTGCATCTGGAGAATGGCTTCCTCGGTGACACGAACGTTGTCAGCGCACTCGTCAATGTAGATCTGATAGAGCGCAGACTGCTTCTGAGAAAGTTCGTTCTCGTCCCGAATATATGCCACAGCCTTGTTCTTCTTGTCCTCCAGTGCAGTCTTCTCTTTCTCCACATGTTGAACGCGATTGTTCTTCTCCATGCAGACGTCGTTCAAGGTTTCTAACTCAGTCGCCGCCTCATCGATAGGCGTCTTGTACTTGGATGTACCGATGATATCTTCGAGATATTCCAGAAGACCCTCGTCATGCTCGTTGGTGGCTTTTGCCTTCATCTGTGCGATCGATTCGACTTCACCTTGCAGGATCAGGAATCGCTTGTGGTCGAGGTCGATACCACGATCGCGGAGGAAAGACGTCACAGCAGTGAAGTTTGTTTCCCTCTTGTTCATGTAGTACTTGCTGGTATTGTTCCTGAATGCTCTTCGCGAAACAATCAGTTGGGAATCTGGAACGAGTTCAGGGCCACCTTCAGGCGTGTCAAGAACTTGTTGGAAGTGAACCTCGACTTCACAAAACGGGAGGTCCGGGTACTGGGCAGAGTTGTGGATCAGGGCCGAAATCTTGCCCTGTCGCATTTTGCTGGCGCGGAAGCCGAACACGAAAAGCAACGAATCGATGACATTAGACTTGCCCGATCCGTTCGGTCCGACCACGGACGAAAACGAGGCATGGAATGGTCCAACGACCTGTTGCCCGGCGTAACTCTTGAAGTTTGTCAGAATCAGATTTTCAATGATCAATCGGGGCTTGGGTGCCGCAGGCTCCTCGGGCGCGGATGGAGCCAGGGTTCGGGACTTCATCACAATGTCCATGGGCTTTTCCAAGACTGTCGAGTTCGGGTTGATGATCGAAATCTGCGATTTGGGCTCTTCCGATTGTTTCGAGGGCGACTGGTTGACGGCCGACTCGGTGATATCGGCTAGAGGGGGCACACTTTCCCGCTGTGCCCGCGCTTGAGGCTCTGGTGACGCGGACGGCTCTGGAGTGGGGAGTGAGCCCTTTGCTGGCTTGGGCGTGATTGAGCCACGGCTCTTGCGGGGATGAGCCATACTTTTTCTTTTCAAAGCTGCCTTATGGGAAGGAGAGTCGGGATCGGCCTCTATGGATGCGATGCTAGCGCCCTCGTCGTTCTCGTCGTTCCCCTCATTTTCTTCATTTTCAGTCGTGTCCACTTGCGAAACGTCCGACTCGTCCGCGGTTGACTGACGGTATTTGCGCGCTGGTCGGGCCGTAGACGGTGTCGCAGGCTCAAGAGTTGTTCGCCTGCTGGAGTTTCGCTTCGCCTTTTTGGGCACGGGGGTATAATCCTCCTGCTCGGTTTCTTCTTCATTGTCTTGGGTAGAGGGTGTAGGTGTCACATTTCCGGGGTCCTCCGATTCAGAAGTATCCTCAACGACATAGCTCCTGCGAGGAGCTGAGCGGCGCGAGGGCCGGCCCTTTGCGAGTGAAGCCATGGGGTGATGAATCAGGAGGGCGCCAGCTTCATCAGCGCGGGGAAATGATGGATGATGGGATTGTTTTCGCCGTCGAAAGTGGGTTGTTTACCTTCCGCCCGAAAGGGAAAGGCGCTGTGTTTCTGCCGCCACGTCTCACCGCCTGGTCCCCCGGTAAGTTGGGTAAGTTACATACAATAATTACGCCTCCGCGGAGCTGTGTTTGTGCCTCAACTTTGTCCAAGTCCAACTTCCTCGTTCCCGCACAATCGCTATGGCTTCGTGGGATGATTTCGATCAAATCTTCGCTTTCAATAAGAAGTACTCTTATGAGCCAAAAGTGGTCGATCAGATTCTCTCCAGTCGGCGTGCACTAGAGAACCAGCTCTTCGCTGACCGGCTGCTGGGACTGCTCGGCATCAAAGGAGGTATGCGACGATGAAGCTTGTGAAGCTTGGACAGTAGAGTTCCATCTACTGATCATGAAATCCTTTACAGTTTCCAAGGTTTACCCTCCCAAGACCAATGCCGACCTCCGATCTCTCGTGGACCACATTGTGTCCTCGGCCCTCGACGTCCATCACCAGCAGGCTTTGATCTACTACATTCTTAAGGACTGTCGCGGAGCTCCTGAAGCTGCGCCGCAGTTCGCGCGACTCTGTCACCTGCCGGAAAAGTATCGTCTCTTCATTGAAGGCCTCTGGAACTTGGACCGGCTCGAGTTCCGGGTTAGTGTGCATGATCTTTTGCTTTTGGAGGGGAAGTCTTTGCTAACCAGTATATGGCCCCAGCGAGCTGTCGAGTACTTGACCGAACCCTCTCTCATTCCTACTTTCCCCGACGAAATTCTCTACACCTTGACGCTTTCCAAACTCCCAAAACATGACGACAGTCTCGCAATCGCATACTACCTCACCGCAGCTCCCCCTCTTGCCAGCGAGAAGGTCCAGCGCGCCTTCTTTGAAACGCTGAGTCGGTCAAATGTGACCGAGGCTTTTTACTTTAGCCGCAAACATGACGAGTTTCACCGTCGTAGCTACTTCGAACAGCTAGTCGAATTTGTTCACAAGGCTCCATCTGGTCAAGCACGGAGCAGGCGGGCCATGGAACTTGTTGGCCTTCCCCTTGATGAGGATGAGGAGGAATGGTTCGAGAACGTGTTGCTTCACGGAAATGCAAGCACGCTCCCTGGAGCCAAGGACACCGTGATGATGCGACGTCTTGCGACTGGGCGACTCGCTGGACTCTCACCCGAGCTCGAGTCGTTGGGTGGAAAGAAGGTGGACGGGCTGAACTGGGACGATCTCCGGGAAAGCATGCGACACACCCAGACCATATACCCAGCCAGCGGTGGTATGTCAGAGTAGATCTTTGGCCAGCAAAAATTGGGTAACGGGAGTTGTGGGGTTTTGGTTAGCATGGTAGTTTTCAACGTGTTAGTCTTGACAATGTATCTTGTTGAGTTAGTTTATGCCGATGGAGGTTGCACGAGTATTTTAGTAGCAAGCGCAAGCTATGTAACTCGATCGTCAAGCCAGATCTCTATTTCAACAAAATCTTACTCAATCAGCCCTTATTCAGTCATCACTTGCTTCTTCAAATGCCCAACTCGAGGTATCCGGCTCCGCGCAGCTGCGATAAGCGATAAGATTAGCGCCGACGGCAAAAGTTCTTGCATTGTTTCCTCTCACGCGTTGCACCTCACGAACACTACAGTCTTCACCATTCAGTTTGCTTCTGAAACATTTATCAGGAGGGAGAAAACTCGAATTTATCTAGGGCAGTCAACTGTGCCGCCAGATTCCTGCTCCGCCGTGAGGGGTACTGAAGGGGGAGCAAACATCCGAGGATCCCATCTATGCGGTGACAGCAAAGATGGTCGTCTGTACATTCTTTCAGCAGGGTCGCTGCAAGTTTGGAGGTATGGAGTGACTCAACTAAGATCAGGAATTGTTGCTAATATACTGCTAGATCGCTGTAAAAATGAACATCCCGGCCGAGCAACCGCGGGCGCCTCAGGAAATCGATTTGGTGCCCTATCAGGGGGTTTGGAGGTGAGTAGGCAACGCCCAGCAGCCTTGAATACAAACCCCACGAGTCATCCTCAGACACTGTCTCTATATGATGAAAGTCTGTTGAGGCTTGAGCAAACACAAAACATACCCCCACCCCTCATCGCATCTTGTCTTTCTACCCATCCTTCTTTTTACCCTCACCCACTTTGAACTCCAAAGCCATGCCATATACGCGCCCCTTGAATCTTTCACGGCCCATTATGGGCCCACCTGAGCAACCTAACTCAAGGCTTCTTACAGGTCGTGTATCAGCTCCCAACCAGCAACCCACAGAGTAAGTGATGCCATCTGCAGGGAAGGCATCAGTGCACTGACTTAAAAGCAGCTATGGTGTGACTGCAAACGATATCAAGCTCGATTTGACTGCAGGCAAGGGCCTACCTGAGTGGATCTTCTCCTCATATGCGCCAACCCGCAATGTCCCGCGTCAACTCTTCGGTGGCCCCCAGCGCGAGCAGAGTATGGAAGAGATGCGCGTGCGTCACTATGAATTGGCAGCTGCTGGGAACATGAACCAGGCGGTTCAGGAGGCCCAGGCTTTGTGGGCAGAATCATTGAAGCAGATAGAGGTCTCACTAAATGATGTCAATGGCGCAGTGAAATACATCAATGATGGTGGCAATGAGCATCCTAATCGCATCGACATAACTGAGGGCAAGACAGACGCCGGTGCAGCTCAGGCACCTTCGGCATTCGGTCAGCCCACAGCTCTCGGCCAACCATCAGCACCCAGTCCTGCCCCCGGCGCCTTTGGCAGCACGCCTTCTGGCTTTGGGAAACCCGGGACAGTCGGCCAGCAAGCGGCATTCGGGCAGCCTTCTACACTCGCACAACCCACAGGCTTTGGGCAGCCATCTGCCTTCGGACAGCCATCTAATCTCGGTCAAGGAACCAGCTTCGGCCAGCCCTCGAGCCTGGGAGGACAGCCAGGATTTGGAAAGCCAGCCTTTGGACAGTCAGGCTTTTCTCAACCTGCCACCAGCCAGCCAGCCTTTGGCCAGACTGGCTTTGGTCAGCCTTCGGCTCCAGGGGCTGCGCCGTTCGGTGCCTCGGCTGGAGCGTCGCCATTCTCGCAAATCTCTCAGAACCAGCCTACAACTGGAGGATTCGGCCACCCTTCGGGGCAGCCTGGTCCTGGTCCATCCGCATTCGGTCAGCCCTCTCAGCAACCCGCCGCATCCTCAGGGTTCGGTCAGCCATCAGTTCCCAGTGCCTTCGGGCAGCCGTCCCAGGGGATATCGCCATTTGCACAGGCCCAGCAGCCGCAAGACCCCCAACCCACTCCGTTCGGTCAACCATCAACCGCACCCCCCCCTTTGGCGCCCCGGCTCAGCAACCATCCGCCCCTTCGGCCTTTGGTCAAGCCGCCGCTCCACAAGGTGTGCCGGTTGAGAAGCCCGCCGCCGGCCCGCGCGCCTTTATCAAGGTCGACGAATCCAAGGAACGCAACCCTATTCCGCAATTGCAGGGCGAAACCAGACGTGACCCCGCTAGCAAACGTCTCACCATGTGGAAAGGTCGCCCGGTGCAATACATCAATGATGCGCCGTGCTACCTTCATCCCCAAGACAACAAGACCTACATCCGCATCAACTTCCCCGATGGCCCACCTGACGAAGCCAGCCTGCGCGATTCACAAGGTAAGCCAGAAGAGTACACACCGGAGATCGTGGAAATGTACAAGTTCTTCCTTGAGAATGGATACTTCAAGGACGGCGTCATCCCGCCGGTGCCGCCGAAAAGGGAGTGGATCAGCTTCGACTTTTAAATTGAGCATCACGGATGTGGCTCCTATTTGTTTTCTGCATTTCCTGTTTTCTGAAGAAGCGACACAGGCTTGTGCGCAAGCTGAGATGGTGAATGGCGCTCTGGAGTCGGACGAGTCTTGCGTGTTCCTACCGGCTACGCAATCAATAGTATTTCCACGCGATTAAATTACCGAAATCTTGATTTACGAGTATAGTGTTTTTGTAAGATGTTTTCCATTTTTCATTTTTGGGTATCTCAGGTTATAGCGGGGATCTACCGCAAGCCCACAAGTGAGCGTCGCAGCGCCAGACCAGCAGCATGGCGACGTCGGCACGAGTCCAACGCTTATCTCGCGCATGAACAGATCCTAGTCCAGAAACCCTCCCTGATGGCAAGCCCGGGCCTAGCGAATTTAGGCGGCAATGGTGACCTCGACCTCAACACCAGCCTCGATGTTGATGATGATCTGCTTCACGGTCTCGGTGGGGGCAAGCAGGCTATGAGAAAAGGTGGATTGTTAGGGATTGGTTTCATTTGCAGAATTGAGCAATAGGAAAGTCGCAGTGACAGGGTAAACTCACTCTATGAGGCGCTTGTGGATGCGCATTTCATACTTGTCCCAGGTCTTCGAACCCTCACCGTTGGGGGTCTTGCGGGTCGAGATGTGCAGGGTCTTGGTGGGCAGACGGACGGGGCCCTTGACCTGCAGGGACTTGGAGCGGGCACGGTCGATCAGCTCCTGGCACACTTTCTCGAGCGAGGCGACCTTGCGCGAGGTGAGCGTGATACGGATCTTGTGGACCTTCTGTAAAGCGGCGGAAAAAGAGAAATGATTAGTTATGCGAATTCTCTCTCTCGGCAGTAGGGCTCATGACTTCGCATTAATTATGGACGAAGATAATTTCCATGCGAAACCATTCCACCGGCGCAATTGGGGTTCACGTACAGGGCCCTCGCCGAAATCCTTCTCGGGCTTCTGGAAAGACATCTTGAGTGATCGAGGCTAGTAGAGTTAGCGCGGCTCCAAGCAACACACAATGAATTTCGCAAGAGGAGCACGTACTGGTTAATAAGGCGAATTGCCAATCAAGACCTGAACTGCACGGTTCGGTAAGGTGATGATGGCCGTTGAGGTTGTGTGGGTAGCGAAGCGAAAAAAAGCGTCGGTGCGCTGCTCCGTTCGGCTATCTCGCGCTAGCCTTTTTTGGACATGATGAGTCATCATCTTCGCGGCTCCAGCAGGCGGATTCAACAACTACAATTCGGCCAAGCAGTGGGATTATTGGGGGAGAAGACTTTTCTGACATTGTCCTTGTGTGCTTTGGGTTCCATTTCTCACAAAATAACTCATCTGAGCCTTCCAACCCTCCCGCTGATGGCTGATTTTCCGCTGCTGGCTCCGGTACCCTCCCCCGCAGTGCGGAGGACGATCCCTTCCGATGACTGGGAGGCCTGTCTGGATGCATGGATGACACTTTTGGGAATTCGGCTGAATGCTTCTGATAAGCAATTTCAAGATACGGCGACTGAGGATTCCTCGACGGCTTCGTTTCTTGGATCTTTCTATCAATATGCCGCCGCGGGGGACTCGGGTCTCCAGGCAGGGCCTAAAGCGCGAAAGCTACGCAAACTCTGTTTTCTGACTGCTCGAAGGTACTTGCTAGGTCTATCTGATCCACCAGAAGGAATTTTGGACTGGAGATTCCTAGGTGATTTGTGTTGTTGTTATCCATCAAGCTCGGTACTGAAGAGCTCATTATCAACAGCTTGGGATCTGCACCATGAGAAGATTACTTCTAGCATAGAGAGGGCGAAGTCCCTTGTGATCAAGCATCTCTCTCTGAGCAGTGCAAAGCAAAGCCCTGACCTCATTTCGGACATCCGCCGCTTGACCATCCTGGCATCAGTGCTGCCAGCATGCGGCCAGGTGCTCATGGCAGGCTCGGATTTCTTGGACACCGTCTCAGACGCCTACCAGGCACAAAGGACCCGAGAAGAATTTTGTAGGATTCTGGTTGCCAACATATATGTCGGGCTTATATCATTGTTGAAAGAGCCTTCGGTCAACTTGTCTTTATTGCTGGACCAATTGTTCAGCTTGAAGGCGGCCGCGGGAGTCGGCACGCCCCAGATGAAGAAGCACCCGACGCTTCTTTCAGACCTCGTCTGCAGCTCAGACTTGCTTTTGCGGCTAGAGAAACATCTCAGTGGTCGCCCACAGAAGCGCGGGCAGGATCTCCTAGCCAGCCTGCGCGCGTACCAGATGGAATCAAAACCGCTACACCATCGGTATCAAAGACGAAGTAAAGTGGACAAGGGCAAAGGCCCGTCTTCGGGTGTTCTTGTTCCGGATGAGCTCCATGCGCACAAGATGTCGCTCGTGACGCAAGTCCAAGACCTCTTCCCTGACCTAGGTTCCGCCTTCGTGATACGGCTCCTGGATTTCTACCACGACGACCCTGAAGCCATTGTCGCCCACCTTCTGGACGATTCACTGCCTCCGGAACTGCAAAGCCTAGATCGATCAGAGCAGCTGCCGGCACAAGCAGAGCCCAGTCACAGCCGTCTGTCACCGCGACCAACACCACCCGCCATCCCCTCACCATCCTCAGAACCGATCCCAGCACGCAAAAACATATTCGACAAAGATGTCGACATCGCCGAGCTGAGCCGCTCAGGTGACGCACAAACGCAGGGCAAGCTGCGATTCGGCCGAGGTAATGCCGACCTGACAGCCGACGCGGTCCTGGCCGACCGGAGCAACCACGCTTCCAAGAAAGCAGCAATCCTGTCGGCGCTGGCCACGTTCGACTCGGACGATGACGAGCGCGACGACACATACGACATGGCAGATGTGGGCGGCACCGTGGACAGCGCCACAGCCGGCGCAGACGCCGACGCCGACGCCGATCTGCACAACCGGCGCACCGACCATCTCGACATGGCCCTGTTCCGCGCCTACAAGTCCAATCCAGCCAGTTTCGGCCGCGACGCCACCACCCGCCGCTCGCAGCCGCGCGCCGCTCTCAAACGTGAAACCGAGATGACCGACGAGGCCATCGAGGGCTGGGCTGTCATGTTGGCCCGCGACCCCAAGCGGCTCGCGAAACTTGAGGACCGGCTTGCCCTGGATGCCGGTGGCTCAGGTGCTGGGGCGCTGAACCAGCCGGATTTGGCTCCCACTTCTTATCGGAAACCGCGTCCCTCTGCGGAGGACGCGGACTCTGCAGACGAGGGCGACTCTTCCTCGCATGCCGCTCCGCGTGGAGGTCGAGGCCGCGGCGGTGGTATGGGACAGGGTGGTCGAGGGCGTGGCGGACGAGGAGGTGGTGGGCGAGGAGGTGGCCGTCCGCCACAGTCTGGCGATTCAGGACAGCAGAGCAGTGCGGCTGCGCGCCAGAGAAAGGAAGAGAACAAGTCGAGTCGGGCGAATCATAATCGCCGGCAACAGCGAGCTAAGAAGATCGCGCGGGGAGGAGGATTGCCCGTCTGAGCATCCTGGGCAGACTAGCTTCATCTGGAGCGTGGTGAAACTCCTCAGACTTTCACCATATTCATTTTCTTGTTGATAGAAATACTCGCATAGTCTTGAGTGATAGATACGTCAATTACAAAAGCATGCAAATGGCGTTCAAAAAGTTCTTTCAATTGTCATGTTGTCATTAATGGACCGAGATACACACAGAGTGCGGTATATAGCAGTCAGCGGTCATGGAATTGTATTTACACGGCAGGAAGAAATTCATTGTGAGATTTCCGAGGGAAAAAAAAGGCTCGATACATCCTTGACCATTCAGTGATGATGATCAGAGAAAACCCCGTGCTCCGCAATGGACTTGCGGCACTCTTCCAAGATGCGAACCTGCTTTGCCACATCACCGAGCCTGCTGATGACCTCCTTATTCCCGTCATAGAAAGTAAAGATGGCATAAGGGATGCCAGTTTCGCGACAGAAGTCCAGGATAAAATTCTGTGCACGACGCAGGTTGTGGCGCGGCATGCGTGGGTAGAGGTGGTGGATAGCCTGGAACTGCAGACCGCCGTGGAAGAAATCGAGCCAGGTCGGGCAATCGACGTCCATAGTGGTACGGAGCATCTTCTGCGGGAAGGATTCGTGGATGCCCAGGTCGGCGGTCGACATGGCGAAGTGAGACAGCGTGATCTGAACATGGAGTGGAGAGGTGACCATGTGGGAGACCAGAAGGAAAATAAACCGACTGTTCCAGTCCGGAATAGACTTGTACAGCACACCGTAGCCGAACCAGGTCCAGAAGAAAATCTGGCCGCCGACTTCAAGCCACAAGTGCCACCAGGCGGGTCCCTTCTTGGGGGCCTGGCCCTTCAGCAGGTATTCCCAGCTCAGGCGGTAGAGGTTGAAGCGGGCGAAGAGCATGATGGGGTAGTACAGGTAGTCCTGGAACTTGAGGGTGAACTTGGCCACGGCGTCGAATGTCATGATGCGCTCGTAGTAGGTGCTTCTCAGGCTCGTGAGAAAACGATGCGAGATGGCGAAGAAGGGCATGTGCTCAATGTCCGGGTCATGCTCCGGGGCGTTGGTCACGATGTGGTGCACATTGTGGTTTCGTTTCCACCACCCCAAGCTCAACCCCCCGAGATAGTCGGCAATAATGATCCCAATTACACTGTCGACATGGAAATTGTGCGTGATGCCCATGTGTCCGGCATCATGGGCCGTAAAAACAAGCTGGTGCCAGAAACACCCGAGCCAAAACGCCGATGTAGCCCACCAGCCCATGCGAAGAAAACCGTATGACAGCGTCGCAAATAGCGTGTATCGACAGCATTCGACAAAATAGGCAAAATAGTTGCAGTCGTAGAGCCCTTCCGCCTGTATGCGCTCGTTCAGCTTCCGGTATTTGTGCTTGATATCCTCCTGGCACGCGATGTCCAACGACGGGTACTTGGCGGTATCAAAAACGATTTGTTCCTGAGTTCGGGCATCCAAGAAGAAAGGCTTTGGCTGGAATTCTTGGTTCGGGGAGTCGAAGCCGCGGTATCGATGCCTGATGCGGAATTCCTTTGGCGGGCGTTGGATTTGACGTCGACGGCATCAAATATCGGGGATGGGGGTAGGGATCCCTCTTGGCTGGAACTCTCTTGACTTGTCAAATCCTCCTCGCTCGAACACGTCTCTTCAGTATAAGGGCGGAACTTGCCGCCCTGGATCGGGGGCAGGAAATTGATCCACGTTCCTTCAATCCGTCCGATCTGAAATGAGGGCATGCGTTGGCGGGCTTCCTGAGAGTGCAATCTAATAAAAAAGGTTAGATCCATATGCAAACTTATGAATGAGACCTATCACCGAAGACATACGCATTGATCTCATCTGTTGCATCCCTGCCCACCATGTGCTGGATTGACTTGTCCCCTCCGGGGTGGAATTTGATCCAGGCGTCCACTTTCAGGACTCGGCCTTCGAAAATAATGACATGTCTCCCCTCGGCAATGAGGCCTTCGATTTGTCGCCGACTCAGAACTGTGTCCCTTTGGGACGGTCGGGGTACGGCTTTAGACATTTGTTTCAGGTGCGATGAGAGGGTCGTCTCAGGATCCAAAGGAATGGAGAGAGAGTTCGGAGCGAGTTCACTGAAACATCGTTGAGGGCAGGTGCGGCCAGTATGGGGAGATTGGCGTTTGTATGGACTTCCAGACAGAGAAGTAAGGGGAAAAGAGAGAGGAATGAAATGAGCCAGGCAGAAACACAGCCGTGGAGGGTGGAGTCAACCGCGGGGATCGCCGCGCCCATGCTTGTCACCATTCCACGACACACCATGGACTCGCTTTCGCCGTTGGTCCAAACTTGGCTCCAGTGGGACCAGGTAAATCGATTCCTGATGCTGCAGTGGTCTGATCGTACTGACATTAGTATAGGATCCCACAACCCGTGCGGAAATAGTCCACCTACGGGATACCAATGCCCTCAATGAGTTGGAGCGGCGCCTGCGAAATCGTACGTGAATCCAACCCCGGAGAATTGTGGTCGGCCGATCTGATTTAAATAATAGGTATCGAGTTTGGCACCGCTGGTTTGCGCGGCCGCATGGCAGCCGGGTTTTCTTGTATGAACTCGTTGACGATCATCCAGGCATCGCAGGGACTGGCCAGGTTCATCCGAGATAAACGCCCAGAGATCGCTTCGCACGGGGTGGTTATTGGGCACGATGCTCGTCATAACTCGGCGCGGTTTGCCCGCCTCGCCGCCAACGCATTCATCGCCCAGCAAATTCCCGTTTGGTACTTTGATGAGCCATCGCCGACTCCGCTGGTCCCATTTGGCGTGAACCATTTCCATGCTGCTGCGGGAATCATGGTGACTGCGAGCCATGTATGTCGTAAATTTCCCTTGGAGGTGTCACTACGTTGACTTATAGCTACGAAGAACCCGCCTCAAGATAATGGTATATGGTCCTTTCCTAGTATTATGAGATGCTCGCTAACAGTTTCCTAGGTTACAAAGTGTAAGGATACTTGTACACTCTTGTTGGAGCGCGCTAACATGACATGCTTCATAGCTATTCCAGCAACGGCGCCCAAATCAATCGACCCGAAGACGGGGAGATAGCGCAGTCGATCCAAGAAAACCTAGAGCCCTGGTCAACCGCCTGGGAAGACCTGCAGTCCGGCGAATATTTGCATGCCAATTCATATCGAGAGCTTCTGCCACACTACCAATCTCAAGTCGCAAAGTTTACGGTCAGTCAGTACGCCTGGCTTCAAATAACAAGACTGACCCCCGCAATAGAAGTCAACTGTAGCGCAGTGGCAGCATCCCAGACCGTATGTATATACACCGCTTCATGGTGTCGGAGGCCTGGTCTTTCCCTCGCTCTGCCACTCATTGGAGATCGAAGACTTCACCTCTGTCCCCGCCCAAGAAAAGCCAGATCCCGAGTTTCCTACTGTGAAATTCCCCAATCCAGAAGAAGCTGGGGCTTTGGATCTAGCAGTTCAGGCAGCAGATCAGCAAGGAAAGACCTTGATCATTGCCAACGACCCAGATGCGGATCGATTCGCTGTGGCAGAAAAAGTCGAGTACGTTCTCACGCTCCACCTTTCAAAGGCTGTCATTGACATGGAATAAAGGGGAGAGTGGTTTCTGTTAACTGGAAACCATGTCGGCGTCCTTCTGGCGTCCCATCTCTTTGATTCCCTCGATCCCAGCGCAGACTGCTCCAGTAATGCGGTGCTGACCACGACTGTGTCAAGCGGCATGCTGGGCAAGATGGCAGCTGCCAAGGGTATTCACTATACAGAGACCCTAACGGGCTTCAAGTGGATGGCCAATGTTGCGCGAGAACTTGAAAAAAACGGGAAGACTGTCCCTTTTGCGTACGAGGAGGCTCTCGGGTACATGTTCTCCCCGGTTTGCTACGACAAGGATGGCATTACGGCTGCGGCTGTGTTTCTTGCAGCTGAGGCGAAATGGAGAGCACAGGGATTGACAGTCTTTGCCAAACTCCAGCAGCTGTTTACTGAGTTCGGCCACCACGAAACTTTGAACAACTACTTCCGCTCCCCGAGCCCCCAGCTCACCCTAGAACTGTTCCGTGGGATCAGGGGCGGTTCTTGTCTCGCCGAGAAACAGTTTGGCAGCTTCAAGGTCTTGCGGTGGAGAGACTTGACTGAGGGCTATGACTCTGGGACCCCGACCAACAAGCCCGACTTGCCCGAAGACCCGACCAGCCAAATGCTCACACTGTGGCTGGACGGCGGGGTGCGTTTTACCATCCGAGGCTCGGGAACTGAGCCAAAGGTCAAGTGTAAGTTCTTTGTTGCTGGTCCAGATTCCGGGCTAAAGAGAAAATCCACTGACCTCGTCGTAGTCTACATTGAGAGCTGCGGGGCATCCCGCGAAGACGCCATCAAGGCAGTTTGCGATACTTTCCTGACTATTTCGAAGGAATGGGTTCAGCGCTATACCCCGTCAATGTCCTGCAGTGACAGACTCCCTACTTCGTCGGGTCACGTTCTTGATGTTCAATGAGGAATGTTCATCTGGCCTAAGCTTACACCTCAGACCTGGGACCGTGCGATCTCAGCAAACACACCTCGCCCGACTCGCAGGCTTTGCTTTCAGGCACCAAGCAAACATTGCCTCGTGTAACTAGAAACTGCAGGTATTAGTCGAGAATCCATATTTTTCATGTTGAGAGGGATTCAAATTCATTTGTTGACGCAGGTCGAGTGGCCGTGATGATCGAGTTGGGGCAAACTGCATTCGACGTCGTACGAACATGCAAGCCTCGTGGAGTGGTTTTGAATGCTAGTCCCTCGATCCATATATTAGCCCCTCTACCCCCGAGATGTTTCCGGAGACCCAGAGGCTCATTATCACTTTTGCTCAAGCCCGAGACACAGTCCACATCCAAGATGCACTATCCATACACCCACTCACACCATGATCATGGACCAGAGTGTCATTCCAGTGCTTTGCCGTACACCCAGGATAGTATAAATCATCGACACGGTGACAGCTGCCGCTATCATCAGTCTCACAGACACAAACCGTATCCAGGTGAAGAATCAAAAATCTACTGCAGAGATCGAGGAGAAGAGAGAGCGAACCGACGACACCATCGTTTTGGTATGAGAGCCAAAGATGCGGATTGCTGTGCGCATCAAGGCACCTATGCCTACAATGAAAGTCCTTGTCGGTACGTTTTTAGTGTTCGAAAAACTCGAATAAATTCTGACGCAGCTTGTCATATATTGCTCAGGGCTCATGCTTCTTCGCATCGACCTCAATGCTTTCATCATCACGAGTCCCTTCCCCTGCACTGCCCATATTCTCGGCTGGAAACCTTCATCCCAGACGAAGACCTACATTGTAGCCGCCATCACCAGGACCAGGAACACGGCCCTTGTCATCACAGATTTCGACAGCCAAAATTCGCTACTCGGCAGAACGATCTGCACTACCATGCTCACTATCGCGAAACCCCGATTCTGGGTGGTTCTGGTGGTGCCGCTGTAAGACATTCAATCCATGACGATGGCCATGAATGGGGTGTTCCGAGTCACCACAGCACCCACAAGCCGTCCACCCCAAGATACCGGCAGCACGAGAGAGATGGGGGCACATGGGTTTGGGGTCCTCCTCTGCCTGGGGTTATGGTGCTTCCTCTAGCTCCAGGCCAAAATGCTGGTTGTGGGTGTGGAGGTGACTAAGGGCTGTGCTGCACTTCAGATCGTACAAGAGCCAGGTGTCTACCTATGATCATGCTACATGGAGTGGAATCTTTGCCCATTAATAGTCTGCTGGGCTTACTAGATACCTCTGTTTCTTGGAAGAAGGATTCATACTCAGAAGAACCAGTCACTTTGACCAAATTCTTGGTCTATTAACAGCTAAAATATATCTGTAGAAAAGAAATTATATCCGTCTGAACTATAGTGTCACGACCAATTTCTTGGAAGAAACGCCCTGCAGCTTCAACGCCGACTGAACGGCCTCCAAGCCGTGGCCCACAATTTCCGACTCGGGGGCATTGGTATATTTACCCTGTGCAAGAACCAGAGGGAGAAACTCCTTCCATATCATTGAGCCCACTTCACTTTGGATGTCATTCCCAAAGATCTTCTTGGACTGGACTCCATTCGGAGGCTCAATCAGAGGCATACAAGATGCGACAAACTTTTTACCCTCAGACTGGGACGTAATCTCGTAGCATGCTTCGAGAGACCCTTGGCCAACGGCAAGTGCACCAACAAAAGCCTTTCCTTTTAACACTGTAATGATATCCCGGACTGCAGTCTCGCTCTTGTAGTCGTACGCGTAAGTGGCACCAAGACTTTTGACAAAATCAAATCTGGTTGGCGATGCGGTAGTGATCACTTCATAGCCAGAGGCAGCCGCGAGTTGAATTGCATTGATCCCGACCCCAGTCGAGCCTCCCCATATAACAACAGTCTGACAGGCTGGTGTGGGCGATAGCGATGGAGGGTTGAGCCCAAGAAAATCCTCGAGATATAAACCACACGCAGCAGTGGAAAGACCCGTGGGTGTAACGACGGCCTTTTCAAATGTGAGGGTGTCGGGGATCGGTGCAACCAGGCCTTCATTGACGACCGTATACAGCTGGAAACCGCCGGTGGAAGCTGCCCTCTGGGAGACTGGTGAAGGGACACCCTGACCCAGGCCACAAACTCGATCACCGGCTTTGAACCGTGTCACGCCGGGTCCTATTTCAGCAACCTCGCCGGCAATGTCACTCCCCAGGATGTGAGGGAATGCCATCCAGGGGAACATCTTCGTGCCGAGTTGCTGCATTTTCCAATCCACTGGATTGATGGCTATGGCGCTGTTCTTGATGACCAATTGATGCTCAGCGGGGGCAATGTACTCGGCAGATTTGACTTCCAGAGGCTTTCCTGGGCCTACTAGGAATGCTGCGGTGTTGGAGGGCATCTTGGATGGGTTGGGGAGTAGAGTGGATTTGAAGATGGAAGGCTTTGCCACAAGACTTAGATTGAGTCGCGAAGGTAAAGGTCGATAATAGAAACTGTATGATAATTTAAATTGAGCTGACCACCCGTCAAACACACTCCTTTATACTCGTGGGATGCGTAAACAGAGAGCCGGGTTTTGGCGGGGTCCATCGGTGTTTGGCATCGATGTTGACATCGGCACTGCCCAAGCTCCGAGACCGACATCGACAATGACTCTTGATATTCGATAAATAGTGGAAATACAAAGAAATAAATGTAAATATTCACGGATCTATGTTTTCCTTAAGAAATATAGTGCAGAAAACCCGGTTCCCGTCACCCATCACATACTACTTGTGGAATTTATGCCAATTGCCCTCGTAGTCCTTGCTGAGAGGTTCAACATGAAAGAGTATTCTGGAATGGATCGGCTAATAATTGCCATTGCGCGTATATATCATTCTCTTCAGCTGAAAAATGATGTCAGAAAATATTTTGGAATGAAGTAGCCTTGGGGCCAGATGTATACCATAAAGTTCTAGCTGTAGTAAAATTCAACCAACTCCCTGCTCCTGCAATTCTGACAATCTATCTCGGTGTGGATTTTCACAATTATGGTCCAATCCAGTTTTCCATCCGGCGTCCTTGCTCCATCCAAGGCCATGTTCGTCCGGAGTTCCGAGGGCAACTTGAACCATATTAAAAAAAAGAGAGTATACGACGCGATGAAATCAATTCTTGACGCGATTCCCGCCGAGGATCTAGTTCTTCAAATTGACTTTTGTTTTGAGATAATAGCCCTGGAGTATGCGCGTGGCCGATTTCGTGGGTATGAGCAAGGTCCATTGGACGAGGCGTTCATTCGACCGTATCTCTCTTCGGCTCATGTAGGCCTTTTGGATAGACTCCACCGCATGTGTACATGGGTTCCAATTAGTGTTCCTATGCGTTTCCGTTTCTGCTATGGAGACCTGGGTCATCGACACTTTATCGAACCCGAAGACTTGAAAGTAGCGGTGGATTTTGCCAAAATATCTCTCAGGCCATCTGGCTATTAAACACCATCGCTTGGTTCCATATGTCTTTTCCTAAGGAAAGAAATGATATTGGTTGCTTCGAACCTTTGAAAAGACTGGATGTTGACCGAAGTGCCCTCTATCTTGGTCTGGTCCACGCCAACGATGAAGAGGGGACCCGGCGAAGGAGTCAAGCTGCCCAGTCTCTTGTCCCTGAATTTGGGGTGGCCACCGAGTGTGGAATGGGGAGAGCCTCTCCAGAAGAGCTTGAAAGCATTCTGCAGATTTCCAGGGACGTGACTAGCCCATTGAGTTTGCATCCTGAAGTCCGAAAACCCCCGGTCAGGCATAGTTTTTTCTTTCAAGAGATTGCGGTATTCTCTTAGGCGTGCTAGGCGCCAAATGAGAGGTTGGAGATTTTGATGGCCAGAAATGGTGACGCTTCCTGGATGTTTTTGGTTTTCAATACTCGCCACTTTTTTTATCGCCTCTCCATTCTTCTAGCAGGATCCACTTTTGCGTACCATAGCAGATAGCTTGCTTGACTTGATATTGGGATTGGTAGATTTAGCAGCCTTGTCAAAACGGAACCACTGCTAGTCATGTCATCAGTAACTAAGAACAGCAAGCTAACCTTGGAAGGCGACTCACATATACCCGGTGGCTCCAGTGAAAAGAATACTGTTCATAGACATGATTTGACTAGAAGAAGGCTGTTGAATTCTTGGATATGTAGGGAATGGGATAAAATTTCGATTAATCAATATGATGATACCAAACTATTATTCCCACCCTAAACGTTCTCTTCTATATTCTTTGGCATCCCTATACATCCTAGGCGGTACGGCAGGGATTCGGAGATACACGGGAGTTTGGAGATAGGTCGGAGATATGGAGATACGAGCTACAGCCTCGGTGGACACGGCAGAGGAATTCTGGGGGCAATTGATATTTAGCAAAGCCTTAGGAACATATGCCGAGGATATGAATCCCCAACATATTCAGTGACATCATATCCTTGACTTGACTGAGCCTGACCAGCTATACTTACTGCAGGGCTGGCGTCCATCCCGGATACACATGTGGTTCTAAGATCAATAGCAAAAATGCCTCATCGCTGGTGATGGGGCTTATACAGTGAGTGGGCAAAAGGCAGTGAGAAATTGAGGAAGTATGAAACACTACTTCCATGTCCCAGCGATTCCATCTTGAGTGGGCGTAAAACGACATGTAACAAGAACTATATATACAGTGACACAGACGACATTGATGAGATTAAATAGAATCGAACATTACCGACCACAGCTTCTTTCTGCACAAATAATACATAACGAAAGAACACAATACTTTTCTTTTGTGAGCACCCCGTGGGTTTTTGAGCCCAGACTGCAAAATACAGGCCTGTGTGCAGGTTGTTTCAAGTCAACAGACATAGGACCTGAAATAATCATGAACTGGGTCGGTGATGCCATTGCATAGAACCATGTTGCTGCCCCGTTGGCACCTGTTCCATCGTTTCATCCATTTTAACACTTCAACCACCATGACAGCATTAGACATCTGCTGTGACCAAGTTGCAAATCTAGGTCGGGACATCAAAACGGCCATAGTTCCCGCCCAAAGAGGCGCAGCTATTGTGAACGCTTGTATTAGTTATTTAATCGATTATATCTAAAATAGAGGACAAAACTTACCGACCGAGGTTCCAGTCGCGTCGGCTTTCATACCATATTTATCTAGCGTAGTGGCCGAAAGGCCACCGGCGCTAGCAGTTAGAAGAGGCCCACGCTGTGAAGTCGACCAGAAGTTTCCTTGGAAATCCACGTTTCCTATAACCGATATAGGATTCCCCCTAGCTGCGATGATAGCTGGGACAGTGTCGATGTTGATTCGTTGCTGGCCGTGCCAGAATTCTTGGGCGAAATTCCCAGAGGTAGTGACAAAGGGGACCCCAAGATATTGTAAGTGACTAATAAGTCCAGACATTTCTCTGGTGAATTCATCGTTTAGATTTTCTGGGAAAACACTCCCAATTGACATGACGACAATCGACCTTCTAGCGCGTCTCGCTCCTTTGGTTTGGATATCGTGCCAGGCTGCAAATACACCATGGGATGTCTCGGCCCGATTATATTCGCCAATCTTCACCGGTATTAGAATTGCTTCTTTAGCCGCTCCGAATTTGATTCCGAGGGCTTTTATTGCGACTTCCGTTCCGTGGGAATTAAGAGCGTCATCAACTTCAGGGTGCTCGCCTTTTTTTTTAGAAAGATCTGTCTGGATAGCGGGTCGTCGTCGGTTTCTTGGTAGCTCCTAATAACGTCAGTGGATTTCTTTACTTCTATTTTTAATAAACCAATACGGTACCCTTTGAATAGCATCTCGACCTTCAGTGTTGTGTGGGTGCATAAAGTCGGGGTGGGCAACGCCCTAAAGGCTATAATAAGCCACTGTTCATGTTTTGTCTTGGATGAAAGAAACTTACCCGGTCGATGACATAGATGTAGATCCCTTCACCCGCACTCTTTTCATAGATATAGTATATATAGTTGGATAAGGAGGGTGCATTTGGCGGGATGCTGATCTGGACTAGCTCAAGAGGTGCGTCTTTTTGAACCGAATACAGATCCTCCGGGGTGGCTCTTTTTTTAAGGGAAGATTGCACATTATTGTCGGGCTGGGTGGAGTCTTCCACCGGGGATTCTGCCTCCGGAATACCCTCATTGGCAGTGTCTTTGGGGACAATAGCCGGGTGGGCTATTGAAGTGGTTCGCTTGTCAATGCGCTGTACGGCAGCTGAATATGGGTCAAGGTACAGCCTTGGATCAGCGGCGTAGCATATTGCGAGGAGAAAAATGGAGTAAATTTTGAACCGCATATTGCACCAATTGTGTTAGAGAACCGAGGGAGGTGGTAGAACAAGATCACATGAAGCTCCCACGAGATGTAAGGGGAAATGGGATAGAGAAAGGCCTGATTGCCCATTGTAGTGTAAGGATTTTCTGATGCCAGATTAAAACTTTTCCCGCTCCGGTCTTCCTTACTTTTAGTATAAAGGATTTACAAAGGTGGTAGGTACAGTACTATATATAAATTTATGATACAAGGAGTTCGGGCACCGCCTACGTCGCATATTCAGAGAAAGAAAATATTCCGTGGCTAAACTAACTTCCTAGATAGGAAAAAGCTCAAGACTGCGCTAGCGCCGCTCCCCACTCCTTCAGTTAACCGTATTTAGACCTGGACGCTAACCCTCTCTATAACCCCTATTTTGATTTCGTTCTCTAGCTCTGTGATTTTCTTGGCTCACTCGATAAACGCGAGAAGCAAATATAAGAAAAGTACTTATAATATTACCTTTCCTAAGTAGAAATCAACAATATGTTTATATATATATATTATAATATAACCTCCTAGGGATCCATGATCGGTTTTAGTGCTACATACAGTATGATCGTTGAATAGGTTCAACCCCTATGTTTACATTATACTGGAAACTATAGATACAATTATTGTGTTATCAAAGGAGCAATATATTCAGATCAATGTCCACAAGCAAAACAAAGGTGGCCTTGAAGTAGCACGCCTGAATCCCTTGACAATAAGGTTCAGGTGCTATGAATGTCAACTATGGAGAATAGGGTATAGAGATAGTTTTGTAAGGAAACGGAAGCCACTAAATACAGGGGAAATTATTTTAAATGGATGACACACAGCTACTATATGGTTAATAAGAATGTAATCTTTCAAAAGACTGTATACCAATTATAGAGAAGGGGGCTATAGGGCCATAGTATTAGTAGTGTCCCGAGGCAAACTAGTGACGCTAAACCTAAAATGTGGAGCTTAGCCCTAATATCATAATTTTCACTGCGTTTCTCCATGATCCGATATGGTGTAGTGGCTAACATCGCCGTCTCTCACACGGCAGCCGGGGGGTTCGATTCCCCCTATCGGAGATGGAGATATATAGTTCTCAAGCTCATTCATGGTTTCGCTTTCTTTCTTTTTTTCCCTTTTCTTTTTTGCCTTGAAGCAGCAGGGTTAGATAGTAAGCAAGTCCTACTCTCCTTCGCTAAGTAATAATGGATTTTGGTAGTATTATTATATATAGATTTTAATATGAGTAGATAGTAACAGGCTAACTAGGGCAGAAAAGCAAGCAAGGCCTTTATAATCTGAATGAAGAAGCGTTTCCATATATTATATAGATAGACTAGATAAGTAAGTCTATTCAAGACAGCTCTTTTTTAATCCAAGTTTGGTTATATTACTGAATAGTTTATTTATTAAGTGAGTAAAATAAAGATAGGTAGAAGACAACCAGTTATAAGAAAGGATTTGAAGTATAAAAAGTAATATATACAAAAAGCAAAAAGTATTATTATGGGGTGAGCCGGGATTGAACCGGCGACCTCACGATAGGTGAACCAAAGTTAACTTCAGTCGTGCGCAATCTCCCAACTGTGCTACCACCCCGTTGGGTGAGAGCCTTGTCAAAAATTTCAAATCAGAAAACTAGACTCAGATAGAAAAATTGGGTCGCCACCTAGACCTAACCCTGTTGTCTACAACCCCACCGCTAACTGGCCAACGGCGAATGAAGCGGCAAGAGATCAAATATGAAAGCTAGCCCCCTCGGGGTCCGCGTTGTAATTTGCAGAGGATGTTTCGGGAGCGGCCCCCGTCTAAGTGCCCTGGAACGGGCCGTCATAGAGGATGAGAATCCCGTCTGGGACGGGGTGTCCGCGCCCATGTGAAGCCACAGCCCTAACACGAATAGCCGAGTCAGGCTAGTGCGTGCAAGAGACAGCGCATAAAGGGAACAAACAGGTTGGGTATATCGAGATATACTTTTTTTAGTATGATAGATAATATCTATAGGGTAACTCGCAAGTAACTCTTTATATAAATAATTAGTAGCCATAGCTATTGATAGCTAGGATAGAAAGAAGCTATAATCAGTAGAGGTAAGTAATAATAACCTGAGGAAAGAAGAACTAGAAATTAGTAGAAAGACTACTTATGATAAGATATAGACGAAAGCAAAATAGAAGGGCAAAAAATGGGGTGAGCCGGGATTGAACCGGCGACCTCACGATAGATGATAAACTGAAGTTCACTTCAGTCGTGCGCAATCTCCCAACTGTGCTACCACCCCATTGGATGAATAAGTTGACCCACCTAAACATCAAGAGGAAAAGGAAGTCATTTTGTAGTGTAATTGAGCTTAGATCTGTGAATATCGAAGGATCTTTGGATATAGTACCTATACCCCATTAATTAAATGGGCACCCTTATATCGGAGGGTGCAGATTCGGTAAAACAATACATTACTTGGTGCCGGATGTGAAAATTCGAAAGTCATAATAACCAATGCTCCTTGTCCTATCCACGGGTATCATCCGACCTCTCTCTATTCGCCTTGCTTCCTTTCTAATTGAACCTGGCATTCGTGTGGATCACCCTTGGTTGTCTACTGACTAAGAAGGCCTTTTTCGATTTCGACTTAGGTTCGACGCCTGTGAATGTCCCCGACGCTGCACGAGTTTCCTCGGTGCCACCTTCATAGCATCAAAGTTGACTTTCCCAAGAAATCTCCCTCGCACCGCGGGATCGTCTCTGGAGTCAAAATCCTCACTTGTAACCCTGTTCCAGAACTTCCACAGAATCAACTCCCCTCAACAACATGGACACTGAAGCATCATTTATAAAACAATACTTCTCACTCCCGGTTGCGCGACGCTAAAGCGGCGCTCACCCTATTCTCACCCGGGTAGCACCCACCCGACTATTAACTGTAGTTTAGCCACATATTATACGCGGTCAATTTCTAAGAAGCCTCGGATGTTAAACCAGCGATGGTTCTGACCCTTTGGGTGAGTGTGGGTGCGATGGGTGAGAAGTTTTCAGGCCAGGGTGATAGGGTGAGAACCACCGAATTCTCACCCGTTCTCACCCCTGTCATTTCACCATGGATGTTTAAATCGGCTCGCACGGCGTACTTCTGATCTGCCATTTTTCTTCTTCTCAGATGGAGGCCCAGACCCGATGAAGGTTCTAAAATGCTTCCTGAAGACATTCGAAAAGAGCTTGAGAAGATTACCGATACACCCGCGAGTATCAGGATCAGCGAGAGCAGGAGAATACCATATCCCATAAGGAGCTCGCCCCAGCTACACTCCAGAACTATGAGAAGAGTACTAAAAATTGGATGCTGTAAGAAAAAAGTTACCCCAGCATAATGATTAAATGAAACTTACCACTTGAGCAGATGGAGGCTTTCTCGGGGTGATGCGACCGATACCAACTTTCGCAAAGATCAGCCAATTCCAACGCCACAAGTTCTAAAATCGTTCGTCGAGTACTATGTTGCAACGAGAGAGAGAATACCCTCGCAGAGCTCCACATGTCAGAACTTCATCAAATTCACATCCCAATGGGAACGAGAAACTTCTTGTTCTATACGAAAGGAGGTTAAGGACGATGATCTGAATGTAAGTCAGGAGTATATTCTGCAGCTTACCCCATAGACCTAATTTACTCTGGCTAACACCTGAAAGTATATCAGGACTGAGTTGACAAGTAAATGGAAGCTTCCAACAAAGCCACGAGAGTGGTTTATAGTAACGGCCAAGGGGATGCTTCGAATCCGCTAACAATCATTGTGGTACATTTATACATGCGAGTAGACTTGAAATGAGAGTACATAATCAGCAAACTCAAGAAAGCAACTGGCCCCAATGCTAGAAATTTATTTTCCAAGGTTACTAACAGCCGGCATTTTGTGTGCCCACTGCACGTCCTGGGCTAGACAAGTATCGACGAGCCACCTAGCCAAAATACTTCTGTTAACACCCGAAGAAAAACCCGGGGCTCCTACCGGCCCAGCATAGGCCTCGCCTTGGTTCCGATCATCTGACCAGGCAGTTGCATCACTCGTACCAGACAGCCATCCCAGGCGGTATACCATCCACTCGACCGATGGATCATTGACAGATTCGAAGTATTCTTGGATGGCCAAAATACTATGGTAGCTGCTGTTTGCGATGATCCGGATAAGCCCGGCGATAAGGGCGCGCGAAATGGAAGTTCGGTCATCAGGACAATAAATAGCGGTTGTGCCGAGGGCCAAGAGACGGCGAACACCATATTGCTGCATTATAGGGACGATTGTTCGATAGTAGCCAGAGAAAGCATCCCGCGGTTGGCGATCGCCACTTGGTCCAAGTAGAGAAATAACCGCACGAGATTTAGCAATAGCTCGAGACAAGTCATCATGCTTGGTTAAATCGCCTTTGACAACCTATGAATAGAAGGTAAGAAACGGTTTTGGCATTCGGGCTTTCATGATTCACCTCAAGGAGTGCGTTATCAGATAGATCGTTGGGGATTTTGCTTGGATTGCGACAAAAAGCTAATGCAGGAATATTTCGATGCAGAAGCTCTCGTAGAACACAAATACCAGCGGGCCCAGTGGCACCGAGTACCATGACTTTATCACTACCCATCGATACTATCTGTGATCCTAGTCAGCCACAAGAACGTGTCTTAGGACTCGACAAGATTGGTATCGGAGGACGGTGAGAAACCTGCCCATACAGAAAGAGAAGCTGGATGGGTTGGTTCTATTAATATGCAAATTCCGTCGGATTATTAATTCCGCTTTGATATTTAGTTACGAGATGCTGGGTGAAATTGCATCCGATTCCGCATTGATTAATTTTTCCTTTGGATGCGGATGTATTTTGCATCCGTGTTTAACATTACTAATAAGTAGTTCTTTGTCTGAGAGGTGGTGACGTAGGTTTACAATTTTCAATAATTAACTAGGCTGATGATTACTTAGCGCCTAAATTTCCAAGCCTTTTTGGTTGGTAATCCGGGTAGATTTGAACACTAAACTAACTAGTGTAGTGAGGAGACACCCTCCCATATAGCGAGTTCACATTCTAGTAGGAGCTAGGCGTGATGACCCCGGGAGCTATAGGTGCGCCGGCTAGCTAGTCCTAGAATAGACCTTCAGACCTTATTTCGCTTCACTGCCCCGACCCCTACGCTTCGCCCCGGGGCTATCTCCTAGCACTACACTGCGTGTGGGTGGTGTTTTAGCCAACCGATTCGACCCGGACACCGCCGAGTGTGCTGCCTTCGTGCGTTCCCCGTTCACTAGTTACACGTGCCGTAACATGCTAATGCTAACCCCTCGGGCTATTAGCAGCCGTCTCCTAGATAGTTCTTCAATGAATGATCTCAATCCGGCCCTCCAACCTGATCAATTCATGTCATGATCAAATCTGACAACGGCATATATTACGTCATCTGATAAACGCGCGCGACTCGTCAGCATCATCGCTTCTATTGGGTTTTCCGTGACGCGCTTCAACTGGTAACCACATGAACTACCTCACCCCACCCCAACAGTGGCTTAGGCCTGAATACTGAGTGATCCTGAGAACTATTTGTACCACAACCTATTTCAGGTCCGAGGTACGTATCGCACGGTGGGAACATCAACGTCATGATTATCACCCGTCATAATAACATATTCTGCTGTCCTGTCAGCTTGTCTAAATGGACGTTCCTTCTGGTATTGAAAGAGGCTTGGCTCCTAAGAGCCAAATTAAGAAAAGAGTTAACAATGTAAGTTTCCAAACGGCAACCAACATCAAAACCTGACGTATGAAGGCGTGTCAGCAGTGTCAGATGAAAAAGAGGCGATGCGATGGGGACGTGCCAAGTTGCTCTACTTGTTTGAACCAAGGACTGCCTTGTGAATATTCGCAAGTTAGGAGACGGGGCAAGGGTAAAGCGTGAGTTGAACACGTTGAATACTTCCGGGACCCATGCTAAGTCTTCTAATAGGAGTGCATATGTGCAAACCCTTGAGGCAAAAATCGCAACAATGGAAAGTTTCCTCCGTCATTCGGGGGTCATGCAAGATCAAGTAAGTCCCATGCCATGGTACGCTTTTGGAGCATCGCTGAGACGGGATGGCCGCGAAGACACTCGGCCCGACGTCCACATTTGGGTCTCGTGGTGTACAATCTTTGGCACAGACGGACAGACGGTCCCGTACGTTCTGGACGCCTACCAATGAACTTTCTCCTGGTCAGATAGACGAGCAGAATTGTGAAACGTACATTTCGGGATCGAATGTGCCAACACCGAATCCCGCTATTGGAGCAAACAGTGAACTATCAAATGTGCTTCGAGAGAGGTTCTTTACGTTACTGCCAGGCGAAAACATTGTGAGACAACTTGGTGTCCAAATCTATCGCGGCCCATTCACCGGTGGTATATTTACGGAGCTCCCGCCAAAGGCCCATCTCCAATCACTTTTCGAAGTATCCTACGATGATATCAACTGCCTGTGGCCGTTATTCAATCCATCTATCTTGATATCGCTCCTGGACGAGCACTACGCAAGTGATGCTGCTTCAGCTGTCAATAGCTTTGCACGCTGGGGTCTACTGAACACTGCAACAGCTATTGCGATTCAGTCCAGGGCAGCCGAGGGTTCATATAGTGAGATGATAGATCTATCATGGCACTTCTTCAAAAATTCGTTCAGTGTGTTTCCAGCAATAGTCTCCCGGGGTTCAGATCTCCTGGCCCTGGAAGCTCTTCTTGCCATGGCCCTGTTCATGCAAGGATCAAGCGATTTACGGACAACATCACTTCTAATTTCTGAAGCTGCGAGGTTATCGTTAACACTTGGGTTTCATAAAAAGTCTTACTATTTGGGCATGGATCCAGTCATCGCTGAGCGCCAAAAGCGTGCGTTCTGGATTGCATATATTCTTGACAGAGACATGTCCATCAAAACCGGAATGCCATCCGTTTACAAGGACGATGATATCAGCCTTGAGTATACAAATTCGGATTCACTCGGCTGCCCTGGGGATATTATTTCCTCAGAAACCTGGTTGGAGGCAACTGTTTTTCGACTACGGACTGAGCTGGCCGTGATCGAATCCGACATCCAGAATCGGTTGTATTCTGAGAAGAGCAGCAAGCGCACTGCAAGCCAGCTTTTACAAGCAGTCGTGGAACTGGATTACCGGCTTGAAGATTGGAAGGAAAAGGTTCCTTTGAATATACAGCCGGGCCGCATTATTTGGTCGGCCGTCACTGCACGAAAGGAACCTATCATTCTATTACATTACGTTTACTACTGCGCTATGAGCGCAGTTCACAGTTTCGCGGCGCATCTCATGCCAGTTGACGATGTTTCCTTGCTTTCGCAATCCATTTCTTCAAGGATCATTCACACGAACATGGCCCAAGAATCCGTGCGACTGCTGCAGCATTTACCACCCCAGGCACCAGGATATCTCTGGTAGGTATATAACCCATGTGTTTGTAGCGATGCTAAGTATGTGGTTCGCAGGCAGATTTTGTTCTATCCTCTGTCTGCGTGCATTGCACTGGTTGCAATATTGCTTAAATACCCCACGGATGTGCGAGCACGATCCCACTTGAGACACATTGGTGATTTTGTCAAGTTTCTCAACAAGGTTCAACAACATAACGTACTTGACGTGGAGCGCATGCTGCATCTGTGTACTGAGTTTGAGAAACTTGTGGTCGATGCAACCACAATGGAGACAAATGTGCTCCAGTCAGCGGAATTTCCAACCACTGGTTGTTCAAATACCTGCTTAAATGCAAACGCTCAAGTAAGTAGAAGGACACATTTCTGAAGAAGAGGATATACGCTTACTCCACGACAGAGGCTTATATCACAGCAAGCGTTTTACGGCCATCATATGCATCTCGCGCAGGGCCTCATGGGTAACATGCCAGCCTTACAGGCTCTTGCTGCTAATGTCTTCTTCGATCTTCTTCCTGAACAAAAGGCGAACTCATCTACAGGGGTTCTTGCACCTGCTCTGCTCAATCCGGAAACCTACCAATTTGCCTTCACGCAAGGATTCAATAAGCACTGACTTGAACTGTTCCTTCTTCTATCAGGGTTAAAAATAGTGGAGCATCCAACGAGAAATGTGTACCCAAATATAGTTTAATATGATATATTGCACAAAACCTGGATTACCCTTGGGTAGGCCTTATCCAAAAGATGCCACCATTTTGGCTCAAGAACGAACATGTTCATATCAATATGTACTGCCTACATGTGGGAGATCTAATTAAAATTGAAGGGTCGTTTCCAAGTCAAAAATTTTGAAAAAAAAAAAAAGACTGATGTAGTCTAATTGGCCATATTACGGAGTACCACCTGTTTTAATAGGGCGTCGAATCTGACAATCGTTTTGTTTTGGGACCAGGATTTGGTCACTATCGTCATTTAGGGTATTGTACATGTAGCTTCTCTTCTTCTCTCCCACAGACCTTACAGACAGACAATTTGATTCTCTCTCTCTCTCTTCTGCTCCCTTCCTCAGAGTTCTGCTCTCCCCAGCTTCCCCTAGTGGTTCCTGAGAAAATCTCTATTGATTTTACAACCTCCCCCCTCGCACGTAATTTGACTGCAGTACGTTGTAAGTAGCTCTTCTTGCTTTGGTTGATGCCTCACTCACCCGCGTAGGACTTTTAGACGGTGGTTAACTATGAAGGACCATATAATATTTCCTTCCGGTTAGATGAAGTAGGGCTGAACGATCATATTTTCTTCCGTTTCTCGTATTTGATGCCGAACTTAGACCTGCCTAGCTTACCGAATTAACCTACCGCTCTTCTTGGGGGTCCAGGATCTCCTTATTGATACTCTTCATTAATAAGGCTTTACATGTGTCTCATTCCGTATCTATCGCTTTTGGCTTTTCAGGCGGGCCAAGTGGGGCGCGGGCTGTGGGTGCGAATTGAAAGGCCTGGAACGACGACTGGTGGGTAGAAGCTTATCGGATATTTTCCACCTAGGAAGTCTGAACGATCCCATTGGTCTTGATTGGACAAGAGTTGGCTCGGCAAGCATGGGCGAGAATGCCGTTTTTGGCCACTCTAATTCGACAAGACACGTAACACCATGCCATAGAAAGGAAGACATGCAGATTCAGTCCCACTATCGGGAAATCTGAAGCTACCAGATGACTAAACACGGACCATTACGTCAAACTGCATGTAATGCTTTGAAGTATATACAGTAGAGGCATGTATCGCTGTAAATCTTCATACTCGTCTTCATCTAGGAAGTGCCTAGGCTCCTGCAACCAAACATTGCCGAAAAAATGGAATGGCAGTGAGTCCTGATCGCTCTCCATGGTAGGGATGCCAAAGGCAGATGGTAGCAGGGAAACGGAACTGGTGAGCCGATGTCGAGGGCAAGTGAAGAGTTAGAGCGTGGAAAAGGACTCTGAAAGTGGGCGGAGGTCTGGCGAGGTCTAGCTACCTACCACAAACGGGACTCTGTCTTGGGACTGTCTAGAGATGCAGACGAATGGATACAGGGCCTTCTAGAGAGGATTTAGGCCACCTAAAAGCTTTGTTCGATAATAATAATACCAACGTATGTGTGGATGCTATATAAGCTTTTATAGCGAGCAGAATATTAGGATAAGCCCATAAATTACGATGACCGAAGAGGTTAGACTGAAGTTTTCGAACTAAAAGCTATGGACATATCCATAGACATTAAAACCACACTAGAGATAAATAATTTTTGTATTTACCTTAAAGAGGCATACATCGATATTCTAATTACCTTCCCATTATAGTAATAGGATATGCAATTAGGTTCCAAGATTGCCATCTGAATTTTTCTTATTATGACTTTCCTTATGACTGGGGTGGTAGCACAGTTGGGAGATTGCGCACGACTGAAGTGAACTTCAGTTTATCATCTATCGTGAGGTCGCCGGTTCAATCCCGGCTCACCCCATTTTTTGCTCAGATATCCAATATCTTCTTCTTATTGGCGGGGTCTTTCTACCCTTTATTTTTTGGTGGAAAAAAAGTTTTAAAAACTAAATATTAAGGTTAAATGAATATAGTAGATAGAATAAATACTGTTTTCTAAATATTGCATTAAAAAGCTTTGCTTTTATCTATTACTTGTAAGAAGGCTAGTTGCGACGGTAGGTAAGCTTTACGTGAACGTGAAATAGTATACAGTAGCCGTCCCCTCGAGTCGGACCCACAGCATTTTCAGCTGTTGGTCCTCCCTACCGATACGCAAATTCCCACTGATATATAAATTTTTCTTTTTATTCATCTTCTTTATTATATACTTAGTATATTAAAATTCGATAAAAATACCGAAAATCGCCTTAATTAGGCCTACGAAGTAGTAAAACGCGATAAAAAACCAAAAATCGCGTCGCTAGCGCGCGAATTCGACGTTTCCTATTATCGACTTCGCGTTAGAATTTATGGTTATTTACTAAGAATAGCCACTACTCCTACTAATAAAATACTTAACGATTCGTAAGAAAAAGTAATTATTCGCTAGATTCGATATCTTAACTCTCTATAAGTTTCGCTTATAATTAGTATAATTAAGGATTATACAAATCAAATTTTAAAACGGAATTCTACGAACAACGCGTTCTCTATACTACGCGTTTCGAAGAACTAGATATATCGCTTTATCGAACGCCTCCTACTAGACCTATAGCTAATAAAATAAAAACTAATCGAGAGAAGCCGTCTATAAATAGAGGATATTAGGTATTTAGTAGCTTAGTTCGATCGTCTAGAGCTATATATAGCTAAAACTAAGGCAAAAAATATCTATAACTTCGATAAAACTAGTTTCTAACTTAGTTAAGGTAAAACGTAAAAGGTCGTTATAGCTAACCTATAACGAGTATAACGAGGTAATCCTTCGATAAAGAAAGATGAATATCTTATATCTATCGAATATATCATTACTAACGGCTTCGTTCTCTCTCTTTATCTCGTTTTTCGCGGCGAATATTATCTTAAATAATAATATATAACGACTTCGCTCCTAGATAATTATTATATCGCTATAAGCCTAAAAGGATATATAAATAATAAAATTATATATAACTAACTTTAATAGTTTTAAATTTATACTACTTCTCGCGCGAAGGGTTAAAAACGGCTACTTTTAATAGATAATTACAGATCGTATTTAATATATAAATTTATCGATTTTTATTAATAATTTAATATTATTCCGATCTATTTTATCCCTTATACTACTTATTTTGCTTAGCCGCTCGATAGAATACCCTTTTAAGTATTAAAATACTATTTTCGAAGTCAAAATAGTGATCTTTCGAGATAGGGTAATAACGTAGATAATAAAGTAGATTTTCTTCGAGAATTACCCTAAATTCGATAGTAAGCTTTTACCTCTCGGATAATTCGAGATACTTTTAAGAATCGAGGTATTTACCCTTTTAATCCTTAGAAAGTCTTCGATAGACTCCTAAAATTAGACTTACTAATTATCAAAGATCTAGAGTCTTTCGATAATAAGAATATAACTCCTTTATCTCCCTCTAGTTTAACAAACTCGCCTTTTTTATTAATTTATTATATATAGCGAAATATTAATAAAGCGAAGGGTTAAATCGATAAGAGTCCGTAGCTAAATAATAGCTATCGACGTCGCCTTGATCGTCTATTCAAAACCTCTATCGAAGCTACTAAACTCGCCTTGTATTCGTAGTCGGTTCTCGCCTAATATCTTCGTTAAATTCAACCCAAAAAGATACCCAAAAATCGCAGACGAATCCCTATATTAGGATCTCTCTTAGTAAAAGATACGAATCATCGAATTACGGACCGTACGACGAAAGAGATATATTAGAATATTCGATAAGCGAGAAAACAGGCAGTTTCGTAGCCACCCTATATCCCACAACGAGATCAGAATAGGGAGATATTGGTATCAGAAGAAGGCGAATTGACTACTAAGGACCCTCCGCTATTTTTTTTTTGATTCAGTTAGTGAAATTGTTGAATAATTGATGAATAAAGAGAAAAATTTGCGTATCGGTGGGAATTTGCGTATCGGTGGGAATTTGCGTATCGGTAGGGAGGACCAACAGCTGAAAATGCTGTGGGTCCGACTCGAGGGGACGGCTAGCTCAAAAATATTATATACCTCGATGATATATACAATATCACCTACTTTATATCAGTGTCAATAAGAGGCTCCCCGTCTTGCATCAGCTTCGAGAATTTAATGGACTAAGATCAAAACTGATCCCAAATTCACAATTCCCTGGTGGCCAGAGGCAGCTTGGGTCCACTAGATATATATTGTTGCTCATTTTCGGTTTGTTCAAAGGAGATTTACATTCCCAAGTCAATAATCAGTTACCAGGGAGCAAGTTTGGACAAAAGAAACGATACATGAAATGCTACATGTTGGTTGCTAGCAAGGCTAGTCTAAATCAAAAAAGTAGTACACAGGTGGGGGATGAGGATATCGCAATCAGGTCTAGAAGTGGATAGGCTTGGAGTAGGTAGCCATGGCAGCCTCCTTGAAGGCCTCGGAGAGGGTCGGGTGGGCGTGACACGTCCGGGCAACGTCCTCGCTGGAGGCGCCGTACTCGACGGCCAGGGTGGCCTCAGCGATCATCTCGCCAGCGCCGGGGCCGATGATGTGGACACCGAGGATACGGTCAGTCTCGGCGTCAGAAATGAACTTGACCACACCCTCGGTGTCGAGGTTGGTCTTGGCACGGGAGTTGGCGCTGAAGGGGAACGAGCCGACGCGGTACTTGACGCCCGAAGCCTTGATCTCGGCCTCGTTCTGGCCAACCCAGGCGACCTCGGGGTGGGTGTACATGACACTGGGGATGGCGGCGTAGTTGACGTGACCGTAGCCCTTCTTGATGTACTCGATGGCGGCAACGGCCTCCTCCTCGGCCTTGTGGGCCAGCATGGGACCGAAGGTGCAGTCACCAACCACCCGGATGTGAGGCAGCTTGGTGCGGTACTCCTGGTCAATCACCAGGCGACCACGCTCATCCTTCTCGACACCAGCCTTCTCCAGGGCCAGGCCCTCGGTGTACGGCCGGCGGCCGATGGCGACCAGGACGACGTCCGCATCCAGGGTCTCCTCTTTGCCACCCTTGGCAGCCTCAACACCAAGGGAGACGGTGGCACCGCTGTCATCGCCCTTGGTGACCTTGGTGCCAGTCTTGAACTTGATGCCCTGCTTGCCCAGAATCTTCTGCGCCTGCTTGGCGATCTCGGCGTCCATACCGGGACCACCGATCTGGCCCAGGAACTCGACCACGGTCACTTCAGCACCCAGACGCGACCACACGGAAGCCTGTAATTAGAATAAACATGTCAACGCGGTTGTTCTTTTTTTTTTTCCCAAGTTAGGTAAGACCAAAAACAATCATACCATCTCCAGACCGATGATGCCACCACCGATGACGACCATCTTCTTCGGGACCTCGTTGAGCGCCAGAGCACCAGTGCTGGTGATGATGCGCTTCTCATCAATGTTCAGACCGGGGAAGGGAGTGGACTCGGAGCCAGTGGCAATGAGGATGTTCTTGCCGCGCAGGGTCTGCTCCCCACCGTCCAACAGGTCCACCTTGACGGTGTTGGCATCGACGAAGGAGCCAGCGCCTTTGACATAGTCGACACCGTTCTTCTTCAGCAGGAACTCCACACCCTTGGTCAGGCCCTCAACGGACTGGTCCTTGGCCTTCATCATCTGGGACAGGTTCAGCTTGACATCACCGACCTCGATACCGCGCTTTTTCGTGTCGTGGAGGATCTGGTGGTAGAGGTGGGAGTTGTTGAGCAGGGACTTGGACGGGATACAGCCGACGTTCAAGCAAGTGCCACCGAGAGCGCCACGCTTCTCGATACATGCGGTCTGCCAGGGTGCTCAATTAGTATTGGGCACCGTGAGGGCCGAAAATAGCCTAGATGGTCGAATATTTCCAATCAAAGTGACGGGGATCGCACCTTCAGACCCTCCTGACCAGCCTTGATGGCTGCGACGTAACCGGCGACACCACCGCCGATGATCACCAAATCGTGTTCCCCTGTTGCCCGAAATCAGCTCTCACGTCCGGGAAGCACAGGGATCCCTTCCGACCGGCCCGGAACGATGGGATCGTAGAGAACTCACCTGCATCAGAGGCGTAGCCACGTTTTGAGCGTCCAACGAAAAGCGTGGGCGTAGCAATGAAGTTCGAAGGGACAGCCTTCGGGCTGGCAGTGCGGAGGGCAGCCCGCGGAGAAGCCCTGGGCAGAATGGCGCGGAACATGACGGCACGGTAACAGAAAACGAACAATAGACAGTCAATCCTCCAAAGAAAGGGATTGGAGGGGAGAGGGTGCACAATTGGGGGGGGGCTTGAGGTATGGGAAAGAGAGGACTGAGCTTTTGCGGTATTTTGAGGTTTCGCCGTCGAGCCCTTAGTAAGCGACTCGGGTCGACTCGGTAGGCTTTGCCGGGCTGGCGATGCCGCGAGGCGATAAGGGTGGATGTATGGCTCTTCTGAGGGAGAAAATCGTAGAGACAAGAGCTCTGTCGCCTTAGAGATGAAATAGACACAGGGGAGATCCTTTTTGTATAGAACGGGGGATGGTCAAGGGAGAGACCGGGAAAAGCCCTCACTGTCTTTTCCGCCCGGAGAGCATTCCAACACTCGACACTTACCGCGAGAGGTCCCGGAGACTATTTCCCATGCCCGCGGACAATGTATGTTGGTTGAAACAACCTGTTAAAGGGCTTCGTTTGGACCCTCGCGGTTAGGCTCGGAGAATGAGCCATTGGTCTATTGGTCTGATATAGGTAAATGTTATTTGAATATCTTGCGAAGTGTATATTCAGCACTACTGCCCATGGATACAGTCTGACAAGAATCATTTATACGCCCAGATACATATAGGAGAAGAAACATGGGAAGAGAGGAGGACTCCGGGTGGAACTATATAAATGCACTTGGCATCGTATAGATCCCCAGTCTTTATTTGAATTGTCTGCAAGAGCCGGGCTCCTATCACCGGTACTTTCTTTCTTTAGTAGCAACAGAAACCCCATTAATTGAATGTCATTAATTGATGGTTTGATGAAGTAGAGGAAGCACCAGGATACCGAGCAGCTTCGCCTTGTCGGGCTCCGTGCCCGTCCCCCTGTGCCGCGCCCGAGTATCCACGTCGTCTTTTCAGAATATAAAGCCCGATGATGGCCTGTTCAAAGACTTCATTCCATTTAATTGCTATCGCTAATTATCACATTTGTTGCAAGCACTTTAATTTTTCTTGCTCATTATGCACCATCTGGCCAGCGCGATTTGCGAGGGATTTCAAGGCCGCCGGTCGATCTATAGTCTTACCAACGAGCGGAATGCAGCAATTCGCCGGTAAGAAACCCGCACATTCGAGTATCTAGAGGCGAGCTATCGCTGACCTTTTGTGCTTTAGTCTGGACATTGCTGCAATTTGCAGCACTATAGTCCCATGCTCGATGGACCTGTTGGCAAAACAGTGGGATATCCCTGCGGAGTGGAGCTTGAAGGCCCAACTGGTCTTTGGAAAGCCTACTGGTCCTCCCCGAGAGAAGACTTTTGAGCCGGTTGGCCAGAGACTTTTTGTTCATGGAAAGCAGACGAGAGAGAAGATTGAATGTCTTGGTATATCATTTGGAATATCATATTGGTGATGCCTTGAGTGAATCCATGTTCTTACTGCCCGACGAGAATTTAGATGTACAACCATGGAGAATTTCTGGGCCGGGAAATCGGCTAAATTAACAGCCCCAGAAAATACATACGGGGTATCCTCTAATTATCCGACAGGGTTTGACATGCCAGAGACTGTGGGGGAGAAGCTCATGGGCCGAGTCGGCCAACTTCCGATGTGCTCGCTAGCACCGAAGAGAAGTATAGTAGAAAAGCACAGGAGAGGCGGGAGAAGAAGAATATTCAGACACATACTCTCTAAAGATGGGTTCGAGAAAATCAGAATTACCAGACTGAAGGAATTTCCATCACAAAATGGCGGCTTGCCGAGCAGGAAAACCTGAAGATCTCCACATTGTCGAGTGGAGAAACTCGTTCTATTCACACTTTTACCCGGTTTACTCGGTGATAATGTCCCCCGCAGAACCCCCCAGTTTCTGTCGGATTGCCGATGTCAGGTCCAGCCGGCAACTTTGGAAATGCCCCTGTTGTGACAAATGCCGACTGGTGACTGACTGAAGAAGCAACCAGATTGTCGATCTCGTGGGGAAGTTTCCTGCGATTCGGACTCCCGCCGTGCTGGGACCTCGGGCGAATACTTTTAAAAGCTCAGTGGCCCCCTCGATGGTGCTGGTTTCGCGACTTTGATCTTCTACGCTTGCACCCCGGATTTACCCCGCAAGCATTGCTCTGCTCTTCTTCTATACACTGCCAGGACTCCCTCCTTTATAGTTCTTTTTCTTCATATCGCATGGTAATGCGCTTCTAGGGTTTCCACTTTCTTGAATATTGAGACTGGACAGCCCTCGCATGCAAGATGAGCGACAAGATCTCCTCGTGGAACGTCGTTCACAAACTGGAGAAGCGTCAGCTTCTCGTCGCTATCAACTGCGTGGCCGCACTATCCATTCTCTTCTTTGGATATGACCAAGGAATGATGTCGGGCGTCAACAACGCAAAAGACTATATCGACCTGATGAAGTTCGGCTACACTAAAGAGGAAGGCGGCGATGTGACCCCGGTGGTCACAAATTCCCTACTGCAGGGCGGTATCGTGTCGGTCTATTACCTGGGGACACTATGCGGCGGCCTGTTTGGGGGCTGGCTCGGCGATCGCATGGGCAGAATCAAGTCGATTGCGGCGGGGGCCGTTTGGGCCATCTTGGGAGCCAGTCTGCAGTGCTCGGCTCAGAACCACAATTGGATGATTTGCTGTAAGTGCAAAGACAAAAATGAAATGTGGGAAGTCTTGGGCTGACAGCTGCAGCGCGCTTCATCAACGGCATTGGAACCGGCATTCTGAACGCTATCGTGCCGGTTTGGGCCACCGAAACCGCCGAGCATACTTCGCGCGGTCAGTTCATTGCCATCGAATTCACGCTGAACATCTTTGGCGTGGTTCTTGCCTATTGGCTCGAGTTGTACGTGTCGTACTCTGTTTCTCTCTCCCCAATCACTTCATGTAGGCTAATATTGACCAGCGGTCTGTCGTTCATCGATGGTGGCGCGTCAGCCTTCCGGTGGAGATTCCCTATTGCTTTCCAGATTCTTTTCCTGCTGGTTCTATTTGCATCTGTCTGGTTCTTCCCCGAGTCTCCTCGCTGGTTGGTCAAGGTCGGCCGTGAGGAAGAGGCCCGGTATATCCTGCAGCGGCTGCGCGGGAGCAGCGCCGAGGACCGCGTGCGCGCGGAGGCGGAATTCCAGGATATCCAAAACATCGCTGAGATGGAGAAGACGGTGGTGCACGGCAACTCGTACCTGTCCATGCTCTTTGGGTACAAGTCCGGGGACTTGCATATTGGCCGGCGCGTGCAGTTGGTTGTCTGGCTCCAGATTATGCAGGAATGGGTTGGCATCGCTGGGGTGACGGTGTATGCGCCGACGATATTTAGCATTGCCGGGTTCGACTCTATCAAGAGTCAGTGGATCAGCGGGCTGAACAATGTTTTCTATATGGTGTGTCCCTTCCCCAACCCCCCTGCCTGAAAACTGCACGCTGCTTTAGATGCTGGAGAACAATATTAACTCCCCTGGTATAGTTTGCCACCCTTGTTTGTGTCTTCACCCTCGACCGCATCGGTCGCCGATGGACCCTATACTGGGGCTCGGTGGTTCAGGGTATCGCCATGTTCCTTGCAGGCAGTTTCTCCCGCCTCGCCATCAACGCCAAAGCCGATGGCAACATGAGCCAAGCGTCCTCGTATGGCGCAGCCGCAGCCGCAATGATCTTCATTTTCACCTCCACATTCGGCGCCACCTGGCTGACCGTGCCGTGGCTGTACCCAGCCGAGATCTTCCCGCTGGCCGTGCGCGCCCGGGGCAACGCCTGGGGTGTTGTGGGGTGGAGTATCGGCAACGGATGGCTGGTGAGTGAAGCTCTTCGTGTATTGAAACTGACTGAGAATGCTAATTTTTGTTGCTGATAGACACTCCTATGCCCCGTGATGTTCGGCTCTATCGGCGAAAAGACGCTTTATGTGTTCGCGGCCAGCAATGTCATCACCATTCCCATGGTCTGGGCTCTATATCCGGAGAGCAACCAGCGCACACTGGAGGACATGGATCTTTTGTTCGCCGCCAAGACGCCCTGGACGTGGGATGCCGAGAAGACTTTTGCGCAGCTCAAGGCTGAAAACCCCGGCATGATTCAGACTACCAGCCGCAAGGGTAGCGTCGTGGATCCTGAGACTGGAAAGGAAGTATCAGTGGATGCTATCGTGTCCAAGGTGGAAGACAATGCGGCGACCGAGCATGTAGATCGTGCATGAGATAGAGCAGCCTTAACCATCGAGAAAATAGTCACATATTGCATGTTTAGAAGTGCTTTTAGCAAGAGATGGAGAATTCAAGAGATCGGATGATGTCCTGTTTGGGTGATACTAGGACCACAACATGGTAAATGCTGTGATTGGCCACTTTGACAACAACCTCAGGCTTCGCTGATATTTCTTTGGATTTGGGGGGTTTCGTGTTTTTCCACCTGCCAAATCTCTCAATCTTCCATCAAGACAGTGTTGTAAGTCCAGAGTCCAGAGTCGCGAAGACGCGTCTCCCCGCGTCGCCAGATCGGCAACCAGCTAACCCAACATAGTCCACCTTGACTTCCACCAATCTGCCAGGAAGAGCTAAAAGACTCGACTGCATTCCAAAACGTACACAAGAAAAATCCCAAAAGAAGAGAGAAAGACAAGCAAATAAAACCAAAACAGCAACACATGGCGCACTCCGACATTACAGCGGCAGGGGCCAACAAGCAACCCGACGCTGCAAAGAGTACCAGCACCAGCAACACAACAACCACAACCCCAACCATAATCTCAAACCCTACACCCACCCCCTCAACCCCAAACCCAAAAATCCCTCCACCGCATCTCCCTCCACCCAACCCTCACCCCCTACCGCCGCCGCGTCTACCGCACCCTCCTCTCCGTGCCCGCCGGCCGCTGGACCACGTACGCGGCCATGGCCTCGTACCTGCACTCCAGCCCGCGGGCCGTGGGGAATGCGATGCGCACGAACCCGTTCGCGCCCGAGGTGCCGTGCCACCGCGTGCTGGCTGCTGACGGGTCGCTGGGCGGGTATAAGGGGCAGTGGCGGGTCAGCGCGCACCGCGGCAGCGGGTCTTTTTGCGATGAGAAGAGAATGCGGTTGGAGGAGGAGGGGGTTGTGTTTGACGAAGCTGGGAGGGCGACTGGGGGGTGTTTTGTTGAGTTTGGGGATTGGGCGGGGGGGAAGAAGTAGGTAGGATTGAGGATGGTTGCATGCATCCATGGATGTATCTTGCATTTCGAATGATTTGGTGTTTGAGGTTTTTGTATGTTTTGGGAGTTCCTCGGGATTCTGGATTTTGTGTTTTTGCTCTTCAGAGGGAAAATTGTTGGATATGCGGGTTTGTTTTGGTGTCTACAAAATGTCATGTCATGCCATGTCCATCATCCACCGAACACAAGCCTTGAGACTCGATTTCGAACCAAGCTGCCCCTCTGCAGGTCAGACTCACCAAAACCACGGCACACGAGATCAGGGGTAATCGAGTGCCTGGGCCAGTCCCAAACTTTTGGAAATGATGCCGTCTCCACGGCTGTCTTGCCTCCTGTCTATGGTCCAGGTGCGACGCACTGGGCCTGCTCCTCGGAGACAGATTGCGCCGACTGGATGGGCATATTTCATTTCCAACTGGCCATGCTGCCGCCTCAGCGGAGCTCTGGCTGCGAAGGACAGGAGACTCGATAGGGCTTGCCGCTGCCTATAAAGCAGTGCTGCTGCGGGGAGGAGCTTGCGCCCTGCGTTGCTAATAGGTTTCTAATTGCAGGCTGCGGTTCTGGTTGTCAGAGTCTGTCGTGATTATGAGGTCTGCTTTATTGCCTCTGCTGTGTCTGCTGAGCGGTTGGACAGCGGCAGCGGTCAGCACAGATCCTCTCGATCTTCGACTGCCACATCTGGCTGGTGAACTCGACTCTGCAACATCCATCAATGTTGGAGGGTCTAGCTCAGCGCAAAGCTCTTCAACTCCCTGCGAGGGGAACACTCCCCAGAACCGGCAGCAATGGTGCGAGCACGACATCCACACCGACTACACTACCACCATCCCCGACGGCGCGACGCGCGAGTTCTGGTTCGAGCTCGACCAAGGCATTCTATCCCCGGATGGTCGACCCAGATGGGTGCTGGCCATTAATGGGTCGATTCCGGGGCCGACCATTGAAGTGAATTGGGGCGACACGGTGATCATCCATCTGCGCAACAACCTGCCGGCATCAGTCTGCAACGGGACCAGCATGCACTTCCACGGGATTCGGCAGCTCTACACGAATCCCATGGACGGCGTGGTCTCTCTAACGCAATGCCCCATTGCCCCGGGTCACACCATGACCTACCGATGGAGAGCGACGCAGTATGGTACGACCTGGTACCATTCCCATATCGGGCTGCAGACGTGGGAAGGTGTGTTTGGGGGTATTATCATCCACGGGCCAGCTAGCGCCAACTATGACGAGGACAAGGGCGTTATATTGTTGAATGATTGGGATGCCCGCACCGTTGACGAACTCTGGGACACCGCGCAGCGGATCGGTGCTCCTACCGTCGACAGTGCGCTGATCAACGGCACCAATGTCTTTGGCGCCGACACAGACCATAACCAGACCGGATACCGCTTTAACACATCGTTCGCTTCTGGCAAGAAGCATCGCCTGCGTTTGGGTAATGCCGCCTGCGACACGCATTTCAAATTCAGCATCGACCACCATGCGCTCACCGTCATCGCGACGGATCTCGTGCCGATTAAGCCGTACACCACGAACGTCATCGACATTGCTATCGGTAGGCTTATCCTCCATTCCCGAGCACCCATCCAAAACCCTACCTCTGTAGTCTGCGTCGATCTGATGTGACGGCCGGCCACCGTGCCGTGCGGAACAGGACAGCGCTACGATGTCATCGTGCACGCCAACCAGGCCGCCACAGCCGAGAAGTTCTGGCTGCGCGCCGTGCCACAAACGGCATGCTCGCAGCACAGCAACGTCGACAACATCCGCGGCATCGTATCGTACGACGGCGCCTCGTCGGGGAACTTGCCCAACACAACCGCGCACGCAGCCCGCAACAGCTGCGACGATGAAGACGCCGTGCACCTCGTCCCGATCGTCTCGTCGCGGCTGCAGCTCCGCACTGACGAGGAATTCTTCTACAACGAAACACTGCCAGCAACGGCCAGCAAAGACGAGAACTCGTTCTACCGGTGGCATCTGAACGGCACGTCGATGCACCTGGACTGGGCCGATCCGATGTTAATGCAAATCAGCGACAGGGCACCAACATCGAGATCTTCCTTTCCTTCGTCATCGTCGACAACATTTGGCTCCGCATCCGTCTCCAACACAAGAAGCGCCGTAATCGCACTCCCACGCGCCCACGCCTGGGTGCTCATCATCATCGAGACAACCCTCGCAGTCCCCCACCCCATCCACCTGCACGGGCACGATTTTCTCGTCGTATCGCAAGGCACGGACCACTACCAGCCCCCCGCAGCAGCGCACGAGCTAGACCACGCCGCCAGCACCCTCCCCAAACGCGACACGGCCCTCCTCCCCGCGGCGGGTCATCTGGTCCTGGCATTCCGCACAGACAACCCGGGCGCATGGCTGCTGCACTGCCATATCGGGTGGCACCTGGAGCAAGGGTTTGCGCTGCAGTTTGTCGAGCGCGAGCCTGAGACCCGCGCACTGCTCGACGCCGACTGGGCCGACGAGGCTCGTGTTCTGCGCGAGACTTGTCGCGTGTGGACGCGGTACTGGACGGGTCAGACGATCTTGGAGACTGGGTCTGGAGTGTAAAAAACTGTATACACAAATGTAACGATAATCGTCATACTAGCAAGAAAACTTGTCTTGAAGACTCCACTCTCTTCCTCTCTTTCTCTTTTTCTTGGTCTTCTGTATGTACCGTATGATAGACCCACCTACCTATGCCAAGGTCTACTATGTGCAGTATCACTTTTGCTACAGTACTACCGACTGTTTCTCTGAGTAGGTGGGTTTCTAGACCTGAGTGGAGAGTCTCTTGGTGTTGCATGTCTACCTACCCATCCACCCCCCTGTACCTTAGTTGCAGTAGCGTGTAGGAAGATGGAGCTTACCCATCGGTGCCTCAACCATGGAATTCTAGAAAATCCTTGAACCCTTCGCAACCCATGGAAACGCATTCAGTTAGTATTTTTAGTAGTTAGGGTATGTGTGGTGGGTGGTGGGAAGGTGGTTAAACCTCATGTGGTATATAGCCAAGGCTTCACCAGTTAGGGCACGGCAGTAAATACGCCGGGGAAGAAAAAGGAAGACCAACACGTGAGTGAAAAAATCGGTGATCGACCGATCTCAGGATTCCCGTCCGAAGGATTGCAGTACCAAGGAACGAAGAGAGACAGGCACAGAGAGACAGCCAGAGACAAAAGTCAAGAGAGATAGAGAGTCAGTCAGAGAGAGTAGAAGGAGGCTGGGTAGGAAGGCCTTGGCGTCCCCTGGATCAGCCATGGTTTGGTCAGACGGAAGGATTCCTTTTTTTCCTTGTCTTTTTCACTTTTTATTTTTACTGTGGATATCTCTCGCAAATCTTAATATGAGGCATATATGTAAGTGTATTTTGTGATATCCAAGACCCAGTCACAATTCTTTTCATTCACTGTTTTCTGGCTTAGTGTGAGGGATATTCTGCACACTCCAGAATCCTTCCCCTACGGTGGATCTGGCGAGGTGTACACAAAGGCCCCCGATTCAGATTAGCGTATACACAGAAGAGGGTCAGTTCAGAATCTGTCGAGGGATTTTTCTTTTGCTTGATTTCATTTGTTCATTTCTCTCTTGAGGGATATATAGTTTGTTTGTATAAAAGTGGTCCGAGAATTCCACAAATGAGAAGCTCAACATCTTCAGGGTAGTAAGTACATCGTAATCATCACCTTCATAGAAAGGTAAAAAACCAAAAGAGATCCACCCATTCACCAAAGCCATAACCAAAACCAATTCCGTCTAGAAAGAGCACGCGGTCTAGTAGTCGTGTAGAACATCCCAAGTAAACAAACCAAAACAGAGAAAATCAGACACAGGGCAGAAAACAAAAGGAGCCCAGGTCTTCTATACAGGAAATAAAAAACAGACTGCGATCTATAGACATGAACCAGAGAAAAAAAAAGTATAAAAAAAAAAGCTAAAAAGTGGGGGCTCAAGAATGGTATATCAAAATGGGGCCGTCATTCGGAGGCAAAGAAGTCAAAAGTCATCAAATCGTAATAATGAAGGGGCAATTGTCTTGCCCTTGGCTTTTTCTTTTCCAGGTTGTGTTGAATTTTCGGGTGCAACCAGTTTATAGACCAGCGTCCTTGGCAGACCGCTTGAAGGCGCGACGCTTGGGCACGTCGAGGTGGTGGTAGGAGCGGAGATGCTCGACCAGGTGATCCTGGCGGGGAAGCCATTGCTGCCCTTGCGCGAGCAGTGCTCGACGGGGCAGTTGCGGAAGACCGGGTAGTGGACGCTGGACTGATGGCGCTTCAGGTCGGCGAAGCGAGTGAAGCTCTTGCCGCAGTTGTCGCAACCAAAGGGCTTAGCGGGTCTGGAGGGGACAGTATGTTAGCGAATGGTGTTGCGAGGCAATGCAATGCGACGCGACGCGACAAAACTTACTTGGAAGCAGGCGGCGGCGAATCCGGGCACGAGTCATAGTTGACGGGGCCGACGGGATACGTGGGCATGGGAACATCCTCGCAGGGCAGGTTCCAGCTGCTAGAGCTGGTGACGCTGCTGGCGCTGCTGGGGACGCTCTTGGGGATAGTGTCGTAGACGGGGAAGTCGGACACGGTGGGGTAGATGTAGGGCGAGCTCGTGAAGGAGTAGACCTCGGGCACGACCTCGGGCACGGAGAAGGGACTGGACGGGTCGAGGTCCATAGTGGAATCATAGACGGGCTGGGGCCCATAGAAGAAGAAGTCCATGCCGCCGGGCGAGGACGAGTATGAGGAATCAGAGTAGCTGAAGGGAGACTGCATTGTGCTAGAGAGGTAGTGTTCCCGAAGGATGGAAGTGGGAAGAGAGAGAAGAGCAGAGGAAGTTTTTTAAAGATGTTTTAGAATGGGAGAGAAAGAAGGAAGCACTGCAGACGAAACAGTGGAAACGAGGTCGAGTTTAAAGGATTCTTTTCGAGGGGGGGAAGATGGTCTACAATGAGAGAATAAGAGAAATACGACCAGACTCGTTGGCGCATCGTAAAACGCCGGCACGAATCCTTTGAGAGCTGATTATTCCTGGGAGAGCAATCTGCAATGCAGATGTTTTTGGGGGCGACGATCGGCGGGTTGTGCCAGGAATAGATCACGGTCCACTTGGCTTGTGTTTTTTTTTTTTTTTGTTTTTCTGGGTTTCATTCCTGATGTTGTGTTGATATCATCTATAGATCTCCCCTTTCCCCTATCTATACAACTCGACCCTCTACAATTTGTCAATTTACTACATCTACTGATACCTGAATAGCTCTCCATGTAAATACATGTACATGCGGGAATTTCTGCAAGGGCGGCCCCTGTCAACGAACATTCCACGCCCCTTCTAGCGCAGGCCCCCAGTGATCAGTGTGAATGGGGCCGAGCGGGGGGGCCAATCCTCGCGATAAGCTGGAGCGGTCAGACTCCTCGCGATCATCGTTTAGGGGCCTTCTGGAAGCCTTCTAGCGTGGACCAAGAATTCCTGGCCCCAGTTGGGTCATTCTGATTGATTTATTTTGGGAGGTTGCTCGGGTCGCGTGCATGACCATCGTCATCGCCAAGTGTTTCAGAGTAGCTGGGGTGTACATCCCTAGAGGGGACGAGGCAACCAGTCGATGATGTACATGAGATTGGAGAAATGGGGAAAATAGAATAAGTGAATAAGTAAATAGTAAATAATTAATTAAATAAGCAAGTAAATAAAGAGAAAAGAAAACAAGAATAGTACAGAAAGGGAGAGAAAAAAAAACCAACATTGTCCCCACTATATCATTATCTAGTTATCGTACAAGTATATAAACCCTCATATGGACACGTTGACGTATGGAGCCGATCCACGATCCCTCTTAGCCTTGTGAATACCACCATTTTGCCAAGAATGCGTTCCCACCTATGCAGTCTGGGGTCGATCGACCATGATATAATTCGTTTCTCTGATCCCGGTCTTTCTAGAAAAAATCCCGCAACGCTAAGTCCCGCCAAGCGGATCTGCTGCGAGGGGAATATCGCCCTCAACCTCTGTTATCCACATCATGAGGGCCGACTTGGTCATATCTAGTAATCCCGATCCTCATTACTCGTTGTCAGCCATTTTTTATTTTTATTTTTATTTTTACTTATTCTATTATACCTGTTCAAGTACTCTCGGGCCCCAAACTCGCTTACCCTAACCTCCATTGGCCTTCTTCCTCTGCCAGCCCACCCAGCCCCTCTCTCTCTCCCTCAAGGATTTAGCGTCTTTTCTCGTCTTTTCTAGTCTTTTTCTCGAGGGGAAAATCCGTCTCGTGTCACTGCAGACCACTTGAGGATCCCCCGGGGTCCTGCAGCTCCCCTGGGGTCAATTGCAGACGCAACTACTAAAGACGCACCTCCCGGTACACTAAGAGTACACTAGAAGCTGTGGATCTTGTCCCGTGGAAGAGTTGGAATCATCATTTGACTCGCATTTCTTGATTTCATCTCAAGGATTTAACTCCGTTCCGTGAGGCCCAGTTCATTGCACTCATTGCCACTCCCATGCCCAGAGAAACCATTTGCAAAAAAAAAAAAAAAAAGGATAGGAAAATAAGAAAAAAGATAATAGAAAGGGAAAAAAGAAAAAGAAAAAAAAAGCGGACTGAAGATAATGCAGGGGGAAAAAGCCGCAAAGCATGCTCAAGTCAGAAGACAGCACCAAGTGTAGACCCGCCTCCGATCTATCCGAGTCATAGCGGAGAATAAAAAATTGAAAAAAAAAAGAGAAAAAGACGTGGGGCCCAAGCCTAGAATGCCGCTTAGGCCTAGACCCATGTCTTCAGGACGCATTATAACTCGTCCTCAAGGTATTTGTACACAAACTTGAAATCGGCCTTACGCCGGTTCATCCTGTTGGGTCATCGGTGTGAGTGCATGTACACGGGATTCCCCAGACGGGGAATCAGCAATGTAGGTCAAACTCACCATGTACTCTCATAATCGAAGAATCGATACGTGCCCTGCTCAAACTCTTCCGTGATCGTCTTGGGCTCCTCATGCCGCTGGAACCACGTCTGGTATTGCTTGTGGAACCGCCAGCTCTGGTTCTTCAGCGCTTTGGCCGATAAGTACTGCTGATAGGACCCCTGCCGGTAGTAGAAGAGGTAAAACAGCGTATCAGTGTCGATCCTGCCTGTATCGTACAGCCGGTGATCGTCGAAGATCGGGAGGGGCTCTTGCGGGTAATAGAGAGGGGTATTGTAGGGGTGCTGCGGCTTGTAATGACGAGGCTTCTCGGCGTCTCCAGGCTCGGGACAGGTCGTGAGCGATGTGGCAAGGAGGCGTTGCACAGATGGCGTTGGATTGGCCGACGCTCGCTCCTTGGTCACCTCGAATGATTGCATCAGATCTTGGAGACCTGGAGGCAGATGGTAGATTGAGTCATCGTCCTCGCCTGCCTCCTGGCTTGCCTTGCCATTCGCAACCGGGGGTTCCTTATGGACTCCCATCTTGTCTGCCGGTGCTGGTGATGGTGCTCCAGACACTGCACCGGCCGGAGTTTTGGAACGCACTGCTCCACTCGGCTCATCGTTGAGTGTCGTCGTGCCTGTAGCGGTAGTCGACTTGGTGACGAGCTGCGCCGGTGTCACACTGGGCGAAGCCGTAGATGACGCCTTAGAAACGGGAAAAGCGGCCGAGAATGCGGGACTGGCACCTGGTGGCGGTGGTAGAGGGAGAATCCCCACTCCGCTCTTATCACTGGCGGCCGCAGCTGCGGCGGCAGATGCATACTTGAGGGTTTCCCCAGGGAGGCGAGTCGGGAGCGGTGCGGGCTTCATGCCCGTGGTAGGGTTCGATGATGCAGAGGGATGGAGAGTAGCGAGTACAGGAAGCGGCGACTTCATCTGTGTCGATGGTCGTCGGGGCGCCGCAGGTTCTGCCTTGGCCTTTGGCTTCGGCTCGGGCTCATCGTCTTGGTTGGACTGGGCATCTTGCGACGACACCGGATCGTTCTCGCCTCCCATTCCGAATTGAGCCTCGACCTCTTCTCCGATGTTGAGATCATCATACAGCGTTTCGTCCTCGCCAGAATAGTCGTCATTCCCGCCTTCCTCGACGTAGTATTTGATGCTCTCCTTGAGATCCTGCACCTGGCTGACTTCAAGATTGCCATTCTGGAGTGATCGATTGAGAAATTCGAGCTTGTTGACGTGCCACTTATGTCGTTCTGTGACGCGGGAGATATCGGCCAGCCGGTTGGCCTTATTCACGTCCTTTTTGCCCTTCTTCATCTGTGCATGAAGTGTCTCCTCCTCCGCCTCCATGGCCTCGATCTTCTGCTGGAGCTCGTCTACCATGGATGATAGGAAGTCACAGGTTTCCACCTTCTCCTTCTCTCTCGGATCGAGTCGCGAGGCGGCGGAAAGACCTTCTTTGGAGTAGGCTTTCGTCTTCATTTCCTTCTCCACGGCCTTGAATTGCTCCATGCACTGCTCTAGTCGTTAGCCTGTCGCTCCATGATGTATGCTACCCCAGTCGTAGCCAGCCATTCATGAATATCACACCGTTTCAATTGCCCTGCGCTGCTCGAGCAGCGGGGCCTTGTCCTTCACCTCATTCCCGGCTGCCCATGATTTGATCTGGTCGCGAAACCTTTGGAGCTTCTTGATCTCACGCTTGAGGTTGTCCTCAAGCTTATCGCGCTGGGTGGGATTCGTGGCTGAGCGGATCTTCTCGTAGATGCCTTCAAATGTTTGGATCCCCTCTGCAACTTTCTTGAAAGTCTTATCGATCTCTTGTTGTGTTTTGCGGGACGTCATGGTGCATCCGTTGACGTGGACTGAGCCGCTCCACAGGCCGGAAATTCGGTACGGTTGAGACGGATTCGGGATGTACTTTCAACCAGAATGACCAGCAATATACGGCCAGAAATCGGTAGAAAGATATTTGAACGGTTCAGTGAGACTTCAGCAAGAAGACGATGGAGTGAGAGCAGTGGGATTCGGCTGCTGGGGAAAGCTTCGTGTTTACCCATTTAGAAGGCGGTTACAACTGGCATTATATTAGGCGGTCTGACATGGCAGAACAATATGGGGCGGTCAGAGACGGCAGAAGGAAAGGCAGAGGCCAACCGAGAGGCCTCCAATTGCTTCATAGTCCTTGTCTTGACTCATGGTCATTGTCTTATCTCATTAGCTTTGGCTTCCAACCATTTTGCCGTCATTTGATCCTTAGGCCTTGGGATTTGTGGTTATGCTGTCATAGTTATCTGTCGTTCTGCTGAGCCCGTTTGCCCTAGCAAGCCATCCACGCGGCTTATACCCGACTCATATCTTGCTTATTCATGACTGCAACTTCTAAGGTTGTTTCAAAATGAAAGGTGTGGAATGATATCATTGTGACCATTATTCTAGTATGTTAACCTCGAGTCAGTTGTCATCCAAAGAGTGAAATCAGCTTCCGTCACCGTTGACGAGGAGCTGATCTCGTCCATTGGCCGGGGCTTGCTGGTTCTTGCTGGTGTTGGCAAGGAGGATACAGAAAAAGAAACAGAGAATATTGTGAACAAGGTGCTCAAGGCCAAGTTTTGGCCTGATGAGAATGGGTCCCAGGTAAGGAGCTACGTTACAGATCTGGCGGGCAATTGCACCATGCTGACCAGTGGCACAGTGGAAGCGAAATGTGCAAGATATCGAGGGTGAAATACTCTGTGGTAAGGAGTATTGTCTGATAGCTCCTCTTTTAACCCCAAATAACAGCTGGCACAGTCTCCCAATTCACACTATACGGCAAGATGAAAAAAGGCAATAAACCCGACTTCCATGATGCGGCCGATGCTCAGACTGCACGACGCCTCTACGATCACTTCTACAACAGAATGCGCACTTCCTACGTTCCAGAGCGGGTGAAAAATGGTGTGTTCCAGGCAATGATGGATGTGGAATTGAAGAACGACGGGCCGGTGGGTGTCGACTACCGCAGTGAAGATGCGGCGGTACATAATATCCTTCGCCATATCTGGGTCTGTGCTGACGGGTCCTGCAGGTCACCATCGAGATCAACACCAACCTCCCGAAGAAAGAGAGCCAAGAACCCCAAGCAAAGGCCAAGGAGTCCAAAGAATCTAAGGAACCCGAGGGGTCGGGGGAAACAAAGAAAACATTCGAGTTTAACCTGCCGGCTGAATTGCTGCAATAACAGCAGAAAAAAAAGAGGAAAGAGGAAAATAATGTCCAATGTACATAGTAAATATTTTGTAGAATATATACCCCATTGCAGTGCATGAAATGTGTCTTGGGGCCTAACGGCGTGGAAGCTTCCTGAAGAACCGTAGAACCGACCCCCCCACAGCGCGGGTGTTCTCTCCCCTCTCTCTTCAACCGGACCGTCTTTTCTCTCAGCGCCTTTCCTTCTCCACACTCCTCGTTCTACCTTGTCTCTCCCATCATGGCGGAATCTCAGCGTATGTCCCCGCTTCAAGTGCGGGGCTCACTTGTCAACTCGAAATCATAGCTGACTGAATTGACCCGCAGAGCGTTCCCGCGTTTTCTTCGACATTCAAATCGGCAATGAGGATGTTGGTCGCGTTGCATTCGAACTGGTAAGTGTCTCTAGTTTGGACATGAGAATGTAAAGGAAGCTTGACTAATTTTTTCGCGTCCTGGCATAGTTCAATGATGGTACGTTGAAATTGTCGCGGAATGGACTGAACATCGCTAACCCCACGCTACAGTGGTCCCGAAGACCGCGGACAACTTTCGGGCGCTTTGCACCGGCGAGAAGGGCACCGGTACCCAGGGCAAGCCATTGACCTACAAGGGTATGTTGCTCACCTTACCACATCACCTGAGCGCTCACTAATTGAACATCCTCAAGGCTCTATTTTCCACCGGGTGATCAAGCAGTTCATGATCCAGGGTGGTGACTTTACTGCGTTCAACGGGACTGGCGGCGAGTCGATCTATGGCGAAAAGTTCCCCGACGAGAACTTTGACCTCAAGCATGACCGGCCCTTCTTGCTGTCTATGGCCAACTCGGGCCCCGGCACTAATGGGAGCCAGTTCTTCGTCACCACCGTCCCCACCCCGCACCTGGATAGCAAGCACGTTGTGTTCGGTGAGGTGATCAACGGCAAGAGTGTGGTTCGCAAGATCGAGAACATGCAGACTACGGCAGACAAGCCCGTGCGCGACGTGAAGGTGGTGAACTGCGGCGAGCTTAAGGGCCAGGACTACGGGAACGCCACCAAGCGGATCCAGGACGCGACGGGTGACCCTTACGAGGACTTCCCCGAGGACCACCAGGGCGACGAACTGAGTGCGCCGGTCTGCTTCAAGATCGCATCCGATCTCAAGGGCTTCGGTAACTCGGCATTCAAGGGCGGAGACCTCAAACTCGGGTTGGAGAAGTACCAGAAGGGTCTGCGCTACTTGAACGAGTTCCCCGACCCCGGTGACAACGACCCCAAGGAACTGGGCGACCAGATCAAGGGCGTCCGATTTGCCCTGCACTCCAACTCATCCCTGCTCGCCAACAAGCTCGGCCAGTTCAGCAATGCCCAGAGCTGGGCCTCGTATGCGCTCCAAGGTGCCGAAGCCGCCAAGGCCAAGGATGCCGACAAGGCCAAGGCCCTTTACCGTCGCGCCGTTGCCTACAAGGGATTGAAGGAAGAAGACGAGGCTCTGAAGGACCTCGAGGAGGCTTCCAAGCTGGCTCCCAGTGATGTGGGCATTACCAACGAGATCGCCAAGGTCAAGAAGGCTCTCAAGGACCGCGACGTTAAGGACAAGGCGGCTGCGAAGAAGTTCTTTGCGTGAAGCCCTTGCTATTGTTCTTCTCACGATTCATGACGCAGTTCACCTCTGGTGATTTACTGCATGATGTATGATACAACATCATCAAGGCTTAGTGCTGCTTGATTTATCAATTTTCCAGACCTTTTTTTCTCTGGATTTTGTTGACTGGTTTTTAATGGCGAGTAGTCGGTCATTTAGGCTTTTAAAAACATCATTTTTAGGCTCTACTACGTCGTCTCAAGCCGCCTGAGCGAAGCGAGGGGCACATCTATCTAGTGATGAGTGATCATCCCAACTGTTATCTCCAAATCATCTCTAATGCTCTAGGCATTTCCCTCGAAGGATCCGCTAAGCATGACCCACATCGTGAAACATATCGGGGGCCGTGGAGTTGTGACACTTGGATTTGTAATATTGCAAGACGTGTAATATAAATAGCTGCAGTGGCATCCAGGACATAGAATTGAATCATCTCTCATATTGACCATGTCCATCACCGGCAGTTGTCTCTGCGGCGCCATCCGCTACGAAGTATCGGGGTCGCCCATCTCGACGATCCTCTGCCACTGCGACAACTGTCGCAAAGCCACGGGGTCGAGTTTCATGGCCAACGGGTTCTACATGCAATCTGTACATTCTATTTTCAGGTTATCTCTGCTATTTTTTTATCTGTCTCTGTTTGACTTTGACACGTGGACAATCCATCAGAACGGATGCTAATTTTACCAGCAATTGCGGGTTCTCGCGGGCCACAATTCCCTCAAAGTCTATCAGGACAGTGCCACAGCCTCGGGCAGCACAGTGTCGCGCTCGTTCTGCACGAATTGCGGCTCGTCCCTGTTCGCTACCAACAAGGACAACCCGCTCGCCAAGGACGCGGTCATTATCGCGTCGGGCACGATGGATCTGGGGCCCAGTGCGGCCGAGTGGGCGCCGCAGAGGGAGTTCTTCTGTATGCGGCGGCGAGAGTGGTTGCCGCCGTTGGAGAACACGCAGACGAGCCAGATGCTCGAGAGTGTTGAGAATATCCAGAAGGGAACGAGCTGCTGAAGTGGAGAGATTCCTTGCCGATCGTCGAAAATACGAACGCACAGTCCCTCTCCTTCTTTATCTCTTTTTGAATGATGAACCTGTTGATGAACTGTCTTGCATTCGAAAATGCCTGCAAAGTAACTATAGAAAAAGAAAATGCCGACTTTGGTGAATGAAATCCTTCTGATCTTCGAGGAAGTAGATCATCTCCCAGACAGACTCCGAAAGGTAGAGATGGGATCCGGTCCCGGGTAAAGTGGAAGCCAATCGCTACGTTTGTAAAATGCTGGTCCCTGATTCTCGCAGCGTCGCTTTCGCAACCGGTTCCAGGACAGCATTGAAAGCCTGGAAGACCGACCCGGTGTTCCAGCCGTACTTCCATGAAACCGACTTCATTGTTTCGGGGCACACTCCTGCCTTGACTGAGCACATCAAGACCGACTCGCCCGCGGCAGATGTCGAAGCCTTGGTGGGTTTATTGTGGATACTTTAGAAGGCAGATTGCAAAAAGAACCGAAAGATGCGGTCCGCTGAAGGCCGGAGACAACAGTCAATCGAGACTGGAAATCTATGCAGAATCGTTTCGGGGATCCTGACAACCTGATGGATTTCCGAGATGTGAAGGATGATGAATGGACACGAATTGGCACAGAAACAGCTTAGCTATAAAACGCATCTAATATGCCGGCTACTTTCATATAAAAAAAAAACAATGCAATATCCAGAGACTCACTAGGTCGAAGAAATATTTTCTCCTTCTAGCTTGCAAAGGCACAGCTCCCCATCTCCCTCTTGACAATCTCTGCCTCGGGCCGAATATCAAAATCAAAGATATCCATTGGCACGCCAAGTGTAGTGCATGCATTCGGGATATCTACAATCCCAGCAATATGGCCCTGCACCGGCGCACAACTAAGCAGCAGATAGATCTGGTAATCGCTGTATCCATAGCGCCGCAGGTACTCAATGACACGCAGGCAGGTCTGTCTGTACGCAACAGTCGTATCCAGATAATGTTGTTTGCCGTGTTCATCGACCGAGAACCCCTCAAAGGTCAGATAGCGTCCCGGACCGAACTGCGGCTCGACAGGACCCGGCTGAAAGATGGGTGACTTCATGCCCAGTTTCGCCATGCCAGCTTTGATGACATTAAACTTCAGCGTGATCACACCCGCCATCTCGATGGCACCGCAGAATGAAATCTCGCCGTCTCCTTGCGAAAAATGAAGGTCTCCTACGGAGAACTTGGCGCCTGGGACATGAACGGGCAGATAGATCTTGGACCCGCGGGAGAGATTCTTGATATCGCAGTTGCCTCCATGCTCGGGGCGACCCTGAATGAGATCATATGGTTATTACCATCTTTTGATTGTCGTGCATAAGAAAAGAAAACGAGAAAACTTACCGGGATTGTTCGGGCTCCTTCTTTGGCCACTTTGCTCTTGATATCTCCATCGGCACCTCCGGCATGAGAGCTTTTTGGTTCTGGCGGCTGCGCAACAACCCGATCGGTCGATGTATTGGCGGCAATTAATTCGCCTTCACGACGGTTCCATTCCGCCAGAACCCCAGCGGAAGGGGCACATCCCAGGATCCCGGGGTGAATCAGTCCCGCAAAGCGGACATGGGGAATGTGACGCGAAGAGCAAAAGATGCCCTCGAAATCCCAAATTGCTTTTGCTCTGCAGTGTAGATATCAGCGAAAGCATGGTATTTTCTCAACCAACATAAAAAAGAAAACATACGCCTCGGGATACAGCTCGTCCAAGAACCCTCCGCCATTCTGGCGATGAAATACTCCGGTAAACCCCCACGGCTGGTCTTGGGATGGCTGTACGTCCTGGATTTCCACGAGCAGTACGTCTCCTGGCTCTGCAGACTCGATGTCAAACGGGCCCGAGAGATAGTGGATCTGCGTCAGATCGACATTCTTGATGTCGTCGGCGCTGTCGTTGTTTTGGATCTGACCGCCCGTCCAGTCGAGACATTCGATCTTGACAACCTCGTTGTTTGCGATTTTATTACAGGCGGGGACTAGAGGAATCACATATTCTGTTAGTTTGAGGTTTCCTGCCGGTCGAATGCAGGGCATGGTTTGACAGACTGTCTGGATGCCATCGGTTCTGGGAAGAGTCAGCTTCTGTAGTGATTTGTATGTGATATTTGAAGTTTGGAGAAGTTTACATGTAAGCCAGGTTGCTCACCAGCCGGCTTGCTCAGGTCAACTTTCAGAGCGGTGCGGATTTCTTTGATCCCCATGTTTGATGGTTGGGTAGGAGGGGTGTGCGTTGGAAGTACGGACCGTGAAGTTTGAATGTCTCGGTGATCCCCGATGCGAGTCTCAGATAGCGTCCTTGACCCCGCCTGCGGGGAGACAGTGAATCATACATACTCGCCACATGCCATGGGCTATTGGAGAAACTGGCTTATCGCTTTATCTCGCATAGCATCGGAATGGGCGCCTGATAAGCTCCCGCCGGGATAGCACAGGTGAAGTAGTCTTGCATTTCTAACCTCACTTTTTGTCTATACTAACACCCAAATGCCTGAAGGAAATCCACTATTTGTGCAATAAGAAGGTTCCGCTTCTCTCAGACTCTTGAGCACTCAAGTGAACTTCTTTCCCGAGTGGTCGGAAGTACCATCTTTGGCATCCTCGTCGGTGACAACATTGAGCTTATCGATGTTATCCAAAGACAACCGCAAGAAGTCATGTTTATTCTTCCAGGTCACCTGGCTCTCTGCAAAGTCCCGGCTTTCAGACGGAGTGGGTGGCGGGTCAGTGATCTTGGTGATGAGATATGCCGTGGACGCTTCTGCCACGCCATACATGAGCACGCCAATGAAGGGTGTCCTCAGCACAATGGTAAATGCAAAGGCGAAGCCAAACAGAACGCCCTCTCGGTCCTGAAACCATCGGCGCTTTTGCTCGGGTGTGAATTTGATGCGGCAAAAGTAAGGCTCCAACTTTTTTAGAGTTAGAAAAGCTTGGTTTTAAGAAAAGAAGAGTTGAGCTCACGAGTTCACGCATCAGACTTCGCGATGCAAAATAAGTGTGCAGGAATGTCACGATATACTTCTTGGGAAGGACCAAGCCAGCGCCAAAAATCGCTGCCGCAGGAGTGCCGCCGACGTGGCTACGGAAGGTGTAGAAGCTGGCCAATGGCATCACGAATCGGCCGACGATGGGAACCAACGAAAGGAAATAAACTCCAAACATCAGTCCAACCCTTTTGGCGTAGCGGTTCATGAACGATACCATGGCCTCCGGGATAGGCCGTGAGATCCCCGTGCCACCTTTGATTGAGTACTGGACAAGGCTCGGATAGTACATGGCACGCAACGAATCTGGATCCTCGGATTTGTGCTTTTGGATGTACGTTGTATCCACCCATTGGATAGATTGCATAAAACTGTGCTATTGATTAGCGGGATGAAGAAACGTAGCCAGATTTAGAGACCTACATCTCATCCAGCGTTGGGGTCACATAGCGCATCATGGTCATCAGCAAGAATGGTATTTGGAGAACCGAGTTGGACAAGAATTGCAGGGAATTGAGAAGCTTGTCGTCCCAGGTTGCTTGGCTGAGATTGACTACCCATGATGCCAAGTAGACGCCGAACTTGACGGTGATGATCTGGAATATGAAATCAGAGATGGGAAAACGGAGTCAAATCTCCTGAGGCTGGCATACCGGAATCTGAACGATCAACTGAATAACGATCCCAACGACAATCGCGAGACCGGCCTGTCGAAAATGCTCATACTTGAATAATTCCGGATTGCGCAAGGCTCGCAGCGCTGTGAAGTCAAGTCAGCACCTAGTATATGTACCGAGGTAGTGTCTCGCAATCAGATGGTCAAATTTTGATCACGCTCAAACAATAGCAGCTTACTGCAATAGTAGGAGAATTCTTTATGCTTTTACAACAGCAAACCAAGTCAACCGAGGCAACAAGGGAGACATACTTCCTACCACGGTGAGCTGGAAGCCGCGGATCACCGCATTGGGCTCGAAACTGGACATTTCAATGCCCTTCAGCGTAGCAGAACTTTTTTTCAAGTGAGAACGGCACACTTGCTTCGAGATTTGGGAGTGGAATGGAGAAGCACAGTGGCAGGCATCCATCTGATGCACCGTTTGTTTGCTGCGTCATGTGTCACGTGATACACACCTTGCAGCCTCAGGCGCTAGGGCACCCCCGCAGGCGCGGTCGACTTGCGACAGGCGCATTGCGCAGATACATCACTTCGGTGCCTTCAGGGGGCGTCTTCCATGAACGGCTGATCCGCCCCATTTCCAGCCATGCTGTGTCAGTGATCTCTCCCTCGATGCTCTGTCTATACCTTTGTTTATTTGCCCACATAAACAATGACCGAGTCTCCCATACAGTCCATCCGGCGCTCGGTGACCCTCCCCACCAAGTTAAACCCGGCGCAACGAGGTTCAAGCGCCCCGAGACTCTCCGAAAATGTGGTCTTCTATCACCCGTCAGCCAAAATTGTGCATTTTGCCCCGAGGGCTCTCGTGCCCATCCCCTCGAGCTCTGCGCCGTCTGACTTCGACTATCCTGTTGATACCATCGAAACCCTCCCCTGGTGCTCTGCCACCGAACGAACAGTCGCAACAGCACCACTCAGGCTGGAAAAGGTCCATGGTCTGACCGTCTTCCTGAAATGTGGAAATGTAGTCCACGCGATCCTGAAGAACTCACAATGTTGGTGTGTTGACGGGGTGTCGAAATTCGTCTTGCGCATTCGCCCTCTCACCTATTATCGTATCGAGATCCCAAGCGAAACCGAAGAGGACAGAGAGGCGGTTAGAGATCTCAAAGCTGCGTTGCCAACAGTTCTTCGATATGAGGTCACACCCTGTCCCTTCAAACGATCGTTCACAGTCGAGATCCCCGAGGAAGCAATGGCGCCTCGACGCAAAAAGGCATGGCGACCCAAGGATCGGAGAGAAAGTGGCCCCGCTGTGATGACAAGCGCCCAAGTGTCGCCTTCTTCTTCAGTCAAGTCAGAGTGGATTGATTCTGCGAGTACCGGAGACGACACCGATGGAAACATGACGGATGATAGTGGATTCACATCGCATCGGGCCAACAGCACGACCTTGGAGACTATCCCCGATGATCCTGAAGTGTCTCCTTCAATCAATACGTTGGAGCCCCCTGTTGCGCCTGCACTCCCTCGGCGCTCGGTGACGGAGACTCCGCAGACCTTTACCAGTTTGCTGGCCAAATTCGAGGCTACTTCTATCCCAGAGGATGAGAATGACTCTCCAATGCAACCCGCACTCGAATCTGACCATGATGTTTCGTTCTCATCGAGCCCCGAGTCATTTCACTCGGCTGATCTGCCATCGCCGTCTGAATCTACCTCGACTCATCCTACGCCTGTGGAAGGCCACGAAGTGCCTGAGAACCCTGAAGTTCACGCTCCGTGTGCTGCAAATAATGATATTAAGGTTCAAGACCAAACGACACCTCCGCCTGAAAACTATCCCCCAATTTCAGACCGTGAGACTTCCACTATAGATGCCATTCCTGCGAGTGTCTTGCCGACGGCACCAACACCTACCAAGCCTATAACCAGGGAGGGCGTTCCAATGCCTTCTTTGAAGATACCATCGGACACAGAGGTGTCATCGCAGCCTCTGACGAAGTCTCCGGCTTCCACTACCGACTTTAATCACATGAGCGTGGAGTTTCGCCGTCGTGCACAAGCAACAAGGCAGCGCGACGTTTCGCCGATGCCTCCGCGATCAGCTATCTATCAACCACCGCCAACCCAGGATGCTGCCTCGATCCTTTCCAAGGCACTTACTCTCGTGCTGGTACCACCGATTTCCCTCTTTATCATCCTGATGCATGTCGCTGCACGCGTCGTGATTAGTCCAGCCCTCAGTACTCCTCCTGGCGAGCCAGCCTCAAAAGTTCAACCATCTGGCCACGACTCCATTACCGAGGATGATTTCAGCTTTCCTCTGGAGCCCGAAATTTCTTCGGAATATGAGGACGCTGAAATCTCCAAGAAACTGGATCCCTGGGACTTGGACTAGTGAGTCGACGCAGTCTCTTTCCTGACTCCTTGCTTTTCTTCTTGTGATTGTTCATTGCTACATTTGATTTAATCTCTCCCTATTTTCAACCCTCTATCTACCCCAGCCTGATGCTACATTATGATGTACTTTTGCTTATGGACCTTTCGGCATTGTTCTGCATGATTCACGGGTGGACATATTTGAAACGGACTGTACGGAGTACTCTACGGGATATTTTGTATTTTAGCGCTGCATTTCTTGCTGGGTTCCATGAAAGGACCCTCGACTACTAAGTCTGAAATTCATAGCTATAGGGATTGTGTTTCAAGATACCTATAACTCAAGCTCTCCATGGATGCCGTACCCCGTCCCAGTCCCATTGGCAATGCCCCCCAGGTCATTCTTGTGTACTCGCGGTCTTTGCATCTGGGCTGGTTCCTGGTCACCTCACCGTTGATTGACGCTCTCGCCGTATAAAACAGCAGCAACACAGCCCTGCAGCCTTCTTTCCCTCCGAACTCGCTGCCCCCTGAAGTATAACGATGAAGACGAAAGGACAGCTTGGTCGATTGAGATATGCCGGATTTCCTCAAGAATTTATCTTTTGGGAATTCCACAACTTGTACTATATGCAATTTATTACATGAAACTAACAGACTTTATCGAAATAGCAAATATTTGCGGACTGCATATCCATACCGCTCGAACACCAATTCCACGGGGGATTACTTTGTGTCACATGACGCTGACAGCTGCAGGATCAAGGCATCAAAACATCAGCATATTTCCCCGGCCCTCCTCCTGCATCGCATGAGCTGAGGAGTTTTTCCATGGGCCGAAATCATGTTAGAAATCAGCCAGCTTCTCGTCCTCAGTTTCTTCGTTGCCTTGGGATATGGAGTCTATCATGGGTGTCAAGGCGATCCCCGGGAGCCACCCGCCGTGTCGAGCGAAATACCTGTTATTGGGCATCTGTTGGGGATGCTGCGATACGGGTTTGAATACTTCGGATTGCAAACGTGAGGCTTGACGAGAGAGGCGGACATGCTAATTGCAACGGCATCAAGGGCTGACCAAACTGATAGCAAAAAGCACCCGAACTATCCAATATTCTCGTTGAATATGCTCTTCAGCAAAGCGTACGTGATCACGTCGCCGGCTCTGTTGCAGGCTGCGCAGCGGAATAACAAGTTCTTGAGCTTCGACCCATTCTTAATGACCAGCACCGAGCGCATTGCTGGCGTCCATAGCAGGAAGGTATTGAAATTGCTCCGGGGGAAGCAGTCTGGTGGAGATGGTATTGCTGGTGAGATCATGCATGCCATGACTCCGACCCTCTTCGGCACAGCCTTAGACCGGATGAACGAGAGGATGGTTGAGTTGCTGCCGCCGTTTGTTGACGAGTTGGGAGATGCACCTACCCTCGACTTGTACTCGTGGTGTCAACATGCCATCACTGTCGCCAGTACGGATGCGACTTATGGCCCGTTGAATCCTTACAAGGATAAGGTGGTTGAAGATGCATTCTGGTAGGCCTCGAGGGAGAGAAAAGGAAACACCGATTGAACGTGTTCTCACTGGCTCGCATAGGGATTTCGAATCAAACCTCACACCGTTGTTGGTCAATATCTTGCCGTGGCTCACGGCACGAAAGGCCTGGGAGAGCCGCAAGACGATGATCTCTGCAATCCTCAAGTATTACCAGAACAACGGACCAGACACTGGGTCCGAGTTAGCATCTGTGCGGTACAGGAGAACACGCGATGCTGGCATCGGTATTGAAGACACCGCGCGGCTGGAGACACCAATGGCAATTGCGCTGCTATCCAACACGGTCCCGGCGACTTTCTGGACCCTGTTCGATCTGTACTCCCGGCCTCAATTGCTCCATGATATTCGCAAAGAGATCGAGCTCAACGCCCTGCACGTTGCGACAGATGGGACGCACATTATTCACCTGGCCGACCTCCGGGATAAATGCCCATTGCTTGTCTCTGCCTTTCAGGAGATCCTGCGCACAAGAACCACATCTTCTCCGATGCGCTGTGTTATGAAGGACATCCTCCTCGCAGACCAGTACCTTATCAAAGCTGGAACTTTACTGAATATGCCATCCGAGGCGATGAGCCGAAACCAAGATGTTTGGGGCTCAACGGCGGCTGAATTTGACCCGCGACGGTATATGAAGCCCGTCGAATCAGTGGAACATCCAGAGGATCGGAAGAAGGATCCCCGGCGTGTGGGTGGCTTCATGGCATTTGGAGTGTCGCCCATTATTTGCCCCGGTCGCCACTTTGCTAGCAACGAGATCCTCGGACTAGCGGCCATGATTGCTTTGCGGTATGATATCTCGCCTGAATCAGGAGTTTGGACACCGCCGCAGCGAAACTCAATGGCAATTGTGTCGATCATGGGTCCCTTGAAGGAGGGTTTCAAGGTAAATGTGAAGCGCAGAAAAGAATTCGAGGAAAAAAGGTGGGAGTTTCAACCCCAAGAGGGCAAAGGCCGTTTCCCCTTGATGATAGGCTAGGGCACCGAATTTGTTAGGTGTACAAGACACACTTCAAGGTCTATTCGGTTCAAGATATTTTTAAGGATAAGTATCTGATCTCATGCCAACCATAACAGAAAGCCTGTATAACATAGTGGGCTGGGAATATGTATACTCGAGAGGAAGCCTGCCAAACTCGTTGCAGAAAGATCCCATAGCAACCACCATTGAACGCCGGCAAATGCAAGAGAAAACAAAGCCATCGGGAAAGCACTAGTCTAAATACTCACCTTGTCCCACAATCCTGCTTCAAGGAGAAGAACTATGCTTTTTGGCCCTTCGCCGCTCCACCCTTCGCCTTGGCCTTGCGCTTGCGATCTCGCTTCTTCAATCCCGACATGCCTGCCTTGCACACCTCCGCATATCGAGCGTAGAAAGCCTCGAGTTCATCCGGGCTGGCCACGGTTGAGATTTTCACTTTGGATGAGGTGATTTTGGTGATCTTCCCGTCCTTGCTTTTCGGGTTGGGTGCATTGGTGTTGCCATCGGTGGCGCGGATAAGGATAGACGGTTGAAGGTTGGAGGAGCCAGCAGTCAATGAAGCTGTGGATTTGGAGTCAAGGAGAGGCTTTTGGGTCAAGAAGACAGACCCGCGAGTTTTCTGGGAAGTTTTGGACAGCAGATCGGTGAGAGATGAGAAGAACTGCAACTGAAGTTAGCGGAACACTGACAAAAAAATCCGGAGTAGAACCCAATGAATGTCGGAGAGAATAATTGCAAATTTACCTCATCATGGCTCAAATGCGACGCCATACTGCCAGCTGAAGTTGGAAAGTCCACAACTGTTTGATCGCAAGCCATCGTTCGTGGGGGGCAGAGAAACTCCGCTGTGGGCCAGCTCGGCATTCTCCGCCTTGTAGTTCTGCGGGCAGAAAAGTGCGAGAAGAAAAAAGTTCCCTGACCGCCGAGGACTGGCGATAGACAACTCGGTCTTTACCTCGAGAGTGTCTCTGGATTTGATTGTTTTCAGTCGGCCAGGATGCCTCGTCCTATGCATAATACGACCTCTCTGCCCAGGGATCTTCGAAGTGAACTTGGGATAAGAGATACCTACGGCGACAAGAAACGGCAACGGAACGGACCTTCGACCCGCAAAGAGCGGCGGCAGGCTGAGCGGGCAGGGAAGAAATCGCACAAACCAGCTGGACCGAATCGGAAGAACGGCAGCCGATATGAGAAGGCCGTTGAGGGGGACAGCGATGACGATCTTGGTTTAGACTCCGACGAAGCCATTTCCATTGACGATGCACCTGCGCCGAAGAAGTCCAAGGCTGCCAAGGAGCCGGCCCCGAAGCCGAAGTCGATTCTGAAGAAACCCCAGAAGCTGCAGGAGTCTGAATCAGATGAGGAAGAGGACGAAATTGAAGATGAATCCGAAAATGAGAAATCGAATAGGTCCCATGTTTCGGAGAATGTCAAGTCGAAGCTAGCGCAAGATGATGCCGACATCGCTGCACTGGAGAAGAAACTGGGTATGAAAAAAGGAAACAAGCTTCCAAAGGCCTTTGCGGATGACGGCTTGGATGATTTACTGGGTGACTTGGGTGACGCCTCGGACGATGACAATCGGAAACGCAAGAGAGAGGCCGATGACTGGTTACTTAGCAAGCGACGCAAGGCTCAGGCATTGCAGAAAGCATCAAACAATGATGATGGTGAAGAAGACGACGACGACGAAACGGACAGCGCAGAGGGTATTGGAGACTTCGACGAAGAAGTATTTGGGAGCGACGACGATGGCGAAGTGAGCGCCGAGGGAAGTGACTTTGATGGTTTCGATGAGGACGATGACAATGAGGACGAGGAGGAGGAAGAGGAGAAGCAACCAAAGAAAAAGGAAAACCCTTATGTTGCGCCAGTGTCCAAGCCCGCGAATACTCAGCCCCAGAAGTACATTCCGCCGTCATTACGAGCGCATTCCGATCCGGAGACAGAGTCTTTAACGCGGCTGAGACGCCAGGCTCAAGGACATTTGAACAAGCTGTCCGAGGCCAACTTAGTATCAATCCTCGCCGAGTTTGAAAAGCTCTACCGCGACTATCCGCGCCAGAATGTCACATCCACCTTGATCAACCTCCTGATGGGTTTGATCTGCGAGAGGTCTGTTTTGCAGGACACTTTCATCATTCTCCATGCAGGATTCATTGCAGCCCTGTACAAGGTTCTGGGCATGGACTTTGGCGCAGACATTGTGCAGAAAGTCGTCGAAACTTTGGATGCCGACGGCGATGAGCGTGGGACGTTTGAGGGCAAAGAGTCGACCAATTTGGTCTCTCTGCTCTCGCAGCTTTATAATTTCCATGTCATTGGCTGCCCCTTGATGTTTGACTATATCCGCCTGTTCCTGCAGGAGATCACAGAGACCAACACTGAGCTCCTGCTCAAAGTCATTCGGAGTAAGTGGTCGCGCCAGTACAGTTATTCGATTCATCTAACATGTATTCCCAGATTCTGGCCCACAGCTCCGGCAAGATGACCCGTCTGCATTGAAAGATATTGTCTTGCTCATTCAACCTGCCGTGGCAAAGGCGGGCGAGGCGAGTCTTTCCGTTCGGACCAAATTTATGATCGACACCATCACCGATCTCAAGAACAACCGCGTCAAATCCGCCGTCGGTGCCAGCGTAACCTCCGAGCACATCACCAAGATGCGCAAGATCTTAGGATCTTTGAACAACTCGCGAGCCATCCGTGCCTCCGAGCCGATCAGCATCTCCCGCTCAGATATTCACAACTCCTCCAAGAAGGGAAAATGGTGGCTGGTCGGTGCAAGCTGGAAAGAGGATCCTCTCGTTTCCGCAAAACAAGAACTGTCCGGCGTTCCAACGACCAGTGTTGATGCCCAAGAGGATGACAGCGACCCAGAGCCCAACCTTCGGGATCTCGCCAAGGCCCACCGCATGAACACGGATGTCCGTCGATCGATTTTCGTGGCTATCATGTCCGCGAGTGACTTCCAGGACGCGCACGTTCGACTCCTCAAGCTCCGACTCAAGCGCGCACAGGAATTCGAGATTCCTCGCGTACTACTCCACTGCACCATGGAAGAAGAATTCCACAACCCCTATTACACACTCATTGCGCGACGGCTATGTGGAGAGATGGGGCGGCGCATCAAGATGTCGTTCATGTTCGCTCTCTGGAACATTTTCAAGAAAATGGGCGAGCGGGGCGACCTGGACGAGGATGACGACGACGGCCTTGACCCAGATGACGAAGAAAATGGAGTCGCTTTGAAGTCCGTAGTCAATCTGGCCAAGATGTATGGCATGCTGATTGCGGACGGCACCCTGACACTGGGCATCCTGAAGAACCTCAATTTTGCATATTTGCAACCAAAGACCAAGACCTTCACCGAGCTATTGATCATCACCATTATCCAGCAGTCTCAAAAATCTAAAAAGGCTCTCAAGAAGAAGTCCAAAAGATCCGCTTCGGATGACTCTATGAAGGATGAGGAGTCTCTGATGGAAATCTTTTTGCGCGTCAAGGACACGCCACACATCGCTAAAGGACTCATCTTCTTTGTGCGCAAGGTCGTTGCCAAGACTGATATTGTGTCCTCGGAGAAGGAACAGAAGTTGGTGCGATGGGGATGCAATGTGGCCGTGGATGCTCTGAAAGTGGTTTCGACTTGATTCATAAAAAGCGATGTTGGCTCTTGATATACATATTGAATATACCCATGTGTCTTGTTCTCCATTCCCACTTCTATGGTTGATAAAAATGCTCCGAGCACCACTTCGGTCCTTGCCATCCTTGGAGAGATTGGATGGCAGAGATGTTTAGAATTCTAGAGCACTGCGACTTGCGTCAATCTCAAATTTGAAGCTTGACAGCACAAACCATCCATGGCTATCGTGTTTTCGAGTTTTCTTATGAATATTAATTTGTTACTCATATGTGATCGTGCAAGCTCATGTCATTTGAATGAGATCCCATTCCATGGCCATGAGCCAGATCTCTTTCTCGCCTGCCAAACCATCATTTCTAGATGAATTAGACTGAAGTTCCTGGGCCTCGAAATTGGCGTGATAAGAGGGCAAAGCCACATCCCAGGCCAACCCACGATAAGCTCCAACCAGATCTCCAGATTCAATGGTAACTCTTTGGGCAGCGTTTGGTTGCGAGGAAAGGTGTGTCCCGGGTTTGGATCGAGGGAGCCCCATGAGTATGAGATTGACAGTTTCTTCTATTCCTCCATCTTTTCTGGGACGGCGGCTGACTTTTTGGGCTTGGATAAACGCTAGAGGCCCAGAACCACTACACGAGACCTGGGTGGCATGCGTAACACGCGCAGCGACAAGATATTTCCCCAGCTCATCGGCAGAAGGATCTCGAGTTTGCCCGGCATGGATTTGAGATCCAGCAGGCATGATCAGCTGCTCGCGCTTGGTCCCGACTTCTAGGATCCAGCTGCGCACCTCGGCTGCCATTCCACCTGGCAGATACCCCGGTACGCCAGACCGCCGCCCACCACGACGGTGCAGTGTGCGCGACGAAGGAGAGAACGGCGCAGGGATATCCTCCCCGGCAGTCGTAGGTGATGGAGAGCGAGGCAACACGAACGCAGGCTTGCGTCTCTCATGTGGCGAGGTTGCTCGCGATATAGAGGGTGTTTGGGCTGTAGATGCTGCTGGCAGGCTACTGGGAGTCTTCTTTGCCGAGAGCATGAAGCGGGGACGGCTTCGAAATGGTGTTTTCGTGCTTCCGGGTGTTGAGACTCTTGGTGTAGGTGGACGCATGGGTCCAGCGGGCGTTCTCTGGGGCCCAGTCTCTTGCATAGTCGCGTTTTGATGCGGAGAGTCGAAGGTGTCTAGCGGTGGCTGTCGCACCTCAGGCGATAATGGGCGAATCGAGTCCGGGAGAGGATTACGCTGTGAGCTGGAGGAACCTCCCTATCTACCGAGAGGCGTCGACGTTTCGTGCCATCTCTCACTGGCGCGAAGAGCGCGTCGAAGTCCGCGTCCAGAACACCAGGCGTTTCCGGTTCTTGGGGAGGGGTACTGTCGATAGCATCGTCGACCAGCTCATTTGTGTTATCATTCCCAGTGGCTCTATCGTTTAACAACTCGTCATCATCTGAGTCCTCGATTGTTTCTCCGGGTCGACGCGGTGTGATGGGATTCCGAGAACTCGGCGGGTTTCGTGCCTCCGTCTGCGTCGGTGGGGGTCTATCATCATCGTCTATGATATCGGCACCATCATTACTATCCTTGTGAGGCGTTGTAGTTTGCGACAGCCGGAATCGAGGGGTGGGCGCGAACTGCGGACCGGCACTGCGACGCGTGAAGGGTGGGTCGCGGCGCGAGAAGCGGAAGGGGGAAGGTGTCTGGGATGAGTGCATTAGCAAGGGCCGTCAAGTGATTTCTGGTGTGAGCATACCCCTGGGAAAGGCATCTATACTGGTGTCACACAATGCCACATGGCGCCGTGATGAATGACGAGTTGACGAGGCGCGTTGCAGATGGGGAAGAGATGGCACGGATGGGCCATCCCGCGACTTGATAAGCTATGAGTGTACAATATTGCAGAAGGCTATATGCAGCAAAATAAGGATGTACATTTCTTTTTTTTTTTTTATCGCTCTATTTCATGCATTTATCCTGTCAATTCTCATCTCTCATTTCTTTGTGTTCATCACAAACTGCGTTGATACTCAGGTGAGTTTAGTATCGCGTGGAGTGGTAACCCTGACACAGAACAATCAATTTAGCCCTAATTCATAAATAGCGAAGGAAGCACCAATGTGATATAGAATGGTTTATACAGTCGATTCTCTTGGCTCATCACCGGCAAAGAGAAAACCAATATACAGAAAGGGAAATGGGCGCCAAAGTGCGATATAAAAACCCAAAGAAAAACGCTTACAGTTGCGAGTAATACTCGACAAAGTGATGCTCTGCCTCTTTGGTGCAGTCAAAGCCATAGATCTTGCGCTGCACGTCGGCATCGGCCCACTTGTCCGGCACAGGACCCTTACCCTCACGAAGGGCAGCAAACTGCCTGTCACGCTCCGCCTTGGCAGCACCATCGCCCAGATGCAAGGTGCGGCCCGAGGCCGCGGCCATCTCGACCAAAGTTTCGGCGCGGTTCTTACGCACCTTCTCGTAGACGCGGAGGGCCTTGTTGATCGATTCCGGGGAGGTATCGGGGAGCCGGGACAGCACGACCCCGAGAACGGCGCCGTCTTCAATGGCCTGGGCAGCACCTTGGTTCAGATGAGGCAGGGTCGGGTGGCAGGCGTCGCCGACCAGAGCGACAGACTCATGGATCCAGGTCGGTAGCGGGTCGTGGACGCGCAGCTTCCACTCGCAGACCTCGCCGTCGGGCACATGGTTGAGCAGGCGCTGGACCATGGGACAGAAGTCGGAGAAAACACTCATCATGGCGGGCTTGGAGCCGCGCGTCGTGTAGGTTGCGTTGGTGGCGGCGGCGAAGTTGGTGTCGGGCTGTGTGGTCGACAGGTTGTAGATTGTGTTGTTGGAGACCGGGTACGCGATGATGTGACGCTTCTCGCCAATCCAGCGAGTCACCCGCGCGCTATTGATGAGCTCTAGCAGCTCTGGGTCGTCTTTGATCTGGTCTTTGTGGATCACGATGCGGTATGCCGCCTGGTGGGTGTCTTTGACGCCGACATCGACGTTCAGCTTCTTGAGCATCTCCACCCGCGTCTGACTCTTGATGCCGTCCGCACCAAGGAGCACATCGCACTCCACCTGATACGGGGCGGCGCCTTCTGCGCGCGGCTCCGCTGTGAATGATGGCCGTGGCCCGAATGAGTCGACCTTCTGGGCGTTCGTGCCAAAGTGGAACTTGATGGCCGGCTCCTTCAGGCACCCTTGGTACAGTCCATTGGCCAGCGACGACCTGTGTCCGACCATGTGTGGGTGCCCGTAAGTCTTCTCAATGTACCGCAGCTCGACGTGCGCGAGCTCGCCGTTCGTCGCGCCCTCTGCAGTAGAACTTGTTAGACTCATACTCATACTTGAGATTCAGAGTCTTGATTTATCTATCACAACATACCTCTGACTGATGTCTCTTCAATGTTCACCGCCTCATCCCTGATACCCTTCCAGACACCGAGGTGGTCCAGAATGCGTGCCATATTCGGGGCCAATTGGATCCCGGCGCCGACGAAGCCAAGGTCGTTGGCATATTCATAGACATGGATATTTTTAAATCCTCGTTGAGCCAGAGCAAGGGCACAAGTCAGCCCACCCATGCCAGCGCCCAGAATGGCGATTTGCAAGTCTTGGGGTGTCTTCGTCATGGTGTCGAAGATAAGCGGATGTTGGGGGGAAAGCTTCAAGACGAAGAGGGAGAAAGCGAGTAGGGCCAAAATGTAAGAATAAATGGCAAGAAACCCACGCGGAGATGATGAAGTCTTAAAATAAGGGACCCGATACCTTCAATCCCCGAGTAGTCAAGTCTACCGTGGGTTTTTTTGCTGAGCACAGCTCTCCGCATGGCGAGGGCGGTTGAAGTCTTTCCCGCTCCCACACTTCCCCACACGAGGGGCGGCGAGCAGCGAACGCGGCCTGGAGATTTCATCATTGCCTGCTTGGACTTTATCCGCTCTGCAAGTAATGCACAGAGAGCGCAATCATGGGGGAGAAATTATTATCAGAGTGAGTGTGCATGCCAGTGCACTGCAGCTCAACCCTGCCCTCTCAGCCAATCAGCATCGCGGGATATACTCTGTTCAACGGCATTGCAATACTCAACCGGCCTCGAACGTGCAGGAGGAAGTCCGAGTATTTTGCATCAGTCCGTCCATTCACTTTCGCAACTCATGTTCCCAATTTTCGAAATTGACAGAGTCACACCGGACACTCCCCCGCCACCCCAGAAGTTCCCCACACCATTTGCCTCCCGATATACTGCCATGCTGGGCCATTGCTGGGCCATGCATGATAGGCTCAGATGAGGACCCCATTTCGAAGTAATTTTGCCGCATTTAGCCCTCCTAGGATTGTCTGGAGACTCTGCAGCACGTCATCGCAGCAACTCATCGCCATTGAGCAGGTGATCCGCGTAGTCTGCATGACGAACCATTTTCGTACTGGCCCTGGGGACGACATTCGTGATCCAGTTACCAGACACCAAACAAGGGCACCGGGAAATAAACCCCAGAATTTGTCCAGGTCTGTTTGCTGGAGCAAATTGCGTAGTTCGAGGGTCGCATGGGCCACTTCGTGGGAGCTCGCCTCGCGTGAGGCAACGGTTGACCAACTAAAGAGAATACCTGCGAGTGCCAGAGGAGCTATCCTTGGGTCATCAGGTGAGTGGGTGTTATCACAGATAGATGATCTCGTCGAAGATAGCTGTTTGTGGATTATTTTCGATTGTGCAACACAATGACGGCGGGCGGCGGAGTTGGGTGGGTGGTAGAAAGATTGCTGGCATAGAATGACCAACTGGTAGAAATCGCTCAGTAGATGAATAAAAGACTGGAGTGTTTCCGATATGAAGATACTGTCTTGCTCTCGTCCAAAAGCAAAGAATCTCATATCGAGTGGCTGGCATTGGGTGGTTTGTATGCTGGATAACATGGATTCTGGGTGCCAATCTATCCCAGCAACTCGCTCCAATTCCTTAATACTGGTCAAGTCAGTGCCAGTCATAGAATTAAATCATAGAAATGTCAGTCTTTCATACAGAAGTAGACTATTCTTTAAATGTCCTTCAAAACCTAGGTGATCTGAACCTCCGCGGCATTGAACAATATTCTGGAGGCCTTGCTTGTCTCGAGAGAAAGCAATTTTGTCATCACTGACCAACTATACAATGAAAAGTTCAGTATCTCTCCAAGCCCTAAGTTGTGGTCGCAAGGCAAACATACATCAAACAATATACATGCAATCAAGGCGGCAATGTTCAGGTCGCTATATCCTTCATTGGGATTGCCCAGAGATTCGCCGAGTAAGTTCCGAGTAATCACGCGTTGCTGGAGACTCAAATCACTAATTTCGCCCGTGGAGTTGAGGTCATCCCAGGCAGATGCATTCAGGATTTTCGAGCTCATCAGTGGTGCATGGGCCACAGCTGCATAGACAACGGTGCTAAAAAAAGGGTGGAGTCGGTAACTGTCGTACACATAGTGATACATGACTAGATCAGATCATTAGTAGATTGTCCGAGTATCAAAGAGACAGTGCTTCTTATGCAATGCACTTACATCGCTGCATTCGCTGGAACCCGGTGGCTGATGCAAATAGCTGCGAAGGATCCAAGGTGAGGTGGATTTCTCGGGGTAAGCTCTGGCTGGTATAGCTGCGCCGGATGTAAGCCTGCTTTTTGCGGGTTTCTGATACTCGAGACTTTTTCTGTCGGGAATTTTGGTGGTATTGTTTGGCGAGGTGTGAGCGTACTTGGCTGATTCGTTCGCCATTTCCACGCTGAGGATCACCGGTGACCACAACAAAGGCTGAGTCGGTAGTTCTGCTTGCCATTGCTGTGGATCTTCGGAGAGGCCAAATTAGTGCAAATGCTGAAACAGGAAAATACCCTGAAATTGGTGAAGAACATCGACAGTTATGAAAGATTTTGGGGGTTCAACGAGAGCACTCAAGGACCCACTTGCGACGAGGCTGACACTTTTAGTGCACATTCCTGATACAGTTTAGCCGGGATGATTCAGCGATTCTATGGCTTCGGAGTGGTTTACTCGGTCTTGTCCGCATAGAAGTCCCCATCCATTGACTAAAACGAAAGAAATGGAACAGAGCAAGACCTCACCAGAATATAAAAAGGCATGGGTATTCTAACATAGATTCCAAACATACTTCTTTGACTCCTTTTTCTTCCAACTCCACTGTATATAATTCAACCTTGTGGAGAGATGACGGGTCAATTCTCAGAATTAGACACCGAAAGTGTCTGGTTTGGTGTGTCTCCTTTTCAACCTTGGCCTGCTTATAATCCTTTTCTTTTTCCTTTTTTCTTCTTTTTCCTGACAGAACTAGTGACTGGCTGCTCATCTGGGCTGGGAAGATCCTTTGCGAAAACAATCTACAATGCCGGCCACCGCATCGTCGCGACAGCTCGCAACGTCGAGTCCCTTTCATACCTCCCCGACGAACCCTCCGTGCTCAAACTCTGCATCGATGTGACGTCTGACAAAGCTATTGCCGCGGCCATTGCAATAACCGTGGAAAAGTTTGGACGGATCGACGTCGTTATCAACAATGCCGGGTATGGACTCATAGGGGATATGGAGGCTATTTCAGAGGCCGAGGCACGACAGCAGCTCGAGACCAATTTCTGGGGACCAGTTCATGTCACCTGCCAAGCACTTCGGGTCTTTCGGGAAGTCAATCCCCCTGGCCAAGGAGGTACGATCGTCCAGGTATCCTCCATGGGTGGGTGGCTCACTGCACCCGGCCATTCTTTCTACCATGCTAGGTGAGATGTGCCTTCCAACCGAATAACAAATAGAGACAAAGCGGACTAATCTTCATTGTAGCAAGTTTGCCTTGGAGGGATTCACGGAATCCGTGGCCAAAGAGATGGACCCCGACTGGAATATCAAATTCCTGATCGTTGCCCCAGGGGGTGTGCGGACCAACTTCGCCGGACCCAGTTTGAAGCTGACTCCTCGCCATCCTGTGTACGATACCCCGACGAGTGTTCTCAGCCAAGTAATCAAGTATATCACCAATCCCGCAATTCAAACCACCTGGAGTGACCCCGACATCTGTGCCCAGGTGCTTTTTGACTGCGTGATCAAACGGCATCAACGACCCCTGCCGATGCGCCTGTTCATGGGAGCTGAGACCATCCCCCTGATTCGGGATGATGTGGCAAAAACCCTGGAGGAGGTGGATGCTTGGGAAGAAGAAACTACCCGGTGTTCGCCAATGGGTGGCGCACAGCTAGCCAGTTTTTGACTAGTCTGTAGAGCGCAATTTGACTCTCGATCTGGCTACAATGAATAGATCGTGCAGTAGGTTCAAGGTATGGGAAATGAACAGGCAATAGACCAGATACCTCATCTCCAATAACTCATTTTTTTCCAAATGGCCTGACCTTCCCGAAGGATCTTATGTGGAGTTGGAGATGATCTTTGGTGGTCAATCCATTCCATATCGGGGTTTCGATGGCGAATTGATGTTCGTGATCGATGGTTTTCGAACACCAACATGGGACTTTCTCTCCCAGTAATTGTAAGCTATTGTCTTTCTAGAATAATCATATAACCATAAAAATAATATCCTGTATCCATGAGGACTCTCTACTGCCCCTGAAAGTATATACTCAACAGTTTCCCCGGACCTGTGCATCAATTAGGGCAAAGTTTGGTCTCCACGAAGTGTCTGATTTTACCCGTCTTTGGCTCCCCCTTTTTTTATTGATTTCTTTGTTTATCTTTCGGTCAAACTCCTTAATTTGTCCAGAATCTATGTGTCTGACTCGCCCGATTATTGCAAACCAAAATCGTGACGTATGTATATGTGAATTGATTTCTCGATGACGCAGTGGATCCGCGGGGAGGAATTCCTTCCTTCACCTCCCCCTAAAATAAAACGCCTGAGGATTTGGCCTGCCAAGAGCAAACATCATGACGCCTATGATGCAATTGAACAAGGGGGTGGGTGTCCCTAAATCCTGCGACAATTCTCCGCTCATTTCTCCAGGAACAAACTCCACTAGTGGAACTATTTGACAGTAGCACCCGACCCGTGTGAAGGACAGAAAATTACAATCAACGGCCCTTTGCCCCCCTCTGGTGGGGGCGAAACGCTCGCTGCTAAGACTTCTCGAGACGGATATCATACAGATCTCCGCGCACTTAGCACCGCGGCTGCTCCGCCATTGGTGAAGAGCAGGGCCACTAGAGCCTGCCAGTGCCGATCACCGGGCCAAATGAAGCTATCTGAGGTCAAATTTATGGGCCCCCGGACCCTGGGGGCGTCTGCTCGGTATTTGAGGTGAAAAGTTGAATCCTTTGTGGCTTGTTAACATAGAGGACTAGATGAGCTTTTTGGATTACACGCTGTTTCTCCCATGACTGCTTGAGAGATATACAGATGTATTGCTCTGCCAGGCCGTGGCTATCATGAGTCCCGTGCCCTCTCCACTACACGGGTCAACCATCTCAACGCCCCAACTCTAATCCAAGGCGAAGCGCACGGATCTGCAGCGTGGCTAATGACGATGGGCCTCCTATGAAGCTTACGGCCGTGCTAAGACACATTTACTGTGCCCAAGTCCCCATGTGCTGGGTCCTGTTGGCCATTCAGCGGCCAGCAAATACTTCCATATCTCCAGACGGTGTCCCACCGCCAGTCTCCATCCAACTATTTGGAAGGCACATGGAGTCTTCACTGTTGCCTGCGGCTGCTGGAGCACACAGCATCAACATGGTGGGGCAAGATGGGGGTAGAAGGCTTTGTTCCCCTGAGAATCGTTGGATTTGGGGTGTGAAGTAGCCCTATAAAACACGCAGCCCTCGGACATCGTCCCTGGGATCTTTGTAAAATCTTCTCACTACTCGTTGTCCTCCCTTTCCAGTCATTCCTTACACTCGGTTAATACCGTCCATTCATTTTTGAGACCAACTCAGTCACTCTCTCTACCAACATGAAATCCTTCGCCATCGCGGCCGCTATCCTGGCCACCACTGCTGCTGCCCTCCCGACCAAGATCCTCAACGGCGGGTCTCCTGTCTCGATCCCCTCGGGTGTTCCTTCTTGCCTGCCTTCGGGCATCATCCCCTCGGGCGTCCCGGTGCCGTCTGGCATCCCGACCTGCCTGCCCTCGACCGACTCTAGCAGCCAGGGCACCAACGCCGCCTCCAACACCGCCTCTGGCGCTGCCCAAAATGTCTTCACCGTGACCCACGAGTCGAGAGACATCCTCGTCCAGCTTCAGCCCAAGTTTGCCGGCCTGCTGGAGAACGTCAACCTCCCCACTGGCTCTGCCCCCGTCGGCCAGGTCATCTCGACCGCCTCGGAGCTCAAGGACCTGTCGAACCCCACCAGCTCGACCTCGGGCCTGCTCACCGTCGCCAGCCAGGGCCAGGTGTTCCTGATCCAGCTGAACAAGACCGTTACCGACCTGCTCTCCAGCCTCGGCCTCGCTCAACTCCTGGGTCTTGACCAGGTTGGCCAGATTGTCGGCTCCGTCCTCCCCGCTGCCCCCAGTCTCCCCGTCAAGCGCGACGCTGTCTCCGACGTGATGACTATCACCAACGAGCAGGGCGAGGAGCAGGTTGTCAAGCTCGAGGGCGGCCTCCTGAGCCTCCTTACCGGCCCCTCGCTCGCCACCGTCGAGGGCCCCATCGGCAAGGCTGTCGGCTCTGCCCAGTCCGTTCCCGAGCTCAGCTCCCAGATCCCCCAGGGTGCCGACGCTACCAAGTACATCGCCGTTCTCGCTGAGGATGGCTCGCCCCTCCTCGTCCAGGTCACCTCCACCACCGCCGCCGCCCAGGGCCTCCTGTCTGCGCTCGGCCTGTCCCAGATCCAGACCTACGTTGGCCAGATCACCAGCCCCGTCGCCGCCTCCGGTGCCACTGGTGCTCTCCCCATCGCGTAAGTCTTCCACCCTTGATGGGTCATTGTTTCTCTCTCTTCTATCTTGGTTTCCTCTTGTTGAAGCCCCTCGGGCTGCCTGCGAGAAACTAGCGAATGTACCGACGACGAACATGAGGAAATCCTCCACCGTTCTTTTTTCCCCTCTTTTTAATTTTCTGTCAAGCATCCCGTTCTGTATCTAGTATATATGGACGGAGTTTTGAAATACCTTTGGGAACTCTTTTTTTGGAATGTATATCCATACCACCTCTGTACCATTATCTCTATTTTTTGTTCCTCGCAGCCATAGACTATATTTCATGAAAGAAAGAAATCATTTTAAATATGTGATTTGCGTAGATGTCCAAATAAATAGAAACAAAAACAAAAACAACTACCCATGCAATCCTTCCCAGTAATTGTCTCCTGGCTCATACGCCTTGTATAAATCCTTGCACCGAGGATTTTCATAGTCCTGCACCGTGCCCATCGGCCAAATCGGCACAACGCAGATCTCATTCGGGTCGCAGCCGCGGCACCTCTTCCACGATGCCCACCCCAGGTACGTGATCAAATCCTGGATCTTCTGCGTCGCCGATTTGAGCGCGGGCTCGGTCCATGCGTCGAGAAGTGTCGAGCAAATCCGGTGCGTGACGCCGTAGACAGCACGCGCCGCAAGACTCTGGGCGTCGTGAGACTCGGGCAAGAACTGCGTAGCGCAACGCTCGGCTTCGAGGGAAGAGTTCCGCAGATTGTAGTCAATGAACGGAGACAGCACCCGCTCAAGCTCGGTGTGAAGGGTCTCGAAGGTAGATATCTTTCCCGAGGCAAAATACGCCAGCTCGTCGCTGTACCGCGTGACAACCATGTCGGCGGTTTCCTGCCAGTTCCATGTGGGTTTGAGAGCGTCGTGGGTCATGATAAGAGACGAGAGTTCGTTTTGCATGGCTGCCACCTGGGATTCATCAACGTGGGTTAGTCGAGGCAGGGGGCCCAGAGGGAATAAGTCAAGGTCTTGTGAAAAAGCCGTCACGAAATTGTCGTAGTTCACAGAGACCCGGTTGCCGCCGACTCCATCGTATCGCGCGGCGATGGCGCGCAGCCAGCGCAGCGCATCGGGCTTGGGACGACGAGGCCCCTTTCCTTTTTTCCCGCTGTCGGCCTCGTCCTCGGGGTCGAAGACTGCAACCTGGGGCATTTTGGTTGCAATATCGTCTTCCTTGGGACCATTTTCTGGTTTTACCACGGTCACGCGTTCGAGTGTTAGGCTGCGCTCAAATGCGCACAGAATGATCTCAAACCCGGCCTCCATCCGGATGATACCGTCAATGCGGCCTGCCCATGCCTCCTGCGCCATCTTGCAGATCTTCTCCGCACGCTCTCGCTCCGGCCATCCGCCACCCTCGCCAATCGTGTCGTTGAACAGAATCACGTCCTGGGAGTCGAGCGGGCCTCTGTCGGACTTGGCGGCAGACATCCCATCCACATACAAGAGCCGCAGATCCTTCAGTGTCGAGTAGGTATGGAGATAGCCATGGACGGCCGGATTAGTGCTTTCCGACGGGACATCGACATGGCCACTATCCGCCTCCTCGTCTCCCCGCCGACGCAGCTCCTCGTGCTGTTGAAGGAGCTTCTTGTGTCCATTACCCGGGTGTGGTAGCGGGTGCGGCGGAGTCCCGCGCATATTCTGGGCAAAGACCATGGCATGTTCGGGCTCGAAGGCTAGCCACTCGGTCCCATTCACGAAGCTTGATTCCGAGGTCCCGTGGTAGAAGTGCGTGCCGGCGGGCACGCTCGCCAGAAAGAAGGATACGCCGTTGTGGTGGACAGACGAGCCCCACTGGCGCATGGAATCATGGATCGTATTGAATATGTGGTTTGCATTGCGGAGAGGTGCGCTGGCATCGCTTGGAGACACTGCTAACCCGGCGGCAACGCTGAGTAGAGTGCCCACTGGGAGCAGCGTGAGTGGGGGCCGCATGGTGGGATGGTTGATTCGGTAGATTCAGTGTGGAAGCCGACTCCCCAAGTCCGTGATCAGTCTTTTTTTTAACCGTTTGAACAGAAAGAGTGATCTTCCCCGGATATAAATGAGCTGATTGATAACGAGGTTAGGGCTGATGCGACGACAGAGACGCGTCATCGAGGCTTAAACCCGACACTAGTGATCTTCCGTCGGATAGAGCGAGCTCGGAGCTAAGAGATGCTAAAACATCAGAGAATAACAAGAAGTGCTTAGTTCGATATGAGGTTGGCGTCAAAGAAAGAACCGAGCAGAATAGACGGCGAGTAGTTAAGAGCATATCGGCCACCAAATGCCTAACCGATAGTCTCAATTCCACGCCCAAGCAACTCAAAAACCGCAAAAGAGAGAGAGAGATGGAAAGCAATGCTGGGTGTTCAACTCCCCAATTTTAAGCGGAGGCAGCTTGCGTTGGCTTACGCGGGGATCCATCGATCAAAGACCCGCTCAACTCACCCAACAGCGACAATCCCACATGCCCCCGACGATGTCGGCCGTCCGCTCACTGGCAACGGTGTCATCCTCCTCATCGTCACCCCGCACTCTTCTCCTCACCCTCGACGCCTTCGGAACTCTCTTCTATCCGCGCCCGCCCATCCCCGAACAATACGCCGCGATTGCCCACGACTTCGGGCTCTCCCGCACAGTCACCGCAGACACCCTCAAACCAGCCTTCAAGGAAGTATACCGCGCACAAGCAGCCCGCTACCCGAACTATGGGCGCGCCGATGTCCTCCGTCAGCGATATGGTGGGCCGCGGCAGTGGTGGGAGGAGGTGATACAGGGGAGTTTCAGTCGCGCGTTGATCAGCGCGCAACCTCAACAAACGCCAGATAAGACGCCATCCAAGGAAGATGCGTCCGCACATCACAACAACAACAACAATAATACCTTGGATCTGCCCGCGGGCATGGTCGACGTTCTACTGGATCGCTTCGCGGGGGACGGCGGCTACGCACTGTACGACGACGTCGCGCCCTTCTTTGCGCGCATGCGCCAGATCAAGTCCGCAGCGGCGGAAGCACCATTCGACCGCGTCTTGCTAGGAATCATCTCGAACTCGGATGACCGGGTCCCTGCCGTGCTGAAGGCGCTCGGCGTGCGCGTGGGCGATGTGCGCGCCGACCAGGATCTGTCCAGTATGGAGCTGCCCGGGTTCGAGGAGCGGCGCGGCGGCGGCGCGGGGGAGCCGATTGTGCCGGCACACGAGCAGACTCTTGTTCGCGACCTCGATCTGGACTTTGTGATTACTAGCTACGAGGCTGGTGAGGAGAAGCCCAGTCGGAAGATTTTTGATGTTGCGAAACGGCAGGCTCAGAGGTTGGCTTGCTCGTCTTCTTCCGCGCATACCTCGACCCCTGCGAGTGCGGATGGTCCCGATAACTGGGTCTGTGTTCATGTGGGAGATGACTATGCGAAAGATTATCTTGCAGCCAAAGATGCGGGCTGGGAGAGCTACCTGCTTCCTCGAAATTCGGGAGATCAGCATTCGGATGCGAGGACGATCCATTCGCTGCTAGATTTGGCCGAGAATCTCATACAGGCTGGCCCTAGATGAGAGTTTGGCAGATATGTATTGAACAAGGACATTAATCTTCTCTCTACCAACTTCCAGAGTCACCACCCTGGACTTCTTAGTGTCACGTTTTTAATAAAAATTCATTTAGATTTAGAGACCATGCCCACTTGCACAGTATCTTTTAGTAGCTAATTCAATCTAATGCACGCCGCTCATAATGCCGAAACACAGTACGCCACAATCCAGAGTCTGAGGAAGCCTATCAGCAGATCAATCCGAAGCCAAACAAAGAATCACTAACAAGCGCCACAAGAAAACCGGCTTAATCCCACTGGCCCTTGCTGGCTAATGCGTTCAATCCACTACCAGCATGCTTGCTCAGCAACTTGGCAAAATTGGACCCTCCACTGCGCTGCTTCAGACGAAGCTCCCGCTCGCGTTCCTTCTCGCGCGCCGCAGTATAAGAATTGACCGCACTGCCCTTCTTCGGACCCGACGCGGGTTTCGAGACGCGGTTGGAGGTGCTTGAAGTAGACGTGCCCGACGAGGAAGACGAGCCGGTCGTGACACGACGGAGGAGTTGGGGTGGGCGGAAGCCGACGGGACCCTCTTTGCTGCCGCCACTGTGGAAGGCAAACTTGGTGTTTCCAGACCCGGAGGCTGAGGCTGAGTTGGAGGATGCTTGCCGCAGCAGGGCGAGACGGTCGACGACATGACCCCGCGTACGGCGTGAGTGACTGGGCTTGGAGAAGCCATCGTGTGAATGAGGGTTTGAGCCATCTTGCTGGATCTCTTCGGCGCTTGCTGCGTCTGCGTCTTCTTCCACGGGATCTTCCGCCTCGGCGGCATCGTCGTCGAGGGAAGCATCCTCGTGGAAGGAGTCGTACTCAGGGGTTTCGGTCAAGAAGGAAAGAGTCTCACGAATTTCAGCCAGTGTTGCCGGTTTCTTTGACATTGCACTGGCGGGCGTGCGGCGAAGGTGAGGCGGCGGTCGATTCGTGATGTCTTCAGCAGAAGGTTCGAGTGGCCGCTTGCGCTTGTTGCTTCCATTTGCGTTTGCCCCAGAATCGGTCTGCTCCTCGGAGGCTACGTTCTGTGAAGATTCTCCTTGGGAGCCACTCTCCTTCTCATCGAGGAAGTCCAAGTTAAAGTCATCCTCGAAATCGCGGTCCTCTACAGCCTTGAAGAAGGCTGCTTTCTTAGGATTCTCTGCAATTTCACCGATTTTGTCGTCGGCAAGAAGAGCCTTGCGCATTTTCGCAAACTCACGCTGCTTCTCGCGTCGGCGCGCCAGGCGCTCATCATCTGAGTCATCAAGATCGAGGTCATCATCAGCTCCTTTGCGGCGGCGCAGAGCTCCAGTGGTGATATCTTTGAGCAGCTTGGCGACGTCCTTCTCGTCGCGGTTTCGTTCTTGTACCCTGTAAGACCGTTAATAAATCATCATTTGACTGAGAGCAACAGGGCGACATACGCATTGAGCGCGGCAAGTTGTTTCTCATCGACAACTTCACCGCTGTTGTCGTTGATCATCTGTTGATCGTATGCGTTTTCTTCGCCATCGCTGTCATCACTAGCACCTCCAAGTCCGGCATATTCATCCTCGGATTCCTCGGCAGCCTCTTCTACAATGTCCTTCGCCTTGCTGGACTTCTTGTTGAATGCAACCGCGGGTTTCTTGGATGCCTTCTTCATAACATTGAAGGCATTGGCATCGATTTCAAAGTCACCTTCATGGTGTTCCTCTTGAATCTTGGAGAGCTCGACGGCACGTCCTCGTCGTAGATGTCTGCTCTTTCGATCCGCAATGGGCGACTGGCTCTGACCCACCAGGACCGTGTCGACCGTCGACAGGGGCGGTGTTTCCCTAAACCGTTTTGCGGGATCAAAGGGCGAGAACACGAAACCTTCATCTTGCGTTGGATCGGGAAGCTGCGAGTATTGGGAGAAGTGAAGGGGAGCAGGGGACTCTGATACCCTGGTGATATTTTGGCTAAAACCTGCCATGAAATCAGGCTCATCGGGCTGCTCCTGACTATCGCGGACGAGAACCTCGGAGTCCTCTTTCCGAAGGCTAGGGACAGGCTGACCGGGGTCGGGGAGGGAGAATGGGACGGTTGCAGAGCCTGGTTGGCTATCGGCAAAATTGTCACCCAGAGTGCCAGCAAATGCTTGAGTAAGACCCATCGACATATTACCGGGTGTCCCCAGACCGGGGATCTGAGGTCGTTCGGCGGATTGAGCGGTATTGTTTGCAGGCCTCACAGGAGTCGAGGGTGGCTGTTGTTCTTCGTCTTCGTCGTCGCTGACCACGCGGGTAGGTCGCTTCCTCCGGGCTGCTGGGACCTCGCCTTCCACATCTGAAGGTACACCTTCGGACTGTTCATCGGCAGACGAGTCGTCTTCGTGAGCCTCCTCCTCGAGAAGATTCTCGTTGTGGTTGGCTCTCTCCTCATCGTCTTCATCCTCATCTTCGTCGTCTCCGTCAGCATCACCATCTTCGTCAGAGCCAGACAAACGATAGTCATCGTCATCCTCTTCCTCATCATCATCCTGTCCCTTCTTGGCAGCTTTCTCCTGACGGGCAATTTCATCTGCCTCTTGACGGGCTTTCTCGACCAGGTTTTCAACGTCATCCTCCATGGCTGCGCGTTCTTCGGCGGTTTCAATGTGCACCCCCTTGGCTCTGAGTTCCTCAATGCGCTCTCGCCTCTCCTGGGCAGCCTGTCGCCTGGCTTTGAAGAGTAGGCTAGCCGAGAGTTCCGCGGAGTTCATCGAAGTCATCTTTCGTGTTGGAGAGGTCAAATGCGCTAATGCCTTGAGCTTTGTCATGGATGGAGATTCTTGCATCTTCTTGGCAGGTAGGTTCTCGAATGCGGCAATGCTGCGACATTTGGCAGGCGAAGTCACCACCTCAAAATCGCTGTCGGAGTCTTCATTCTGGTGCTGAGCGACAGAGTGCCGAGAAAGAAGTACCCGGACCGGCGGCTGGCTCAAAGGACGAGACTCCTTTTTGGGGTTGGCAATTGCTGATTGGGCCAACTGAGCTTCGGATTCTTTGGAGACCTCGGCCTCTTTGGGCATCGACTTGCCGTCCATTGACTGGCCGGTGGGGTTATCGCTGACGATGGCGGGCTTTTCAGCATCTGATGGTCCGAGGACGGGCGAGGTGTGAGGCGTATCATTGTGCTTTCGGCCCTCTCCATCAGACGAGTTCTGGGACCCAGCCGTCGATGATGAATTAGCTGTGGGCTGCTGTACGGCCGGAGGCTCTGGCTGCATAAAGTTGAAGCGGGCGAAAAGGCTCTCTTTGGTGATCTTCTTTCTTGTGGTAGCCTGGTGAGCTAACTGCATGTTGCGGCTCATTCGCTGTGTTTCCCGGCTCATCTCTTCCAGAGCCTTCTTGCTTGCCTTTCGGGGCTGTCGAGGCTTCTGCGTCAACTTCCGGGCGGCGCCAGGGTCATCGTCTCCGCTCTCCTCTCCAGAAAGAATTTCAGAGCTAAACTGCTTCATCCGGGATCTGCTGGCAGCTTTTTTCTCGGCCTCGAGTTTTTCGCGCTCTTCTCGTTCCTTGCGCTTCTGCGCGACGAGTGCGAGGAACCGAGCATTGCTCTTGGGATGCTCTTCGGCCTCAGATCCTGTATTTTCGTTCTGGGCTTGGGTGTCATTACTCGGGCCCGTTGGTGAGGACACGAACAGAGGGGAGAACTCTCGGGGACGCGGCGGCGTGCCATTTGATTGATTATCAGGTGCCGGTGACTCCTTCGCGTTGGCATTATTCCTCCTTCTCGGGCCAGCCGCAGGAAGATCATCATCACTAGAGTCGTCGTTTGGTGTGGGGTCCTTTTTCTGGGTCTTTTGTGTCTGCTCCCTTTCGGTTCGGAGAGCCTTGGACAATCGAGCAAAAGCCGAGTCTTCTTGATTGGGCCCAACCTCGTGCAAGTCAGAAGTCTGGCCCTGCATCCGAGCAGCCATCCGGCCCTTTGGTCGGACAATATCCTCCGCATCGTCGGAATCGCTGTCTAACGCCTGGGCTGGACTCCGCTCCTGCGTTTCGGCATTATTTTCTTGCGGATCACTCTTCGAGATCGCGCGTGTGGGTTTGGTGGCTTGGTTATCAGACTCCGAGTCACTGTCAAATGCAGCCATCATAGCTTTGATCTTTCGGCCTGGCGTGAGAATGTTGGGCGAACCGCCAGCGGACGACGCGCTCCGCGTCGACCGCGGTGTAGATGGGGATGACATTTTGTATGTTGGGGTATCGTGGATTGTGGATTCTATGAAAGAGGGGAGATCATGGTTTGATCAATTGGGAGGGGAAGGTAGGGTGAGGGTCTGTCGAGGCTCCACGATCAAGGGCGCATAGTCCGGACGCGATGCGCGTGCCTCGCGTTGCTGGGACGAGCACGTGACTGCTATCTTATCGCGCGTCACTTACAGAAATGGACCAATCAGAAGCCAAGACCGATGCAAAACTCGCAAATTGACCGAGTCAGGCAGCTTTAGCATCAATTTGGATGTTCTTATGAATTGGTCTTTTATGCCTTAAAGCAGACCTTCGTAAAACATCATCTTCATGATTTCAGAAAATTTTGCTATTATTCACAAGATTTGAACTGCCCTTGTGTGGTAAAGTACTGTGCTGGTGCTCCATTTCCGTTGCTCTCATAATACAAGTTCCATGCAGTTTCTGAACTGACGCCACAAAGCCTCACGCCGATTTTCCCATAAAAAGCAGAGGAAAGAAAAACCTAGAAATAAAAAACAAGATGGAAAGAAAACATCGAAGCTCTCATTCCATGGTGCACATCATCTGTGCACTCGGACGAGCTACTTGCCTGCCGATCTCACGGGTGGGACAGAGATCGGAGATGTCGCTTGAAGAAGCCGAAAAAGCCAGGGCGTCTAGATATCAATATCCAGATCTAGATCCAGGGCAGCAATGTTCTCGTCATCCGTGTTGCGGTAGCTGATCATGAAGCCGCTCTGAGGCTTCTTCGGGGTAGTACCCGTCTTCGAGGTAGCGGCTTTAACAGGGCTGTCGGTTCCGGACTTGGGGGTCTCCTTGGAGCTATCGGTGGAGGCAGCATCGGCGGGCTTAGGTGCCTGCTGGGGCTTCTCGTTGACGTCGTGATGGGTCTTGGCAACAGTGCGCACACGCATGAAAGGATCCGCAACAGCCTCGCCACGTGCGACAGCCGCAGCGGCTTTGCGCGCCGCCTTGCGCTCCTCGATTTGGGCCCGACGCACGTTCTCGTAGTTGAGCTTCTGGTTGCGGAGGTTGATCTGGTGAACGCGGTCGGCTTCCAGGCGCGGCTTCTCGGGGCCGTCGAGATGCATGGACGTTCCCCAGGAGAGCTGGGGGTGGAGAAACGCGTGCAGGTTTTTCTCCGCTTTCTCGATTTCCTCCGGGTCCCCGACCTCCTTGGCGAACTTCAGCTCTCGCTCCAGATCGTAACGCCGAAGGATGTTCTTCTTGTGGTCGAAAGCGCCTTGCTTGCGCAGCTTATCATCCAGCTCCTCGCGCGTGAACCGGTGGTTGATCAGACGGTTGATGTCGGCAACCTTGGACGACAGCTTGGCCCGAGTAGCCATCTTGATATCCTCAACAGCCAAGGTCTTGCGGTAACGATTGTACTCGGCCTATCGTAGTGTTAGCAGTCGTGGAGATGTTCGTAGGAATGTGATTGATAAACCTCGGTAATTGGCGAGTCAGAACAGGCGATGAAAGGGAATTCCCGCACGGCCTTTCCGTGAGCCAGATTTGCATATTGATCGGTGATGAAAGGGCGACCATTCGCGGCATCCATGGCATAAGGCTTACCCTTGGCGAAGCCTTCAAAATGTTAGTGCCAAGTCAAGACTACCGAGGGTCGTGTCAGATACATACCGGTAATCAGGCAAAGACGGTACTCGTTCTGGTTAGTCTCTGTGTTCGGGCCAATGTTGATTCGAGCATAGCAGCCAGTAATGGCATTCTCGAATCCTGGGTAGAAGCAGACCTGGGCAAAGTTGCTGCGGCCGACGCGGGCACGTTGGATCTCCCGGAGTTCGGCAGGCGGTTCGTCCTTGGGTGCAGAGGGAGAACGATTGACGCGGTCATCCAGGTCGACGTCGCTTTCGGCATCTGCATCCTCATCGGTCGACGTCTTGGAGCGGGATCGGCGGCCCGAGGGGACAGGGTCGCGGCGACGCAACTCATCGCGCTTTCCCTTCTGTTCACGCTGGCGCTTGTAAGCCTCAATGGCGCCCGAGGTTTCCCCAACCTTGCGGCCACCGAGAGTAGTCTTCTGGCGGGAGCTCTTGCGCTGGCTGTCATCCAAGCCAGCAGACCCTGCCTTGCGCTTGGCTTTGGCAGCAGCCCGAGCTTCATCGCGCTCACGCGACGCAAGAAGACGACGCAGAGCCAAGTCCTGGTTGTGGCGATCGACCTGCTGAGCACGCTCGGAGAGCAGCTCCTCACGCTGAATCTCAGGCATAGCCATGACGTCTCTCTTCTCTTGGGCTGAGTAGTACAACTTGTCGTATGGGAAAATGGGACGGTCCTCGTCGTCGGTGGCAGACTTGCCAGCGTCAGACTCGGACTCGGACATGGAAGCGGAGTGGAGGGAGTGGTGGGACTCGGCGTCAGAGCTGCAGGGGAGGCGGTATTAGTAGAAGTTTCCGGATGGTGAGGGGCGATGCTCACATTTCACCGTCCTCGTCTTTCACCTTGCGAGATCGGCGAACCGATTTAGCAGTGCCTTTGCGACCCATTGTGGCAGAAGAATGATCGCGTTCGGCAGCTGAAGAAGCTGATTGTGCGGGTGAATGGGCATTGTCTTTTGGGGGTGGTGAATGCTCCTCCTCTGAGTCCCCCGCAAGAGCCAGAAGCTCAGCATCCAAATCGTCCGCCATGGCGAATAGTCCTCAATAGGCTGCCGCCCTATATTCCCCTCAATTGCACAACCTCTATATATTGCCAGACACCCAGCCCCTCAGCACAATATCAATGGATGGCTGAACGATTCACTCCTGACGAGGATTCGCAACGAGTGATGGGTTTAAGGCTGGCGTCCAAAACGACCAGGCAAAGACGTGAATCTCGATACGGAGAGTGCCCCAGACTTGACGATGGCGCTGTACAAGGTGGCAAGCAGGAGACGGGGTATCGAGCAAGGCGCAAGGATGATGGTCGCAAGTTGGCCTCTGCCTTTCTTGACGTTCCGGTGCCAAGACCGACAAGCGCGCGGCTGCGTCGGAGACTTCTAAGCGACTTCCGTCCTCGACTCGATGTCATCCAGCTTCTAATCTATATGGCATCCATGGAGTCTCTTCCAGCGCTTCGCAGGTGTGCTTTGGCACAATGTCGACGACCATCTCGAGCCTCTCTCGTTTTCCTTGACTTCCTCGCCCCCTCGACTCTCCGCCACCACCAAACCCGACAAGCCTCGACCTCGGGCTCCTCCGGTCCCTCCAAACCTCGCTATGTTCTCAGCAAGCAGCAGCGCGAATATCTTGACGGCGCACTTCGAGTCAACCAAGCAGGTGAGCTTGCGGCGACCCTGATCTATACCGCCCAGACCCCTCAAGTCGTCCGCTCCCATCCACACCTCCGGCCCTTGATGAAGCACATGTACGACCAGGAAGCAGGCCACCTGAAGACTTTCAATGGTCTTGTTGCGAAGCATCAGATCCGACCCACTGCCATGTACCCCGTATGGGAGGCAGCCGCGACGTTTTTGGGCTGGTCGACGGCTGCCCTAGGCCGGGAAGCGGCCATGGCCTGCACCGAAGCAGTGGAGACTGCGATCGGAACACACTACAATGACCAAGTCCGAGAGATCTTATCCTGGGAGGCCGATGCCGATCGACGGGGAGAGGAGCTGGATGACGAGCTCAAAGATATGCTGTCCACATTCCGGAGGATTCGCGACGAGGAACTAGAGCACCTTGACCATGCCGTGGCGAATGATGCCAAGGAGGCCAAACCATACGATCCGCTTGTCGATGTCATTCGCCTCGGCTGCCGAACTGCCATCAAAATCAGTGAGAGGGTTTGAGGGGCCTCAGATGTATATCCTATCGCAATATGTACTATAGTGTCAACTTGACTTAAATGTATCGTTTTCAGCGCTTTGTCGGTATTCTATGTTATATATATATTCGTCCCTTCACAGTTTTATGTACCCACGCCTCGCTCTAACAGCAGGGTATCAATCAATCCAATCTTCCATAGCCACCAAAAACCCCTCATGGGACTCGTTTAATCATTCCATTTATTCGTCGGATCCCGCATGGTGTTTCTGCAAGTAACCCACGAAGCCCTCGGAGAACCTCACAACTTGCTGGTAGACCTCCTCAAACCCATTGGCACCCCCATAGTAGGGATCCTGCACAACCTCCCCGCCTCCAACGCGATCGTGCAGCTTGCCACCAGGTCCAAAATCGCCAAAGAGACGGACCTCGGCGACCTTGGCATCGACACCCTGCTCAGCGATGGCAGCATCAGCCGCAGCTCTGGTAGATCTCGACCCAGACCTCGGCGCAGCCTTCCTCTGCAGCGATGCGATCACCGAGTCGCGCACATCCAACAGATCGCGTAGGTTATATTTGTCCATGGCGAGAAGGTAGTCGAAATTCAAGAAGTCTTCCTTGGTGACTTTGCGGGCAGCGTGGTTGTAGTTGGCGATCCCATGGCGGCGCAATGTGGACATGGTGCGCGAGTCGGGAGGTTCGAGGCTGTGGTAGGCACCTGTGCCGGCCGAGTCGATCTCGTCGATGAGGGAGGGGTGGGAGGCGGCCACATTACGGAAGACTCCTTCGGCCATTGGTGACCGGCCTGTGTGGTGGGTTAGGTGGTTGTCACGGAGGCATTGGGGCATTGAGTGTGGTGACGAACAGATGTTTCCTAGACAGACGAAGAGGACGCTGGCGGGGCGCCCGGTGGAATTGGAGGCCATAATTGTAAGAAAGTGTGTTTGATGTCGTGTACTCCAGGACAGTAAGGTGTCGAGGACGAAGTATACCGGAAGTCCTCGAGGTCTGTGCAGGCGGGGATTATCGATCGGGGAATTCGTCACTGTGGCTGATCGCTGTATGCTCAGCCTTATTGTATTATTGTATTATTGATACTTTCATTCTTTTTCATCGATCTCGCCAAGATCTCACTCTAGGCACCCAGAGTAATATGATAGTCATATGCTGATCTCACTATTCATAGTTTCATAGTGTAGGCAGCGTCGTTCCTCGTGCTCTAAAAAAAGAGTAACCAAGGAACCGCCACAGCCAGGGGGGCCCGCGTGCCGGTGGTTGGCCCAGCGATGAGGCGTCGAGGGTGGAGCTGTTTCAGCGCAAAATCATTTCTACCTTTACACTGCGATGACACCGGAGGATTTATTGATTCTATATTCAGTTGAACATATTTCTTCGTTTTTTTTTCTTCTCTTTTGTTCTGTTATTTATCTTTTTTTTTTTTTGAAAAAAAAAAGCGACAAGAAAACAAACCGAGTCAAGCACACTGGAGCATCGTGCACCTGATCCCCCCCCCCGATCGGCGTCAACACCAAACAGTGGGCGTGTTCAATTCATTCAGCGGGTCTTTGCATGCCTCTGAGCGACTGCTCTTCCCTTCATTTCCCTCTACCTCGGTCGTCTCCACCCTGAAACTTGAGAGTTCTGGCGGGCCTGGCAAGCTAGTGATTTCCTTCCACCCGTGGACTCTTAGCATTCCACCTGGCGCTCCTGGCGCAATCTCCCACCCCCTGTCAGCGTCTTAGGGCGGATTCAGCTCATTGGACTCAAATCCGAGGCCAAAGAATTGCACCATGTCCTACAACCGAGTCGGTTAGTGTCCTTTTCATCTCTCTCTCTCTCTCTCTCTCTCTCTCTCTGTGGCTGTTTGCGATCTGTTTCACGGTCGCATTGCGCTGAGATCGGTGCTGGTCATTGATTGCATTGTGTGCTTTGGCGCAAACCATCGCGATTCTCCATATATTGCGCCTAGATTAGAATCCTATTTCGCAAACTGACCATGCCTGCGCCAGATCCCTTTGGGGACGAGAATCGCTCGCCGATGATGAATCCCCAACATCTGAACAGCTACAACAATCGGACGCCTTCTCCTGGTCGTCCGCTCGATACCTACCAGCTCTCTGACAACCCATATGGGCCCACCGGGCATCTGCCCATGCCCTCCAGCGATCGCCTGGCCGAACAACCGACTGTGAGTATTTCGCGTGGTGATCGATGAAGGGTCGGCAGGGCAATACTAATTGCTTTGGATGTAATCGCTAGTACTCGGTTGAGAATATCCATAATTCCTATGGCCACAACGAAACGTATGAAGGACACGGTCGTCCTTATCCCGGGTACGAGTATTCGGTTGACCCCGAAGCCCACCACGATGCCTACTACACTCAGCCTTACCAGCCATCGCACACCCCACATGACGATTGTGACTTGGGCCAGTACCCAGAAGGCGGGCATACCCCTTATGACGACCAAGCGCCTATGTTGCAGCAGCCGGAGAACCCTTTTGGGCCGGACTACTCCAATGATTACCAGGATGAGCCCCAGCCAACCCCCAGCCCGGCCCCCATCCGGCGGTGGAAGACCGTCAAGGAAGTTCAGCTCTTCAACGGCAATCTCGTCCTGGACTGTCCCATTGCGCCCAAACTGCTCAGTCAGGTCCCGCACGCCGAGGCCCCGGGCCGCGACGAATTCACGCACATGCGATACTCGGCGGCCACTTGCGATCCGGCCGACTTCTTTGAGGAGCGGTTTACCTTGCGCCAGAAGCTTTTCGCGAAGCCCCGCCATACAGAGCTTTTCATTGCCGTGACCATGTACAACGAGGATGATTTCTTGTTCGCCCGAACCATGAGCGGTGTGTTCAAGAACATTGAGCACATGTGCTCGCGCACCAGCAGCAAGACCTGGGGTAAGGATGCTTGGAAAAAGATTGTGGTTTGCGTGATCAGCGACGGCCGTGCCAAGATCAATCCGCGAACCCGTGCTGTCTTGGCTGGTCTGGGTGTGTACCAGGATGGAATCGCCAAGCAGCAAGTCAACGGCAAGGACGTGACGGCGCACATCTACGAGTACACGACACAGGTGGGCATGGAGTTGAAGGGCAACCAGGTTCACCTCAAGCCGCGCTCGGGGCCCCCAGTCCAAATGATTTTCTGCTTGAAGGAAAAGAACCAGAAGAAGATCAACTCGCACCGCTGGTTTTTCCAAGCCTTCGGCCGCGTGCTGGATCCCAACATTTGCGTGCTCCTGGATGCCGGTACGAAGCCTGGCAAGGACTCGATTTACCAACTGTGGAAAGCCTTTGATGTCGAGCCCATGTGTGGTGGTGCTTGTGGAGAGATCAAGGTCATGTTGTCGCATGGCAAGAAGCTGCTGAACCCGTTGGTTGCCGGTCAAAATTTCGAGTACAAGCTGAGTAACATTCTGGATAAACCCTTGGAGTCCTCGTTCGGCTTTATTACGGTGTTGCCCGGTGCCTTTTCCGCCTACCGGTACGTTGCGTTGCAGAACGACAAGAACGGACAGGGACCGCTTGAGCGATACTTCTTGGGTGAGAAGATGCATGGTGCCAATGCTGGTATTTTCACGGCGAACATGTATCTGGCCGAGGATCGAATTCTGTGTTTCGAGATTGTCTCCAAGCGCAAGTGTCGCTGGCTCCTCCAATATGTCAAGTCGTCGACCGGCGAGACCGATGTGCCCGATCGCATGGCCGAATTTATCCTGCAGCGGCGTCGTTGGCTCAACGGCAGTTTCTTCGCTGCTGTCTATGCCATTACCCATTTCTATCAGATTTTCCGCAGCGACCACAGCATCTTTCGCAAGTTTGCGCTGATGATTGAGTTCATCTACCAAACGATCGCTATGATTTTCGCTTGGTTTGGCATCGTACGAATTCCTCCGGTTCTCTTTATATCTATTTTTTTTGGCACTGACTCACTTTCACCAGGGTAACTTCTTCTTGGTCTTCCACATCTTGACAACGTACCTGGGTCAGAAAAACCTCTTGGATAAGGCGGGTCAGGTGCTGGGCATCGTTTTTGAATGGCTTTACCTTGCAACTCTGGTTACATGTTTCGTCTTGGCTCTTGGTAATCGACCGGGTGGATCGAACAAATTCTACATGACCATGGTCTACTTCTGGATCGGCATCATGATTTATTTGTCCTTCGCGGCAGTGTTTGTCACGGTCAGGTCGATCCAGTCCGAAGTCAAAACGGACCACTTCACGGTCAGCCATCTTTTCACCAACGAGACTTTCTTCACGATTATTGTCTCGCTCGGATCGACGTATGTCATGTGGTTTATAGCCTCGTTCATCTTCATGGATCCGTGGCATATGTTCACTTCCGTACGTATCTCCCCCATGGTTGTGTTTTGGGCCTCTTCTAACGTTGATTACAGTTCATCCAATACATTTTGCTGACACCGACCTACATCAACGTGCTGAACATTTACGCTTTTTGCAACACTCACGATATCACCTGGGGTACCAAGGGAGACGACAAGGCCGAGAAACTGCCGTCTGCAAACCTGAAGCCCGGTGGCAAGGTCGATGTGAACATCCCTCAGGATGACGGCGATCTCAACGCGCAGTACGAGGCCGAGCTGCTCAAGTTTGCCGTCAAGCCGCCCAAAGAAGTCGAGGTGATTCCCGAGGAAGAAAAGCAAGCAGACTACTACAAGGGTTTCCGCAGTGCTGTCGTGCTGGCCTGGGTATTCTGTAACTTTGCTTTGGGCGCCGTCGTGCTCAGTGCCGCCGGCTTGGACAAGCTTGACGGGAATAACAGCAAGAACTCCGAAGACTCCGAGAAACATCGGTCAATGATCTACATGAAGGTCGTGCTGTGGAGTGTGGCCGCGCTGTCCATGTTCAAGTTCACTGGTGCCATGTGGTATCTGGTTGTTCGCATGGTGAGTTTTGTCTCTGCTTCTGGCTATGAGGGTCTCTTTCCCGGTGTTTATGTATACTGACTTTTTCTCTTTTAGTTCCGAGGCGTTTGATTCGGTGTTGAGGCATCGGTATTGACTGTGCTTTTCCTTCAACCCCTGCAGCATCTTGCGTGTTTTCATATATCCACGTTGTTTTCGATACCACGGCGGGCCCGGTCTGGTAAAGCAATGGAATTTGGAATGGTGTAATATGTGTGACGAATTCCCCCCACGGCATGTTTCGTTTTCTTTTCTGTTTCTCTCTCTCTCCCTGCCTGGTCTCATGGCATGGCATGATACGACATGATGATATCTCTGGGTTTTAGGTCCGGGTCTTGTTTACTCATGGGTTTAATGTCTCGAGTGCTTTTTGCATGGGATCCATGAGTTCAGGGTTGGAGGCTTTGTGGGGCTTGTGTACTTTATGTATTTCGAGGTAGATATGAGTTTTCTCTTTTGCCGGCTTAGCATATGTAGATGTAGCGGTAGATATACCAAGTCTAGAGATGGACGACTGGGGAGTGGTTCAATTTCCTTGACTATTCTTATACTCTAGACAAAACATCGAAAGGCTGCAAGTTTCAGTCCGTCTGGTTCTTCGAGTGCACGCACAGCGCAATCCCGCCCAGCACCAGCACCAATCCCAGCCACGTCTCCTTCGCAATCACCTTGCGCTCAACGTACCACTCGCCGAGCACCGTGAACAGAAAGGCACTTGAGTTGGCGAGGGGCACGGTGAGAGAGAGTTCTGCATCCGCCAAGAAAGGGGTCATTAGCCATGTGTCAGCATTTATGGATAGTATTTTATCGTCTTCGAATTGTTCTGTCCCAAAGAACAGGGAGAGTTTGGGGGATTTCATACCATGTTTTCCGACCAGCAGAAAGAACCACACACTCCCAGTCAAATTGATCACCAGCGGAATAGAATACGCAGGCGTGCGAAGCAGATTGACCACCGTCCAAAAGAGTCCGACAATCTTCGTCCGGAGCCAGGATTGGGTTGGTGGGTAGGAGCGTTTCCATGCCGGCGTGGGTGTGTTATCCTCTTCCTCCTCTTCCTCCTCTTCCTCTTCTGCATCCTGCTGCTGCTGCTCCTGTTCTTGTCCCCGCCGAGTCCTCGCACCGGCGCCCATTCGACCCGAGTCACTACTCGTACTCCTCCTCACCCCATGAGAATGAAAACTCTCATCCGGAGGAAGCAATTCCTGCTCTTCTCCCTCTCTATATTCTCCAAGCCCATCGGTCTGGGGTCTGCTACGGCCAGACGCAGTGCTCGAGGCTTGTTGCTGGCCTTGTCGCGCGTTGAAGTCGGCTGCGGCGCGCCGGATAAAGGGGGTTGTGAAACCCCAGGCGACGCCCACTAAGAGGAACGAGAGGACGTAGTTGAAGGCCGAGGGCGCGGGCTCGGGTATGCTGGCGTCGGGGTCCATTTTCTGGGGTTGTCGAGTCCTGGGATGCAGGAGGTCCATCAATGCTAAGGGGGGTGGTGTCCAATATATTTATGCAAAATTGATAAAAGTTCTTACTAATAATTCTTACTTTGGATCGATGTATACGACCTGTGATCTCTATATCTATCACACTTATGATAATATATATACAATAAATATAGAAAGTAAGAATCAAGAATGAAGAATAAAGAATTCAAAGAAACGCCTATTTACAATTATCAGCAAAAGAAAATAAGGGAGTAGACAAAGTTAAACCGTAGCATCGTAAAGCTGATACGATGCATAATACAGAGGCTAGCGATAGAGGAATCAATCTCCGGGACTATTAACAGAATATCTAAATCCATTTCGTGATATATCCTCAAGCAGGGCCTACGTAGGCGTAAGGCCGGCAAGGAACATTTTATTTACATTTTTACGGAAGTTGTCTCGATCGTCTATCTGTAACCTGTATAACTGCACTGTGGATCTTATGCTTATAGGCCAGTAAGATTTATCACAGCGTAATCCTTTGCCAAAGCTAAGTCTTAATCTGGGGCTTTATTCTCTCTTGAACTTGCCGCCGCCGCGTAGGATGAGTTGATGTAGGCGATGGCTTATAATCACGCGTCGGCTTCTCAACTACTAGCTACTAGCGCTGCGTAGACTACTGGAGCTAAAGTGATAAGTTAATAGGGCTTTCCGTTTTGTATTAGAGGTTTATCCCTAACGTTTCTCGTCAGGAGTTGGTTGGTAGACATGTTCTCAGAGAGCACTAGGGGAAACTAGGCAAAGGAGAACGAATTTGAGAAGAAAAATCGCAGAAGAGAAGAATCAACTTGTCTACAGGAGAGAAGACGAGAAACTATCTTACTATCTTTGTATATAAGGCACTTGACCAGCAGACAAAAAACCAGGCACTGGTTAATTATCCTGAAGCTTAAACCCTAACATACTATACCACACAGAGTATCAGCAATTATCAAGGCAGGAGGGTGGTATACAAAATATTAGGAGCTTTTATATATAGGAATTACTTTATTACCAGCAGGGCAGTTTTAGTAAATAGGGGTGGATGAAGACTCATAAAGCATCACTATACGATAGTGAAGTTCGCCTATCGCTCTATTTAGATAGCTATGGAAGCTTTTCAATCAGTCATCTCATTAATCTATAGCAACTATTTCTTTAGGTACGGAGGTTATAATTAATCATTAATCATTAATAGGGGATATTAAATTCTGATATGCTCTTATCTCAGTGAAGAAAGTTGTGCTAGGCTGCCGTTATTCTACACAGCCAGAGTGAATGATATTTTGCCCTAGATCTAGAAATAAAAAATGGCTAGCTACCTTAGGAGTGTTTAACAAAATAGAGCAGCTCTAACTTTTTTTACATGTTTTATGAAGAGCTAATAGTCCCCCTATATCAGATGTTCGCAACGATCGCAGAGAGGGCCTCGCCCATTAATATCACCTAAGATCCCGCCACTTAAGAACCCCCTCTCCCCCGCCTTCCCATATAACCGCTAGTTAACTCTTAACATCGCCCGATAGTCTATCTAGACTTCTCCCCACATATCGCCATCACCATGACACTACAAGATGAGAGCTCTGAGGAGCCAGAGCAGCTTCCTCGGGTGGCCTGGGCCTCTCTTCCCAGCCTCCCTACGTTCTCAGGGCCGACCGTTTCAACCACTTGGGCGCCATTTTTTTTTTCACTTAATCTCCCTCCATAATCCTCAAGCTAGGCACTGAAGATGGGGAAGGCAAAATGACCGCGCTCGCCCATTCCACTCTGGGCTCCTGTGTCCCACGCGTCGTTTGTATCGTCACGGTTCCGATAAGAACCTCAGACGCCTCGACAGCCAACCGCGACCAACAGGGCCTCCTCCTTACTTACCGGCCGGGCACGCCGCTAGTTGAGCTTTGGCCCTCACTCGCCCATCCGCAGCGCCAGACCGTCAAGGCAGAGCTCTGTCGTCTCATCGTGCGTATGCGTGCGCGCCACTTCTCCTACTACGGCCGGCCGACACGGCAGCCGTACCTCCTCTTCTCCGAATTCGGCACAGAGACGCACGCCTGTTGCAACTCCCGCTCCGAGTGGGACGATTCGCGCGTCCGCGCGCTGTAGGCCTCCGCTCCGGACGCAGAACGTGTAGTTACCCTCGAGCGAATACAGCGTGGCACCACCGGCGTAGGTAATTGGGACCGTCCTGTTTTTTTGGCATGGGGACTTGTCTGACCGGAACATCCTCGTGGACCCCTGCACGCTCGCAGTGACGGCTTCCTGGACTGGGAGATGGCCGACATCATGTCCGCGTACTTTGAGTACGTCGCGGCACGGCTATCTGGGGGCCATCAGCCTGAATGGAGAGGGAGTTATTGGATGTGCTGAGGGTTGTTCTGCGCCACGAGTGCGATACTGGGCACCCAGAAGACCAGGATTCTGTTAATGCTGATGAAGGATAGGAAAGACATAGGAGGACGTTGGCGGCTTGGGATGCTGCTGAACTATATTTAGGGCTTGGTTGCGTACAAGTTACCGCTTTTGGCAAGTCCGCGGACTTGGACTGCCACGATGTATATGAAAAGTAGACTGGACCAAGGCTGAAATATTCCCCGAGCCCTGCGACTGAGGTTGTGCGGGGTGATGAGCAGAGGCGATTTGCCCCCCCGGGGCACTTCGGCTCTCGGGGATGAGAATCTCACCGTTTGCGCCTGGCCCCCACGGAGTCTGTTTTTATAGTTTGATGGGTGGAGAGGGGCAAGCGAACTATATATAAAACCACGAGCCCCGTTGTAAGCAAGAATCCGCTGATTTCTCCTCCCAATCCACAACTTTCATCATCATGGCCATCCCCTCCAACCCAAAGCTGGAAGGCTTCGACATTATCCAGACCCCCTTTAAGCACGTTGGAGACCATGGCATCCGAGCAGACATCCTCATCCCACAGAAACCACATGCGGGGAAACGACCTACGCTCGTGCGCTATCACGCAGGTGGACTGGTGAGTCCCGCCTCCGTTTTGTGTTTTCGTGATGTATCAACTTCAGTAACTAATTATGCACAAACAGATGATGGGTGATTCCCTCAACATGGATTTCTGGCCGCACTGGCTATCAGACCTAGCCCTCAAGCACGGCGCGGTCATCATCAGCCCGAACTACCGGCTGATGCCCGAAGCCACCAGCGCCGAGATCTACAAAGACTTCGAGGACTTCTGGACGTGGCTGCTCTCTCCCGCGCTGGCAGAGCTGCTCGCCGCGCACACCACCCCGACAGAGCTCGACCTTGACCGCATCCTCACGACCGGCGAGTCAGCCGGCGGCCTCATCAGCGTGTGGACGGCGCTGGCGCACCCGACCGAGATCCGCGCCGCACTGGCGGCATACCCGTGGGTCGACACCGACACCACGGCATTCGACGAGCCGAGCTCGACCGGGGGGTTCGGCCGCGACATCCCGCTGTCGGTGTATGAGGATACCATGGCTTCTGTGAAGCTCGGCACTCCCACCTCGTCTGAGGAGTCTGCGGCGCGCTTCGGGTTTATGCTTGCTGCCATTCAGCATGGGAAGATATATCCGCTCTTGCGGCGGGGGCTGGAGGAGTCGCCGTATCGCGATGTGTTGCATCCCATGCGGCGGCTGGAGGAGCCCGGTATTCGCATTCCTCGGGGCGGGATTGCTGTTATTCATGGTCGCCAGGATAGCATTTTGCCCGCTGAGGGCGTGGAGAGATTTGTCGCGCGTGCGCGCGAGGTTACTCAGGGCCAGCCTGGTTCCGATAAGGTGATTCTCACGCTTCGGGACGGGGACCATGGCTTTGATATTCCGGTTCGGGTTGAGGAGCAGTGGATGCAGGATACGTTCAAGCGGGCGGTGGAGACTTGGTTGGAATGAGGAAGGACATGCCATTGAACATAAGATACAAGAGATATAGATGTTGATGAGGTTGCTTCTCATTACAGTTGTGATAGGTGGCCAGAAATATTCACATTATAAACAATATAAGCAAGAGCAGATATAAACAAGAATGAAAACAATCGCAATGTAAACAGACAGTCATTCCTCAGCTCTTGCTCTTCTTCGACGGGACCAACTTGGCCAACCGCTCCTTGAGACCATCTGTGTTCCACTTCCTGACTCGGAAAGAGTAGTACATCATCGTAGCCATAAACACATTAAACCCAATAAACGCCCACAGCACCCCAAAATTGCGCCAGCGTTGGGAGTAGTAGATCTCAGACGTGGCCAGGTACTGATCAGCGATATTGAGAGAGCAGTAACTGCAGTCGGAAGTGGAATTTGTGTTATGGAGCTGACCACCAGCCATATCAATGTACTTCTCCATATACTGATAACAGGTCTGGCCAGAGGGCGGGTTGAAAACAGACAGCTCGGAGGCTGCGCATTCAACGGGGCGATTGTGGACCTGCGTTGCGGCCATGCCTCCGGTCCAGTAGGTAAACGGGGAGACGCGGTACATAAAGATCCAGAAGCCCGGCAAAGCCGAGGGAGGCTGCATCACACCACAGAATGTGAGCGACATCGAGAACAGAAGCACGACTACCGCACTGGCGGTTTGTGCGTCCGGGAGCCCGGCGATCACCATGTGCGTGAATGTACTGGCGTAGATGAAGAATTGGATGCAGAAGATCAAGACCGTTCCTTGAGTCAGGGAGTCGGGGACTCCGACCACTGCGTAAAAATAGCACCCAAACATGAGGATGCCCATCACTACCATGTACGGGATCTCGACGACCACATTAGCGATCAGGAATGCTTTCCAGGAGTATGACTTGCTTGGGCGCTCGCGTCCCTCGTAGAGAGAACGCTGCGTCACAAAGACGGGCATGATCTAGCAGAGGTTAGAATACTCCTAGTGAACACTTCGAGGGATGGGTGAAATCAAACCTGTTGAGATAGCGAAGAGAAAATAGTGCACAGCATGAAAGTTGAGTAGATGATTGTCTGCATTCCCTGGAGCGAGGTTTTGGCTTGATAGAACGAAAAACCAATGAAGAGACCGGAAGCGATGGCCAATGCCCATTTCGACAGGACGTAGGACGGCATACGCCAATACTGCTGGAACACACGGTGGGTGACCTGGTAGAGCTGGAACCAGAATGGCATGGCAAACTCGGAATGGCTGTTGGTAGAGTCGTCACTGGCGTCGGACCGGTCTTTCTTTTGCTCTTCGTCATGGATGCGGTTGATCTCCGTCTGAACCATCTGGCTCTCGTTGCTTTGCTTCCACACGCTGAACCAATCCTCTCCCTGGTCATTTGAGCCCACATTCACAACCCCCAGCATATACTCGGCTGGGTTCTCACTGTCGCCACACTTGCGGGCCCCATGAGACTCGAAGTAGTCTAAAAGCGTGCGAGAGTTTTCGCCCACAGGGCCAAAGTACACGGTCTTACCGCCGCGAGCTAAGAACAGCAGCTGGTCGAATTGCTGGAAAAGCATCGCGCTGGGTTGGTGAATGGTGCAAAGAACGGCCTGCCCGTGCTGGGCAAGCTTGCGGAGGAACGAGCAGATAGCCCACGAGCTCTGGGAGTCAAGACCACTGGGAAAAGATTAGCCATCTGGAACAGATTAGAAGACATTACCTTGAGATGATGCACTTACCTGGTAGGTTCGTCCAAGAAAAGGAGCAATTTGGGCTTCGCGGCTAGTTCCACGCCGATGGTCAATAGCTTGCGTTGTTCGACGTTCAATCCCTCACCAGGCACACCGACGATGGCCTCTGCAAACTCCTCCATTTTCAGCATATGAATCACGTCCTCGACGTAATCATACTTCTCCTGGATTGACACCGAAGCAGGCTGGCGCAACAGCGCACTAAAACGGAGCGACTCGCGCACAGTTGACGTGTCCAAGTGAAGATCCTGCTGCTGCACATAACCCGTTTTGCGCTGAAAGCTTTGGTCCAGTCCGCTGCCATTGACAAACATGTCGCCCGTGATCACACCCATCGAGGTGCGATGCGCCAACACATCAAGTAGAGTTGTCTTACCAGCACCACTGACTCCCATCAGCGCGGTGAGCGTTCCTGGTTTCACCCATCCCGAAACATTGTCCAGAAGTCGACGGGGCTCGCCCTTGATCTCGATGTCGTAGGAGACGTCTCGCCAAGTGAAGATATCCGTCTGGGGCTGGATGGCGGCCATACCGGATTCATCTGACTCGTCAGATGTGGGTTGTGTCACAGCTGTTTCCTTGGTGTTCTCGACATCCGATCCCGACTTCATGTAGTCTCCACGCAGACTAGCCGGTTCATGGCCGCGACGAAAGACGAGAGCCTCGGCGGTGCTGGTGGTAGAGGAGTTCAGCTCACAAGCGACAAAGTAGATGGCCATGAAGCCGATCAGGAAAGCGATCAAGATGCCAAAGTTCCGCCACACATGACTGTAGCTGTACTCGTAGTTCTTCATGATATACTGGTCTCCATTCACGGTGGTTTTTCCTGCGACCGAGCCCAGAGACGAGCAGCTGAATGAACTGCCCGACAAGTCGGCGTAGGTGGGAATGAACTGGGAGCAGGGAAAATCGCGGCCGTGGAACTCGTTGGCGATCAGGATTTCAAACGCATAGAAAATCGGGTTGAGGTAATGGAGCCACTCGAACCAGGGATGCATAGATGGCACAGGCAGGACAAAACCGGTGTAGACTACCAAAACCAAGATCAGGACACCAGCCAGACTCATTGCCTGCGACACGGTCTTGGTGATGGCGGCCATGGTCCGGAACACTGCACTCATCACAAAAGTGATGATGAAGGTGATAAGCAGATAAATGAAAAATTGGGATGGTTCTCGCCTGAGACCTGCCAAGAAGTACAGAATAATGTTGAAGACGACCACCAGGGCGAACTTGACCGGTATGTCACTGACCACGCCGGCGATGGCTTCGGTGGCGGGATGGTAAAGAGCATATGAGGCATGTTTCTCGACGATGGGCCGTTGTGCGTAAAGACTGTTGATTTCTGACATGGCTGTCAGGGCGTTGAGAAGAACCGCAAAGAAGAGGGTGGCTCCCTTCGATTGAAAGCCGGCCGTGGCATTGGGAGATCCATAGAAAACAGAACCAATAATCAAGGCCATGACGATTTGAGTAAGAATTGTGGACACGGTCGAAGCAGAGTCGTTCCAGAGTCGCTGGTAGGCACGGATTGTGTTGAACTTGATCTGCATGGGCACACTGATGATGTAGGGAGATCCAGGTCGCGTGTGTTTGGCCTGGTTACCACGCTTTCTTTCCCGAAACTCCTCCACAGCAGCACTGTCACCAAGGGGGTACTGCTCCTCATACGTCGCGATCTCTGCCTGCAGCTGCTGATATTCAGCCGATTTGTGCCATGCAGCTTCAAAGTCCTCTGGGGTGCGAGGGACGCGGTTTTCCATGCCGGGCTTCGCCTGACGTTCTTGCGGGTTGGTCACCGAAGTCAGAAAATCGCCTGTGGTCTGTCGCTGGGGACAGTCCCAGCCCTGCCGCTCAAAATAGGACTTGGCAGCAGCAGCAGGGCCAAAGAAGACCTGGCGACCTTCATAGAGGACAACCACCTTGTCGAAGACGTCGTAAATACTCTGGCTGGCTTGGTAGGCGGCCACTGCATGCGCCGAGCCTCCAATGTCAGACAACAAACGCAGGGACTCGACAAACTTGAGTGCCGTGGCCGAGTCCAATCCTCGCGTCGAGTTGTCCCATGCTCCTAAAGGTGCAATTGACAGCGCCATCTCGGCGATACTGACCCGCTTGCGCTCTCCACCAGAGACGCCGCGAATGAAATCGTCTCCTACTCGGGTATTGTAGGTATGTGACAGTCCAAAAATCGCCATGACGATCTGCGTCACGTATTTGGCATGTTCCGTTCGAGACATGCCCTCGAATCGATGCGCGGGGGTTCGTGTCGCGGCGGCAAATTCGAGTGTTTGGCCGACTGTCAAGTGCGGGAAGTGTCTGTCGACCTATACAGAGCAAGGGGTCAGTTTCTGTTGCAGATCCAGCCAGCATTGAAATGGGGCATCAACACACCTCTTGGTTGTACACCACCTCGCCCTTGAACTCCTTCATCATGCGCGACTGGGGGATTCCTATGGGACACATCAGTTTGAGGCTCCTTATCCCCCCTACCGAGGTATATCAGATAGCTTACCATTATAGTGTATCACGCTCTCCTCATCGACATTCAAGCCATGCAGCTCCCCACAAAGCGATTTCATAAATGTACTACACCCGGCACCTGGACGACCCAGCACGAGCAGCAGCTCGCCACTTTTCAAAAGACCGTTGAAGTCCTTGAGGATCCGTCGCTGCGGTGAATGGGCCTGGCGGAGTACCTGTCCCAGACGAAGAGGCGAACTCAGCACCGAGGCGACAGTGTCTTGAAACTGCAAGGCGGCGCCCGACCCATATACATTGAGATTCTTGAACAGAATGCCAGTTTTGTGGCCGTGCTTGCCGTCCCGACCGACATCGTTCATCGCAGCCTGGAGCCATTTCCGCAGATCGAACTTCTCCGACTGGGGATCAAGTGTGGGGTCATTTTCAGCGACGGTTGCCAGGGCCTGGGAAGGGCCTTTAATGGTCGACTGGCGGCGCGATTGCTGCGTGGCGATGCGGGTGAGGGTATCGACGTCTCCCCGGTCAATCAGGGAAATGGGGTCCTCGTCCGAGGCGGACGAGCCGTCCGTCTTTGGAAGAGTCTCTCCCTCTAAGGAGGAGGAAGACATCTTGGGAGTATAATCGGAGATGAATCAAGGGCTTCTAGGAGTCACATTCTAACATTTTCTTTAGAGGAGCTACCTTGGGGTTTTATAACAAGTGTACAAATTCACATATTCATCATGACTTGCCGCAAAAAGTCTAATATCACTAGACTTGTGGACTCCACCGACCCTCGCGGCTATGGCATGTCCCGATCCGGCGTTTTTCATCCTTCTCAGATTGCACCGGCTGCCTCCGAGACTTCCGCTGACTCAGAGCCCTATGCTGTCCACGGATGGGCTTCTGGATGTTCTCCGGCGTTGGAAAAGACCCACAGCGACCCACCTTTCAGCATGTTCCGAGTTGTTCGGGCCGGCTTTTGACGATCCCGATAGTGCTGCTGGGGACGGAGTTATCGATTCCGACAGGGAGAGTGGGGGTCTACATTGGCACTAGGGCTCTTGGCTTTGGATTATTTCCCCTTGTGCCTTGACATTTGGGAACTCGGGAGTGAAACATGTGTCTCCGTGATGTCTGTCCGAGTGCCACTGAAACAACTCGTGTTGTGCATAATTTATAAGATCAGAATACATGGCCGCAGCGAAACAATTCCCTCGTTGGAGTTTCTTAGTGCTGACGTTGGTTCAACTCATCAGGATCAAGATAAAGAGGAAATGGGGATATAAGAGATTGATAAAGGATTAGAAAATAAATAAATCAAGAGATAAAAAGTATTAGTGTAATCATGACAGTCGTAGTAAAATACTCATCTCTCTATTAATCAAATAGTTAATAAGGCTTGAAAATCTAGTTTTCAGTCTCTACCCATGGACTATATCTCCTGGAGCCGCCTAAGCGAAGCGAGGGTAGCAGTTCGTCTTTGTTTGTTTCTCTCATCTTGTTTATTTCTTTTTCGCATGAAGTAAGGGAAAAAAAAAAAATATGAAACACATACATTGGAAATATCTTTCCCCTCATTTCCATCCTATCAATTCTGTGGCTCTGGGCCCAACAGACTAAATAAACAATGCTCTATACCCCCCTGAGACTCTCCAATATTTTTCTAGTTAAGCATTGAATGACAACATTGAGTGGTAACTGAAGAAAAAAGAAAAAGAAAATAAGGGACTATTGCCAGCCGGCGTATAGTCCACAGTATCATCCCTACGATATTTGGCCCGATCCTGACGGATTCCCATCGCGACCGAATTCGGACAACTCGGTCCCGAGCCTTATAGGTGCCTGTACATTAAATGGATAACGCGGCCTGGTGTTTCCTAGTTCCCTGGACATGATGACTATGTCTCTGTAACTTCGTGTGACAAAGCTGACCTGTCTGAGCGTGGGGGGCCCGGCGATATAAATAGCGCGCCAAGTGTTGGGTGTTGGGAAAAACAGACATGCTGACTCTCTCCAGTTAATTTAACACTTTTCCAAAAAGTTGCCAACTTCTTTCACCTCCACGAGCCAACATGGCCCCTTTCAAAGTGATCATTGTAGGAGGAAGCGTCGCGGGACTGACTCTGGCGAATATTCTGGAGCAATATGGCATCGAGTATATTCTGTTTGAAAAACATGCGACCATAGCCCCGCAGCTGGGGGCCAGCATTGCGATTCTCCCGCATGGCTCGCGGATTCTGGACCAACTGGGCATTTATGAGTCCGTGGAGCCGATGACTATGCCGCTGAATATCTTGCAGGCTGTTGGACCTAAGGGTGTCCCTCTGGGTCGCATAGATTTATTTGGTGATTCTCTGGAGGAAATGTAAGTAAACAACACATCCTTCATTCTTTACGGTAATTAGCCTCTTGTCTGAGCTGACCTGACTTAATTGCGAAGACTAGGGTACCGGATGCGTTTCTTAGACCGACAAAACCTTCTGCAAGCACTCTTCGATAACATCCAAGACAAATCCAAGATCCACACTTCATGCCAAGTTTTCAAGATAGACGACCTGAACGAGGGTGTGAAAATCACCCTCAGAGATGGGTCGACTTTTCAGGGAGATATTCTCGTTGGCGCCGATGGAGTCCACAGTCGCATCAGGCAGGAGATCTGGCGGATTGCAGATTCAGAGACCTTGGGACACAAGCAAGCTCGAATGAACCAACGTGAGTCACATTAATTTCGTCGGCATCGTATTCGACCACTGATGATCCCCACAGCCATTGTGTGCAATTACAAAGCTTTTTTTGGTATTTGCAAGCGCCCGCAAGAAATCCGGGAAACCTTCGGGTTCAAGACGTTTAACCAGGGCCGCTCTTACCTGTGCGTGACTGGACCTGACGACAAGATGTACTATTTTGGATTTTTCAAAACTCCAGACACAAATACGCTCGAAGAAATCCCGCGATATACGGCAGATGATGCAAATAAACTTGTTGCAGAGTATGCGGACGATGTGATTTACAACGGTGTCACATTGGGCCACCTCCAGGCCCGAAGTACGAATTTGGCAATGGTTCCGGTGGAGGAATATGTGCTCGAGAAATGCTTTTATAAGCGAGCTATTTTAATCGGCGATGCCTTTCACAAGGTAAATTTGTGACTTTTTTTTTGTTTGGAAGTGCGAAGGCTGCTAAACCAGAGGTCTTATAGATAAACCCGTTGAGTGGCCACGGCGGAAATGCCGCCATCGAGTCGGCTACTCTTCTCGCAAACCTGCTGAAGACTGCATTACTACAGGGTTCTCCACCTGACAACAATACAATCCAGCATCTGTTCTCGAAGTTTCAACGACATAGGCGGCCTAGAACCAAGCGTCTCATGGAGGGAACGCGGCAGCTGCAACGCTTAGAAGTATTAGACAACCCAGTCCTCAAATTCGTGCACCTCAACTTCACATCCAAGCTCTCTGTCGAGGGGCTCACCCCGACGCATGCAGAGGCATCATGCCCCGGCCCGAGTCTGCAGTTCCTGCCACTCAAGGCTAGACGAGGACTGGTGGCGTTTGAAAAAGAGGTGAAAGTACGCTCAAAGCGCCGGCCAGCTGCCACAACTAGGATTTGGGCTGTTACGATGCTTTTGACTGCTTTACTGAGACCTATGATGAGCATATACTTTCCAGGCCCGGATTCGACTGGGGAGTCTTCGGGTGCACTGCAGGCCTATATTGGGATGACCACTATTGCGATCAATGGGCTATGGGTGGTGGAATCTCATCGCTGGGAGCTCTTGATCTCGCCTCGGTCCAGGTAAGTAGAAATTTCTGTCGTGACTATTATAATATATCATGCTAATTGATCTAGCGCTATTCCATATGTCCTTGCTTCAATTGCATTTGGATGGGAACTTGTTCTGCCCATCTACTTCGCTTTACACATTTACCAGAGCGCGTCCCGAACATTCTACTATCCCTTTCCCCGAACCATCGACAGCAGGGTAGCGAAGGCGCTTCCGATCGGATTGCTGATGGCTTATACCATTCCCGTGCTGCAAGCTGTGACAAGCCTGAGCCAAACAGAAGGACAAGGGACCCTGGTCAGTACCCAGCGGGCCTTTGCATTTGCACATCTCAGTCTACCGATTCTTCTTCGCGTCGGCAAGTCCGTCTTCAAGAAGTATTCTGTTGAGCCTTCAGTTGGTGTCTTGCTATTTGGAAACCAGGATTTGAAATACCTATCCCGGTTTTTCACGATGGGTTTCCTTCTCACTAGTACGGTTCACCTAGTGTTTGTTAGCCAGGGATTACCTTCTTTACTATCTGATATATCAGACTCAAAGATTGTACCCTCGACGGAGGGGGTCCAGGTAGGATGCCTGACCCTTACCGTTGTGGTCTGGTCTCTTTTCGTGGTGTGGGATTTGCGCCGGGTGAAGATAATCAAGGGATCTCTCCCCATGATGATGCTTGGAGCGGCAGCTGGATCTGTGTTTTTAGGTCCCGCGGCCGTGCTGGCTGCTCTTTGGGGATGGCGGGAACATGCTTGGGCACAATCCAGAATAGCGGACAAGCTGGAGTATCAAGCATCTCAAGGCTCATAGAAAATGATAAAATAAGAACAGCAAGACAAGTGTTTGGTCATCTGTCTTCCTCGCTTATATTATCTTATAAATAAGTCTAACACGTTAATACGCATACTAGGCTAAGAAGATTCTAAATAAAAATACCCGGTCGTAGGTAGTAAAGGAATATTTTCGGCTTTAATCTACCTCTTAAGTAGAAGCAATTTGTTATTTCTCCCTTTTATATATATATAGCTACCGTCTATATTATACTATCTTAGGGATTTCTTTAAGGTTCTTATCGACTTTATCGCCGTTACCTAACGCTAACACACGTGTTTCTTATCGTAGCCACTCTAGCTCGGTACTAGAGTCATACGTTATTCTAAATTTACTATACAATATAAGGTTATAGGCTAACTGACCCTTTTTGGAAATTAGGCTTACTATATCAAAACAGCGAACCCCCAGAAAGATCACAATTTTACTACAAAAGGCCATATATAATAATAGTCTTTTCGCCGTCTCCTTAACTTACTCCTTCCTCGAACGTAAAGCTAGGGTTCAGCTCTAAATTTAAGATTATACGAGGGGAATTTATGCTGGATTATCTACAATATCACCAAGCCGTAGGCCGAGTGTATAATGATGATGGGGTGCCTCAGGCTCACCGCCTAGGCGCACTGGCAGTCCCTTTTCCTTTTAGGCGCTTTCCCCTTACAGTGTGGAAGAGCGATGATATTTTGGAATCGCTGGAAGAATCTGACAATTTCTATTAATAGAGTGCTTCGCTACGCTCCGCAATGAGCGAATGGGCCAGGTTAACACCCAGTACCAAGCTTACACTAGCCTTACCTAAATAGGGTAGAACAACAGCCACGCAATTACTCTACGCCCAACAATCCTTCCCTAAGCCATTTTAGTGGAAGTGACCCACATACGTCAATATAAAAGGCACCTATTGGGGCTCTTCAGTTGAGCGCCTGGGATACTTTTCGAGTCTTTTCAAGTCACTTAAACCTCCAATCTTCCTTTCCTCTCGCACATAGTGTTTTACTATGCCTATCTTGCGAGTATTCCTCGCTATCCTCTTAATTACTTTTCTCTTTACTGCACTTGGCAGTAGTAGAGAGTTAATTCCTCGCAAGAACCAGCAAAATAGGTGTACGTTTATTTCTTCTTTCATATTCGCTATATCTAACTTGACGTTATTTGGTCAAAGATCAGAAGCAGCATTTATCCTTTCTCGCGAAACGAACCTCTTGGCTGCATGATGCTATTGTGATTGGACGAGGCTACTACGAGGCTATAGTCCATGCAGATAGTGGATCAACAGACTCACAACCATTCCATCCTTATCATCGTTGGGGCTCTGAGGTTTTTACCGAAAATACTGGAGAAGAGTGGAACTCAGCTCTTCTAGCATCTGGGAAAAGTCGAATACAGCAGGGTGATTTTGCTACGGTTGAGGCACGCAAATACACAAATAAGAAGAAGCTAATGGGATATCCGAACTCGGATTGCCCGTTGGATGAAGTGGTTAAGGGACTCCCTAATTCAGTGGAAATCATGTTTGATGTGAATCAGCATTTGATCTTTCTCTATGGTGTTAATGATGAGCGTGTTGACTCTACAGGCTGGGCTATTCAGGCCGTCCGACAGGCACATGGATATCCTGTTGATCTCTCATGGGGTTCTCGTGGTCTTTATACACGTGTGAGTAGCAAACGAAGCAGACAGATACAACTTCATGTTCTTGAAGAAATGTTAAAGGGCCAGAAGGATCAGTGGCAGAAGGTTACTGTGGATTCGGCTAACATGGACCCTCTTTATGCGCTTCTTGCGACTGATGAGGGTGAGCTTGTCACCTCTCTAATGACAGATGAACGTGAACCCCATTTCGCAGAAGGGAAACTACACACGATCATTTTCCATTATACCAAAAAGCAAATCGGCTTTCTGTTTTCTTAAGGCTCTTGTTGTCAGCCTTAACTCATGGATTATGGAGCCAAGCGAAGCAACTCATACGGACCTGTTACAGAAGCGCCCGACATCGGTTTCCATTACGCGAACATATGAGATGCTCTTTCAAACCCTAATCACATGATCCGTATTGCCAGATATGGTTACTCCTGTACTTTGTATTATGTTTCAGTTCGGAGCGGTAAAACTGAAACTGACAAGGGGAGGTAATGTTATGTATTATTACTGATCCAAAAATAACAACCCCGTGGTGCCGTCGTCCAACAATCCTCCCCCAAGCTCCAGCAACCATTCACCCCCTAAATCATCTCAAAATGGCGCGAAACCTGAACCCTAGGCAGCGTAAGATGATTGCACACATGATAAGCAGCAAGAAAAGACTGACTACATCTCAAATGGCCAAGCTGGCAAAATGTACCGAACGCTCTATCACTAACATACGCAAGATAATGCGATTGTTCGGCAGTCCCAATCCTCCCAAAATCCCTTCCGGCCCGCCACTAATCGTCACTTCTGTAATGCTGGACACCCTATGTGACCACCTCGCTAAGATACCCGGCCTTTGCCTCGAAGAGATGGCTAAGTTCCTATGGGACGAGTTCAACATATTACCATCGTCGTCCAGCATCCAACGTGCTCTTTCTCGGGTTGGATGGACCAAAAAGACAGCCCGGCAGAAACCCAAAGAGCAGAATCCTCAACTACGAGATTTTTACCAACACAAACTATCTGAGTTCCATTCATACCACCTTGTTTTCGTTGATGAATCCGGATGTGATAAACGGGTAGGACATAAGCGGACTGGTTGGTCACCATTAGGTGTGACATCAGTGCAAATGTCTAAATTCTATCGGGGCCAGCGATATCAGATATTGCCAGCGTATACTCAGGAAGGTATTCTTTTGTCTCGTATCTTTAAAGGGGCAATGGATGCCGTGCTGTTCGAATCGTTTATTGAGTAGCTGCTTCAACACTGTGAAAGGTGGCCGGAGCCAAAGTCCGTGCTTATTATAGATACTATATCCTTTACTATTCGGACCGAGTTAAACAGTTATACTCTGATATAGGTGTTAGGTTGCTGTACCTCTTACCTTACTCTCCAGATTTTAACTCTATAGAGGAGTTTTTTGCCGAGCTAAAAGCTTATATCAAGAAAGCTTGGCTAAGTTTTGAAAGGGATCCCGATTAACGGTTCTATGCCTTCCTTCGGCAGTGTGTCCATGATATTGGTGCAAAGCAGCAGAGCGCCGAAGGCCATTTCCGCTATGCAGGTCTAACGATAGAGAAGATATGATTGGCCGTCGTTCCAGGAAACGTGGTCTATGCAATAAATAGTATAAGCCAGGTCACATGTAATACCCCTCCCCTCAGTTATTCAATCTCGATCCTGTTTGCCTCGAATGGTGTATCAATGTGGTCGGGGCATTGGAAGATAGTTCCAGGGGCCATTTCCGGCATACAGGCTTGAGCATTGAAGATTCAGATGATTGGCATTCTCCTGTGGCAGTAATAGTACTCATTTTTCCACCCTCCTCGCTAACTCGTAACCCTTAATTGGGATACATGTGTGATAATCATTTTCTTCTTCGAAAAAGACGCGGCTATTCGTAATCACAGTAGCTGTCTTCCTCTTATCTAGCAGTGGCAGCCTAGTAGACTGCTGCTCCTACCAACCTATACACCTCATGATCTTGGGTCCAATTCTCTGAGAATTACTTAGGCCATAGCATATATATCTTCGTACGTACATGTCAAGTTTTCCACTTCCTAAAAACGAACTCAAAGCCGCCTACACGCCGGGCATGACCGATTGCTGCTTGTGCTGTTAAATCTCCCTAGTGGTGCGCGACTTCGAACTCTATTTTCCATTATCGATACCGAAATCCCTTGAACATGAACGCCGGTATCAGACACTGAACCCTCATAATCCAACAGCACCTGCATCGCCTGCGCTACCTAGAACTATATCATCGCGATCTCATATTCAGGCATCATGGACCAAAACCCCTCTGTATCTCATTTTTCCCTCCCGAAGAGTCTTCATCGCCTCCTCAATTCCATTTTGGCTCAACGGGAATGTCATCACGATAGGCTTGATGCGGTGGCGGGCTGCAAAATTCAACATCTCACGTTGGCTACCTCGAGCTGCGGGCAGACTGCCTTGGATCCGCAAGGCTTTCATAACCAACGGCAGATAGGGGAACTTCATCTCATCCATATCTACCGTAAGAGCATAGATGGTGCCCCCCGGAGCCATAAGCTGGAAAATAGCTTCCCAATTTGGCTGCTTCGCCGATGTGACAAGAACATGATCCAGAGGCTCCATCGCGGGCGGGGAATCCGTGAAAGCATGGAACTCGGTGGCCCCAAGAGCCAACGCTTCAGCCTGCTTAGACTGCGTTCCTGATAGCACCACCACTTGACAGCCCATTTTTGCAGCGAACTGAATGGCGAGGTGTCCTAGTCCACCTACCCCAATCACACCCACGCGCTCGGTCGGTGAAATTTTGAATTTATGCAATGGCGAAAATACTGCACTTCCGGCACACATCAAGGGAGCTGCATCGGCATTGGATATTTCATCAGGAATTTTATAAAGAAAATCTTCCGGCCAGATAGCCGCCTGAGCAAAAGATCCTTGGTCGATATTAGATTCGCCATAGATCTTTCGTTGATCGCAGTATAATTCCTCGCCACGCAGACAATACTTGCATTGACGACAACTGCCATGTCCATATCCCCAGCCCACACGATCTCCGCTGTTTTCACTACAGTCAGTCAAAGTCTAGGCAATGTGCATAGAAGTATAAATCGAAACATAAACAGTAGGAAGTTAAATGCAAGCTTACATCTTGAGCGAAGCAACTTTGGTACCGATTGATTCGACGACCCCAGCTCCTTCATGTCCGAGGACAATATTGGCATGCTTGTAGTGTTCGTCAGTTCCACAGAGACCGGAGTGCGTTATTCGGACGAGTATTTCATTCTCAGTAGGGTCGGGATATTGAGTGCGACGTTCCACAATCTCCCCATTCTCAGAGCCTTTGAAAACAGTAAATTTCGGCATAGTAAATAAACTGATGAAATATTGTCTGACTTGAAAATAAGAATGAATCGTTAGGCATATAAGTAGGCGAAATTCTTCAAGATGAGAAGGTAGGTATTAGGCAGTTATGACCAATGATATGAGGCGGGCGAGCGATGACGTAAGAAGTCTGGATATTGTCCTGGAATTAACCAATCACATTAACGTCCGCTTGGGTCAATTTCTGTCGTTCTCTTGCATCTTCGGTGGGTCCTTGTGATATCGACCAATCGTCTTCGGCCCCGTCCGGCGCTAGGCTAAATGCTATCAGCTAGCCCTTCGTCTGATTTGCCAGTTCCAAATCATACTATGAACAGATCGACACCTTATTCGAAAGCGATTGGTTATTTCAGCAGCAAGCCTTGCCGTCTGCAATCCAAGGGCCCAGGAATATCTATAAGAAGACCACTCCGTAACCGCCTGATCATACATAGTTCGCATTACTTTCTCACATTCTTAGTATTCAGTCGCACGACAATCTGCAAACATACTCTGCAATATGTCCACTCTCCAGGAGAAGAACAAGGCTGTGGTGCAGAAATACTTTGAAGAGTACTGGGGCAAGGGCAACGTTGACGTCGTGGACGAGGTTTGCGCCGATACTTTCGTTATCGATTATCCTATGCATGGCCCCCGCCGTGGTAAAGAAGCGGCGAAGAAAATGCTGCTCGAGTTTCGAGAGGTAAGAGAACAGGACGAACCCTCAACAGAAATATCTTACCGGGCCTAATATTTTCGTGATCAATAGGCATTCCCTAGTATTTCCTTCCACGCCTACAAGTTTCCCCTGATAGCTGAGGGTGACTATGTGGTAGGCCGCTGGATTGGAGGCGGCAAGCACACCGGCAGGGAATTTGATGACCTTGCAGTTGGCCAGCTCGACAAGCCAAATACTGGAAGGGAGGTCTATTTCTCGGGTACAACTATTTTCACATTGAAGAATGGCAAGATTGTGGACGAGATTGGTGAAGAGCAAGCCCTGACAGCTCTGCAGCAGCTAGGGCTAGTCCCTCCTCCTAATCCAGGCAAAGAGATCAAGTATGATGTGGAGGGGAATCATATCTGAGGGAAAGGGAGACTTTGGGGGTGAAAAGTCTTCACAATGTCTTGTCACTAGTTTACTAGTTTGCTCTTTATTCATCTCTATGAACATTTTCTCGATACAGTCCCTTTGCCGTCGTTTCTGTAATACTGTAAGTTCGCAAGACAGTAAGCAGCCTTGTAACACTACCAAATAATGATTCCGGCGTAAGTGAGATGAGGCTAGAAGGGAAAACTAGATGCTACATAAAGTCATTGTCGATCGAGGTATTTCGGCCTAAGTCGCTCCACTCTATGGTATGGCGACCTCCACCTCTCTAACTCCGTTGTTGAAAACAATCATATTACATATAGTACGGTAGTCATTGCCCATGGGCCGGTCCGTTGTTTCTTCGGGCGCATAGAAGGCAAAGAAAAAGAGGATTTCGAAAAACTTACTAGTTGAGGCAACAGTCATAGTTGAGATAAGGCCCGCCTGCAGGTATTGGAGTGGGATAATTGAGTCCAACCCCTTACATGCCAAGATATATATTAAAGGAAATAAGATTAGTCCGGCCACGTTCACCACAATTGACTAAAACATCTCTTGGAACTAAATGGTATAATATGCAAAGACTATTTGGAGGTATAACTGAATTCGAACATCACCCTACTGACTCAATGACCTAAGAGGCAAATAATCTAAAAATCTAATAATCTGAGAACAAACTGTAACAGGCTCAACGTTAATGTGCAAAATAATGTCTCTCGCCTCGCAGAAACATGAAAACGCCAGTGAATCTCAGGGGGGCAGTCACACCCGGGGTAGGACAAAGAAAACATAGCCGTCAAGTCAATTGAGCACGGCTGAGAGGTAATTCAGCGGTCTGGTCAAGTGATTCGATTGATCGCTTCGCAGTGGCCCATTCGTTTATGTCACGTAGGAAGCGACGAGCAGTCCCAATTCGAATCCCGCGCTGAACGAAGAAGCCAGAGTCTGGATCCTCGAGGATCAGTTCAAGATCTAGATGATTCTCCAAAATCACCTGGCAAATATTACGGAAATCAGCTTTGTACGCCTCCTCAGTGGCACGTGACTCCAGCCATTTGCAGTATTCTCTCACAGCTGTTTCACGAGGCCCAGCAATCATCAGCCGCTCCTCCGGTAAGGGCCGGGGTAGAGATGAAGTAATCACGGACGCACTCCCGGTTTGTGCTGGTACAGTATATATATTGTACGTGGGCTGAACTGACCATCTACTGTACAGTACTTGTCGGCTCAGAGGGATACGTTACACACTAGTACATGTATCAGAATACACCAATAGGGCGATTCAGATTGCTCTGGAGATATTTCAAATATATGATTTCAAGGGAAGTCACGTTGCGTACTTGCTGATTCAGCAACTACAGTAGAATTGCCACTCATCCTGCCATGACCAAACCAGTAACTGGAATTCCCCCTCAGTGATACCCTCTCAGTGACTACTTCAATGCCCCAGGGCACATAAGCGTGTCTCCCGACACCGAACTTGGCCCCGGGGGCTATGTATATATAACCTTTAAACCTTGGAAGTTTACGATATTCCACTAGTATGAAAATAGAAAGTTGGATGCTAGCATGCCAATTTGGTGAGATCTTATGGGTCCAGGTGTATCAAGGTCGAGTTAGGGAGCTCGTACGCTGAGAGGAGTGGGGCGACTCAAGGGCATCGCTACTCCATCGGGCATTGGGCGCTATTTAGTTGCAGCCCCCTAATGACGGGAACCCACCGCATTGTTCCTGTTCTTTGGGGGCGGCTTATGCCTCATTTCCTCATTTCCTCTCTAAAAACAGGGGAGGATATTTGACCAAAGACCAAGCCCTGGTCCATAATTTCATATCATCCAGCAGAAGGATATTAATTTGATATATGCTATTCCCGAGTCAATTATACTCTTCCAATCCTATAGAAAACACGATGTGTGCACTTATGGCACAGGGAGAGTGTGCGAAGAATGGAAACCTCTAATCAATACTTGAGGACTCGCTCCGTTACATCCTCAGCTGTGTGCCCATAATCATGATGATCTGAATTTAACCTAAAATCCCTTGGCCCCTGAGACAGAAATATCCCTCTTATAACAGCAGTCCCGACTATTCAAAGACTCTTCTTACAACACCGACTATGCGTCTCTTCAATTCTCGGCTGATACTATGGGGGCTCTGTTCCTTTCTGATCCCTCCGATCTCCTCTGTTCCAGTTGCCGAAGACCTCCACCCCCAAGACTTGCAATCCCTCCAGATTGACCAGGGAAAGACGCATATACCTCGAAGCCTCTCCCTTAATCATTCACTTGAGCGTCGCGACCCTATTGAGCCACCCCGTGGAATATTCAAAGTGGGAACTGAATTCCGGTACAAGAAAGGCCAACACAAGTATATCATCTACAGCGCCTGCGAAGACAAGAAATGCAAGGACCGAACCTGTAAACAATATGCGACAGTGATCCTCGTGAGAAAAATCAATGGGGGTAGCCAAGGCCAGATCTGGGATGGACAACTCAGCTACTTCGATTCGCCTAATGCCCGCCCACAGTCAGTTGCGGTCAAAATATCACCGGGAGGGAGTGCCTTGGACCAGTCAAACATTCAAAAACTCGTCAAGAGCCCCTATGTTTTATCGTACATAGAGCGCTTCTATTCCAGAAACGGGCAGGAATCGGTCATATTGATGCCAAAAGGCGACAGGAATCTGTTGCAGGCTCTATCCCAAGGCTGGGGGCGCGGCAGTTTAGCCAAAAGCCGAAGAGACCATATCGTGCGCGCAATATTCAGTATTGGGTCGGTATTGCAAGTTGCTCGTCGCGCACATGTCGTCCATCGGGATATTAAGCCTCAAAATGTGCTTGAAATAGACGGCAAATTCTATGTGATCGATTGGGATTATGCCTTATATATCAAGCCTGGAGCAGGGGTTCGTGACACCACTGATGCGGGATCATCAAAATATATGAGTCCAGGTAAGTTTCAGGTGGCAATCCGCTCTTCGTATAGAATAGAAGTGCTAATCTATAAGGTGTTCAGAGGTCCTTGCTAGCTTCACAACCCCTGGTGGCATTAGCTATAATGGCTTTAGCTCTGATGTTTACTCATTAACCAGAACATATCTGGAAGCCGATCAATGGGATGAGATGAAAGAAAAGGATTTCTCTCTTGCGTTAGATTCTCAGCTACAGAAGCATCAGGGAGGCGGACTACCTGGTCTGAGTTACGAGAGCACCGATGACGCTCTGAAAAAGGCTTTCCCCGAACGGGAGTTGTCTAGAGAGAAGAGGCATTTGATGGCAAGAGGCTTATGCCGGCAAGAGGACCGATGGAAGATTGCCACATGGATGGAAGAGTTCCAAAGGGTCGAAAACGTCCAAGTCGTCAATTAACGTCCCATCGTGATTAATATACACAAGTGGTGAGGATGCACAAATCCATGATGAAGATTGTAGAATGCCTCTCGCGATATGTCATTTGCGGGGATCGGCGCTTATAAGACGGCCCACCTGCCCCCCTCCCAGCTCTCAGTCTTCACCAACATCATGGCTGTCCAGTCTCTGCGCGAGATCTCCACGTATAACTTGCGCATTTTCAAACGCAACTATGTCTCTGAAATCTCTGGCTCTCTAGGCGACTTGGGCACCTTTTTGCCCATCGCTATCGCGCTGGCCCTCAATGGCACGGTATCGCTGGCCAGCACCCTGATCTTCTCAGGGGTCTACAATATCCTGACGGGTCTCTTGTTTGGTGTCCCATTGCCTGTGCAGCCCATGAAGGCCATTGCTGCGGTCGCTATTGCCCGCAACTTCTCCAACGGAACGATCGCTGCCGCGGGGATCTTCGTCGGCGCCTGCATTCTGGTTTTTAGTGTGACAGGCCTTTTGCGCTGGTTCGCTCATGTGATCCCCATCCCCGTCATCAAGGGTATCCAGGTGGGCGCTGGTCTGTCTTTGATCATCGCTGCCTGCAGCCGCATGCTCGCGCCCCTGGGCTGGATGCGTCCGTCCTGGGCAGACAACCGGATCTGGGCGCTCGCAGCCTTTATCGCGCTTCTGATCACCAGTATCTACCGCCGGGTGCCCTACGCACTGGCCGTGTTGGTCTTGGGTCTGGTCTTTGCCATCATTCGAACCGCCCTGGCTGGCCACATGCCAGGCTTTGCCGTGTGGCATCCATTTGTGGTTGTGCCCAAGCCCCATCAATGGCGCGTCGGTGCTATAGATGCGGGCATTGGCCAGCTTCCACTGACAACCCTCAACTCGATCGTCGCTGTGGTCCACCTGGCAAGCGACCTGCTGCCCAATGTGCGCGCCCCGTCCGTCACCCACATCGGGCTTAGTGTCGCCGCGATGAATATCCTCGGCTGCTGGTTCGGGGCGATGCCCGTCTGCCATGGGTCTGGTGGTCTTGCTGCGCAGTACCGCTTTGGAGCCCGCTCTGGCGCGAGTGTGATTTTCCTCGGTCTGCTCAAGCTTGTCATCGGGTTTTTGTTTGGCGAGACCTTGGTCGACCTCTTGCAGCGCTTCTCTGCCGCATTCCTGGGTGTGATGGTTATTGCGGCTGGCCTGGAACTCGTCAGTGTTGGCGAGAGCCTCAATACCTCTGGTGCTCGAGACCTCGGTGAAGCGGGCAGCGGTCTGTTGGCAAACCCGGAGCAGCATCTCGGTCCGGTGCTCACGGACGCAGAGCGTAGTCGTCGCTGGACTACTATGATGGTCACTGTGGGCATGCTGGTCGGGTTCAAAAACGATGCCATTGGGTTTGTTGCCGGTATGCTATGCCACTGGTCGTATGAGATCCCAGGCTGGTGGGAGAAGGGTCGCAGCCGCTGGTCAGAGGGACGACTCCACTTGTGAGGGATTTACTACCTACACTCAGTGACTTGCTGGCGATGAGAACTACATACACTTGACTTGCACAAAGCATATGGACTTGATGATGAAATGTCTCGCTGTTCATTTTCACATACTGTACAGTTTTTCAATGCAGATTGTTATGGAAACCAACCATATCCTCCTAAATCAACTCCGACACATCGACATCCGTCTCCCGGTGCAGACGTGTCCCCGTACTAGGATTCTCATACTGACGCTGTTCGCGCGCCGAGGAAGAAGACAACCCCGAAGAATCCATATCAACATCACGATGGAACCTGCGCCCACCGACATCCCTCAACACCCGATGATGCCTCACAGCCCCATCAGCATCATAATCGGCATGCTCATCATACGCGCCGGTAGCAGGATCAAAAACACGGGTGCCAAAGGGTGTCCCAAGATCATACGACTCGCGATCGACCATATCGCGATCTACAGACTGGGGCGCCCCGGCGCCACCTACAGTGCCGTACGCCGTGCCCGCGTCCAGCGTCGTCGCGCCCGTGGTGTCCTCGTCGTCGAGGTCCGTGATGCGGCGCACGCCGCCGGCCGATGTGCCGCCGGGCCCCGGGAGGGCGAGCTGGAGCTCTTCCTGGCCGGTGCGGTCATAGCGCCGCTCCTCGACGACGGCTGGTTGGCCGAGGTCTTGGTGTGCGGTGCGCACGATGGTCGTACCATCGGGCTCCGTGTGCGAGGTCGTTGTGTACCGGTGGCCGGTGGTGGTGGTGCCGTCGGTGGTGTTGGTCGTAGAGCTGTAGTAGTAGGAAGAACTGGTGTAGGAATCGGACATCTTGGGGCACGGCCGCGCTAGGCGGGATGTGGGCGAGGAAGAGGTAGAGCTGGTCCACACTTGTGGAGTCATTATTATTCTTCTTTTCTTCTTTCTGTTGAGTAGAGGTATAGTATATACTGCACTCTGACAGTTGGGTGTTGTCACTTGTGTTGTCCCTTGCAGGTCTGATACCACCAGCACTCTGTTTGAATCTGCTAGATCCTTTTCTCCATGCTTTTTTTATATACTCCCCACGTGGCGAGCCATGATCCTTCGTTGACATCATTTTGGCCTCGCGCGGCGATCGTGGCGATCCTGAGGCAGGGAAAAACAAGCAGATGCCAATGCGGTTCGCTTATCGCCTCCCCCGCTCTTCTGTTGACCCAACATATCTCCCTCTACGGTATGACCACTATTCTCTCTCTCTCTCTCTCTCTCTCTCTCTCTCCACAGCTCTCCCCCTTCCCCTATGGCTGGCCTCAACGCAGAGCAACTGGCCTCGTTCCACGAGAACGGCTACCTCGTGATCCCAGACTACCTCAGCTCGACCGAGGTAGCATCGCTACTCACCGAGGCCAACAAGCTCCTCGACAACTTCCCGCTGGAGTCGCACCCACTGACGCGGTTCACAACGGGCGACGACGACACCGCCGACCATGTGGGCGACGACTACTTCCTGACGTCGGGCGACAAGATCCGGTTCTTCTTCGAGCCGGACGCCTTCACCACAGACCCGGACCCGCTAACGGGGCGTGCCGCGCTCATCAAGCCCAAGCACCTGGCCGTCAACAAGATCGGGCACTCGCTGCACACGCTGTCGCCGCCGTTCCGGAGCGTCACGCTGGAGCAGCGCAATGCGGCGGTCGCACGCTCGCTGGGGTTCCAGGACCCGCGCGTGCTGCAGAGCATGCTTATTTGCAAACAGCCCTCCATTGGTGGCGCGGTGCCGTCTCATCGCGACTCGGAGTTCCTGTACACGGATCCGCCCTCGGCAGTTGGGTGGTGGTATGCGCTACAGGATGCGGGGCCGGGCAATGCGACACTGGGCATGTGGAAAGGGTCGCATACGGGCCGGAAAGGTGGGCACATCTTGCGTCGGTTTGTGAGGAAGAGTTCTGGGTCAGGTACGGAGTTCATTGAGAACCGAGGCCCTGCGCTGCCCAGGGGGGTCGAGGAGGAACAGAGTGAATCACCGACAGACGAGGAACTCGAGATCCTGGATATCAAGGCTGGGTCGTTGGTGCTGATTCATGGTAATGTGCTGCACAAAAGTGAGAAGAACACGAGTCCTCGCAGCCGGTTTGCGTATACGTTCCATGTCATTGAGGGCGCCGATGGCTGGGAGTATGATGCGCGAAATTGGCTGCAGCCGCCTGAGGCTGGATTCTCGAAGCTTTCTCCATCGGACAATACATAGCATCTATATAGCCATAAATGACGATTATGATAGAATGGTTACTTCAAGAGGTGACTCCCACTCTCAACTCGGTTAATGGATGGATATTTGAGCAAATTAAGAAGGATTTGTTGAAGAATCTTCTGGAAATACAACAAAACAGCCATCGCCATTGCAAAGAATTTGGTCAAACAAGATCCACCTCCAGCATAATCGAAGTATTCACTGTAGAGCACGAGTTGTCTTCTCCCCCAGCTGTCTCGGTTTCGAACGGAAAGGAAGCTTCTGTCGGTTGGCAGGCCTTGTGGAACTTCCAGTTAACACAGGGGAAAGGAATGAAGAACCTCACTGCTCTTCGGCAGACGGGGTATCTCCTTGCTTCGGAGAGACATTTTCCTTGTCGGCTCCTGGTGGCGGGGAGACATACTCAGGGGCCATGGGTGCATCCTCCTCGTCGCTGTAGAATTCGTATTCGGCGCCATGTCGAGGTTCGCAGGCCAGGTAGCGAAGGAAAAGATCGAAGGGAGCCTCTGCCTTGTATCGAAAACTGTAGATAGGCGAGGCACGAATTTTCAAGACACCTGACTTGTTGAATTTGGCTTGCAAGAGACGTCCATGGCGCGGGCCAAACAACGAGATGGCCATTATCTGTCAGGGATTGAAACCGTGGTCGAGATTAGTATGTATTCGGGACGATGGGAGGGGAAAATATTAAAATCAATATATACCGGGAAGAGTGATGTCTCCTCAAACTCCGCCTGTTCAAGTCGATTTTCGATCGCCTGCGCGATAGGCCCGAGCTCGCCAATGAGCAGCTCGTTTTCCTTCGCCTCTGCCCCACTGCAAATGATAAGCATCATGTGTGGGTAGGCTGGCGCTGAGGCGTCCTCGTCTTTCCACCACTCGCGCATATGCACGGTACGCCAGTCGGGAAGGCGATAGGGGAGCCCAATTAGATCACCACTTAACAGTCCTCGTGCACCATCGAGAAATGAGTTACCGTACCTAGATTATCCGGAGAATATATCAGTAGACTGATTCAACGAACTACCTTTTTCGAACTTACTTGATGTGGACCCATCCAGAAACTTCATAAAAGGAAACGAGGTTCTTGCGAATCTTCTTCCTGGAGTGATAGTAGAGGAAATCCAAATGAGACGAGATTAGGTTTGCTCTCTTGCTCATAATGTAACCAGGACTTGGATTTGTTACACCCTTCTCCTTCGTAACGCTGTCGTAAGCCTCGTCAAATCTTTTGTAGCTCCTGAGCCCGATTTCGTCGAAGTCGGACTCGACTAGAGTGTACTTTTCAGACTCCCGAGATGACAGAGGCTTAAAAAGACAGGCTGAGGAGTCGAGAAATTTTTGGTCGTTGGGGTCAAAAGATCCTAGGGAAACTCTGAGGACATCAAGCTCATCGCTTCGATAGGCAGCCTGGGGCTGGGATTTCAGTGTCTTGGTAAGGTCTGACACCGCCTGAATGTATTTGGCTCTCAGGCGAGTCCGCTCCTGTGTCTGAAAATCGGTCTCCATGGTCGCTGGCATGAAATAAGAAAGCAGATAGAAGATCGATGATTGTAGGAGGAAGGTCGATGGTTGTAGATGGAAGGATCCTGTCAGGTCGACTTTTGTGGGTCTGCTATTTGCCTAGTCCGCTTTGGGATTAGCCTCGAATGTAGAAAATAGATGCAGTCCTCAAGGCATCGATACTCTCTGATTCTAAATATCATTCTAAATATTATTCTAAACATAATTCTAAGTCTAAATAATATTCTAAACATGATTCTAAATGTGATTCTAAATCTGATTCTAAATCTGATTCTGATTCTGATTCTGAATCTGATTCAACAGCAGAAGGCAACAACCACCACCACCATTATTTCGTGTTCCAAAAATTCGAACTTCCCTATCCCAAGTCGAAAACACACAAACATTCACTCTGCCTCTCTCCCTCTCCCTCTCACACTCTCCCCCTCTCTCTCCCTCTCTGATCCGAACTCTGCACCAATCCTTCCAGCTTCAATGGCACCCAAGAAGGATGAACCTCTTCCGAGGACCTGGTCGGACTGGGCCAAAGCGGCCAAAAACCTTGGGGTCTACAGAGCGAGCGTTCATACGCGAGAAAACTTTCAGTCCGGGACCAACGTCACCAGGGAGGAGCATCTGCTCCTTAGAGCCCTCTGGACTCTAAGTGAAGATGATGCGATCCCGGAAGAAGAATTGGGGCTGGGGCCATACTTTGAAGATGCAAGTCGCTGGCTTGATGATTTTGTGCCGTTTGCTGAATACCTGAAGGGTATTGAAAACTCAAGCATGCCTGGAGTTGACAATATGGGGATTTTCGAGACTGCCTATTCCCAGCAATTTCAAGTCCGCAAGTTCCTCCACGAGAAAAAAGACAAAGACAAAAAGGGACTGGACGGCATCAACGAGGAAATTGTCAATGCCTCGCTTATCTCTTTTCTCACGGCTATTTGTCTGAAGAACCCCAACGTTCAGGCCTACTGGACTCCTCACCGCGCTACCTTGACAGCGACATTCAAAAAGGCCAAGCTTGCGAAACAGACGAGCCTCAATTGCCAGATAGATGGTTTTCTGGCTGCGAACAAAACTGCTCAAACCCAAGTGATTCTTGAAGCCAAAGCAGATAACCGCGAAATCCATGAACCGAACGTCACTATGCAAGAGACATATGAGATTGTTGCTGCTCTCCTCACCGACGCGCCTAAAGGCCTTCCCATGAACAGGTTAGTTGATATTCTTGTATTTCTAAGTCCCATATATGATGAATGAAGTTCAATATTAATACATGTTTTAGGGTGATTCTTATCTCCCAGGACGGAGAAGAGCTCTATCTTTCTAACGCCACCTACACGGACGAGTACAAGAGTTACATGATGGGCACAAAGAGGGGCATGATCAAGAAGACCGAGTTTCTTCGGATCCAGAGATACGGACCATGGAGGATCAAACACTGGAAAGAGGTGGAAAAGTTTGCAAAGCTGGTCTTGGCAATTGCCCTCCGCGCCAGCGCAGAGCAGCCCTGAAGCAGCTGACACCAAGCGTCATGTTCGTGGTTAGGAATTTCTTGGCTGTGATGGTGTTTCGACCGATTATTCCGTTGTTCGATGTTCGATTTTAAAGAATTCAGGACTAATTTTTATTTTCTATGCAACTCAACTGTCAAACCGAGTGGGCCTGTCTAGTCCACTTCAGGATTAGTCTTAAGAGTATAAATTAAATCGTAGAAATATCGTCTGAAAAAAAGTTTAAAAACCCTTTCAAAAAAATATTTTTTTTTTAAAAAAAACGTCTTCGAAAATCAATTATACGTTAGTCTTATACATTACTATAAAACACTGTCGTTTTGCTGCATAACCTTTAGGGGAGGTTACGGATATGTAAAGGCTTGTGGACCAGCAAGTAGCTTGGTGATCCTCCAAGACAGCCTGTGGAGCTACGAACTAGCTATGCAAAGAATTCGGGATGACTTTTGTTCTCTATGCGATTCTGTACAAAGTTGAATAGCCTGCCATATACACCCGGTAATCACAATCCAGACACCGCAAACTCCAAGCCACGTTGTGGATCTCTCAGAAACATCAGGTCGCTTTCAACATATCCAGCATGCCCTTGGTCTGGAATGCCTGCTGGGACATTTCCACCTCGTCGCGCACCCGGCGGTGCAGACGCTCGACCAATTTGTCGATCTGGGCGGACTGGCCCAGGTTCCCAGAGTAGAGATCGAGCAGGTTCATGGCCACCTCGACACTCAAATCGACCAGACGCGGCTCGCGGATATTCTTGTGGACCCACTGCAGAACAGGTTCGAGTGTAACCTCGTCGCGATCCTTAAGCGACGCGCGCAGGGCGAAGCGGTGGCGGAGAGCCGTGAGGAGTGTGAGTTGGGCGGTCTTGTCGGTCGACGCTAGGACCTGGTCCAGCGCAGCCGAGTACCGCGCCTTACGAAGATCGTTCTCCCAGGGCTGTTCTTTCTTTCGTCGCTTCTGATCGCGGCCTTCAATCACGATGTCGACCCCTTCGCCAATGAAGTCTCGGCCGCGCAGCCGCTTTTCCCATCCGGAGCCGCGCAGCTTTTGCTTCTTGGCGACGTTCCGGTCGTGTTCCTCCAGTTTGCCCTCCAAAAGCGCCTGCATTTCTTTCTTGCGCTCGCGTTCCTTGACCTTCTGCTGGCCAGACAGTCGGGTCTTGATGGATAGGAGGCCCGACTGCATACCCACGGCGATGTGTTTGTCTTCATGTGCCATTCCCGACGTGATCGCACGCAGCGACAGAATCGGTGATGGGTATTTGGATCCCGAGACCGTGTTCCATCCCGTGGTCTCGAAGACCTTCATGTGGCCGTCCAGTGCACCACTCAGCAAGCGCTCGCCGTCCGAGGCCAGCGCAAGTGAAGTGACGGTCTTCTGATGGCTCTGGATCATATGGAGCGGCTTGCCCGCGACAATATCCAGCACCGCGATCTTGTTATCGGCCGAGGCCAGCACGGTCGTCCCCGCGGGCATGGGCAAAACGCTCTCAATCGGAGCTGCCATCTTGAAGGTCATCGCAGCGCGGCTTTCGACACGGGGGTCCCAAAGACGTACTGTGCGGTCGTAAGAGCCAGAGACCACCAGCCCCGATGACGCCATCGAGCCCGGCATGAAAGAACCGCTACGCACATAATCGCCATGGCCGACAAAAGTGCGCGTGCTGCTCTCAGCGGGCAAGTCCCACAGCCGCACGGTCCGGTCGTCACTGGCGGTGAAAACCGATGTCGGGTCGCTTGGCGAGAATTTGCTCACCCAAACCGGCTGCTTGTGGTCCCTCCAGGTCTTCAGGATTGCGCGCGAGTTGACATCAAATACCTGCACTGCGCCCGTGTCGTCACCCGTCACCACTACACGGCCATCTGGCCGCACATCCGTGCCACGGACGGTGTCGTCGAATCGTGTGATGGTCCGAAGAAGCTTCCGTGTGCGAATCGAGTAAATTTGAACTCGGGCGCCCGTGGTCACCGTGAATACATCAGGCGGTTGTGTAAGTGAGGGGAAAGCCGCGGGAGAGGAAGGGGCCGAAGGCTGTGTGATGAGGTTGACAGGCCCATTGGCCGGAGACGGAATCAGCAGCGGGTTCTTGAAGGTGCGCCAGTATTGTTGCTCTGGAGTCAGACGGGTTGAGGGCAGCGAGGCGAGCTTGACCTGCTGCAGAGGCAGGACGGGCGCCGCCATGATTGGCTAATTAGGTAAAGATTTTCAAGGGGGTTATTTTCGATTAGAGGGCCAGATACTCGCAACTCATGGCCAGGGCGGAGTGGTTGGTCGCGTGAAGTCTGGGATCTTTTTTCGCTGCGCCGATCTTCAAAAAAAAGTTCGTCTTCCCCAATCGGGAATGGCGGCTGGGGCTGTTGACACCTGAGGCACTAAGGCCAAAGAGCAAGACTTGGAGGAACACAGGCCATCAGGCAGTCAGGCACTACATTTAACTGGCAATACACCCTACACTCCCGACTATGTTCCTTTTCTCATATGTACTTTTCAGTTTCAATTTCCAACTATCGCTATCTGTCTCTGGTCAGCTTTAGCTTTGTAGGAAAAAGAAACAAGACAGAGCCGAAGGGGCGTTGGTTCGGGAAATGTGGAGTATTTGAAACATTCTGGTCGTGGATGTTTCATCCAGTTCTAGAAATAGAGAGATATTTTCTGATACAATTGGAGGTTATCACCAAATAATCATTGAACAAGCAAGGATCAACATGCTATACTGTATTTGACACATTGTCTCAATAGGCCAGGGGAGGAGTCACAAATTGGAGTACTAACTCGATCATGAAAACCTATAGCATTAACAGATCGAGTGCAGTAGAGAGTTGGAGGTGAACATCGCGATCGGAACATTGGTAAGATCCCATATTGTACCCTCTTTTACTGTAATGGGTAAGCCCCACGAGCGAACCCCCATTGCATGTATAAGGAGGCCTACAGTACATAGGGCCGGTTGATTTAGGTGAAACAGGATTGACAAACAACGCTATTGCCTGATGACGATCTCTTGGCTGATCCAGCAGCCAATCGTTGCATACTCTTCCCCCTTGTCAGGAATGTAAATGCGGGTCGTGGTGGCTGGGGATCCGATCAAAGATCCATTTGAATATTGGATGCCTGGCCGAGGTTAAGGATTGGCGAGGCCATACCACTGATTTCAACAAAGTTGATGAGTCCACTGCTGTATATCGCTATGAACACACATCTCTTCGAGTGAGTAGATGAGGTTGTCACGAAGCGAGTCTAAAAGGGAGATTTGTTTACCTTGAAAGCCGGGTCAACGCGCGGTAACCGTATTGTCACGGTATCATAAGGCGGGCTGCTCCACTGGAGTCCAGGCGCAGTCGCCAGGGGCCACAGCCAATCAACAGCCACCCCAGCCACCGCCAATACTGCATCATTACATTCTTATCGCTTTCTTCTTGCTCCTCCCGGCTCTTTTCTTTTCTTCATCTGCAACTCCCTCTGGCTGTTTTCTGATTCATCCAGTTGAAACATTTCTCGATGCTGGTGACTGGCTGAATTCTGGCATAGCTTCAACTCTCGTACACGAGATCCCGAGGCTTATCGCATCATGTCTAACAGACTCGCCAACGTCAACCATGCGGCGGGCATCTTCGCCGACATGTCGGTCGATGGCCCCGCCATTGGCACCTTGGTCGCCATTATTGACCGCGCAAAGAACCTGCCCAATCGCAAGACCATGGGCAAACAGAATCCATATTGCGCAGCACGACTAGGCAAGGAAGCAAAGAAGACTCGTACCGATCTCCGAGGAGGACAGACTCCCAGATGGTAAATACTTAGCTAAATATTACGATGAGCATATCGAATACCCGTCTAACGAGATCTCTAGGGACTATGAACTTCGATTCACCGTGCACGAATCCCCCGACTACTTCAAGCTGAAAGTATCCGTGTTTAACGACGACAAAAGGACCGATCTCATTGGCGAGACTTGGGTCGACCTGCAAAACTTGATTATTCCCGGTGGAAGCCAGAATGACCATTGGCATTCGCTACAATGCCGGGGTAAATACGCAGGGGATATTCGGATTGAGATGACCTACTACGATACCCGGCAGCAGGACGAGGCTGTGATTGAACGCCGCAAAGAAGCTGCGGAGAGGGTCCAAGGTAAGCCGACTAGCTCGTCGGGCCCCTCAGGTCTGTCCGGTCCCCGGCAATTAAAGGAAGTCAAAAGACGGCCCTTGCCCAGCGACCCGCCAGGAGTCACCCCGGCGCGGCCAGCCGCTCCGGAGCACGCCCAGTCTGCTCCTCCATTGCATCACCCAATGCCATCTCGACCGGCCATGCCAGATCATACTCATTCTATGCCCCCGGCCGGTGGACCTGAAATGCCATATCCTCCCCGGCATTCAGAGCCTTCTTATGATGCGCCACCTTACACTGAACCATCTCCCAATATGCATCCTGCCCCAGGGGCCTACGATATCCCTGATCATTACCAGCGTGAATGGGATCTTTCGGCCCCCGCTCCTCCGTCTACAGGAATGATTAGACGCAACATGCAGGAACCACCTTATCCCTGCAATGACGTCCCAGAGAACCCCTACGACTCGCGTCCGTATCAGCCTCGAAGCCATTCCGATTATGATCACCCCCAGCCGCGAGACCATCGATCGCAAAGGGATCTCCATGAGCGGATGCTATATGAACCGGGTTCACACCCGCAAGATGTCTATGCTCCCGTGGAGCAGCCACGATTCAACTCCGAGCCCCTGTCTTATGGTCCTGGCGCATCTTACTCCAGCGTATCAGGCCACCCTTACGATCTGCCTGCCTCTGATTACCGTCCTAATTCATCTTCGGGGCCAGCCGAAGATCCGCGGTTCCACCCACATGAGGTCAGGGCTTTGCAACCCCTCAACCGCCATGATGACTACCACCCTGAATACGCCACGATGCAGCCCCGAGTCGAGGACGAAGATGAAGACGGACTCCCTCCTCCCCCTCCTCTCCATCGCTCCCGCATGCCTCAACCCCCGGCCCCCCAGCCTCCCGCTCCGTCTTATGCGAGTTATGGCCCAGGATATCCCACCAATTCAGGTTCAACAGAAAACATAGCACCACCCATGACAACCACACCCGAAAAAAGTCGGGACCTTGTTCCTGTGGGCAATGCATCTCGTGTGCCCCCAAGTCTGGTTGCCGGGTTTGAAACGGAAGGTGGACTGGACAAACCGGCGTTCGAAGATCGAGCGAATCGACGACGCACCACCCACTTTGATGATGAGATGATGATTTCTCAACCCCCAGTGTCGGCCCCTGTATCAGCTCCTGCGCCCTACGAAGCTCCTGTCTACCCCCTGCGAACGTCTCCCCATCCGGCAGAGGAGAGACCCGGCTCTATGGGAGGCAGAGGCGCGTCGGCCAGTCCCGACACGCGCATTGTTGCCCGGAAATCGGTCAGCCCCCGGCCGTCATCTGGGAATGATCGCGGAAGCTCGGCAGTTCCGTACTCCCCCGACTCATACGACAACCTAAACCCCCATGCTTCGCGATCAGTCGTTAGCCGGGGTCCTTCACCACCCTACGAGTCTCCGTCCCAGACAAGAGATATCGTACGGGCTGAGAGTGAACCGACTAGAGATGCTGCCCCCATCATTGGCGACGATGGCCGAGAGATCGATCCCTCGGATCATCTGCCTACGGACACTTGGGCACCTGAGCCGGAGAGGAAGAACCGCAAACCCGAAGTCATTATTCGTTTCAAGCATTCAGCCCGCCCGACTTCTCGAGGCAATGACACTCCGAGCCGCAGCGCGGGGCCACCTCGTGTCGGCTTCAGGACCACTCCGGACACCGGGTCGTACAGCGCGGATCGTCCGAGCAAACGATACACTCCCACCCACGAGCACCCGGGTGCCGAGTCTGTGGACCGGACTCCACCCCGCGCAGACCGTGGGCATGAGAGCTATGGAGGCTACACGCACAGCCGGGGTTACAGCACCCCCACATCGGCAGACCGGCCGCGCTCCTCCCACCGAGGCTCCGTTTCCCCATCTCCCAGCTCTCACTCGCCGCTGTACGACTACAGTACCGGTCCTCCAATCCCGTCCAAGGTCCCAATCTCGGCAGCTCCAAGCTACCCAGTCACGTCCAGCAACCCCAACAGTGGGAACCCAGGCATGGATGCGCTGAGCCGCGAGCTGAAGACCATCGATATCGGCTCTGTGGGCTGCAGCCCTGGTCGGGGAGCCGTTCGCAGATACGCACCCAGGTCACCGGCGACCATGGGGTATGCCAACTAACAAAAAAATAAATTTGCATGTGATGATTTATGTACTGGTATGATTTCTTTGGGTGGTTACTTTCGTCATTATATCCCTGGTCCATGGTCCTGATTCAGACTGCATTTTTTTGACTATTTCTTTGGATATCCGGCTCCACTGGCGTTTGGCTTTGTCTCTTCTCTGGGGTCTATTTGCATTTCTGGCCATGTTTTTATGTACACAAATTTGAGGACCAGCCTCCCTAAATGATACCTACCTGGCAGTGCCTATGCGATGTTTCCATGTGTTGAGGGGCTTGCGTGCGAGTTGGGCGTAGTTTCCACTTGGTATAGCCATAGAATATATTTTATATAAATTCTACATTCTACGCTCTGGGCTTTATCTGACCTAGATTCGTATAGCTTGTTACGTGCACAATCTCCTTCGTCTGCCATAGATATGGCCGGTAGCTAGATACTTCCGGCACCTTTTTATAAAATTACGGGATTTACATAAACTAGAAAGTTAGACGGTTGCAGGGTTGGGAGTACTGTACTTTGGAAGCGGCAAAGTAGCAGACGAGGAAACAAATAAACTTCCACGGTTTCTTGCAAGTTGATGGAAGTAAAGTGAACTGACCGAGACCGAGAACCGCCACCTTGCTCAGGGATCACTACTGCAATACTTAGTTGTATATAATGAACTAGTATTAACCACATTCAGAACCCGACCAAGGCCAAAGATGCGTCTATATATAGATTTTAAGGGTGCCCTTAGTTCGTCTCCTCTTCAGGAGGTCCGAGGTTTTCGGCCTTTTCGAACTCCTCTATCCATCTCTGTAGTGGGAATCTTGAACCTTGTTGGCATAAGCCTTTTGCCATCACCCTCCTCTTAGCTTTGGACAACACTCTTTCGGAGAACTGGCCTTCCAAAAAGGAGTCGGTGTCCTTGTATGTCTTAGGCCGCTGTAGTTCCTCCGTCAACCAGTCATGATAATGCTGATTTCCCAATTTGTGCCATTGATCGGCTGTCAGATATGTCTTGGCTAATCCCCAAACATCATTTTTGTAGACATCATATTCGCCGTCTCGGGCCTCTGAACACCATATAGATTAGAGATTAGCACTCCGATGTTATATATGCTATAGGGAACGGGTAGTATTTGCCAGGACCTGAAACTTACCTGGACTCTGGTAGTCTGGTGATCCCGTGAGTTCGGTGGATGTGGTAATTCCATCATCCATCATTTTAGCCCAATCCCAATCGATCACCCACACACCGTGTCGCCACAACAGAATGTTCTCGGGCTTAATATCCCGATGGACGATTCTTTTGGCATGGGCAGCTAATAATCCCAATCCAGCCCCTTGTATTATACGCGGGACATTGATTCTCATGTTGTCGTTTAGGGCGTCCATCAAATCAATCCTGCCTTTTGGCATCACGAGGACCGATTCCATGACGCGTGGTGACCAGAAACGCTCCTTGAACCTCATAACAAAGCGGCTGTCGATCAATTGTTGAAGGTCTGATGTGTCTAACAAAGACCCTCCCGGTGCTGTTTTGACCACAACGGGCTGTGGGTCATTGGGTTGAACCCCCCAGGGCCTGTCCTGTGGCAGGCTGAGGTACTCGAGTTCTGCGTCCCAGATCTCGCCTTGGCCCCCCTCCCCTAATTTGCGCTTGATAAACACTTTCGCATATTTTTGGTTGTAATTATTGAAGATAGCATATGCGTATTTGCCTTTCCCCTTCGGGTTGATTTGTTTTCCCTCTCGAAAACATCCATGAGGTGGCGAGGTAGAGGCACGACTCTCAAGTAAATGAGGAACGGCGAGGCTTCGTGGTGTAGGCGTCGTTCCAGGGTTAAAGTCTTGCGTGTGGAGGTCTTCGGGGACTGGAACAGAGGAGATCTGAGGAATAATCAAGGAATAGAGCGCCCATAATATCAGTTGAAAACAGAAGGGACTCATGATGGCGGATGAAAGATTGTAGGCATTGTGAGAAGGGGTCTTTTGAATAATAGTCGGGGACTGGGTTGCTATAAAAAACATAGTTCCGCCCCGGGGGCCAAGAGATTGTCAGGTCAATTGAAGAAAAATCATTATTGCGGGCTGAGGCTATGACACAATATAACGGAGTCCTCGCATATCCTGGTCTCTATTGGATCGGAAGTATACTTGACTCGGGAATATAGTATGTAGTACGTTTCTTCCGGTTAAACTAATTGAGATTATTATGCTGACTTCGCGGAATTAGGCCCTCAGGTGGACCCACATTACTTTCCAGCTGGTGGAAATGCCGTGGGTCCGCCGTACAGCGGCTGCAACTTGTAAATAACGCCCCAATGCCCGATGGAGCATCCTTCGGTGTATGGCCCTTTAACTCGACCAGAATAGCCCTGGACCCGTAAGACCTCGCCAAATTGGCACGCTAGCATGAATACTTCCATACTATGTAGTGGAATGTTACAAGCTTATACATATGCATCGAGGCTTAACCAAGACTAGGCAATAATAAGGGTAGGATTTACGTGGCTGCATAGATGATAGTGGAACCCTGACATTTAACTATATACGCATCCAAAAGTCTGCCGACACACACTATATTCCCCGCAAAACTCGACTATTTTAATTGTAAATATCTCAATAAATTTATATAGTACTATATGCTTAGCCTCGAGTATACTTCATATCAAAAAGGCTCATGAAGCATATTTCATGGATATTTCAATTACTAGTAAGTTATTCACGGCTTTCGTCAAAGCAGAGACTGGTGCATAATTCATATGACAGATCTATAGTATAATTGCTACGAGAACCTCACTATCCTCTCTATGAGGGGGATATGTCTGCGGGATATCCCTTCATATCTCGTTTGACTCCACGGAGATCTCCTACAAACTTGGTACGCTATAAACTCGAAAATATTTAGAGGAAGTTGCCAACAAACTTCCTTTTCTTTTTCTACCCTTGTTCCAGAAATCGTCTCTGTCCTATCCACATCTCTGGTCCTCTGATCCTGATACTTCGCAAGACTCGCTCCAAACCTATCAGAACCAGACTGTCCTGTCTCAGTTTCACATCTCCTTTGATCTCTTTTGCTTTCTCTTTCTTGGTATCAGTCTCTTCACTGGCCAGCTATGGATCCGACGGATCTCAGTCATCCTGGCTCGTCGGACGCACCGGCCCAGCCTGGATCTAGGTATGTTGTATGAGTGTTTTTTTTTTTTTTTTTTTTTTCTGACTTTCCACACTGTACCATCCTAAATCTAAGATATATTTCATATTACCTCTGTGGTGAGTGTGTTCCTCTTAGGCTGATATCCAAATGCTTAGGGCTCCTACCCCGTCTATGACGGCTCCAGACAACAGTAATCCCATAGCAGTTTCCCGCATGACTGCAGAGCCAGGACCTCGGGATACTATTGGCACATCGACTGCACCTATCCCACCTCTTCCCAACCCTCGCACTCCAACACCAGCACCGGCTGGTGCCCGGGTCTACCCGTGGACTGAGAGGGGGAACATGTACGGCTACGACGTCGAAGGTGGCCACAGACTCCGAGAACGGTATGAGCGAGAGAATCCATACCAAAGCAGAACTGAGCCTGCGCCGAGGCGACGAAGCAGAAGTCCTGCTGGCTTGCCTCTGCCACAATTGGGCCCCTGGGAGGGCAGTGACTTGCGCAATGGTGCGACGGAGTCGTCTCTATCGCCACTGTTTTCTCGAGACAACAATCAAACTAGGACTGAGCGGCACGGGCCTCTCCTATCTTTGACTCTCCCTCCACTGGATCTTCATAACCATGAGTATCGTGAAGAGCGTGAGGCTCATCAGGAAAGTCTGCCCAATGGCCACGGCCACAATCAACGTCGGGTACAGCCACAGCAGGGGTTGATAAACCTGGAACAGTCAGACAGGAAGAAGCCCGAAGACGCATCTTTGTGCGAGTTCTCCTCCCCATGCCGGATGGCGCCTTCACCAGATGGTATGCACTTCCGCAAGGTTGTCTCGCATGTCTTCGGGCGCAACAAGACAACCACCAAGCTCTTCCCGCGCAGCGTGTGGGTTCACTACTGCCGCAAACACTACCAGCGAGCGCGGTACCGCGCCGACCAATGGCCATTCACGCAGTGCGAGCTGCTGCTCGAGTCGCTCAACCGGATGGAGGCATGGGGCGGAGTCGAAAGCTTCGAGCTAATCCTCCGCCGGCGCGAAATGATGCGCACAGATGAGGCTAACGAGCCAGCCGGTTCGTCTGGTACCGGCCGATCCTCTGCAGCACTGGCACCGCCGGCCTCATTCGGCGCTCTGCAGTCCGGCCGCAGACACCCCACGGCCATTATCTCACCGGTACCAGACTGGCTGCGCGTCCATCTGGGACCGGGCAAGTCATTCGCTGAGATCCGTCGCATCGTGATGCAGGTGCGCGAGCACATGATCACGCTGCGGAACGACGAGAAAAACCGCCAGATCCTACTGGCCACTCGTGCGTCGGTGGCTTCTCCCCGGGAATCGCCAAAGGGGGGCTGCGGTGGTGGTGGTAGTGGGCGCCGTGCTACGCCCAATCGCTACAAGAACACCCTACGCCAGCAGATCAGCCGCGTGCGGTTCCCCGATGTCGAGATCCTGCCGACGTTCCGGATGTGGGTTCTCGAGGCGGCGCTGCGGCAGCGAAGCAGTACAGACCAGGTGAGCGAGGAGAAGGAAGTGAATGGAGAACATGGAGAGAATAGTCAACGCAGCAGTGCTCGGGAGAACGACGAAGACACTGTGCAGCATGGCAACTCGAGCATCGCTCCTGTATCTGTACCTGCACATGTTCCTGCAGCATCGGACTCGCAGTCGGCCGGGCAGGAAATCGGAAGGGCCGGTACCAATAGGGGTGGGTCGGAGAGCCAGAGACGGCGCAGTGCACGCTTGTTCTTGCGCATGGCGACGCGCGTGTCCTCGCGTGGCTCAGTGAAGAAGCCACACAAGTGATCGAACAAATTGGGGCAAGGGAGAGAGGCAGCTGTTTCGTGACTTGTGGCGATTTGAATGGTGTCGACAAATAGAAGAATAGTGCGCGTTGGGGTGACGATGACTTTGAACTTGTACAAATTGTTGACATGAAGAAAAACAAGTTGATCACATCACATTAAACAAGGAAGCTTCAAGTTGAAAGCGGTAGTAAACTCTTATCGACGTCCAAGAAAAAGAATCAGCAAGATGTTGCCCTCAGTGGAATTTTATAGCTGCTACCAATCGGCATAGCCTATCTTGTTTTGAGTAAAGACGGCGATCCAGCGAGAAACAGCTTTTAAGAAGCAATTGATTTGCATATGTGAATGGCAAGGCCAAGTCCCAAATATTTCAAAATATTTCAAGAGCTGAATATCTTTTTTCATGCAAAACATCAGACACAGACTCCGTACAGTGCAGCAATAGCCAGCATCAAAAACACGCTTGCTCATAATAAAACAAAATGCAACAAGATCCGGTCATCCTAACTGGAAAGAAACATTAACTGGATTAAAGAGGATATGATGGAAATTTCATGATCATCATGGGCACCGATGTGATACCCGAGCACTCAGCTGGCGACAGCTAACTGGGCCACGAGGTCAGACGCCACATCGAGGAAGGGGTACGGGCTGGTGACTTCCTTCTCTTTGTTCCTGAGGCGTTTGCTGATCGGGTACCACTCGGAGTCGCCTTCAGCGCGGATGACGTTCTGGTAGCCGTCGCACTTGAAGTCGACCATGTAGTTGTTCTCTTCAAGCTGGTACAGTTGGATGTCGAGAAAGACCCAGACTCCGTAAGAGATTCGTGGCAGCCCACCCTGCTGGGTCGCCGAGGAGGGGCCAGACGTGGCGTCGGGTGTGGGGATGTTGGATTCCTTGTCCTTGTCCTTGTCTTCAGTAGGAGCAGCAATACCCGTGATGTTAAAGCGGCGACGCAGCTCGCCGAGGTCACTACGGCTGTTATACACACTCGTAGAGGCTCCTGGGGCTTTGACGCCTTCTTTCAACAACCGTGCGCGAATGAACCATGGATCCTTGGGGATGTAATAATCCGAAGGAAGATCAGGGTATTTGCTTTGCAGAGGTTTGGATGTGTCAGGAGATCCCGAGCCAGCAGCGATTTGTGAACCTTTTTTGGATGTTAACTTTGGTTTTAATAAAGAAGGGGAAATTATTAAAAGCATACCAGCTTCGACGGGCTGTATATCCCACAAGCCGCCCTGCGCAGCAATCGCCCGGTACAGATACAACATCGCCTCATAGGGTTGATTTCGAGAGCGAATACCAAATTGCCACTTGCGGGATCTCTTTGGTGGTTGTGTGTTGGGCCGACCAGTGGGTGGCTCCAGATGCAATTTTCCCAAGTCGACAACACTGCGCGCATGAGGCTTCAATGCTCGAGCTGTGGCAGCCTGTTCCTCAGGAGAGAGCTCCCGGCGTTCAGAAACTTGACCGCTTTCCTCGAGTCTCGCGGCTTCTTGTCGACGTTCCTCGAGAATTTGGTTCCGGGCTTTTTGCTCCCGGTCACGTTGCTCCATAAGCTGGTCGTGAACATAAGGCAGACTTGTTGGCAAAATCCGGACATGGCTGACACGAATCGGTTCATAGTCTTCGGATTCGGGTTGTTGGGCCTCCTCCGGGGGCATCCGGCGCGAGACACTTGGAGTTCGGGCAACCATCGGTGTGGATGGCGTCTGAGTTCGGGGCACCGTAGAAGTCCGCTTGGCTGTAGGGGAAGCTGGTTCTTTGTACTGGGTAGGGATGTTGTCGGCCATCAGGCTATCTTCTGTGGGAGCTGTGTGGTGGTTAGGAATCACTTTCTTGTCAACTGCTAGTCAAAAGAAACTCACAGTTGGTCTGCATCATTTCATTCTCGGCGACAATAGAAAAGGCATCTTTGATGGCACTGGGTTCCGGATGCCGTAAAGCGTCTTCAATATCTTCGCGGCCATAGCCCATGCTCCGCTCGAGCTTCGAAACGGCGACCTGGTGAATCTTGTGCTGTACAGGAAGTGGCTTTCCTGGGGCAAGCTTGCCCTTCTCAATCGCCTTGTTTGGATCCACGCCCGTCTCGATAAATTCGTCGGGTGGCGGCTGCAGATACTTGGGCAGGTTTTTGAGAAACCACGGATCCTGCCGGATCTCCGGAATAGTAATTCTGTGCACTGGGTGAACCTGGAGCATTGCCCGGATCAACCGGGCTGCCCCCTGAGAGATATAGCCGGGGATGTGAAATGTGCCGGCTGCAATCTTCTTGAAGAGAGCGGGGATGTAGTCGTCGTCGAAAGGCAGCCTGCCGACCAAAAGCACATAAAGAATCACACCACAACTCCAAACGTCCACCTCGGGACCTGCGTAGAGCTTTCCCGAAATCACCTCTGGAGCTGCATAGTTGGGGCTGCCACAGCTTGTCTTCAAGAAATTGCCATCCGTCATGATATTACTCAAACCGAAGTCGGCAATCTTAACGTTCTTCTGGCTGTCGATAAGCAAGTTCTCCGGCTTCAGGTCCCGGTGCACGATCTTGTGTCGATGACAATACTCCACGGCGCAGATGATTTGTTGAAAGAATTTGCGGGCTTCGTCGTCGTTGCACTTTCCCTTCCTCACCAGATAATCAAACAACTCTCGTTCAGCGTACTCCAACACCATCACAATATCGGTCTTGGTCGCAATAACCGTATATCTGGTAGAAGAGATATGGTCAGTTCACACCCACGAGGCAAGTACAAACCGCCCAACAATACATACAATTTGATGATGTGTGGGTGTCGCAACAATTGAAGATACTGAATCTCCCGCTCCACACGACCGACCATATCCCGCGAGAGTAGCTTGCGACGCGAGATAATCTTCAGAGCGACTTGCCTCCCACTCGGTTGGTGAATAGCAAGCTTCACCTTCCCGAATGAGCCCTCTCCCAAGATCTTCACCGTGTGGTATTGGTCGAGGCGCTGCATGTCTCGTGTGGTTGCCGGGGACTGTGTCTCGGCCTCGGGTCTGCCGGTCGGGCGCGAGGGCGGGGGCATTGCCATGGCGGAGGGGTTTGAGCTGGGGGCCCTGACACAATCACGATCGTGGTTGGAGGGGGGCAGGGGAATGGAGAGGTCTTCCTCATCGAAGGCGGCGGCCATGGTCGGGGAGAGGACAACGTGACGTGATTGATTTTCCGTGCCAGTGGTCCACGGGTCCGACGGGGCTGCTGACTGTGCAGACCGTGGTTCTCGATTATTTTTTTTTCCCCTTCTATTTTATTTTGGCACAAAACATTTTTTTGTCAGGCGCCAATCAGTTGGACAATCTCGACCCTCCCCACAGTCGAACCGAAGGTGGAGCTGGCAAGCTGGCAGGGGTTTTTTTTGGCGACTGCGAGGGGGCGGGGCGGGGCGGGTGGAGGGGCAGCAGAAGTGATGGAGTCGATATGTGAGGGCACACCAGCTGGAGAGAATAATAGTATGGGCCAGGAGAAATCAAGGGCAATGCGAAACTCGAGGGTTGAAGATCGAAGATCAAAATTCATCCATGTCGAGAGAGCCCTGGAGAGTCTAGGGCGAACCTTGGAAGGTTGGAGATGGCCTTAGCTAGGCGGGTTAATCGAGATAATCGAGATGCCCCTCCACAACGGTGTCAAAGAAAGTAAGAATTCAATCGGTGGATTTGACCCGAGAGGATATATGGGAAATTCCAGCTTAAAGTGAAAGGAAAGTTGATGTCATCAGTTCCACCCCTATAGATTGGGACTTTTGCTATATGAAGATCTAGTCGCAACAATATATCTCCAGCCACTACACAGGATAGCCCAATCCGTCCATCATACAGTATGATCCACAACCTGATCAACAATGGTTTACACTAGAGATCTCCAAGAATATTAGACCTGCGGATGCCTTCTCCATACGCAGGGATCTGCTAGGATGTTAGGGCATGACGAGGTGACAAAACAGATAGCCAAGACTGGGTGATGCACCGCCATAGCACCGCCTCGAGGTTCGAGACATTCAAAAAAAAGAAAGAAAACAGTATAATTCACCAAGACATAAAGGCATAAAACCACAAATGAACGAGTTCTGTAACAGGGGTCTCATCATACATGGTACCTCGGGTCGCATGCAAATTGTGTAGAACACGAGGTACCCGTTGAGTCACAGCGGGGCCATGGTCGGGGTCTCAAAGGGGTTTAGCGTAGAGTCGGGGACCCCAAAGAGGAAAAAGGCGGCCTAGCAGCGCCGCCATACTTAGCATCAACGGCTGCCTCAGGTCGTTCTTCACCTTCTCTCCCTTTTGCCTCAGGATTCAAGGGCCTTGTGCATCAGGCACTTGTTTCACGCTGTCCTTCCCAAGTCCAGCTACTCGGAGATAGTCTCAGTAATACCCTCACCTTCTCTTCCACTCCCTCAAGACATGGCCTCCATTCAGGATCAGTTCCTTTACCAAATGGACCTACCTTGTTTTCCTGATGAGTCCCTCGATTTCGATCAGTTTCTCGACCTGCCATCCGCTTATGGCGATGACCACTCCCCTTCGGTCAACTCCATCTCTCCTCCTGAAATGGCCTTGCCTTACGAGACCCACGAGATGATCGGAGAATCTTCGCCCCGGTTCATGCAGCCCCCTTTCCCAGACGTGGAATATGGCATGCCGCAGGGGAGCTTCGTGGATCACTCCCCAGAGACGGGTCTGATGCATGACCCAGCCCCCATGTTCGATGATGCAGCCTTCTCGGGTTATAACCCGTACGACAGCACCTCCGCATTCCGGAATATGGTTGAGGCACATGCAGCTGCGGACTCTCGCGTCGCCTCAATCAAAGAAAAGCGCCGTGAAGCAGCCATCGCATTACATTTGCAGCGGTTATGCGATGCCACGGCACTCGACCTGGACATGTCCTCCGACTCGAACACCAGCTTTTCCTCACCGTGCTGGTCGGACTACGTCCGCGGAAGCACCTCCCCGCAGTCCACCAGCACCAGCGCTGAGGACACACCGGCGCCCCAAGCAGCCGCTGGAAGCGGAGGTGTCGAGCTGGTTTTGGATCTGAACATGAACAGCACTACCAATGTGCCGAAGAAACAGAAGCCTCGGTCTCAGGCCCAAAAAGAAAATTACATCAAGGCACGGAAATATGGTGCCTGCGAAAAACACAAAAAGCAACACAAGAGGGTAAGTCAGGAAGTGATGCTCAACACAGTTTGGTCGATTTGCTCATTTATGTCCAGTGTAATTGCCTGGAGAAGGCGGCTGCCCGTGCTGGTGTTAACGAATTACAACCAAACGTTACTTTACGAGAGCGACCGAGACAACCAACACTCCAAGCCCCGATTCTTCCGGAAGCACGATTCTCTGGATCTACGGGTCACGACCCGTTAACGCAAACCGCCATGGTCCCGGTCAAGGCAACCATGAAGCCAGCAAGCGCGTCTCCGGGCCACGAGAGAATAATCCCAAGCGCGAAGATTTCAGTCAAGGCAAACATGAAGCCGAGTGGCACGCCGGGCCACGACCCGTTAGTCAGCCAACCCGCGGCGCTTCTATCTTCCAAGGGAAGGAGGAAGCCCATGAGCACCTCAACGGGTCACGACCCGTCAGTCGCAACCGCGGCAATTCTGCCAGTGAGCTCTCTGCGTGCCCCGAATTTGGAGGCTCATCGCCCGAGAACTACTCAGACTTCACCTATCACCGGCCAAGCCTCACCAAAAAACCAATCGGTAGCAGGGCACAGTTCCGGAAGCCTGGGTCTACGCCACTCATTGGGAGTTCGCATCTCTGGAATTCTGGCAAACCCCGGATTGGAGTACCAACAGAGCATTCTTTCAAGCCCCAAACAGCCACTGGCGATTCTTGCTGCTCGCTCGACACAGTCTCCCAAAGGCTCACTGGATGTACCCAGTCGGCGTGGCTCTACGCTCCTTTCTGGAAACAATGGCAAGCTTTTACGCCCGCTCGCCGACTCTGTTGGTGGAATTTTGTCAGGCACTGTTTTGGCCATTTATGGTGCTTGGCAATCGACTATCTCCCGGTCCTCTTGGACTGAGGACGTGGCTGGCAGATGTCTTTCTTGGATTGGGAGACAGCTCATGTCTGCTCAAAAGAGCCCGAACTGGTCTCGATCGCGCAGCTTCGGGCTCGTCTAATGCGTTTGCATGTTAGGAACCGAAACTCATACTTGGGCGATGGCTATGGATACGTTGGTACCTGCCATGCCGGTTTCCAGCTTCGGAGCCCACTGGGAAGTCTTTTGGGTTTAGTTTTGGTGCGGATTTTGATCATGGGATAGTTGGGCTGGGAAGGAGTTCTGGTGCTTGATTTATATTGGACCATATTTAGTCTTGAGTCACAAAAGATGCATTGATTTATGCCTGCGATTTGCTCATTCTCCATGGTTTGTTTTGCCGAGGTTAGGAAAGTATCAGCCACGGTAGAAGCAACCAGGAACCATTTCAACTTTGATTAAACTATTGGAGCAACCCAGTCAACAACCTAGTAGACACACCAGTAAATACCGCAGTAAATAGTTCATGCTTGCAAGCACAGTGCCAAGCTCAAGTGAGAAAAAAAAGGATTCCACAGCCCCACCATGTCGAGGCCCCAGCCAAAGTAACCCTAGCCTCCCCCCTGTTCTACCTGGACGTCGATCTGGTCTTTACCGTGCATGTTGACCATGGGCCAACCGCAGTTCTTCCGGTATACCACAGAAACCGGCTATTTCCTCCAAGATGAGGAGACTACCGACCCGGCAACATTCGACTATGTAAGTTTCTTCCCATCAGCCCCCCCCCAAAACCATTAGATGGGCCACTCACGATGCAGCCAGGTAGCAACCAATTTCGGGCTTATTCCCAAGGTCTATGGCACTGAATCAGAGGACAACTCGCAAGCCACCCAGTGGCAGAGATTCAACACACATATCCAAAGCCTGAATGACCAAGCTGAGCCCCGAACGAGGTATAAAGTTCTCTTCCTTGGGCGTCATGGCGAAGGCGTCCATAATGTCGCAGAGCGTCGGTACGGCACTCAAGCATGGGATGTATGTTTCCCTCTATCCTTGGATTTAGTCTTTCTTTTCGTATTTTCTTTTGCGGGATTGTGGGACACCACGATTGATCAATCTTCTCAGGACTACTGGTCTCTTCTCGACGGCGACGAGTACGGGACATGGGTTGACGCCCGTCTCACGGACCTGGGTATCTCCCAGGCCAAAACTGCAAATGCTGCCTGGGCTCAGCAGATCGAGCATGGGATCCCATCTCCGCAGTCGTACTACGTGAGTCCGCTGAACCGGTGCTTGGAGACGGGTCGCATCACGTTCGAAGGACTGGGCTTGCCCGATACGGACCCGTTCCGGCCGTTGATTCAAGAGGTATGCTACTTTATGTCTTTTCTAGGGCCTGATACAGACCATCCCTGGGATAAAATCACCTAGGGTGTACACCAACCACTCCCCATTCCCATCCCCCAGGAAAAGAAACAAAGCACAATCTAATTCCCATCAGCTCCTCCGAGAGACAACCGGCGTGCACACCTGCGACCGCCGATCCAAGGCATCCGAAATCGCCGCTCAGTTCCCGCTCTACCGCTTCGAGCCCGACTTCGCCGAAGACGACCCGCTCTGGGACCCCAAGAGACGGGAATCGGACAACGAGCGCAACCAGCGCCTTATCGGGCTGCTGAACGACATCTTTGGCAGCGACGAAAACGTGTTTCTGTCATTGACCGCGCATTCTGGCGCCATCACCAGCATCCTGGAAGTCACGGGCCATCGGCCGTTCCCGTTGGCGACGGGCGCCGTGATCCCCGTTGTGGTGAGAGCGGAGCAGATCGGGCAAGGTTCGCAGGCTAGGCCGTCTGGGGCTGATTCTGCGATCAATATCCTTGCGGATAGAGCTCGGACGGATTCGGATCTAACTGCCCTTATGAAAGTGGTGGCGTCGGGACGGGCGTCGGCCGAGCAGATGGAGGCACTTCAACGATGTGTGGATCAGGCTGAAGTGGTACAGGGGTGATGATGAGAACCAGGGGGGGATTTGTTGATAGGTTGAAGGTGAAGATATCCATGAGAAATCGATTGAGTATTGTACATGGGTCGAGGGCTAGACTACCACAAAATGCAAATTCTCCTGTCGCACTCGAAATCAAGGTCAAGCGAGACAAACGAGACCGGTGTATCTGCCAAAGAAAGCAGAATATAGATAATACAACACAACGCCAAAGGAATTAGCACAATCACCAGCTGTAGTACTGGTTCTGTGCCGTGATCTTGCGATCTGGCAGTTGGTGCCAGAGCTGCGCCTTGCGCTGACGGAGCGCCTTGGCCTCACGCTCCTGCCACTCACGGATTCGGGTCTTTTCTTCCTTCAACAGCACCGTCAGACCGGTGGCCGGGGGTCGGAGCCGGTTGATCTGGCCACGCGCACGGTGGTCCATACCGTATCCGTATGGGCCACGGTTGACCCACGCCTGCTGAATGTAGATGGATGTCGGGTCGGTGATCTTCTTGCGCGAGCCGTCCTTGAGAATGACAGTCATGGGTTCCATAGGTTTGGACTGTTCAGAGCCCTGGGGGCCCGGGAGGCCCATGCCGGCACGGACCATGGCGACGTTCTTCGCATGCTCTAGGTGCCCGAGCACATCCTGGGCGGCCTTCTTCTTGCTAAAGCGCATCTGCAGGATAGCCTCATCGAGATTCTTGCCTGCGATCTGCCGCGCTAGGGGAGCCAGCTTCTTCACCGAGGTCTTGAACCAGTGCGACTTGGAAAGCGATTCGCGCTCTGTTCGCTTAATCTGCACCGGCCGTGGAATACGGCCACGCTTTCGGACTTCGCGGATCACCATTTTTCGTTCCCATCGTAGCTGTGACTTAGGAAGAGGGTTGAGCGCCATCTGCAGGTTCGTCTTGTTGCGCTCCTCCAAAGGCACGGGCTCTACTTCTTCTCCTGGCTGGGGCTCCTTCTTTCGACTGGGCTTCGGTCCCTTCATAAGATCATCGGCAAAAATTGAGCTCGATCCCAGCCCACCTTCCTCTTTCTTCGGGGCTGTTGGCGTGTGGGCGACTGTGGCTTTTTCCTTGGGCTTCCCCCCGAGGAAGTAATCCTTGACCGACGAGAAGAGAGAGGGGGATTTTTTCGATTCGCTTAGTTTCGGACTCGGAGTTGAATTGTCATTGCCGTCCTCCTGTGCCCGACGGATGGCTGTTGAAGCCAATGTCCGCCGAGGGACGAAGGAGACACCGGTCCGGACTGTTCACACCGAGACGCGTGAGCGATACACACATATGACAACTCCAATGAGAAAAAAAGGAATGGGGGGTAGCTTACCAGCCCGGACCAACTGTCCATATGGGTAGACAGAGCCCATTGTGGCCATGGGGGGTTAGGTTGGGTCTGTTGTGCTGCAGCGGAGTCGGGGACGAAAAAAGGCGAAACTCACCTGCGCATATGGTTGCTGTGGACAGCCGGAGCTCCTGGCCTCAGGCAACCGGGTCTTCTACAGTCTCGACTGCTCTGCGTTGATGGGCCATCGGAGGGAGCAGTCCATCGAAGAGAGAAGACTGAGTGTTTGGAATTTCCGTAAGAAGTTTCAGTCTCCCGTTAGCTTCATCTCTCCCCCCCCTCTCTATCCCCTGATCTTCCTCTTGTCTCTCTTTCCACCATCTCCACAGTGAAGATCCACTAGCACTCATCTTTCCTCTTTCAGGCCTTCCCTGCTTTCCCTCTCTTTCGTCCCCATCGTCCTTTTCCCATCCTTCATCCTCCCACCTCCCACCTTCCCAGGCCTTTCGCCTGTGGTTTTCGCCTGCTTTTTCCAGCCAACTTCATTGTTGTTCCTCTCCTTCTCTCCTTCTCACGCCTTTGGAATCCAATCTCGATTGACCGAGCAAGGCCCCCAGTCCTTCAACCTTCCAGCTTCTTGACTTCGTTTTTTTTCAGCGCCTTCCATCAGCCTTAAGTTTGGAACAACGGACAAGCAGCTTCTCGCGCGACCGAGATCTCGCGACCGAGTTGCGCCGTTCGCAAGAACCGAACGAAAGAGGTGGAACCTAGACAGAAGCTACGTTGGCAGGTGCAGGCATGGACGTGTGGTTGAGCAAAATCGTGGCCATTGTATGATCTGGATCTCTGCTACTCAAGCACTATCCGTGGATTTACGACTGTGACAAATTCTTGGGACTGTTCGCTCCGTCCTTCCTTTTCATTTCGAGCGCGCAGCCTGGACCCAGCAAGATGGACATCAATTCCCTGCTTTCGCCGGACTCGAATCCTCAATCCGCAAACTCGACGCCCGTGCCCGGTCCTAATTCAAATAATGCACCGGCCCCATCTGCAGGGCCGTCCCCCCACAAAGCTATTGAACGGACCCGTTCTGGCACCACCCGCAAAGGCAAAGGCAAGACTTCCTCGCCTCTCGCACAGCATGTTTACGCCTCGAGTGGATTGCCAGAAGCTTCACCCTCGGCTCCGAGCCCGTCGGTAGGCCCGAATTCGGGCGGCGGAAATGGAACGCCGCCGGCGACCGACCTCCCTCCCTCGAGACAACCCTCCACCCCCGGTATGGATACACTGGCGGACCTTGCTTCAATGCAACATCACCAGCCGCAACGCCCGAATGCTGCTAGTATGCTGCGGAGCACCGAGTCCTATGAGAGCCAGCTCTCTCCATCTACCATCCACCCTCACGTGAACCCCATCAACCATAACACCCCAACACCCCGGACCTCGTTTGATCTGGCCATGTCGGAAGGCCCGCGGGAGAGTGCGCGACGAAATTATGCCGCGACGTCGCTTGTCCCAGATGCCCAGCAATTAGCGAACGCGCTGTTCAATCAAATCCAAGAGAACCCTCATTCGTACGATTCGCATGTGCAATTCATTGGATTGCTGCATGCGGGCTTTGTGAACCATGTGTACCCACCCAACAACCCCGACATCCATGGCGACCCCCGAAGATACGACCTTCTCAAGGACTTGAGGACGGCTCGCGAGGAGATGGACAAGCTGTTCGCTATGGGTGAAGATCTGTGGGCAGAATGGATCCAGGATGAAAGCATGCTTGCCCATTCGGTCGATGAGCGAATTGCTGTGATGGAACTGTGCCAGCGCTCGGTTGAGGAGGAGTTTGGCAGCACGAAACTCTGGCACATATACGGCGAATGGGTGCTCTATCTCTACAACGCGGCGGCTGGTGAAGGCGGGGCGGGTCGGTGGACCGAGGAGGATCGGCTGGTCGGTCGTGAAGTGTTCAGTTGGCAGTCGGTCCTCGACGTGTGGCAGCGGGGTGCCGAAGCGACGCGTTGGAGAATCAATAACAGCCACTTGGTTTGGGACCGCTTGCTGGAGCTTTACGCCCAGGAGGTTTCCCGCGCACCTTCGCAGGAAAAGGTCAATCATCTGCGAGGCCTATATGATATCCGGCTACAGACACCTCACGCGACCTGGGATCAAACCTTCCAGACATTTTCCGGTTTCATCTCGACATACTACAATGCGAATTACGAGGATATCATGTCTGAGACGGTCGCTCGAGCTTCTGAACCCAAGGGCCGCTACGCCGCGCGAGAGGAATTCGAGATTCGGCTAACCAAGGCGCAAGAATCCAGTGATCGAACTGTGGAATGGAAAATCTACTCCGAATACATCGACTGGGAAGTTAGTCGGAATCGCCGAAAGCGCGAATTCCACTTCGATATGGTCAATGGGGTCTACCAGCGAGCAGTTCTCCGCTTTCCTACTGACGTTTCTTTATGGGAGGATTATGTGATGTTCTTGATTGGCGAATCTCTGCACGGCCATGCCTCCACCACGACTATCTCAACGCTGGATCGGGCGACGCGCCATTGCCCTTGGTCCAGCAATCTCTGGTCCCAATATCTTCTGAGCTCAGAAAGGGAAGGCCTGTCTTTCTCGAAAATATCGGGCATCAAACACAAGGCCACTAGCACAGGACTGTTGGATGCTGGTGGCCTGGAAGAGGTATTGAAAGTTCACACCACTTGGTGTAGTTACCTGCGCCGACGTGCCTTCCTCTCGGAAGCGATCGATGAGGACCTGGATGTGGCAGAAGTTGGCATTCGTTCGGCAATCGAGAGCGTGCAAGAGTTGGGCGAGAAGAAATACGGCCGCTCGTACCAGGGAGATCCCCTTTTCCGCCTTGAGCGCATTTACATCCGTTATCTCAGTGAAAGTGGCAGCTGGGACAGTGCACGGGAGACCTTCAAAGGCCTTGTGCCGCGCTGTGGTAACAGCTATGAATTTTGGCTGACGTACTACGGATGGGAGCTCATCTCTTGGAGCAAGTTCGTTCAAGGCGAGGCCACTGTCGATGCGGCGAGGCGCACTCCCACGCCGAGCTATGCCACCGCGGTGTTAAAACAGGCGATCAAACGGACGGATCTCGATTGGCCCGAAAAGATCGTCCAGGTCTACATTTCCCATTGCGAGGATTATGAAGACTCGGACGAGCTCCAAATGGCCGTCATCGAGACCCGAAAGGCCATGAGAGCTGTCACTGTCCGGAGAGAAAAGGAGGCGCGAGAAGCCGCAGCGCTACAGCAAGAACAACAACAGCAGTGGGAAGCTGCGGCTGAGTCTGCTCCAACCACCGAAAAAAGAAAACGCGAAGATGAAACAGACATCAATGGGGTACCCACGAGCAAGAAGGCCCGTGGCGAGGAGGAGAGGCGGCGCCGCCGCCGCCGCCGCAGACAGAAGCCGAACCTGTGGCTCTCCGACGGGATCGCGAGAATGCGACGGTGGTGGTGAAAAACCTCCCGCATCACACCTCAGAGCACCAGACTCGTCAGTTCTTCCGCCATGTAAGTATATGCTCCTATCTTTGCCCAAGGCTTTGGCTGTGCTGACTTTGATACCAGTGTGGCACCATCAACGGCGTGAAAATGATCACTGGCCAGGACGGAAACTCTGAAGTTGCCATACTCGAGTTCGAAACGAGGGAAGAAGCTCTCGGGGCTTTGACCCGCGACCAGAAGCTCTTCGACCAGAACACGATCCAGGTGCAAATTGGGACAGATTCCACATTGTTCGTCGCAAACTTCCCGCCCGCGGCAGACGAGGGATGGATCCAGGAGCGATTCAGCAAGGCAAGTTACTTCATTTATTGGTCCAAGGGGCCATATCACTGACCAGCTTCTAGTATGGCGACATTGTTGATATTCGTCTGCCGTCCCTCAAGTACCAAACCAGTCGGCGCTTCTGCTATGTCCAGTTTGCTACTTCCACTGCGGCACATCAGGCTACAGAATTAGATGGAACCGAGACTGAAAATGGGTTCAAGCTTGTTGCAAAGATTTCCGACCCATCGCACAAGAAAACGCGCAGCAACCCCATGCAAGAAGGGCGTGAGATCTATCTTAAGAACGTTGACTGGAGTGCGAAAGAAAAGGATCTCAAATCTGCTTTTGCACAATTCGGGTCTATTGAAGCGGTTCATATTCCGCGGAAGGTTGACGGCAGCAGCAAGGGATTTGCCTTCGTTGCCTTCTCTTCCAAGGTACGCCATCTCCAACAACCCCCCCACGCGTCCCAATATGTACATATCTAACGTTTTCTACAGGAAGAAGCTGATGCTGCACTCGCAATGGATGGCCAGAAGCTCGGGTCGCGCCTCCTTCACGTGGAGCACAGTTCTTACATGGGCGCCAAACGTACTAGTACTACCATCATCTCACACGTGGCCCGATCGAATTCACCCGCGTCGCAGGTTAACGGGGCCAGCGCGGAGGATTTGGAAGTACCGGTCGGCGAAGTCCGTGACCGGACAGTGGCCTTGATGAATGTCCCCGATACCGTCAACGATGCGCGGATCCGCGCTCTCGTCGAACCCCTCGGGCGATTGATAAAGATCGTTCTGCGCCCAGACCATCAAGGTGCTATTGTCGAATTTGCCGACGTCCACGATGCGGGCAAGGCGTCTCTGGCACTCGAGGGCAAGGAGATCATCCCAGGGCGGTCGCTCCACGTCGGCACAGTCGCGGAGATGATGAAACTGCATGCCGAGCAAAAGACGGAGCGGGTCACTTCGATCAAGCAAGAAAAGCCCCCTCACACCAGTCTTCAGCCATCTGGCCCCATTCGGCGACCTCAGCAGCCCGGCGCTCGTGGAGGTCGGAGAGCTGGACTCGGCGTGAAACGGACGGCTGCGGCCCCGCGCCCCGCGCAGGCCCCGGCTTCAACTGGTGCGCCTGACAAAATGGATACCACGGCCGATCACGGTGACAATGGGAACCCCAAAAAGAGCAACGATGATTTCCGCGCGATGATCCAAAAGAATCGCTCGGAGTAAAGCGACGGTGCAATGGCCACATTCGGCGCAATTTTTGTGTTATGGCATGATTCTAGCTGGCGTTTTTCATTTTTCATTTCCGACTTTTTTCTGGTGGCTTATTTGATGCCCCCTTGGAGACCAGTCTGTATCATTCAGGGCGGTCTTTTGCGCCATGGCTATCTGGCATCATGTCCTGTACATTATGTTTCTGTGTGTTTTGCTGCTTTTCTTTTCTTTCTCCTTTTCTTTTCGTTCTAATGATGATGTCTGTTCCGGCTGGGCCGCCCTCTGTGCGAGGGCTGCCCTGCAATGACCCGCGACGTTCTGTTTTCGACTTGTCCTGGATCCGATGAGAAATGAACAGATCAAATCATGATTTCGAAGGAGTAGTCGTCAAGTAGAATCCATAGTTGGAGCTGGGAATCCTCGACCCTTTGGCTCGGAATAGACATACTGGTGGCTTTTGGTGCATCGAGCGCCTTGACACATTGCGGGCACATCCCCCGTGGAGGGAGCTTCATGAGTTCAAGGTCGCAGGGCACAAGTGCAATCCAGTACTTTTTGCTACTTTCCTGACCACTTGGCATCACATTCCTCCCCCTTCTCTCCCCCTGATTTTGCCCCTTTGTGCTCTTCTTATCAGCTCCACCTGGAGCTTCGCCTTTGCGTCATAGTTTCTCTTCTGCCTTTCCCCACCCACTACTCTCTTCTCTCTGCAAGCTTGCTGCCTGGGATTCTCCGGGATAATTTCACTGAGTACACTTACTCAACTCTTTGTGTCCGATGAACCTCCCACCTGACGGTCGCACAAGCGCAACCGCATCATTGTGAACACATTCGTCATCGGCCACCGTTCCTCTCTGCACCATGGACTTCCACCTGGTGCCTCGAGGCACCGACCGAAACTACACTGGCTTTTTGACAAAGACGATTGTCTATTCATCGACACTGGTGGTATTTCTAGCCGGTATGTTGCAACTGTGCTCGTTGCACAGAATCCGTCAGCGAGGTTGCGGCCGAGGGAGAAGCTAGTACTGACAGGTGTCGCGCATCGCCCAGCTTTTGCCTTGACGCTATGCTCGATCATCATCCCCAAGTGGGTCAGCTATCATAGTGAAAGAGTATGCTGTTTCTCTCTCTCTCTCTCTCTCTCTCTCTCTTTATCTTCCTTCGAATCCAGTGCGATCGTAGGACTTGATGCGATTCAGGACTCGATAATAACCACTCTTGCCATTCCTCCAGCCCGCTCACCGTTATTCCTACGGCCTCCACCGTCGTTGTTCGTCACTTACCGATACCTGCGAGAGCTTCCCCCAGCGCGAGGACTGCCATGGCGGGGACCGGTACTTTTGCTCCATGTGGCGTTCTGTCGGATTCCTGATGTCCTTTGCCATCGTCTTGGAGGGGATGAGCGTCGTCGCTTACCTGATCATTCTGTCGGGTGGGAAGCGTCTCCGCGAGAATGGGTGGCGGGTACTGAGCTTGATGATCATTTTGTCGGCAATCGTGCAGGCTGCGAGCATGTCGATAGTGGTATGTTGTTCTTACTCAGACGAGTTCTTTTCTTCGTATTGACGCCTGTTCTACCAGGCATATCTGTTCGACAACGAAGATCGGTTCTTCGTCGGCTGGCGCCTTGACCAGTCCTGGATCTTTTGTACGGTCAGCTGGTGTATCAGTCTCTTCTGCGCGGGCGCTGTGATTGTTGCTGCTCAGATTCTTCCCTCCGAGGGCGGCTATGAGCTTATTCCAGATAATGATGCGCTCCGAGTGACTTGATTGAGGGTCTGGGCACGGGTGCTTTTCTTTCCACCACGGGCAAGGCCATCGATCATGACCGGCTAGTTCAAATACATGATGGACGACTAACGGGATGGCTGACTTTCAATCTCGGGTCAGTCGAATCCATGCTATGCGATACTTTAATTGCTTCTTTATCAATGCCTCTTATCCTTTGCACTTACAGCTTGTTTTGGTCTGCAATTTTATTCCACTGTTTTCCGGCGTTGCGGCTGTATATCCTCTCTCGTTGCTGGATTGAATACGACTAATGGATGATGGAATCATGTTCACGAGCTATTATTTTTATATTTCAGATCTATTCTCCGGGATATCGTTTCATCGAGTCACTCAGTTCATATCTTCATGGACCGTATCGGTGACCTTGATCACCCACAGTATAAGCTATCAGCCACGTCTAACAAGGATAGGAAAACACGAATGCAAATGGCCCAAAGACAGAAAAATGCTTCAGTATTTATTTCATAGTTGTACACCACTAGCACCCATTTATAAAAGACCCCGAGATGAACACTGTTCAGGTCATGGCTACCTACCAAACGATTTCTTTCCCATTCAAGCCCTCCACAGCCGGAATCTGTGGCCGCAGCGCATAGCCATAGTCACCACCATTGGGGGTGCGCAAAAGGGTATGGATATGAAACTTCTTCGGCTCTTCATTGTTCAAAAAGACACCGGAGTGGTGATCGAACTCGACCAGAATAACCGGGCTCTGGATGCGATAGTAGAAGGGGTCATCGTTGCCATAACCTCCAATCCAGCAGAAATGCGTTTCCGCCTCGTAGCGGCGCACGTTGTCGAGCTTCATGGCGCGCGACTTGGCCGGCAGGTACAGCAGGTACTGTTCGAGGATGCCATACATCAGCGCCTTCTGGTCATCGGAGAAGGTCGATGCCCGGATCCCCTCGTATGGCACCTCGCGGTTGTCGCGGTACGCGCCGCACAGGTGGCGCTGGTCATCGCGGTTCCAGCGGCCGGGCGGCATAGCCGGGTCCTTCATAAGAGCATAGACGCGGGCTTGTGTCTGCAGATCCGCAGAGAGCGACTGCATAAGCTGTAAGCCGAGCTGCTCCTCGACCTGCAAGATCCGCGTGCCGGCATGCGGGCCCGCGTCGATCTCGTTCGGCTCGGCGCCTGTAAACCACGGCGACGCGACGATCTGCCCTCGGTACAGGAAGATGTTCAGGCACAGGTGGTGGCCGTAGAACGACCAGCCCCATGGCCGCGTCACGGACGGCCGTCCGAAAAGGACGAAGTTGTACGAAAACTCGTTCATGACGGCCGGCGACTGCACCAGCTCGCCGAGGAAGTGGTTGATGCGCATGGCCTTGATGGCCTTGTCGTAGCCCTCGGCGGACAGCGTTACTTTTAGCACGTTCATGATTGCGTCGCGCGTGGGTGTGTCTACTTCGTCGAGGCGCAGCCCCTTGTTGCTGAGCAGGAACTCTGGGTTCGACCATGTTCGCCAGTGTGGGGAGTCGATGTGGTAGCTTAGTGCTTCTTTCTGCTTGTCGCTTAGGCGGGCTGTCACGGCTTCTGTTGCGTCGACGATTTGCTGGATCGGGACGTCTTCCTCTTGTAATGCGAAAAGACCTGGTCGGACCTGGCCTGGAGATTCATTAATAATGAGAACTCGTTAGAACACTCATCTTCGATTGAATTCTTTGAATGTTCGACCGCATACCATCTGTAGTCACGCCCTTGAAGGGCTCCTGCAACAACTCCAGCCAATGCATATACAGCGCATGCAGCCATGGCGGATTATGCAGCGTCTTGAAATCATGCGCATATTCATGCGCATCCTGCTGGCACATCACCTGGAACCGCTTGAGATTCAAGTCCGGCAGATACTGGCGGTACTCGCCCGTCGGCCGCTCCAGCTCGGCCGTGTTGGTGGTCGTCATGGCGGGTATATACAGAAGACACAGATTCAACGGCGAAAAAGAGCAAGAGCAAGATAAAAAAAATTAAAAAAAGGAAGAGACACGATGGTGATATATCTGCCCGCGCTCTCCACGCCGGGCGATTGCTTCCCCACGCGCCGTGGGGACGGTGGGTGAGATATTATCCGCCTGCTGGACTGTGGCGACCGGGTATTCAGCCAATCCGGATGCGCCGGGATGGAATTTAGCAGGACTGATATTCTTCACTATACTCGGTTCGATGAGGTCTGACCGCAAATCGGGTTTTGGTGAAGATCATGCCATCCAACGGTTTCTGGGGTGGCGGGTTTACCGTGCTCGGAGGAATGCCGTGGGGACGGGCATATCTGCTTAGTTTAGCTCAAGAAAAAGACAAGCATTCTGCTGGATGTTCATTGGCTACTTTAATTTTCTATTTCAATTGAGGTTGCGGTCTTGATTGCCAGGGCGCTGCAGAATTACGCCTAAGCTACTCACTCATCTTGCAATGGCACCAACACACATCGATATTCTGTCAATTTTGATCCAATTCTGACACACTTCTTCCTTTCAGAATCCTATTAAACAAACAACGTATCTCAATTCCTATTCATTATAGTCTTCTTTAGTCGGATCTTCCGGGCTCGGCTTCTCCACTTGGCCTGAACCTCCCCGCATCCCTAATATGTCCGCTTCCACTCTTTTGCAGACGGTAATGGCATTGAGTCGTTGATCCATGCAACCGGTAAGCCGTTTGACGGCGTGATATTGCCGGGCCAGGCACCAGAATGGGATCCAACTGAGATAGCTTCGGTGGCAGCGCGTCTTAAATTTTCACTTTAATGTGGTTTGCCAAGCTGAAAGTATATATTGCTTTTTATTTTCGGACTCTCCCAGAACCCACCCCACCTTTTCAAGGAAATATAAGCTTTTACAAGAGTAAACACCCAAAGATAACCCCTCATTTGGTATAGAATTTCCCCGCTTTAGCAAAAGCCACTCTGCAGCCTCCCCCGTGGGGAGTCACGTGGCAGGCAACACCATCGCCCAGGCCCCGGAAATCCCGAACGGTTCCTCTTCAGACCTCCTCGTTATCAAAGCACCACTCGGTCTGGATGAATGCCGCAAGGGACAATGTTTGGATGATGCAAGATCACCAGTCTCCGCCACAGCCCTCTGTGGATGAGCCGGGCCCCAAGCGAAACAAACGGCCTCGCGCTGCGCAAGCCTGCGATCGCTGCAGGTTGAAGAAGTATAAGTGCGACGAGCAGTATCCATGCTCGCATTGTAAAAGTAGGGGTTTCCCTTCCTGTAATAACGCTGATCAAAGTATGAGTCTTACTCTTTTTCTCTAGAGAGCCAGCTCAATTGCGTGTACCAGGGAACTTACCGTGAGCGCGAGAGCAACCGATCTGCAAGGTATTTTCTCTCTTTGGATGTTCCAATTTCCTTTCTTCCAAGCTTCATAGATGGAGATTTTTCGTCCTTCTTGAACCCCAGCCAGGAAACTGACCCTTGTGCAGCTATGTCGTCAACCTCGAGAAGAAAGTAGAGGAGTTGACATCCAAGCTTCGCCTTGCCGAGGCACAGTCAACAACATCTCCTCAGAGCTCAATAGTACCGACCACCCAACCAACATTTCCAGTTCCAGCTGAGACAACCCCATGCTCACTGCCTCGGAATGATTCCACTCCTCATGACAGCGCCAAACTGGCCGGGGACGTTCAGGAAGACTCTGCCGAGAGTGCAGACAATGAGATCAGCGAATTCAACCACCATACTAACGGCATTGAATTCCACGGCAGCACATCATCTGCTGCACTCATCGGGCACCTCAAGAAAGCCCGTGACACCAAACCGCGCGAGAGGCAGCACCCTCGTGCGGCTGAATCCTCACTGATCTCGACGCTCCACAACCCGAGCTTCTCCCCATCTTGTACCACCGGCCCAAGCCAGACCTTGTCGATCGAGCAGCAGAATTACTACTTTGATCAGGCACATGTGTTCATGAATGGATACTTTGAGAACATCCACTTCATCCACCCGTTTATTGATAAAGAGGAATTTCTTCTTCGGGCCAACGATCTTTGGTTTAACCGGGCACATACCCCCGAGCCCAGCTTTGTTGCTTTGTATTTAAGTGTGCTGTCGTTTGGGGCTCTGGTGCGCGTGTGGGATGAAAGTACCCTTGCTGGTCTCGGGCGCTTTCGATGGAGCCGCAAGTTGTTTGGAGAGGCGCAGGTCTATTTGAACTCTCTACGTTTCTCGAATGACCTGGAAACAGTACAATGTCTTTACTTCATGGTATGTACTGCCACTCGAGCACCTCGATATGGGGTTTGTCTCTAATGTGGCGCAGGCCAAAATATGCCAGAACGAACTCAATCCGAATTGTGAGTCCTCTGTACACCTGGCCTTCTTGTGACCATGTTTCTAACTAATTTTCTTAAGTGGCGTATATGTATCTCGGATTAGCTGTGCGTACTTGTCTTTCTGCTGGCTTCAACCGGGATGTTCGACCGAATGACCAGCGGTCAGGCTGGATATCCAAGACTTGGTGGTAGGTCCTGGTTGCATGGTGGTCTTTCAACTTTTTTCTAACGTATTACCTTCACAGGGGTATCTTTTCTTTAGAAATGTAAGTGTAATTTTGTTGCTAAGAAATTATCAACCGTCTTTTGCGCAGACGAGCTTTCTCTTTTCTTTTCTTTATACTGACCCAGTTTTAGAGAGATGAGCTTCTCAGTCGGGCGACCAGATACGCTTGGAATGGACGAATACCACAACCGTGCCATCCCCGAGCGAGATGACTCGGAATTTGCCATTATCCCCTGGATGATCGACTTTGCCCAGATCATTCGCCGGGTGTCGGTTCAGATCTACCACTCTCGCATAACTCTGCAAGAGAAATTGCAACTTGCCCTGCAAATCGAAATGGAGATGGATCGCTGGCTAGCACGACTACCGGAGAAGATCAAGCCAGATATTGGCGGGTACAGGCTATCTCGAAGCGCACTGCGGGATCCTAAGTGGGCTCGCCGGCAACGACTTGTGCTGGGAATCCGTATGTACTATTTTGTTTCATTGCATGGATATTGAAAGAGCAAGCTAATTCTTGATGTAACTCCAGGATATTATAATGTGAAGATGCTGCTCTTCAGACCATTTCTCAGTCACTTCACCCGCAAACTGCGACATCCTCCCAGTGAGCTGGAAGAAACGATTACTAAATGCCTAGACTCGGCGATGAAAAGCATTGAAGTGGTCCACGATATCTACCGAGTGCATACATTCTTCCGATGCTGGTATGTTTTATCAACGAGATTTGGATTGACAGATTAGAACTGAAACTGACTCTTCCGCAGGTGGTATAACACAACCTATGTCATGTTCGCCACATCCACTCTTCTCCTCCCCATGTCCAAACTCGGCATGTGCGCCGAGACCATGACTCTGCTCCGGTCCGTGGAAATGGCCGTGGAGATCCTCGAAGCAATGGAGGAATCCGTTGTAGCTAGGAAGTCTGTTGAAATTATCCGCCAATACTTGCGAGAATTCAAAGCCTCGGGTGCACAGCAGCCGACTGCGGGTGACGCTGAGAACAATGAGGAATTGCCGTCGTCGGCTGAACCGGGGGCTGCACAGCCTGGGTTTGATATTCCGGTATGTGGATGATACCCCTTCATGGATGTGCTTCAGTGCTCTGACCGTGACTTCTAGGAATGGGCCTATGGCTTTGGGTTTCCGGACTACTCGTTCGAAGGAATTGCCCGACTATTTGACGATATTGGTGGGCTTCCTATGCTGGATCCATAGTTTTTTTTTTTTTGAATATGCTTTTGGGGTGACTCCTGCTGCAACATGATTGTTTTTTCTGCGTATATGTCTCTTCTACAATCTTCATGGAACCACTGCCAGAAAAGAGATTCTATTCACATCCCTCATCATTATAATATCTGACAAAAAGACGACCACTGACTAGAACGTTGGGCAAATGAGTTTGGATGACTCGCCACGGCATTCTCAACTTCCTGAATGGCATCATATCCGTACAGCCACGGCTGCACCTCCGGGCACGTCCTAAAAAATACAATTAGTCGATGAGCAACACGAGTCAAGAAAAGGAACGAAACTACCATCGACTGGGAAATGCGCCTTTGATATCTTTACCCAGCTGCGAGAGAAAGATTTCGTCTCTCTTTATTTGTTCCTCGCCATCGCGCATATGGAAATCATGTCGCTGATTAAACCACAACGTGAGCAAAATAAATCACTTTAGCTATGGCTCAATGGCCAAGGTGCCTACCTGCTTGAATGTCTCCCGAACAATGGCCTCTCCTCTCGACTTTCGCAGGCTTTCATAAAGCCGTAAGATGTGAGGAAGCTGTGTTTTGTTCTTCATATGCCCTAATAGCAGACCCAGCACTGCGCCATCTTCCAAGGATGAATTGGCGCCCTGGGCTAGGTATGGGAGCATCGGGTGACAAGAGTCTCCACTGTTTGCATTTTGTTAGTGAGATTGGTTATATAAAAGTGCTGGACGAGGGGGAGGTACATAAACACAAGATTTGAGGCATCGTTTACCCATTTCTCCATTTCGCCATCTGCAGGGATATCAGCTCTGACATCTCAAGCACGACCTGGCCATCCAATCCAAAAACTTACGATGCATCAGTCTCCACTTGTCGACGCTGGTAACATAGTTCAGGAACCGGTTCAAGCTGCGCCAAGCTATCAGCCATCGCATAGAAAATCTGATGGTGGTACTGGTACTCCTCACATCGGATCCCAGCCCACGAAAAGCTCTCGCATCTCGTCCACCGACCCAGCCTGCCTCGACACTCCGGGCGGCAGGGTGTCTGGTACCAGCAAAACAATATTAAACATCTTCCCGCCGCGAATGGAATAAGCCACCGCATGAGCCCCAGGCCCAACCCAAAAATGGACCTCGGGATTCTCAACGAGCGCCCTAAGATCCGGGTCCGAGATCTGGTCAGCAGTCAAGACAATCCGATACGCCAGATCGCCCGTCGGAAGCGGTTCATCCTTCTGTCCCATGAAAGCCTCACGACACCTGGACCATAGCCCATCGGCAGCGATGATCAAGTCACCGGCATACTGGTTGCAAGCGAGGGTGTGCACAGTCACCGAATCAAAGTCGACCCGCTCAACCTTCTCATTGAGCTGAAAACGAACACCCAGCTCCTGTGCTCGCGCAAACAGCGCCTGCTGCAAATCGACGCGATGCAGATCCACAAAGGGCGCATTATACTTGCGCCGGATATTCTGGTCAAACCCGCTCTCGTGTGCCAGGATCTGGCCCGAGTAACGGTGCACGGTGACTTTTGTTGGTTCAGCTGCTGCTTCCCATATGGATGTTGGGAGTTCCCAGTACTGTAACAGTCGTGATGCGTTGGGCGTGATTTGTAGCCCTGCGCCGACTTCTGCCAGCTCTTTGGCTTGCTCGATTACCTGGACTTTGTGGCCGGATAGCGCGGCTGAGATTGCGGCGGCTATGCCGCTCAGGCCGGCGCCGACGACTATTATGCGAAGACGTGCTTCTTCTGGCACCTGTGAGTAGTTTATTAGCAGTGGTGCGTAGTGGATTGTTTTGTTTGGGTCATACCATCTTTTATCGTGTTGATTGGAGTTCGACCCGTTATAGAATTGATTGAAACAGGGGACAAGGCTTTTCCAGCAATGGGTAAATAAAGATAGAGCAGCAGTAGCTCTTTAATGTCCGATATTTTCTAATAAAGACCGAGGCCGAGTGAGCCTTGTCACAGGAGCTGTCTACGGAATGGCCGGGCTGCTTCATCACCGAAGCCCCACGGCTCGGGAATACCGACAGTCTCGGATTTTCCATGCTACTCAAGTGGTTACTTAGTTGTTTGATCCCCAATCCAAATATAACTTATCTCTATCTCCGCAACTTTCCGCCAAGTGCTGGTTACTTCTGCGGTATAAATCACAGAGCGTGGGGAGATCCCGAATAGTCTGAGGAAATAAACCATGGACCAGCAACCAAGGCTGAGGGGGGGGGGGGGGCTCCTCCATCAGTTTAGCAGCAGTGAAAATAGATTATTCTTACAGATCTCCAGTTTTCTGTCATGGGTGTTTCATGTCTAGATTTTGAGACGCAGTGATCGGCTATGATGATGAAACTATACAGGTGGAAGCTGAGAAACCACCTCCACTGTAGGTATAGCGAATCAACCAAGAGAGCCAAGAGCATCAAAGGACGGAACATAGACGAGATAGATAAAAGTGATCTGGCATCTATTTTTCTAATTCAATCAAGTCTTTCATTCAAAAGACCCAAAAGCATGACATGACATTCTGATATTTGCCCTGACCCCAACGTCTGATCGCGTACATAGCGACGAAAACCCTCAAGCCCATAGAAAAAACTCCAAATCCAAAGTGACATCAATGAAAAAGGGGCTCTTTCTCATCTTGTATATCATGACCATCGCCCTCTCTCCCGAAGCCGTCAACCATCAAATACATTCCAATATATGCACTGAACGGAAGGGGAAAGGATAAGAAACAAGAAAAAATACGGAATAGAGCCACAGCCAGGTGGCAGTCATATCACGTATAAGTCACGACCAAAAAATTTCATACAGTTGCCCGGCAAGCCGTTACATCTTACGGGACGTATTGGTTTCGACCTGTCCACAACTCGTCCCGTCCAACCGCTTCCAGGACCGAGTACTCCTGGGGTCCGAGTGGGAGGGGTATGAAGTAGACGAGCTCCGGCTTAACGAGCTTGGTGATGACGGCACAGATGAGCCAGGTGTAGTGTTTGCTGTTGCCGATGCACTGCTGGCCTGGCTGGCTCGCACGGCGGCAGCTGCGGCGGCGGGGTTGCAGTGCGCGCAGACGAAGATGTTGAAGCCGCGGCCGTCGCAGCTTGTGCAAATTGATCCTCTGCTGTATTATAAGCATATGAGAGACGGGATGGCTGGAATATAGCAGTTTGGGGTTCGGGTTTATGTACCTTGGGGCATTGCCAGCGCAGCTCCGGCAGGTAAGGACGGTTCGTCCGCCAATGCAAGATATATGGTCTGGGTCGAGATGGAGGATCGCGAGGGTGGAGTTGGCCATTGTATTTGATGAACTGGCGACGACGCTGACGCGATCTGGTAGATATATGTTCGCAACGATGGTGTAGATGTTCAAGATAGCCGATTATCTCGTGGGTATAGTTATATATTGCTTTCGTTCCTGGGATTCTCGTTGGATAGTCAAAATGACCTCTCTCGATCCAGGACAAAACTCGGGCTTTATCAAGTGAACAGATGCAAAGACAGGTCCCGAAATCAAGAATAGAGACCTATCAAGATCGCCGATCAGACAAGGGTATAAATCCCGCCCAGACCAAAATGGCATGAACCCGGTCAACGGTGGCAAGCTCGTTCAAGGATAGGCTCTTTTATATGTACAAGATCAATAGATGTGCCACAGAACAGATCGGGTCTGGTGTTACATTCATTCAAAGATGTCGAAATCTGTGAACGCCGAGGACTCGAAATCGTAATCGAATCCAACCGCTGGAAGATGATCAGCAGGACACAACCTGGGCAGACAGATACACACGGAGAGAGAGCCCGGTTGTTCATTGTTCAATGGCGTTGCTCGGTCATCTCGGCCTGGTAGCTACATATTTCCCGAAGAGGATCTGCCAATGACACGTCCAGGGGAGGCCGATCTGGTATTATGAAAGAACGGTGCATACACTATCTTGGGTTTAGTGGGATCCGGACCCCAGAGAGATGCATCGGAGCATTGGCACAAAGTGTTTAAAAAAAAAAAGAAAAAAAAAAAAAAAAAAGAACGTACCTAGTCTGCGGCCAAGGCACGCAGCAGGGCCACGTTCAGGGTTTCTGAAACGGGCCGAGCTGGTGGGGGTGTTTCGAGGACGTAGATCTGGTCCACTCGACTGGGACTACGTCGTGGCCGTTCAACCTCGGGTTCCCAAAAGGGCTGACCCAGGGGCCCAATGGCGGTGCATCCTATGTTGTAAGGGGTGTTCCGGTGTGCGATCCACGGGGGCATCTTCGCAGGAAGAGAATAGAAAATCAAAAGAAAGAACAGGGGGAAAAAGCCCAATGACAGGAATGATGTGACGAAAATAAAATATCTCCGCGAATCAACGCACTCCCAGCACCGAGCAGCGTCACTCAGACTCGATCAGCAGCTGGTGAAAGCGGAAAAGAAGTCCCAACCGCATGGCAGCCACCACAACCTTGTGTCACCTGCCATCAGCACAGTGGGAATGCCATCACTAGGTTTGAACAAGACGCTGTAGGCGGCCGGTCTCGGGCACGAGTCAGCACAGGATGATGGAGGGGGATCAGTCCATAAACACGGCACCCCAGACCATGAATGGGGCATTCCATCCACGGATGGCTGCAGTGGGACATGCGAGGATGACCTCATCTCGGCGATGTATAGATCACACAGGCCGGGTCCGGTGTACTGGGAACATTTGCAGATGGAAAGGTAGCATCGGTAGGACGGCAAGTCCGAAATTCGCCAGTTTCATGCTGGAGCTTACTCATTGGGACGAGATACCCTTTGCATCCTGTCTGAATTGGGCTCGAGGAGATGCGGTAATGATCAATTTACGGAGTCAGATGATCACCTGCACGATATGTGAGGACAAGGACACTAAATGAGAAGAGACCGAGGGAATATCATTCCCTTCCAGCCCAGTAAAGCATACCTACTCAGCCAATGACCTCCGCGAAGAGGTCCATACCAAGCATCAATCGTCCCGAGCAACTTCATGTGATCAAAGACGGGCCATGCAATTGATAATATGGCGTCGTCATTTGCGATTAGTGAAAAACCGGAAGACACGGGGAGAGGGATAAACAAGTTCAGCCAGTTGCGATTGGTGACGGAAATTCGAGAAATCACCTAGTTCGGCATAACGACGATCAGCACAACACCCCACGGGAGGTTGAAGAGGCAGCTTTTTTGAGAGAGATGAAACCCACAACATCCCCCAAAAATGTCGGGCTTGCCGCCAATCGCACGCCGCAATTTAGCTCCAACTCCAGCGAAGTGCCGTGGCTGCTACATCGTAGACTCCATCGCCTCACGCAGGTAACCGGCGACTGCAGCTCCACGCCAGGATAGGGTCCCCTCCAAGCCATGCGGTGGGTCCGATAGACGTGGAAGCAAGGAGCCCCCTGCCAACCGTTGAGATCCAAAGCTACTGACTCACTGTGTATGCTCCGAGCTGAAATGCTTCGAGCCGAGTCCGCTGCTCCGCAAATCGGTCGTAAGCGGATCGACCGACAGGAATCGATTTGAGCATTGCCGAGAATCTTTTCCTCCTCATTTTGCGGACTCCTTCGGAGTATCCACCAAGGTTGTGACGCCATCTGACCAAAACTATAGATCGGGCCAAGAACAAGTCTCACATATGCTGCGAGTCCCAAAGTAAATGGGAAATTCTCCGCTCGTGATTTGAGGCCATTCAACCGGTCCCGGCAACTTGCATGAATCCTGGAGCCAAAGAATATGAGGGCTCTCTCTACACTGCTTGTTCGACCTGTTTGAATGTGTGAGTGGGCCTGCAGCCAACCCTACCCCATCACGCGCTAAGCCCGGATTCCAACTTGAACTGGGATCGTGGTCCTCGTACTGGCGGCAGCCTGCCTTGTGTTGATGATGCACCTGGAAGGAATCCCACCCATGTCTCAAAATGGCTATGTGAGACTCCCGGGGCTGGAGCGAAAGAAGAGATCGGCAGCGTGGAATGCCCCATCGTGTTCTTCCATCCCTCGATGTTGCTTTTGATCCTTTTCTTCTTCCCCCAAAACTGCGGCTGGTGTCACCGTTGAACCCCGAGATCCCCGAGCAACAAAGTCTCGCCTGATACGTGGCACAGAGGGAGTCAAGCCTGCGAGAGAAGGTCAGCTGACATCGAGATGTGCGAGTGCTGCAGTTCGATTGTCATCCGTCATCTTCTATCTTGTGGTCGGCTTTGGTGGTGTTTCTGACTGCCAGGCACGGCCAACTGGATATCAGTCTCAGCACTCCGCTTGACTAAATGCGAGGAGCTGGCTGGCCGCGAGAACACAGAACAAGTTTCTGTACCTGCAATTCCTCGAAGTCTTCCTCGGCATTCGCAAAATGCAGCCAAAACTTGCCAGTCATAATGGGAAGATTGACAAATCAACCCTCCAAATCGCAGTACGAACGATTCAAGAAAAGCTCACATGCCTCGAAATTCAGGCTCTAGCCATTAAACACAACACCCTCGGTTCCGGCCCGATGATATCACGGTGCGCTTTGAAAGGAACCTACCTGAGACAAGCGGTACCTGACAGAGGTCTAAGAGAATCTGTCACGAGCATGGAATGAAGGAGATCATAGATGGAAGATGGTAAGAGCAGAAACGAAATTCATCGATTGGCATTCTCACTACCCATTAGGTCTGCATGATCATTTCACCGTTAAAAAACAAGAAACCCGAGTAAAAGCAAGAAAGAAAAAACGCCACAAGGCATTCCACCCATCCGCTCATTGTCTTGTCTGAAATTCAAAGCCACCGTAGAAGGAGAAAAGCAAGATATGAAAGGGGAAAAAGCATAATGTCATTCGGCCCGAACGCCTTAGCCATGGCCACCCTTCCCATGACATGGTTCTGAACAAGGCAGGACGGTGCGTAGATCAGGAGGCAGCCTGGCGGAAATAGCAAGGTAAAAAAGAAAGGAATTGGTTCACGTGTCAAGAGTGAAGAGGGCATTCGAGACACCCTTCGAGACATGAACATCAAGAGGCTCGTGCTGCAAACTGGTGCTTGGGTAAAGAGCCATGAAACTCCACCAACGAACGAGATAGTAACCCCAGAAACGCCTATCGTCCACCTGTAAATCAAAATCGCCGCCGGGGCTGAAAAATAAAAAAAAGGGCAATCTCTCAAGTGTTTCGAGAGTGGTGGGATCGCCTAACTAGCTGAAGTAGTCCGGTGGCAAAGCTGCCAAAGCAGCGATGGTGCCCAAACCGCCAAGCACGGCACTAATGATGGCAGTCGCAGCATGGCTCGCAAGATTCCTGGAAAGAGACGAGTGGCCTGGCTTGACTCGCTTCCGCGGAGGCTCGCTCTCGGAGAGTGCTGAACTAATGGCGTCGGCAATGTCAGACTCGGAGGAAGCCTGTAATTCACTGGGGTCCATCTCTGACTCCATTTCGGGGGCCTTGCGTTTCAGTGAACCCTTCAGGGCTGGAGTTTGTTCCTGGTTGATCTGCAGTTTAGGCGTAGTGATCTTTGCCTTGGCAAAAGGCCCATCGCTGTATGAAACATGTGGAGTAATTGACCGGGACAAAGCAAATGCTGGATCCACATTTTCAGTGCAAGCATGAGACTCTGGATCAACTGGTGCGAGCACACGAGTAACAGGATACTGGGGAAAACGGGCTCTGGGGTCGGTCAAGGCCGTACCGTCGGCGTTCGATGCGGCAGGCTTAGGCCCTGTAGACGAAGTTTTGTCGCTCTCCGTCGTCTCACTCGATATGGGTGACGTCGCGGTATCTCGTGTAAGCTTGGCTGGATCAATAAATGCCTCCTCATCATGGCCGGCATTTTCATCATCGGAATTGCCGTCAGACTTGAATTCAAGCGCAAGGGCTGTTTCCGTGTAAAGCCCCGCGATCTCAGCGCGAGATGCTAAATCGTTAAAGGAATGCGATGAATCCTCGTCTTCTGAGTCTTCTAGATGTTCTGAGACTGACACATCGATTGACGATGCATCAGAATCCCAGTCGGGATCTTCTTCCTCGTCCAAGTCAAACCGCCCAGTACCCTTCACGAAAGGCGCCTCGATGAATTCAGGGTCGCAGTGCGGCGTTCCCTCGCGGCAGTTCTGCCCGAACAACTCAGGTAGCCAGGCCGGAACAATCCAGCATTTGTTCCAGTCCTCAATGGCAGACTCGTGTTGAAATTGAGACTTCACATCTTCGCTGATAAACTCTAGTGGCTTTTCGACCAGCCACCACCCGCGTGGAAAGCCGTTGCCTTCCTCCCAGATAACCCAGTATTTTCTTGTGTCCACAAACCAATATTGAAGACCCACTTCAGACACCGCATGGAAATTGACATCGGAATGCTCGGGGCTCAATTGCCATGCGCATTCTGTTCCAGTGATAGGCTTGTCCTTTGGGTCGTCGCCAACAAAATAGGTATTTTCGGGCACGAAGCACCGTCGCGCAGCATGAATAATCTGCTCTTCTGGGTCAATGTTGGGCAAGCTATCACATTCGCCCCATCGAATGTCCGCTGCACGCATGAAGCCTGGCTTTAGCATTACCCAATCTTCGAAGCCTTTCTCTGGAACGTCATAATAAATCTCTGGAGCATTGCGGTAAGTTTCCTTGGGGGAAGCCGTCCTCAGAGCATCGGACTGGGTGGGTGTCTCCATGGGTGTTGAGAGGCCAGCACTTTTCGTTTGAATCGACTCCTCTGGCTCAGTCCCACTCTTGTCGGTGCATTTTGGTAGCTCTGCTTCCACCTTTGCTTCAATGGCACCGGTGATGTTCAATCTTGACGAAGGGAGCAGCCAGAAATTAGGTCGGGATTTCGCATCGCTGGAACTCGAGGGAAGTTCATCCGAGGTGTCCGAATGCTCGCCGGGGATGGCATCGACTTCGTTGCTAAGCGAGCCCGTGGAGACATCATCTTCACTTTCTTCGTCTTCGGGAACACAAAATGTGTTTGTAGATGTCTTCGACTTCGAGCCGTCCACTGAAGAATCCGGAGTCTGCTCCTGACTGCTGATGACAATGTTAGAAACAAGCGTGTGATACTGCAGTGGGAGATTTTCGTACTGGGTATGAGGCCAGTCGATATGACAGCGTACCGAGAACGCCGGGAACACTTCTAGGAGATGTTAACAACAAAATTAATACAACTGAATCAGGAAGACCTACCGTCAAAGCGGTTGACATCGACACCAAACCGTAGCAGATCCCCACTGAGTAATGGGGTCTTCTCGCCAGTTACCATCTTGGCGTTATTCAACCATGTTCCGTGCGTGGATTCATAGTCGCAGATATAGACGGTCTGGAAACAATGAATTTAGCAATATACCAAAAGGGAAATGCTTAAAAGCAGGGCAGCAGTGGTTCTAACTCACTCTCGTTTTAGCGCAGAAGCTCAACTCGGCATGCTCTCGAGACATAACTCGAGAATCAAACCAGCCATTTTCTTTGGCTGGGAAACGATTCTTGATCTCACGCCGGGAGGCGCGCCCGATAGAAACATTTGGGTTGTCTTCCGAGAGGGTGATAGTGCGCAGCGGGGGAGTATCTGCGAATAGGGGGACGAGGGACACGCTGACTAGAGAGCAGCAATATCAGCCGATATATCATGAAGAAGTAAGGTTGACAACACCCCAGAAATATTCCAGAAAGACACTAACCCTGTTCACCAGGCATATTGAGATACTTGACAACAGCTCAAAAGTGTCTTGGGGGCAAGGTTTCGAAGTCGGATGAGGAAGAAGAGGCACCGCCGCCTGGGCGATAAGGTCGATCAGGAAGGTGAGCGAGACACACGCGGAAGATGGCAGCGGCTAGATGCAGGATGCGGTCAGCAAATAGGTGAGAAGGGCAAGATACTCAGCATGATCGAAAACTCCACAGTTGATGAAGTCAAATGCTTGAGAGGCTGGAGATGGTTGTAGCTTACCCGGGTAATCCAGGCTGGATGCGATCACCAGTATCACATCAACTGAGCCCACTGAAGACGGCAGATTGTAAAGACTTTGTGAAAAATAGGAAGAGACGAAGATGGGAGATCGAGGAACGATGGGGGAGGAAGGAACGAGGAAGGAAGAGAGAGAAGAGGGAAGAGGGGTAGATGATGAATCAGGTTGAGGTCAAGTCGCAGCCTGCACGGTCCTGATTGCTGGACAGTGTTTCCTGGCCCCGTTTCCACTTGACAAAAGGCTACAAATCAAGCAAAAATGAATTTGTCTTTTTCCTAGAGTCAAGGCCGGGCATCAAGCCACCGGAAGGTCAGGCAGGATGATGTATGAAAGACACGATAAGGCAGATAAGCCCCGTGACAAGGCGATCACCGTGAGACCACACCAAGTCGGAAGAGTAGGATATAGGCTATAGAAGAGCAGCTGGAGAAGACTATTAGAGAAAGCAAACTGACGTGAAAGAAGACAAAGTCCAAAATACGATGACTGTCTCTTCTGTTATTCTGAAGGGCCCCGATAAGAGGTGGGTCAGCTGATGTGGGGCAGGCACGTCATGGTAAGCCGCACACTGCATACCTGGGCAGTTTATATAGATAGATAGATCGAGGAAAGTAAGAATATTCTAAGTTGGATAGGTTTATAGCTATAACACCATTTCAAATAATATTTTTCGAAACATCTTGAATACCCTTTCCTTATAGTTTAGAATCACTACTTCATATAGTAGCTAATATACTTAAAAATAGTTTACTATTCATGTTTTCTACTGATAGGTACACTCTTAATAGTAACCTAGTTCTTTTTTTCTTTAAAAAAAAAAAAAGGAAAGAAAGAAAGAAAGAAACCAACACAATCTACCGCCATGTTGACCAGCTTATTTAGAGGAACTGGTTCAACCCATGACAGCAAGTCCAGTCAAAGAAGAGACATTTTCCCCCTTAAACCATTCCAAAGGGGTTCTTGTAATGGCTATCATAATTAAAATAAGCCGCCTCGACTCTCCAGGCTACTAGAAATGGCATTTATTATTGAATACAAGACCCACAAAACCAAGACATAGCACTTGCCAACCACTGGAAAGCAAGGTTTTTCTAGACACTATGTTTTGCCATAACCTAAGGAATTAAACAAGCTCCACTGCAATACGAAGAGCATATTCCATTTCCGTAACATGCTCTTCGCTATATTCCATATGCAGGTCCAATATTAAGTAGAAGGACGCTTCATAAATCAACAGTCAAGGCTGGACTAAGCGTTCTAAAATAGTATATAAGCACAATGCCTCAAATAAGGAAAGTATGAGTTTCACATTGATGCCTCATCAGAAACAGCCCATGTACAATCGTGCCTTGATTCTCATGACTGCCGTGCAAATGGAGTGGAATGGTTCTTATACAAGATACTCGAGTCAAGGACTTGACCATTGTCCGACCTTATGAACGACACTTGCAAGCGATGCTCATCCAGGAAATGCAAAGTGCTATAGCTGTAATGGTCCATGTAGATCCACGCGGCAAATGACGGCGCCTCCTCCACGGGCAGAGCCCCTTCAACATTACCAGCACCTCCGCAAATAATATACATCGGAGCGGTGGGATTCCTCAGCCTTTGCGGTCACCCCGGCCCTTGTAAACCGGGTAGAAGCGCTGCGAGTTATGGACATGGCCGAAAAGGCCGAGGTCCACGCCATAGGTGTAGAGTAGATCCTCAAAGGCTTCCTGGCAACTCTTGCAGGTGAGTGATGGATTCGCCGCGTACTAAGGTCGGTGCCCGGCCACAATAAGCCATGGCGTGATCCGGCAGTCCACGCTCGCTGAATCGGCAGCGAGAAACCTGATCTGCTGGTGTGGCATTCCGAATCAGTCACTGGATACATATGGGGCCTTGGTGAAGTCGGTCTCGGTGTCGATCACCACAATATGAGCCATACCATATTTAAAAAGAATACCAGAATGGACGTTTTGCGAGAATCCTCGCCTTGGCGGCTAGTTCCTGGGCGGTCATATTGGCTGAGGAAGATTCAACGGCACGCGGCATCATGCCCTTGCCGAATCAGCGCATGAATCCGCAAAGTCTTTCTGTCCTTCCGGGCAAGCGTCGGCGCTTTGACCAGACTTGCAGTTGGCATCGTGGTTTCCAGGGGCTGCCATGTACGACTTCCGCCCAGAAATGGGGGCGGGCTGGTCATAGAACAGTTATCTTTAGTACTGAACCCGGATCCGTTCGGTGTTTGTGGAGTGATGGCGCGGCGCTTACCAAAGGCTCGGCTTGGGGGGGTTACTCTTGGCGAATGACCGGCTTACCTACCTTCCCCAACCATCGCTCTTTCCAACCGGTCTTGTCGGTCTTGTCTTTTCTGAGTCCCAGCCAAACCACCGTGCATGCGTGGCGTTTGGGGTCGGAAATGGTGGGGGGATGGTGGTACCTCACTTCGGGGTGCGACTACATTTCACCCTCTTTCTTCCGACGGTTCATGAAAGAACACTCTATCACTCTTCCAACTACTCTCACTGGTATTGCGGACCTACATTACCTTCAGGCAAATCTCGTCGAGGTCGACATTGATACTTCAGACACTAGGTATATGGCGAAATGGGATACGAATTTGCTTTACTGACTCGTGTTCCCATTAGCGAAGAAAAACCTGCATCGTCATAGTGGATCTTGAACCATCGATAGGGTCTATGCACCAGATAGCATCTCAGGGGTGGCTGGCTTGGTGCAACAAGATAAGTAAAATCGCATTTCCTTCTGCACATGAGGCAATTGCTGCGCCGCAAAGGATCCAGGTGTCATTGGTCGGGATGTTTGTGGGTTAGCTGAGCAATTTGTGATTAGAATGGAATTGGAAATTCAGCGAAAATTTTTCGACATCATTTCTGGGCGACAAGACCTTGGCGGCGTCCCACAAAAAGATGTACGGGGGGCGAAATGGAGCATGAACGCTTTCAGTTATACATTGACCGAAACCAGAATTCAAAATTTGTCTAATTGACATGGCATTTTACCAACAGGAAAAAGAGATCAAATGGCTATATGAATGATGGCTATCTTATAGTGATCATTTGGAGCTGGAAACTCGGGAAGGTGATGCATGCAAGATCCGAATGAACCTTCAACTACAGTAGACTCATGAAAATTTGAGTCGAATTAAGAGGCGCGCCACAACGGTAAAACCGTCCGCCCATGAAGGGTCTGCCATGGACCATCGCGGGGGAAAGGAGAGAAAAGTGTTAAATGAAATCATATCCGCACGGGAAATTGGGTTTCAGATTGGCCATGCAACGCGCCAAGCGCCAAGCGCGCCCACATAATGCCAAGAACGCCCGCCAAACGCCAAGGAAAAGGCTTTCCCCGTTTCTACGCCTCGAAGACTGGAGAGCCTTCGCTGGACTTTCCAACTTGGGACCTGGCCAAGAGTACTGTGGATATGGAATTTCAAGTCGCAGTGTTGCTTGAGCGCCCCCAAATGAAGCCCCATGGGGGTGCTTCCTATAAGAGCGCGCAAATTCTTCTACTCGGGCACTTTTTTTTTTGCTCGACTACTTTCTCCCCTGCTCGCTTTAGCCTTACCCCCCCTTTTTTTGGCGGAGAGATTTTGCCTCTACCATCATTATGTGGACGACCTCCAGCGGCTTGAGTGGTCGGCCACTCCGGCTGAGCATCACCTTCGCGGCTGTCGTTGGTTTCTCGCTGTTCGGCTATAACCAAGGCATGATGGCCGGTCTCCTGAACGGTGACGAGTTTGTTAGCTCTTTTCCTATCCTCGCAATGCCTGAAAACCCGACTGCATCTGAAAAGCACTATATCGACGTTATCCGCGGTGCTGTGACATCGTGTTATGAACTTGGCTGCTTCTTCGGCGCTATGTTCTCTATGTTTTTCGGCGACAGACTCGGCCGCACCCGTCTCATCTGTCTGGGCGCCAGCGTTTTGATTCTGGGTGCTCTGATCACATCCGTTTGCTATACCGGTCATTGGGAAGTTGGTCAGTTTGTTATCGGCCGTGTGGTGTCAGGTATTGGAAATGGATTGAACACGGCCACAATCCCGGTTTGGCAATCGGAATGCTCTGGTGCCCATAACCGTGGCTTCCTGGTCTGTTTCGAGGGCGCAATGATTGCTGGTGGCACTTTCATTGCTTACTGGGTGGTCTTTGGTCTTTCACACGCTCTGGACTCGGTTCAATGGCGATTCCCCATAGCCCTTCAGATCTTCTTTGCTTTGATCGTGGCTGCTGGTGCCATAATGCTGCCGGATTCTCCATCGTGGTTCGCAAAAATGGGCCATGACAAAGAAGCCTGTGAGGTTCTTGGTAAATTGAAGGGAGCGTCTCCTGACTCTGATGAGGTGCTTCGCGATTTCAACTTCTTGAAAACGGATATCGAATCGTCTAAAAACACAGAAGCAAGTTGGAAGACTGTCTTCACATTTGGAAAGACACAGGAGTTTCAACGTCTTCTCATCGGTTGCTCTGGACAATTCTTCCAACAATTCACAGGCTGTAACGCCGCTATCTATTATTCCACGCTTCTCTTCCAAGAGAATCTTGGCATGGAAAAATATCTTTCTCTGATTATGGGTGGTGTGTTTGCAACGGTTTATGCGTTAGCAACTATCCCATCCTTTTTCATGATCGAAAAGGTTGGCCGCCGAAACCTTTATTTGATCGGTTTCCTGGGCCAAGGGCTCAGTTTCGTTATCACATTCGCTTGTTTGATTAAAGAAACCGAACAAAACTCCAAGGGTGCCGCCGTTGGAATCTTCCTCTTCATCACTTTCTTCGCGTTCACTCTCCTGCCATTACCCTGGATCTATCCACCCGAGATCAACCCTCTCCGTACTCGCACGATCGGTGCATCCGCTTCGACGTGCACGAATTGGATTTGCAATTTCGCCGTGGTCATGTTCACTCCACTTTTCGCCGGCCAGAGTCCATGGGGAGTTTATCTCTTCTTCGCTCTATTCAACTTTGTGGGCCTGATCTTTGGATTCTTCTTCTATGTCGAAACCGCTGGGCGTGAACTCGAGGAGGTCGACATCGTTTATGCTAAAGCTCATGTGGAAGGAAAGATGGCATGGAGAGTTGCCAACGACTTGCCTAAGCTTACCTTCGAAGAGATCACTCAGTACTCTCGCGAGCTGGGCCTGGATACCAATGATCATGGTGTGCATGAGAAGAATGAGGCTGGCCTCAGTAGTGAGAGTGACCAGAAGGTCGATGAGGTTCAGGAGAAGTAGGGAAGATTTTGATGATGGAATTGGTGTTGATGTGACTGAATGTTTTTATGACATTCAAGAAACGCTGTCCTACAATATTGTATTGTTCGACCGGTATTTGGATTAGAGTATTCTTGTGAATATTTCGATAAATAGATGATCGAACGAATGAACCATTCTGACGATGACTTGTACGCCAATTGCTGTGTGGGCCAATGACTCCGTTGAACTAATGTAGTTAAAAGCATTTACGACGATACGTATAACCCCAACCCCCTCAGAGATCGGGTACCCTTACGAAAAGAGGTGAGAGCATAGATAGACATATGATAATTCGTTTTTATTCTACCTTTGTAGTATTAACATCTGCCTTGATTGTGCGCAGAATATACGCAGAATAAGAAAACACAAAGACTGAGCGAGATCTATGAGTTCGTGATCAACGTTGGTATCATCAGGAAATCAAGCTATGTACATGCTATTTTTCTTTTTTTTTTTTTTTTCTGTCAGCAGGAACCTCATTTTCACAATGATCCGATGGCTATATGCTATATACTAGGGTAATTTCTAGTACGAGTAGTCTTGATTCTGCGATATGGTGCCTTTTCTTTTTGGCCTGGGCGAAATGATAGATCTGATTCTTCTTGGAGGAGATATAGTTACCAGCGCAGAGATATTTGTATTGTTTGCTATAACACCAATTGGAAATCAAATATAAATATCAGAATATGGTACCTGTTAAGCCATATATCCACAAATATATCCACAAATGACAACTCACCAATACTTGCCAAATACTCACACCTCTCCCTCTGCGCCTGTGAAACAGTCTCCATATGACTCTGATTCGTCCGAATAAACACTCGTCTATAATCACCCCAAGTTTCCCATTTCGGACTACCGAGATACCGATGGGTATTCGGATTCAAAGTTCGCACAAAACTAGCCCAATATCCCTACATCACGGGAATTATTCGTATTCGTAGTGTAACCTTGAGCCGCAACGTCAAAAACTCTGACAACAAGCATAAGCGTGCGCCTGTGTCTCATGGCGTCGCAGAGTTCATAAAGATGTGTTTGGATATATAACCAAGGAAAGACCAAATATCTTGTCCTAGAGTCAGGTACATTAGAGAACTGCCTCGTGGAGCATGGTCATATCGTTAAAATGGAATTCGTCGATATAATTAATACTATATCGCATTTGCCTCATAACTAAGCTACCGTATACCTTTTTTTAAAGCGCAAAGCAGCTAATATTAAGATGCTATAGAATATACGATAAATAAGCTGGTATATAGATTAGTATAATATTTGTATCGCTGCATAGTTCATTAAATTAAGGCGTTAAATAGCTACTATAGCTATTAAGAATAAGAAGCTGATATTTACTCTTTATGCGATTAGTAGTAGCTGGTATAAAGACTTTCTTTTAGCTAGCGAAGGCCAATTTCGTCTTTATCTAGCTATTTTAGCTTACTTCAAAGTGCTAATCGGTAGGCAAATCGTCAAGCTAGCCTTTGATATAGACTTTCCCTTTAAAGATAATATATAGTAGTAGCACCTATCTAGATACGTTCATCGACCGGTAGGAGAAATCCGCTACATAGAGGTATCTAGGTAGCTAGTCAGTCGATTATGTAAAAAGTAACTAAGTAGGACTCTAATAACCGGAAGAGAGAAAAACAGGGGGCGGAGGTGGGGGATAGCCCTATAGGGGGTATGAAAGCCTTATGCGAGTTAAATTTGGACATGGCCCCATGGGTATAGAATTATTAATTCCCAGAATCAAATCATCAGAAGTGAGCACTAAAACAGAATGGGAAACCAAGGAACTATGGAAAGAATCCGTTCAATGGACCTATTGAGAAGACTTCTACCCAATAAGTAAGAGAATACTCTATGAGGAACTCTCGCACGTTTCTCTATGGTACAGATTACTCTCCACACACTCTGCAGAGCTCGACTATTCAACCAAACAGCCCGGGTCGCACCTCTGGGACACCCCGATGGTCAACGCAAGATTCAAGGAAAAACACAGGGGAGGGAATATGTCAGCCGGTAGTAGATACATGCAGAGAAAAGCCCAGCTCGCAATGCTGGGGAATCGATCAACAAACAGATCGAGTCCGGAACAAGAAAGGGAGAATTAGACAGACATACACCCATGTCCAGATCCGGGACACGAAGACCAGCGAATAAAGGAAAGGAAAAGGAAATAGACAAAAGGGAAATCAAAAAAGTGAAGAGGGAAGAGGGAAGATAAACCTGCAGGGGCATGGTGTAGCCCACTGGGTAATGGAGGAAAAGCGTCAAAAGACCCCCTTTTACATGGGCGGGGCAGCACCCATCGCACCCATGGCGTTCAGTCGCGCGGCCAGCTGAGGGTATTTCTCCTGCACCTCAAGCTGAGTGCGCGTGGCCTCGGCGTACGAGATGGCGTTGGTAATCTCGGCCTCCGTGCGAGCCAGCTCGGCGGCGCGCTCGAAGTACTTGAGTGCCTGGGAGACCTTGCCCTGCTGCAGCAGCAACTGGGCCATGGTTCCCACGGCAATGTCACACTCCGGGTCGACTGCATAGTTCGTAAGCATACGTGCCGAACGCAGGGATTATATCAGGGCAAAAACTTACTAATAAGCGCCTTCTGGCACAGGTTCTCGGCCTCTTGGAAGTCGTGCTTCCACTGGAATAGAGCCAGAGCCTTGTTGATCAGGGGCAGGACATTGATACCCATGGGCTTGCTCTGCTTCTCCATCTCCACGGCCTTGTCGAACTTCTCAATGGCCTCAGAGTAGTTCTGCTGGTCGAGCAGAAGCTCACCGTAGTAGTTGTAGACATCGGGGACGTCCTCGAAGTTCTTGACCGAGCGGCGGAAGGTTGCCATCGCCGATGCGACGGAGCCCATCTTGTACTGCGTCACACCAAGCTGAATGTGAGAGTAGATGAACGAGCGGTCGAGGTCAATCGACTTCTGGTAGTCCTTGGCGGCCTCGGCATATTCTCCCAGGATGAAGTGGAGCTGGGCGCGGTGGTAGTAGATATCGGGGTCCTCCTTGTTGTGGGTTATGGCGAGCTCAAAATCGTCCGCGGCAGCATCCTTGTTTCCTAAAGTGGTGGTTAGCAATTGAAGCATCCTGATATTAACACCGTCTAGTAATAGAAATGCTTACCGAGCTCGAGGTGCAAACTGGCACGCTTGATGTAGCTCTGGACCAAAGAGGGTTGCAGCTCCACACTCTTGTTAAGGTCATTCAGCGCACCACTAGCATTGCCACCAAGGTATGTGAATGTGGCTCTCTTGTTGAGGGCGAGGGCCTCGAATTCACCCAGGTCGCCAACTTCGAGTGCCTTTTCGAAGGCAGCGGCAGCCTCCTCGTAGCCATCACCGGTCTTCTTGCCCATAGCAATCAATCCTTTGCGCAGCTGGCCCTTGCCTGACTCCTCGCTCAGATCAACATTCTCGTCCAGGCCCTCGGGCAGAGGTCGAGAGCGGAAGCTCTGCAGATAGTTGGAAACGAAAGTGGCGCTGGGGAGCTTCTTGTTGCGCGATTCCAGGATAGTTTTGCTCTTCTGGTCGGCCACCTTCTTCAACAGCCGCTCCAGGGAGTTGCGGCTGACGTCGTTGGAGAAGGCATCGATGATGCAGCTGGCCGTGAAGTCCAGGAGAGCCTCACTGAACTTGCCAAGGTGCTCGTAGGCAATGGCTCTGCGGTTGAGGGCCTTCACGTACTCGCTGTCCATGGTGATCGCGGCACTGGTGTCCTCTATAACCTTCTCCCAGTCTGACAGGACATTGTAGCAGGCCGCGCGGTTCGAGTAGTAGACGGGATCGGGCTTGCAAATGATCGCTTTTCCATACAGGTCGATCGCGTTCTTATAGTCTTTGATGCCGTAAGCCTTATTACCAGCCGTCTTCAGCTTGGCAGCATACGCCTCCCGGGTCTTCAATGAAAAAGGGTCAGCGGGTCGAATGACCGAAAACACCAATGAACAGGAAACAAACCTCTGCGGACAGCTCGCCAACAGTCGCCTCGTCCACCTCCGGGAGGGGCTCGGAGGGAGGTTCGGTCTTTTTTGCGGCAGGCTCTAGAGGGAGTTGTCAGTTTCCACGCGACCGTCGCGTTGGGGAACGAAGGTTGAACCAACCATCCTGCACGGACGCCGACTTCGCCTTCTTGTCGTCCTCGGCCTTCTTCTTTTCCTTTCGGCGTTGGGTCTTGGGCTTCTTCTGTGCGGAAGAAGAAGCACTGCCTGTCTTGTTCGAATCGGAAAGGTAGTAGACAACACCCGCGCCGGTCACGACGACGGCAACACCGGCGACGGTGTAGACCACGGCCTTGTTCTCAGACACCCAGTTGGAGATGCGATCCCAAACGGATGCAGACGACGAAGCGGGAAGCTTCGAGGTGTCCAGCACCACGTTCTGGGCGGGCGTGGGTAATGGCGACTCGCTCGACATGATGTGCGAAAGAACCAGACACGGCGACCGGGAAGAGTTCTCTGATTCTGCGCGGAAGAAGAGAGTCAGTATCAGATGAGACGATGGGATTGCTGAGATAGCAGAAGCAGGAATAAAGACGAACGCACCGGGCCTCGAGAAGCGGGAGGTGTGAGATTAGGGAGATGATGGAGCTTCGAGGAAAAGTCAAGAGTTGGACCCGCTGGCCAATCACGCGCGCGACAACTAACGCTGCAAGTCTCCACATTACAACATCGCGAGAGAAAAAAAAAGGAGGCGGTTGAATACGTCGCAGGGATTATCGGATGCAATTGAGAGTCTTCTCTTCTTCTCTTCGTTACATCTTCGTGTCCACCCGTTGCCATCCGCTCTGCCCAGAGCCTGCGCGCAACCGCCAGCCGGTGACGTGGGAGGCAGCGCGCGACTAACTGTTTCGGACTGACGTAGCAGGATCAACACCCGCGATTGAAGAATTACGAACATGTCTTCGAGTTTATCGGCAGACCAGATGCAAGCCTTTCAAATCATCTCGTCGCTTCGCTATGATCCCGGCCTTCCGGAGGTAGTATCGCGGCATGCGAATGACTATCCAGAACCCCGTCAATCGCCCTACTACCTACTCGCCTACCACCGAGACCGACTCATCACCGCGGCGCAGCATTTTCAATGGGGGAAAGCATTGGCCTGGCTACAACGTGATATAGAAAGCCTCGAGGAGATCTTGAATGGTTCATTGCCGGATCAGAGCAAGCCATGGCGGCTACGCATTGCAATTGACTCCAATGGCCATGCCGCAGTCGACGTCCACCCAACGGCAGCAATTGAGCCGCAAAATCTTCTCGTCCCATCATTACACGCGAGTATAGAATCTCCTGTGTGGCGTGTCTACGTTGACACGCAACCCACAATCCCGTCCGGCTTTACCACACACAAAACAACAGCCCGCGATGACTACACAGCTGCGCGGCTCCGAGCAGGCATTACCTCTCCAGCGGAAACAGCAGAGGTTCTCGTTGTGAACCCGAACGACGAGATTATGGAGGGAAGTATTACCACTCCGTACTTCCGGCGGCGGGAAACTCGAACAGGATCTCAGCAAGGCCCAAATCAAGCTGGTTCATGGGTCACACCACCCTTGAGCAACGGTGGCAACGCGGGCACAACTAGGAGATACGCCCTGTCACAAAAGTTTTGTGTGGAGCAAGTACTTTCGCGAGCCGACCTTGTCGATGGCGAGGAATGCTGGTTGAGTAATGGGGTAAGGGGATTCATGCGCGGCATTGTCGTCTTGAATCGATGACGCCGGCACGGACATTACTATACTGAGGTAAATTAACCTCAAGCTCGAGGTCTTATTTCCGGAGACGATATAAATAAGGGAAAGACAGCATCATCATGAACATTTTTCACAATATCAATGAAAAAATATCATCTCACCCTCGCGCCCTCATTGAAATGAATTGAAAATGAACCAATCAAAGGTATCTCTGAAAACATGTTTATTTTGAGACATGATCATGCCAAACGAACTCGGTATCATCGACCTCTATTTCTTAGCCTTCTCCTCTACAATCGGGTTGGGATTCCCGCGCCATTCCAGTGGGCGGGCGCGCATGGCTTCGGCAATGAACTCGTCCGTTATCTGAGCGCGACGCTCCTGGAATCCCTCGACATACTTCTGCAGCTCAGCGATACACCGCTGCTTGATCTCACCGGTCATCATTTCTCCCTTCTCGTAGGCCGTCCGGATTTGCTCCAGCTCTTCGTCGTCCTCGAGGAAGAAAGTGAGATACTGGAACGGGACATCGTTCTTGGTGTTGCCTCCCAGTTGGCGCTGGAGCTCGGCCGTGTCCTGGCCACCAGAAAACGCGAACTTGTTGATTTTGTTCTTGATGCGATTGGGTGTGTCGTTCATGAATACAGCGGAACTGTCGACACTGGCGGACATCTTGGACCCGGGGCCCTGCAGAGCGGGGAGGAAAATCGCGTGGATCAAAGACGGCTTCTTAAATTTCATCTTCTCCGCGTGCTCGCGGCATTGCCGGAAGTAAGGGTCTTGGTCAATGGCACAAGGGATCAAGCAGGGGACCGCGGCCGCCTTCTTCTTGTCCTCGCCGAAGATGTGGGGAAAGCTAGTCGCGAATGCAGATGCAGACTGGGTCGCGCAGAAGTGGAACTCGCCGACATTGTTGCTGTCGTTGAAGCCGAACGTGCCTTTGACCTGGTTGATCGTGATCCGCTTGGCCATTCGACACATGTTCTCGTAGAAAGCACCGCCGATATAGTCAAAGTCGCTGAAAATAAAAGTCTTCTTGGGGTCGAAACCAACCGCCATGATATCCTTGGCGTTGGCCTTGGTGAATCTCTTGACATCGTCGATTTCGATCTTCTGGGAATGCATGAATTTCTCGTCGTCCGTCAACATGATCACGAGGGGAACGTCGAAGACATCCTGAAGCCACCTGGTTGTAGTCACAAACAGTTAGTATCGGACTGGACACATGCAAGCATAGATGAAACGGGTCATACTTCGTGAACTCGAACGGAACGGTGTGCCCCACGTGCATACTATCGCTGCTCGGGCCACGGCCGGTATAGAGATAGAATGGCTGGCCCTTCTCATGGCGGTCAAGGATCTTGTTCAACTCACGGTGGCTGAACACAATGCCTCGGCGCATGAAACGGTGCGGACGGTGGCCGGTCACCTTTTCAAAGCGCTCCAGCAGCTCCTTGCTGATCGGGGTGGCTCCGAATTCTCTGACCAGTTTGTTGTAATCCACCGGCAGCAGCTTCCCCGACTCATCGACACCACCGGAGACATCGAAAGGCGTCACGATCTGGTTGACAGCCTGGCTTTCGTGGGCCTTGTCGGCGAGACTCAGCGTGGTCAGCGCCGGCGGTTGCCCGGGTTCGTCGGCCATGGTGCACAATTGTGGAGGAAGACTGGTGCAAAAAGAGTTAGCATTTGTTCCTTAAACCTCTCCCGTTGTCGAATAGCACTGGATCTCTCACCTTTCTTTGCTATGTCCGAGTCGAGGCAATCCAAGACGAAATTCTTCTGCCCCTCTCAAAATGTCGATGAGTCAGATTACTCCCACTATCACTCGCGCCGTTTATTGGTTGAACAATGCAAAGTCACCTGATTCGATAACGGCCCCGCATCTGCTTTTTGCGGCCTGAGGCCACAATGTGGGCCTCGAAGTAGGTACTATAAAAATGGGCTTATATGGTAGATTTTCAGGACTGAATGATTATTTTATCTTCTTACAGTATTAAGCTACCACTGATCCAACATTCTATCAATATATAAAAGCAAAATCACTAGCTGTGGTCAGTTCGCATCATGTTACATCATTGGATGAGCCCTGCGCCCTTCCTATTACATGGACGGCTTATATCCAATAGGAAAAAAAAAGACTCGCGGGTACTCAAATATCAAGTCACTCCCAATTGCAAGAAACAAAGATATACCACAATTGCAACCCCATCAGAGCGAACAACTCATCCTCCCAAACCCAAAAATGGCCTCCGGCAACCTCCACTTCCGAATCGCAACCCCAGAATATGCAGAGCCTATCCAGCAACTGGTACAATGCGCATTTCGCGCCGAAGACAGCCGACAAGGCTGGACCGCTGATATGGAGCTTTCGGCGCGCTTTCGCGTGGAAGTCAAGCAAGTCCTGGCCACAATCAGCAACCCAGACAGCGCGATTCTGATGGCTACCGACAACAATGGGACCCTCGTGGGATCCATCGAGATTTCAAAGCGCGGAATCGACCGCGCTCGCTTCTCTATGTTGGCAGTGGACCAGAGCCACCAGCGCCAAGGCCTTGGGCGTCAGGTCCTTGGCCATGCTGAAGAGTACTGTCAGCGGGTTTGGGGTGCCAGGATCGGGGAGTTGAACGCTCTTTCAACGCGACAAGAACTTATCCTCTGGTATGTCCGTCGGGGGTACCGTAAAACGGGCGAGCTGAGGCCGTTTCCGCGCGAGGAGTTCAATGGCCTAGAGTTGCCGGATGATATGTGTTTTGTCGAGCTCGAGAAGGATTTGAGTGCCGCCGCTGATAGTGAAGATGCTTTTTAACCCGGTAGAATTGACCGTGAGCTAATTCAATCACGCTTTATTTTTCTGGCGTTGGATTGAAGAATTCATGTCGCACTATCCAGACCTGCCAACTTAACTTGGAAAATCACTAACGGCTGACCAATTTATGTATGGATTCAAATGCCATGTAATTCTACTGTGGTGAAAACATACACATCAAGTCTCCCACCCCCAGCCTTTCTCAACTTAGCCTCGGACGCGGTGGGAGGCCAGTAATTGCTATCGCGAATGGTAGTGACCACAATATCCATCAAGGTCTGCTGTTCTATGCGATTAGAGAACCGATCCCCGCAAATGGTAATAGCAATGCAAGCAGTCAAGAGTGCCATGGGCGATTGCCGGTTCGAGGGTGCAATTCCACAGATATCCCAGACGAGCGATTTGAGCGTGGCATCCATCTCCTCCATGGCTCTGCGCCAACGCCAGGACCCACGCGTGCAATAGTCGGGCCCTACACGGACAGAAGAATGCCTGTCAGACCAATACTCTGCTCCGCGACAATATGGCAATCATTCAAATAGCATTTCTGTGGGAAAAGGTCTCCTTTCTTTGGGTCTTGCTCGGCATGGTATACTGGTTTGAAGTCACCCTAGGCGGAGGTGTTAGGGTTGCGGGGTACAAGTGGACATGCACGAAACGGCAAGTAATCGCCGACGCAGACCCCCATGGAGATGATCGCCAGTGCCTAGTTGACATGCATAAGAATAAGTCTATTTTCATTGGCGCCTCTCTATCTCTATATTTTCCCCGCGTGGAATGAAGCCAACTTAGCCGACACGTTGTTTTCGCCTCACCCAAACCTCCTTTTCGTCATTTTCGGAGCTCTCATTATTCGATATTGGAAGGTCACGTAGTTGAACTTCCCATACCTTGAGCTTGTAGTTGCCCCGGTCTCCCCGTCCCGTAAAGAGATCAAAGGACCAGCCGTGTTTGGGACATGAGAGCCCAGCGCTGAGAGTGATACCAAAGTCTTCAATGTCAAAGACATTACCCTGAGAGAGTGGGAACGACGAATGAGGGCATTGCTGGAAGAGTTCAGCTTCATCCAAGTAACTAAATCGCTCATTTCTCTCTCGGGCTCACTTACATGATCAACGGCGTGCACTTTCCCCTTGTATTTGAACACCAAAACCTGATCCTTCAGATCCCCCCGTTGGTCGAGGTCTGCCTCTATCGGAGTCTCTGAGGGGGCATCTTTCTTGGGAATGCTGAAAGCTCTGCATTTGGGTGCCATCCGATAACCGTCATGATCTTCGAGATCAGGCAACGCAGATGCCAGGCCAACAGGTTGCCAGGGGTCCCCCGCGGCCTGTCGTTTAAAGGGGTTCATATCGGGCGTTGTGTTCCGCGTGATAAGAACTGTGCTATGTACATCTTCGAGGTGTGCTTTTCGCTCTTCGTAGCTCGAGTCTTTCTCTTTACGCGTCCCAGTGCGTGCCGGATTTACAATACCCCGTTTCCCACGTGGGCTTATGTCATATTTAACGCCTGATACTTCAGGCTACACTGTCTGTCTCAAAAACGGTGATTCAGTTTACATGTTCCTGCCAGGTTCATTCCATTTCGCCTTATAATACATCTGGGCCCTGAAAATGAGACTTCTTAGTGTCCAGCTGGCAAGGGTTTGTCCTGTGTCCTCAACCTTTCCTCGATGAGATGTTTACGCTCTTTCCGGAGCTTGCTTGCATACTTGACGCCAAAGCCATGCTCAAAGACCTCCTGGATCTCTTCGAGAACCAGCCCGGAGACTTCCGGGTAGAAGAAGTAGATCCAGATATACCCCAGACCACAAATGGCAGCATAAAATCCAAATGCACCGGACGGGGTCATCGTCTTCATCATCGACAAGAAAGTGCTGGACACAATCACATTACTTCCCCAGTTGGAGCAGGTCAGCCACATCGTCCCCATGGCACGCACTTCCAACGGGAAGAAGTCTGTGCTCATCCATGCTGTGTTTCCGACCGACACACCATAAAACACCACAAACCAGATGATAAACACCAAAACGACAATCGCGGCTGGAGGAATCGAGCTGGTGGCTACTTCGTTCGTATCCACGTTGATAGGGATATAGTGGAAAGCGACGGCCACAGCGATCATCCCAGTCGCCATTCCCCAAGCCGTCGAGAGAAGAACGCGTCTGCGGCCCATGCCGTCAACCAACATCATATTGACCGCAGTCATGATAAAGTTAGTGCCTGCGACCACCAGCCCGACAGCTGTGGGGTTGTCGAATCCCGTCAACGAAAAGAGCGTCGACGAATAGTACATCAGGGTGTTGAAACCTGACAGCTGCGAGATGACCATCAGGCCACATGCACACACCAAGGCCCGGAGATTGCTAGGCACCGTGTGCAGCTGCTTAATCTTCGAGAAGCGACTCCCGCTTTCATTGATTTCGCGTGCCTGGACGCATGCTGCGCTGATAGAGGTCAAAACCGCTTCGATCTGACCCTCGTTCGCGTCTTTGTATATTTTCCGAAGCACATCCCTGGCTTCCTCGGTGCGGCCATTGTAGGCTAGGTGGCGCGGGGACTCGGGACAAAACGGCAGAAGACACGCTAAAACGATGGCGGGCACGCCTCCCAGCCCGACCATATATCGCCATCCGTGGTTGACGCTGGCAAAGGCGGCCCCGATCGCGTACGAGATCACCTGCCCGCCAGTGATGGACATATTATTCAACCCGATCAGTCGACCACGGGCTTTGGCTGGAGCGATCTCAGCCACATACAATGGCAAGACCATGGCAGCGGACCCAACACCGAACCCAATAACCAGGCGACCGACCGCCATTTGAGCGACAGTGTAGGATGCCGCTTGGATGACGGCACCGGCAACGAAAAGGACACAGCCAAGGTACATGGCCATTTTGCGACCGAACTGATTTGAATAGTGAGCATATCTGAATGTGCAGGACACACTTAAGAAACCTTTCTTAAGCAAACAATATCTTGTCTGACCTACCCTGTCTGCAGTGTTTCCAGCAAAGATGGCGCCGAAAAAGGCCCCTCCGGAGCAGAGGGAAGTGATCAGCTCTTTCTCATTGCTTGTGACTGGCCTGTTATCGAGATCGCTTTTGAGATATACCAGGACCGCCGAGATGATGCCCGTATCGTATCCAAAGAGTAGACCGGCAGTCGACGCGGTTAGGGCTACGAGCCACACGAACCAGCTGACCGGCAAGCTGTCAATGTCGGTAACAATAGTTTCGATATTAGCTGCCGCCATCTTTTCAACGTGCGTCGAGTACATTTCCGCATCGTGCAACGGGTCGTCCAAGCTGGCCTTCTCGGAATTCGATTTAGCCACCTCTTTAGAATCCTCTTGCGAGGACTTTTCGCAGGTCGACATGTTTGAAGTGGGTCGTGAGACTGAGTCAATGGCTGTAATTTTCAGTCTGTAGTGAGTAGGCCATTCCCATGGAGGGCGATGGTCAGCTGTTTTATAGATGCTGCGTCTTTGGGGGATTTCCCCAGATCTCTCCCCGCATGAGGCAATCTGGGGAAATTCCCGCACCAAACTTTAACGGTTTAACGGGGGCTTACTTCGGCGACGGACACGCGGCTGATCTCTTCCTTGTTGGACCTGCTCGCCGGGAATTGCCTTGTTTCACGTCCTTGACCCCCTAATTGTCGGCTATGGGTTTTACCTTTGTAAGGAACACCCCGGAACCCAGTTTCCATCTTTCGTTTTTCCGCATACTGAGATGTTTTGTTTATCCGATATCCTGTTTCTCTTCGAATTGTCGTCCAATGCCGCCGTCATTATTTCTGTCTCACTAAACCATCGGCCCCAGTGGTTCAAAAGCTGCTCCAGTATTTGCGGCTCGGCCCTGTCTGGTTGTGGAGCTCAGCCAGATTGGCCATGATATCATGAAAGCTCCGCTGTTTGTTTTTATTTATTTTTATCCTTTATTAGTTTATTGCCTAATCTGAGCTAGGTCTCTTTTCAATGGCCTTCTGAAATGTTGGTTTAACCAAAGAACTCGCGCCCATGAGTTTCGATTCCCTTGCCATACACTCTACCAGTTGCATGATTGTCGGAAATGTAGTGTGATGCCCAAGACTTGCCACGCGTCAAGTAAACTGGGCACTCTCGGAATGGTGTTCCCGCGAGATTTGAATATCCCCTAGGTCCAATACACTCTGGCATATATCCCTCACTATGATCCATGAATGTATGATCGCATCTCCGGGACGATGAAACGGCGGGTAATGAATGATGCAGTATCATTGAATGCTGCCTTCCGAAGTCCATATTTTGTAGCCAGGTTAAGGTGTCTCACGAGGGGATGCTTACGGAGCTCTTCGAGTTCCTTGATGATCAGCGAGCTGAATAGCCGACATGATCGTCAGGGCCGAATGATCCTGTTTGGCATTTCAGGTCATAAATGAAGTTTTGCGACTGGCATTGTTATAGTTCCTCATACAGCATGTCCCAAAGGCATTTCATTTTCTCGGTCCATACTTGATCTTTATATGGGCGTTAAATTAAAGTGATTGAGAGAAAATGCGGAATTCATATACCGGCCCCGGGGATGTGCTTCCATGGCTACGCATTGGGTTCCTTTTTCCGAAATGATTGCGAGGAAGGCATTGTTGCATTTTTCGATGTTTCAGGGGCCTGGAATACTTCATCGTCCGACAACCTCACTCAAGACCTCTCGGTTTCTTCATGTTTTGCTCGATTATTTCATACGATGCCGAGGTCCTTCCAGCGCCCCATGTGAATCCGACCTTTTTTCTTATATTTCCTGTCAGATTCATTACTATTTATGATTTTAATGCTGTTTATGTGAAATTCTGTGAGGGAAAAGTGAAAGAAAGAAAGAAGGATAAACAAGAATATTGAGTCATTTTCAAACAAGTTATGATGATCCAGCTAAGACAGAACACAACGACAGCTCTCGGTCTGTTACACTAGTGTCAAATGCATATGCAACTAGCTTATACTAAGAGACCTTATACTAAATATACTCTCTCAGTGCAATCACACCCTTTATCAATAATTTCCTCACGTTAAATGGAGTTTGAGTGTCTAAGTTGTCATGCCAATAGTGGCTAGATTTATGTTGAGCGAATTGGACTTTGCTCTTTACACTCTCGGGAAATCTATAAAATGATCAAGCATTCTTTGCATCATTAGCATCTATCGAACACCTTTAAAGGGGTATTATTGAATGTCAATTAGCTCTTGTGGGCTTTCCTATTCGAGATCAATGTAGGTAATTCCCGTGTAGGTATTCCCCTTTAGGTATCTCAATGTAGGTATTTCCCGCGTAGGTATATCCCTACAAGCATACATATTTCTCACTTTTGATTCCCGAATCCCTATCCAATTCACGTTGATATACCTCGATCACTTTCTTTCATTATGGATGTGTTTCTGGATATTCTGGACACCTTTGTCTTTGATCGATGCTACGCATTGATCTTGCCCAACGGGAAAGGTCCAAGTATCCCTACTCCAGGTCCAGACTTCTTGAATCAAAATGTGAGGGCGTATTTCCCCCTCGAGCCGTCAAAATGGGCAGAGGCAAGCGAGTGGAAACGAGATCATATTGCTAGACAGGCCGTGTCATTGTTTCTGATTACATGGTTGGTGTCGTCTCCCAAGAGCACAAAACATGGAGCAATTAAATTAACCACTACATTTATCTGCCTTCCAGGATCTTCGGATTATTGACATACCTCGTCGGCGGCTTGATCCTCTACCACACGATCTTCGACAAGAAACTACTCCAGCACCCACGATTCCTCCCAAACCAAATCCAACAAGAAATCAAACAAGGTCTAACCGCAATGCCCGTCATGGCCCTTCTCACAGCTCCCTTCTTCCTCGCCGAGGTCCGGGGATGGTCGAAGCTATACGATTTCACGAGCGAGGCCCCATTCCGCGCCTACACCTGCCTGCAATTCCCGCTGTTTGTTTTCTTCACTGATAGTGCTATCTACTGGATCCACCGCGGCTTGCACCACCCTCGTATCTACCGCTGGCTGCACAAGCCGCACCATAAATGGGTCGTGCCGACGCCGTTCGCTAGCTATGCCTTTCATCCGTTCGATGGCTGGTCGCAGAGCCTGCCGTATCATGTTTTCCCGTTGGTGTTTCCGCTGCAGAAGGCTGCCTACTTGGGACTGTTTATTTTTGTCTCGATGTGGACGGTGTTGATTCGTGAGTTAGCTCCCTCGTTGGCACTGTTCATATTTCGGGAAATTTATAAATGTGTTGGTCATCTAATTCTATTCTCTCTAGATGACGCTGCATACCTGTCCGAGTCTCGAGTTGTCAACGGGTCTGCATGTCATACGATGCATCACTTATACTTCAACTACAACTACGGACAGTTCACCACCTTCTGGGATCGTCTTGGGGGAACGTACCGTAAGCCTAAGGCTGATAGTTTCATGTGCATCCATCAGCAGACCAAACATATCGGTGATAAACAGGATTGAAGGAAGAACGGCTGAGGGGAACCACAATGGTATGGATTATATAGATATCTTTACGAGGCATTGCGGTAGCACCATTGAATGAAATCATTCAAGTTCCCCAATTCATCAGTCGCAGTGCTGTCAAGATACGCAAAATTGGCATCATGGCTGGTAGTAATGTCCAGCGTGGCAGTCAAGAGCCACCAAAGCTCTTCAGCGTGTTTTGGGTACCCGAGGTGGAGGAATTGTTCTTTGTCCAATTGACCGATAAAGCAGTCCCAGAGGCGTTTCCAACTGTCGGCAGCCTGTCGTATCCTTTCGAATGATGGGTATCTCAACAGGCCCGCTCTGGTCTGAAACGCAAGGGAGTTCAGAGCTACATGGTGAAACTGTTAGCATGATAATAGCTTATCTGTATTCGGCCATCCACATACCATAAATAAGAATCAGGAGATGCTCTGCGGATAACGAGAGACCCCATGTTATTGGCTTGACATCTTCAGGTGCTTCGAGCAATTGCGTAGCCACTTCTCTCAGGAGAGGAAGCGGGCGCTCCGCCGAATGGGCTGTGACAATCTTGCTAAAAGAAATTGGGTTCTCGGCTTCCCATAGCTCGGAGCTCCACGGAAAATGGCAGTTCATCTCGAAAATCGATAGTGCCGGGTGATTTTTGAAACAAACAGTCAGAAATCCATCAGCAAGAAAAACCCAACAAGCGATTCTCGAAAGAAGTCAGCGATATGCCAATAGCAAAATCAGATAAAATTTCAAAAGAGTAACCTACCGTATACCCATCTCCTCCGCTACTAACATTCTCCATGTCCGCTCATTACAGGTCTTAGGAGCTGTGCTCCGCTTCAGTTGGAAAATCCCCAAAGACCGTATGGTAGATACCAGGCACGGATGTCGAATAATACGAATGCGACGCCTCGTCTGCATATCGTCTCGTGCAAATTGAAGCATTTCAATAATGAGAGCACTTTGTATTAATTGCACAGTTGACAGAAGATGTCCGGGGTCCGTTGGCGATGGAGCTGTTGATAGATTCGAAATTTTCCGAAAGATATTCTCTTCTGCAACATCAAACAGCCGTGGTGAGAGGCTTGCACCGTCCAAGGCCGTTGTATATGTCGCACCAGCCAGCAAGATCGCGAGGAGCAAAGGGCTAGACGCTTTCCCTGGATCAAACGTCGGAAAATGGACGATGGGCAAATGCCAGTGAAGTGAATGGAAGAATGCAGAGATAAAAACCGAGACATTGGATACTCTTAAAAGAGTGGTCAGTTCCATGATGTCCAAAGTTGGCTGTTTTTCACTGGCACCGAGACCCATTGATTTCGAGGTTTCAACTAACTCTGTCATCATCTCAGTTAATTGACTGGAGAGCTTCGAGGGAAACAGAGCTTCTTGCGGGTATTCCGAAAGAAAATAGTCATCAGTTGTCGAGGAAAGCTGAGAAGGAAATTCAGCAACTTGAAAATCGGCGACAAAACTTTGTATGGGATCGGTGGGTACAAGGGCGTCATCGAGATGAGAATGGAGTGTCTCCAAATTCCTTCGGATTGAGCACTTGGCAGTTTCTCCAATCGCAAGTCTGTCCTTGTGTACTGACGGGCTAGCAAAGTGACGGAGAAACGAGAAAGGCCAGCCTTTCGGCAAGCTACGAGATGTACTGATCAATGGTGAAGGCGAGGCGACGACTGAGCAGGTAGGTCCCGTAGAAATCGCCTGTTGAGTTGCAAATGTACATTGTCTCCCGAGGGAGCAGCAGCGGGAGCATGGCGAGTTCCTGTCACAAGCTGCTTTTGCCGAGAAGCATGAATCACAGGTCTGCCTTTTCCTGCCCGGTTTGGCTGCAGGAGGTGACGGTTGGTTGTTTTTCCGGGCACATGTTTTGGTATGTCTGCGCGTGACCTCTCTATGTCTGAAATTAGACAACTTGATTATTCTCAAGGACTGAAAGCTGTTACATACGGCTTCAAGAATGATTTCTTGCAGAATGGGCAGCTGGAAGAGAGCTGGCGTGTGTCTAGTCATTGGTCAGCGATTTCTCTCCTAATTGAGTTATTCTATTGGACTGTACGAGTTGCTTCATGGCGGACCAGATAGTTCTTCTTCTGGTAGGATTTATTGCACTGTGAGCATCGAAACATGACGGATGAAGCAGACAGCAGACGGAATTCGCCCTGACGTTATAAGGCCACCACGTGATATGCTAGTCCTGATGGGGACTATACCTAATAGCATTGGCACATTTCTTGAATTGAATCAACTAGGATAACGTGGCCAGATATCTATTTGAACAAGTTCTTCCTTGTGTCGGAGCTTAATATTTGGTTTTCCGAGGTCAAGATGCAACGGCAAGCCTAGCGCCAACCTTTACCATGGAGTCTATGGGAATGATAGTATGATAACATGAAAGGTAAAATTAAATAATTAGGTTGAATAGATCAAATCAATTCTCAGTAATTTACCTGCCTTGAACCAATTTTTTTACAGTTCAAAACATATTACTTATATATAGAACATCTACCCATAAATCTCACTAAGGGTTGAACAATATCGAGTCAAGAACAAAATCAAAACAAATATTGATTGTTCGACTGAAAAGGACAAGAAAATTGCTAGCTGGAGGGTAATACTTGAGCCGCATAGTACAACCCCACCTCACAACGGGGCTGCCTGCTGCTTTGACTCGTTCAAAAGCCCATATTTCGCCACCCAAACTCCTCTATTTGGTACTTGGGTGAGTATCTCGATACAAAATGGGTGTAGTCGAGTATTCAGCTTCTGCGATGGCTCTCTCCACTCCCGAGATCCTCGAGTCCATTCTGGTCCAGCTGGATCTCCGCTCGCTCCTCACCTCTGCCCAGGGAGTCTGTCGTTCCTGGACCACTCTGGTCAGAGAATCCCCGTCACTGCAAAATGCATTATTCTTTGCACCCGTTATAGGTGGCGCGCCTCATATCCTCAATCCACTTTTGGCAGAGGAGTTTCCATCTTTTTTCCGGCCCACACATCTCCCAGCTCTGATGGGTTCACTTTCCAAACATTGACGATGGTCCAAACCCCAGAGAGGAAACCGGCTTTTCTCCGGAAAGAGGCAAGCTGGCGCAGAATGCTGGTTCGTCAACCCCCGGTCTTCAGCGCCATTCTAAACAGAGTGAATCACGGCCAGATGGGCGATAGGCGCCACAATTATGTGATCCGAGTGAGTCCACCTTCGATGAACCTTCTCGCTTTGCTACCTCTCGAGACTAATTCAGTGCCCACAAAGGAGAAGAAGAAAGATCCCTCGGAAGAGAAGGATGGCTTGCGTATGGAGACCCTATTTGAGGTGTTACTCTTCCATGAGAGCATCACCTTCCAGCCATTTACCTCCACACGGATGATCTGGGCAGGTGCACCTCATTCTTTACTATCTTCCAAGAAGAGATTTCTACCTGGCTCATCACAGGGTAGTGACCAGAATACTTCCGAGGAATGGGATTTGGTGGTATATAATAGGAAGATCATGCAGTGTCGCATTGACATGTATACAAAGGAGACCACAGAAGAAGCTCTGAGAAATGAGATCGCTACCATGTACAAAGCGGCGGCTGGTTGAAGAGAAGTACAATCAAGAGGACTCTCAATCGATCCAATGGGCAGATATAGTGGGTCATAGGCATCTTCGAAGTACCTGGCCTCAATCTACTTGGAGCGGTATTTTTCGTGGTTCCAAGCACCCACGTCACTTTAAAAACTCTGGGCCGACGGTGTTCTGCACACCGAATGAGCTCGAAGGAATATATAAGAGAGGAAAGGTGTTTACCTATCGTTGCCAATTGACAGGTCTGTGGTCACGTGATTTATACGGAACAATGTATACCCGACCCCACCCGGAGGAGCTTCCGTCGCCTTCCAAAAAGTCAGGCGACACCATCTCGCTCTTCATCCAACGACTACATGAATCCATTCGCATCATCATGAAGTTCTTCGAGAATGTTTTCACCTATGACTACTCCTTCCCTGCCGTCTCCCTAGCCTACTTTCTCCGCTACCCCAACCCTTACTCTCGCCATGTCCTCACCACCGATGTCATCGATCGCTACGTCGACCACAGCACCCAGCGCCTTCACACCATTCGATTGCATTTAAAGAAATCCAAGGTGCCTTCGGGCATCCTGAAATTGCTTCCGAAAGGAATGGGTGGCTCGGATAGTTCCGGCCAAAGCTACATTCTCGAGAAGACTGTGGTCGATCCCCAGGAGGGCTGGATGGAAACCGAGTCCCGCAATATGGAATGGACTGGAATCCTGAGCGTGGTGGAAAAGCAACACTATCAGCGGCACCTCGCTGAAGAGGATCGCCTTGCCCTGGATGGGCTCTCCAGCGATCAGCGCAGCGAGCAGACCACTGTCCGAACCACCGTAACCTTTCGTTCGCGACTCGGGCAGGGCAAGCTGCTGGGCAGGAAGAAAACCGATCCAACCGGAGATCATGCCGTCGAGGCTGAAGAAGAGCCACCCCGAAAAGGGTTGTTTTCTTCTCTGTCTACTGCCGGCATTCAGCGGACCATTGAGCTGATCGGAGTGAGCCGGACCCGAGATGCGGTGATGAAGAGCAAGCAAGGAATGAATGTGGTCTTGGAACGCTTGCGCAATGGAGGTATCGTCGGCGTTCTCGAGGGGATGCGGCGAGACCGGGACGCAGCGTTTGGCACGGAGGGCCCGTGGAAGCGCGTTTGGTTGCATGGAAACGGCATGAAGGAAACTGCCTACATCGATGACAACAACCGAAAATAAGGGTTGTCTCGAGACTTTCTTGCCGTTGCCTTGGGCGTCATCTCGAGCACCAATCTTTTGCATTTTGTTTTCCAGCGTGGCGTTTTGGGGTTTGGAAATCACCATGGACGGACACTCTCCCACAATCTTTTCAAGCGGTTTGAATTTGAGGAAGCTCTTCTGCATGGAGGCGGCGCCTCCCAAAACTGACTGTATATTAGGGGTCGACGTGGAAGGATACGCTCGTTTGAAGGGCGCCTGTACAATATGTATCTTTTGGACACTCATTATTGAGTCTTGTCAACACTCATATTTCTTTTTTTTTCCGCGACTTTCCTTAGTTTCTTAGGGCTGAATGGTTGCTCGTCTTGTTTCGCGTGTAGTACAAACAATCACCTGATTATCGCCTGGGGCATCAACCAGCCATGCAAGGCGCGTCTTTTTCAGGAGTCATTAACCAGGCAAGCTTCTCCATTGATCCTCTTCTCCCGAGAATTGGTGTCTCTCGTTATGTTGGGGCTGCCTGGACTCCAGCAAAGCTTACCGAGCAGCGACTTGATGGGCATTCCATCATCCCACTTGCCACCTGAAGGCATCGAAACAAGTAAAACAAGGACCTACAGCACGCATGCGCCAGCTCCCCTGCTGACTGTGGACTTTCAATCCAAAACTCTGCATTGAACGAGAGGACCTGAATGTCAGTCCAGCTCTCCCCTCGGGCATAGGGAATATCGATGAACGACAGACGACGATGGATAAACAAGACCCAGAGCAGCTCGTCGTGACCAAAGCCGGCGACTTCCCATTCATCCTTCCTGCCCCTGCCGCAGGCGACGTTCTTGAGGTTATCGAAGGAAAGGTGCGCGGTCTAGCCCAGGTGGTGGCCAGCGGCGGCCGACTGGCCCTGCCGAGCAACCAAACATCTACATTGCGCAAGCACGATGCGGAGACCTTTGCCAAGGAGCGCATGGCGTCGGTGGAGCGGGAGCAGTACGAGCAGTGGAAACAGAACCCAGCCGCAGTTCCGCCGCTCGACTGGGCGACCAACACAGTGCCGATACCGCCGAACAGTCTCAAGACATTCTCGCAGCGCGCGATGGCAATGGACCTCGTTTGGCATCACCAGGGGGCCACCCCGGAGCACGCAGCATGGCTCACGTCCCATATGACGGGATTGCTGCCACTAGTCAAAGCCATCACGAAGGTCTTAGGGGCTCAAACGCATCTCGAAACCCACGACCCACTTGCCCGATTGAGTGCCGCTGAACGCGCCGAGGTCGAAACGTTGCAGCTCGTCACCGCCGCCGTGGAGAGAAATGTCGCACTTGAGAGAGAGCGGGTTCGCAAACTGATCGAGTCCATCAACGAGGATCAAGCCGTGTTCAAAACTCGGTTGCAGACACTGGCCAAGCATCCAGTGGGTTTAGAAAGCAATACCTGAGCTGAAAGAGCAAGAGGATGACATGATCTCACGAGAGCAACGATATTCTGTACAATACATAATACACTACTGCTTATGTTCGACGCTCTGTATCTGGCCTTTCTCTCGCAGCCGCTCTCAACCCCCCTTCCCATCAACGCCCGGGGCACCGTACGCCTGACATGGACAATACTCGCACGCAAAAGTGGCCACCTCAAAATGGGACAATACGGTACATCACAAAAATTCGGCCCATGCAGTGGGCTCACCCAGACACGCGCTAAATCCGCCGTATCAGCCACGGCCGTGCCTTTGGGGGTCCCTCTCCAAGGGTTTTTGTTCCCCACTGCCGTTCCGAAGGAAACCGTTCCAACGCCAATGGGATCGGAATGTCTCAGACCCCAATTAAACCTATGACGCACCCGAGATTGTTTCCAATCTTTTCGGAATGTACCGATTGTTCACTGCCAATGTGGCACTTACGTCAGGGACTTTTTTTTTTTCTCAGACATCCTGGGTCTCGAGATGATGAGGGCTCGGATGCAGTCCGTTGGTTGACCTGTCATTAGCGCATAAAAATCTCGGAGCAATTCTGCGGTCTCGTACAGCAACAGTGCAGACAGCATGCATGATTCGGTGCCGCTAACCAGGGCCCCCCATCGGTGTGACGGCATGACAAGGAATCTTGATCGAGTTGTAGAATAATGGAGGTGCCACTATGGCCGGTGTGCTGGAGGGCGCGAGCTAGGCTCCAGCGCTAGTGAGGAAAATGATAATAATATACCATCATAATTGAAAAACGCCCGAAAATTAATCCCTCGGGGCTGAGAAGCTAAGAAACCGAGGTCATGGCGTGAACAAGAATGACTCTCCCTCTCCCCCTGGATAGATACACGATTGCGGATGTTCCCACGCCAGATCTGAACGGGGTGGTAGGATTTACAGGGTTTAGCTGGGTGGAAATCCATGACCTGGTGGGAATATGATATTTATTACCCAGATAACGTACTGATAAGCCCGTCAATAGTTCCTTGAAAAACAGGACCCTGGGTATGTGAGCCACGGCGCCGTGAGTGGCTGGTCCCCTTCGTTTTGCAATCCTGACCTGCGATCGTCGTGTATAGTTTCTTCTTCGGGATTGGTTATGCGGGGACTGGTTTTAGCGCGTCCATGGCCAAGAACGAAGAGAGGAGAAAGATTCCAGTCCGTGAATAATTTACCCAAAGGAATGTTTGGAACTTGCTCGGTACTAGCCAGATGGGTGGTGGTGCCTGCAAAACACCAGGTACCCCTGAGGTACCTCCCTTTCCCCCTTGGGCAATCGAACAGGCTTTTGTCCTTCATGACTGGTTTCACCATGGGAATGCTCGGAGAAACAGCCTCGAATCAATCAGAAGAATACAAATGAATTTCTCCTCTCCAAACCGGATCATTCGGTTGATTATTCTTTTGTGTTTCCTTGGCCCCCTTGGTGAAGAGAGAAAATAATTCACTGGATCCTTGGGAAGACTCCATTCTTTTGGATTATTGGATTATTGGATTATTTTTATTTCTCTGACTTCCTAAAGCACGGACTCCGCTAGTTCCACGTCCAGCCTCGCTTGGGGAAAAAAAAAAAAAGAGTGAATGAGAAAGGGACTCTAACAGACCTAACAGACCCTAGTGTAGGTGCTGCGGGGACCGTTTCCCTGGCTTCCGTGAGGCTAAGAAATGGCCTTTTTGCTTTGAGATTCTGACGGATATCTTGCTTTCCTTTTCTATCCTCGACCTCTCCCTTCTCGGATATCTCTCAGGACCAGCATGCAAGACGCTGTCTTGATCTGTGGCTCTCTATCATCCCTGCGCCTGTGAGGGCCCATCGCGGTCGCTCTCTCGTGCACCCTATCCACCAAGAAGAAAAACAAAAAAAAAAAACACCCCCTGGCCCTTTTGTGTTGTCCTGATGGCCTTCAATCTGACCCTCGGGTCTTTTTTCCGGCCCTGGGTGGTGATGATGGTGTTGGCTCTGCTGCCATTCGGCTCGGCTCAGTTCTGTTCGTTTTTCAATAGTGGCTGTGTCGATCCCCTCGCCCAAACGGCCGTGCGGTTCGACTTCCAACCGCTCTTCCCCGACCCCATCACCCTCCATTTCGGCTTCGATGCCAGCGCCTCCGGCAAGGGCGAGGGCCCCATGACCAAGCTGGCGTTCTGGCTTCGCTATCGCCATCGACAGGTCGACAGCGACGCCGTCGATGCCAACCTCACCTCCGAGGTCGCCCTGCGGGTCGGCAATCTGACGGGCACGCCATCGGGACTCAATAATGGCTGTGATGGGATCTGGGGCCCGACCTGCTCTTCTGATTTCAAGAGCGCGTTGAGGCATACCATGTACAAGCAGGCCCTGTCGGACGAGGACTATCCCAAGCCGCTGGCGGCGGCCTTGGATAAGATGCTGCGATCGCCGCCCAAGATCTCGTGTCCGTCGCTCATGTTCGATGTTGACTCCATTCCGGTGCAAGGTATGTGTCTTCCGTCCAACCTCATTTTTTTTCATGTCACCATTCATACTAACTTTCATTTTCCTATAGAATTCGCCCAAGAACGAATCCCTGGCCAAAATGTCACCGTCATGAGCCCGGGCTCGGGAAACTTCCCTTGGCAGGTGTGGTACCTCGATAATATGACCGCCAACAAACAGGCAGTCCAAGTGGCCGTCGGCATCGTCAGCCGTGGCCCGACTTCAAATAGTGACCGGCCACGCAGTGCAAACGATATCCAGGTGGAGCTCGTCTGTGTGCAAGCTCCGTCAGGCCGACCATCCAAGGGCTCCCATGATTAGTTTTGCTTCGTTCAGGATGGTCGTTCTCGCCTCCTGTGGAGTTTCTCTCACATCTACACCTCTACATACCTCTCCAACAACACATAACACACATCTGCGAGTCCAGCACTGACTCCAGACTTCCAAGTTGACCACATGCTTCTGACCATATGAGCGCTCATGTGGGCTTCGCCCATCCACTCGTTTTATCACGTTGCTACCGCACTAGTAACAAGGTCATCAGAGATCTGCGAGTCGGACGTGGGTAGCTCTGCCAGGGCACGCATTATTCCTGGCCCCAGCAGTCGTCAATGGGCTGAAGCGGTCAACGATTAGTTGGCCCGAGCTCTTGTCATGGGGCCTCTCGTCTCCGGTCATGACCTTGGGCACTTGTTCCGTGATATTTCGATGGCATAGAAGGGTACAGCGGGGAGTGACCCATTCCCGATAATGTCCATGAAGATCACCGGCGGAATTATATACACCGAAACATAAAAGTCCCATGATCGCTATTGTCATCACAACCTAGCAGTTCCTGGCTCTTCGTGGTCGAAATCCCCATCTCACAACGTGGGCCAGCTCGGGTCAACCGGCTTAAGATCACCAGGACCACGGAAATCCTCCAGAATATCAGCCTGCTCGCTCAACATAACCCGCTCCGTCTGGATCCCCACCCGCGCCAGACCCCGCCACCTCTCGAAATCTTCCGCATTCCGCTTATCGCCATGGGCCGCCTCCGCCTGTTCCCAGTGTCCACGCGAGAAGCCGAGCATGGTGGTGATGCGTTTCCGCGGTATATCATACACCAGCGAACACATGGTCCCCGTCTCCTCGAGCCAGCTGCATTGCCACAGCTCCCCGGCCCGGATGCACTGGTACTCGGCCGTCTGGAAGTTGATCCGCCCTGCCATCGGCCCGCCATGGATCGCGTAGTTGATGCGGTCCTCGTTTTCGAACCACATTTCGTACCGCCATTTCTCTGGGTTGCCGTCCTTGTCTTGTGCGGCATAGTCATAGATTAGGTGGCGGTCCCACAGGTCGGTGTCGAAGGTCGAGTCTTGCAGTGACGGATACACAGGCATGATTGTGCTGGGCTGGAATGGAGGATATTTGGTATTGGTTTGAATGGTTATTGAAGGGCTCCCTCCCGGGGCTGTTCCATCTATTATTATATCTGGCTCGGTAGAGGATAGGCTTTTGAAATTGACATAATCCTTTAAACTGGACTCTTCATTTGCCAACCTTTTCTCCTTTAACTGTAAATACCTACATGATTTGCTATATATTTCTGATCGTTCTTTTTCCATCGAACAACTATGAATAACAGGCTGTTTGCGTGTTCTCTTAACATCAGCCTGAGGTCACTGCGCTGTGGGTGTGACATCATGACCGAGTCCGGGTCAACTAGTCCATTTTGTTTCAAACTACATACTGATTTTTTTTTTTTTTTTTTTTTGACTTGCTCCCTACATTAGATCTGAAGCTAGTTACCCAGTGTTGGTTCTGGTCCTGTGGTGGCTTTCCTCACATTAACAAATGTAGAGGTTTCTGCGAATAAAATAAATGGAATAGATATAGAGCGGACTCGTCATTATAAAGTACAAGTCCCTGCTATACTCCGTGAATATGCACCGCATTCTACGGTCTGCATGCTAGACGACACTATCATCTGCATATCAAATGCAGATCCCCCAGCCGCTAATCGGGGCGCGGGGTGTGGAGGGCGTCAATCCTTACCAGATTCATGCAACGAGGATGATGACACCAAGAAAATGCCTTCTCCGCATCTTTTATCCGAGATTTCGGATGAGAGTTGCGGCCCTATTTTGGGAGTTTTCTTTACTAGCTTTTGAATGAAATTGCCCCCTTAGGGCTTTCATACTTTGTTTCTCGGCCTTGATCTATATCCCCCCCCCCCCCGGGGGAGAGAAATATATATATAAACAAAGAATAGAGACCGTGGGAATCACTTTGCGTGTAACAGATACCGAGAAAGACGTGAAGATGGATGAAGAAACTTACCAACACTAATCACTCGCATGACCATAGTTTCAAATACCTTGAAGAAATCTGTGCTCTGCCTCAAATAACCTCCCCAACAGCCCGCCGAATAGAAGCCGCCACCTCGTCCGGCTTACTGAAAAACGGACTGTGCGAGGCATCCACCGTCTCAGTGACAAAGTCATGTCCTCGCGCCCTCTCCTCGACCATCATCTTCTGCATGGCGAACGGAATAGCCGCGTTCTGCGAACAGTACAAGTACGTACTCGGGACATCCCTCCATGCCGCATACGTACAGGGACTATGGAAAGTCCGGTAGCTATGGGGCCGAAAACTAGCGCAGGACCGCTCAATCTGCGTATCGTCGCAGTCATTACAGAAGATCTTCTTCGGGGTCGCCACGTTGGCTTCCAGTCGGTCGTCCGAGACCCTAAACCAGGGGAGGTCATTCTCGCCGAATGCACTGATGAGCGAATGTCCCTCAGCGATGAAGAACGAGCAGCATAAGAGCAGCCGCGTCACGCCACCTTTCAGTCCGTTGCGCTGCCGTATTTGGATGTCCAGCCCGTGGATTGCTTCGTTGGTGGGCAGGCCGCCGTAGGAATGGAACTACCACGTTCTGGCCTGCGTCGGCGGCGCGCTGGATCTGGGTGCGATTTGGGCGAAGTCGGCGGAGAAAAAAAAATCTGTGTCGTGAATTTCTGGTCCAACAGAAGGAAGATAGACTTTGTCTGTTTTGTAGTTTGCGGATTCGAGGCGGGTGATGACTCGGTTGAAACACTCGGGGCCGTGCCAGGTGCCTGGGACGTAGAGTATGGTTGCTGACTCGGACATTATGATGAGAGAGAAAGAGGTCTGGGTAGTCTCGGTCCTTTGGTATTTACAAGATATGTGCTCTATTCTGGAGAGCCGAGGATTCGTGCGGGGATAAGTAGCAGTTTAAATAGTCGATCGATGTCGGGGCAACATCAACATCTCCTATTATGGATTCGGTGTTACATCAATGCATTGACTCTCATTCTGAGGGAAGATAAGCTGTTGAGCTATGAAGCTCGGTTCCGACAGATATGGCTTCTGATAAGCCCGAGCCTTGTAGATAGAGATCACTTGTAGTAAATAGAAACATCCGAAGTCTATATCGACGTACACGCGGAGGCCGAATAGATTGAGGCCTTATTTGTTTCTAGCTACTTAATATCATGTTATATATACAGTTATTTCACTAGAAGCCTCTCACTGTCCTTTAGATAGAAAAAGAAATCGCAGAAAAGCTACAAGATAAAAAGATTTAAAAAAAAATTGGGTACATGTTTATGAGCTTTATGAAAAAGCGCAGTAGGGAATATTGTACACGACCAGAGCTTGCTTTCAGCAGGGGCTTCTACAGGAGGTGGATATAGGCACTCTCCCCTTGCTAGCGTGAATGCCGAGGCGGCAAGAGTGTGTGGGTCACGTAAGACATGGGTGACAAAAGCAGCCCTGGAGAGCAGCGGTGGGCTCGGGCGCTTCAAATGGCGTCCAAGTCATTTCCAGTGCCCGAGCTAGTGCCACTTGGCGGGGTTGAGTGCTTTGGTAGATTTGGGATGTCAAGATTGAGAGGCAGTCTTATCTGATTTTGACTTGGTGTTGCCATATTTTCCAGGCGCTTGTTACACAGACTATATGAAATCTGCAATGAACCTTCTAGTTTCTCTCTCTCTCTCTCTCTCTCTCTCTATTTTAACACAATGGCAATGGCAATGCAATAGCAATAACAAGAATATGGCTTATCTACTGCTCCACCAGGGCACACTATTTACCCACTGAATTATCCTCGCCCCGCCACGTGCGACGCTCCCTGCCGTATTGGGCAATCTACTAACACGCCCTCGGAAGCGTTCAAAAATGCTGCCATTCGGGATTTTTTCTCAATGGCTCCGTTTACCTCCTAAGTCTCCTCCAGTCCCCAAGATACCATGGGATACGCATCATTCAAAATGCAGATATTGGCTGCAGGCCTGCTCTTGAATCTTGCAGCAGCGTCCTCGCTGCCTGGGGTGTCGTCCTATGTCGCCTCGGCTGGGTTCCCGACCTCTGCATTTGAGTATCAACGTCCTCCCACTCAAAATTATCCAGTCAATGGCACGACCGATCTGCTAACCACCGTCGCAGATCCTACTATACCTCACCGGCCAAGCCAACCAAAGAGCCTCAGCCGATCATCCATGATCCGGTGCTGGGTGTCACTTTTCCCTACAAGTTGACCAACCCAGACAAGATCCCCGAGGGCAAGGATGAGGTCTACTTCCCCGTGCCGTCGAAGAACCTGTCCGCGCACCAGAAGCAGGCGCTGGTCCGTGCCGCCACGGCCAATGTGACCAAACTCATCAAGTCCAACAGTGCCTCCAGTAACTGTACTGTATGTAAGAAGGCTCTGGTGGCAGCAAAGCCCGTGGCATTGTATGCCCCTGCCTTGCTCCCCGATGCCATGATCAGTCTCTGCAAGTCTTTCGGCTTCCACTCCAACGAGACCTGCGAAGAGGACTTTGCGACCCATACCTTCGGTGCCATTTGGACCCAGGTGCTGGCCTACGCCGATGTCGCCGGCCTGGATGGGCAGTATATCTGCAACTCCCTTGATGACACATTCTGTGACAGGCCCAAAACTAGCCCTTTGAATACCGCCAACTTGTTCCCCAAGCCTAAGCCCGCCCATGCCCACGTTCCCAAGGCGAGTGGCAAGCGGGTCAAGGTGCTGCATTTGTCTGACTTTCATCTGGATTCTCGATTTGCGGTTAGCTCAGAAGCCAACTGCTCAGCTAGCATGTGCTGCCGCAGTAACAAATACAATGACCTCTCAAAGAGCAAGGCTTTGCTTCCCGCCCCCGCATATGGCTCATTCAAATGCGACTCGCCTTATGACTTGGTTCTCGCGGTGTTGCAGGCCATCGGGCCCTTGACGGGCACTGGCAAGGGCAAGGGCAAGGATTCTCTGGCTTGGACCTTGTACACCGGGGATATGGTGTCGCACGACCCCGAATCACAGGACTCTCGCGAATACGTCGAGTATACGGAGGCAAGCGTCTACAGCTTGTTGAAAAAGTACATCACCGGCCCTGTATTTGCCGCACTGGGGAACCATGACACTAGCCCGGCGAATGTTGATTCTCCGCACAACCTCCCCGGGCGTCTCGGAGAGCAGCAGAGCTGGCACTATGAGCATGTGGCTGGGATGTGGCAGCATGAGGGATGGATCACCCGTGAAGCGGCAGACCAGGCGCGCACACATTACGGTGGCTACTCAATCAAGACACACTATGGACTGCGCATCATTACGTGGAACACCGGTAGGTTTGGGCGTTGGAGCTGTATGTCTTGCAGAGCAAGAACCAGGCTGATATACTCCGAATAGATCTGTGGTACTCGAACAACTACCTCAATTTCATCAACACGACCAACCCCGACAACTCGGGCGTGTTCTCGTGGATGATCCACGAGCTGCAAAAGGCCGAGGACGCCGGCGAGCGCGTGTGGATCATGGGCCACGTCCTCAGCGGCTGGGACGGCACCAACCCAATGCCCAACCCATCCAACCTCTTTTACCAGATCGTGGAGCGCTACTCGCCTCATGTAATCGCCAACGTCTTCTTCGGCCACACGCACGAGGACCAGTTCATGGTGTACTATGCCAACAACGGGACGACACAAAACGCAAAGAACGCGCTGGCAACAGGTTGGGTTGGGCCCAGCGTGACCCCACTGACAAACATGAACAGCGGATTCCGGATGTACGAAGTCGACACGGGCGACTTCAACATCTACGAGGCCTACACCTTCTTCAGCAACGTATCTGACTACCCGGCGCTCCAGCACACGGGGCCCACCTTCAAGCTCGAGTACTCGACTCGCGACACCTATGGTCCCGGTGCCAAGTGGGACAAGAACGCGCCGCTCAATGCCACATTCTGGCACCACGTCACCGATGCCATGGAGAAGGACTTGGGGCTGGTTACTCGCCAGAACGCGCTGCAGGGCAAGTTGAGCTTGAAGAGCCCGCAGTGTACTACTGCGGCGTGCCAGAAGGCCAAGGTTTGTTATATGCGAAGTGGTAGTGTTGCGCTGGGGAGCCAGTGTCCGCAGGGGTAGGTGGACTGTCCGTTGACTGGTTAGAGTTTTTGCTGACCATTGAATCGCAGGTATGGGTCCGTGCAGAGCGCGTTTAAGCCGAAGAATTAGTGTGAAAAGTAGTGTTGAGATTTGGTTTTAGATAGATTTGTAGTTGGTTACTCGAAGCATAGCAGTATAGAAGCATCTGAAATATTTATACCAACCCAGTATGTATTGTTCCTTTGCCTAAAATCATTTTGGTCTACAGTACTTGTGGAATGGGGAATGGAATACTAAAATAAGAAACATTAGCAGACCCTCGACATCAAGCAGCTGGTTCCATAACTCAGTTGGTTAGAGTGTGGTGCTAATAACGCCAAAGTCGAGAGTTGTTCATCCAATGGACAATGGTATTGAGCATGTCTATGAATGCACATGGCCTATCTGAGGCGGCATCACTCGTAGCCGATAAAAAAAAAGTAAACGGGGAAGGAAAGAAGAAGGAAAAACGAAAAACGAAAAAGCAAACTCGCTCATTAAATCCAGATAAATTTCAAGCTCCAGGCAATTTTGATGGTGGTATCATACAACCATGTCATATCAAATACATAGGTAGATAGCGCTTCAATCTACAAAGATCCAGGTGATTTCTACTGTACCCATCATTAGGTGCACCATTCTGGTTGTTTTACTACCGAGATTAGGTACGGCACAAGGAGGTTTGGCCAAACAAATATTGACTGCCAACCTTATCGTCGTACTTATGGAGGCTGTTTGGTCTCCTAATCCCTCTCATGTACTATAAATGTTGCCCACGCCCAGATCATAAATCCATCCGAATGGAAGACAACTGCCCTCCCGTTTCCTGCCATTTCGGAACGACATTCCTGATATGGACAGAGGTACCACGGTGGGTCCAAAGTGGGTCTGACGACAAAAATTTCTGCATTGAGTTGAGTTTCAACAGAAATTTTCGCTTGTCATCAACTAGGGCTTGTGGTCTAGTGGTATGATTTTCCCTTAGCATGTTCGATTCCCACCAGGAATTCGTCCATCGAACTGGGAGAGGTCCGGGGTTCAATTCCCCGCGAGTCCATTTTTGCTTCCATTGGTGTCCCTCGAGGGCCGGGAAAATGTTTCTTTTTGTTCTGGTAATGGCTAAGCTGTTCATACGGAATATATAGTAGAGTTTGAAGTTTGATTGTTATGAATGTGGAGGGTTATATGAATTTTATTTATAGTAAAGATCGGTAGAGTTGGAACTTAGAAGTGACGGAATACACCATTAAAGCCTATACTATACTTGATCAATAGACTAGGCCAAGGAAATTCTAATCACCTAGTTTAGGACCAAGAGCCATGGAGGCTAAAATGTAGAAAGAAAAACCAAGATGAAGGAAGTATATTGAGCTAACCAGAGAGATCTAAGGTAGGAATGCATGAGAAAGATATTCAATGGAAAAGAGAAACAGAAATGGGAATAAGAAGCCTAGAATCTTATGAGAAAGATGTGCTCTCATTACTCTAGCGTGATATTCGTTTTTCTTTCAGATGTCTTCAAACCAAGGTTCCACAACTCAGTTGGTCAGAGTGTGGTGCTAATAACGCCAAAGTCGAGGGTAATAATAATATAAGTACCAAAAAAACAAAAATAAAAAAATAAAAATAAAAATAAAAAAAAAAAAAAAAAACCCCTGAAAAACTTGAAACCAAGCTGAACAAGATCAATTACCAGGGCAAAAAAGTGGTTCCAGAGGGGGTCGAACCCTCGACTTTGGCGTTATTAGCACCACACTCTAACCAACTGAGTTATGGAACCATTTAATATATTAGGATGAAGATTTATGACTACATGAGGGGGAGGGGGTATGGGTGGGGTGTCAAGAACAAAATTCTACATCTCAAGCTGAGACAGACAAAAAAATGGTTCCAGAGGGGGTCGAACCCTCGACTTTGGCGTTATTAGCACCACACTCTAACCAACTGAGTTATGGAACCAATGTGATATTCCAGTTTCGAAATCGGACTAGATCTGGCAGGGAAATCTAGGTACCCGTAAGATCCAAATCGGACGTCGAGACATCCAAAAACATGGTTCCAGAGGGGGTCGAACCCTCGACTTTCACGTTATTAGCATGACACTCTAACCAACTGAGTTATGGAACCTGTAATGTCATGTGACATACACTAGGAATCTATCACTCTGTTGGATACACATGAACAGACTACCCCAGTACGTACTTGATGATAGGTTCAAAATGTAACAGATATAATAAAAAACCTATGTCATAACTCCCAATTGCAATATCTAAGTCTGAAGCATAGATCCTATAAGCTGGAATCAAGGGACTGGATGTGGATGAAGAAGACTAAGCTATCTAGATGGTGAAAAGGTGCGCGAGATGATGAAAGCTATGAGCCTAAGGCTTCAGGTCTCAACAAAATATATCTTATTTACTAAGTGACACCGGAGTAACGAATTGCATATTTGGTCCCTTATCACCTAACTATCTACCCAAGGGTCTGGTTGTTCTTTATGTTGTATTTCACCTTACTAAGGCCGGAGGCCTAGTGATATGGCTGGCTCATACTTCATATTCATATATACACATAGGATTACCTAGTAGGTTATAACCCTGCCTATATTACATTGCTATCTTATATTGAGGGCTTGTATTGCCTTTGTGGTGATGTTTTGTCGTTTGTATGCAGCTATTCACTATACTTATTCATCGTGAGAAGTATTATATATATCGCGATGCTATTCCTATATTCGAGTCTAGGAGTATCATCCCACCTGTTTTCATTTCAATTCCATTCGTTTGTATTACACTAGACCTTATTACCTCCGTCACTGAACCCTTATCCTCTGTGTCTTGCCTCTCCTCTCTACTAGTATGTCTTCTCTCTATATGTATATATCTCACCCTATTCAGTCTCTTGATCCCAGCAGTAGATATGCTTGGTTATTTCGTCACATCAAGCTACATTTGTTGATGCTATTGCATCTGCTTAGGCACCTCCTATCTTAGCCAGTTCATTCCCTCCCCCCTCTCCTCCCTAAATGCTACTAGCCTAGTACAAACTAGTAGTACCGGCGCCTAGCTATTTCATTACTGGCCCTCCCCAGGGCAAATCATCAAATTGGAAGGCTAGAATGTCTTCTCACCTAGGTATGACCCACCATGTCACAGAAATACGAAATACTTAGATATCAATTGAAGAGAGTTTAGGTAGACTCTTGTCATTGCAGGTATTGCACGAACGCCCTGGTTGCTACAATAGACATGGCTGACTCAGGTCTCCACCTAGGCACCCATGCCTTCTTCTTGTGTATCTAGCCTTCGTTCTCTCTTTCTCTCCTTCCCTTATCAAACTACCTAGGTATTACTTTCGTCAACCCGCTACTGCTTCTTCTTCTTATCTGTAAGCATCTGAGCATCCTTACAGATATGGTGATTGACAAATACCATCCATTCCTGTAAATGCCTAGTTTAATCGGTTGGTGGTTGAGTCTGGTGATATTGCCGAGGTTACCGTATAAAGCTTACCTCTCCAACCTCAAGAGGATGCTTCAGGCATCAGCCTATCCTATTCGGTCGGTCACTACCCCCCACCAGTGTCCCTTCTTTCACATCTATCACTCCTTTATGTTGCTATCCCGATTGACAGCCAACATTCATTCAATCTACTATATCATACATTTGGATTCCGTCCGGTCGTCTCGCTACCTACGTTCCAAGGTTACAGGCTTAGACTACAGAGGATCATTGTGGAATGTAAACCAAGTCAGTGGTAGTGCGATAACAATCCACAAAACAAACGGAGCCTAACGGCAATATCGACACTTTTCAGATCCCCTAGAGAACCAAGGGTGGATACCCCGGAACAGAGCTGTCGAAAGTGGAATTTATTGATACTTTCTAAAACCTGGCTAGATTACAGTCGATCGGATGGGATGTCAAAAGCACGGCCGCTGTATCTGCATATTATCTGGCTTCCAGAAGAGCCCGAATGTTTCTGGCTGGATGTTGGCCAAGCAACAGATTTGGCAAGAAGAATTGCCGACCACAAAAACAAGCTTTATCGCAGGAAGCATCCTAGCCTTCATTATCACATCTGGGATTCAAGGGAAGATATGTGCTCGAAGTTTGTTGTACTTGCTACATTTGACCCGGATACCAAGGGACAGACTTTACCGAGATCTGATCAATGTTTAGAAATGCGGATGGCCTGTCTGTTCCAAACCCTCACAGCAAGGGATCCCGATAAATAGCTAGCACAATCTGTCAGCCGATCGTCCGCCAGCCGTCATCTCAATGCTGTACCATCCATATGGCAAAGGTTCCAAGATGAAACCATGCCAGAAAGAAAAGACGTCTTTGATAGACCAAGCTTCAAGGCACTTCTACACTCGGAGGACGCTGCTGTTCGATCATGGGCGGAGAAAGCTAGAGACTCCTATAATGACCTGCGAAACTCCCCTGACCCCGAACTACGCAACTATTGGTTTGAAAACAACCGGGGACAGCTCCAACAGGCTTGGTACTCAAACGAACAGAACACTATTGAGGGGATGAAAGAGTACCTCAAGGGCGAAGAAAAAACTATGAGGTCTGCTCCAGGCCGCAAACGTGGCTTCGTTATATATGGAAAATTCATTATCTCTGTGCCACAATCGCTAGATATCCCACCCGAGAGCAAGATCATCGTGCAATTCCATATTTATGTATCGGCCGTTTGCCATCGCTTTGCACGTAACGCGATGCATTATAATCCATCCAGCCGACTTGCTATTTCAATCAAGAGCTTGAATTCCTCCGGAAATCAGGTCGATATATGGCTTCAAAGCTCTGGAGGAAGCAAGATTCCTATACGTATGAACACACTAGTTGATCTACTCGAGGCTATGCCATTCAACGAGACTTGCTTGTTACGTTGTTGTTGGATTGTGGATCGCTCGAAAATAGGAGCCCTACGTCAAACTAGATACACAGACTAGGTACAGGGATTCGGGTGGGGCTTCAATCCTTAGGAAGTCCTATTGATGTAGAGCTACAAGATCTCACTTCTAAGTTTCCTAATATCACACACACACACATATATATATACTAGCTATGCACCCTTCGGGCCTTCACTGCCCCATCGAATTTAATATTCCAGGCACTAGTCAGTAAACGAAGAAAAGACTAATAATAAAAATTTTTCTAAAGTTGAAGGTGGCCCATATATTCATAGCTTATCGCTTTTCCGCCCCTAAAAGCTTGCGGGGACGACACTAGGCAGGGATATACCAGGCAGGAATTTGACTTATTTTAAGACAAGCCTTAAGCAAATAGATTAGTGCGGGTCTAATGCAATCTAGTTGTATGCTAGAACTAGGCAAGACGCTTAGACAATGAGACGACTGGTGTCACAGTGATCAGAAGATACCATAAATTACTGACCGTAATAGGGAGCCTAGAGAGACTGGAGTTAGAAAGAATAGCAGAATGCTTTCCCCTAAGATGATCGTGAACTCCGTACTGACAACAATCTACCCGCCAAGCTCAGATGTTCTTTGATAGGTATGGCTACTAAATTATACGCTGCCTCCGATTAATTATTAGCAACGAGTGCAGGTTGAATTAGCCGTGGCAACCATTTAGCTTAGTATTCTCCGGCTCGGTAGTTAATCCACATAGCCAATTTGAACCTCTAAAACATACCTATAAGTTCTTCTTTGTGTCATATAGCTAAGTTTTATGCGATTGGGCCACCAATCAGGAGGTTCCATAACTCAGTTGGTTAGAGTGTCATGCTAATAACGTGAAAGTCGAGGGTTCGACCCCCTCTGGAACCATTTTTTTTGCAACCGATCAGGTGCGCGAATATCTGTGATACATCCAGCGATATCTAGATATCAATGCACAATAGTTTGTGGCCTACGGGTGTGGGTGCCTACGGTCAAGCCTCTACGCCACCCGAAGACTACTTACTACCTACTATCTTAATAAAAATTTGTTTTATTCTAATTTTTGTCTCTAGGGCTTATATAAGTAAGTATAATATTTCTAAGTTTATAAATTTATGCTTTCCTTTTAGATAGTGGTGATAGTTATATTAAAGAAAGAGAAAGAGTCTAGTTAGACAGCCCAATACTAGCCGGCGGTTTATGAGAAGGGAGAGAGCAAGTACCCTATAAAATACTAGTAGGTAGCTTAAGGGGGCGCCGGTTAGTATCTTAGAAAGTTGTGTAAAAAATAATATTCTATACAAAAAAAGGTTGAGATATAAATAATTAAGATATTAAGAATTCTAGTATAGAAACATATAGTATATATCTATATCTAGACTTTGTTACCTGATATTGATATACCACAAGAGCTTGGTATTTATGTAGGCATAAATTTCGGCTTATATATATCAAGCGGTTCCATAACTCAGTTGGTTAGAGTGTGGTGCTAATAACGCCAAAGTCGAGGGTTCGACCCCCTCTGGAACCACTTCTTTTTTCTTTTTTCCTTTTTTTTCTTTTTCTTTTGTCTTTTTCCCAAGCCCTTTTTCGATAGTTTTATATCTTTGTGTCATTACTCTAAATATGCCACACTCACTGTTATGTCTACAAATCATTCCCCTAGGTTGGTAAGGTATAATCTCCTCAGGTAGTAGGTAAGTACGTACGTACTATGGAACATTCCGAGCGTCCCTAAAAAGATCTGCAAGTGGACCTTCTCCGGTGTCAAGAAGGAGGGGGAACTAGAAAATGCTGACTCGAAAACCATCGGAAAAATCAGCCAGGAACTGCTTCCTTCTTGGCTTGGGTCTGTACCTTGAATACTCGGCGGGGAGTACTCTGTAGAGAACAACACGTACAACACGCACGAAATCAAGTACACACACCCCCACCAAGACCTACTAAATCTGTAAATGTAACTTAACTCATTTGATCATTGATCCAGAAATCCACGGCTCTCCATGATTTCATCTGTGATGGTTGATGCCGCCCGATCCCGGGCTCCATGACGTAGCATGGACTCTTCAGGTGCATATCGTCACCACCCTCCGGGCCATCCGACTTATAACCCCGTTCCTTTGAAAAAAAAAAAGCCACCCCGAGCTTTTTCTTTTTCAGAGTCGCACATTCTCGGCTGTCCGACCTTTCTACCACCAACCCCCCTGTCTTTCCTCTCTCTCTCTCTCTCCTCCTTGTCGGCGATTGTCAGCGATCTACTTTTGTCCCCCCCCCACAATCTCCATCATCCGTCACAATGGGTCTGAGCGGTGTTCAGCTGGGACTCCGAGCATGGGAGGTAGGCTTCTCAAAAATATGTGCTGTTTTTACCATTTTGGTCCCCTCTCTAATACACTCCTGTGCAGTGGCTCTGGACCCTCCTGATCATGGCCCTGATCGGTAACATGATCGCCGAGTCCTTCGCCGGCAACCCGTCGTCGGTCAACTACACCATGTTCACGTCGGCATTCTCGATGCTCACGCTGTTCTATCTGGTGCCGGCCTCGTTCAATCTCGACTGGGCCCTGCACCCGATTATCATGATCGTCGTCGACGTGCTCAATTGTATTTTCTTCTTCTGTGCTGCTATCGCCTTGGCTGCCAAGCTGGAGTGCCATTCGTGCAGCAACCTGGTATGTAATTGATATTATATTATACACTGTGACCCTCGGAAGCAGATGAAGTGTATAGACGTGTACTGACTTTCTCAGTCCTACACCCTCAACAACGAAATCACCAACGGCTCCCACAACCCCCAGAAGCGCTGTCGCGAGGCCCAGGCCTCCGTGGCGTTCCTGTGGTTCGCCTGGGCCGGCTACATGGCCTCGGTCTTTGTTTCGATCTTCCTGGCCCGCTCTGCTACTGTCAACCTGCGTGGTCGCACTGGTAGCGCTCGCAAGCGTCCGGCCATGGCCCAGGTCTAAGCGCAGCTTCGTGTCAATGGGGTTAGTGACAGAATACTAAGCTCCTGGGAAGCCCGGAAGCCCGGAAGCTTCTTGGGGTTTGGTATCTACTACTTCGCCGTCATGATGGCCACGACTTAATGGTAATTGGGGGGGTGATTGGGTCGGGAATTGGTTGGGGAAACACTTTTTTACTTTTTTACTTTTAATCTGTGACAAGACTCGGGATAGTCTTCTGTGCTACTACTGTGTCATTAATCCTACTTCGACTTGGTTAATTGTTGATTGGGTTGGCGTGGTGATGAGTGGGAGTTGAGGTGGACTGGTTCTGTGTTTTGTTTAGGTGCCTGACTTGACCTCTTCTAAGGAATGTCCGGCGAAATGAAAGCAGTTTTGGTTTACTTTGTGGTCTTTTGGTGTAGATTGTAGACAATAGTGATGTATATATTTTGTAGACCCGCTCAAGTGGTCATCTCTCTTTTTTTTTTTTTTTGTTATTGTTGTTATTATTTACGCATATTCCAGGGATATATTAATTATTATATCCCATGTTATTATATGCAATTATGTTGTCTCTTGTCAAACTCGATGTTCTTAGAAAGGGTTTCTTGTATACTGCGTCAGCGATGGCCGCGGACTCTATTGAGGCGACCGTTGACTCATAGTCGCTACACTTAAAACCAGCTCAATCGAAATATTATCCCTCAATTATTCTGCTTGCGTTTGCATCTACATTTTCCTGCTTGTTTTGTCCTCAAACTAGGGCTCCTGCAGCGGGGCACCCCTCTGCTCCACCCAAAGAATTTCTCCAGAGCTCGGATCCGCCACGGTTGACATCTTCACCCTTGTCCATCCCCCTTTCGCCTCTCTCCATCCACAATGCCTGTTAAGTAAGATTCCCTATCTGCTCCTGACAATACATTCATCAATACTGACACTCTGCCAGCTATCTCATCCTGCTCTCCCGGCAGGGCAAAGTGGTGTGTTTTTCGTCGCCCACCCAACTACGCCCCTCGCCTGGAACCCCGACTGACCACCCTCATTTTCTCTCCAGCGTCTTGCCAAGTGGTTCACAACTCTCTCGCCCAAGGAGAAGGCCAAGATCATCAAGGATGTGACCCAGCTTGTGCTGTCGCGCCGGACGCGCATGTGCAACTTTCTTGAATACAAAGGTGGGCTTTTCCCCCCTTCCTTCCCTCATGGAATTCTTATGTCTTTTCCGATGGCGGTTTCGACTAATTTTGGATGCCGTGGCACTAGACTCGAAAGTGGTGTATCGTCGCTATGCCTCCCTATTCTTCATCGCTGGCTGCGCCTCGACCGATAACGAATTGATCACCCTGGAGATTGTCCACCGCTACGTGGAACAGATGGACAAGTACTACGGCAACGTGTGTGAACTGGACATCATCTTCAATTTCCAGAAGGCATATTTCATTTTGGACGAGCTATTATTGGCCGGGGAAATGCAGGAGAGCAGCAAGAAGAACGTCCTTCGCTGTATCAGCCAACAAGACAGCCTGGAAGACATGGAGGTGAGTCTGATAGCTCTTTTTTTTTTTTTTTTTTTTTTGCTCTTCCCCTTGCGAGTCTGGCCGTATTTTGGGGTTGGGGGTGTTTTGCGTCTCAGTGCTGTTTGAGTCCTTTGCCCCCCCCCTCCGGTCTCCGGTCTCACAGCCAATGGCCAAGGATCAGCCGGGCTAATTGCTCTCCCAGGTTGAGGAAGATGTGGTCACCAAGATCATGTAGCGCAAGCAGGACCTTGCCTTTTTCTTACTTTTCTTTGTTGTCATTGTCATTGTCTTTTGGAGAGGTACATAGGCGTTCTTTGTTTTTTTGATTATACTAATCCACACGGGGTTCGCTATTTCATTCAGGACTCGGAGGAGGTGTCGCGCAACTTGGCCCAAGTCGGCCTGTGACGTTCCATGGTTGGCGCTGCCTCGCCCGTGAGGCCAACGCGGACTCTCACTGGCCCGTGACACGTGACCCTGATCACCACCCCCTCCCCTCCTGATGCTTCCATCTCGTCTTCCTGTGTTCGAACATGGCCATCGCGGAGTCATTCCTGTCCTCTTTAGTGTGATTCTTGTGTAGTCAGTGTCTACACGTGTCTGTTTGCGGTGATCGCCGATCAGCGGTATCGCTTATCTCTCACTCGCCATCTCCGGCGCGATCATCCTCCCACCTCTCTTCTATCTCTCTTGACTTCGATTCCGCAAGGCTACAGCAGGGGATCTTGTGCCTGGTTTGAATCGCACTGCAAAGTGTATCACTTCAGGGTCCTTATCATCTTATCTGGCTGTTCTCCACCACAACGCCCGATTGAGACCGCAAGATGAAGGTAGGTGATCTCATGGCTTGCGCCGGTCGCAATCATCAGCGGGGTTGGAATTTCAGTGTTTAACCAGTCTCTATCCAGTTTCTTCCCCTTCCTGAATTTGAGGATGTCACTAGTTCCTTGAGTTTCGATACGGCCGACTGCCACATCGTCGGCGGGTGTGACCTCTACACGACTAAAGCCGCGCGCGCCGATCGGAAACTCTACAAGAACATCGAACAGTCGCTCGAATCTCAGTATGAATCTATCCTTCGCCTATCCGCCTCTCTGTCACCTCCAAACGCGTCCGATGCTGCCGAGACGTTGAATCTGTCGCGGTCTAGTCCATTTGGCCCCCTGAGTGAACATTCGAGCCGACGGACATTTGCCTACCTCATCGCGACGCTCAATGCAAGTCATCCAGACTATGACTTCTCACATGTGCTGCGACCGACCGACTTCAGACGAGAGCGGAACTTGAAGCGGGTCATGAACACGGTTGATTCGACGTTACTCAACCTGCGCCCGCGCGAGGCTCTCGGCCTGTCACCCTCATCTCCAGCCACCCTTTCTGGGTCATATAATGGCGCATCTTCTGCATGGGGTCCACGCATGTGGCGGATTGTGGATGAGCAGATGTCCCTCAAGGAGTGTTCGGTCTACTCGTACTCCCCTGAGGAAGACCCGTCCGATGCCGATGACGGTGCGATCTGGAGTCTCCACTACTTCTTTTTCAACCCGCTTCGCAAGCGCGTCTGCTATATGTACTTGCGTGCTATACCCATTCTGAGCCACACGCCGCCGGATGATGTGGTCGTCACAACCCCGACAGGCAAACGGACGTTCGATGACGGCTACCTGACCCCGGATCTGAGCTCCAGCAAGCGAGCCCGGTATTGGTTGGGTGACCGTGTGCAGCCCTCGCTGCAAGCCAGCGACAGTGACGAGGAGATGGACAATGCCCCTACACCCGGGCGTCCGGCCGTGGATATTTATGATAATTATCTTCTGAGTGATGAGGAGGCCCAATCGCGGCCTGACCGGAAGGGCACGGTTCGTGCGATGAGTGAGGAGATTGCCGACTCCATGGAGGTTTGAGGCGCGTATAGTTTATCGGTCTTTTCATTATAGCTGGTGGCGTTGGGCTGATCTTACCATTGTTTATGGCGCATTCAACCTGCATATTTTTCTTTGCCATGAGGGGCGTTTGAAGGCGGATGAACGAGACTGACATGAATGCCCCGTGTTTCTTCTTTCTTTTCTCTTTCTTATTCTCTTCTATCCTGTCGATACTGTAATGCTATTTCAGTCTATAATGCCTTACTTAGTATTACCCTATACCTTCTATATTCACGTGTAGTACCATTTCCTGGATTCCCTGTCATTTCTTCTATATAACTTAACATTGTAGTCCCTGTCTCAATCCTTGTCTATTGTGTGTTTATTCGAGATGAATGATGAAGAATGAAGTCACCTAGGACCAACTGAGACTAAAGAAGGCTATTTTAACGCAGACACCAAGTTATATATGCCCATTTTATACCCATTCGATCTGGTTTCTCTCCCATTATCCATCTGGTATACGCGTCCGATCCAGCGCCAGTGATCTGGGCGACTAGAAAGATATGGGAGAGCTACTTCACTCATTTCTTTGAGGCGGGCCCTTTGCAAAAGGTAAGGGTTGGCTTTCAGCAGGTGATATATATTTGTCTATCCGTAGTTGTTTAATATATATAAAGATCAATGAATACATCTAATCTCCCCTCCCTGCCAAGCGCGTGTAGATACAAAGTGGCATACTGCATGGCCCGTGCATCGATTGGGGAAAGCTGTCCACTGCCCCCATTCCGCCTCGACAACCCCCCGATTTCCATTGCATTCCTCTCCTCAATCCACCATGGCTGACGACGAGGAGCGCGTCAAGGCTGAGAAGCTGGCCGCCGCGAAGAAAAGAGTGAGTGCTGAACCTACCTTCCCCCCCAGCCCACTCGCGCGCGCAAGAAGATACCAGACCATCCCGATCACTAGATCAGATCTCTAACTCGACCTTGCGACGCAGGTGGCCCAGCTCCAGAAACAAAAGAAAAAGCCAACAAGAAGACCCCCGCTGCTGTCTCTGATACACCAAAAGATGACGCCGAGGCGTCCAAGGAACCTGAGCCGGCCGACGAGGCTGCTGCGCCTGCAGCCGATGTGCCATCCCAGGCAGAAGGCCCCGCGGAGGAGGAGAAGAAGCCACAGGAGGAGCCCGCCGCAGACACCGCAGACACCGCAGACACCGTAAACACAGAAGCAATCGCAGAGGAACCGGAGGAACAAGAACAACCCCCCAAGCCCGATGAATCAACCGACTCCCTCAGTGAACCAATGCCTCCCGCGCCCATTTCCCCGGACCCGGAGGTAGAACCGCAACCCGCACGGCTTGATGCGCCGCGCTCCGGCCATGGGCGGCAGCCGTCGCTGTCGATCCAGTCGAAGATTCGATCGTCGTCGTTCCGCAGGGCCTCCGTGTCGCAGGGCAGTGTATCTCCGTCGCCGTCGTCGACGCTCAAATCGCCCGGACAGGCCCTCCCGCCTTTGACTGGCGACGGGGACTCGGTACATGAGGTATTCCGCAAGCAATCGACGCGCATTGAGGACCTCGAGAAGGAGAACAAGCGGCTGGAGAAGGAGCTGTCGGAGGCTAGTACCCGCTGGCGCAAGACGGAGGACCAGCTGGAGGATCTGCGCGAGGCTAGTGTGGATGGTGCTGAGTTGCGGGAGAGGTTGAAGACGGCTGAGGAAAAGGCTGCAAGCATTGATACATTGGTATGGCCTTTTTATGATGATATGTGTCTACTCGGGTATATTCAGAGTGAAGCGCTGACATCTATCTTGTTTAACGAACAGAAAGAGGAGATTGCTTCTCTACAGCGCCAGAACTCACAGCTCCAGACACGATCACATCGGAATAATGCCAGCGTCTCTGGAGCCGGGACGCCAGAATCGCCGCCAGCTGACCTGGTCCGCCAGCTGGAATCCAAGTCGGCCACAATCGAGGCCATGGAACTGGAAATCTCCAACCTGCGGGCCCAGGTCACCTCGCAGTCCTCCTCCAACAACGCCCACGAGACCCAGCTCGCCGCACTGGAGGACAAAGTCTCGCAGGGCCAGACCGCGTTGGAGCGATCCCAGCGCGAACTTGCAGACACAAAGCAAGCACTCACGCGGGCGTCCGAAAAGGCAGTCAAGGAGGGCGTCGACAAGACGTCAACAGAAACGCTAATCAAGACGCTCGAGCGGGAGATCGAAGAGCTGAAAACCTCCAAAACAGACGCAGACAAGAAAATCGACACGTTAGACAAGAAGCTGCAAGCCCTGGGCAACCTCCACAAAGAATCCGAGACCCGGCACCAGGCCCGGCTGCGCGAGAGCGAAACCTCCGAGAAGGAAACGGCCGTGCTACGGAAGAAGCTTGCTAGCATTGAGAACGAGAACCTGCGGCTACGCGAGGAGCGCGATCGCATCCGCAAGCGGGATGCAGGCGGTGCCGACGACGATGCCCTCGACGAGCTCGAGGACGAAGAGCGCCAGCGCCTTGAGCGCCGGATCCGCGAGTTGGAGGGCGAGGTGTTCGATCTGCGCCGCGGCGTGTGGGAAGAGAAACGCCACGAACTGACCGGTGGTGTCTATCCAGAGGACGGTCCCGAGTCTGCTGGTGCCGATGCCGCCGCCGCCAATGCGTTTGATGATGTCGATCTGGTCGGCGGCCGGCCCGACCACGCCCGCCGCCGCAGCATGGCTCTTCAGCAGCACCAGCAACAACACTCGTCCTTCTCGACGGTCTTGTCTAGCGGCTTTGCGGCCTTCACGGGAACCGGAAACCGCTCTCGTGCATCCTCGTCCAACCCGCCCCATCCGCCTGCTGCCCGCGGCAGTCTGGAGCTCCTCTCTGAAGAGAATCTCGAGGATGAGTTCGACGAAGCTGAGTTCGCTCGTGCACAGGCTGAGGAGGAGGCGCGCAAGCGCGTCGAGTGGGTCCGCGAGATCAAGCGCAAGCTGCGTGACTGGAATGGCTGGCGTCTGGATCTGGTGGATAGTCGTGCTGGAGCTGAAGGTGCCGGCGTGGGCATGGGGGAGATTTTTGAGGTTTGATTGGACTTTTCCACCCCGGGTGTCATAAAAAGGCTTCCTGCGAAGTACTCATCCAGGCATGTATCTGATCTGTTTTGTCATATACCACGTTGTAAGTGGACCGCTGTCAGGCCAGCGATCCGAATGAAAGATGAAAGTTCATGTCAAGGAAAAGAACTTAATTGCGCAGAAGCATCAGGTCATAGACTGGATATCGGTAAATAAAAGAAGTGACACGCAGGAAAAATGCTACATTTATAAGACATCAACGACATCACCACCAACCTACACACTTGCCACGGTCACCAAATAACCCAACAGGACAAAAATATCAAATGGATCAATCCGAGAACGGCTTCCCCGTCAACACCCCCTCCGAATGCGTTCTCCTTTTCCGCTTGCCCCAGACCTCACCCGCCCAGCTCGACATCTGATAAATCCAGCCGCCAGTAACCAGCACACCGGAGATGGTGTTGATAATGCGAATCAGCAGGGCCAGGAACCCGGTACGCTCCTCGCTGACCAGCAACAGGATCGGCTCGATGTTGTACTTGAAGAAGATGCCGGGGATGACGAACGGGGTCTCGGGGATGGCGCCCGACTGGCTGGTCGCCGCGTACTGGTTCGTGAAGATGGTGTTGCGGCCGTAGCGGGCGGCCGCGGCCAGGGGTGCGCGCGTGTATGCGTCCAGGGCGCCTCGGCCTCGGGCGTACAGTGTTGGGACGATGGACAGAAAGTATTGGAATTTGTAGTAGTGGCTGTCGCTTTCGGCGATGGTTTTGTCGAGCGGGTTGTGTAGGCTTGGGTAGTGGGGGCCGAAGGAGAGCTCGGTGATCATGTGAGAGAAGTTGAATGCTGTGCGGTGTTAAGTGGTGGGCATTGATGAAATGCAGAGGATTAAAAAGAGGGAGTGGGAGGGGGGAAGGGAAATATTCTCACCCGAGTGATCCAAGTGCGGAACGTTCTCGCGATACCCATGTCCAAGCGCCGTGATATGAAAGTCGCCCTGGACCTTGTTTCCCTCGAGGCTACCATAAATGCGACACGAGTCGACAGAGTCGCTGCGCCGCAGCTTCGGGCCCTTGGGGAACTTGCGGCGCGGGTTATGGCGCGTCTCGCCGAGCACATGGTGGGCGTGGGCGTCGGCCTCCTGGTCGGAGAGGCGGTCATTGGCCTCGTGGTTGAGGGTCTGGTACTCGTGGATGCCATTGGAGACCTCGTAGTTGCGCTTCTGCATCCACAGCAGCCAGCTGGTGTCTTCGCGGCGGAGGAGGTCGCCGGCCAGGATGCGGTCGCCCGAGGCGTCCTGGATGTTGACGCGGAGGGCGTCGCAGGGCATGTTGACAACAATGTCGAGGTTCAGCTGCAGCTCGCGCGACACCCCCTTCTCCACGCTGAACTGCCGGTTCTCCGTGCCGCGGTACCAGGTCTTGAGCTCGGACAGGCTCAGCACGGTGCAGGCGAGGAGGATGAGGACGGTCCATTGTCCGCCGCGCCGGGTGGGCGTTGTGTATGAGGACTTGGTTTTGGCTGTGTGAGGGGACCAAGGATGTTAACTTTCGATTGTAATAGTGGTTGCGATTTTTGTGTTTTCAAAAAGACAAGAGATGGAGAGCATCGATTGTTGTTGGATTGGATGCAGGGACACTTACGGAACGCATCAAACGCCTTCACGCCCAGGCCGGACTTGTCTCCGAAGGCATCTTCATTGAGCCCCTTAGATTCGAAGCCATCCATTCTGAATCAGGCCAATGCGTTAGGACATGAAGGTCAAGCGCAATGGTAGAAAGGTGGAAAGTGGGTGGAGCACGATAAGATGAGGCCAAGTAGCCCGGTTGCCGCGATCCACCAGTTGGCCCTAACGGCTGGATGAAGGTTACTAGCACCACGAATATACAGCAATGCAGTCAAGGGCATTGCCACTGCAGTTGATAGACTAGCCCAGGTCTTTTAAACTTGATCTTGTCTGCCGAAACCCTGTTTATGGTGCCTTGTGTCAGCCACTGGAAGAATACCATAATTCTTCATGTCTTGAGCTAGACAGACATTTAATAGATTCTACGTAATTAAAAGAAACACACACACACACACACAAGCTGCTGACACTCGCTTCGCCCGGGTGACTTGAGAAGGCACAGGAAAGAGCAATAATTAAATTTTATAGGCTATTATTTACTTAATGAATAGCTTACGATAGTTACTACGCTTTTTGTATCTTTAACATTTCTTTACTGGGGGGGTTTATTTAAATTTATTTTCTCTCTCTTTCTCTTCTCTTTTTCTAAGTGTTTTTCTAAGTGATTGTTTTTACTACTTATCTTAGAGACTTAGAGACAGGGCGCTGCCAAGAGAGTGTGTTTGCCTAAGCTAGTTGCTAGATGAACGTCGAACGTCACGTAGGCACTAGGAAACTCGAAAACGACACCCTACTATCATATATTATTCTATGATAAATATGTGGACAGTAGGCTTATTTTCTCAATGATGGATTGCACAGAGCAAATCCCAATCGTCATGATATTTCCAAAGCAGAAGGACCAAACTTTAAGTGAAACACAACTACTAGACAGTTGTAGCCAAGTCATGGAGAAGAGTGCTGATCAAGTACACAGACCAAAAAAGCCCCTTCTTAAGCTCCGTTCGTCCCGCAGCCTCCGTGTTTCTCATCGTCAGACTTTGACAAGCAACCATAGCTGTCGTCGTGGTCACATCCCAGGCCTCTCGCACAGATGAGAGGGCCGCCACCGCTGTTTTTAGAATAGCACCAGTTCTCCGTGGAGCCATCGCTGACCGTACCTCCGGTGTATTCCCCATCGCTTCCGTCCGAATTCGGCTCGCAATAGCCTCGGCAGACATCGCTGCCGGCGGCGCCACCCGCGAAGCACTCTGCGGACCATATATTAGATTACCGGCCATATTCAAAAATCACTGCTAGGGGTCGGAAAAAAAGAGATTCAAAGAGAGATTCTTTCACTTACCGGCAGCCACGAGGGATCCGGTGGAAAGCAGAAGGGTTGCGATACTGAGGCTGAACTTCATCTTGGATGTATAGAACGTGGGTCGTAGTAGAAAGATAGATTGAGAGTTTGGTTTTTGAGGTGGAAGTATATTTCAGAGATGGAATGTACCAACTGGGACTGACTCGTGGTTCTGCCTTGAGGATGGCCAACAACGAGCGCAGCGGTCATGATATCAGCAGCAGTCCAAGTAAAAGATGAATTGACTGATTGTGGAGAGTGCCATAATCGCACATAGCATAGAAGCATGGTCCTGGCAGAACCTTTGAGGCTCATCATGCCATGGCATGAAGAAGAATACACAACATCGATTTAGTTTGTCACCGATGAATACATGTGGTGTACTCCCAAGGGGGCTTGGAGTTATCAATGGAATTATAGTGGCTGCTCGTAATATCTTGCTGCCGGCAATCGAAGCTCAGATCACCTCCTTCCCACTCATCCTGTTAGAGGGCTGGTATACACTTGGACTATATTTAGGGCACGAAAACGCGGGCCAAGTAATTTCTGAACCAGGACTGAAAGTGCCTGTCAATGACGTGAAGGCAGAGGCATGGATACATAGAATGATGTAGACAATGCATGGGGAATCGGTTCAATCTCTACACTCATAAACAGTTGCAATGCATCGTGAAATGGTCTCCCCAGACGGGAGATGCAAATGAGAGATAACCATGTACAAAGTGCAGGAGGAGCCATGATGGGGTGGTGTTCATCAAATATAAAAAAACTAAAGCAGAGCAAAACGAAAGACACAACCACAAGGTCATCACCGGCGCAGATGCAATGCTGATATCAAAAAAACAAGAGCAAGAAAGAAAGCAAAGGGAAAACGAGAAACGAAAAAAGGGTATAAGATGAAGACTCATCTTCGAGGGTCGACCGAAAACCAGAGAAATGCTGACATGACCACCCGATGCAAGTCAATAGAACAGAATTAATATTACAGGGCAGAAAGCAGAATAATCATTTGGTCCTCTGTGGAGGGTCAGCATACGGCTCCTGATGCCTCTTCTGGTGCCGGCCTAACTCACCAAGCTCGTCGCGGCCGCCGCGGTGGCAAGGTCGGGTTTCCCACTGATACTCCGTGCCGAGACGCGCGGAAGCGCAGACCCGGGGGCGGTGGGGTTGTTCGACGCTCGCTTGCCGGGGGTGGTGGGCGGCGGCCCGCTGACGGTTGAGTGGCGTTTTCCACTGCTGCCCTTGACCGGCGAGTTGCCAGAGACATCGCGACCGCGTGTGGCCGTGCTGTTCTTCAAACTGGTTCCGGGCGGCTCGGGCAGAGGTCGCGAGGCAGACGTGGTCCCCCGCTTAGAGGGAGAGTTGACTGCAGCGTACATCCGAGGTCGAGTGGGGACCTTGACGCCCGTGATGAACTCGTGCTTAAGCGCATCGTGAGGCGTCAGTCGACGAGCAGGGTCCCATCGCAGACAGCGTGTGATGAAGTCGAGGAAAGCTTCGTCATCACATTTGAGAGCCTGCCGGAGCTCCTTGGAGCTTGGGCGACGCCGCCGTCCCTTGGAGGAGACGGTCAAACGCGGCTTGCCCAGCGAATCGAAGAACAGCTTCTTCCGCGAGCTTTTCTCGATCAGATGCTTCTCTGGGGGACCGAAAATTTCCATGATGCAGGCCAGCTGCTCCTGCTCATTTTCGCCAGGGAAGATAGGGTAGCCCGTGAACAACTCCGCCAGAATGCACCCCACACTCCACATGTCAATAGGCATGCCGTATGACATACCCAGAATGACCTCCGGCGAACGATAAAAGCGACTTTGAATATAGGTGTAAACCTTCTCGTTCTCAAAGCAGCTCGATCCAAAATCGATCACTCGGATCTCAGAGTTCAATGGATGCACAAGGAGAATGTTTTCCGGCTTTAGATCGCAGTGAATCACCTTCTTCGCATGCAACAGCACAAGACTGCTGAGCATCTGCTTTGTGAACCGCCGGATGAGCTTCAGCGAGAAGCCTCGGAAGTCATGTGCCTTGATGAATTCATAAAGATTCATTCCCAGAAGTTCGGTCGAGATGCAGAGATGGCCACGGAAGTAGAAGCTCTGAGTGAAGTTGACCACGCTGTGACGGCGATGGGGATCCCACTCTTTCAGTTTTTGCAGGAGATTGACTTCTATCAAGGCCTGCTGATGGAACCGCTTCTTGTTGCGGATGATCTTCACAGCAACCAGGGCCCCGTTTTTATGATCGACGCATCGGACGACCTGTCCGAAACTTCCCTTGCCCAAGACATCCACAACTTCATACCGGTAGGCCAGGTGATCACCGACCACGATGTTATAGTCGCCCCTATCATCGTCGTAGCCAAAGTTCGCAGCGCCCGAGTGCAGGTCTCCGACGTGCTTCTTGGCATTTTGGGTGCCACAGAAGTAGATATCGCGGTAGTCGATGATCTCCCCACGCTCAAAAATGTTCAAGTTTGCCATCTTCAAGGCCTGAGCAGGGCTGACTCGGTCCTTGGGCCCTGCTTTGAGGCGCATTTCGTCCAACGCTTTGGCTGCCTTCTCAAAGTCTTTTCGCTTAGATCCCAGTTTCCTCATCTCCTCATCTGCCACAACAATGTCGGCATCAACCTTGGTATCGGTTGATCGTGAAGATGCCGCAGCACTCGAGCGGGCTGTGTTGATAAGTTGGTGGACCGGAGACAAATAGTTACTGGGGGTACGGTTCTGAGATTGTTCACTTCCACCGGAATCATTGGAACGACTTGGCTCGAGGGTAACGCTCTGCTCACTGCTGACGCTCGGCTTCCGCTCGGCCGGAGGGTTTGTTGCACCCGAGACAGATGATTGCCGCCGGGGTTGGAGGTACGAGGACTTGAGAATGGGGCTCGTTGAGGTGGCAGAGGACAGATTGTTCCATGTTGCGGATGCGGGGAGTTTGGGTGGTGGCATATGATCATATTTGGCAGGGTCGGTATCAAGCTCGGACGACTTTTGAGACTTGGAGCTGCTGCGGATGCGTGCCACGTTCAGCCGATCCCGAAGAGAAGAGCTAGACACGTTAGTGCTCTCGGGCTCGGACGGAGTCGATATTTGGCTGAGCCTCTCTGTGGCAGGAGTAAAAATAGCACTCTGCGTCTGAGGCCGCGGGCCATTCAACTTGTACGACTGGGATGTCCGGTTCGAATAATCGCCGCTTGCCTGGAGACGGAGATGATTGAATTCTGTGCTGTTCTTGGGCAAAGTGTACGAAGCATATGGCGATATGTTACGTGCACTGTTGGGCGTATCAAGAGTGTCAAAGGCGCTGGTACTGCTCGCCGCCCGTAGTGCCGCCGTCGAGGTGGAGCTTAGGGCAAAATGAGAAGTGCTGCTCCGCGCCTGAGTGAGGGGGCCTCGGTCATCCTCGTCACGGTAGGTCCAGAAATTTGCTTTGGATGCCGTCATAGGAGTGGTGGGGGTTTTTGATACCATTTGGTTGAATGGTGTCTGTGATTTGCGCTCCTCAGCTTCTCGTTCCTTCAACGCTTCAATCTTGGTCGTCATCGGTGTGCCCAAAGGCAGCAAGTTCAGTGGCGGAAGCTTCAACGGGTGCAAGCCCTTCCGGCCCAAGACCGTAGATGTGCGAGTTCGTGTCTCGGGGGTTTTGGCTGTTCGGGTAGCATTGGACCCGACACTTGCCCCGGTGTTTGCATCGGAGTCAGAATCTCGCGCAGCATTGACAGGGCCAATATCCAAAGGCAAACTCGACTTTCTCGGCGCGGGAAAGGCAGGTGCATCAAATTCTCCCTTGGGAGACTCATAGGCCTTAGGGATGGCCGGGACAGGTGGGACTTCTTCCTCGGTGTTCGTGGTAGTTTGTTCCACTCGGGGCTTAGGGGTGGGAAGTCGAGACGTGGAGAAGTTTTGAGAAAGGCGATGCTGGAGGGAGCTTATGGAATTCCGCACCGAATTGTAGCTAGTACTCGAGGAAACGGAAAGCCCGGAGCTGTACGACTTGCGATTTGGATCAGGTGTCGTGCGGTTAGAGGAAGGGGTGACGCTTTTCCTCGGAATTTGAGATGGCGAATGGGTCGAAGATACAGGGCGGATTGGGAGAGGTTCCGTCTGCGTAGGGGGCGTGTGTGGCATCGGAGGTGCGAGGGGAACAATTGACATTCGCTTCATTCGCCGTGCATCCGTGGGGCTGATGGTACGAGCGCCAAGTCCAGTGGCATGGGGCGGTAGAACGGACATGCGTTTGGAAGATGACGAAGGCGTTGTGACAGTTGTATTAGAAGAAGCATTTCTCACTGGGGTTCGTACGGCGTTGGTGGAAGAAGACCGCGTGTGATCAGGGGTCCCAGACGCAGTCAAAAACGTTCCACGTGGTTCACGCGCGGCAGGCTGAAAAGATTTGGCTTTCAAGCTTCGGACGGAAGACGGAACTTTGGACTCTTCATCCTGAGGCCGAGGGCGGAGGAAGTTGTTGTCCATGCGAGCAGTGTCGGTACTGACTTTGCGGGCACTCAGACTGGCGCGGCGCGCCGAGGCGGTCGTTTGAGCGAATGCGCCAGAGCTAATAGACTTGCGGGAGCCACGTGAAGCTGTGTTTGAGCCGCTGGGAGGCTGGGCAAGGCTCTGGCGACGATTGCGGGTGTTGGCCGAAGATGCAGAGAGGCCTGGGTTCGCAGAATTCGGACTCAGATGTGAGACCTCACTTTTTCGACGAGCCGAAGCACCCCTGGTTCGCTCCGAAACGTTGCTGTCGTAGCTGTGGTTTGTCCAAGAGCTGTTGGTCGAAATCCCTGAATCGCGATTCTCACTTCCTGCAACACCGTTTCCGGGTATGGGAAAGTGATTCAAACTGGGCTCGGCCATGATGCTATTGTGGAAGTCGTCGAAATTGATTGGGGCCAAAAACTCCATGCCTTCTGGCGGCGCCTGGTTGGATTCGAGTTTCGACAAATTTCCCACACTCGTAGATCGGAGGTTCAGGTTTTTGGTCAAGTCATTCATGGAGTCGATTGAGGAGTTTTCGGAGTGATGATAGCCGCCCGTTGGTTTACTATGGGTGTGGGTTGTTAGCTTGAGCAATGGCTGGCGAATACTGTCCCACTGGAAACCAGCGCAGCAGGGGGTTGAACAAAGAGACATACCTCCACCGCGAGTGATCTTGCGGTCGCGGACCCTGCGGGGTTTTCTCGTTCCGAATTGACAGTCTTCTCCTACCCATGCCACCTGCACGCAGCCCTGCAGCGCCCCGCGACTCCTGAGAATCAGAATTGGTATTTGAATGGAAATTGGTCGAGGCCGCCTTTTGGACGCGCCTGCGGGCCGGGCCTTCAGCTGTTTAGGAGAGTTTTGTCAGCCATCCGCTGCAGCTTTCCGTTGGCAATTACGTCTTACCTCCCGAGCCCGAGTCGTCGTTCCTGGACGGATTGGATGACCGTGATTGAATTGGTCGAGCCTGACCCCTTCCCGGAGTCTGCGGCGGCTTTACCGGCATCGTATACCACTCCACACAGCTCCTGTCGGAGAAAGACAGGATAGTAGGTCCAATCGGCAAAGCAGGGGAAGCCGGGCACTACCAGGGAATCCAATCACAATGGCATTCAGAAAAAAAGCGAGCTTCTCAACGATCTCCGAATAGGAGAGAGCCTTGAGCAGCGACGCGCGCGGTCGAAGGATGGGTTACCGGTCCATAGCGGGAAGAAGGATCGAGCAACGGCCGTCTGCGGTGCTAAAGGGGGGAAGGTGGTTTGCAGAAGTCTTTTGATCCCAATGCGGCACAGAAGAATTTCGGTCGCAACTTCAATAGCTGCAAGCTCGGTTGACAAAGAAAGGATAGAAAGGAATTATCAAAACAGAGCATCAAAGAATCAAGGGGATCTCTACTGAGATCTTGCTGGGCGACACCAGCGAGCAATGCGAGAAAAGAAGATAAACAGAGCCACAGTTCCCCTGATGCTTTCTGCAAGTCAAGTTGCGTTACCGTACCGTACGGGATGAGGTAAGCAGTTACGGCACTAGTCTGTTTTGGGATTCCCCAGACTGTCGGCAAGTTGCAAAGCATGTGCTTGCTGGGTTCCCCTTCCTCCTCTGCTTCTGCATCTTCTCTGGATCTTTCTACCTCCATCTCTTCGGCATGCCTGGGGTTAGCTCATCATTATGGACGAGTATACCCCAGAGGCTCTGGTAAATCGCCAGGAGCCCATTCCCGTCTTCTCAACGCCTAAGCCTCGGCAGCAAAGCGGTTCGCCCGCAAGTTTACACTCAAGATCGTCGTCGCAGTCAAAGAGCTCTCTTCAAGATCGTCTTTTTGCCAAGTATGGTAGTTTGATCGCACACTGGCTAGAGTGGACATTCATTTCTTGTCTGGTGATCGCTGACCAAAGTAAAGACTCCTGCAGCAAGTTATCCCGCACGACGATGAAGATGAGACCGATTCATCAGGAGACAAGGCTTTTTCTACCTCTCCCAAACGGCCAGCATTCAGTCTTCCTACAATGACGAACAATTTCCGTCGATTTAATGCCAGGTGAGACCGAGACATGACTATGATTATCACCCACGTGCCAATGAAACTGAGGCCGCTATAGAATCGGCGTGGTGTTTTTGTTTCAGAACCGAGTCGAGCGTCTGCTCAGCTGGAAGAAACCAACCCACACTTTGTCGTTGCTCTTTGTCTATTCTTTCATCTGCTTGGATCCGCACCTGCTGCTGGTGTTGCCGGTGGTGGTTCTCTTGCTCTTTATCATGGTGCCGGCATTTGTGGCCCGACATCCTCCACCCCCCACCACATCCACCTCTAGTACCACTCCTTATTATTCCTATGATGGACCTGCGTTGGCGCCGGCAAGGACCATCCGCCCAGCCCCTGAGACGTCCAAGGACTTCTTCCGGAACATGCGCGATCTGCAGAATTGCATGGCGGATTTCTCAGACATCCACGATGCAACCATCGCGGTGTTTGCGCCACTGACGAACTTCTCGAACGAGAAATTATCGTCGACGATCTTTTTGGGCTGTACCATAGCGACAGTGGTATTATTCATTTCGGCCCATCTTTTGCCGCTGCGGTTGGTCCTGCTGGCCGGCGGCAATGCGGCGATTTTATCAAGTCACCCCACCATCCGGCAGTTCTTCCAGGATATTGTCCACGATGTTGGTGTAGGAACACCAGAACTAGGCTCGCCAGTCTCTGAAGATGTACCTGGCGTGTCAGTTCCAGCAACTCCCAGCGCGGCGATGTCTGCCATGGAGTCGCTGGCAGATATCTCGGTGGATTCTGATCCGGAAGAGCGGGAAGTGGAGATTTTTGAGGTGCAGCATCGGGCACCGGGCACTTCAGAGAGTGGCTGGGAGAATTTCATCTTCAGTCCTCTGCCTTACGATCCGCTGTCACCTTCTCGTATCGCCGGGGACCGACCCCGTGGGTGTCGATTTTTCGAGGACGTCCGCCCTCCATACGGTTGGGCTTGGAAGAGCAAAAAGTGGGAGTTAGATCTGGACTGCCGCGAGTGGGTTGTGGAGCGAATGATCACCGGCGTTGGGTTTGAGATTCCGGGCGTGACCGCGGAAGGCAATGCTATCACTGACGAGGTCGGTGGCTGGGTGTGGGATCTACCCCCTAGTCCGCTGTCGCGAGAGGATGACGAAGAAATTACCACTTTGGCGTATGGTGACCTACAGCCGGAGGTGCCTACACCTCAGAGCAAAGGCGGCTCTATCTCAAAGAATACCGACAAGGAGAAGCCGTCTGCCCGGGATTGGGAAGAAGCAGCTCCTGCGTCTTACGGGATCGGGGAATGGAGACGTCGACGGTGGGTGCGAGTTGTGCAGCGCATGAGTCTTCCACCACCGGAAGTGGTGACATATTCGACACTCGGCCACGGCTGAAAGGATTTTTTTTTATACATACGATGAAGTCATTTCGAGGATACCCCTCATGTTCAACGACTCTTTATGTACTGTTCCATTGTTCCACCAACATGCACATTTCGAACGAACACGGATGCATGTATACTTTTAGTTTCGAACGTAGAAGAAAAGAAACAAACGAACCCGTCAGAAGCAGTCGAAATCAAACGCCGAACTCGCCCAAACCAAATGCTTGAAGAGGAGAAGAAAAAGGACCCTTGTCACAATTGGCTTTTCTTCCACTTGTTGATCCGCCTCCGCAAGTCGCCCTCACTTTGCTGCATCGGATTGAGCTTGCGGTCGCGCACCATGGCCGAGATATTGTCGCCATGCTTCTCCACCAAGCGCAGAACCCATTCTTCCTCACGCGCGCTCAGATGCCGAGGCTTCTTGGCCTTGACAGTCTCGCCCTCTCGATCCGCCTGGCGCTCAAGCTGCTGAATGATCACCGAGTCCGCAGCCGCCGACGCGGGGGCATCCTCATCTTCATTATCGGAGAGGTCGTTCAGAGGGTCGTTGAGCGGATTCGCGCGGCGTCGCTTGTGACCCGCAACCTCAATCTCGTCTTCCTCACGGATCACCCGCAGAATCTTCCCGGTTTCCGGATCACGCTCGACCTTGGTTTCGCCGAGCTTGATCTGCGAGGCTGCTTTGGCGCTGCCGTTGATGTGGAGCGATGTCGACGCTTCGGCGGGATCTTCTTGTCCTGGCAGTCGTTCGCTGCCGCCAGTCGGGGCGTTGAGCTTGTGGATTAGGCCCAGCCGCCGGTAGTTTTGCGTGAGAGTCAGGTCGCGGTCCCTGTCATTTCAGATGTTAGCACATTATTCCGCAAGGAAGATGAAAAGGCTGTCCCGCATTACCAGTTCTCAGCGATGATGGCGTTTCCGAGCACATTGATCTTCTTGCTACCGCTCTTGAGACGGTTGTTCTTCGGTCGGGCCTTGGAGAGGCCCGAACGGTTCTTTTTCTTCTGCAGAATCTTCCCCATGGCTGGTTGTGAGGGTTGTAAGTTTGTCGCCTGTGAGCAGAATCGAAACTTTTTTGGAGTTTGCAGAAGCTTGGCGTGTTTGTTCCGCGGCGATCAATCGATAAGCCCACGGGACACAAGCTGGCCTCTCGGCACCCCGTGTTTACCTGATTGTTCTTTTTTTCAACACCGATTCTTGCAATGGCTGCTCGTTTCTTTCCGCCGCAGAGAACGGGCCTGGCGCTCGCGACTGGCGCTCTTTTGTTCTCTGCCTTGGCCGCCGCCAATGTTGGTCCAGGGGAGCTCTCGGTGACTGAGATCGAGGAGCAATTGCAGGTACGCGAGAAGGCGATGCCTAGGAACTCCATATACTTTTTACTCACAGAAACCGATCTTACTAGAACTGCCCTCTTGTCCAATCCCTCAATGAGCACAAGCGAGCCACCGCCCCGCAAACCACCAGCGTCACGGCGAGGATCTTCGCTGTTTTATTCCCAGGAAGCCCCGCCGTGAACGCGCTGCTGGCGACGTTGTACATCTCCGGCCCGCCCAGTACGGACAATTCCCTTCGCAGAGCCCCCAACTTGACGGCATAAACTTGGGTATTAACATTTTGTCTCAGACTTTCTTCTGGCCCTATGCCCGCCCAACATTGACCCCTCCTCGCTCTCGATGATGGTCGCCTTCGCCGTGGGAGGATTGCTGGGCGACACGCTGTTCCACCTGCTCCCAGAGATATTCCTGGGCGAGGACTCGCCCGAGCACGTGAGCTTCGTGATGGTCGAGCCGAACAAGAACCTCCTGCTGGGCCTGGGGATCATGGTGGGCTTCTTCACGTTCGTAGCCATGGACAAGGCACTGCGGATCGCAACAGGTGGCGAAGGCGGCCACGACCACAGTCACGGCCATGCGCACCCGGAGCCCATCGCCGCGACGACCAGTTCAGACACAAAATCGCAGTCCGGGGCGGGCGACCTGAAACAGCGCAAGACCGGCGGCGTCTCTTCAAATTCCTCCTCTTCCACCAACCAACCCGAGCCCGAAAAGGAGATCAACCCCAGCGTCAAGCTGGGCGGCTACCTCAACCTGATCGCAGACTTCACGCACAACATCACTGACGGCCTGGCGCTATCGTCGTCGTTCTACGCCTCGCCAACAATCGGCGCCACAACCACCGTTGCCGTCTTCTTCCACGAGATTCCGCACGAGGTCGGCGACTTCGCGCTGCTGGTGCAGTCGGGCTTCTCCAAGCGCAAGGCCATGGGCGCGCAGTTCGTCACTGCCGTCGGCGCCTTCCTGGGCACCTTGATTGGCATTGCCGTGCAGGAACTCGGTGGCAATGGCTCGCTCTCGGAGGATGTTGCTGCTGTCTCTGGGCTCTGGGGTACGAGTCTGACCTGGGGCGATATGCTGCTGCCCTTTACGGCCGGCACGTTCCTGTATGTTGGCACTGTTGCTGTTATTCCGGAGCTGTTGGAGACGGGTAAGGATAAGGGTGTCGAGGTGCGCAAGACGCTGGTGCAGTTTGCGGCTGTTGCTGTTGGGGCGGGGATTATGCTTGCGTGAGTTTTTCTTTATTGTTTCTGCCTTTTTTTTTTTTTTTTTTTTTTTTTTTTGCTTTACCTCTGTTGGACGCTGCTTGCTGACTTGAGTACCGTAGCATCTCCTGGGACTAGGTTCTCCTCGAGCCCTTTGGGTTTATGTCTAGGTACGATTGGGTGAGGTGGATTCATAACATGCAATTGGCGCCATCAAAGCTGCCGCTGATAGACCCTCATTGTAGAGTCATAGATGTCATTCGCGGCATAGTTATGGCATATCGATGCCCCCTGTGATTTGAAATGCGATGTATAGGAATCAAGACCCTTATGCTTTCTTATGCTTTTGTCCATCTCCCCCATTTTATCTCATCAGCAACACCACAAATACTGGACCAGACGCGTAAAAAGATCAATTCAAGACGAAGCTGAAAACGCCATTCCAAAAACCAACTCCTGATCGACCGATGAACCAAGGCCCAGAAAATATTTTAAATCATACATGGGTGAAGAGAAGGAAAGGTGGAGTCCCTGGAGATGAAAGACCTCCGGCAATACGGGAAGTAAGAACCACACGAACACCGAGAGAGATGAAGTGAAGGATGAGGCATGGGGATGACATGTGGATGAAGGAGATGGGAAAACGATCCTCATTACTCATTATAGTGATAGACCTGGTGATCTGTAAGCAAAAGGAATAATAGTAGAAGATGCAGGGGGCAAACACTTACGAAATAATCCGGCAGCCCGAACACGGCATATCCCAACCGCCGAACCATTCTGGCAAAGCCCTCAGTCTCGACCAGGTGGAAGAACGGGAAAGGTGGGAACATGGCGCCATCGCGATGGACGTCCGCCTTGACCATCAGAGCAGTGCCGCCCACGCCATCGAGTGGGATAATGCGGCGGGGATTCAAGCTCTTGAAGTCAGCCATGTAGGCCATGAGAGTGCGGTAGGTAGGAAGCTCGGCATAACCCTCGAGAAGGATATCTTCAGGGCCCATGTCGTCGGCGAGCGTCTGAGCCTGCTGGCTATCGATCCAGGAATTGTAGTCATAGGGACGGACGGCCCACTGCTTGGAATTGGAGTCATAATAGCGCTGGTAGCAGTTGGGCACAACGACCGGCTGGTTGTGGCTGGTCAGGTCCTGGATCAGCGAAGCCGGGGTCTCGACGATGTCGGCGTCGAGCCAGAGCACCCACGAGGTGCTGGGCCCGAGAGTCGTGAAGACGAGACTATTGCGGGCGCGGGCCATAGCCTCGCGACGGACCTTCTGCGACGAGAGCTGGTGGCGGACCTTTTCGTTCTGCGATGAGAGCGGTGGATCGAAGTCCTGGCGGAGGATGCTGATGCTAGCGAAGCGGTTGTCGATGGGGCCTGACTGCGTGCGGGCGATGGCCTTTTCCAGCGCCTTGACGGCGGCATTGCCGTCCTTGGTTTTGGGCGCGATGAACCCCAGCGAGATCAGCTCGTGTGGGTAGTTCAGCCGCACTAGATTGTCCCAGTATTGCGAGTAGAAGCGGGCCAGCGGCGTCAGGATGAGCACTCGCTCGCTCAGCGCGATCGACTCCGCCGTGCTGGTCAGGTTGTTTAGGTTGTAGTGCACCACTGGTGGGGCGGCCTGCACGCCATCGCTGCGGAGGGCCTGTGACTTGAAGAAGGGCTTGGTCGGCGGGGAGAGAGGGTGTTCGGCGGCGTCTTTCTGGCGTTGTTCGGAGGACGACGCGGCTGCGGCGGGCGGCGACGAGGGGCGCAGCAGAACACAAATGAACCCGAATGTCAGCAGCGCGGCCAGGATGAGGCTGGCTGGACTCGAGCGTCGCATCGAAAGTGCGACGGCCATGGCCGTTCCGACCGAATGAAGTTGCGGGAGGTGGAAGGTGTTGCGTTGGTCCAGGCCTGATCCGCTGATATCAAGAGTTTGTGGCCTGAGGCACGCCAGAGACTATCCGCCTCTGCCGGTGATTCCTCCGTCACCACGGGGATGTATTTCTAGGATGTAAAAGAAGAGAAGAAGATATGGCAAACTGAATTATAATGATCTTTCAATGTGGCCGGATTAAGTTCCAAGTCAGGTACCGTATGTGATCTATCTCCGTGGACCAGACACAACAACTGTCTCTATACACAAAAGCCCGGCCGAATCACAGACTGCAAGACAACCAGAATGTTCCTTTAATTGGACATTGACCTTAGAGTTCCGGCAGATTTACCCAAGTTTCCGTACGGACTATACAGCACTCATTTGCCAGGGACCTAGAATTTTGATATACACATGCCTCTAAATCAAATCTATAGACTTGCCATGGTCATCTCGATCTATGTACAATCTTTTCAGACAAGTCAGTAGTAAATATCAGTCATTTACGGCAGGGCGCGCATGACTCCCTCGAACGCAACCAAAGCCATCGCATTCGCCGGGAACGCCCTAAGGAAGCACGGGAGAAATCCCCGCCAGTACCCCCTCCACCCACGCTCGCGCCACACGGCCTCGGCCGCGTCCTTCCATCCGCGGAACCGTCTCTCCCCATCGTTGAGCGCACCACCCATCGGGTCAGTCATGAGGCGCTGCTTCACGACATCAGACGGATAGGAAGTGAGCCAGAAGACTTGGGCCGAGATGCCGCCGGCCCAGAAGTTGATTGCGGGCGCAGACAACGAAGTATTTTGTTTCATATAGCGCGTGAGCACGTCGTAGGAGCCCCACCAGAAAAAGAAAAAGGAGCGGAAAAGAACTGTGGCCCAGAGACCGCGGTAGACGCCGCTGATGCCATGGGTTCCAAGCTAAATCCAGGTAGGGTCAGCGGGAGATATTAAAAAAGATGCAGAGTCTAAAAAGACGCTCGGATACTTACCATCCTGCGAAGACAGTCAATGGGCCCGCTGTACATGCGCTGGGTCTTGTCGGCCGCATATTGCACCTGTAGACGGGCCTTGATGTGCTCGACCGGCGCGGCAATGAAGCTGACAGTCGTGCCAGCCATGATGCCGGCGATTCCATGCCCGAAGCTGGGGAGACTGCCAAGATCTGACTGGCTGCGCGAGAAGGGCATCCAAGCGCGAAGGTGCGGCTTGGAGAAGACGTTTTCCAGAAGTAATCGTCGGTACAGCGTCAAGGATCCCAGCATGCTGCGGTTCTAGATCAGCTATTGAACCGAGTAGTCTGGAAGCTAGTCCACCATAGTCGAACCGTGACACTCACACTGAGTCCATCACCATCCATCCGACCAGCGGAGGCGTGGCGCCCTTGTACAGCCCCCGAAATCCTTCCTTCCGCACGGTCTGCAACGTGCAATCGAGTGGTCCACGGAAATGCGCATCTTTGCTGGTCTGAAGACGGACTTTGACGGTATCGAATCTGTCGATATCACACAGGGTCAATACGAGCAACCGGAGGATAGTCAGCGATGGCAGTGATAGAGACGTACGGATGGCCAACTAAAAACTTAGGTGTTAGCTCCCGCGACGAATCACTTGGAACGCACAGAGCAAATCAAAAGCAGAAGACTCACCACTGAGCTTCGCAATCCCGGAGAAGACTCCGGCCACGAACCCTCGATAATCTTTTTTGCCAGTCGGCGCGGGCGCGGTGTTCCCACTGCTCGGCCCAGTCTTCGACAATGACCCTGTCATTTCAGAATCTGTAGAGGCAGACAAGGGCGCCTGCGCCGATGACATAATGTGACCGTGTAATCTCGCGCCAATGCGTCCCAGACGCCTCCGAGCGAAGATTGCTCACGCGCGCGCAAGGGTCGGAACTGGGAACGGGGACGAGGACCGAGAAGGAAGGAATTCGATTTCTGTGAGCTATCGATGTGCGATGGGCTTTTTTGTTGACTTGGGGAGGATTGTAATAGAACAAAAGATAGAAATTATTGAGAATGAAAAGAGAATCTGCGCATCTCCAAATTATTCTGGGCCCCGCACGGCGTCGGGGAGGAAAGGCGCAGCTCCGAAGTCGGGTGTTGATTCCTCAGGCATGAATATCGATCATCAAAACGGGCAGAGTAATGGAAATGTTGTTTCTATCACTAGTCAATGTTTAGACTAAACAATATTCAGGAAAGAGAAATAACCCATAGTATTAGGTGAATCTGAGTAGTGACAATGACTTTTTTTTTCACATTACTCCAGAAGCTTGCAAGCCTCGAAGCGTTGGAGAAACAAGAGAACCCAAGGACAACCAATATAGAGGTTTGCCCAAGTTAATTTGGATAGCAGAAACAAAAGATGCCATGTGCAGGACTCGACCGTCTCTAATTATGGACAAAGTGAACAGATGAGGGATCAAAGGCGGCACTATCATCAACTCCGGGCGAGTAGTCTAGTTGGCAAGTGTCTGGGCCTTCCATTCAGGGCAGGAGACCTGGGTTGATCGAAATAGGCCTTGCTCAGGGGTTCGGAACTCGTCCTACCCTACCCATTGGGGGTCTGCTGGTAAAGGACTATTTCATAGCCTCTGGCGAACTTTTTTGTCTTTTTGCCTTTTTGCATCTTTTGATTTTATTTACTTATTATTTTGTGTGAAAAGTTTAGACATGAACATAGTTCCCAGATTCCGAATGGACTGTATCCTGGCTACTCTAGGCATTCTGTCTAGTGGGAAATATAAACAGAGGGTATCGATGTATGATGTGATGCAAGCGCTGGTCAGAAAACAGAAAACAAAAGAGAAACCCCATGCGTGGCGCGATGATCCATCCTTGGACTCGCACTTTATTTTCATGCCCCCAAACGCCAGTGAAACAGCAGAACGAAACCAGAAACGTGGAGAAAGCCAGAAGAACCAGACCAAATCTTGGCTCAAATGAAAAGAATAGAACCGAAAAAGACAAACACCCGTGCTTGATGCAGCAGCAAAAAAAGATCCTGGTCTTCATAGAGACGTAACGGCCTTGCTACCGGCTCTTGGTGGACTTGCGATTCTTCTGGCGAGCTCGCTCGTTTTCGCGGGCAATGAGCTTTTCGACCAGGTCCGGCGGTGGGCCCGATTCCCGAGCGGAAGCCTCTCGTGGCACACGCTCCGATGCGGTTGAGCCACTGGCCAAGTAATCACCAGCCTCGAGTGCCAGGGGCGTGACAGGACCAGGGCTGCGCAGAGGGTCCAGTCGTGGGGCAGACGGGCTATCCTTGGAGTCGCGGTACTGCCACATCAGGTCGCGCGACCCCGTCGTGGGACGGTAGGTGTTTTGTCGAGACTGGCGCGGGGACGGTGGCTGGCCGGTGGCATTGTGAGGGGTGCCGGGTTGATAGACTGCAGGATGAAACCGGGGCAAACTGCCAAGATTGAATCCAGACACGGGCTTGGTCGAGTTTTGGGTGCGAGAGCGCGACGGCTGAGGAGAGCTGGGGCGCCGTGGAGACATGGTGGGCGAAGCAACCGGGGAGTAGAAGGGTGAGTTCTCAGAACGCATGCTTGATGAGGGCCGGGCCCGAGAGCAGATCCGACGGCTCGATCGGATCGGCGCGTGTCGTGATTTGGCAGACACCGAGGTCCGTTCCCAGTCGTACAAGTAGTCGGTTTTCTCGAATCGTCCCGTGAGGGGGGTCACCGGGAAATCGTCGTAGATTGGTTCGGGTCGTCTAGGGATTGGGATGGGTCGCGTGGATGAAAGGGAAAGCGAGCCCAGGGCGACGATCGGAGGGGAGTCCGAGAGACGAGCACGACGTGAGCGTGGGGAAGGGGGGTAATATGTCGACGAGGTGGTCGTCAAGTCACGCAGGGAAGATAGTGAGATGGGTGTGGGGTAGCCGTGCTTGATGATCAGACTCTCCAGATGGTCTCGCGGTCGGGTTGGCGAACGAGACTCTGATGAGAAGCCTACGCGTAGGGGGTCAGCATCATCAAGCCCGGAATGCCACACCATTCAAGTGGAGAATGCATTCCAAGAGAGCATGGGAATGGGGAGAGCGAAGGAATCAATGTAGAACCCCAAGGCCAATGATAGTGGACGGGGAAAATACACCCGTGAGGAAAGAAAAGAACGTTGAGACTTACTTGGAGAAGAACTGCTCAAAGAAGAGGGATAAAAGGACGAGGATGAGGACGATGAAGGGGATGAAGAGAAGGAAAAAGGAGGTGAGTCCGACAAATGCTTTTTCCGCATCTGCGCTGGTTAGTGTATCGTCGTCTTGCGGGGGGCTCCACTTGCCTGGCGTCATCGGCCCTGGACTTACTGTGTCTTTGCCATATGTTTGGAGTGGATTTTGATTATAAGAAAACGATCAACTCCCAGCCTGAAATCAAATTCTAGAAAGTACGGGAAATAGAGAAAGGAGATCCTCTTCTAGGGTGAGCAGCGATTTAAAAAAAGCTCTCTCTTTTTTTTCCAGGCACCTGTGAAACCACGTCCCAGGTACATGGCCTTTTCCACGCGCAACTTCCCGGTGACCATAGCTCTCCTATTCCAAGGCATGGGAGCAAGAAAAGGTGACAAGCTCTTCAAATCACACTCTCTACGGGAGGGGGATCATCCATCATCCAAAGAAGAAGAAAAAAAAAAAAAAAAGGGAAGATCTCACAGACCAGGGCCGGTTGATCGACCGGGGTCATGCGTTGACAGATACACCCACGCGGTGACGTCCTCTTTTTGAGTCAACCAGTCACAGTGGGATTTCAGTCGGGAGGATCCAGGTCGATCAGGCGACACCCCTATGAGAGGGCCAGGAGGGAGAAAGCCACGCGTGCTGATTGGGGCCCTGCGTGCTCCCCGGAGACTGTAGCCGAGACAGAAAGCCCCTCTTGTCTAGATTGATTTCTTTCTTGTTCTCTTGTATTATCTAGAAAGGAGAATTATTATATTATGATCCACAACTCATTATTATATAGTAGCATCCAAGAAACGATCAGTTTGTGACTTGACTATATTGGCAATACCCGTATGACAGCCACACCCCCCCCCTGTATAGTCTGACTGCTTCGGTCAACTGCAGAGTCCATGGGAGTCCCCGCAGCACAACTTTCCGATAGTTCTGGTGGAGAAGGTCTTGACCTCTACTGATTTGTTAGACTATTTCTGGAGAGTCAAGAAAAATTTTGATTTGTACATAGATTCCCAATATCCAGCCCTGACTCCACTCATGCCCCTCCACTTCCAAGATGGTAAGTTGCTATCATCTGAGATAGCTCCTGGGTAAACAAGTTTCTAGTCTCCGTAGACATCATGGCTGTGGTACTGGAGTGGTTGGAATGCCATCCAGGACCAATAGGAAAACAACTTGCATGCAAAGGGCCGGAGTATCTACCAAGGTACCTATGCTTATTGCATGCCATACATGGTGCCATAGGAATGCCCTAGAAAGCATAAATGCTGATATAGTCAAGGAAGCTGGTACCAAATTTACAGCCCTACTTGATGGGAAGGTAACATGGCCTATATGCTCTTTTTCTTTCGTGGATTGGATCACTGCATTTAGTCGGTTTTTGAGCCTCGCTGCTTGCTGGAAAAATAGAAATAGAAATAAAAATAAAAATAAATAAGAAAACCAGCTCATGACCTACTTCTACTTGGCGTATCTAGATATCGTTTTATTTAGCCAGTAAAGCCCAGAGTGAAGTGCAAATATCTCATTTAATACCAATCTAGTCCAGACTACTGTTAGATTCAACCTAATTAGACTCCACTCTTCCGATCTTCATTGCTTCCAAAAGTTGTATTACAAGTGTCGCTACGCCGCAGAGTAGTATGTCCTACGGACGCTAGTCCCCGCATCAGATGCGAAAAAGCATATCTATAGGTGACTCTGTGTGAAGAATTCACTTTGATCATGTTGTACATAGGTGGGACTCGAAGGCAAATGCTATGGCATTTGGGTTTAAAAGAGCCGCTTGACAACCCGCAATCTCTCACTTGCTCTGAGCTGCATTGAGAATTCCAGATCCATCGACAAAAGTTCATCAGCTCTATCCTTACAATGCGTGTCCCAATACTTGCAAGCCTGTTCGCTATTTTCATTGCCATTGTTTGTATCCATGATTTCCATCGCAGCTTATATGAACCCACTACTTACCCCATCACATCCAGGCCCATGGCGCTGATGACACCCCCGATGTCCCAGAAGGCTACGATGTCTTTATACCCGAGTGGGAAGTGGAGGTCCATCCCGGCGGACCAACAGAGATTCTAAACGGAACAGTCGAAGAAGTCTACGCGCAGCTTCTAAAGCTCAACCCAAACTATGCCATTGAATTTGGGATGCCGCTCGACGACCTCGAGCCAGAGAACGTTGACCCGGAAGAAAGAGATCTTGAAGAAAGAGACACGGATGACAATATGGACACGGCCGCCAACTTTCGCGGCAGCAAGTACAAATGCGCTCGAAAAGTCCCTCGCAGAGACCGGGCCAGCACAAAGGCCATCCGGAATGGTATACGGTATCTGCGTCGGCTCAAGGGCCGCCCGCACAGTGCGGCAGGGCCCAGGAAGTGTGGACGCGTGAGCTGCTCACATAATTCTGGTATATGGTGGTGCAACGATGTGCGTCAATCCCTTGATATTGCATATAACCTCTGTTCACTGGGGTGAGGTTACTGACTCCTTTATCTGTTGATCTACAGGCGAAGAAACCGAAGACCCTCCATTCCTATCGCGACATTGCCGATGGCGCTCAGCGTGTGGTGGAAAAGTGCTCCAAGGGGGTGCGGTGGCGGGCCAGGCTTTCCATAAGGGACATTGGAGTGTGGCTGTGGAGAAAACCTCATGCCAAGGTTATTCCAGCCTGGAGAGGGCAGTCGACTTGTACGGTGAGTCAACCTAGCCCAATACCAGGCAGTGAGCGTATCAAGCCATACTGATCTATCTACACAGTTGCACTGTTCCATTAAATATTGATTTGGCTTTTTGGAATTCCATAAATTATGCCTAGTTTGGAAACTGTCTTGTCAAGGGAAGCTTGCGGTCAATACATGGAGTTCTCTGCTGAAGTTTAAGCTCGGCCGTTGGCGAATTTCTGTCATTACCGATATTTAATCAAATGATCCGATGTCAATTGATGCTTGCGCCAGTTTTGAAACTTGCTCTTCCAGCCCCATTTGAATGTTTCATAGATTCGTGGCATATAATTGTTGTCCGAGAGGTAGCGAACTGTGAGGTATATTTTAATGTTGATATTTCGATACTTCATGGATTTTCACGTCGAAATGCTCAACAATATTTCGGCTATTCAAATATCCTATATAACTATGAAGTTTATGATTACGTCGAGAAAAGAAAAAAAAAAAGAAATTGCGCCCTTGTCTCCTTCGGGACCCCCGCAAACCACGAGTCAGAGCCCCTCCGCATGACAGTGTATTTCAACCTTCCCACACAGACAACTTTCAGTACTAACACCATGACCAGTCCCAACTTCTGTTTTCCCGTGCGGGAGCTAGAGAATGATGCCGTGAAACTCACTCCATTCGATGTAACTTCGAGCAGGACGACATCTCTCATCTACTAGCTGACTAGTCTTTAGCCAACCAAACATGCAGGCCCCTACTTCCATGGCTCTGTCAACCACCCAGAGCTCTACCAATACATGTCCATAGGGCCCTTTGCAAGCGAGGAAGAATTTATCTCGCGCTTCATCAACGACTTCGTAAACCAGCAGTCATCAGTGCAGTGTTTCGCCGTGATCGACAAACGAAAACCGGCCTCTGTCGCGGACCCAGACGGCGAGGTCGCCGGCATGGTCTCCTACATGAGTGCCTCAGCAGTCCATCTATCTGCCGAAGTCGGGTACATAATCATCCTCCCTCCGTACCAGCGGACGCACGTCACCACCCATGCCGTCGGGCTGTTACTGCACTATGCGATGGATAGTCCCGAGCAAGGAGGCCTGGGTCTTCGACGGATGCAGTGGCTTGCGGATCCCCCGAACAAGGCCTCTTTGGCGGCGGCTCAGCGCATGGGGTTCCAGCAAGAGGGGATCTTGCGATGGAATCGGGTGGTTCCTGACGCGGAGGCGCGGGGGAAAGTACATAATGGACGAAATGGACCGGTGTATGGCGAGCAGCAGGATCGGGGCCGGGATACGGTTTATCTCTCGCTTTGCTGGGATGACTGGACTGAGGGGAAGCGGGAAGTCGTGGATGCGTTGATGTCGAGGTAGGACTGCTCAAAAGAAAGCAGCGAAGCAAGTCAATCTGCACTCTTGGAGTCTATGTTCAAAGTACATGCAATAGCATTCGGGTATGAAGTGTCATCTCCTCAATATGTGGTTGATGATGTACCTTTCTATTTATTAATATAAATGCTCAACTATAAGATAACCCTAGCCACCCCTACATCGGGAACGCTGCATCAAATGCCCGGGAGAACTCCTGGATAGTTGCCCGTTTGCTCGGGGAACAAAGACCCTTGGAGAATAGAGAGATTTCTTCTGGCTTTTTGCCACGCATCACATCACTTGCTAGCTGGGTGTAAATATCCCCCTGGGTCAGGGTTTTGGCTTTGCTGCCGTCGCCGAGGTTCTTCGCGAGGTTTCTGAGCCCCGTTTCGCTGTCCATGAAGTCAAGGTGGCGCATCCCAATCATAGCCAGAGACCAAATGTCGGTTGGTTTGGTATAGTATTGCCCGGCGTTTTGGTCGATTTCTATTGGGGGAAATATCGGTTAGCTTTCCTAAAAAAAAAAAAAAAAAAAGGACTTGAGAGGTTGGGCGCAATTCTTACCTGGTGCGGAAAAGGGCTTTTCCCTATCTTCGGCGCCCTTCCACTCATCGACTATTTTGGGCTCAATAGTAGCCTGGTCAAAGTTCATGATCTTGACGGTATCGCTGCCCTCGTCCTCGAGCACCAGATTGCGCGGCTTGAGGTTCCGATTGGCAATCCCTTGATTATGCATGGTTTCCACAGCTTTGATCAAGGACTTGAACTGTTGCAGCTTCAGCTTGATAGTGCGTTGCTGAGCATCATGCAGTGTTTTCCACGTATTGATGTTCTCGAAGACCACAAACGCAAGATTGCTGGCCCAAAAGGAATCGATCACGCGCACGACCGCGTCCGTGTTCGAGAGAGACTGCTGGTAAACAGCGCCCTGAAGAATTCTAACGGGCTTGAAATCTTGGATATTGAACGTGGTGCTTTGCTTGATCGTGGCTGGCCGACTGTTCACTTTCTTCCTATTGCTGTACTTGCCGTCGTACATGGTTCCCTTGTAGAGGATGCTCCAGTCGTCGTCCAAGAGGGGGCTCCTTTGAGAGAACTCCACCGATTTTTGGCCCTCGCAGACGTCCCATTGGTACGCCTTCGTGGTCGCGCTGGTATAAACCGTCTTTTTGGATCCCTGCGTGTAGTCTTTGGGGTTGGAGGATGGCAATTCGTTCCAGGCTCGAGGGTCGAGACGGGTGTAGTCTGGTGGCTGTGGGCTATCGGAATCATCCCCATCATTGTCGTCATCGTCGTCGCCATCGCCAGGAACGCCGGCGTCAGTGTGACTGTCGAGGTGGTCTCTCGACAGCATGGAAGAGTGGCGGGGAGATAGGGACTGGGACGGTGCTGCCCAGGAGATCGGCGCGGTGACTAAGGCAAGGATCCATAGAACATGAATACCACGCAGGGCCACCAGGAGATTCTGGAAGACGAGCATGGCCCAAGATGCTCAAGAAATGTCGCGTTGACAATGCACACGGATGCAAGAAGAATACGTTCCCACGGCACAGTTTAAGAATAGATAACGTCGGTCGGTATTATCCTTCCCCACCCAATGTTCGTTTGGTAACCAACTCAGGAATTAGTGGAATCCTTCGATCCTGCGTGTTTCGTGTTCTCCACGTTGAGCCTTGCAAGTTTACATGGGTTGCTCCCCGGTTGATCGTGTGCCTTGCACCGAGTCCAGTATGCTGTTAAACTATTTATGGGAATGCTTTTTCTGTAGCCGCATCTTCTTCTTCTTTTTTTTTTTTTTTTTTTTTAATTTCGAACGAGATCTTCTCCTAATTCCCATGATCTCGTAAGCCTTTGAATTGTAGAGTAGTTTAGTATATTCTTGTAGACCTATGATGCATGGCTTGGTAGACCTTAAACAATCTACAGTAACAAAGTTGGGGTTGTTAGTGTAGCAGCTCCCACCTGGATATGCACCACTCTGGATTTTTTTTTTTAGACAATTGTCCCTGCAATTGACTTAGGCAGTGGGTCGGCCATAAGGGGGCCAGTGGAAAAGGATTTGGGGCTGCTTGTATACAGCGCTGGGGGCCCTGGATCCTTCCTGGTGATCGAGGTATGACCAAGTCCAGTACGAGTGGCATAAGAGAGCCTTCTCACAAATGTTTCAATTCAAATTGAATTGAGCTACCTTTCATTTCTATCAAAAATGGATTGATGGCATGATGAGGATTGAATGACGTCCATGTGTCGCAGAGCACAAACTCGCTTTTCAATTTGTTTTGTTACACTTCTTGTCTTCGTAGGGGCGTTTGACTATTTCCTTCTGCCATTGAAGCCAGAACCCTCTTACTTGTACTCATCCTAAATGGGGTTCCATACATCCTCGGTCAACATTACCCTGCGAAACCGGCACTGCCTAAGCTGCCGCTGCGAGCGACCCGATGGTTCCTGGTCCTACTCGGTCCTGGACCTGAACGAGTGCCTGGGGAATAACAATGGTGGGCGGAGACGGCTTCTCACAGAACGACCGCTCTGGAATCATATCGAGTTGCTGACTGTTAGTTGAGGCAAATTCGCGTGGGGCGGGAATAGTTTCGCCCACAGCGCATCCCAGATCCATCTCTCTCTCGAAGGACCCGAGGGCACGCCGTGGCTGCATGCGCAGCTTAATGACCGGCATGGGAGTGTCCAGTCCGCTGCGGTAGGTGGTAGGATATCCAAGTCTAAAACCATTTCTCGTTTCTTATGACTGATAGGTCGATTTGTCCGAGTACATCCAAAACGAGGCGGGGGCGTTGGAATATACGCGATGATCGTCGGATAGGGTGGGATGTTTTGATGGGAAACAATATCAAGGGCTGCCAAAATCGAGTCTGGGGAAGATTGTTGCAAGTAATTGAAGGAAGCAGAGGTGACAGACATGTCATTTGCTGTCGAGGTTCCACAGCTCTCTCCACCCAACTCTGTAGCCAACGCACATCGCATTTCTGAGCTTCTTCTCTACATCCTCTGGAGATATCCATCATCTTGGAGAACTTGGAATATTTTCTCGCCAACCCCTCTGCCCTCAAGCAATACCCTTGCAGCTTGTTGCAAGTCTACAAACCACCCACCATGGGAATGAAAGCACGATGCCAGTGCTCCAAGGTCCAATTCACAGCACCTACAGACAAACCCCTGGTAACTTACATCTGCCACTGCACCGAATGCCGTCACCAAAGCTCGTCCGCGTTTGGCATCTCGACTATCTTCCCCTACTTTGAGCTGCCAGACTCAGTATTTAGTCTGCTGAGCAGCCACACGCGATTCACCCTCAAGGGCCGCTGGATGGAGTGTTTCTTTTGCAAGAGCTGTGGTGCGCGCGTCATGCACCGTTTCCGTGATGTTGTCCCTGCGCCGGGGGAAGACCCGAGTCCGACTGCCATTATCAATATCAAGGGTGGTTGTCTCGAAGGTCTGAATCGGGACATGCTGCGTCAGGCGATTCATGTTTGGTGCAAAGAGGCGATTGTGGATATCCCCGAGGGCGTGGAGAGGTGGGATGAGGGAGCGCCCGGGGTGAATCCGTTGCAGTCAAGTTGAGTCGAACGGTTTGCCTTGAAAGAGATATGAATGTGCATTGAGGAAACTGGATTCCAGGATATGAAGTGGATTTGGTGCCCAACCGAATCAGATCTGCCATGCCAACAGCCCTCAGCCCAGCACACCCGACCAGCCGTTATCAACCGCAATACAGGCACCATTGATGAGGCCGGCACCTTTGCCGTAGGTGATCGTCACACAAAACCCAGCAACTTCATCAATATCACAAAGAGGCGCATCCACGGCTTTGAACAATGCATCCATTTTCTGATATCCCTCCATATTGATACCGGACTTGAGTCCATCGGTGATATTGGTGTCCATGCCACCCAGCATCAGCGCATTGCACCGGATGCCCTTGTTGCCGTAAAATGAAGCAGTACTCTTGGTCAACCCGATCAGACCATGCTTGCTGGCCGTATAAGCGGCGCCTGAGATGATTGGGATTAATTCTCGGATACGATCAGACACAGAGTTGTGAAAAAAAGAGCATACCACTCGCCCACCCAGCTTTGCCGGCAACCGAAACAATATTGATAATCCGCCCCTTGGGCTCCGGCTGCTCCAGCATATTGTGAACTGCCAGTTTGCTCAACAGGAACGGCGCCGTGAGATTAACCGCCATCACACGATCCCACAATTCGACGTCGAGATCACCGACTGGGTCGAATCGATCCATGATACCGGCATTGTTGACCAGTACATCGATCTTGCCGAAGGCGTGAACCAGCTCGTCGAACATGCTCTGTATTTCCTTTGCATCTGTGATGTTCGCCTTGATAGCCCGCAAGGGACCTTTATCTGACAGCTCCGACGAGGCCTGGGATAGTCGGTCTTCGTTGATATCGCAGATTACGACATTGGCGCCGGCCTCGAGGAATTTGGTGGCAATTGCTTTGCCCAGTCCGCCGCCTGCGCCGGTGACAAGGCAGGTCTTTCCTGCTAGGATCTGCCCGGACATTTTTTTTTTTTGTTTATGTAGTTGAAATCAGAAATTCATACATGAGACACAGTGGCAAAAGGAAAAAAAAATGATATCTTGATTCTACCGGGTTAAAGGGGTAAATTACAATAGGGGCAATGACTCGGCGGCATCGCGGGTGTTAGGTGGAGACGAGACAGACAGGCGGGGGGGTTTTTGAGCAACTTCGCTATGGTGGTACAGCTGTCAGATCGAGCTGCCTTGAGGCTCTGGAGAATGAACTATTGAGAGAAGAGAAGCCCTGACTCTATTCCGGACTTGATGAATTAAGTGCGTGCCTTGAGGCTTATCTTCAGCGTAGACACGAGTGGAGCCAATCAATCGCACGTTTTGACTGTGTGTGGATAGCCTCGCTTATGTGGATTGGCCTGGAGTCTTCTAAGCTTGTCACGGTTTATGTATACTTGGATCTATAGCACTTCCGCTCGCTTGTTTCCTCCCCTATATCAAGCAATCTGTTTGATGAAATTGTAGAGAGCATAATTTACATCCTCTTCTCATCTTGATCATGACCATTATCTTTTAGCCGAGGTAGAGATAGGACAAGACAGATTCTACGTTTGTATTCTGTCACCCGTTATAAAGACAGCAGATAATGTCCTGTCTCCTATCATTACTCAACCGTGCCAACTGGGCTTCTTATCATTCACAGTGGGTCTCTCCCCGCAAAACATCCGAGAGGCTTTGGCAGACTGACCCACATCCATCGCGCAGACCTTCTCAATCGGGCAATCCACGTCTATCTACATTATCGTGTCGCTGGTGGCTATCTCGATGGGGAATGTCTCTAAGAAGACAGAAGGGAGCGGGGATTCTCCGTTGCTTTTAAAAAAGATGCAGCCACCCCCCAGAGTGAGCAGCGTTTGTCGTATCTGGCATTGCCTTTCAACCCGCCATGTCGAATGAAGACGAAAAATCGCAGGTGTTTCAGGGCACCACCAGTGAAGATGTCCGGCTGGAGAACCTGGGATATGAGCAAGGTAATGTGTCTTGGTCTATGTTGTCGGTACTGTCTAACTTAAAGGGGGAGTTTGAGTATAGAGCTCAAACGAAGTTTTGGTCTGATGAGTATGATCGGGTTCAGCTTCAGCGTGGTGACATCGTATGTTTTTTTTTTTTTTTTTATTTGGCTCAAGCCACACTGCTATGTGTTGAAACTGACTGGAATTATTAGATGGACGGCCCTCAGCGGTGTTTTTATTGTTGGAGTGACATCGGGCGGACCCCCGGTGATGGTATTTAGTTTCATTGGGGTTAGCCTCCTGACTCTGGCAGTTGCAATCCCAATGGCAGAGATGTGCTCGATGTATCCGGTGGCAGGAGGCCAGTATTCCTGGGTTGCTGCACTCGCCCCTCCTCGGTTCGCTCGAGGCTTATCCTACGTGACGGGCTGGTTCATGCTGATCGGTATGTCTACTTTTTGCATTTCAATACTAAATATACTAATTGCACCTCAGGCATTCTGGCAATGGGAGCAACAAACAACTACATTGCCTCCAACTTCGTCCTAGGCATGGCCAACATAGTATTCCCCGACTTCGTGATCGAGCGATGGCAGACTGTGCTGGTGGCCTACCTCACCGCCATCGTTTCGACTGCCGTGAATCTCTGGGGCTCGCATCTGCTGCACCGAATCTCGAAATTCATTCTAATTTGGAACATCGGCTCCTTCGTCGTCGTTGTAGTCACGCTTCTCGCCACTAACGACCATAAACAGCCCGCATCCTTTGTCTTCCAAGATTTTCAGAACTCTTCAGGCTGGGGCACTGGCATGGCTGCTATCATTGGGGTCCTGCAGGCCTGTTTTGGGATGTGCTGCTACGATGCCCCCTCCCACATGACCGAAGAAATGAAGTCCGCGTCGAAGGAAGCCCCCAAGGCTATAGTTCTGGCGGTGATCCTGGGTGGCGTCACTGGCTTCGCATTTCTGCTGACCCTCTGCTTCTGCATTGGTGACATCAAGGAAACCGCCGAGAGCAGCACCGGCGTGCCCGTGATCCAGATCATTTACGATTCCACGGGTAACAAAGCCGCGACCTGTATCTTGTCGAGTCTAATCTGCGTGATCGTCATGGTGGCCGGGAATAACATCCTGGCCGAGGGGTCTCGTGCCGTTTACGCCTTTGCTCGGGACAACGGTCTACCTTTTTCGAAGCTCTTTAGCAAGGTCGAGGGCAAGAGCCAAGTTCCTGTGAATGCAGTGCTCCTCACCTTGGCCGTGCAGCTGGCCCTCGATGCTATCGACTTTGGCACAACAACCGGTTTTGAGACCGTGATCGCTATCTCCACTGAAGGCTTCTGTATGCAATCTCTCGCTATGTTTAAATTTCACGCGCTGACTTTTCCCTTCAGATTTGTCTTATGCCATGGCTCTCATCAGCCGCTTGGCCGGGTATTTCTCGGGCCATGTTATCAAGCTGGATGGGCCCTATGCATTCTCGGCCCCGGTTTCAATTGCACTGAATATCCTCGGGCTCTTGTTTCTGCTCTTCGCTTCCATCACCTTCAACTTCCCAAGTACGTATCCCGTGGGCAAGGACTCGATGAATTATACCAGTGCTGCGATCGGAGTCACTGGGCTTATTAGCATTGTCACCTGGATCACTACCGGCCAGAAGCATTTCACGGGCCCAGGCGCCGTCAGCTATTTGAGAGGGGAGAATTCTGCACCGGAGGACGGCAGAGCTGTTGGAACAGAGACTGAGAAAAAGAGCTGATGAGCTTAGGCTCTGTATTATAGTGCGTTCTTGCTGAATTGGAAATGACTGAGATAAAGATACTTTCAATGGAATGGTGTCAGATACCACTTGAATCGTCATATCCATCCAATGCGAGACCAGCAGTTTCTAGAGTTATTTCTTTAGTAAGGACATTGATATCGTCGGAGCCCAACCATAAAAAGACAACATCACAGATCATACAAACTGCTCACTCATCTCCATCATCCTCATCCATCGAGGTACTCCAGCGCCCAGACAAATTCCTCAACTCAACCCTAGCAGCCTCAATCTCCGCCTTGCGGCCCTCAATAGCATCCATCGTAGGTCTGTACACGGCCATTTCCTCCTTCACGAGCTGAGAGAGTTCCACATCCGCGCATTTTAGCTCATGTTTCATCCGGGCAATGCGCGATTTCACTTCACCCTTCCTGTCGAGGAACGGCTGCATTCTCTCGGAGAACTCCAGTGCCTCAACAGTCACAGCCTCCCACCAGTGATTGAGCACAGCCTCGAGTGCGGCGGTGGAAGGTGGGAAAGTGGGAGGGGGCTCGTTGCCTACGTCGATGGACTCGGGCTTGTCGCTGTCGCTGTCCTCACTCGTGTTGCCCTTGCTGTGGAATTGGCTGTAGAGGATGAGGGCTTGGTGCTGGGGGCTGGGTTGAGGACATCCTTCTTGGTTGGAGTGGGTTACGGAGGGCGACGCTGGTGTGTTTACCCACACCCAAGCTTCATCGGGGTTCGGGGGGCTGGAGAGGAGGGGTGTCGTCCCGATGTTGAGAGGGTGAAGGGGAGAGCGAAGGGGGAGATGAGGGTGCGGGTGTCGTGAGAGCTGGGCTGTCTCCACTAGAGGCAATTGCCGCTTGACATCTTGACTCGGCCCTTGGACGAGTCAGTGTCCTTCCCCGAGAGCATTGTAAGGCGAGAATAACTTACATCTTTGACGTTTCTCTCTTAGGAGGGCAGGGGCCAGCCCTGCTCAGAATTGACTTGTTGATTCCTTGCACTCAACTCAGGAGTAAGGTTCTCTGGAGACTCGACTCGACATCTAGCATGAGAAACTCTGAGATGAAGTGAGAAGATAAATAGAGAGATAATCAGAAAGATGCACAGGAAGAGAACCTCAATAGGGATGTCAATGCCAGACAAACTTGCTGTAAATATGAATAGTTTCTACCTCGATGTCAATAGATTCTTTCAACCCCCCCCCCATTCAGGACACAATGAATAGGGTACACCAATAGAATTGATGTACATAATTGAAGGAGATCTCCGACTGCTCTCTCCGAGTCTATGAAAAGTCATCATTGTTCCTTTTGACTACAATGAATAGTCTGAATAGCCTGAAAATCTGTTGATTATCTCGCTTGATTGTTGTTCACTGATGAATTGAGAGAGAGCAGGCTACCACCCAATCGAATTCGATATCAATTCATTTGCACAAAAAAAAAAGTACTATTTGATGTTTAGCAAAACCATATAAAACCACAAAATCAATCACAATCACCAATTCTTTTTGAAGCCGAAGCACACTTGATCAAATCGAGTTGACTTTGCACCCCCAGCATACCAGCAGCCATAGCTCTGCGCTCAAATCTTGAATCGATAAATTTCTAGTTTCCATCAGTAACCGGTGCGGCATTGATCTTGTCGCAGTAGCTGCCTGTATCTAGATCCGACAGACGGCAATGAGTGATTTTGAAGAAGAATATACTCGGATTGACTTTTAAGAGTGACTGGGTCTTCCTCAAGCCCCAAGACGTTGTTTTTCATATCTATCTTCCAATTACAGTGTCGGAGAGTAAGAATCCTATGGCTTCCGGAGACGCATCTCTTTTCATATGTAGTATCAACTAGGAAGGACGATGTCACAAGTATACCCCATAAATCGGTATCTGGTATGACAAGGGGGTATTTCTTTTTCTCCGGTTTCCGCATCGACCTCCCTGCAGATTGTGTAACCTTTTCATGCTGAGTCGTTTTCGAATATTATCAGGAATGTTATTGTTGAATGATAGGGCTGGGTGGTCAATATGAATGAAGTGTCCAAGAGAAACTTAGAACTTCTCGAAGTATCCAGTGTTTTGTCTAGCTGAATATGCACCATATGATCACTATAATGAAAAATGGTACCCTCCTAGTGACGGGCAGTCCCGAGAGCTGAACTACAACTAATGCAGAATGACGTTCCATCCCCCATTAGCGCTGCAGAAGTGTGCCGGGCGAACTGATAGATCACGAACTGGACAAGGATGAGCCCAACTCAACTGGCGGTCTAATCTGCATCGGCTGCAGCTCTTCAAGGTCATCAACACACACATTCCGCCGATCAGGCATTCACACCTCCCTCTCGCTCTCTCTGTTGGCCAAGCGGTATGGTCAAGGAATCCGTACCCAATAAGATATTTATTTCCTGACACCGCCGATCGACCTATGGTTCTCTGTTGGCTATTTGCAGCCCGTGAAACAGTGTTGGCCATGTTCTTCTCTTTTTTGAATGCCTTTGGGCAGGCAGATGCAAAGCCCCTTGTCTTGCACCCCTCGTGCGGTATCTGCAATGTCAGAACACGGACTCGCGTGCTTAAAAGCACTATGCGGTATCACCACACATTCCCTTATCGACACACGCGGCCGTCCAATTCGAAACTTTCGGGGAGGGAAGTCGGGGGGCGTTACCACATTCCCGGGGGCATTGACACCGCATGAAGGACTCAGAATTATCTTTCTTCACATCTACATATATGCAGACCATGAAGCCGCTCGATTCTGAATCGACCCGTTTATGAATTCCATTGACGGCGACCACAGCAGAATATTTATCAAAACCATGATGATCTGTTTCCTGCTGGGCAGTGCCCTGACTTATTTACTCCTCATGGCCGTCTACCGGCTTCGACTGCATCCTCTGAGTAAATTCCCCGGGCCGCGCTTGGCTGCCATGACGGGGTTGTATGAGGTCTACTTTGCCGCATGGGGAAACCAGTCCTTTGAAACCGAGATTCACAACATGCACCAGCAGTACGGTGAGAAAGACCTTCTTCCTTCTATATCTTTCCCGTGTCTGCGGGCTACTGCTGATACACTCGTCAGGCCCGGTCGTCCGCATCAGTCCCGACGAAATCCACGTCGAAGAGCAGTTCCGCGACGTGGGTTACGCCGATTGCTGGATCAAAGGAACCCGTAGAGTAGACGCTGGTCGCCGCTCCAGACGCGACTCTCGGCCACTCACTATGCGGGAACGCTCGCTGTTCAGAGTGCGCTCGTTGATCCAGGTGGAGGTCCAGCATCTCCTCAAGGGTCTGGCGCAGCAACACCAAGTACATCGAGGACGCAGCTCGAGGCTTCGACCGCTGCTTCAAGTGCCGTATCACAGAGAGATAGTTCCACGGCCAGTGAAGAACAGCAGACCAGAGAACGGGACCCATCTCAATGCCTTGCGGAAACCCAAGCGCCGATGTATTTCCAAACAGCTTTCAATTCGACCTGCGGACTTGAGGAATGCTCGACTCCAAAACCCGCGGCCGGTTGATGGACGTGCCTTCCATGCGACTGTGCAGATGGGTCGGCGAGGTCTGCCATGCTGAGACGATATTCGACTCGGAGTGACGATCGTCATTATAGACCTTTTTGCACTCCAGTGCCTTCTAACTGTTCGGGTTGGTTCAAAAGTGAGTCTTATATTTCTTTTTTGAGGGGTTCACGCTTTTACTGCCCCAGATCAAGTTATAATACAACGGGTCGGAATACAATCTAACCAATCCAGCCCTTAGGTCCACCCCAAGTACCCTTGACCATCGAGTTGGCGTACACCCACGGGAAGAAGTCCTTCTTCAGGTGGTAGAAGGAGCGGCGCGGAGCGGCCTGGTCAATGCCGAACAAGCCGTTGAACGTCTCCTTGGGCTCTCCGCCGTACTTGAACTCGGCGAGCAGAACCTTACCGTACTCGGTCAAGAGCGGGCACGAGGTGTAACCATCATATTTGGCATCGAGCTCCTTGCCCTCGATCGACTGGAGGAGGTTACGGACCAGCACCGGGGCCTCGGATGTGACGGCGGCGGCGGTCTTGGCGGTGGGAAGACCCGATGCATCGCCGGCCGACCAGACATTAGAGTATTTCTTGTGGCGGGTGGTGGCGTCGTCAACATCGACGAAGCCGGCCTCGTTGGCCAGAGCACTGTTCTTGACGAACGCGTGAGGGCCCATCTTGGGCGCGACGTGCAGAAGATCAAAGCGCTTAGTGATCTGCTGCTGGCCGTCCGGACGAGCAAACGTCGCGTTGTTGCCGTCAATGGAGATGAGGTCGTGCTGGAACAGCCCTTCCACGCCCCGCTCTTTGCGGAGCTCCTCGAGCTTGGCGCTGTACTTGGGAACGCCGAACATAACGGGGAGGCCGGTGGCGAAGCTGATCTGGATCGGGGACGCGGACGGGTTGCTGGGGTTGTACAGGCCGGCGCGTTTCCAGTGGTCCAGGGCCAGCCACATGATTTTCTGGGGGGCGCCCGCGCACTTGATCACGCCGGTGGGCTGGGTGAAGATGGCCTTTCCTTTTTGGAGTCTTTGGATGGAGCGGAAGGCCTTGTCGCACGTGTCATAGCCATAAATGGATGAGACAAACGAGTTCTGGTCGGCGAGGGCCTCGGGCAAGCCCTTGATGTTGCCATAGTTGACGCTGATGCCGGGTACCACGATCAGCTGCTCGTAGCCGACGCGGTCACCATTCGCCAGGGTGACTGCATTCTCTTCGGGGGCGAAGGTACCAACGCCATTGTTATAGAACTTGAGCTGAGGATCAATCAAGGCCTTCATTGGCCGCCGCAGCTCATCCTTGTGCTTCAGTCCACCGCCGACCAGAGTCCACCCGGGCTGGTAGTGATGCCACGCCGCGGGGTCGACCACGGCGATGTCGTCCTGCGCGAATTTGCCCGATCGGAGAAGCTGATGGCTAATTGCCAGTCCAGCGGTACCACCACCGACCACCACGACCTTGTGATTCCGAGTTGCAGAGCTCACGGGTGATGCGGTTGCGAAGGTCCGACTCGAAATTGACCGTGCAGTGAGATTCGAGCGCCCAACAGCGCAGGATGCTGACGATATGCGACTGCGAAACATCTTCAGATCAGACAAGGCTATGGCCTACTCTCAAACCCAATTGGAACCGGATGAAGAAAATCGACGTCCCAGCGCGGCATCGGATGATGCTCACCGCCTTGGAGACCGCCTTGGAGCCTGTTCCTTGAGGCACCAAAATGGAGGGCGACGAAGTGATGCATTTAGAGATCGGGGAAACCGTTGCCAATGTTTGAATCCCGCCTACCATGCAGATGATATCAGAATTTATCGGGCACGATGACAATCTTTTTCATCGTGCCTCGGCATCGAAGGTGGCCAAGTGACACTAAAGATCCATGTCATCCTTTGATGGGTCCATGCCAAGATCGACAATGCACAGACACCAGCACAGTCCGAGTGTCGATTCTTATCTGCGTGCGGTGGGGATGACATGGGCTGGGGGTGATCCTGGCGCTGACACCAACCAGCTCACGAAGACAAGGCCTGTTCGACTCGGCCGGAGACCACCGAGGGTCATGAGATCTCATCAAGCGAGAGAAGCCGAACCAAGTAACCAAGTAACCAGCCGGACGAAATGCAGGTTCCCGACCATCGCCAGAACTCAAACCGACGGGCTTTTGCCTTTTTGCCTGTGTTTTCCTCGTCGGTTTCCCCACTGCCCCAAGGCCGTGCGCTTTTTATACCCTCGACCCTGCCATCGATCGCGTCATTGCCCTTTCTTCTTCTCTGATCTCCTTTTTCGTTGCTGCACTCCCTGCGCCCGCCAATTCAACTGTCACAATGGTGTGTTCCCGTCTGTATTGAGCTTTTCGACCTTGAGAACTGCCCGGATTGTGGCTACTTCTCAGTCGACTAAGCGCGATGATCGCTGCCGATCATTGGATGAGACTGACTGGAATGGTATTCTACAGCCACACGCCGACTCTTCAAATTTCAATGCAGGGCAGTCCAAGGCCGAGGTCTATTCGCAGCTGCTGGAACAAGCAGAGGGTCTGCTGACAGGGCAAAGAAACTGGGTGAGTGCCTCCAGGTCTGGCACGAGACCAATCGTCCAAGAGTGCGACGAATCCTTGGAACAGGAGCAATATGCTGACCATTAAATTTTCTTAATTGTAGGTTAGGTGAGATCCCTTCCTTCAGTTCTATTTATTTGCCCATCTCGAGGACAAAAACAATGCCCCGATAGCCTGCCCAACCATTCCGCCAACTTTCGCAACCCCTACTGACCCTCTCCAGCAATCTCTCCAACGTCGCCTCGCTCCTCTGGCACGCCTACGCCTCCCTTCCTGCCCCCTCATCCGCCGTCAATTGGGCCGGATTCTACATCCGCGATGACAAATTCCCGGCCCTGGCCTTGCCTGTCTCATCTCCCCCGCTCCCGGACACACCAGGCGCCGGCGGCGTGACTATCTCGACGACGTACTCGTCGCCCGAGGACCAGGTGCTCCTGCTGGGCCCGTTCCAGGGCAAGCCGGCCTGCCAACAGATCAGGTTTGGGAAGGGTGTATGCGGCACTGCCGCGGCGAACCAGGAGACGGCCGTGGTGCCGGATGTACATGCTTTCCCGGGTCACATTGCGTGTGATGCGGATAGCCGGAGTGAGATTGTGGTTCCGATCCTGGTCAAGGGAGAGGTAAGTCTTGTTTTGAGTTGTTGTTGGTTGACTGGGGAGTTTTCTTTTTAATATCTGGTGTTATATCTTGTATCCTGGGCTAGGGCTAACTCGTATTGATTTACAGACTGTTGCGATTATCGATATCGATTGCACCGAGGCTGCGGGATTCGATGACGAAGACAAAAAGTATCTGGAACAACTTGCGGTGCTTTTAGCAGAAAGTTGCGACTGGTGAGGGGTTGATATGCCGATATTCACTCACTATTTGTTGACATCGCGGACTTTCCTTTCTTTCTCAACCTGCCCTTGAGCTTGAATTCTCACAAAAAAAGTTCTTGGATTCTGGCGAGGCAACCTGCTACTGCCACAGGTAGCCGTGTATTCTAGGTTTTACCAGCTCTTAACTATAATTATATCCATGGATACATGATTTTCAGGTAATAACTCTGGTTTACTTTCCTCTTTCCCTCTCTCTTCTCCTTTTCTTCTCTCTTCCCTCTCTCCCCCCGAACCGCGAAGACCAAGTGCCCTTCCTCTCTACGTTTCGTTTCGTTTTTTTTTTGTTCAAAAAACTTTTTTTTTTTTCAAATTAACACAAAAATGGCCTCTGTCTCGCCCGCCCCCGCCTTAAGTGGGCTTGAAAATGCTCTTGGAAAAGGAGCAAAGCTCCGGGATATCTTCCTTTGGAGCATGCTGGTGGTTGTGTTCGTCTTTGTCGCCACCGTGCTGCTGCTGTGGTTCCGCGCGTGGCTCAAATATAGGTGAGGCAATCTTGATACTGCAAGAGACACAAAATGTACTAATCGATGAGCATGCTTAGATACTCACCCCGGGAGCCTGAGCGCGCCTTCTGGCGCGAGTCCCGGCAGCGAAGCCGGCTATGTGAGCACAGCTCGAGCCCCGGCTGATGAAATGTATGCTGACCGCTGCTGCGACTTCGTTTAGCTTGGTCGACCCGTCCTTTCCGTTACGGGGCCGCCCGAAGGCTCTCGACCGAGCTCGACTACCTTCCCGCCTCGGCCCAGCCCTCTTCTGTTTCGGCGTCGACGGAGCCAATGTTAAAGATGCCTAGAGAATCGGTCGCGGGGGTCCTTGAGGAGTGAGGTGGGATGAGGCGGTGGCCTGGGGGGGAGTGGTGAAGGTTGTGTCCGGTGAGGCCGATCCCTTTGGGCTGGTGCATCCTCTTGTAAAGGGGTCCCTAGACAAGTGCGCTTGTGCCGCCTTGTATCGGCCAAGAGCCATGTTTTGTATTGTTTTTGTAGCGATGGTGTTGAGGTGTTTGTTTTTGTCTTTTGTTATATATAATTATCGTCGCTGAACCTCTTCGTCTGCCCCGGGCAGACGTGCAGCTCCACATGGAACAGAGTCGTCCACTCCTTCAGTAAAGCTTCTTGAAATTCATAAGCCAATTCGCAATAGGTATTACACCAGAAAGATCTTCAGCACTACTATGATTCTTCTAGAGGCAACATACAAGGGTTATAAAAGACATGACAAAAATGTTATAAAAAGCATGATAAAAAATGCTACGAAAGACATCACAAAAGACATAATACAAAATATGATAGGATAATAGAAAACCAACCCGAATTGAAGATCAAAAACTTTATAATTTCGGTATAGAGGAAGAAAATATTACTGTATATACACGCAAGTGGTATGACCATCAAAGGCTAACAACAACCCGGCTGAGAATAATCAACAGACATCCTAAATAACCTAGGCATATGGACAGGAGAAAAGCGAGCGAAGACCGAGACTGTGGCCATAACTTGGTAGCAAATCGTGATATCTATTGATGGAATGGTCATGAAGGCTGTAGAGATATAGAGAAAAAAATGAACATCAAGACCCAAAGAAAAGCAAAGCCGAACGCCGAATGAGTCCCCAAAAACGCTTAGACGGACAAGTGATCAAAATGAAGGTGTATATATATCATGCCATGGGGGAAGAGAAGAAGGGGAAAAAAAAAGGCCGAGACAGTATCACTGATTGAGCATACTCATTTGTCTCCGCATCGGGTTGGGTGAGAAAGCATCTCCGTCTTCGCTGGGTCCAATGCCGCTATCAGTTCCAGCAGCGCCGGCATCGGTGTCAATGTCCCACTCCTCGTCCTCGTTGGCTTCGCCGTTGAGGTCGGCATCGCCATCGGCGCGGTCCCAGCTTTTCTGGACAGCGCCACGGGTGTTCCAACGCAGCGCACGCTGAACGCTGCTGAACCATTCACCACTACCGGACACGAGAGTAGGGAAGGGGTACTGGCTGGCTTCGACAGTGACGTAGTCGCCTTGGCGAAGCTCAACACGGCCCTTGCCGTCGAAGGAGCAATATGCGGTTGATCGGGAGGCGTTGGGTACCGCGATGCGCAGGAGATGAGAGTCTGACAGAACCATCGGACGGAATGAGAGGGTGTGTGGGCAGATGGGGGTAAGAAGAATGCCGGGTATAGATGGATGCATGAGTGAGCCGCCAGCGGACAGAGAGTAAGCAGTTGAGCCTGAAATATAGAGTTAGCATCGGTTAAACACTTAAGACAATGGAAACTCTGCACATGACATACCAGTTGGAGTCGAAAAAATACATCCGTCCGCCTGGACAACTGTCAAGAGCTCGTCGTCGGCGTAGAGCTCCAAGTTAGACACGTAAGGAGAAGGGCCTCGGTCAATGACCAGCTCGTTGAGCACTTCAAACTGCTCGCCCTCCTCGACTGCACCGGCCACCGCTCCCTTGCTGCGGTCCTTTCGGAAAACTGTACAGGTGAAACGCATTCGCAAATTCACGCGCATACCCACATCGCCCATGACCCCATTCAGATGTGACTTATAGTCAGAAAAGTCGAAGTTTGTGAGGAAGCCAAGACTGCCCAGCGAAAAGCAGAGAACCGGCGGTACCACACGCTGGAAGAGCCATGATGTGAAAAGAACGGTACCATCACCGCCGAGAGTCAAGACCAGATCGAATTTGTCTGGTGATGTCCAGCAAAGATCAGGAGTCCAGAACTGCAGCATCTGGGGGTATCGAGGGTCCTTCTGGAGCAGACTCGGGGTGTCGAATCGTTTTGAATTGCGCAGCTTTGCATCGACGTACACGTTCACTCCTACATCATTCCCATAGCGCGGCGTCGACAGCAGCCATTCTGCGACTTCACGAGTCAAGTGGACCAGGCTGTTGTCCCGCGCCTTGGTGACAATCATGACATTCCGCACAGCGCGCTTGATCGGCCGCCGTTGCAGCTGCTTGGATACTTCACGAACTCCAGTGGCTGTTTGGACTAAGCGCGAGTGTGAGAGCCACTCGTCATCTGCGATCTCCTCCAGTACCTTTTTGATGTTGACAGCGTCGTCGAAGCGTTGGTGGAAGTAACACGGCGACTGTAGCACCAAGCGGGCTGTTGCAGGGGACCGTTCAAGGTACCCGGTTAGCTGCAGATTCGACAGTGCAGTCGATAATTTCTGAGATGAGGCATTGCTGCACCGACGTTCCCTCTCCTCGGCTGGCGGTGACGTCTGGTTGGAGCTGTTGGCCAACAGGCCTGACAACGGCCCGTTCGGCGGCGGGCTCAGATTGTTGTTAGACAGGGTGTGTCGCGAGGCCAGGGCTTTCATGATGGTCTGGCGGGGAATGCAATCGGTAGACAGTGCCTTCTTGGAGCGATGTCCAGAAATGGACTTTTGGCGAAACGGTCGGAGCGTCGACGACCAAACGGCGGCCTCCTCCTGGGATAGATCAACTTTCTGCGGAGGCGACGCGCCGCTGTCAGGTGGTCTTGGTGCAGATTCGTGGTGGTGGATCTCGTTGTGCGTCTGAGACGGCTCTATATGGAGGGCATAATCGCGGAGGAGCGCCGCGCCGACGGTTGATGCGGAGGGTGGGGCAGCAGTCGAGTTCGGACTTGGATGAGATGTGCGCGCGGGTGAGGGCGAGGGGATATCAGATTGGGGGGGGTTCGCCGGACGCCATGGGGTTAACTGAAGGCCGAAGCTATAAATGCGCGGTTCGGATGTAACGGGGATTGTGGACCACCAAGCCTAGGCTCCTTGACTTGACCTGCCGTGGGTCACAGACCACCTCGGCGAGTAAGCCGCGAATCTTTCTCTTGGCTTCGTGGTCCTTCGATGTACCAGGGATGCAGGTTCACCTGGGGGGAGCTCGGGTCGGGGGGGTTTGTAAGGGTTTTGGGGCTGCAAAGGTGGGAGGAAAAAAGAAGGAAGAGACAGAAATTGATCCCTTCAATTGGGGGAACCGACAACGGAGATTCGACCACAGGGCGATCGCTCCACTTGGAATGTCGCCCCCATATACAGTATTGCGATTCAGGGACGATGATGGCTTGGTCTACACCGACAATTACTCCTACAGTCATTTGGGTTGGGATGCGGGTGCGGGTCTGGGTCTTTGCTTGTGATTGAAATTTATTATCTTTTTCTGTGTCTCTATGAAACACGTTGCAGACGAGCTCGTGCCAATCTGAGAGCCCCTGCCTCGAGCACATCCATAGCAACCCCGAGTCGATCGCACGGCAGACCTGCATACAAGGACGGTCTATCGATGACACTGCCTAAATTGTAAGTGGTCACGGGAGAATGCGACCGGGGAATCTGCTGGTGCCTGGGAATCAAGAAGAGCCAGAAACGTGTCCGTAACGCCCCGGACGGTTGCGCCTAACATGCTCGGACATGCAGCGGGTGTCAGCTGCGGTGCCTTGGCCGGGTATTCTACCTCGTCGCACAAGCCGTCACATCGTTGCATGCTCAGTAAACCGAGTGGTGTCGAGGGGGAAACGATAGCATGTTGGCCAAAGCGTGGAGGCCATAGGTACTCAGCTCAATATCTGGCCCCTGACCGGTATTCTGAAGCCATTTTGTAGTTTCAGCATGACTGGTTTGTGGCTCAAACCGAGTCAACCTTCCAGTTGTATTCACTGTGAATCTGGTCCTCCACCGTTTCCCGGATGAAGCCATCCAAATGTGTCCGGTCCGCCTCTTCATCCATTGCGACATCGCCGTCTGCGCTGGGAACCGCTGCGCCTTGACAGATAAACAATGCCTGTTCTCGAACAGCTTCCCAAATTTCAAAGTCGAATCGCCCTTGGCTCTCGTTGAGGAGCAGGTGCCCTTTGGAGGAAAATGCAAGCGCGTGAAGCGATGCGGCAGCTTTGGCGCCACGGGGGGAGACATCGCGGATGATTTCGTTAGAGATGGTCACTCCTAATGTCGTTGCTGCGAAGGTCATGGACAGAGGAACCGAAGCCGAAAGCAGGGCAAGCAGCGAGGTATGCAGAAGCGCGGGCAGGATAGTGAGGTACTATACATGTTAGTCCAGCAGGAGTGAGAGCGAAAGACGTATACTCACAGAATCACCACGCTCTACATTTCCACCTCCAACAATAGCCAGTGTAATGACCACGCCTCTTCGAGGGAATCCCTTCTCGCGCCCCAATACCACCTTTCCCAACACGCTGCGCAGAATTCCCTCGATGTATCTTTCACCAACACCAGCAGTGGTCGTCCCAGGCTTCACAAAAACCTCCACGGTCGCTTCTTCGGGTTTCAGGGCATCGCGGCGAGTGGGGAGCTCAATGGGAGCGTTGACGGCGCCGAGCACATCGTAGCCGGTAGTCGGGCACTTGAAGGAAGCCGAGCCATCGGCCCGGTTCAGATTGGAGATTGAAGCTGTTGGGCCGACCATTGTGTGTGGGGAAGGGCAGGATGGCGATCAGTGGGAAGTGGTGTGAAGCTTCAAAGATCGCGGGACCTCGATTTTTTTGAGTGTCAGGCACGCTGATTGGCTTACAGTGGGTCATAAAGTACTAACTACTTCCAGTCTTGTTTGTCCACCATATATTTCGCATGTACCGTCTACTTTGCCAGTGCATCGCATATGAATATATTGACTAGAAATTCTTCTAACTCGACACGCGACAGTCCTCGGACGCTGACTTCTTCGGACATGGAATCCCACGCCATGCTGCCGAGAAGCCAGCGGATGATGGCTTACCCCCGGACTCAGAGACCATCCAATCCAGTGATTGTTCCAAGACCTTGGTGTCTTATGGACCGGAATCGTTGTAAGCTGTCGCTCAGAGCAGAGCAGCCGAGCCCTCTCCCTCCACTCATCGCCTCGATGACATCGTGGCGTCACAATGTGATTCGAAGATCCCTCCGGGCTGTGATGGATCCCCTCTTTTTCCAAGGCGCAATCGGCATGGGTGATGATAGATCGACTGCGTTGTGGTTGTTGCTGACATACCTAAACAATGCGCAGATTCAAAAAGAATTCCTCCTGTGTAGATCTTGCAAACTTGTACTCAACGTCACATGCAGGTAAGGTGATATATTTCTTTGGTTTTGACTCGCATCCCGAAAGTTCAAGATATGATATCTACTTCGAGGGAGGGGGGAGGGACTGGATTCTCGCTCAACAGAAAACAAAGGAAATAGCATAGGATATCTATATGTATATAGAACTGTATAATACAAACGATTTAAACCCCTAATATCTTGAACTCTGTGTAGGATTTACTTGAAGCAAGGCACGTGACCCGTCCACTCAGAGTCGAATCTCACTCTAGATGTATTCTCCTCCATATCACGCCAACCCCTATCTTGCCAAGCCCAAAATGGGTCTTGAAAACGCACAGCTAGCCACTCTACAGAGATCATGCCAGGCCTGCGCTAAAAATAAGCGACGCTGTGATAAACGCTGGCCCCGATGCAGCCGATGCCTGGCTCGGCGAGTCGATTGTGAATATGTGAATATCCCATTAACTGCCGAGGCTGGGCCGAGACCTGCAAAAAAAAATATGTCCGCGGCTTGTATCATACCGCATGTCGACCCGCTCGCTGATGCGCCCTTGCGACTGGAGATTGCCAAAGAATATGACCCACTCGTTCTCCAGTTCCTAGTGAACGGAATGCGGGAGCAGCCCATTGCATTCGCACAGAGCCAGAAGACGGTATTCATTCATCCTGATCTATACACCTCAGGCCTTCCGGATTCAATCCAGGAATTACACGGTCTTTGCAGACTACACGCAAAGGCGACTCAGAAAAGAAACACAAGCAGCCTTCGTCCACTACTCTGCCAGAAGTTTGCCGATCTCTATCGCCAGCTGAGCCATGCAGCGACGTTTGAAGAGCTTCTAGGCTGTTCTCAGGCCTTGATTCTGATCAAAGCTATGATCATCTTGGGTGAAGACGATGATCAAACCCCGTACTCTGAAGCTGTCAGCTACATTCTCGCAGGGATCGCTGGAAGGCTCTGGCACCAGGCCCCTATTCAGCTTCCCCAGAATCTCAGTCCTCGACACGCATGGATATTAGCCGAGAGTGTTCGGCGGACTATTATCATGGCTTTTTTGCTACGCAGTGTCTACTCGCTCAAGACAAGAAAGTATTCCGTTCGCACCCCGTTCGTGGACGCATTGCCTTTCGATGTTCGAACGTATCTGTGGGATGAAGGAACTGAGCAGACATAGTTGGGGGTTGTGCCTGAATCGCCTCATTCCTTGATGTCTTTGCATGAATTTGCGAGTGGGGTGGATGCGGGCCGAGTGCATGATATCTTCTGTCTCAGTGGGTTGATATTTGCATCCTGTAAGAGCAAGATACCATCCATTATCACCTTTCCACCCGTCAAACCCTACATCGACAGCTGAGTTCGTGGAACTTGGCCCATGGACCGTCTTTAATCATAGTGAGTATACATATATCTGATTTTGTATTCCTTCATAATCCTCGATCTAATATCGTTTCCAGCCCGAGCTTACCGCAGAAACTGCTTCAACAGGCCAGCGAGCATCTCGGTCATCTGCTGATACATCGTCTGCCTCTTGGTCTCGAAGGCATCGAAAATGTCATTGGCCGAGCCCACCGGGATCTGATCCTCGCCCTGCAGCAAACGTGACCAAACTTCGTCCATGAATTCCTGCAGCGGCATCCCAATCAAGTGACCATCCTTCAGGTCTGGCTGGTGCTTGGCATCGTGCAGCTCCGTCTGGACGGCGGGAGGGTAGATTTCCAACACCTTGATGTTGCCCGGCCCATCCTGCAGCTGCGTGCGCAGAGCCAGAATGAAATGGTGCAGGGCCGCCTTCGAAGCACCATAGTTTGGGCAGCGCATCATGGGCACCAGCGCCATTTGTGAGGTGGTGAATGCAAGGGCAGTTTGAGCTGACTGCTTCTGGAGGTGGGGAATGAATGCCTTGGCCAGGCGTACGGCCGAGGTGTAGTTGGTGATCAACTCCTGGTCGAAGATGTCCAGGTCGACAGTGTCCGGCTTTGAAAAGTCAAAGGGTCGCTGGATCCCCGAGTTCGCGAAGACGCAGTCGAGATCAGGGTTTTCTGCGATGATCTCCGAGGCAAACTGAGGGATCTGATCAAGTAGTTGAGATTAGCCTGGGGTTGCAGTATGCTATCGGTATTCTGCTCAACTTACTTGCTCGAGATGCATGATATCAAAAGCCTTGGCCTTGACTTGAACATTGCCATGCTGTGCCACCAAAGCATCCAGATTTTCCTGCCTCCGTCCGCAGACGATCAACTGGGTTCCATTCTCGACGAGCTTGTCGGCCAAAGCCTTGCCAATCCCGGAGGTGGCGCCAATGACCAAGACCTTTTTGTAGGTAAACGGCATGATGAAGAAGGAGGTTAATGTACAGCGAGATTGTGTCAGAGTCTTGCGGAAGTCCCAATACACGACTTCAATACTTCCATACTGCGGTGAGGTATTCTACATTGAAGCTGGACTACTTCCATCTCTGCGGAGACTAAACCAAATGCAGTGGAGCGCCCCACGGCCCTCGCTGCTGCGGACGTTAAGCCCAACTCAGACACAATGCAATGTTTCAAGTTGCGAAACTATTTCCAGGGTCCCTGCCTCCTTTGCCGGCCCTCGGAGAGTTTGCAAACCCGATTGATAATCGGTTGTCTATCCCGGAGACTCCGCGCCGCAACGCGAGTGAGTCATAGATCCTTTGTGCACACGTTGCCACAATGCTGCGATGCGTGGTTGACTCCCCTCAAACAACCAGAACAACCATTCGAAGGACCCAAGCCACATTGATAGCAAGAACTGAGCCCAGGAAGATCAATCGAAGCAATGTTGATGATTTTGCGAGCACATTTCCCGCTTGGAATAAGATCCGCACTAGCAACGTGGAAAACGAGACCACCCGCGACCATTCGTCATTGACCTCGGAAACAACAAGGAGCATTTGTAATCATGTCTTTTCTCGGTGAGGTTTTTTTTGGGTATAAAGATGAGCTTGTTCTCCGCATTGTTGTCATCACCAACTACTCACTTTACCACTCCCATACTCCCATAAACTATCGCCTTCCTTGCATCTATTCCCAACCCCTCCACCATGTCTACTCAAAAGGCTATTGTCGTAGCCGAAGGCAATACCGCGAACGTTGTGACTGACCGACCTATCCCGACCCTCCGCGATGACTACATCCTGGTTAAGACGGTCAGTGTGGGCCTGAATCCCACCGACTGGAAGCACATTGCTTACCTGGCGCCGCCGGGCGTGACGGTGGGGTGCGACTATGCGGGCACGGTGGAAGCCGTCGGCAAAGACGTGCGCAAGAAGTTCAACAAAGGCGACCGCATCTTCGGGCTGGCACATGGCGCCAACGCCGTGCAGCCCGAGGACGGTAGCTTTGCCGAATACATTGTGGTCAAGGGCGACCTGCAGTGGAAGATCCCCGACAACCTGAGCTTCCAGGAGGCGGCGACGCTAGGCGTGGGTATTTACACCGTCGGCCAGGGCCTGTATCAGAGCCTGAAGCTAGCGCTGCCCACCGCCCCGATCAAGGACGCCACCCCGGTCCTCATCTACGGTGGCTCCACCGCTACTGGCACACTGGCGATCCAGTTTGCCAAGTTGTCCGGCTACCATGTCATCACGACTTGCTCTCCGCGCAACTTCGACTTCGTGCGCAGTCTCGGCGCCGACGCCGTCTTCGACTACAAGGACCCCCAGGCACCCGCCGAGATCAGGAAATACACCAACGACAACCTCACCCTCGTCTTCGACTGCATTTCGCTCGAGGCTAGTGCCAAATTCTGTGACAATGCCCTGTCTCCCGCCGGCGGCGACTACAGCGCTCTCTTGCCCATCAAAATCGACCGTGAGAATGTTCGCGACCGCGCCACGCTAGGATATACGGTCCTCGGTGAAGAGTTCGAATTCGGCGCTGGTAGCAAGATCCCGGCTAAGCCAGAAGACCAGGAGCATGCCGAGATGTTTGGTTCCATTGCTGTGCCTCTGTTGGCGCAAGGAAAGATCAAGGTGCACCCGCCCAAGGTGGGCAAGGATGGCTTGAAGGGTGTCTTGGAGGGGCTGGATCTGCTCAAGCAGGATAAGGTCAGCGGCGAGAAGCTGGTTTACAATGTGGCGGAGACCCCATGAGAGTCTTTATTTTCATGCTGTACTTTTCCATAACTTGTTTCAAGTGAATTGCATCAAGTACGTATCTCTCATTTGCCATCTAGCCATAGAGATATCCAATAATGGAGGTACACTAAACCAGGGGGGTTGACAGAATAGTAGCCTGATAGAATCCGATCTATACCAACATGCGGGCTGGTCAAGCTGTGATAGAAGGCATGCCGAATTTTGAATCGGACTGAGGAATAACAAAGAAAGTCACACTAATCAAGCCGATTAGGAATAGCAAGAAAAGAAACACAGATGGTGATGCGTAGCATCTACGAGATCCGTATGGCACCGGACAACATCATCTATAGCACTCCACTCAGGACCTATTTTTCGATGCGCTCTGCAGGCCAAAAGACACGATCTAATTATGCGCCAAGAACTTTCGTGACGGAAATACGCAGGAATTTTTTTTTTTGCGAATTTCTCGAGAATGTCGGTCTGTTCTCATGGAGTGGCGATGTGGTGATTAACAGCTTCGCGGGGTTAAGCGCTTATTGTCAAGGCCCCCCTCCAAGTCCACCGCAACAACTGCGGGCAATTAACCTCCTTTTGCACACATATCGAGTCCGCGCAATCCCAATTCCACAATGAGGGTACTCTGTCTGCACGGCAAAGGGACAAGTGGCGCCATTTTCCGGTCCCAGACGTGTAAGTGAACTCCCCCAGTTGTGATGACCCATTTCCCGGGAATTCGCCGAGAATTAACAGCTTCCCCACGTCCAGCATCCTTCCGCGCTAAACTGCCAGACCCGGACATCGAGTTCGACTTCATCGATGGGCCATTTCCCTCAGACCCCGCCGCAGGCGTCGACCTCTTCTACGCGCCGCCCTACTTCTCTTTCTGGGAAGGCGACAGCGTCGATAACGTGCGCGCCAGCTGCGCCTGGCTGAACGACTATATCGTCAAGAACGGGCCGTATGATGTCGCCCTGATGTTCTCGCAGGGTTGCGTGCTGGGGTCTAGCGCGCTACTCCTCCACCAGGAAGAAACACCGCACCTGCCACCACCCTTCAAAGCCGCCGTGTTTGTGTGCGGCGGCCCGTCGTTGAATGTCCTCTATGACCTAGGCTTCCATGTCTCGGCTGCGGCGCGCGAGCGCGATACGGCGTCGCGGTCGGCGCTGTCGCTGCAGGCTGGGTCGTCGGCTGTGTTGACCCGGGGCGCGGATCGCTGGACCGGCCTCAAGGCGCTGGACTCGGGGCTTTCGGAGGAGGAGTTACGTGCGGAGATCTCCTGTCCTTCTCGTATTACGGTTCCCACGGTCCATGTTTACGGGTCGAAAGATCCTCGTTATGCTGCTGGTGTGCATCTCTCGGCGATTTGTGACCCTGCTACCTGTCGTACCTATAACCATGGCGGCGGACATGAGATTCCCCGGACGGATGCTGTGAGTCAGTCTATTGCGGCGCTGTTCCAGTGGGCTGCAGAAGAGGGGAGTGGCTCGAATTAGAGTCAGGGCTGGTGGGATATGCCTTGCATATAGCATGGTGTCTTGTTTTGGCCTTCTGGCATCTAGACTCTTGAAGATTTGCATCGAGATACAATATTACGCGGAGATATATTTCTCATATGACAATTCAGATAACGAAGGCAGTACTTTCATTCGGTTGTAGCCGCAGCGGATGCGATACTCACGCTCAGGGTTTAGCATGGCCCCCTTCGCGGGGAACGTACATGTAGACCTCGATCCCACCATTGACCTCAGCCTATTTCCCACAAGGTCTCCTAATGCTGCCCGAGTGGGTACCGATGCCATGCCAATATATTGCACCCAATGTACATCTCACACCCAAGTCCTCTTATTGATAATGATCAAGCTACCATCATTTGATCTAGGGAAATGCCAGTGATTTATATATTGAGGGTATTCTGAGTAGCTCCGGGGATATTCTTCTTGTGGCACTTAAGCCGCTGAATGAAGCTTGGCGATTGGCAAAACACCATGCTCCTATTCCTAACGTACATGCATGGACCTATTAGGTATAATATTCGGAAGCCGTGTTTACGTTATCTTTGTTTTGGATCAAGGTTTGTTCCTCAGGCTAGGATAACTTGACGGTTCTGACCATTGAAACACTATGGACGGATTCCAGTGTAGTAGCTCACAACTAGAATACAAATAGGAGAACTAATCGTTGTTTACGTTATTTATAGGATTTGAGATCAACGAGTGTACAGCATAAGTGGAGCTGCCTCGGCTACCTACGCGCCAGATATACGTCTATGCCCAACTTGGTCACATTCCTTCCTCCTCCCACCCCCCTTTTTTGATTTTTAACTTTATATTTAAGAGCACATGTCCTTATGAGGTTGTATATCCCCCAATATTTCCGATTAAGCCATCCCGTACATCTATGGGTGCACAGTATAGCTCACGTGATCGCGAAAACAAAACAAAACCCTCGGTGTCCCTATCAATACGAGTCTCGAGAATAGATAGTGATCACCTAACCTGATTATCTCAGGCACCGGTCAGGAGCAAGCCATCCACTACCGCCCTGCAATCGGTGCTGTTTTAATAATGCCAGCATCGACGCTCATTTCTTATATACCCTGGTGATTTTTTTTTTCGGTTTCTACGGTCTTTTCACATTTTGTTACAGCTACACACACTTGGGCCCTTCTTCCGAATATGTTAAAGTCTATTCTGCGGTCCTTGCCCCGGCTAGGGCGAAGATGGGCACCACTCAACTTCTGCAATCCCAATTTCGTGAAGATACCGGCAAGCCAGATGGTTGAAGAGGAGAATATTCCCGGTTATGTTGCTGCCCGGTATTATCCTACTCGAATAGGAGAAATCCTGAAGGACCGATATCAAGTTGTGGGAAAACTGGGGTTCGGAGCTAGCTCAACTGTGTGGCTTGCACGGGATATGGAGTAAGAGCCCCATAAGATATGCTTACGAAACCTCTTCTCCTGCAATCGTCTCGCAGAGACGTGTTGACTTATCTAATATATAGCCGCCGCCGTTATGTTGCCCTCAAGATCTTCATCAAGTCTGCTTCAATGGGACAACAACTGGATGATGAGCTGCGGATATACAAACGAATAGCCGTCTCCCAAAGACATCCAGGTCATGAATATGTCAGATCGTTGCTCGATTCTTTTGACATTGATGGACCCGAAGACAAGCATCGTTGCCTCGTGCACCCTCCGCTATGGGAGAGTGTACTAGCCTTCTTATTCCGGAACCCAATACGGAGACTACCCACACCAGTTTTGGCAGTTACACTTCACCGTCTTTTTTTGGCATTGGACTATTTACATACAGAATGCAAGATCATACACACTGGTATTAAATTCTCCCCCAACCTCTACTTCTACTCCTTACTTATCATCCTATCAGATATCAAGGCCGACAATCTCATGTTCGGTATTTCTGATGATTCAGTCTTCACTGATTTCGAAGAGACCGAGCTCCAGGACCCCTGCCCGAGGAAAGAGGTCGATGGAAGGGTGATTTATATTTCCCGTAACCTCCGAATGCCCAAACAGTTAGGTGCGCCTATTCTCTGCGACTTTGGCTCAGCTGTTTTCGGCGACGAAGAGCACTCGGAGGATATTCAACCCGATATCTACCGGGCGCCTGAGGTCATTCTGGAAGTTCCATGGACATATAGCGTTGATGTGTGGAATGCGGGCTGCATGGTAAGGAGAATAAGGAGAACCATATTTCCCTCGCGTCATAGAATATTTTTAGCTTATATCACAGATTTGGGACCTTTTCGAGGGCGGGTCCTTGTTCAGTGGCCAGGACTCCGAGTTCCAAAGGTACCGGAGTCGTGCTCACCTTGCCGAAATGATCTGCCTTCTTGGTCCACCGCCACCAAGCCTCCTTGCACGAGGAAAATCGACCCCGAAGTTCTTTTCGGAAGATGGTATGTCACCAGATGTCTTGTTGTCTTCGGGGTAAATTGCTTACTGCTTCTGACCTCGTAGGTGAATTCTGCGCGGGAGTTTCGGTGCAAGGACATACTCCATTGCAGGAGAGGGAAACTTCTCTTGAGGGACAAGAAAAGGAGAAGTTTCTTCGCTTGGTGCGAAAGATGCTCCAGTGGGAGCCGGAAAAGCGAAGCTCTGCTAAGGAGCTAGAGCAGGATGAGTGGGTACAAAATGAAATACATAAGTAGTTGTCTCCTTTGTGCTGAATGCACCTTTCCTAGCATTCCGCGACAAGGAAACTGTTTCAAGGCACCAGCGAGAGAGATACAAAGCACAAATTGAATATCCTATTCTAGTAAAAGAAAGAAGCGAGCGAGAAATAGGGGAGTTGGGTGAATCAAGTGAATGTTAATAGCATAGTCTTCGGGGGTCTTGTGAAACCCTTCCTCTATTCATTTATTATATTTAGGAGCACAGGGTCAAATTGCATATCCAGTTTCGATTCTTCTGTCATATAACAGCAATATAACAGCATAACAAAGGGAAGATAGTGTACTCATGCAAGGCGAAAAAAATCTGTGCCTTGTTGAAGCAAATACTGATCAAAAATAGATGGATGTATTCCAAAATTATTCGACCCTTGATGTTTTGCTTGTCTTGGTTCCCCTATACTTAATAACGATCGACATCATAAGTGCCAGAAAACTTTCAACGCTAATGTAGCCAAGTAAACGCCCGAGATCTATATCTCTGGGGCCAATATCCATACCCCCACTGATGGACATCTATCCCAAGCCGGCGGTCTCCACAGGGCAGCCTTGTTTAGGGTGAACTAGCGAATGGAGTCGACTTAGAGCGCACCGTCATCTCTGCCACCGCGACAGATGAATGCTAGCTAAACTATGTCTTTCACCCAGACCAGATGTGCAAAGAGTTGGTGCACACGGAGTAGCTCGGTGGAGATAGTTGTATTGTGTGCCTTCCTTTTCCTTTTCCTTTTTCTTTTCTTTTCTTTTCTTTTTTTTTTGTTGTTGTTGGCGAAACTAGATAGCCAGGCTCTGGACTAATAATTCATTGGTGATATTGCTACAGTAGTTCCCGGTGCTTGTTACAGTAATGAGTGGCGCGAGAATTGACTGATCTACATTTATACGCAGACCCAAATATTGACGAAACACAACACTGGTTGAGGCCCACCCTGCCTCGCCTACTGCACGCTTATTTGGTCTACTGGGACGGTTCACGGTTCCATGATCCACATAGTTTCTTTGGGTGGACAACGAAAAAGGGGCTAAATTAATTAAGCTTGATCGGGTCTTGGGGAAAACCAGGAAACTCTAATATGCTCGATTTCCCGCCTCTTGCTCGATGGCTGTTCGCCAGATTCAACTTCTTCGTCAAACATGGCCGAAGAAACAATGGCATCCCTTCTGGCGGAGGACGAAGGGTTTCCGAATGACAACATCTTTGCGACAATTCTGTCCATTGCCCGTGAAGTCAACCAGGTCGTCTTTCGTGACCCCGCGAAAGGTGTCAACGCGAGCCATGACCAATTGATCACCGATGTGGTTCATACGCGACACCAGTTGAGAACTCACCTCTCGTCGTACCTTGATCCTCAGAATGGATCTGTCTTTGCGGAGCCATTGATGATATGTGTATTGACTCCTGCAAACTACGAGTATACTGTCGCGATGTTCGCGATCCTGGCGCTTGGTGGAACTGTCATGCCTCTCCGTATGTACCGATTCATTTCTAGATGAAACCATGCTCTAGCTGACAAAAGTTCCTTAGCAACAAACTCGACCCTCGACCTCGTTTTGCATCATCTCTGCAACAACCCAGTTAAATATGTCCTCGCAGGCTCCGACTTCCGCGAACAAGCCGAACAGACCTTCCGGCCTACGATGCAAGTCGAGCCGATCCCAATCATGAATGCCTGCCCGGACAAATTGTGGGATCTGCCCAACCTCAACATCGCGGAAGAAATCACCATTCCCCAGTCCCGCCCGGGTATCGTGTTCTTCTCGTCTGGATCCACCGGCGTCCCCAGGGGCGTGGTCCACAGCCGAGAATATTTCTACAACAAACCTCGGCTGAGTCCCGATGAAGGCTGGTTGGTGCATCGCCCGGCGAGTTGGCTCGGAGGAACCTTGCCTTTGGCGACGGCTATCATGGGAGGTGCTCGAGCTGAGATCATTCATCCCCACGCCCCCGCCCAAGAATTCTGGGATCGACTACGAGAGCGCAATATCACGACCCTCATGACGACGGTAGTGCTATGGGAAAAACTGGCCCGGCATTACAAAGATCAACTTACGAGGCACCCTGATCGGGATCAGTATTTCGCGGGGATGCAGAATGTGCGGACTGCTATCGTTGGCGCTAGCGTGCCGGTACCGTCTTTGTTGAAGTTCTACCGAGAGGAGCTTCGCAAGCCGCTTGCCATTGGATACGGATCTACCGAATCTGGTACAATCATGAGCGTCATGTCGACTGAAGAAGCGGAGAGAACCAAGAAAAATGTTAGTGGATTCGAGTGGCATGGCTGATTGATTACGAGACTGACAGCTTCTTGTAGCGGGGAATTGGAAAGCAGTTATCACCAAAACACCCATTTAAGCTATCCGAGGGCGATAGTGGAGAGTTGCTGATCGGTGGATTGACGAGTCTTCTGGGTTATCTCAACGATGAAGCTGCAACCAAGAAAGCCTTCGATGAAGAAGGGTACTTTCGCACTGGCGACCTGTGCCACAGAGATGGAGAGTACTATTTCTTTGACGGGCGCGCATGTGTGGACTGTGAGTGTTCCCTCCATACCATTGGGTCAACGCCAACTGACAATATACAGTCATCAAAGCCGTTGGCGGGCCGGTCCCGGTGTGTGAGCTAGAGGATGTCGTTCAAACGCTCGATTACCTCCAAGACGCCTATGTCATTCCCGTGGAGGATCAAGTAATTGGAAGACGAGTTGGAGTCATTGCTCGACCGTGCACCGACGGAGTCAACCTGGCAAAGTTGAGGACTGATTTATCTTCTCGAGTGTCTCCTCACATGCTACCCAGTGCCTTCCGCCCTCTTTCCCTGCACGAGACTCTTCCGTTGACGTACACGGACAAGATTGCGAAGAAGGAGGTTATGAGGAAGTTCTTTTCTTGCGACGCTCAGGGAGGTTGCCAGAGGCTGTGGAGTTGACTGATCTCGAGTTTCAATGACTCCTGGAAGAAGTATAGAAATTACTGATAATATTCCCTTTGAATGAATGTATTATATTCAATACCAATGTGGCTTTGTCTCGGCCGTTGGCCGTAGAAAACAAAAGACGAGATACCGAAGAGAATCGACAGCAAGGCAAACATAGTCCTATTCAGCCATAGAGACCTAGTCCGCGTAGAGGAACAAGGCCACCGGCAAGGCTTCGAGCGAGACCGTTTGCTGCGAGTAGCATACTCAATGATGACCAAGTAGGGATTGAATAGTCCAGTGTTGTCTCTTTTGGGTATAAGCTCAATTAAGCTCGAAAAATTGAGTCAGCTTGGAGTGCAAGACAGATACATTGGTACCCACCTAAGATAGGCATATATCGAGTAAGGTTATATTGGCATCTAGTTTGTTAATCATTATCCCAAAGAGTTCTATTTCAAAACCAGTGTTTTAAAAGGACCTTCATTGTAAATGAATGACACAAAAGAAATTATTGTTTCTACCTACGTACATAATTCTACTAGGGTTTCATATATAGATAGAGGTTACAGTTATCTTTTATATGAATTCACTAAAAGATTTGAGTTGTAACTCTATATAGCGTCGGATAGAATCTATTTCCTAGTAGGTAAGTAAGATATATAATTCAGAAGACACAACTTAGCTTCGTGATGAAGTCGAAGGTATTGAAGAGTAAAGAGAGAGGAGGGAGGGGATAGATTGGGAGTCGTATAAAGAAAAGACAGAAAATACACGCAAGAAAAAAAAAGGGCTCTTTAGAACAACCAGGGATGTTTGGTGTTTGGCCTTGTGACCACGGGTGAAGTGAGCCGGCCGCCTACAATTCATAATCACCAACACTGTCTCAGCTGCTGGGGACGTGGGGAAGCGCGTCACCGTCTACTAACACCCCCTGATTGTTGACTTGGGGGAGGTAGAAGAAAAACATAAGGGAGCAAACAGTTCCCCAATTAGAATGGTGGAAGGCCTCGTAGGAAAGCTAGCGATTTAGAGTCACCTGATGATAGGTATATCTTTCCTTAGGTAACAGAATGGTTCAAGCCATTCCTGGGCTTTACGTTGTTTGAGCAGTCGATAATACCTTTCTACGATAAATGACCAGAGAGAACAAAGCGTTCTTCACTCCCCTAGGTTTGATATCTGATGGTAAGACTAGATCCCAAGACTTATGGTGCATGGGGCTACCGAAACAGAGTCGACACTTATCGCAACTGAAATATCAAGGTGCTCAGACACAGTACAAAGTAGGAGATACGGGGAAGAAGACCAAGGCCAGTGGCTGAATAAGGGTTATCCGCTGATTCGAAAACCAGACCACCCAAAAGTCCCCATCATCCGCTTCCGAACCCCTGAACTTAGCAGCCTCTCAGTTATCCTCATCATCCTGGAACTCAACCCAGGTCTTCATCTTCGCCCGCACATGCTCACCATACAAAACGAAGCCCTCATCACCATCAACAGACCGCACCAGACAATTCTCCCCAGGCTCAAAGAAGAACGGCACACTGATCCGACCCAGGGCCCTGCCCTTGCTATTCTGCTGGCCTGTCATCGCAGCAGCAGAAGAAGTCAGCTCTGGCGCGCACACGCGATGCATGGTAGCGACGAAGCGCCCGCCCGACACCTTGGCCATCAGGTCACCAATGTTAACCACAAGCGACTCGGGGATATACGGTGCGGCGACCCACTCGCCCGAGGAGTTGCGCACTTCGAGCCCGCCGGTGGAATCCTGGTGCAGGAGAGTGAGAATACCGCTGTCGGTGTGCTGTGTGCAGCTCAGTTTGACTTCATCTGAGCCGGCAGTGCCAGACCCAGATGCAGCAGAGCTGACGGCAGGGTAGTGCAGCAGTCGAAGCGTGCTCAGCGAGTCCTCCAGGTATGGTGCAAAAAAGTCCGCCGATTTACCCAGCGACACGGCCAGCAGCGAAAGCAGCTGCGAGGCGAGCGTCTGCAACTCGACGTAAAGCTTCTCAAGCTTCGCGCGAGACGGGAAGACACTCGTATCGGGCCAGACGTTCGGCTCGGCCAGGTTGAACTTGGACGACGGCGCGACGGACGAGGTGGTGTGAATCGGCTGCGCTGGTCCCATTTCGAACCCTTCTTTCAGATTGTCGGACGCTAACTCTGGCTGCGTGGGGAAGTATCTTCCATGCAGTATTTGTGTCAGTGATTACATGCCAACATTAAAGCCAAAAAAGCTGGTGGTCCAAGGTTATTGACCCTCGATATGTGTTATGGTGGTCGCGCCGGAATGATCGCTTGGCGAGCTTCATCTTCTCCTCCTCAGGCAGTGCGAAGAATTCTCGTGACAGCTGGAAGACGTCTGCGTGGTTGAAGCTCAATGGGACGTTGGTCAGGTAGGCGAAGCCTGTCGTGGCGAACACCTCGTAGAGTCGCTGGCCCAGGGTGGTTGCTTCTTCTGTGGAAGGCCCTGAGGGCGACCCGAGAGGGCCAACATCGACAACGGGCAGAGATGAGAAGGTGGTGGTCATTTTACAATGAGTGGAATTCGAAAAAATGAAATGAAAGCCACACGACCAGGGGGCCTTGTGTACTTTATATACTTGGGTGGGCCTGTAACATACTCGGATGGTAAGTATCCAAACCGCGTTTTACTTGCGTGGGGCTTTCATAAATAGGCTGGGTCGCTCGTCTGGAGACACATTGTAGCTTTTATGCACGTAGGAACCGAGTATAAAATTTGAATGGTTTGGTAGCTCGAGATGGAACATTGAGATGCATGGATGCCTTTGCTGCTCGGTGGATAATAAGCCGCATATCAAAGTAAGGTATCCTTGCATCGAGCTGCCTATTACAACGGACAGCATGATCAAAGATACGTCATAATCTAATTTGCCTATCCGGCTAGCAGCATTTGGCTTGTGAACTGACTAGGATGGGTTGCAAGTACCCTAAGATTGATTGTTGGATATAGATGGCTGAGACTATATCATGAGAAACAAGGCGGACACGGGAGCTTGTATATTATTCCCATAAAAGGCAAACAGATGCTAGGCTGGCCACTCGGGAAATACTTTTAGCTTCTCGCACACGCCATGATCTACCCCGCAATGCTCTATTCATGTGCCCCGAGACAGCAGTGAGGCCTTTACTCATGAAGCTTGCGTGATAGGTCCCAGTGAGCAACGAGCGGCAAATACCGAGAGAGATAATGCAGAACCTACTTTCCACACTACATACTCTGGTAGGTATCAAGGTAAGTGGAATTCCAATACATACACCTCCCCCCGTGTCGTACTCCAAGACCCACCCCCACTTCCCGCTTGGAAGGTGGTCGTGTGTTTGCCCAAACAGACCCGACCGAATGAAAACCATTCTATTTGATGACTCCCTCGGGTTCAACATGCCCTTTTGGAGGTTGCGAGCGGCATGGCCCGCCGGATCCACCACCTGCCGATGTGGCGTTGCTGACCTGAGCCAGAAGCCATAAACTATACCTGCCATGACCAAAAGACCCTCGAAGTGGGGGGTTTGGCATATAGCTAGCTACTTTAAAGGCAAAGCTTTTGTGGCTGACAGTTTGTGGGGTAAGCCATCTAGGCAGGGTATATATTATTTTCTACCGTATATACATTAAGCCCTAGGGGATAGGACGAGGTTGAAGAGCTGGATGATAGAGAAAAAAAAAAAATGTCGCTGATTCTTGCCATGTGCCATGACTCATGCTATTAAGCGCGCTGATCGGAAGGCAGCTCGGCCACGCTATTGTATCCCTGCAGCTCGGCGGGATTCATCTTATTCCGTGACCCTGTCGAAGGATCTACCGAGTAGCCGTGGTCTGAGTAATAACTCGCCTGAGAAGTCTCTGGTTGGAAAGAGGGAGGAGCAATGGGCCGGGAATCCAGTTGGCTCAGGTCGGATCGAGTAGAGACGGCGGGATGTTGGCGCCTCGTGAGGAACCAAGTGATCGCACCTAAGATGCACAGGCCCGCGACTCCAACGCCGACTCCTATCCCAGCCTTGGCACCGTCGCTGAGCCCGGAACTGGAGGAGTCGGCAGAATTGGATGATGGTGATTTTTTGGGCGTTGTCGAGGCAGATATTGATGGCGTGGGGGTGGTTATACTGGCAGGAAACAGGCCGTTTGCCAGTTCCACGGTGTCGCCGTCTGTGTTGTTGGGCTTGGTATCGCAGGCTGTAATGAGGGTTTTCATGACTACGCGATCGGGTCCGTTTGTCAGCTCAAGAGGAAAATATTGAGGAGGGTACGATGGGGCATACAGTTGGCCATTACTTTGGTGGTATCCTGCTTCTCTAGACAATCGGCGCATCCGCTGCCATACCCGATGAGGGCACTCGCGTTCCAATTGCAATAATCGTACTGCTTGGCGAAGTCATGTTTCCCTCGGATCCAGCGCGCGGTCAAAGGAGCGTGCAACGGATCGCAGCTTTTGCTGCAAGCTGATAAACCTGGGTTACTTTGATAGGTGAAGATGCATGTCTGCAGAGCAAATTTCAAGTTGTCTGGACTCGGGAACCTCGATTAGTGACTCGCGCCCATGAGGCAGTTGAGCCATACGGAGGCGTCGGGGTGGCACTCACACAAAAACCAATACAGGTCGGTGGCGTATGGATTCAGGTATGACGAGCTTTGGTGTTCGCACATCACACAGTCGCGGTATTTTCTGCCCTGGCCGGTGTTGTTGAAGTCTGCATCACCGCAGACTACGTCGTGAGTGAAGGTTCGCTCGGATCCGTTGCATGTCTCGTTACAAGGACCCGGAATCACAACCTGCATTGCAGAAGCGCCCATGAGTAAGGTCCAACACAGGACCATCACCGTCGACAAGCGCATGGCGGATTCACGGGGTAGATCTCGTCCTGCCAGCGGGGAGTGCGTATAGATGATAATTGAAAGAATTGCCCATCGAGTGGCCAGAATATAGGGGCCGCAAGAGGAGAAGAGCTGCCATAATTAATCCTGATATGGCTGCGATCGTCCCGGTCAGGCCTCCCGGCTGCCAAGTGCCAAGTCACGAATGATCGCAAGTCATTCCTCGATCCCTTCGCGATGTTGTGTGACTGGCGAGCGTGCGGTGGGGCCACACGAGACTTGTCCGACTGTGGTGATACGCCGTGGCCCTCAGAAACCTGCAGAAGGATTAGGGGTTCCACTAGGAAGACGGGAAGATGTGGTTCGTCAGGGTCTTTCTCCATGGGGGCGAGCTGGTTAAATTTAATTTTAGAATTGTATATATTTAGATTCTCTTCTTTCTTTCTTACCGTATTTTCTGATATCGCCCCTTCCTTCTATTTACCATGAGAACGCCTCTTCGAACAAATCCACCGTCTTCTCTCCCTGTACACTGCGAACTGCTTCTCGCACGCTATCTCCCAGCCCCCCGGGGCCGCAGACACTGACCGCCAGCGCCCCAACTTGCTCTGCCTTCTCGTTTTCCAACAGCGACGGGAAGCAGGGTTTGCCGTGGTGCACGCTGATCGGCACACTAGCTGGCGCTGACTGGGTCCATGGCGTGTCCGGGGTGGAAATATATTCCTCGACTGTGTCTTTGTGAGCGGTGACGAATATTTGCACCGACAGCATCAATTCCCCGAATGGGAGGTATGTCTGTCCGTTGGAATGGGCCGAGCTGTTTAGGGCAGAATGCCCTAGGATGGCCGTCATCCATCCTTGGATCCATTCGAGGTGATCTGTCCGCAAGTTAGCGAGAAATTGCGAAGGCGAGAGAAGACAACATTACCGAGACTCCGAACCATCCACACCAAATGCACCTTTCGCGTGGCAGTTCTTCGGGCGGCGAAGGTGTTGACCACCTCGTGCAGGTACGACATCGGATGGGTGATGCCAATGCCTCCAGCAATCAGAAGCAAAGAGCCATAAGAAGCGAGCGAATGAATGCCACCTGCGAGGAATTGAGTCAGCGACGGGAAAAAGGAAATCGCAAATGCGACCTACCGAACGGACCCTCGGCCAATGCCATAGCCTTAATGCGTCCTTCGGGCGACTCCTCAACTTTCTGTAGGAGCTTCTTCGTGAACCCGTCCTGCCCCTTGATCAAAACCGACATTGTGGTCGTCTGCGAGCCTCCGATGAGCGCCGCAAACGAGTCACTCGAACTGCGCTTCTCATCGAGATCCAACGACGTCGCCTTACTGGATGTCCAAGCAACGGTGAATGGATGAGAAGTCCACAGTCCCAAACATGGCATGTACAGGTACATGTACTGTCCTGGACGGAAACTCCACGGTCGTGATACTGCAACATCCACTCGAGCGACGGATCCGGATAGTGCTTCCACCGTCGCGGTCGTGAAGCGCCTGCCGCAGTTTCTCCAAATCAGAAGTCCTAAGCGGCCGGCACGCTACTAGAGATCAGTATTCAGGTGACCAGATAGCACCGCGGTCCAACTCACATCCAGACCCCACAGGATCAGTGTCCCCAAGAGGACTCGCTGCTGTAGAAGGTTTTTGAGATGATACCATAAAGCCACGAATGACATGATGGCAAGGGCTATGTGCAGATGAAGAAAAAGTTCGTAGAATGAATGTCGGACCGGCGACAATGATTGCAGGAAGATGAAAACAAAACCGAGGAGGGCCTATTTGGGACATGTTAGAAGTATTTAATGTCTTATCATTGTGACCACATACCACGAGGCCGTAAATATAAAATGGCATCCTCCAAATCGTATAGAGAATATAGTCGGTGCCATCTACGACAAGTCAGCAATGAATCGAGGATATAATTCAAGGTATACATACTGACGTAGGCCTGGTTGGCCAAGACGCTGCCCATATGAACAATAGCATTGGCAGCGATCACCCGCCCCACCCAACGGTGCATGAAATTGAACGCATCGAAGGATAGCCCCAAGAGCGGCATCAAAGGATTGTTGCGTCCGGCGCTCAAGACGAGACCGGGTGTATTCATGACAGCCAAGTGACCGGCGGCGTACTTCAGCTGGAACATCTTCTCCGAAAAGTCCTTCCACCAGTCAACGGTGACAACCATGAAAATGAAATTTAGCGACAGATAGACAAGCAAGAGAATCATCTCCAGTCGGAGTGGTGGAGATCCCATATGGAGCCGGAACATTCGAAACTCTCTGCTATGACGATTGCCCCAGACTGGCGCATAGAAGAAATGTTTCTTCAGGCTTGCGTTGACTGGACCTGTCCGCGATAGCTGTGTCTGGTCACCCCCATGAAGAGCCTGTTTGGATCTTCGACGGTGCCTGAGCCGGACAACCAATCCCCAGACAAACAGACTGACGACAAAGCCACCGACAACGAACAGAGGAACCGCGATCTCTGGGTTCATTGGCGGCTCACCCGGGCCGCTTCCTTGGAGCTCGACGCCCATCTTGCCATGCGGGGGCTATAGACAACTCAACTCGAAACCAAGAATCGATTGGGGATCGATAAGGGAAGGAGAAAGTCGTCGTTCACAACCACCCAAGAGCGTGGATGCCCAGAGACTCCTTTAGGGCTCAAAGCCAAGTGGAAGGAGAGGGGGTACGTGGGGGACGAAACGAGAAGATATTTAAAGACCGCCAGCAGGTAGAAATGTGGACAGAAGGGCAGAGAACTGAACAGGCCAAACCGCGTTGTATGAGAAAATACGGGGCATCCTCCCCGAGGCACATGGATGCCGTCATCGATTCCCCTGTCCCTGCAAGTTTATTCTGACAGAAAACGAATGAAAACATCGGAATTCTCCAATTGAGCAACTTCATGCATCTGTGTCTCAGATCGTCAACGTAACCAACCGAACTGGGAGAGGGAAATCTTGACAATTTAGAGTTATCCGTGGCATGCGGGCGGTAACTAGCGGCGAACGAGTCCTGGAAGACTCGTAGCTTGGGGAAGACCACTACTAAGGCAGTAGAGCAGCAGCATGCGTAATCTCTTGTTTCCGAATGTGACATTTGAGAAATTGGCAGCGGAGTATGGGGGATTGTGCTGGTCTAGACGCAGTTCGTTGTTGTCGGCAAGCCGAAAACGGAAAGTTGATGGACAACCCAGTTGGGTTCGACTCCGGGACATTCTTTTTTTTTATTTTATTTCCTAGAACACCCGATCGCGGAGATCGACATGAACAAGAACGCAAAGATAAATCGGGTCGTTATTTTCAACTAACTGAATATTTGCCCTGGACATGGAGCGGTGAATTTCTGCGCTTTTAGATATTTCTATCGCCTCTCATTCATGTTTCCGACGTCATGCAGCGATCGGCTCGAACGTGGCACCGAGATCCCCGACTGCGCTACCCGGGCATCTGGGACGCAACTGCAACGCTGATACACAATGGTCCAGTTTGAACATGTGGAGAAAGGTAGTAGTTGACGCCGCGGCCCATCGCCATCCTCGCCGATTGAAAAACTTTGATCTCCAGCAATCGATCGAGTCTTGCCAACCAGTGCGAAATCCGACAGGGGAAAAGAAAGCCCTGCGTGGATCATACTCAAAAAAGTCTCTTAGGTTACTTTGCGGAGTTCAATTCCGACTCTTTCTCATCGGCCGATTTCCTTCCTCGCGCCTGCTCCCATTCGTTTTCGCGGACCGCCCAGAGGACTGCCAGCGTGGTTCCTAGGCTGATTCCAAGAGTCATGGCCAGGCCTAGGACCACACCTACTGTGTGAGTTGTAGCGCGGACTCGCCGGAGATCCGAGAAAGCGAACCAAATGAAGACAAGGATTGCAGTGTCCAAACATAGCACCTCAAGCTCTTCAGTGGAGATGCCGCTCACCAGCACGAATCGAGGCGCTGCTATAAACGATCGGATGAAACTTTTATCCAAGACGAAAGAGGTTGCCTGTTGAAAAACGTAGACCAAAATCAAAAAACGTCTCAGATACTGAACATCCTGCTTCCCGTATAAGAGCTCAGGGCTTCTCAGGGCCGGTTTTCCCAGCGAATAAAGTCGTTTGAAGAGATAGAGTATGATAGGGAAAAGGACATGGGCGATTCCCCAGGCCTGGCTTGGAAATGAGGACGATGTAAGGGTGGAAAAGATGGGAGGAACATATGTCACTAGATAGGCAAGTGGGAGCATTTTGGCCATTGCCAGGTCAACTGCCCTCGGCGAGGGATAATAGACGGACTTTGACCCCGTGAAGAAAACAAAAAGGGCAAAGTAGACCGGCGTGACAGTACCCCAACCAAAGAAATAGGAACCCATCCCGAATGAAAGCGACCTGGCTTGTGTCAGGGGTTGTTTGGGAAAAGCCAATATCAAAGATCTTACCGGCCCAGGAGTTGCATAAAGAAGCCCCGACGGTAGGATTCAAGGACGATGATGCCGTTTACTGCAGTTGCAGACATTTGAAAATATAGCTGCAGGGCGTGTATGTAGTCGAGGTGCAAGAACAAGCCTAACGAAGTCGATGAGCCGGTCTGAGCATCGTCGCTTGCTTGCCAGGGCAGAATGTAACGAGCCAGTAGTATCAAGGCAAATAAAGTGATCCAAAAGAAATTTGCAAACTTGGATCGGGCTTCTGGCGTTATCTTGACCTCATCGTCGAATGGCAATAAACCACGGCGAGAAGGAAGGGGTAAATGGTGCAACGGGACGGCCAGTGTCACCAACTGGGCGAGCATATTCGTGAAGACCTCTATGGGAATAAAACGAGCTATATGCAGCTGGATAAACTTCAGGAGGGGGGTTTCTAGGGCATCCATCCTCTGCGTTGCGCGAGAAATCTTGAACAATGCCTCAGCCTCGGGGGCTCGCTTCTGTTGGTACTTGCGAAAGACCTCTTGAATGCTGGCTTCATCTATCACTTCTTGACTCTCAGTGATAGATTTCAGCTCGTTCGCTAGATATGCTGCTGAAACAATACCGTTGTTCCCGCCTTGGCCCTGGATTGGGTTGGCCTGATGCTGGGTGATTAGTCTCGTAATATGCCGTAGTGAGAGAGTTTGGCATGGTTGTTCCTACCTTGTGCCAGGAGTCGCCCATCAACACCATTCGTCGATAGAAACATGTTTCAAGCACCCCTTCTTCAAGAGGAACTAGCGCAGAGGTAAGTTGCTCGTGGTATAGATCACCGAAAGTGACACCAGGCTTGATGAGATCGTTTTTGTAGATCGCAGCGAGCGCATCATGCTCTTCCTGTGTGTATCGCGGAATGGACGAGCCTTGTGTTTTCTGGTCAAGCTTGAACATGGCGATCCAGAAGAGCTTGTTGTTTTTCCCACCCGCACACAGGTAGCTGCGGCCATGCCTGTAGTTTTTGAAGGCCTGGTCTTCAAGGGTGTTTTTGGGTGCTACCGAAGTGCCAAAAATCGCCTTGTAGGTGCACTCAAATTCTGGAAGAAAAAAGAATCAAGGTAAGCATTGGATCATACGTGCTTCTCAAAGCTTCCCATACCGTTTTTCTTTTTTGTCATCTGTCCAGGGTCTTCGACGTTGGAGAGACGCTGCATCTCTTGAAGGACCTGACTATGGACTCCGTCGGCGCCGACGACAATATCACCTTCAAAGACGGACCCGTTATCTGTTTCAACTTTGGCGCCATCGGCGGAGCAGTTGATTTTTATGACTCGACATGAACTGTAAACTCTAGACTTGTTGTGAAGATTCTCGAATAAGGTCTCAATAACTTTCTGCCGGTCTAAAAATCGCATCTTGTAGCCCATCCTAGCATGTCCGTTAATATTCGATTTTGTCCAAGTATAACGAGTACCACCGGGGACTCACGACGCCTCCATCCATCTCCCTATTTCAGGCACGTCTCCACACGGGTTGCCATACTCATCATAGAAACAGAACGAGTTGACCGGAGCACTAAGCTTTTTGAGCACATCGTAACACCCAAGCTGCTCGAGAATGCGCGATCCATTGGGGTGCATGGCAAACCCAGCGCCAAGGTAGGGGGCGATTATCTTGTGTTTTTCAAGCACTACGAAATCCATCCCGTAGCGCTCAAGCATATTGGCCAGGGCCATGCCCGTGACGCTGCCACCAACGATGATGACCTTGAACGGAGCCATTTTTATGTGCGAAGGTTTCAGAGCTCGGAAATTATGACAACGGGCACATCGAGAGTTGAGTCAACGATGGTATTTATAATGTCCCAGCGCGTCAGCCTGATGAGCCCCGTCTGACTGAGCCGTTGGGGGCCACTGTAGTACAGCATTTGTTCGGACCCGCCTGTGGCGGCTAGCATCCCCCAACAATTCCTCACAAAAAAATAGCGCTTGCATATTAATACCAACAGGGATGAGGTTTACTAGAAACAAAACTCCTTTGCTCGTTTTGCCATCGTCGCTTGTGGCCAACATATATCTCGTGAAATCAAGAAATCCGCGGGACTCATATATCTTACCTTGAGATGAGAAACCGTACCCAGTTATGGCGTCTTCTATGTGAGTCATATGCCAAAAGACCCGTGGATGTTTTTATAGATTGGATACTACTGACTATTATTATGATCTGTTTCGGACTATGCCTCCCTTTTTTCCCGAGCCCTGCCATAGAGTTGTTCTCTAGAGCAAAAATGACAAAGTTACAGCGGAGGAAGAAGCGTAGTTATCATGCTCACACGATTATGACATTAGAGAAATATAATTATATAAGATGTGAAGTGGGTCATTCTACACTGAGAGGATTCGACTTTGCCCCCTACGTGCCCCCCCGACCCTCTACACCTGCTACAGTTGTGAATCATTGTTTGAAAAGAATCAAACAAAGATAGATAGAATATATAATTATAAAACTAGATTGAAAAAGGGATAAAAAAAGGTTTAGAAAGTAGAGATACAAAATAATGGAAATCAATTAAGTCATTTCGGAGAAAAATATTAAGACAATAATAGTAGTAGTAGTAAAATAGCTATCTATATATTTAATGAAGAATAAAACCTCCCAAATAGGATAGTATTCAGTTAATAAGCCTTTTGAATCCAATTTTTATTCTTTACTATATCTTTCAAAACCGCCTGAGCGAAGCGAAGGTCAGCGGCTTGTGAGTACTAGAGATATTACACCTAGAATATAAGGACCTGTGATACTGCAGGGGCTCGTGGACGAAGAGGCCACGGAACAACTTGCGCAGGTACGTGTCCTCGGGCCTTTCGTCGAAGCGGAGCGAGCGAGAGTAGTTAATGTAGGCAGCGAATTTGTAGGGAAAACCACGACAGAGATCCTCCGTTGGGATAGTCATTTTCTTCTGTATAATGCGGCCATATTTCTGCTTCTTGGTAGCGGCCTGGAGGCCCTGCCAGGGCAGGGAGCCACGGCAGAAGTAGACCATCACGTAGCCGAGCGACTCCATATCGTCACGGCGTGACTGCTCGACACCCAGATGGGTGTTGATACTGGCATATCGGGCAGTACCCGTAAGGTTCTTGTTCTCACGGTAGGGGATGTGAGAGTCTGTCCTCGGGTCACGGTACCTTTTGGCCAGTCCGAAATCGATCACATTGACCTGGTTGGCACGCTTGCCGATACCCATCAGGAAATTGTCAGGCTTAATGTCACGGTGAATGAACAATTTGGCGTGGATGTGTTCAATACGGGTGATGAGCTGGTCGGCGAGGAGCAGGATGGTCTTAAAACGAGAACCTGCGGTCGCAAAAGCTAAACAGATCCTCCAGAGACTGGGACCCAGGAGGTCGATCGCCATGGCATTGTAGTCATGTTCGGTACCGAACCAGCGGAATATGGGAATACCGATACTGCCGGCGAGAGATTTGTAGACACGGGCTTCGTATGCCAGCTGAGGGTACTTAGCCTTGACGCTCTCGAGCTTGATTGCTATCTCCTCGCCGGAGACGATGTGAGTGCCCAGGTAGATGTCACCAATGCTGCCGCCACCGATCTTGCGCCCGATGGCGGTACTTATTACCGACACGCACATCTGTCGTCGTCATTCTTGAATTGAATTGAACCGGGAGGAAGAGCGGCTAGCTGTGCGAGGGGACGGAAACTTGAGAAAGCAAGCGAGAATAGATGCTGATCAAGTACCAAGGGCAAGCCCTCGCAAGGTAAGTCGGTGGTTTTGGCCTTTGCATTACGCAGCGTCAGGGGTAACTCTGGTGATCTAGGAGGAAGAGAGATAATGGATTTGGGGCCAGTTCAGCCACGCTATTGGGTTGGTATCAGCTCGATTCGGACGTGCCTATTTTGCTGCATACCGAAAGTAGTTTGGGGTTTCATCGCCGTCTTCATTCCCACGGACCGTTGGGATCCACCAAGGGTCACTATAATTTGAACGTCTTTATGGTCTTGTCGGATCGTTAGTGGCTCACGTCGGAACTCAGGTCAGCACGATCTGGCCATAACACCATCAAAGGCAAATCGCTCCCTTCTCTACCCAAGCGCCCACACTTTCTCACTCGCTTTGAAGACATATTATCACATATAACTTTCATCATATGTGCTTTCGCGCTTTCGACCGCGGCGGGTTAGTTGATATCAATCATGAGCTGAGGAAGAGGAGTTGCAGCGCGTCCAGGATAGCTAGCGGACCGGCCGACCAGCGGGGCCGCAACGTAGATAAATGACCGCTGAGGTCTCACGTCTGATGCAGTCGCCAGTTGGCGGTCCTGCGGTCGATCTGGTCGTCCGACCAGCGTCTGATGATCGAGTCGGTTACCCGGTCTGGCAATATCTGGTCTGATGGCTTGCCGCATAGGATCTGACGGGTCCCACGTCGACCGTATCCTGAAAGTATCGATTCCGGCAGCAGACGACTCCCATCGCAATTCCTTGGTTGGTGACCCGGTCACTGTGTTCTCGAACGGAATGAAAGATTTGGATCGAAAGACTTGCATGCCGTATGGACCGTCGTCCAAAGACCTCGAGTCCAGATGGCTACTCAACCATCGTAGCCACCAGTGAACAGCTTGCAGGCTGTAGAAGATCTGGAGCTGTGGACGTACGTCCCAAGTGGATCCGCGTCCATGGCCTTGCGAACGTAGCCTCGAATCAACTGCCCTAGATCATGGCCTTCCCACCCACAGCTTCCCAACGGATACATCTGTCCAGATTTGAAGGCTGCCTGGACGCAGATCTACGAATCTATTACAAGTCCGGCCTGGTGGCTCTCGATACGTCTCTAGCATGGATAGAGAGCCACACTAGCCAGAAGATGGTTTTTCTAAAGCTATTGGTGCCCCATATCCCCAGATTTTGCCCCCTTCCCCCAAGTTTGGGAGGTGAATGAAAGGCAACCTTGTAAATGGCGAACACCTCACCCGGAATATCAAGATCTCCTTGCTTGGGATTCAATCATTGTTAGTGTCCACAGGGCCTGTTCGACATCGCATTGGTCATCATTATTTTATTTATCACGGCTGCTTGATGCACTCAACCGGGCACCCAGCTAAGGGGGGGCCCAAAATTTGACCTAGTTTTTGGGCCCCCGTCGACTCGCTTAATCGACCGGGGCCTCAAGAATTCCTTATTATTATATGCTGGTTTACCTACGGAATATTTGGATCTTCGTAAATTCCCTATTATAGGCCGTGTGTGCAATATTTAGTCTTATCTATCTCGTGAATGCAAATTGAAAGTCTTTCACCTTCCAAGACAATCTCGTGATAGCTTTATCTCCTTTCCCGGTCTGGATTATTCCTTGTTTGGGAGACCAAGGGGGGAGGGGGTGGAGAGACGTGGATGAAAACAAGGCAACACAATTTTTAAGGTCAGTGTAATGTTGAGAAGAAAGGAGTGTAGGCTGAAAATAATAGTCCACTAGCTTCTGTGAAACTCCCACCATGCATCCACAACATCGCGGTAGCCCATCTTTTCCAGATGCTGGGCAACTCTGCGGCGCCAGTCCCTTTTGGAGTCCTCATCCCCATGGTTGAAATCCATTCCTGCTGAGAGTCGAAATTTTGTTCTAACCCATTCGATGGGAACGTAGCCAGCAAGCTCCCAATCAATGATGCCCAGCGAGCCCGTCGAAGTATCGACAAGAAGATTCGTAGGGCCAAGATCACAATGATAGAAGACAAATGCAGAGATATCCATAGACATCTCGGTACAATTGTGCAGAAGCTGCTGTGGGGACAGTGCATCCGCCATTTTGCTGTCGCCTTTAACAAGATAACGCTCAAATAGCTGGTGTCCGTCCACACCACTAATAATATCGCCCTTCCATGCCGCCAAATGATTGCAAATGTCTGCTACCTTGCCGATGTAATACTGGCGAAGGGTATCGTCCATGTTAGGCCAAGCTTCCTCAAGCAGCTGGCCAGGAACCCTCGAGACGACGAGGAAATATCGCGAACCAGTCTCAAAATGATGGTATACTTCCGGAAATTCAAAATCCAGGGGCCGTTGATCTTTGAGGAACTGCAAGGTATTATGCTCTCTGGTCACATAGGGATAGTCTATATGATGCGCTTTGATGAAGGCTTCGCCTGCTCGCCAAACAGCCGCTTGATTATCGACTGCGTGAACTCTCGAGATATATGAATCTTCTGCGAGGGGTTTGGAATCGGGAAGAGGCTCAGGTGCAGTGCAGAGGATGAAATACCCCCCATTGCTGTCGCTCCAGCATACTTGGTCGGCTGGAATTTCGTCCGGGGGTAATAACGACAAACGAGTAAGAAGAAGCTTGTTTGAGATTAGCCAGGAGCTTTTATTGACCTCCCGTATCGAATCGTTAAGGTGCGGCTGAGGCACATTATTACAGTTTATATCACAATAGCGCTTTCACTCCATTCCTTGAATTAATCCCCGCCAGATTTGACCTTGTCCCCTCACGAACCCTCGAACATAATACATATCCTACTTGTACACGCTTTGCCTCAACCAACCATTGCCACACAAAGTATTCATAATTCATCACTGCTCCTATGTCAGCATCGACGATCAAGCTTGAGAAATTTTAAACCATATCATGTTACATGCATACAAAAGGATTTGAGATTGGCATTATAGCCAGACTCACTGAATTGTCCCCCGGTATCGGGTTCACGGCGATTAATTTAATAACGACCAAAATCAAGGTGACTCAGATTCTTTGGGAGGCTTGAGAGACATTGTCTCATTTATGAGAGCATTCCTTACAGAGCGTTGCAAGGTTCGTGAGCCATGCTGTGAGGAGCAATTCGCCTCACTCCAATCCAGAATGGCTGAAGTGACCGGCGTTGGCCTTCTCAAAAGGCGGGCCAGCATGCGAAGAAACCGGAGATTAAGGACTCGAGACACAAAAGGTGTTGCAAATCATGATTCGGACGGATTGAAGTGAAGTGAAGGTGGATCTGCAGCTGGCAGTATTGTGGGAGAGCCGACCGGGGAAGGTTGTACAGAAAAGGCAGCCGTCGATTCAGAAGAGACCACGATTCGCGGCGGACTCTGAACTATAGATATGCCTGTTAAGGCATCACTGTCTGATATGGAAGCCGGAGAAGATGGGGTACTGGTGGAAGATCGCGGATCAGAAGCTGGCGCCCGGGAGCCCTCACCCCATTGCAGAGGCCAGTCCGCCGATGACCCAGCAGTCGAGGCAATAACTGGAAAGTGAGACGCAGAAGAAGAGCTTCTTCCCGGGAACGAGTTAGAATGTAACCGGCGAGGTCTGCTAGGACTGGGAACAGGCAAAGAAGACTGGCGCGAGGCGGTCCTAGGAGTCATGGAGTCATTCTCGCCACTGAAGACGGAATTCATACTGCCACTGAAACTGCCAGGCCTCGAAGATTGTGACCGAGATGCTGGAGAGCTTCTGAATAATTCTTTGATCTCGAACAAGTTTCTGTTTCGGTAGAGCTCCGCCGGAATCTCGGGCCATGTGCTTCTCTGGCCGTCTGCAAAGCCCGAGTCTTCGAATTGATCGTGCGCTGCTGTAGTCAGGTAGTCGCTGGCGGTGGTCAACCAGTGGGCCACTTTGCGTCTGGCGCCCATGTCGGCTGGTTCGGACGGGTTGCTTGGGGTACCCGGCGTGGGATCCAACGAAAACTGACTCGCTGTGATTTCGAGTTCGGTAGAGGGGATGTCGCCGATATCTACAGAGCGCCTTCGCAACTCGGCAGTTGCTGTCGTATTTGCTGGGATAAGGTCACCTGCGCATTGGTTTGTTGTCGGATTCTCTGTTGGCTTGGATTGTTTCACTTCGGCCTCCATGTCTGCCGCCAGTAGCATATACAGCGATCCCAGCACTGCGAGTCCAGCACCGACAATCGGTGCCCATTGCCCTATGTCAAAAACCAACCGTTAGCAATGTACGGAGTTCATGTGGCCAAAGGCCTGATATTGGATGTATCACTTACCAATACTGGCTATGGGCTCAGTCTGATACATCACCTGCGAGCTCCAGAAGTTAATCTCGCCAATGATCAAGATGGCTAGGACTGCGGCACCAAAAACTGGAATCTCAACGAGAGTCAACCATTTCCGGATCAAGGCGTTGATGCCATTCATTTTCTTGACAGTGGCCCCGTTGGTGCCTTCAATTGGTTCGTCAATCTTTTTCTTTTCACGTTTGCCGCCAAACCGCCGGATCCAGTTGTCATCCAGGATCTTGATCCACATGGAGGCCAGCGACAAAATAGCTGGTATACAGCACGCAGCTGCGAGAAGCGTAGCCGTGTTGAAGGTGAGGCCGTCCGGCGTGGGAATGACGTAGATGTTATTTGCTGACCCGCCCCGTAACGGAGAGAAAGGTCCTTCGCCCTCGGAGCAGACGAGGCCACAGTGGGTATCATACCCAAATCTCCCAGGATTGGGGTCAACAGGGTTCCCATCGTCATCGTGTGGACAAGGAGAGGGCTTTATGCGGAAGAATCCCACTGTTAGGCTGAGAAGTCCTGCAAGAAGAAGACCCGTCCACAAGAAGATGATGTCCCGACCGGGATCATCGAAGTATGTCCGCGAGAGCCGGACTGTGGCCGGCGCGGTGAGGATACCAATGGTGCAGAACTGAAAAGCGCCATACAAATCCATGTCAACGGCGCCTACAAATCGATCAAGATTGTCAGCCAAACACAGAAACAAATTATCTATTTCCAGGGGAGGTGAACGAACTCACCAGGAACATGGATCGCGGCAAGAACAATGCCGTGGAGAGCTGCGACAGAAGGGAAAATCAAAACAGCTGCCAAGCAAGCGTTGCGGATCCACGCCGTTTTGCGGGCGAATACACAAGCCGCAATGAGAACGTAGTATCTGGGGAGAAAGTCAGATATTTTTAAGTGCTGGCATGCCATGGATCTCGGTCATACAAAATCCTTGTCCCCGGTCCATATTGACCAGACACAGGCCAGGCACACACCACTTGCAGCGCGCCAGATGTCGGTTCTGTCAACGAGAGATCGCTGCGTTGTGCAAGGGAGTGGCTTAACAGCGAAACAGGGGAAGGAATAGCTGGCATCACTTATCGTCCGTCTCTTTGGACGGTGGGCTCACATAAAGGAGAAGGAAAAACATGGATGGATTTGGCTGTCTAGCTTGGTCGATTTGAGACTCATAATAATAATATAGGGGACTGGGCATAAACCCTTGTGTTGAAATCCCCCCCAGCTGTGGTGCGTAATGCCGACAGGGTGCGTATCGACACAGAACCCGGGCACGCCCCGGCATGGTCAGCGACAGTCTCATCTTCTGATGATCAGCCTCGGTTGGACTGAATTGGCAGAGAGGGGTATGGGTCTGAACCCGGGTGATCTCAGCGGCTCTGCAGGGCACGAGTCAGGGTGTTCGATAGAAGCGACGGAGTCTTTCTCAATGTGTGGGGGACAAAATCTCGGGGGATCAGCCTCACTACCAGACACGAACCGGGCGCACCACGGCCGCTCTGATTGGCGCTGGGCGTCGCAACATCGGTCTGTTCTATCGCGACAAGCATTCTGGTGGAACTTGGAGGAGTTCTGCATCGACAGGTCAAGGGGTGTGATTGTGTCGAGTCCTGAGCGTCGATGGCTCTCCCTCAAGCCAGGCCGAAATGCCATCGACAAATATGTCTTGAGCACTCCGTTCTCAACGAGGCATGTCCGAGCGGGGAGGCTGAGCTGCATGACACTAAATGCCGCTAAAAACATAACAAGACTGGTCATCGTTGGCCCTGCTTTGCCCGTAGCCCCAGCGCTGTCGCTGATTGTCGGTGGATGCGCCAACTCGCGTGTCTCTCGGGACAACTGGGTCCTCGTCCCACATACCAACTCGCCAGCCCCATAACTTAAAAACACTTTATCCTCCCAGGGAATGTCGTCTCTTCACACACGTTGCTTGTGCGCCTGGGCGAAGTGTTGAAGACGGTATGGTGGCGCGGGGCAGCAGATCGCTCCATCCCCACCTCAGCGCCGACGCAGCACACGCCAACAATTGAAAATCAACGCCGGCTCTCTCGGGATCACCACGTTCCAGCCCTGATTCTGATTGTTATTGTGGTCTGCAGTGGCAAACTCGAGCATGCACTGACCCTTTTGCCCCTTGCTGCTCGGAATTTTCGATCGCATGTCGATGAGCACGAAGATAAAAAGACGGATCGGCGCCCTCGGCTGTCATCCATAACGTGCGCGGTCAACATAATTCCCATCATCAATAAAAGACCGACGAAAAAATGGCCGACGACCTCAACACGGGCAGAATAAAGGAATGGCGGTCGATATTGACGCTCATTGTGTTTGTGCTCGCGAGTACGTGCTCGCAAAGTGACCTGGGTCTATCGGGATATATTTAACGAGGCCGCAGATATCGTGGTGCTGTTCCCATTCCACGTTCCCATCTATATCCCTCGATCACTGTGCAACGCAGCCCTAAACAGTTTGAGTGCACTGCGCATCATACCAAGCAGAGAGAAAACAAGCAATGGTCCAGAAGCATTATTCGTAAAGTTCAGTGTTCCGCTGAATTCAATAACCGCCCCGTTGATCGCAGACCTCTTTCTCCTCGCAATCCTGGCCATCGGCCGTCAAGAAATCCACGATGGAACCGTCGGCGCAAACAACATCAATCCAATTGACATCATGGTATTCTTCCTCACGCTCGCATATATCGCCATCTCGATCGACGCCTCGGGACTGATCCGCTACCTGGCGTTCAAAGTACTCCAGAAAGGAGGAGAGGTGGGCCACCGGCTGTTCTTCTACCTGTACTCGTTCTTCTTCGTGCTGGGCAGCTTCATTGGCAACGACCCGATTATCTTGTCCGGGACTGCTTTCCTTGCATACATGACCCGCGTGTCGAGCAATATCATCCACCCGCGTGCGTGGATTCACACGCAGTTTGCCGTTGCCAATATCGCGTCTGCCATCCTCGTATCATCCAACCCGACAAACCTCGTGTTGGCAGGCGCCTTCGAAATCAAGTTCATTGTTTACACCGCCAACATGATCGTCCCCGTCGTTGTGACGGCCATCGTGCTCTTCCCATTTCTGTTGTATATCATTTTCGCCGACGAATCTCTCATCCCGTTCTCTATCAAAATGCATGAGCTCTCCGAAGAAGCCAAAACGCGCAAACCCGTCAACCCAAACATCCCACATGCCAGAGGCAACACCGAAGAGCCACCAAACCAGGACGATGAGCAGGATAAGCTCATGTCACTCGAAGAAATCATGAACCCATTCCTCGACAAAGGGGGTGCTGCCTTTGGCGCTGTCATTATGGCGGCAACTCTTATCACGCTACTCGCCCTGAATGCGGCGAGCAACTCGGGCGGCGAGCACCCGGTGTTTTGGGTAACGTTGCCGGCTGCCTTCGTCATGTTTTGTTGGGACGTCGTGTTCGGCTGGTATCACCGGCACGAGACACGCGAAATCGCCGCCAAGGGTCGACAAGAGGCGGAGAATGTTCGCGCGGAACGAAAAATCCAAGGCGAACAGGAGGCCGTGCCAATATCCGCGAGTCAGGGTGCGTCTGATGGTAACGAGTCTGTACAAGTGGACTCGAGGGACGTTTCACCGCACACTCGCCATCCTGCGGACCTGCATACCGACGACGATATCTCCCTTGCCGCCGTCGATGGTAGCGTCGATAGACCGTCATCGCGGTCTGACCACGAGACGCCAAGATCTGCCGCCGCCCTGGTGCCACGAGCCGCAGACCGGCTCTCAAACGAGAAGCTACCCGCTGCGGCAAGCACATCGGAAACCAAACCTGAACTGATCCTCACATCCTCCCCCGAGCCTCTGGGCACATACCCGAACAACGGGATAGATGAGGAGAAGCGCGGCGGCGCCCAAATATCCGCAACAGAGCCTCGGACATTGGTCTCACTAGCGGCGGATCTACATCGATGGCTGCAAGAGACCTTCCCCACTGTGACCGTTGTCGTCTCACACATGCCTTTTCCGCTCGTGCCCTTTGCACTATCGATGTTCGTGCTTGTACAGGCACTCGTCACTAAGGGCTGGGTCCCAGTGTTCGCACACGGCTGGGACCACTGGGTCGGCAGAACAGGGACGGTGGGGAGTGTCGGAGGGATGGGATTTTTGTCCGTGATTCTCTGCAACGTAAGTAGCTCACCTACCTTCACACTCCAAGTTCCAACTGGCGGTTCCCTATGCCAGTTCGTAATAGGGTTGTTACTAACGACTGTGAATAGTTCGCCGGCACAAACATCGGCACAACGATCCTCCTCTCGCGCGTCATCCAGGCGTGGCAGGAGATCCACCGCCGCAACGGGATCCCGATCAGCGACCGCACGTTCTGGGCGACGGTGTATAGCATGGCGATTGGAGTCAACTACGGGGCATTCAGCACGGCGTTCAGCGCGTCGCTGGCCGGCCTGCTGTGGCGGGATATCCTGAAACGGAAGTTTATTATTGTGCGCAGCCTGGACTTTGCGCGCGTGAATCTGCCCATCATTGCTATTTCTATGGCGGTTGGGTGTACGGTGCTTGTTGGGGAGATTTATATTATGCGGGATGATCGTCCGTATGATTCATGATGTATCTTTTTTACTATCTACTACTCTATATTCCAATATTACATGGGGCACATTTTGCATGCGAACTGCACTCTAGAGAGTATTATTATTCTCAGTGTCTGGACATTTTTGAATCCACCTGGGCAAACAATCATACAAAGACAACCAGAAATGACGAGAGAACGATAGCATGAACGCCAGGGTACACCATGTCCCTTCTTCGCTCCAGTCTAACTAACGAGTGTAGAGACACAGCTCTAAAACCCAATCTAAACGCCGAAGACACCAGCAATGACCAGATATTCACATAAACAGATTCTGAGCTCAGATTAAATAGAAAGAAAACGTCAAGAAGAAACCTCCTGAACATCGGCGGGGACATTCGGGATGTTGTGAACCTCTTCTTCGACGCTGAGGCTGCCATACCCAGTGTCGTTGCTAGCTGAGCGCTCGCGGCGAAGAGGCTTCCCCACATTGGATGCCAGCAGCTCTTGATCAGCATCGCTCTGGACCGACCTGACTGAAGTTCCTCTGCGCCGTCGATATCGGTGTTTCTTGGACTGGGTCCTGTCGGGCGTAACGCGCAGATACTCGTCAATGTTCACCCCGGCATTTTCGCAAATCGTTGTGCAAGACTTCACAACAACTTCGACCAGGTGCGAAGAGAAGCCATAGAAGGCTGGGTTGTAGGCATTCCGCGCCCAGTAGATGAGCTCGGCAGCCACGCGCCCGAGGTTGGGGATGTCGCGCGGACAGACGGCGAGCTTGCGGCCCGACCGAGGCTTTTCCTCGGCTTCGTCGTCGGCGGATGAGGTTGCCTCGGAAGCGGGGGTCGATGGGGCAGATGAATCGGATGAGACGATGTAGTCAACATCGGAGCCGAGGAGGTGCAGCAAATGGTATACAGACGAGAAACCAATAAGGGTCAGTTCCACTGGGTCAATCGGAAGTTGGTTGAACCATTGGATCGCCTTGTGGATCGTGAAGGACGAAGGTAACGATGTGTCTCCGGTCGAGCGTGCGGTAATGATGGCGGCAATCATCGCACACCGTACGGCAATAGAAATCTCGTCACGAACAGACACCGGCAGGGAAGAGTCCAGGAAGTTGGCCGCCTGGCTTCGCTCGCCCTTTCTCTTATCTTTTGGCAATGTTGCGAGCACGGCCCCGACATTCTGGATACGATCATGGTCGAAGAAGACCGCCTTCATCACTAGAGCACGGGTATACGACGCCGAGAGTCGTGGTGCGACGTCAAGCGACATGCGAATCTTCTCTTTGAAAGCGTCGCGGCTCGGCTTCGACACTGGCCCTCCTTCGCTAGCCTGGAAGTATTTGAGAAGCGCGTTTTGAAGGAGATGGCTGGACCACCAGGCTGCGAGGGCATCCACAGAGCACTGGATAGCGGGATCCTCTTCAACCACGTCGAGAAGCACCTCATCGTCACCGGTACCTTCTTGTGTAGGTCGGTTCCAAGTCAAGTTGACCGCACGCTGGATAATGGGGGCAACCATCACATCTTCGCAATCAAGCTCCAGGAGAGCCGCCAAATGACTGGGAAGCTGGTCAGGGTGGCCTTCGGGCAGCGCATCATTGATAGTACGTGCCACGCCCCACTGATACCGGGCAAGGGTACGGGCAATGTCGTTCGAAACATGGAAGCTCCAGGATCCGGGTTCGCCAACTCTCCACATCAAGATGCGGACATGTAGAGCCTTTAACATCATCCGCATCGGGCTAGAGGGAAGGGTGCCGGCAGCAAAAATGGTGAGCACAAGGCGGCTCTTGCTAATCTCAGCATCGCCACCAGTGAGCTGGGCATCGATAGCAATGTCCCATGTCTTGACACGCCCCTTCTCATCCTCCTCTGTAATTCCAGTAGCCCACGAATAGACCTTCCAGCCCATCAGACATCGCAGGACATATTCGAAACATCGCGAAGTCACCACGTACCACTCGCGGAAAAACCTGTGACGTGGAACTCCAACCCGTTGCATACTTGTCAACCAAGCCTGTCGCCGTATTCCACTCGATGTAGGGCCATTCTTCTCCTCTGAGACGGAGTCAGATGGAGCGCGCTGTGTCACAGGCTGGGCGTTGAAAAGATAGACAAATACAATGAAGGCAGAACCCACGACCAACGAGCCCAGGAGAAAGAAGTGTGAAATCGCGCGCGCATGCGATGAGTACCGGAAACTCTTGAGATAGTACTCCCAATGTACAACGGACGGGGATTGCAAGCGATGCAAGAGATTCACGGGCAGAGCGAAAAGACCCTTCTCACCGGACTCCGACTTCTCCGATCCCATGCCTTCGAGAACCATCAGCCCAGCGAGTGCCCCCAGCATGTACTTGTTTGGAAGCCTTGACCGCCGACGGGAATCATCATTTCGACTGTTTTGTGTGCTTCGAGATGGTCCTTTGATATATGATTCGGCAAAGATCCCTTGCTTGGGGGTTTCCGCACGCATTCGTTTGAAGGCTTCGGGCACCTTAATCAACCCCTCGGGTGGATGCTGGGAGGTGGGCGAGCTGTCACTAGCGATTTCCTCAGTGTGGGAAAACACGCTGGGCGAATTTCCAGCAGCAGAGTCGGATGAAGCTGTATAGTTACTGGGAGATGATACGGAGGCTGTGGATGTGACCGCCTGATCGGCCGCTTTGTCGACCTGGCGAAGCCGGTTCTTCAGCCCTGTGTTTTCTTCTTCGAGGCGCTTGTTCCGGATTTCCAGGTGCTTAATGTAATCTGTTGCTTTGGCCAGAATGGAAGCCTTGTTGAGCTTGCTCGCGGATTGTCCGCCTTCTCCTTCGTCGTCGTCATCGGGTGACTCGCCATTTGCGTTCTTCATTGTCCGCAGACTGGGCACACTATCTCGGAGCTCGGCAATCTTTTCGTTGAGATTGGCTCGATAGCGCTTTTCAATGACGTTATGGGCTCGCTTCTTGGCCGGCATCTTCTTTCCTGGCTGCATAGGGCCAGTCACGGTGGTGGCGTCATCTTCGTTGCTCGTCTTTCGCTTGCGAGTCGTTGCAATACTCGAGATTGGAGAGACCAGCCCTGACTGTTGCTGGTGCTGTCCTGGTCCGTTTTGTAGTGCGGCCTCCGTATTCTCGCTGCCGCCCAGGCCGTCCATGTGTTCAGATGGAAATTCCATCAAACCAAGAGGAAGATGGGGAGAGAAATCCTTCTGGTTTGGCTGAGACGGGGAACTGAAGGACGTATGCGGTGAGACGAATGGGACGTTCATGGAATTGTCCATGGGGTTCGCATCGCCTTCTGAGAACATCGGCTCATCCCATCGCATCCATTGCGTCCAATCTTGGGTGTTCTCCGCCGATGAATGGCTTGCCTGAGCCTCATCCCGGCCCGAATGGCGTGGAGAGAATAGCTGAAAGTCGCTATCCATAGCAGCGGACATGGTCCCTTGGCATCCGCAGCTTGGACTCTAAGCCGGCACTAATAGCGAATCAAATCCAGTGAATTTGTGCAGCCGGAGAAGGTTGACACTGGAATGCATTAGTTGCGAAATCCAGGGAGGGGACGTCCGAAGACCAAGGAGAGAAAAGGAATGCTAGAATGAAGCTGCCTGAATACCAACAATTGCAGTGACAGCCAGCTATACCGATAACGGGCAGTGGCTGTCTTGCATAGGGGGACAACGAGGTACATGCGACTTACTGGATTCAAATACAAGGATATCAGGGAAGTCAATTTGCGGGAAGGGTTGATGATGATGTGGAAAAAGATGAGAAGACTGAAGAAGTGGGAGCGTCAGTCATGGTCACGGGCGACGGCACATTAGAGACAGAGACCTGGGCTCACATACCCACTCTTAGCGCAGGCAGTTGGCCCTTGGAACAAAGTGGGTTCCTGGCGACGATTGGTCTTCTCATGCGATGGCGATCTCTCCAAATGTTAAGGAGGGCGGGCCAGCCTGCACTCGCACCACGCGAAATAGAGCAGTTTGGATAGCGTGGAGGGGGGCGATTATGGTTCCAGCTTGGTAAACTGAAAGAACGTCTCAATCTCCATCGCGTGAAGTTCGGAATGGCCCAGAGAAGGCGGACAGTTTTTGTCGTATGATCGCGGCTCGCCGCACTTCCGGCTCCCCGAGTCAGTGCCAAGCGTATGGGTATTGTCATGGACGATGGCTCAGCATGCTTTATTGTGCAATTCGATGTATAGTATTGGTAAGAGGCAGTATTGGTTACTGGATGCTCATTGGCTCCCCTGAGTCCCTCGGTCCCTTGCTGACATAACGACCATGTGATCTTGAAAACACACCAAGCATCGTTCCTCATCTTTTCCCATCTCGAATTGTCGCTCCAAACTCTTGAACATTCGAAATGAACTGGATCTCTCACGCTCGCCTTGTGTGTTTATGATGAGAGCTCTCATGTTTTGGATTCTCTGGTGACCCACTGTTGTGGAACACGGCAAAACTTAGGGCGTGTTATGATCTTATCAGATCCTGGTGGGGCCCGGAAAACCCAGTGAAGAGTCAAGACGTCGAATAAGACCATGGAGCAGCACCACAAATTCTATGGATCTGCAATCCGGTGTCGGCGCTAAATCTCTAGAGCTTCTCTGGCGTCATACTCACTGCGTCATCGGTCGTTTAGTGGCTCCATTGATATTCCACTCCAAGTCCAATCAGCTCATGATCGGCTGAATGGCTCTGGGAAAAGACTCAACCATACAGGGGGTATGATTCGCGGAGCTAGATTGCCTTCTCAACATATGCCACCGCTCCCATCAGCTCCTTCACCGTCTTCTTGACTCCGTCGCCAGCCTCCTCATATGGGGTGCGCGGTTTCGGTTTTTGCAGCGCATTTTCGATCCCCGCCGCGGGGGCAGAATACAGTGCCACCGCATATTTGGTCGAGACAATTCCCCCCCTTGCATGGGGTCTCTGCCAAAGCCGACATTTGTTGCAGCTTCATCGCTTCGCTTATCTTTCCAGCTGTGTAAAGCTCATAGACTTTGGAGCCAGTCTTCGGGAACATATTCGCAAACACCGAGATGCACCCTGCCGACCCAACAGTCAATAGATTTATCTGATAGAACCTCTACGTTTCTTGTCGGGCTTAATGAATACTCTGAGCAGAGATTTCATCCGGTTTGTCATCTCAAGACTTCATATGGACAATATGCAGGTCACGCTTTGCCGCCGTGAGTTTTGTTTGTATTCAATCTCACAATGTATTTCATGCATCGACAAAAGAAACAAATGTAGACAACCTTCGAAGTAATGTAGGTCACAAATTAGAACAACCTCGCTCTCCAAACCCCAGCACCCGAAAAATAACATTGACACCATCTTCTTTGCAAGCAAGCGAGGCATAAGCCGCATTCAATGCTAGGGAAATCAGCCAAAGACCTTAATCGTCAAGATGTATCATCCACTTACTGATATGTCTTCCCACTTCTCCCAGCCACGCCCACGGACCTGCTTCAGCTCCTCTTCCGTGTACTGCTTGCCCGTGGTGAAGTAACCTGCATTGATCTTGGCATCGATTTCGACCCGCGAGTCACTGGGGATCATATCTTCGGGAATGGGGATGCGCTCGAGAATCTTGATCCCGGATTGGACAATGGCATCGTGCTTCATGTTAGACATGGACAGCATGCGGTCGATCTTCTTGATACCGAGCCAGTGGAGAATGTCTGGCATGAGAGCTTGGAATCGCATCTGCAGTGTGAGTTGGTCAGTATAAATACACGTAAACAATCATTTGGGTCTGGTTCGTACATCGCGCACTCCAGCAATGTTCTCGGTCCGGGTAAAGTATTTATCGGCAGTGTCGCCGCCACGTTTGCGAGCGTTGTAGACTAAGTATTTGATGACCTCTCCCAACGCGCGGCCTTCCTTGCGGAAGTAGATGACCACGCCACTGCCACCACTCTGTGCCTCTCGGATGGCCTCGCGGATGCCAAAGGCCAGGTAGGGACGGCAGGTGCAGATGTCGGACTGGAAGACATCGCTGCCGTTGCACTCATCGTGGATGCGCAGGGCCAGCTTGACATTCTCGTCGGACACACGTTCGGGGGGCCCAAAGATGTACACTGTCAGACCACCAATTGGGGGCAAGAAAATCTTGAGGTCTGGGCGAGTGATGAGCTCGGGGTAACTTCCACCAGTGTGCTCGAACAAAGTCCGACGGAGAGTGCCTTCGTCAACCCCAAAGCGGTCCGCCACACCGGGCAGATACCAGACAGGTTCGACTGCAACCTTGGATACCCGGACTTCACCTGATGAGTCGACAACAATTGAGCCATCCACCTCGAGCTGACCATCCCGGATAGCCTCGCCAATCTCCGCCAGCTTCATGTTCGCCCGGGTCACGGCCATAGTGGGCCGGATGTCCCAGCCGGCATCGAGCTCTTCACGGAATCGTTTGACGACATCATGTCCATAGGGGTCCATCGACACAATCTTCTCCTTGTCAGCCCAGGCCGGCTGCGAGGGGAAATTGAAGGTGGGCTCGCTGTTTTGGAAGTCTGGACGGAAGTCTGCATCCAGATCACCCGCTGCCACCGCCAGGGCATTATAGATGCTGTAGCTGCCACCGTGGGCGCCGATCGCATTGCGGCGTTTCAGAAGATTGCCGCTGCGTGAGACAACCACGGGGCCCCGGGCTTTGGCGTCGGGAGCACCCCATTCGAGCGGGACGGGGTCAATGCCGCTCTGGCCGGGATACGTCGTCAACTATTGCGAGTCAGCGTCTTCCGCAACTCTTCAGCACAAAAGCAGGCTGCCATACGACGATGTGCTTGCTATATCGAGGCGGGGAAGATGCGGGCGGCTGAGCTGATGGCATGGCGGGCATGGTGGCGGGGTCTGTGTCTTGCATATTTTCTGGGATGTACTTCAAGAGTAGATGAGTTTCCCAGAGATGATGATGAAGAAAAAGAAGGAAAAGGAGAAAAACAAAGATCACAAAGCAGGCCAGCGGTGTACAACGCAGGGCCATGTGACCTACTCCGCACGTTATCTTCTTATCTTTGAGGAACGATAACGAAGAGCCGTGGAGATATGAGTTTCTTAGTCCCCTCTTCCTCTACCACTTTCCCGGCCCTGAGTCACCAGATTCAATCTTCCCTCTTCCGTGAACTCCGTGGACGGAAGTGCCAGCCACTGAATCCCATTCCCTCCATCTCCGTCCTAAACCGCTCAATCCCAAGCCGGTTCGACGAGCAAAGCACCTTGGACAGTTGCGATGCTAAAATGGTGTTGATATCATGCTTGATCAGGATCTCTTCCGCCGCGTCCTTGGAGACATGTCTTTGCTGGATCAACTCCACCCATATGTTTTGGTTTGTGCGCTCAAACATCTTCGTCACTAGGCTGACAGCCAGCATCCCTAGTTCAAACATGACGACGTCGATGTGTTTCCATGTCTTCTCGCCCCATACAATTTCTGTGATCATAACCAACCCATTAGTGTGGCTCTCCCAAGCTAGTCTGATGACACGATTCTTTACCTTGTGGCGCATAGAATAAACTTCCGACATGTGCCGCTTTGTGTTTGTAATTGGGCTGGATATCCAGGTGGTAGATGCCTTTCTCATCCATTGTCTCCACAGTTCCCAGCAAAGTGATGTAAGTATCATAGTTCTGGTAAGTTTGTAGAAAACCGTCTATATAGTGAAGCCAATCTCTGATTTCTGGATCCCAGCTGTAGAGCACGATTCCCTCTTTCTTCTTGGGTCTGTAGAAATAATCCACGACTTCCTCGACGCCCGAGCTGCCGGTCATTTCTTGCAGGCGGGCTCCCTGAACGAACCGGATTCCTTGTTTGTCGGCAATTCTCGCTCTTACCGGGATGGAAGCTCCCGGGGCCTTGATCATGCCAATGTAGTCCTTGTAGAATTCGCCGCTGGCAATCCTCTTGGAGTTCAGCTCCACGGTTTGGTCTCGGCCATTGCATTGCGATTTGAAGTTGTAGACGAGTTTCTTGATCCTATGGCCGACGGGGTAACTGCCCGGGTCACTCGGTTGTGACATATCAGGTGGAAGCTCTTTCTCGATCTCCTTCATGAATTTCTTAATGACACCAGGCGTACCCGGGGGGCTAAATTCAGCAGGTTTTCTGGGGACCGTAAAGACAACGGTGCGTGAGGAGCTGCGGTGGTGATCGTAACGAGCGAGAAGAGAGTCCACGGAAGGCAGCTGCTACACTAGGTAACTAGGAGGCGCTGAAACAAGAGCATCTTAGCTCACCCCGACAGCATGGGCAAAGAAAAGGAAAATGATGACGGAGATGTTTTTTTTTTCTCCATGCCAAAAAGTCCAGAGAGAAGAACAATATAAATATTTTCCTTGTCGGGTACCAAGCCCAAGGGAAAAGATCCGCCCCAGGAGCCCACCACAGGCAAGTACTAAACAAAATAGAAGAACTTGGCCCAGTTCTGTTGGTGTCTCGAGCTTTTATTCCTCCCTGTGGCCAATCAGATCGCAGGACTTTTGAAAAAAAAATAATAATGTAGCGCAGCGCCCCGGGCCGTCGAGAGCCTCATAATTTTTACTCTTCAACACTCATTTCTAGGAATTTTAATCCATAACAACCACACTATGCAAATTAATACTACGCTAGAAAACCATAATTCTTAGTCTTTACCGTATAAACCAGACACTTGATCTTCTCATTACCTTCCTGTTATAGTAATCTGGATGTACGACTAGTGGCCAAAGTTTACCAACGCGGCTCTATAAGATCGGTGTTCTTGCTTCATATTTTACTACTGGAAACAAACAAATTAACTAAAAAGTACTATTGTGTCCTTGGTTATCTAGTACTTTCTAGGATAAATGGAGAGGGCGATCGAGCATGTGGCTAGTATCAGGGAATTCGCACCCTTTCTTTTACTTTCTTTCTCTCCACCTATTCCATTGACTCTGCTCTTGGAAGTCTATTTGCATACTGGCTACCATTTCTCTCTCTCTTTTCCTAAGTTGATCACGCCACACATATGCCAAGCTGAGTATGAACAATGTCGGGCGATTACGGTGGATCCCCGCCGAGACTCGGAGTTTTTCGGCATTGGCCGTGCGTGGTCGGAGTGACCAACTCCGAACGCAACTTGACCCATTTCACTGCAACGCGACGAATCTTTGGGTATCTGTTGCGCAGATTCCCAAGTGACTCAAACCTCCCCTGGATGTCAATTGATTTACCCATGAGGTTCGTTCTTGATCGGCGTCCTTCGACAGGATACTCCTCAACTGACCAGCCAGCTCCCGGCGCCGCAATGGCAAACCGGCCTCGTGCGAGCCATGCCGGCGCGACAAAGTCCGCTGCGACCATGCGCTACCCGTTTGTACTCGGTGCAAAGACCGCGGGATGTCTACCCGCTGTTTTTATCATCCGGCCCCCTTGACGCGAGCCAAAGCGCGGCGCGTTTTTCCACTAGCTGAAGGTGTGCCTTTTGACCGTGTTTCCTCCACGAGGTATGTTGTGTGTATCCGGAGAGTATCCCAACATGATGCCACTGTTCTTTCTGCTTTTATCGTCTTAAATGCAATATCATGAACTTATCTCTGGCGCGTGCCAGAAACTCTCATCTCAGTGAAGCATCTTTCAATTCCTATATGCCAAATGCTTCCCACGACTCAGCTTCTTCATTGAATACACCACCAAGAAACAGGCCGCTATTATCGGGTTACTTCGGCCCAACCAGCTTTGTGTCTCCATTGACCGACGATGTGGACTTGGCATCAGCGGGCCAAGGCTCCGACACACAAACGGCGCAACGCGTGCTGCCACCATACTGGGTGCAAAAGATCACCGAAATCCTCCAGACATTGGATGATTTGAGTACAATTGAAGTGCTCATCCGCGAATACTATTCTCTGAGCCAGAGCGCTGTCATTGCGGCACCTTTTATATTGAACAGCCTTCGTCCTGTGAAAGCACTATGTGAGGAATGGGGTGCCAGCCGAAATGCCGATGACTATGCATCTTCGCTGACAGTACGAATTATTCAAAATACCGCGGAGATCCTCGAGGTACCATCGTCGACTCGGGGAACGGACTTCCACACTCTGTTCACTGGCTCGGCTATTCGCTTGGAGATCATCGGTGTTCTTTGCTCGCTTACCGGACGGGCTGCATATCTAGGACTAGCACGGACCAAGTTCGACGGCCAAACGTCACGCTCCCAGTATGCACGAAAAATGCTTGCTGCCAGTGATGCCGCACTGTATATTTGCAAAATCCTCACCCCACTCAATGATTTGACGATATGGCTGGTACATGAGAATCTATTATTGTCGGATGTGGTGAATGGCGACTCTAGTAAGAGGCTCGTGACAGTTCTCGCAGATTGCGTTTGCTGACTCCATCCAGGTCCACATAGCTGGAACCGACTTGGTGAGCTGTCGACAGACATCTTCGCTCTTGGTCTGCATCGAGATTCAAAAACGACGAATGTTATTCCAGAGTTTCTTTTGGAGTCACGTCGGCGGCAGTTCGCCGCGGCCTATCAACTGGACAAGAGTATTGCCACCTTTTTGGGCCGTCCACCCCGAATCCCTTGGCGGTATGCCGACTGCAGAATGCCTCTGGACATCCGTGACGAGGCACTCGCTACTGATGGCATGGAACTACGGTATTCGCAAAATGAGCTGGACGCAGACGGCTGGAACATTTATGGTCTCTATCAACGATCTTCATGGATGAGAGTCCGCTTCATCATCAGTACCTTCCGGGATGAGATTCTAGAGGTATCGCTGCGAAAAATGACCCCTGAAACGGCCAGCTACCTCGAGTAAGTGGAAGAGAGATTTATTCTCTTTTGAATATGACGTCTTCATGTCAAGCGACCGCTAATTACCTGGTTGTTACAGTGACGTCTCCCAACGCTGCCACTTGGCGTGGGAGGCACTACCTACCCATCTGCGCTATACTCCACAATGCTGGGAGAACAATCTGCCTGTGGCAGTTTGCCTGATGCTAATCATCTCATACCTCGCATATCTCTACAACGACTTTCTGATTCAGCGACTCATAGCCGGGAAGAACAATCCGAGGGGCAATAAAGCCCTTCTCGCTGCGAGCGCAGACATCCTCGCAACTGTTTTGACCTTGGGGACCCAGCGAGAGCAAATGGTTGATCTTCGACCAGACTTCACATGGACAGTATGTGGTGACATCAATGGATACTCCCACAGCCACTCACAGCCACTAACAAATATCTCTCTTTGTCATTTCATAGATCCTTCTGTATGGCTTCCCAAGCGCCAGCCTCCTCATCAAAGCCCTACAACACCACAAACGCACAGGCGAACCCTTCCTTTACGACGGCTCGCGATCCGCCCTCATTCGCAATCTCAGCGTATTCATCGCACATCTGGAATCGACCGTCCGCCCTGACAATGCCAACTACGCTCTCTTTCAGCAGGCAAGCCAGGTGTTCTCGAAGATCATTGATGAGATCCTGGAACCGCAATCGGGTATGCCGGACACAGAGCTGGGCGAGACCCCGTTTATGGATTATGATCAGATGATTGCGGTGGATGGGCTGGACCTGTTTAATACGATGGATTTTGGTGTTGCGTTTAACCAGTGGCTGTTTTGATTACCGTGAAAGAGCCTTAACTTTATTGGGATTCAAGGATATCTATATTAGAATATATTATGGCTATTCTCGTCAACTGCATTTCGTGCTATATTAATCGAGGTCGACCCTCGATGCAAACAAAATGGGTATTATATCAAAATTTGCAAGGCAAAAGCCACGCTACGTGGGAAGAATGACACACAGAAAATGGTATCACAGTAGGAATCACGTCCTCTCGCTTTCGTTGACCGTGGGGATTTTCGGCTGGCCATTCGGGTCTTCGCTCCTCAGCGCCGACACTGGAGACACCGACTGGGGTGGATACCCTGGTTGAGGGGCGTAGCCCTGTTGAGAAGGATATCCTTGCTGAGGAAATCCCTGCTGGGGTGGGTAGCCTTGCTGGGGATAAGCTGCCATGGGAGGTGCACCAGGACCGGACTGAGAAGGCGGGTACCAGGGGCCCTGGGGAGGAAACGGGCCAGAGGTAGGAGGAACGGAAGGGGGAGCAGACGCTGCGAGCTTGACAGCAGAAGGATCCGAGCGACGGAACATGTACTTCAGCCAGAGCCCCAGCTTCGAACCTGCCGACATCTCCTTCCATTTAGCCGCCAGGACGGCCTGCTCCTCGGGCGACTTGGGTGGATATTTCTTGACAGTCAAGAGAGACAGACACGACAGTATCGGACACAGACAAGCAAAGCCATAGGGCAGCCCGCGGCGAACCTTCTGGCCGAGCATAGCCCTGCGGAAGATAAACCAGCTCTCGATAAGACCGATAATGAGGAAGAGACCGAACCACGAGAAGAAGATCGCCAGCGCAAGACCCCACGGCGGAATGCCCCAAGTGTAGTGACAGCCGTCTGAGCAACAGTATCCGCCCGAGAACTCCGAGCCGCCGATATACCAGATGAACTTGCTGCATCCCGAGTACCGCGAGTTGTCGTCATCTCCGCTGCTGTAGCGACTACTACTTCCCCCAGACGAGGTGTAGTACGACATGCAGCGCGTGTACATGGCCGGCTTGTAGTTATCACTGGCGGAGGAGTACACGTCGCTAGGGATATCGCTGGGGTCGAGGAACGCCATGGTCCGCGTGCTATCCTCATCGATGTAGCTGTACGTGGTGGTGCTGGTCGTGACTTTTGTCGGTTCGACCAGGCCCTTGGCGGCGTAGGGGACCGCGACGGGGATGGCGGTGGTGATTGTCTGTTTGGTTGTGTATGAGCAGGATGGAGGCGCCGTGTAGACGACATTGACGTAGAAATTGGGGTAGCTGTGATCGGTAATTGCGACGCCCTCGCTGGGCTCCACGACGAGGTTGACCACCGTCACATCCGGACTATACTTGTCGACCTCGGTGATGGTGCTGATCACAGACGGGTCCGTGGCTGTAGGCGAGATCTCGACCGTCGATGTGCGCATTATCGGGTCATCTGTAATATATCGACCCGTGTACCCTTCTGCAATCGTCTTTTCGACCATGGCAACATATTGGGTACCGATCCATGGCGTGGCATAGACACCAGTAAGCTGCGCCAGAAGAAGAGGAGCTGCGAATAGCTTCATGGCGACCGAGGACGGTCTTGTGGTATAGCGTAGCACGGTTCAGAGGGAGCAGAAGAAGAAACGAAGAACACATTCACCAACCTGGGTTTTTTCTCATTAATGAACTACATCTATCTCCCTCGCCAATTCTTCCCACGCGTGCTCGCCAAGATTCATCTTTCCTCTTCGAGCCCTATTTCACGAGGGCTTAGAGCCTCAAGCCGCTAAAGTGGATCCAACTAGCTCATAAGCTGCGTCCTAGTTCATTTTTGTCTTTGATATTCAACAGCGCTGACTGGATCTGAGAGCCCTGGTGTTCGATGGATGTTGTTTAGGGCTCGTATCTGCGGGCTTAGAGCGCCCCACGCACGGGTCAATACGAGCAAGCCAAGACCCTTGGACCCTTATGATCTCTTCGCTTGCGATCCAGATGATTATGGAGAGAGTGCTTGGACCATTTTTCCCCAACAATCCGGAAGGTTCCGTCAAGTTTAGACGCACATACATCTGAAGTAGACAACAGAGCACAAGAGCTATTTCCAGCAAGGATTGTTTAATCCATGGGCTTTTTTCAGTACACCCACTTTTTTCTATTCCCTTCACGTCCACGTAGATGGCCCAAAAGTCTCGTTCGCTCCCAGTTCCTTCCACGGAATCCCCTGGCTGTCCACGGTGCCGCTGTTGATATTGTTCCCCCACCAGCTGAGACTCACCCGAGGCAGAACCAACGCAAAGAAAATTACAATTGCCGAAACGGCCACACCAGAGTCGAGTGCGGCGGAGAGAACGTAGTTGTATTTGGCCCACCATTGTGGCTTGCGGTTTTTCAGGTACTATCAGAGTCAGCACGGCCTCTTAATCAACTCGACTCGAAACACCTTTCACCTACCCGATTGAAGATATAGCTGACCACAAATGCGGTAGAGTAATTGATTCCTGTCTAAAGCAGAATTTCAGTTTCTCGTGGCCTAAACTGAGTCCAACCATTCTGAACTTACCGCTGGTGGCAGGTTACCAGTCCCCGCAAAGAAAATGGGCCAATGCACAGCGTTCAAAATCTTCGAGTTGGGCCATTTCTTTCTCAATATGAATGTGAGGATCGGTAAGGTTGCGCCGATCCAGAACATATGCAGGAGACCCGAGTATATTTTCCCGATATTATACAAGCGGGTGGGTCCAATAGCTGCCAGCGGTTAGCTTGCTTCTTTTTCATCCTCAAAAATCCTCTATGGGAGATATTTCTTCGTCGAACATACCACCCCAGAAGATTGCACTGTTGTAGTTAACTCGTCCTTGTGGGCAAGTGAAACGATCTGCCTGGGTGCTGGAGCAAACATCCTTTACATTGCCGAGCATCCACAAAAGAACGCCATCTGCTCATCTAGTTAGCCATCGAGATTATTGGGCACACATGCCTTGCTTACTTTGCGTCAAGCTGCCCAAGATACAAGCGATCAGCTGCGCGACAAACAAGGTACGGCGAGGGACCTTCATGTAGAGCCCCAGCTAGAAATGATTAGCCATTGATCCAATGAAATGAAAAAATATGCGGCGGATACCTTCATATCTGCACTGTAGATCATCGCTTGGCTGATCCCTGTATAGGCATAGAACTAGACGATGACGGTTAGTCGCTGACACAAACCCAGGGGTTGTCGAAGATATACCTTGAAGATCAGCAGCACTAGGGGTCGACCCGTAAGCACATAGCCAGAAATAATCTCTCCAAGAACAGTCAAAACATTGCTGTTGAGATTCGCCACAGCGTAAACAATCCCCACAGGGATAACGTAGATCGCAGCCAAGGCAAGGGTGAGGAATACCCCCCAAAAGGGAAGTCCTGTATGCCAGACATATTGTGTGATGATTGCAACAACGATGACAAAAACCTTATCTGGTGTCAGATCCTATATCAGGAGCTCCAATGATGAATTCTAGCTCACCGTCATAATTCCATACCACCACCAAGGTGCATCTGGGTACCGAGAGAGAAGTCTGGCATGGATATCTTTCTTTTTGTCCCCGCGAAATGTGTCAATGATATCCTTGACATGGTGAAGGAGCACATGAGTAATTAAACAACTAAGCACCGCAAAGCCCACCCCATAGGACATGGCAAAAGTGGCAGGTAGATAAATAGGGCTGTAGGCCCGGTACTTTGCTTCGTCAATTGCACCGGTCGAGTCTAGAATCCGACTCGAGTTGTATGTCTGACCGGTATTGTCGTAGGCATCAGATCCTGTCAAAGGGAGGTACGCAGTGAACCAGGTATTAGTGTAGTAGATGATCGGTGTCACCACGGCATAAATGCAGAACCAGCCTGCAAAGACATTTGCTTGGGCCCAGAAGGGAATGACCAGGGGTGATTGATTGTACGCGATCTGACTCCAGTCAAAGGTAGTGGGTAGGTATCCAAGACCGGTGGTCATGCCGAAAAGGTTGTTGAGGATTTTGTTGTCTGGGAGTGGTCAGCATCTAGAATTCGCTCAGAACACCATTAATACTTACGCGGGGCGGCCCAGCAGATGAATGCAAATGTACTCAACCCAGTAAAAATGAATCCCGGCAGCCAGTACCAGCAGAAACCTCCAATAAAAACATACAAGAAGAACTTGTAGCGCGAGATCCGCCAGCCATTGGCAATGAGGTTTGCTTGGCTGTGCAGTGTTTCGAACAATGCCGCATTTGCCAGAGTTGAAGGCCATATCTAGGATATTCTGGATTAGTATGCTTTTATTCTCGCGGGAATATATTCATTCTTACCATCTGCGGTGGTTCAACAATATATTTATAAACCAACCCAGCCAACCCAAGCCCAAACATCTGCATCGACAGCGACAACAGAATCTGGTAGCCAACGGGCGTTTTCATTCCTAGGAACGCTTTCTGTGCCTGGATGGTGGCACTCGCCTGGAGACTGTCAGCATTGGCTCTCAGTGTATATAAGTGGTCAATCAAGCCATTACCCAAGACTGGCCAAAACTGAGATTCGACATGATCGTGATCACCGCATGCTCCTTGATATTGAAATGACGATCGGGATTGAGAACAAGCTCCCACCCAAAAATACGAATGCTTTTTACAGGCAGGACTTTGGCAACGAAGCATCCAAGCGGATAGCTGAGCAACTGCGCAACTAGTGACGTGATGGTCACGCTGGGATATCGCATCGAGAAGAATTGGTTAACTCCGGTTCCAACCTGTTTTTCAACATTAGGTGAGCCGATTTCAATTCTTCCCAGGACTTTCAGGAGCTTTCATACTAATGTGAATATCACGCCGAGGCACCACATCCGCACCGTATTGACAGGCAGGCTGGGGTCATCTGTATTGGGTACATTTGCCCGGACCTCGAGATAAGGCGAGTTATCTGAGTCGATCGTGTATTTGGCTGTCGTGGTTTCCCCAATGGCAATTTCCATTGCCTCGTCGGCGGTGACTGGCTTCTTGGTTGTCTCGGGGTCGTTGAGGTAGGGGTCATCGTGAGATGCCTCTACCTCGCTGTGTTGATGTGATAAAGCCATAGGGATTTTCTGTGAGCCGTAGCTGGGTAGCTGGACGGTTGATTCAGAAATACTACCCCTCTCTGCCCTCACATCCCGCCGGCTTTTATATGTATGGAGTCTGCGATATACTAGACCATGGCGGTCCAACTAGCATCCTTTCTTGATAGGATAGCCACCACCTCACTGTGCTCGCATCCACGGGTAAATATCTCACAAGATAAGACTCTCATATGCGGGGAATTCGCACAGCGAGCCCGTTCATAGGCTCCCCCAGACACGGATCATCCGCAGATCGGCAAAGCTCCGGTACGCCTCTCAAATAGCGAGATCGAGGGTAAGGTCCAAGCGAGGGAGAGTAATGCCGAGACCAAACCAAATGCTTAGCTCGTGCTTTTCTATCTTGTGGTTTCTCGAATGTGGTAGAGTCAAGTTGGAGACGAGCGATAAGACCGGGGGAATCCCGAAGCGGGGAAGACACAATGCACTGGAGGAATGAGCCCGTTTAGAATGTTTCTGGTCAGGCTATGAAAGAATCAGACCAAGTTGTGGACCTGTGCTCTTTCACTTGGGTTCACCAAAGACTGTCCTGACAAAGGATGTCGGTATATCGCGGAGATATATCTTGCAGTCAACTCAGACTCAACTGATATTGGATTCCTACTAATGCTCATTGTGATCCCTCAATTAAAAGAAAATGCAAAGACCACAAGATGTCCAAGCAATAAAGTGCGTGGATCTTCAAGGCCGAAGTAACCGAGAGCAGGTGGCCCCCAGTCCGCGTGGACCTTCCCAGCAAATATGCGGTGATTTCTCACCATTCGCGGCATGTCTTAAAAGACGGCTTGGTGGCATCGTCAGCGCGAAAAAAACACTCCTTTTTGTACTTCAAAAATTGATAACCCTTTGATAATAAAACGGTTTGTAAATCAAGGGGGCACGAAAACTTCCCATTCCTCCGACATGACCATCGCCAAGTCCGCGCCTCTGCTGGTCGTTGGAGCTGGCACTTGGGGCATATCGACAGCACTGCATCTGGCCCGACGGGGGTACACCAATGTCACAGTCCTCGACCCGTACCCCGTGCCCTCGTCCATCTCGGCCGGCAACGACATCAACAAGATCATCTCGTCCGGCCAATACAGCAACCGCAAAGATGAAATGGAAGTCAACGAGATCCTCGGCGACCAGGCATTCAAGGGCTGGACCGAGGATCCCTTGTTCCAGCCGTATTACAATGACACTGGCCTGCTGATGTCTGCCTGCACGCAAGCAGGTGTCGACCGACTGGGTGTCCGCGTGCGACCTGGGGATAATCCCAAACTAAAAGAGATATCCACGACAGAAGATTTCCAAAGCCTCGGTCCGCCAGGTGTCCTACAGGGCCGGTTCCCGGGGTGGAAGGGGTTCTTTATTCGCTCGGGCGCAGGGTGGGCTCATGCGCGAGACGCTCTGGTGGCAGCAGCCCGCGAGGCCCAGCGCCTGGGAGTGACATTCGTCACAGGATCTCCGCAAGGGAAAGTAACTTCCCTGATCTTCGAAGATAAAGACGTGAAGGGTGCAGTGACAGCCGATGGCAAGGCATGGTGTGCCACGCAGACCTTCTTGTGCGCGGGCGCGAGCGCAGGCCAGTTGCTAGACTTCAAGGACCAGCTGCGCCCTACAGCTTGGACTTTAGCCCACATCAAGCTCGAGCCGGAGGAGCGTGCGCGGTACAAGGACTTACCTGTGATATTCAATATTGAGAAGGGGTTCTTTTTCGAGCCGGACGGCGAGGGCGAAATCAAAATCTGTGATGAACATCCTGGATACACGAATATCTCTCACAGTACGGATGGCTCTGTCCGCAGTGTCCCTTTTGAGAAAACACAGATCCCCAAAGAATCTGAAGAGCGAGTCCGGAATCTCCTGCGGGAGACCATGCCGCAGCTGGCTGAGCGGCCATTCAGCTTTGGGCGCATCTGCTGGTGTGCAGATACCGCGAATCGGGAGTTTATCATCGACCGCCATCCGTCGCATGCTTCATTGATTCTTGGTTGTGGTGCTTCTGGTCGTGGTAAGCTATTTATCAAGTTGATGGTGCCTTCATTTGACTTAAATGTGGCTCACCGAGTCTCGCACACAGGATTCAAGTATCTTCCATCTATTGGTAGTCTTATTGTGGATGCGATGGAAGACAAGGTCCCCCCGAAGATTCATGAGATTATTAAATGGGACTCAGACTCCGCGAAGGACAGGAACTGGAAGGACACACTGGGAAGACATGGAGGGCCGAATAGGGTGATGGACTTTCACGAGGTCAAGGAGTGGACGGACCTTCAGCCGAGGAATATCTCCAAGCTGTAAACAGAATAACTCCTCGACATTGAAGAATCTACTATAACGGCATATGGATACTGAAGACTGAGGCATTCTACACAACTCGCAGGTCAAGATATGAAGCATGTCAGATTCATTGCACAGCTAGCTAATGAGACCCATTGAAAATCGAAAAGTGGTATCTAGTTTTTGATCCTTGCCACCCAGATCGTGCAAAAGAGAAAGAAACAAATGCGAGAGATCTCATAACTCTTCATCCATAAAACGTGAGAGAACAACGGGGATGGGACCAACCGCTCAAGCGAGATGGACCGACAGTGGGATTAGCATCGGTCCTGGCATTCGGTCTGGCGCTCAGCTGCTGGCAACAAAGTTCGCCTGGGCCCGAGTGTTCTTGATCGTCTTCTTGATGATGCTCTCGACCTCATCCCAGTCATTGGTATCAACGCGCTCGATGTTGCAGGAGAAGTGCTGCTGGATCTTGCGGAGCATTTCCCACTCATCGCGGCTCGACACGAACGATATGGCAACACCAATGCGTCCGAAACGGCCGGTACGACCGATACGGTGAAGGTAGGTCTGGTAGTCGGGTTCACGCGAGCGCGAACCAGGGGTGAAAGCCTCGGGAACGTCCTGTCAAGGAAACACAGATGGTCAGCTGTGACGTTAGGTGACAGGGGGAAAAGGTCAACTTACGTAGTTGACAACCAGGGACACAGTAGACACATCAATTCCACGGGCAAGGACATTGGTGGTGATGAGGACCTTCGCCTCACCGCTGCGGAAGGCGTCGATGACAGCGTCACGCTGAGAGCCCTCGATACCACCGGTCAGAGACGCAACCGTGTGGCCTTCAGCAACCATGCGTCTCTCAATCTCCGCAGCGGAGGCACGAGTCTGGGGGGCATTAGCACAAACCACAAACTGTAAGGTGCGCAAGGCGATTACCCACCTTGACGAAAATGATCGATGACCCGACAGTAAGCAGTCCGTAGAGCTGCACAAGATTCATGTACTTCTCCTCATCATTGCTGCAGTCCATGTACAGCTGCTTGATACCCTCCACAGTCAACTCTTCATGCTGCAGGGTGATCTCGTTCGCCGACGGAGCGAACTTCTCCGCGTAGCGGTGCACATGAGTGGGGAAAGTGGCAGAAAACAGGACAACCTGGATAGTGCGGGGAAGCATGCTAAGGGAAGATCGTCAGTATGTGGGCATGCGAGCTATTGTGTTTCAGACTCACGCCTTGACGCGGATGCACTGGTCGCCCAGACCCTGCTGGTCGAGCATGTTATCGGCCTCATCGAGCACAAGCACCTTCAGCTGGGTCGGGTTGAGGATGCGCTTCTTGATCATGTCCTGAACAGTACCCGGGGTGCCGACCACAATCGAGCAGTCCATCCGGGCGGGACGAGTAGCAGTGTCGGCGGGCACGGCGGTGCCAATGACCAGTCCATCGAGGAACTGGCCCATAACCTGAATCACACCAACAATCTGGCGGGCCAGTTCACGAGTCGGCGCCAGGATCAGGGCCTGGGGGGTCTTCTGCGATTGCTCGGAGGTGAGGTCCATGCGACTCAAGATGTTCAGGACGAAGGCGGCGGTCTTGCCGGTACCCGACTGCGATTGACCGACAAGGTTCTTCGGAGGGTTGCCCATCAGCAGGGGCAGAGCACGCTCCTGGACCTTGGACGGCTTGCGGAAGCCCATGGTGGACAAGCCCTTGAGAATGCGCTCATCCCTGTTGCGCGACCACTGTCAGTGCTCATCGAGAAACACACTAGTTCCATTGTAGGTGGCACTCACAGACCAAGCTCCTCAAAGGTCTTCGCCGAAAACAAAGGGTTGTTGGGATCCGCCTGGAGATCACTAAGCTTCACTTCGACCGTGTACTCGGGCTCCTGCAGCTCCGAGCCGCGCAGCTCAGCTCCTGCGCCATCCGGGCTAGGCTTCTCGGGGGAGTCTGTAAAAGCACGAAATGATTAGCGGGATGTCGCAGAACAGTTTCCCAGATCGCGAGAAACCGAGGCGACAACGACGCGGGGCGCGGTCTCGTTCGTACCGGTAGGCTTCGATTCTTCGGGCTTGGAGATGCGGTCCTCCAGGGAACCCCCGGCCTGGGGGGTCTCCGTGGGGTTCTCGGACGCCATGACGTTGGTATTGAGATTAATGATCCAGAGAGCTTCAAGATTCAAAGTGAAGGTAAGAGAATGAGAGAATGAGCGTGATGTTGGAAGAAGCAAGAATGTGGAGGGGCGCGGGGCAAAAAAAAAAGGACGGGGATGAGACCGTTGAGCCTTCAATAGAGCCCTTTATGTGATTCAAGAGATGAAGACTCAATGAGACAATAGATGAATAGAAATCAATGAGAACGAAAAAGAGTCAATAGCAACTCAATGCACGATTGAAATCGAGTGAATCAACGATTCGATTAAGAGCGAAAACAATGATGGAGCGTCTGCTGGTAATATTACGGTTATACCGGGGGACACCCTTATTGTTCTATGTATTAGTTGTATTGTTTGTGACGGGCATCTCCCCGCCTTCATCATAGGCTTCGGGGCACTTCCCAGGTACACACCCTCGCATTGTATTCTTTGGTCTGTGTCTGTCTGCCCCGGGAGTGTTTTGAGAGACAGTGAATTCACCTCGCGACGTGTTGCTATTCCATCGCTGTCGCATGTGTCGTCTGGTCCCAACTGCATCCAAGCCATGTCGGCAGCAGACGTGGCTCCTCAATTTGGAGCGGAGCTGAAGGTACGTGACGACAGGTGTGGGTTCTCCGTCTTGCAACCTCATAGCTAATCAGATCCACCGTGAAGGATTCATTCAAACCGGTCAACACTTGGGTATGTCCCTCCCCCGACATCGCCTCCCCGCAACTCGGTCAGATCGCCTCGGGCTTGGAGTGGCGCTAATGCAGCGGCGTTGCACAGGTATCGAACGGGATATCATGGCTAGAAGAGATACAGCAATTCTACCGGGAGCGCAGTGTCATTGAAAAGGAATACGCAACCAAGTTGGCCACCCTGTGCAAGAAATATTCCGATCGCAAATCGAAGAAAATCAGCCCGCTCAGTGTCGGCGACACTCCTACCTTAACCCCCGGTTCCCTCGAAAGCGCGTCGTTGACCACATGGTCTACACAATTGACTGCCGTTGAATCGCATGCCGCCGAGCGAGACAAGTTTGCCACGGATTTGGTTACGCAAGTGGCGGAGCCCCTCAAACTAGCTGCCACCCAATACGACGAGATTCGCAAATCCCATGTCGAATTCCACGGGAAACTGGAGAAAGAACGCGATGCGTCGTACGGCGAGCTCAAGAAGGCTAAGGGGAAATATGATGGGTCCTGTCAGGAGGTCGAGTCGCGACGGAAGAAGATGGAGTCATCATTCGACCACGGCAAGGCCAAGGCTCAATCCGCTTATCAACAGCAGATCTTGGAAATGAACAACTACAAGGTACGCACTCGAGCTTTTCTCACTAATATTGACTACTGACATGGTCTCCAGAATCTGTATCTCATCAGTATCAACGTTACCAACAAGCTAAAGGAAAGGTTTTACCACCAATATGTTCCAGAGATGATTGATGTGCGTGCTGGAACTTGGCCATCCGCCTCTGATATTCCAACAGAGTGTGCTGACTTTCGACACAGGGCTTGCAAAATCTCAATGAAACGCGAGTAACTAGATTAAACGCACTGTGGACACTTGCGGCGCAACTGGAAAAATCGTCGCTCTCCAATAGCACAAACCACATGACGAATTTGCTGCATGAAATCCCACGCAACGAACCGCGACTAGATTCGCTCATGTTCCTTCAACATAACGTGACACAATCACAAGAACCTGCCGACATGGGCTTTGAGCCAAGTCCAGTTTGGCATGACGATGCCTTAATTGTCACCGATGAGGCTGCTAAGGTCTTTCTGCGCAATGTTTTGGGTAAAAGCAAGACTCAAGTCCGCGAATTACGAGTAGAGGCGGATCGAAAGAGACGCGAGGTTGACACCATGACGAAGGCGCGCCAAAACATTCAGCAGGGCAAGGATGACCGCAGCGAGGTGGATATCGTCCGATCGATATTCTACTTGCAAGAGGCCCTCCATGACGTGGACCGCAAATGGCTCACGGCCGAGGTAGAAACATCTACCATCATATCAGTGACCGGAGACCTGTCATTGGGGGCCAAGAACCACAATTTCCGATCTCAGACGTTTAAGATCCCGACAAACTGTGACTTGTGTGGAGAGCGCATTTGGGGATTGTCCGCCAAAGGATTCGATTGTCGGGACTGTGGGTATACATGTCACAGCAAATGTCAAATGAAGGTCCCCGCCGAGTGTCCAGGCGAACAGTCTAAGGAAGATAAAAAGAAGCTCAAGGCCCAGCGACAAGATCAGGCTGGGGCGATGCCTCTCGCTGATCTTGATTCAACCTCGACCTCGGCGGCGGCGCCATCACTCACGCGTCAAAACACCATGAATTCGCTGAGCTCTGGGTATGCTGCTAGCACCACTCGGTCGGTCTCCAACGTCGCCGCGCAACCCACCCCAGAAAGCCCGGCAGAGGCACCTCCGGCCCCTGTTGCGGAAACCAAGCCAAATGCGCCGAAGCGAGGCAGAGTCCTGGCACCGCCCCCGTCAGCCTATGTCAGTACACCGTCGGTGAATGAGCCCAGTCCCGCTTCGAAGTCCGGAGAACCAAGAGGGAAAATGCTTTATGCCTACCAGGCCACTGGTGCGGACGAGGTCACAGTCCAAGAGGGAGATGATGTGGCAATCCTTGAGCCCGATGGTGAGCTATATAGTTTTCTGGAACTCTAGTAGCGGCCTCGCTAACTTTGATCTAGACGGTGGATGGATGCGCGTCCGCGCCGGCGCCAGCAAGGGTCTTGTCCCAACATCGTACGTTGAAGCTGCCCCGGCGCCATCGGCTAGTCCAGCCCTCACCGATCGACCTGGGTCCATATACTCCAATTCTTCTGCGTCTCTGGCAGGCGGTGCTGCACCCAAGCGTGTTGGGCCCGCGGTGGCCCCGCGACGGGGTGCCAAGAAGGTTCAATATGTCGAGGCGTTGTACGACTACGAAGCCCGTAGCGACATGGAATGGTCCATGGCAGAAGGCGAACGGTTCGTTCTGATTACTCGCGACGGTGGGGACGGCTGGGCCGACGTCGAAAGAGGTGGAGTCACCAAGAGCGTTCCCGCCAACTACATCCAGGAGGTGTAGATGCGGTCTGTATACCCTAGTCAATCCACCTCCCCAGTGCGATCGCAGCTGCCGAGGAGAAGATGTTTATGAGGATGTTCGTGCTGATGTGGCCCAGGGGCCATCCCTGCTGTATAGTTGGCGTTTGAGTGGCCTGTTGTGATTTTGCATCAGCAAGGAGCGTTTGGGGGCATTTGTGCTCGGCATCTATTTGCGAATTTTGGACATAGCATAGCCAGCATAAAATTGGTCTCTGGCCTTCAATTCGTGCACACATAGCTCCCTCGGTAACACTATCCCGCCACATCCAAGCTTCCTCTCACTCCCTTCAATCCCCTTATTTTTCATCAATAATCGTCGGTCCTGAGGACTGTTTATGTTTGAAACACATTCGGCTCGCATTTAACTCGTCATTTCGTCATATTTGGATTGTGCTCACAGGATACCCAGTCACGTTGCCTCGATTTCAGCCCGACTCCATCCTCCCCGAGGCTATCCACCGTCATAACGGTCATCAAGACAGACAAGTTCACCATCCATCCTGAAATAATTGGCACACGGTGATCATCTTGATTCTGCCTGAACACCAGTGTCCAAACTCTCAAGCCCAGTCTCTGGCGACCAAATGTACCGTGACCAATCCTCAACATGGAAAGTCTCTTCCATCATCCCCTCCCCGAGATCAATCTCCATGTCTTCCAAGTAACCCAAGGACCCGTCATCGAGAGCCAATGCAGGATCTAGCGGGATATCAAAAGGGTTGGCGCTGTCGAGCGGGCTCACCGATGGCAGCGTCTGTGCTATCCGGGCATCAGAAGTGGATGATCCAGCAGACACCAGTGAGTACGCGGGGTCAAATAGAGCCCCTGTGAGGATGCTCTGGGAAAAAGAGCCTGGTGCAGAATTCGAGAGTGATTGGGCGGGCCCAGCTGAACACGTCGAGCCCGCAGCCGAGATATCGCAAGCAGAAACATCGGATGCAGACAGCAGATGAGGCCAAGAGTTCCAATCCCTCTCCGACGATTCAGAGCGCGAGCAATCTCCGACTCCACAAATATCATTGTGTGAAGCGATGTCCCGCTCAGCAGGGAACCTCGCCGACGATGCCGAGCCTGACACGGAAGCGGACCGCAGTGGACGCGGCGGTGCTATCAACGACTGCTCTGCCTTTTCTCCCACCGGACGTGGCGCGATGGGAAGGAAGCCGTGCGGGTTATGCTGCCGTGGATAGAGTCTGGCATGCGAATTCTTCTAAAGAGCACAAGAAAAGAAAAACATCAGCACCAAGACCGTCTTGCATCTCTTCTTCGTTGGGGCGCGAAGATCTGCCGTCCGGTGGTTGGACCCGGCCGTTTGGCTGTGGTTGCGTTACTTTTGATGGACATTTGAGCTCTGCCTCGCGCTTCTGGCGCGCGTGCTCTGTGGGTGACTCGCACGGCGTCGAGTGGCAGATGGAACAAGTGGCGAAGGGGCGGCCCTTGCGCTTGATGCGAATCAACGGTCGATCTATGATTGTCAGCATAGCACTCAACACCTGAACGACAGGGCGTGTGCACTGTCACCGACCATAATGTTTGCAGCTGGTCACACGGTGGCCCCGTATGCAAGCTTCACAAGCACACTTATGACCGTCGATAAGCATCCCTCGATGAGATGAGAGAATCCAGCATGGCGAGTGCGAGCCTGGCTTTTATACCGTTGTTTTTTTCTTCTTTTCTTTTTTACCGGTACAAATTGAGGGGCATTCGAGTTCCCACTTCTTTAGGAGCTATGACATACGATGACAAAAATTTTCTCTGTGCGCGTTCACTGGCCGCTACTGACCTCCGGCATAGGGCAGGGGCCAGCCGATTTCACAGCCACAAGGGATCGACGAGGCCGCATTGGCCTATGCACCATTCGGAGGGTTCCATGCTTTTTATTAAGCTGGTTTTTAGGTCTGGTGGGGGGAGCTTGGGCCAGCCATGAGTGAATCATCGTTTGGATGTGTGGGTGTGGCTTCAAATGCGGTGCTTTTTTTTTGCAACTACATCCGCCGTGGGTCCTCAAGGCAGAGTACAAAATAATGCCAGCTAGCGGCGGTTGCGCGATAAACCCGTTGGAGCGAGAACCAGAGGTTGGGAATCGACACAATCCTCCCCTCTGGAACGTGGTCGGTTGCAAGCGAATTTTTCAGATTGTTCTCAACGGTATGAGGCATTTTCGTCCGCCTCGGCTACTGCAATTCCCGTTCAGATGGTTCTGCACGCGCCGACCCCAACTCATGTTCTCCTCAGGCTGGAAATGAACACCGGGAAATTATTTTCTTTCGGTGGGAACCTGTGACGCTCCTTCGGCCTGCCAGATCGGTGCTAGATCTTGGCTACAAATCCCTCATACCCAAAGACATAGCCACAGAGCCACAGTCACAAAGGCCTTGTTATCCCAGAGCCTTGTGTCAGGATTGCTTGTTGTGTTGCACCGAGGGATTTTGCCTCAATTGTGCGAGTGAACTACGTGTGCCATCTGACCGACTCATGTCTCCCCTACTCCTCGCCATAGATCCTACTTGGCTAGCTATACTCCAGGCGATCAGTGACCAGCGCACGGTGGTTACGACATGATATCACCCCACAGCGCTGCAAGTGCTAGCCGATGCCAACAGCGCAGGAGATCTTCTGGCTCGGCAACATGGGCTTGTGTACAGCTGGAGGTGGCTGTGCATCGACATCGGTTGAGTGGCGTCGCACCAGTTGGTTTTTTTTATATATATTTTTTCTCCCGATGAAATACCAGCGTCTCGACTGGCTCACCACACCCTGGCTTCTCAAGAAATATTCAGCTGCCTGGGTAAGGGTGGACCGAACACCCTTTCCTCCGACAATGGGTTACGGACCAGTACATCCAGGAATCCCCCTGGGATGAAAAGGAAAACCCACCGATTAAGCCACAATTAAGGAAAATTAAGCTCCATCACACGCCAATAATCAGGTCTGTGCTGGGTAGACCTGCCATGGGATGTGGATCGCGGATCTCCACTTCGCCAGTATGCGCCATTTTGTATACCTGAGGCTTTTTTTTTTTTTGCTCCTTCACATTTGATTTTTCCTTCCTTCTTCGCTAAGCGAAGAGGTCTCACAAATCCCACTTCACCGATGGTCAAATTCGAACTTGAAGGGTGTCGAACTCGCCGGTGTCAGACTCCAGGCACCCCTATAATCTCTATCTCGGAGAGCATCATCTCTTTTCCTCCTGGGTCGTGACATTTCACAAATATCGACAAGGATATAATGTGAACAGTTGTTTTGTGGGGTGGCCTGGTCGATATGTGTGCTTAACCATGCAGGGTCTGATTTCCCTGTAGTACAAAGCCCGCCCATTGGAGACTATAGCGGATTTAGCTCATGCTCGATTACCGGTTGATTCACGAGATTTGTTTTGGAGGCTTTGGGCTTTGGTTCAAACAAATATTTTCAGGACCATCATCAAAGGCTCCAACCCGTTTTATATTCGAGCCGCTCTCCTAAGTCTGTCTCAATTGTCTCTCGTGGTAGCGATGCAGCCACACCGAGTGGGCAAGTTGCGGGGTCGCCTAGCGATATACGGCATGCCATCGTCCACTCTGACTGGCAATCTAATTTCCTCGCACATCTTCCAAGTCCCAGTATCCTTGGTGTGTGACGGGCAAATCCGAACATTGGGCTCGACCAGCTAGCGCGCTAGCCCATCCGGGGATTCGGGGTGAGTAGGGCTGGATTCGAGCTGGTGCAAGTGCCAATCCTGCCAGGCTGCATGTTCTATTCTTGACGCTGCCAAGCATCGGCGATGCTCGGGCCGTAGCGAACCGCCAAAATGCAGCTTGGAGTGTGTTCCCCCTTTCCAATAAGCACGTTGACTGGAGCTATGTACACATGGCCTCGCCCTTCAAATTGATGTCTGGAAGGCCCTGAGACATGGAAAATGCGAAACCTCCAGTGTGCGTTAGGCGAGGCGTGTCTTACGGTGCCAGCAGAGAGGGATGGGGGGCCTGAAGACTTCAGGGTGTTCATTGGACCCGCCCTCGGCGATCGACAGGCCAAGGACTGCGAGCTGAAGGAGGATCGCATCTCGGCGTCCCCCACCGAAAGGCCCCGACATCACGTTTTCCATGGTCTGGGCATGGCTAAGGCCAGAAAACTCTTTTCAATGTCTTTGCATCTTCCAGCAACCTCGAACCGCCTGCCTTTTCGCTTCGCGACGCCCACATTGGCCGAGATAATCACTCTTCAAGGCATCGCTATTGTCTACGGCAGTTTCCGAATATGGCCCGGCTCCTCACTGTGTTCCTGACACTATGTCTAGCCGTGTTCGCCGTCGCCGACCAAAAATGCTACATGCTCGACGGGACGGATGCCTCTAAACACGTTCCCTGTAGCACCGACGAGGTGACCAATTGCTGTCACGCCAGCTCGGTGTGCATGAGCAACGGGTTATGCTACCTCCAGGGCAAAATGGGGTCCACGTTGATACGCGGAAGCTGTACTGACAGGAACTGGGGTCCAGCATGTTACGCGCCATGCCGTATGTTGAGACTCTCGACCACTCCCAACTGAAGAAAACCGAGATCGAACAACATGCTAATTGAAGGGGCGGCTGTTAATAGAAAACGCCCAACGAGATCGGGGCGTTCCCATCGTCAATATCGAATACAACCGTTCTGAATCCCAATACTGCTGCGGCCATGTTACCTGGAAGGACGGGAAACAGGGCTGCTATTGGGGAGAACCCTTCAAACTGGCAAAGGGGACTGTGATACCCGGTGTCGCCTGGCTAGCCACCCACGTCGCGGACAATCAAACTGCGAGCAATGTTTCCTCAGCTGGCGAAAGTGACACTCACATTGCGCCGTCTGCTTCGTCGTCTTCTTCGTCGTCTTCAACCTCATCTTCGCGCGACGTGGCCATTGGCGCTGGTGTCGGGGTTCCGCTGGGAGTGATTGCCCTCGCGTCTATTCTCTGGGCACTCTGGGAGCGCCGACTGCGTAAGCGCATCCCCAGCCAGGACCCTGCGTATGGGTCCTCGATCCGACAGCGTGGAACAGCCGAGCTGAGCAACCCCGAGTCAGACGCGAATCCGCCGGCGGAGCTGGACACGGGAAATGAACCTAAAGATAATACTCATGGGACACAATATGCATAATTTGGCCCCTTCTCTGCGGGGGTAGCAGGACACTGATGTGCCTGCTGTACAGATTGTTGAACTGAGAGGTATAATGTATATGAACGTGGAACGGCGTTGTCTTTCGGTATATCCTATTGATTAGCCCATCTTAAAATATTCGCATAATTCAACAGTTTTGTATGGTTTAAAAGTCCCTGAAACGCTCTTCTATGCTCGAGTCATGACCACCCGAATTGGCCCCTATGCGAATGGCCCCCACAACGCTAAGAAATCTCAAGCTTCCACGCCACATCCAGGGACCTACGAGAGCCCCAATGACTGCCGCTATGGATATGCCGGTGGAGATGCCAGTGGATCCCAGCTGGGCTTAATGGGAACGGGGCGCGGACGATGTAGAAAATAAATAGATACAGTCCTCAACTGTCAACTCGCCCGTTTCTTCGCTTTTCGTTTATTATTTCTTCCAGCATCTACGGTATTGCATTTCTTCAGCGTTCTAACTTTTTCTTTTTCTCTGGCATGTCTCTACAACGCCGGTCGTTCCCCCAGCTGGCCGTCCTCTTTTTGTTTTGTCTCTTCATCTGTACATCCCACGCGGGTTTCGTGGCTCCTAAAGTGGAATTGCCTGAAGAGCCGAGACCCCAGCCAAAGACTGAAAGCGAAGAAGACCCTGGAAGCGGCTCGTCGGGGGGCAGCTCCGACAATGAGTACTATGGAGCCCCTGGCACCATGAACAGCCAGAGTCCGCAAAACGACATCAACCCGCCGCTGTTCTCCGACTCGAGTAGGTTATGCCAGAATTCCATGGTTTCTTCTTTCTAATGCTAGCGCCATCTAACATGAAACGCAGAAACCGCTAAAGAGCTCGCCGAGCATGTAGAAGACCTGCTGGACGCGATCGCCTCGGCGCAGTCGCACACTGCAACCCCCACGTCATCCAGATCGATCTCCTCCCCCGCTGGAGCTCTCTTGCCCACTGCAACTATGGCCTCCGCCGCCACCATGGGCTGCAGCGTCTTCCAGAGTTACATGAGCCTGTGTGCGCCCACGACCGTCCCCACGCCCAGTAGTACCAGCTCGGCGGCCGCAGCCCTGGCCACGGACTCGGTCTTCGCCTCGTGTGCCTGCTACTCGGCGTCGTACTATGTCCCCGAGGCTCTGGACAACGCCGCCCTTGCTTGTGCTGGGTATACTGCCGCTGGCTCGTCGGCGATGCTGAGTACCGGCCTGGCCGCTGCGGCTACGTCTGCTTCGCAGCTGCAGGGCTTTTGCTCGACCGTTGGCAATTTGCGGCACTATTCGAGTACTCCGTTTGGAAAGGCCGCTCCTACTCCGACTGACGAGAATAGCCGGGTGCAGCCTGAGTCCACGAGTACGGGCCAGGCGGGTAGGGTTGTGTCCTCTGGGTTTGGGCTGGCAGTTGCTATGCTCGCTAGTCTTCTTCTGATCTAGAGATGAGTTGGATGGGAGTTCGATGAAAATGGTGAAGAAGGTACGAAGTTAATAGAATATGTTAAAGGACATAATTTGTTGAAAAGATCCATGTCTCTCTCATATCTCGGATCCTCCTGGTATAAAAATGTTTCCCGGACATGGTTCTTTCCACACACTGATACCAAAGAAACATCTCTTTCTTTCGTCCGTTTTCCCTCGACATCCTATCTCACACAACGTTTCCCACGTGTCGATATCTATCTTCCCACAGTTCCGTTGCACTGCAGTAAGGAACTGCAGCAGGTCGCGGTCGGTAAAGGAAGTGACATAGACACGTCGACGGAGTATCTTGTGGAAATATACCAAGGAGTTCATGCCATTTTTCTTAACCACGGGAATTAGCTTCCCGCTGTTTTGTTTTTAATCTGTTGAAATATTGCTCGCCCGAGCAGCCGCACATACGCAAGGCGTTTTCTCTGCAACCTCTTTGATTACGCTGGTCTCTGGACGATGTCTGGAAAGAGCCCTTGTCAAGGCCAGGAAGGCTGCCAGGAGTAACATGAGATAGAAGGGCTTCATTATTGAGGACGAATTTGTGGACGGGATCTGTAAGCTTCTGATAATGAATAATTTAACTGAACTACTTAATCAAGTGAGGAAATAATTTCAGTCTTATACCTAGTCCCTCTATACTGAGATCTCTATTCTACTTTCCTGGTTTTGACCGCTTGATGCGCCAAGAAACTGATTCGCGTGTTCTGGGATACCCTATTCGAGGATATATATCCATGCATACTCAAATCATGATAATGACATCATATAGAAAAAAAGGATGCATTATCCAGTATAAAGCAGGAAGTATGTATGGTTAGTGTAGTACGGAATAGACGAGACCGTCTTACGACTTGAAAATCATGTCCAGAACCCATCCAGCCTTATGCACATCAACAATGACTAGACCCAAGTTCAGAAGGACGTATATTGCTCTACCAATACGAGTCCATTGTGCCTCTAGTACATTGGCAGATGCCGACAAATTATAAGTGCTCTTCATGGACAGGGTTGCACAAATGCAATGCAATGCAGCAGGAGATCGTGGATTCGCGTGTGGGAACTCACATTATCATTTGAGGATTTGGGTGCCTTGACAAATCTGCTAGTCTTGTCTTATAGTACAGAAATGGTTCTTCAACTGGCTTGATCTCATTATAGTTGCTCAAGCAAAAGTCTGTTGGAAATTTAAATAGCGGGAAAATAACTCACCAGTTGACTGTCGCACTATATTGAGGGCAGGTGTTGAGTAACCGTGGGACGGAGGTGTAGAATTCGGCATTGTCTTGTTAACCAAGTCATGTTGGGCAGAAATTTTTCATTCAAGTCCTTTATTTTCATCTCTAAGTCTCGGGACTCATGTGTCTAGCTACCCCTAACATAGGAAGTAGAAACCAATTGAGGAGAGCATATGGCTTCGAAGTCCACGAATATATAGTTTATGAATTTTAGGATAAGCAAAGGCTTACTTTTACCATGAGCAACAGTGTATTACAACATAGCAAAAGCAGAAAGGACCTTAGTTTTTCGTTCTTTGTCACATTGGGAACCCCTCTCACTCCATATCCCTTCATGATAATGAACAACATTGGCAGATAACCATAGCCCTAAGGTAGCCCTGTGAGCAATTATTCTAAGCAAGGGGCTTGCCTTGAGCCTGATCCTTCGGGGAATGATCTCATGCACAAACCTTACTAAAATCAAAATGTCCGAGATCACCAGCCATGTTTGAAAATGATCATGTCCTGCATTCCAGTCCCTTCGAACTCCCGTGCCTAGCCGACCCTACTCACAATCTTCCGATGCTATCCCTGGGATGTTTCTATGCCCCACACAGAGCACGTCAGTTGCAGCCTTTAGAAAGGTTTCTTTCTGGGGAAGCTCCCTTCCACAGGAGCTCGATACCCGTGTCTCCACACGACAAAACATCCACACGTAGCCTCGGCAACCCACTCGTCTCAGATATCGGAATCATCAGATTCCCAGTCCGATTGCATGATACGAAGGCGTCTCTTTAGATATCGGCTACCAGATAGTTGGAAAACGGGCTTAGTATTGCTAGCTACGGCTTTTGCTTCTTACGTTACATGCCAGTCGTATCAAGTTCGGCGTCTGGTGAATTCCTCTCGTCGTCTGACTGAACTCAATCAAGGTTTACCCCTTCCTATGATATGGCTACATTTGAAGATTTGGAAAATGTGGAATTCATTATAATAGATATGGCCCTTTTGATTGTGAATCATAAACCCAATCGTCAATCCACGAACAATATTAAAACGCAATCCCGTTCTCAAATTCAATGGATACCAGCACAGCCTTACGCAAAATTTCAAGTCTCGACGGAAAAACTCGATTATGTTCATGCAGTGATAATGAGGACATTACTATCAACCAACATGTCCTGCCCCCTACAGATGGCGGATTTCATGCATGGATGTTTCTGGCGGCGTGTACGATGATAGAGGCTTTGGTCTGGGGTATGTCTGTCAGCTATCCGTCAAGTGAAAGCATATTTCTCATCGAGTTACAGGATTCGCGTTCGCTTTTGGTGTGTTTCAAAGCTATTATCGGGCAAGTGACAAGTTCGAAGATTCAAATATGGTAGCAGTCATTGGGACATGTGCCACGGTAAGAAGTGGAAGCTGCTAGCTCAAGAGAAAATGCTAACAAGATGCTTGCAGGGAATTGCCTATTTGAGCTGTCCATTGGCGATAGTGACGATGATTCTCCTCCCTCGAATGGCAAAGTGGTTCTCAACAATAGGACTGACCATCATGTGTTTCTCGCTAGCCATGGGCTCCTTCGCCTCAAATGTCACACACCTCATCCTATCTCAAGGCGTCGGATTCGGTATCGGTGGCTGCATAGCATACAGCCCGTCGATCCTATTCATGTCGCAGTGGTTCATCAAGCGAAGAGGACTCGCCTTCGGTATCGTCTGGGCCGGATCCGGGTTGTCGGGGATCATCTTCCCACTCGGACTGGGGAAACTCTTAAGTCAGTTCGGGTTTGAGACCACGTTAAGGATTTCTTCTGTGCTGCTCTTTGTGCTGGCTGCTCCTTTTCTATATTTCCACAAACCCCGACTGCCTATCTCGAACACAATAGCCTATCGCCGACTGAACTTTCGGTTTATCTACAACAAGGTCTTTGTCATCTATCAAATTGGTAACATTATGGAGGCTCTGGGATTCTTCCTACCCGGCATCTACCTTCCCACCTACGCACGCCTCATCGGTGCGCCCGACTATCTTTGCTCACTTACGGTGACCATTCTCAATCTAGCCTCGGTGTTTGGCAGTGTATCCATGGGGTTTCTATGTGACCGATACCATGTCCTAACCTGCATTGCCATCTCTACTATTGGCACCGTGGCCTCCGTCTTGCTTATTTGGGGTTTCTCTATAACTATCCCCGCCTTGTTGGTATTCTCTGTTGCGTATGGGCTATTTGCGGGGAGCTTCTCAGCAACGTGGTCCGGATTTACCCATGAGGTGCAGCAGGTTGATTCAGCTGCTGATGCTACAGTCATTTTCTCTATTATCGCCTTTGGTAGAGGCATTGGGAATGTTGTCAGCGGTCCATTGAGCGAGGTTTTGCTGAAGGCAGATAGTTGGCAAGGACGTGCAGTAGGGGCGTATGGCAGTGGATTCGGACTTCTCATTGTGTGTACTGGCTCGAGCGCTATGCTGGGGGGATTATGTTTGCTTGCGCGCTGTTTTAAATTTCTTTAATTTTTGAGAAGTCTCAGTCAAGTATAAAGGTCCACATGCAACTTTTGTAGATTTTCTCAGATATCTCAAGATGATCGCGTTCAAACATTCTAAGACGTGGTTAACTTGGAAATATATTTGGCTTGAGCAATAAAATTTCAGTATATACTGTTTTGGCAAACCCACGAAAAGAAGTAATATTCTTTCATATAATATCAGCCAAGTTTGAGGTTTAGTTAATATCTTATCCCGCATCTTAGCTATTCAAATCTTCGGCTTAGTTATGCCTTCCTATAGTGGCATCGGTGAGAAGCCAGATACAGAGGATACTGATCAGTATGTGCTAACCAATAAATACAGGTAGGTACCCGTGGACCTATAATGAAGTGAGCGATAGGATTTACTCTTACGATGGATTGACCATGTCCCTAATAACCCTAAAACCTCCACACCGACCAGTGCTTGCATAGATAAGTGCTGCCAGTCAGACATTAATAAATGGACCGAGGTACGGGGTTCCCTTTTCGTGATCGTAAAACCAACATCAGAATATAACCATGATGTATATAGCATCACAGGGACAAGGCACTCTGCGTGACGTCACTAGCAAGACAAATACCAGGAACAAAATCCATAATCGTGGAGATTTCGAAGATCTATTGAAAATTCCCCGCAGTTCTATATAGTTTCCGATTAGTGCTGACCGCATCTTGATCACGCTGACCATTGATTTCATTGATCGACATACCAGCAACAAAAACAAGAAAATTGAGACCACCGCCTACACGAAAAACGAAGGAATAGAGTAGTGGGTATGATCCCCCTGGGCCCCCAGCCGGTGCTTTTCCTTCCCCCCCCGGCCAGGGCAACCTTTCCCATTTCGCGTACTCTCGCGTGACTTTCCTCTTCTGCTTCTTTAGCTTCTCCATATGCAAGTAGTCTCTGGCCAGCACATACATGTTCAGCTTGTGGCTTCGTGTAGGCTGAACTGTTCTTCGCTTTCATGGTATTATGTTTATTTGTATTTTCATTTTACTTCCCCTCTCTCTAACTAGAAAGAGAAGCAGCCAAGAATGGGGAAAACCCCGGATACACCCTAGCAAGCGGGGAGACATGGATGGCTCCAGCAAGCAATCCCCAGAGCGCAGTAGCCAACGAAATACGCGCAGGCATCTTGCCAAGGGGGAACCATCCATCCGCAGTCAATCGGCAAATTCGGCGCCCCCATTGTCTCAGCTCCAAACTAAATGGCAAAACGGCGTACTGGTCGAATCCCCGCGACGTGGAGTGCATATGTACCGGCGTGATCCATGGGGATGAGAGCGAACAGACCAGCTGCTAATTTTACAATTCTATAGCGGACGAGGCGGAAGAAGTGGAGGGGCTTTATGCCTTGGTATGGGCATCGTCTTCTTGGCAGAGGGTCGTTGGAATAAAGTAAAGCCCTTGATTCGGTGGTGGCGGTGACACTGAGTGGTGGATCTCCACAGTATAAAAAAAGGGGGCCAAAGCCAAGCATGGACCATACAATACGGGGGGGCCCGGCCTTCCCTCCTTTTTTTTTTTGTTTCCCTTTCTGGGGGTTGCGGATGGAGGACGGCCTATTGCCTTGGGCCTATCACCTTTCTTGCGTGAACTGTTGCAGGGATTCTTTGCTTTTTTGCCGTTCTTAGGAAATGCAATGCAACATTTCCTCACTATGACTACATTTGTAGATCGGACATGACTCGATGCTAGGTTTGTGTTCTTACTTGCAGCTTTGTTGCTGGGGTTGCCCCGCTGTAATTCCTTTTTGTCTGTTCTAACCGCGGTTAAGCAACCCGGTGGACTTGTGCTAGTGATATTTCCAGGTCGAACATGTCTCATATGCTTCGGCTTAATCACGGGATATCTCGCGTGTCGCGGTGGAGCAAGATCACTATTTAAAGCACTATTGTATGTATCTAGCGATGATACTTTCGGGTATTGAATTCCGCTCGGGTATCTGTGGGGATTCAGCGAGGTCGATACCTACGGGAGGCCCGAGGAGTTCCACTTGGCCATCGCTACACATTACACATGTAGGTTGTCGCGTGCATACTACATAGTGTGCAATCTATTACAAAAAGTAGATCCACCATCTCATTCGAGACACTTCTAGCGAGTCCCCCGCGGATACCCCGAGCGGACATGGACTTTTCCGGGGATATGGGGTGCATTCAGTGTTGATTTTTGTAGTGTGACCAACAGTCCAAGTGTGATGAAACATTTCCCTGGGGTGAGCAACCCCTGCATGATGTAGCCATCCCAATAGGGAATCGGGCGCCCGAAGTTGCAAAATGCCCGTAAGTCATTGACCATGCGATTAGACGCAGACGCTGGGGGAATCCGTGGCCGGTTGCTGCGGCAGTTACTTAAGGGGTTATGGGTGGATCTACGGAAATACGATTGGCGCTCAACGTGGCAGGGACCAAAGCAAGGTCACACTCGATCGACAGACTCTGGATCTTAGTTTATATTTTTCTAAACCGATGAGGCTGGGTCAACCAGAGCAGCCTTTGGCCCGGATCCTGGCGGGACAAAGGTGTCCACAATGAGGAAAAGCTTGACACGTCGCAAAGGCAGAAGGGGTGATAAAAATAGTGGCAAGAGGAATGCTCAAACAAATGAGTTACTACAATTTTTTTTAATGAATAATAAGAGCTATAACTATCCTCGTGGTGTTGCTGTTGCGATTGGGCAGCACATCCGCACTCGCCGCGGTTGCTTACAATTAGGGTTGTGGATGATTTTCAGTGTGAAACACAACCTCACATCGCCAGAATCTGGGTCAGGAACATCAACCCGCCCTTGGAACCAATAATACCAGCACCTCGGCTCAGGGATTCTCTAGCCACTATTTCGAGGGTCTACGACGAGGAGCTAACAACAACGGCTTGGGAAATCAGAGCCGCTCATTCATTATTTCGGGTGACTTCCTCCTTCGCCCCCGTGGGGGCACCAATTTATTTTTGGCCCCATTGCGGAGGATCTCGTGTCACGATGGGTTATTCTCAACTGGAGTCTTTTTTTTTCTCTCTATTTTTAATAGTCTCCGAAGATCCTCCGTGAACTCTGGGCGACGGTCCAAGTTCCCGAATGACCTGACAGCATGGTTGCAAAGCATCTCTAGCGCCAATATGGGGATATTTTGTGGCTAGCTAGGAACAATTCAGAGCTCTTGTGATTTGCCCGACAGATCGAGATTAACCCAATATTACAGATTAGAGACTCATGGATGATTTAATACATGGGTGGAGCCATGTGCGCGACAAATCGGAATCCTGCTCAGGTCTTTAAGCGACATCTACTGTAGAGGGATTTTCAAGTCTGTATGCTAAAGATGCACATCGTGAAATTCTGGTATCTGAACCTGCAAAGGCTATCAAAACTGCATAAAAACAAAGTCATCACGTAGATTCGTAACATCTGGCCCTGGTGCCCCAAGGACCTGCGCCGTTTCCTAAAGCTCCCTCTTCATTAACTTGTACTCCTCGTTTAATCTCCTCCTCAAAGCTCTCTTATCGACGTCCTCGCCCAGTGGGCCGAGCATTTCACCACATTTTAGATACCTCCCACTAAAGTTGATTGCCTTGTCTGGAGGGAGTCAGTGAGACAAACCTTCCAAAGGAGCGCCGACTTACCCAGATCTAATTCTCCTGAGCACTGATCCGCATGGCATTTTATGCTGGCCCCTCGGTGCTCTGAAACCGTCACATCGCAGTCATCGTCCCCACAGCTACCCATTGCACCGCCACTGGAACAGGTCAGTCTTATACCACAAAAGATAGACACAGGGAGAAAAATGTCTTACTCGGCTCGAATCGATATATGATTGTCGTCGTTTGCAAGGCAATGGTTGAGATCGAGGCCGAACTTCTTCGACCGCGATCCCACTTTGCATTCCACCCAAATCCACCCTTCGCTCAGCTTTGCGTTCGAGCAAATCTGGGAGAGAGGTACATCGCCGGCCGGCTTGGCATCATTGCAATAAGAAAATGCAGTTACGAACAAGAATGGGAGGACTTTGAAGAAATGCATATTTCTTTTCTTGCAAATATGATGGTAGTAGGATTTCGTGGTGAGATCGATAGGCTGAGAAATCTGGCCGGGGGGACGATATAAATGTGAAATGATTGGGGATACAGACAAATCTCAGACAACCGTCCCATTTCAAAACCGGTCAGAAACGAGGGGGCCATGACATACCCCGGCAGTGTGCCGAACCCAGAAAAAAAAAAAAAAAAAAAAAAAAACCAGCATGGACGATCATGGAGGATTAGCTGTGCTGATGAGTGGATATGAAGTTGGCGCGGCCGATGTAACTCGACCCCCGGGACCGTGAAAAGTGGGATCGGCTGCATGGCCCCAAATAGCCTCTTGGTAATTGACTATCTTTGATACAGATGTGGGGTCTCCACGAAAAAAAAAAAATAGAATGACATATGTATTTTCGCTCACAGTCCCGCAGAAAGACGGAGGGCAGGCAAAGATGTTGAGGCCTTGGCAGAGGCTCATAAGTCTATTCATATTTATACTCCGTGGATGTCCCCTGGTTCTTGTCGATCCTCCAATCCAGCTAGCTTTTTATTTTTATTTTTTTTATTTTCTTTATTTTCTTACCTTGAACCTTCATCATGAGAACTCTCGATCTTCTCACAGCAGTCACAATATGTGGTTCGTGCCAAGTGTCGCCCATCTAATACTCGTGGACCATTGCTGACCCTACCATCACCATAATAGCTGCAAGCGTGAATGCAATGCCCTTGGTGAAACAGCTGGATCCGCGAACATCTCTCATCGCCCGAAGAGACTATGTCCTCGGCGGACTGGATCACCTTCTCATGCGAAGAGAGAAAGGCGACAAGGCAAAGTACGAGATCTTCTGCACACAGGACGGCCGAACAAAAGAAAACTGGAACAAACTCGGCATGGGACCACAACTGGAGTTAGAGTGAGTTGAAGGGCCCCTCCTATTCCTGGTTTTTATTTTGAGACTAACCCATCTGGTTGAATAGATCAAATTTGTTCTACGATGACGGGCCGTGCGGCAAAGGGCCGTATCCTTCGTTTAAGGGAAAGTCATTTATGGACGCCATTTCGGGACAGGTCGATGGATATGGAACTTACGGTGGTTGTCATATGTAAGTTTTCAGCTCTCCTTTCTATCTGTCAAATGCCAGACGCTAATGTGAAAGCCGAATACAGGGAGACTTGCGATCCCATTCAACCCGACGAGAAAACCGCGTGCAGAAAAAACCACGACAATCCGATGTGGCTGATGTTCATGTACTCGATCAAAAACTACGCCGACTATATGAAAGAATTGAAAGAGGGATTAAACCAGGGGTTTACGAATACGTGGAAGGAGAGTCAGAATATGGTCGAGGATTTCAGCACACCGGCTGAGGCTCTGGTACAAGATGTGAGTCTTGGGCGGAGGACCCCCCCCCCCCCCCCCCAGTTTGTGTGCAGAAACTCATCCTTTGTTTTTGGTTTATAGAAAACTGCCTCAAATTCCTTGATCATTACTGCCGGAGCTCTGGCCGGACTCGGCGCAGCTTTGGGTTTAATTAGCCCAGTGGCTGGTTCTCTCGTGGGTGGTGCCAGTGGCATGGCAACCATGGCACTTGGGATTGTCAACAGCGCTCAAACAAAAGACCCTGCAGTGTTCGTTCCTCCTTCTCTCGCTTTCCAATCAATCAATACAAACCACGGATGAACTAACCCCGCAAAATAAACAGGCAAGAGGGAGAGAAAGACAAGCGCCAAGAAGTACTGAGCAAGCGTCTTGATTCAGTCAAGATGTCTCTCAACCAGTCAATCGACGACTGGGGCGTCGACCTAATCGACAACGACGTGTGGTTCCCCAACAAGCCGTACGACAACGAGTGGTACTCGGATCGACCACGGAGTCTGGTGCAGGTTCTGCACAAAGGCGAATTCGTCGACAAGCCCGACTCACACACTGCGGACGAGTTTGCCGACAAGATGAAGTCGCACTTCCGGGCCGGAGCGCTGTCATACATCTGGGGCAAGGAGAACGTGTTTATTATCAAGCTCAAATCCGAAGTCAAGGGCACCAAGCCCTGTGATATCGATTGGGACACGTGGGACACCGAGGCCATCTGCATGGATGGCGTCGCCTACGTCTTTCACAAAGTCAAGTCCGGCCACGACGCGCTCAAGGAAGACGCGCGCAAGCTCGACAAGCCTTACGGCTACGATAAGGTGGAGAGTGACTACGGACTCGACTACAAGAAATTAATCCGCGCCGCCGAGGAGTCGCAGAAGGGCGGTTACTTCAAGAAATGGACCAGCGAGGAGGCCCTGGGTAGCTTTGACGACCCGGACGACACAAAGACCTTTAACATCCCCGTCTGTGATCTCGACGATAACTGGACTGCGCAAAGTTCCAAGGGTTTCGATTATAAGTTCATTTCGGTGAGTTTTGTCTCTTTTTCTCTCTTTGCTGTGGCCATTTAGGTATCTGGGCTAATCATCGCTTTGCAGCAACTAATATACTGGAACGTTGCACATTGCACGGGGAACAAGGACCCGAATGATCAGCCATTCCCATACGATATTAACAATGACTATTATTCATAACGCATTATGACTTTTCATGAATGAAATGAATGAGCATGGACTAAATGAACTCAACATCCAAAGCGTAAAGCTTGTAGTAAATGAACAACTTGGACATATCATTCTATATCGCAAGCCCTGAAGAGCCGCCTAAGTATGTAGCATAGATGAAATTTCTATCCCGGTAATAACATCAACATGAACATGTCATTAAGACAGGAAAGTCGTACCAAAGCCGCGGAGGCGAGAGTATTGTCTTCGAGTAGAAGGACATTGGGTGTGAGTGCACCGGCACCCCCAGTCTCCCTAGGCAGTCTTTGTTTAAAGCAGTAAGCCGGTGGCTTATTAAGAGACCCTGTTTTTAACTATTGTCAAGAATACAAGGTCGTTCAGCCATGGCTAACACATAATATTTCGTAGGGAATGCCATCATACGGTCTGATGTACACGTGAAACAGATACTACCCGGGAACATAGTAACCCGGGAGCGACAGAGAAACACTGTAAAGAAATAAAATACACGCCAGTCAATCGAAGCAAGATTGGAGCCATCGTTAGCTCCAACAAATGCACACAGAATTACAACAAAACAAGACCCGCGCCGAACAGCGTCGACAACCCAGTCACCAGACTCACCACAATGGGCGCCATGCTCAGCTGAGGAGGCTGCAGGCCAGCAGCAGCATTCTTGGAGCTCGTACTGGTAACATCACCAGCAGTTCCGGTAACAGAGCCAGAGCCGGGCTTTGCGGTCTCGGTGGACGGGGTGCCAGCATCCATGCTGCCATCGCCGCCAAAGCCGTCGCCCTTGCCGGCACCCTCCTTCAGGTACTTCTTAGCAGGCGAGGGCATCGCGGGCAGCGCATCATTGTCGACATCCCAGTTGGGCTTCGACTTGGCAGGGCAGGGATTAGCCCCACCGGTGTGGTTGTACTCGCCATCACCCTTGGGGTTGGAAGTCTTGGAGAAGGCCGTCTTCAGGGCGTCGTAGTCAGGCAGCTCTTTGACATTCTTGTCATTGACCTTGACCAGACCGTAATGACTGGACTCCTGGGAGTATTCGTAGACCAGACCGCCCGAGTAGACGCCAGTCATATCCGTGGAGTACAGAGACTCAACCTCTTGGAACTTGCGGGTGTTGGTGTTGCAGCCATACTCTGACAGGAAGAGCGGGATGCCGTATCCAGTGAAGTTCTTCACCTTTTGGTCCCAGCCGGAGGTGCTGAAAGATGAAGGGTCACACCAGGAATAGTCGTTAAAGGCGAAGAAGTCGCTGCGCTCATCATCGGTACCACAGTTCATGTACTGGGCCATCTCAAGTCGGTTGGTGTTGATGTCGGCCTACGGGAAAGATTAGCATTTGATTGTGACCACAGGCAACGCAGACTTACAGCAGAGTATCCGACAGGGACGTGACGCAGCTTGCGAGCACGCAGGAACGATCGGATATCACGCGTCACAGCCTTGACGTAGGGAGCAGCGGCAGATGAGGGACCATTGTTGATGACCTCGTTACCCGAGAAGAAGGCCAGGGTGTTGTCGTACTTGGCGAACATCTCGACGGTGGCGAAGATGTACTGCAGGTAGACATCGTTGTACGACTCCTTGGGCTTAGCTCGGTTGAGGGCGTACTTGGGGGTGTTGACATCTAGCACCAAGTAGATGCCGGCCTCGGCCAGTGCCTTCATGCACTCATCGTGATTCTTGGAGTTGTCGACCGAGTAGACACGCACGGTGTTCAGGCCCAAGTCCTTGAATTTCTTGATGTCCCGCTTGCAGCCATCGGAATCGGCAATCGGGTCGGCCAGCTTGGAAGAACCACCAGGCTGGTAGTCAACACCTCGAATGTAGAAGCGTTCATTACCTTTGAAGAAGGCATTGCCCTTCACGGTGACCGGGGTCACGCTGTCACGCGTCTCGATGGTCGAGGGGGCGCCCAGGACGGTGGAAACACCGAGAGCGAGAGTAGTGGCCACGGAGGCTACAGTTACCTTCATGGTGGGAGATGCAATAAGATTGTGAAAAGAAAAGAAGATAATGGCAACGATGGTCGAGGAAGAAGAGATGAGAAAATGAGGAACGAGAGGATGGCCGTTAAAAGTCGACCGGGAAGGCAGTGACGAAAGAAAGGGAAAGAGGGCTGGTCGAGGAACGTAGGGATGAAGGGGTCCCTGCCTGTCCTTATATTTGTGTGTCCTCCCACACGTCCTGGGCACTGTAAGGATTGCCTGAATCTTCTTCGGTTGATTGGCAGACTGCACGGTGTCACCGCGATGCCGTGGAGCATATCCTCCGACGCGTCGATCAGCAAGGGAGAGTGTTGTGGCGGGTACCCTGAATTCCCTTGTTCCCCTTCGCTTTATTTGCACTGCCCTGGATCATTTGTGGTTTTCTATTTCTGTTCGCTATTTATTCAGTTCTGCTATTTTTGTTGTCTGGGAAATTGTAGAGAGGTCGAAGTGAAGCCTTCCAGGTTATGGACCGGGTGGGCCTGTTTTAAATCGCGAAAATCCAACTGTTGATCCCCTTGGGTTCCTGCAGGTTTTGAATGGCCTGCAGAGTCTCCATCGAGTAGCTTGGCAATAGCGCAAATGCGGACTGGGACATGCATTCATCCGATGGAGCGCTGGATATGCCCGGGGCAATAATCAACACAACCAGCCAGAAAATAAAGCAGCAGTCGCAACGGAGAATGAGTAGCCCTCCACTTTCTTTTCATAAACTTCTTCACATTCCACGGTGAAACAAATAATATGGCGGATTCTAGACTTGACACAGTGGAGGTACCGTTGTCACTCGTGGGGGAAGATGCAATTATCAACCGTGGAACTGCTGCAAATGTCATGGATCCTGTGTTGTTATTCATTACATCGACCAGTTTAGGCTATATATAGTGCCGACCGGGTCATAGCCAAGTCCCTGGTTCAATCTCTATGGTCAAGAAGAACTAGCTATACAAAAGCGAATACCAAACGAGGACTCTTGATGAGAACATTTTTAATTAGAGAAGAATAAGTCTCCCGTTAGCTCAACTGTAGAAGGATATTTTCAATATGCTGTCATTCCTGGAGCTGTTTAACAATCTGCAGACTGGATTATTTGATTGATTAGCCAGGTTTCTGTTGGATTTCTGAGGGTTTTAGCAATTCTTCATGGATGCCACTCCAATCATCTAGTATTCTTCGGCGAGTACTTTCTACACAGCTATCATGGGTGTCTAATTCAAATAAATTTGCCTTGACCAGAAAGATCAAGATCAATTCAGTTGGTTCGAGGCTAAATGATTCCACTGGATCCCATTCGCCTAGAAGCTTTTGTAGATATACGCAGTCCAACCCTAAAACAACCACGGCCATCAATTCCGTTCCCTCCCCAGATATCAAGCCTACTCCTCAAATCCCACACCAGCACTACCCCCCTTCAGAGCGTGATCATATTTCCGATCCGCCTGGAAGTCGTTGTTTGTTGTATCTGTCGAGTGGGAGTGATGATGACCAGGGTGGTGTCCGATGGCATCGTGGTGGTGATGTTTTTCTAACAAGCCATCAATCAGTCCATGTACATAGCTATTAGTAGATCAAGTCAACTCACGAGCATGGTTACCATGCGACTCATTTTCATTTCTCTGTGTAGCATGATGAGATGTGTGGTCGGCAGACTTGTTCGGGTCGTGGTGGTGCCCGTGGAGGGCATCTTCTGCCTTGTGCAAGAGTCCTGACATGGTTGAAACTACTTTCGGATACAAAGAAAGTACAAGAACGGTTTCGAAATACTCAGTGAACAGCTCTAATATATGTTGATAGGTTGAAAAAACCGAAAAAGTAGTTATTTTGACACCTTTTTATAGGTTTCAGCAGGAGAATGACGTAGCAGATGGTGTGATGTTCCTTGATCCAATCCATTATTGGTGAGTTTCTCACTCGCCATATATCTTGAACCTTTGGCAATTCATTCATGGTCTCGCTCACAGGACTATGGTCAAGGATTCTCATTTGTATATTCTGCAGCTCAACCATAACGCCGCCCATGGAAATGGAACGTCCGAAGAACAATATTTATACCAGGACCGACTGCCTTCAAAGGCATTATTAGTGCAGCTTCATGGCATCATAAGTGGAGAAGATAAATCGGTATCTTGGTTCTTCGACTCCGATGCTTCCGAGGGCTGGTGGCGAATCACATCATGTATCCACCACTATCTCGGTATCAAAAGGAGCAGGAAAAAGAGGCATTCCAAGACTCCCGTGATAACGCATAAAGAAGATGGTGTTACAAGATATTAGTATCCTGCAACTAGATACATGTGTTGCGCCAAGAATATCACTCTTGGGCTTGGGTTATCTTTAATTAGAGGGTTGGTGGAGGCTAGTGCATTGCTAATTATTCGTTCGCTGACCGATGATCAGCCCAAGTTTAGAATCTATCGTGCAAAAACGACCCTAAAATGCAGAGACAAGGTCGATTGCAAGAGGGATCGGCGACCCCGACTACATACCCTCGCCAAGGGAAAGTACCGAGGAATGCTGGCCTACAGGGTATGATCTCATAAGCGATTGCTTGGAATTTGTATAAAAAAGCTACATCATTTAGCACGGGCCAGCTATTTCCAACCTATTGGTGATATCGAACAACGCAGATATGTTTAAATAATACCAGGCCGATAGAAGCCGGTCATCACACTGATCCCAAATAGAGAAAGCTATTCTGTACGCCGCTTCCCCAGCTGATTCGTCCCATGAACCCAATCCAGCAATCCAATCGACCCATAGTTCAAGTTGAATTTCTCATGATGCAGGTCATGCATCTTGGCCTTGCTATGGAAAAAGTCATACCCGCTATGAACGGTCGCGGTGTTAAATAGCTCATAGGCCAGGAAGATCCAGAATGTCACCACATGGCTCCGTAGCAGCTGCGGCGGGAGAGAGATCGGTAGCGCATTGGCGAAGATCTGCTCGAGTGGATGTGCAAATTGGGCAGCCAATGCGATCGGAGCTGTGAATCGATGATGTTTTTTGTGGATTCGCACGTAGAAATACGGCATGTGGAGGAGCCGGTGGCTATAATAGAATAAGGCCTCGCGCATGAGAAGGCTGATGAGGATATCGCAGAGGATCTCAAGAGCCGATGGCAAAGAAGCTTCGATGCGGTATGAGGATCCTGAACCGGTTCTACCGATAACAGAAAGAAGGAGAATGTGAAGAATAGACGAGAGGATCTGGTTTTGGATAACAACTAGAAAGCAGCGTGCGATATCGCGTCGCGTGGGTTGTTTGGGGGCTGGCTGAATCTTATGGCGCTGCGAGAATGACGGAGCAATCGTGTCTAACCAAATATAACACAATGACGGCAGCCAGAAAGACACGATTTGTATAAGGAATGTCCCGATGAATTCAATCTTCGGTGGAGAATAGATAGTTACGATTTGAGACCAGAGAGCTGCAGCTTGGGGAAATGAGTAGCCGATAGAGTGATAAAAGCTCTCCATGGCTAGTTGATAGGGGTATATACTTGAACGCGAAATAGAAACAGTATTATGGGTTGGGAAATCAGAGGGCCGCGATGTTTATAAACTGCTTGTGTGCCTCGGCCTGTTCCCCAGGAACCTTTTCCCCGCCCCGCAGTCGATCGACAGCGGGCATGGCCCTTAATAACAGGTGGATCTCGGCTATAGGGGGGCATGTGAAGAAGTTGATCACCGAAAGGGCGATCTGAGCGCACGAAAGAGTATGCCATGTTAAAAGGACCATATCAAGGATGAACTCTATATAGCCAGGAGAGCGATGTATGTAGAGAGGACCCATACCATCGTTCACTTGCAACGTTCCAGATAACCTAATATATATCCAAAACCATGTTTCGTACAAAATAAGCATAATGTCTCGTTCAAAAAAACCACTTCACAATAATAAAGGTTAGATTCCTTGCTAGATCTAACTGCCACTCTATCTTCTGCTCTATTCACTTTGCTTGCTTCACTATATAATCTAACCTCTTCTACTATTTCTTATCTTCTATTCCCTCTCCATCTCTACTTATCTCTGCTTATCTACTGCGAGATTTCTATCTTATTTTCTCTCACGTTCATCGTACCTAACGTGTTTCATTTTCTCTTGTTTATCTATTATCCACACCTCCCTTCTACATCTTGGTTCTATCTAACAATTTCCTTTCTTCTTCGAATCCCTTCACGATGGCTACCAATACCCACGAACAGCAGGACTCACCATCCTCTACCAAGACCAGCACCCCCACTCCCCATGCCAAAACACTGACCAATTACGAAGACTGGATCCCAGCGCCCCTCAACCCTCCCCAAGACTCCGCCATGGACCCGATCTACCTATTCCACATGAGCCGAGTCATCACGACCGACCCGACCCAGAGAGAGCTCTTCGCAGCTCTCGCCCGTGTACAGCTGCTGACTGAAACCCTGCAAGCGAACCCACTCAGAAAGGCCCTCATCGCACGCCGTGCTTCGCAGTCAGATCGCAGCGAAGTCAAGAGAATCCTGTATTCCCCCAACTGGAAGACCGTCGCAGCCATCCTTCGCCTGGTGAGAACCGGCAAAGAGAGAGATTGTGTGCTTGACTACATCGCTTATGCGAATGCGACAGACTCCATTCGCGAGCAAATCCCTACTTGGCCCGTCGCTGTGAGAAAGAACTGCACCGAGCTGTTGGATCACTTTGATGTCACGATTCAGCAGGGCTCTGGCTCTGCAGATGGCAATCGTGATACTGGCAAAAGCACCAACAAGGCTCTGGCTGGTTAGTCAGTCAGCCCCTTGTACTCGAGTGCCTTGGACGTTACCCCTCTGGAGGACACTGGGCGTGACAGAGGGCAGGAGACCTCCAGGGGCAACCCTATGCTTTGTTATTTAGCTTTCGTTTTCTTGTCTTTTGCGTTGGGGGCAAGAAGATGTGCTATTATAGTCATTTCCCACGCGCTGTGGCAGTTATCTATTATCCATCTATGAATTCATCGTTTCAACCGATCATCTCTTCGACATAGATGCGAAAGCAGTTCTGATTGGCCGAAGCTCATACTTAGAGGAAGATTATTGACTGGCACAAACACAACTTAATCAACTGCACGTGATATATTGCTTTGGGAAAAGGGCGTCAACCATTAGTTAGTTAATTAGTTAATTGGTGACCTCAATAGGGAAGAGAAGGTATATGGAAATTAATATAACAGGGTCCAAAAGTCTACCGACACCACCCTAATTTAGATAGACTTCCGTATAGACATGGACAGACCCGTCCCATGGGTCAAAGATCTTGACCCATGACCCAAACCCACGACCTATGGGTTAGGTCAATAAAATCCTGACCCACCTATAGGTTGACCCGCGGGTTAACGGGTTAATCTATTTTTGATCTATTTTAGTATAAATTTCTTAATTAGGATAGATAATTTATTTACCTTTTTTAATAATATACTATTATTAAATACTATTTTTATTCTAATATAACTTATAATTATAACTCTTTATAAAAAGAATATTATATAGTAATAATATATTTAGAATATAATATATTAATTTATTAATTTAATATTTTAAGGTAAGAATTATATTTTCTAATAAATAGATATAGATAAAAGAAGATATTAGTTAACTATTTTTTATACTAAACCTAAAAATATATATTTAAAGTCTATAGTAGTATTACTACTTTTTATATAAATAAACTATATATATTAGAAATAATAAAATAGATATAAATCTAATATCTAATATTTCTTTATTAATATATAAGTATATTATAGTCTTAATTATATAAAAGAATTATTTTAAATATTTTTTCTGGATTTATATAAAATAATAATATTAGTTAGTTAGATTAAAATTTTTTAGGGATAAAAAGAAAAATCTTAGGGTATTACTCTTATCTAATTATTTAGGTTAATAGATTAGTCTATAGATTAATCTATTAACCTATTTCTTACTATCTAATAAACTTTGTATATATTAGTAGAGCCTATTCTAATTAGTTATAAAATTTAGTACTAGGATAGTACTAAATTCTATTTACTAATAAAAAATAAGTATTAGACCTATATATTCTCCTAAATCTATAATAATTTATCTTAGATTATTTTTCTATATCTTAAGTCTCTTACTATAAAAAGATTATATAATCCTTTTTTTACTAGATATAATAAAATATATACCTTTTTATAGTAGTCTTTCTATCTCTATTAGAACTAGGGTTTTAATTTATCTATATAATTACTTAAAACCCTGGTTTTAATCTATCTATATATTTATTTATAGCCCTGGTTCTAATATATCTATATAAAAAGGTTAGCTAGTTAGGTTAAAATTTTTAGGGGATAAAAAGAAAAATCTTAGGGTATTACTCTTAGCTAATTATTTAGGTTAATAGATTAATCTATAAGTTAACCCGTTAATCTATTTTTTATTATCTAATAAGCTTTATATATATTAGTAGAGCCTATTCTAATTAGTTATAAAATTTAGTATTAAGATAGTACTAAATCTTATCTATTAATAAAAAATAAATATTAGACCTATATATTCCCCTAAAGCTACGATAATTTACCTTAGATTATTTTTTTATATCTTAAGTCTTTTATTTTAATATACTATTACTATATCTCTTCTATATCTTAATTATCTATCTTATACTCTCTCTCTCTTATTAAGAGTAAGGGGTTTAAATTATCTATTTTCTATTCTAATTAACTTCTCGATACTTTTTTAGAACTACTAGAAAACTAGTAAACTAAGTAAAGCCTCTCTCTTATTATACTATTAATACTAAAATAATCCGATAATTAGAAAAAGACCTAAATAATTTTTAATAATATAAATAAAGTAGAATTTTTAAACTAGTGGCTTAATACCTAAATTAGTGGTTTTTATAATACTATAAAGAAGATAAACTAGAAAGGTCTATAATAGATTAATATATAGTTATATTTTAATTAAATTATATATTTAGTAATAAAAGAGCTAAAGCTTCTATATAAATAATATAATAAGGTTATAGATTATCTAGTCTATACTAAGAATAGGATAATAGATCTCTAATATTACTAGAATTAGAGTATATATTAAAAAAGCTAAAATACTACTAAATATTTAATAATCTAATATTTTATAGAATATATAGTATATTATATAGTTATTATTTAATTTATAGACTAATCTTTCTTAGATTAAGAACTTCTCTTAAATAGCCTAACTAATTATTTAAGAGCTATAAGAGTAATAGTTAATTACTATAATAACTATTCTATAGCTTTCTTTTTAAACTATTAAGTATCCTAAATTCTAAACCCTTTTTTAAATAACTTAATTATTATTATTTATTCTTAGTTTCTTTTTTTATTAAACTATATAATATTAAATCTAGGGAATAATCTAAGATTAATAAAAAGATTTATTTTAGAAGCTTTTATCTAAAGCTAAGCTCTCTATTAGTCTTAACTATTAGATATCGTTATTTTAATAAATATTTATAGTTATCTCTAGCTATTTTATTAATATAGACTAGAATTATTAAGAGGTTTTATTTAGCTTTAAACCTATTTCTAATATATATTCTAGATAGAATCTTAGTATAACTCTTTTTAATATCCTCTAAAAATATTAAATTAAAAACTAAGTATTTATAGTAACGATTAATAATATATTAAATAACTCTATCTTTATTTTAAGTATCTAAGATTCTATTTAATTATTAGATATTAACTCTAAGATAATAATTATTCGGGTTCTATATATTATATATATAATTTAGTTAAGTTTAAAATAATTATTTAGCTAGATAAAAGTAAACCCTTAGAATAAGGTAATTAAGATTATTTAGTCTAAAGAATATATCTAATATATCTATCGAAAAGTATAAAAATAAGATATTACGATAACTCTTATAAAGATATATATTTATACTCTTTATATATTAATTAAAATACTAATCTATTTTATATTTTAGATTAGAAACCTTATAATCTTTATTAATATAAGCCCTTAATATTAGGAGTCCTTCTTTAGTCTCTAGCCTAACTACCCTTAATTAGTTCTAATTTAAGATATCTAAACTAGATAGAATTTAATCTTTTTAATACTCTAATATATAAAGTGATTATAATTAGTTTTTAATCGATTTTACTCTAAATATAATTATTCTTATCTTAAAATTAATATAGATAAATAATATTAGATTAACTACTTTCTTAATATTATTTAGCTATTTTTTTAATTTACTATAATCCTCTTAAAAATAAAGAATATTATTATTTATACTATTTTTATTATCTATAATAAGCTATTTAAATATTTTAAGAGATTAATTAGATAGTTTAATAAAAAAAAGATTAGATAGAAATAATAGATATATTAAATCCTTAAATTAGCTAAGAGTAAACTCTATAAATATTATTTTATAATAGATAATAAAAAGCTTAATAATATCTATATAATTAGTACTATCTTAGTCTCTTAATATAAGGTTAAATTTTTTTAAACTAAAGACTAAAACTATCTTTAGATAGATTATAATATCTAATATTAATAAAGTCTTAAAGATTAACTTCTAAATTATTAAATTAGTAATATTCTAAGCTCTTAATTATTATCTAAAATAAAATAATCTTATTAAACTAATAAACTTAATATATTTTTAATAGCTAATTCTTCTATCTTAAGCTCTTAGTCTAAAGTAATATAGTATATTAAAAAAGATAAGTTTCTATATATATCCTTATTAAAATTAGGGTTCTAAATAATTATTTAAAACCCTAGTTCTAATCTATTAAATTTCTATCTTTCTACCCTTATTAAAACTAGGGTTTTAAGGCCTATCTTAGAACCCTAGTTTTAATAGAGGTATCGGTTCTAATCTATCTAAATATTATATTAATTATTATAATCCGCCCTCTATCTAGGTATTATCCTAATCTTATTTTATTAGTTTTAGAAGGATTATTAATATAAATTTCCTATATTTATAAGCCTTATCTATAATCTCCTCTCGATCCTAGCTACTAATATTAGCGTTAAATAATTATTTAATTCTATATATAATATTTATTATTATTAATAAGAGATACTAAATATATCTATTATATAAGATCTAATAATATTTATATATATTACTAAATTCGAAGTTAAAAAGAAGTAGCTTATATTTATTTAAAAGCTTTAGGAGTAAGATAAGTTAGAAATTATATAGAAGGAAAAAGAGACCTAAAAAACTTATAAAGAGATTATACTAATTAGTAATAATAAAAAAAAGGATATTATAGATCTAATAATTATAGTTAATATATCTTACTAACTATAGTAAGAAAAGTTAAGAAGTAATTATAAAGATAATTATAGCCTCCCGCGGATTTCTAGTAGGGTTCGTAAACGCCTATAAGTATTTAATAATTATAAGCTTTAAAATTAAAATCGATTAATATTTAAAATAATATTCTCTAGAATTACTTTTTAAGAATTATTTTCTTAATTACTATAAAAAATTATTTAACTAAAATAAATATAATACCTAAAAATATAGCTAAGAATAATATAATTTATAAAAGTTATATAGTTAACAAAGTATCCACCTAAATAGATTAAATAGATTAACCTATTAACCCGTAGGACGGGTCAAAAAAATCTTGACCCGCCCATAGGCTGACCCATAGGTCAACCTATATAGGTTATCCGCGGGTCTGTCCAGGTCTAATTAGAACTAGGGTTCTAAAATAAACCTTAAAATCCTAGTTCTAATAAAGATAGAAAGACTACTATAA